GTAATGACGTGAGTGCGAAGCACGTTATGAATCCATCGGCAACTAAGGTCAAGTTGTTTCTTATCGTCCAGCGAGAGGTATTTACACATCGCTAAGAACACTTCAATGTCCATTGTGATAATGGAGTTAACGTTCATGATGTTCAAAGTGTTGTCCCGGTGGTTGAAAGTGCTGTCCTGGAAGATGGAAAGTCCTTTCTGAGAGGAAACAAAAATTCGATCCGTTTATACGATTTTGTCTTTTCCCGGGAACAAAAGGGAATGCCCAGAAATTTGGTTCTTCTCGATAGACCACATGAGCAGCGGTCATCCATCTCGAAACAAATCTTGGTGCGGGACCAGAACCAAATCCGATAACATGAACAGCGGTCATCCATCTCGAAACAAATCCTTGAACGGTCAATTAAGTATTTGAATACTATACTCTAAACAATAGCCATGCCAAACGTTTTTGAATTCAACTCGCATATCAAATGTATCGAGGGAATTTTTGTTATTCGTTTTTGCGTAGCAGACCTCGATAGTCTGGAACGAATATGTCGGTCTATGTTAAACAAACCCGGTTACATGGCATATATCAAAGTAAATGACGGGATCAGGGAAATCTTTAAACAGATTTACACCATTTTTACCAAGAAAAATAATCGTCTCCGTAAAGATTTCATTTTCAAGAGCGGGTATCTAGGGATCACAGACGATAAGGGACAACTGAGAATGCTATGTGGAACAGACAAAGACCATCGAGCGTGCGTTCTTGATATTGATACTTAGTAGCATTGCGTCCAAAAGTTCAAGTAACTGTTCGAGAGGGTGATACTTGTCGGTATAATTATCCGAGCGGAAAGTTGCGTATTCGTCGAAGAAAAGAGCAACGGCACTTGAAAACTGAATGGGTAGCGAGTCTGATAATTGTTTATATCACAGTAGTACGAGACTGCTCTAGAGGCGACTACGGTAGAGGATTGATCCAATATTTGAACAGTGATCGTGACTCGACTGTTGTTCGAATTCATATACCCCATAAAACTTGCATGGGCCACGACCGCAGACATCCCGACTTTCCATCCAATGGGTCCGAAGCCCCCCGTATAACCATTTCCATTGGTCAACAACGTATCTACAACACCGTCTTTGATACAAACAGCAGATTGAATGATTTGTGAAGCATATACGTTCGTATTGCATGTCAAGGAATTCACAGTTGCTGAACCACTTGCTGCGAATGTGCCCGTAGTCAACGCACCGGAAACATCTATAGTGTTTGCAGAAGCAGTGACAAGGGTCGCTTTGGGAACGGCTTGATTATATTGAATCTGGCGGATAGCGACCCCTCCTGTTGTTGTCTGATTCGCGTACTGCCACGAGAAACCCCATACTACATAAGGCGTGGTGTTTGCAAAACTAAACGTATTTCCATCAGTGGTCCAAGTCGAACCGGGTATATTCGAAAACGTTGCGATTGTTACCATAGCCGACTCGGTTGTTCCGGCAATCACGGAGAACGTAGTAGGCATCGCCACGGCGTCCATCAGGTAGGCGGTGAGTTTAAGAGAAGCCATAGCAATGGCCGACGGGAGTCTCAATAATGAGTAATGAACACTTTGCGTTGTTGAATCGAGTCCTAGGTTTGCTGTTGAAGTGCTTGCAGTTGCCCACCGCAGTCTGGAAGCGATTGTTGCGTTTGAGTAAGCGTCCCAAGGGTGCCCTGTGTAACCATCACTTCCATTTCCATTTGCATACGTGTATTCGCTGGAGGCTGTAACTGTATAGCCGTTCCAAGATGAAGAACCTGTTGCTGGCGTTGTGGGATATGGAATTAGAGTCGTAACAGAATTTAATGCCGGACTTTTCAAATCACCGGTCACATTAAGATTTGACCCGACATATAAAGATTTTGCTACAGATGCGCCTCCATTCACTTGAAGAGCGCCTGATGTGTTAGAGGTTGCATCAGCAGTGTTCGAGACCGAGACGTTACCTCCAACATATACGTTTTTCGCAACAGAAGCGCCTCCAGAGACTTGCAACGCACCGGTTCCAACTGCTGTGGAATCGGTTGTGGTCAAGACCGAGACGTTACCACTGCTGGCGGAGACTTTAAACCAAGTAGTGGTCTCTGCTGAATTCCACACAGAAAAATCTCCTACCACCCGTAAATCGTCCCATACTCTGACATAAGGATTGGAAGACTGATTTGGGTCTATGGAGAGAGGACCTTGTGAACCAGATGCAGAAATTATTGCTTGATTTCCGGTGAAATTCATGTTTCCTGAAACTGTCAAATTGCCGATAGAACCGGTAGGAATAGAAACTTTACCTGTTCCGTCCACTGTAAGACCTTGTGGTGCATTCCATAATCCCAAGCCCAACGTATTGGTTGCAAGACCCGCTCCAACATAGTTGAAATATACCCTGGCCATGTTATTTGTAGCCGCTCCTACTCCAATCTGTAAAGTCGTGAAACTCCCCGCTGCCAAGTTCGGTGTCCCAAGATGGCTGCTAACAATAGGTCCGGTTGAAGCAATATTGGAGTAGATTGTCCCATTAACAGTCAAGTCTTTGCCAAGATTGACATTCCCTGCGATACCCGCTCCACCTCTCACCTGAAGTGAACCTGAAGTTGTCGAAGTAGAATCTATAGTGGAAAGAATCTGTACAGATGGCAAATTTGAATTGATTATGAAATTAGCATTAGACCCCGAATAAAGGAAAAAGTTTCCAGCATTTGGAGCGGTCGTATTGACTCCTGCGTAACCGAATGCTCCCACCGTTGTTCCTGTGTTGTTAACAAAACCGATCGAAGAAAACCCCGACGCGGAAAGACTCTGAATTTTTAAAACGTCAAAGGAAGTTGAGTTTACCTGTAAAGTATGACTTCCCGTGGCGGCTGAACCAGCAAATAGAGATTTTGCGATACCAACGCCACCTGACACTTGCAAAGCACCGGTTGTTGTGTTCGAGGAGTCAGTTGTCGTATTGATTAGAACATTTCCATTTGTCAAAATGTCCAGATTTGATACGCCGGGTCCGTTGGCGAATCGTAAGTTCGCCGGAGCATTATTGTATTGTGCTCTGATTACCAAGTCGCCGATAATTGTATTCGAGGAAAAATACCCTGCCGCTGAAACGTTGCCCGTTATGCTGCTTCCGAATGTTGGTGTGGAGACTGAACCGTTGTACCAGAAGAGACTCTGATTCGACCCGACAAAACTCGCATCACTCCCTACGGTCAATTTTTTAGCGATACCAACACCTCCGGCGACCTGTAACGCCCCAGTATTTGTAGCGTTGGAGTCGGATACCGAATTGATAGTTAGTGCATTCGTTGTCACATTCACCGATAACGCAAGATTTGCGGCAGTATTGTTGTATAAGCCGAAATTATTAGTTCCAAGGCCACTAGTTTGACCGATATGCCACAAAGTCCAACCTCCACCGTTTGAGTTTATAAGACCTACAGAAGGTCCATTTCCGGCTGTAGATTCTTTTATGATTCCATATCCACCGACGTATAATGATTTCGAGATACCAACCCCTCCGGCGACCTGTAAAGCGCCAGTTGTGATTGAACTAGTATCAGTCGTCCCTGCAATTTGAAGACTTCCACCAACATTCAAAGATGACAGAGTTCCAACAGATGTTATCTGAGGCTGAGCCACATTCACGCTGAAAATGTTTCCACTACGTGTCAATCCTGTTCCTGCGCTTAGAAGCGTATCGACATATGTCTTATTTGTAAGATGTGTCCCCAATGTCGGGACAGTTGATACAACTACATTTCCTGACACCGTGACATCTCCAGCAATATTTGCATTCCCACCGACGCTCAATGATGATAGGGTCCCAAGAGATGTTATACCTGTTTGACTAGCATTAACGCTGAAAACGTTTCCTGTTTTTGTCAATCCCGTTCCAGCAGTTGAGACTAAACCATCGACGTATGACTTTTGGGCAACCGTTTGATCAATATTACTATATGGAAGGACAGTCACCCCAACATCGTTTGCTAAATCTATAGAATTCTTCAATGCAATCGAGCCTAAACCCAAAGCCGTCCTAGATGCTGATGGAGTCGTACTGATATAATTCGTTCCATCTCCTACAAGGAAATTGTTGAGAGTGGCGGTGCTCGAAGAAATAGCAGTCAATTTTCCATTTAGCGGTTGCGCTCCCGTTTGCGTTGTAGAAATCAATCCATCCACATATGATTTTGTCACAGCATGCGAAGCCGTGGTTGGAGTAGGTACGGTTATTGACCCTGTAAATGTGCTAGAACCAGAAACGGAAAGACCCGTTAAAGTACCGACACTTGTGATTTGTGTTTGTACAGGATTCACACTTAGCGTCTGAGCGGTTTTCGAGAGGCCGGTTCCTGCAATAACAATGTTCGGATCAACAGACCCGAAAGGAAGAATACCTGTGACATCTGTACTTGCGAGATTGATAACGGATTTAGCCGCCAAACTGCCAAGTGTAGGCTTGTTTGTAAGTAAAGCCGAAGCATAGTCAATACTGCTAAGTGCTGCAAGAGAACCAAGAGTTGGCTTTCCAGTAATGTACGTCGAAGCATAGTCAATACTGCTAAGTGCTGCAAGTGAACCAAGAGTTGGCTTTCCAGTAATATAAGTCGAAGTGTAATCTATACTGCTAAGTGCTGCAAGCGAACCAAGCGTAGGTTTGTTCACCAACGCCGCACTAGTGTAGTCTAACGTATCGAGCAAACTCAGATTTTTTAATGAGAGATTCGCACGAACGTCTGCAGGACTGTACTGAATGAAGTTCCCTCCCGATGCGATTAGCATGTACGTGTTTGTCGGTGCAATGTTCCCAAAATTTGTAAGACGAGCATTAAGTGGTTGATACGTTGTGGCTGCATTTGCTGTTGTAAGATAATTTGCCAAGGTAGGACTGCTTATGGAGCCGGCGGTCAAAGCGCCTGTTACGTTAAGATATGTGAGTGTCCCAAGGGTAGTGATATTTCCGGTATTGACGGAAACGGTATTAGATGTATCTCTGGAAATTATAGGTCCAGTAAATGTTAATTTCTTCTCGTAGATGGTGAGATCTGGAGCACCCGTTATTCTCGAAAACGGAATGGTATCTGTTTTTGCAACTTTACCATCGATAGCAGTTTGAAGAAGACTTGTATTCTGACTGATCAAATTTGAATACGTTGGCTGTATTATTGTAGAGTCGTATTGACGTAGCATATCCAAGTTTACAGCCTGCTGTGGAATCTCTCCTGCAATACCAAGATACGAACATGGAGGTGGAGTGTCAAAAAGTAATCTCGTAACATCACAGGATGTATCATCCGTTTTAGGGAAAGTTGCGATGATGACTTGTGAGCCGTTTGGATCTGGAACGGGGTTTCCCTTTGAATCCACTACATTGTTGCCATTTGCGTCTTTCTGATTCTTTCTTTGTCGACCACTTGCAGCGATGAAACCACCAAGGATTCCTGCTGCTGCAGCAGGTCCTCCAAGAAGACCCCCGACGCTACCGATAGCAGATGTGGCAAATGGAGCGCCAGCCGCAGGGCCAATGAGACCAACCGCGCCTCCAAGGATTGTGGAAAGGGGTCCGGTAACGGAGACTACGGGATTAGATCCAGATGCTGTTAAAGGATCAGATTCGCCACTGGGCTCCGAATCCTCATTTTTCTCTTCCGGATCATCATCTTCTTTCCGGTTCTTGTAGGGCTGAATTGAAGAGATATTGAAACCGGTTTCCTCGGAGCCAACAACGAGGATTCCGGAGCCCCCTGTTATAACCAAAGGCTGCTTAGACACGTTGAATTCCTTATCCGCCCCAGTAACAATGATAGGTAAAGCGCCGGTAATTACCGTGGGTGTTTCCGGTTCTGGTTGATATGTGCAACTGATGCTTGACCCCGAAATGGATATGTTGTTTCCAGCCGTGTAGGCGCCGGAAATAGTGTTTCCCGTAACTGACACTCCATTAGATCCAGTATAGGCACCTTTTATTGAATTGCCTGTCACCGTAACAGTCGAATCACCAGCCTGTAAATCCAACTGCAAATCATTTTCTATGCGTTTAACTCCGTTACTTGCTGTGAGTTTCTCACCGAACGTGTTGTTACCATCGAATGTGATTGAACCTGAGACAGATGGAGCGAGTTTCACTTGATTCGAATTCTCTAATTTCAATCCGCCATTTCCAGGTTGAAAAGTTAGTCCTATCGCAATTTTATCATTGACGATGCGAACACCTTTATTGTCGACGATAGCCGACGGATTTACTGAAAGATTTTGTGAAGAGTCAATTGCTAAACTTGCATCTGTTCTAACATCGATAGTACGCCGACCATTGGACACTCCGGATATGTCTATACCTGACCCTGCTTGGTACAATTGCTCTACGTAGGCAGTACTTGGCACTTGATTATTGTCCGGATTGAAGTCGGTATTGACGTATACATGCGGGACATGTAATTCATTGAGTGTTTCATTATACGTAAAACTACTGTCTCCATTGAATCCGCTTAAAGCAGAGTAGAATGGAACCTGTCCCATACCTTTCGAGCGGATAGCCAATTTGTTGCCAGTCTGTTGAAAATCATCAGATGTCTTCAAACGCACAACAGTTGTATCAACATCAGTTTCTGATCCCAAAAAGTCCGCTAGAGAATCGAAACCGGTCTCTAGAAGGTCATCGAGTGCAAGACTTCCTGCTTTATCATTCGAAATAGCCCCTCGTCCAACAATCACTGTATCAACGTCGGTTTCCAATTTATTGTCTTCAAGTTTCAAACCCTTCCCATAATCGAGGCGGATGGCCTTATCTGCATCTTTCGAAAGCGGAACTTCTACTCGAACAGCCTCGTCAACAATCGCTTCAACATTTTCTTGAACAACAGACAACTGACCGTTTTCAACTGTCAAGGTCGAATCAAAGTCCAAAGAGATTCCGCTGATGCCCCGCGTCAACGGGGCTGTCAAAGGCTCTTTGATAACTTTCAATTTGCCATTATTGACCTCCAATGAATCATCAAAATTTAATTTGAGTCCTTCATCGTCTCTTGATAAAGGTTCTTGAAGATCTTCTAGATCCGTTGGGGGAAAATTTACAGTCAAACCTTCGTCGCTCACTGAAAGAGTCTTATCGTGGAACAAATTGAGACCGTTTTCATTGACTCCAAGAGGCAGGTTTGTCAAAAGGGAAACAGTTCGGCTTTCATCGTTTCTTGCAAGAGGAAATTCCATATTGTCAGGGATTACTTCAACAGATGCGGTTCCGTTAGTCTTGTGAATAATCGCGTCTTCGCTATCGACAATATCGTTGATTTTTAATTCGCCGTTTTGGTTGTAGAGCGTCTTCACCTCGGCTGAATGAAATCCGGAGAGTTTTGTGTCTCCACTAAGGGCTTTCATATTTCCGGAAACATACGGGCTGTTCAACAGCGTATCGTTTAAATTTCGCAAACCGCTCGAATTTCTGCTGTTTAATCCAGACATTCTGTTATATTCAATGCATTACAAAATAAGATGTTGAACATTATTGGAGGCGTCATTTATTTTTTCACTTTTTTTTCCAACCGAAAAATTCGTGTTCTCCGCAAGGTGACAACATGTAAAAGTCGTATAACTTATTTCACTTTGTCACCCGTCGGAGAACGACGAATGTTTTTTTAATTAAAGCATTATATAAGGACTTAATCGCAATTCAAGATATCGAACTCTTCGAATGATAGCAACGCTTCTGCTATCTTACCAAGTAACAATCCATTTGTGTCCCATGTGTACCGTTTCTTATTCTTACGTTTCTCTTTCGTTTTAACAATAATTGGTGCACAAAAATAAGCATTGATGATCTTTGCGTATAGGTCCATTCTGTACGTTTTCGGTCGGTGAAACATTTTAAAAGATCTTTGTATGTCTTCAAAAGGTGAGTTACAGACATGCTCTGGTCTGATTTCCCCTTCGATTGTTAGATTATTGTCCTTGTAAAACTTGTGGACTATTGGGGCGCATTTTATGTCGTGATACAGTTCTTGACCTCGTTCTAACCTGCCAAAGTTATTCACTGCGTAGACGGTATCCCTGTACGTGTCCCAGTAGATTTCAACAAGGTTTTCAGTAACCACACTTCTAAATAGATTTCTGAATCTGAATTTTTTAACTTGAAGAATCTGATCGACATCTGCTTGGAGGGCTTCGATCAATCTTTCAAGTCTCTCACACTCTTCTCCTGAGATATCCTTAATGTTATGCCATGAGAACATATTGAATCGACTGTCGAAACAGGCGCTTATTAAATGACGTGCATCCTTTTCCAATGCAAAGCATGTTTTGCTGCATAGTTTGATGTTACATAGATCTGCATACAATTTGAACAGATCCTGTGCCGATTTGTGATGTTTATCCGCGAAACTCTCTGAATCCATATGCGCGGCTAAGGTACGAAATCCATCGGATTGTGAAACAATCAGTCGATCCTGCTTTACTGCCTTCATGAAAGGTTCCGTAAACAGAATCCATATCTCATTCGAAAGTGGCCTCCGAATTCTTGCCAGTAACTGGAAAAAGTCCCGGTACGATATACAAGCCGGATTGAAAATGCCAAAAACCCGGTCAAACGGGCGCATCCCTTCTTTTACATCATAATTCACGCCCACCGCTAAAGCAGCGTTTCCAACCACCACTCGCACAGCCGGATTTCCCCATACCTCCTCAATATTTCTCAGATTCTCCTTGTCTTTTTTGCGATCCGCGTGGATACCAATTATTTCTGTTCCACGTTTCCATTTGTATTTTGCCATTAGCGTCGAAACAATGTTTTCCACCCCATCAAATGCGGAATGAACCTTTCGGGAACCTTTTGCTCCCGATGCGATAAAGATCTTTTCCCCTTTATCCAGACTGTTGAACATTTTCGCATAAAGATCTTCTATTTCTTGGCAATATTTGATCTCTCGTTGCGGAGGAGGAACACTTGATCCAATAATGAAACTTTCACCTCCAATGTCTCGAATCAAATCGGTTGTCGCTCTGGTAAGAAACCCGTCCATCCAAATTACCTTCTTTGCTGACGCCAACAGGCGCATGAAATTCTTCCAATGTTGAGATGGGTTACCATGGCATTTTGCATCGTCCGCAAAACTTCGCAATAACGTTTCGCACTCATCAATGACAATTATATCGTAAACTCCCCTCGCTAAGTAGATCGACTGAATGGAACATACGAGATAGGGATGATGCACTGGATTTTGTTTCTCATCGGGTCTGTAATCCAGATAATATTTCCATTGGGTGATGCCTGTTTTTTCCATTCTTCCTCTTTGTTCATTTGTCAACGCAATTCTACATGTTGTCCAAAGCGCTGTCAATTCTTTGTCCCCCTCCAATAATTCTTTGAGATAATCAATGGTACTTCCACTTTTGTTACCGCCGAGCGAAACATGCAGTACAATGTGTTTATAATCGTCACCCAAGTGAAGATCCGCTGAGGATAACCATCTTGAGTCAATGCGATGATTGAACTCTTTGTTTATCGCATTTTCCATTACTTTGTATGGCGTCGACTTTAGAATGTTTCCGTTATAAACAGCAACCAAACACGCTTTCATGAAGTTCTCCGAAATGGGCTTCGACTGTACATCCACCCGATTCCAAAAGTCTATATATTTTGCTTTGCGTTGCGGAGTGCTATCCTTTTTCGAATTCCACTCCCAAAACGACGCAAAGGTGATACCTGCCATCTTACACCAACGACCGATCTCACTGCATAACCAGTTGGACAATTCAAACGTATCCCCACGTTTAGGGTTTGGCATGTGCGCTAGAAAATGCAGCGGATCCCCTCTATAGATATCTAGGGTTTCCGGAGGTTCCAAGTTCATTCTCGGTATTTGACCCGGATAGTAGCGACCTTTTCTCGCTTGTACCGAGCCCTCGTCATTTTCTCGTTTTCTCTTCCGGAGCGCTGGAGCCCCGGGCGATAGAAAGTTTTGAAGTTCGGAAACATTCTTTACGTGGATGCTGTCCTTTGGAATACCATGCATGATCGTGTGATCCAAAATGTTATCAGAACCTTCTATTATCTCCTGGACTCGTCCGTCACCTTTGGATTGGTTTACATATTTCATCAAGCCGTTCGCTCTGTAGATATTCATGTCAAATCCAAGTTCCTTATACATGGCACAAAACTGCTTAATCGGGTCAAGTTCGCCCACATTCAGAACATGGTAGTTATTCACAACAATGTGATATGAGAATTTCAGAGTATCGCCCTTTTCCCCCACACTTCCCGAAATATTCATGGAAGCATTCGGAAGAATTGATCGAATCCTTTTTTTTACCTTTCCAATAGGATCATTCATTCCCGTATAATCAATATCAAACATTAGTTTCATCATTCTATCAGGATGCATAACTTCAAATAGTCCTTTGTCATCTTTCAGCAAATCCTCCAGTTTAGAGCATTCTACGATCGCATATTGGCAGTACTTTTTCTTCACCATCTCACCTTCCTTTTTTCCCTTTGCTTCATAATCTCGAACATGGGCAACGAGGCATTGCTCAGGCCCACATCTCTCCATCAACGTTTCCATAACCTTTCTTGCTGTGTTCCTATTGGTGTAGAATGATAGACCATACTTATTGATTTTGGTGTAATTTGCAATATCCATTGTTCGTGAATTGGATGTTTAACAGATACATAATTTTTCTGCTTAAATAAACTTTACCTGTCTACATCCATTCGACAATCAAATATCATTTCTGACGTTCTCCATCTCAATCGAATAGTTACTGTCGTAATAGTTTCAATTTCAAGGATCGAGTTGTTCTCCGATTGGTGACAAAGTGAAATAAGTTATACGACTTTTACACGTTGTCACCAATCGGAGAACAAGAATGTTTCTGTTTGGAAAAAAACGGAAAAATAAATGACGCCTCCCTACACCGCACCATTAGATTTTCGGTTTGGCTGTCAATACGACTGTATGGAGTCCAAATGGGAGGCGTCATTTATTTTTCCTTTTTTTTCCGACGAGAAACGTGTGAGAAGCATTGTTCTCCGCAAGGTGACAAAGTGTAAAAGTCGTATAACTTATTTCACTTTGTCACCAATCGGAGAACGATTGGGGCTCGCGGTTAAATGGCGTAAAACACTTTATCTTACAACAATAAATGGACGAATTCTACAGAAAACACAATATAAACGAAGAGGAGGTTTCGGCCGAACTTTTCAAGAAGGAGATAATGGATGAGATTCTTGAAAAATTTGATAAAGGTGAATTGACATACAAAGGGAAAGGGGGTGTAGAATTACAAGTGACTTCTTCTAAACAAGCGTACGCAATGGCATGTACGATATCAGATAAAAGGTGGAAAAGGAGGAAGAACAATCAAGAATCAGTGGGTAGTTACTTTCGGAAGATCGCTTAGTCGCTATCAGCATCCAACTTGAAATCGACCGGTTCCTTTTTCTTCAAATAACATTCATAACAATACGGTCGGTGTTTAATGAACGGAATCGTGGTTGTGCAATTATCCATTTTACACTTACGAGTTCCCAGCGGATATATGATTTGACCTGCGGGGTTTCTTTTCGGATAGTACGGACGCATCGTTTCTTTGCTTTTCATTGCAATTAGACCATCAGAAACGTATCTATTTAAGTTGCATTTTAGCAATCCCGTTTATGACAACTTGAAACGCGTTATGTCACTGAATGTAAATCCATAAATTCAGTCAATTCTGACCTTTTTGACAGGTCGAGTGGGCATTTGTTGCGTTTTTGTAGGGCGTTTTCGGATGCTTACAGTAGGTTCAACATCCGCGACGGTAAATGTTGGAGGTATCGCATAATCGATTCTTTCCTTTCCGCGTAGATTTGCGATAGGACGCAAGAATGAGGCTTTTTCTTGTTTCTTAACACGGGAAGCCACTGGATCAACAATGGTCTCAACTCCAACATTTGCTTGAACTATTCGATGCATTCTAGATCGTTCCAAAACTTTTGGATCTATTAATTGAATTTCGTCTGCATCATCAATCTTTCGTCGCTTTGATGACGGTTCCTTTCTTAGAGAAACCTCCGCTTTTCGTTTAACAGCGGGATTAATGGCTAACTCATCAGTGCGAGCACCGATTCGGGCTTGGGGTTTTGGTGATGGGATTGTGTTATCTTTAGCGAGTGCGGACAATCTCCGTCTTGCTGCGCCATCATCGTGTACCTCAATGTTAATTCCATCAGAAAATCCTACCAATTCCTGCTTGTTAAGTGTGGATTGCAATAGTGAGTCTTCTAATCTGTTCTTTATTCTTCGTTTGGTCGGATCAAAACGACGATCTTTCCTCACATTTCCAATAGGCGTCTTTCCAGGGGTTCGAACGAGATTACTCGTAACTTGTGTTTTTGATAAGAGTTCCTCAACCTTATTCGGGTCGCTGATGGTGGTCAAAGCGACCCCTGGTTTGCTTTCTGTTCTTTCATTCCCAATATTGATCTCCGGAGGTATGTTATTTTCAATTTTAACTTCATCTTTTCCGATCATATTAGGAAACGATCCGGGCATCATTGGCTCTTGATAATCAAGAGAATTGCTTACAACAGGTGCTTTAAGAACAGAGGAACTTCCGGTTTTGACTTGGGCTGCTCCAGTAAGGTTATCAACAACGATCTCTTTTTCGTGCGTGATTATAACTGGGTGGACACGTTGACCGGACACATTTTTGGGCAAATCTGGGACGTCATGTAGGTTAGCCGGTGCTTCAAACATCAAGCCTGTTTGCGCAGTTGTTTGCGCATCATAGTTATAAACCCGACCTTCCGTGTCGGGGACGGGAAGGCCACTCGTTGATGTGCTTGTCCCAATTGTGACGGTCTTGTTTCGCCGAGATGGTGTGATGCTATCCAGATATCGTTCTTTAGCGCGATAGTCTTTCTCGGCTTTGATATATTCTAGACCATCTTTGTATGCTTGGGTATAGTGCTGTTTTGCAGATAACCGGAGGATTTCGGCGCTGGAAACACGCTCTTCATAAACTGGTTTGACATAATGTGTTTTGGTTGCAAGATCTTTGTCGTGGATGTTTCTATTCCAAGAATAAACGACATCTGGCCTTCCATTCTCATCTAGATTATTATAGTCAAGGGCTCGTCCGATTTGGTGACGCTGGAGATTCGGGATTCCTTTTGAGCGGTTGATCCCTTGGAATTCTAGCACGTTTGCTTTATAGAATGCCATTTATCTAAAGGCATCAAATTTAATTCTGTGTCTATGTACAATAACAGACATGGCAAATTTCTTGAACAATCTGAAAAAAAAAGCGAATACTTTTATAACCAATGCTCCAAGTTATTATCACAAGGCGCGTTCATTTGCAAACAACGCTGTGAAGGTGGGACATAAAAGCGCAAAATTCATCACAAACGTTAACAATGCTGTGCAAGAATCTCCACTCTTCAACGAGAAGATCAAAGAAACTTCGCGTCGAGTGGATTCCACTGCAACAAAGGGGATTCACAGACTCGATGAGATTAATAGACAAGGTCAGGATTTCTTAGATAAAGTACAAGGCGGGACGATCGAATGAAGCATCAGGGGATGTGCTTTAGGATGTACTCGATTGTAGGTACGTTCATAGCGTTTCCAAGTAATCGCTTTCTACTTTTATCCGGGACAAATGCGGTATATCCCACGGGAAACCCTTGTAACTTCTCGCGTTCCGAGCAGGTCAAAAGCCTGAATACTCCATTTGCAGCGATAGCCAATTCATAACACTCGGTCGCTATGATGGTGTTACTTTTTCCATCGTCCCGAAATTTCACTGTTTGCTCCACCGTGTCCTTGTTGAACGCGGCAATGAGATCTGGGGGAGGAGGTTGTTTGAAGCATTTCCAATGGAGCGACTTTCCGGAATGATTGGGTTCTACTATACTGTCAATTGTCGGCGAAGGCACATCCAAAGGTTCCGGAACAAAGAAATTTGTCCAGTATAAACGGATTCGATTTTGTGCACAAAACGACGCGGCATTGAGTTTTTGCACCGTCGTAGACAAAAGTCCTTTCGAGATCTCCGCAATGCTTGCTGAATCCATAGGAACGTTTTCCATAATCACATATTGGGGTTGACAGTCGTTGCGGATTCTGACGAATTGTGTATACAAATCCGCCCGAGGATCGGTGAATTTAGTTTTTCCCGGATTGGCAAGCGAAAAAGGTTGACACGGAGGACCTCCGATTAACAGGTCAAAATCCGGTATGGTATTTGTTTTGATTTTGGTGATGTCTCCAAAGTTTTTATGTCGAGGATGATGCTCAACATAAACTTTTAAAGCGTCTTTATCTGTCTCGCAAAAGCCAACGCAAATGGCTTCGGGAAAGATATTTCTTAATGCCATTTCGGCACCACCGATTCCAGCAAAGGCAGAAAAGTACCGCAATGGTCTTTTCTCGGAAATCTCCAGAATCCTTGGTATGCGCGTATTTAATCCGGGAATAAATCCATGGGTTCGAAAGACCTCGATGAATTTATCTGTATGTGGATAGTCTGCATCCGAGTCAATATACACGATCGTGCGTGAATAGACATCGTTCGAGATATGTGAATTCTTTGCCGAAAATCGCATGTCGTCCATTCGAACCTTTGCAGCGGCCGTTTTATCCCACGGGACTTTTCTCGTAAGGTGGCAACAAAGTCCCCGTGCGAGGGCGAACCTGCACCATTTCCGGTATGGACAATTCGGAATGATTGCAATGATCCGTTTGATGTTTCCCTTTTTCATTTCCAACATTGTCTTTTCCCAAAAGTCGTTATGGAGGTAAGGTCTTTTCGCAGAAGTTTTCGGACCATGTTGTAGAGCGTCGATTGCAGCACCAGGTGCATTAAGATAAACCCAATTGCTTTTTGTCCAATCAGACAACGTCAAAGCGTTGACAAATGTTCCGTCGACTTGTTCACCGTATACGGTTTTTGCAATGATCTTTGACTCGGGATTCCAGCACGGATCAAGATCAATTTCGCCACAAAATTTGGTGATCAGATTCACCAGATATTGGGGCGTATTATACTCGTTTTCGGATCTTCCAAATCCAGTAGATATCGGAATATTCGGTCGTTTGGTAGTCTCCGAATCATCTTCGTCTGAGGTGTCTTGAGTAACCTCTTTTCGCTTTCTTAATCGGGAACTCCAATCTACTTCGTTCGTATCCCTTTCATTTTCGATCACATCTTCAATCTCTGTATCTTCATCTGTATCTTCATCTATCTCTTCATCTATCTCTGTGCGAGTGGTATCGTCCAACTGGAGACCGGGTTCGCCCGAAAGGTCAATGGCGGAATCGGGTGGTAGGTCTTCAAATATTTCATCCATTTTGACCGCAATGACCATTTGACGAGAGCCAAAGTATTGAACCGCCTTTCTCCATATCTCAACATGAGTCAAATTTCGCTCTTTGTGAAGTTTATCCAACATGAGATAAAGCCCGATAGCGCAGGGCATTTCGTCCCGACCGAGTGTTTTCCCCATTTGAATAATAATTCGTCCGGCGCGGGAAAAGTTGTAACCGGCCGCTCTCGAAAGTTTCCATCTCGCTTTCAAATAATCGTCCGCTGCAGGATACGAAACCTTGTATAATTTCGCATCCAGTATGTGATGCAAAGCAATGCAGGTCTTGAAGAACCCGTCTCCGACATCAGGATTGATAATGAAATAAGATGGGTCGATGTTTGCTTCATGAATGGCGAGAGCCATTTTGTTGAAGAGTTCTTATGTTTGGACATTCTTGTGGAAATCGGTGGTTCCAAAGGAATGTAGTCGGCGATATTACGTAAACGCGCTTTGACAGGGGGGAGGCGTCATTTATTTTTCCGTCTTTTTCCAAACTGAACATTCTTGTTCTCCGATTGGTGACAACGTGTAAAAGTCGTATAACTTATTTCACGTTGTCACCTTTCGGAGAACAACTAGGTGCCATTTGAATCGTTGAAACAATTCGGGACTTGCTTGATAGAGATGGAGGTTATGGTAATTATACAACGCTGACTACATCCCCGATTGCCAAGGTAACATTCTCATGATATGTACTGAGAAGTCTAACTCGTTGACTTGGAGCCGGAGACGCATGTACGGTGTGCACTCGAAGTATGGAGTCGGTTCCCGTAAAACTCAAAGCGGCCCCACTTCCTTCGGATTTGTCTTCAAAACCGTAAGAAAACGAGAAATTTGCGGTATCATAGTCTTTGAATGAAATGTCCATATCAGCAAGTTGCTCAAAGTCGTTGTTGCTCAGTTGGGAAACAAGAAGCGTTTGACGATCATAAGGCCCGTGAGTAAAACCAGTTAGACCGCTTGGAATTGTCGCATTTGGTCCTAATTGGAGCCGCCATTCTCTTAGATTTTGAGATGAGAATGATTGTGACTTGTCCTTAGTTTGATCTGCAAGCACATCATCGTCTATAAATGACATTTCCAATCCGATAAGGGATCTGACGCCAGACATATGCAGGTTAAAAGTATTTCTCAAGCCACCGCTACATGCGTTTTCCGTTTGAGTTGCGCGAACATAATCATAGTAGATACTCTTCCCATCAGCAATTGCTCTTGTAGCATTGACAACGATCGACGGAGGTGGGGTACGTAAGGCACCAAGCAACGAATGTTGCTGATTTGAAGTTCATCAACTACTCCAGCACTTGTGAAAACTGTATTGGGATCTGCAAGTACCAACTCGATGGTCATGGCCTGATTCGGGAGTGCCCAGACCGGCAGAAAATGATCGTTTGTTGGATGAAAGAATCCGACCCATGGGTGCATGCTAACGCTGGCTGTAGCAGTTCCGCTGAACATATCAGTGGAACCATAACCAGTCAGATTTCCAAGTAGTTGTTTATGGCCTTTACTCATATTTCTGTACGTTTGTACAAGGTACGCAGGATAATTCGGGATCTGAACCACTGTTTCGTTACCTGCTTTAACTGTGAGCGATTGTATGATAGATTCGATACCAAGTTTGGTATTAACGATTCCAGACCCAGATACAGGAGCATTATTCTTCAAAGCCGTGACGTCCATCGAAAGAATCAACTTTTGTAAAATGAACGAGACAGAATTGGAATCGCATTGGATTCTAATAGGTGTCAACTGACGCGTTTTCGTAGAATACACATTTTGACCCGAAGGCGAAAAAGTAGCCACTCCTTCCCCTCGTGGGTCGCTGTACGGGCGGGAGAAAGTTTTCGTAGCAAACAGCCAGTTGTTAGGTACAGACATGTTTACTAATAAGTACAAAAAAAAAATTAGCCATAAATTCCACCGTAATCGTCGTAGCCATCATCGTCGTAGTCAGTGTCAAACTCAACATATTCCGTTTCTTGACTTGGTTTTGACCGAATTGCAGTCGGTTCATTATGTGGAACTTTGATTGAACGTGCCCGTTTAGCGGTTTGTGATGTTTGCGGCTTTAATTTAGCCTTTTCCTCTTTCGCCAATTTCTTTGCGAGTTTCTCCTTTTCAAGAAGTTGTTTCGCTTCTTGGATTTTTCTATCTTCGCTTTCCTTTTTCTTCATAGCGGACAATTCTTGCAAGTTTTTTTTCCGTGTGGCAACGGCTTTCTTTAAAGCCGCTTCCTGTGCGGGTGTTCTTTGCTTTTTAGGTTTTGACTCTGGCTTTGGTGAAGGTGGTCGAATCTCCGGTATAGAATCTTGTACAGATTCTTGTACCGTTTCAGTATTGGCAGGAGAGTCGGGAGAGGCACTCGAATGATTTGGATCTTCGCTCATTTAACACGAGTTTTTATAAAGAAAACAAAATATTTAAGAGGAACATAGGTGCGGTCAAAGATCATCTGCATCGTCAAGAATCGCAAATCTGACACTTAAAGGAGAATTCAATGATACTTCTGTTCCGGTAAGGGAATTGATAAGATGAAACTCGACTTGAGATATGGTCTGTCCAACGGGAAGAAACTCGCCTGAATTCTCATATTGTACAATGTCCCCAAAACTATCAGGTACGATGCTGCAACAGATTGATTGAGCGCTGTCGTTATAATCTGTCAGGTACTGGGTGCCTTTGCATTGAATGTTGGAAGTCAAAATGACAGGATATGAACCGCTTAAATTGACAGGATTCTTCATCTCGTGAGAGGAACCGAATCCAATATCCGCTCGACGGGACATTCCCATAAGAATATAGGCTGTTGACCCACGATTGCCAGGAAGTATCTTGAAAGGAACAGAGTTGCTATTTACCGTTAACTTGCGTCTAACACCATCGAATGTAGCAGAGTATACATTAGAGCCAGCCGCGCTATTCATAGCGGTGGAAACAGCGTTTGGGAAGTCAACGATCGAGTAATTACCATTTGGGATCTTTGCGTACAAGATGGTATCCGAACCTTGTTGGGCAAATGCGATAGTGTCATTCACGTTACTTTCAACCAGGTCCCAATCTTGAAGGAAAGAGACGCTCAGTATTTTGAAAGCCTCAATCCGTCTAGGTTGGATGTTGTATGTACGTTGGGAGACACTAGAGTATAAAATTTCTGAATACATTTAGTAATAAGGTAAGAGAATTAATGTCTTACAAACCGAAACCGATCTTCCCAAAGAAAAACGAGGTTCGAAACAAAATCATTCCGATCGACATTCAGGCTCCTCCCATATGTAGTACACTTATCGCACCGCGCAAAAGTGGGAAATCCGCTCTTGTATGTGGATTGATCGAAGACGTTTATGCAAAAGTGTTTGACAGAGTGATAATAATGTCAGATACAGTCTTGTACGATAAGAGCATAAAACAATTGGCACAGAGCACTAAGCACAGGAACATCTTTTTCACAGACGAAGTGAATAATACAATGATAGCCGAGATTCTGGAAGATCAAAAGTTGCTGGCGGAAAGCGGAAAGTCCTTGCTGTTGTATATCGACGATGCTGGTGACAATGCTCAAGGGAAGGAGTTGAACAAAGAGTTGTCTAAACTTTATACGAAAGGACGCCACTTTCTCTGCTCCACCATGGTGTGTATCCAATCCGTGAGCGGTCAACTGACTCGAAAGATGAAGAACAACACAACAGAATTCATAATCTTTAAGAATAATTCGGAGGATATGGAATCTTTGGCGAAATTATTGACAAGTGCGTTCAAGACAAAAAAAGAAGTTCTATCATATCTAACGGAAAGCACAAAGGAGCCGTATTCGTTTGCATATGTGAATTTGGCAGCGGATGATGCGCGAACGATGTACCGTTATTGCGACAAAGACGGGTTTCACGACTTTTTTTAAATTGTTGGTTTTTGAATAGAAATGTTCTATATACCAGAAATTGTAACAAAGGAAACGTATGACACCGTATTAGCAGCGCTTTCGCAAGATCGCCTTTGGTTAGACGTTAACGAAAACTCCAGAAAAGAAATACTCGAATCCTTACAGAAGGAAATGGCAGAAGCATTGGTACAGAAGATTTTAGACGACCAGGTAAAACCAAAAGTCACTAGGCGGAAAAAGACCGCTTGAAGATTTCCAAGATTTCCGTCCTGAATAAGACGAAAAACTATTCTACGAGTTGAGCAACAAAGACTTCCGCGCGACCAAACTCCTGAGCCATTTTATTATTTTGGGTTGTGCATTTTCAGGCTTTTTCGAATCTTTGCCTATATAGCATGACCTCTTTACTGAGCGCTCATGCCCGAGAAAAAGATTCAGGTGTTTTATCAATTTTTACCGAACAATGACAAAAATGACCAGAAACTGATTAAATTTCTGGTCAATAAGCAAAGATCAATGACTCCGCCGTTAACCCCGGAGCAAGAAGGGAAACTGAAAGCATTATTCTATGAAGGACGAAACTTCTATGGACGCGATCGTCTATATTTCATGTTGCGGAAAGATCCGCAAAATAACATATCTCGAAGACAAGTAATGAACTGGCTATCGAGACAACCGATAGCACAGAAATTCAGGAGACCCGTTCGAGCAACTGGTGTACGTGCTATCGTTTCTACCTCATTAGGATCATTTCAATGTGATACAATGGATATGTCAAGCGATTCTTACAGAGGGTTTAGTGCGGTTTTCAGTATGATTGACACATTTTCAAGAAAACTCTACGGAAAAGCGATAAAGGGAAAGACAGCAGCGGAATGCACAAGGGCACTACGCGAGATTATAAGGGAGAATCCCAATATGACATTCACGCGTTTAGTAAGTGACAATGGGGGCAAATTTGCAAACGTGTTTGACCAGTACTTAGAAAGTATCAATGTTCCACATTTTACAACACGTCCACATCAGCCATGGTCGAATGGAATAATCGAGCGATCTAATGCATCTGTTCGTAAACAGATCTCCATATTCATGGAAACAACAGGGAACAAGGACTGGGTAACGGCACTGCCCGGATTGATAGATTCGTTGAATTCCACTTTCAATTCGACTACGCGCAAATCACCGGATGAAATAGAGGAATCTGCTCCAGATTCTGCGACTCATTCAGAAGCGGGTGGTAATATTTTGCGTCGTGCGGCAAAAAGTGTGAATGTTCGTGGAGCAACAACTTTGAAGGTTGGAGAAACGGTGAGAAAGGTGTTTCCATATTCTGGAACAAACATTAAGAAACCAAGCAGGACAGGATACTTTGCACCGGAACTATACACAATCGCAGGTGTGGTGGCATCACCATATGAAAATCAATTACCATCCTACAAACTTAAAAGTCAAGATGGGACGATCGAGAAAGGACTTTTTGCAAGATCGCAATTATTGCTTGTACCTACACCTGACCAGCGTATCGAACGCCCACGGACTGTAGAGAATCTTGAACCACCGGATGATGGACAGGGTGAAGAGGACGAGGAAGAGGAAGCGATTCAACCCCCTCCCAGGCGGTCGGGGAGATTAAACAAAGACGTAGAATATGAAGTGGAATATATTGCAGATAAACGAACAAGAAAAGTAGGCAAAAGGACTATAGTCGAATATTTAGTAAAATATCGTAATTATCCATTAAGTCAATCGACATGGGAGCCAAGATCTAATATCAATGCTCCGGGTCTGCTGCGGGAGTTTGAGAGGAACCGGCAGTAGGTTTCGGAACAGCATCACTGCAGTAGTTCAGATTTTCCTCCTCATTGTGGTGGCAATTGTCTGCTAGGAAAATGGAAGAGGCTCGCGAGATACCATTTTTACGGAGATGGGTGATCTGTACCTTGCGACAAAGACGAATCCCATGTTTTTGACCGCATGCCTTTTCCATAATCGCTTGAATGTGCTCTCGAAATGTATCCATCTTGAACTCCTTGCCTTTTGCATCCAGGAAGATCAAATTCCCTTCTTTGCGGAACTTTTGAATAAATCGAAGTAAAATGTCACAGACGTATTTAGGATCCACATCCACAATATCGCTGTGCGGCGGAGCGGTAAAGAATTGCAAATACGACCCGTTCAGATCTTTATCCTCGACTCCGTCAATTTTCGCATGTTTTCTTTTCTTGATGCGATCAGCCTTTCGATCATTCCATAAGATTGACGCATTTCCTTCCTTTTTCGGGTCCCTTTGATCAAAGATGAAAATATTGTCTTTATTCCAATCTACGCCATCCCGATTGAATATTTTCAAGTTTGCAAAGTTCGCGCGAACATTGTAAAAATAACAAACGAAAAGCCCAATGATTCCATCTTGCAAGGACTGAATCTGGTAAAGACTCGGAGTGTTCATATCGAAGATTTCCATAAGATTATCTTCATAATACTTCTTCATTGCCTTCATAACGGATTGCCAGTCTTCAATCCAAATTTCGGGTTGAATTCCTTGACGTCTCTTTGCATTATATTCGTTGTTCAATCTGTGAGATTCGTCCGCCAAAGGCTTTCTCGTCTTATCGAATAACTCGGGGGTTATATTCAATCTTTCATATCCGGCGTTTTTGAAGATCCGGTGGACTTTACCTATGGCATCGGACATGGATTTATTCGAGATCCCGTTCGGAGTGCGAGCAGAGATTTTGGATTTATTGATCAGACTTTTAACTTCATTCAAAGCGGATAATCGTTCAATCGAGTCAAATACTCCATGTTGCTGAAATCGTTTAACTTCTCTAGAAGTATTCGCAAAATCAGCCTTATTACGATCCAGAAATTGAGACAAATCGGCGGTTTTCAATAGAAATTCGGACATATTTAATAGGTTTCCTTTTGAAATAAGGAAAGAAAAAAGTTAGGAACCTATAGTGCGGTCGCTTTTATGTGAATTAGGTTATTATCAATAATGAAAATCCGATGACGTCAGGAGTTATTATCGAGTGTAAGTTGTTATCGGATTTGGTCCTGGTCCCGCACCAAGATTTGTTTCGAGATGGATGACCGCTGCTCATGCGTTCAGGGGTTGCTTCGAGATGGATGACCGCTAATCCGTATGCTCTATCGAGAAGCATTCTTCCTCTATAAATAAAGTCAAACTAACGGAAACTTTTGGCCTCAAACATTCAGATCTCCTAACCGCCAATCGAAACTCCCAATCAAAATGGATTTTACAAGCAATCTACTCGCATTGATGGCAATGGCGCAAATCGGACACACGTTGAGCAGTCAATTCAAAAAAATTCTTGTTCCAAGCCCTTTTTTCCCCTCTGCCCGAAAAGTCTATCATGAATTTTACGAAATACGCAAGGGGATTTATTGCGAAGATCATCAATGCCTTGCTTACAACACCGTGAACGCCAACGACGGATGGAAACATCTCAACCTTAAGATCGTTGCTGGTTCTCTCGGCATAGGTCGTACGAAGCCATTCTTTGAATACGGTGGAGAAACGTGGACAGAATTTCATCAGTTTAACCGAGGCGATCGAGTGGATGCACATGTGTGGTTAGAGGACGAGAACGGGCGAGTGTATGATATTGTGACCATGCATATGTGCGGTGTTGCCTCCGTGAGGGGAAAGGAGTTCCGTCTTCAACCGTACAGGATTATAGATGGAATGTCAAAGCAAAAACTATGCGCGCTTGGATTGCATTATGTACCAAGCACCGATGCGATTCAATCCCTTATCCTTGAAAAGATGAAGAGCATCGTTGTAAACTAGTGATTAAGAAGCGACTGTATTTCCCAATTTGTAAATATTGTTTTGAATAAGATATGGTCTTCATTGGATTGATGAAGGGGGTGGTGGGGAGGCGTCATTTATTTTTCCTTTTTTTTCCAAGAGGAACGGAGAGAAACGTGTGAGGAGCATTGTTGTTCTCCGAAAGGTGACAACGTGTAAAAGTCGTATAACTTATTTCACTTTGTCACCGATCGGAGAACAACTGGGTAGAATGTGACTGTAGCAGAAACGAAAGAGTGAATGGAGGGGTGGGTGGGGAGGCGTCATTTATTTTCCCTCTTTTTTCCAAGAGGAACGAAGAGAAACGTGTGAGAAGCATTCTTGTTCTCCGAAAGGTGACAACGTGTAAAAGTCGTATAACTTATTTCACTTTGTCACCAATCGGAGAACAACTAGGTAGATTTGACGTTAACAAAAACGAATAAGTGAATGAAGAGGTGGATGTAGAGGGACGATGTGAAGAAAGTGTCTACGGCTGTGGACGGAGGCGAAGGTTAAGTTAAAGAGGTTTGAGAGGAATGGCGGCGGTCATGAGCGGAATGGAGGGAACGCGTGACGGATTGACGGTTGACAGGACAGCGGCGGAATGACAGAAGATGACGCAATGTGACTCGAAATGAATGGAGAGAAGTCATGTGCCGTCACGTGATCCGATGTCGTGAAGGGAGATGTTTAAATGTTGAATAAGATGATATGTGACAATTCTTTTACTATGGGATCCGGCAGAGCAGTTTCGAACTATGGGTCAGTCCATTCTCTACTATGGGAGTCTTCTTTTTTACTATAGGATCTGTCACAGTCCACCCTATGGTATATACCATAGGGTGGACTGTGACAGTTACTTGCTACCCAAAGCTTGTTCATGCGCTCAAAGCCTACTCTTCGACTTTGTCTTCGCGAATGCCCCAAACCAAGTCCAGCCTTGGGGATCGCAGTGAGACACTGAGAGGTTTACGTCAATGGCTCAACAGTCACCCGCTCCACATTACTGGCATGCGAGTTGAAGTGCGAGTTCAGTGCGCCAGGTTGGAATCAGCGGAACAGATGGTTTTGAATCTCCATTTGGACCAGATCGAGACCATTTTCCAGCACATGGGCGCAAACTCCTTGAAGCTTGTGCCGGTGGAAGAGTACTACAGTCTCATCAATGGCATCATGGACGCTGCCACCAGAGTTCTATTCAGAGGAGATCGCAATAGACAGACTACTGTGACAGACTGTCAGCGCTTCCGAGATGTTCTCAACTCTTTTGGTTTCAATCCCGGATGGTTCAAAGGCATTGCACCCGTCATTGATCCTGCTCGTGCTTGGTGGGGTCATGGGGATGGGGAAGTGCCTGATGCTGCTCCCATTGGCAATATCCGTGAACTCTTCCATCAGCATCGTGATCAGCTTCAATGTCCCAACTGTGGAGGCTCAGCTTTTCATAGCATTGGCGGTCAGCATCGTTTCCGTCTCCGCTGCGCCAGGTACCCTGAGTGCCGTACGACTTTTGGACAGAACCAAGTCCGTGACATGCTTGCGGAAGTCCTTTAGTACTGTTGAATGTCGTTGATAACTTTACACCAAAACCCTTTTCTGAATGTGCGCTTTTCCAATGTACTCTAAATCAATAAATGCAATACTACTTTCCACCATTTTAAATGTTCCATGACAGAGACAGTTTGGCTGAATTTAATAAGTGATCTGGGAAATCTCTAACCCCAACCCTCTCACTCTGCGTACCCTGCAAGCAAGCCCAGGTCACGTGCTCTAACCTGCATGGACAAACTGTAGAACACTGCTTTAACCGGAAAATGTTCAACAGTTTTGGTAAATGACATTCCGCAACGGTCCTACAAACAGTCTACGATGCACAGCGGAATCACAAAATATTTACTGGAGAACACAGCCAAACCCCTTTGCCTGCACATACGTACTCGTGTCTTTTGTTAGGAGATCTTGGGGGTCACTACTTGAGAATTGAAAAGGGGCCCTGTTCTTCAGCCAAAAGCAAGGTTACACAAGATTTGCTACCACATCAGCTATGCAAACCATAGGCTACAATCAACTTTCATTAAGTGCTCTACACTGGATAGTCAGCCAGATGTTGAGATATCACCACATTTTCCAACTTTTTACCCCCCGTCGCGTAAAAATTTCGTTTTTCTAAGTTTCTGAAGCCGTTTCCGCACGGATTGCCAATCCGAGAGTACTTCAATTAGAGAATATGATATGGGGCCAACTTTTCAATTAGGACGCCAACTCCGGATCGGCACTATTAGAATCCCAATTTGCACAAGTCCTATAACGTATATATAACATATATGTCCCCTTTATGGAAACCCCCCCCCCTATTGGCACCCCTGCCGCCGCCCGTACCCGCACCACCGCCCATATGACCCATCACTTGCCCTTGCACACCTAGTCCTCCCCGACTTGCTTAGGTGCCCAACACCCCCCGCAACTACATCCCTCAGAGTCAAAAATTCGAACTGTAGAACACACCCAAAAGCCAGAAAACCCGAAAATTTCTAAGTCCCTAGGGTTCCAGGCAACCCAATAATAAAACCCAACCCAGGGGGTCTTGTAACCCTAACCCTAACCCTAACCCTAACCCTAAGTCCCTAGGGTTCCAGGCAACCCAATAATAAAACCCAACCCAGGGGGTCTTGTAACCCTAATCCTAACCCTAACCCTAACCCTAACCCCTAACCCTAACCCTAACCCTAACCCTAACCCTAACCCTAACCCTAACCCTAACCCTAACCCTAACCCTAACCCTAACCCCCTAACCCCTAACCCCTAACCCTAACCCTAACCCTAACCCTAACCCTAACCCTAACCCTAACCCTAAGTTTTTTCGCTTCTTGGATCTTTCTATCTTCGTTTTCCTTTTTCTTCATAGCGGACAATTCTTGCAAGTTTTTTTTCCGTGTGGCGACGGCTTTCTTTAAAGCCGCTTCCTGTGCGGGTGTTCTTTGTTTTTTAGGTTTTGACTCTGGCTTCGGTGAAGGGGGTCGAATCTCCGGTATTGAATCTTGTACAGATTCTTGTACCGTGTCAGTATTGGCAGGAGAATCGGCAGAGGCACTCGAATGATTTGGATCTTCGCTCATTTAACACGAGTTTTAATAAAGAAAACAAAATATTAAAGAGGAAAATAGGTGCGGTCAAAGATCATCTGCATCGTCAAGAATCGCAAATCTGACACTTAAAGGAGAATTCAATGATACTTCTGTTCCGGTAAGGGAATTGATAAGATGAAACTCGACTTGAGATATGGTCTGTCCAACGGGAAGAAACTCGCCTGAATTCTCATATTGTACAATGTCCCCAAAACTATCAGGTACGATGCTGCAACAGATTGATTGAGCGCTGTCGTTATAATCTGTCAGGTACTGGGTGCCTTTGCATTGAATGTTGGAAGTCAAAATGACAGGATATGAACCGCTTAAATTGACAGGATTCTTCATCTCGTGAGAGGAACCGAATCCAATATCCGCTCGACGGGACATTCCCATAAGAATATAGGCTGTTGACCCACGATTGCCAGGAAGTATCTTGAAAGGAACAGAGTTGCTATTTACCGTTAACTTGCGTCTCACACCATCGAATGTAGCAGAGTATACATTAGAGCCAGCCGCGCTATTCATAGCGGTGGAAACAGCGTTTGGGAAGTCAACGATCGAGTAATTACCATTTGGGATCTTTGCGTACAAGATGGTATCCGAACCTTGTTGGGCAAATGCGATAGTGTCATTCACGTTACTTTCAACCAGGTCCCAATCTTGAAGGAAAGAGACGCTCAGTATTTTGAAAGCCTCAATCCGTCTAGGTTGGATGTTGTATGTACGTTGGGAGACACTAGAGTATAAAATTTCTGAATACATTAAGTAATAAGGTAAGAGAATTAATGTCTTACAAACCGAAACCGATCTTCCCAAAGAAAAACGAGGTTCGAAACAAAATCATTCCGATCGACATTCAGGCTCCTCCCATATGTAGTACACTTATCGCACCGCGCAAAAGTGGGAAATCCGCTCTTGTATGTGGATTGATCGAAGACGTTTATGCAAAAGTGTTTGACAGAGTGATAATAATGTCAGATACAGTCTTGTACGATAAGAGCATAAAACAATTGGCACAGAGCACTAAGCACAGGAACATCTTTTTCACAGACGAAGTGAATAATACAATGATAGCCGAGATTTTGGAAGATCAAAAGTTGCTGGCGGAAAGCGGAAAGTCCTTGCTGTTGTATATCGACGATGCTGGTGACAATGCTCAAGGGAAGGAGTTGAACAAAGAGTTGTCTAAACTTTATACGAAAGGACGCCACTTTCTCTGCTCCACCATGGTGTGTATCCAATCCGTGAGCGGTCAACTGACTCGAAAGATGAAGAACAACACAACAGAATTCATAATCTTTAAGAATAATTCGGAGGATATGGAATCTTTGGCGAAATTATTGACAAGTGCGTTCAAGACAAAAAAAGAAGTTCTATCGTATCTAACGGAAAGCACAAAGGAGCCGTATTCGTTTGCATATGTGAATTTGGCAGCGGATGATGCGCGAACGATGTACCGGTATTGCGACAAAGACGGGTTTCACGACTTTTTTTAAATTGTTGGTTTTTGAATAGAAATGTTCTATATACCAGAAATTGTAACAAAGGAAACGTATGACACCGTATTAGCAGCGCTTTCGCAAGATCGCCTTTGGTTAGACGTTAACGAAAACTCCAGAAAAGAAATACTCGAATCCTTACAGAAGGAAATGGCAGAAGCATTGGTACAGAAGATTTTAGACGACCAGGTAAAACCAAAAGTCACTAGGCGGAAAAAGACCGCTTGAAGATTTCCAAGATTTCCGTCCTGAATAAGACGAAAAACTATTCTACGAGTTGAGCAACAAAGACTTCCGCGCGACCAAACTCCTGAGCCATTTTATTATTTTGGGTTGTGCATTTTCAGGCTTTTTCGAATCTTTGCCTATATAGCATGACCTCTTTACTGAGCGTCTCATGCCCGAGAAAAAGATTCAGGTGTTTTATCAATTTTTACCGAACAATGACAAAAATGACCAGAAACTGATTAAATTTCTGGTCAATAAGCAAAGATCAATGACTCCGCCGTTAACCCCGGAGCAAGAAGGGAAACTGAAAGCATTATTCTATGAAGGACGAAACTTCTATGGACGCGATCGTCTATATTTCATGTTGCGGAAAGATCCGCAAAATAACATATCTCGAAGACAAGTAATGAACTGGCTATCGAGACAACCGATAGCACAGAAATTCAGGAGACCCGTTCGAGCGACTGGTGTACGTGCTATCGTTTCTACCTCATTAGGATCATTTCAATGTGATACAATGGATATGTCAAGCGATTCTTACAGAGGGTTTAGTGCGGTTTTCAGTATGATTGACACATTTTCAAGAAAACTCTACGGAAAAGCGATAAAGGGAAAGACAGCAGCGGAATGCACAAGGGCACTACGCGAGATTATAAGGGAGAATCCCAATATGACATTCACGCGTTTAGTAAGTGACAATGGGGGCGAATTTGCAAACGTGTTTGACCAGTACTTAGAAAGTATCAATGTTCCACATTTTACAACACGTCCACATCAGCCATGGTCGAATGGAATAATCGAGCGATCTAATGCATCTGTTCGTAAACAGATCTCCATATTCATGGAAACAACAGGGAACAAGGACTGGGTAACGGCACTGCCCGGATTGATAGATTCGTTGAATTCCACTTTCAATTCGACTACGCGCAAATCACCGGATGAAATAGAGGAATCTGCTCCAGATTCTGCGACTCATTCAGAAGCGGGTGGTAATATTTTGCGTCGTGCGGCAAAAAGTGTGAATGTTCGTGGAGCAACAACTTTGAAGGTTGGAGAAACGGTGAGAAAGGTGTTTCCATATTCTGGAACAAACATTAAGAAACCAAGCAGGACAGGATACTTTGCACCGGAACTATACACAATCGCAGGTGTGGTGGCATCACCATATGAAAATCAATTACCATCCTACAAACTTAAAAGTCAAGATGGGACGATCGAGAAAGGACTTTTTGCAAGATCGCAATTATTGCTTGTACCTACACCTTACCAGCGTATCGAACGCCCACGGACTGTAGAGAATCTTGAACCACCGGATGATGGACAGGGTGAAGAGGACGAGGAAGAGGAAGCGATTCAACCCCCTCCCAGGCGGTCGGGGAGATTAAACAAAGACGTAGAATATGAAGTGGAATATATTGCAGATAAACGAACAAGAAAAGTAGGCAAAAGGACTATAGTCGAATATTTAGTAAAATATCGTAATTATCCATTAAGTCAATCGACATGGGAGCCAAGATCTAATATCAATGCTCCGGGTCTGCCTGCGGGAGTTTGAGAGGAACCGGCAGTAGGTTTCGGAACAGCATCACTGCAGTAGTTCAGATTTTCCTCCTCATTGTGGTGGCAATTGTCTGCTAGGAAAATGGAAGAGGCTCGCGAGATACCATTTTTACGGAGATGGGTGATCTGTACCTTGCGACAAAGACGAATCCCATGTTTTTGACCGCATGCCTTTTCCATAATCGCTTGAATGTGCTCTCGAAATGTATCCATCTTGAACTCCTTGCCTTTTGCATCCAGGAAGATCAGATTCCCTTCTTTGCGGAACTTTTGAATAAATCGAAGTAAAATGTCACAGACGTATTTAGGATCCACATCCACAATATCGCTGTGCGGCGGAGCGGTAAAGAACTGCAAATACGACCCGTTCAGATCTTTATCCTCGACTCCGTCAATTTTCGCAAGTTTTCTTTTCTTGATGCGATCAGCCTTTCGATCATTCCATAAGATTGACGCATTTCCTTCCTTTTTCGGGTCCCTTTGATCAAAGATGAAAATATTGTCTTTATTCCAATCTACGCCATCCCGATTGAATATTTTCAAGTTTGCAAAGTTCGCGCGAACATTGTAAAAATAACAAACGAAAAGCCCAATGATTCCATCTTGCAAGGACTGAATCTGGTAAAGACTCGGAGTGTTCATATCGAAGATTTCCATAAGATTATCTTCATAATACTTCTTCATTGCCTTCATAACGGATTGCCAGTCTTCTTTTCAAATTTCGGGTTGAATTCCTTGACGTCTCCTCGCATTATATTCGTTGTTCAATCTGTGAGATTCGTCCGCCAAAGGCTTTCTCGTCTTATCGAATAACTCGGGGCTTATATTCAATCTTTCATATCCCGCGTTTTTGAAGATCCGGTGGACTTTACCTATGGCATCGGACATGGATTTATTCGAGATCCCGTTCGGAGTGCGAGCAGAGATTTTGGATTTATTGATCAGACTTTTAACTTCATTCAAAGCGGATAATCGTTCAATCGAGTCAAATACTCCATGTTGCTGAAATCGTTTAACTTCTCTAGAAGTATTCGCAAAATCAGCCTTATTACGATCCAGAAATTGAGACAAATCGGCGGTTTTCAATAGAAATTCGGACATATTTAATAGGTTTCCTTTTGAAATAAGGAAAGAATAAATTTAGGAACCTATAGTGCGGTCACTTTTATGTGAATTAGGTTAATATCGATAATGAAAATCCGATGATGTCAGGAGTTATTATCGAGTGTAAGTTGTTATCGGATTTGGTTCTGGTCCCGCACCAAGATTTGTTTTGAGATGGATGACCGCTGCTCATGTGGTATACCCTCATTTCTTGGCAGTGATTATCGAATGCAAGTTGTTATCGGATTTGGTTCCGGTCCCACACCAAGATTCATATAAAAGCGACAAGGTGCAGATTGGAGACGTGAGCATTAAACATGTCTTTTTTAAGTAAACCGCTTGTCAAAAGGTTAATGGCAGTTTCGCACCGCGAAAAGATCTCCGACGAGGACTTCATAACTCGCTGCCGATTCATCACTGGTACGATAATGGGTTCAGGTTGGGAATGCAAAGAATACGAACGGGACTTTTGCAGATTCAATTCCATCATGAAACCTGTCTGGCGAAAACTATACGACCGTTGGATTGAAAACGAGAAAAAGGAATGGGCTTGCTTTGACAAGCCGGGAAAATTAGAGTTTGTCAAGAATAACGCTGTCACAGAGAGTATCTCCATGCCCAACGAGTGGGCTTCCGGCAGCGGAATGGATGATGAAAATAAGAAACAGATGGCGGGGGGTGAGACAGTGCAGCAAAAGTTGTTCGACATGCGTGAAGAGATAGAAGAGATTTGCGATTGAGTTTATTAGATCTTGCAAATAATGTTGTAGTGTTGTGAATAAGATATGGTCTTCATTGCATTGTTGAAGGGGGTGGTGGGGAGGCGTCATTTATTTTCCCTTTTTTTTCCAAGAGGAACGGAGAGAAACGTGTGAGGAGCATTGTTGTTCTCCGAAAGGTGACAACGTGTAAAAGTCGTATAACTTATTTCACTTTGTCACCGATCGGAGAACAAGTGGGTAGAATGTGACTGTAGCAGAAACGAAAGAGTGAATGGAGGGGTGGGTGGGGAGGCGTCATTTATTTTCCCTCTTTTTTCCAAGAGGAACGAAGAGAAACGTGTGAGAAGCATTGTTGTTCTCCGAAAGGTGACAACGTGTAAAAGTCGTATAACTTATTTCACGTTGTCACCAATCGGAGAACAACTAGGTAGAGTTGACGTTAACAAAAACGAATAAGTGAATGTAGAGGTGGATGTAGAGGGACGATGTGAAGAAAGTGTCTACGGCTGTGGACGGAGGCGAAGGTTAAGTTAAAGAGGTTTGAGAGGAATGGCGGCGGTCATGAGCGGAATGGAGGGAACGCGTGACGGATTGACGGTTGACAGGACAGCGGCGGAATGACAGAAGATGACGCAATGTGACTCGAAATGAATGGAGAGAAGTCATGTGCCGTCACGTGATCCGATGTCATGGAGGGGAATGTTTAAAAGTTGAATAAGGTGATATGTGACAATTCTTTTACTATGGGATCCGGCAGAGCAGTTTCGAACTATGGGTCAGTCCATTCTATACTATGGGAGTCTTCTTTTTTACTATAGGATCTGTCACAGTCCACCCTATGGTATATACCATAGGGTGGACTGTGACAATTGCATTGCGTGGCGTGGAAAGGGAAAAAGGGACAACCGCTATCGTTACTGGAATGCATCGGGAAAGTTGCAGACAAGTCATAGTTATGCGGAAAAGGAATGGGCACTCAATGCCATTCTGATGGAATATTGGAATGATTGGTTCCTTTGGGTTGAGCTGAACGAGGAGGGACGACGGGTCTTTGGTGATCAAATGGAACGCTTTGCTGAAGGAGCAGTGGAGTCACCAGAGAAGGACAACATTTAGTTAGCATACAATGTGGGATCTTCCTTTAAAATGTATTAGTTTTATGTGTGACAAAAAAAAGTTTGGATTCATGCGGATTTTTGGCTAGAGGTGCTGGCCTGAGAAACTGGAGAACACAGTCTGCTTGACTTTCAGAAATTTCCAAAGTCCCCAAAGTCCCCAAGAGTGTGTGCAGAAATTTGCTAAGTCCCCAGGAGTGTTTTCTCCAGTTCCTCTGATATGTTTTCTTAAATTGTGCAAAGTCCTTCACATACGTCTATAGGTCATATGTGTAATATCACTAAGACCCTAATGCCAGTTGGCACTTTTCTCAAGTTACATGCAAAATGGGTTCCCAGATTTTTGCCTATCTCCTTGATTTGCATTTCAATACATTCCCCATTATCAGTCAAACACTCATCCGCAAGTCCTTCACATACGTCTATAGGTCATATGTGTAATATCACTAAGTCGGAAATGCAAGTTGGCACTTTTCTCAAGTTACGTGCAAAATGGGTTCCCACATCTTTGCCTGTCTCCCTGATTGGCATTCCCACACATTCCCAATTATTGCTCAGATCCCTGTACATAAGTCTCTCGTATATGCTGATAAGTCCAACTTATTCTATTACTAAGTGGAAATCACACACCAATTAGAAAGCTACTTGATGGATTCGCGTTAGGGTCCTCTGATCTTAATAAGAAATGTAGATAGGTTTGTTTCGGAGACCTGGACAGAAATTTGGGAACCCATTTTGCGTGTAACTTCAATAAAGTCAGATTTCCGCCAGATGTACTAAGTAAAAAACTTTGTTTTGCTTTTTTCTCAAGTTACGCGCAAAATGGGTTCCCAAATTTCTGTCCCGGGGCTCGAAATCCCTCAAACTACATCTTTAGTTATTGGCTGAACCTTGTTTGAGAGGGTCACCTCAAAACCCTGAACCCAGCACCCCCTTTGTAACCCTTACCCTAACCCTAACCCTAACCCTAACCCTAACCCTAACCCTAATCCTAACCCTAACCCTAACCCTAACCCTAACCCTAACCCTAACCCTAACCCTAACCCTAACCCTAACCCTAACCCTAACCCTAACCCTAAACCCTAACCCTAACCCTAACCCGGGCGACAGGCAGGACATTCAGTGTCCTGAAAGCACTTACTGATAGGGCCCACTGAGGGCAGCCAGCTGGCGCACTGTATAAATAGGAGGAGCCAGTGGGGTTTCCTCCGAACTTAGCAATCATCAGCAGTCACATCAAACGAAGCAACTTTCAGTCGCACTCGTCTCCCCTCAACAAGCATCAGTTACACGTTTCTTCCGTCTATTCAAGATGCACGCTACCCTTGCCTTCCTCGCCCCTGTCCTCGCCGCCTTTGTCGCCAGCGGCACGTTCCCTGCTCCAGCTGCTCCATCTCCCGATGCTCCGGCGGCCGCTGCATGCACCAGCAGTGAGTTGGACTATTCTTGAGAACCGAGATCTGAAGGACATTCAAGATCTGCCGTCCCACCCAGTCTTCAAGCACAAGTACAACAGGTGAGCTGAGTTGAACAGAAAGTGGTTCGATCGGCTTCGCCGGCTTCCTGCTAACCTACTGTACCCAACAGTGCTTACGAATGTGCCAACGCTGTCAGCGCAGTTCCCTCTCCCAAAGCCGCCTTCTTTGTTTGGAACAGCATCACCAAAGAATGTTTCCCAAAAGGGACTACTCCTTTCAACCAGGAGAACTCGCAAACCCTCACCATTGCTGATCAGACAAGTGATCAAGTTAGCAAAGACCAGGAAGGTCTCTTTGCCACGGACGCCAAGCTCAAGACGGTTTGCGGCGACAAATTCCGGATTCCGTATCAGTGGGCCAACGAAGGTACTGCGTGCAGCAAAATCTGCAAGGCCAACACTTTTGTCGACGGCTGCGACTTTGCCATCACCATCGCCGGCCATGCTGGCATCACTCAAGGCCAGTGGCTGGGGGCTCGTGCCAAGTGGTAGTTGGGTGGACAGTCAAATGCGACTTTTTGTTTACAGAGCCCTTAGATGCTTCGTTCAGATCTGATTGTATTGAAGAAAAAGTGCGTTGATCCGTGAATTCTCTCCCGAATAAAGCATTTTGTAAACTACCTCCCGAATACACATATTCCAACATCATTGAGCGTCTCAGTGCTGAATTTGGCTGTCCCGCGCCCCTGCATAAGACCCAGTTGCAAGCTTCGGGCTCCTCTTGCATTTTTAACATCATTCCCGGCCCTTCTGAGCCTTCCTTGACTGAATGGCCAAACCAACGACGACCACAACCAACACACCTGACACTTTACCCCATGGTTGCACCATGGTTTCGCTACCTATATTCGGAGCTTCATCCGCAAACTCCAGTTGTGAAAGATGTAAATTGTGGAAAGCATCGGCAGAGCTAATACGGAGTACTCATGGTAGAGTGTATACCATCATCATGTGGTTGTAGCTTGGGGCTGTACCCCGCGCGGCTCTAATGGATATGATATTAAGACTCAACGAATTCCGAGTCAAACATTGTTGTGGGAGTTCAAGGACGTGGTGGGACATTGAAAACTTTGTTCGATTGGTGTTATAATCAAGTTAGAAACAAAACATTGGCTTTGTATGTGGTATGTGGTTAACGATTGTGAAAGTTACGTGAATGACTATTTTACGGACCTCCCTCTAAATATCCTGCAAGTTGCGCTATATTGAATATCACTCCCTCCGCACGAGCTGCTATTGTACATTTCGACTTACACTTCAAGTCAGCGGCCATCTCGCCTGCGTTCTTTGATTGCACATGTTGCCAAACGCACATAACCCTCGCCAACTCGTCAAACACTTGCCTTACGTTCACTTCCTCATTTACATACTGAGATTCTGATGACAAGATCAGTTTTGTCGAAATGCTACGTGGCCTAACCCTAACCCTAACCCTAAGAAAAAAGTAAGAAGCTCTTTGCAGCGGCCGCTCGACTGACAGCTTTATATATGGGCTGCCAGCGGGGCTTGCGTGGCTTCAGTGAGGCTTGGCGCCTTCTGTAATGTATCACCAAGAGCTCGGGTGGCCAGCCCGGGTCTCGGATCAAGTAGAAGTAAACAGATACAATATGAAATACAAGTGAATATGAGATATCCCCGACATCTCGTCTATGCTCTCCGGGTCTATGAGCGCGCCTTGAAAGTCTATCCGAAACTGAAAGAAGTCGTCTGGGAGTAGAGAAGTAGAAAGCTCTCTTGTTGATCAGGATCTGTGTTCTGCGTATCGTACAAAGGTTTGGGGAAAACAGGCGGGTTTTTATATGGATTTTTCTAGGCTACAGGATTTTGTCAAAGTCCAAACTCTCTACTAGTCGTCTCTAGAGGATTTAGCTATGTTGGGGACTTTTTTCTCTTTTCCTGCGGCGGTCTACGTAGTTTTTCCTTTTTCCATTCGCAATTTTGGCGCTGATACAGTCTTATCGCTAATCTTTTCTTGGGGTTTTCTGCAACGTTCGGCGTAGACGGCCGCCGGAAATTGGTTTTCTCGTTTTGCAGGTGATTTCTTTAGCGTTTCGGGCGTCGTAGGAGCTTCTGGTTGGTTGAGAGTCGGGTCGGGGGTGCTTTCATGTGTGAGATCCTCTCCTACGCCTACATTTTTCGCATGTCAGTCGTATCCGAGGACAAAATGTCGTTGTGAAGCAAGGTTTCGGTAAAGGTAGTTGTATTTGGTGATTGTCGGAGTGTCGGGAATGCGAGTGTGTCAATTTATTGTTGGGAGTTTGGACGGTATTTTGAAGTTGTCATATAAAGGTGATTTCATTCGCTCGTCGAAGATTCTAGGCGTATAATCGGCGTCGGAATATTATCGATTTCATGCGCAGTTCGAAACGCACTACTACACCACCCGCTTTTCGCGTACGGCCGCACCATTGTACTCATTGTTTGCTTTATCTTTCACTTAGATAGACTCGTGAGTTTGAGCGGGGGTGTTGGAGGTATCATCCTCGCGAGTCCCCGGTTAGGGTTCCAGTAGTTTATCTCCTCACGTGACTCCCCTCCCGCTTACGCCACGCTTCCGCATACGGGACTTCACTCTTTTCTTCCCTTTCGGACCTCGCGTCCTCTTTACACTAGAGACTTCAATACATACTTCACAGTACTACATCTCACACAACATAGAGTTCGCTCAGTCATCTGCTTCCTCTGCCGACTACTGCTAAGTGCACCTGCTCCGCCAAGTCCCGCATTGAACGCCTCAGACAAATCCGCTCCGCCACTGAATATGTCACCAATTTCCGTCGGCTCGCCTGCGATGTGTCCTGGAACGACGACGCCTTGATGGCCCCCTTCCGTGCAGGTCTTATGCATGATGTCAAGGATCTCATGCTCACCATGCCCCCCGTTCTCACACTTACTAGTATGTCGCCTTTATGAACGTCGCATGGAGTGCCCGCCAAACCTTCCCCGTTGCCCCAACCAAATATACCTCGCCGACTACTTCTGTGGATACCAGCAAGCCGATGCAGATAGATGCTGCCCGCTCCCACGGTCCCCTGACCTCCCAAGAACGCCAGCGAGGCATAGACAACAACCTCTGCCTCTATTGCGCCAAACCCAGCCACATTGCCAGAGCCTGCCCCAATAAACACATGAAACCTACCCGCGCGGCCAACATTGACATCAAAGAAACCCCCGCAGAACAGGGTTTTCCCAAAGTCCATCCGCAATAAAGCCCCAGCGACTGGACAAAACACGCTCCTCCGGGCCTCCTAACCCCGCAGCTCCTGCAACGGAAGATGCCGCTCCCCTGGTTCCCGTTTTTGTTATAGCCGACACAACCCTCCTAGCCTCTGCCCATGTCGAAAACTCCGAAATTAACCCACGCGCAACGCTTGTGCTGGGTCCTGTCGAACCCTTCAACTATCCGGTCACTATCATGGTAGCGTCCAGCCGAGCCCCGATATCCACCTCTGCCATGATCCACAACGGTGCTCTGTCCTGCTTCATCGACGACGACTTCGCCCGCAAGCACCGCATCCCCCTTGTCCAACATCAACGTCCCCTGTTGGTTGAACTCGTTGACGGTCAACCCAGCTCCGCTGGGCCAATCACCAATCACACCCAACCTTCCTTGACCGTCAACGAGTTCAACCAACAGGGGACGTTGATGTTGCTGTGGATTGATGACCACTTCGAAGAGATCGTCTTCCATGTCACCGAGTCACCCCACGCTCCGATCCTACTTCATTAACCCTAACCTAAGCCTCGCGAATCGAGCGGGGAGCGGAGACTGTGATAAGTATTGTAGCATTGAATGAATTCATTACACACGAAGCTTAAGCAAAATATTGGATGCGTGTTGGTCTAATAAGCGTGGCTCCAGCCCTTCAAACTTTGAAAACGTTATTGTACGTATAAAAGTTGTTTTCCAGAGCTCAATTGACGATATCAGATGATGTGTGTGTATGTGCATAACGAGAGGCGTTCCTGAAAAAGGAGGGGGACCGGAATGTTAGAGATCTCACCTAAGTTTCCCCGGAAATGCCTTACAGTTGGTGGTATTCTGCCGTTCGACATGTGGTGCATGATGAGATGATTTGGTTCTTCCGGCGAAATAAATCTCCAGGCGCAAACCAAATGCCGGGTTCACGCTGTCGAATCTCCATCCGTGGCGAAGTCCGACTACTCAGCCTGCTCGGGGCCTGGCCGCGGCGCCCCGTTTCCACCACAAATTTATATAAAAGTTGGTTTCCAGAAAGGTGCCTTCAGTTGGAGGAGAACCGATAGATCCTTTAGTTCCACCAAGATGCAAGGAGACGACGTTGAAAAGAAACAGGCCCAGGGTTCTGAGGGTCCCGCAAGGCAGTTGAAGGGGTTTGCGGTCCCTTTGCCACTTCTATTGCTCGGTAGTTTGTTCAAATTGCCATCATAACGGCGACAGCGCATTTGTGACTGACCTCCTTTGCTTGAACCGCAGTATCAACCCTTATCGTGGCGATGGCCATTGTCCTGCCAGTTGCCCTCTTGGCCTATGGTGGGGCTAACCAAACCGTCGACATTGTGGTTTCCTCGCTTCTGACGAACTATGCGGATATCGCCGCTTCGAAAGGTGCTTATTGTGTTGTGCTCTACCTTATTGGTGTCACCCTCCTGCTAATGAATAATGGAGTACGCAGTACGATTTATTGGGGCCTCCGTTTATCAGACGACGCAAGCTGTGGCGGGACTTCCTGCGTTCGTTCGAGTCCTCAACGCCCTGCAACCAGGCGTCCCACATGACTTCCTCGGGGACACAGACATGTGAGTGCTTCTTACCTTCTACAGGAGAACCATCAGAGGATACAAGCTGAGTCGCGCCCTTGCTTTCATCAGGGTGTTGTCGTTTTATGAATCGGTGTTTCACCAGCCACTAGTCAACGGAGTTGGCTTTGGCAGATTAGATGCGGGGGACCTGCTTCTTGTCTCGCCAGGGGATTCAGGCGTCTACTGTTATAATCATACAGATCCGGCAATACCGTTCTGCGATGCACTCCTTGTCACGGCCGTGGATGCGGCAACCCTGTCTGTTCAAACCCAGCGCACACCCAAGGTTGTTCCGTGGGAAGTCCATAACGAGACTCTACACCAATCAGGCTTAGACTTTATGCCGCCATTCGCCATTTGGACCCCCTCGCTCTGGTATCCAATTTCTGCTCCAGACGGTACAATCACGGTCAAGGTACTGTTGGACGCTGATATCCTACGTTCACTTCGATACGAAGCTGACTATCATTCACAGGGTGTCAGCTCCCTCATATGGGGCATCTCGTAAGGATCGTTCTATGTTACAACTCAATCGCGTCTCATCTTCGGTAACAACCCAAACCTTCGGTTCAGTAAGGGTGTATCTTTAGGCGCGAATACCATCGTCCCCCCTACCGGTTACATGGACACCACCCTTTTTTTGGCGAGCCTGTCGACTACCTTACAGGTACATATGTAGCTGTTGGAATGCCTGTAGCTTTTCTAATACCAACCGTATCGCACGGCTCAAAGGAAATCTCCTTGACACCCAATGCTATCATCGCAATCTGGGACTCAGCCGGCATGTGAGTTTTATCCGCCTATGGATGTGTATCTCCGAGCTGTCACTGAACCTTCCGCATAGAATCGCCGTGAGCCGACCGAATCAGGTCCTGAACGTGACTGGGTCGGGAAGCACAGCGGTTTACGTGGCCCACCACCCGGAGACCCACCCCTTGGAACTGATTTCAGTTCCGACCGCTGGGTTCAAAAAAAAGTATGGCACATACAGCCAGTACCCGATGTACATGGAGGGCAGCTTTGACACATCAATTGGAAATGTTTGGGTGCAAGCACGCCGCGTAACTGACTACGGGATGGACTGGTTCATACTCGTTTCGGTTCCGGCCACGGACATCATCGCGCCTATCGTCGCGTCGCGGAAAAAAGTTATCGTCACGTCGGTGGCTGTGGCGGTCGGTATGCTTTTTTTCGCCGCGGCGAGCAGTTTTGTCGTCACAATGCCACTCCGGAAGCTATCGGTATGCAGCACCTATTGGGGCGGAAGGAATGCGGAGCGCCCTCAGATTCTCGACGTGAGCTAACTTCAGCGTTGATGCGAGCAGAACGTCATGAAGCAGGCAACCAAGATGGACTTCAGTGCTTTGCGTGACGGATACTTGGATCGTAAATCAGTGGTTTCCGAACTGGCTCAAATGCAGGAGGTGAGTGGAACGATGTCTGATATGTATGAACTTGTGAACGCATGCTTATGTTGTCAACATTCCCATGTCTCTTATGGCCCGAATCAAAGGTCTTTGCGATCATGATGGAGAAGTTTGCAAATGCCATTCAATCCAACAAGAATCTTGCCACCCGCCAAACGGGAAGTGCTTCGCAGTCTCAGTCTCATGCCGCTGGCTCGCGTCCCACGACGAAGCTTCATTGAACATCGGGACTGATCCAGCCACGGACTCGGATAGTTCTTCAAGAAACACTTCCAGCTAGCACAATTCAACAATGATATAGCTCATCTCCGAAAACGATGAGGCGGGTTATATAACAGTAATGAAAAGGGGTCCATTCGAGTGGAGACCGATGATAAGATTACTTCAACCAAAGCTCTGGGCCTGTACTGTGAACTTGAGCTGGGCGCATACAGTCATCTAGTCGTCGTCAGGCGCTAAAACAGTGGAAAGCGATGCGCGCGGAGACGAACGCGTGACGCGTCGAACATGCGAAACTCCGACGTCTCGCTTTGCATTGCAGGCCATCCAGACGGCAACCACACAGATTTATTATTCAACAGGCCAAATGAAAAAGATACAAGATGCGGTTCAATCCATTTTGTCACAGCAATAGAGATTCATCGCAGTCACAAGCCGTTCATTAAGCAGAGTCACATAATCGTCTGAAGAGCAAATGTTACGAAGATTTCCATCCACGGTTTTCTGGTGGACGTTTCCAGTACATTCTCCGCCCACAGACATTCTCACCAAACCTCGCATGTGGAGAATTGCATGAACTCGCGACGTCCCTCCAGGGGAGGTTCACTCGGAACCTCCACGAGCGCACCTGCCGAAAGACCGAGAGACTTTCAAAAGGAGGGGAAACAGCACAGCACATGTCGCGGGGTTCATAGCACTCTAACAATTTGCAATCGCCAGATCACACTGAGCCCGCAACGAGCAGTGAAAACAGAGCAATGAACCAACAGCAGTTCATATGCACCGGCCCCACCTGCATTTCTTCGGCCCCACCTGCAATAGTGATTACCAACCGGCCTGTGCAGCTCCGGCGACATGTTCAGAGTCTGAGACCGAGCATCAGCAAAAGCAGAAGAAGCCGAGCAAGCGGCGGCGCAAGCGGTGGTGTATGCAGCGGAGCAAGCCTTGGTAATGGTTGTAGAGGGCACTGAGGCGGGCATTGAGGATGACGGGCGTGGGTGAGAGGATGGGTATGGCAGCGCGAGGGGGACCGTGTGAACCGAGGTAATGGGGTAATGGGTAATGAGGTAATTCCCAACATTGCGATCTGATTCTCCCCCTGAATTCTGAGACTGCGCACGCTAACTAAAACGGGTCTCCTCTTTCCAACTACGCCATTCTCACACCTTCATTCTCTCTGCTGCAGGGTATGTGCCATAAGCCGTCTTCGCCATTGCCTGGGCCCGTGGGGTGGTAGCAACGTTTCTGGATGCTGCAGAGGGTTCCCTTGCTTGTCTCGGAACCCCACTACAAGTTCGTTGCGCACCTACCACTATCCGCAGACTACGTACACGTACCACGATATACCTTCCCCTTTCTGTTCTTTCCCATATGCGTTTTCCCACGAAAACAGGTTAGGGTTAGGGTTAGGGTTCCGAAGATGTCCCTGGGATGCGTTGGATAAGACTGGAAGGTCCAGGGCAGGTCCTGATGAGATTTCCCTGGATCAATTGCCAAGAACCTCCCGAGCCCGTCGTCACCGAATTTCAAGGGAACCAACTTCGAGAATGACAGCTGAAGGGATGCGCCGAATCTGCCAGGCACCTCCAAAACGGACGTGCTGTAGGCATTCTCATAATTGGGGGTGTAAAGCTATTCACGGGAGTTATCATCACGGCCAGTATCAGAGCGTCCGCAAACGAATATGAAATGCAACAGTACCGGTCAATCTGGTTCTGCGTCTCCGCACAAACAAAACACCTACTCCTGCGGGCAGGACTGCAACCCCACCGGCCGCTCCTGCACTAACGGGCACCATGCTGGTGGAGTTCTTGTACGTTGCGGTGGGATCACTTATCGCCTCCGGGTTGCTGGATTTCCCCTCCTGGCTGCTGGGTTGCCCCTCCTGGCTGCTCAATACTTGCTACAGGAGCCGATGCCGTCATTGCCCGAGCCGCTGATGATGAGCATGAATCGAGGAGTAGATTGCCGCTGGCATCGCTAGCTAGGCATATGCCGGTGAGGATGTTCACATTTCTACCGTCTTGCAGACGGAAAAGGGAATAATATCCTGTATCTTGCGTTTCGCGCCTCCTTAAGCTAACCGAGCTTGGGCAGGAAGTCTTCACCATCGCCACGCCTGTTAGAATAGTCCGTCGGGTGAGCATTACCATTCAGAGAAGTCCCGCCATCGAAAGTTACCCTTACCTAGGCTATTCACCAATCCCGGATCAGGGTTAGACACCTCATGTGAATTTGGCGTCGCGGCAGTCGCTGATTTAATTCAATGGTGCACACAGCGTTATGTCCACTGACTGTACATCATGATGATTCCTACGCTATTATATGCAGCAGTTGGCACCACGGCGGGACTAACGCCCACAACCATTCGAATGTGAGCACCCTGAGCGCAGTACCCACCTCCCCGCACGTCGTAGAACACAGATGAAGAACATCATCTAAGCAGCTGGTCATCTACTATTATATAACTGTAGTATGCATTTCGTCAAAGAATTTGCTTCCGTGGACCCCAGCTTGCCAAGTTTCCTCTGAACGTCCCGGACCTAACCTAATAGCCTGCTGCCTTTCGGCATATTATCGATGCACGCTGTTCAGCGTGCCAGCGGCCCTCTGTTCTACGCCCACATTGCGGGGGGAGGCAGGGTGTAGGCAAATCCAGGGGGAAGATTCCAGGCAAAGCGGTGGCCGCCAAAAAACGCATACGTCCAGAATAGGGAGCGGAATACGGACGCCTCGTTGATATCTCTGTCCAGCAATGCCTGCCCCCCAAACACGGCAAGGCGTTGCTTGCAAACAAGCGATATTGCGTAATTTGTTGCCAGTTTGATTTGTTGCCAGCGCCGCACCGGAGACACCGCCGTCCTACAGATTGGATTCCCAGAGACCCAACCTGCCCCAGGGATGAATCTGTTGCCGCAGCAGTACAGTTTCTTCCTATGCCCTCCACGGAGCAGTCGGCCCAATGGGTGCGGGACACGGATCCCATCTAAATTGGATTACCCCCATGCGGCGCTGATTCCGCCTCCTCTGTCTCTTTTTCCTGTGCACGGCACGGCGAGGTTCCCAGACCTGCGGGGTCACCATCAGATTGTTGATCGTGGGATAAACCGGAATGTTAGGATGGTAAGTCGCATCTTCGTACCCGTGCCAAAGGTCTCGTATCATACTCGACCCGGTACTTCCCGCGGTGCGTGAAGCCGGGCACTCTCTTGCAGAGAGTGCCGGACAGTCCAACGCACTTTTCTGGGGGTGTTTGTGGAACCCAAAAGTCAACGACAATTTCCGTACTTCTTCAGGTGTGCAGGCAGGCCGGTGACTTCTGCTGGTGGCTATGCTCGGGATGATGTGTCCTTGACGCGTCGTACCCGGGCTTTGGGCCACTAAAGACATCGGACCATCCGCAGCAAAAATCAGCTAACCCTTCTTAAGAAAAGCTAGAAAAGTGCGTTGGACTGTCCTTTGCGTTGAACTGTCCGGCACTCTCTGGAAGAGAGTGCCGCCGGAGCGCCCTCGGCGCGACTGCGGGCGAGTATGATACGAGACCTTGGCACGGGTAGTTGCCGGTGTGCGCTGAATCGGCAGGAGTTGAGTTCCGGTCGGGCATGAAAACGACGGGTGGCGAAGGCGAGGAAAAAGTGAGTCGCGTCGCGCCATCAGAGAATCCTTATTACGTAGGGTTCGGGTTATTCAGGTCGCGACGTCCGGACGGCCGGACAGTGTGCCGAAGGTCGCAGACATACATTACTGTACTGTAGTCCCATACTGTACAGAGAGCCGCCGTAGGCGGGGCGATTGCTATGGCTGCAAAGCCCCTGCAATGCCTTTATCCTTACTAGCCAGTGGACAGTCTCTACCTTAGAGGAATGTCTCTCTCCATGGAATGGGTTAACGAATGGGTTAACCCCAACCCCCATGTGGAGCTAGAGATTGCAACTCATCAGCCGCAGGCAGATCCCAAAGGCACTCACAGCATTACCGGTTCAACCGTGGCATGTAGCTGACTATCCCCAGCTGGTCAAAAGAAAAAATTTCTCACGTATAGTGGTGGAGGCAGTAGGCAGGTGAAGAACAGTCACTGTCAGTCAGATGCGGCACGCGTCGCGCCCGCTGGTCATATGAGCCCTGCGCGTTTCCCCCGTACGGGACACCATCCGACGAGCTCTGTCTGCTTTGCAGCCATAGAATTGTGATTTCTTGATCAACAGTGTGTACAGTACAGGACGCACACCACCTCCGTCATCATGCTTGGGGGCGACAAGCACTGTTACGACGATGGCGCAGACGAGCACGACACAGCCTCCGAGGACGAAGTGAGCGAAGCCAAGATCAGCTTTCCCCTGGTGAGATTCTGATAAATCCCCCTCTGTGCGTTTCGCCTTGTGCTCAGGAACATACGTCCTGCTCTTCCCCCCTTCAGGAAGGGTATGGCATTACCATTGACGACTTCCTCGCGGCCTTTGAGGCCGGTCGCTTCAACCATCAGGGCTACATCGGCATATATATGGAGATCAGCCAATCCGGAAACCGGGATGTGCTGCATGCAAGCGCTGCCATAAACCTGCAAGAGGATTTTTGTGCGGGGATAAGGTGTCTGCGCGACGTCTATCATACGCCAGAGCACAAGGTCAATGTGAGAAACTTTTTGAGGAATCTGGTACGTGCAGTGACATGGCAGCTTTTTTTTGTCAGAACAATTATTGCCTGTTCAAACAATGGCTATGAGTCCCCAAACCTGCGATTATCGACCCATGGTTGCGCCGGTGAGGGGCTGGGGATGCTGCAACCCTGACCCTTCGTGATTCACCCAAAATCCGCTGTGGAAGGGGGGTGTACATTGTGATTCGAGCGGACCCTTTGGAGAGGAGCATCACCCAGTAGTCATTGGCCAGCCCGCGGGAATGTTGCAACCCTGACCCTTCTTGATTCACCCAAAATCAGCCGCGGAAAGGGGGTGTACATTGTGATTCGAGCGGACCCTTTGGAGAGCAACATTACCCAAGGGCTGGACAGGCGTTTGAGGGCATAGATCCACTAATGCCTCATGCCTTTTCAATGTATTAGGGACGGGAATCTACGAAGAAAGCATTCGAAGACTATCTGAAGACATTGAAAATTCGCAAGGCCGTCGCAGACGTGGTTTTGGAAGATTTCTGCGAGGTGTCAGCGGACGAGAGACAGCGGCGCAACAAACGGCGAAGGCTGCAAGGAAATGAAGCAAGACCGGAGAGAGACGGTGTACCTGGGCTGGAGGCCGTACCCGACGATGAAGCAGTGGACGCTTCTTTCATTGATGGTGTACCCGGGCTAGAGGCCGTTTTCAAAGGGAAAGATGAAGCAATGGACGATGATCTTGTTCTGGAAGAAGTTAACATATCTCAACTGTATCGTCGTCTGATGCGTGATATCGTTCTCGATCAGCAGCGACCAGCCATGCGTCGTTCTTTCAGACCAAACGATGCCTTGATGGCCGTGGCCTTGAAGCGTGGCCTGTTGGTTTCACGTCACCTCCCCACGGCTTATGAGCGCTACATCACGCGGGAACAATGGGAAGAAGTATATCAGCATCTCGCAGGGGCGGACGCATTTTGGCACAAAGGAGTGACAGTGCCGCCTTCATCGGCTTTGGTGTCAGCTCTTCAGGATATTGAACTCTCAATTCTGGACCAGGACTGCGGCTTTTTTACGTTTGATGACAAATCTGGTCTCCAAGCATTGGACTACGAAGAGCAGCATATGATACGTTCCATCTTCCCTCATCTTTCAATGGACCCGCCGACGCCACAAAGTGAACCATCGTACACTGCAAAGTATATTGTGCCACATTTCAACCGCCTGAAGCAGCCTCGATGGGATATTCGGTTTGACTCAACCATGGTGGATCGCCAGAGACCCGACATCGCTATCACAGCTCTGGGCAGACCCATTCTCCTCGGAGAACTGAAAACGCCACATGCACAGCCAGGAAAACGTGACCTGCAGCTCGCCGACGGCCTTTGTCGTGCGTTGACACATCTGAAAGATGATGCCAAAGAGTTCGATTGGAACGGCACGCTACCCACTCTTTACACCATGATTTCTCCCGATGGTCTTTATTTTCAGCTCTTCAAAGTCATTTTGCATTCAAACCTCACATTTTACGTGTCACTCGGCAAGATCCCCGTTGTCACTTCGGCGGAGAATCTGTGGTTTTTGAGCCGGTGCTTTTAGGGGTTCTCTCATTTGAAGACCATCCTGAAAGAGCACGTCAACAAAATCAAGGACCACCAACGAGCGCATGCGTTTCAGACGCATAGTTCAGTTCCGGTCACCCCAAACCAAAAGACGCTTTTGACGCAACTGCGGACCGTTTTTCCGGGCGCCCTTACCCCTGACAAGCCTCCTGTGACGACGACGAGACGGCCTTCCCAGGGATCAGCAGCGGGAAAGAAAGAATCGGCAACAGTAAAGAAGACGCTTTGAAGCCACGCCTTTGTCGCTGCGGATGGTCGCTAGTGAGCTTTATGTTATTGCAAAGGCATTTCTTCCTTCTCCTGGCCGCCACCTTGTTGAAGCATCCCGAGTGCGTTCGCAAACGCGTGGCTGGGTGGTGATACGCGCGATGGTAAAGGAAAGAAGTGCTCACCCGTTGGTGGAGCCCGTATACAACCATCCACCCGCCCTGCATGGTAGCACTTTGGGCGCATGGTTCAGGGGTCCACGCCGTGCCCCTTTCTCATAGATTCTCCTTTTTGTGTGTAAAGCTAGACCTAAGACGGGGCTTGATGGCAGGGACAAATCCATCTTGGGACGAAGCTTGGTTTCTAGTCACTTGGGGATATCCTGTGTAAGTAAGAGTTGTAATGCCAGTCGTGAGATTGACCGGATCATGGCTTCCGTTGGCCCGGCCTTCTGACAATACTCCGATGTGGATGGGGGAGTAACTCTGTTTGCATGGGCAGGTCTGGAGACCCGCATAGGCTTCAGATGATCTTCACTTGTTTGTGCCAGTGTAATTGATCCATCCGCCAAACATGACGAAGAATATGGGTGGGGGATATGCGATTGCCGCCACATGTGTTCGATAGTTTGTTAGGAGTCGAAGCTGTGATGTGGAACCATCTCCATGCGGATTTTTGGGGCAGGGGTAGAGACTGATTGTACGGAAACCACCGACGAGCCCATACCCCACACACACACACATAGACGTGAAGTACTCGCGAGCCATGGCGTCTATCCTACTATCCTATTGTATTTACGTGGGTGATACATCTTTCTACCCTAAAACATGACTCGGCGGCTTGCGACTTGTCGACGGTAGTGCAAGGAGAGTGGGGTGGACTTGCGGCACTGAGTAATTCAAGATCATAGAGAAGTTGTCTGTTACGTAGAGGGGTCACCTCACTTAGTCCAACACGTAGGAAAAATGAGAGGTTTGCGAAAATCTCACCTGTTGTCTTAGCCTTTGAGACGCCCGAATTCTCAAGAGGGGGACGCAGCACCCCTCCAGAACCCGCATCCTTTTATGCCTGAAAGGTGGTCTCTCCCTCAGGCTCCTCTCCCTCAGGCTAACCACTGGCGTCTCCATGATCGCGAAACATATGAAATTATCACACATAATTGAACATTATGTGGAGAGCGTTTGACACAGCGTCAGACGACTAAGCAACAAAGGCAGGCCACGAAAGTTCCCACCAAACAGATCCAAATGCAGAGAAAGGGGAATAGATATCTGGCCATGATCATATTTCATACTACACGGACAAAAAGAACCGAGCGAGCGTAAAATGGGTGGGGGAATCCGGCAACGAAACTGTGTGCTAGGTGAACTCTCGACTACATGGCATACTGTGTGGGTGGCAACGGCGACAATAGAAACAATCACGGGGTTGAACGGTGAGCATGCACGCTTTGACGGAAGATCCAATTATAGCAGAAGCGGTGAATTACCTTTCGTGTCCATTCCCTGGCGGTGGACTCGTAACGTGCGCGATCAGTCTTGTACACGTGAGCGATCTCAGGCACCAACGGATCGTCAGGATTGGGGTCCGTCAACATCGAGCAAATCGACAACAGCACTACGAAGCGTGTGACAGAGTTGAAGGGATGTACGCCAACCATGAGAAGAGGTGCAGCCAACGATGAAGGGGAGAACGTACCTTTGGATATAGTCAGTGCTGGTGACCATTGATCTCTCAGAATATCAAGACAAATGCTTCCATTGCTGTTAATGTTTGGATGATAGATCCTTGTAGTAAAATTGACCTAACAAACAAGGATCGAAATATTCGACGTTCAATACGAAATGCCGTCGATGAATAATCACCCGTGAGACATATCACGGGAAGACGGCCAGACAGCTTACCTTTGGAGGCTTGAATGGGTAGTCCGTTGGAAAGTGAATCGACAGGAAGAATACACCTCCGCTGTATGGAGAGTCACCCTACGAAACAAAGAGAAATGACGCAAAAAAACGGTTCAATATTCCATGCCGCGACAGAAAGGGAAACTCCATGGAAGTAGGTACTCACAGGTCCCATAATAGTCGCTTGCCAGTGCTGTGCGTCGGAAAAATTGTAGGGTGGGATTATTAGTAATGAGAGCGACACACCAAGGTTCCAGATAGACTAATGAGAATACGTACGAAAAGATCTTCACCCGCAGGACCAGCACTGCAGGAAGAGGGCGGGTCTCGTCCAAGGTCCTGCAATTCCTATTATGGACCAAACAATATAAAATAGGAGTAAGTAACCGTCAGCGTCCAAATCAGGAGATTCCCCAGCATGTCTCCGACAAGGTGAATCCCAGCGATGCAGGCCACGGCCATTGTTCACCACAGGCGACCCCACCGCCGTCCACCAGTCATACTCAGGGTATGTAGAGGCGTCTCAACCCTTCTGGTGGGTGCTTGTGGCACCCCATGTCCATGTTTCTCGCGGATTGCGGTCGGGTTTTTCTCCGGATACCAGATGCGCCCAAGCCACCCCGGGGTTTGGAATCTCCCCATCCCCGCTGTCTCTCTGAGCTCCGAGACATACCTTGTTAATGCGCTTCAGAGCCATTGCTGATACGAGGTTGTTGGGTTGAGAAGGGTTGGAGTGTGTGTTGTGTTGTGCCGAGGGATTGCTTCGATAGGTTGGGAGTCTGGAAAGCTTCTGTCTCTCTCCGGATGCTTTTGTTTCTCCAGCGGGCGGCTTCCCAGCTGAGGCTGAATTGGAAGCCCCTGTGGCCTATCTTGTGGTGACTCTTATTGACGGTCTAATGACTGGTGGGGTATCCGGAGTCTTGCGTGATTAAGCAATGGGGAACTGGAGAACACACTCCTCTGACAAACTTGGGCTAATGCGGAAGCTGGGTGGCTGTGCAAACCCTACATTTACAGTATTACGCGACCTCAAGTTCCTGCCAGAGACAGAATCGCATTCTGGTGACATTCTGCCAAATGTCCTCGTATATTGTAGCAGTCCGAAGAACGGACGAGTCTAATCCTGCCTCTATTCCAAAAAAAAAGGAACAAGTGTCTGTGATTCTATATATAAAGGGTCCTTTCAAAGTTAAAAAATGTCTCAATCGTCAACCGGTGGGCTTCACCGCATCCTTCTCCACCACCGTCATCGTCTTCCCATCCCCAGCACCACCCAACTCCTCCGCACACCCACACTTCCACTCCTCATTCACCCTCACACAATCAAAGACCGCCTTTCCCAACCGCTCATTAACCTTATTATGCGCCTGACATGCCCATTGTGATATGGTCGCGCGGGAAGTGACGTCGGGCGGGAGGGCGGTGAGGATTTGGGCAAAGTGGCGGGCGCTGAAGGGAATCAGATCATCGGATTTTGTGAGATGATGGATGAAGGCAGGGATAAGAATCATGGGGATGGGAGGTGGGAACGCACCAGTCGCCACAGGGGTATAACCTCGCAAACAGGTATATATAATCGCGCATAGCGGTCTGCTCGTCCTCGGTGGGCTCTTCGGGAAATTTGCCGGCCATGGTGTGCAGCACGCGCCATGCAGCTCGGCCTAGTTCGGCCCTATTGCAATGAAGCTGCATCAGTCGTCTATCCATCCTATATATGATCGTGCTAGGTTGGCAATTCCACCGGCTGTGGGAAAAAAAGGTGTTCCAACAGCCGAAACGCACATGGATGTGAGATACTCACTTCAACGTCTCATTCCCCATCTTGCTCATAATAACCGCCCCTGGCTTTCTCACTGCCTGCAACTGCCCTGCCCCTATCCTCCCCGACAATACTGTGCCCAGCTTATTAGCGGCATTTGGAACTTTTGGGATGTTGTTGCTGAGAGCGAAGGACGAGGAGCGGGTGGAGAGGGCGGAGAGGGCGGAGGAGTTTTGGGAGAATGCTGCGAGGGTGAGGATGAAGACTGTGCAGGCGAGCAGAGCTAGGAGGGTGTAGGTTGGGCGGATGGTCGGCATGTAGGGAGTGGTGTGGAGAGGGGAGATGGGGGAAGGAATTGTGAGAGTTCTACTGGACCTTTGACTCCAATCCACGATCCGGAGCCTTTCGGCACCGCCCTTAAACGGCGCAACTTCCCATCAACTCAAAGTGGCGCTCCCGTTCGCTGCCCGCCATCTTCCAGTCTCCGGACCGCAAACACACAAACATCCACAGGCCACATATAGTATCGTTACCACCAGAGTCAACGGCATATCGACTCCTGAAGAGGCGCTCAGCTTCCACAGGCCGTCCTTGTCTTCCATCGACTTGACCCGTCACAAATTCCTATTCCCATTCCCACATTCCCACGCCCGAAAAGGCTTCCCATCCCCATCCCATCCTCACCGCAACCATGAAAGTTCTCGCCGTCTGCGAAGCCCTCTACGACTACGAGCCGCAGTCGGACGAGGAGCTCGCTCTCGTGGAGGGCGACTTGCTTCTTATCATCGAGAAGGATGATGCTGACTGGTGGATGGCCGTGCAGCGGCCCAAGGATACGTTCGCTGATGTGAAGACGGGGTTGGTGCCGGCTTCTTATGTTAAGGAGGTGGGTTGGTGTGCTTGTTTTGGTTTTGGGTAGGGAGAGGGAGCTGGGGTGATGATGAGAATGGCGTGACACTTTCGGGATGGGCGGACTTGGGACTTGGGAATGGCGATGAACAATACAAGGCTCCAACCTTGGAACGCCCCTGGTCTATCCTGGGTGCTGGGCCCTGGATGTTGGTCCAGTCTGGATATGAACCATGCGAGCAGTCTTCTTGTCGCTCAGGGGTTTTCCAGAAACGAGCTAACCCCATTTCACAACGCACTTCAGGCAGAACCGCTGACGGTTGGCACTGCGCTATACAACTACGAAGCTGCCACCTCCGAAGAACTCACTTTCCCAGAGGACGTTCAGATCCAGATCTTCGAAAACACTGATATCGACTGGTGGTTTGGCCGGTACGAAGATCAGGTCGGACTCGTTCCTGCCACATACATAGAAGTCGCCGAAACCAACGGAGCCGCCGTCAATGGGGCCGGGACGCACGCTGATCATGCTCCATCTCCCGCCCACGCTGCACTTCCTTCCCCGGTGAAGGAGACGCCGCAGTCACATCCTGGCGGTGGCGTGGAAGATGCTGAAGCGCAGAAAAAGCAGTTGCTGTCGGCGTTGGGAGGGTTTGGATTCGATCGACCAAAGGCGGCGCCTCGCCATACGTCTATCGAGAACTTGGGACCTGAGGATATCAACTACTATGCGGTCACGGAAGTTGATAAGAAGAAGAAAAAGAACAGCCGGAAGGGTTTGATGGGTATTAGTGATGAGTTTGTTCTTTATTTCATTTCAGACTTGAAGGTGTGTTACCCGAATCCTTTGGACAGACAGGTCAATATTGTTGCCAGAGCTCATCACTTTGTCCTCTTCAAACCTCAGTCAAAAACATTGTTGTCGAAGTGGGAGATGAGCCAGATCAGCAAGTTCAGCGAAAAGAAATCGAAAAAGCTAATTCTGGAGATTTCGGGAGAAGAGCACCAGTTCGAAGGCGAGAAACAGGACGTTCTGGCTCTTTTATCTAGGCTCCAAACTCTCGAAAACAAGGCATGTCAACTCCGTACTTCAAACTGAAATATCGCAAAAAAGCTAACATTTGTCATAACAGAGGCAAACAGGAGGCTCAGGTCCACACCACGACGCCCCTCCAAGATCCGCAAACCGAACGTCCATGCCCCCGCCTTCAGCGACTCCACCCGCCAACATCACCTCCACCCCGTCCCCGGTTCGCACGACAACCGCCGCGCCACTTCCCGTCGTCCCCGTCGCCTCACCCGCCCACGTGAGCACGCCTCAACACGGACAAGGGGAGTCTCGGAAGATCGCCATCGCGTTGTATGAGTATGAGGCCACGAATGAGGAAGAGTTGACGATCAAGGAAAATGACAATCTGTTGGTTCTTGATGATTCGGATGAGGAGTGGTGGTTTGTGAGATTGATTTCGAAAAAGGGGAGGGAAGGGTTGGTCCCTGCTTCTTATGTCGAGGTATGTGTGATGTCCATTCGGTTTTCAATGCACTTTGGCCAAAGTCTAATATCAATGCGTTCGGCAGTTGAAACGACCTAATGTGGACGGAGGAGCTGCACCAGGGCCTGCTCAAGTAGGTATCGGATATACAGAATGGTCTAGCATTTCTAGCGATTTCTCTAGCGATGAGGACGAGCAAGGGCGCTCCAGGTGTTTGACAGGGTCATTGATAGATGAAGGGCTTTTATAGATGCTGGAAGACGAGGCGCAAAAAGAGCGGCAGCGCCGGCAAGCACAGGAGGAAGCCAAGATTCAGATGCGGATGCGACAGCAAGAAGAGGAAAAGCGGTTCCGCGATCAGCAGGAGAAACAACTCCGTCAGCAAGAAGAGGCCAGGAAGGAAGAAGAGAAGGCCAAGAGGGAAGAAGAGGCTCGGAGGCAACGCGAAGAACAAACACGGAAGCAGGAGCCCCCGGCCCAACCACCACGTCCGCCTGCTATTCCTGAACGTCTGCCGGGGGTTCCCGAACCCCCAGCCCGTCCGACCCCAGCGATTCCTTCCAATCGCCCAACCGACACGAACCCAGCCACATCTGCTCCGCAGCTGTTCCCGCGTCCAACGCCGTCGGCTGCATCGGTAACAGCGCCCGCACCGGTTCTTCCTGCCAGACCGCCGCCAATTCAAGGGAGAACCTCAGGGTTCCCGAAACCGTCACAAAGCGAAGGAGCCGGAAAAGTACCAGCGGCCAGCAAACCAGATACGCAGGACAAACCCGACCCGAAGAAACTGCGGTGGTGGACAGACCGATCCGGCACCTTCAAAGTCGAAGCTGAATACATTGGCGTCGGCAACGGCGAAGTCCAGCTCCACAAAACCAACGGCGTCAAAATCGGCGTTCCGCTATCGAAATTAGACCCAAAAGACGTGGAAATCATTCGCAGGATGCCGGGCAACGAGCACCTCCAAGTCCCAAACGGACCCGCAGCCCACCCCTCGGGCCCCCGAGGCGCAGGCCCAAGCGTCGCCACCCTCGCCGCAGCAGCCAGCGTCCCCGTCCCCTCCGCCGCGAGCGCCACCTGCATCTACAACGGCTTCGACTGGAAAGAGTTCCTGATCAGCGCGGGCGTTTCACCTGGTGACGCGGTCATTTACGGACAGAAGTTTGTCGGCGAGAAGATGGACCGGACGCATTTACCGGATTTGGAACGGGAGTTGTTAAGGAATTTGGGCGTTTCTGAAGGTGATATCTTGAGGATTCGGAAGGCGTCGAGTGGGCAGGGGAAGCCGATGGGTGCGGCGAATGAAAAGGAGAATGCGGCTTTGCAGAATAATTTGATGTTTTTGAATAAACAGCAGGTAAAGGGGTTTCGCCGCTTTTGGGTGTTTTGTGCTTTTGGGTAAGACGGTACTTCATTTCTTATCTTCGGATATCCCAGACTGGCGGGTCGGATGGTGGTAGGCCCGGAATTCCTCGACGATGTAAGTACTGGCTTCCCGGGATATTAGAGTATAGTGATGGTTCTGACAGGTCGCAAATTCACGCATCAGCCTCAAAGCCCAATGCACCCGGTCCAAACCTCCATAGCATCCAACAAGCCGCCGATCTTCTAAAAGCCAGCTCAACGGGACCAGGCAGCCGTCACATGTCCCCGCAGCCATCTCCTCCCGGCACGCCCCACGGCCGCGGCTCCTTCAGCAATCTCGCCGGCGCGAGCAGCAAAGCTCACGATCCATGGGCGATCTCCCACCCCGCATCTGGACTCAACAAACCACCCGTCACCTCCGGCGTCGCACAACCACAACCCACAAACAATAACGCCGCCGCTGCGATCGCCAACGTCAACAACGCCGCTAACCAGCAAGCCATCCTCTTGGCGCGCAAACAACAGGCCGAGACGCAAGCCGCGTTGCAACAAGCCCAACAAGCACTCCTCAAAGCGCAAGAACAGGCCCGGCAGACCGCCCAAGTGCAGGCGCAGGCGGCCCTCATGAAGGCCCAGGAAACGGCCCGACAAGCCGCACTGGTGCAGCAGCAGGCTGAACAGGCACTTTTGACCGCGCAGCAATCTGCTGCGGCGAGAGCACAACAGCAGATGCAGCCACCCCAATTGGGCATGCCGTCTATGATGCCCCCGCTCACGAGCTTTGCGGCCGCCCCGCAGCCGCAACCGGTCATGGCACCACCCCGCCCGGCGGCCCTGCCGCCACCGCTGATACCCGCGACTACCAACCTAGGGAACGCGCCGGGGTTCATTCCTGTCGGTGGTGGGAATGTCAGGCCACAGCAGCCGAATGTGCCGTTCCAGCAGGGGTTGGGTGGGTTCCAGGGTGGAGCCGTTAATCCGCAGGGTGGTATGTACTACTTGTTTTGTTTGTCTTGTAGATGGCTTTGCCGGTTCAGTTTGTGAAGTGCTCATGTATGCTTTATGTTCGTGGTGCAGGCGGCGATCGGTACTCGGTGTTCAAGGAATTAGACCCCATGGCGCCTTCCATGTTCACCAACCCACAACAGCGTAAGTACCGAAGAACATTCTATCCTCCCCAGCCAACCCCCCTTCTTACCAATCTTCTTACCCCTAGTAAACCAACAACAACAAAACCTATCCCGCTCAAACCCCGCCCTCGCCCAACAAAACACCTTCACCAACGCCCCCACACCGAACATGTCAACAGGCCTCCCCAGCCCGGCCCTTTCATTCACCGGATCAACATCCTCTGCAAATTCGGCGTTTTCCAATCAACAACAAAATCGAAACAGCGCGTTTGGAGGTGTAGGCGGTATCCCCCAACAACAGCAAGGGGGAGGTGCAGGCTTTTTGCAGGGCGTCGCGAGGGGGCCTCAACAGGGGTTCGGCGGTGCACCGCAACAGCAACAGCAGTTCGGGCAACAGCAGCCGCCACAACAACAGTTCGGACAACAGCAACCGATGATGGGCGGCTTCAACAACACCACACCTGGGTTCGGAAACACCCCAATGGGAATGGGCATGGGCATGGGCATGGGCATGCCTGGACAGATGGGGTTCAATAATACCGGTGGTGGGATGGGTGGGATGGGTGGAATGGGTGGTGGGATGAATATGGGCGGCGGGATCAACCCGCAGCAGGGGCAGATGGGAATGCAGCCGGGGATGCAGCCGGGGATGCAGGGACAGCAGCAGGGCATGATGGGGAACATGGGCATGGGCGGGATGGGGATGGGGATGGGTAATAATCAGATGTATAGATAGGCTGCCCCTTTCTCTCGCATCTTTCTCGGTTCCACCTTTCTTTTTTTTTCGACCCGGAAACTTAGATAATGTAGGCGAATTTGGAGTAGCTTGTTTGGGTTCTTTTTTCACACCTCTTCTTTGGGTTCGATTTTTCTGCATCTCATATTCTGATCCTCTCCTGAACAACACGGACATTTATTATACCAAGTACCTGCGTTGGACAGTTATGTGTTGTTTTCTGTTCTGGGTTTGACGATTGGGGGGAGAAGGGTTTATAAGTATGGTTTTCGAATTGACTGTGGTTTTTGGATGGGAGGGTGGTGTGGATGCGGATGTGGTTGGAAGAGGACCGAAATCGGACTCTGTCGGGGGGACAAAAAGCCTCATAGGTCCCACCCACGCAGCATTCGGGCATGGCAAACAGCTCCCTCGATTCCTGTTTCACTCTCTCCGGCATTCCATTCCATCCCATTTCTTCAACAAATTATCGGTCTGCACATGGCGATGCAGTGAAGCGTAGCAATTCATTTTGCTAAAGATTCCCAAGCCGTAATATGACCGGGCCGTATTGTGACGTAAGTGTATTTATCGGATATGGAGGGTTTAGTGGATCAAAAGGGGTTCGGAGGAGGATGTTGATGCTGTTTACGGTCCGCCTACAGTCGTTTATTCGTCGACGGTTTGGGTCTGAAGACCTGTCAAATATCGGGAAAAAGGAGGTGGAAGTCAGAACTTACCCCACAAACAAAATCCCAAAAGGCAAACACGAAAAAGAAGCATACCCTTGAAGTTCGTAGTCGGCACAAAGGTAACGAACGTGTACAGCTTCTCCTTTGCGTCCTCGGCGTCATTGCGGCGGCGGGAAAGACGGACGCGGATGCGGTGGGGAACGGACTTGATGCCGCGGGCCCACACGGCCTTGTTGAGCGACGGGTCGAGGCGCACGTCGGAGGTGCCCATGGTCTTCAGGGCGAACTCGCGGATCGCTTTGACGGCGGTCGGGGCGCGCTTCTTGAAGGTCCTGTGAGGAGCGTGGAATGAAGTTAGGTTAAGGATGGTGGAAACTGAGGTAGGCCCCCTTTTTCTCATCTTTTCCCCCTCTCTGTTTCGCACAGCTTCTCCTTGCTGTTCAATTTCACGTCCCCCGACCCACGGAAAGCCTCCACCCAACCCTCCCAACCCCTCAATCCTCTCCCCTCACTCGCCCCCTCCCTCCAGAGTCCCTCGCCGGAGGACTCGGTCCGCGCGAACAGCCGATACGACCCAACCTCCTCCACCTCTCAAAACCGGCCGAAGCCCGTGCTGCCCCATCGAAAGCGAACCCTGTCCCTCAAGTTTCCTGGCCCAGTAGTTGTTGCGAAATGTAACACAAATGTCCTGCTCGGTTTCTCCCAAACTCCCAAACTTTGTACAGTAATCCCGATCCCGTTCCCGGTCGAATCCAGTTCCCATTCCTCCGCCTGAGCCGAGCCGAAAATAAAATATCCCAAGACGCAGAAAACGAACCTGCCAAAGACATGCTTGTGCAAGTGAATGGTGTATTCACGAGTCACGACCTGGGTGGTAAAAATCACTCCATTTAGCATTCCCGAAAAACCGAGACTAAGTGATACTATGGGACGGTGCGTACCTCGTTGAGGGTGCTCTTCTTAGTTTGCTTCTTGTCCGTGGGGGCCATGGCTGGTGAGGCGTAGGGTTACGGCAGTAAGAGTTGTAGGAGGAGCAAACAGGGGAATGTTGGTCGTCGTCGCCGTCTTGGGGACCGAGCGAGCAGACGCAGGTCACGTGGAGAGTCTCCACAAGTCTAATTGGTAAAGCACGTGGAGTCACGCAGCTTCGGCAGTTTAAAGCCTCCGCGTCTGGTGTCCGAACGTCGTTGTTGAACGCCTTTGCAAACCACCCAACCCTCGCATCCCCGAAAACAGACAACCCCATACACAAAAGACAACATACACAACAATGGGGGAATCACGAACGGAACTCCTCGCTTGGCTCAACGACCTGCTCCAGCTCGGATACACCAAGATCGAACAGTGCGGAACAGGCGCCGCTCACTGCCAGATCATCGACTCTATTTACCGTGACGTAAGTGAAACCGGTCTCTCATCCAGATTGTCCGAATTGAACCTGAACAACCGACCTACCCAACCACCCCTTGCTTATCGATATCCACCCACCACTAGCTACCCGTATCCAAAGTAAAATTCAACGCCAAGCACGAATACGAGTACGTCGCAAACTTCAAGATCCTGCAAAACGCGTTCGATAAGCATAAGATCGACAATGCCATTCCCGTCGAGAGGCTCATCAAGTGCAAGTTCCAGGACAACTTGGAGTTCCTGCAATGGGTGAAGAAGTAAATGTCGCATTGAGGGTCTTGCTTTGCTCTTGGGGTTGTGTCATCAAAACTGACTCGAAACGGAATGGCTCGCAGGTTCTGGGACAACTACTATCCTGGCGGCACCTACGACGCCGTAGCCCGTCGCGGGGGTGCCGGCGCAGGCGCCGGTGCGGCGGGAGGAGGATTCAAAACTACCACCTCCAATAACAAACTCGGGACACCCCTCAAGAAGGCACCATCGGCAACCGCCGTCCGCGCGTCCCGAGCCGGTGGCGGCAGCACGACCAACGCAGGAGGCCTGAGCCGCGCGGCCGCCGCGTCGTCGGACCGCACGGCCGAACTAGAAGCCGAGTACCAGAAGGCACTGCAGGATATGCAGCAGCAGGTCATGGAGGCGAAGCTGACGGTGGAGCAAGTGGAGAAGGAGCGCGAATTTTATTTTTCCAAGTTGAGAGAGATTGAGATTTACGTGCAGGAGCAGCTGGCGGCTGGGCTCGATGGCGGTGCACATGACCATGTCTTGCAACATATCTCGGATGTCATGTACAAGGTGAGTCGGGTTCCCCCATTTTTGAGTTTACACCATCTCGACTCTCATTCACCCTTTTCCCCACACCCCACCTGTAATCCGCACAGACGGAAGACGGCTTCGAAATCCCTCAAGGCGGAGAAGGCGCGCAAGCAGAGAGTGCAATCGCTGGCGGTGAGGAAGAAACATTTTAAGAAACGTCCGGCCCCACAAGTGGGGATACACGCACGCAAAAAAAGCGTAATTACGAACAACCAATCATAACTCTGCGGTGCCCGTAGGCTTGGTGGGATGAAGAGAACGAAAAATCGATTATACTGGATTGTGGAAGGATGTGACATGCAAACCCAGCTCTTGTGAAACCCGTGCAATTCATTTCACAACTACTTAGTATGGTATATTTGAGGGAGATGGGATGGACCTTGCTGAATTTGGTGTTTTTCGAGCCGTGACGGAGAGTGTTTGTATCCAAGGGCGTCGGGAAAAGAGACGTGAACTGGCCTTGATGTAATTATATGGTTGACCATGAGATTATCAGCGTCGTTGCATCCGAGCAGGATTTCAATGTAAACTCGTGTGTATGTGGAAACGGAAGCAGGCAGGCCGACACTTAACACATGGTCGATTGCCGACTATGGTTCCCATGTTCGTAGTCTCCATCAAAGAGGCGCCCTCTATCGGTCGCATAGCTCCAAGATCTAGTTATGTAATGTCTACAGACAAAACCGCCCCAACACCGGCGCAACCCCATCTACCCAACAACAACCACCCGACTGGCAGCCTTCCTAACCCTATTCATCACCGCCAACCCTTCCCTCTCGTCGGCGACACCTTCAACTAATATGACACTCACACCCCGCTGTTCCATCGTCCGCAGGGCCGCGAAGATGTTGTGCGCGACGAGAGTTGGGGTTGGGCCTATTTGGAGGGTTGTTATTTTATCTGAGTTCTCATGTGGCCACGATGGGGATGAGCAGGCTGTGGTGCGCAGGATCCCGATCCGCTGGGCGGGAGGAAGGGTGGCGAGCAGGCCCTCGGCGTGAGTATCCACCGCCGCTCGTAATGCAAGGGTATCCTCCGATCCCTCCGGGAGTTCAAACACGACGACCTCAGCTTCGGGCGTATAATGCCTATACTTCATCCCCGGTGTGGTCGGCGCGGCTTCCAGTGCTCCATCGACGAAATCTTTCTTGTAGACTCGTAAGTTTTCCAGACCTGGTAATGTGCGGAGGTGCTCGACTGTGACCCCGCCCGGGCGAAGCACGACGGGTGGGGAGGATAGGCCGTCTAGAACGGTGCTTTCGACGCCGTATCCGCAGGCTCCGCCGTCGATAATTAGCGGCACGCCGCGGGTCGCGAGGTCGGAGAAGACGTGGGATGCGAGGGTTGGCGACGGGCGGCCGGATGTGTTTGCCGATGGTGCCGCGAGTGGGAACCCGCACGCGTCGATGAGTGCGCGTGCGATGGGATGTGACGGAAACCTCACCGCGACGGTTTCATGGCCTCCCGTGACTTCCAGAGGCACGTTTGGGCCACGGGGCAAGAGGATGGTGAGCGGGCCGGGCCAGCTTTGTTTTATGGCCTCGTGGTATATTTGCGGGATGTGGGGGTTGGAGGGGGGTAGGATGAGCTGTTCGATCATGGCGAGGGAAGAAACGTGGAGGATGAGGGGGTTGTCGCTCGGGCGGCCTTTGGCTGCGTAGATGGAGCGAACGGCGGTGGGGGAGAGGCCGTTGGCGGCGAGGCCGTAGACGGTTTCGGTGGGGAAGGCAACGACGGAGCCGGTGCGGAGGAGGGAGGCGGCGTTATGGATTGTTGAGTGGTCGAAGGCGGATGTGGGGGTTGGTGGGGGGTGGTCGGTGCGGGTCGGGAGGGGTTTGCCGTCGGAGTAGGGGTCGGCGGTGAAGAGGAAGGAGTCGGGGTTTACTACCAGGCACTCGCATTGGGCTGTTGTTTCGGCCGGCGGTGCTGACCCGCTGCTACTCCCCTCCGCCATGGCCGTCGGATACTGCACGTTATCCCTTTGCTGTGCTGTGTCGCTGGTATCGTTGTCGTCGATTGCAACCCGAATTCGGGAGGTGTGAGGTTGGGAAAAAAAACGAGGGGAGTTTGTCACTGGCGCGTTTGCCTTCGAAGAATAAATAGTGAAAACACTTCACCTCGACCCGACATTGGGCCAACAAACCTCAGAGGAACCTCGTCATGACTGCCGCAAAGAAGGCTAGCTCGAGAAAATCGTCGTCGTCGGTGGCAAAGGCGGCCGGCGGTGAAGGCCGGGGCGCCGAGTCGGCACCACCGGCAGTAGCGTCGGACAGCACTTTCCCCGACGAGCTCGAAGCCCTTCTGCAAGCCTTCGTCCGCAGCTCAACCCTTCCCCAAAAACAGCACTCCCGTCTCCTCGCAGTGCTCAAAAGCTTTTCCACCTACTTCCTCGCCACTTACCCTCAAGATAGATGGATTTCGCTCCTCGCTGCTCTCCGACAACCGACCCGCTACGCATGTCTGGTCAACAGGCACGCAGACCCGCTGGACGTGGTCAAAGCCCTTCAACAGCAGTCTCACCAGCAACGGCAGCAGAACAAAAAGGCTGAGGCTAGTGAGAATACATATACAGAGGACTCGCCCGCCGTGCAATCGCAGCTTGAATATACCCCTGTGCCATGGCTGCGTTCTTGCCGCCTGTTTGTCCTCCCGGAAGCCAAACCGGAGCCGGGAGTGCGTACGCCTAGTGTTGTGAGGCCATTCCCGCCTCCTGGGAGGGACATTCGCAACACTGCGACGCATTACCTGCTTGATTTGGCGTCGGCGTTACCTGTCGAAGCACTTGACATCCGGCCGGGGGACAAAGTGCTGGACATCTGCGCTGCCCCGGGTGGCAAATCCTTATGCATATTGCAAAGCCTTTCAGGCCCCAAAGCAGGCGACGACGGCAAACCCCTAAAACGCGGCGTACTCCACGCCAACGAAATCTCCAACGAGCGGCGAAAACGTCTCCGTAACGTCCTGCAGAGTTACGTCCCGGACGGATTCGCGGAAGCCACCAAAGACGCCAACGGGGCCGCTTTTATCCAACTCACCGGCGTCGACGGCACATCCGGCAGCTCCGACGGCGCCTTCGAAGCCGGGTCATATGATAAAGTCCTGCTGGACGCGCCATGCAGCGGGGAGCGGCATTTACTGCACGACGAGGAGGAGATGTTATCGTGGACGCCGGCGCGGACGAAGGCGAATTCGAAACGACAGATGGCGTTATTGAGGGAGGCGGTGCGGTGTGTGAAGATGGGCGGAATGGTGGTTTACGCGACGTGCTCGTTGAGCCAGGAGGAGAATGACGGCGTAGTGGCGAAGGTTTTGGCCAAGTTGGAGAAGGAGCGGGGCAAGGCTTCCGGGAAGGCGGTGGATACTGAAGATGATTTTGACGATGACGCTTTTGTGATGGAGGTGGTGAAGCGGAAGAAGAGCAAGGCGTGGCCCGTGGGTGAGAAGACGAAGCATGGGTGGATGATCTTGCCGGATAGAGATGGAGGGTGGGGTCCGATCTACTTCTCGGTTCTGAAGAAGTCGCCAATGGATCAACTTGCCATTTAAGAGGTCGTTCAAGCTGTAGGATAGTTCAATCAACATAGCTGATTATGTAGTCCTTCATATTCTTAATTCATCAAATATCGCATAGGCGATATGAGATCATACACTCCCAAAATACAAGTCGTCTATATACATGTCCACATCTTTACAAATAGAACTTCCATCCCGCAATCTACCATCCCGAACCAAGCGACATAACCAGCGCACACCCGCGCTTGATCCAGTGCGCTTGCGGTTGTTCCGTTGGCAGTTCGATGGTCAGGACGTAGTTTGTGGAGTGACCCGTCGTTGATAGTGTTCCTGGAGGTTGGTGGAGGTAGATGAGTTATATGGAATTCCGGTGAACTAGGGTATGAGGCGGGAGACTAACCTGCACGAGTCAACGTTTTATAAACGGGGCAGTTGTAGATGCCTGTTTCTGGCTTCTTCCTATTCGGTTCTGTAAAGTCAACAGATTAGCGACGATGTCAAATCAGCGAGAAGGATTTTTTTTCAGGGCACTCACTCGGCAAGATCCAGATGACAGCCATCTCGGTATACAGCTCCTTCGGCCGACTCTCCACCAAACTCCTCCTTGCCCCATCCCACCTCGCGCCCTCCAGATACAATCCACGGATATAACACCCATCCGGCGGCTTCTGGGCCACATCCTCCCACCTCGTTTCCAAAATCCTAAAGTCCAACCCAAGCGTATCAATACTCAACGTATATTTCCTCGCATAATTCTGCAGCGTGCCCGTCAAGAACGCCTGCGGGAAGAAGAAACCCGAGATCCAGAATATGGCCGGGATCCCGTTATTTATCCACCCCTGGATGAACTCGCAGCGGGACATGAGGTCGATCACCCAGGAAGAGAGGGATTTGAGGGAGGGGTAGGCTTTTGCGGCCCAGACGTGCGGGACTTGGTTGATGAAGATGGAGTTGCAGGTGAGTTCGAGGGCTTCGGACATGACGACGAGGCCTTTGAGAGCTTTGACCAATTCGACGAGGGTGGAGTGGATGGTGCTGAGGAGGCGGTTGTAGCGGATTACTTCTTGGATTAGGACCGTTGACATTCTGTGGGGAATGGGAGTGGGATTTCAGGATATGATCATGAATGTGGATGTAGATGTGGATTGACTCGATACTCACGACTCCCGGTAATCAATCGGGAACTTCTTCATCACGGCATCAATCGGGAACGGCTTCGGCACCCTCGTCTGAATCGACTCGGCCGTCTCCGCCAACAACTCCTCTCTCGTCTTCGACCCCGCACTCTTCGAGCTCTTCGGCATCAACGCCAACAGCGTATCAAACAACGTAAACGTCTCCTTCTGCGCAAACGTAATATTCGCATTCTCATGCATCGAGAATATCTCGGTTGTCTCCTCAATCGGCAGTCCCTTGACGTAGTTGCGGTACCCGTTGTAGTTGTCAGGCGGGATCGAGAAGTACACGTCGCTGGAGGAGAAGCGGTACCCGTCGTCGAGAACCTTAGGGTTGCAGAAGTCTTCGAGGATGTTCATGATGAGACGACGGTCCCAGTCGTCGGTGACGCGGCCGCCGTAGTTGATCTCGCCGACGGTGTATTTGAGCACTTTGAATGGGACTTCGTCGTATTCTTCGAGGAACATGTTGAGTTGGCGGATGCAGATTCGCATGTCGCCGCTGGTGGGGATGGATCATGGATCGTTAGCATCGCACATACGCATGGATAAGGTTGTCCAGGGGTATGACGACTTACTCAGTAAACTCATAAGGAATATTGAAACCAAGACTGCCAAACTTCCTCCTTTCCTGCGCAACCGCATGAAAGAACGATATCGAAAACAGCAACTTCTTCCACTCCCTCACTTTCGCACAAGAGTTCAAATAATCATCATTGAACGTCGCATACGTCCTCAGCAAGTTCGCCTTAATGCCATTGGGCGGTTCCAAGGTCGTCTTGACCCCGTTCTGCAGGATACTGACCGGGAATTTGGGGGTCGGCATGGATGTCAGCCAGATTCGGAAATCGCGATGCACACGGTCGGGCGTCATCCCGTCGATGATGCGGTCGAGGGTGGGCATCCAGGAGGGGGCGAGGTGGCAGTTTTGGAGGAGGATCCAGAGCCCGCGTTCCATGCCTTCCTTGATCAGGACCTCGGCTTTCGGGCCCTGGCCCTGTCCAAGTGAAACGGCGTTCAGTTTCTTGCTGAACCGCATCTCCTCTGCGAATTTGAACAGCGAACTAGCCGGGTCAGCTCCGGGCGAGAGCACAAAGATGAGCGGTGTGATTGGGGTGGATTCCTTGTACAGCGCGGACAGGTCGGAGGTCTGCGGCTCGATGAACTGCTCGCCGAGCTGCGCAGCCACAAAGTCCTGTACGGCGGATGTGATCCGGTCCGGGCGGATACACCGCAACACGAGCATTTTCTGGAACTGGGTCAACGCGGTGTTCCATTTCTCCGGCAGCGGCTCCTTGTGCGGCTGCTGGCTGTCGAATATGATCTTCAGCGGTTCCGGGTCTTCCGCGAAATCTTCGTCAATCGTGCGGAAGGTGGGCAGCGACGCCAGGGTCAGGATCTGCTGCCAGCTGTTGGGGGACAGCCAGTCGGGCGCCGGGTTGGGGGTCTTGGACTCTGCGATCGTGCCCCCTGTCAGGAGGTATTTCCACTCATCCATATCGATCTTGTCATCGTTCATCAATATCCGGATGATGAGCAAGAACGAGAACAACAACTTATGCCGCTCAAACAACGATCGACACACGTTCGAGAACAATGAGTAGGTGAAGTACTCGTTGATATTCACGATCCGCTGGTCGATGTCGTCGCTCTTGTCCGAATGCGTGATCGCCGACACGAAAAGGTTCATGAACCAGTTGAGCGAGTACTGGTACATCGGGTCGATATTGGCGAGCTCGGTAATGCAGAAGAATAGGATCCGTGTGCGCACTGCAACGGGGGTGTATTTGTTACGCGTGGTGTCGATATCCTTCTCGGTTTGTTCGGCGGCCGCGACCTTACGCGAGATCTCTTCGGATGTTTCTTTGGAGGCGCCAAGGGTGTCGATGAGCCGTTCGTCGTCGACGGGACTTCCCTGGACGGAGGAGAGAAGGTACAGGATCTTGTCCTCGATGTCTTTGAGCTCGCGTTTCATTTGCGCGTTGTTCATGGTCAGCTGGCTTTTGGCTTCTTCCAGGTCTGGGCGCTCGTTTGCGACGACGATAGCGAGTAACTGGTCTTCGAGTCCGCTGGCGGCTAGTGTGAAGTTGAGGATCGTGACGGTTGCGCTGATTTCAGGTGAGTAATGCGGGTTGGGGAGGTTTGTGGTGATGTAGAAGCGGAAATCGTCGTGGTAGGGTAGGATGCTGTCTCCAATCTGGAAATAGAGATCGTGAGCATCTGAGCAATCGAATCTGACTACATTGAGAGCATCAGTGGTACCTTAATCACCGTGCTTCCTCCCTGTTTGAACGTCTGCTTCAGCAATATCGGCTCCAAAGCCGGATCCAACTTCTCCTGCACATTCTCCAGCAGGACCGGTTTCCCGAACCGAATAGCATTCTCCAACGTCCGCAAGAAGTCTTTATCCGTCAACTTCACGATATCAAGCGTGTTGTCCTTCTCCATATTACGGATCCACTTATTCGCCTGCCCCTGCGGATCGATCAGCAACGGCCATCGTCTCGAGTTCTGAACAATGATGGCATTATCCCGACTCAGGGAGTCTTTAGGAAGACCGCTAAGCTCCCATTCACGCACTTTGACATGATCGCCCAGCGAGTCGTAAAGCGATATCCCCTCCGAATGCGGGATTTTGAACCGGAGCAGGCTCCCGGTCCATTCTGACATGAACCAGGCGCGGTACTCTGCCGTGAAGGGGCCGAGGTAGGCGATAGCACCTGAAGCGAGCAAGATGTCCCCAATCACGTTGGTGATCTTTGTATCCAGCTGTTCGATCGTCAGGGCCCACCGCTGCTTCTCCCCGCCTAAACCTGAGATGAGCTTGCCCGCACGGGACAATTTGACGTTACATTCCTCGACTTTCCGGGACAGCTCCTCTTTCTTCGCGACGGACTCGCTGAAGCGTTTCTCCATCTCGCGGATGTTGATTTCAGATTCGCGCATCTTCTTCTTCAGTTCGCCCAGAACTCGTAACGTCTCGTCCAACGAGTCCTGCGCCTCCTTCAAACGGGCACGCTTCGGCTCCACGGATCGGGACACGTAGTAGTACTTCTCCATGGCTCGCACCCAAGCACACATTGAGGTAGCGGCCTTGGAAACGCGGGAGATGACGCTAACCTGGAAATCTGGGGAGTCGATGTACGGTTTGATCTTCTGGATCGTTTGCTCGGAGATATTATCCTTGTCAAAGTTGATCAGACCGTCCAAGAACCTTTGTGGTTCTGCCAGCAACTGCTTTCCGGGCTCCCAGTAATCGTCTACTTTTTTGCCTGGCTTGTCTCCATCGATTTTCTTGGGCTTGATGGCTTTCATGATGCATACGGCTTCGATGACGAGCTTGACACCTTCTGGCGGCCGTTGCATGGAACGCACTTCAATAACGTCGTTCTTCGAAAGGGAATTCAGAGATTCAAGGGCAGCGTCAAGAGCAGGCAGAGCCTCGTCCAGATCGCGCTTGGCATCGTCAGCAATCGCTTTCGTTTCCTCAGCCTTCTTATTGGACGCGGCCTCCTCGACTGCCACATTCGCACGAATCTCCTCGGCAACGACCTTGTCAGCGGCAATCTTCTTCATTGCGTATTCCGTTTCCTGACTGGTTTGCAACAGCATGGGCTGCATCGCCTCGAGCTCTTCTTGCAGAATCTCGACCTCCTTCGTCGCGTTAAGCAGCTTTTCCAGACCTGTCGCAGTCCGCTTGCGAAGGGCAAGGAGCTCGTTCCTCTTCTTGTCCAGCAGGCCCCTATATAATCCAAGCAGCTCAAGATACGATTTGGGTGTAACGTAGTTATTCCGATTGAGTTCAGCTTTGTAGTGGATGCAGCGTTGGCGAACAGACTCGTGCATAACAACGCAAAGATTGACGATTCCATCAATGACCTGCTCAGACCCCAAGTCATTGATTTCAGCAACGGAGTTGGCCGCAACGCTCCTCAGCGCCTCTTCCGGCCATGTGGAGAACCAGTCGATCGTGCAGCAGTTGACCAAACTGGGGAACATACGCAGCCGAGTTCGGAAAGCATCGCCGATGGGACTCATGCAGATGATTAGATGCAGATTAGCTTTGACTCGGGAGATGTAGAGGGCGAAGAGATTTTCGCGGGTAGGCGAGATGGCCAAATCGTTGGCAATCGGTCGCATGCCGTTCAAAATTCGATCTGTTTCCTCGCCCGTGTAGATGTTTGGCACGTCGCCGCCGTTGAGAAGATTGTTCACATCCTCGACGCAGCTTTCGGATATAATCTGCGTATCGGCGTACAGGAATACAGTCGGCTTGGCTTCCAAACCTGAAGCAAAAAGAACTTTCTTCAAATCCTCTTTCCATTCCGTCTGACCGTAACTCTTTGTGATCTCAATCTGGAAGATGTTGTATTCTTCCATGAATGTCGCAAGTCGACTCAAGCTCTGCCTTCCGCTACCTCCGACACCGAGCAAAAGCGCGTGGCCGCCCGGTTGTCGAATGATCCTGCATATCCGACTGACATGCTCAATGGCGTCCAAGAACATCACGAGCCTCATGGGACTCGTGGTGGTACCATTGTAGTCATCAAGGTATTCTTCAGAAAGCTTCACCAGCCGTTTCATGTCCTTGATTTCTGTATAAATCTTGGGATCTGCTCCGGGAGTGAGGTAATCTCCGTACAAGAGTGGTTCAGTGGTGACCACATCCGAGTAGTCCATTCCGATGCTCTGGGTCATCGATTCTTTGACCAAGCTTAAGAACCAGCTCTTGTCAGTGTTGTCGACCAGACGATCTTGGAAAACGCGAAGGCACTCATGTACCCAAAGCCGTACGATATCCGCTGAGCTAGCAATAGACTTCTGATCGGCACTCAACACACCCAAGACCACCTTGGCAAGATCGCGCAAATTGAATGTGTAGTGAGACTTTGCTGGTGTTGGAAGGAGCTCGGCTCGGATGGTGTTGTAGATGTTGATGGACGCGGACACAATGGGGGTTGTCTGCTTTTGTATATCCGGCGAGAATCTGTTAAGGAAGGACCCAAGGATCGTGCCAAAGATGCGCTGAAGCGAGGGGTTGTCCATCTCCACATAGCTGAACAGATTGAAGTGTCTCGTAAACCGTTGAGTAACTGGATTGCGACCACCTCCCGGCGGCCCCATGGCGCAGACGAAGGTGATGTCGACTATCTCCATGAATTTGCCGACATTTTTCCTGTCGTACCAGCCTCCGCAGTCCATCCATTGCCGTAATAGTTCAACGGCGGGCTGTGCACCACAGAGGTCCAAGGCAGGCATGTTCAAATCGTCCACGAACACCACGTATTTCTTGCCTACCGGAGGCCCAAACACACCCTTCCGACGCTTCTCCATCTTGCTGTCCATCAAATCTTGCGTCTGGTTGGCTCCGGTGCGAGCAGAGAAATTGAATATTAGCGGCATAACGGATACCTCGCCTCCTCTCAGGATCTTGTCTTGAACGGTCACCGTTTTCCCCGTTCCAGTCGGACCTGTGGTCAGAACATGGCATCCGTTGTTCAACAGCAGATGAAGGAGGTACGAGTTCCGGACTGTATCCAGGGTCGGAATAATCGTTTCGCTTGGGTTCGCTTTGGGGGTCATCTGGAATTCAGGAACCGAGGACATCCAGCCGGTCCACGCCGCTTTTTCCAGGTCGTACACGTAGTCGTAGACCAGCCCTGCTTCAGGCAGAGGAATGGCGGCTGGTCTTTCCTTCAGAGCTTCTCGCATCCAGTAATCGAACTTTTCCCGTCCGACCCGGTCGGTGGTGGCGCCGAGAGACCAAATGAATGAGAAAAGGAAGAAAGGCTCGATGGTTTGTACGAAGTGATTCGTCTGATCGGCGGCCTGGGAACATAAAGACAGTCGAATGAGTAAATCACCTTCTCAACAACAAATATGTTCATCGCCATCACTTATACTTACCGGTGCAGGAGTCGCTGCGGTCCCCTCGGTCTCCTTTGGCAACGCCGTCTGAATGAGACAATGCAGGATCTTCATCAAGCTCGTCGCAAGATGTCCATTGGTGGTCGGCACTCCTTCCTTCAAGTTCTTCCTCATGTACACAAGTCCGTCAGCGAGCCAGTAATCAAACAACGGCTGAACAGCAGCAGGGAACACACTGGCCAGCGCAGGTGGCATCCCGGCTTCCTCCTTTGCGATCCAGCTCTTGATAAGCGGGTCGATCCCTAAGGCTTCCGGCTCCATATAAATCATCCCGCACCGTGACACGGTGGCCGGAGAAGCATAGGCGAGATCTTGAACCTCAAACATCATGGTTTGTGTAGATGCCATCTTGATGATCTCTCCACTGGTCAGGCATAGCTTTTTATTGTCGTCAAGCAGCGTGTTCATGGTTTCGACCCAGACTGCATCGACAGGCCCGTCAAATATGTACCACTTTCGATCTGGTGTGGTATCCTCCACACCTTCCCTCATCAACGCAGAAAGGATCCCGTCGGACCACTCATGCGTTTGCTGGTCGAACTCTCCGTAAAGTTGACCCATAGTGATAGACTTCGGGTTCAGCACATGGATGCGGACCTTCTGGAAGGTGGTGTTATTCGGCGCTTTGATTCCTTGCAGACTGCTCAAACTCCGCGCCAAAACTCTTGAACAGCTAGTCTTTCCTCCGCCTGGAGGTCCGACCAACATGAGACCGTGACGCACGATAGTCGTCTCGTACAGCTGAATGCATTTGCTGATGAAAGACTCCTCCGGCTGCAGACCCATTTTATTGCAGCTTGTATGAAGCGCCTCAAGCAAGTCTCCATAGTCGATTTTGGGCAGCTCAATGCCCGGAAACAAATCGCTGATGATGCCGTTGAATAGTGGTACATCGTCCGCGAGGAATTTCGGCAAGTTGCAGTCCACGAGCGCCCGCAACATGATGATGTCCTCCGGCCCATTCGGATCCGTACGCTTGAGGTTTCCAGCAGCGGAGATGACGGACTTTACTGCCCGCATACCGAAATCGTAGTGATCTTGCGATGATAACTGCTCCGAGCTCAGTTTGAAGGTAGCCACCATTTTGTCGGCCAACACTTGCGCATTGCTGAACCCGAACGAAAACAGAGAGATCTCGCCAATCATGGCGTAGTTGGGAATCATCATAGCAACTGGGCGGAACAGCGCCTTCAAGTTGTCAGGCAACTCGGTACGACCAGCGTACCCAGGGTTCATGGTGATGAAGATCGCATTCGTAGGGTCCAAGGGCAAGTCCACGCCCTCAAACATGAATCGTGTGGCTCCCATTGCAGCGGCCTTCTGAATCGTCAGGATTTGCTGTGCAACGACACTGAGCACCTCGATATCAATACGGTTGAATTCGTCAAAGCAGGCCCATGCACCGCTGGATGCAAGTCCTTTGAAGAATTTCGCCATAGCCAAATAGTCCAGCTGGTCAGAGCAGTTAAACACAACACATTGCTTGGCGAGAGCTTTGGCGAGGTCCTTGACCGTCTCCGTCTTTCCGGTACCAGCAGGGCCGGCCGGAGCACCTCCCATTCCCAGATGCATCGCGCCGGAAAGCGTCAAGTAACATCTATCAGTGAGCGGAGTGATGACTAGCCGCCCAGTGTTACCCAAGTACTCATAGCCGTATCGGAAGTTCGCATTGACGATTTTCACCCGCAGGTCATCCTCTTCCCAGTAGTATCGAAGCTGACTGATCCACTCAAAGTCATTTTCGTTGGACACATTGGCGTCGACAAGCTTCTTGACCACGTCACGACTATGCACATCAATGACGATCAAATCGCCAAGCACAAGTCTGTTGAGGAAGGGCAGCTCTCCCCTGACCAAGCCGACCAGTCCGTCCAACTGAGTTAGGAGGCGCTGGTATAGCGCTTTCACGGTCCCGGTCTTGATGGCTTCCGTAACCTCCTTCGTCCAGTAGGTTTGCGAACACGCGATGACCGACTGCCCAGGCCAGTCCAACACCCAAGCCGTGCGTGATTTGGTGTGGTATGAAGCGAGCCCATCGATGATGACCCTCTTCACACTCTTGCGCATCTGATCCTCCACCTGCAGGAGCCATCCCTCGACGGGTCCTTTGGGATAGAAAGGCTCCGCGACCATGATTTTCTCCCCTTCTGCAGAATAGATGGCCACGATGCGGTTGTCCGGCTCGAATTCGAGAGACGCAACGTTTTCGAAGCATTTGCGTAAATGCGGCTGCACGGCGGTAGGGTCTTTTGTCTGCGATAGGATCTGCAGCAACTCGTCGTCGCTGAGGAAAAAGAATCGCGGGAAGGCGATACGTTTGCTTTCGAGGTACGCCGATAACCCTTTGGCGACGAGTTCAAGTAGCTTATTGCATTCGCGGAAGGAGTCGAGAAGCTTGTAATCGCTGCAAAACTCAATTACGCCCGGTTTCGCTTTTGCTTGAGACATAATGCGGCGCCATGTCCTGTCCATTGTAGTGAACCGCTTGCTTTCGGCTGGTAGCTGCGTAACGATATCGTCACTGCTGAAGATGGGTTCGAGGTAGAGCCATGAGCGCTGGCATGCCATCCACGCTTCGACCACTTCTTGCACGGTACGCAGCTTGTTTTCCCATAAGGCTATCCTATCCGCGAACGGCTTCTTGTAAGGGCTAAAGCTCATGCTTTGCGTCATGACAAGATGATCATCCAGCAACCGCAGCACTTCGTCGGAAATCTTCATGATAGCGGTGCCAGTGTCTTTGTATGCAATGATCTCCAAAGCAATGGACTTCCACTCGTTGTCCATCTTGTCGAGCGCCGCCTCGATGGAGTATTCCTTTCCGGCGGTATCGCACACTTTCGTGATAGTGTCAACACGCTCAAGCAGGTTCATCTTCAGGATGTCCGTCAAGGTGAGTGACGCATCCGGTCGCAGCTTGGTGCCCATCTCTTCATTCAAGCGATCCCAGTGGCGGTCTCTCATTCCTGGGTTTCGAAGGGCTTGTATGAGGGGCAGATTGGGCTTGAAATCGTCCATTTCTTCCTTCATCTAGAGAGTATCGTGCTCATCAGATCATGTATTCCCGTATGCAAACTTCCGTTCAGATCTTACCTGCATAGCAACAGCCAAGCATCCCGGCTGGCTTTTAAATGTCTTGACACTCTTAAACATGACCCTCCAAGCGTTCATCAAGTTCTTCTCGACATCCTCTGCATTCAAGTCCAAGAAACTTCCGCTCAGCCACTGCGTCCTCCACTTTGTCCAATCGGCCGCGGTCAGCCACAGGTTCTTATAAGGCTCAAAGTCCTTGCCAAGCTGCGAGACCTCGTCATAGTGTGTAACTTCCAGGTTGAACAAGCGCTCTCGGCTGTTGAAGAGCGCCGCAAGGTTTTGGCATTCTTTAAGCTCCTGGCTCGTTTTATGCACCTCCAATGCAATATCCGCGATCTTCCCAACATCGGAATGCTTGCTGAAGTCGACGATAATGGTGCTCAATGTGTGCACGCGCTCTTTGAAGATCTCCTGGTCAGCAGCGAGGTTCTTGAGGAAGGTCTGCTCGTCGGTCTCCAGCGATGTTTCGGTCTGCTTGATCATCTCATCAACGCGCATGGGCCATGTGTAGGCCTGCCACTTGGCTCGGAAATCCTCGTTTGAGAGCTCGTGTCTGTACTTCTCGAGGACGTCATAGTATTGCAGCATCTCGGTGATGCGTGAGTGTTGCATGCGGACGGTTTCTGGGATGGTGCGCATGTACTCGCGAAGCTCGGTGAGCTCTTCGATCTTCACCGGCCTCTCTTTCAGTTTCGACTGGATGGTGTTGAATGTCTGCGAGACGTTTTGGGCCAGTTTGGCTGCTCGGCGGCTGAGAATATCCAGGATGACTTTGCTCAGATCTTTCTTCATCGCGGTTCGGATGCTTTCGCAGCTCACCCAGAACAGGCCGAGCGAGATATGGCTCGGCACCTCCTTATCCAGCAGCTCCCATTCTTTTGCGTGCCGCGCAATGTCCTTCTCCATGTCCTCGACACTGTGCTCCTCTGCCTCATACTCCTGCGAGTACTGGGCGAGATCCAGCGTGAGTAGCTTCATGTGCTTGTCGTACTGACGGTAATACTTCTCCAGTGGAACCAACCCAGCCCTGATCGCGTGCAGCAGACTCTTCCTCAATCGTGAGATAGATGGGTCCCTCGCGCTTGGGGTCTGCAGCGTAGGTTTCGCTGCCCAAAACATTTGGTCCAACACCAGCGGCTCGAGCTCAGGCAAGCCCTCCACAGTCGTCAGCGACTTGTCAAAGATGGACATCAACACCGTCTCAAAGTGCTGGAAATCAAGATTGTACTGCAACTTCCCATTCCGGAACACCAGATCGAGGGCAAAAAGCGGTCGCCGGGCCCCAATGTCTCCATTCGCAAACTTCGCCGGCCCTTCAGCGTCCAGAATCTTTACATCGTTGGTTCCAGCAATGATGACTTTCTGGTTTGTGACGTTGCTCACGAGTCGGACGAAATCCTTCAGCGAGTTCAGCACGAGAAACCGAAGCGAGTCTTGCATCACGAATTTAACGGTTATCATCAGCTTCTTGAGCTTACTGCCGTTGTAGACTTCGAGATTGGTTTCTTTCATGTTGTACCATCCCTTGCCGACCTCTTTGAAGCCGTTCTTCAACGCTGTTTTGTTCGCAGGTACCCAGCTACATGGGACCAACTCGTGTTCAGTGGCATAAAAGCATCGAGACACAACTTGGCCCGTCATCTCACCTGTCTTTCAACGAACTCTTCACAGTCTGCAGATTCTGGTTCTGCAACGTCTCAAACTCATCCAATCGCATTGTTTTGGTGATGTTTGTGACAATCAGGTTCATGCTCATCAGCCTATCCGCCTCCACGCGTATTCTGGAAAAGGTGCGCACGACTTCCAAGCTGCTGAGGAAGGTGGAGAAGCTGAAACCCTTCTTCTGCTGTGAAAATTCGTATGGCGGAACCTCTGGTATTGATGTTCTATGATCATGAAAATTGAGTATCTTCCACACATATCCATATAGGTGCGACCGGATGTCGTACCTCGAAAATGCATCTCCATCCTTATTTGCTGGCAAAGCGACGGCTCCATATTGTCCCCGACCTTTTCCCCGGGTGACCTACATCAGAGTTAAAGTCAGCAAAATAGAAGAGCACGACGCACATCACCTGCTCACGTTACCTCAACATCAAACAGCTGCTTGTTCATGGCGCGGGCAAAGTCTCCTCTGATCTCTTCCATAATATGATCAACGGATGCCTTTCCGGGCGCTTTTTTATCGGTTGCTTTCCGCCCTTGTGCAAGCAATCCGATGCGCGATAGCTGCGCCCCCGGGATCTGCAAGGACTGCTCCATGGGCATGCAGTCGATGTAGAAGCTGTATTGCTGTTGGTGAAACTTCATGTTTAGGGAAAGCATGCGCGAATGGCGCACACGAGATGGTTCTCACCAACGATCTTGCAACTTCTTCCCGCAGTCGATAAGCCGCCGCGACTCGTTGTGCGAAGATGAAGGGATCTTCCGCAAGGAACAGCAAGTTGATTCTAACCAAGAAATGGCACAACAAACGGTGAATAAGCGCATATGCCGCCGAACCCTCCATCGCGGGTGATCCCAACAAAAAGCACACAACTACCGATGAATCCACGATTCCTTCCTCGTCGCCGCCCTCAGCGCGCCAGCATGAAACTCATCCTTCTCATCGCCCGATTCCGAATCATCCTCCCCATCGTCATCAGGCTCCTCCGCATGGTCGCCATCTTCAACATCCACAATCCTGTTATACGCCCACCCGCTGATGTTCCGCCAGCGGACCTTCCACAGGTTGGTTTTCTCGTTGTATCCAAGCACGAAGCAGTGCCGCCAGTACGTCCCGTTGAAGGCCTGCGCCGGGACAGGGATGGTGGCAAAGCGTGTTCCGTCCGCCGTCACGGGCGGGGCTGGGGTGGCTTTCCGCGTTACGTTCTGTTGGTGTCGCTGTTCGGTGGCTGCGCCGTAGGTCTCCATATCTAGCCATTCGGAGATATCGCGCGGTTCGAATTCCGCGTTATCAAATCTGTCGAGCGGCAGGAAATCCGCAAGTTCTGATGCGTCTTGCTTGCTCTGCCCGTCCGGCGTGACATCGGCATCGCCGCCAGCAGCAGCTGCTGGTTTCTGTGTTTCAACACCCTTCTCCTCATCCAGCTTTTTCCGCGTCTCAGCAATCGCCTGATCAATCAGCTGGGCAATGTTCTGTTTCGAAAACAACCTCTTCTTCCGCTCGATCTCGATCCGTCTCGGAATCTGCCCAGGCCGAGACTGAAATGGCAGCATCACCTTTGGCTGCATCGCTTTGGCATAGTCCGATGGCTTGAACCGGCGCTGTGTGGGAGGAGCTGATTCCCCCGAGACAGGCACATCAGCCCCACCCTGTGCAGCACCTGCAGCGGTGTCCTGCTTCCCCGCAGCCCCGACGAGCCCACCTCTCGCCAAACCATCTCTCGCCACCGCAGACCGCCCTGCAGCACGAGGCGGCCTCTGAAATGACCGGGTAGTCGGCAATCCAAACACTACACTTTCGTTTTCGACTGCAGGTGGGGGTGCGTCGAGCTCCTCATCGTCGATGAATTCCTCAGGTCGGACGGCATATTCGCTGAGCATGCCAGATCTACGCAGGTGGACGGGCACATCGGAGAGCTGTGGCGTGCCCTCACGCCCGCCTGCTACCGTCTGTTTTGCATTACTTGCTGCTCCTGTATTCTGGTTGAGGGACTTGTGGAGTGCCGACGTATCGCGCATCCGGGACCGTGAGTAGGGTTGCAGTTGGGGTCTCGGAAGCAGGCAAAGTAAAAGCGGCGATACTAGATGTGGGCAGTCTCAAAGCAAAACGAAGTATTTTGTGGTTTCAATAATTGCGATGACCCCTCAATACGCCTTACAAATATGCAGTAAGTATGGTCAGATCAAGGGTCCTCCTAGCAGCTGCCTTCAAAATGCAGCTTCCGAATTGAACGGCGCGGAAACAAGCGCGTCCCGTGACGTAAGCATGCTCCCAAACTTTCGACAGCAGTTTTCCCGTCAGACGGAAACTGACAAGCTTAACCATGCGTCTCTTTTCCGTTTTCGTTTCCGTCTGCCGTCGCCTTGATGCGAAAGTGATCCCCACGTTTCGACCGGAGTTTTTGTCTTTAAGCATGGCATATATCGCGTAAGCATAGAGAGCCAGTGTGTATATCATATTCTTTAGAGGCGCCAAATGGACCGCCACTCAAAGTGGATAGATATCGTTGACGGTTGAGGTTGTCGCCTTGTTTGAAAAGTAGGCCTGTTAAGTGATTCTTGGACGAGAGCCCGGCTTATACACAGCAGGAAGCGGTGTATTCGGGACTTTGCCCAATTTCGCCCCTTGCTGCTGCGTGCAACGGTGCTGCCTGAACATCAGCACACCAATATTCAACACGAACCGGGATCTCTGAACGCAACCAGTCTTCGATCCGCAAAACGACTGCATAGTCCCCGCAACAATAAACAACACCGAAAACCGCGGGCATCATGACAAGCTCACCCTCCGCCGCGAACACGCGGGCAGTGTTCGCCGTGTTCGAAAAGTACCAAAAAGAGCGACTGATGTTCGTGCAAACCGTCGCGGACCTAGCCTCCCGCGAAACCAACATCGAGGCTCTGCAAGGCGCGGGTGTGATGTCACTTCTGCGCCCGTTGCTGCTGGACAATGTGCCGGCGATCCAGCAGGCTGCGGCGCTGGCGTTGGGGAGATTGGCGAATTATAATGAGGAGATGGCGCAGAGTGTGGTTGATTCGGATATCTTGCCGCAGTTGGTTTATTCGTTGAGTGAGCAGAATGTGAGTGGGGGGGCGGGGGGCGGGGGGCGTGGATGCGGGTACCTCCCTTTCAGAATTTATCCAGCGCTTGGGACGGGTTTCAAAGGCAACATCTCGTTCGGAACAACACCCGCTAACAAACATCCCCCTTCGTCTCCCATCCCAGCGCTTCTACAAAAAAGCCGCAGCCTTCGTGCTCCGTGCCGTAGCCAAGCACTCCCCAGACCTCGCGCAATCCGTCGTCGACTCGGGCGCGTTGACGGCGCTCATCAGTTGTCTTGAGGAGTTTGACCCGGGGGTCAAGGAGTCTGCTGCTTGGGCGCTGGGATACATTGCTCGTCACAGTGGAGGTATGATGATAATATCTGTGTTGCTGGGCGAGTTGAACGCTGAACATTGTCTTGAAAATGGTGGTGAACAGAATTGGCACAGGCGGTGGTGGACGCGGGAGCGATCCCGTTGCTCGTGCTGTGCGTGCAGGAGCCGGAACTCTCGCTACGACGGATCGCGGCGTCGGCATTGAGCGATACCGCGAAGCATTCGCCGGAGGTATGCGTTCACTTCCCCATCCCACTTTGGGCTTTCTTACAAGCACCTTGATTGAACCCCCCCACTCGCTCTCTAACCTCTTTCAAGCTCGCCCAATGCGTCGTCGACGCCAACACGGTCCCGATCGTCGCGCCCCTCCTCGCCAACCCCGACGCCAAGCTCCGGCGCCAAGTGTGCTCCGCGCTGGCGCAGATCGCCAAGCACACGGTGGACCTGGCCGAGACGGTCGTGGACGGCGAGATCTTCCCGAGCGCGCTGGATTGCTTGAAGGATGTGGATGGGTATGTCAAGAAGAATGCGGCGACGCTGGTGTGCGAAATTGCGAAGCATACCCCGGAGGTAGGGGAGAGTCTGCGGGGGTTTATGGTGTTTTCTGCTGGGTTTGTTTTTTGTTATAACTCATCATTTACTTGATATTTTCCACCATCCCACCAGCTCGCGCAACTCATCGTCAACTCCGGAGGGATTGCGGCGGTTGTGGACTATGTCAACGAGACGCGCGGCAATGCTCGCTTGCCGGGTATCATGACGCTGGGCTACGTCGCTGCGTTCTCCGAGACGCTTGCGCTGGCGGTGATTGTTGCGAAGGGCGTTCCGCCGTTGACGCAGGCGTTGGTGATTGAGGGGGATGAGCATATCAAGGTATGATGTGGATTAAAACCTGTTCTGCGTGCGGATGGAGCTGGTGTGGACAGGAATGCTGGACTGGAGGAGAAAGCATCGAGCCCATCGTCGGATTTTTAACCCTGTATCCCTCTCCAACAAAACGAAAAACAGGCAGCATGCGCCTGGTCCCTCGGCCAGATCGGCCGGCACTCCCCCGACCACGCCAAAACGCTCGCGGACCACGCCGTCCTCTCCAAACTCCTGCGCATCCTCACCACGACCTCCTCCCCCTCGGACGACGCGTCGTCCACAACCGCAGGCGCCGACCTCAAGACCAAAACCAAACGCGCGCTCAAATGCATCCTCGAAAAAACCCTCGCGATCGAAGCCCTCGACCCGCTTCTGCAGCCCCAGACCACACCGGCGAATATCCTCAAGTACGTCGTCGGGCAGTTCGCCAAGATCCTGCCGCACGACGTGGGTGCGCGGCGCGCGTTCGTGATCAATGGCGGGTTGCAGCGCGTGCAGGAGATTGCGGGGATCTATGCGGGTGGGACGGGCGTCGGGGTGCCCGGGACGTTGGCGCAGCAGGTGGCGATGAAGGAGGGGGCCGCGGGGAGTGGGAACGGGTTGGCGGGGACGAAGATGGGGGAGTATATTAGAGCGATTAATCAGTGTTATCCGGAGGAGATTGTGAGGTATTATTCGCCGGGGTATTCGACGACGTTGTTGGAGAAGGTATGTTATTTTAGATATGTTCTTGTTGTCTGTTGTGGATTGCTGATCTGAAAACCTTTGCTTTGCAGATCGACGAGTACAGTAAGCAACAGGACCACGCAGCCACCGCGAACGCGCAACCACAGCTCCCCAAACTGCCTTCAACCGACCAGCTGCAGACCACCACGCAGGCTCAGGGTATAACGGCATAACAGCACGGACGTCTTCCTCCATCTTCATCCAACGGATACTACCCAATGTCCTCCCAGCATTTACAAACCCGCCCACCCGTCCCTTTCGTGCGCAAGACACATTAAACCCCGTATAGCCAATGTTCCGATAAACGTTTTTCTTATGGACTTCGAATGAGATAATGGTCTGATTTCAGCACTGAAGAGGAAATATGAGGTAGATTGTTGAAGTGAAAGTACTGAGTGGCGCTGCTTTGAAAAAAGCCTGCCGTGTGATGCGATGCATTACTGTAAGAGATTGGGGTGAAGTTGGTGATGATACGGGTTCTGTTCTGAAAGCATGTTCTGAAGACGTGTGCGATTGTTACGAGGGTAGTGAGCGGTGGGAGGGTTATTCCCCCACCAGACGAAACATTGTCCGTTCACCATCCTCTGCTTTTGGTGAACTTCCATTGTATTACCGTGCCGATGAAGGCGATGAGCACCATCGAGCCGAGCATGAGGCCTACTTGCCAAGTCAATCTGAACGGATGAAAACAGCGAGCGGTCAGTGCAAAAGCGATGAAAACGTCGAGCATCAAATCGAATACTCACACGAAACTCGTATGACTATAATTCTCCGGCTTGACCAGAAACGCGCCAAAACTCTCCACAAGCCCCGTCCTCACAAAACAGTCAATGCCAAACATCAAACTATAAGCCCCCGCGATACTCGTCGCAACAATCAATGCCCGTTTCTGCAAGAAGCCCGCCGCAAACAACCCGAGGCCGGTGGTGATGGCCAAAAGGATGATACGACCATTTGATGAGTCGATGATGCCCCCGCTTTGCCAGGAGAGGAGGAACATCCCGAATAGGAAGCCAGCGCCGGCGCCGAGGAAGACGATGCCGAGACGCCAGAGACAGATGGCGAGGCCGCCGCCGACGACGCCGCAGGCGAGGGACCCGAGGAGGATGGTGGTGGAGTGGTTGGGGTAGCCGCTGGAGGGCTCGACGTTGACGAGGATGAGGTAGCCAGCGAGGGCTGTGGGAGGGGTTTGAATGGGATGGGTGGGGAGTGATGGGATGGGTGGGGGGACGTACCGGTGATGAAGAACCCGGCGCAGAAGAGGGTGAGTTTCCATAACCGCTCGCCTAGAAGCAGGAGGTAGACGCCGAGAGCGATGGTGATGGCGCCTAGGACAGCGCGCTGGGCGACGAGTTCGCCCGCATGGCCGAAGCCATTCAGAACTGGAGGAATGAACGTAGATGGGGGACTTGAACTTTACAGTTTTCTACATCGTTCGAGCATTATGAGACTCACTGTTATCACTCGTCGAGTTTTGTGCAGCGGCTGGCGCTGCGAGATATAGGAGGGCAAAAAGCAGCAGAGCCAGCCGGCGCGGACCGACGGCGAAAGTAGGCCGAGCAATCATGGATTGGTGTTTATGTGTTACGAGAATGTATGAGGAAAGGTGAAGATCAGACGTGTCAAGGATTACGGAATAAATCCACTTGTACAGAGGGGATTCGCGTTTGCGAAAGGAATGCCGGTCTTAAATGAGGAAGCTTAAATACTGTCGGAAAGGAATGTTCTCTACAGATTAAGCCATTGACAGAAGATGTCTTGGCGCAGACGGACAAGTAATAAGACTCGGGACCGCGAAGACGAGGCTGTGAGTGAAAAGGAGGTCACGGATCTGCTGCCAAGACCAGAAGACAGGGCTGTCCGAAAGGGAGATTTCGCCGCTTACGTGAAAGACGCGCTGTCAATAATCTGTCAATGCGATTTTAGGCCCCCGTCAGTCAAAAGAGGCATACCCTCCCTGATGAGAACGCAAAAGCTCCATGATGGGATGAGAAGCCGCGCGTGGGTTGAAGGAGCAAAGTGGCGCAGCAGAAGATGATGAGTCATGGGCCATGAGTCACCGCCCACTCCGCTCTCTCCCCCTCCTCCTTCTCCCTTTTCTCGCTCTCCGCTTGGTCGCCCCCCCGCAACCACCGCCGCCCCCAAAGCATATATATACCCTCTAGATCTACACTCACGCCCCTTCCTCGTACTTGCGGTCCATATCCGTCTCTCGCACTGAAAACCCCCATCCCCTCCGCAACACACCCCCAAACGCAAGGATGTCCGCCTCCCTACTCAACAAGTCCCTCGCCAGTCTTGGGGAACCTAGAGCTTCTACCCCGCAACCAGACAACACCGACGACACTCGTGTTCTTGGTTATGACCCGCTTCGTATGTATTGGAACCAGGAGGGGGGCCCGAGCGGTGGCGTGTGGAACCAGAACGCGAGCAAAGCGAGTGGAACCAGAGCGCGAGCAAAGCGAGTGGAATGCTTGAGGATGGGGCCGAAGGCCCAGGGATGCTTGAGTTCGCGAGCGAAGCGAGCGTGGGTGTTGAACTGCAAGGAGCGAAGCGAGCTGCGACCGAAGGAAGCGATCTGGGTCTGTTCAAGGCAGCCCCGCTGCGCGAGCTTTAATCATCTCGGTGATGGTTGATGATTGATGGTTGATGATTGATGGTTGATGATTGATGGTCGATGGATGATGATCGATGGCTGATGGATGATGATGGTTGATGATAGTTGCTAGTTCGCTGTCGCTCACTATTCGCCGTCGCTCATACTCGTTTTTATTCAGTCCCACCCCAAATCCTGCAAATGGAGTACCCCCTAACCCCCACAGCCATCGAAACAATCCGCAAAGGCCGCAAAGCTGCCTCCGACATCATCCGTAAATACGACGACCGTCTCCTCGTCGTCGTCGGCCCATGCAGCATCCACGACGTCGACGCCGCCATCGACTACGCCAAGAGGTTGAAACCGCTTGCGGACGAGCTGCAGGACGATTTGCTGATTGTGATGCGCACCTACTTTGAAAAGCCGCGCACGACTGTTGGGTGGAAGGGGCTTATCAATGACCCGGATATGGATGGGTCGTTCCAGATCAATAAGGGCTTAAGGATTGCTCGTGGGTTGCTTTGCACTCTGGTAAGAGAACCCCCCGCTTTCATACATATTGGGGAAACATCACCCTAAACCCCATGTCTCCTTCGGTAGTCCGACCTAGGCCTCCCAGTAGGCGGCGAGCTCCTCGACACCATCTCCCCGCAATTTCTCGGCGATCTCCTCACATGGGGCGCGATCGGCGCACGTACCACCGAGTCGCAGCTGCATCGCGAGCTGGCGTCTGGATGCAGTTTCCCCGTTGGGTTCAAGAATGGGACGGATGGAGGGATCACTGTTGCTATTGATGCTATGACGGTATGTCTTCGGTTCATCTGGGGAGGGTTACTTTGTTGCTGATACCGACATGTCCACTCTCTCACGTACATGTAGTCCGCAGCAAACCCCCACCACTTCCTCGGCGTAACCAAACAAGGCCTCGCAGCCATCACAAAAACAAAGGTAAAAAAAAACACCCGTTCCACCTCCCCATCACCACCACCCCGCATCTAACCCCGTCCCCACCCACCGCAGGGCAACCCAACAACCCACATAATCCTCCGCGGCGGCACATCCGGCCCCAACTTTTCCCCCACCCACATCCACACCATCCGCACCACCCTCACAACCTCCGCCAAACCCGCCTCCATCATGGTCGACTGCTCCCACGGCAACTCGCTCAAAGACCACCGCAACCAACCCGCCGTCGCCGAATCCATCGCGTCCCAACTCGAGGGCGGTGAGAGGGACATTGTCGGGGTTATGGTCGAGAGTAATATCGGGGAGGGGGCTCAGAAGGTGCCGAAGGAAGGGCCCGCGGGGTTGAAGTATGGGGTTAGCATTACGGATGCGTGTATTGGGTGGGAGGATACGGTCAAGGTGCTGAGGAGATTGGCGGAGGCTACTGGGAAGAGGAGGAGGGCGGCGGCTGGTGGGCAATGAGAAGGCACGTTTTGCAGTGCAGGAGTTCGTTGACGCATTTGATGGGCCGGGTGTTGAATGGTCCAAAAGACGCGCATTGTAGGCTAGTTCAATCATTTCGACGGCTGTGATACATTCATCGACGCGTGCGTGACATGCGCTCTGTAACGTAGCGCAGCGGGTGTACGGGCGTACACTGTACAGTAGGCTAGCGCCGCTTACCCACCCATCCTAGCTAGACTGCCCCTATCTAGCCGCGCTATCCCCACCGTCATTGTATCTACTTGCTTTCGCTCAATCTCCATTACTTCTGTTCGTCATTAACTCACGGGTGTATGGGTGACCGCGGCCGGTGCTCCCCTCGAGCCCGGGGTCTCCCGTCTGAATGGCCACAGCCCATATATCCTCTGACTCAACGTCTCGTCCACCGTCGGCTCACCACCACGCACCGCCGTCTTCCCTCCCCCACCATCATCCGCATCATCCCGCACCCCCCTCGCCAACACACCACTCGACAACACAATCACATCCTCGCTGGCGCCGCTGCCGGTGGGGAGCAAGGACGCGACATACGCCGCCGTCGCCGCATCCACCGCCAGTGAATCTGAATCTGAATCCGAGTCGAGCCCGAGGGAGGATACGTCGATTGTGTCCAAGAACGTGTGCACCGCCGTCTGCGGAAAAAAAATAAAATCAAAAAACAAATCACCCCCACATCCACATCCCCAAAAAGGCCATCAGCCAACTCCGCCGTTCTGTAATGCATGCAATGAGAAAAGCACACTCACGTACCATGGTCGTAACACAGTACCCCCAGTGGCCCTGCGGCCTGTGGGCGAACCAGAAGCGCTGGATGTATTTAAGCGTGCTGGGCAGGCGCGGCGGGTTGGTTTTCACGACGATGTAGATGAGGAGGGGGAGGAGCATATCCGCGCCGCCTCCGCGGGTCGACTCCTCCCGGGGTTTGAAGCACGCCGTCAGCCGGTCCGCTACGACCTGGATGGCTCTCACGAAGGCGTCCAGCTTTTCGCGGGGGGTCACGGCCCGCTCGGCGGTCAGGAGCTCGACGCCCGCCCTGCGTATCGTGACTCGCAACGCCGCGCGGTCGATGGTGTCGTCGGGGAGACCCAGATGCGGCAGCCCGAAGCCGCTGACGGCCAGGAAGGCCATTTTGCGGTGTGAGCGCAGATCGTTGGTTTGTTCCTCGGCGAGGACGGAGGCGTAGAGGGGCGCGTGGGCGAGGGTGAGGGTGTAGGTGTCGATGGCGCGGACGAGGGTTTCTGTGGGTGATGTATCCGTTGGGGATGTCGGGAAAAAGAGGGTGGGTAGCGAGGCGCTACACAGTGCGCGCATCCGGTTCAAAAATGCGGCGTGTTGGGCGGCTAGTTGGTCGGACGAGAACGGGGTGGTGGCCGTTATGGCGCGTTTGACGTCGATGGCGAGGTATCGGTCGATTTCCTCGACGACGCGGGCGAAACGCGGGTCGGTGGAGGATTGGAGGAGGAGGTGGTGGGTGGGATCGGTGGACAGATGGGGGATGGATGTGAGTGACACAGTCGAGGTGGGGGGTTTGGTGGTGAAGAGGTTGGGGAGGTTGGGGAGATTCGGGAGATTGGGAAGGGTGTTGAGGATGTTGGAGGGTACGGTTGTAAGGTCGAAGCTGAGGGAGGGGAGGGTGAGGAGGGTGGTGTTGTAGGAGGGCGTTGATTGGAGGGGCGGTCGTCGGTGCGGGTGTTGCTGGTTCCGTCGTCGTTGGCTCCCTGACCCTCGATTTTGAAGGTCGTCGTTGAGGATGGGCCGTTTCATGAGGATCACTTTGATGGAGGTATGGTCGTCTAATGGGTATGCGTCGCCAATGTCGGATAAAAGCTCGATGGACGGAAAGTCGTCGACTGTCGTTGCTTCTACATCGAATGTGTCTAGATCCAAAGATCATTACAAGGACTTTCACACATCTGGAACTGAGCGACATGTCACGCTTACCCCACACGGAAACGGACACGTTCCCTCCTCCCACCGTCTTGCGCCGCAACTCCTCGTCCGTAGGCCTGTCACCAATGATGATCAACCTAGACCCCTTCATAAGCGCTACGCCAGGTTAAAAAGAGGGCCATCGATCACATCTGCACAGCGCCATGATCTTTACCTCGAATCCCACCTAGCGACAGGAGCTGATTTGGATAATCCGGGCGGTTGACAAACACATGATGTTCGAAAAATACGACCGAAAGACCACTCTCGCTGATGCTACTGAGAGCCGCCGCGAGAGGCAAGAAGAGGCAGGCTTTTCCGGATGCGAGGAGTGGTAGGAAGTCTGCGGTTACTTCTGTTTTGTCGCGGAGTGCTTTCAGGACGTAGTGGGTGCTAAGCTCGGTGTCGACGTCTGGGGTCGTGGAGACGGCGGAGAGGGTGGAGGAGGTTCGCATGGGGGGAGAGTGGGGTAGGTGGGAATGAGGAGGTATCTGCTGTTGTTCTGCACGCGGTGGTTGTGGAGATTGGCCGGTGCTGGTGGCATGTGGTGGGTGTTCTCTAACCTCCATTTTCATCGTCATCATCGTTGACACACGATTTTGGACGGGGACGTTTGGCAGCGGCTTTCCCGTCAGCGGGTCCACCTGCACATCTCCTTGGGAGTTCAAGTCGTCGATATCGTTGAGGTGCAGTGTTACTTCTGGAGGATCTCCGCTTTCGGCGGACATCCTGTGACGGCGCAGGCGAAGGACAACCGCTGAGGCCGGACGCAAACAAAAAATACGGCCGCTCAAGACCTGACGAGAGAAAAGAGTAGGACACTGGGACTACAAGTATCTGAGGAATTGTGCAGTATGTTAGGCAGCACGATTGCTTGTTCGAAAAAGCCCCCGAAATGGTTGAGGGGGTGACAAAAGTTCTGCAAACGCGTCACGCCCCATTCTTCGCCCAACTTAAAAGCCATGCCCTGGCCACCCGTCGTTTGCCCCCAAACTTTTACCATGCCTCAGCATACCCCCAAAGACAAAAGGACTGCCATCAGTGCTCACCATCGCGCCTTTCAAGGACATAGCAGAACTTGAGAACGTCTCCATTGCGACCGTCTCCCGCATTGTCAAGCAATTCACCGAAACTGGCTCCTACGAGGCCCGTCCGCGCTCCGGCCGCCCTCCCAAGCTCTCTGAGAACGACTCCCATTATTTGCTCCGGCTCACCACTCGCACAGCTGAGGAGCGGCGCACTCCTTTGCCCGATGTGACCCAACAGCTCAATGCTGGGCGCTCCGATCCTGTCTCCAAGCGTACCATTCAGCGATGTTTGGATGTTCTGGGTCTTCGGTGGGTCTGGGCAGTCAAAAAGCCTCGTCTCCTGCCCCAACACATCCAGGCACGGGTTGACTTTGCTAGGGAGTATCAGGCGTGGACTGCTGCAGAGTGGTCTCACATTGTGTGGACTAACGAAACCTCTTGGGAGTTGGGGAAAGAGGGCCGAGTCCTCGTCTGGAGGCACGACAGGGAGCGTCTGCACCCAGATTGCCTTCAAGAGAAGCGGTCGGACCCCGTGGCAGATCCATCATGTTTTGGGGCTGCTTTTTAGGTGACAATTCTGGCCCCCTCGCTGCTCTCCGCGGTACAATGGATTCCGACATTTTTTGTGGGATCCTTCAGCAGCACTTCATTCCCTGGATTGTGCAGGACAATCCCCAAGATGAGGCCTGGATTTTTCAACAAGACAACTCACCGGTTCATACCTCACGCAAATCAAAGGAATTTTTTGTGGAATGGCTCATCCCTGTCATGCCGTGGCCTGCAAAAAGCCCAGATTTGAACCCGATCGAGAATCTTTGGGCCATTCTCAAGCGTCGGGTGCAAGCACGGCGCCCACAAACCCTCAACAAGCTGGAAACGTTGGTAAAGGAGGAATGGGCTAGTTTAGATGCTCAGATGTTGCGAATCCGAATCATACGAGAGAAGCGTGGCGCACCTCCAACCACGCGCGTGGGCTTTCATGATTCAATTCAACAAGTTGATGATGATGATGATTGATGTTTGTTTTGGACGTGGATCATCCCGTGCGACTGACTGAGCGTATGTAACAATACAGCCAACGAAGGGGACGGGACGGCTTTGGACGTTCTCAAATCAGGGAGCTATGTACTAGCTATGCCTAAGTAGATCTATGTAGAGGCCGCTGGACAACCGTCAGCCGAGCACATTGTGACTGGCCGGCCTGCCTCTTGAGTCTTGCCTTTGGTTCCGGTGCGTCGCCAACCGGGGTGTCATCGCATTGGGTGCCCAAAGGTCATAAGCGTTCAGCGACCGAAAGTGTCGAATGCGTCCAAGCCCTCCCTCATCGCTGGCCGGATGAAGCGTTTCTTCATACAACAGCGGCATCAACCCACTGTGTTTTTCAATGATACCAGCCTCTTCGGATCTCACGCTCGTCCCTCTAAGATCTAGTTCGCCCTATTGACAGTAGCCCTTTTAACAATAGCAGTCAATAGGCTGTTTATGACGGACCGACCGAGAGCTGAGACTCCACAAAGGATGGAATCCATTGCATCTGATGCTCTTTCTGTTTACCTCTTATTGGCTCTACTTTATGTTTGCAGCTATAGGGGAGAGAGAATGGACAATGTTCTATTACTGTAAAATTAATAGAATTACGCTTTGCGGCCGACTGGTTGGTTTGGGGAAGCACAGCCAATCAAAAAATTGCAATAGATTCATAAGTGGAATTATAAAGTCACGGCCCCATGTGTGTCCAACAAAATCCGGTGTGCGATTAACGACTTCCGGTGTGCGATTAACGAAATCCAGTGTGCCGTCTAGGCGCCGCCCTAAAGATAAGCGGCGGGAATGTTTGCAGGTACCCCATAGGTGTCCACTCGACCATAGTACTCTTTGGCCACATCCGCACGAAGTTTCCTCACCGCCTCCCCCAACCCGACCTCTGCGAAAATTGGCGGGGCAAATGTCAGCGCATGAAAAATGATAATGTTGAAGAAGTAAGATTTGTGAAACTTTGGTGTTACCTTCTAGATGGCCCAACTCTGCATCGATGCTCTCGAGCTCCGCCTCCATATCCAGCACGGTTTGACGCAGTTCATCAGGATCCACGTCTGGGTCACGTTGGTCATCATCTATCTCCCCGCCGCCACGCATGTGGCGGAAGACTGCACATTGGAAATGGTGCTGCCAGAGTATCGGGTCCGGAAAGTAGTCCACCAGTGGCTCGCCGTCCGGAAACGCGCCGTCGGGAAGGCGCAATGGCTGTCTATGGTGGTCCGAAGCGTGGTATTCAGGCGAGATGCCAAAAAAACAGGGGCGGCCATCTAAGTTTGCCACTGCCCACTCTCCACGGTCAAAGGCGTCGTGCAAGTCACGGGTAGCCAAGAATCCATTCCTCACGTCGTCGATGCCGGCTGCGCCAAGGTTTTCCAATATGTGATCCCTTACGGCTGGGGGAAGGGAACCGACGACCTGATTTTTCTTCCATGCGAAAGGGATAATGTGACAGCCCCGGAGTGAATTCAGGTTGGTGGTTCCGGTGACTACGCAGTAGCGGTCACGCTGTATGATATTCTCGCGAGAACGGATATCACGGTTCAGTACAGTATGTGAACATAAAGCTGGATACACGCGTCCGAGCTTGGCCAGCCCCTTGCCCCAGCCGCTGCAGTTGCGCACGGACACTGACTCAATCACTGGTGTATCTAGGTTTATGTTCACATACTGTACGTCCTGTGCGTTGACGAGCAACGTGTCGCGGGGTGAGCCTGGGCGCGATGTTGTGAGAGAGGCGGTGGGCGTACCCTTTCGACTCGGCGGAAACAAGCGGGGCGTTTCGGAAGGGTAGACGAAGTGAACCGGCGAGGTTGCGGTGAGAGTGTACACGCCTCCATAGACAATGGCATCGCTGGTAAGTGCTGCAACCACTTCACCGGTGCGTTTCAGTGTGAGGAAAATGTCCGAGGACAGGTGAATGGCACCCCCTGAGATAATCTCGAGGAATATTCCAAGCTCGTCGGCGCGGCGGCCCGAGGCGGACGCAGGGACGGCGACGTATGTAGAAGACGAGTCGGTGAGGACGTATATGGCAGCGCTTTTCACGCGAGGAACAGGAGGGGCCATTTTGGACTCGGGCACGAAAGGAGGAGTAGTAGAGAAGGCTGAGCAAGCAAGGTCGAGAGACAGATGATGGGACAGACGGAGGGGCGAGGAATGGGAGAAACCAAAGACTTGGGGCCGCGGGCGGGAGAGTCTATTCTCACAACGTTTATCACCTGTATGAAGACTAAAGAGGAAGGAGAAAGCTACTACATACAACGGACTCCGACATGTAGGAAGGGAAGAAAACAATAAACTACAGCAGGGTCACGTGGGTGCATGCTTCTCTCACAGTAACTCAATTTCAAGAGCTCACTCAAGAGCTTGTTGGCGCCCTTCTCAAGATTCAAGCAGAACCAACAAACATGACTTTTGCACACAACCCCGCCGCCTGGCTGATGGCCCTCCTAACGCGCCGGCCGGCTCGCGCAATCGCCCTGCTGTTCGTCTTGGGCATATTCTTGAGGACGCGCTACGGCATCGCTGGGAACAGAAACCTTTGGGAAGGTTCAAGAGGCCAAGCGAGAGGAGTGAGGTAAGAGAGGAAGCGCAACCCTAACCGCCGACTGACGGCGTTTGACAGCGCGTTTCTTCTCAATCCCGCCGCTTAGTTTGCGTTGAAAGCCAGCCTCCCGCTCCCTTGCCAGCGTCGCTTCTCCCGACTCTCGTCGTGTAAAGAATGAGACGGGTCACACTCCCCGTCTGGGGCCTTTTAGCTAGTGGTTGCTGGTGGGGACTGCTTCCAGCTGTCGTAGTCTCAGCGGCGCTAGCAAGTTCAAAGAGGAGCGCTTCCCCATATTGCAACATCCCGGCGTCGGCCTCTTCTCAATATTTGCAGCAGACAGGACAACGACATCTGCAACATCCCATTCAGAGCCGTTGAAATCTGCAACTGCACCAAGCTACCTCCACGGACGCATCCCCTCTGGTCAAACACTCAAGCTTCCTTTTTTGGACGCGGAAGAGTCTTCAGTCCATGTAGAGCCGTTGAATCCGCATACGGAAATTCCCACGCAGCTCTGGCAAGGGACGACAAACAACAGGAGTACAATGGGATGGGATCTCAGCCGACTATAGCCGATTGCTTGTTCCACGCCCGAGAGCAAGAAGCTTCCAAATTTCGGTGAGCACCTCATCTGGAAGTAGTTGAAGCATCTTCCGCTTGAGCACTTCGCCCAATTCCGTCTTGGAACCCTAGGATGCGTAAGCAATTCGATACTGCAGTCGGCAGAAAAAGATGTCTTTCCTACAGACGTGGTAGGACAATAGGTAACGTCGGCGGAGGGTAGAATCGCTCTGTTGTCAGGATGGCTTCTGTGGCGAGGTTCGTCGTCTTTTCTTTGAGGTGAAGTGTTTCCCTTGCGCCTTACGCTGCACGGCACTCTGCTTACAATTGTTGTCTCTCGAGGTTGTTGTGCTCGAGTTGCCCTTCCCGTGGGGATGCAAATGTCAGATGATTGGAGGATTTCGTGCCACACTTCATCTCAACTACGCTTCTTACGTCCCAGCTCGTCCCAGCGTCCCCACACCAGACAGCAAACAAATCAATCACATAGATCCAATTCACATAAGGAGAAAGTACATTTACAGAAGCTCTCAGCCCCCAAGTCCATTAACCAAATAGAACCGCTCATCCCATCACATCCCCCATAATTCCTCGGTAAATAGTCCATACTCATATTCACATCAATCTTATAGTGTCCTCCGCGGAATACATATAAGCGAAAACATATGCTTCTGTTCGTTATCCGAAGGTGAAGGACTGGCCGCCTCCGGGTGGACGCAGGACTCTGTTAAAATCGGGAAGGTAAGCACGATAAAGGGGATATGAAGAGGCGGCCCAGCCACAACCACATACCTGCTAGAAGGCTTAACCACCTCACTCTCCACACTTCTTGCATTCGGATCACGTCTCGCCGTCCTCGGCCGTTCCTGCTTGCCTCCAAACCCATGTCCAAACCCTTCAAACCCTTCCCCATCCCTTGCCTCCGCCGCGGCCGCCAAGGCCACGCGCTCACTGCCGCCAGGCGCGTAATGCCTACGATGAGTGTGCAAGTCCGCGTCATGGTGTCCAAAGATGTCATTGTCGTCGTTGGCGCGCTGGGAATGTTTCTTGCCTCCGATATGAGGGCGCTGCAGCTCCGAGTGCGTGAGGGGGGTGAGGCCGAGGGCGAAATGGGAGGTTTGGTCAGCGGGTCCGAAATGCTTTTTGCCGGCGGCGAGCACAGAGGGGTCGTCGCCGTTGACGCTGCTGGAGGAGGAGGTGGAGGAGACGGCCGTGTCGATGAAATGGTCCGCGCTGTGCTTGTTGCCAAAGGTCTTTTTGCCAGAAATGGAGGCGTTGTCGGTGGTTTCTCGGACAGTGGGGCCGTCGGCAGATGACCAGTTGGGGTCGCGGCGGGTCAGGTGCTTAGCCGCCTGGTCAACTCGACTATCGTTGCCTGCGGCAGCGGTGTTGGGCCGGCTTAAGTGACGTCTTTCACCGTTATGCGCGGGCGCGGCTTCACCCTCACCCTCGTTTCCAAACGAAAAGCTGGACTTGAACCGTCTGGCGTCGATGGGAACGGACGTACGAAGCGGCACGGGGTCGTCACCAAAGATGTTGGAGGTCCTGTTGGCCTGTTCGTGATGAATCCTAGTCGACGAGCGCTGTGTTTCCCTAGGCGCGTCATCAGTGAGGAAGTTGGTGGTTTGCTCGCGCGACGGACGGGCAGCTTGTTGCGGGAGGGGCGCGGAGGAGGGCACAATGTTGTTTTCCTCAACGGGCAGGGCGAACGAGGCCGAGAGGCGGTTTTGGCGCTTGATTTGGGCGAGACGGAGCGTATCGGTGTCGACGTCGTCTTCGTGTTGGGGGATGATCCCGTGTGCGGGTTCATGCGCTTGGGCTTTGACGAGGAGAGGTTCCTGTAACATTCGGGTAATGTATGTTGATGAGCACCTATATCCGGACGGCTTAAACCTCGCACGACAGCTTCAGACACCATACCTTTCCAGAAACAATACCAGCAACCCCACTCTCCAATCTCCTTTCCTTCAGGATCAGATTGGCAGTGGCATGCTCAGCGTCCAAGAGCAGCCTGTCGACGATCTTGGGTCCCAATACAGGAAGAGTAGTCTCGGTGGTGTTTGCTTTGCAGTAGACCGAGTTGGGCAGCAGGCCGATCTGCTTCATCACGCTGCCTTGGTCCCAGTACACGCGCTTGGTCTGGATCTTGGGCTCGGCGGTGAAGGTTACGAACGTGGTCTGGATGGGTGCATAGAAGGTTAGCATGTATGGCGAATAAAAGATTTGACTTGCAATGACCAAAAAGGAGAGAAACACAGCACATACCATAGGAATAGCAACCCGCCTTCTAGTCGGCTTCACATCGGGCAAAAGCCAATCCACAACCGCATCATGCACAATCGTCACTACGCTCTCTTCGGCAATGGACGCCCTCCCCTCATCCACATCCACAATCCTGCTCAAAACTTTCTCCTCCATAACCGCATTACCCGCATTCTGCTGCTCAACAAGGGTCCTGATAAACGTCTCAATCTCCTTGATCTCTTCGCCGCCCGCTGCGGTAGGGACGCAGACGACCGACGCGTCGTGGGCGAAATGGATGGGGACCAGCGCGGCGGCTGCGGAGGGGATGGTGTGCGTGAGAGAGGCCTTGTGAGCTTTCCAGAGGTCGAGGACGGTGGTGAGGGCTGGGGGAGGGACAGTTTGGGTTGTGTGGGAGGAGGAGTGAGGGACCGCTTGGGAGGCTGTGGTCATCATCTTGGGCGGGGTGTGAGGTGAGGGTGTGAAGTGGGATGCAGTGCTTAATCCGCAAAGGGTTGAGAGATCCTCGGCTTGGGCAAACGCACGAGGTAAGGTACTCGACGAGTGAAACCTTTTACGTGATGTTTTAGATATGTACGGCAGGCGATATGCTGTTGTGGGGTGAGATCACAAGCAGATGGAGAATACTGATTGGGGGGGTTGAACGGGTCGCTGTCTGATCCGGGGCGAATGGCCACTGAGAGCCGCGTGTCCGCCCGCCCCTTTCGGACAACACGCTCCCCTCTCCCCTCTCTACCGTCAGGACAAGCGGTGGGACGCATGGGACGAGAAACAATAAACTACGGCAGCGTCACGTGGACGCACGCTTCTTGCACCGCGACCATAAGTGCAGGCGTCGGTCGTCGCAGTCGCCGCGCGTTGCCTTGACCACCCCCACAAAAAAGCGCACATAGAGCAGTCCCTTCGGACATCTCCACGCGCAATGGCACCCTCCACACGCAATGGCCCCCATCCGCCAAACACAACCACGGCGCCACCCAGCCGGGAGACCCGAGCGCAAGCCTTACAAGGCTCGGCTCATCGAAGAGGTCGCTCTGAAACTCATCCACATGGCAGGATGCCACCCAGAAAAACGGTTCTGCTTTGTCCTCAATTGGTGGTGCGACAAGCCGATCGTCCGCAAGAAACTCGAACGCTTGAACTGCCCCACACCGCTTCTGTTCGTTATCAGTCAACGAGAAGTTATCCATCGGCTTGCAAAAGAACGACTTGGAGACAAGTACAGGGAGATCAGATTTTTTTCGGATCACTACTGGAACATCGACAAACCCCATGCGAAACTCCGCTTTGCCGACATATTCAGCGCCGCGATGCGGAAGGAGAAGGAGCCGCTGGAGATCAAACATGTTGTGTTGGATCCGACCGTCGCCTGGGTGTTTAATGCGTATGACAAGCTTGGCGGGTTGGATTGGGAGGAACTTGCGAGTCCTGATCGCCGCTTACTAAAGATCCCAACACGACAACCATTGTCGTTCCCTTCCAGACGATTGCGCGGGGCCTATTGGAGGCAAGGGGAGCTCGAGACTGTTGGAGGCGTCGACTACTTCACCAAAATCCTCGTTGAGCACCATCATCGTAAAGAGCCTTATGAACGAGGGGATCATGTCGTTCTCTGCCATCCGCAACGAGGACTCGAATACGGAGTCATCGATAAGTTCTTCGAAGGCGCACCAGGCCGTCCTTGCGTTGTGCTGAATCGATTCATACCATTTGGCGAAACAAGCATCGGAAAGACCTTGTTTGCAGGGCCCGCACACAACGAAGACGACGACTCCGACGATCCTGTTCGTCAACGCTTCGACTACATCGATGAGGATGCTTGCAAAAAGACGTTCAGCGACCACCGCTGGTACTTTGCTACGGACAAGTTCGACGGCTACCCTGATGGAGAGCTCATTCCCATCGACACCATCATCAAGAAGGCATGGGTTCACCGTTTACCGGAGAGATGTCCGGACGACTACGATCAAATCTGGGTGCGGCACCGGTACATTGAGGACGAACATGCATACGTTAACTACCACCACAAAGAGAAAGAAGTCTTCCGCCGCGAACTCCCCGAGCTCCCAGCCACCATGATCATCCATGACGGCGACGAACGCCCGACGCTCATGCATGTAACCGAGATTGAGGGACACACAGTACACGGATACAAGTTCTCGCCACTGAGAGATCACCTCCGCCGGCGGCCACGACGCAAATTCAAGTGCAAATGCCACGGCAAAGAAGATCTGAAGCCTTCGGATGTGTTCGAGAACGAGTGGGTGCTGGAACCGGCTCCGTATAGCGCCACAGTCGACGACCCCTATGATCTGAGGACGGTTGTAATGCAGTACAACGACAGCGAGGATGGCGTCCCGGCACACCTCAAGGAGTACAAGAACGGCGCGCATCCACGCTATGTGCACTTTTTCCGCTTCTACTTGACCTCGCAAGGAGGCCTGGCACATGTTCACCCCGACGACGACATTGCGAGAAAGTACCCGCAATTTGAGCAGCAGTATCCAATCGCGAGAACGGATGAAGATATGTGCGAGCTGTGGGCGGGTGCGGGGGTCGCCGGGTGTGGATTTGAATCCGCGGGCTTCACGAAGAAGTGGGTTGTGGAGAACGACCCCTACGCATTGAAGGCGAACGTCGCAAACTCCAAACTTCCCGGCGGCGTGGAGGTCCTGCACGCGCGAGACTCGACGACCGAGGAGAAGCCCTACGGCGGTTGCGACTTTTCCGAAGTTCTCCGGGACATCCACCTGAAGAAGATTCGTTTGCCCTCGCAGATCGGCGTAGCCACCACGACATTCCCCTGTACGCACAACAGCAACCTCAACCGGAACCCCGACTGCGAAAAATCCGAATTCGACCGAACTTCGTTGATGCAGGACATCTCCCTCAAGATCCTGGAAGCGTTCCCTGCGCACTACGGGATGCTGGAGAACGTGCCCGAGCTCGAACACAAGCAGCCCCGAACGTTCGCCGCATACCAGGCCTTCTTGCTCCTCTCGAAATACCAAGTGCGCAAATTCAAATGCAATAGCGCGGCGTTTGGCGTCCCTCAGGATCGAAATCGGCTCTTCCTCGTCTACGCCCCGTCGTGCTGCACGCTCCCCGCAGCCCCCATCCCAACGCATCAATACAAAAACGCCACCTCGGCCCTCTTTGCAGCGCCCGCGCCCAAAGACGCGCTAGCGAATATCGCCGACAACGAGTTCGAGGACCCCTCCGTCGCCATGACCCCCCTCTCCGAAAAGGTCAAACGATGGATCCCATTACTCAAGCATGGCGAATCCTTCTACGACCTCCAACGCGCCGGTCTCATCCCCGCCAACGAGTATTTCGACCCGTGCAAACGCCCCCGGTGGGCCGAGGCGGGGCAAACCTTCGGCACGATCACCTGCGACATCCGAAAAGGCGACGCGCACCCGCTGTTCAACCGCAAGCTGAATCTCCTGGAGAAGATGCTGCTGCAGGGTTTACCGCTGAACTGGATCCTGTTTGGAACGGCGGCGGAGCAGGCGAGGCAGATTGGGAATGGGGTGGTGGTTGCGTTGACGTTTGCGATCGCGATGGAGATGAGGAAGGCTATGAGTTTGGATGAGCGGAGGAGGCGCGCGGTGGTGCGCGGCGAGCGTATAAAGGCGATGTGAGCCGCGGAGGTAGAGCAGAGCAGAGCAGAGGGAAGGAAGCCGTCGCCTTTGGTGGAGGTGCGGATTACAATGCCGCACTCTGTGGGATAGTATAGAAATGTAGGGAGATACGGCAAACCATGGGGGATACGAACAATATCAATCACCACGCTGCAACGGTGGCCCCCCCACTCTTCGATTGTACATTTTAGGGTAGAACGGAACATTAGGCCTGTACATACAGTAGAAGCGCACGCCTTCTCCCAATATATGCGTTGCTGTTGCTTTACTGGTCTCCTTGGCGTATATGTTTCGACTTCCCCCACCCACCCCCCCCCCCCTCCCCCCCATCCGGCAATCCTTACGCGTTTACCTCACGCGTTCATGTCTTTGGCCGCAGGTTTGCATAATGAAATGAATAGATTGGTCGTCGTAAACGAGGAGGGAAGTAATATCCCTTCCAACCCGCGAGATTCATTCTCATGCCCATCGACGGCTTCGGGGGCGTCTGCAGTGTCACATCGTCGATTGATTGAGGCCCGGTTTTTGTTTTGGGAAACGTCCTCGAACGTTACCCCAGCCTATCGGAATCGTCGCCATTTACACTGGTGGTGATGTTCGAGCGAGGGGAGGGGGTTGTGCGCTGATATATTTCTGCATCGCAAGTGAGATCCACTGATGGAGGCATACGTTGGTTTCCCCTGTCAGTATCCGCTTTCGTATGACGACGTGCGCACATATAGACACCCTCCGCTTGCGGAAAGTAACTATCATCAAGCGGAGCGGTGACAGCAGCTACGTAGATACATGTGAACTTCGGTAGCTTTTTAGCTGCGATCGAATCGGGGGCTCAATTTTTCAGAGTTTTGTGTTCTCGAGAATGTGCAAACGTTCGGGTGTCGATGTGTGTCGGGAGCAAAAGGAATGAATCAAAAGGAACGCAAAGCGGCGATTTCGGCCAGATACTTTTCTATTGAACACATGACATACCCACGACGCCCCCCGCACATTACAAAACTGGGTATTAAAGAAAAGCCCCTGAAGCGTCCACTGGCCCAATCATGGACCAACATCTCTTCCATCTCCGCGTCTTCGCTCTCTCCCATAACCAACCGCCAACCTCTCCTCTCTACACCCAATCCTCATCCCATCACCAGACATTGTAATTTCCTTCACTTCAACACCTCCAACAATCCCGTACGCGCCGTACGTGGCGTCAGCGTGTTCGTTTTCGTCGTGTCATCAGGAACCCTAGATGCAGGGCGGGTAGGCGGCGGCGATGAATGCGGGGTATTGGAGTTGCTATTGCCATTGCTGCCGCTCGTATTGCTGTTGTTGATAGCATTGGAAGCCGCAGCGAGATCGTTCAACACAGTTTGCGCACGGGCCAATTTGGCGGTGAGCGCCGGTAAGTCACGAGCGAGCTGCGGGTGCATGGTGAGAGTGCGGGGCAGCATAGTCTTGAAATGGGGCAGGAGTTGGGTTTGGTGGAGTGGGTGTGCTTCTATTTCGTCCTCCGCCATGTCCACATCCATTTTGTCTTGCACACCCTCATCACCCTCCACCACCTCCTCCGAAAACCCATCACCACCCGCAAAGAACCCCTCCACAATCCTTCCAACCCGCCCCGGCACCTCCCTCCTCAACCTCGCAACCCGTGCCGTCACATCCCTCACCCGCGCTTCCGCCGCCTCACACTTTGCTTTCAACCTTTCATCGACAGCCTCGTACTCCGGCACAAGCGGCGCGTGCGCGTCGGCGTAGGAGATCCCATTGATGAGAATCGAGTGTGATGCAAGGGCAAATGTTGTGTTGAGCCAGTGGGTTATATGTGTTTCGAGGGTTGCTATTTGGGCGGGTGTGAGCGGTGCGGCCGTAGTATGACTTGTCCTTTGGGGGCGATTCGGCGCGGGCGTGGCACCAGCGTTGGATCCACTCTGCGGTTTCGATTTCGGTTGCGGGTTTGAGTGCGAGTCAACAGCGGTTAGCGCATGCTGGGCAAGCAGGGCACGGAGGTATGCGATATCGTGTTTGGATTCTGTCTGGATTTTGAGGTGTTGGTGTTGGGGATGGGTTGTCGTCGTCGTCGTCGCGGAGGACGCTTTGGCGCTGGACTGAGCGGACAGCATCTGTTATAGCACCTGGAGGGCGGATGGCTGGGTGAAAGACTTTGTGGGGTTTAGCGAGTAAGAGGGAAATAGTACGACTTCGATGGCGGAAGCGGGTTTGGTTACGTAGGAACGCGCTTTTCGACTATTTTGCGGATGCACGTCCGCACGAGCGGGAGGTGGCGTGTGCTGTCTGGACCACAACGTTGGAGAGGAGAGGTCAACGGTAGGAGGAAGGGAGAAGGCAGGTCGATCAAGAGTTTCGGTATGGACGATGGCGACGAAAACAGCGAGCAGAAGAGGCGAAGGGAAATGGTCCGATGGTGCTGTCCGGACTCGATTGGCAGTGGGTGTCCGAAAGCCAGAAGACTGACGGGAATTCGACAGCGGGCGACATAGTTCACACCCTCGCGCCCTCCCTCGACCTTTTCTTCCTGATGGGGCCTGAAGGATTATTGCTGTCACGTTACTGGGCTGTCCCAAGAAAGAAAAATCTCGCCACCTCCTGAACACATTATTAGAAGGTCTTGACCCTCCTCTAGTTGGGGTGGGTTTCCTTGGCAGGGCACGCTTGAGAGGCATCCGACGCCAAGCGCCAGCACGTCTAAGACTGAAGTAGGTAGTTCCCTCGCCAAGAAGGTGAGCACTGAGGTCACCTCGGCAAACTATCGATTTCAAGCCCCCTCAGTGTCGGCAGGCTTTGGACTGCTGTCGAGGCTGTTGTTGGAGGAGCAATGGGATCCATCGCATGCCCATCACAAAGCCCGCCATCCGCTTGCCGCTTGCTCTCGCCGGGCACTTCTTCCTCATTGCGCTCAGAGCCCGAAGATCCACCGCCGCCGTCAAGGCAGATTAGGTGCTGGGGGGACATCGTGACGCTGATCACAGCGGAGCACTAGAAGAGACCGTTTCCAAATCATCAAGCCGGCAATCTCCTTCTCCTCCTCTAAAGATGGAACGCCAGAAGCAACACCGCCGCCATCATCAAGTGCTGGGAGGGCATGGAGCGTCTACCCCGTATATTTTACCATGTCTAAGGACCAGAGCGGCATCGGATGGTTCTGGTCTGCCTTACTTGGAACGATACTCTAGCACAGCACGAATCGGATTCTCATTCGCAACAGCTCGCAGAGGGCTTCCCTCTTTGCAGCGCTCTTTCTGATGCCGGAGCGGTATCGGTGGTTAAAGAGCTTCGATTTCAGGCTCCTTCCCGACGATGTGGCGGCCACAAAACAAAGAAAATGGAACCCGCTTAGCCTTCGCTAGAAGTACCTCGATGGAACCGCTTAGCCTTCGCTAGAATTACCTCGATCATCACCCTTGTTCGAATTCAAACAACCATCGATCGACTACTGTCATCACACCTTCGGATACGATCATGGACGGGTAGACGATTCGAAGAAGGGTTTTGGCCTCCCCACTCGTCCATGCACTCATTTATGGACGGCCTTGCGGACACGGTCTACTGCACGTACGCTCCGGAAGCCACATACAGTCCTTAGGGCACTCCGAAAAATTCGGATGTTTCGAGAGCCGGCCTGTCTTTGATCAAGTGCAAACGCTCGCGTTGGCGCGAAGAACTCTCTAGGAAAATTCAAACTGGAAACAGTTTCCTAACGTGACACCGTTTCGGGGTTACCACGCCCAACCACCGAAGTTGATATCACGAAAACGGAAACTTCCCGAAACAATCTGCTTGCTTGAGGTATATTTCGAGAATTTCGATGACTGTCACCCCATCATACTCCAACGATGGAAGGAAGCAACGCCCGAGCGCCTGATTCGGTATGAGCCATCTGACCTACAGTTCAGCAAAGAGACGGAGCAGTGTGCCATCCGTAGGAAAGAGGTCTTGTCGCGGGATCTGGCGAAGTACAATAGCGCAGGTGTTTTGGAGATCTCCGCTGCAGAGCCTGAACCTGAAGGCAAAAGTGGTCTCACTGCCCTAATATATGACGATAGCATCAACGCCTTGTGGATATGGACACTGTAGACTTCTCTATTGCGTACCCTACCGCCCCTTGCTAGTCATACCCCTTGGAACTCCCTCGGCCATCAGCAGTGCGAACGGTGTGCGTGGTGTACATACTGTAGAACAATAGATAGTGACTGGTCTTCAGATTGCGGTGCTGTGTAGTTGAGTAACCGTAATCGAGTGGATCGGGTGTACTATATCATGTATTGATGCCCATCGGATTATGCGTGAGAAAAGGTTGAGGCTCGAAATTTGAAAGAGGTCGCTTGCACGGTGGCTTGTCGGTGAAGCTTCCCGTTCGTGCCGCGACCCGATCTCCAAAAACCCAGGCCTATAAAGCTCCATCCGTTGTATTGTATTGCGCACATATCAGTTCGCAGCGGGATACAGAGAGCTAAGTCATAGAGTTGGGTAGACGGTTGTCGAGTGGATCGGGGAACCGTGTATTGATATCCGCTGATGAACTATTTGAGGAGGTGCGCTGAGCTTCTTGGCTAATATCGGCTGAACTTCAGACTCATGCCAGCGGGACGCTATCTCCCATAGCCCAAGCCTAGTGCCGATCTGAGAGAATGCCAAACCGCGAAACCTAGACCAAGGAACCTCATCCACTTTCCAACCCGCTCGCATCGATTTATTGAATATAGAACGACAACCATCTAAACCCGTCGCCATACCCCTGCTTCATCACAATCGAGCACATAAACAGCTCGACGGGGCGGATGTCGGCAAGCGGCACTTTGCCCTTGCCCGTGGTCTGGTACAAGCCCAGCGCGTGACGGAGCTCTTCTTCCGATACGGCGCCGCGGGCGTCGATCTTGTTGCCGAGAATCAGGAAGGGGACTTTGGAGAGCTCTTCGATTGAGAGGAGGGCCTTTTCGGGAGACGACATGATGAGTACACAACACTGAGATGGGGATCGCTTTACGGGCGTAATCGACACTCACGTCAAGCTCGGCTTTTGATTCCGCGAATCGCTCCTGGTCGGCGCAGTCTACGAGGTAGACGATTCCGTGGACCTCTGGGAAGTAGTCTTTCCATAGCCGCCGCGCTTGCTGGTGCCCTCCCAGATCGTATGTGGTGAACTTGATGTTGGCAACTTGAAGTTCCTCAGATGCTGAGTGGATAGGAACGAAACGAAACGGGTAAGCAAAGGTTGACGGAACCTCACAGAACAGATAGTACGACTGCCCTCTATCGATCGCCAAGCAGAAAGCGCCCGCCAGCGCTCGTGCGTGAAAACCTCCTCAGAGAGCGCATCCGCTCTCGCAAAGCGTATAGCCACCGCTCGCGAGAACTCCACATCTCCGCCAAACAACTTCGCCATCCACACTCCCCTGGACAACCTCCCTCCTCCCTCTCTCCCTCCCTGTCTACCTCCCTCCCTCCTTCCTCCCCTCCCAAATCCCCGACCCCGCAAAAACCTACTCGGATGAAGCGTCGGCGTAAGCGTTGCAAGCCGATCATTCTTCAACATATGCAACAGCGTCGTCTTCCCAGCATTGTCGAGACCCAGGAAGAGAATCTTGGCGTTCTTGTTGAGCAGGCCTGTGGGGAAAACAGAAACATAACGTGAGAACCCAAACCGTTGAGAACCTCTTAGGGACTAGCGGAAGATTCCGGGGCGGGATGCGAAGAGTGCAAGATGACGCCACACGTAAGGAGGCCAGACGAGAAGACGTACCCCAGTCGGCGAGGAAGCTCTTGAACCAGTCTATGATGAACATGGTGAGTGTATGTGTCGGTTAGCTCTAAGGAGGTAGTCTGAGTACCCAGCAGAGTGGAGTTGGGAGGAGGGGGTTGCCGTCCAAGGGGGTTTCTCGGGAGGAACGAGTGACGACAAGGCCGCTCGCTGCTGGATCCAGCGCAAAGTTGAGTTTGATTAGACGCAAAATGGCGCGTGCGAGCGGACGGGTCACATCAGCGTCTGAACAAAAACTATGCGACGGGCGACAGGCTTCCTCCGGTCCCAGATGCCCTCATCAAATGCCAAGCAGAACATCATATTATTGTGATGGTCTTGGAATCTTTTCTGAATGGAAACCATGATCTGAACTACTCAAATTCAATAATCATCAATGAGAACAGAAGATGGACTACCACTACGGGAGTCCTTGAACTTCGAAACCGTTACAGTATCACCGACATAAGGTGGTTGCGGGACACCGGATTCGCCATATCCCGCAACCACCTGATGTCTTCCTCTCATCCTTCCGGCCAACAACCTCCTCAACACACCCGAAACCCCTACCCATAATCGCACTGCTTTCGTTTATCATGGCACCCCCCTCAACACCCTGTTCACTCCCATGACCTGACCATTCTTCTCCTGGACGCCTCATTCACTTCCCGCCACACCCGGTTAGAATCCAACACAGCCTGCTGCCGCACCTCCACATTCCCTAACCGGATCTTCAACGCGCCCATATCCGCTTCCACACCAGCCAACCGCGCTTGAGCTCCGCTACACCCTCGCGTTGTTTGGATCTTTAAGTCCTTGAAATCCTTCTCTAGCGCGGGGATAGGTACGACAAGAAGCCGCAAATAGCGCGCCGCTTCAATCAGGAACGGGAAATGCTGGAGGTGTTTCATTAACATGTCGCTAATTTTGTTCTGGATGGTCCATGGTCGTCCGGGACGACGATGCCGTGCAGAGGAGGTTCGAGGATGGGTTCCAGAAAGCACAGGAATGGTCCCGCTTTCATATGAGATCAGCGTACCCGGAACCATGCTAGAGTCTTTTTCGTACCATTTCTCGATAATAACGTTTAAGGGTGAGAGGTTGGAGCATATCTCGAAGATGGCGCGGGCGTCCCAGGGGGTCGTCCTCACTTCTGTGTATTCGCTGCGTTTGGTGAAGTCGCGACGCACGAGCAGATACCACAGTGAGAGGAACACCAGCAGGAGCGCCATGCTTCCCCAGCTGATGCTCCTCTTACCGTGGCACCTCCGCCGGGGCAGCGAGCGGGGCCATCGAGTCGTGAGTTGTCGAGGAGTAGGAATCCGCGTGGTTTCGATACGGCTGCCGAGAACGGTTGAATGGACTTGGTGGCGAGGGGGGCCGGATGGACGTATTCCTGGACCTCAAAGGCATGCTATGTGCATGAGACTCGTCGTCATTCCCTCCCATCGGAAAGTCCTGTGCAAGAAGCAGAAGCGCGGGGGCGATGGTGGGAAAACAAAGAGAAGGGAAGCATTTAATCTCCGATCTTTTATATCCGGGCCACGTGACTTGCGGTCTCGCAACCCCCTCCTCAACTGGGCAAGGGCGAATTCGGAATCACCAACCACCCTCAACCGGCATACGCAGGAACGCAGGCAGGCAGGCAGGCAGTCGCGACGAACAGCTTCACGGGTATCTTGGTTCGCAACCAGCTTGCCCTGCTTCCAACGGCTGGCATTCTCAGAACGTCGGTCGCGATTGGCTGGCCTTCGTGGATTTTGTGCGCGGAAGGATAGAGCGTGGACCCGATCGTTGAGGCCTTGGATATCCTCGTTCGACAGTCGTTTGCCCTTTGTCTGCAGTTCGTTGTGACGATATTACAGTGGCGATAGCTTTTCTTGGTCGCTACGTATTCGAAAATCACAACCCAACGCAACAAACAACAATGTTACGACTGCTAGCATCAACAAAAGCCGCCTCCTCGCAGGCCAGTCCAAAGCTCCAACCCGCCCTCCGCATTGCCCAAACAGCATCCTTCTCCACCTCCCTCCTCTTCCAAGGCACCCGCTCCAACCTCTCTCACACCCATTTCGCCCCAACACCAACGAACCTCCTCAAACCCTTCCACCCCCTCGCCCCAACCCCGCACGCACTCCAATTCACCCAACACCGCCACGCCGTCGCCAACTTCCGCCCCCGCCGCCTCAAATACAAAAAAGCCCAAAAAGGCTTCTGGCCAATCCACTCCGGCGGCTCCCTCCGCGGATCTACTGTTTATTACGGCGACTACGGCCTGCAAGCCCTCGAAGGCGGCCGCTTGTCCGACCGCCAACTCGACGCGGCGCGCACGGGGATCCGGCGAGTCATCAAATCCGAAAAAGGCTCCCGGTTCTTCCTTCGATGTTTTCCCGATCGCCCCGTAACCTCCAAGGGCGCCGAGACGCGGATGGGTAAAGGCAAAGGCGCGGTGGATTACTTTGCGACCTTCGTAGCCGAGGGGAGGGTCGTGTTTGAAGTGAAGGGCGTGAGGAAGGAGTTGGCGGAGAAGGCGATGAGGGTTGCGGCGGCGTGTTTGCCTGTGAGGACCAAGTTTGTGAGTGAGGAGGATCAGAAGACGAGGATGGCCCCGAGGGTGTTGCCGTTTTTTGTACAGAGGAGGTTGAGAGATAATGAGTTTTTGGAGTATGATGCCGCGAAGGAGGCCGCTGGGGCTGCTGGGGCTTTTGAGGTTACGGCGGCGGCTGCTGCTGGGACGTCGGGGCTTGGGAAGGTCGAAGCGAATGAGACTGCGACCAGGCCGTAGTCTCCTTCCCTCGTCGACGTACGGATAGAGAATCAAAGGAACCGTTCTCTCGCATTTGTATTCTTTCAACTGCATCATATATACGTTTCATTATATTCCACACGTTGTCCTTTTCTATTTACCAATGCTATTTACGTTGTCCTTCGAGACCGCGCCAAAATGTCGACCCTTTTGATGGAAACCACGGACATGCGCTGGAAACTTGACTCCACGGGCGTCACTCAAACATCACGTATCCTCACACTCAAACAAGTCGGACACCCTTCCAATTTCTCAAACTCCCCAATCTCGACCGTCACAACCTCCCACCTGAGCCCCTCCAACAACGCTTTCGTTCCCACCGCAGTAGCCGACAACGCAACCTTCCTCCCTCCCAGACACACCACCGCGGCCCCCTCCGGCTCCGGCACGCCCACAAACTTCCTCCCCAATTTTGCAAACAGCCCCACATCATCCACAAGCGGCGCATACCCGATAACCGTCCCATCGGGCAACGCGGTAATCTGACTTTTCAAATGCAACGTCTTTGTCACGGGCAGCGAGACCAACGTATACCCCAACGGCGTGATCAGATCCCGGATATGGTCGTGCGCGGCCTGGTTGGTACGTCCGCTAAGACCGATGTAGACGGTTTTGTCGATTTTGAGAACGTCGCCGCCGTCGACGAGGCAGTGGGGTGGGAGGGATTCTAGGCGCAAATTGGGGAGGGATTGGAGGGTCGTGAGGACGCCGGGGGCTTCGCCGTGGCGCGCGGAGGTTGAGGGTGAGTTGCAGAGGATGGCTAAGGGACCAACGATGAGGACTTTGTCTTCGATGAAGACGGAGTCGGGGTGGGTGTTGGATTGCGGGGCATGGAGGGGTGTGAAACCGCTGTGGGCGTGCGAGAATGGTGGTCGAGATGAGAAATGAGTACCATGCTCGTGCAGTTATCCGTAGCACACACGACGCCTGCACCATTTGCTCCCCAAAACTCCTCCTTCCCCTCACCAACGAACTTACCCCTCCTCACTAATAGTCTTGACGTACTGACTCCATTGCTCGGTTGCCTTCTCGTAGTCGACGGGTTTGCGCTCCAGGTGGGTGACGATTCCGTCAGCGAGGGAGGTTGCTGGGGGGCGGACGAGGAGGTAGGGCATGACTTGGGTTGGAGCTGGTGGGAGTGGTATGAAGTTAAGAGGGCGATGATGGGGTGGTGGGCAAGTCAACACTTGCCTCGCTTGCATCCGGAGGTGTGAAGTCACGCGAGGCGGGATGGACCTTTGACGCGTCCCTTCTCGTCTTCCCAAACGCGTCCCTCGGCTTGCAACACCCTCTTGCGAACAAGCAACCGTCCCAGAACACCCTCGCTCACGCCAGCTTCCCTTTTCTCCAGGCCAGCTGTATCTAGCATCATATCGTTTTCTCTCCAGCAACGCAACGACATCCCCCTCCAAAAAAAATGGGCCTAAACTACAAAAAATGGGACAACCTCCCCGACTACTCCTCCTCCTCCTCCTCCTCATCCGAGGACGACAACAGCAGCGCCCCATCACAACGTCGCTTCGTTAAGGAGAAAGAGAAAGTCGCGGCCACGCTGCGATTGGAGGCGCTCGCGGCGGCGGATGGGGGAAGGCCGAAGGGCGTGTTACTTGCTGTGCCGTGGGATTCACATTGTGGTGGGTTTTGCGCGTTATGTATGGGTTCACAAAACTTCGTGACGGCCTTGCTAACTGCTATCCTGGACGATTTCATATAGAGGCAGTCAGATGGGCGCTCGATCGGCATGGGATCTCGTACGTCGAGGAGTCGCTGCCATGGGGCCTGCATATCTGGGCGACGCTGGGCTACTCGGACCCCACGCCGAGGCCGCAACAGCTCAAGGTGCCCGTGTTCAAGAGTGGGAAGGGTGAGGTATGTATCCAATTCCTCCTTTACGTCCGGCGGCTACGGATTCCCCAACCCTATAGACTCACACATCCATCTCAATCATCGGCATAGGTCCTCAAACGCTCCCCAACCGACATCTACACCTACCTCTTCGCCCACTCCCTCTCCTCCACCCTCCGGCTCTTCACGCCCCCCAGCGCCCTCGACCTCCAAACCTACTTCGACACCCGCCTCCACCCCGCAGCACGCATCATCTTCCTATCCACCATCCTGCCCAGCCCGACCCTCTCCCAAAAATACATCCTCGACGTCGTGCATCTGAACACCTGGCGCACCCTCGCGGAGGTCACCTGGCCCGTGATGAGGGTCTGGCTGGGGTGGTGTGAGGGAGTGTGGACGGTGCGCGGCGGGTGGGTGCGGGACGTGGAGGCGGCGTGGCGGGTAGTGGAGGAGGTGTTTGAGCGGGTTGGGGAGGAACTCGACAGCGTCGCTCGGGCCCAACCCATCTCCACCGCACACACACCGACCACGACCACGAAAAAACATAAACCCAAGAAACCCTACATCGCCGCCCCACACCTGACCGCCGCCGACATCACCTTCGCCGCTCACTGCATCCCCGTCCTCTTCCCTTCTTCGCAAACCGACACCTTCGCGGAGAACCTCACGCTGCTTATGCCCTCGCTCTCCGAGCTTCCGCCACACGTTCGGGCCCGCGTGCGGACGTTGCGGGAGACGAGCGCGGGGCGGCATGCTATACGAATGTGGCGGAGGGAGAGAGGGGGTGGGGGTGGGAGGGTGAGGGCGAGCAGGTGGGGGCGGGGGAATAACCCGTGGTGGGTTAAAGGAGGGGCGGAGGGGGTTGTGTGGGGGGTTGCGCGTGGTGCTGGGGTGGCTGCGGTGGTTTTTGTTGGTGTGGTGTGGGTCTGGGGACTGGTGGTTGCGATCTGCGCGGCTGTGTTGGTGGGCCTGGGTGCAGCCGGTGGGGCATGGTACGCATGTCGCGGCACTGTTGTGGAGGAACGGGTCCGACAAATCTGGTTCGTGTTGTTTGGAACGCCCGAGACCACGACGGCGCCCGCAGCGGCTGTACCTAAACTCCCTGCCGACGCGCAACAGGGCAAAACGAACTCACCGATGATGGGCGGCGATACATCACCATCAGCCGCCGCACAACCGACGCTCGCTTCCATCAAGGAAACGCTGCGGAAACGGATCGCAGGGTCCAAATCGCCTGGGGGTGCTCACGGCGGCGGGGGCGCGGGTGGTGCTAGCTTGAACAACAGATGGGGCCCGAGCAGGGAGGCGGTAGCGCGGGCCATTTGAACGATGGAACAAAGGCTAGACATCCATCAAAGCTCTATTGAATGTGACGGTGGAAGTGCATGCGTGCCTACTGAGGAGGCGGCAGAGTTGGACAGTGGTGGGGACTAACTAAGTTTTGCTCCATATGTATTTGACATCGTATTGGAGATTGTTTGTATTGAACATTATGTATCATACTTTCAAAGGTCAGCTTCCAAAAGGATTGTATTGCATGTGCGATTTGACTTAACTTTTCACAAATGGGGAAGGGAGCTGTCTGCACCTGCAGGTTTAACTGATCCATTACATATTCTACATTTGCAAAGTATCAATGCTGTTTGTCTAGATCTACATGTACAGTTCCCATCATTGGTGCACATCTATTCCCAGGCTCCGCAAGTCCGCTATGAGATGGCGATAGGGCAGACATGAAAATGCTGAATCAGAAGCAGATCTAGGCGGAGTCTAGACCTAAGCTACGCGTCTCCTCATGGCATCCAGGCGGATCCCGAAGCGGAGACGGGACTCAAAAGCGGGGGCATATGTGTCACAAGCATGCTTGTAGTAAGGACCAAGTCCGCAGGTTTGGTATTTGTCGCTCTGTGTGCGTCGAGGGGACGTATCCCACTGCCTGAATCTTGCCTTTCACACCCGCACCAAAAAATCCTTAGCACCCTCATAAACGCCCAAAAAGATGCTTCCACCAATCGATATCCACATGACGCGGGGCCCGACGCCCGCAAAGAGGCGGCCAGCGCCTTCTTCGCGGATGATGCTGGTGAAGGTGGGCAGGATGCCGGGGGAGATGGTTTGGGTTGTTGGTGTTATACTCTGCGGGATGGGGATGTCAGACAGGGAGAGGCAGAATTGGCTGGTCGGTTGATGAGATATGAGAGATGTACCTTAGTCCCCAGCATGATTCGCGTCTTGACCACGTCGAGGGGTGTGGTCAGCGCCGCTGCGATGCCGCCGGAGACGGAGCCGCATAGGGCGGCTTCACCGGCGTTTACACTTTGCCGGTTGGTCTTTTGCGCCCATATTTGCTGTTACGACAGTGTGTCAGAGATGTGGTTCTGCATAGGCGAATAGAGGATCGCAGTGCCCACTGTCTAGGTACCTTCAGCCGTTCATATAATGGGAACTGTATACAGGTGAACGGAATCTGAAGTCGGGAAAAAAGGGTGAACAAAATGACTCGACGATCGTCCCAACAACCTCTACACGCCACGTGAATCATCCCAGCACACGAGGCACGCACCTCTCGAAATATCGTCATAGCATACCCCCTATAAAACCCACCCAACCCATCCACAGCAAGAATCGACCTTACAGCCTGCACGACGCTCTGGTACTGTCCCGTCTGCATGCGCTGCTTGATGACCTCCGTTGGCACGCGGACGAAGCATGCTGCCTGACCCCGTCGTGTGAGACAAAAGCTCGTGAGAAACGGGAAGGGCGAGAACTTACCACTTCACCCCCCGACGCAGCAAGCATATGTACAGCAGCATCGGTGGATTTCAGCCCGGGGAGCCAGATCCCTGCGCGTTCTTTGATTGCTTCATAGGTGACGAAGAACGCCGCCGCTGCGAGAGACAAACCCATCCAAGGCATAGTCAGCGCCGGAACCCCGTCCTCAAGGGTGGCTCCCAAGGATGGACCCACCTCCAGGAGCCGAACCGATCACCGCCGACGATAACCCGCGATAGATCCCCTTGAATCCCCCATGTGCCCAGAACCCGCCTTTGGCTTGCTGTGTGAAATTTCAGAAAAAGACAAGGGTCAGCGGGCGTCTTCCTCAGCGCGGCGGAGTTTCCTAACTCGGGGTTGTCGCGGCATGGTGGGTCGGAGTACTCGCATGCCCACATCTCAAAATCTTCTGCACCTCTCCACGGCCCCGTTGAGGTCACACCCTACTAACCAAACGAGTCTTGATCGTATCCAGCGGAAACAACGCCGTGTCCACCGCCGTGCCCGCCGCTCCGCCCGCCTGTCGAGATCAGTTGTCAACAAATCACCCTATGAGTCTAATCAACGCGCCGGGTTCAGACAACGTGGCTTCTTACCAGAAGGGCTTGGGTAAAGGTAGGCGTAAGGCCTACGGGTGGTGGGGCCAGGTCGGAGGCGGCCATTAGTGTGCGGTGGGAAAGGTGGAAAGGCGAGGAAGGCTGGAGTTCGAGTCCGTCACTTTTGAGGTCGGCGGGACGCGCTGTCACTTCTGTGCGGAACCTGGGGCTCGACGGGACGCCGACCGGAACAAGAGCCAACAGGGAGGACGGCATATGTACTCTAGATCTAACATCCACTGTTAACGGGAAACGAAACAGGGCATTGTATAGATAGATGTCACAGAGCGGTATACGGATGTACAAACGGGAGAGTAGCTCCATACACCTCATCGAAGGACTAAGTACAGGACACCACCAAATCAATCACTGCCCAACCGCCTCATCCCCCCCATCATCCACCGGTATCATCTCCACCTCCGCCTCCCTTTCCACCCCCTGCTGCTGTCCCTTTCCTCGTACAGGCGTCGGCAAATCCAACGGCAACCGCATACTCGCCCTCCTCGACCGACAAATCGCATCCACCGCCGCGGCAACATCCACGACCGAGGCCAGGTTCTTCATGACGGCGTAGTCGTACTCGGACGCGATGGTTGCGTGGAAGGCTGAGTAGGTTTCTACGATGTTTGACTGTGGTGGGTGTGAGGGATTAGTGATTTAGTGATGTGAGGGGCAGGGAAGGGCCGGGAAAGGAGGGGATATCATACCTTGATAACCCGCACAAGCACCGTCTCCGTCTTCCGATCGCCAAGATAATCCGTCATCTTCCCGACGGCTGCGCCGACATTCTCCTGCATCGCTTTGCGGAAGGCGTTGAATGTCGCTAGGACCGCTTCTACTCACCAACAAACATACTTCAGTTTACGAAACAGAGCACACTGAAGTGAGCTGACGTCGACTTACCAGACGTGCCAAACCCCTGCTTGATCAGCGGCTCCCTCGATTTGGGCGCCCGGCTCCTGAGCTGCGAAACTTGCACCATGAACGCCGTCAAGGGATCGACGCACGCGCGCGCGGTCTCGAGGATGAATTCTTCACAGACGCGTTTGAGGTCTTGATCCACGGCCTAAGGGAGTACGTCACAACAAACCAAAAACAATCAGAATTCCACAAACGAAGCCCAAATGTTGAATGCCCATCCTCACCTGCTTAGCATCCGCATAACTCTCCACAACAACCGGCGCCCCCCTCAACAACCCCTTCCCCACCCTCGCCAACCCCCCCAAATCCCAGCTACTCCCCATAACAACCCCCACAGCCTCCCTCAATGCTCCAAAATCCAGCACCTGCTCCTCGCGCCTCACAAACTGCAACCCATACGGCGTGATATGCTCCCTCAGCATCATCAAATTCTTAATCAGAAAGAACTGGCCGTCCAATTTTGTTTGTTTGGATGTGATGATGGTGGACGCGGAGAGGAGGGACTCACGGCAGCTGTCGACGGCTTCCTGCGCGAGACCTTCGAAGGTGGGGTTCGGGACGCAGTGGTAGAGCTTGCCGAGGATGTAGAGGGTTCGGTTCATGGTGGGGTACCATTCGCCGCCGCCAAAGACGAGTTTCCCGATGGCGCTCGCGGAGGGTTGTTCGGATGTGCGGGTGGTGGTGGACTGCACAGGTTGTCCTGCGGGAGTTTCGGGGGCATCACCAGCGACCGCTTCGTCCTCCTCGTCCTCCTCGTCCTCCTCGTCATCCTCATCATTCTCCACATCCAGCACCGCCGGCCCGTCCGGGTTCGCCCCCGCATCCGTCAACACCGGCGCAACACTATACGCCGACTGAATCGCAATCGGCTGCGGCAACCCCCTCCCCCTAGCCAAAATCGCCAACTCCTCCTCCCGCGGCGTGAACCCTTCAATCTCCTCGCGGATATACTGCTGGCTCCTGAACACGAGTCGCTGCTGCGCGTCTTCGAGGATCTGGCTGACGACCGATTCGATGGGTTTGGGTTTGGGTGGCTCGTTGATGGTGTCGAGGTTGTCGGTGCTGCCTTGTTGGTGCGGGACGCTGGTCGTGAGGTCGGGGGAGTCGAGGTAGATTTGGAGGGTTTGGCAGAGCTCTGAGAGGGCGTCTATTCGCTGCTCGCGCAAGATTAGGGGGCGGAGTATATCATATAGGTGCGTTGTGATGGAGTCCAGATAGGCTCTGTGGGGTTAAGAAGCAGGAGTTGATAAGCCATATACCGCAAATGGCCAGGATAAGGAGAGCTGAATTGGAACGTACGCAAGTTGATCCTCCCCAAGATGAAAGAACTGGTGAAACAGCGCCACCTCATCTGCGCAAAGCCGTAGCACATAGGCGCAACCACTTCGCGACTACAAATGCAAAAGTCCCAAGTCCGTCCAATGAGCAATCACCCTTCGACCTCAATTCAAAGAGTATCATCCTTACCATAGTCAGAATGTCCCCCGTCTCCAAAAACGCCTGTATATGCGCCGCAATATAGGGATCCAGCAGCGATTTCCGCACCTGGAAGTAGGTCGACAGACAATCTCCCAGTAACGCAAAGTACCTACACAAAACATAATCAGATCCACGGCATTCTGATACTCCGAACATGAAAGCTTGACATACTCTGGGTGATTTTCGCACCGGGCCTCGAGCTGAGCTAGAAGGAACCGCAGCGCAGGTGCGATGGTACGGAATTTGACGTAGAACAGGGAGAGTTGGAGGTTGGGGGTGAGGGGTTCTTTTGGGCCCTGCAAATGTGGTCCCATCTTGGTTTAGGAGAGGAGCCATGATGGACTGCATTTCCAGCACACCCTTTCCCGTCGCTACGTACCCTGTTGGCAATTTTTTCCTTGATATCCGCCATTAACGCCCGTAGTGTCTGCACATAATGCATCTTGATAAGCGTCAGTCCGCGCGTCATACATTGTCGGAATCGCATCAGGTATAGCTCCGCATCCCTATATTGCATCTACTCGACGTACCGATCCAGTCAGTCCGGCACTCCACCCATCACCAAAACGCCCTTCAAAGACTCATCCAAACGTACATGATTCTGAACAAACACCAAACACTCATCCAACCTCAACAACGTCGGCACAAACTTATCATCCAAGCACACCTGATCCCCCGGCGCCGCAAAGAATTTCGCAATCGGCTCAATCTCATTGAAGTACTCCAACCGCTCGGCGAGGTGACGGGCCATATCGCTCAGGGAGTTTTGTTCCGCGAGCAGCTTCTCGCAGGCGTTTTGGAGGGCTTTGGTGCGCTGTTCGACGGATTCGTAGTTTTGTTGGAGGGAGTCGAGGAGGGTGGAGGTGTGTTGGACGCGGGTGAGGATGGAGTCGCAGGCGGTGAGGTGGCCGTAGAGGGTGGAGAGGTGTGCTCTGGACGTAGTTGTTCAGCACAGTCATAACTTTGACTTTACAACAACCCCGTAATAATCGGGAATCGCCCCCATGCTTGGAGACCTCTCTCTCCCTCACCTATACACCTCCTCCTGCCCCCGTTCCATATCCTCCTCAATCTTCTCAAACCAGTTGAAAAACTGCTGGTTGGTCTCCACGGGCTGTTTCACATTCAGCACCGACACCTCTTCCACCCCTCCTTCCAACCCGGAAATGTTCGCCGCCGCGTGGTCATCGTCGTCATCGGTCTCGGTGATCTATCCTGACGGAATTTTCGGGAATTGTCAATCCAGCCCTCCTGAGTGAAATCCTGAAGGCTAACGAAGCCTTGCAGAACTCTTCGCACCTGTTTCGTTGGCAACATCGCACATGCTTCCTGTACCAGCGCGATTCCGCTCTTCTGGAGGTCGGATAATGCAAATCGAGTGTCCCAATCGTCGACCCGTGCTGGCGCCCGGACGGGTGACGAAAAGCTTTGCGCTGTTGCCATTATTTCCTTATTGGTTTCGACGGTAAGAAGAAATAGGCAAGATTCCAAACCAAGGGCTTGTTATTGTAAACATGCCCTGCGGTACTGATGTTACCACTTGAAAGTTGAAGTCAAAAAGGAGGAGGACATCGCGGAAACCGAGCAGCTGCGGCCAAGTGCGGCCGACGTGCTCGACGCGTGAGACTTCAAGTTCCCCTGCGAACTCCCGCTCACAAACCACACGCCCTGTGAACAGCACATGCATGTCCATCCAAGTTATCGATTCCACAGATCGTATCGGAGAGGCTCAAAGCCTAAACAGAAATCGCCGGAAAAAAAACGCATGTATTCAAGGGATCCACTATACAAACTCGACGAGAAATGCCAACACAAACGACAGTCGAGGGAACTATCACGCAGTCTCCCATCAGGACAACGGCGAATAATACCCCACGTGCAAACATCCGCACGCATTAAACCCACATGTCCCAACCACATCCCTCCGCTCACACCTCCGTCATCGGCGCCTCAACCCTCTCCTTCTCCCCCACATTCTCCTGCCTCATCGCGTCAGGTTCGTGTGCAGCCCCGGTCGCACCCACGGCATTCTGAACCTGCTGCTGTTGCTGTTGTTGTTGTTGTTGCTGTTGCTGTTGTTCGAGTTGAGCCTGATGCTGTTGCTGGTCGTTGAATATCCCGGCGGCCATGCGGGCGAAGAGTTGCGCGGCGTTGATAGCTGTGAGGTTTGTGGTGGCGCTGTTTAGTGGGGTGGGTTGGGCGGGTGTTTGTGTGTTTGGAATCTATATGAGGAGAGGGAACATGTGGGTGAGGGGTTCGGTATATTGCGGAAAACGTCAAGAAAGATGTTAAAACATACCAACGTCGACAAAATTATCTCCCTCTCCCGCTCACTAGCCGCCCGATACAGATTCTCTCTCTCTGCATCCCAAAACGACATGCGGGTCTTCAGGTCATCCAGCGTGTTTCCGGACAAAGTGGAGCCGTCTCCCGTAGGCGGTGTTGCGGAGTGGTCGGGGCGTGGGATGGGCGATGCCGCACGAGAGAGGGCGAGTAGGTCGTGCGCGATGTCGGTGGGTGAGAGCGGGCGAGAGGGTGCTTTCTCTGTCTCTGTGTCCGCGGGTTGGGAGGTGAGGAGGAGGGGCGGGTTGGTGGGCAGGGCGGTTTCCTCGCGGGTCTTTGATGCAGATGCACCCCCGTCATTGGCACCCGCTTTGCCATCTTTGTTGATTGTAGAGTCATCACCGGCCTTCCGCAACCCCGTGCGACTCCCCACATCATTCCACAGCGTCCACGCCATCTCCCTCAACCGCCTATTCTCCGTCTGACTTTGCCTCACCTCGACCCTTAACGCCTCCACAGCCCTATATATCTCCTCGCGCTCCCTCCACCACAACTCACGTTCCCTAACCCACACGTCCCTCTCAGCGCCCAACCGATCAACAATCATCTGAAACTCACGACACTGCTGGTCCGTTTTGGCCAATAGCGCCTCCTTCTGCGCCATGTTCTGGCATTTCTCTTCGAGGGTTTTGATGTAGTTTTTGCGGCGTTCGCGGAAACTGCGTTGCGCTTCGCGGTTTTGTTGGGCCCGGCGGGCTGTTACGCGGGCGGAGGAAGATTTGCCGCCGCCGGGGAGGCGAGAATCGACTTCGTCGTATAACTCGTCGTCGGTGGGGACGTTGTTGCTGCCGGCGACGCCGAGGATGTGGGCGCCGCCATCTTCGCGCTTGGCTAGGTGTGCGCCTGAGGTGGCGCCGGAGGGGCCATGACTTATTTCGATGGCGTGGTGATCCTGTTGACCTGCAGTCAGGTTGGGCTCTTGGTGGCCTTGGGCGGGGTGTTGTTGCTGTTGTGGGTGATCTTGATGCTGATGGCCATGTGTGTGATGAGCAGCATCGTCATGATGCGCATCCGTCACACCCACGTCTCGATGGGGTTGCTCTTGTGTCGGGACAGCGGAGGGGGCAGCGGGCAGAGCGCCGGCTTGATCTTGAGGCTGGCTTCCCTCTTGCGAGTACGCGTTCATTATGAGAAGAGTTGCGGCGGGGGGGGGGGGGGGGTTGTGTTGTCTTACGTTTGCAGCCTGTGGGAATAGCGTAAGTGGGTGGGGATGAGGAGATGCTTGCGTAGGCCGTCTGTCAGCAACCACCGCCACAGCGAGCCCTCATCAGGCAACACGCACTCCAAAACCTCACTGACAGCGCCAAGCCACTCGCCCCACGTCCAGGAATGCTCTATGTATTACAAGGATCGCGCCACGGTGGGTATCCCTATATCGTCCTATTTCGCCTATATCGTCCCAATAGACAAGGACATGCACCGACTCTCACCAAGGAGACCTTGAGATTTCCATAGTGTACAGTGGGTCCCCTCCGTAGCAAGTTGCTGGGGAGAGGGGTCAGTGACTTTCATGGTGCCACATAACCAGCTACACCCGCGCGTAACTGCTCTTTTGGGGACCCACTATATGAAGCCGCTTCCAATAATAGATGTATGCAGGCGCTGGGAAGCGAAGGATGAGATGTGCATGAGCACGTACTATCTATCCAGTGCCTCGAGATTTGTGTTGCTGTCAAATCGGTGGTCCCCAAATACATTTCAACGACCCACCTACCCCCTCTTCGCGATGTGGTCGTAAAATATCGACGTGAAAGACAGGCCAGATGCCGCTGATCTTCGATGGTGATAAATCGAGTTCGTAGGTATCGGGATGCGTTGTCGGGGATATCTCATGTTCACTTGTATTTCATATTATATTTCTTTACTTCTACACGATCCGAGACCCGAGCTGGCCACCCGAGCTCTCGGTGATACATTACATAAGGCGCCAAGCCGTATATAAAGCTGTCAGTCGAGCGGCCGCTGCAAAGGAGCTTCTTACTTTTCTCTTAACTCCAATACACTGTTTTCAGCCCTTACGGAAGGGCCCATTATCGTCGACGTTTCCTCTGACGTTACAACGCCGTTCAAGCCAGAGAGATTGCGAACCTGCTCGTCGTGCATCCCTTCCGTTTCCATGTCCACGGGCCCCTTGACAGGTCGGAACCCTGGCTATTGCTTCATGTATCTCGAGAGCTCCGACGATGTGGAACCCGCAATCAAAACGTTGAGAGGGAGGGAGTGCGGGGCAGATGCATCATTGTCACTTTGGCCACGGCGAAGAAAGATGACCCGTCGAGCGTCCTGCGTTTCAAGCCTCCTGCTGAGGGCTTCCGCAAGTCCCGGGAACCGCTTGTGCGTCAGGAGCCGACGTTTGACAGGTGGAGCCGAGGCGATGCTGCAACCCGCTGGATAGGGGTTACTCTCGAGGGAAAGAGGTTGTACGTGGGCGAACCCACCCAGCCAGCGCTTGGGATTCCTTCCACCTGCAATGCACCGTCTGGCTCTATTGGTTATGCACAAGAAAACATACAGAAGAGTAAGCGTAGAATGGAAACTTAAGATATGATACAATAGAAGAGGATTGTGGTGTTTAGAGATGAAACACCTGGAAGCAGTCCTATTGCATAAAGTGCTACATCTATCTCAATATATGTATGTTGCTGTTCGAAGATTTTCCAAGGATGCGCCTGTTTACCGCTCGGAAGGTGACCTCAACCTCTCTACTACTTCCCCCGGTACATCGTTACTTCTTCAGCTCAACAGGCTCAACAGGCACATACCCCCCCTCCAAACTCCTCCAAAGCGACACCTCAAACCCCACCAACCACGGCTTAACAATCGCGTTATGTTCCTTGAAATACGGGTTGGCCTCATGCACGGCCTTGGCCGCCTCGTCGGCAAACATCTCGACGATCATGAACGCGGTCAAATCGCTGGTGCTTTGGTGCACTGTCCAGGACAATGTCCCGGCATCGCGCATGTAGGTTTGTGAGGCGATTGCGAGGCGTGCGGAGAGGTCCGCGGTGTTCTCAGGACGGGCGCGGAGGGTGCAGTGGATGGTCAGCATTTTGGGTCGGGTGTGCTGGTTTGGTGGTCTTGTGGATGTTTCGGATGCTTCGTTGGCTGGTGGATGTTTTGAATTGGATGTTTCGTTGGTTAGGCGCATTGGATGGCAGGTGGGTGGTCGGGATTCTGGCGAGATCCGCCTGCCTATTTATACTAGAAGGGTCCTACAATCTGCGAGCCTCACCAGCAGCAGCTTCATGCCTCCCAAGGCCATCAAACGTTCGCAGGTAGTCCTTACCAATCCACTCACTCCAAACGGCAAAGCGCTGGTTTTAGACCACGATAGACGCCCAGCGCCAGGGCCCAGTTATGTAGTGAAAACCTTCCACGAAGCACATTTTTACCCACTCCCGGGCCCACTGTTTCCGAGTCAGCCCCAACGAGAAGTTTACGGTGTCCGTGAATTTTGTGTGTCGCGCAAAAGTTTCTGCAAAGCCTCGTTCGATCGCCGATAGCCTAAACTTTTATCCACACCTCTCGGAGCCTCGGGAGGGGGGCTTCGCTAGTGGGGTATTGGGCGCAGCATTTGATCGAATAACGCGTTACGCGCAGAAGTTTTTGAAAAGCCTCATTTGATCACGTAAAATGTCGGAATCAATTCTCCTTATCTCGCGCTCTTCAGCGGGCGCCTGCGAAGAGCTCAACACGAGAAAAAAAGCGGAGGAGCAAATTACGTGTCCCAACAGGAGGCTCCCGATGGGTCTGGATATGGCAAAAGTAGAAGACCATACCGTGCCTCAAAAACGCACGGCCGGTCCTTGAAATTCAACCCGGATGATTTCTACGTAAGTAGTTGGTTTGGTGGTATGTCAATTTACAGTTTACAGTTCACTTCGCCCGGCTACGCATTTGTTTAGGCGCTCAATATCTTGGCATTGTTCATCCGCTATGATTGGATTCGCAACGTTTCAAGAGTCGTTATTGAACAAAGTGTTATGGACGACGCGTCCATACCATAAGCATATGTACCTCACGACAGCACACTGACAGCTGTCAATGTCAACGTCAATGTCAATGTCAAACGTCGCTCACTCCTCCGCTCCCCTCTCATTTGCCAATCCCCCGCAATCTCGCCGCTCCTCCTCGATGGCAAACGGGACCCCGCTCAGGCAGGACTTGAACCGTCGACTGCCGCGAACTCGCTTAGATTCAGAGCCCATTCACACTCCCATTCGCTGCCTTCACATCGGCACCGTACCTCAACGTCGCTAGAAACATGGCGGAGTGGGCTTCGGAGTCAGCTGGTCTCACTCATGCCTGAAAAGATGCTGGACCGGACAGTAATGCCAGGACCTCACCTTCTGAATGAATCTCTCTATAAGGCGATTTTAGACTATCATGGCGGCATGGAGGAATGTGCCAAAAGTCTTTCCCTGGCACCAGCTCCCCTTTGGACACAAGTACGCCAAACACGGAGACATCAAGCAGTGCTTGCGATGCCCGCAATGGCACAGGCTCGCGCGGCAGAAGCGGATCCATCTTGTGAGGAGGAAAGTGAAAGACCGACTGTCGAGAAGATTGGGGGTAGACTTTGGACAAAGGACTACGTGAAATTGAAACTGCTCGAGTTTGTTGGTTCACTTGGACTCGATCGGCAAAATGTCATGCCGACGAAAGGGGAGCTCCGCAAGGGCCCCGGTGAGAACGAGACGCTCATTAACTACATCTCACGTGTCTTCAAGACTAAAGAGCCGGGCACCATCAACGCCTTCCATCGAGCGGCAATATATTGCTCCTTGAATTATAAGCGGCTTACGATGCCCGATGATTGTAAGTGCCCAATCTTTCCTGGACTTCGATTTTGTCTGACCTGCCATTTTATTGCAGACTGGAAGTCTTTCGAAAACATCAAGGCTGCGTTGGAAGATGTAATGGCTGAACATGGCTTGGATCGTGTGACGCCAACCCTGTCGGAGATGCGTTCCAAAGGCAAACAAACGGTGTATTCTGCCATCAAGAAGCATCGTGGGGGTGTTAGGCTGTTGCGACACAGTTGGGCTACACCGTTAGACCGGGAACAGTTAGAACCAAGAAGGGCTGCTAGAACAGCACAACAAATGCAAACTTTGAAGGGTGGGTGACTTCGTCGGCGTGCATAGCGCAGAGTCATAGACACAGATTTGCACGAGAGTTGGATTCAAGGAAAGAATGAAGGTCCTTTTGCTGGAGGCAATCCAAGAGAGTTTACGTAGACAATTGTCACGATCTCGGCTTCATTCCCCCACCCACAGCGACAAGCGCTGCTAGACGCTTTCTGCATCAGGATTTTTACCGTTCTTCCTCTCGTAGATGCACCCTCTGCTATGGCTCTGACCAATTGCCTGAGTGAGAACGAAAAGTCTATAGGTGGGACGATGGCTCATCCCGACAGGATCTGCTACATCTAACAACCCGCTCAAGTGAAGTTTAGAGGGCTAGGGTTAGGGTTGAGGCATGCACGTCCTCCTAGCGGAATTGGTGCCTGCCAACACAAAATGATCTCCAAGAGTATGGGAGACCTGGACTCAACCGTCCGGCGGGTCATCCGTGTGTGCTACATCCTTTTGTGAGACGGCCGATGTTTGAGCGTGTCCAGGTCCGCCGGATGTCGACGTGTTGGAGCCAAGTTAGAAGCTGTCCGCTGGCCGGTCAAGTCACTTGACAGACTTATAGAACGAGGTATTGAAGCGCCTTGGGTAACGGACCCGGAAACTCCGTAAAATTCGAACCGAATCCGGAGGAGGTGGTCTGCGACTCGTTTCATGATACTGTACAAAGGTATGTGCTACGGTCGGGCTTGAGGGTGATTGACATTCTCATTCCTTCTCCAGAAGGGAGGTTCAATCCCGCATTCCAAACATTCTCGTCAATCCCAAAACATACTCCTATTTACCCGCATGGCCGTGCCTCCGTCCGCCTTGCTGATTGCAACTAATCTTTCGCTAGTTTCGACCTTGAAACCAGCCGTTAGTTCACAATTGACAAGGAAAACGAAGCCATGGCCAAACAGGTGCCCCGCCACCAAACGCACGCCCGAATAAACAGCCTCGCTTCGCAACATGTCCAGACCGACGAAGCCCTACGACATGCCGAGAGCAAATTTGCGGTTGTTTTTCCATGCGTGCGTGAGGGAGGCGCTGACTTACTTTTTGGATGGTTTCGGCAGGTCTCCGTGCGTTTCCTTCCTTTCTTCGTTCAACCTTTCCACCACCGCGTCGGCAAAGGCTTTCAGGATATTCGGGTCGGCAAACGGCTCGAGTTTGCGGCATCGGGCGCGCGGGCTTTGCGCTCCGCGAGAGTTTCCTTCCACCGGGTCCAGCGCCTCCGCATCAGACCACAACTGGTCGATCTCCGCCGCGTCGGCATCTGTTTAAGCATGACAGTGGCAACACCGTCAGGAGCTGGTTCGAAAGTGGGAAACAGATCGAGCGACAAATTCTCACCCAGCATCATCAAAAACTCTTTCATCTGGGCGATTAGCATCAGTGCTCGTTGACGGTTGATTGATTTGGAATGGGCCCCGGCGGCGCGGATATCCTTCATGAGGAAGAGGAGGTTCTTCGGGGTGTACACTGCTGGAGGAACACGGTTCCGATGCCAAGGGAGCTGATATTCATAGTCTAAGAATAAGTTGCATAGGCATTGGAGGTCTGTAGTATCATATCGTTCGCAGCCGTGCTCATCGGTGAACCCCTTTCGATCGCGTCGATTGAAAACTCCGCAATTGTTTGCCGCAAAAAGGCGCGCTTTTCGCTCCGTAGTGGTCAATGCTTCGTTCAGTATTTGCAATGCCGACTCGTTCACCGTCATAGTCCTTCGTCTCTTGCGCTTCTCTGGCTGCCCATCTGGAGTATAGGCCGAGGAATCTACGCTATCATTGCTGTGTTGACTGTCACGACTGGCGGTTCCGCTAAGGGTGGGCGGCCGTTCCTCGTCGAGCGGCGCCTCGGGCGTTGGCCTTTTCACGAATCGCAGAACCGTGTTGACTTAGAAGTCACATTGCGCAACTTTCTCATTCTCGCCCCGCCTTCCAAAGAGTCTCAACATCTATCGCTTCATACCTGCGCCGAGCCCTGGTCTCGTCCATTGTGCCAGAGTCCGAGGCCCGCAGTGAGGCCTTCAGCAAATTCTCATCAATTAGGCCTTTCTGAAGAGACTGTAGCAGGGCAGTTCTCGTCAGGCGACTGGCGGACAGCTCGATCTGGACCTCTTTCTGCTTATGCACGCGATTGCTCTTCGCCGTCTGCTCCTGGCGCTAAATGCAACACCGTCAATACCACGCACCGACACATTGTCCCTACCGCACCTCAACGCATCAGCGAAGATCAAGCCACACTACCTTCTTTCCGTGACCCGTACGCAGCAAATGCTCCTGTCGTAGTTCCTCAAGCCTTCCTGTATTAGGCCACAAAGAATCCAGGTAGGTCTTAAATGCCGGCGCCGCTAGATGCGCTTGGAATCCAAAGCGGCTCGCCTGGCTCATCACATTGCTCTTGATATCCTTGTAATCGTTCGATGCCTTGACGGCGTTATCAACCCAGCGTCCAATGTAGTTCTCGATACTCTGATGATCTGCATGTTGATATCTCGATGCTGGCGGTTGTTGTGTTGCGTGCAGTCCTTTCCTTGTACGACCCCAACAGAAAAATATTATGGATTTCGCTGTTCGGATCACACAAGGCACGGATGGCACGTCTTCTCAACTATATGCCTTCATTCAGTCCTATGCCTCATGGGCCCGTTTGGGCCAGCAAAACACGACACTGAGAAGCTGCTGTCAAATAGCGGAGTGGAGTGGAATTGGCATACGTAAGCGCGTTCCGACAGTGGCCAAACCAGACGGCGCATCAGCCAACCCATTCGCCGACACTTTTCCAACATCAACCAAGCACAACTATTCTTCATAACAAGACGGTTTCTGCGTTTGACAACGTTTGGAATAGACCTTTGTCTCGCCTGGTACTTCAAATGCTACTGTACTTCTTCACCGTTTTGCCGCGCCAGCTAATGTCCGTACCTTTCTCCCCCTATGCCACATCAGGGACCAAACCGACGAGCATGTGCAAACAGGATTCGCATCTCTCCGCGATTTTCAAGCCCGGCTTCGAGACATATGTCAAGCAATGCCCCGGTCCGTGGCAGACATCGAACCAGCCCGGCGTCGAGGCATATGTCGAGCATGCCCCGGTCCGTGGCAGATATCGGACCAGCCCGGCGTCGAGGCATATGTCGAGCATGTTCCGTTGCAGTTGAGAGTTCCCCGCTCTACCGGAAATCAGCGTTTAGCCGTGCGTCGAGGCATATATCGAGCAGCCCTGCATCGAGGCATATGTTGAGCAGCCCTTTCTAGAGGCATATGTCTTGTAGCAGCCGTGCATCGAGGCATATGTCGAGCAGCTGTGCGTCGAGGCATATGTCGAGCAGCCGTGCATCGAGGCATATGTTGAGCAGCCGTGCGTCGAGGCATATATCGAGCAGCCGTCCTTCGAGGCATATGTCGAAGACACTGATGGTAGCGCGGGGTGGAACTGTCAAGAAATATGAATTGAGGTAGGCGTTGAGTGTTATGCGGGCAGATCGTCGAGGCGTAACAATCTCAAAGTTCTTCTTTCAGATTCTCTGAATCCACATAGCTTGCTTGGTAATGTAAGAACACCCCGCTCACCTCAGGATCGTATTGAGAGGCTTTGTTCAGAATGACACAGGTTAATCTGTCGCACATGTAGAAGGCCGAGAATGTAGTTCACAAATGACAAACAAGTGGCACCGTACTTTGCGCGACCGTCAAGGGATTGCCGATAGAAACTACGTCCGAGCGGTACGTGGTGTCCCCCCGTTCGAAGTTCGAGGACAAACAAACTCACACTGATCGCGGACGCAGGCATGAAGTTGCTTGTGCACAAAGTGTACGCCAGTGATAATTAACGCGTTATATAGATTTATGATGTAAAATGTGATGGGTGGTTCTGGAAGATTTCGATAAATACAGGATATCCCAAAAAAGAAAATAGAATGGATTGGATTGGAGACCGCCGTAGGGGGAACTGCAGATCTATGACCTATCGCTAACGCGAGACGGAAGCCCACAACTCTATGGCCGTCTGCCATCTCACAACTATACGGGTGTCTGCAAACGATGTGATACGTATGGGTGAGATTGGGCCGTACCTCCAGAGACCAACTACAACCCAAAACCAACCACGACACTTACATCCGGCAACCTCTCAATCGCATACTTCCTACTCGCAATATACATAATCGGCACCCCAGGAATCTTGCGTATCCGTCTTTTCAGCTCCTTATCACACGTCGCGACAATATAGCACTTATGCTGCATCACGCGGTTGACAATACAATCATCGGCGTAAACGCCTTTATGCGTGCACGGCAGCCTTTCAAACCGGGGGTCACGGGCGATTTTAAGTGCAATGCGGTATTTGACGCCGAGTTTCTCGAGCTCGGCCATGACGCAGTCGGTGATGCAGGGCACGCACTTGGCGTATAGGCAGTCCATCATGGCTTTGATGAGTTCGAGCTTGTTTTGGATCGAGAAGTTGATGAAGTTGGTGTCGACGAGGACGTGGTAAGGGGGGCCAAGGGCCTCGTTATATTTGAAGAAGAGGGAGGAGGCGACTTGTGGGCTGGTGGTGGGGTACGTAGGCCACGTCAGTAAAGGGTTCCGGCCATCCCTTACGTTGGTCCCGGCTCAAAGCACACCGCTGTGCAGCAATCTCCCACAAATCTGCCCAACTCACATATGGCGCACAAGCTCCTTCTCCTTCTCCTCCTCCTTCTTCTCCTTCTTCTCCTTGTTGTGTTTTCTGTTCAGCGGCGAGAAGTGAATTAGTAAACGTCCCGGATCCATGCAGAAAACCTATCCCCGCGAGCGTGCAATCGATACTCACAATCGCTCATCCTTCAAGCTCAACATGCGCTTAACCTCTCCGAACTGCCTTGTTTTCTTCGCTTTACCCTGTTGGGAGAATAATGAGGTGCGTTGAGGACATGAGTGCTTTTCTCCGACCGCTAATGAGGGAGCGCTTCGTACCATTTTGGCTTCTGTATTCCGCTGTTCGCCTGCTCTTTCCGTCAGGGGATAGAGGTTGCTGTGGTGTTGCTGTAAAGCGGTTGGGTGTTGGCGGTGGTTTGGCGCAATTCCAGTTTTCTGAGTTTGTAAAAGTGACCGACCGAGAGTTGGAAGAAGGTCAAATTTCTCACGTGTCGCTCAGCTCGCTAGACAAATTGAGCAACAGCAAAGGCAGAGCAAAGGGGCTAATCCCGCACCTTCCGCCCAACGCCCAACGACAACACAACTATGCACCTCCCATCCCACTGTCTCCGCCAAGCAGCACGGCGGTCCATCCCCCGCCCCTTCTTCCCCACACCAGCTCACCTCCGATCCTTTACAACAACGCCAATAAACCTCGCCCGTCGAAAACAGACCGCGGGAGAGCGCCGCGACGAGGACGACGGCGTGAAAGCACTCACGGGCAATCTCGCCGTCGATGGCGTGCACCGCTACGAGCTAGACTTCTTGGAGACGGCGGAATGGGTTAAGGAGCTGTTGGTGAAGATGAGGGATGACCAGGGGATGTTGAAAGGTTGGTTGAGGGAACAGGGTGAGGGTGATCTTGGAGAGAACTGGCGGTGACGAAGAGGAGGACGTTGACGGACGGAAGTGCGAGTCTACCGAATGGGAGGGACGTTTGGTTGCGGCGGTCAAAATGGCGTAGGGAGAATCTAGGCACCTCCAACAGCGCTCTTTCCGACGATCAACGAGCAACATGAGTTAACCTTTGTAACTCATTTCTTCTCGCAGACCTATCGCGCCCCTTCACACCCCCAACTCCGCACCACACCCTGATAGTCGAAACCCGCGACCGCTTTACCTACGACTTCACGCAACCGGCGCCAGTCGACACCGACGTCAAGCTGCACGTCCCCGTCGCCGGGCTCAACCTTGACGCCCAGCAGCGGCATAAATTGCTCCTCCTCGCGGGACAAAACTACGACCCGTACATTGATGTTATCACATTGAAGAAGGAGACGCCGGTTGAGGGCGTGAAGGATGCGCTGAGTGATAGGGATCAGAATAGGGTGGAATTGGCGAGGGCGGTGAGGAGGATGGTGGAGGATGCTAAGGTGCGGTCCGCAGCTCTGCAGCAGCAATTCTGTTTCGACAATTGGATATCTCGTACTCATCCACCCATCTCTTCATACCTACAGGACACAACGGACTCCTTCACAGACATCCCATTAGACATGCGGCACCTCAAACCCCGCAACGTCGGCCTCGAGTTTCCCCAGGAATGGCTCAAGCCACGGCAAAAGAGGAGGGCCGCCACCGCCACCACGAACTGAAAGCCCTTTCTACTGAACCAACCCCTTCTGCTGCATTTTGTACATACAATATAGAAAGATATCGGCGCCGCCTTCTTCCGGTGATATGCGGCGTTTGCGGTTCTAGGCCCATATGTAGGAGGGGGAGTGCGCGCTACTGCCCTTTTCCTGCGATATTTAATACACAGCGCTTATTCAGAGAATCGCTCCCGCACGGTTTGTGAACACGGATTTGGTTGCGAGCGGGAGCAGAGGGTTGAGTGGAGAGAAACCGCTTTCAGTACAATATCGAAAAATTGCCAAAAAGCCATATTTAATTGAGGATCGGACTGATCAGATCCACAGTGTGAGAGATCTTGTTTGGGACTTTAACCATTACCAGTGATTGATGCAGAGTCAGAACCGGAGTAGTTCAGGGCCCAAAGTCGGTGCGAACACTGGTTTTTGTAACTCTGGCTTTATTGTTTGGTGCTTCCTTCGAGTTGGTCACCCCGCGCCAGAGCTGGATTTTAACGAGTTCCCAAAGCAATTGGAACATCCGCCGAGACCTCAGACGGAAGTGGGCCACTGCGCTTCGCGCCCCGAAGCGCAGGGGCCCATGAGAAGCCACCAACCTGTTAATAGCATCTCCCGTCTCTCCACCCACCCTTAACATGAACCTTAGCGCGTCCTCCAGGTCGGGCCAACCCACAGTCAGCGTTCGCGCCGGCGTCCAGAAGGAGCCGCACAACATCCAGGTGGTGATATTCAACCCGCTCTCACGAGCCCCATTTCCAGATCCCGTCGTCCGTCTCCGCACAGGAGCTGCCGCACAAGCTCTAGGCGGCCGAACGTGCATGCGCTCCGCAACGCGCCGTCCAGATCCAGTCGTCCTTCTCCGCGCATGCCCCAGAGCTCCTTCGCGAGCTCCAGATGGCCGCCCGTGCATGCGCTCTGAAACGCATCATCGATCTCGCCGCCCCTTTCTAGAATGTACATCCCCGCATCCCGGTGGCCCTGCAGACTGACATTCTTTAGAGGCGTCCCTCTGAACCTTGGTTCGACCTCTGCGTGTAGCAAATCCGCCCGCCCCCGCAGGATTCATGCAGGATTCATGACATCCAACTCCAAATTCCGGCTGGGCGGAACACACATGCTCCAAGCAATGTTGGAAGTGCTCCCTCTCCAGACGCCCGAGCGAGCCAAAGCATGTGCCGAGATCCATACGACTCCGTGAGGCAGAAGCCTTGCGCGCGGTGAGAAACCTGTCGCCGGGTAGCTCCGGCGGAAAAGAGGAGTGCTTGAGCAAGTGATTGACGATGTCACTATGACCGCTGTCGGCTGCAAACTCGAGCGCGGCCTGGTCTCCCAGGAACTTGAACTCGTCCAATTCTCCCTCTGCGCCCAGCTCTGCGCCATCCAACCTCGCAGTCTGCATTCCCGACCCACCTCAAACTGCAATCTGCACAGCGCACTCTCGGTCGCTGGACGCACCCCTCACCGACTACATATTTGCCGACGCCCCACCTCAGCTGTCCACCGACGCGAAAAGGAACAAAGAAAGGGCAAGTATCTCTGGTTCTACTGGCCGCCTATAGGGCTGCCTGGCTAGCAGCCTGATTCGCAGCTTGGTGGGCTTCTCCTTGGAACCCCCGGCGGTGCAGACTGGTATCCCGCAGACAGATTCAGACCGTGCAGGGCATTCTGGTAGACACGCGTGTCAAGAATTACCGTACCCGAGTCAGGTCCCGAATCTTGCTGATTTGAATTGCAGAGAGACGTCGTCGCAGTAAAGGCGGGAGGGTCTACCGTCGACCGGGTTTTCACTTCAGACATTGTTTGGTCCGCTGTTGTTATCCTGCACGTCAACTCTCATTGGGTGAGTCCGTGGACATCGCTTACTCTTAATACTGTTCTCTCCGGGCGGGTATCATCCGATGCTAAACTGGTTTCCCATTAGAAAAGTGGGCCGGGATTTGGTGTCAAATGTGAAGATGCCATATCTCCATGATTGGCCTTGTTCGGAAGCGGAGAAGGTCCATCGCTCGGAGGTTCTACTCGTGCCAAGGTAGCATATATGTACTAATATGCAACCTCTGGCGCGCGGGGCGCGATCCTGAGGCCACCTGAGGCGCGATCGCTATTCTGGTGGGTAGCGAGGACAGCGTGAGCCCCCCGCTCTTCCAGGTGCTGGAATGCCACGAGTCGACCGTGTGCCCCTAACGCACGCGGCGAGGTTCCTTACCCTGTGAACGAATGCAGGATGGTTTCCCGACGACGAATGAGGGCTTTGCACATGCAGGGCACAAAGACATTCCTCAAGAAATATGAGCAAGGAGTCGCTCGTATGGCTTCAAAGCAAGAGGGCGGAGAGGCTGCGGAGAGGCGATCGCGTTGTGGCTCATTGACAGGACAATACTGTCAATCGCACCCACCATCTGTCTCCCCCCCCACGCATGCCGGGGCTCACTAAGAAGCCGTGATTCGGAGTATGGCGCCTTCGACGTAAGGAACTCGCTCGCTTCGCTTTAGTTGTCCCCGCTACTCTTGGCCCTCAGACAGAGCTAAGCTGCTCGCGCCAATGAAGAAAGCGAGCAAAGCGCCCACAGGCCCCCGATATAGCAATAGTAGCTCTTGAGCCCACCAGTCTGGTTTCTGGGGAGATCACTTGGCGTATCTAGTCGGGTACAGCGCAACCATGTCGCCGCTCGTGTGTCCTGAATAGGTATCTTGGGCATCTCAAACTTTGCTGAAAACCGGCGGATCGGCAAAGATTAAAAAGCATAGCCGGTCCTGGCACCAAATGGCATGGGCAAGGTTTGCGGAGTGGATAACGCAGCGGTTGGGCATCCTCGAATGAGCGGCAGAAGGTCACGGCGTCTGCCGGAGATAGGCAAGGCACCCTCGCCAGGCCCCCAGTCAGTCTGGGGTTATGATGAGTTGCTCAGCCCTGTCTTTCCCATTCCTTGCACATCCATTGACCAGAATAACGCTTGAATACATACACAGTCCCAACCAAAATATCCACACACATCCACAAACACACAAGGTCACAGCAAAACCCCCATCTACATACAGTACAAACCATCCCCCAAATCCCTACAATAATATACATATAACCCCCGTCCCACCCAAACCAAATCAAAAATGCAAATTATCAATCAACGGCCCCTTACCCTTCCCCCTCCGCGACCCAGGCATACGCATCGACGGCAACGGGGCGACGATAGAGGCCATGAACATGCCCACGCCGAGCGAGAGGCCGACGACGAGCACATTGAGCGACAGCGCGAGCCCGTTGGCGATATCGTCGTTGCCGTCGCCGCCGATTATCTTCATTATGCCTTTAGGAAGAGATTAACGGCGTAAGAGTTTGTTTGGTGAGATGATAGTTACGACATGTATGATTCTTTGATGTTACCTCGAACAGCGAGCGCACCAGGAAACAACATATTCAACCCGCCCAAATCATTCACAATCGCGGGACTCTTACTCCACCTCGCATGCAGGTTACTGCTAACGCCGATCGCGAAACTCCCGATCGCGCTCGCCAGATTATCCGAAAACCTTGTCGCAGCCAGATTATACACCGCGTACCCGATCGCGGAGATCACCGACAGCATCGGTAATTGCACGGGATGTGCGCCAAGGCCCATGCTGAGGGTTAGGGATGTGGGCAGGAACAGGAGGAGTTTGGCGGTGGAGGAGAGGCCGGGGCAGGTTGCGGGCATATCGTCGGGGAGTTTGGGCTCGTGGAACATGCCGGCGGACAGGGTTGTGCCGAGGTCGAGGCCGTAGCCGATGAGGCCGGTCATGACGATGCCGTAGGCGAGGCGGGAGGTGCCGGAGATCATGTGGCGGGTGCCGAGTTCGACTAGGGCTAGGGTTATCTATAGGTGGAGAAGAAGTGGGGTTTGAGCACGGGATCGGAAGACGCATTGGATGAAACGGTTAATACGGTACCGTGACGCCTTGGAGGAGGAACATGCTTGACGACAGAATGGAGGCCGAATAACACAGCGGGACCCCAAGTCCTATCAGCGTCCGGACGGTGAACGCTACCAGAGCTGCTCCCAAAAACTAAATAAAATGCCAAAAACAGTCAAGTCAGAACCACCAGTGTCCTCATCAAAATGGACTACTCCATGTGAGGAACCCCTACCTCATAAACCTTCCCCATGGTCCGCTGACTCTCACAGAGCCCGCCCAGCCACGCCACCACCGTCCCCAAAATCCCCGACACCAACACGTCCAGCCACTGCCCGTCAAAGAACAGGCCCGCGGCGCCGGCTGCGGCTAGGCCAGATAACAGGTATTGTACCCACTAGTGTACGATGTGTCAGCAACGTTGTGAGACAACGCTCTCAATTTGTGGAAGTGAAGAAATGTACCTCGGGGTAGTAGTCCGGCAACTGTACGATCTGCTTCAATCGCGCGTTGGCATCCTCCACCGCAATAATCTCAAACGCAGAGGTCAGATCCTCCTTTGACGGTTTATGACGACCGTCTTGCGATGGTGTGGATGTGTTGTTTGCCGGCTTGTCATTCCCGCTTGTTGCAGTTGCAGTGGACGGTTCGGCGTTGTGTGCATCATCCTGCCTCTTTGGTCGGCGACGGGAAAGAAGTGGCCGGGACGGGTTTGAAGCCCCTTCGTCATCGTCGCTGCTACTGCTGCTGCTGCTGCTCGAGTCGGAGGAATCGCTGGATGAACCGGACTTTTTGCCTACGCGGGATCGATGCTTTTTGTGTTTCTTAGGCTTGTTTCCGCGTCCGGCGAATATGTCTGCGTACAATGAGAGGGGCGATGCTGTTAGATACGCAGTGACAGTATCCGTTTGATCTCATGTGCTTTACCATGGCCATGCGCAGCGAGTTCCAAGATCCACCGCTTCAAATCCAGCTGCTCATCCTCCTCATGATCCGACATATCCGTCGGCGAGTGCAACATCGCACTCTCCAAATCCGCATTCCCGCCTCCAGGCAGCACCGACGCCGGTGTCTCCATCGCGCGTCCCTTCCCCTTTATGACCTCCGACACGATATTGCGGAACCTGTTCAGCCTACTCGGCCGTCGATCCAGCCCGCCGCCACCAGTCTCAGGAGCGATCGACGGCAAGCTCGACGACCGGTTCAGCGAGCTCACCGACCCCATCGTCATAGCCCTCAACAACCCGGGCCGAGGATTGCGGTTGTTGCGCGCCTGCTGCGGCGGCGGATGGAACCGGCTTACGTCGACCTGGGAGAGCCGGCGTTGGGCGCGCGGCGCGCCGATGTAGGTTTGTGCGGTTGCGTAAGATGCGACGCGGCGCGCGAGCTCTTCGACGAGTGCCAGCTTGTAGACGTCGAAGCCGGCGTTGGTGAGGAAGAAGAGGGGGTAGGCAGCTGCCGCAGGGAGTTTGGTTAGATTGCATACGCGGAGAACGTCTCACAGTTCAGTGGAGAACGATGGGGAGGCCATACCTGGTTCATCGTCATGCCGGAACCCGATCATCATGTACGTTGGGAACACTGTGAAATCGGTATCTGCCCGACCCAGGCCCTTCGCTACCTGGAAGAGTGGGAACAGTCAGCAGGGTGATCTCCCACAACACACACGCCTCTTCCCACTCCCTCTCTCCCACCACCCTTACCTGCTTCATATGATACCACAAACTATGCGTCGGCGTCCCATACGCATACAAACTGCTCGCCAAATTAACCAGAAACTGCTCCGTCGCATTCATCCTCCGCCCGCCGGCCCCGACTCCCGCCCTCACACCACCCCTGACAAGCCCCCTCCTCCGTTGCTCTTCCTCGAGATACTCGCTCGCCCTGTTGTTGTTGTGGACATCGCGATCCTGAGAGTGGGCGTTTGATTTGAAGGGCTCGCAGACGGGGTTCTCTTGCAGGAATTGGTCGAGGAGGGTGTCGAGTTTTACTTTTTTGGGTTTTCGTTTGGAGGATTGGGAGTGGGAGTTGGCGGTGTCGGAGTGGGTGGGTGCGGCGGCGTCGTTGGAGGCGTGGCGGTCGTCCATTGCTGCGAATTGGGGAGGTCTCTTGCTCGGCGGTGGGCCTGTGTTGCGAGGTTCCTTTGACCTTGTGCTGTGCAATCACTGCAATGTCCTTACTCGGCCAGAGCTTTTTGCGAGAACGTTGAAGTGAGGCTCAGCGCGCAATTTGGAACAATCGACAAAACGTCATTCGCGTCGGGAGGCCATCTCGACAACCCTCCCTCCCGCCCGCCCGCTCACAACCATGAACCGCCCTGTTGCAAATATCGTGCAACCACTCGCCGCTCGGAAACTAGAATGCGGTGACCGGTCGGCGGTCTTAGCAGATTTCGGACCTGGGCGGGAGGGGGCTCCTCCGGTGTAGATTGACCGGGGAGCATTGTAACGGTCATGAACGGAACCATAAGTTTGTACCATATAGTGCTCATCAACTAGGCTGACTAGCGCACATTCGACTAGCAGTACGTGGTTGTCAATATACGGAGTACGCCCAAGCGTGTCTACTGGTGTGGTGAGAATAGGCTTTTACTTGGTCTCTGCCTTTTACCTTGCACTCGCCGCTAGTAGATCATCTCCGCCCGCGAACGACCCGAATTAGATCCATTCTCAGGGGATGATCGACCACTTTCACAATGAAGGAACTCTTGTCGGATTTCAGGGATATCTTGGGCAAGAGGGACCGCGGGGCGATCTGAGGAATAAAGGCGCCGGCGCTTGTCGAAGTTCTTGACGACCTTCCACCCATACAGGGAATCCAGGTGGATGATGGTATCCTGGTACGATGCGAGCTCCTGATAACGGCCGGGATACAGGCGTGCGTTCAAGATCTGATACTGTTTCCACGCCTGTTGCCACGCGCCGAGCGAGTCGATCTTGATCTTCTTATCCTCCCGTTCGACGACGGCAAGACCTGACGCGGTGTCCGACGGGGCTAATGTAAGAGTCGTTTCCGACGGTTGGCCGTGCCGGTAAGGATGGAGCTTAGCGAGATCTACGTATTGCAGACGGATAACTTGGTCCAGGACGCTCGCGTCGTAGGATGCACCGTTCGCGATCAGGATATCCCGGGTGATAAGAATGTTGGCCGAGCAATGCAACGTTCAACAATGTATGCGTATCCACTTCATCTGACATTCGTCCATGTCAATGGGCATGCTCAGTCAATCCAAATTTTTTTGGCCATACATTCATGATGGCGATGTTTCTCCAGGCCTGCTGCCTCTCGCAAACTCTCTGTTCTTTGCAGGCTTCCACCTTGCCGCACTCACGTATGTATATGCCTCGCCACATTCAACAACCCTAACCCTAACCCTAACCCTATCCCTAACTCCAAACCCTAACCCTACCTCCTTCGATGTTTCGTGAACATATGCCCATTGTCACCAACACTGGCCGGTCAATGTCTATGCCTATGGTGGCTATGGACTCCTGGTTCCCCTTCCCAGCGCGCGCTTGTAAGAGAATTATCATAGATCGCGACTGCGAAGGATGAAGGATGAGATCGCAAGCCAAGCTTCGACATTCCCCCACCATGCCTCCAACAATGACAGGCCATTCGTTCTCCGACAACACTAGCAATAAAGGACCTCCCCCCAGCAACCAGCTTCGTTTCCCCCATATGCAAGCCAAACTGAACAACGCACAAGCCCGAAGAAAAGACTCAAACCCCTCGCTCCTCGAAACAAAGACAACCTTGTTTGACACAAGGTTGGCCATGTGAAAGAATATTCCATAGCTCCATGCCTTGACAGAAACCGTCCGTCATCACTATATGGGCCGCGCAACCACAGAGAACAAAAGGTTTAGTCTAAAACAGTGGTATCGAGTCCGTTTTTGGGATCAACGGCAAGCTAATCCAGAACAAAGTGAAGGAAGTCTCGGCACTTCAGCGAGGAATCGCAAAGTGAACGTCACTGTTGGAGCGTATAAGACAGAGTTCTTTGATATCAGAACGGATCTTATAGCGTAGGGAAAAAGCATTGGGGTCACCTTTCGCGTGAACGCTCTGACTATTGCACTAGCTGTGGGTTGAGGAAGCGTTTGCAGTGTATATACGACGGCTGATTATCTGTATTCATCCGCAAGCGATAATGAAAGCAAGACTGAAGTCCAAGCTCAGCGCGATATCCCCATCCAAATCACGCTATGTAGACGACGAGCGCGGCGACCGTGCCGTCGAAGAAGGCACGTACGGCACCGCCGAGCGCCTAGCCGAGCGACGCAGCAGAAGTAGCGGTCTAGGTGCTGGCGGGATGGTACCCGGCGAACACGCGGGTGCGTTCCCGGGGCAGGACTTCCAACCGTGCCGGATGACGATCGGGGTCAAAATGGCTCTGCTGGCCGTGCTGTTGACGATGGTCTCCGTCGGGTTGATGGCAGCGATTGCGTGGATCAGCACGTCCAAGACGCTGACAGCGGAGCTGGAGAAACGCATCGACACCATAGCGCTGCTCCGCAGCCAGCATCTCACGCAGTACATCATGAAACGCTTCGGCGACCTGAACCTGATCGCCTCGCGGCTGCTCATCCAAGGATTCCTGAAGGAGATCGCAGCGGGCAAAGTGCTCGACGCCAACGAGACGGCCGTCGGCAACCGCGACCTCGCCACGGCCGCGACGTCGCAGAACTTCATGCTGATCATCGAGTTCCTATCCCTCAACGGAAGCACCGTGTTCCAAACCGTCGCCGACGGCATCAACATGACCGAACTGGACCGCCGGTTTGAGCTACCGCTAGGACACCACCTCCTGCTGCCGCAGATGATGGAATCCGTCCCCGTCGATCTGCATGTGAGTGAGCGTCCGCCCCCCAGAGGTGGTGCTGGCCAGCCGCCTGTTCTTCACCCACCATCGGCCACACCGTTTGCCGGCGCTAATCCCCGCTCTCAGGCTCCGCCACCACTCGCCGACAATAGTTTTGTCTGGGGGTTGATTCAACCCATACACGACGCGACAAACTTGTCAAATGTGGAGGGTTACATTCGCATGATGATGAGGGCGGATGAGCTGGCGCCGATTATCTATGAGTCTGGTAGGTTCCGGTATTCATATATCGTTTCCTTGAAGTCTGTCCACGCTTGCTCAGTGGCTTTTCCGATCTTCCTCGTTTGCAGCTGGATTGGGCGACACAGGCCAACTCGTCGTAGTCAAAGCCGTCAACGAGGTATTGTCCAACAGAACGTTCCAATAAGCTCCTCCAAGCTCTCGTCTTCCTTCCGTTGTTCCATCGCTCCATTCCCCTCCTCCCCATCATTCCCTCTAATCCCCTCTCCTCCCGCCTAGACCGCCTACCGCTTCATCCTTCCTCCAATGCGCAACCCCGAATACTTCCCCGGCGAGCACTCCCTCGCCAGCTACCCGCTTTTCCAGACGGCGCTGCAGGACAACAAGACGCATGTGGGCACGTTTGTGTCGTTTGATGGGTCGAGGGTTATGGGCGCGATGTATCCCGTGGGCGAGGGGTGGTATTTGGCTTCTGAGAGTGAGTTTTATGTGGTGGATGTCGTCTGCTGAGAGTGTTCACAGTCTGGAGAGGCACGGGGTAATATACTGCACCCTATTCGCTAACCGAACCTCTTCATTCTCGTTTCCTAGTCTCCGAAGCCGAAATCAACACCCCGGTAGTCCGCCTCCGCACCTCCCTCCTCCTCGCCATCATCTTCGTCATCATCTGCTCCCTCCTCACCACCCTCATAGCCGCGCGTTCCGTCGTGCTCCCCATCCGTCGTCTCGCCTCCTTCGCCCTGCAATTCTCCTCGGGCAACTACGACGTCCGCGTCCCACTTTCTGCGAGCCATTGCCATGATGAGATTACGGATCTGATGGTGGCGTTTAATACGATGGCGCAGCAGTTGAGCTCTCAGTATGATTCGCTGGATAATAAGGTGCAGGAACGGACCAAGGCGTTGGAGGCGGCGAAGGTGGAGGCGGATTGTGCGAATGCGGCCAAGTCGGCGTGAGTTGGGGGATGTGAATTTCGTTGTATGGAGGTTATATCGGGGATGCTGATTAACATGAATCTTCTGTGTGTGGCAGGTTCTTGGCGACGATAACCCACGAGATCAGGACACCCCTCAATGGCATCATTGGTATGTCCTCGCCATCTTTGGCACTATCACCCGCACTGACATCTCATGTTTGTATACCAGGATTGAGCGCTCTGCTGGCAGAAACACCGTTGAATTCGGATCAGAAGGATCTGACGAATTCTATACGAGGTAATGTGAGCGGGCATAAGTGGTGGGGCTCTATGCACGCAAAGCTGGATGGAGCTGACTGCTTTATTTTTTCGTGTGCCCGTGCAGATTGTAGTGATGGGTTGTTGATTATAGTCAATGACGTGCTTGATGTACGTAAAACCAAGGTTAACTTGAGCAAATTCATCGAAGTACGTAGCTCACCATTCCTCCATTTATCTTCCCCCAACAGTTTTCAAAGGTGCGTCTTCCCACAAGTCACGAATTCAAAACCCAATCAGTTCCTCAAGCCCCTTTTGAAACCCACAGATCGAGGCTGGCAAATTGGAACTCGAAACTCGCCCGTTCGACCTTTTCAACTGCATCGAGAGCTCGCTGTACCTCCTGCACCTCAAAGCGTCCCAGAAGGGCCTGGTGCTGACGCATAACATCATGCCGGAGACGCCGAAATGTGTTACCGGCGATGTGACGAGATTGAGGCAGATTTTGATTAATTTAGTGGGGAATAGGTAGGGGTTTACGGTGTCTTGAGAGGGGGTGTTGGGTGCGAGTATGGCTGGAACGAAGACACTGACGCACCGTCCCCCCCCCCCCCCCTCTTCCAGCGTAAAATTCACAGCGGAAGGCCAAGTAGTCGTCACCGTCTCCGCCTCCCCGCACCCCACCCTCCCCAACAACTACGAACTCTCCTTCGAAGTCCTCGACACCGGCATCGGCATCCCTCAAGAAAGCATCCCGGGCCTCTTCCAATCCTTCACGCAGGTCGATTCCTCCACCACGCGGAAATACGGTGGCACTGGCCTTGGCTTGGCGATCTGCAAGCAGTTGGTGGAGATGATGGGGGGTAGGATATGGGTGACGAGTGAGCATGGCAAGGGGAGTAGATTCTGTTTCACGATTGCGGCGTCGGCGGCGAAGGAGTCGAAGAAGAAGGCGAGCGTGGCCGAGGCGGTTGTGAGTGATTTGGCGCAGAGGTATCCGATGAGTGTGCTGATGGCTGAGGATAATGCGGGTGAGGTTTTTTTGGTTTCATCCCTTTCTCTTTGATAGCTTCGGGTGATTGATAACGTTTCTGGGTGATTCTTTCGTTTTCTAGTCAACATAAAACTAGCCGTCCGCATGCTCTCCCGTCTCGGCTACGAAATCAAAGTCGTCGTGAACGGAGCCGAGGCCGTCGAGGAAGTCAAGCGCGGGAACTATGATCTCGTGCTTATGGATATGCAGATGGTAAATCCTGTCCTGGTCGCCTCTCTCCCTCCATCTTGAATTGAAACGCTGAATCTGGGCTTTTTTTTCCCGCGACCCGTCAGCCGGTAATGAATGGTCTGGAAGCCACTAGACTGATTCGCGCCGAGAAGAGTATTGAGATGCAGCCTGTTATCATCGGTAAGGGGGGGGGGGGGGGGGGGGGGCTTGCGTGACCGCTTGACTTGGACGTACGTTGAGGTGGGAGGCCGCCATGTTGACGATCTTTGAATGGTTGCAGCGTTGACTGCGAATGCGATGGATACGGATCGGAAGAAGTGCATGGAGGTGAGGAGCTCACCCAACGATTGGTTGAGTATGGGGGTTCTGGGTATTGATATGGGCTGCTATTCTTGCAGGCTGGGATGGACCATCATCTGTCGAAGCCTATCAAGATGGAAGTTTTGGCGGATGCGTTGGAGTTCTGGTACGTTTTTTCTCCTCCCACCCCCGCACCCCCAATGATTACCACATCCAGCTCTGACAGTCGCAAAACAGGGGCGCCAAAATCGCCACCCGCAAATACGTCCATATCCACAACCACCGCCTCTCCAGCCTCAGCATGGGCAGCAACAATACCTCCGGCGACGGCCGCTCCAACCAGTCCTCCTCCCCCATCAAAGACATGACCGCCCTCCAAAAAGACATCCTCGGCAGCGGGCGACTCGGGCGGGGTTCCTCATCCACCTCCAGTTTCCCCCAGGGCGGGATCAATGTCAGCGCTGGCCCAACCAACAGCAGCGGCGGCGGCAACGCTGCCGGCGGGCTCAGCGGGTTCTGGACCCTCGGCCGCAACCGCCGCTCGAGCACGAGTGTCGGGCCCAACACCGCCGCGTCACAGTCTGCACACGCCGGCCTGCAACTAGCGATATCCACCCAGCAGCTGTTAGCACCCGACGCGGCCCGCCGACGCTCACGGCCGGTCGATACCGCCCCTGCGGTTGCGGAAACGAGCCCGGATGGGAGTACCACCGGTGTGAATACTGCGACGGGGAGTAAGGGGTTTCTGGGGTATGGGCGGAGATCGAGCGCAGGGGCCTCGCCGTCTCCGCCGCCACCGTCGGCGTCGGACGCACCACCACCACCGTCAGCGGCGCAGAATAGGCCGTCGTCTGTGTCGCTTGACCGACACCCACCGCCACTTGCGACACCCGCGATGGAACAGGTGCGGCCAAATCAACAGCTGCTTGTGCCGCAACTTCACCCTGCCGCCGCTGCTCTTGCGAGTCCGCAAGTGGGTGCGGATACGAACACGGGGGTTACCAGCGATGACGTGCCCACACCGTGATGGATGTGGGGGCGTCACACCTGCCACATGCAGCGACACCGCATCATGTACACCGCTTTCATTTGACCCCCCCGCCCCCCCCCCCCCCCCTCCCCCCCCGGTTTTCGGCGTAAATAACCGGGTGCTTTTGGGGGGGAATTCTTCACACCCGGCCCTTATCCCTGTTATCACCCTGCCCTCTGCTTTCAGAGGTTGTCACATTGCATTGTGAGAGCGCAACACCAAGGGTGCCCAAAATCCTGTTCATACGTATACTAAAAGCAGTTGCCATGCCTGAAAACGGATGAATTGAATGAGTGAAATAAGGGGCAAGAATGTACTGTATCATGATCATCAAGGGCTAAAGTGTCAAACGCTCTAATCTACGCCGCAGGGATATATATCCCTTTCTCTGGTCATCTACACATACGCATCCACTCCCCCCCCCCCCTCCCTGCCGGGGGGCCACAGAATCTACCGATAAGCAAACCGCTCAAAAACCTCCCTACACCTAACCCTCGCCCTCAGCTTCGCACACAACAGAAACGCCCCACTCAGTTTCCGATGCAGCGAGTACGTCTCGTCCGGCGGCGGGGTGAGCCGCTCGCGCAGCATGAGCGGGATCTCGGCGCGCACGCGGGTCGTCACGTCTTGCGTTGCGAAATCGTACACGGTGGGGGAGGTGGACGAGAAGGGCTCGGCGAGGGTTAGGATGGAGTTCACGTGGGCGTTTGTCATTTGCTGTGATAAATCAGGTTAGTTTAGGCGCGGGGGTGGAATTGAGACAGACGACACACAAACGTAAAACGTACCACACTCTCGACCCCCGTGAGGAATCCCAACACCGTCGACCAATGCGCACACCCCTCACGATCCCCCTTGGCCGCACACTGCAACACCTTTCTATAGTCCTCCACAAACTCCCCGCTAAACTCCCTCGCCGCTCCAAAATCCAATAGATGCAACCGATCCGTGGCGACATCGTAAAGGAAATTGCTCCAGTTCGGGTCGGTCTGCATGAACCGGAACTCAAACACCTCGCGGAGGCAGAGACGGAGGACACGTTCGGCGATCGAGTCCCGTGTGTGTTGGGGGAGGGCCGCGATGAGCGGCGAGCCGAGCGGAGTGCCTGTGACGAACTCCGTGGTGAGGATTTGGCGGGTGCTGAGGTGCGGGATGACTTTGGGTACGTGGTATGATTCAGCGTCGTCGGCGATGAGGGATGCGAACCGGGACATAGCGGCGGCTTCACGGGTGTAATCGCATTCCCAGGCGAGTTCCTTGCGCGCGACGCGGATGGTATTGTCGAGGTAGAGGCCCTTGGGGAGGAAATTGGAGAAGAGGATGAGGGTGCGGAGGTTGTCGAGGTCGGAGTCGATGCTGGAAGCGACGCCGGGGTATTGGACTTTGACGGCGACGGCGAGGCCGGAGGGGAGGGTGGCGCGGTGCACTTGGCCGATGGAGGCGGCGGCAAGGGGCATCATGTCGAAGGTGGAGAATTGGGCGCGCCAGTCGTCGCCCAGTTCTTTTCGGAGCGTCAACTGTACACTATAAGACTGAGTAACCTTTCGGAAAACGGGTGGTGAGCGGATATGATTCTCCGTACCTGTAGCTGAGAGTCTGGCATGTAGTTTGCACTATTCTGCACCCGCAGCAGTATATCTTCCAACTCTTTCGGAAGCATCGAGTTGTCTATTGCAGACGAGAGTATGAGAGGCTGTTTCCCCGCCCGGCCTCCTGGCCTCCGACAAGGCACATACCCTGAATACTCAGCATCTGGCCCAGCTTTAGAGCAGCCCCTCGCATCTGCGACAGCTTGCTAACGATTCGCTGTACATTCTTCTGACTCAACACTGGGCTGCCCCCTTAAAACCGTGACCGATGAGGAAGTTTAGACACCGAGAACACCACCAGCAGTGACAGTCTTATGTATCAAAACCAACAAACCTCCTTCAGACATCCCCGTTGCGCGTTTGATTGCCTCCCCAAATGTACCGACGCCGACGCCAGCTACTAGACCTATTTGACGAAATCAGTCCCTCACTCGTCAGAGTCGCTCGGAAACGACAACGAACAGCAATTGTTACAAACTCACTCCCGTAATGCCACAACCGCCCAACCCGACTCGCAGGCACTCTCGACTGCCGCAACGGCGCCCTCGGTTGCAAAGGTGACTCGGGTATCGAGGCAGCCGCATCCGCTATCGGATCTGTCGAAGACGCCGGAGACGTGGGTGTTGCTGCTGTTACTGGAACTTCGTCTTTCGTAGATAGCAGAGGGGATGGATACGTCGCGGGGGTCGGTGGTGCCGGTTTCGATTGTGGCGGAGTCTTTTTGGCAAAATGGCGTCGGCTTACTTCCCGTAACTGGCCATCCCGACAGAATCACATACCTCCACCACACCAGCCGTCGACACCCTAGCCCCTGCTCTCTCCGCCTCTTCCACTCCTCCCATCTTCACGCCAACCGGCGTCGCGTACGTCACCGGCTCACTACCCGCCCCTCCTGCCTCCCGTCCTGCCTCCGTCCCCACTTTCTGCCCAACACCATGCGCCCGTCTCGCATCCCACACCTCCGACACAGCCCGTGGGATACTCGACGTCCGCGCATAGTGCACCACCCCGTCCCGTTGGGTGCGTGCGATGGAGTTTAGGACGGCGCGGGATGCAACGAGCAGACCTGCGGGATGAGAGGGGGTGAGTGAATGGAGTGGTGGGGAGAAGGCAGGGACGGGACGGAGGGGGCCAGACGCACTTACTTAGGAAGTCGCTTCCTTTGGAAGCCATTCTAGGCTGTGGTTAACGGGGTGGTCTTGCCCCAGCAATGATGGGCGCTCTGGGTTGGGGAATTTCAAAACTCCGAAAGAATGCCGACTTGCGAGTGGAAAACCGCGTAACAAGTGCCCCCCCTTCTCTCGCTGCACACTTCAGAAAAGAGGGTAACTTCAGCTACTAACTGAAGTTACTGAAAAAGCACTGAAAGCATGACGCCTTACGGGGTTGTTTGGAGGCCATCGGTGGCACCCTCCAACGGTCCAACCCGCATTGTTTTCGAAAGCATCGGGTGCAAAAGACGATATGGCATGCCAAAATTATTCCCTAATCAATCAACTACTTTTTGCGCCTGTGCCAAGTCCCGGCTCGCATTGATGGGATTGCCGAGTGCACACCGCCAAGAGCGAGCTCCCACGCTTTCCAATGCCACAAATCCAAGTATGGATCCCTTCCTTTCCCCACATGCCGATCACTTCCCGGCAAGCAGTTCTAGGCTACAGCTAGACTATGTTCCCCAGGAAAACCGTCATCTGCTTCACCCCATTTCGCTCAGAGCCATTGCCAGTGTGCACCGCTCCGAACAGCTCCATGCAGCCTAATGCCGCTATATCCGCGCGGTCAACGCTCCCCCGTTGTTCCTCCTCCACCGTTCACGACTCGCAAGAACCCCAGTCCAAGCTCCCATCTGCGTGCAGCTATCCCGAGTGCCGCAACCCCATGGGAAACGGCACTATGCGCGCATGTTCATGTCGTCGCTCGACCGTCGGCTTGCAACGATTCGTTTGCAAGTCGGATACGAGTCCATATCCACAATGTCGAGAATCCGCGGTGGCGCTAGCGAAGTGTGAGCATCGTCGCCGAGTAACAGTCTTCGGGGCGCGGAGAGATCCTGGGCTAGAGCCAGCTCACCCCAGCGAGATTCTTCTCTGCTCGGAACTGCTGCACCGTAATTCGCTCTTCCGCATGCCTCCTCCAACCCACAAACGCCTCCCCTGCCTCTCTCAACTCCCACCACCCCTCTTAGCCAACGTAACACTCGTCTCCAACGTCCTCAACTGCACCATCCCCTGACTCAACAACATCCTAATCCGGTCCACATCCCCGACATCCACATTCCGGTACCGATCGAAGTCCGAACGGGCCCACTCGCGCACAAAGGCGGCGTCGGAGGGTGGGAGGTGTTTTGAGAGACGCAGGATTGAGCGGTAGAGGGTGAGGACTTTTTGGCGGGTTAGGAACTAGGGGCGGGAGAGCGAGGGTGAGTTGGGGAATGGGGGGGTGGGGGGTTGGGTAGCCAATTGGAGGGGGAGGGCGTACCTGGTCGAGGGAGAGGATGGGGCCTTTTAGACGGGAGGAGAGAGGGGAGAGACGGGAGGAGGACATTGCAGTGGTGGGTGGTGGGTGGGTGGGTGCGGGTCGGTAGCAGGAATCAATAGCAAGAGCCTGATGGAAGGGATTCGTGATCACCGAAAATGTTGAAACCTTTAAAGGCACTTTGTGGGGACTTTATGGGTATCCAAGCCTTTCGGAAGCCGCCTTACGTTAGGGCACCGTTCCTGGTTGCTACATACACACCTCGGGGCGTCTTTAAACCCATTCTTGTTGATTACTTTTGAACCTGGAAATCCTGTCTCGGATGTATCGCGTGAACTTAGATTTTAATACGATTCCCTGTAGTTCGAGGTTTTTATACCCCAAAGTCCAATCGTAGGTCCAGCGAGAAGGTGTAATGTCTCTCTATCTTGAGTGAACTATGCTACTCTTGGGTCCTAGGCGATCCTGGCAAACGGTGCGGGTCCGCCATGACCGTGGATCATCGAATACACGATCGTCGCCATGTTGATCGTGCTGAGTGCATCCCTGTTGTAGTAGCGCATCTAGTAGAGCAGAATCACATTTGTGTCCATGTAAAAATGGGAAGGCTCTCTGACGGCCTGAAGTTTGCCTTGGGGTGTTCAGATTCCGTAACCGAAAGGATCATCGGCGAGGTCTGTGCGACCTGCTGTCGCCGATCCCTGTGGAAGACCGAACCACGAGTTGGAGTTGTTCGATCCCGAGTTTCCGCCCTTGCCCTTGATGAGATGAGGGCCGTACTCTCCAGAGGCCAACGGGTTGTCATCGTAGGGAATGAAGTCCTTGTCGTAGTAGCCGTCGCGGTCCATGCTGTCGTTGGTGCACTTGTAGTGTGGTACCTGCACTGTCACACCCAAAAAATGTCACTGTTTTGACCGCCCTCCGCTCGTCCGCAAATACTGTCATTCCACCCGTGCGAAAAAAGTGTGGAGACGGGGAATAAACTCTATTCCAGCTCGCACAATACTCATCAACTCCTCACAGAAACTCAGGCATCCTTCACCCAAAATGGCAGCATCCCATCCGGTTTCCGCTCTCGTCCTCCCCGAACAACCGATTGAGAGCTCCGAGCACACCGAAGAGGATGAGGGTGACCTTCATGAAACGTTGCGCGCCCGTTTGGAACGGAGAAGGGCTGTGCTAGGTGGTGTCGGAAGTGGGGAATCTATGCCATCGGGCGGTCCTACTGCTACACATACACCTGAAAGCAATGTGAGTGAAGCTTGCCAGCCACCCCGCCTCAATGTCCCCAGCGGATCTCCCCTCAAAACCATCCCCGCCCATACCAGCACGCCCAGCCGCCACCGCGACCCATCCGCAACGACTACATGCAAAACCACGTCAACACCCACCACCGCCCGCAAAACTACATCCGCGAACCCGCCCTCCCCAATCGCTACATCGAGCACCCCAAACTCGCCACCCTCACCCGTCTCAAGGCCGACGTCGTCAACGACTACGCCACCCCGCCCATGTACGTCCGCGCGGATCTGCGGAAGCAGAAGCTGGGCGATGTGTTCAAGGGCCAGCGGTTCGATGTCGTGCTGATTGATCCGCCGTTGGAGGAGTACGTACTGCACTGTACTGTCCTGTCCATCCCGCTGTTCTCTCATACACCTCCATGGTTACTCCAATGCTCCCTGGCAGATACTGCGAATGGTCCCCGGCAACCGTGACGCACACCCCGGACCCGCTCCGCGCGTACTGGACGTGGCGCGAGATCGCGGACCTGCGCATCGAGGACATTGCCGCGACGCCCTCGTTCCTGTTCATCTGGGTCGGCAACCGCGACGGGCTCGACAGGGGCAGGGAGCTGCTGGCTAAGTGGGGGTACAGGCGGTGTGAGGATATCACGTGGATCAAGACCAATCGGACGTGGGAGGTGGGTGTTGTGTGTGTGTTGGGGGGGGCAGCCGGATGGGGTGGGGTTGCTAACGTTGGGGTTTTTTTTGTGAAAGGGCACGACGTTGATATCCCCACCGTCGGTCCTCCAACACTCCAAGGAACACTGTCTGATGGGAATCAAGGGCACCGTGCGCCGGTCCACCGACGGGCATTTCATCCACGTGCGTACTGGACATCCCCCCGCCCGTGTCGTCTCCCCCACCCCCACTCACCCCTCGCACACACACAGTGCAACGTCGACACCGAGGTCCTCATCGCCGAAGAGCCCCCGCACCGGCTCCCGTCCAAGCCCACGGAGCTGTACGCGCTGATCGAGCGGTTCTGCATGGGCCGGCGGCGGCTGGAGCTGTTCGGCGGCGACGCGAACATCCGCCGCGGGTGGGTGACCGCCGGGCTGGGGGTCAGCTGCAGCAACTAGAACGCGGGGGCGTACAGGGCGTGGTTTGCCGGAGCGGATGCGACGGCAAGCGGGGGCGTGAGGGCCGGCGGGTTGGTGGCTACGACACCCGGTAGGTTTGTGTGGTTTGTGCGAGCGAGCGCGACGAGGGGGGTTATTCATTGTATTCTCTTGCGGAAGATATCGAACTCCTCCGCCCGAAATCCCCGCCCGCTACACGAACCAACAACGCCGCCGGCGGAAGGCGGATGAGTGGGATGAGGTGAACAACCTCGCCCGAATGAGTGAGTTTCGACAAGAGAAATGAGCCGTACGAGTGAAACCCCCGACATTTACGGGCGCGGGGTTAGGATCAGTCACCGCGTACGAACCGGGGGGAGGTGATGTGTATATGCCACCGGAACCTCGCGATGTTACGGCGTACATATATGGGATGTAGGTCAGGGTCTGTGTTTATATATGGTGCGTGTTGGAGTCACAGAATCATATCCATCTGTCGGCTTGGTCAATGACAGACGAGTTCGGCCGCGCGTATGTATGTATGCGACGTATATTTGCAGTAGGCATATATATAGTGAAGTCCGTGCGTGAGGCATAACAGCCAACAGAAAGCTGGAAGATGATGGCCTCGCTGCTGCTCCTCAACGCCATCCGCCCAGTTGCCGGGGGGGGGGGGGGGGGGGGGGGGGGAGGGGGGCGGGCGGTTTTTTGGTTATTGGCGACATACAACCAAACCCGAAACCATGGGCATGAAGCATCCCCAGCTTTCCCATCAGTACATGCACCCCCGAACCGGGCGGATCCCAATCCCAGCTGACCCCAATGGACGGGGTGGGGCCCGCACCCTCCGCATCACCCAATCCCCCCAGCGCACTAACCCACATCACCGCACGTCCCCCCTCCTCCTCCTCGCCCTCTCGCTCACCAGCACCACAATCTCCTCCACCGCCTTCACGCCCTCCTCCTCCCTCTCCCTCGCCTCGCGTTTCCACCGCCCGACCTCAGCCTCCAGCCTCCCCACCTCGCTGGTCGTGCGATGGATCTCGGCGCGGAGTCGGGCGGTCTCCGCGTCGCGTTGCGTTAGCTGACTGCGCGCTGTGGCGAGCTCGGCCGTGAGGGAGGCGAGCCGCGCTTCGGTTTGGGTGGACGCGGACTGCGCGGAGGTTAGGTGGGTGGTTGCGTCGCTCAGTTGGGCGCGCAGGGACGTGATCTCGGTGGTCTGCGCGGCGAGTTGGGCGGCGAGGGCGTCCCGCGCGGCGGTGAGACGGGCGTGGGTGGGGAGCAGGGCGTCGTGGGTTGCTTGGAGGGTTGCGAGTTGGGTTTGCAGGGTTGTGATGGTTTTCTCGAGGGAGGTTTGGTGCGCGGCCTGTGGGTGGGGCAAGGAGGGTTAGCGTGGATAGAGGGCGATTGGGGAGGGGGGATATATGATACGTTACGGCGTCTCGTCGGGCTTGGGTTTCTGCTGCGGAGAGTTTATCCGCCCACTGCCGGTTTTCGAGCGTGTGCTTGCTTTTGAGGGTTTGGAGATCCTGCAAGGCGTGATTTGGTATCAGGCATCGCCCCAACTCCCATCCCATGTGAATCTGAATCCATCGGCAGGCAGTCCACAAACCTCCTCAAGGGTGGTATGACTACTCTCAACCCTGCGTAACTTCTCCTCCAGCTTCTGCACACGCCCCCGCCACTCGGATTCGGTCGCTGCTACCGCGGCCCGGATGGCTTCCTCGTGTTCCGCATGTGTGCGTTTAGCTTGTTCTATCAACCACACCACCCCAACGACGCCAAGCCCGGGTAAGTCAGAAATGTCCCTCCAACCAGCCCCCAGAAACCACCCCCAACATTACCATCCCACAAAACCTCCCGAGTCCGCCCCTTCTCCCTCGCCCTCTCCAGCTCCTCCACTACACGTTTCAGATCCTGCTTTAGGCCTTCGATCCGCGCGTCGGCGTCGCAGCGCACCGAGTCGAGTTCAAGTTGGGTGCGTTTGGTGTCGGATTGCGATTTGGAGAGGAGGAGCGATGTCTGATGGTGGGCCTGCGGGCATGAGAAGATGAGAGTCAGTCGGGGGGGGCTATCACCCATACTATGTAGACCCCACTGGAAAAATGAACCAGGGGGGAAAGTTACAACAACACCCTACCTCACGCTCCGCCCCAAGTTCCCTCGCAACCTCCTCCAACCTCCTCCTCAACTCCTCCCGTTCCCTCCCAACCCCGTCGCCAACCTCCCTCGCCTCCCGCTCCATCCTCCTGAGTCGTCCCTCAAGCACCCTGTACGCCTCGCTCGACTTTGCGGCATTCCTACAAGCGGCGTCTAGCTGTTTTTGCTTGGCGAGGAGATCGGAGCGCAGGTCGGTGAGAACGTCCCGGTGGTTGGCGTCGAGGAGGGAGACGGTTTGGGCGAGGTCGGAGGCGTGCGCGAGGTGGAGGAGGGTGTGTTTGCGGGCGGAGGCGTTGCGGTCGAGGGCTACGGCTGGGGTGCGGGAGGGGTGAGGGTGGGGATTTGGAGGGAATATTTTGGTGTTAAGGGGCCGGTACCTATGACTTTGGCCATCTCCTCAGGCACCTCGTTCCCGTTCAGCTGGATCTCTTCCAATGTTGTGTTCCATTTTAGCAGGTCGGCGATGGCTTTGCTCCCCAATAAGCCGATATGATTCCAGCGGAGATCTAGGGGATACAACATGGGTGAGGACAAAAAAGCTCCGTCACAGTTTTTCGAACCCGCCGTCCCATGCGGGAACCGCACCTAACCGCCTCAAACACTGGTTATTCCGCAACCCCACAGCCAGCGTCTGTGCGCCATCGGGCCCGATGCTGTTGTTACGCAGGTCGAGGTCTTCCAGGGTCTGGTTGACGGCTAGCGCGTCGGCGAGGGAGCGGATGCCGGCTTGCCAGATGCCTATGCAGTTCCATTCCATGACTAGGCTGTTTTGCCGGGATATGTCGGGGGTTAGCGGTGGGTCTGGCCTTGAGATGAGGTGACTTGATTCGCCGCTTACCTCTTCAGGGATCCGTTGACCTTGAGCATCTGAGCCAGAGCCAGCGCACCATCTGCGCGGATGCTACGTGTTTTTAAACATGCAGCATTGGGAGGAGGGGGGCGGAAACGGAGGCTTTTTGAGACATACCTGTTTCCCCGCACGTCCAGATGCGTGACGCTGTGGTTTGTCTTTAGTCCGCCGGCAATCAGGATGCAGCCTTCGTCGTTCAGAAATGTGTCCGCTGTACATGTACATAGGGGTAGAGATGGGATGTTTTGGGTCGAAACGCACGAGTTCTCGTCGCAGACCAGGGCTCGATCCCAACACCCGTGAAACATACCTAGGATGACACGGGAAAAGTAGACATCGTGGGACAAGGCGGTGGAAAGAGCGGCGCATTCCTTGAGGGTCAGCGACTGTCCGCGGAGGTCGATAGTTTTTGCTGTAGTAGTAACCCTATCTGAGGCAGGAGCGAGCGGGCGGTTGCTGAGGAGGAGGTCGGTGAGCGCGCGGTGAGGGTCTATAGCGAGTTCTGAGCATTTTGCGAGGTAAGCGTGCTTGAAAGCGTCCATTTCTTTGGGCATGGATGGACGGTTGCAGTTGCGGGAAGAGAGAAGGCATGCATGATAGTATGAGAGGGAGAAGAGGGGGGGCAGCAAACGAACGCGTCCAGAATCCGCGTTGAACCTTCAGAGTCCTCAGAAGATGAGTCACGCACGCGTCGAGAGTGACTCACCCTCAGACTCACCCCCTGTCGTCTATAATACGGAGATCGTTGTGAAGTCTGAAGGAGTGTGAAGGGGAGAAAGCCTCGAACGCACTCCAATTGGGGGGCGCAACCAGATATACTGCACGATAGACCCCCATCGCCCAAACTTTCCCACCCTCAACCGTACACATACGCAGCCTACAGACATGGCTCCACAACTGCACGACCACGCTACCCTCCTCAAGCGCTTCACAGACGCCGGCCAGGGTCACGTCTTTGCTTTCTGGGACGCCCTCTCGCAAAACGACCGCGCAGAGCTCCTCGACAACCTCGCGAAAATAGACGTCGACCGCGTAAACAGAATCTTCAAGAAGGCCACCGCTCCAACCGACGAGGCTGCCGCAACCGCCGCAAAGGACGAGCTAGAGCCGCTGCCGGAGGCCGCTTTCGCGTCGACTATCGGTAAAGCAAACGAAGCAAAGGTCGCCAGCTGGTATAACGAGGGTCTCAAGCTGATTGCTCAGAATAAGGTCGCCGTGATCCTATTGGCTGGTGGACAGGGTGAGTTTCGGACTGACAGAGCCCCAGCATGCGACCGCTAGCGAGCCTAGATTTGAACTGAGAGACTGAGCGTGACGATGGTTTGCGATGGGAGCGCGGTTCTTGAGGCAGGCGAGCCCGGCCAGTTCCTTACGAGCTGGCTATTGTTTCAACAATCCAACCTCCGCATCGCTCCGCGCTTCGACACGGTTATATGTGCATGACTCCCTTGAGCTTACCTTGAGCTTACCCTTCGCTCCATTTCGTTAGGCACACGTCTCGGTTCCTCTGACCCCAAAGGATGTTACGGTAAGAGCGCTTGGCCCACACATCAATCTCGCTTTTCAAAAGTTTCTCAATCTCATCCTTTCTTTTCAGACATCGGTCTGCCATCGAAAAAGTCGCTCTTCCAACTCCAAGCTGAGCGCATCATCCGTCTCCAGAAGGTAGCCGCAAAAGCCCACTCGAAAGGCACCGAAAACGTCGTGATCCCGTGGTACATCATGGTCTCTGGCCCCACACGCGAAGCAACAACCTCCTACTTCCGCAAACACAACTTCTTTGGCCTGGACCCTGAAAATGTCATGTTCTTCGAACAAGGCGTTCTACCCGCCTTTGACCCCACCGGCAAAATCTTCATGGAAACCAAATCCACGCCCGCGCTCGCCCCCGACGGGAACGGCGGGATCTACGCCGCACTCCGCCGCGAAGGCGTCCTCGCTGACCTCGAACGCCGCCAGATCCCCTACGTGCACACCTACTGCGTCGACAACTGCCTCGTCAAAGTCGCCGACCCAGTCTTCATCGGCTACTGCGTCGGCCAAGACGCCGACTGCGGCGCAAAAGCGGTCCCCAAAGCGTCCGCCAACGAATCCGTCGGCGTCATCTGCCTCCGATCGGGCAAATTCGCAGTCGTCGAGTACTCCGAGATCCCCCCCGCGATCGCCGAAGCCACCCGCCCAGACGACCCCTCCACCCTCCTCTACAACGCCGCCAACATCGCCAACCACTTTTACACCACCGCCTTCCTCAACCGCGTCGACGCCCTCGAAGCCGAACTCGACTACCACGTCGCGCACAAAAAGATCAAACACGTCGACACCACCACGGGCGAAAAAGTATCCCCCTCACAAAACAACGGCGTGAAATTGGAACTCTTCATCTTTGACGTATTCCCCTTCACCCAACGCATGGCCGTCCTCGAAGTCCCCCGCAACGACGAGTTCTCCCCGCTCAAGAACGCCCCAGGCGCCGCGAAGCCCGTGGACTCGCCCGAGACGTCCCGCGCGCATATCCTGGACCAGTGTGTGCGTTGGGCGCGGGCCGCGGGTGCGACGGTGGTGAGCAGTAACGAGAACGAGAAGGAGGACCCGCCGGTCCTGGAGATCTCGCCGTTGGTGTCGTACGGCGGCGAGGGGCTGGAGGCGTACGCTGGAAAGACGATCTTCACGCCGACTATCTTGGCGTGAGGAGATTTACGAGCGAGCGGGACGGTGTTCCGACAAGCTGATACATGCACCAAATACGCAGACCCCCGTTACAGAACTGCCCGAGTCCGACATGTTCGTCCCCCCCCCCCCCCCTTTCGCTGTTCTCCGTTTGTCTTTCTTTTTTTGATCTCTTGCGGACTCACACATCTTGTCAAACACTCCCTCGCCCCGCCCGTGATTCTACGGCTAGGTAGCAATTAGATAGAAGATCCCCCTCCTTGTTATTCGTATTCATTTTATGAGAAAAAAAAAATATGATGATATGATTTGCGTGTACATACAAGCCTTCTCTGTGTTGTGTATTCACGCCCCCACCCGACGTCCATGGCTTGCCAAACAATCTTCGAACCCCATTTTCAAGTTTGTATGCGATTCCTTTCAAAGGGGTGAACGGGGAGAGTGGTCCCACGACAAACAGAAATGGTTTAAGGCTATCATCCTTCTCCTCCGGGACGTCGGGATGGGTGAGTGCATACTGAACCCGTTCCGCCCATGCTTTCCTGCTCTGTGAGCTGCTGCCACCAGCATTTCCACAACCTCCTCGCCCAGCACCACCGCCACGTTCGTCAGCATCAACACCACCTCCGGCAACAGCACCCGCTTCACCTCCGTCAGGCTCACCATCTTTCGAGTCTTCTTCCCGGTCGTCATCGTATCCAACATTCCTCCAGTATTGCCAATGATATCTCACCAGTTTCTTCTTTTCATCTGGGGCGATGGTGACACCACTTTGACCTTGATCATCCACCGACCTGGGTTGTCAGGAGACTGGCCTTTTACACTCTCAAAAACGACTTGGCACTTGACGGGGTGGGCGAAGTTGAGATACGACCTCCGACCCTCCAACGAACCGTCCGGCACGAGATGGATGCCTTCTGGGGGCTGATTCCTCAGACGTTGCGGACGCACCGGTGGGCGGAGACCGGGTGGGGGGATGCCGCAAATACAGTCGCCACCTCATCCTCGGGATCGTAGCGGTGTACCAAAATCGGGTGATGCTTGGCGTCACGGAGACGGCGGTAGGGCGGGTCGCCAGCTGAGGATGTTTGTTGAACTGCAGGAGATGGTGGACTTTGGATACATGGAAGGTTTGTGGGAAACGACGATTCTGCTGGTGTCGCTTCATTGCTTTCGCCCGGAAAGACTATGTAGCCCAGATAGAACTGGTTCCGGTTCAAAGTGGTCAACGCTGGCTGAGGCATTCTTGCAGGTTCAACAAGGGACTCCGCCGGGGAATCCGGGATGGCTTCACTTTATAGGGAGACGCATCTCTTGCTGGCATAGTCCTAAATATATGTAATCGGGTGTCTGTCTGACTGTGACACGCAAGTTTTTATGTGTCTGTCTGAAGCAAAAAAAGTATGTACTACAATGACCGAATTTCATCATGTTTTACTTTGGGAATCGCGATTTCGACGGCATCATCGTATTCCGACGGCAGCTACGCCACACGGTTGCCGCTTATTCGTCCATGGCAGCATCTTCAGGCAATTGCGGTGGACCTGGACATTTCAGTGGGGGCTCTCAGCAGGGTGGTTTCCTACATGGGAGGAGAGTTATGACCACTGCCGGCATGGCCAGGCGTGGTAGTTCACTGCCGGCACGGCCAGGCGTGATTGTTAACTCGACTTCTGTACTGAAAGCACTCTGCAATTGCACCACTGCCCATTGAGGAGCTTGGAGCACTGCACGTCACCAACACAACGTGTGGGAGTAGAGCCAGTATACAGGGAGAACCTATGCCCAAATAGTGTCATTGAACGCAAAATACAAGTTGCTATACGACCATGGTTGAACCTTGCCATGTGCAGTTGACGCCCCTACTTTCCTTGCAAGTGCCTCAGTTCTGCCAGCATGATCAGAATGGGGACTGAGCTACCCTAGTCTGGTTCAGAACTGGAGGTGGGGCCCCCGCAATTGCGAAAGAGACGCTTCCGTCTGTGTGCTCAAACAAGGTACAGTATGTGTGTGCTGCGCAGCTGCCGTCGAAATAAGGTGGTGCCGTCGAAATAACGAAACCCTTTACTTTTCCCCAGGCCCCATCACACCCGCAGCCGCACCCACCGCACCCAACAACCACAACTCACCTGACCCGCGGTTCAAAAACGGACACCTTTTTCAATTAATTATAAGTTTTTATGAGAAAAAAAAAATATATTTCGAAACGGCTTCATCTAATGGAGACATCCTGGTCCGGCACTCCGTCCCTTCGTGCGCATGTGCGGTATCTAGACCCGTGGGCCGTATCCCCCCTACTCCTCCTTCCCCTCCGGCGCCTTCGGCTTATACTTCCTCTCCAACACCTCCTTCCTCCCCACATACCCGTCACTCAACCCCTTCATGATCCCCAAATACGCCCTCTCCCTGCCCTCCCGCTCCCGTTCCTCCTTCCACCCCTTCCCCCACACCTCCGACCGCTTCGGGAACAGTATCATCATATCCTTCAACGTCCTCTCCAACGTATCGCGGAACGTGAAGGGGTTGGTGGTGGTGCAGGATTTCTTGGCGGAGATGGAGAACTTGAGCGTGTCGGTGTCGATCGCGTAGTTGATCCCGTACCCGTCGGGGTAGACGGTCCCGAAGCCGCCGTAGAAGTAGCGCCCCGGTGACATGTTGCTCGTCGACAGCTTCCAGTGTTGGGATTTCCAGAACCCCGCCGGGTCCGTTTTGGCGTCGAACAGTTGGACCTGGGTAGGGTCCTGCGAGAGCTCGATGACGGATTCCAGAGTCTTGATGTGGGATTTCAGGTCGGTTATGATGACGGGGTCTTTTGCGGATTGGAGGAGGGATTGTTTTTGGGTGAGGATAGTCGGCGCGTGCTCGAGGAGGTAGCGGAGGGCCGTGAAGTGGCGGTCGATGCCTTTGCCGAAGGCGGCATCGCGCATGTACGCGGATTGGGAGGCGATGGCGCGGGTGAAGAGGGTGCGTTTTGTTTCGTACTGTGTGGTTGGGTGGGTGCACGAAAGGGTCAGTCTTGTGATGATGAACGAGATGTAGAGCGGCCCTCCCACAATCCAAACACCGTACCAAAACATCATCGTTATCAAAGCTCTCCACAAACTTCCACGTATCGCTCGTCAAGCTGCGGCCCGTCTCCGTGCGGCCATGCAGGAACAACCGCGTCGACGCAGACTCGTACACCGCTGTCGGGTCGCTGGGCTGCCCGTTGGCATTCGGGTACCGCCTCCAGGCGAGTTGTAGGGCGAGCTGGACGTAGGCGTCTGGGCTTGCTTGACCTGTGAGGACGGAGAGGGATGGTGAATATGAATGTTTCCGGAAGCGCGCGGGTGAGAAGTAGATGTGATATGGAGGACTAGGGCACTCACCAACTTCCTTGATATACCGAGCCCCATAAACATCCGTCTGCAACAGACAGCTCTCGGTATCATCGATCAAAGCCTTGCCCTCAGCGCGAGCCTTGTCGAGGAGAGTCTGCAGCTCGTCGTTAATGACCCATTTCAGTTTCTGGGGTGGAGGAAGGCTGGTGCCTTCCGAGTTTGGTGGGTCGACGGCGGGTTCGCTAGGGGGTTCAAGTGGGTGAGGAGGGAATCTAACGTGGTGGGAAGATGAGAGGGCTTACTTGGACAGGATGTAGTCGAAGACTTTTCCGGGGATCACGGCGTCGGCGGGTGTGTGCTGATTCAAGTCAATTTCGGGTATTAGCCTTCGGAATCGGAACTCCATGACGTGACCTCCGCCCACTTTACCTCGCCATTCACACCCGCGCGTCCATTCGACGCGACCACCAACTGCATAGCCTTGTCAAACCACCTATTCCGTCCATCATTATGGAACACCTGCCGATGCGACACATCGATGTTCTTCGACAAGGAATGATTGTCCAGGCACACAGCAAACAACGCCTGATCGATGATCTCCAAGTTCTCCGCATTGCTAGCGCTCAACCACCGCAGCTTCTCGTGCGCCTCAGCCCAGGTGTCACGGTGCGCCCCGGTGAAGAACCCGACCGAGGGCTCGAGCTCCGTGTGCAGGCTGTCTTGTCCAACAGCGAACAGAAGGCGCTCCAGTTCTTTCAAAGGCACGCGGGTGTTGTCTGCGCGGATGACCTCGACTCTGTAGACCTGATCGCGGGTCAGGACGATGATGTGGCGGGAGCGCGCTGGCCATACTGTGCGGATCTCGTCGCAGCCCTTCTTGGGGATGCGGGTGGCGCCGAATTGGCTCTTGTACTGGTTCATGTCGAGGGGTTTGTCCTTCATGTACTCTGCGGGCAGGCGCTCGGTGTCCACCAGGTCCTTGAAGTTCAGCATATTGCTGATCAGACCGGCGGCACGCTGGATTTGGAAGGTTGACAGGACGCCTTTTGGTGGCGGCTTGCGGAGGAGGTCTTTGGGATGCCTTGGGTGGTCTTTGAACTGTCCCCACCAGTTCACGTTGATCATGCTGGGCTCGCGCCACTCCAAGTACGCCTTTTTCAACCAAATGTCCTCCAGCCATGAGTTCTGTGTGCGAATGAATGCAGGGAGAAGTTGTGTGAGCACGTGAAGCGGTGGATGGGAATATATACCCTGATCGCTCCGCTCGCGACAAGGATGTTGGGGTACGTCGGTGAGGGGGCTATTGCGCCTTTGGCGCAATGTACTGCTCGCTTCCCTCGCGAAAGATATGACGCTCGCTGGCGCAATGTGGCTCGCGTCGCTCGTTCCAGACAACCTCCATCGCTCGCCTCGCTCGCGACTTGCGGCCGCACCCACCACCGCTCAGACTCCCCTGCCGTCCAATCCCCAGTCGCCAATGCTTTACGAACCTTCTGCTCCGTCTCATATCTAGTCAACAGCTCTTGCAATTTTGGCCCGAGCCCCTCGTTCGAGACAAACTGTTCAACAATCTTAGTCGTCCTTTCCAACTGCTCCTGGTTCAGCAGGGGCTCACAGCTTGCGAGAAACTTTTTGGACAGGTTATCGAGAGTGGGGACTGGAAGCCTGGGGATCTTGGACTGGTTTGCGAATGTCTTTGTTGGGGGTGTTGGGGTTGGGGTGGCGTAGCGTCGACTGGAGGTGCGAGAATTGGGGTCAGTATGTGACTACTGGGAGACGAAGAGAAGTTGAAGCATTCTACCTTTGTGCGATGGGACGATGCAGTACAGGAAGGGAGCGCACGGCTTGAGCCCTTTCCGATGTCGCCCTGCAGGCAGTGAAGGCGCGGAGTACGACCATTTTTCGTCAGCGGGAGAGATCAGGACGAGGCAGCACAACGGGCAGAGAAGTGGAGTCTCTTCCAGGAGGAGAGGTCTTCTTTATGCGAAACGGGAGAGGCGTCCGTTCCGCTGTGATGGTCCGTGGGAAACTCGCGAATGCCCAAGAGCGTCGGGCTCGTCGGAAAGCCTCGAAATGCTCGGACGATCCAAGCAGATCAAAGTTGGCACGAGGGAGAAGGGGCCACGCGCTCTCTCGCATCTCTCTCTGAGGGAGGGAGGGAGCGTAGCCTTGGGGCGAAATCGGGGTTAGGGTTGGCAGCCAAACTGCGTTCGGAAACACGTCTCCAAGTCTCAACCTCCAACACTCGGGCGCTGGACGCTGGGAAAAACTGCCAATTCATCAGTTCACCTCATTGCATATAACGCACGCACGAACGAGCCCTGTCTCTCGTCCCTCGGCCGCTCCTTCTCACACTGAATTACTCAACGGCCTTGGTGTTGGAAAATGGCTACCCACCACGACCCATACACCGCCCCAAATCATCACGACGGTTCCTACGATGACTTGCCCGGGACGAGTCCGGCCGCCTACGACGAGGACGACATCGAGTCGGCAGAGGATAGGATAGAGCGGGAGAACGCTCCTTCAGGGGTCGACTACTACGCCGTTCTAAACGTAGAGCGAACGGCTTCCGAAGAAGACATCAAGAACGCCTACCGGCGGCTAGCCCTTGTCTTCCACCCGGACAAGATCCACTCTTCAGAAGACAAGGAAGCCGCCGAACACAGGTTTGCACAAATACAGAAAGCCCACGATGTGCTAGGCAATACCGCCAAACGCCACATATACGACACATACGGCGCCGAGGCCGCCGAAACGTCATGGGAGATTGGCACCCGAGGCCAAACCCAGGAAGAGATCCGCGCTGAGTACGACCGTCGGACGCGGGAGCAGCAGGAGATTGCGGCGGAGGCGCTTTCGAATTCTAAAGGAGAGATCCGCCTCAGTCTTGATGCCTCGCAGATATTCGACCCGCAGGTCCGAAGGTCGCGGCAACGGTTAAGACGGCTGCCACTAGGTCGATTTGAGCCCATACCCGATGAGCAAGAGTCGAGAGGGTTCGCAGATCTGTTGCATTGGCCGGAGGTGACGCAGGCGAATGTGAAGCATGCGTGGGAGACGCAGATTACGCAGCAGACGGGCCTGACGGTGACCGGAGATGTGTTGGCGAGGAATGGGATAGGAGTGGGCAATGTCATGGGCACCTTGAGGCACTTCGTCAACCCGATGCTTTGGGGAGAGGTCACTGGGACGCTGGGCCAGAGCCCGATGTTGCAGTGCCGGGTGGTCAAGAACCTCACTGCTGAGAGGTGTGTTTCTCGTCACTTCGGAGTAATAGTTTCGTCGGAGGACCATAGCTGATGTCTATCCACTTCCCGCCTCTCCACCTCACAGCTTCGTCACCGTCATAGCCACCAGCACCACCCTCTCCGCCCCACCAACCCTCATAACCTCCCTCGGTCGCAAACTCACCAAAACAACAACAGGCTCCATCACCTTCCACACCGGCGAATTCGCCCTCCTGTCCTGGGGCAAAAACCAAGACCTCCACCAACAACCCGCTACCACCCTCTCCCTCAACCGCCGCAGCCCCACCTCAACCAACACCTGGTCCCTCGACCTGCACGCGGGCCTCGCCTCCTCTCATATCTCCCTCGGCTACTTCCGCACCCTCCAACGCACCATCCGCGCCCGCGCCTCCCTCGCCCTCTCCACAACAGCAGGCCTGCAAGCCTCCCTCTCCGCCGACAAGAAACTCACCAAATACACACGTCTGGGATTGGGCGTGGATTGCGCTTCACTGGGAGGCGTCACCTTCCGCGTCAAACTCGCCCGCCTTGGCCAAAAATTCACCCTTCCTATCATCCTCACCCCGCAATTCGACCTCAAACTCGCGCTGTACGCCACCCTCATCCCCCTCTCGGCCGCCGTGGCAGTCGATACGCTGTACATCCAACCCCGCCGCGCACGCCGCCTCGCCGAGAAACTGACACAGGTTCGCGAAAACAACCGCGAGATCTTCGAACGCCGTAAGAAAGAGGCGGAGGATGCTGTGCGGATCATGAGGGAGGCGGTGAGCCGGAAGGTGGATGCGGAGGAACTGAAGGAGGGGTTGGTTGTTGTCAGCGCGGTTTATGGGAAGCTGGGCGGGGATGCTACGGGGTCTTTGAGGGATCTGTTTGGCGGGTTGGCGGCGAGTGGCGCGCCGATGACGGATACGGTGACTCAACTCCCACCGGACTGTATCGACGTGACCATCGCGGTGCAAGCCCTCGTCAACAATTCTCAGTTGCATATCAGCGGCGGCCATTCCAAGGTAGGCGTTGATAAACTCAATCCCGCGATTGCAGTGGTCTATTTGAAACTGATTTGGCTTATGATTTATGGTGTTTTAGGCGAACCTGATCGGCTTCTACGACCCCTGCTGGGGCGAACCCAAACGGCTGCGCGTCACCTACCGGTTCCAGGGCAAGCTCCATCGGATCGATGTGGATGACACGGCAGCCTTGGCGGCGCCTTTGCGAGGTATGAAATGACTGTTGCTTGTTTTTGGTTCTGCGGGGTGATATGATGTTTTGACCGAGCTTTTCCTTGGCGGGTGTAGCGCATATCGTGTCGGATTTGAACGCGGCGGCCGTGAAATCTACCTAACCGCGGAAATCGACGGTTGGAAAAAAAAATCGGCCCCGCGGCTCCTGTGGGAAGCCAAAACCGGACCCCCACGATCGACACAAACCCATCACCTCCTCACGCAGGAAATAGGACACCGGGCCGTCGTGGTCGCTTGTCCGCTGGCGTGCACATATGGAATCGGCAGGGCCGGAAAGAACGGCGGAACACGGGCCTGGCCTGCGACCATACATACTCACATACTATCATACACACCCTGCGACATACGGCTGTATACACACCCACATAAATATTTCTTTTTTTTTGCATAGCAAGTAGACAAGTATTTGATTTCATTCGATTTTTTTCGATGGGAGCCATAACGCACACCCCCCGTTGTATATGTCATGGTGTGATATAGCACGGCCCAGCACAGCGCCAGTCGAAGCTGGTGGATCGAAGAGGTCAAATTCGTGCCAGGATGTTTGGCCCTTGGCGGGGGGAGGTTAGTCGTGCCAAACGAAATTCGTCCCGGTTCGCCCCTTCGTCAGTCGGCGGCCGGCATCACCACGCGCGATAGTAGTCATCGGATTGTCGATGGCGAGATCGGGAATGGGGCGATGTGAGCAGGGCGATGCAACGTGGAGCTGCGGTGCGGCTCCGTGGCATCGCTCCTCCTTCCACGCAACCCTCGAGAAACCACCTACATATGTCGAAAGCGGGAGGGTTCCTGGCGCGATCTACCCGATGACAGTGTATCGATCCGGTATCCCAACGCCCCGCTACGCTATCTCGCAGGGGTGTGGTGGTTAGAGCCACGACGGGGCGTGGTCTTTCGCATATTGGACTGGTTCTGAGTAGACTTCGATGAACTGCGCGGGGTGAGGGGATGATCAGCGTGAGTTCAAAACATATTGGACATTTTTTGAGAGCGGGATCGCCGACCCGGACTGCTCGCCGATAATGGCCTCCCACGACGGGTGCTGATCTTCCTCATTCCTGAGACCCGATCTCCCGTCCTCATACACCCTTTCGCCTCACCTCCTGATCCGCGATCCTGATCTTCGGCCCGGCAAACCGTCGATACTCATCAAAGATGGACGTGAGCGACCAGTTCTGGAGTTTGCGGAGACAGCCGACGAGGCAGCCAATGCGGTACTGTAGGGGGAAATCATCGATGGTATAAAATACACGGCCGTTAGTATCAAGGGGGATTAAGCGTTGAGCGTCAGGGAAGGAATGGACTTACGGCGCCTTTATTGCAATGTATCAGTACTGACAATGTGGTGGGCGGGTCCAGGGGTGTGATGGTACGAGAAGGATCAATACGCTGCACGGCTTGAGTCCGGCTCATAGTTGAGCAGGCCGGCGGAGGGAGCTACGTACTTGGATGATTTCGTGTGTCTGCGTGAACGGAGACGTCGATTTTGCGGGTGGGGGACGGCAGTGTAAGCCGAGATCATGCCACACAGAAGCATGAAAAGCCCGATGAACATACCAAGCACTTGAACCAACGCCGCGGCAATGTCCCGGTGATCCATCTCGCCGAACGGCTCCTTCGAGATGCACAGATGTGAGAAAGCAGAACACGGCAGAACCGCTCTTCCCCCACTTGGTCTCTCCCCTCTGGATGCTAGCAACATTCCGTCTCCCTACCTCCTTTCGCAATCCGACCGTCCCTCCCCCATCCTCCCCCAACCTCTCTCCCCCTTCCGCCGTTTACGACACCCAAGACGCCTGGTGCATATCGTGTTCCTATGCCTCAAGTGACCGCCCGCTTGCGCAGCTCATACCTTATTCCCCGATATCCGCACATGAAGAACCCTAACATTTTCCCGTTCCAGAAATTCGATGTTGTCGGCTGAATAGTCGTCTTCGCATAGATACCTGTTGTCCGAAAAGCAAGTAAGAATCGCGGAAACAACAGATGCATCGAGGATGCGAGTCACAAGCAGAAAAAGCGGGTGAAGCACCAACATGCAATCGCAACACCTTTCCCACACCGCAATTTCCGTTGACCGCTTTTCGCCCGGAAAGCCACCCATTCCTCCGCCCATCCCCGCCATTCCCATCCCTTCCGTTCTCTCCCTTCCCTTTCCCTCTCCCCTCCCACTATTGCCTTCCCATCCCCTACCTACATAATACACCTCAACCTCAACGTCTGCAAAAACGGAAAATTCTTCCGATTCGGATACCCCGATCGATACACCCCGGGCGCGACCATCGCAAAGTTCAGCGGGGGCACGATTAGACTGCGTTGGGGTTGTGGTGGTTGTGGGATGGTTGACGTTTCTGTTGCGGGTGCTGTGGGTGATGGTGGAGATCGAGGGAGCGAGGCGGGGGCGGCTAGGGCGAGGGACATTGTGTGGATTCTGAAGTCAGGAGCGGAGGGAGCGGAGTGTTTGCGAACGTCGGGATGAGGCAGCAATGTTCGCACGGAACTGTTGGATTGTGCTCTGTGATCCTTGGATGACCTTTCATTCCGTTCACAACAGTCGCGTCAGTCTTCCTGGTTGCGCGAAGACTGGCGAGATACAAGAGACGACCAAACAAAGACAGCAGTTTGCTCAGAGACTCGCAAATGGATTCATTTCAATGTGCAATATTGGGTATTGGTATCAGCGTAGGTATGTACAGTATGTGAACATAAAGCTGGATACACGCGTCCGAGCTTGGACAGCCCCTTGCCCCAGCCGCCGCAGTTGCGCACGGACACTGACTCAATCACTGGTGTATCTAGGTTTATGTTCACATACTGTACACCGTTTTCCGGCTCAATCCGGGTCAGGGGGTCAAGGTGCACTCGTTCCCGTAGTTTCAGCCACGGATTTCCTTGCGCAACCCCATCGATTTTCCTCCCGAGCCCAAAAACCATCGCAATCGAGAGCACCACCAATGGTAGTCAAACCCCTAAACCAACTCAACCTCCGCACGTCCTACATCCAACCCCGGCAACTTCCTCGGGCCAACCCACCCATCCCTCCCACCCATTACGGGATAATACCTCCCCACAATATGGGGGACCTCAACCGTAAATACGCCTTTCTCCGTCGTCGGCGCTGTCGCAGGCGAAGCGTTCCTATGCGCCTCACCACCGTTGATCGCACTCTTAACCTCGGCGGCGAGAGCTTTCGCGGCAGCGTCAACGACGTAAATAACCCAATCGCCGCTCTTGCTTCTGCACAAGGTGGGGTGGTTGGCGTCGTTCGGTAGCCGGGCGCGGACGGGGCGTAGGACGCGGACGATGAATGTGATGACGGGCGGGTGGGTGTCCGGTGTAAAGTTGATGCGCTCGACCCGGGCGACGCGGAAGTTGATTGCGGGTGTCGGTGCTGGCGGTGCTGTGTTTGTCTTCTCACCCGATTTGGACTCGGCTTCGCTGCGCGCGTCGGTCGCTAGGTGCGGTATATGCACGCGAACGAGGTCGTATACGCGCACATGCTCGGCGCCGAGCTGCATATAGTCCCACGTCAGGTGGTCGGGCAGCGAGCCTGGAAAATTGGGCATGAAGCGTGGGGCGGGGCTTAACATCGCCAGGGTGCTTCGGGCATGGTGGTATGCTTTGTTTGCCGCGGTGAGGTATATTGCGAGTACTGGGTCGTTGAGGATCTTGTTGTTAGGCTGCGCGAGCTTGTCCAGCAAGTCATAGTCGAGACGAAATTGGCGGGGGAGAATGTAGCCTGAAAAGGGGACGATTTGGGACTCTAAGACGGTAAACTGTTTTGTTGTGTTTAGGAGGCGCACCGAATAACCTCGACCATCCCATTTTATAAGCGAGCGCGGATTCGGATAGTGGTGCGTCGCGATCATTTGAAGTCCAGCATTCAGTTTGGGACCATCGCCAACCTGGTGCGTCTCATCGTCTGTATCGTCTTCATGAACAAAAATCGGTGTAGCCCAAAACCTCCGTAAGGGTTCCCGTGAATCTTTCGCCGATGTGCCAGTCGTGGTATAGACTGAATTGATGACGGCGGGCCAGTAGGACAATGTATCCTGCAAACAACTGATATCCATATCAACCGCTTCATCCCCACTGTGGATCCGCACATTCGGCTCCCTAGACGACAGCTGCAGGTATGTTTGGATCCATACAATGTCGCCGAAGCGGTAGTAAGGCTCGGTCCGGAAAGATGGAACGAAATTCTTGAGCTCTTCCCGATGTTGCGTTTTCATTTTGTCATAGACGTTCCTGGGTATCCTTTCCGTTAGTGATGCTCTGTGAATTGCTGGGGTGCGTTCCATGATTTTCGCGGCCTTCGTTAGGAGGACCGGAGACGAAGACAATGATGCCGAATCTAATGGATCGTCGAGATCAGGAGAGAGGGTCTCGGTCCGCGTCGATGCGTTTGGCCTCTGCTTCGGTCCCTCCACTTGGATCGGGTCGATCAACGTTCTGCTGTGCTTCATTGGTTGATTGAACCCAACAGACTGGCTGATCGGGCGGGCGAGTTTTGATTCGCTGGGAAGGGCACTCTGCGTTCTTTGTTTCGTTGGCGATTTCTTCACTCCCTTCGCTTCTTTCGCCATCCGTTGTGCAAAAGCGACAGCTAATGCAGATCCAGCCGCTGGCACCCGATCCGACGGAACTGGCCCTGCCTCCGATTCAGTGTCCGAAACGACAATCGGACTCGTGTTGTTTCCGAGATGACTCAATCTCGGTTTCTTTGAGCCGCCGATTGACGACTCTCCGGGTGTTTCGCTTGTGCGCTTCCGTACCCTAGGTGTAGAGCCCCTTATCCATGACATGCACGGCTTGCATTCACATTCAGAAGCCTGATGGGTTTCGCTGGTTGCGAGCCATGTCAGATGGGGTAAGAACTCTGACACGCTCCGAAACTTGATTCCGCTGAAGAATGCAAATCATATAACAGAAGGAGGAGGAGGAGATTAGGGATGGGTTGGAGATCGCAACGCTGAGGGGTACATACAGCGACCCATCCCTGGTGACAATCGCCACTTCAACAAGCGACAAAAAAAACGTTGCGATCCTCACCTTGGGTGCCCCCACACATAGGAATCCCCCGCCTTGGGCGTAGTAGTGTTTTGTCGGGGGATCGTAATCATCACATAGCCCCGGGGTAAGCTCTCCAAAGCGGCATCTGCCGAAAACACCACCTTCCGATCTGCCCCGTTCCTCGCAGTCAGAGGGCATTTGGAGGGATTAGCCTCGTATATGGCTTTCAGCGTCGGCCCACACTTTTTGAGAAAGTTCCGTAGCGTGGATGCGTTGACGCCGGTGACGGGCGACGGATGCGTGGAAGAGTCCCCGTCAGAGAAGCTTGGAGGTGGGATAAGGCTGAGGACGGTGCGCGGGGACATTTTGACTGGTGTGGCCTGTTCTTTTAAGTGCCGGTGAAAGTGGAAAAAACGTTCGACTTGAAGCATAGAAAGAGGAAATGTGTGCCGTATCTTCGCCTGCGGCAGCCGGTGGTATACGTATGCAGCGATATAGGAGGTTCCCGTGAGAATGTGGTCCGACGAGCCGTTGTCTTTCAATTTCGGAAGGTCCCAGATTGGTCCCAGATCAGGTCCCAAATGTCCCCCTGTCACCGGAGCTGCAGATTTCGGCAGTTGGACTCGTTGGACTTCCGCATTCATTCCTCCCCAAGCCCTTCACACAACGCATCCCGCATCTGCAGCCGAACCATACTTATTATACTACCGTTCGTGCGAACTGCACGTCTCACACATAACCTCCTGAACACCCCGTGGACTAATCGGTTATCAATTTCCCCAAGATGCCTTCCGACAGAGACACGTTGATTGGTAAGTGAGCATGGGCCGCTAGATCATCGGTCATTGGGCAACTCTAAAACTCGATATGCTCCTACCATACCTTCAATCTAATATTCGGCTGCTCTCCCTAGATATGGGCTTCAGCACCGCTAAAGTGTAAGCGAATAGGCTCCGAATTGGATGACTTGTGGATTGCGCGGCGTGAACTTGAATGCTGGGAAATTCGGAACCGGCTGAGCTCGATACCAACTGTCAACGTTTTGTTTCCTTTTCCCAACAGGACAAAGGCGCTGCAGGTCACCAAGAATGCTGGATTACAGCCTGCTATGGACTGGTAAGGAGAGAATGAAGGATGACCTTTGACTTGCAGTGATAGCGACGAAGATGAGCACGTCCTCACCACTCTCTACTCTTGCCTCCAACTCAGGCTGTTCGCGCACACGGAAGATCCCGACCCCACGCCTGAGGAGCTTGCCGCACCGTCCACTAGCGGAGGCGCAGGAGCGGGTGGGGACGCTGGAAACGACGACGAAGGCATCATCACAGCAGAGCAAGCCACAGCCCAGTCCCTGAAATGCGACGACTGCGGTCGTCTCCTCCGCGACGCAACCGCGGCTGAGATGCACGCGATCAAGAGCGGGCACCAAAACTTTTCCGAGTCCACAGACGCCATCAAGCCATTGACCGAGGAGGAGAAAAAGGCAAAGTTGGCTGACATCCAGGCGCGACTGGCTGAGAAGCGCGAACAGAAGCGGTTGGCGGAGATTGAGGAGAACAAAGGGAAGGAGAAGATTAGGCGAGCTACTGGGAAGGAGATGACGGAGATGAAGGAACGGTTAAAGGAGAAGGAGATGCAGAAAGCGTTGGAAGCGAAGAAGAAGGAGAAGGAGGATGATCTTCGCGCTAAGGCGAGGATTCGTGCCAAAATTGAGGAAGACAAAAAGGAACGCGCTAGACAGGTAGGAGGGGTGGGAGAAGGCTGAAGCATATCCTTTCTGGTCGTTTGGCGGGTTCGGTTCTGTCGTTTGCGAAAATCAATGACGTTCTGACACCTCTTCCCACACTCAGGCGGAGGAAAGAAAGCTAGCCGCGCAAGGTATTGCGCCCGCACCGCTAGCTCCTGCCAAACCCGCCGCCATCGTTCAAACAGCTTCCGCAAGTCACACAGAGGCTCGTCTGCAGGTATACTACAGACTATTCCCTTCCGCCCAACCAGCCATCATCTAACGTTCCCACCCCATTGTCGACCAGATTCGCCTCCCAGAAGGTGCGCCCCTAACAAAAACCTTCAGCGCCGACGACACGCTTTCCGCCGTCTACGATTTCGCCTCTCAGTCCCACCCCACAGGCAGTTTCAAGCTTGTCCAGACGTTCCCGCGCAAAGTGCTCGATGGATCCGACCGCCAGAAAACACTCAAGGAACTTAACCTTGTACCGAGCGCTGTGCTGGTGTTGCAAGGGTGACGGGAAGTCGCGTTGAGGCAATGGAAGCCGGTGGCCGGTGGGAGCGTGGCATGGAAGGCCACTACAGAACCCCCGGAGCGCCCGATGTTGTAAGATAAATAGAGAGGAGCTAGGGAGGATAGAAGAGAGCCAGATCGGTGGCGACGGCAGTCTCTATCCGTTTTTGTACATGCACCTTTGAACATACTTTCTGTGACTTAGGTCCCGTTTTCCGCTCTAAGGGCCTCACGAAAATGGACATTAGTATGGTGAATTCATCAAAAAGACAGTAAGGAAAGGCATATAACTTTTAGGGCACAACGCGGTCCGGATGGCGGTACGGGCCCCCAACAGAAAGTCACTGACGGTGACAGAATCTGCGGCCGGAGCCAGTTATTCCCACCCCACGGACAGACATGTGCACACTTGGCCATATTGCACCATGCCCAGGAAACACGATACAGCTGGGTCAGCCATCTGGTGTCCTCCCCATCACAAAAGTGATGTCCCTGTTGTAGACCAATATCAAAATACCGAAGGAAGCGGTCCGGATGGCGGTACGGGCCCCCAACAGAAAGTCACTGAGGGTGACAAAATCTGCGGCCGGGGCCAGTTATTCCCACCCCACGGACAGACATGTGCCCACTTGGCCATATTGCGCCATGCCCAGGGAACACGATAAAGCTGGCAGCCATCTGGTGTCCTCCCACCCGCATACGAGCGGATTCGCGTCTTCACAACGGCGAAGGGATATTCTTGCTTTCAAAACCCACCTTCAAGAGCTTCACAACTTGGCGTTTGTAGGATCGAAATTTTGTGGTCCTGCGTTTAGGGTGCTTTTCGAGCTCTTCTTTCTTCTCTTGCAGGTATTGCGCATACTCTGCCCAAGTTTCGGCAGGGAAGGCTGACGCGTACACCCCAGGGCCGAAAACCTCGAACTCTGTGCCGCTTCCCGAGCCGTTGTCGTCCAAAGCAGACAGGGTGTCAATGTCCTCTGGTGGAGCCCGCGGCACCTGCAAGGCTCTGAGCTTCTGGTTGGCGCGTGTTTTAGGCATTGTGAGATGAGCGCTTAGGATTTGTGAGTAGCAGGTTCAGAGACGAACGCGTCTATACTAGGAGTGGCGATAAGCGGCGACGTGACACACCAGCGGTCCGCTTCGACCTGCTCTGGCCAGTGGCAAACTTGCTCCACGGCCGAACACACACAGGACTTGCAGATACCTCAGACAGACGCACAGCGACTCCAAAGCCATGGCAGACCAACTAACAGAAGCCCAAATATCAGAGTTCAAAGAGGCATTCTCGCTGGTAAGTATCGAAGTAGATCTTCACCACAGGACCTGTCAAGTTCCCACGACCTAATCCTGGTTCACTCCAGTTCGACGACGACAGCGACGGCCTAATCGACGCCCCCACCTGCCTCAAAGTCCTCCGCTCCTGCGGCCAACACCCCGCCCAATCCCTCCTGACAACCCTCAAACCCACCCTCGATTTCCCCGATTTCCTGGCCCTCATCTCGCGCCGGCCGCAACACAGCACCAAACCCACCCCACCGGGCGCAGACGACACGGAATCGGAACTGAAGGAAGCGTTTTATGTGCTGGATACGGAGCGGAAGGGGTACATAGAGGTGGCGAGGCTGAGGAGGGTGTTGACGGGGTTTGGGGAACGGTTGACCGAGAGGGAGGTTGAGGAGGTTTTGGAGGAGTGTAGAGTGGAGAATGGGAGGATTGGATTGGAGGAGTTTGTGAGGGTTATGGGGGGGAGGACTTAGGGGTCAGGAAGGAGAAGGAGATGAGCGTCATGGGCAGTGCTCTCAAGGAGTTGATGCACATGTACATGTAGCCTAGCGATTGGGGTTCCAGGATTGCACGCTGCAAACTCAATCAGCTTGGCCCAATGGCACTAGGACGTAGCGGAATTGACCCATTTACCATTATTCTGTACATAAATACAATGCAAGTACTGACGCCGCGACGGTCTGTTTCGGTCTTCGTCTTCATTGAAGCAGATGCAGTGCCGATATTAATGTGAGGGACGTGAAGAGCATGCCAGAGTTCAAATCCGTGCTCCGTGCGAGTGCGAGTTCATTGCTTTTGTACATTACGATAGTATCTACACAGTTACAGAACTAATGATTGTTGGTACGCCTTACATGGCATCTGCCCCAAAACATTTAAGTGCGTCGGAAGTCATAACTCGTCGGAAGCAGTGGCAGTGGCCACGAAAAGCATCCACTTATCCCATCCCAGCATTTACACCTCCCCCTCCCCCACAACCACCGCCCTCCTCACCGGCCAAACCGCCTCCTTCCCCACCTTCCACACATCCCCCGCAATCATCCACACCACTGTCGCCCCCACAACCCACCCCCACTCCCACCCAATCGGATCAAACTTGAACGCCGCTCTGCCAATCTGCGTCACATACACAACCACACACAACACTGTCACGCCCGCCGCCGTACTGACCAACAGTGTCGTATCGTTTTTTGTTTTGACTAGACCGGCCCGGGTGGTAAATTCCCGCGCCCGGAAGGACCGGCAGTGCACCGACTGCACGAGCGCGGTGAGGAGGTAAGTTGCCAATAGGGTCGTGCGGGCGCGGTACAGCGGGCCACACCCCTCGGGCATATATACATCATCGCATTTCTCTGCCGTGATGCCCCCACCGGTGAAGAGCACGGTCTCGTACGCCCCCGCGCAGAGGAGCGCGGTGCCGAGGGAGTAGAAGCCAAGGTCGCGGAGGATCTCGGGGTTGAAGATCGATTCGGTAGGCGGCCGCGGCGGGTTGGACATTGTTGTTGGGGACGCCGGTTGCATGCTGATTGCTGCCGCGGGGGTCGTGGTGAGACAGAACAGGAGGAGGATCATCATGGGCGTGAATGGCGGGGCAGGCAGACCGGCGGGGTCTTTCACCGCCACATTGACGATGACGACCAGGGCGCAGCAGAGGAGGGTTATCCAGTAAAACAACAAGAACCGCTGGATGTTGGTATACAGCCGTCGCCCCTCGCGGATAGCGACGATGATGGTAGCGAAGTTGTCGTCGGCGAGGACGATATCCGACGCGGATTTGGCAACGTCTGACCCGGCGAGACCCATCGCGATGCCGATGTCCGCGATGGCGAGGGAGGGGGAGTCGTTGACGCCGTCGCCGGTCATGGCGGTGATGTGGTTGCGGCGGTGCGCGGCGTGGAGCATTTTGACTTTTGTTTCGGGGCTGCAGCGGGCTACTACTAAGGGGAGTGGGTTTAGGGTGTCGATTTCGGCGTCGGTTAGGGCGTCGAAGGCTGGGCCTGTTGTGCACACCCGTTGCAGTTCGGCGGGGGACAGCAGGCGGGGGTCACGAGTGAGGATACCGATTTGGTAGGCGATGGAAACGGCCGTGCGCTGATGGTCCCCTGTCAACATATGCACGCTGATCCCCGCCTCATGAGCCTGTCGAACCGACGACGCCGACTCCGGACGTGGCGGGTCGTAGATCGCCGCTAGACCCAGGAATTCCAACTCGCGCTCCACGGTTCCCCGCTCTATCGTCGTCCATGCTGCATCATCAACAGGCACCTCATCCCTCGGAAGCGTTCGCGACGCTAGGAGAATGACCCTCAACCCCCGCTGTGCAAACTCATCCACCATTTCGCGCACCTTCCCATCTCGTTCCTCATCAGGAACGCACAACCCAAGCAAGATCTCCGCGGCCCCTTTCGTAAACACCTTCACCTCGCCCCCAGGGCCGCGATACACGACCGACATCCGTTTCAAATTGCTCGTGAACGGAAAATCGTAGATGGGTACCCACCCCTGCTCGTTCTCCAACGTGGGTTTCGACATGGACAGTTTGTGCGCGTAGGCTTGCAGCGCGACTTCGGTTGCGGAGCCGCTGGTGGCGTATGTAGGCGTTTTGGTGTCGTCGAACGAGGATGTGATGGAGGCTAGGTTGCACAGCGCAGCGCAGAGTGTAAAGTCGCGGATGTGGTCGTCGAGTGGTTCGTCCGTCGCTTTTCCGACTCTTGTGATATTTGGGGTACCCGGTTTCGGCGCGGATTCGACGGCAACGGCCCCGGTGATGTATACATCCCCGACGGGTTCGACCCCCCTCGGCTCTACAAACACATGCCCCACACCAGGTATCCAACAATTCACAACCACCATCTTAGCCTGCGTCAGCGTCCCCGTTTTATCGGAAAAGATATGCGTAACGCTGCCGAGCGTCTCCAACGATTTCAGTTTCCGCACAATCGCATTATGCTTCGTCATCTCCTTCCCGCCCATCACCAGCGTGACCGTTAGCACGGTCGTCAGCCCGGCGGGAAGCACGCTGAGGGCCACGGTGACGGCATACATGCCCAGTTGGTAACTGACGTTGAATTTCTGCGTCGCGAGCACGAGGACAGCGCCGCCGATCGATACGAACATGAGGGAGACGTACATCTTGTAAAGCGATTTCTGCAGCCGGGTCAGGTCGGATTTGTCGGTGTTCTGGAGTGTGGTCGCGATACGGCCGATCTGGGTCGACATCCCTGTTGCGACGACCATGGCGCGGGCGCGGCCTTTCGAGATGATCGTGGAGGAGTAGACCATGTTGATTCGGTCGCCGAGCGGCTCATCGGGCGTCGGTAGCGTCGCTGTGTCTTTCTTGACCGGCAACGATTCCCCCGTGAGAAGAGATTCATCCGTCTGGAGATCCGTCACCTCCACCACCCTGCAGTCCGCCGGGACCGCATCCCCATGGTTCAACACGACGATATCCCCCGGCACGATCTCCTGCGTGCTAACCTTCACCTCCTTCCCCTCCCTCACGACCGTCGCGACGGGATTTGACAGACTCTTCAACGCCGCCAATGTCTGTTCCGCCGCATACTCCTGCGAGAACGATAACCCGAGGTTGATGAGCGCCAGAGCGGTCAGGAACCCGCCCGTGATGTAGTCCCTTAACAAGAAGCCGGCGACGCCGAGGGCGAGGAAGAGCCAGTTCATGGGGTCGATGAGCTGCATGAGAAGGATTTTGACCCATGTTGGGCTGCCGTTGCCGGAGAGCTGGTTGTGGCCGTATTTGGTTAGGCGGGCTGCGACGGAGGTGGGGGTGAGACCGGTCAGAAGGTCGGTTTGCAGTGTTGTGGCGATTGCGGTGGCATCGAGGGTGTGCCATGGCGTAGCCGGGTCCAGGTCGGGGAGTTGTTGCTGCACCACCAGGTGCTGGCGGGATTCTTGTAGCTCGAAACTGGTCATTGTGAGAGTGCTAGTGTGAAATTTGGCGAGGCGGTCTGTACAGTATACTGTACTTACGAGGGACTGGAACTAGTTTCTGCGCCCTCCCTTTTGACATCCGGACGGCGCAACGAGATGAGGTATATGTGCGATAGTGGTTTGCGGTGTGGTATCTACACTGCTCGGAAGTGGGAACGATAGCCTGCAATTCCTACGTCGGAATTTCGGAGTGTCAAACGGTTCAGATGTCCTTCTCGGAATATCTTGCGATGCGAAATCAGGTGACGCGAGATCCGGCGGAACAAAACAAGGTTTTAGGGTTGGTTGGCTCCCAATCGCCAGATGTGAGCTGCGGGTTGAACATCTCGAGTCTCGACCAGTGGCCCGGCCGGGTTTGCTGCCTGGTGACGTCCCCGAATGGATTCAGCATATGCAGCACGGAGACGCAAGGACGTACCGGACACGTTGTCAAAGGAAACTCGGAGGTTTCTTTCCCACTTTGTTCACCTCCTGTTCATTCCCGGATCGCCCTTTTTTCGCCCAACCCGTCGTTATGCGTCGTCAAATGGTCGCACTCCCAGCGGCGTGAAATCCAAACATCAGTGGTAACGGCCAGTACCAGTAACCAATCGAGAAAACCCATCCTGCAGTTGTTCATTTAGAGTTGGCTGCGATGCATCATGCAAGACAGGTTTACGGGTATCCGTGCATCCGGACGTGCCCGGGGCATATACCCGAATTCGTGCTTGATTATGAAAGGATACCAGCCGGCACTGTCCTCTTCCAATCCCAATCCCCAGGTTTCCCTCTGAGCTGAGGTCGTCATTGATGTTGTGAAACCCCACCATTCAACCGGCCCGGGAGCGTTTGTGGGTGGTTCGGCGGAGACGAAGGAAGAGATGTCTTATCGGCAGGAGCATGCGTCGTGCTCAAGGTGCACGTTACTCCCCGTTTGTGGGTGGTTGGGCGGAGCCGAAGGAAGAGATGTCTTATCGGCAGGAGTATGCGTCGTGGCGTCGTGTTCAGTGTGCACGTTACTCCCTCGACATAACTCCCTCATCGCCCACCCATCACGATACGACGACCTCCAATCTGCAATGATCACGTCCCACGCCCACACACACATCCCATAGTAAAGAAACAGCGCCATATGTACTAATACACAACCGATATAGGTCCATCATTAAAAGGTCTACAAAGTAAAAGTGTGAAGAGAAAGCAAGATACCACCCTCTACGGTTCCCCAGGGCTCCCTACGGCTGCACCTCACTCCAAAGCACGGGTAAAATGACCACACAGGCTGTGTAAATTGCGAGGACGCTGCGGGCTGTGTTATGGGGGAGGGCGAGGAGGGTTTTGGGCCATGTTGGATGCGCTGCTGTTTTCGTGAGGGTTGGTAGTGGTGTGTGTGGTGCGGATGTGACGGATGGGACGTCGTCTGATGAAGATGAGTTGGGGGTGATACGTTTTCGAACTCCGGAAAGATCTTTGGCCGAGTCGGGTCGAACCAACCTCCCTTCTCCTCCCCCTCCTCCCCCTCCCGCTCCGTCAACCACCTCAGCGCCTTCCCCCTCCTTCCCTTCCCGAGCGATCGAACTCGTCGTCGGCGCATCAATCCGCCCCGTCAGAATCAACCAAACGCCATAGAGCGCCACCGCAAAAAAGTGGCCCACCAGCGTCATCGGTTCCGGGATCAACCCGGCTAGCAGACCAACGGGTGTCGAGACGCAGGTCCCGCCGAGCTTGAAGTAGGCGAAGCAGGCGCGTTGGAGGTCTTTCATGTGTGGGTCTGTTGTTTGGAGAAAGGAAATGTTAGAATGGGTGGAGAGTGGGGATGGGGTTGATGGGGATAGCTCGAGCCAATGCATAGACGCAAAGGATAATTGAGACGGAGGACATACCATCACCAGCACTAAACAAGGAATAGAGCGCCTGCGCAAGCACATTCACCACGCTGCTCAACTCTTTCCGTTTCCAATGCATGCTCTTCACCCGTCGTCCCACTTTGCGTTCCACTTCCCACCGTTTCTCCCACTCCTCCTTCCCCTCCTCCTCCTTCTCTCCCACCCTCAAATCCCCAACCTCGCCCTTTACAAGCACCTCCTCCCTAACCCTCACAACATCCCACAACGCAACCGTCATTCCCCCACCCGTTAACGGATGCCTCATATTCATCGCATCGCCCAACAACAGCACCCCAGGTGTCGTATTCGCAGTCGATGGTAAGAAACTATTCGGCATCGTCCGCGTACGTTGGGTGGCGAGCGCGGTGAGGAAGGCCGATCGGAGGGTGGCGGGTAGTTGCGGCGCGATGTGGGTCGTGAGGTAGGTTTGGAGAGCGCCGGTGGATGAGGAGGGGAGCTTGCCGGGGATATCGATGAGGATACGGGTGTCGTGGGTTCCTATCTGGTAGAGGAGGATGGGCGAAGGGTCGGCGAGGATGACGTGGCCGTGGTTGGGGTAAGGTAAAGGGCAGTCTTCGAGGATCATCCCTACGAACTGCGATTTCGACTGCACGGGTGTGTTGTTGACATGTTTGCGGAACCGTGAGAAACAGCCGTCTGCTACGATTGTTAGCGGCGCGTAGACGTTGGCGGTGAGGCTGGTTCCTTCTGAGTCCTTGTATGAGTATCGCACGCCCAGCACTTTGTCGGTAACAGGGCACGAGATCAGTTCCGTAACAGAAGCTTCCAATGCCGTCACGTTATCCGCCCCTTTAGCCCTCTCCCTCAACTTCCCGACAAACCGGCCATGATGAAAGGACCTGCCCTCGTTGGGCAGCTTGTCGGTCGGGTATGGGAGTCGCACCTCGTCGCCGTGATAGAAGACGGCGTAGCCGTTGCAGGGGATCGCATCGATGCCTTCGAGGCAGTCTTCAAGGCCCAGCCTCTCCAGCGCCCTCACGCCGCCTGGCTGCAACAGCTCCCCGACAATGCGATCGGGTTCCTTCCAATCCCGCTCAATCACCAATACGTCGCGGCCGTCGTTTCCGAGGGTTGCTGCAAGGGCTGAGCCGAGGATTCCTGCTCCTACTATGATTATCTCATATTGGGTCTGGATGGTTGGCAAGGCAGCCGGTTAAGAACGACCGACAAACATGGGGTGGCTTCGAAGGACAGCGTCGCACTTTTACCCGCGAACTCACAAACACATACCTTTCCAACTAGCGGAGGCTGGTTGACAATGCGACAGACTTTGCCCATGTCGCGTCACCGTAATAGGGAGGTCGTTGGGGATGACAGGGGACCTTTCGCAGTGACTTTGGCACACACAGATACAGTACACTCCGACGGAAGTGAGAAGTCCTGAATGATAGTGAAGACGGACAGACGGCGGAAAGACGGAGGACACGAACACAAGCGTCCTTTATGGCTTTCCTGGGAAAACGAGATATCGGCCGCTGAGCTTGGACAGCGGGAGGTGGAAGTTGCGGTTTTTTCCGCCGGCTGCATCATGAAGGGAGGAGGGAGTTGGACGGCATATGAACAGTGCGCACGCCCTCGTGCCAGGAGCAAAGCGGGTTGAGGGTGAATGGAGGGTGGTGTGAGGTGGTGAGAGAACACCTCCCTCCCAAACACGCGTTGAATGAGAAAAGAGAAGAGCGCGAAAGTGGTGTGACTGATGGAGGAGGTTTAAACCGCGGGATCAGAGACCGGTCACGTGGCTGCACTTTAAACTCATCCATCCATCCATCGCCTGAGGCCAATCGCCCCGCCCCAAAAGAAGCCCACCCTTTAAAACGCACTAACAGTCACGTGGGACAACCACATGTTATGAATGCGTGCTTTAGCTGTTTGCAACGAACGCGTGGGATCCTCACAATAAGCTGTCAAAACCCCTGCAATCTGTGCGCACTGCTGTCGTTTTACCCCGTGGAGCCCTCACCCTCGCCCTGAACATTGCGGTGCGGCACTGGATTTGAGCAGATCTTTGAACTCCGTGACGGCCGTACGAATAAAATTCTTGACGGCCTTGACGTTGGAGATTCGTCGATTTTCGGGTGCGTCAGCGTGCGTGTGCGTCGAGAAGCGTCTCTGCCAATTCGCTTCTCTCCTTCGGGTCTGCGCTCTTCTCGACTTCCGCACAGTTTACAGAAGAGCATTCCCGACATAGCCGACCCGAAGCCTTTCTACACGCACTTCCGAAGCCCAGAAAATATGCACGACATCCACTCCTCCATCCCCGCAGCACCACCACCGTCCATGTCCGCTGCAACAGGCGCATCAATAGCCGCTACCCATCGCAGCCCGGATCGACCACGCTCTTCAGCCGCCGCACACAGACAGTCGCCTCGCTACACCCAATCAGCATATCCACAGCCGCAAACTCTCGGATCTGATCTAAGTAATGGGACCGCCGTACTATCCTCCTCTCCAGCAGCAGCAGCAGCAACACGCGGTCAAGCCACCGATCCCCATGTCAGCATCGCACCAACGTACCAGATCTACGACGTTGGATACGATGGTTCACGGAACGCCATGTCTTCCGCCACGCTCGCATACCCCGACGGGCCCGGTGGGTACGCCCCCCAACACCACGTCCAGCAGCAACCGTACACATCAGCACCAGATCATCCAAATTTCCCACGATACGGGTCCACAGCGTCCCCATCCCGGTCCATGAAAGATCCCTTGCAATACCAGCCCCAGACGCAACAGCAGCAACAGCAAAATCCCTACGTCCAAGACCCTTATGTATCCCCACTCAACCCTTACTTCGCCCCAACCCCAAGCCCCCACACCTTCAACTTCGCCTACCCACTAGCTTACACGCCTTCCCAGCCCTCCTACCTCTCCCCGCCCACCAACCCCCGCGGCGGACGCCCAGGCACGCTCTTCCGCCACAAGACCATGAAAACCATCGAGTTGACACCCAACGGCCTCTTTCAGGTTGAGATCCCCGTGCCCGCGAAGGTAGTCCAACAAGGAACTGAGAGGGGCCGGGAGTGCACGCATCTGCGGTACACGGCGGTGGTTGGCGATCCGGACGAGTTTGTGTCAAGGGGGTATACATTGCGAGCGCAGGAGATGGGACGAAGGACGGAGATCTTTGTTGTGTTGACAATGTACAACGAAGACGAGACGCTCTTCTGCAAAACGTGGAAAGCCGTCATGAAAAACATCGTGCACCTCTGCTCCAAAAACACCGACACATGGGGCCCGCTCGGCTGGCAAAAAGTCGTCGTCTGCGTCGTCGCCGACGGCCGCACAAAGATCAACCCACGCACCCTCAACGTCCTCGGCGTCATGGGCGTCTTCCAACAAGGCGTTCTAAAGACCTCCATCAACAACACCGACGTCGCCGTGCATTTGTTCGAATACACCACCCAGATATGCATCGACGCCGGGGACGGCCATTCGCTGCGGAGTAGCAAGACCGCCTCCTCAACCAGCCTCTTCAGATCGGGCGGGACAGTCATCCCCGTGCAAACCATCTTCTGCCTCAAAGAAAAAAACGCCAAGAAGATAAACTCCCATCGGTGGTTCTTCAACGCCTTTGCGAAACAACTGAATCCACACATCTGCGTGCTCCTCGATGTCGGCACCAAACCGACCGATCCCTCGTTGTATAGATTGTGGAAGGCGTTTGATTCCGACGAGCATTGCGCGGGCGCTTGTGGGGAGATTGCCGCGGAGACGGGGAGCTGGGGGTGGAAGTTGTGGAACCCGTTGGTGGCCGCGCAGAATTTTGAGTATAAAATGAGTTGTATATTGGATAAACCGATGGAGAGTGTGAGTTTTGCTTGGTTTTTTGGTCTGGAATCGTATATCCGTCATCTAACAGTCGCCCGATATGCAGGTCTTTGGCTTCATCGCAGTCTTACCCGGCGCCTTCTCCGCGTACCGCTACCAGGCGCTGCAGAACGGGGCGGACGGGACGGGGCCGTTGCAGAAGTACTTCTTGGGTGAGCGCATGCATGGGGGGAGTGGCGGTGTGCATGTTTCCGAAGCCAACATGTATTTGGTAAGAATTCGGAGGGTGGAGGTGATTGGGATACTGTTGGTGAAGCTCACATCTGGTACGTCCCCCCCCCCCCCCCCCCCCCCAGGCCGAAGACCGCATCCTCTGCTTCGAACTCGTCACCAAACGCAACTCCCGCTACACCCTTCGCTACGTCTCGGCCGCAAAAGCGGAAACCGACGTCCCCGACACCCTCCCCGAATTCATCTCCCAACGCCGCCGCTGGCTCAACGGTTCCTTCTTCGCGGGTATCCACGCAATCACCCACTTCTACCAACTCTTCCGGTCCTCACATACCCCTGAACGCACACTCCTCATCCTCGCCCTCCTCATCTACAACGCGGTGAATGTCATATTCAACTGGTTCTCGCTCGCGACGTTTTACCTGATTTTCTACTTTTTGGCGGACGGGATGACAACTGATCCGGCGAGAGACCCTTTTTATGGAGCGGGCAAAGTGATCTTCTGGACGGTGAGGCAGTTGTATGTGTTTGCGATTGCGACGGTCTTTATTGCGAGTTTGGGCAATCGGCCGCAGGGGAGTCTGTGGCTTTACGTTGCGGTGTTTGGGCTGTTTGCGGGGATTATGGTTCTGATGCTTTATATGGTGAGTGCGCTGTGGAGTAGCATCGGACACGGGGGGTTATGGACGCACGCACTAACATCCCCACCCCGCTCAGTCAGCATTCTCCATAAAAGTCGCCATTAGCTCCGCCCTCACAACCATCCACACCACCTCCGCCGACGGCACTGTGCACACGTCCCTGCACTCGCTGCCCTCGCTGCTCGCCAACCCATCGTTCAGAGACCTGGTCATGTCAACCGCAGCGACGTACGGCGCGTACGTGATTGCAAGCGTGGCGTACCTGGATCCGTGGCATATGCTCAACTCGTTTGTGCAGTATTTGCTGTTTTTGCCGGGGTTTATGGTACCGGTCATCTTGCATCTTCGTCAACGGACCGGGGTTCTTACTCACATACTTCCACCTCGGCACCCCTACAACAGCTGGTCCTAACTGTCTACGCCTTCGGCAACCTCCACGACATCTCCTGGGGCACCAAAGGCGACAACTCGGCCCCGGACGTCGCGCCCGTGCACTGCACAAAGGACTCCACTAAAGGAATCACAACCGCAACCGTCGACCTCCCCGTGCACCAACACGACATCGACGCCAGCTACGACAGCTTCCTCGCCGCCCTCGCCCCGCCCCCCAAAACACACGCGAAAACAGATACACGCTCCGCGGCCCTGCGACAGGAAGACTATTTCCGGCTGTATCGCACCCGCGTCGTCCTCTTCTGGGTCCTCTGCAACGTCGGCCTCGTGGCTGCGTTGACCACCGCGTCGGTGGCGGAGAAGCTGGGCGTGTTTGTCGGGGACGCGGGCAAGGGCCGCACGAACCGGTTTCTGACGTTCATGCTGTGGAGTGTGTGTGCGTTGAGTGGGTGGCGGTTTGTGGGGAGTATGGTGTTCTTGGCGACGAGAGGCGGTGGCGAGAGGGAGGGGAAGGAGGCGGGTGAGAAGCATGGACATGATGCGGGTGGGGGGCATGGGGCGCATGATGGGCATGGGGCGAGTGGTGGGCATAGTGCGATTGATGCGAATGGCGCTCATGGATATGCGGCGGCGGGGTTGGGTGTGTGATGTATTGCGTATGCGAGGTTTAATGCGTGGTGTTGAGCACCGCAAGACTCTATGTAGATATGTACGTTGTATCGGCGGCCTATCCCGCAGTAAACACCCTTTCCACAATAATGTAATTTTGCTAAGGTGCACATGTACGTACGCTATGTCTTGTAATGAAAATGGACGAGAAGCTTTTCTCAATCCAACATGGTTAAGACTTGCCTTCCCTCTCACGATTGACTGTAGAGCTTACATAAACCGCGTTTGTAGAGCTTACATAAAACGCGTCCTCCCAATGGGATTGACTAGAAGTGGGTTACTCGTGCTAAAAACGTCAATACAGTACATGACGCCTCACGTGACCTCACGCCTCGTGAGCATGTGAGAGATGGATGGGGGCACCGAGTGGGCAGACTCGAGGCTGTGACATGTGCGCAGTCGGGGGGGGTCCCAATTCCCACTGAGTCATCACATCATCGCTATGCATTTCCCCCCCAAATGGACGCGCGCGCTGACTGATGAGACTCCGTATCGTGGATGCATGCGCAATCATCGCTATGGTGCAGGCCCATTATGAGAACAGACATACAGTATCGACGGGGGCTATGGCTATGAGTCTATGACTGGGCCTTTTTTTCATGTGCTGCTGCTGAAGGAAGCTTCCCCCCAAATACTGGCAACCCCTCTCGCTCTCGCTCTCTCAAAAAAGGGCATATATCAACCGGCAGGCTGAAATTCAAACTCAGTTACATATAGATCACCCACCCATTCTCAACGGAAACGTCACACTCCGCCTCGTATAAGGGAGACACTAGAACCGACGTCCAGAATAAGATATCAGAACGAACGTCACTTGCATTTCCACTACCACCACCGTCAACCCTACTCGCTACCACTGTACTTTCCTCCCATGGCACGCTTAACCTGCGCACCACCATCTCACCCTCCCATGCTCACTCCAAACACTGAGGAAATGTTGGAACTCGCCGCAGGGGTCACTGTCACGCCCTTCTTTGAGGGCGAATATCCGCCTCCTAATGCACTGAGAGAAGGACTTGGAAGGAGGAGACTATCGGCGACGACGACGGCGACCGCGAAGAGTAATACGAGTGAAGGGATTCAGGCCGCGACCGAGGCTGCTGTTGTTGAGGCGGTTAGGCAGTTGTCTGTGAATGGTTCGAAAGGTACGCACGCGAGCGCTACTGAGCCCACTGTATTAGCGAGCGCCGAGGCGGAGCGAGCAGGATATCGTTTCATCCATCCTTCGCTTCATTCATCGCCCACACTGACACTCAACTCTCATTTCAGAGGCAAATGGCTCACCGACAAAGGCGATCCCCAACGCACAAGATGGTTTACAGACCTCACTAGACTCCTCTGACGACGTGGACCCATTTGACCCAACAGTCCCCGAACCCTCCACAACGAGGTACCGCCCCGGCACCGAATGCGTCTTCATCGAGCCCGAAACCGGCATCCGGGACAACTACAACGCCAGCTCGGTCCCCATCTACCAAACCGCAACCTTCAAGCAATCCGCAGCCTCCGAAATGGGCGAATACGACTACTCCCGCAGCGGCAACCCCACCCGCACCCACGTCGAAGCCCACCTCGCCAAACTCATGGGCGCCAAACGCGCCTTCGTCGTTTCCAGCGGGATGAGCGCACTCGACACCATCTGTCGGTTGGTGAACGCGGGTGACGAGATCATCTCGGGAGACGACCTGTACGGCGGGACGAATCGCCTCCTCAATTTCCTTCAAACGCATAACAACGTCAAAGTCCATCATGTCGATACCACATCCCTCTCCTGCATCTCCGGCCGCCTCTCCTCCAAAACCCGCCTCGTGTTGCTGGAAACTCCCACCAACCCGCTCATCAAAATCGCCGACGTGCCCCAGATTGCGAGCTTGGTGCATGCGGCGAACCCGGACGCGTTGGTGGTCGTGGATAACACCATGATGAGCCCATACCTTCAGAAACCCCTCCTGCAGGGCGCGGATATCGTGTACCATTCGGGGACAAAGTACCTGAGTGGGCATCACGACCTTATGGCGGGTGTTGTCGGGATCAAGGATGAGACCCTTGCCGCCGTGAGTATCGTCACGTCACAATTTCTATATTGTACCCTCCTCGTATTCACCCCCGCCTCCCCCTCGGAATCTAGAAAATCTATTTCATAATAAACGCCACCGGCGTCGGCCTCAGCCCCTTCGACGCGTTCCTCCTCCTCCGCGGCACCAAGACCCTCGCCCTGCGCATGGACAAACAACAGTCCTCCGCCCTCACCATCGCCACACATCTCGAGAAACACCACAATCTCCGCGTCCGGTACCCCGGGTTGGCTTCCCACCCGCAGTATGAGCTGCATCGGACGTTGGCGAGGGGACCTGGGGCGGTGCTGAGTTTCGAGACGGGGGACGTGAGACGGAGCGAACGGGTCGTGGAGGCGTGTCGGCTCTGGACTATCAGTGTGAGTTTTGGCTGTGTTAACTCCCTTATCAGGTATGTCTCAACCCCTCTCTCATTTGCTCTCATGGCCCCCTTTGATGCTCTGATATGGATGTTGATGGCCCGTTCCCCCCCCCCCCCCCCCCCCCAGCATGCCATGCAAAATGTCCCACGCCTCCATCCCGGCCCACGTACGAGCCGAGCGCGCAATGCCGGAGGATCTGATACGGCTGTGTGTCGGCATCGAGGATGTGGAGGATTTATTGGAGGATTTGGATGCCGCGTTGGTTGCGGCGGGGGTTTAGATGCGTTTGCGGGGGACTACCGGGGGGGCGAGGGGGGGGGGGGGGGGGGGGGACTGGGATAGGACTGAACGGCGTGGTTCGGTCTTGACGACCGGGCTATTGCAGAATGCCCGCATGGGACGCAAGGGATTCTCGTGTGCATATTTCCGCTCTTGTCTCCCCTTTGTTTCGCGACCCTCTTTTTTTTGTATACGTGGACTGTATATATTCGTGAAACAGCGTTGGGCCCGTTTGACATTGCTTGCTCGAGATACCAGTTTCCATTTTCTCATACACGTGCAGTACGATACAAGGTTTACACATACAAATGACGAGAGTATCCAGTGAATCGATAAACAGGCTCGCAAGGAAGAGTTGGGGATAACGACTACGAGGCCATTTTGCATTCGATGTTATATGTTGAAGATATTATTTCACCTCATCTTTCTTCTCCGCTTACGCCTCCAACGTGAGAGCCAAACCAAGCTTATGGGTGTTCTCATGGAACCTCGTGGTGTCAAAGAGCCCGCCGAGAGAGAGCTTGACGCCTTTACGAAGGAGGTGGGTGTATCCGAGTCCGAGGAGGCCGCGGTTGTCGATCTTCGCCTAAAAATAATATTACACAAAAAGGTGTTGGTACTCAGCAAAGCCGGAAGACAAATTCGAAAAGAGTGAGGGATGAGGGGAGGTTTTACCTTGACGAAAGCCTCGTTGTCCAAAAAGTACTTGGTACCGACCTCGACGTGGACGTCGTTGTCGGTGGAGCGCGTCCAGGTGGCTTTGGCGCCGGCTTCGACGTCGGTGTTGACACGGTGGTAGTAGGAGGCGGCGAAGGTGTTGAGGGCGTTGGACCTATGGAAACAACGTGGGGATAACGGGTGTCAAAAGTTGTTTTTGGCGAGGTGGAAAGTGGTGGAAGATGTAGAGGCTGTGATGTGGATGGACTTACGCGTGGAGAGCAACAGTGTACTCGCGGGCGAGGTATCCGAAGGCGAGGTTGGAGCGGGTCAGACGGGCTTCCGAGATGTCGTAGGCGACTTCACCTCCTGCCAAGAATCCGTCGTTTCTGTTGTATCACAAAGAACAGTTTAGCATTATAATGACATGTCCCGAATCTACGCGATATACGTACGCAACGACGGCATCGGCGTGAAGTGCGGGTCCCCTGAAGAGATCGACGAAAGCACGGGTGAAGAGGTGGTCCTGCTTGTATTCGACACCGGCCTTCAGGTTCTTGGTTCTGCAAGGAAGTGCGATTCATGTTCAGCGCTGATGTTCACTTCTCCCTTGAGGAGTCCCGTTACGAGGTCTGCTCATCTCCATGTCCACTCCGGTCGCGAATGTTGCCTCCTTCCCGAATCCTTCCTTAATTTCTCAACTCACCCCTTGGCGGGCAAAAGCGATGCAGCGACGTCGACCTTCAAACCACGGGCGAGGGTGTTGTCAAGCTCGAGCTGGGTGCCGAGGATGTTGCTGCTGGTCCACGATTCGGTGAATGTAACGCCTATGTGCGGATGACGAAAGAACTTAGGCTAGGACATTAATGAGAGACAGACAAGTGTTCGACGGATACATACCACGAGCCTTGTCGATATGCTTGGCCTTCAACTCACTGGCAATGGCGCCAGTCTTGTTGTCCTTTGCTCCAAGGACGGTGAATTTCTGAGAGAACCAAGAGAAAGTCAATCACCAGCGATGTGTGTGTGAGAGTGGATGAGAGGTTGCGCGATGGTTGCGCAATGGTTGGACAACATTCTGCTCGCTCCGCTTGCGACCAGGATGTTGGACGACGTGCAATAAAAACGGCCGTCCACTGTCGCTCACAGTTAGAGCAGAAGCTCGCTTCGCCCGCCTAACAACGGCGATCGGTCGCTATTGCTCACAGTTACTACTGCTCGCTTCATTTGCTAGAATTGCGCCTGCGGCGCGGAACTCGGTCCGCCCGCGCCCGGTCTCCCAGAGCGAACCAGGGGCTCGCCTATGGCTCGGCCACCTCAAGCATCCCCTGAACCTTGCTTCGCGCGCCGCAGTCCGCATTCGCTATCGGTCGAGCTCATCACAGATTTTCCCACGGGCTATCGAATCCCAAATCACATACCACACCGTTGTTTGTGAAGGTGTTGACTTCGAGCTTGGCGGCACCGAGAGGGAAGTCCTTGTTGAGCAAGTCGTTTGTAGTTTTCCCGATATCTGAGAAAGCGGGGGGCACGTTGAAAGCGAGGGGGGTTGGGACTGCGATTGGGACGGACATGATTGTTGTGTTTTATTGGGAGATCTAAAGACAGATGACGACGGTGAGTTGGACGCTGATGCGGAGAGTGGGTGACTTTGACGCTTGAGGAGGAAGGATGACACTGGACTTACAGGGAAAGAGTGTTGTTGTTCGAGGGATGCTGTATAGTTCAGGTTCAGGTTGCGAAAGAAAAGCTAGCCGGGCAGTTCCTCACGGGGAAGATGGGCGAATGATGGCATGACGTGCCCTCGTGCGTCACCTGCCAACAGTTGCAGTTGAACCAAGCCAGCCACCCACCCACAACTGTATTAACCCTGGTATTAACCCTTCCCCAGCATTGCGTGACTGCACTAAGGAACCCCAACCAGGCACTTGGAAGACATCGAGTCCCCAATGACAACCCTACAGGATCTCCGAAAGAAGCAGCTAGACGCATTTTTACAGTCCGACGCCAATGCCACCATAGACCAACGTATCAGCGCAGAGTTTGACAGTCTGGTGATTCTTGCCCAGAGAGCCTTGTCTGAGAAAGCAGGGTTGAGCAAGCAGGGGTTTAAGAAGGAGCTGCGAAAATGGCTGGAGCGGGAGCTTGATAGGTAGGCACGGGAAGTTCGTGTTCGATGTCAAAAGGAAGACAATATTGACTGCTGTGTCTATGGCCAGTCTAGCAGTCTTTGACGGTGTGGATTTTGAAGCCGAGGCGAAGAAGATATGGGAAGGGCAGGAGGATTTGCTAAAGGAAGCTGAGACATTAGATGAAGCAAGAGGTGGAAACGCTGCTGCCGGTGGGTTGATTGGGTTGATATCTCCAAAACTCTAAGCTAGCATTTGTCGTTGAAATCTGACGCACTCTATAACATAGGGCCAGCTGATGGAAAGAAAGGGAAACGTGCTCGACAGCCTGAAGAAGGACCATCCGACGGAATCACTCCCAAGAAGCCAGAAGTTAAGAAGCGGACCAAAAACTCACATCTATCAAAAGTCAGCAACCCGGACATCCCGATCTTACAGGATCCGTCGCCTATGGATGAAACTCCCTCCACAACCCGTCCCACATCGCCCATCCCACATCAGGAAGGCCCTACAATCGGCCCCAAGAACCTCCACACAGGCCAGACCGTCGCCGCGTCCTTCACAATCCAAGAATCGGGTGGACCACGCGCCGTAGTATACTCCGTCCGCCTCGACTCATACGACCCCATCAAAGGGACATACCGCATAAGCGATCCCGATCCCGACCCGATATCTTTGGAAAGCGAATGGGACGTGTCGCCGGACGATATAGTGGACTATATCGCACCGCGCCAAGACGCGCTAGAGGTCGGGACCATGGTGTACGCGCTGTTCAACCTGGCACGGGTTGGTAAAAGGCGAGAGATGTCCACTGAGTTTTATACGGCGGAAATCAAGAAAGTTCTTTCGGTGAGCTATACTCGCTGGTGCTTTCTGCTTTTCATGGGCTTGGGGACTAATCAGCCCTTACTTATGCAGGAGGGAAGGAAAGGCCTCAGATACTACGTGCATTACCCTGACGAGCCCGGAAACTTATCCGTCGTCTATCCTGGCGAGATATTCCCGATGAGCGAGGGAAAGTGGAGCAAATCGATTCAGTGAGCGCGAAGCATGTCTCGAGGGCGTCCGATGGTCAAGCCGCATAGAGGCATAACGGGGTAGAAGCGCTCGCACCTTTGGCGAACACAGAATTTGGGTCGTATCGCTCACCGCCTCTGCACCGGCGTACGTTTGTAGCTTCTAGTTCGCGGCAGCTGCACTTCGGCGGCGTATCCTTTGATGTGTTGACAGGGAGCAGTGGGCTAGGGTTTTTGGGAATTTTGGGCAAATAAGATCAGGAGTGAAGGATGGCAATTAATGAAACAATCGCCTGCTTCTGAAAACATTTTCTTCCACATCTGCCGCATTGAAGGCGCAGTTTGGAAGCCCGCTAAGCGATGGGTCCCACGAGTGGCCTTCCGATGGGATGAAATAATCACGTCTGGCCCTCTCTAAGTTCAAACCGACCGATAGCCTGGAGCTTTTCTATGCGGTGCCAGCGGATGCATATATATGGGGCCAAAGACCGGAATGTCCATAAAAGCGCTTATCATTTGGAATAAGAGAAAAACACAAGTCCATATCACCATATCCCTGCTAGAACACACAGATGCGCACCACCTGTGCACACGATGTACATCGGGCACCGATTTCCGGCAGCAAAGCATTCCTGCTCGCGCTCCTTTTCAGCGATGCTTCCGAACGCTCTCTAGCGGGCATCCCTGTCTATATGCCTGGTTTGATCTTGCTCATCTCACTCCTAAACAGCGTTTTGAAACCCACCGCCAAGGTGCATCCATCCAACAAACTTTCACCAGCCAAGATGGCGGGCACGTAAAGGTCCCACGTGCAAGGATACTGGCAAACCATTGAATCATCAAGAGAGAAGATGGGAGGATGAGTTTGCTGTCGATGAAGGTTCCGTCGATCAGTATCACAGGGCATTGGTTCGTCGGTCTCAATCATGGGCTATATGCTCGATGTCGCATACCTGCTTACGAGCGTATTGTACGATGCGATCGGCAGATTGTCGCTGACGGATGGCGGATGTTTGGTCCATGTGCGCCAACGAGATCTGTGCATTGGCGCACTCCCGAAATCGTACGGCGGCTGCTGTGGAGACCCTACGCCGTACGGTGTGTGTTGATGCAGCGTTGCTGCTGGCGGGTCCGCTGCAGCGCACAGACGATTTCGTCTTGGCATCGATGATGTCCTCCTGCATGAGGATCTCTCAACATTCTTCTCGATACGCCGAAGCCGAGGCCTCGATCATTTCCCACGAGGCTCATTCTCCCATACGATGTTCACGACATCCACGAGTCCCCGGGCCTGTCCTTCGCGCAGGGTATAGCAAGCCGGGCGGCGCTGGTGCGCCATTCGATGACTGCCTGGAGTGCCGATTGCAGCATGGAGCTGTCCACGACGATGGACTTCACATGCAGCTTAATGTGGGCCCTATCGATAGCCCCGCATCCCATGCGCTCGATCGGCAACGCACGCCGAGGGTGCGCTTGACTAGCGCATGGCGGCCCCCTCACTGGTACTGGTGGAGGAAGGCGCCGCCAGCCTAGGCACGGGCTCTGCCGCCGCGGGGCGTCCGCTGTGTCGGACCGTTCGACAGAGCGGCGACGTCGGCGTCGGCGTACTCCACCCGTATCGTTCATCGCCGCTGATACGCTGATTCGACCTCGCCTCGCATATGACTATCGTCGCGCATTCGGGCACTCAACATCCGCGGATTAGTCACGCGGCCGTTATCCATACCGGACCCATCAACGCTGCACCGTCGACCAACTCTGATCGGCATTTTCATCCACGCAACATCAAGGATGAGATTGCTAATTTTTGTTCAATAGATACAGAGTTTTCCACGCCTCAAACGTTGTGCGGGATCAAGATGGTTTCTCGTGTACGCAGATAGTACGGTGGGGATCTTTTCTTTTGCATATGTGAGGCTTATGCAATTTTGGCCCGGCCAGTTATGATCCGAGAGAAGTAAGATGGAGTCAAACATCTACCACTGGAAAAGGTCCTTTTTCTCCCCTCCATGTCTAACATCCACCCGTACGCCGAGGTTTTCTACGCAAATCTGTCTATTGTTGTAGCCTACATACGCCTATTCGAGGCTGCGGACAACTGTCAATACCAGGCTCTTGAGAGAAGACACCCAGCTGGCGCAGACGTTGGTGGCTACATAGTCCCGCATCTTCTGCCCCTAATGCGAAGCGATTGGAGGTGCAAGGCATCAGTGCACAATTGCTTCGTGAGAGAAAAGACGGTCGGTCACTTACCTCATCGCCCTCCATTCCACTCAAAACCGACAGCGGTCCCGGCGTGGCGCCAAACAGAAGCTCCGCAACCATGCTACTGCTGCCGGCCGCTTCCAGGGGCTGAAGAGCCCCGGAAAGCTCACTTTCAAAAGCGATTAACACAGCTCTGAGCTCCGCCCGTACTGCGGACGGGTCTTTGCTCGTAGACGCCATGGTCGCTGTGGCAGCAGTCGAAACCGGTTTGGCTTTACTCTTCCCACCATCGGCTGCTGGCGCCGCTTTGGTACCGAATTCTAGAGAAATTGCGACATAGTTGCATTTCTGAAGGCATGCGTACTTAGAGAGGACCAAATCTGTAAATATGAGAGCCGGGAAGCTGTGGCGTACCTCCAAGAATATAGTGAGTCTCCGAAGGACATCGTAGGACAAAGGGGATGAAGGCTGCAGCTTTGGCATTGAATCTGGAAAAGCCAAGGTAAACGGTATGATTACCGACAAATGTTCTAGTAGGGACATTCGTGAAGCCCACCTTTCAAAGAGGCCACTGCTTGACTTAGTGGTGTGAAATCTATCGCGTCTAAGGACACGCCGAAGTATAACAACGTTAGAATCAGATCTCAGGCCTGCCTCGGTTGTAGACATTGCCAACTCACCTTTTCCGATTGCATCCAAGTGTGCCTGGGAGATGGTGTAGAGCAACTCAGCGCTCGCCAGTTCATCTGCATCTTGGTTAACCGATTTTGCAGAATCTAGAACACTCCGAAGAGCCTTGTGGTGCTCCTCCCACGGCTTTGCCCCGCCCGACGTTAAGCCTCGCAGAATCAGTGGGATAAGCGCATTGAGCTTCAGCCAGGTCCGCTGCGATTGGGGAGGGTTTGATCAAACAGTCTCGCATGCGTTGACGTTGGACCGACCAGGAAACAAAATTGAACATACCCTGTCTCGTGGGAAAGTAGCTCCCCGCACCACATCGGCAACCGGTGCACCACCCCAGTTTGAAAGCAATTTGACGTCCCGGTTATCAGAAAGCTGGTCGATGTCGGCATCTGGAATCCCGAACGGCCTCTTAGTGATGCCAGTGAAATCTCCATGGAACACGGGGTCGTCATACCCGAGTACTTCAAGGTTGCTTGATCAAGGCCATCAAGGTACTCCGCAAAGTCTGCTCGGTCAGGGAAGCGCCTTAGTGTCTCGACCCGATAAAGCTGTTTCTGGGACACTGTGCGCTGTATCGAGTTGCGCAGCCTGTTGCGGAAACGGATGAACTCGGGGATCTACGTACGATATAATGGGTCAGCTATTATATAGTATAACGGCACCAATCTGCAGAATCAGAAAGCACACACCTTGGAGTAAGTTCCAAACTTGAAGGCCTGAACGATCATTTCCGGTGTCTATAATGTGCCAGAGAAATGAGAAGACCGGCACCATGCGTTCAAGCACCTCATGATAACCTCGTCACCTCGCGTTCATTCGAATGGTGAATCGTGGTGGTCTTCAGTAAAGCACGCAAGGCGGTGTCCGGGCATCCCAAGTATTCGAGGTCATCGGTGTAGAAGAAGCTAGAAGTCATCGGTTGATTGGTGGGTATGTAATTGGAAGTTGCTGGTCCCAGTTGGTCACAAACCTCAATGTATCGTGTTGGACTTGTTTGATGCTCATCACATTGACGATTTCTGAGATTCGTTGGTGTACACCTGAACGAGAGATCCATAGGCGCTGAGAAGCAGTTACGGCCGCCGTATGGCATGTGCTATCATAAGCCGCACGCACCTAGCTCAAAGTACACTCGCACAAGAAGCAGTCTGATCTGATAGTTCCACTCGCTCCGTTGTAATCCGTACTCCAGAACAGCTGCAATCTGAGCGAGCAATGCGCGGTTGTCTGCATTTTGCGGCATGTTAGCTGTGTCGCCCGGATTGGCCAGGCTCATTCACGTTAAAGCGGCTGCCCTACCTCTGTCGTTCTGGAAGATATCTAATAAATAGTGAGCGACCAACAAGACATAGTCATCCCCTGGCTGCAGTTCGCGCTTGTCCAGATCCTTGCCTGCCAATGCGACACGTCAGCACCAATGTAGTCGTTACAGTTCCAACGGTCTCGCTCACTTACCGATAGGAATGCTCTCCTTGTATGCCCGCAAGTAGTCACCAACGATGGCGGCAGTCTCCTCGACGCTCAACTTCTTGCTGGTATATCTCCGAATCTTTTCCAGATTCACTCGCCGCCTGATTTTGTCCACAGGCTTCGAGTCCTCCCCTTGTTCGGAGATCACGGCCGATTGATCGATACTTCCCGGCTGGAGGAGCTCCAAATACGGCTTCAGATCGTCAAAGCAGGACAGTGTTGCTCCGAAGCGCGCGAGGTAATGGCCGATCAGTTCGCTTATGTGGGTCGTGTCAAATTTGGAGTTTGGCAGCGATAGGAGAGCTTTCTCCAGTTCCAGTTCACCGAGGTAGGGACCTCTCTTCACGTGCTTGTCCGAAGACCCTTTGCTCTGCAGCACGGAGATCAGGTCGCGGAACTGCGTCAATTGCACGGAGTCGGGGCTGCGATTGAACAATGAGTGAGCTGAGCGCAGTTGGGCAGAACTCGACACTGATCCTGCTTACTTGCGGTCCTCGACAGGAAGAAGCTCTATGAACGCGGCAATGTAATCGCAATAGCTGAGCCAATCATCAGGACTAAAGTAAAGGGCCAGGCGTGTGAGATCCTCAGTTCGACACGAGTCATCAATTTGCGACATATCACCCACTTTGCCAACAACAGCTCCTTGCTCACCGAGCGAACGGTGCTCCATTCCTTTGCCGCCTTTGCTAATCGCACAATGATGCGTTTACGATCGGCGTCGACTTTGCAAAGATTGCCCAGTTCACCCTGTGCGATCTGAAGTGCTTCCGCGTGCTTTCCCTGCTTCTCCAGAACTTCCAGGTAGAGCTGCAGAGCTGTGGAGGGATAAGCAGTGTGGACTCAGGCGATGTCTCGAGACAGGGGCTGGCTGACTACCTTCATAGTCAGTGATCCGCTTCTCCTGCGCTGCTTTCGCAAGCATTCGTTCCGTGAGCGTCAGACTCAAGTCTGGACCTGCCGACCCTGGTTTCGCCTAGTCCCGAGGATCAGAACCTCATTCCGAGGGCTCTCATCTCAAACTCTTTCCAGCCGCACCTGTAGCCACAGCGACATGATCGTCCAGAACATGTATCGGTTGTCCTTGAACTGCTTCTGTATCTTCATCGCAGCCTGCACATCGGATCCACCCAGTCAGCATCAGGCTTGTCCAGCTCCATCTATTCAACAACTGGTCCCACCTGTTGCATCGCCGATCGGTCATCCGCTCTAACCAATGCCATAAACCAGTGGTTGGCAAGCTCCTCGTTCTTCGGCGCCTTCGCATACGCGTTCTTGTACACCTCGATGATATCCGCATCTATCAACCATACGACATCCACCGCTTAGCCCGACAACTAACAAAACATCCTTGACCCACACGTTCCCTTGCCACATACGTCTCCCATGGCCCCGATAGACCATCACAATCGCTTGCAGAATCGCCTCGTCGCTGACATCCCCCTTTTTGACTTCGTCGCAGAGTTCGAGTGCTTCGTCGTCTCTTCCGGAGCGATCTAGGGCTATTGCCTTCAGCGCCTGCAGTGGAAAAGGTTAGCCTTAGAGGCCTCTCAATGATAAAACTGCTGGCCCAACCTTTAGGATGAGTGCATTCGGCTGTTTTTTCAAATGCTTATTGCATAGCGAAATGGCTTGCTTGTTCGAGTAGGAGTCCAAGGCCTCTTAAGGTCGTTTTGTGTGAGGGCAGCGTCCGGAAGGTTCAAAGTGGAAAGTCTATCTCACCATATATAGGCCTTAGCTTCCACTCTGAGACATCCGTTATCGAACTCATTAAGGACCCAATTGTGACGCCGCCAGTCTCGGGGTCGCTGTGTCAAATTCCTTTCATGTCGAAGAAAGGACGCTTGGGAGCGCTTGGGGAAAACGCGTTCAAAAGGTTCAAACCCTTGGATCTGTCCTTGGATGGGGAGTTGGACATGTTTCAGGATTCCACAATAACCTATTCAGGCGACAAGTCTGAATAAGCCGGCACTCAGACCCCCGGGGATCGCTATCCAGGTCTCCACGCAGGGCCACTCCTGCGGTGTCACCATGTAAGCAATGCCTTGGAATCCCACATCGAGATGAGCGACTGATCTTGCAACTTCGAACAGGAAGCCACGAGCCCTCTCCCTCCTCCGGTCCCTCAGCAAACGAGCAAGCCACAACCCCTTCATCTTTCTTTGGGTGGTCAACCTGCTGATATGCGAGGTGTTGGTGCCGCGGATTTATATCTCTTCATGTTCATGGCCGGTTGTTGGAAAGGTGACGATTTGGTTGGGCTAGCCCAGGTTGGGAATGGGAGTTCTGACGAGGTTGGGGGTGTTAGAATAGACGGGATGAAGTGCACCTGGCTGTTATTGCGGATCCGCAGTTGACGGATGCTTATTCTTATCATCAGTCGGTTCGTACATCCGTTTCTTGAGGGTTGCCTTTCTGACAGGAGCTTCTACTGACATCATCAATAGGGCCTGAAGCTCCGCCTCACCTCATTCTACTCCGACCTCTACATGCGGCGGAACTTCCGCCTCATCTCCTCCAAACTCGAACCGCATGGATACTGGGTGTTGGGCGACATCATGGACGGGGGTAGGGAATGGGTCGGAAACCAAGCGTAAGCTGAATGTCGTCACTCATGGCGGCCGTGATGAAGTGTTTAACAACGTGCGATATGAAGGGCAGTTCTCGGTATGAGTCCGAAGCGCAACGTGTCAAGAGCGTTTTTAATGTCAGGGATGGCACGCCGATATTTTGGGCGGCCGGGAACCATGACATTGGGTTTGGGGATAAAGGTACACTGCTTTCACTTGTCACTAATATCTTCGGGGAGAGGTAAAGCTGACATTTGATGGTGTACAGTGATACCTGAAGCATACGACAGATACAGAGCTGTGTTTGGAGAACCCAATTATGCCGTAGAAGTGGCAAACCATACGCTCATCGTGCTGGACACTGTGAGCTTGAGCGGGCCCGCTGGAACAAGACCTGCTGATGCCGCGCTGGACTTTCTGACTGACTTCTCAGAAGGTGGGTGTGTCCTCGCCTCTCAGGTTGAAGTGCAATGGGCAAGTGCTGACTAACCTTTACCATGCAGGAGAATCATCATCGAACCCGCGCATTCTAGGCACGCACGTTCCCTTATACCGGCGTGATGACCACGACTGTGGGAAACTAAGAAGGAACCCGCCGATGAAACAAGGACGGGGTTATCAGTACCAGAGTACGTGGGAAGGAACCGTTACCGCATGCGGGCAAATCAGCCCCTTGCTCATCTACTTGTGCCGTTTGTCGCAGATCTTGTCGTGGAATCGTTGTCAAAGCACATTCTGGAGAAGATAAAACCTTCGCTTGTGTTGTCTGGCGACGACCATGATTGGTGTGAGAACGAACACACGTTTGAAAGCGGGACCGCGAAGGAATATACTGTTGCCACCTTCTCTTGGATGCAGGTCAGCACAGCCTCAAAGTATGTGGATGACTATTGTCTCGAATATGCTAACACGGACTTGTCTCTCACAGGGCAACGTCCACCCCGGCTATGCCCTCCTAACCCTCCTCCCCTCCCACGCCGCCCCCCACCCCACAACTCCCACACAAACCTTCGCCCTGGCAACCTGCCCCCTTCCCCCCCAAATCCCCGTCTACATCTGGTACGCCTTCCTCGCTCTCATCACGCTCCCCCTCCTCCTGCACTGGACGTACCGGCAAGTCTGGGCCGATGCGCCGTCCTATATCCAGATCCCGATGTTCTCGTACGGCAACCAGCGCGGGGAATTCCTACGACGGAGTGCGCGGAGGAGGAGTGCGAGGCTAAGCGTGGCGAATTCGAGGGGGAGGGGGGGTGGGGGGGTTGTGGCGAGGGTGTGTGCGAGGGCGCCGGGGTTGTGGATGTTGGGGGATGGGATGGTTAGGAGGAGGTTTGGGGCGAATTTCGGGGAGGTGGTGGTTTGGGCGGTTGGGTGGTATGTGGTACTTTTGGTGTGGGAGTCGTATGCGTGAAGACGGACTGGTGACGGCCTCATATTTACTCTCATTCTCGTGGCTGATGCGGTATTGACAAAATGATAACTTTATGAGCGTACGGATGTTGCCTTAGACAACATATGAGAAGCCGGACTTGACCCTGCGAAGTCTCAGATACCATTGCGAATCAAAGATGAAGAGATGGACTAAATCTCGATTTTACGCCGCTATGGTCAATCAGGCAGCGATTCCCTCTACACACCCGCCGAGGGTTTGACGAGATGTAACTGCGAGGCGCATGTACTACGATGCGCTCCATCGTCGGGATATTCACTGAAGTGCGGCATCTCCACAGCGCGACCGTAGTCCCATACCGCCACATTGAACTCCCCCCCCCGCCAGTCTATCCGACTGTACTCTGATCCTCTCCATCCCGTCGCTAGTCGTGCCCATGCCTGGCAATCATGGCCGGTCTGTTGTCGGACAATATCGGCATCTGGTTGACGGTACGTTGCAGCCTTCGAAACCCCAAAACTGCACAGTCCTGCTCTTGCTGGCGAGCACATGCTATCCACTACCAGTCTCGGCTGCACGTGCTTTCCAGTGCGTAGACTTGCATGCCGGATCCACCGGTCCTCGGGGGCGTCGCCAACCCTTCAAGTCGGGATATGGCGCGGGTTGAACATTTCCATGCCGGTTAATTCACCGCTATGCCCTCTAGCTCATGGCATTAACCATAGTAAACGTCATCTTTATGCACGGCGTATGTCGAATAACAAGCAGCCTGCATCACAGTCATCAGTTTTTACCGCTCCGAAATCACAAACACACACAGCCCCCTCACGAACCTATCCAAATCGCCCTCGATCGGATCCCAAACATCCGTAACCTCCTCGTTGTATATATCGGTATGCTGCGAGACGGACTTATCCCCGCCCAGTTTCCGTTTGGCGATTTCGGCGACTGTGACGGCTTTGTTGACCGCGTTGCCTTTGCCGGTTATTATGATTGTGGTGTGTTTGCCTTCCTGAGAAAAAAAAAAAGCGTTGGTAAATGAGAATAAAGACCACCGACAGATGGCGAAAGTCGTTGGCAGACTCACCTTGTGCAACTTGATGATGTTCTCGACCAGCTTGTTGATCTTCCCACCTTGTGATATCCGAATCTCGTTGGGAGCCAGCGGCGCTGCAACCGGGTCCTGCCCAACACTGGTCCTTCTGTACTTCTCCATATCTTTATAAACTACAAAGCTGGAAAACGATTGGAAAAAGTGTGCCGGTTGCAGACAGGGCAGGTCCCAGGGAGGGGTAGTCGAGCATGCTCGAGGCAAGCAAACCGTGGCTCGCGTCGCTTTGCTCGTATCTCTCCCCATTTTTGACAGCTCCTTTGACAGCCCCGTTTTCCGTAGGAGTATGGCTGGTCCACTTCTCTGTTCACATCTGAACAATTTAGTAAGGTTGTGTAGAGATCACTCATTTCCATGCAGGTTTTGCAAATTCAATGCTTGGCAGAGCCCTTTTTCGAGTTTTTCTTGAAATATGCGGAAACCATGGTTTGGCCATGGCTTGCTTTTGCCCAGCCTTCCCGAGTCATGGCTTGGTTTTGCTCCATATGTTGAAACCACATACTGCGCGGTTTAGGGCACAGGACCAAGCGAAGCAAGCAAAAGCCAAGCGATTCCCCTAGGTGGCACCGTTCAGGGCACGGTCCAGATCCAGCGCTAACGCTCTCCTCTAGTGCTTTCTTTGGAGAGGAACCCAACAGCAAGAGCCCTTCTCATTTCTGCCCATCAAATGAATTTCATAACTCCTTATAGCTTCTTTCATTACATTAATAACATGTGTGTATAAAGCGTACGATCCTGTAGGGTAATATGTTGGTTTCTACTGCTATATACGTTGTCCTGCAACCTACGCCGCAATTCCCTCTACTGTATTCTACCTCTACGACCGATAGCCACAAAGAGTCCAGTAAGTAAGTCCCTCTAAGCAGCGGCCATAAAAGCCACAGCGACGGCACCCATCAACGCTCCACTGACAACCACGGTGTCCTTCAAGCTGCTGGCCCCGGCCTTCGCGGCCTGGAAAGGTGTAGGTGATGTGAATGGCACTGTGGCCGCGGGTTTCAGGGGTGCGGTGGGAGGGTTGATGAGGCCGTCGGCGGCGGAGATGCATGCGAACTGGGGTAGAGTAGCCATTTGACGGACAGTGAGGGCTTCGCCGTCACAGGTCAGGGCAGCGAGACAGGCTCCAGCGGTCTATTTGAAGAGAGAGATAGGGGTTTTGGGGAACGAATGAGACATAGACAAGCGCAACTACAAGCAATTCTTCGGACAAGTCCACGTACGTTCTGGTTCTGCGGGTTAGAGCACAAAGTATCCCTCGTCATTCCATTGAAGCAGGCAGCACGCTTGGTGGGGTCGCAAGTACCGGCGTGCATGGGTGCGGTGGTGTTTGTCGCAGTTCCGTTGCCTGCAATTGGAACGGTTCCGTTGACGGCTCCTGTGGGACGTGCACCCGCCGAGGAGGTCGTTGCGGTGGCAGTCGAACGGGCGGAGGAGGAAGCGGAGGTGACGGAGGTGGACTGGGCGAGAGCCAAGGGGGCCAGGGCGAGGAGGAGGATGGCGGACTTCATTTCTGGAGCTTGTGGTGGTGGTGGTGAAGAGTGGGAGTTGGGGGTATGCAAACGTTGTTGTTGTGAAGAGCGGGGGGTATGGCAATGAGATCACTTGTGAGGCGAATGGGAGAGAGTGTTCTGAGTTAACGTTCAAGCGGCAATATGGAACCTGCGTTGAGTGATCATGTGCCCGTTCCTTGCCCGAGCAAGCGGCAGGGAAGTGGGAAGTTGGGGTCGCACGAGAGACGCCGCAGCGAGGGAGCTTTGGGTTTGCTTTGGGTTTGGGTCAGAACGCGCCAAGAGGCATCGACGACCGCGCTTTTTCCATCATCCTGCGCTTATTGCACATATTGGGGTAGGAAACCCGCCTTGGCCAAAACGGGGTCGAAAACCTTATCCAAACGCTGCTGGGAAATGGGGCAGCAGGTGGAACCTCCAAACGATATATGTGTATACGACTCTGGAACGGAAACGGACGGTTCGTCTCTAATTTGAAAAGGCAGGAAGTCCCGACATTCCGTTCGGCCATTCTGTCCGTATACCCGAAGTCCCCACCATGCGCGTCTCGGTCGCCGCCCTCTTGGTCCTGGCCACTTCCACCGTCGTCACCTGCCAAGAAAACCCCAGGGACCGTCTCAGAAAGTATGTGTCTATGGAAGGGAAAACGTTTCGGACTTGGTCTCTCGTGTTGCGTAGCTAACCGAGGACCTTCCAATCCAGTGCCGTGTTGAGCTCGATCCACGAAGCCACGACTAAGGAGTCTAGGTCACTGGCAAGGAGGAGTACTCCGCTCTCATGGACACTGGCGCTTGGGGTATGTTGAGTGATTAAAGGACTGTGAGTGTGCCTAGCGGCAGGGACTGAGGGAGGGGCGCAACCCTTGGGAAAACGTGAGGAAATGGACATTAGAAGCAACGTTGAGAGACTCGGGAGGAAACGAACATACGAGTGCAAAATAACCAAGCGTCAGTTAACGATGAATTTCTCTCTAATCTTTCCGTTCACGCCCATAGCAAACCGTGCAATTGAATCTGGGCACCCCGCCACAAACGTTCGAATCTCTTGTCGACACAGGCTCACCAGACACCTTCGTCCTCGGCGACCAATGCATGTCCTTCGCCTGTTTAACCGGCCAGCAATTCAACGCCCCAAGAAGCTCGACCTTCCGGCCCACTACTGCGGCCGTGCAGCTCCACTACGCCGATGACACAAACGTCACGGGTATAGCTGCCCAGGACGTACTTACTCTGGACGGCCAGACGCTGTCAAATTTCACATTTGCCTATATCCAGCACTACGAGCAGGAGAATACAGTAGTAGCGACCCACTCGGCGTTACTCGGGATGAGTTTTCCGCTTAAAGGCCTAATGCCCGGGTCGCCGTCCATCAAACCCCTAGGTTCCTCCACCGTTCAACAGCTTCTGGGATCCAACATCACCCGCTTCAGCTTCCTCCCCAGCTTCAGCGGCGCAAGAAAGGGCCGATTAACCCTCAACAACACAGACTTCGGCACCGACGTAAACACCTCCGCCGGCACCCAATGGATCAACCTCACCGCCCCAGTTGACACAGTGTACGAAGCGTTCTGGGCGCCTAAATGCAAATCCATCACCATCGCCGGCGCCACATCCCCAGCACAACCCTTAAACGACCTCCCCATCCTCCTCGACACCGGAACAACATTCACCATCCTCCCCGGCCCAATCGTCACCTACCTCGGCACAACCCTCGGCGGCGAGCTCGCCAAGTTCCCGTCCGCCGAGGCGCCCATCGTCTATAAAATTGCCTGTGCGAAGGCCGCGACTATGCCGAATGTGGTTTTGGAGTTGAACGGCGTGAAGGTGTCTGTGCCTGCGACGGCGTATGTTCAGAACTCGTTCTTTTCGGACGGGTGTATTATTGGGTTTGTGGGGACGCAGGGGGCGTTGGGTGGGAGCATGGGGTTGGTTGGGATGAATGTGTTGAGGTGAGCATCCTGGGCGATTACGTAGGTGTTTCTTATGACAGGCTGAGTGTCTGTGTTGAACATCCTGATTTTTTCCATCAGGGCATTCTACACAACATGGGACTTCTCCGCCCGCAGCGTCGGTTTCACGCCATTAGCCGACGTGCCCGTGCCGAAAGGCACAATCATCGAATCAGCGGCGTCCACATATACATCCTCGTCCTTCGCCAGTATCGCCAGCATCGCCGTCGCGTCTGCGCTGGTCATGGCGTGGTAGTATGGCGTGCGCCTTCCATCTTCACATTCTTGTATATAGCACATCTTATGCATTATCCCCTCATTTAGACTCCCCCGCTTAACGCAGCTAATTCGTGGCTTAGCAGACACAATGGCGTATGGGTGGAATAGAAATAGAACCTTTTACCTCGCACGGCGTTTTACTTGGCCAATCCATTCGTCTGGAAACCAATGACAGATCTTGGTTGAATGTTCCATGCTGATGTGAACACGCCCTCGCTCCCTCGGCACAGCAAGGCTCATCTTGGTGACGTTTCTTCACATGAATTTTCACCTCCCACACACCACGTACGCTACATTATACCGAATGTCGGCAAGGCGTTAGTCATTCGGCATGCGCCTTCCATCTTCACATTTATGTATATAGCACATCTTCCTCGCCTTTTGTTCTGCAAGTGCAGTGGTAGCAGGGAAGGGCCAGAAACAGGGGTGGCAGAACCGGGGTTTGTGCACCCACGAAACCAAAGAGAGCACAACGCGACCGGTCAATTGACAGCAAACTGACGTTTTTTCAATTCTCCAGAACCGGGTGAAGAAGTTTGATACATGAAACGGATGACTGGACTCAATGTTGCATACAATTGTAAAAAAAAAACTCTATATACGACTGGCGTAGAGTTCTCCCACCCTTCTGTAAACGTTTGTATCACCTCACAACACCCACTCTACGCAAATCCTCACCCTACAACTCCCTCCCCCCAACTACCTCCTAACATACCTCAAACTCTGCATCAACCAAAGCGCAACACTCAACAGCGTCAACGACCCGCTCTGATGCGCCGCCGCCAACGGGGTCGGCACAAAGTATAGCAGTGTGCAGATCCCCAGCGTCGCTTGCACACCCACCATGGCCAGCAGGGCGTTGGTCGCGAGACGCGGAGTCCGCGGGAGGGTGAAGCGGCGGGAGGCGAGGAAGAGGGTTAGGATTGTTGTTGCAGTTGTCATCGCCTTTGAAAAGATCCACGGGTTAGTGCGGGTGGGTATGAGGGATATGTGATGGAGAGAGGGGCAAACGAACCATGACGCGATGGTTGAACTGCACGGCAGCTGGATTCTCTAGGAGGTTCCGCCACCAGGGTAAGGGGTTCGGGTTACGGTCGGTTTGTGTGGAGTAGGCCCACATGTCGGAGGGGACGAGGCCTTCGCCCATCTGAGGGAACTCGTTGTAGATGAGGCCGGCGTCGAGGCCTGCTACCAAGCCGCCTGTTGAACGTTGGAGATCAGAGTCCGTCATCATTCCCAAGTTGCTTACCGACCCAGCTGACACCAGCAGTCAGCACGGAACGGCTAACATACCTGAAAGCGCCGTCAAAAACACCAACCCAGCCACCGCCCTCGAGTACTTCGCAAACCGCCTTACATCAACCGTCGCCAACGCCGCCTTGACGCTGTTCTCAACGGCCACGGATGCCTTCACGCGGTTAGCGCGCAGAATGTCCAGGCCGGTGACGAGCATGATCGAGTAGATGGTGAACGCGGACCCTAAGTGAGCTGTGAGCCAATAGTGGCTTACGCGTGGCACAGCGTGGGCGGTTTCCATGAGTTCGGGGGAGAGGCCGCTGCGGACCATGAGCCAGCCGAGGAGGCCCTGGTGGGAGACAGCTAACATCAATATGGCTGAAAATGGGATTGCAGAGGTGAACCTGGAAGCCTACCTGTGCCCCGATGAGTGTCGCGACGAGTAATGATCTGTTCCGGATGGTTTTGCTCATGTATCCCTTGTAAGCAAAGTATGCGCCAGGGATGATGAACGAAAGCCCAATGAACCGCCCGACCATCCTATGCGCCCATTCCATATAAAAGATAAACTTGAACTCCGGCAGCGTCATCCGATGGTTCATCCTATCACAACAATGCAAACCATTAGCATCCCTCTCTCCAATCCCGTCCATCCCCCCACCTGTAGAACTGGTACTCACAGCTTGAACTCCGGAAACTGCTTGTACTTCTCAAACTCCTCCTCCCACTCCTCCTGCGTCCGCGGCGGTTTCATCCCCTTGATCAAATTCCACTCTACGATCGATAACCCGCTCTCCGTAAGCCGCGTGAATCCGCCCAGGGCGACGATGCCGAAGACCAGGGAGCCGCAGAAAAGGTACCAGTAGCCGACTATGGGTTTGCTGACGGTTTGCTCTTCGCCGGGGTTCGAGTTTGCGTCGTGGTGGTTGGAGGAGGTTGTGGAGGGTTGGGGTGCTGTTGTTGCAGTGGTGTTGCTGATGGGACTGGCGGCGTCTGGGGTGACTGTGGTGGCTACTCCGCGTGCCGGTGGGTTGCCCCGCCATGCGATAGATCCCGAGAGTCCAGAGACTATCGACAGCGAAGGAAGCGAATGGTCGGCGACATACTGCCGCTGCCTAAGAAGGACGCTAGCGACCTGCGCCGGTCGCTTCGAGGAGAAGAATCGTGCACCCGCCGAACAACTTTTCCCTACGGTCGCGGCGCAAAAGCCTGAAGGAAAAAACAACGACGGCGATGCGCTACAGTATATTCGACTTGGCGGCGATGTAGCGGCGACGACTGAGCGGGCCGCCGATACGAACGAAGGTATCCTTTGTGCCATCGTCGGCCGTTCTTGGGGCTGAGGTCGAAAATGGTAGAGCTCACCAGAGGGACTTGATTGCGAGAGTGCTTTTGAGCGGAAAGGGAAAATCTGGTGCTCGACGCGCGAGATCAAATTCCGACGCGTTCAGGTTAGGGTTAGCCATTGCATTCGATACGGGCATCGTTTTTCCACGTTGTCCAGATCCAGTCGGAACGGCAAGGCACTCGACTGCTAATAAAGTATCCGAGTTCGAGGGAAGGAAATCGATCTTATGTATGTGCTTCTGGACAATTTTCCTTTCCGCCGGCTACTTCTACTCTTTGCTACTCTCGTCAGGTTCCAATGCCCTGAATTACCTCAACAATAGGCACCCCGGAGAATGTGTACAAAGAGTCCTTTCTCATTGCCGCGCGCTCTCCGTGCGAAGCTACCGGTGGCTGTGCAAGAGAAGGTTACTCGGGGACGACGCGCCCAATGATCTGGATATCTGATCATTACCTTTGAGTTTGGCAATGAAGACCCTGCGGAGGGATCATTCCACGACGCTCACAGAATGTGTGTCATCTCTACTTCCGCCCCTGCCCCGCTTTTCTGCGAGTCATTCCTCTTTCAGTGAACGAGGTCTTCTTCTACCCGCCGCACCTCTGCGAGTCTGTCCTCTAGATATAGTCGGAGACGATCAGCAAGCCGTGGCTCTTTTGCTCGGTTTTTCCTGCTACTCAAGCCGACGTTCTTAGCCTTGTTATTCTTCGTCGATAAGCTCTTCTATCCCCCACTGATCGGCCCTTCCCGCATCCTCCGCTGGCAGACGCTGCTCGGCAGGCTACCACTAGCGCAGAGGAAAACAAGGACAACCAAGAAAGCGCTTCCTTTACACGCCTACAGACACTCCTGCTTCAATTGATTGCCTCCAGGTTGTATCATTGATTCAGCTAGGCGAGAACCACTCGTGGTCGTCTGCTGCGCCAAACGATAAGCGGAAGATTTGCCAGGTGCGGCCATAATACATGCGAGGATGTGGTTGTGTTGTCGGAGCAACCGAAACAGGCACAGGAGCCACGGTCTGCACCGCTGTCTGAACGTGGATAACGGCGTGTGCCGGGGGCGCCGGACGAGGAGGGGTGTCCATGGAGAGTCGGACGGTTGTGCGGTGGACGAGGGGACCGGATCTGAGGAACCAGGGGCCCGCGGAATGTAGCGAATAGGCTTGTCCATTTGAGCAGGGGCTGGTGACGCTGGTAGTTTCATATGGGCGCCTCATCACGCGCGGATTCTTGTTCGATCCTCGGCAAAGATCTCCTCTTCTGCTATCAGGGGCTGCTCATCCAGCGCTTTTCTGCTAATCGCTTCTCTTCACACAGCTTCTTCGTTAGCCCTAAGATTTTCTAGCCGGCGCATCTACCAGCCCTAAGATTTTCTAGCCGGCGCATCTACCAGCCCCCTTTCGCTTCTGCGTCGATAATCTGTTAATCGTCCTTGAACCCATCGCTTATCTTCGGCAATTCGGAGATGTCGAGCCAGTTTCCTCTTCGACCCATCGCTCCTCTTTCCCGGCCGCTCTTCAGCTTATCTCTCCTTCTCAGTTTATCAGAAACTGCTCAGCCAATTCTTCTCCGACTGCGGATCCCAACTCATTGCGTGGGTGGATCAACGTCCATCGGGCTCGAACGATCCGGCTTCCTAACCATATCCACTCGTTTGAATTTCGCTTTCAGAGAAGATGTACCGATGAACGTCATATCTATATCCGCGCGGCTTGGATCCATGGACATGGGCATAGGACCCTGAGGTGCGCCTGGGATGGTTCAGAAAACGGTGTTGATTGAACTGCGGTCGGCTGGCATGTTCGACCATAGAAATTTTTTCATACGTTTTGGCCTGCTCTCGTTGGGATTCGACTTTGAAAATATCAGATCCGTCCCCAGCGTGCGGTCCAGTGCTCCTTTAAAGACCATATTTCCGATTCGAAGCACTGGTGTTGCCGTGTCCAAGCCCTATCGGGGTGAGAATGCGTGAGCATAAGCACAGCACACACATTCGGAAGGGGTTGGAAGCTTACTATGATGGAAAGGCCTTCGTATTTGGCTGCAGCTGCTTGCACCGTCTCGGCATCGACCTCGGTTCCAAGATCCAGTACGACGTACTTGGTCTGGGAACGCAGGGTCAGTAAAACGTCTCGGAGATGTCAAAGCATCACACGGCGAACGTACCTCTTCCTCCCACTCGTCCTCCTCTCCCCCTTCCTCGCCTTGGGATCCAGTCGTTTGCGGGGCTTTTTGTGTGTCACGGCTCATTGTGGATAGCAGAATGCCGATAACTCCCAGATAACTCCTGAGAGAAAACGCGTCTTATGCGAGGCAAGGAGGACACGTCACTTATGCAAAGGCTTGCGTCCAGAAAGTCGTTGACTTCAAGACCTTGGTGATTCCTTTTTACCGTGGGAACCGCATTCGCTCGCAATACATATAGCCCCAGCAACAGTTTCACCTTCCACTGCCTTCCGCACTCGCTTCACCCCTCACCCCCTCAAACGCCGCTTCCATAATCCACGCCTGTCACAATGTCTGGGTACGATCGCGCCTTGACCGTCTTCTCCCCAGATGGCCATCTCTTCCAAGTCGAGTATGTAAGTGTCATTCTGGAGATCTCCTGTCTTTGTTGTGCCTCCTCACGGCTGTCTAAACGTTGTGAATATATGTCTTTAGGCGTTGGAGGCTGTCCGGAAGGGTACCTGCGCGGTAAGACGTCTGATTTCTATCCTCTTTCCCAGGTGATCAGCATAAGACTTATCAGCTTATCCTCATAGGTTGGCGTAAGAGGGAAGGATGTGGTCGTACTGGGTGTGGAGAAGAAGACAGTGGCGAAGCTGCAGGACCCACGGACTGTCAGGAAGATTGCAATGCTGGATGATCACATCTGCATGACCTTTGCTGGTGCGTTGGCTAGTTACGCTTGAGTGCTACGTATTAGTCCTCCTTGCGAACACGATTCTCAAGCGGCGCGCCCCGCTCTTCTGAACGAAAGGTCTGACTGCCGACGCTCGAGTGCTCATCAATAAGGCTCGTATGGAGTGCCAAAGCCATCGTTTGACAGTCGAGGATCCTGTGTCGGTCGAGTACATCACCCGCTATGTCGCCGGAGTGCAACAGGTACGACCTGATGAACTATTCAGTCGTCAGTCGCATTTCAATGGCCAAACTTCCCTCCCATACTGACTGCTCCTTCCCCGATTACCAGAAATACACACAAAGCGGCGGTGTCCGTCCCTTCGGAATCTCCACGCTCGTCATCGGCTTCGACTCTGACAAGACGCCCAAGCTGTATCAGACCGACCCCTCTGGAATCTACTCGGCGTGGAAAGCCGCGTCGATCGGCAGGAGTTCAAAGACTGTGCGTGAGTTCTTGGAGAAAAACTACAAGGAGAACATGGATCGGGATGAGACGGTTAAGCTGGCTATTCGCTCGCTACTTGAGGTGCGTTTGTGCATTCACGCAACTTCTCATCGTCGGATGGTATTTGATTGTTGGGTGTACGCGATAGATTGTGCAAACCGGAGCGAAGAACATTGAGGTTGCTTTGATGGGCGTCGATGGTATCCTAAGGGTATGTTCGCTGCAGAAAAGACCTGCCATTCACATAAAGCTCGTCATCTGACCAGTTTATCGTCTGTTTCAGACTCTGGAATCATCCGAAGTAGAGGAAGTGACGGCTCTCATCGAGAAGGAGAACGCAGCGGAGGTGAGTCTTGACGGCATCTCGCACTATTCCCCATTTACTTTCCATTGATCATGTCATTCCTCCCCGTTCAGGCCGAGAAGAAGAGCAAAAAGAAGCCCGAAGCAGCAGCAACGGGAGAGGCCAGCACTAGCACCTAAGACCGCACCCAGGGCTCTTCCCGCACTAGTTGTACATAAAGAATAGCGATGATGAAATGATGCAGAAGATAAATTACAAAAGGGATGTGCTGCTGTACATGTCTCGGCTCCGGGCCGTTTGTGTCTACGTGTATTCCACTACGTATTGTGGGGCGTTCTTTTCCCTCCATCTAGGTATTCTGACGCCTGCTCACGGCAATAAATGACCGGGCCCTATCTCAGAGCTTCAGTGTCAAGGACTCTCCATCCAGAGCCACTTTGATCAACGAGTCGAACTGCGAGTTCAGCTCCTCCTCAGTCACCGACACCTTTTTCGAGATCCTCTTGATCGTCTTTTTCCGCAGTTCAGCGATGGAAAGTTCCGATGTCTGCAATGAGGAAACGCTTAAGTGCCTGCCGGCCCTCCACCCGAAAAGGTAATCCACTGCGCCCGCTTCCTGCATACCTTCTTCAACACCTTCTTAATCGCCCCCGCAAAGTCAACAGCAGCATCAACTCCACTCCCCGCCTCGACAACAACCTCATCCACCTTCACTGCCACATCCACCTCCTTCTCAACAATCTTCGCCTTCTTGCTCTTCTTCTTCTCCTTCTTCTCCTTCTTCTCCTCCCCTTCCTCAGCCTCCCTCGGCCTCTTCTCCGTCTTTGTCACCTCTTCCGTGACAACTGTGGTCGTGATAGTGGTACCGGTGCTGGTAGCGGCTGCGGCCTCGGCGTTTTTGATCTGGTCGATGAGGGAGAGGGACGCGGGTGCTTTTGCGATGTTGGATTTGGAGTCGGGGGTGGGTGTTGGGGTGGATGCAGCTTTTGCTTGTTTGTTGTTGTTGTTTTGTTGCTTGTTTGCGCCCTGCGATTCTCGTGTAAGTGCTTGTTCCACCTTAAGATAGGTGAGGTTTAGGGCGCGACTGCGACTGTACCTTCTTAGGCCCTTTGTACAGCGCTCCCTGGTACTTCTCAGCTTCCGAGATGCAGCTCGTGTGCGCCTTGTACTGTTGAATGATGAAATCGTCATCAGCAATACTCGCGCATTGACTTGCCAAAATCCACCATACATACGTCAGTTCCCTGGAATGTAGTCGAGCAGTCTAAAACAAGACGCCAAAGGAGTCAATTACCGAATGCCCATCGACGCAAAATACAGCCGGCTTCCCCCGAAACACCAGCCCGTACCCCTCACCTATACAAGTGAACTGCGCATAGTGGCAGCGATAGGTGTGTTGGTCGAGCTTGGCCTTCTTCAGGGTTTCCTGGCACGAGTCGCTGTTTTCCGCAAATGACACGGTGGGGAAAGCTGGTTAGATAGGCGACGGAGGTGGAGGCAAAGGGTCGGTGTTTACGAACCAGACGAAAGAGACCATCCTGAGTGTTTAATTAAGAGCAGACGGAGATATCGAACGGTGAACAAATGTCGAAAACTACCAGTGGCATACGAGAAGGAAAGAGTAAAGCTCAGGATAACGAAGTTCCAATTTTAAACTTTCGCGTACAGACGTCCTCGTCACGTGTACTTGCGCTGAGGTCAAATTCCTCTGCTTTTCAGCTTTCCCCCAAGAGGTCCACCTCATCTGCAAGACGAAGGCGTGAAGGAGGAGTCCATAGCCGAGCACTTCGCTGCCATACGTTCCGGTTCCAAAAGCAGCGAGTGGTCGGTATATTCCTCGGTAAAGTCATGCGATAAAGTATCCGACGCAACACAATGCTGCAACCATCACCACCCTCTCAACAATCACCATCCCTGCCGCCCCCGGAGTCCTCATCACCAGCAGACTGCCTCGCCTGCCGCATCACGGGCACCGCAACCTGTATCGGCGTCGCGACCTACGTATTATACGAGCGCAGCCAGCTGACCTTCGACCCTGCGGCGTCGACCTCACGCAATGCACTCAGGAATTTCAAGTGGCATAGAGGGTTGTTGGGTGTTATGGGCGCCGGTGCGTGACGTTCGCGTTTTTGGAGTGTCTTGCTTCGGTGCTTTCAGGGATGCTCCAAGCGATGAATGGTTGGGTAGGCGCGACGGCATAGGAGGAACAACACTCACTTTCCTTGTAGGTTTCATCGGATTGGGTGTGTTTCGGGCTACGATGTGAGAGATAGCTTTTACCGCGATGTCCGGACGCTTCTCCGATCTTGTCGCTGGGACGAAATGGCTAGTGTGAAAATCTTCGCTACTGGTCCGTTGAGCCTCCTCATCAGCGGTATCAGCGGACCCGTACTGGCGTATACACACAAGAAAACGCTAGGCGTGCCTTTGCGCGCTAGGGCTGGTGATGAATGAAGCAGGATGGGGGTATCTATTTTCATAATCGAACAGCTGCATGTGCAGATTCTCCTATCCTTTCATCGTCCCATGTCATCATTCAATGGACGTACAACACCAACGCCTCTCATGCGAATCTACAACTCTAATACACACTGCCATTGTACCACGAATAAACGCGTCAATTGTCTATGTGCTGGAACTATACATGTATCCCCTGCTGCCCAGCCGCAAGGGTGGTCGCGCGGTTTCCCCGGATGGAAGGTGGCGGGCATTGGTGGTACGCGCTTGCTGAGACACGCCAGGCTGCACGTAGTCAGGCGCGAACATATTCGGATTCTGGATTGAGACTTGCGATGGAGGGCAAGCCGTATGCGCGCAGCGGTGGGCGTCACGGACGGAATGTGGGAGAGGATGGTTCGAGTATAATGTCGGAACGATGGACAATAACCCTTGGCTCGCGGCTGGTGGTGTGAGGATTTGGTGGCCGAGTTGGGATGAGGGGAGGGGTGGGATTTGGGCAGGCAGGTGGGCGAATGTTTTCCGTTGTGGTGTGGATCTCCTGTGGGGATGCTGCTGTTTTTGTTGTTGCCCTGGGCCGCTCCCTTCTGGCCGTTGCAGTACACCGCTTGTCACCGGAAAGGGGGGGAGGGCCTGTGTGACGACGGTGGTGTGATGAGCGTTAGGCGTGTAGTCCCAAGTGTGCTCACATGCCCCTCCGACCGGAGACGATCGTGTCTGCAGCATCGGCGGTGTCGCCGCGTTTGTCAGCATTCTCAGGTACGCCTGATGTCCCATCGTCTGCGGCGTGAGCGGCACATTATTCGGCGTCATGCTGCCGGGCGTTCCGAAAGCGGAAGACATTGTGCCAGTATGTGTGCTGCTATGGTATCGGTGAGGTGTACGGTGAATGTGATGTCTCGAGTATTGTGGAACTCCCTTCCACGCCGTCAGCAAAGATACGTCAGGCGTGGTCCCAGGTCCGAGTTGTGTATGTGCGGGCAACGACCAGCGCGTAGGTGTTTCGGGCTCCGCCCTTTGCTGAAATTGAGGATACGCCGATGACGGAACGATGCCCGGCATCTCGTCAGCGTCGTCAGGAAGCAAGGGCCGGACGTAATCTCCTTGAGGGTCGTGGCACAGTGGATCAGAAGACAGGAGCGGATCATAACTGTTTGATGGGGCTGTCGGCTTGTATTGCCTTGCAGGAGGCGGATGAGTTACAGTAGCTGGTCCGAAGCGGGGTTGTTGCGGTGGCAGCGTTGGGGGCGGTTGAAGCGACCCAGCGCGGTTCGGCAGGGCGTCTTCGTCTGGGATATCATCTGATGACATAAGGTCCCTGGCGACTTCGTTGATCATAGCAAGCAGCTCCGCTTGAAATGTTTTTGGGTATATGAAGTTTGCCGGTGGATCTGACATCATCGACATGTCGGAGAAGGATGATACTGATAGATGAGGGTTTCGCTGTTGGAGCGGCGGGGGATAATGTCCTACTTGTTCTGCAGGACACGGTTCAGGTTCCATCGTGTTCGGGATAACTTGGCCAGGAGACGTATCCATTCCCACACTCATGGCCGTGAGGGGATCTTCCGAGGTCATCACGTCTGCCGATGCTCGCACCTTCATGTCTGCGGACGAAAAGAGTGGTGAAGACTCCGTTGGTTGTGAGCCGGGCGATGGTGGTACAGCGGACAATTCGTACATATTCTCCGCTATTGACGTAGCTTCCGATGCTTGCTCTGGTGAGCCCTCGGAAATGTTGACCGGAAGCGTGCGTGTTTGTTGAAGGTCGGTTGGCTCGCCTGAGTCTTCGTCACTGGACGAAGGGTCGTCCGCAGATTTCAGAGGCTCCTGGACAGTATCAGATGAACGGGTGGAATCCGGAGGTGATGCAGCTTTGGACGGCTCTTTCGCCTCTCCCTCGAAACAGTTCGAGCCCGATCCATGCGATTCCGCAGCCTCGCTCTGCGGGGAACTTCGCCACCTCGTCAGTTGCGGTGCGTTCTCCACATCATGATCTCTGGGTCTCATGCGAGGCGATGATGGTGGGGTCTCGAATGTGTCCTCGTCCGTGGCTTCAGCAACATCCATAGCTGAACCGGCCACGGAATCTTCCTGCGCCTCCCCCTCGGCAAAGGAGATTGGACTCGGCTGAGCTGACTCCGGTTGGTCCTTCTCTGTCGGCGTGGAGCATGCTGGTGGCAGTGCTTCCGCGAGGTTTCCATCAGTCGACTGAGAGCTTGGCTGAGACTCTCGCAAATCCTGCGCATCATCGTCAATGGGCGATGTGGACAGTTTCCCAATCTTTTCTGTGGCAGAGACCGCATCTTCGAAGGATGAGCTTGGTTGATGCTGTGCTCTGGATTCGTCGTCGCACAAAGGCGCAGCAGCTCGCGGTCCAACGGAATCCTCTTGAATCATCGCATTTGCCGACGCTAGCTCGGAATCTAATGGAGGATCTTGCGGTACATACCCGACTGTCGTCGCTACGTCGGTTGGTGATCCCGGTTCTGAGCAAGGACTCTCAGTGGCCTTCGCGGAACATGATCGTAATGGCGATTCGTTCTGCGCCTCATCTGTAACCGTTGGAGGTAACTGCGAAGCATCCATAACCTCATTCGAACACATCGCGTTTGATAGTTGATCGATTGTGTCCTCAACTTCATCGTTCGCTTGAGAAGGCGAAGATGGCAGCGGAGTGACATCAGCCTCTTCTGATGCGGAAGAGGTTTCGTGTGGTGGTGACGAGGTGAGAAGTTGTGCCGCCTCTTCCTCGATTGGTGGCGACGGTGTGAGAGAATGGGCGTATTCGTCCTCGACAGTAGAGATAGACGTAGTGGGCGACACTATTTGCAAGGTTTTACCTTCAAACTCGGTTACTGAAGGTAACTGACAGGGGCCATCGAATTTCGTCTCTTCAGTCGAAGCAGGCGATGACTGTCCCCCAATCGACTCTGAGACGCCATTAGCCTCGCCCAACTGAGGGGCGGTTTCGAGCTCCGTCACCTTGGTCGGAGCAGGCGATGACTGTTTCGTTTGCGGATTCTCAGCTGGTTGAGACGGGGCGTCGAGCTCCTCTGCTTCGACCGAACCAGGCGAAGGCCGTTCAACCGACTTCGAGACCTGATCCATCTCAGTGGATGCGGCCAGCAAAAGCCCAGTCGTTCCCCGTGCAGTCTGGTGGGCAGCCGCAGAGTTCTGAGCTAGCTTGGATGAAGTCTCGGCAAGCTCTCCGAACGAGCCAATGTCTACCATCTCGCTGTGCTCAGCGACCCTGCTGTCCGCTGCACGGTGAGCTGGTGCAGCTATTGCCCCCGACCCCGAGGGCGAGTTCATGACGGGTGCCGATGAAGCCACCTGAGAAAACTTCTTCCCTGCAGCCATGCGTGGCTTGTCCGTGGACCGGGGCGACACTTGCATAGGAGGCAAAAACGAGCTCAAAATCGGCGGTGGCCTCGCATCAGCCACCGAGCTTTGCTGCGACGCGGTAACAACCTTCGGTGGCATCTTAAGGCGAATCCTCCGCACGGGCATCGAGGAGGAGAACATGCTGTCGTCCCTGCGACGCTTTTGAGGGGTTACGGATGGGAGGGAAGACATGGCGGATAATCGGGACGGGCTTGTGGTGTTCATGTCGTAAGAGAGATGGATCTTGTGCGGTGGGAGGAAGGGGGATTTGATGGAGTTTAGTGTTGCGGGTTCGGTTAGGATGTTGAGGGGTTCTGTGCCGACGATGTCAATCTCGGTCTGCAAAAAGCCATAGTGTTAACAACAGGGGTGAGGAAAAAAAGGAACAAAAAAGAGCTGCCATTTAACCTCATTATCCTCAGGTTGTGGCTCGGGTTCAGGTCTGGATATTGACGGAGCAGGCGTAGGTGGCGGTGGCGGTGGCGAGCTGGTATCGATGACCTTCGGCTTTTGGCTTTCGCGCTCAACGAAGGGATTGGCCTCATCATGCATCACCTGTCCTTTCTTCTCGCAATACGCTTCTGTCCTCGAAGCAGCGGGTTCCTTCGTTTCGATCGGGACTGTGGTTGAAGCTACCGCATCGAGTCGCTTCTGCTCCTGATAGGCTTCAATCCTCGCTAACGTGCTCGGATTCGTTTCGCCTTCCTCGTTCAGGGGAGCGAGCCCATCGTCCAGCTTTCTGACCTTCGCAGGCGGTTCGGAAGTATCTTGCTCTTCTTGCAAGCCTGCCTTACGAGGACGCTTCAATCTCTCCAGTACGTGGTCGAGGTCCTGGAAGTTCGCTTGTGACAGCCAGAGTCTGTGAACGGATGAATTCACATGCTGCAAATGATGGAAAGAATTGGAGGTGGGCCTTGAAGATGAAGGAACGGAACGGGACATACCTCTTGGAAGACGTCATATTTCACATTGCAATTCTCACAGAGCCCTGGGCGAGTGTAGAAAATCTTTCCAGCAGGAGGAGCCGTGACTACATCAACGCGTTCGACACTCTTCGCTTTCGTTGTCGATTTTTCGCGGCGTTTGGTGGTTGGCACAGCAAGCTGCCGGTTTCCCAGGTCCTTGATGCTCCGCGTCTCAAGCACCTCCCTTGGGGGCAACGCCGCGGACATCGTCACCAGTCCGGAAGCCGCCGAGATACCTTGAAAGGCCCGACGAGGGGTTACAGGAGGTAGTGGCGGCTGTTCTTTCGACACAGCAGGTGCTGGAGCGACCACATCCGCCAGCGGTACCCGCTCTTCCATGTGTTTATCGTCTCCGCTGCCAGCATCATCCGAAACAGTTTCCGAGGTGGGGCGGCGATGAAAAGCACACATGCCCTGGCGATCGCGAAGATCAATGTATGGCCACCGGGCCGCGGCTGGATTCTTTGTATCCTTGTACTCGCGTATCAGTATAGGTCTATACGCCTCATTGAAATCCTCGAGAAGTACATATCGTTCGCGAAAGACGTGAAATGGGATGGCCTCTTGTTCCACGTCCCGGGCTGTTGAGACTCCATAGATGCGTTCCTCTCGAAGATGATCCTGCAGCTTTCGCTCTGGTTCTTGTTCATTCAACTGCTGAAGAAGATCCACTAGTCGTTGGAGATCCCAAACTTTGGGTGATCTGCTCGGAGCTGGAGTGACAGCCCCGTTTGATGCTTTTGGCGTGGCGGATTCGCGACGAGGCGTCTTGGTTGGTATTCCTATGGGACTTGCCTGGGGCGTGGTCCCTTTCAGGCGCGAAGCGAGCGGTTTGGTTGCTGAACTTAGATTGCTCGCAGATGCTTTCGATGCGGACGCGTCGGTGCGCGTAAGGGTCATCCCGGCAGCTTTCGGTAAGGTAAGCACAATGATGTGAGTGACCTTCTTATTCCTGAAGACCTCGACATGCTGGACAGACAGACAATGAGTAAATCAAGCACATCAATCTGCTCAATATTATTCTAATACACACCGATCCTAGTTCCTTCAACTGTTTTTTGGCCTGCACAATAGTCGGACTCTCGAGACAATCGAAGAAGAATCGGTAGGTTTTGAGCATCTGTCTTGCAGACACAACCAATGCATCTCTCTCTGGTTTCGTACGACGCTGTCCACTCTGCCCAGGCGTCTTTGTGGATAACTTTTTGATTGTCGGAGTTCGTGGTGTAGCGAAAACGGCCGGGTTGGGCCGTTCCGCCCTCGGCCCTCCATCCCCATGCATTTGCTTCCCATCTCTGTCAGCGATCGTCTGCATCGGGGTGGTAGGGTGTGTAGGTTTCGCCGGTGTGAAATGAAAGTCTTTTAGGGACAATTTGGGTGTGGAGATACTCCGTGGGAAAGTCGTCTTCGCCTTGCTAGCTGCAGACGGTCCTTCCAGCGAAGGGTAAGGGCGAGTCGGGGTATCATTTTCCTGAGTATGCTGGCGTCTGCGCGCAAAGAGAACGTCCACTGAAGACTGTGAAGAGCAGCTGCGTCTAGATGGTAAGCTCGCAAAGTGGTTTGGGCGAGCGAAGAGAGGAGTTTGTTGACGGTCACGGTTGACGCTCGAGTCCTGCAAAGCGTTCCGCGCTGAAGGCCCTGGCGTCGTGAATTCGGTCTTACGCCGTTTGGCAGCCTCTATGCCGCTCGACTTGGCCACTGGAGTCGAGTCGGCCTGATCGTCGGCCATGTCGAAAGTTGGCGAGCTCAGCGTTATGCGTGGGAACTTCCTCGAAACATCTACGAATCGCTCCGTATACTTGTTTTCCGGAGTTTCTGACGATGTTGTCGCGGTCTCCCTTGCGCACCTAGACGGCTGACTGAGTAAACGGAGTGACTTGCTGACGTTCGCAGACAGAACTCTATTCTGATGGGACGACAGGAATTGGGCTGCGAATGCAAAGCCTTCTTGGAGTCTGCCTTCCCAGTTGGCAGTTTTCGGACAAGGAGAAAGCGCGCGACGCGTGAGAGCCTTCCCCCGCCGCTCATCGGACATCATCGTCATGCGCCTGCTAAAAAAGGCAGAAGTGCCACATTGAAACGCTGCCGACATTGCAACTGCGGGACACTGCGGACAGGGATGCGCATCCTTTGCGGCTTGCTACTGGTAGTGCTGCTTCTTTTGCTCGCAGTGCTAGGCTTGGTGAGCGACTCTTTGATGTTTGGAATACCATGCCTACCCTGTTATTAAAACTTTCGTATTGACCCCCACTCCCCGTCTGAATGCAAACAGTTTCCTTCCTCGACAACCAGCGCATACATTCCGAAAGCCATCCGCGACGACAAAGTCCTACACTACTTCGGCTTCCTACTCCTAACGATAGTCGTCTACTTTACACTTGACCTGTCAACTGTATCGCGCACAGCTAGATATACAGCGGTCCTACTATTCGCTGCCTCCCTGGCCAGCGAAGCACTTCAGAGCCTTGTCGGTATTCTTTGGCACACGGGCAGAGTGTGGGACTCTCAGGATGTCACGGTAATGGACCACTAACGGATTATCGTTTCCGTTTGCCGTCTGACCGATCTCCTTCTACGCAGGCAAATCTGTTAGGCTCTTCAACAGGACTATGCATTTCAGTGGCGGCAGATATGGGATTGCGTCGTATATTGCGACGGAATCGACGCGTTCGGCGGATGCAAGCATTAGGCGACGAGCACGAGACAGCGTTATTAGATGGTGATCTCGATCTCGAGGGCAGCGAAGACGGAGGTGTTATACCACTGGGACGTATGGTGTGAAACCCCCCGATGATGTCAACAGACATGACGTCGCCTGGATAAGCAGCATCACTCTTCACTCGATCCAAAACCGCCACATCTCCAAGTACTCATTCCTCCGATATTCAAACCATTGGGGAATCGCGTCAACGTCGATTTCCTCATATCTCACCACATCCGACAGCCCGCGTTCTTCTCGATCGGCGTTCATAGCATCCAGCGTCGCAAGCAAATAGTCTCGCGCAGGGGCAGCCACGTTTTGGTCACGCAATGAGAAGACTACTCGTTTCTCGAGGGCGAGGAGTAGTTGTTTACTTTTCGGATGCTTGCTTTCGGCGGTGGGGCATGGATGGAGGAGGGCGGGCAGTCGCTGAAGAAAGGCGAATGTGACGGCGTCGTCGTAGATGAGGTCGGCGGCAAGGATAATGGTGCAGTTTTGTTGGAAGTCCGATATTTCCGAGGGACGCCACCTGAAGTCGACAAAGCTGCCACCATTGGATTGTTGCGGAACCTCCTGCGATGTGATCGCCTCGACGTTGCTGCCAAGCTTCGGACACTCCTCGTCCCGGAGATCCAGTCGTCGCACTCTGAGCACGCTATCCACATGATTCTTCACCATATTCCTCTGACACAACCTCAACACCCCGACGTCATCACCCCTGTCTTCCGCGGCCAGATCATCACACACATCCGTTGCATAAACGGTCCTGCACAGCTTTCCGCATAATGCCGCTAGAAGCCCGGCACCGCACCCCAGTTCCAACACTGTCGTTTGCGATGTGAAGAGTATCTCATCATCAGCGGCTTCAGCGTCACTCCCTACGCCGCCTTTCCTCTTGGCGCTCTCGACGGGTTTGATATGTTTGTACCTAGATAGCACATAATCGGCTAGCACCAACGCCCCCATCCACACCTGCAGCCCCACTGCCCGCAGTGGCGTTGCCATCTCATGTTCAATGCAAATATACGCCGGATCACCGGTTTGTAGAAAAGGAGGGATATCTCCATGATAGCCCCGTGGCACGTTGATTCGAAACTTTGTAAGGCGAAGGCTTTCCCCGTGTGTGCGCGCAGGGCCGTTGGACGGGTCGATGTGTACTTCGGAGAGAAAGAGGTCTTCGTCGTCGGGAGGTATTGAGCTCCCCTCGTCTTCGTGGGTTTTGCGGGAGGGTTCTGAGGGTTGCGCGTCGCTGTCACTGGAAAGGTCGTCGTGGTTCGATGGTATTGCAAGTTCAGACTCATATTCGCTGTCTGCGAGTCGTCGTCGCTTCGAGCGGTGTGGTAATGGCTCTTCCGTGTGGGTAGACATCGAATCTGGCAGAAAAAAGTAGCAGAGGTTACTGTACGTTCCGGAGGCGACACGAACGAGCAAACGAACGCAGGACGAGCCCGTCGGACACTTGTCATCAGTCACAACACTGGCCCAAAAAACATGGCAGCAGTGGCAGCTTCACAAGCTTGCCAACAGTCACCATGCTAGAAGGGATCGCACGGATACCACCATCGCCGCCATGTAAGAGACGGAACGTCGGCTATATGTTCAGCAACGAGGCGCGCGAAGCAGCCGACAAACTGCCCGTGAATCAGATGAGGGTATGCATATTTGCCATGCAAACCGTTGGCCTTCACTCTGACAATCCTTATGCGCCGCTATTTCCCTCTTATAGTCGACCTTTGTACACTCGCTAGTAATGGCTTATGGGCTTCCGAAGGCTATGAAGTAGGTGGCACGAGCTCTTGTATCATGGAAGTCCCGATACTTACAGTTCCAAAAAGAATAATACGCCCGCACCAGGCGACGAGGGAAGAGCTTTGTACAGCCCATAGTGAAGAATTAGTTGGTGAGCTTCTGGCTAGCAGTGAGGTTGGACGAGTGCACCCTTGACAGAATTGCCCCCGTCAAATAGATTTTCTTCTGTCTGTCGAGGCAACGGACACTGAAGACGAGGCAACTCGAAGCCTGCGCGAGGACTTTGGACTTGAATAGTACGCGGCTTTGAATTAGTCTAAGGCGATCTTGATATCGGGTGTCTGACCCTCATCAGTGATTGCCCGGTCTTTCCTGGGCTATCTTCGTATGTGCAGTTGGTGGCGGGAGGGACGTTAGCAGCAGCTCGGGCTATCGTGGAGGGTCAAGTGGATATCGCCATACACTGGGATGGTGGGAGGTGCGTTTCCGTGATGTTCGGAGTAGACAGCACCAAGGGAGAAGGACTTAGATTTGACTTTTGCTTGACGAAGGCACCATGCAATCAGGTGAGATACCCAGAACCATCGAATAGGTCGACCCAACTCTCTGATTACACAGCCATCAGAACACGAGCATCAGGCTTCTGCTATGTAAACGACATCGTCCTCAGCATACTTGAACTCCAAAAAAAATATCGCCGCATCCTCTATCTCGACATCGACATCCACCACGGCGACGGCGTCGAAGCCGCATTCCTCTTCAGCCCACGAGTATTCACATGCTCGTTCCACAAGTACGATCAGGGCTTCTACCCAGGCACAGGGTCCCCAATGGTGCGCGGATCGGGAAAGGGGCTGCATCATACTTTGAATGTCCCGTTGAAATCGGGATTGCGAGGTCCGCTGTTTTTGCAGGTATTCCAGCGGATAGTGGATGGGATTATGGACGCGTACACCCCGGACTGTATTGTGTTGCAATGTGGAGCTGACGGCGCGCATTTGAACTTGAACGCGGCGGAGGAAGCGGGACATGGACAGCGGAATGATCGTGGGATGGGGTGGAATTTGGATCCGGGGACTTTTGGGGATGCCGTGGCCTACCTACGCGATCTCCCTTCCCGCGATGGAACGTCCTCAAGCCCACAACCGGCCATACCGCTCTTGATCCTCGGAGGCGGTGGGTACGTCAACACCATCACCGCGCGGTGTTGGGCCAAAGCGACTGCGGCTGCCATTGGCGACGTGAATCTGGTGAATGATGTGATTCCTGAGCATGCTTTGTGGCCGGAGTATGGACGTGATCCGGAGCTTGGGTGTCGTTTGGATGAGAATGAGGTTGATGGGTCCATTGGAGGGGTTTTGGAAGGTGCGCTGGCAAGCTTGGAGAGGCTGCGGGAGGCGAAATCGGGATTGCGGCGTTAGATGAACCCTCGTTTGAATCCCGGGCTTCCGAGCTTCGCCAGAGGTCTGTCTCATGTACATCCATTGGAGAGAGTTTCATCTAGTCCACTTCTCACCCGCCGCTCAGGCTCCCAATGACTCAATATAGTATAAAACTGCGCGCGGGATATGCGTCGCCCCAAGACAACCCCGACCATCGAAAACGGTAGAATCTCCGGATTTACCCCGGTCTTCGGAGGAGCGAAGGAGCATGGAAAGTTTTGCGCACCGCACGGAGGGGTCTCAGAGGGGAGGCCGAAGAGCGGGAGGGATAGGTTGGAAGACTAGAGGAAGGGCGGGGCAGTTATACGCCGGCCGGTTGCACTCCATCCCATTTCCCCCAATGCACCCTAGGAGCTCGACGAGACTGACTCGTTGTCGGTGACATGCTGGCGTACGGCAGGGCTTTGAAGGCACCAGGCGAACGAGCGAGGAGAAAAGTAGAAGACGGTCGGACAGAGAGGGACGCGGGCGGAGCATCTATGATACATCTATTTCTCGTCGCTTGCAAGGCATTTCCGAAGAGCGGGTCCGACATCAACAACGTCCGAAGACGCTTTTGGGATCTGGCAGTAGATTGAAATTCAATAGACGTAGACATTTGCAGAGTCGGCCTGTGAAGGTCGGAAGACCTCAACCACCTAACCTCGTTAGTCCGAACTTCGAAGCGATCTCTGACGGGCGAATGACAGCACGAGACGCGAAAACGAGAGCTCGGTAACTTCAACTTCGGTCCGAAAAACTCCTCTGACAGTGCATGCAGCGCACATCTCCTATCCCGCACCCATCTTGCACATGCACTCAACCAGGCAGGTATAGGTGAGCTTTCTGCATACACTTCTCATCTGGAGCTTAGTTGTTTCTTTGAGTCTGCTTCAGGGGAACGTCTATTTGTGATATCGATATGCGTTGGACAGCTCGCAATGTTCCCAGTCTGCTTGCTCGTGAATCATCGTGCAGTAAGAGTGGGAACTGGTGTTCTATAGATGTACATAGTAATGATGTTTCTTTGGAATACAATGATTAGCACCATATCTCTTCGCGCAATATCGTCTTTGAGCAACGTTATGGGCAACGTATTTTCTGGTCTTGCTGCATCTGGACTCTCATTGCCATGGCTGGTCCACAATGCGACGTCCCGATCGCCATGTAGCGTCGGAACGTCGCAAGTTGAGTTCTGCGAATCTCTGGCAGTGTATGATGCGCGAAGTAGGCCTTTGCTCGTTCTTATAAGTGTTTTGGAGTCGCTGGGAACTACTGTCTATGAACATGTCAGCTGGTGAGAAAAATCCCTTTCGCAACCTCTCAACTACATCGAGGGACAGCGCTTGACGTGTGCTAACTGCATATCCTCATAGCTTTCGATGATAAAAGAGTTCTCCTAGGGACTAACCTCTCAACTACATAGACCCGAGGGACAGCACTTGGCGTCTGAAGCACTTGTACTGATTGCATATCCTCATAGCTTTTGATGATGAAGGGGAGTTCGCACCACCGGAAAGGCCCTCGAGCATCCACGTTGATTGGGAGCAGGACCCTCCTCCAACGGATGTCACCACGGAGTATGGGTCTCCCCTCATTCCTGCGTTTCCTCTAAGCGATGGATACATCGTTGACGGGATCGAGAATTCCAGCGTAATACGTGATATGATCCAATAAATTACGTGACGACGGGGGAGCATGCGGCTCGCCTTCCTACTCAAGAATGATGCAGTATCAGCCCGCTCACTTCCGTGGCTTTCCTCTCTTCGATTTGACCCCCTTCTTCCCATCCTTCTCTTTCCGCTTCATATGCGGGTTGGCCTTTGTCCTCACTTTCGACACCCCGCTCTTCTTCAGCGCCGATCGTGGTTTCGCAGCAGCAGACTTCGCTTTTGGCGCATTCTTCTTCACGGTCACCTCCTTTTCCCCTCCTTCACCACCGTCCTCTTCCATCTCATCATCGTCATCTGTTTCGTGCCTCTCCTCCTCTTCGTCAGCGTCCTCTGGGTTCCAATCAGATATCGTTACGGTTGTTATCCGTGTCTCGCTGGGTATCGTTGCTACATCCACTGTCCGCTCCTTGTGTGCGTTGCTGTCTAGCGCCTGTTCTTGGGTCACTGCTTCGATCCGCTCCAAGTCGTCGACAATAAGGTGTCGTTTGTTCTGCAACGGAGGAAAGACGGTCAGGTCACTGGCATAGATGGTTAGTTACACAGATATTGATGGGTGACATACGTTTTCTTTGCGAAGCTCCCTCCTCTCTTCTTTCACACGAGCCTCGTGACGCTCAATGGCTGCTTTCTTCTTTTCGAGTTTGCGTTTATGGAAGCCGGTCAGGTAGTCTCTATTCTTAGCAAAATTTCCTTTCCTCAGTCCGGTGCTCCACACCTAATCCCGCCATATGTATGCACGACGCCTACCTCCGTGCGGAGTCGTCATAAACGACCTCAGCGATAGCCGGCGCTGGCCTTCCGTTCTTCCTGCCGGTCGTTTTTGCTACTGGTTTTTTACCCATTTTCGGTTCTCAGAAGGCCGGCGGCAAAGAAATGAAGCTTGGTGTCGATACTTTCTCCAGTTCCTGGTCTCACTGACACGACGAGCGGTGTACTGAAGGGATATTGGCGGTGTCTGCTGTCTTCAAATCCTGGAAGTCGATGCCAGTAATTTGCATGTCTTCGCAAGGAACGAACTGCTTGTGCGAAAAACGAGAATTTGAGCGACTGAAGAACACGCGCACGCGTAATGTCATTTGGGAGTCGTCTCAGTCGTGGCTTGGCTTGTCCCCCGCTTTTCCAGCCCTCATTCGTCCCATTCGTCCCACAGTTCGCCCAGGGAGTTCGTCCCATATCATCAAGCAAACTGAATATTCCGCTGGCAAATCAGGATGCCGCCCGTTCTGTGCTGTCCATATGTTCCATTATCTGTAACGCCCGTCCTTGAAGGGCACACGCTCGGCGGGCTTCGTGATGCTAGGCCTTGGGTAGGTGTGTTGTACGCTATGAACTGGCATAAGCACTGAACTTACTATGTGGGATGCCATCCCCTAGCGCATGAATCTAGTGGCTTATAGCCCGCGCAAGCATCGCATATATGTCGCCGTAGATCGCGAGATTCTCAGATATCGAATACCCCACCTCGCTGACAAGGCGAGCGAGACCCAACCGACAGGCAAACTGACCAACAAAACGGGCTCGGTGAGCGTTCATGATTGTGCTTAATGGGTGTGTGCGGCGCTGTCATTCCATATTTCATGCATACGCCCCACGCAAACCATGCATGTCATGAAGTCCGGCCGACTCTAAACTGGAGTCACCGTCGTCTCCCGTGATCTAGGAAGTTCATGCGATCATCAACGCAATACGGATAGGTGAAATCGGTCAAGACGAAGTACTGGTCGCAGCCGATGACGATGGCTACATCTACGTGTGGTTCACGGAGTATCCAGACCGTCCTGCGATCATCTTCCAGTATGGGTCCTACTCAGATGCCACGTTCTTTCCGCCATCCACTGATGTGATGCTGTTTTGTCTAAGGCACAAAGAATCTGCATGGGGTCTCGCCATACATGGCCCGTCCTATCTACTGGCCGCATCATCGAACTCACACACAATTATGGTCTGGAACCTGAGGGCAAGCACTAGTCAAAAAGATCGTTTAGAAGATGATCCGCTGGGAGGAGTCATGGAACGAGAGCTAGTGGGACATGAACACAATATTCCATCTATCGACTTCAGTAGCTGTGGCAAATTCTTGATATCCTGCTCCATTGGTGTGTACTGCGATGTGGCATGTTTGTGACTGACTCTCTGTACTGATGTGGCACCGCAGACTGTACGGTGAGAATCTGGAACGTGCATACCGGGCACACCATCTGCTCTCGTTTCTTCAACAACCAGTGGTAAGCCAACCATGTCTCTCTCACGACTTTCAATCAAGTTGCTCAAGTCCACGCATCACAGGTCATGGACTGCACGATTCATTTCCCCGGACTCGTTCAAACGTATACCCTCGCAAACACCGGACTGGTGCAACCCCTTCAAACGAAAACGAACCGAAATCGAGGTTGCGGTCTACAACCGGCTCGGAATAAACAGGTCGCAACCTGTGCCGATACAGTGTGCGAGTTCTGACGATATGCCACCGGTCGACGCAACAGATGATGGATTTGATACCGACGTGGATGAGGTGGAGATCTTTCATGGTGATCTTGATGGTGTTCTCGAGGAGGAGGAGTGGGGAGGGGCTGGCGAAGAGGGGGAACAAGGCTCTCCGAATACCGAGGAGGAGCCTGTCACGCAAACAACGGAGGCTCTGAACTCCGACGGTGCTGGTGAAGAGGGACAACAAGGATTGCCGACTAGCAGCGAGGATCCTGGCACGCATTCAATGGAAATGCCCAACACCACGGTGAGCGAGAGGCAGCAACATGACGAGATACTCATGGAGTTACTAGTCGCTCGGGATGTTACCGAGGGCGGAACATCTTCCGACGTTCTCCATGAACTGGATGACCTTTTCGACGAAGAGGTAGATTTTGACCACGGGCATGAAATCCGGTCGATGGGCTCTGCATACGAGGCTGCTGACAGTTTGGAGAACACGGAAGCGATGGATGAGGGGGTGCGCGAAGGAGAAGAAGCCGAGGAGCAAGATGATTTCCAAAGCGCTCAAGAAGGAAGCGACGAAGACCATTTCGAAAGCGCTCCTGAAGAGAGCGAGGCAGACGAAGACGAAGATTACATGAACTACGTGGACATGGATCACAACGTAGATGACGAGGACGACGACGACGATTACCATGGTTCAGATCCCTACCAACTAGACGACTGGCCAAACCCAAACCTCGCCCCCGCCTCCCCATCCTTCACCGATGATGCCGCCGACATGGTCGTCGCGCACCTCAACAGCTCCCTCCAATGGGACGAGTACGACTCCACCGACCCCCCCGACGACTACAACCACGACTTCGACTCGGACTCCCCCATCGACGCTGGCAACACCATCTACCTCCCTGAGACCGCCATCACCCTCCCCTTCCCCGACTCCGATTCCGACATCGAAACCCTCTTCCCCGACCCGCCCTTGATATACCGCCCCGTGCGGTGGTGGCGCCAACGTCGCAATGAGCCACCGCCCCCGCCGGTGCCGATCGTGACGACGCTGGATCGCACGGGCTTCCCGACGGATTTTGTGCTTTTCACGACGGTGGAGAATATGTATTTGTTGGATTCGAGGACGTTGAGGACGTGTCATGAGCAAAAGAGGCTTGTGAGTCGGTATGAGATTTGTGAGAATCATCCGACGTTGAATGCTATTGATCGTATGTGTGGTTGTGATATTTCTCTGACGTGATTGAGGCTCTGCAGAAGTCCTTTGCCCTGACCTTTTTCTCTTCGCTCACCGTATAGGGCTCTCTTTGGTGGAGTTCATCGACGATCTGGGCGTAGCCGTTGTTGCCAGCCAAAAGGGAAGCGCGGCCGTCGTCAGATTTATCAGGTGTGTGGCTTACCGGTATATCTCCATCCATCTCACATCGCTTATATGCCCTCCCTCCTCCCACCCTACTTTTAAAAAGATCAAACGCAAACAACGCCACCAGATACCTCCTGGTACGTCCCGCACCTCCACCAACATCCATGGAAAGTCATATATTGACCCTCTCTCTCATTATAGGTTGTAGAAGACATCCTCCCACAATGCATCCCACCCTTACGCCCACTTCTCGGCATGTTCGTCGTCAAGCATACCGAGCCGGGGTTACCGGCGCGGCATCATGTCAATATGCGTGAGTAATTGTTTTTTGTGTTGACTTTTGTCGATTGTTTGTGTGCTGATGCTTATTTTGGCAGTGTATATGGATGGCACACTCTGTGCGTACGAGATTAGGTCGTCGGTTGTTGCGAATCCCCTTGGGTTGGAGGGGTTGCGGTTGTGAGTTTTGGAATTCGTGGGAGGAGCCATTGGAGGGAATATGGGGCTTCAAGTTTTGAGAGTTTTGAAAGTTTTGGGGTAGTAAGTGATTTTGTATACCCTGAGCAATTAGGTCGCGCGCGAATGTAAGTCACATGTAGGGTTGGCCATTAGTAAAATGTGAGGTGGGGCTGGCATCGGACATGCATGTCAAGCGGATCTGCGATGGCAAAAGCATGTCAGAATGCTCTGTGGTAGCTGCCTCGAGGGGCCAATCATTCAGGACAACGGATGTTTCGTGCAGGAGACGCAGAAAGATCTTCTTCGTGCTTTCGAGTTCACCCACTACGAGAGCGCACCCGCCTAGCGAGCTAATCAATCACACCCATCCGAACCACAATAAGCTTGGGCGAAACCGATCACGAGCATATTCATCAATCGTCCAGATGCTTTGGATTTCGATTCTTTGATCGAGGGTCCAATGCCGTAGCATTAGGGCAGTACGCAATTGCCCTTCATATGTCATCAACGCGTGTTTGCAATATGTGTTTTTCCACAACCTCACAACCCCACAACCGTAATTACATCCAGCCATCTCAGTCCTCATCCATATCGTCTTGCAACGAGGCCTGGAGAATATAAAGCATAGTAAGTAAGGGAAAGATTCGCCCTCAATGATAAGATCAAAAAAAGCCCCACACGAACCTTCGCCGCCCGCTCAGCCTCCTCCAGCAATTCCTTCGGTACAAGCTCGTGTCGCAGAGTGGAGTCTTGTATCCAGCTGATTTCGAGCTCAAAGTCTTTGTCTTTGGCGTCGTCGTGGACGGTGTGGATACTATGAGCGCAAAAAAGAACCATGGGGTCGGAATGTGCTCTCGGTGTTCAAGGCTCTCGGTCGCTTTTCGCAACTTACATTCTAGCAGCCTCCAAGACAACCTCGCGGCATGTCAACTCTGTCAACTTCAGCTTTTCTATCTCCGTCTTTGCCACCTGTCTTCCCTTCCCAATGGCACATCCGTAAAATCCCTGTGATGAATGCATCCCATCAGTGCCGGCAACTCAAACATCAAAGTTGAGAGCGAAGTACATACGTAGTATATTCCCGAAGGCTCAATCATATACATCTGGGGTCCGCTCCTGTCAACAGTCGCGAGAATCGTGCTGACTCCGAACGGCCTGACGCTGGAGTACAGGGTGTATGCTTGCACATATTGGCCGAGACGGTCCGCGATCATCTGGAATACGCCATGTGAGCTTCATGGCGGCTGTGTCGTAAGGGAGGGCACCGAGTCGTCTCACCTTTCCGGGGATGGGCGTGCGATAGATGTCTCGGTAGTTCTGCGCCTCTTCCCGCACGCGGTTGACAAGATGCCTTGCGTCCGCCAAAAGTCCTGCGGTCGCCTATATCAAAACAAAACAAACCCATTCAGCTCCTTTTCTGGTCTCAACAATATCCCTTGATTCTCCCACTCGCCCACTCACAATTCCGATATGCATATCCGCCGTAGCAATCCGCCTATTCGACCCCGGAATCAGCAGCTTCGACTGCACAAGCTTCTCCACCGCCAGCACGACGCCATCCTTGCAGCGTAGGCCAATGCACGTGCTAGATGGTCGAGATCAAACCGAAGTTTGAGTTCACATAGCGAATGGGTGCAATGACGTTCGTGTCACTCCACTCACCCGCTGTTCTCGACGGCCTTCACGGCATACTCGACCTGGAAGATACGGCCGTCGGGAGAGTATGTTGAGGCTGATAAATCGTACTATGAAAGGAGAGGACGATGGGTGGTGAGACTGTGATCTTCAAAGTTGTTTGCTCCAAGAGCGGGTGACGGAAATGGGAAGCTGCTGGGCATACATACTCCGGTACCAATTGAGGTCATTGTGGCAGTCACTAGGGAAAGCTCTGCGGTGGATAAGGATGCAGGATGTCTGGCGGGTTGTGCTTGGGAAACGTGGGAATCCGGACTGGTGATGAGGGGGTTGCCGAGTCCAAACGGGGTCTTCCCGCTGTGGCTCTTGTGGCTCCCTCACTGTGAGAAACGCGTCTACTGCCTCAAGTCAGTCGCACAATAACGGGTGCTGTCACTCATACGCGTCTCCTTTCTTCCCCAGCCCCCTTGTCCCGTGGAAATACCAAACAGGATTGCTTATTTCCATAAACCTTGGTGGTTTCCAAGTTTGTGTTTTGGAAAGAAGACACTTGATATCCGTGTGCGCAACCGCAAGGATAACGTGATACGTACAATGATGGTATCGCACACCTCTCGTATAATCTCCCTGAGCTCCACGGAGCTGGAAACGAACTGACTTTTCGACCCGATGTCCATCAAGAAAAGAATCGAGCGAGAAACTCCCTCGGTTTCCGTAGGGCCCGCCTATTTTTGTCAATTGTGCGATGGACAACCGTCGTGAAGTGGTATTAAGTTCATATTTCCGTCTCGGGCGGTGGTGCTCAAAGGATAGCTTTAGCAGAGAACAACGCCGTCCGGGTTGAGGGAGACGATATGCACCCCGCGAACATCGGCATCGCTGCCCGCCAATGCGTCACGTAGCTTATGCGGGATGTAGATAAAATACACGCACAGAAATGCGACGCACAGCCATTGTTTCCAGCTGTTCTTGGTGGCTTTTATGAGGAGGTCGGAGTCGTTTGGGTATGTTCGGCTGGCGGCCTGTTGTGTCTCCCCGAGGAGAGGAGTGTCTTCTGTTTGGAGGTGCTGGTCGCCGTCGTCGACTTGGACTGCTGCCGAAGCGTCGGCTGGTTGCACGGTGGTAGCCATGTTGCTGACTGGTTTGTCGCTGGCTGGCTTTACGGGAGGACGTGAAACGAAAGTTGAGAAGGATATTTGCTTCTGTAAAACATATACTGCTTTAGAAACGTGAGAACGTGGCATTATGGGCAGTTGGGAAATGCTCTCCGGACCGAAGGGCGAGAGAAACGAGGAGGAGAAAGGCAAAGGCAAGGGGCCTATGTCAGCAAACAGGATAAAACACAACGTTACTAACAGGCTCCTCCTCAAACTGTTTGATCACTTGAGCTCGCAATCTTGCCGGCATCATCGCCATCCCTCTCATCTCCATATACGCGATTCAACCCCCTCTTGCTTTCGCTAATATGTCCTCTCGGCTGCAGCAACCCGACTCCCGCACGGAGGAACAAAAAATGCTCGCCGGCGACCTCTACCTCGCCAGCGACCCAGCCCTCCTCGCCAAGCGCAACACCGCCCTCCGTCTCTGCAAGAAGTTCAACGATTCCGACCCCGAAGATGCAGCCGGGTTGAAGGCGATACTTGATCAGCTGTGTGGAGGGATTGGGAAGGATGTAGTGATTTTGCCACCTGTGCGGATGGACTATGTGGGTGAGGGTGCCGCGGAATAGTAATGGGGCAAGGAATTCGTGGATGGGGTTGGATTGATCTGCGTCGTGTTGCTTGTTGTAGGGATGCAATACGTATATAGGCGAACGGGTCTTTATGGTGAGCTGCTGAGCGTTTCTGGCTTCAAACTACCAACTCCTGGTTTTCGCCAGCGATGGACACCAACGTCTGATACCCAACTTCTTTGCGCAGAACTTTGGTGCGGTGATTCTTGATACCTGCCGCGTAACGATTGGGAACGACGTGTAAGGACACTTGCTGTGGTTTACAATGTGGCCTAGCGACGCGATGGTCCCTAGTCGAACGCTCCCACTCACGACGCGGACGATGGCATTTGCTGATGGACGTGACACTGAACTTGCAGGCTGTTTGGGCCAAATGTGTCGCTGCTATCTGCGACGCATCCCGTTGGTAAGTAGGACAACATGCATCCTTTAATCCCAGCTGCAACCCGCTAATATTTGAAGTATTCTTACAGACCCCGCCGTACGCCGCAACTGGGGTCCCGAGCTCGGCAAACCCATCACGGTAAGATTCCCAACATCCCCACTCACTCGAAATCATACTCACCCACCTCCCCCAGATCGGCAACGACGTCTGGTTCGGCGGCAATGTGATCGTATGCCCGGGTGTCACGATCGGCAACGGCGTCACGGTGGGCGCTGGCAGTGTCGTAACGAAGGATGTGGAGGCGTATACTGTGGTTGCGGGTAATCCGGCGAGGGTTATCAAGAGGTTGCCGAGGCCTGATGGGGAGTGAGGTGAGGATGAATTGGGGAGTGGATGCAGATTAGCTGCTTGCGACGCATGGTTGGACTCTTCAAAACCTGTGTAGCGGGGTAGAGTTTCGGCGTAGATGCCACTGGACGTTTTGGACTGCGAGATTTGGGCGTATGATGGGAACGTCGAGGCAATTGTTGGACAATGAAATCATATGGACCTCGAATGAGTAGTATCGATGGCATTTTCCAAACCGATCCGGTACGCCGTCCATCTCAGCAAACATGCACAGGCGCCTTAGCAGCCACCCTCTCTCCCCCACCCAAATCAATCACCAGCGTCCTATAAAACACCTCTAACATCTGCTGAAAGCACAACCCGGTCAACACCGCATCATACCGGCCCTTCGACGATGTGTCCCTAATATACGCATGCTGGGCATGATGAAACTCGCACCACGTCACGACCACGTTCGCGTCCTCCAAGGTAGCGCGGATGAGGTCCCGCCCTGCCCGCGGGATGTGCGTGTCTTGCTTGCCGAGGAGGATGAGGAGTTCGGCGTGGGAGAGGGCGCCGGAACGGACGAGGGTGAGCGAGTCTTTGGTGACGGTATCGCCGGCGGGGATGGTGCCCAGGGTGCTGCTGTGGATGTCGGTGGGGAAGAAACAGACGGCGGCGGTTACACGCTTGTCGAAGGCCGTCTGTGGAGTGGTCTGAGTTTGAGATGCTGCACGTACGAACTCCCATCTTTCCTTGCGGTACATACCCTAAAAGCCAAATGCCCCCCCAAACACATCCCCGTCGTCCCAATCCTCCCCGTACACCGCTCTAACCCCCCTAGCCAATCCACCACCACCCTCGCATCCTCATCATACGCCCTCAACTCCTTCTTCACCTTCAACTCATTTCCCCTATCTGTCCCCTTCACATCATACGCCAGCGGCTCAGGCCCTTCAAACTCGTGGTAGACGCTCGGGCACGCGACGATGTACCCGTGGGCGGCGATCTGGGAGGCGAAGCGGGCGACGGGGCCAGTGACTTGGTAGATCTCGGACCAGACTATGACGGCGGGAAAGCGCGCGGTGGGGTGGGAGGGGAGGGAGGGCTCGGTGATGAAGACGCGGATGGGGGTTGTGGAGGTGGGCAGGTCGATTGGGTAGGTCTCTTTCAGGAGCATGGTGGGCGATGTTCTGCGTTTGTGAAACAATTGGGAACGTGAGGAATCATGTGGGGAATGGGGCTAATTGGGGGCTACTGGAGTGGAGGTAAGTTCACACGGAAAAGCAGACTCTTGAACTTCGCGAACAAACGTCTCCAACAACCGCTATCGACTGATCAAGCTCATCGTCGCCGCCGTTGCCAGACGTCATCCACCCGCTTTGCACACACCAGAGCTTCCGTGAGCATTGGCCGCATTGCTGGAGCTCCGGAGAACCCGAAGAGGCGTTCAGCACTGGATGGATTTGTTACATGGAGCAGACGTCTGAGCGCTCAAGGGCTGGTTTTCAACTCGATGGTCAAGACAGGGCATTCTTACGATGTACAAATTATATATTGAAAGAATGTACTGTATATTACAGGATCGCAAGGCTTTGACAATATTATAGCAGATAGGAGTTTTCGACGAGTACAAGTTAGTGCTAACCCCTCTGGATTCCCTCTCGAAAGAGGTTTGTGGGCTTGGGACCACCGTAGGCTCATTAGTTAGCCGATTGACAATAGTACAATCGCCTAACGTATTTGAAGAACGGCGAAAAGCAAATGCACGTACCTCTATCGTTTTCTCATAGCGGCCGCAATCCTCCACACAATCCTCCACATAGTTCGATGGTAAAACCAGCATTCCACCCCAACCGGCCATCACGACCAAGGGACGATGCGACGGGATGTCCAACCCGCTGCGAAGGGTCTAGATTTCTCTTAACCAGCGACCACATCGCCCCTGCTCTTGTTCCTTCCAGAGCACCGAAGCCCGACCCAACGTGGTCAACTCCAAGGGTACTAATGGATAGCCGGAAGTGGTGAAAGCTGGTTGAAGAAAAGTTGAGAGGGCATGCGGATGAGGGTGCTCTTTTATATTCCTGCGCTGCTTGCTTGCCGCGCGCGTTCGCTTACGCTCGTTTGCCCCTGGGCCCAGCCCTGGGCCCGCGAAGGGACGCAAACTCAGAGACACCGCTGAGACACCGACAGGGGAACAAGGGTACAGCCAAGGGTACAGTATTACACGTCCGGGAAGGCCCGCTGCCACCACTATCGAGAAGCACAGGGCCCTTTTTAGCGAGTACTGTACTGTTACTCCGTCCTGTAGTCCCCTGTGGCTGCTTCGTCGTTTGTCCCCACATATCCTCGCAACCATGGCCTTCAACGAACACATAACCCACGTCACCGCCCTCAAAAAGTACAAAAACCATTCCTCAGCCCTCCACATCCTCCACCGCATCGCCTCCCTCGTCAAACCTCTCATGCGCGCCCACAACTTCCACGTCAAAACCCTGCGCGAATTCTTCCCCACCCAACCCAACCTCCTCGGGCTCAACGTCAACCGCGGCCTCGAAATCCGAATCCGATTGCGACCGGCGCGCGACCCGGACTCGTTCTACGATATGGTTTTCGTGCTGGGGACCATGTTGCATGAGCTGACGCATATCGTGCGCGGGCCGCATGACGCGAAGTTTTATCAGTTTCTGGATGGGTTGAATAAGGAGTATGATGAGTTGGTGGCGAAGGGGTGGAAGGGGGATGGGTTCTTTGCGCCGGGGAAGCGGGTTGGGCAGGGTGTTGGACATGACTTGCCACCGCATTTGGCGAGACAGAAGGCTATGGAGGCTGCTGAGAAGCGGAGGAAGATTAACGAGGTCATGATCCCCGCTGGCGGCCGGCGACTTGGGGGCTCCGAGGGCGTGCCGCTGAAAGAGCTAGGGCTGTCGCCAGCCCAGGCGGCGGCGATGGCGGCGGAACGGAGGGCGAAGGATGCGATATGGTGTGGGAACGCGCAGCATGGATCGGAGAAGGAGGGCGATGCGGGTGGGAAGGCGGATGAAGGGGATTATGTTGAGGAGGATGTCGGGGATGGGAGCGCGGTGAATGCGACAACCCCGGCTGCGAATGAGCCTATCTGGGTGTTGGATGACGATGAAGATGTACCGCCTCGTTTGGAAACCTCGAGCTCACGGGATACGAAAGAGGCAGCCGGTACCTACAAACCTCCGCCGAAAAGCGTATGGACGGAACCAATATGGATCGACGACGAGAATGACGATACAGGACCACAAATCAAAGGAGAATCGTCAGCCAACACGTCGACCGATAAGGACCGGAAACGGCCGCGGAACTCTTCCATCGCTTCTGGCCAGCATCATACCCGCACAGCATCCGCAGACACCCAGTGGCCATGTCCGCTCTGCACCCTTCTCAATCGGCCAATGGTCCTGCAATGCGAGGCATGCGCGACTAACCGGCCGGAAACACCGCCGCCTAAACGCTCCAAAGGGATGGAAAGGGAAGTATCGCGAACGGAAGTGGAGGGATGGGCTTGTTCACGATGCACGTTTATTAACTCCGAGATGTTTCGGATGTGTTCTGCTTGTGAATATCTGCGGCAGGCGTGATCACAGCCCTTATCGGATGGGCATTTGGCCCGTATATATACCCCTGGCTTTGCCTACCATAATTTTTTTTTTGGGTTATCCTTTCTGTACCCGTACACGTATCAGGCAGTACAGTACCTTCTCGATAGCATAAACTTCCCTAGTGTCGTGGCTGGTGTCTATGAACAATAAATGCACAATCGCAAAACCAGGATGATCTCTATTTCAGATGAAGGATTCAGAATTCGACTCCAAGCACACATGCACAAAACTACGTATGTAAACGATGTACACACATCCTACGCCACGGTAACCCCCTTAACTGCAAAAGGGGAGAGACCATACGCTGCGTTGTCACCCCATTACCGTCCTCCACGGCCAAGCCGATACCAGCCTACTCAATCTTGTTGTCGATATAATCCTTAATGAACGCGTACAGCCGCTGATTCGAGCGAACATCGATGAAGTTCTCGCGAATCTTCTTTCGCATCTTGATGATGTTTTCTGCAATCTCGGCTTCTGAGGAGTCCTTTGTGGCGATGAGGTAGGCGCACATTATGAATTCGATTGGCTGGGGGAGGTGACACAGTAAGTGTTGCGGACACCATAAACTGACAGACAGCTAAGTACTCACCGCCATCTTAGTAGGCGTTGTCCACACATCGGGATACTTCTTGATAAAGTTTGTGAAAATGTCCAACACGCTCTTGAGCAAGATCTGGTCCTTCTCCTCCACATCCTCCCTCTTGCTCAGCTTTGTTTCCAGTTCTTTGGCGGAGCAGATTTTCCGGGGCTTTTCCACGACCGTGAGGTAGACTTGGAGGAGAATTTGAAAGGATACTTTGCGTTTCGAGTCCACCATTGAGCAGAGGTCTTTGAAGGTCTGGGAAGAGACAGCACGATGCGGAAAGAATCAGAAATGTGATTAGGATACTGGAGAAGTGAAGGGTGCTGGAGCGATACGCACGTCCATGAGCTCTCGTACAAAGTCAGCCAGCGGGCCCGGGTTCGCAAACAACTTCTCGGCTGTGCTCAGAGCCATGCCTAACGATGTAATTGAGGTTGTGAGATACACCATTGAACCCCGAGTCCTTCAAAAGCGATAACGCAAGAGTTTACCGAGTTGTACTCTGCGGAAGATCTCCTGCTCCTGTTCCTCGCTCAGTTGGCGGTACTCCACGCACGTCAGTATTTTACTTTTGAACTCCTTCCGTTCCAGCTCGGTCATGACCCGGTTTTTTGCTCCGACCCTCGTCCGATGCGAGAACCAGATTCTCATTCCGTCGGCCGAGTCGATCTGCGGTATCCTGTTGTGCATGAAGCTGGAGGTGGTATTCAGCTTCTACGGTGGAGGAGCTGTAACCTTCGGGGGTAAACAGGCACATACTTGTGTATGGAGGTCAAACGCTGCTTCCCATCGATGGCCATCCTGATGTCATGTTCTGCGAGGGGATTCTCCCTGGAAGGCATCTTAGCATCAAGCACTCAGCTGCTCCACAGCCTTATGTCCCTGCACTCACCGTATTGAGAAGATCGCGGGGGGAACATAGTAGTTCTTTACGAGTGCTGCAACATCACATCAATGGCTTTATTAGGATGCGTCAGAGGTCCGCAGACAGTGTGCGGCCCACTTACAATCTATCAGATGCCCTTGCTTCCCGTCTGATTACGGCAAGGGTTCAGTGTCGCCTTCCTCAGCGATTCATTCAATCAAACAAAGCCCTATACCGTTCCAAACAACTTCTCTCTGCAGAAGCGGGAACCCGTCGGTCAGAGGTTAGAGGTTGGAATGTGACCTCACGGTATGCAGACTGCCACGAACCTGATAAGGCGCTTCTAAATCGATAATGCCAGCTTCCATAAAATCTGTGGACGAAACACCCGGTCAGCTGTCCAACTGAGCGCTCAAGTGTGACATTCTGCAAGGCATTGGGTGGCACCGACTGAATAGTTTCTCGAACTCGATATTGTAAGTGACTGGAGCTCTGAGGGCCGCGAGGTTTCTAGCGGCGCGCTGAGTCCGTTCATAGTCGTAGTCGTCGTCGTCGTCGTTAGCGAGGAAGTCCTGGTCGTCCATGGGGTGCGAAAGAAGTCTGTTTTTTGCACTTTCAATGACCGAGCAGAAAGCAGGGAAAGAAGCGAGTTGGAAAAGCAAGCGAGATTCCGGGGAGACGCGCCTGTAAGCACAAGACATCCATTTCACTCAGCATTTCTCTCAGAATTCTTCCCCCGGACTGACAGACGGAGCACCTGCAATAACAGGCCTCCAAACGAACCAGGGTCGGGGTTAGTACAGTAGGTGCACTCCAAGGTCGTTCTCTTACTGGAGAACTTATCCGCGTGAGCTCCCACCATCGGCGTCGGCGGGCCGGCTCTTTACCAGGTGTCTCTTTTGTCCGAAACCCCCTCTCTTCCCATCATCCTTAGCACATTGGGAATGTCAACCGCTGAACTAGTAAGCCCAAAGAAGTCGACCGGTTCATCTCAAGGAAAGCCTCGTTCTCCGTCGTTCAAAAACAAGAACTGCTTCTCGGCTAGGTTGGCGGCCGCAAAAGCCTTGTCTTTGCAGCAAATGACGAAGGACGCGGCTCGGGTGCAGATTCGGAAATTCTTCAAGCAGGACGTGCCATTACTGTTTTGCGATGCAGTGGGCCTGGAGAATGGGGAGAGTGCCTACGATACCAACGCAGTTGCTGAGTTGCTCCTTCAGTATGGAATTCGCAAACAGTGCTCTTCAGGTTCAGCAACACTGGAGAGCGCAAGACTGAAGCGACGCGTTGCGAAGGTAGATTTGCCCGAAGAGCTGTACGGATGGGTCCACTATAGGCGACCGCTTGAGAAGGAAGAGTCGGAGGAAAGGGAAAGCAGCGGAAAGTCCAAGAAGCGACGGAAATCGAGTTCGTCTATGAAATTCAAGAAGAAGCTTTCCTTGGACCCCGGACGGAAGCGTCGAAAGACGTACCCTGTTGAAGAAGTGGTTTCGCCTTCGCCGCCTCCAGTGCCTCCGAAACCACCAGGGAAGTACGCACGCGAGGCCGAAGAGCGATGGACGAAACTTGCTGAGGTGCAGGAACTTTACGCGAAAAAAGCCTATCTTGCTGCTGGTTTCTACTCCAGCGCGTTCAAGAGGGGCGTTATCGCTGGAGTTGATGTAGAAAACGAGTCTCCTTCTCGGAATTCCGGGCGACACCGCAAGGTCTCTAAGCAAGCAAAACCCCCAGCGGCAAAAGGCAGCACATCACACCGTTCAGCATTCCCTCTACCTATGTACCACGGACTAAAGATGATGGATGAAGGAGACGACTTTGAACTTCCTTACGACATTCACAAATTCATCGAAGCCTCAGGCGGCGTCGAGGAGTGCCTCAACAAACATCGCGCTTCCCTACCTACACCTCCACCCGCAAAGCTCCCATCCCCGTTTGTCCGGATACCCCGGAATATCTTTGTCGAACGCAAACCCTACAAGCCAAAGGAATGGGAGATCCCCATCTGCCGTTGTGATGTTCCGGCCGACGGAGGGCCGGCCTGTACCGACAACTGCCTCAACTGGTGCACGATGATCGAATGCCACCCCAAATACTGTCCAGCGGGAGACAACTGCATGAACCAGCAATTCCGCAACCAAGATACCTCGGCTTTACCCTCTTATCTCGACCTGTTTTGGACCAACGGCCGTGGATACGGTCTCAAGGTGAAAACGAAAATCCCGCGGAACCAGATGGTCATTGAGTATCGAGGCGAGATCATCTCCGACGAGACGTGCATCGAACGGATGCAGACGATATATAAGGGATATGAGAACCATTATTTCCTGAATTACGGCAAAGGAGAGGTTATCGACGCTTGCCGGAAGGGCACGGAGGCTCGTTTTGTCAATCATAGCTGCGAGCCGAACTGTCGTATTGAGAAATGGTTCGTGCGAGTCCCCCCTTTCGTTGGCTGCATAGCTACTTTGGCTTCTTCAACACGTCTGACACGACCTTGTAGGGAGGTGGATGGCGAATGCCGTGTTGGCATATTCTCGAACCGCGAGATCGAGGAAGGGCAGGAGTTGACTTACGATTATCGATTTGAGTCTTATGGCCCTATGCAAAAATGTCTATGCGGGGCGAGCAAGTGTAGAGGTAATCCGGCTGCAGTTACTGATAGCATTGATGCGATACATGCTCGAGTGCTAATGATGTGGGGTTTCATTGCAGGATTCATTGGGGTCAACAAGAAGGAAGCGAAGGATGCTGCGAAGAAAGGTTGGTGTACAGGTTATGATTGTGGCAGCCTGCCGCCGGAGTCGTTTCTTGAGGGAATTCCGGAACATTCTTTTCATATACATGTCCCATTTGTTCATAGCTGCAGAGGAGGCGAATCAAACGGGCACCCCAGACAAAGGGAAGAGCGGGAAGAAAAAACCCAAAGCCAAACGACTTCCGCTTCCGAGGATGGAGTCGGTCTCTTCAGCCGAAGGATCCGTAATGTGCGAGGACATCACCGACCCAGCATCAACAATTCTTACACCGAGGACTTCCCAGAAGAAAAAGCTCCCCGTAAAGAAACCCAACGCCGAACGCGATTTCTGGCTCCGCAAACACCGCCGCGAGCACCTGATCACCGCCTACCGCAATGTTATGATCAAGCATTACGCCCAGTACGCGCACCTCCGCATCTTCTCCCTACGCGCATTCCGGGTCTCGCTCAAATGGCATGTCAAGAAGAATCTCTCGAGCTGGAAGGAGATTGTTGCCGCGGCGAGAGGTGCCAGTGCGGTTGCGGAGGGGAAGACGCGGTCGGGACGCATTGTGGAGGTGGATGAGGATGGGGAAGGGAGCTCGATGCGGTCGTCACCCGCGGTTACTGCGGCGTCGTCGCCGAGTAGGTTCGGGGAACAGAGGATGAGCAGGAAGCAGATTGTGGCGCGTCGGACGCGGTCGTTGGATGAGATAATCCGGGATCTGAGGATTGTGGCAGGTGTGGAGGACGATACTGTCATTCCGCCGGCGGAGGATGTGAAGCTTGGGGCTGAGGTTGAGGAGACGGGCAGATCGTTACGGAGAACTGCAGATCGACAGTCGCGGTCGCGCTCTGGCAAGTTGGCGGCGCCAGCGAAGGGGCTTCAGTCTCCAGCAGCTTGCTCGCGTTCTTCGCTGATTAACAGTGGCAGCATGTCTGTAGAGCCTATCCTCCCGGCTGCCATCGAAGACGCATCCTCCGACATATGGAACGTCGTCCCCGCCGTCGCAAGCGTCGTGAAACGGACGTTCCGATCGCTCCGCTCATCTAGGGCTGCGTTCGCGGTTGCTGGCCTTCCGCGCGCGGATGCGGACAGCACGCTGCCGTCGCCTGCGGCGAAGGATGATTCGGATAGTGGTGTGACTGTTGATACGGAGATTGTTGAGGAGGTGGCGATGGAGGTGGATGATGTGGAGGGCGGTACTGCCAACAATGAGGGCGCTTTTTCAACCATTGGAGAGATGGTGGAAGATATGGTCGGGGATGTAAGCGTCACATCGACTCCCGGGAGTGCCCAAAGGGGCAGAGAAAATGCCGAAGTATCCACTTCACAGGCAACATCTGAAGATACCGTGAACCAACAATCCGTCACATCGACCCCGGCCACCAGTCCCAAGCGAGGCGGTAAAAAGCGGACAAGAGCGGAAATTGCACGTGCGGCTTCCCCGATTCGGACGCGCGGCTCTACGCGACGTAGTCTGGGTGTGGAGGAGCATGGTGCCAGCTCACGGAAAGCGCAGGATGATGACAGCTCGGGTGCTAAGCGAAGACGGACGGAGAGTGGTGTTTCGGTTCAGGAGATGGCGGTAGATAGACAGATCTCGTTGACAAGCTCGACAAATGGGGTTCCTGAAAATCTTCCTGCGGAAATCGTTGCCGCATCGCCTGCTCCAAAGCAACGAAAAGCTGGGCTCAACGGTCTGCACGAGGGGAGTCATGGCAAATTGGATGTGAAGAGGAGACGCACGCGGGCTGGTGCTGCCGCGGAAGCCGCCGCGGTAGAAGCAGAAGCTGGTGTCGCAGCAGCTGTGGAACCTGCCACCGCGGTGGCAGTGGAACTTGAAGCCGCGTCCCAGGCGGATGATGTGAGCATGGGCATATATGGAGACACAGCAAGCGATGGCAAACCGGCCTTCGAGCAGGTTTCAGTGGCGGAGGAAACCAGCGAGGAGATTGTTGTGGAAAAGAACGGGGCGCGGACAAGAAGGAGCGCGAGAAACAGCGTCAGTATGGCTGTCTCTGAGACGGAAGAAGTCGGGGTTGTCATTACTCTTGCACAAGTTTCTGAGTTACCGGATAACTCGGAAGTTACTGCAGGAGCACCCGCCCCATCAGACGTGCCTGAGCCTGCCGCGAATGGCACGACGGTACCTGAACTGGACAAAGCGGACGAAACAACACCATTGGAGCAGCTCACCGCAATGGTCGACACCGTGCTCACCCCGGCTGCCGCGACGCGTGAGAAGGAGACGAATGAAGCACCCTCATTGGACGCACTCCTTGCAAAGATTGACGCCGCGTTGGTCGAAAAGCACGCTGTGACGGAAGCGACTCTTGGAGAAACAGGGGATGCGGATGAGAAAGAGAATGGGGCGCCCACGGTGCGGTCGGTCCCTGCCATGCCTGCGATGCCGGGACAGGAAACGGTAGGGAGACGCACTAGTGGACGGGTTTCGTCGAGGAGGACGCGTGATTGATTGTGGAAGGATGGGAATATGGTGGGCTTGGGAGGAAAGGAGATGGGACGCCACGAGCGACTCTCCGTTTCTGCCTCTCTCTTTGGCCCTGATGCGTTCTTCTGATGGCGTATCTGATGTTTCTTTTGGGGGGCGTGTATTTAAGGGAGTCTAGCGGCGATTGGTGTACCAATGGGGGCGGGTGAGGACAGGGACTGGACGTGATGTGATGTGATATGTAGAGGCGGGGTGGGGCCGGGGGGGGGGGGGGGGTGGGGATATGGGGTATCTGTGTCTATTTGTATATGTACTGTATCTTCTGGAGTCGTTGATGAATACTTCATGGTTGCATAGCCTGGAATCCGTGCTCACGTCGCATCGCCTTGCTGCAAACGCCGGAACGAGGGGAACGCGTCCAACGACTTCTCACGACCTGAGGTCACAACCAGGTCACAACCGTTGAGCAGAAGCCCCGTAATCTTGAACATCAACAGTGGAGGCGAGAGTAGCTCGACCTGCACCTGCACGACAGAACCAACTCCGGAGCTCTAGAGCACTGCGTCACTTCAAGTGCAGAAGTCCCCTACCAAAATGGACGGCCAGGCGAATGCAACGCTGTTGCCCGACACGGCATCGCAAGCTTCCTTCTATGACCTAGCGCAAATCTTGAGAAGCATCTCCACGAAGAAGGGAACCGAGGCAAAGAGGCAGAAGATACGGCAGTACATCAACGAGTGGCGGCGGACAGGCGGCGACTTTTACCCAGCTCTAAGACTTATATTACCACACCTCGACAAAGAACGCAAAGGCTACCAAATGAAAGAGAAAGTGCTCGCAAAGACCTACGTTGACGTCCTAGGCCTCTCCATCAAATCCAACGACGCGCAGAGTTTGCTCAATTGGAAAAATCCGGGAAAGAGTGGGAAGATGACAGCGGGCGATTTCATCGGGGCTCTGTATAACCTCCTCAGAGCGCGGTCGAATGTGCGAGATAAGAGCAGTGTGACTATTGCGGATGTGAATGAACAGCTGGACTTGTTGACTGTAGCTATGGATCAAAGGGAACGACAGGAGGTGATACGATACTTTTTCAAGAACTGCACGCCGTTGGAACAGATGTGGATCGCGAGGGTTATCCTGAAAGACATGAAGCTGGGAATATCGGAGAACACGATCTTGAAAGAGTGGCACCCGGATGCGCTGGACCTATACAACATCTGCAACGAGTTGTCGAGGGTAACGTCTGAGTTGAGGGATCCCCGGGTACGGCAAGGACAGCAGGAAATCACCCTCTTCACACCCTTCACACCCATGCTCTGTCACAGCGTGCAGCGACTGGGCGAGGTGCCCAAACTGATGACCAATGAGCCGTTCTACATCGAGACCAAGCTGGATGGAGAGCGGATTCTGATGCATATGCAGCGGTTGCCTGCTGGGTCGAAGTTCAAGTGGTGGTCTAGACAGGCGAAGGATTATACCTCCTCGTATGGCGCGAACAAGGATGAGGGGTCCTTGGTGCCGTCTATTCACGATTTGATTGATCCTAAGGTTCAGAGCATGATTCTGGACGGGGAGATGCTGGCGTATGATCGAGAGACGGAGGTGTATGTGCCGTTTGGGTCGTTGAAAAGTGCTATCAAAGATGTTCTGGTGCTAGGTGTTAACGACGCCAAGCTTCGCATCTGTTACAACGTCTTTGACGTCCTCTACTACAACGGCAAAAGCCTCGCCACCACGCCCCTCCGCGAACGCCGCGCTCTTCTCCCAACGCTGTTCCGCGCCAAACCCACATATATGGAAATCAACCCTTTCACAGTGGGCGAAACAGTGCAGGATATCTTCCATGCCCTAGACGAGCGCATGGAACGCAACGAGGAAGGGCTGATCATCAAGAACCCCTCCGCGAGCTACCTGGTCGCCAAACGGATCAGCACCGACTGGGTGAAGGTGAAAGCCGACTACCTCGCCGGCTACGGGAACGACATCGACCTGCTGGTCGTGGGCGGGTTGTTCGGGCAAGGCCGCCGCGGAGGCAGGATTTCGCAGTTCATGTGTGCCGTATGGGAGGACGCACGACCCGACGGCGTCACCGCCCCTGCCGCCAGCAGCAGCCTCGCTTTCACGACAACAGGAGGCACCACCCCATCCCGCCGGTGCGTCAGCTTCTGCAAATTCGGCACAGGCTACAAGGACGACCAAATCGACCTCATCTCCCGCCGCAACGTCGACGGCCTATGGCAGAAATACGACCCGCGCAAACCGCCCGCGTGGTTCGTGCATCCCCGGAACAGTAAAGAGAAACCGGACTATATCATCACCTCGCCCGAGCAGGCTATCGTAGTGCAGATCAAAGCGTTCGAGATTGTCAAATCCGACACGTATGGCGCCGGGTGGACGTTACGGTTTCCCCGGTTTGCGGCGATGAGGGAGGATAAGACGCCGGATGAGGCGGCGACTTTCTCGATGATTTTGCAGAGGGTGCAGGGGGGTGGGATGCAGAAGCGGAGACGGCTGGAGGGGATTGAGGGGGAATTTGACGCGGAGGGCGAGGAAGGGGATGGGCCTGCGAATAAGAAACAGCGGCGAGGACGGGCGGCACTATCCTCCGCTATTAAGGTGGCGGCACAGCATATGGGCATTGACGTGTCGCGCATAACGAAGAGTGATGATTTGTTCACAGGGATGCAGTTCTGTGTGTTACCCGGGGCGGGGACGGAGGGGGAAGCGGAGGAATCGAGTAAAGACGGGCCGAAGAATCTGTGTGTCAATAAAGCGGCTATCGAGACGCTGATTGCGCAACATGGAGGGGATGTGGTACAGAACCCGACTGCTCAAACCAAGATGGTTATCGCAGACCAACACAGTAAGTGTCGCTCGTCCCCTAAGTCTGCCAAGCACTAACGATTGATGTGTGCATGTTCGATTTCACACAGCCCTCAAGGTGTCCAACCTCAAAAAAGCCGCCCAATACGACATCGTCAAATCCCGCTACATCGCCGCTTGCCTCTCCGCCCGCGAAATCATCACTCTCTGCCCCCGCTTCATGATCCACGCCACCCCTAAAACCCTCCACATGTTCAGAGAAAACGCCGACCAGTGGGGCGACAGCTACTTCGAGGACCTTAAAGTCTCGACCCTGAAGGAGCTGTTTAGCCATATGGAGGTGCCAGCGTGGGAGTCAGATCCAACTAAAAAGAAACGGGGGACGATGCGGAAACAACGAAAATTGGAGCCTGTAAATCGACCGTTTTTTGACAAGGATAGCGGCGAATCGACGGGGAGATCAGACGACGATGAAGCCGTAGACGATAACCGACCACCCTCCCCCGTATCCCGCCTCACCACGATCCAGGAAATCGAGGAACGGTACTTCACCGACGCACCGCATGAGGGAGGCCTGTTCAGACCGTGTCGGGTGTACCTTGACCGATACACCGACATTCGCGTCGTGGGGGCCCTCCTTGCCACTTCACCAGACACATCACCAACGCAAAGGGTAGACTGGTCCCTCCCCGACGGCACGCATGCCCACATTGTAGAATCCGAGGACGATAACCCGCAGGAGGACCGTGTGCTGGATTCGAGGCTGGACGTGCTGGCGCTTAAGATCAGGGCAAGAGGCGGGGTTATTTGTGGGGCTTTGGGGGAACATACCACGCATGTTGTTGTTGATGCCGAGGAGGTGAGGGAGGGGTTGATGGCGGCGGGGCAGGGTCGGGGGGAGGGGGAGGGAGGGGAGGATGCGTTCCTTGATGCTGTCGCTGGGATTCAACGGCGGAATGAAGCGGGGCAAAGTAAACAGCAGATACAGCAAAATTTGACGACCTCCGCGACAAAGGTGCTGCATGATCGGATCCGCACGATCAATGTCGTGTTGGGGAAGATGAAGGGGAGGTTTCATAGGCGTGTGCATGTGGTTGCAGATGAGTGGGTGGATGATGCGGTGGATTTGGGGAGACGGCCGGATGAGAGGGGGTATGTGCCTGTGTTTCCTGATAGGGGCGGGTGAGGAAGGAAAACATTTGGGGTAGATCTCGTGTGTATGTAGTCGTCATTCGTCACAGCGGCGGTAGATACCCCAGGAAGATCCTTTTCAGCTACATACATATGCTCAAATCTATTTCCTACAGTGTTATAATAGCACATTCTGGCAGTCACAATACGGTTGCGTAGATGCAATGAATTGGTGCATATATACAAATCGCAGTGTTGAAATCTAGCGGGTATTGTTCCATTGCGTGACTGCAAAGAAAGAAGAATGACGTATCAGCACGTCGATCAAGAAAATATACTTCCAGTCACGATGTCACTTACTGGCGCCGAGTATAGATGTGGTAGCTCCGATAAGACCAATGTATCCACTCTCAATGTTGAGGAGCCCAAGACCCGTCGCCGGGATGCAGATATCGAGTGCGTCCTGGAACGTCGCCAGGTTCTGCTTGACCTTGTCACTGTTTTCCACACAAGATATCAGACCATCATCGCGGTCCCAATCCAAGCAATAAACACAAAACCCACCGCCTCAAAGTCTCCAAAGTCTGCGTAGCCACCTCATCCGGCACGCCCTTGTTCTTGGCAGCCCGCACAATCTTCTCCTCATGCGCGTAACGCAGCTCCATCACGCGCGATTTGTGCAGGTTGCCCAGGATGGAGGCTGTCAGGGCTATCAGCCAGCACTTCATACCGCGGCGGGAGATTTCGGTGATGTTGGTGAATTTGACGACTCCGGCGCCGTGTGCCTATGAAACCCGCGAAGAATGAGTCGCGGTTAGATGGATGAATGAAAGGCCTGTTGATTGAAACGATGCCCTAGGTTGGACGGTTGGAAGGTTGGGGTGAAGCGAGGCGAAGCGAGGCGAAGCGAAGCGAAGCGAGGTTGGTTGGTTGGACGGATGGACCGTTGAACGATACCTTTCTCGCTCCGCTCGCGACGAGGAGGTTGGGCGCGATATCATAAAAACGAACGTTCGTTATCGCTCACAGCGGAAGACAGGGGCTCGCTTCGCTCGCCTAAAGAGAGAATTGTTCGCTATCGCTCACAGTTATTGCGCCTGCGGCGCGGAACTCGCTTCGCTCGTACTTCGCTAACGCTCGATATTACAGTGGACTCGCTCCGCTCGCGAGAGCTATCGCTCGCACACAACTCACCCACTGGCACGTATCATGGGCCAACCAAAGGGACAAGAACGTGTTCTTGACAATCGTGGTCAAACGCGTAACATCGTCCTTCAAGCCAGCAGCCTTCTGGATAGTCCTCAAGAACTCGACCTGTCGCCCGACGCGCATGAGCTTCCTCGTCTGTCCCAGAGCTCCCATGAGGTTGGTCAAACGGGCGAGGAGATCCTTGTCGTAGCCATTCCTCTGGCCGTGCCACACGAGGAAGCGGGAGAAGTACTGCACGAATCTGAAGGTCTCGCCGTTAGTCATTCGCCCCGTTATCCTGCTCTAGCTCTATATGGGTCGTTCGGTTGGTTCGCCCTACCTGTGGATTCTGTCGCGACCTATATGGAGAAGGTGGTTAGCATCATCGCCCTCTCGACTGAGATGCAATGCACGCATACTCTTACCGGTTGCGGTGGACAGGTATTTGACCAAGTGGTCGTGGGTCTGGGTAGATATGATGGCGGTCATTTTCGCTGTGCCTGCGAGTGTTTCTGTGGGGAATGCAAACTGGAAGTCGTCGAAGTTGAGCAAGGGGCCCGGCGGATGTTGCCGGGAGGGAGCGGGAACACCGTCATGAATCAGCGCGTGCGAAGTGGCGCAGCGCCCGCTCTCGTTAAGTATCAACCAGCATGTTCGTAACGGGTTCTAACAGAGCCGCGTGTCGCGTTCGCCCTTTCCGTCCCCCTTTTGTCTGCTTTGAAAGGCTCCAAGAAGCCCCTAGAGAAGCCCCCCGTACAAAGCTCCAGCATACATAAGTTCAAGGGTGGTTCAGCAAGGGCAACATGGGGAATCAAGAAGCGGTTCAAGCCTATCTGAACCAGATAGCAAGCGCCGCAGAGGTCGAAGACGGCACCACGTTGGCAGCACTTTTGAAAATCGGCGATGACCACGCCCGACAACTCAACGGCGCTTTGCAAGCAGCACATGTGAGTGAAATTCTTTATTCTCGCGTCCATCAACTTTCAACTAACGACGGAATGTTGTTATCTGCCGTGATCACAAAGGGCTCGGTGGTCGAAAACGCCGTCCGACGCAGGTTAAACGAGCAGTGGGCCGAGGTGGTGTGGGGTCACTTACGAGTCCTGAGAGCGTTGGAGGGCTCGGGGCGGTCTGCTTCTGCCTCTTCTCCTAAGCGGAGCACCAGCGTTGAAGACGAAGCTGGCATTGTGCGCGCTGCTGAGCTGCAAAACACGGTCGCCCAGTGAGTGTTGTTGTTGTTTTGAGCTCCCACGGGAGAAAGCTTTGGGTGGCTGACTTTCGCAGGGCTTTTCACCAGGTGTTTACCAATCAGACACGGTGGTGTCTTCCTGTGCTCTACGCTGTTGATGGGGATTTGCGAGCGTTGAGCATTGAGGTGCGCACAGGGTCGGAAGTGAGGACGATTGTGCGAGCGGAGGATTCCTGAATCTTTCTGGATTACGCATATAGGCGGATACGTACCTTCAACGTACGGGACAGAAAGCGGGGCGGCTGGAAGATGCGGCGAGATCGATGAATAAGGCCTTCTCGTATTGCGTGACCGATCGGTATGTTTCCCCACAACGGATTCCGTAAAGATCGCAAAAACGGGATCGGAAACGGGCCCGTTGCTCACTCTGGTGGAATGCATGCTACAGCTTCTCCCCAGCCGACAAATCGAGAAAATGGGGAACATATCACATCGTCAACCTCCTGTTCCGCATATACTTCAGGGTACGTCACTTACAGTCCCACCTTCTCCCCCACCACATCCCGACTAATGCACGATATCGTAGTTGCAACAAACGAACCTATGTCCAACGATCCTTAGGTCAATATCAGCAGGTGATCTACCAGGCCTCGAAAGATTCCCGATCGCGGATCAGTTGAGCTTTAAATACCATGTTGGCGTGCTGGCTTTCTACAACGAGAATTACAAGAAGGTACGGATCGACCGAGTCTCATATCATATTCACAGGAGGGTATGTTGATGCTTATCTTTCTTTGCAGGCGGACGAGGACCTCTCCTTCGCATTATGGCACTGCCACGCCCAGCTCAAAAAGAAAGGCGCATCATCCCGCCTGGTCAAAAACAGACTGTAAGCCCTGCCAACTATCGCAACCCTTCCCATACATACTCACCACCCTTACCCCACCAGCCTAATCCTAAATTACCTCGTCCCCGCCCGCTTCATCCTCGGCATCCTCCCCCATCCCACCCTGCTCACCAAATACCCCGCCCTAAACTACCTCTACGGCAATTTCGTAACGGCGATAAAACGCGGCGACATCAAACTGTTTGATCAGAGTTTGTATGATCTGCAGAGGGATTTGATTGATCGAGGGACGTATTTGACGGTGGAGAGGGCGAGGGCTTTGGCTGTGCGGAAGTTGTTTAAGAAAGTGTGAGTACCGGATGATAGGGGGGAGGTTAGGGGTCGGGGAATAACCGGTGAACTTTTGGTTTTTGGCAGATGGATCTTGAATGGATCCAGCTCCCGGATCCAAATGACCCAGTTCCAAAAAGCGCTGCATTTGGCCGGCGCAGAGGCCACGCTCGACGATGTGGGATGTATGCTTGCAAACATGATCGATAAGGTAAGTTCAACCAAAATGAGATTACGGCCACCTCTGCGGGCACTGTATAAACGGTTTTGTTTGTTTGAAGGGATATCTGAAGGGATATGTATCGTATGAGAAGCAGATGGTGGTTACGGCGAAGGAGGATCCGTTTCCTAGTATACAGCGTCTTGCTATCTCTTAGGAGATTTAGTCGTTGGATCCCCAGGCGTATTCTGTAGTCTATGAAGGTTAATAGTGATTGGTGCTCAGCACGACGTAGTTCTAGGCCTGAGGATATCGGCATGACAGTTGGACAATAACGGCCGCACACAATCTAAGACTGCGCCAGAGTCTGCTTAACTGTGCACCTTGCATCAATTGGCGGAACTGCCCTCAATCACTGCAATCAAATGATGGGTATCTGCCGAGGCATCCCGCCCAAACGGCCTCCTCGGCGGATATGCTCCAGCGAGACCACATGCAGCCATAAGTCTAACGTCTCTTTCAAAAGATACGATATGCTATATATATCATTGATCAAAAAATGAAGATGGAAATGTGGTGTACGCGAAATAAATACGACTAGAGCGAGTTGCATAAGGTCTATCTCAGAAAAGGCTAGATACCTTCAGACAGGGGCTCACATCTCCATATCAGCCACAGCCTCATCCGCCTTCGCACCCGCCGCATCCACAAACAGCCTCGTATTCCATTTCGGGAACACGCGCTTGTACAGATACATGCACACGGTATCCTGCCCCTTCAACGGGGCGTCAAAGATACACTTCATGTACCCGTGTGTTCCGAGGGTTTCGCGGATATGCCCAACGCGGCCCATCTTGGTGACGAGCTGGACGGGTTTGAAGTAGTTGATGTCTTCCGGGGACCAAAACATGTAGCGGATGACGGCGCCGCGTTTGTGCACTTTGAAGGGGTGGCCGGTAAGGATGATGCGTTTGGAGACGATGCGGCAGGGGTCGAGGTCGAGGATGGAGCCCTGAGCGAGCATTGGCGGGCAGTGTTCTACAATGCACGGAGTTAATGACTGGTGTACTAGACGATGCAATGAAGACATTGTGGAGTGCATCAAACTTGCTTACCCGCATCCCATCGATTTCCACCCTCCTGTGGCCTCCACATGAGAACAGGCGCAGGGCCAAACTGGATGGGCGCATACACCGTCGCCACGGACGTGCGGCCATGCTGCAAGAACCGCTCAAACTTATGCACGTTGTTGTTCCCACCACGGGTGTCGGTGGAGTAGATGGGTTGAACCATATACCGACGGAACCCTGATTGGATGATGACGGGGTCTTTTGACTTGACTGCGTCTTGGTCTTGGTCGTTGCGGGAGACGACAAAGTTGACCACGGAGAACTTTTGTTCGTGGGGGAGCAGCGTGAAGAGTGTGAAGGGGCGGGTGAGGTCCCGTTCTGTGAAGTGATGACAAAGTCAGCCGAAGGAACACCTGACTGCTGGTTTGTTCGGCTGTTACTTACGAGTCACGGCCCGAGGAACAGCCTGGATATGGAGCACCACATTTGTTCCTGGAGCAATACCCTCTTCGTCGATACTGTCAAACACACGTCTCCGCGTGCGCTTGAAGTTTTTGATTTGGAAAATCCGGGCATAGTCTACAGGCAAGTTCTCATATGGGTCCCATGGCGACGTCCTGAAACTCTTCAGCCCACGATACCGCTGGAACCGAATTCGAGCCGCAGGATCTTTTGGCGTGTCGATTTCGTCAGGGAACTCCTTCTCTTCTCGCTCCTGCTTCTGTTTATCGACGTATGCATCGTATTGCATCTTCTCTTCGTCCTCGTCGTACTCGTCATCGAAATCAGATGATTTCTTGTCATCTTCCTGAAGATCTTCGTACTCTTCTTCCTCCTCGACCTCGACATCTGCCCCAGCATTGTGCCCGAGGCCCATGCTGGCCCAATCAACGGTGGTTCCGGATACTCCCGACGCATCGGTCATTGTGACGTCCATGCTCCTGTGAGTTTCTGCATCTTCGTCGTCTTCCTCCTCGTCCTCGTCATCCATGATCCAAGCCGCCTGGTATGCAGACGTACCCTTGGGTACTCTCCGTGGCTTTCTCGCCGGCGCTTCACTTTCGACGATTCCTCCCATTTGCTCGACCCGGGCTGTGGAGGCGCTAAGATGAGCAAGCATTCCAGACCTCAGAGGCTAGTAAAAGATAGCTACCATCAGCTTCACGCAGCTCCTCCTCGGTAGGCCACGTCTGTTCGGCATCCAATGGATTTGGGGAGTTCTCAACGACCAGCGACTCCTGCGCAAAGGACGGAATGTTAGCTGTCGGTTTCCTCCGCCGTATTCGCCGGCCGTAGCGCACCTGTTGAGCGGGGTCCGGCTGGTCCAATATTGTAACGTCGAGCGCCATGTCGCTTGACTGAGCAGCGCTTTGAGCCGACGTGATCACTTTGATTTGGTAGTCACCGTGATTCGGGATGTGGACCAGCCTATTCGCCGAAAGATTATTACCGCGGACATATCCAGTGACTATCAGGGTTCCGGACTCCTCATCTCCTTCAATCGGGACAAACTCCACAGTATCCGGTACGATATAGGCGTGACGATCCCTCCACGCAATGGGTTTTGGTCGTTGCTGGGTGATGAATCGTAGGGTGGCTAGTCCTTCCGTCTCTGTGGCCGTGTTGAAGAGTTTCGAGTCTTCCGGGAAATGATCCTCCATATACAAGTTCAGCGACTTCTTGATGTCTATTTGCTGCTTCTCAGGGCATTTGTCCAAGTGCTGTGGGAGAAACGAAGGTCAATCACTGCGATCTATAAGTTCCCATTCATCAATTCAGAGTCCTCCCTCACCTGGACAACGCTGAGGATAGACGGGACGCCCTGAGCTTTGATAGCACTCAAGCATTGCTCCCCAAATGTATCCACTTCGACTTGAGCCGATACCACAAACACAACAAAATCGGCGATCTTCACACCGTCCAAGATATCCAACAAGTTCCTGTTTAGCGCTAGGAACTGTATCTTTTGCTTGTAGCGCTCAACATTCAGGGTAATTGGGCCAACAGTAGAGGGCATCGTTTCCCCTAGTGAGCTGTACAGGTCAGCGACGACTTGGCGAGGGTCGACGTCCGGGCATAGTGGAACTACAGCTACAATCTTTGGTGCGCCCCTCGCTCCAGAGAACAATCGGTTGAAGTTGACCAGGTCGTTGCGTTTCTTTTGCTGAATGAGTTTCGCCTGGTTCCTTCGGTCCGCCTTATGCGAAACAGCATTGTGTTTGTGCTTTACCGACTGAGTCACATCGACCTTTCCTACAGTGTGCACCCAGTTAGCAAACGGAGTCGTGAGGTGATGCCCATTACAAACACAACCAACCCTTCGTTTTGGCCTTGACTTGTCCTTTCGTCGAGTGCCGGGACTTGAAGCCCTTGTTTTGTTGCTTCAAACCGGACCGGTGGTGGTGGGAAGTTTTGTCTCCTCCCATGACTGGACTATAGCGGGGTAAGACCGTGCAAATATACAGGCTCAGTAACCTGCGGCCGAGAAAGTGCCAGCCACGAATGACGGTTTCAGATCCCACTGCCAGTCCTTCTCAATGTGAGAGTCCAAAAGTGCAAAACGCTGACCGAAAAAGCGACGACTGGGAATGCGATTTGGGAATCCTCTTACGCGGTTCTATTGCTGTCACGTGCACTGCAGCCCCATTTCAATTCAGCTGTGACGGCGAACAACCTCAACGGCGACGAGCAAACGTGCGCTATGATACCTTCAACAACGAAGTCCTAGGCGAATAGTAACAACCAGCATCATGTCTCTGCGCCAGTGCACTCGTACACTCGTCCGCTCCTCGCCGCTTGCACGGTCGTTTCCTTCAGTAAAGCAACAGCGCTCCTATTCCCGCACAACGCCATGCCACGCCGTGTCGAGCGAGAAGATGGAGTCGCTGTCGGGCGATAAGACCGCCGACAAGGACGCTGAACTCATTATCCCCAACCCGAAAGGTGGAAATATCATCTTCGAGGCTGATGCTGCTTCTGGTGAGTACTTGTTATTCGACAAAGGGCTTGCAGGATCAGTTTGGGATGGCTTTTGGAATTCTTTGCGCAAGCACTTGAGCGTTGCGAAACTAGGAAGACGATGCTTCAATGAGCGGCAGGTCGGCGCGTGGAACAGGAAACGTGGCTGGACAGATTGCATATAGACGTCTGCTTAACCCTCCGTTTCAACATCCATAGGTGTGCCCGACTACGTCACCCGCCGCCCCATCCGAATTTACCAACGGTCCCGCTCCGCCACACAGCAAGGCAGCAGCAAAGCCGAAAAGTGGGTGATCTCCTTCGACGTACAGGAGCGTTGGGAGAACCCTTTGATGGGTTGGGCGTCTTCCCACGACCCTGTACAAGGTGTGACGATGGAGTTCCCCGATAGGGAGCAGGCTATCAGGTTTGCGCTTCGCCAAGGGTGGGAATACACGGTCGATGAGCCAGCAAAGGCGAAATTCAGGATTAAGACTTATGCGGATAACTTCAAGGTGGGTGGGAGGTGTATGCGACATGGCGGATTCTGGGCCCGTCTGCTGACGACATTTGATCTGTGCTTCTAGTATGTTCCTGGAAAACTCCGCTTTATCAAAACGAAGTAGAAAGAAGCGCGACGCATCGATTTGTGAACCGTCGCTGATAATCACGAAACCCAAAGCCGAGTCTGATGTGGTTGTGGCTTGAAAAAGGGGGGCGGGTGCTAGCGGAAGGCCACAACCGAGGGTTTCCGATGTGGGTCACCTCGGACCCTGCTGATAGTCAGGAGTCCGGGGCAGCGCTCCATCAGAGAGGCCGAAAATACCCAGGTTGCATCTATCACTGCGATGATTGACTTTTTCTGCCTATGAGGGTATTTTGTCAATAGATAAAACATTTCGCACATTGAAGGAATGTTTCCGGAAATCACGCTGGTTGCAGGTTACGTCCATGCTCGTTGGTACGCCGATGCAGCGATCGGCTTCTAGTTCTCAAACACTACCGTCGATGTATGAATATATGGAGTGGCTCTATATGCAGCAACTCTACAATACAACCCCCTCCCCTATAACTTCCCCCACAGCTGCCCTCAACTCCTCCACCCCATCTACACTCCCCAGTAAACCGACGATAAGCTCATACGCCCTCACTCTACTCTGCTGATCAGCGCTCGCCGAAACCGCAGCTGCGTTTGCGCCAGCCAACCCCGCCAAAATCCTCGCCCATGCGCACACGACGGCCGTTTCCATCCGCGTTCGGTTCGCCCGTCGTGGGATCGAAGTCAGTGGTGATTGGGTTGAGACGCCGTGAAACAGTCGGACGAGTGCAGCGTCTCGCGTCGCTTTCAGGAGCGCTTTCCGTCGTTGGGCGTGTGGGGCCTGGAACCCCTCCACATCATGCACGCCCGCAGTGTCCACATCAAGATCAGCATCGTACCCATCCCGCTCCAATTCGGCATCGTCCTCGTCATCATCGTTATCCACGTCGTCGTCCGCATCTGCATCATTGTCGATCTCGCCGTTCAGCACGAAATGCTTGTGTCGGCCGCCGCCCGTGCTGGTGTTCCCCGCGCGTTTGAATTCTTTCAGGGACCGTTGTTCGGCTATTAGGCTGCTTGCCATGCCGAGAATGGTGGGGAGGTGGGGTTGGAGAGTGGCGAGGTATTGTTGGTGGCTTACACTGGGAGATTGCGGCGATTGTGGCGAGGGTAGAAGAATAGTGCAGAGAGATGTGAGAGCTATTGCCGTGAGTTGGCGGTCGGCTGCCTGCCCCATGTTGTCCCACTATCAGATCAGACGGAACCAGTGAGTCATGTGCAAGCGCACAAATGCTATAACGTCCGCGCGGGCACATACCTTTTCACACCAAGCCGTCAAGGTCCTCCCATCCACCAAACAGCCCAACGTCCACGCCGGGTCCTCCACAACAAGCCTCGCGACAATCTTCAGATACCCCACGACCACCACAGCCAGCTCCGTATCAGACAACACGGTCGTGATAATCCGATTCACGAGCCCTGTTTCCAGCATCATGCTTTTGAGTGCGTCAGAGTAGTGTGGGTCCGCAGAGGTCGCTTGAATGATACTGTCCAGGCAGCGGAGAGTGGCTTGTGAAGCCTCTGGTTTAAGATTACCCAGTGTTTCTGAGATCTGCGTCAAGATCCCTCGCGCGTGTGCATCCAGGACGCGAATGTCCAATATCACAAAGCATTCGACGATAGCGAGCGCTTTCTTCAACGACTCGGATCCGTAATCGAGAACACGGACGATGAACCCCATCAGCGAAAACAGCTCCGTGGTGCACCGCTTGGCGTTGCGCAGGACCGCCAGCGTGAGATCCAGTCCATCTTCAAGGAGGTACACATGCGCAGGATTCTGCACATCGATGCTATACGTAAGAACGCGGATAATGAACGGGTGCAACTGCTCCGAATCAGCCCGTAGCGCAACAACCAATTTGGAGAGAATGTGCAGAATATGCGCTCGGAACAACTCCTGCCCGTCAGCTGCGTCCCACAGCATCGGCACGATCCCCATGATTGTATCCACATGTGGTGCGATCACGCCTTCCAGCCGCTCAACCACAGTAGCGAGACAGCTGACCACTCCGCCCAAGCAGTCCACTCCGTCTACATCGCCGAGGACGGCGGTCAACGAGTCGAGGACAGGCTGGACGTATCCGAGGAACGGTTGGAGCTCGAAGCCAAAGTCATCCACCACCGCTTTTAGTGTTGATACGGCGGTCAGACGAACCGCCATGTCGTTGTTGCCTGACATCAATTGAATAAGAAGCCGGTACACCGGGACATAGAGCGTCGGGCTGGGCTGTACAGGGAGCCATTGAGCGATCAACCACGCGATTCGTCGTTGCAACGGTGTCAAACGCGGATCTGTTGTCGTGGCTTCGGCCAGTAACTTCGTTTGGAACCAAGATTCGAAGTTGATGAAATCAAACATGTCGTGCGCTGTAAGTCCGACGGCACAGTATACTGCGTCTTTAAGTAGTATGGCGTTGAAATCGTCCGGGTTGGTGATATCCCCAGAGGCCATCTGAAGCATGCTCATCACAACCGGTTGCAACGTATCTCTGTTCGTTGACATCAAGTCCATGAAGACCTTTTCGCTGCAACCCTGAAAAGAGAGGCGACCCCCGAGTAAGCACGCATCCCGATAGACCTCGGCATCTCTACAATGTGTAACATACCCGCAGATTGTATTCCCACCGATCCGCCTCCTGCTCTATAAACCACTCTTCCGCATTGTCCTCCCAGGACGTCCGATCGTCCTCCGTCAACACCATATACCGCCCCACAAGCACCTCGCATGCGCGTTTCACGAATTCAGGCGTGAGGAGACGATCGTACACGACCCTTCTGATCGACGGCGTGCTCGCTCGTGCAGTAATGTTTGTTGGCACCGTGGTGAGGAGATCACGGTCGGCCGGGATGTTCAGCGCCGGGTTTTTGATGAGGTTCTTCAACAGCCGTAAGGAGTGGATAAGCACTTTTTCTAATATGACATCGTCATTGGGTACGGCGCTCTCTTCGGCTATGCTCCAGTAGAACCGGACGACCTCGAGACTTGATGGGATCCGCACGAAATTGGCGACATCGTGGTTTTGCATGTCTAGGTAGACTTTGCCGGTTTGCAGCAGGATGGTGTTTAGGGAGCGTTTGAGGCCGGTCGGGTGTAGTGGTACAGATGTTCCTAAATGGCCAGAGGGTGGAAAATGATAAGCGACTGGATACCACACTAACGGTATCAAATGCAGAGACCAACTCACGCAGAGGCATAAACTTCCGCAAATACTCAACGAGCATTGACACAACGCTCACCACTTCAGGCGACTTGTGGCACTCCCGGAACCCATACACAACCACCCTTCGCAACGTTTTCAGCGCCAAAGCGGCCAGCCGCAAACACGATTCCGCTTCCGCATCCTGAGGCCGACCGGAATGCAGCTGCAGCAGGTGCTCTTCTCCCGGACGAGGGACCAGCTCCCCTAGCAGCTGTAATGCTCGGTCCGCTCGATCTGTATAGATCGTAGCCGTGTATCTCAGAAGCTCTGGCGCGAGTTGCTGATACAGTTTCCTACTGGTCGGTAACATCTTCGAACACAGCGCCTTCACAACCATATACAGCGCATGCAAAGCGCGGTGCTGCACGCGGCGACGCACAGGCTCCGACTCAACCTCATGCGCATTATCCACAAATGCGGTTTGTATCGTCTGCAACAGCGTGTGGAGGAGGTCCGGCCACTCCTGCGGATAGTCGCAGCGTGCGATTTTCGAGACAACGAGGCTGTTGTAACCGGCAATTTTGTCGTTTTCTTCGTTGAGCAGGACCGCTAGAGCCGTTTGACGTATTTTGACCTTCTCCGCTGGCTGCACCGCCCCTACTTTCACCGTCTTCCGCCAGTACTTGTCGATCCCATTCTTCAAGGTGATCACCGCCAGAAGCCGTAATTTAAGATCGATAGTAACGTCAGCTGCTACGTCCTGCAGTGTTGAGTGGAACCCTGGCTCTGTTTCCCACTGCTTCAGCTGTGTATCGGACGGCCCGCGGACGTTAGGGTCGGGTGAAGTAGCTCCGGCCAGTGCAGCGCATATTTGTTGGTAGGCAGATGCCATGTTTTGCTAACGGGATGTTCAAGAAAGGCCTTGTCGGAGCAGACTTGAAAAGAAAGTGGCACGGACGTTGCAGCTGCAACCAAAGGTCTATCTATAACGAGCGAAAAACCTACTGTATGAATTCGTCCAAAGGCTTGCACATGAGAACCCAGGGCAAAGCCGACGGACGCGGTTGTCCCCTTTGTCCCCTCCATCTCATTGCGATCTTTTGGAGTACGCGCAGGACGGCGAAGATGGGACGACGATGACTTGCACAACAGAATATATATAATACGAAGCAGATATGCAAATAGATCTCCCTCAATCTCGATAGAAAAGAGCACATACATCAACACAAAAACAGACGTTGAAGAAACGCGGATAACGGCAGAGATGGAAACATCAATAGGGCCAGCAGCAATAGATCAGGCAGAACAGGCAGAACCAAAAACCCCAAAAAGGACACTTCGTTACGAACGATGACAAAGAACTGGAAGGTACATGCTCAAGAAGTACAGGAGCGAACGCGGGGGGGTATACAGTTGAATGGCGACAGATCGTCTCAGGTACAGCTCGATGCCACGTCACAAGGGGAGTCGAAAAGTGAAGAAGGGGAACCCGATTAACTCCGTCAACAGAGTGGCCAAAACAGCAGATCTCAAATCGACAAAAACGCCTCGGCTGCTGGGACCTTCGGCAACGGAGCCGTCTGCTGCACGGGCTCTTTCTGCGTCTGCTGTGGCTGCCCAAACGCCGCTCCCAGGTTGGTCGACGATGTGCCGAACGAGGATGTGGATGATCCGAAGGAGGTCTGTGATTGCATCCCACCTAGGAATCCCGGCGGGCGTTGTTGGACATTGAGGTTTGGTTGGGAGAGGTCGTGCATGACGCGCCCGGGGAAGGAGCCGACATAGCGCAGGTGGCCCATGATTGCCTGTGTAGGGTATAGAGAGGTCAGATTCTTTCCAATGATGCCAAACATCGCACGCCCCTACTTTTCAAGACTTACATCAATGGATGACCTGCGACGGGTGGGGTTGAAGTCGGATGGAATCTGTCCTCCAGTTGCAGAGTCGGGAGTGCCAGCGGTGTTGGTTGGCACGTTGGGGATCGAACGTCCAAGAGGGATCATGGTTAGATGTGATTTATTGGAAGGGGTCGAGTCGTGTCAATTTTAGGCCGGTGTGTGTCGCCAGATATTTGACGGTCAGAGATCTTCCGACGTTGTCGAACGCCGAGAAGTTTGAGCAGTTGCGTAGGTTTCGGCGGTTGAGTTCTCTGCTGCGGTGCGAGATATGTATATGTATATACGTTGTGCTCCGGAAACACTGTGCTGTGCGCTGTTCCACTCGTTCAAGAATGAAGAATCGATACGCGCCAGGCCTCACATCTTGTATTTGGCCTTTTATACTCGCAAATGTGGAGAGCAGGGCTTTTCGGGCAAGGGGGTTTGCAATGGGGCTTTCCTTGCTGAGTGGCTGTGTAAAGGTACCGTGACCGGGGAGCGTGTGACGGAGGGGGGCTAATACTTGTTCCTTATTTTCCTTATTTCAAGGTTCTGGCGTGCGTTACTGGATTTAGGACTCAGGAAGGGGGCGGTAGAACAATCTGAAATTTTAGGTTGAGCGTTTCAAATCCCTTTAGGTTCAGGGGTGTAATAAATGGAAGATTGGGTGAGATCAAACAATGCTAGGGTTTTGCTGAGCGTCGTCAGGGAGGAATAATATTAGGCCGTATTGACGGCGGGCACTGGGAGAGGTAATAATATTTCGACACCGCGGTGATCTGTCCTTCCGGCTTGCAGTTCGTTACTCAAACAATACAACACGCGGCCTAAATCATTAAAAGATCCGGATACATGTTGGTTCATCTATCCTCCATCTTCTTGAGGATAGATGTTGGTTCAGAAAACAGATGAACTCTGTGCACGTCATTGATGGCTATTGCAAATATGTATGCTATATGCAAAGACGCATAGGAAATGAGACACGAAGAGAGAATGTAATAATGCCGGATACTAGATACGGTGAAGGAGGATGTTAGGAGGGAAGACCAGTGGAATTGAGTGTTCAACCGGGAACAGAACCATCATTATGGAAGAGACAGTCAATCGAAACCCGAATCCGCTCAGTAACTCCTTCCAAACAACGTATAACTCTTCGCCAACTCCTCACAAGCAAAGCACTTCGTCACGCCATGCTTCACTCCATCCTCAGGCTGCTTGAATGGAATACACAGCGTCTTGGCGCCCATAGAGGGAGCCTTCTCATCCTCATCCTCCCCACTCTGCTCGGCCGCCGTGCGTGCACTACGCTCCTTGACGCTCTCCTCACATGCCTCGCGCTCGCACCAGGGGACGAGGATGATGCAGCGGTTGTTGAGGGTTTCGACGAATTTGTCCCAGGTTTCGAGCCGGATGAGGTGTGCGTCGCGTTCGGCGCGCGCTTTGGTGAACATGGCGGCTTGGATGGTTTCGAGGAGGGTGGAAAGGGTTGATGTGAGGGTTGCCAGAGGGATGTCTTGGCTGGAGCTGTCATGGCGGATGACGGCGCGGGTGGAGTTTTTGGCGAGGTCTTTGGGGCCGATTTCGAGGCGGACAGGGACACCCTGGCAGATAGACAGGAATAGGAGGGACAGTGAGTTCCGGTGTCCGAGTTCAAGGGCAACTAATTGCGCATCACTCCAAAGCATCGAGGCTTTGATCTTACCTTCAATTCCCAATGGTTGTACTTCCATCCAGGAGTGTAGTTTTCCCTCGTGTCGCTATTGGCACGGATACCCGCCTTCCGCAGGTCCTTCACAAGCTCGTCAGCCTTGGCCGCCAGAGCCTTGCGGTCTTCCTGGGACGTCTTTGCCGTGATCCCAACGGGAATAATGACGACCTGCACCGCAGCAACACGGGGAGGGAGGACGAGCCCCTTATCATCACCATGGATCATGACCATAACACCGATGGTACGGGTGGACAATCCCCACGAGTTCTGCCACACATGCACGCGCTCCTTGGCCTCGTTCTCGATCAAGATGTCAAACATCTTGGAGAAGTTCTGGCCCAGACAGTGGGATGTTCCGCCCTGGATGGCGCGGCCGGTGGTGGGGACAAACCCTTCGACGGTGGTGGTGTACAGACCACCGGCGAATTTCTCCCTCTCGGATTTCTTGCCGGGGACGACGGGGACGGCGAGGAAGTCCTCGTAGACCTGGCGGTAGAGGTCGAGGATCTGCAAGACTTCCGTATCGGCCTCTTCCTTGGTGGCAAAGGCGGTGTGGCCTTCTTGCCAGAGGAACTCGCGGGTGCGGATGAAGGGCTGGGGGTGCTTAAACTCCCATCGGACGACGTTACACCACTGGTTGAGACGGAGGGGGAGGTCGCGGTGACTGCGGATCCAGGATGCAAAGTAGGGGTACATAACGGTCTCGGAAGTGGGACGGATGGCAACAGGCTCGGCGAGGTCGGATTGTCCACTGTATGAAGAGTTCGGCCAAGTGAGATATCAACTTCAGTGTGCAAACGGCAATGTTCATATCAACGTACGCTTTTGTCACCCATGCGACTTCGGGAGAGAATCCCTCAATGTGGTCCTTCTCGCGTTCCAATACTTTTGAAGACACAAACATGGGAAAGTAGCAATCATCGACTCCAAGGTCCTCGATGGCGTCGCCGAAGAATCCTGTGCGTCAGAGTCAGTATCACCGATCCCCACAAGATCAGAAACCCGGAACTCACGTTGAATGGCCTTCCAGATCTTAAAAGCCCATGGACGAATAATGTAGCATCCACTGATATCGTAGTAGTCCAACATCTCCGTCCGCGTCAGCACCTGCTGGTACCAAGTGGGAAAGTCCTCAGCCTTCTTCACCGTCAGACCAATCAGGACCTCCTTGCTGTCCGAAGTGTTCTCCTGCTTCGACACCTGCTTCGAGGCCTTGTCAGCCTTCACAGGCTTGGCAGCTCCCGCGGCGGGTTTGGCGGTCGCGAGGCTCGCAAAGTCAACGGATGTGTATGTGACGCCGGACCGGTCAAAAAACGCCCTCAGGTCGGTGACGGTGATCAACACACTCTGGTCGTCTGCGCCAGCGCGGAATCCGACGAATTTGTCGCCGGGAAGGTCCAACAGAGCCGAGTCGACAACGACCGTAATGAGAGACTTGTCCTCCAAGTTGGCAATGTGAAGTGGAGTGACTACGAGGGAAGGGTGTCAGTGCGTGTTGAGTAATGGTCGTGATGCGTGTATGATGGACGAGATATGCTTGTCATCCGACCACCAACAACGATACCCTCAACTCGCAACAGAATGTTGTGCGACGCGTGATAAAGTCGACCGTTCGGCGTCGCTCACACTCAATGCTCGCATAACTCGCTAGAGTTGTCGCCTGCGGAGCGAGTTCCGCCGCCGCTCGCCAAGGCGTTCGCTCTGGTGGCCTTCGGTATCGCTCGGAACAATGGCTCGTCTATAGCTCACCAGCCTGCGCCTCGTGTCACTCGCCCATTCGCTCCAGGTCGCTCTGGCTCCCTTGCGGGGAATCGACCGCACGTTGACGCTCGCCCTCGCCGATCACTGTAACTCACCATCCTTGCGCGTCACTCCAAACACCTTCTCACTAACATCATCCCCAACAACCCGTCCCTCCTTGGCCCCCGCACTCTTCGCCACAGCCGAAGCAGCAACTTCAGTGGAACTGAGCGCAACTCCCAGGACATAACCGTCGCCCTTAAAGTTCCCACCCTTAGGTTTGACGACAAGTGTCTTTGTAGCAAGGCCGTTAAGGTTGGTGATTGTGGCGATCCAGGCGGGCAGGTCGGTTGCGACGGCGTGGTGGGTTGCGGTGGCGACCACGCCGGATTTCTTCAAGATGTGGTCGAAAGAAGACATTTTGTTTCTGTTGGTGGTGGTGTTGTTAAAGTGATCTATACCGGCTCACGAGCGGAAAGCAGTGGTTCTAGATACTCTACCTTTCTTTGTGCGGCGGCTACCTCTATATATATTGTATACTGGGAGTCTCTCTTTGCGGCGACCTTATGCGCCTGCTCTCTTGAGCGTACAGTATTTGCGAGTGTAGGGATTGTTGCCTACCTGCCTGAGGTGGTTGAGTTGAGAGAAAAAGCGGTCGAATGCGGTGGGTGACTCACCGCGTCCTTCTTGCGACAAACTTGAGCAAGAGCTGGAGCAAGAGGATCAACGAGAAAAGCTCTCCCCACGGACTGCACTTCAGAGTGGGTGGGTCCCGCAACACAGAGAGATCCACCAGCACAGCAGATCCACCAGCACAGCAGATCCACCAGCACAGCAGATCCACCAGCACAGCAACCATGACGGCCACCGACCCAACACCCTCCTCAACAGTCCTGGCAAACGTCCAAGAGTACTACGGCAAAATCCTCTCCTCCACAAAAGACCTCAAAACCTCCGCCTGCTGCACCTCCGCCGCCCCGCACCCCCTCATCCGCGCCGCCCTTAAAAAGGTGCCCGCCGAAGTCACCGACCGCTACTACGGCTGCGGGAACCCCATCCCGCTCGGGATCGAGGGGTTGACTGTATTAGATCTGGGATGCGGGACAGGCAGGGATGTGTATATCGCCGCCGGGTTGGTGGGAGAGAAGGGGGAGGTGATTGGCGTGGATATGACCGATGAGCAGCTAAAAGTCGCCAGGGACGCACTGCCCGCCTTTGCAAAGCAGTTCACCTACACCCCTCGAGTGAAATTTGCGAAAGCCTACATCGAAAATCTAGATGCCATTGTCCCGGCCAACAGCATCGACCTCTGCATTTCCAACTGCGTCATCAACCTCTCTCCCGACAAGGAAGCGGTGCTGCGGGGCGTGTACAACGCGCTCAAGGAGGGCGGTGAGATGTACTTCTCGGATGTGTACTGCGATCGTCGCATGCCCGAGGCGCTGGTGGGGGATAAGATCCTCTATGGGGAATGTCTGTCCGGCGCGTTGTACATCAACGATTTCGTGCGTTTGTGCCATAAAGTCGGGTTCACGGACCCGCGGGCGTTGTCATCCGCGCCTATCGAGTTGCGGGACCCGGCGATCGCGGAGCTATGCGGGAACATCAAGTTTTACTCAATCACGTACCGGTTGTTCAAGCTGCCGTCGTTGGAGACGCTGTGTGAGGATTATGGGCAGGTTGCCACGTATTTGGGGACGATTCCGGGACATACGCATGCGTATGAGTTGGATGATCATCATACCTTCGTGACGGGGAAGCCGGTTTTGGTGTGTGGGAATAGTGCGGATATGGTTGGGAGGACTTGGTTGGGGAAACATTTCAAAGTGGATGGCGATCGTAGTGTGCATTTTGGGGCGTTTGACTGTGCGCCGGTCCCTGGCGGTAGCTCAAGCAGCCCCGCTGCCGGAGGCTGCTGCTAGATTTTATGCAGCGATGCATTGATACTAATAGCTTACTCTACTTCATTTGTTCAAAATTCCGTACACTTCTATCTGTTTTCTCGGGTATCTACATATACCATTCTATCTCCCACCTCAAACCACATGATCAGCAAACAACGCACACCTCATCAACTCCCCCACCACCACCACACTCATACTATTCCCCAAAACCCTCCACCGCTGAATCGTAGTGACCTCCTCCGGGAACTCAAACTTATACGCCAGACGCTCTGCTACCGCTGCCGCTGGACGGGGCGGGGCGGGTGCGCGGTCATCTATGGGAAACCCGTGCAGACGAGCAACTTCTGTTGGGGTGAAGCACCGGAGCCCGAGACGGTCGATGGCGGTTGAGGGCTCGTCTAGGCGTTTGGGTTCCTGCCGATGGGAAAGCATGTTGGCGGTTTCTGAGGACCACGATTCAAAGATATGGGGGCAACTTACATCGAATCCTTTGGTTTGGAGATATGATCCGGCCGCTAGTCCTAGATGTTGACGTCGGATCAGAAGCAAACGACAATCCTCGGAAACCAACTTGCCAACTTACCATGGTGCCCATAAGCCTTCGTGAAGCACGACGTTCGCACATCATCCGCAGTCACAACCGCTGACTCACTAAAAGCCTGCCTCCTCTTTACAAAAGCTTCGGGCAACCTATACCTTCTCACCAACTCCCCCTCCCCATCCTCCTCCAAAAACTCCCCCACAGTCTTCCTTTTCACCCCTGCGCCTCCAAACGGCCACTCCTTCACCAACCTCAACTCCGGAACACCCACATCCTCTCCCGCCTCCCTAACCCTCCTCGCCGTCAAATAATACCTCCCGCGATCATTCGGCAATCCCATCTGCGTCGGGGTCAAAAACCACTCGGTGAAGTCGTACCCGCGGTTTGAAAGTTGTTGGGTGAGGAGGGAGCGGGTCTGGGAGGACTCGAAGTTGAGAACGTTTTCGAGGAAGAGGTAGGTTGGAGGGGTTGTGAGCGTGCCGAGGAGGCGGATGAGGTGAAGGAGGCCGACGGCGCGGGGGTCGGTTGTGTCGAGTTGTTTACCGGCTGGGTGCGAGGGATTGATGTTAATGGAAGTTCTGCTGGCAGTCAGTGTTCCTTCAAGCGTTCGTTTACCTACTCCTGGTATACGGTTGACATGGCGGGCTCATGAACCAAGCTAACAACGAATCATCAGCCCGGACCGAACCAAACATCGATGCACACTATCCCTAGCCTTGTAACCCCAACCCCAACCCACCATTTGCCCCAAACCCCTCCAACCTCTTCTCCGTCATCGTCTCAATGAGCGTCTGTATCGGCTCTATCCCAAAATTATGTCGATAGCTGAGGGCCCAGAGAAATATATGAGCATTGCATTCCGTAGAACCAAAACCCCTCCGAGGACTTATTTCCATTACCACGCATTTGCGACGGGGTTAATGTCGAATGAAGCCACAACGTCGCCTTTGACGCCGGCCCATTGGAGGCCGTAGTGCATTGCGCCGATGCCGGAGAAGAACTCTAGGGCGCGGATTTCGGGTGGCGGGGTCATTTCTGACGTATGGTAAGGTACAGCTAGTTCGCGAGGTGTTCGCAATTACACCGTCCAGCCGAATCGAAAGGAAACGGGGAAGGGCTCTGGGAAGGGCAAGTCGCGCGCGAGTTGTCAGCCCTGTCAGCTCCAGCGTCTTCCAGTTGCGTGCCCATTGCCCATGGTCAATTTCCCCCCTTGATGCCCCCACGCACTCTCTCAGCCGACCCTCCCTCAACCTCCTTGCTGATATGTCCGCCTTCAGATTCTGCTCAGAATGGTGCGTTCACTCCCACCCGCCGTGCGATCACACATAACTATTAACACCACCTACCAGCAACAACCTCCTCTACCCCAAAGAAGACCGCGCAGAGCGGAAACTGACATTCAACTGCAGGCACTGCAATCACTCGGAGGAGGCGGAGTTCACGCAGGTTTACTCCCATGTTGTTTCTGCTACTGCTCGGTGAGTTGTGAATTATCACATGATTGTGTGGGAAGAAGTGTTAGCTACTTCGTGAACTCCACCTGCGACAAGGACGGAGGGAATCTATACTGAAATACTTACCTATTCGCAGTGAACAAACAGCAGAAGAGGTAGCCCTCGCCTCCGACCCAACCTTCCCCCGTGCCAACAATATAAAGTGTCCAAAGTACGACTGCACCTCAACGGAAGCGGTGTTTTACCATTCGAGGTCGAAACACCGTGATGCGACTATGAAGGTACGGGCCTCGCAACACCTTGCGTCGCACTTTCGGGAACGATGTGGGCGTATATCTGACTATGTGTGATAGCTGTTCTACTCCTGCGTCAAGTGTGGGCATAGGTTTACGATTGACCCGGCCGCGGAGAAGGAGAATGAGGCCGATGCGGAGACGTAAGGAGAGGAGAAGAAAAGGGGTGGTGGGGATGGAATATCTGTATTTATCAATGCGCGTTATGTGGGTTGCGGGGTGACCACAGAACTATTCGAGGGGGGTCCGTGGACGTCGAGAAGGCAATCGGCATGCCGGGGAAGCGAACCCTCCATACGCACATCGCCACCGTACAAAACAATCGGTCGGAACACAATCTGTACCATAACGTCAAGGACGCAGAGCCCGAGGGTGTCGGGGCCGGAGGGGCAGGCCTGTACGTAGAAAGAAGACGTAGTAGGATGGGGTTGTCTCCGTTCAAGCGGAATATCTGGGTGACGAGACGAGCACTTTTGGGTATTTAGCACACACGTATATATACTGTACACATTTGAGTTGTTAGAGAATGGGAAAGTTGGTGAGCTCGCACTTGGAGTCTATTGAGAACTGGTAGGTTTGATGTTGATGAGGAGACATGAACAGTCGACGCTTTAACACCGCTTTTCAATGAATTACGCTAAATATATTACTCTAAGTGTACTCTGATGCTAACTAAGGGGATCAAGCGAAAGGTGTGTGGAAAATGATGTACTGACACAGGAGCGTTACTCTACACCGCTATACAGCGTACGCCTGCTTTCCGTGCTCGCTGATGACAGCGATGTGGTCGAGGTCGCGGAAGTGTTCGTTGTAGTCGAGCTGTGGGGGGAAACTCGAAGTTATTCAAATGCGTCAATCGATCAGTCGGATGACCAGGGCTTATACGTACGCAGTATCTAGAAGAGAATGGAAAAGAAAGTGAGACTCAGTTCAGAAGAGAGATGCACCACCAAGAAAAAGCTTACCCAACGACGAACAGATCCGGGATAGCGAATCCGACATACTCGGGCCTGCAAAACCGACTCATCAGCCATCACTCCCGTCCACGCTCAACCCACATGCTCCCCCCCGAAACCTACACATATTGATTACTCCTCGGCGTCTTCTTCAACAACAAACTCACGACCCGAATGCTAGCGGGCTCATACTTCTTCAGCTTCTCAATCAACGCGACCATCGTCCGCCCCGTGTCGATGATATCCTCGCAGATGAGGAGGTCTTTACCCTTGAAGGACTTCATGTCCTCCTCGGAGAGGGAGATGTAGACGTTGCCGGTCGATTCAGTGTTTTCGTAGCTTTTTACTTTGATGAATTCGAAGCTGAGGGGGACTAAATGGTGGAAGAGGGCCGGGCGTTAGACAGTATATCAAAGGCCCGGCACCGCGATACCACCGAGAAGAAGAACGTACTAGACTCAGCCTTGCGATCTTTCTGCTTCTTCAGTGATTCCATCAGATGCGCAAAGAACCCATGTGCGCCCTTCAGCACACAGCAGGCCACGACGGGGTTGGTACAGTCGGCGGCTATATCAGCGGCGAGTTTCTCGATGCGGTCGCGGATGAGGCCATACGGGATCAACACACGCTCTAGGTCCCGGGCATAGTGCGTGGGAAGAACGAAGTTCTATGGAGGTGGGAAAGGTGTGTTAGAGCCTCTATAAGCGGGCGTTGGGAATGGGATAGACCCTGACGGTCAGGGTTTGCTCGAACTCCCAACAGCCATTGTTCTACTTTCGAAACTCAGGTGAATGGTACCTCCAAGTCATAGCCGTCGTTGTCCTTGATATCGATACACTGGGTCATTATGGCTGCTGTTCCTGGATATGTAGTGAGAGGTGGAGTATTTGAGCCGACGTGCTGAGGGTCCAATGTCCACCGCAGGCCAGCAGAAAAACGTACGCGGACAACTTCGAAGCCCGTCGATGACAGAAACGCTGACAGAAACTGGGGCATTTTTGAGAACATTCCCCTCTGGATCTGGAGCCTCTGGCAACCCATACTGAGCGCCGTCGCCAGCCGTCGCTCCTACAAATCGTAGCCCGGTTTGCAGTTCCTGCCCGGTCGCTGGTAAGTCGCTGCCTGGTCCAACTGGTCCGCCACAACCTCTCTCCCTGCACCCTCATCGCCGTGTTGCAAAGAACCGTCAACCGTCAACATCGGTTGAAGAAGCCGCAAGCGGATAAGACGGGTTCGTCGCATACACGAGACCTTCAAACAGGCTGCCGAAGTCTTTTCGGTCAACTGTACACCTACGTTGGAAGGGTTTAGCCCAGATACGTGGAACCATTGACGTCGATAGCCGACGAGAATGAAGCCGAGCAGACAGCTATAGTCATTCCAGAAGAACGAGTCCAGAATTGATCAATGCGACAATCGACCTCTATTTCGATAACTCCGCCACGAACGACGAGGAGGATTGCTTGAGGAAATTGCTTGATTTTCTCGCCATCAAAGCGACCAGAGCTTTTGATATGCGATCCGGCGATTTGGGAAGATACTCACGCCGTTACTGAGCTGTGTCTTATCTCAGATCGAGCAAAGCTTGGATTGCTAGGCTGGACTAACTACGGCGGGTCTAGTGGGATATCGGATCACAGTCGGCGAGGAACATCAGGGCATTGTGGGTGATGGCATTTTATGGGCATTTGTCTACGGCGTCGATACGGTCACCCTGGGACTTGCGAGACACTAAGTGATAAGCCTGAGGTAGTTGTGGGCCAACACACGGTGTCTCGCAACGACGTCAGGCCGCTGGTTTAGTGTCCCTTGAAGGCCCGCCCCACCTTAGCCGCCGGGAGATTCGCACGGTCTGCATCCATCGCATCGCAACGCTTCAGAATTGGGGCAGCTACCTAGACCTATCGCTGCCAGTTCGGTTGCCGGGCACTACGCACGAACCTCACCGTAATCGAATTTGTACTTGTCCATAGGATGCCGCACGTTGCATAGTGACGTCCCAGCGACCGAGTGGATGCGTGCGCTCTTCCCGGATGGCAGGGCAAGCGTATGACCTCCGAAATACTAGATCAATACATAAAAGCCGCTCGCAGTCTAGACTTTGAGATTGGGTATGGAAGTTGGGAGCCCTTGGAAGAAAATCTGAATACATACTGTAATACAATGACCGTCCGCAGTTTACATATGCCGCAGATGCCAGATTGCGGTCATGTTACGACATGTCACCGTCGCAAGAAAACGTCACTTTGAAATTTGTCCCCGTCCCCACGATCCCCTTCGTTCGACATTCCGCTGCAGCGTTCTCACAATGCACCACCCCGTATCAGATACACATCCAATCAACGGGCGGTCGAGACAAAGTCTCGGTACTTTCAAAGAGACATGACAGAGCGAAAGATCAATGCCGGCATCGCTGAGATGGAATCACATATTTCGTCGCACAAGAGCATGAACATCGAGGTGTTCTCAGCGTTCATTGTGGATTACGAACATGCAGGTATGATGTATCATGCATCGTCTTCAAATTTGGTAATGCATGGGCCGACATCCATATCCCAGATCCTGCCCTGGATGAGTTTTACCAGGATGAGATTCACGTGGCTCGCAGATTCAAGGCGTTCTCACTGCGGCAAAAGTCTGAGAGCAAGCTCATCAAGAACATGCGACGCCTGTATGGAAAGCATTTTTTGGTCATCTTGGGTGATTGGAGCGACGCTGGAAAAACCATGCGCTTTCAGGAGTCATCAAAGACCAAAGGGTGAGTGACTATCGTTGGTAGTACCTACTATGTACTATAATATGCTAACTCATCGTGGAAATCAGATTCCGCACACTCTTTGCAAGAAACAGCATTCCATGCTACTTGCTAGATGAGTATCGAACGTCTTCCGTGTGCCCAGACTGCCACGGGCGTGTGAGGAAAAACATCCGACAGCGGCTGTCATCTCGGCCGTGGCAAGCTAGAAGGGGGAGAATGGAATACGTCCATGGATTGGTGGGTTGCCCCAACCCTGAATGTATCAACCAAGACTGGACGCCATTTGAGATTCCTGGAAGACGACCACTACGACTACGGATGAGAGTGCACAATCGGGACGTCCTGAGCACCAAGAATTTCCTCTCGATTGTGCGTTCGGTGGTGTTTGGCAATGGCCGCAGACCAGGCGCATTCTCCCGTAACCGTAGGTAGTCTAGAATCCTCACCACATCCCATTTTCCGTGGTGGTTATCTGCCATCCACATCATTGTACCTCTGCCTGAGGCGTCGCCGATGATGGCAACTTGTACAATCCATCGCATAAGCTTTTCAAGAAGGGACGCGCCGAATTCCGTTGGCAATCTGGTTGGCAATCGTCAGGCATCCACATTCCGACCGTAGTCCAGACTCAGGTATAGAGCACAAGGAATAAGAGCTTTGAGAGGGTAGCCTCCAGGTGCCGCTTCCCTCTCGTTCATTCCCTCGCTTTCTTATCAACCTCATCTAAGAGTCATTTTCTCGGTTGTCGTTCGGAATCAGGTCCAGACTACGAGGGATAAGAGTTCTCTGACGGTACCTTCCAGGTACCGCTTTCCTGTCGTTCTCGTTCGCAAAGGCACCCTCTGTCTCTTTCCTGGGACCAAGGCTAGACGAGATGACCAAACGAAAAAGTCCAACGGACGCTCCCGGACTTCCTCTCCGACGGAGCAGGCGAGCTGGGACGGATTATGGGCCAGTCGCATCACCGTCGCTGCGCCCGAGGAACAGAGCAGTGGCGTACGAAGATCACCAGGCGGGGCCTGATACGGGCAAGGAGATCGAGCAACTGGTGCCGTTTGAAGTGCTCGAAGCTGAGAAGCAGGTCGGCACCCTTCCAGTTCAAAGTGCTCCCAATGAGTGCCCACCACTTGCCGCGACGGATGCCAGCAGCGCCGCCAACCCCGTCGTCCCTCGGTCGTTCTTCCAGAGGCCAGCTGAAGCAGTCGCCCGCGATCTCCTCGGAAAGCGTCTTGTCCGGCTCCTACCCTCCTCGAACGAAACCATGCGTCTCACGGGCATCATCGTCGAAACGGAGGCATACTGTGGAGAAGATGACAAGGCCTGCCATATTTATGCCGGCCGACGGACGAAGCGCACGGAGATCATATATGGGCCTAAAGGCCACGCGTATGTTTACTTTACGTATGGCATGCATCATATGCTCAACGTGGTCTGCGGGTCCGAAAGCTATCCAGAGGCGGTGCTTATTCGAGCCCTGCAGCCAGAGGTGGAGAGCGTCGCAACGATGCGGACGTTACGGAGCACGCGGAAACGAAAGGCAGAAGCCGTCGGTGGGGAAACGGCTGCAGTCAAGCATGTGAAGGAAATGCGAGAGGCTGATCTGTGCTCGGGACCAGCGAAACTGTGTCAGGCGATGGGGATCGACTTGGCACAAAATGGGGTGGACATGACGTGTACCGACGCTGGATTGTACTTTGAAGACGTCGGAGTTGTTGACGAGGCTTCGGAAGAGACAGCTATAGCGATACAGGCGGGCCCGCGAATCGGGATAGATTATGCTGCTGAATGGAAGGACAAGCCTCTGCGGTTCTTTTACGATCAGAATCCTCATGTCTCACTCTTTAAGGCGAATTGTAAGGGGAAACGGAAAGTTGAGCAGATTCAAGTGGCTCCTTAGACACTGTCATGTCTATCGCCCAGCATCGGAAACTCAAGTAGCTGCGGGATTAGCGTTGTTGTCTACTTGTCCAAACAGATCACACCATCCCGTTTTTGGCCATGTTCTTCAGGTGGACGTGCATTTTCATCCATCGGCTGGCTCTCATTCACGGGAAACGCCCCGGACCCTCGGACGCAGAGCGGAATCTCCACGGCCTCGACCGGCGTCCGTCGCTTTGCCTGGTTCATGTTTAACCAGTCGGTACTGAACGTCGTCGTCATAATCTACCGCACCGTTGTGTTGCTAAACACATGCAAATCATACCAAGACACTTTAATCTGGCGGTTGAAAGGCGTTGGAATGGACGACGAGATGGTGACAATGTTGGAGCAGCTATATTGTCCTGCTTTACTGAACTTGGCATCATGCTGTCGATTTTATTTAACGTCGGCACTGCTGTGTGTGCATGGAAGTACAGTACTACAAGAAGCTCGAGCGGGAGGGCGGTGTCGGCGTACATACCCGTTAACGATGGGATGAGCCTTTCGATAGAACTATGCAGAAAGGGTGTGGACTCCGAGTCTTAGCCTCCCCCTAGCCTGGTTCATTTTTCCCTTCGCTAGGATCCGTATCTATCAATCCACTGCTGCCGCTGTCTGTGTTTGTAGATAACCCATTCGAACCTTCTGTGATACCTCGTTTGCACCTTTGGCACGGTGCCCACACCTTTCAGCATCACCGCTGCTTTGTTCCGCTGCTTAGTTCCTCGCACACCAAATGGGATGAAAATTGTATTATCTACAGGAGCAGCGATGATATATATACACGGAGAAGCCTCTCTTCAAGAAAGAAAACCGCTTCGGTGTGGGGGAAACTCTACAAATGCGGCTATGTATCAGGTATGTACAGATGTTCTAAAACTTCATGTCCCTGTCGTCGGAGAACTTAAGCTTGGCCACGGAAGATACGGGCAGCGCGGTCGTTGGGTTGAGCGTCTCCAAACCCGCACCCGCCATCACGTTCCTGCGCGATGACGGGGCCAGCGCACTTACCGGACTTGAACCCGCAGCATTGGGAGGCACAGTCGGAGTCCGAGGCGCATTTGCCGGTGATGAATTGGGTGCCCTTCTTCGTCACGGCCCCACCTGTGGCAGGCGCCTGTTGTGGCGGTGGTGCTTGCTTTTGGGGTTTGGCGGGGGCCGGGGCCGCTGGGGCCGCCGGCGCAGGAGCGGGAGATTGGCCGCGGAAGATGCGGGCGGCTCTGTCTGTGAGCCGAAGAAATCGAGTTAGACAACGGACTTATGTACAATGTACGAAAATGGGTGGGAAAAGTTGAGGACGTACCATTGGGCTGAGCATCACCGAACCCACAACCACCGTCGCGTTCTTGGGCAATGACCGGACCCGCGCACTTGCCCGTCCTGAATCCACAGCATCCCGATGCGCAATCGGCGTCCGACGAGCAAGGACCGGTGATGAACTGCGTAGCCTTCTTGTTGCCGGCGCCATTGGGTCCAGAAGCGGCACCTCCCGCAGCAGGGGCGGGAGCTGGCGCGGCAGCAGGCTTGGCAGGGGCTTTCGTTGGCTGTTTACCCTGGCCGGCAGCTTGTTTACCGCCGGCATTGCCATTGCAGCTCGCGAGGGAAGCGGAGATACGAGCACTCTTGTCGGTATCGGACGTACACGCAACGGAGGTTCCCGCTTTGTTCACGAGAGGCAGAACTTGGCATTTGAGTCCGCCTGCACACGCAGTCGTGACAAACTTGCTTCCCACGCATTGGCCAAATTTGTCGCCGACACACGCGACGTCGCCCGTGTTGCAGGCAGAGGAGGCGCTGATGCTGGCTTTGGCCTGGTCAGCGGCTTGGGCGGCTTGACCGTTCTGGCATCGGATGGCGTTGATGTCTTGTGCGTAGGTGAAGGAGGCGAGGGCGAGGAGCGCGAACGGCAGGACGGATTTCAGGGCGAGCATGGTTGAAAGGTTGTGACTTGGGTGGGTTTTACACTTGAGGGAGATGCAGCGTTGCTCCAAATGTAGGAACTTCCGTTGTTTATGAGGGAGTGGCGAGAGACGAATGAGGTGGCGGTCTTCCCACTCTGTCTTGGGCTTTTATAAGATGCAGAGTTCTCACGGCTGCCTCTGCTCCTATACTTGTCCACTCTGAACTCCCATCAATACTTCCGTAACATGTGCGGACGACGCTGTGCCCATGAGGGCTGGTTGAAACGATCCCATCCCGTCCCACGTACTCCTATCGGAGTCCTACCGCAAGTACTGAGAACCAGTGACAGCAGAAGCCCCCATCGTCGTTCTCCCGTGGGTCGTGCAGTGTCGCGGATTTCCAATGGAAAAAAACGCCCCCGGCGAACGCTTCTTGGCGATGTGTGGTGCACAGCAGTTGCAGACAGGATGGTTTGTTTGCGATGAAACCGACACGCCGCACCAGGAGAACCGCGGCTGCTGTCGAAATGCGGTCACTATTTGAAACAATGGGGGACCTGCAGCGCGTCCATTGTCGTGCAAACCCGAAAACCGAAATTGTCTGGAACAAGTTTGAGCACCAGAACCGCGTTCTCGGCCTGTCCCAACGCCAAAAGCCCAACACCTTTGATATCAATACGATGACCAATCCGGTTGTCCACGACGTACTCACCATAGGCGGCGGGATAGCTGGCCATAGCGATAGCGGCCGCCCTCTCCGGCAACTACGCACTTCGACTCGGGTGTCTACCGCATTGCTCGCGCCACGCACATGCACAACTACCTTGGTCGGGATGAGTTGAAAGCGCGCCACTGGCTCGCACACCAGAAACCTATATCTATTACAGAGTAGCTCACTTTGGGTTCTTTGTTGTCCAATGCTACCCGATAACGTTTGTCCCTCACCCTCGGGTTACCCTCTTTCGTCTCCTCCTCTTCGGCCTCTTCGAAGCTCCAGACAGACGCTACTACTCTTTACTATTCGCTGCTGGCCCGCGCCAAGGCCGTAGACTCCGCGCTTCAGAAGAGATACGATAACAACCGCGCTAAGGCAAAAGAAGACCATCAAAAGTTGATGGACAGGTTGCAGCAGACGTGTAGAGGCGGACGTGGTCCAATATGGTCAAAAGAGTAGAGGCTATCGCAAAGTTTCTCCAGGAGTCAGAGATTCTCGGTCTTAGTCTGGAGGCGGCAGTCTCTTCAAAGGAGGAACTGGTGATCGTCTGGGACCTGGTCGACGCGGCGAATATTACCACCAAGCGACAAATCAACGTTTCGCGGCCCTGAAAAAAGTCTGCAAGCTGTTTTTCGACCTCTTCATTGGACCGCGAACCGTTGATTTGTCGCTTGGTGACATCGAACGTCACGATAAAGTTGGCTCGGCTTGTGATTCCGAAGATTTCAACTCCGAAAAAAGCTATAGGATACACGCAGCCGTCCGTGAGCGAGTCAACTCCTACGTGGATCGCTTTGGTTGAGAGCGGCAAATAGTTGGCTTGCGCAATCATTCCCAAGGTTGATACTCACACTTTCTGCCATGCAATGATGATAGGTTGCAGCAGGGTATGCGCGGAGCTTTCGGCAAACTCCAAGGTTTGGTTGCCCGTGTTGACATTGGCCAGGTCTTGATGTCCGTCCGTACCAAGATGGATGACTGCCTTCTGATACTCGGCTCTGTCGAAAGCGGGAGATAGGTTCCTCACAGGAGCGATCCAAACAAACGTGCCAGCTATCCGGATTCAGGCGATAGCTGGCACGTGTCGATTGTGTCGAAACGTTGCCGTACAGCTGTAGGGCTTCGGACTGCCGGTCCACGAGGGGTGCGCTCTTTGCGATTGGCGGTTCCGGACTTGAGCGAGGTCATATCGGCGGAGAAGTAGTGGTTGGTTCCTATCATGAAGATGATGGTTACTAAAGGAGCAAAATGTCAACGGTTATGCGTCTCATGTAAGCCATCGACGCGTTCTGGCTACTACGTTATGGCTCACGTGGAATAGAATTCTCGGTGAGATGACGGAAACGCGTGTGGTTGTGGACGTTGGAAACCTAAACGGCCGGGCTGATGTTCCATTATCCCATCTACCGAGCTCAAACGGCTCGGCTCGTCGGCTACAAGAAGGCAAGAGCCTCGCCCAAACCCACTTCCTCACGCTCTCTCCAATATCCATACAGTATCCACCTTCGCTCGCAACAATAATGATGAGGCTCTCGCTCTTGTCCACCGTCGCTGCAACGGCTGTCGCCTTCTCGGTCCCTCTCGCACGCGCTCAGACGAACGGCACGGCTCCCTACAAGTCAATTCTAGGGCTTTGGTATGACTCGGCAGACTGCACAGGTGAGTTGAGAGAGAGAGAGAGAGTCTGGCGACAGTACAACAGAACTGCATTCGCAGTGCACGCAGACTTCTAACGTATCTTCACCGCCTGTGTGAAAAAGGCATTCCAAATGTCATTCTCACGCCCGTCGGTCCCGACTCTACGACAAAGTACGTATGGGACACCAGCCTGTCCGACTGCTACACCACCTACGTGGCTTCCGGAGAGCCGTCCCTAACAAGCACGAACGCCGCTGCGGGACCAGACCGCTGCAACATGCTCAACTTTCTCGGCGTTTGCCGCGCCGGTGACCAGACGCAGGAGACGGGGTCGTACCTTCAGAAACTCGTTGGCGACTGGACCACGCTGCCGCACGCCGGAACGCCGTCCGGCCCAAAGCCCAGTCTGTTCCCAGACGAAATCCTCAAGGATTCCGCTGCAGCCAACCGTCCTTATATCGTCTCTTCCCAGGTCGGGTGAGTTTTGATTTTGACCAAGCGAACGCCTTCGCCAGCGGAGCGAGCCACATGGCGCCAAAGGCGCAATACTCCCCTCACCGGGTTTCTTAGCGAGCTCAGCAAGCGTCAGATCTTTTGCGAGCGAAGCGAGCACCTACATTGCGCCAAAGCCGCAATACTCCCCTCACCCACGCCCAACTTCCTTGTCGCGAGCGGCGAGCAGGGTATTGTTTCAACCATCCAACCGTCCAATTATGAGTGTGCCAAAAGCTCATACATTCATTCTCTCAGGCCAACAGGATGTGATGGTCCTTTCGACATCTCTCTTAGCTATGCCGGGAACTCCTTCATCTCTCTTAGATATGCCGGGAACTCCTGCATCTCAGATGTCTACATGGGCAAGAAGTACTGGCGCAAATTCACATGCGACTCGAAGGGCGTCGCCACGATTTTGCAGAGATGCAACGACGACTGCACGCAATGCGAACGGAATTCAACATTGGTTCCCGACAAATGTCCTTCTGGGGCATCGGCCGGTGCCAATGACCCCCTTGAATTCGGATACTGTACATTGCCGATCCCGGGCACCATCGATGTTGTGAACGCTACTACTCTACCGCCAGGATTCCGCCCTCCTGGGGCGGATGCCAGTAAAACACCCTCCGGTGCGCCCACTACTGGGTCCTCTGGTGCCGCCGCCTCCACTACCCAGGGGTCAGTTTCGGACAAAAAGTCTTCCGGAACCGCGACAACCTGGACGTTGAGCAGCCACAGCTTTCTCGCTGCGATAATGGCAGGTCTGCCCGTCGGACTGTTTATGACTGTCGTTTGAGATGTTCTTTCAGGGCGGAATTACATAGAAGGAAACACACTCGACTGTGGGCACGGTTTGCGCATAAACATTTTTTGCGAGATGCTAAGCCGCGGGCGCCGTAGACCATTATGCTGGTTTTCATGATGGTCCTTGGAGTTGTAGATGGATTTTTAAGGTTGACGTACACTAGATACACAGAACATTCTTTCGAAATAGAGGGACTTGTCAGATTTCGTTGATCGCAACCGGACTTCCCAACACCCATCTTCCGGTCTGTGGTTGTCAGGCTTCATGTCTCGAATTCTTGGTGGTTCTAAGAAAAGACTCCCGATTCAATGATGCTCCCTTGTACGCTTTCTCTGTGCACATTGTTCCAAAGACAAGTCCTTGATTCAACCTGATTGATGTTGCTGCCAGTTTTTGGAGAAAAAAACTGAATTCAATCATGAATCTGTCGTTACCACCGGTATGGGGGCAGTGGGAGCTATTGTTAGCTTTGTGCTCGGATTGTTCGACTTCGCAACGGAACACAATGCGCGACAAACTGAATTGTGAAGCCCCAAACCGTTGGGCAGCAAGCCCTCTCCCATCATGCTCCTCTACCTCTTGCTCATCCTCCTCTTCCTCGCCTTCTACTACCACCTCTATATCGCAACCCTCATCTCCTCCCCCCAAATCCACCTCTCACCCACCTCGCTCAGAAGCCCCTACACCCTCCCTTCCGAACTCCTGCGCGCCTACACCCGCATCTTCCTCAAAGCCATCGGGCTCAACCTCCGCAAACCAGCGCGGTCTGAGGTCGCGGCTAGGAGGGCGAAGGGGATTGAGATTACATCTCCGGTGGTGGTTGACCGGGTGCATTTGGAGCGGTATGTTGGGTTGATTCGGCCTGGCCGAAGCAGCGAGATCGCAGATGATGATGTTCTCCCGCCGTTCTACTTGAACGCCGTTGCGGGGTTCCTGCAGGTGCTGTTCCTATCGCACCCTGACTTCCCGTACGCAGCTCTGGGGGCGTTGAATGTGCGGAATCGGATCACCGTCTACCGCCATCTGACTGTGAGGGAATGCACTGGTGCGGAAGGACTGGAAGCGGTGTGCAAGCTCACCGAGATCCGCGCCGCCAGGCGCGGGACGGAGCTCGATCAGTTGATCTCGGTGTTTCTGGACGGGGTGCTGGTTTGGGATTGCGTGTTCACCATCCTAGTCCTGGGCAAGTCGGGCGCATCTGCCTCGAAGGGCCCTTCTGAACCAGAGTCGAATCGTGAGAAGGAAGCCGGCCCCGCCTCGCTAACCATCACACACCCCATCCCCCTCCCCCCGACCACCGGCGTCGCCTACGCCAAACTCGCCTACGACTTCAACCCCATCCACATCCACCCCTCCACGGCCCGTCTGTTCGGGTTCAAATCAAACATCGCCCACGGGTTATACGTCGCCGCCGCTGCCGCCGCATACATCCCTGACGCTTCCACCCTCGAATTGCCGGCGCGGTATCACGTGCAGTTCAAGAGTCCGGTGATGTTGCCGAGTAGCGTGGATGTGCAGGTGTTTGATCGGCGGGAGGGGGATGGGAGAAGATGGGAGTTTGTGGTGAAGCCGGATTTTGAAAAGTCGAAGGGGATGTATAATCGGGAGAAGTCGAGGGGACGGCCGTTGATTGAGGGGTGGGTGGAGTGCGGGGAGGGTCGGACGTGACATGGTAGATGTCTTGAAGGGCGCGGGGGCATCAAATGGTAGAAACCACAAAACTATTGTCCCAATATGAATCAATGCGCCGTGCCCGCGATCACGCTTAGCGAGGACAGACGTACCGACCACGCATGTCACAAAAGACGCTTCCATTGAGAGCAGACCCCAAAAAGAATGTACATGCATATGCAAATCAAAAGAATGAAATCCCCAAAAAGAACACCACATCCCGAGATCCAAAAAAAGAGAAGGAATGAGGAACAAAAAGAATCGGACACAGACCCCAGAAAACTTTTATCCCCAACCTCAATTATGATTCCTAAGGCCCTTCTCCCTCTGTCCCCTCCCCGCACTCCCCGGATGATGCGTTGGTGTCGCTCCATACGGGTTACCCTCCAACCCTCCAGCACCCCCCGTCGCAATCCTCGGTATAGGCGAGAGCTTCATATTCATTTTCGGTGGTCCGTGAGCCGCTCTCACCGCGCTGGTTGTTGATGTTGTCATCCATGAGGGCGATGATGAGGATGAGGTGCCGGAGCCGGAGCGTTGGAGGCGGGGGGAGGTGGTGGGCACGGAGGAGGTGGTGGGCGTGTAGAGTTCTTGGGAGCGGTGGACGGGGGTGAGGGGGAAGGCGAGGGCGGTGCGGGTGGTGGTCGTGTTGGTGCTGGTGGTATTCGATGCATTGCTTCCATTGGTGTACATGCTTCGTCCGGTAGCAGCAGCTGTTGAGCGGGAGGTCCCGCCACCGGTGCGTAGGCCTGGGAGACGGTTGCCGACGGGGATCTCGGCTTCGGCGGGCCCGTGGCCGCGCGCGGTAGAGAGGGCCGACCGTGCCGACGCACGTTTGGCGCCTTCGGCGTGCGAAGCGGACATGGCGTGTCGGTCTATTGGGGAATGGGTGCTGTCGGTGCTGGACGTAGACGACACGGCCGCGCCGCGATGCCCTGTGGATGTGGAATGGATCCGCGACGCGTTGCTTACCGTGACCGGGTTCGACATCCGGCGCTCGGCAGTGAACTGCGGGAGCGTTGACGCCCCGCCATAAGGTTTCACCTTCGACACCACCGCGCTAGGCACCGCGGGCCCCGCACTTGTCCGTACTTTCGCCAACCCACCGCTCCCAGTCATACTACTCGATCCACCGCCCGCCATATCCCGGTCCGCACCACCAGGCGGACCTTTGCACGCCGCGGCCGCCTTCGTTTTCTTCCCGCTGGTCGCCGAACCCGCGCTCTTCTCCGCAAGCTGTTTCGTAAACTCCGCTCTTGCATCCTCCATATCGCGTTTGCGCACCGCTTCCTCGTTCTCGAATTCCAGCAATGTCAACTTATGCTCGTCTTCCTCTTTTCGCGCGTCTTGGAGGTCGTACAGCCTCTGCGCCGCGTCAGGGGACAGATCCGCTACTGCGGCAGCTATATCCTCGGCGCCCGTGATCAACCTCCCCAACACCGTCACCAAATCCTGCTCCGTGATCCCCTCCAACCGCGGGCCCATCGGCAACGCTCTCGCCGCATCACTAACATCCATATCGCTATCCCCAATCAGCACGCCGATCCCGTCGTTGACGCGAGCTTGCAAGGCCGAGTTTTCGGCTTTTCGGAGCCCTCTGCGGATTTCTGGGAGGAGTGGGGCGACGCGGTATCGGACATTTGGTACGGGGTCTTTGACGAGCTCGAGGAGGGCGGGGAGGAAGAAGGATTCGTGGAAGAAGCGGGAGGAGTAGTGTTGGAGGACGAGGGAGCAGAGGTTGACGAAGAGGAGGCGGTGGTGGCAGTCGTTGGAGTCTTTCAGTTCTGAAAACGTTCAGGACCTTTAGTTTCGAGAGTTGCGAGCATACTATTCCGTCTCAATTGCCCGCTCCTTACCATAGATATGCCGATGCAGCCGATCCCGGTGCTCCGACCGCCGCGCATGCCGTAAGAAAACGCATACGCACTTCAACGCGGTCTCCTTCACAGGCAACACCGCATTCTACAGTGAGGAACGCCCAAGGGAGTATAACATTTCAAAAATCTCACCACTCAAAAAAGCCAAAGACAGACCTCATACCTCATGCAAAATCTTGAACATCAGTGGCACACAATGCCCATGAATCAGCTCCTGCCCGAAAATATCCGGGAACACACAAAACTGATCCAAAAGGGATTGATGGAGCCGCCAGTTGTGGCGACTTCCATACGTCGCGTACTCGCGTTCGCGGCGGAGGATTTGAAATAAGATGTCGTCTAGTTGCGTGTCCTATTTCGCATATGTTTTCAGCATTTCTAGTGCGATATAAGTAAGAGCACATATGTGAATCAAGGGACTTACCCGTCGACATAAATCATCCTTGACAAAAGCCTTCAAGGTTTCCCCCAAATGCTCCGACACACTCCGATACACATCCAGCTCGGCATCGCTGAACAGCCTCAACAAACCCGTCCTCAGATGCGTCCACGCAAACGAGCCCATTATCTCCGCGACCGAGTGCAATCCCGCCGCCAAACGTCTGCGCACATGTCGGGACGGATCCTGCGTGAGTCGGTCAAAGACGATATCAAGCCGATGGGACTCATAGCTCTGCGTAACGAGAAACCCCGCGCACGTGCATTTAACAATAGCGGGAAAATTGAATGCGCACATCTCGCGGGTGTCGTCTTCGGAGTATTGGGAGGTGGAGAGGGAGTGGTAGAAGTTGGTGAAGTAGCGGAGGTCTTGATCGGAGAGCTGCGGGCGGGTTTCCCAGAGGAAGGGGCCGAGGTGGCGGGCGAGGCAGGGGAGGATGCGGGTGGGTTGCTCTTCGCAGAGCTTTTTCCAGACTGGGATGATTGTTTGGGTTTTCACGGCTGTGTGATTGGACGCGCAATGAGTTGAGTGCGGAACTGCTACACTCCCATCTGTTTGGGGAAGCTCAATCATACCAGGCTCGAAGAAATCCATCAGATTCATGATGTTCTCTATCGCCGACTCCCGCACGACCGACTCCTCGTCCATAATCAACTCGACATACTCCGTGAGCAAATCCCGCACAGTGCATTCGTGTCTGTTGATTGTGCACGACACAGCAGATGAATGAGACGCATACGGCGTGACGATTCAACAAAAACGAAGACCTCACCCCACAGCTCTCGCAATCGAGTTCAGCTCCCTGCACATGCACGCCCGAACCTCGTAATCGGTGTCTTGGCAAAGCGATGCCGCTTTACGGATGAGAGCTTGCTGTATTCTGCAGCAGAGATGGGTATTGTCAGACTGGGCCTAGTTTGTGTGCGGCGACGAAACTCCGGCCCCTCGACCGGCGCCGCTCAGAACTCAACTGTTTGCTTTCTATTCTCGGCGCAGCGGCCCCCAGCACCCGCGCGGCCCATAATCGTTTTGGAGGTGGTTGAGCTAAACCGGTTTCCGTCAAGAATTCTGGTACAATCTGATTCGATTTCGGGTATGCGGAGTAAGATATTAGCTCTGCGTTGCGGATGATTCTCAGTGCATTGGACCAGTTCACTCACCTCCTTCTCAACAAACTCGGCCGGAAGAAACCGGATAGCGCCCAGCAAGACATCCGCCCAAATCTCTCTCACATCTACAAATCAAGCACCCCATTCAGCCAAACTCCTCCTACATCCCCATTGTTCGCGCTGGTTATCCCAACCCACCCTCATCATTCTTCGCAAGCAGCGCCTTTGCAGTATCCGCTACATTCTGCAGGCCCGATTTCGTCAACAGTTCCTTGTCAATCACTTGGATGAGGCTACGCCCGAATGCGATTTGCAGGTCTGGTGGGTCTTGCTTTACGGCGCTCAACAGTACCGGCACGACCCTACTCTTCGCTTCCGCACCCCTATCCTGCAACAGCCGACACAACGACGCCGCGACGCTATATTTCTGAATCGGTGCGCCCTGTCTGCAAAAACGCACATCAAAAAGCACATCGGTCAGCACCCTCCCTTCAATAACCCGTTCTCCGAAGAGGACACATAGGGCATGTGGTGAGATATGCTTCAGACACCTTAGCGGCACCTTAAGAGATGTATTGCCCTGCTGACTTCATCGAGCCCCTCGTCCAGGATGTAGCGGCCTATTTCCTCCTCTGTCTATGCCGTACGGATATAAATGAGTATGACATGCGAAAAACAGGTAGGGGAGGGAAGCTCACCTTATAAAGCCTATTTGAGAGTTTATGTTCGTCGGTGCCTTTCATGTGGGTGTCCAGCGATTCGGAGGCATAGCCGAGGTCCCAGTCAATGTTGTCGGAGGCCATTGCGACGGGTGTTCGGCTGGGTGAGTTGTTGGGAGGCTATGGTAGACGAAACAACATGTGGAGAGCAACTGGGCCAACTGGGGTGAACACTAGGTTGCTACTACACTGCTCAAAGCTGTCGATACCGGTTCCGTTGGTGGATTTGCAAGTCTTTGAGCGTGGGAAAGTGCAACAATATGAGAGTGGAAACTAGCGAAAGCTTAAACCGGCGGAGTCAGGGGAGGGCAGCCTAGGGCGCGCCCCTTGATTTAAGCTTTAGGGTCTCACTCCCTCCGGTTGCTGCAATGCAGACGCAGCTGTCGGTCACCTCTACATATGCCCTAACCCTAAGTGAGATGCGTGGAGGTGGCCACTGTCTGGTGCTGCCATTCTCATTGCTCTTCCGGTTCCACTCCGGTTCACCGTTCACATCCAGTTGCAACGCGTCCGTGAGGACATGACAAACAGCGTGCAGTCCGACATGCCCAACTCCCAGCCAAAGCTGCGGATTTCCCTTGTTTATTAGTCCTGCGCATGTATGTATGTACCCTCGCAACTCCATGTCAACCGCTGTAGTCCCGGAGGAGGAGGGCCTGTTTATATGCAGTCTCCGGCGCGGGCGGGGAGGCGGCTAGCAGAACCTACACCTTCACCAACGCAACGCCTGGTCTGTTTTCGCCGCTTTCCTTCCTGGCAACTGATTCGACACCCTGGTCCGTTTCACTCGTAAGCTCTGTGGATGGGAATGGTCTATCTATACAGCCCCGCAGACACCCCACCCTGTCCCATCCCTGTCCTCATCGCAACAACTTGAAAGAGCCTTGATGAGGGAGACCTGCGCGACGCGTTCTCCTCTAGATCTACAGTACGTGAGAAACGACGCGTCCTCGTAATCACTTTTCCCCGACTCTCGCATCGACGAGCATCGAGCAAACGCACTTCCGCCCCGACAGAAAAGATATCATTCCACTCCCATCCGCCACCAACCACCACGATCCAACCCACCACCCAATCATGACGTCCTACGGCCTGCCCCCCCGCACATCCCTCCCGCCATCCACCGCCTACCCAGGCGCTCACAACACCACGGCCGCAACAACAATCACTCAGGTGCCAGAAGGGAAATACACCACCACCATCTATTCGTATATCCGTGATGGAAGGCATCATGATGTGATTAAGATTCTGGCGAATGAGCTTGTTGTTAGTCCGGAGAGTCGCCCGGTGCTGAGTTTGTTGGGTTATTGTTGGTTTATGGTCGGGGGGTTCGCGGAGGCTGCTGAGTGGTAGGTACCGTGCGGGAGCCGCAAGCGAGCGGTTGATTCGCGAAGCGAATGCGGACTGCGATGAGCGACAGCGAGGTGCTTGAGGCAGGCGAGCCACGAGGCGAACGCCTTCGCGAGCACTAGTTCCTTGCGCTCAAGGCGCAATACACCTAACCACGGCTCGTAGCGACCTCAACGAGCTGCTCCGCCCACCGACGACTCACTGGCGTACGAATACAGTCGATGCCATGGCGCGGGATGGATGTATACCACACAGATGTTGACGTTTCGCTTTGACCATCGATGTAGTTATGAGCAACTCGCCCGGCTGTACCCTGAATTCGAGCACTACCGGGTCTACCACGCGCAAAGCCTGTACAAAGCCGGCTTGTACGAAGACGCCCAGCGGTCGAGCGCCTTGATCGAGACGGCGGAGAATAGCGATAAGGTGGCAGTCCAGTGTCTGAGATGAACGTTGACGGACGATGGGGAAGCAGAAGACTGACGGCGACGGCTCTCCCGTTTTTGGTAGGCGGTCAAGTTACAAGCAGCAATAAAGTACGCCACCAACGACCTAACCGGCTGCAAATTCCTAATCGACTCCCTCCCTGCATCCGACACTGATACAGTCATCAACAAAGCCTGTCTTCTCTTCAAAGTAAAGTACCGTACCTTCCCCCCCTGCCCCATGTAACCCTCCCACCCCTGCCACCATCACTAACGCCCTCCCACCCCCCCTCGCATCAAGGAAGGCAAATACGACGAAGCCTGCACAGCGTACATGGACGCGCTCAAGATCGTGGGCTACACCGCCGAACTCAGCTACAACGTCGCGCTGTGCTACTATATGCAGAAGCAGTTTGTGCCGGCGTTGAAGTACATTGCGGAGATTATTGAAAAGGGGATTCGGGATCATCCTGGTAAGGATTGCACGGTCGGGAGAGGAGATGGGTGTGTTTGCGGGGGCCGGTGGGGGCTGACGATGCCTTTTGTGTGATTACCAGAGCTGAATGTGGGCATGGCAACGGAAGGCATCGAAGTCCGCAGCGTCGGCAACTCGCAACTTCTACACGAGACGCATCTCGTCGAGGCCTTCAACCTCAAAGCCGCAATCGAGTACCATCTCCATAACCGTGCGTATCCCATTCCGATAACCCTCCCACCCCCTCCACATAACTCACGCAACCCCCTCACCCAGTGGAAGCCGCCCGCGAAGCCCTAACCGACATGCCCCCCCGCAACGAATCCGAGCTGGACCCCGTAACCCTGCACAACACCGCGCTGATGAACATGGACGAAGACCCGACGGGCGGGTTCGAGAAGCTGAATTTCCTGCTGCAGCAGGTGCCCAACCCGCCGCAGGAGGCGTTTGCGAACTTGTTGCTGTTGTATGTCAAGTACGAGTATCTCGATCTCGCGGCGGATTTGTTGGCGGAGAACAGGGGCGTTGCGGAGGGGTATTTGGATCCGGTAAGTGTATATCCGATACTCTGCCTGGGGTCTGAGAAGTACCCACCTCGATTACTCACACTCCCCGGTGGTTCCAGAACGTCTACGGTTTCATCGAAGCCTCGCTCCTCCGCCAATCTTCCGCCGAAGAAGCGTACAACAAATTCGACGACCTCGCCAACCGGCAAGCAGACATCCTCCGCAAACTCACCAAACAGGTCCAGGAGGCCCGCGCAAACCATGACGAGGACGCCGTTAAACGCATCGTTAATGAATATGACGATGCCGTCGAACGGTAAGCGGTTCCCATCATGCTAATGTACCCCCCTTTCCCTCCTCCCACCAACTAACCGCCCCCATGATATGTTTCTTTTTAGCTACATCCCCCTCGTCATGTCGCAATCGCGCATCTACTGGGACCGCGCCAACTACGCGATGGTGGAAAAGATCTTCCGCAAATCCGTCGAGTTCTGCAACGAGCACGAGGTGTGGAAACTCAACGTGGCGCATGTGCTGTTCATGCAGGAGACAAAGTACAAGGAGGCGATCAGCTTCTATGAGCCGATTGTACGGAAGGGGTATGACAATGTGAGTGTTCGGTGGTTTCTCACGGGGGTTGAGGCTATCCTCCTCTGACTTCAAAGCGAGACCCGTCCCATCGCACACACGAACTGATGTATCGAACTTGCCACACAGATCCTGAACGTCACCGCCATCGTCCTCGCAAACCTCTGCGTCTCGTACATCATGACGTCCCAAAACGAGGAAGCCGAAGACCTGATGCGCAAGATCGAAAAAGAGGAGGAACGCACCTCGCTCCCCGCCGACCCGTCCTCCGACCCCTCCTCCGATCCCTCCGATCCCTCGAGTCCGACCGCGGTGGCGGGCGGAGGGCGGAGACGGACGTACCACCTGTGCATAGTGAATCTGGTGATCGGGACGCTGTACTGCGCGAAGGGGAACTATGAGTTTGGGATCACGCGGGTGATGAAGAGTCTGGAGCCGTTTAACAAGAAGGTAAAACCCTATCACACATCCCCCTTTCTCGTCGGGGGGGGGGGGGGGGGGGGGATAGTCAGAACTCCTCATTCACATCTTTGATGGGCCTTTTTTTCCAGTTGGGCACCGACACATGGTACTACGCCAAACGCTGCTTCGCGTCCCTCTTCGAGATGCTCGCCAAGCACATGATCCTGCTCAAAGACAGTGTATTTACCGAAATCCTCGCGTTCTTTGACGCGTGTGAGCTGCATGGGCGGAATATCCCCGCGGGGGGCGGGGGGGTGGGAGGGGCCGGTGTTGTAGGAGGGAAGGAGGAGGGGAAGAGGCGGAATGGGAATGTGAGCAGTGAGGCGAGGCTGTTGAAGAGTTTGTTTTTGAGGCTTTATGCTTGATGGGGGCAACATCTGCGGTTTTTGGGATGCGTGAAAACATGTTTTACGATACTTCGAATGACAATACAAAAGCCGTATGCATATCTCCTTCCATCCTCTATTCCCTCCTGGCATCCCTAAATCTCTAGCAAAAGCTTGCAAAACATCAAATCCACAAACCCGTCCAAATCTCCTCAATCCAGATGCACACCACTACTCAACCCCAACCCTCAACGCCTCCCCACAGACCGGCATACCCTCAACCCCCTTGACAACCTCCCCCTCGCCACACGTCAGCACCACCTTCCTATTCGCCGCCAACCGCCCTTCCGCAGCCGCCATCATCTTGCCGCTGCGGATGGAAGCGGTGTTGGAGAGGGTGACGAGCGCCGCTGTCTCAAGGTTGGTGATGACGTCTTGCAGTTCGGTGCGGGTGACGGGTTGGATGTCGATGCGGGGGTGCTTGCTGAGTGTCACATATGTTTCATAAACCTGGGTGTGTGGTGGTGGTGGGTGGTGTGTCAAGTTTCATGCATTGTATCATAGCGTAACCCCTCATCCCCGAGCAAGTCGAATGTACCACATACCTTCGACATGGTGGTATCTCGTCCGCCGCCGGGTGCCCTGGCCATAACCACGAGCGCACAAAGCACCATCTTACAATGTAAGCTCAATGCCTTGATCCGATTCACCACCGGGCTTCCAAACACCGCATTCGTCGCGCTCAGGATATGTTTCACAGTCACTTTTGGTAGCGTGTCGAGGGAGGAGAGGGGCGTGTCCATCAGGAGGGGGGTTTCGGCTGTTGTTGGGGTTGTGAGGGCGGCGCCGATGGGGGTGCTGGGGAGGGGGAAGGGTGTTGGGCGGAGCGGAGAGGGACCGGCGGTGGATGTGAGGGAGGCGTTGCGGCGAGGGGTGGGTGTGCCGGGCGCGGGGTTGGCGGCGAAGGAGTTGTTGTGAAAGACGGATCCGTTCGCAACCTTCTTTTTGGACTCGGCTTCGACCATCTCGATCGCGTGGCTGTACCATCGGAGAGTAAGCTTTCGCTCTTTCGGAATACAATGACACGGACAAACATCCGACTCACCGACAAACATCCAGCGCCTTCCTCAAGTCCCCCGTCCCCGCCATCTTCCTCGCACAGAGCTCAATCGCCATATCCTGCATCAACGGCGTGCCCACCTTCGCTCTCGTCGTCGGGGTCATGTTGCCCAGGACCGTAGTGGCAATCTTGGTTGTGGATGCTGGTGAGAGCACGTTTTCGCGTAGGGTGTCGGTTTCGGAGGATTCGAGGCACCGCAGGCGTTCTTTGATGATTTGTGTGATCTCTTTGATGTCGTAGGGTGTGAAGTTGAGCAGGCGTGGGGCGCCTAGTGGGGGAAATGGGGTTGCAGATTGTTAGTACATTGTCGGTGGTGGTGTGTCGCAAGCGAGTTTGACTCACAGTTGCGGGCTTTGAGCCGGGGCAGGAATCTGTCCGTCAAGTCTAGTGCATTTGCGATACCGATCAATATCAAGCGGGAACCGGCAAGATGGGGCCATTCAAATAGCGTGTAAAGGACGTCTTGGTCTCTGGTGAGGAGAGTATCGATCTCGTCCAGAATCACGATGCTTTTCGGGGAATTGCTCATTAGTTCTCTCACGACAACTGGCCGGTCTCAAGACCCAAACCGCTATGCACTCACAAGTATTTCGACCTCCTCTTGCCGCCAGCCTCTGCACCACCACCGACAATAGCATTCTCCAAAGGCTTAAAGGCATCCTTCGTTGAATAATGCGAATCCGGCTCGATCTCGCCTATGATTTTGGCATACACCATCTTGGGATCCTTCATGGCCATGCAGTTGACTTTCACGGTGACCAGGTCGTGCGACAACTAACCATGAAGGGGAAGGATCGTTTGTCAGATGTCGCGGCCTTTCTGAGGCTGGCGAGTTGTCAGTGCCTTTCCAACGTACCTCGCCACAACCCTTCTTAAACTCCCTGACGACCTCATCAACCAGCGCCGTCTTTCCCGTCCCCGGGATGCCCGACACGTACAACGCTCCCGGCTTCCCCACTCCCGCATGAGTCTGTAAAAACGACTGCAGCTCTTGCCTCTCGTTATTCCGGCCAACTAAGCGTGTTGGCGTGCTGCATCGGCGGAACAGTGCTTTGGCCTCCTGGTAGACTGTTTGAGGCGTGCGTGGCGTGCTGGGGAGGCGCTGGAAGGGGTGTTTGCTGGATCGCGATGATGGCGTTCGCGCTGGCGAGAGGGTAGGATGTGTTGATTTTGCAGGTGGGGACGAGTCTACAGGTGTAAAATGGAGAGCTCAGTCGTCCGCAGCCAGACTGCTGCTTTACGACAGAGTGCGGCCTTACCCTGGCGCTTGGAGGTGACCAAAGTGGGCTCAACATTCTCGTCGTGCTGCATCTCAGCGGTGATCTCCTGCCCTAATTTGCGGGGCGACAAGACTTTGGATGCTCTCGAGCTGGGAGCAGCCGTTCTTTGGGGCGTGCGCGACGGAGAGGACACGCCGACTTTTACGCTGAGCGAGGAATTGGTAGCTGTCCGAGAACGAAGAGTACGTTTCGGCAAAGAGCTCGCTGGAACCGAAAAGAGTCACAAGTTAGGTGCATGAAAAAAGGAGGGTGCAGTGACAAGGAACTCTGAACCTGGACAAAGAAACTCACATAGACCCAAAACGTCGACATCATTCTCGCCGGCCGACCGAGGTCGTTTGGCAACTCGCGCGGCAGCCATTGCGCGCCAAAGACAAGAGCTCAAGAAGCTCAAGGAACGGGTGGAGTGTGCGTCGTCCTCTCGGAGGCGTACAGTAGGAGTAGGGAGCCTGAGCGAAGAGTGAAAGGCAAAAGGGAGAAGGGAAAGCGACGCGACTCGCATTCCCATTCGGACATCCATCCATCCATTCGCTCGCTCGTTCGGACAGCCGCATGAGGTGAGGGGTTGGAAGTGACCGCGGCACGTGACCTGTCGACACCGAGACTGGGTGTGTGTGAGCCTTGAGGGAGGGTGAGCACAGAAAAAAAAGGCCCCGCCTCGAGTGAAACGTGGCTGGTTGGTCACTCCCACTGCAGTAATAGGGCGCGACGCGTGGAAGGGCCGCGTGAGGGCCCCCATGCGCTCTCTCTCTCTCGCTCGATTGTTTCCTCGGGGCCGAGGAGGTCCTCATTCTTGCGCAAATAATAAAACCCCCCAGCTGGCATCCCTGAGGTCTGCGTTGTGCGATCGCTCGTCCTTAGTAGCAGAGCCCCTTCAACTAGCTATCCACAACACTGCCCGGCCCCCAGCCCAGCATGTCGACCATGCTAGCCTTCCGGTCGCAGTCCCACGCCCGTCTGCGGCACCCGCAGTGTCTGCACCAATGCCAGCGAAAGTTCTCGAAAACGGCGATGGTGGCGGCGTCCGCCACCTCTACTTCAGCCCGCCTATCCATAGGTATCCGTGCAGAGCAGAAAAACCGATGGGAGCGGCGCGTGCCGTTGATGCCGGAGCATGTCGAGCGGCTGGTAAAGGAGACGGGGACGAAGGTGTATGTGCAGCCGAGCACGAAGCGAGTTGTGCCGGACGAGAAGTATAGGCAGGTGGGTAGGCTGAACATCATCAGCTTCGAACCCTCATAAAACATGGTGCTAACGAAGCTACGTCGTTCCATACCAGGCGGGAGCGATCATCGCTGAGGACCTGTCTGTCGCGGATGTGATTGTTGGAGTCAAGGAGGTGCCAATAGAACAGCTCATCGCCGACAAGACGTACCTGTTCTTCTCGCATACGCACAAGGGGCAGAAGTACAATATGCCATTGCTGCAGGCGGTTTTGGACAAGGTGGGTGTGTTTCCTGTCATGAAATCTCACTCGCCACTCGTCGATGCCAAACTCCAATGTTCGTGTCACAGCGCATCAGATTGATAGATTACGAGCTCATGACAGACGACACCAAGCGGCGTGTCGTCCAGTTCAGCCGCTTTGCCGGTTATGCGGGGATGATTGACAGCATGCATGGGCTGGGTCACCGACTGCTGGCCCTGGGTTACGGAAACCCTTTCTTGGTGGGTGTCAGGCAAAAGGAACTTCACCAAGAGTCCAATGTTCTTATCTCTCGTGTGTGTATGCAGGCGATTGGAATGTCCTACATGTACAGAACCCTTGCGGACGCCCGTTTGGATGTGACGCGCACAGGACAGGTCATCATGGACGACGGGCTGCCCAGACAGATGGGGCCGATGTCGTTCGTGTTCACGGGAGACGGACATGTTGCCAGAGTATGTTCCATTGTGGAAGATGGTTGCGGACGTCTTGAGCTGGAACTCATTATGCGGGATGTAGGGAGCAATGCACGTCTTCAAGTGTCTGCCGCATGAATGGGTCAGCCCAGATGAGCTGCGCGACCTGTACAAGACTCAGAGTGGGTAGATCGATTCTTCCGATCCGGAGGAGCCCGAAGGTTGACATCCTCCATTTGCAGGCTGGAGCCACCACCGAGTGTACGCGTGCCAGGTCACAGCATCTGACTATCTAGTGCGGAAAGATGGCTGGAAGTTCAATAGGGACCATTACCGCGAGCACCCGGAGCATTACATGTCCATTTTCCATGAGAAGGTGCGCATCATGTTGGTCATCTCCAGAGTGCTTCAACTTGCCTGATACTGACGTCCCGCTTTCGAAAAGATCGCGCCATACACAAACGTCCTAGTGAATGGCATCTTCTGGGACGAGAAGTACCCTCGGCTGCTGACATCCGAACAAGCAACCCAGCTTGCGAACGAGCATCGCTTACGCATGCTCTCCATTGCCGACGTCTCCTGCGATATCAACGTAAGGAGATGACTGCCATAAGAGTTTACGCACGAATTCAGTCTAACATTGTCTTGAAGGGGTCGTTGGAGTTCATGAGCCACTCTTCTACCATCGACAGTCCTTTCTACATGTACGATCCAGCAACGCGGACCACTCACGATAAGTACGTACTTTCCAAATCTCATGCGATGTATCCATGGAATCAATTACTTACCGTCCGTAGCATGGAAGGCGCAGGGATCCAAATCATGTCCATCGACAACCTGCCCACGGAACTGCCACTTGAGGCCAGTGAATACTTCAGCAACGCCTTGTTCCCTTACGTCAACCAACTGGTAAGGAAACTGCGTTTCGCTCGCCCGGTGAACTCGGATCTCACCCGCGCCCCATTCATGTTTCGCAGGCAATGGGCAACGTCGACCACCCGGTCCTGAAACGCGCGACCATCGCGACCGCCGACGGCAAGCTCGCGCCTGCTAGATCCAACCTCCAACCCATTCTCAACGAGTACGGCAAAGGAGCCAAGGTCACCGCCAGTCAGAACGTGCTTTTGCTCGGGTCCGGATTTGTCGCGGCGCCGCTGGTGGATTACCTCTTGAGGGCACCGCATCGGTCTGTCACAATTGGTATGTGAAAGGGAAACAATCCTTGTTCTTCTCTTTCTGGCTCTGATGGATGTTTGGATGTCGATAGCGAGCAATAGCGCGGAGGAAGCGACGAGGCTGGCGAATGGAAGGGCGAATGCACCCGTCACGGGCCTGAACGTAGCTGACAAGGAGGCGTTAGCTGGACTTGTGGCGAAGCACGATGTTGTTGTCAGGTAGGCGGGTTGCATGAAGTTGTTGCACAAGTTGAACAACCTGACCAACACCTTTTCCAGCTTTGTTCCGGCCACCCTTCATCCGACTGTGGCGGAGGCCTGCATCAATGAGGGCAAGAACATGGTCACCGCCAGTTACATCTCCCCCGCCATGCAAGCTTTGAACGACAGGTAAAAATCCGGTGTACCTTGCCCGGATGTGCGGGAGCTAGAAGCACTGACATCTGACACCTTCCCAGAGTCAAGCGCGCAAACCTCACCATCCTCAACGAGGTCGGTCTGGACCCCGGAATCGACCACCTCACCGCCATGCAACTTTTCGACGAGGTCAAGGAGAAAGGAGGCAAAATTACGTCGTTCGTGTCATGGTGCGGTGGTCTCCCCGCGCCGGAGGCGTCAAACAACCCGCTGGGGTACAAGTTCAGCTGGAGCCCGAAGGGTGTACTTCTCGCTGGATTGAACTCGGCGCATTTCAAGAGGGATGGCGAGGTTTGTTTACTTACCCTCTCCCTTTCGCACATCATCTCCTTCCACTTGATCTCTAATTTAGCATGTGTTTTATTTAGATCATCCAAGTCCCCGGCTCACAGCTGTTCGAATCGCGGACGACCGCCTCCATCGCCAAGGGCTTTGCGCTCGAGGGCATTCCCAACCGTGACTCGCTCAAATATGTCGATCTGTACAATTTGGGAGACATTTCGGACCTGGATACGATGTTCAGGGGAACGCTGAGATACACGGTAATGTGACTGGTCGATTGGCCTTTTGCAAGTTGACGAAAGTTCTAATGAAAAGTCGTTTGCTATAGGGATACTGTGATCTCATGGCCACTTTCCGAGACATTGGATTGTTCAACGATGTGGAACGGACGGATCTGAAGAGCGGGGTGTCGTGGGTAAGTTGCGCGTTTTCCAGGAGTTGTGATTTGTGTTCCACGCTTACACCTGAATCATTGTCGCAGGCGGACTTGACCAACGAGCTTCTCGGCATCGATGCAGGCTCCGATGTCCGCACTGCCATCGCCAACGTCCTAGCCTCCAAGGGCAAATCCCCATCGGAAGCTCACCTCGACACTGTCGTGTCTGCACTCCAATGGTACGTTACGGAAAGGGCACCATCAGTTGCCATTCACCGCGTTCATCCCGGGTCGAGGTTTGAACTCACATCTCTCCCACACGCAGGCTGGAAATGCTCTCTCCTCACACCCCCCTCCACCCCTCCTCCACCATCCTCGACGCGTTCTGCGCCCACCTCCAAAAACGCCTCGTCTACGCCCCCACCGAACGCGACATGGTCGCCATGCACCACGAGTTCGGCATCAAGTGGCGGGACGGCTCGCGCGAGAAGCGCACCTCCACGCTGTTTGCGTATGGCGAGGTCGGGGGATACACTGCGATGGCCAAGACGGTCGGACTGCCGGCTGCTATTGGAGCCGAGATGCTTTTGGATGGTAAGTGTGTGATGGATTTTTTTTGGCGCAGGAGTGGGAACTCATGGCTTTTTCTTTTGGGGTTTCGTGTAGGTCAATTACGCGGCAAGGGAGTGATTGCGCCCATGACCAAGGAGATCTACGAGCCGATGTTGAGGAAGTTGGAGAACGAGAACATCCGCTTCGTGGAGCAGACGTTTCGGTTGTAGATAGCGGCGGTGTTGGTAGTTTGGGGACTGGGACCTTGTCCTGTAGAGTTACTCATGTGGACACTGAGATCGTCCATTTCCTGCGAACATTCAGGCGTAGATGGTCTCTAAATCGAATGATTGATCATGATACACTCTTCATATGTGACTTCATGGTGTATCTAGGTGCGGTGCATCGTTGTGTGAAGACAAGAGGCCGGATACAACACTGGTTCACTTTCACATCAGCCCCACCCTATCTATATCATCCGCAAACGGGCTTCGCAAGATCGCCATGGGGCCGCACCGCGAACGGCGCCTTCGGGCTCGCGTACGAGGACGATTCGCCGCCAGGACCTCCAGGACCGAAAATGCTACGCGCTCAATTACGGCTCCGGCTGTACCAAGGTTGACTGCGAATACATCCACCGGTGCATCCTCGGACACCTGAAAAACGCGCCCAAAACTCCACAAATGGTCCGTCACAATGTCCAATGGCATTGGACAGCTGGAAGATGGCTTCCAAACAGCCTCCGTGCTCGGGCAGCTTATCAAGGCTGCTCAGGTCGTCCGCTATCGTTGCCATCTCCGACAAGCTTTCTTGGACAATTTCATTCCCTGCCTTATTAGTTGCCTCTCCCGAACGGTCCATTTTTCAAGATTGCATAACGATGCCCGAGACCGAAGCCTCAATTGTCCGCGCACTCCGCCCCATGCTCTCACGCAGCAGCGGAGTTGGAGACGGACATCATTTGCAGCCCGGCTCGCGCACCGACGACACGTTCTGTTCCTTTTCGAAGCTAGCGAAAGAAGTCCTGGACCGGTTACTGCCGAGGAGGATTTTGATCAGAACGAAGAAGGAATGCTGAGAGAGCATAGTGGGTGGGTAGAGAACGAGCAGGTCCTTCACCGATAGGGCACCTTGTGCGCAAGAACGACAACTCGGCGAACGGTCTGCTATTCCGGTAGGCTGGTGATTCGCAGCCTGGAATTCAACGAAGCAGTGTTCTGCACACCGGGCACGCAGTGTACACATCTCAACGACGACGTGAGGCTATTAGTAAGGATGTTGGGATACTAAAGCAGGGAGAAGCGGAGCTGTCTACGAGATTCGAGAAGCTCTGGCGGCGTATCAGTGAGCGTGTCAGGTCCGTTGGGATCGACATGCGGCAATTTGGCCTACAGGCGGAGATGGATTCGTGTGCTTCGCGGACGTTGGATCAAAGGAGATTCCCCCCGAACGTTCCGACGGTGTCAGCATGGCGTAGTTTCGAGAGAGGACGCCTATCTGTTGTTGCTTTCTACAGGCTAGGGGGACTGAAGCGTTTGGTGTTCAAATGCAGTGCCTGCCGACTTCGCAAGTCCGATTTCCAGAAAAATATGTGCAGATTATATCGCAATCATGAAATCCCGTTTCAATACCTAATGCCTTTAAGCCCCTAATTCATCGACCAACCTACTCACCGCCTTCCCCTCCTTCCTCTTCCACACAAGAACATCCCGCCGCCGATCTCTCCCCGCCCGCCTTCCCTCTTTCCTCCTCTGAATCTCCGCATTCAGCCTATCAATCTCCGCCCGTAGCACCACTCCCAACTCCTCATGGCACTTAACCTCCTTCTTCAACCGCCCATTCACCTTCAATGACGCCTCCAACGCCGCGCGCGGCTGCGGATCCAGCGTCCCATATGCCCTTTGGATCACCGTATCGAGATGTTTATGCGTCAGCGACAAATGTGACACGCTTTGGGCGTGCGAGTTTTGTTCAGCTTGCGCGAGCAGGTCTTGATGGTGTTGGTTTAGCGCGGATTGTTGGCGGAGTTGGAGGGCGAGCTGGGCGCGGTGGTGGGCCGGGTCGGAGGTGGCTTGCGCTTTGAAGTTCCGAAGGGCAAGGAGTTCGCGCTCGACTTCATGGAGTTCGCGGCGGCGTTTGAGGAGGATTGAGTTTACGCCTGCATTGAAAGTATTTGGATTAGGAATGTGCTTCCTAGTGGGCACAGGTTGCATCATCAGAGTGACCTCTTCCTCACCGTTGATGCGATCTCCCCAAGCCGCATCAAAGTCCTTCATCTCGCAAATGGCATCATACCGCCTCCGTTTCCGGTCTCGGTGTGCACTCGTCAGAGAATCATTTTGTGTAGTTGTGGCGAGCAGGATCCGCGTTACTTTTGCATTCTGATAAGTGCAATGACATTAGCACTCACACGGAGAAAGGTATCGAGAGTGTAACGAGTTACGTACAGTTGATCTGGTGAGGGTGGCATACTGCTCTCGTAGTTCAGAGTTCTTGTGTTTCCTAAATTTGTTAATAAATCAGACAAAGTACGAGAATGACGGGCCTTCCATGCTGAAATGATTGCTCACAACGACTGCAGCTCCCCATGACAGTGTCTTAGAGACTGCATCCTCGCCACGATTCTTCAAGTGTCCAGAAAGCCAATAAGATTAGTACCATAACCTAATATCAATAAATCATGCATCAGAAATCATACTTGATGCGCATATCCTCCAACCTCTCCCACTTGCTCATCATATCTGCCCGGTACTGATACGTCGTCATTGTCCTAAACCGCTTCTTCCCTGCCGGTTTCCTTGGCTGACGATGACCGGCTGCAGCCGACGTTGCGCGCTTCGCAAATCCGCTCGTCGCTCTGCCCACCGTCAACCCCTGCGCCATAGCAGTAACACTAATTGCCGCATTCGACACGGCCGATTTTGGCCCCCCGCCCACAGCCGCATCTGCCCTCGCGCTCTGCACACTCTCCAACACCCTCTTCGCAACCCGATTCCGTTCCCTCGCCCTCCGTTCCCGCTCCCGCTCCCGTTCCACCCTCCCTTCCTTTTGCATCTCCTCCAACTCCCTATAACTCGGCACATGGAGTTTCACACGTCTCGGTCCCATCAAGAACTGCGCATACGGATCGGTAGCGCGCATCGGCTCGCCCGTCGTGCGCGTGAAGAGGTCGAAGGTTGAGTGGGTGAGTTTGACTGGGGTGTGGGTTAATTGGAGGGTTGCGCCGCCGCCGATGGTTGGAAGGGACGGGCGGGTGGGCGGTGGGAGACGTGGGAGGGTTTTGCGGGTTGGACGTGAGGGGGCGGTGGAGGACCTGCGGGTGGTGGTGGTGGTGGTGGTGCGGGCGGAGGCGGATGTGGCTGCGGTGGAGCCATGGCCGCGGCTTTTGCTGCTGGTTATTTTACGGGTGGAGACATCAGTGGTCGACCTAGAAACCTTTTTGAGCGCTGTGATTGAAGGTCGCAAGGGTGTTGAGCCTGGGGCTGTCAGTTTTGTTGGTGCTGTTGAGAGCCGGCGGATGCCGCTGGTGCCCCCATTGGGACCGTTCGATGCTGACATTTGCAGGGTAACGAGGAAGGAAGAAAACGAATGTGAGAGTTCAGCTCGATATGTGGCCCGGTGTCTCAAAGACATCGGCGTCGGGACCTGTCGTCAGCCTGTCGTCAACAACGAAAAGCGACAGCGCGTGCCACTGGAGAACACGTCCCGCAGGCTTCCGTCCATGACAGCGATCTCCCGTCTTCCATGTCGCAGCATTCTCACTTTCTTTCGCCCATCCTGGACATTACCCTCAAGACCTTCATTTCTAAACCTCCAGATCCCACGTATATTATATAGATCCGGATATAAGGATACCCCTCTCTAGCAGTACTCCTCCCCTCAACCCAGCGCACAGCAAAACGTTGTGGCTTGGTTGGAAAAGGAAAAAGCAACGCTATTCCCTTCCTCAATGTCAACCCTACAACCAACCTCCACCCCTCCGGCGTCGCCATGGCAGCCGATATACGATGAAAGCACACAGCTGTACTACTGGTGGAATACCGTCACTAACGAGACGAGCTGGGATGACCCGAAGGAGGTTTTGGAGAACGTGAAAGGCGAGAGTGTGGAGAATGTGAAAGTTGAGAGTGGGGACGCTATTGGCGAGAAGGGTGGGGAGGCTGTGGATTCCGAGGAGGGCGAGAGTAGGGAAGAGAATAATGCGGCGAAGGAGGATACTGTTACGGTGCCGGAGGGAAGTGAGGGGGAGGCCCTTGTGGAAGGCACCGATTCGCCACCCTCTCGTACACCGAAAGGAGAACCAAAACCCGAACCGACCGCACCCTCCATTGACTCCACAAACCCTCTCCCAGCCGATGCAACAAGAACAGAAGCATCACAAACCGCCCACGCAGACTACTACAATTCCGAAGAATACTACAACTGGTACTACTCCACGTACCAGCCACAAGCGGCTGGAACTGTAGCCGGGGTGGCAGGCGCTCCATCGGATGCGCAGCCGTCGTATGGGGGGTATGGCATATCGACGGCTTATGGAACGAAACCGGGGGTTATTGGTGTTGACTCAGGTTGGTTTGGTGAACAAATGGGTCTCCTACGTCCGAGATGGAGACTGACTCTTCTTGTAACCTTCCGATAGACTACACAGTAACAGGCGCCTTCAACCCCCGCACCGGCCGCTTCCAAAACCCGGACCGGGACGAACGTTTCGCCGCCCCAGACCAATACTTTAACCAAAACACCAAAGCCGCCCGCCAGATGAGTTTTTATTTCGATTACGACAAGTACCAGGAGGAAAGGGCGGCGAAGCGGATGGCCGAGATGAGCGAGGAAGGTGGCGAAGGTGGAGGCAAGAGGCAGAAGAAGCTGACGAAGAAGGAGTTGGAGATGTTCAAGCAGAAGAAGAAGGAGAAGAAGTTGGGGGCGTTGAGGGCGAGGTTTGGGGCTGATTGATGGCTAGTTTGCGGGGGAGACATGTGAGGGCGGCAGCTTCGGGATTTGGGGGATACGTTTGGGTTTGAATTCCTCCAACCTTTGAATAGAAAGTGGGATTGAAGAACGGCGTTGATAAAGCTCATGGGCCATCAGGACTGAAAACCATTTTATGCTGCAATCCATGGCCCATTGCGATCCCATTAGACGAGTTACCCCTAATAAACGCATGACTGCCTCCGATATTACATGTACCATGAACTCGGCAAGCAGGATATATACGTCCACCCCCACATAAACCGTAGAGGGTACAAACGTCCACCCCCACCGGCCAGAAACTTCAATCATCCCTCTCATCACCCCCACACTCCCACTTCCGCACATCCAATTTCCTACTCAGCACACCGCCCAACGCCGCCACACCCGCAACTACGCCAAAAATAAGCCACCGACATCCCCACTCCACACCCAACTCCCAAACCGCGCCCGAAATCGTCGGTCCCACTGTCTTCATCACCGACCCTGCACAGCCGGCCAGTCCATGTATCAAACCGTAATGCGCCGGGGACACCGCGTCCGTTAACAGCATGATGGACGCGAGGTAACACAGCCCTTCACCCGCGCCGATGAGGACGCTGGACATGTATATTGATGGCCACAATGCCACGTGTCCGAAAAGCGGGGGTATGAGCGCGCCGGGGATGATGAGCGCGCATCCGATCGCGTAAGACCACGTCGTGCCCACCTTCCCATGAATCGGAAAATAACTCGCTTTCAGCAGCAGTTTGGCGACAGAGACGAGCGTCATGGCGAACGAGGTTGATTTCGGTGGGAGGCCGAACCCGCCTGTTTCGATAGGGCTTGAGGCGAGAAGGGGGAGGGCGGTGTGGAAGAGGCTGTGGCTCAGTTTGTAGGTTGTGGCGAGGACGATGGGGGCGATGGTTGTGACGGAGATGATGGAGAGGTAGGGGCGGAGGATACGGGGGGTTAGGCGCCAGGCGAGGCCGAGGCGGGGGCGGTCACGGGTTTGGGAACTCCGTGAGAGGCCTATGGATTCTAATGGGACCGCGTCTTCGATGCTGGTATTGAAGTCGGTGTTGGCTGTTGCGGGATGTAGTGCCGTGTATGGCGCTCGCTGGATTGATCGTTTGAGATATCGGAAGGTGACGAGAACACCTACCTGCATGTCGTGTTTAGAAGTGTTTAGTCATCGAATCGGACGGCCACAAGTATCGGAGATAGACATACCCCAGCCAGGAAGGCCCCAATCGAGCAGGCAACGAAGTACGGCCGATCATGGAGAAACTGAGTTCCAGCAAAAAGGGCTGGGTCTCCAAGGAAGCCTCCCGCCAACGTCCCCAGGATACCAGCAAAACTGAATACCACCCCGTAAGCACTGTATGCCCATGCTCTGGATGAATCGTCCGTCGCGATCTACAAGGCCGAGGTCAGAGTGTCACAAACAGCTGCGAAACATCGTCGTCGTGCCGCATTGAGGTACCTCACCGATCATTCCCTTGGCGACCACCGAATTGCTCGAGAAAAAGCCCATCGTCGCTAACGACATGACCGACAACCAATAGGACATACTCAATCCCAGCAGCATCGTTCCCACGCCGTACCTGAAAAGATACCATTGAGCTCAAGTACTCGAATCATATGAACACGCAAGAATGCGCTGAATGTACAGTTATGTGCTGACCCGACGAGGCCGGCGAGAAGGATTGTCGCTCTGCCGAACGAATCGGACAGCTGTCCCCAGACGGCGTCCATGAAAGTACTCGGAAATGCGAATGCGGACTGCAGGAGACCCGCATAGTATCCCACCTTCGACGCTTTTTCCGCCGGGAGGAGCGCGCGTGTCATATAAGGGTATAACTTTGGGAACGGGGTCAGACCCGAATAGTGGGTTTACAGGCGACAAGCCGAGGCACTCACTGGCGTTAGCATGTGATGTATCATGATCTCCGGGAGGACGGTGCTCAGCGTCACCGCAGTCTGCTTCAACGGCAGGTTGCTCGGAGGGTTGAATATAAAGAAGGAGCGCAAGAAGCCCAGGGAGGAACCGCTTCGTTTTGGTGACACCCCAGGCGACGTCTGACTTTGCTGAACGGAAGGAACGGTGCCTCCGGTGTCGTAATACGTGCCACTGGACGTTGCGCTCCCAGGCCAGCTGGCATATGGACTGGCTCGTCCGCCCGAGGCGCCCCCGTCGGATTGCCGCGAAGGAGAGAGGTTTTCGTCGTCGCGCATAGCGTTGGAGATTCGATTGTCGTGGCGCTGCGCAAGATGGCTGGAGCGAGCTTTTGCTCGTGGTGGAGTCCCCATAAGCCCAACGGCCTATATATATAGTACACTCGATATCTCCGCAGCTGCTAGTAGTTGGACACCCTGCGATCCCGTTGCCACTGCCGGTTGGTGGGAACGTGGGGCGCTTTTATGTGAGGAAGTGCGCAACGTTCCAAGCCAGGTCCAAGCGGCCATGTGCGGCGCGTCCCGACTCGTCTGTGACGTGAACAGCACAGGAAACGGAGGGGGAAGACGCCCATCGGAGCAAGCCTCATGTGCCCACCACTTTCTTCCCCTCGGCAGCCTCTCCCACCTCGTCGCAGTACAGCATACTAGCCATGGCAAACTCACTACACACTCCCAAAAGGAAAACAAAGATAGTCGGCACACTTGGGCCCGCCTCCCAGCCGCTCATCAAGGAACTAATCCAAGCAGGTATATGACGGTGATATCTGGCGAAGTGCAACCGACGAAACATAGCTGAACTGAGTCGCTTTGTTTACCAGGACTCAATGTATTCCGACTGAACTTCAGCCATATTGAGGATCCAGAACAACAGACTTCCCTCATTGACGAGATTCGCAAATGGAGCTCGGAACTCAACATTCCCGTCGCCATCTTGGGTGATCTCGGTGGGATAGTTTGATGAATACTGGAGATTTGCTTTGCCGCATCGCCCATCACATCTGACTGATTAGTTCGGTATGCAAATTGTAGGGGGACCAAAAGTCCGGTGCAACGACTTCAAACCCAAAGCTTCCATCTACCTCGAGCGCGGGCAAACCGTCAAGCTGCGCGCCTCAGACGGACCAGGCGCCGACGGTCTTATCACCACAAAGATCGAGCGTATCGTCGCTCAACTGAAGCCGGGCGACCGCGTACTCCTGGACGACGGCAACATCCGCCTCAAAGTCTCTTCACGCACATCAGAGACCGAGCTCGCGTGTGAAGTCATGGCCGGCGGCGAGCTGAAACCGCACAAGGGCATCAACGTTCCTGACATCCGACTCGACGTCCCGGCACTGACAGAGAAAGATAAGAAGGATGCCCGATACATCTTCAAAAAGCGATTGGAGTATGTCGCCATGTCCTTCGTCCAACGCGTCGAGGATGTGCGCGAATTGAAGGACTTGATGGAAGTGTGGGCCAAGGATGACACGGAGGTTGACAACCCGCAGACGAACGGCGGTGATTTGGCAGCCATTGAGCGGGGCTGGCGCCCACGTATTATTCTCAAGATTGAGAAACCGCAGGCTTTGGACTGTATTGATGATTTAATCCAAATTGGCGACGGGATCATGGTGGCTCGTGGAGATCTGGGTGTGGAAGTCAGTTTGGAGAAGGTGCCGGTCATTCAGAAGATGTTGATTCGGAAGACCAATGCTGCAGGTTAGTCGGTCTGATTGGGATGCCTCACGGCTGCCGAGCTTCTTGTTGATATAGTATGAGAAACCTGACCCGCGATCCTGCAATCAGACAAGCCTGTCATCACCGCGACCCAGATGCTGGAGTCTATGATCACTTCACCCGTACCGACTAGGGCTGAAGTCAGTGACGTCGCCAACGCCGTGTTTGATGGAACCGATGCCGTCATGCTGTCTGCGGAGTGCGCGACGGGCAGGTTCCCTGTCGAGACGGTCACAATGGTATGATTTCGATTTGGTCGGATCTCCCTCCTTTACATCGCAGTGAGGCACACTGCCCTTGAAACCTTGATCTCTAATCCAACGCACTGCAGATGGGCAAAGTATGCGAAATGGCCGAAGACGGCGCGGCTTACATGCAAGTCGCGGAAATCCAACAGCGTGAGCGGCCACAGAAAACGGCGGCCTTGGAATTCATCCATCCTATCGCCGATGCCGCCGTAGCTGCAGCCAAAGAGGTCAACGGCTCATCAATCATCGTCTTCAGCGCCCTCGGCGACATGGCCGTAAGTCCCACACCCCCTCATGTTCCCTCATCCCCCAAACCTAATCTCCTGCCCTACATAGACCTACGTCGCGAAACGCCGCCCCAAACTCCCCATCATCGGCGTCGGCGCCACCCTCTCCGCCTACCGGCGCATGGCCCTCATCCACGGCGTCACCCCCGTCATCAGCACCGCCCTCGCCCACTGGAACAATCCGTCCTCCCCCGCAGCAATCCCACCCCGCGGCTTCGCCAACACCGACCAAGTCTACGCGTTAGCCGAGCGGGATGTGGCCGACCAGGTTGGGTTGGAAAAGGGCTCGGCGGTCGTGTTTTGCGCGGGGACGTATAATGTCTGGCCGGGGCTGAGTAATACGATTAAGTTGGCGAGGTTTGGGGATGCGATGATGCATGCGCATGCAAGGGAGTTGTGGAGTGAGGCTTTGCTGGGGGTTAGGGGGGTGGCCAAGGAAGGGGTGAATCATTAGGATGGATAGGTCTTCATACAATCACAGTCTATTGTCTGGTGTCGCATGGCATTGGGCGACGGCCTCGAATCGTCTTTTCAGTCGTATGGAGTGGTACAATCCTCGACATAGTCGGCGTAATGGTGTTAGGATACAATAGGTTTCGCTCCTCAACTTTGTACCCTCCTACCGTAGCATACACAGTCTTTTGCATCTTGTCAAGAACAGTTCTTTCATCCTCCTGTTTGTCTGCGAAGCGTCAACGGGCGGTAGTCAACAGACACTAACCGTCTTCGCGCGACGGTGGGCACGAGTAGAACGACGCCGATGACAACGCCATCGCGAGCGGGCCGGGTGAGGTCGCCGGGGTCGGCGACGAGCCTGATTATCGGATTGCTTCCAGCAGATATGGTACTAAAACGCCGGTTCCAAACTTGTCGATAGACATCATATATTGAAGGTGCTTCGAACCTATCTACCTGCCTTTTCCTATATCGGCTACCTGCTCGGAAGATTTCCAGTCCAACGACGTCGTCAAATCTAATAGCTGCCCTAAGCCCGCTCCAAGATAAGAGCAATGCCCTGGCCCCCGCCGATACACGCCGTCCCCAACGCATAACGCTTCTTAGTCCTCTGCAGCTCATGCGCCAAATGAGCCGTAATCCTCGCCCCACTAGCCCCAAGCGGGTGTCCAATAGCAATAGCCCCACCCGCCAGATTCACCTTCGACATATCCCACCCCAGCTCCCTCGAGACCGCCAGCGCCTGCACCGCAAACGCCTCATTCAGCTCGATGATGTCCATATCCTTCAATGTGAGCCCAGCCTTCTTGAGGGCACCCTTGACGGCGGGGACGGGCCCGATGCCCATGATTTTGGGGTCGACGCCGGTGTAGTGCCAGCTCACGAGGCGGGCGAGGGGTTTGAGGTTTTGAGATTTGATGGCGGATTCACTGGCGACGATCAAAGATGCTGCTCCGTCGCAGATTCCGGAGGCGTTTCTGGGGAGATGGATAGTTAGTTGCCGAGGATAGGTGTGGAAGGTATATGAATACTTGGATGGTGCTTACCCAGCGGTGACAGTGCCCGTCTGCTTAATGAATACAGACTGGAGCTTTGCCAGGGTTTCCAGGGTTGTTGATCCCCGTGGGTGCTCATCCGCTGTAAACGACTCGGTGCCCTTCCTGGTCTTTATTTCCACTGGTGCGATCTCGGCATTGAATATGCCAGCCGCGTGCGCTGCAGACTGAGGGTCAGATACAGAACGGAACAGAGCGCCAAGAGCTAAGCACTATCACCTTTGGCGTAGTTCTGTTGAGACCTCAAAGCAAACTCATCGGCTTCTTTTCGTGTGATGCCGTACTGCTTGGCGAGGTTCTCAGCTGTGATACCCATGGGTGTCTTCTCTGGGAAGCTGTCTACGAGGGCGTGGGCTAGAGTATCTTCCAGCTTCTGGCTACGCTCAACGCATCAGCAGACATTCACTCACAATAGACAATGATTGCACAACAGCCACTTACTCGACGCCGTATCTGGTACCGAAGCGCGCGTTACGCAGCGCATAGGGTGCCTGGGTCATGCTCTCCGTTCCACCCGCCAACACGACCTCGGCCTCGCCCAAGATGATTTCCTGGGCGCCGTTGATCACGGACTGGAATCCAGAGCCACATAATCGGTTGATGGTGAGTGCGGGAGATTCGATTGGGACATTGGCGCGGTGGCCGACGTGACGGGCGAGGTATGCAGCATCTGGGAAAGGTAAGGGTTTTAACTGGAAGCCGCATAATTAAAGTGGAACTGATCGCCGAAGTCCTTACCAGCAGACGTTTGCAAAACATTTCCGTAAATGACGGAATCTATCTTAACCCCGTCTGGCAACTCTTTCACTGCGGCAACGGACGCAAGACCTCCTAGCTCAGTTGCCGAAAAGTTGACGAGTTTCCCACCAAAGGCACCGAATGGCTAGAAGTTGAGATGAAAGAATGATTCGTACGTTGAGCTGACCGGAATCACCGCCCTTCTTTCCATGCAGAGCCCACTGAGGATTTGAAGATAAGATGCTGTACATACCGTCCGCTTTGCCGCGACTGTGCGATCGTGAGGGATGAGGAGTAAGACGCGAAAGGACTGTTAGTACAGAACAACGAGGCGACGCGCATAACGATGTGGGGAAGGCACCGTACCGATGTAAACGTTCTTTGCGAGCTGTTTGGAAGGCATTCTGGATGAAGCAGTGGTGGGGAAACTGGAGCAATGTCAAGTGGACATGGAGGGAGCTGGTCGTTGTTGGAAGCGAGTGAAGCACAGCGACCTTCTCACGCGTTTCCCTCGTGCCTTGGACGTCTGTTGGACGTGCCTTTGGAGGCCTTTCGATTTCCCACCTGCCCGCTCTGTGTGAGGTGCTGGTCACTGGACAGTATACCTACACAAACCTTGCAACTATGCCTACGCCCAAAGGCAGCGGCTCCAAAGGCGCCAATGCGTCCGCCACCCGAGCATCCCCACGACAGAAGCTCATGGAGAAGGAGAAGAACCCAAGCCTCAACATTATCCCCGAGCCGACTTTGCGCGCGATCGCCGAGCATATCAAGACAAAAGGAGTGAAGAAGATTTTGGTCCTCACTGGAGCAGGCATATCGACGTCCGCTGGAATACCAGACTTTCGGTCGCCTGGGACGGGATTGTATGGAATTTCGGTTTACCTGCACAATCACCGACAAGTTGGGCAGGAATTGACGCTACTGTGCCCTTCTTTTCTCCAGATACGACAACTTGAAAAGGTACAACCTACCCTATCCAGAAGCCATCTTCGACATCAAGTACTTCCGCCGAAAGCCCGAGCCCTTCTTCACTCTAGCCCGCGAACTCTATCCGGGCTTCTTCCGACCGACCATATGCCACTATTTCGTGCGATTATTGCAGGACAAGGATGTATTACTACGGAACTACACGCAGAACATCGACACCCTGGAGCGGATAGCAGGGATCAAACCCGATAAGCTCCTGGAAGCGCATGGATCGTTTGCAGAGGCGCATTGCCGCGGGAAAGCTGTGCAGCTGCCTGTCCCAGAAGTTGAGAACGCTGCAGGAACGGAAGATAGCGATAGCGACTCAGACGACGAAGACCGGTGGCGAGTCGTACCAGGGTGTGGGAAGTCTTTCAGCCAGGATGAAGTCAAACGCTGCGTGTTTGCGGGCGAGATCCCGCGGTGCGATGTCTGCGATGGGCTGATCAAACCGGACATTGTGTTCTTTGGCGAGTCGCTGCCCGCGCGGTTCCACGACCTCATACCTACCGATTTCACCGAATGCGATCTGGCGATCGTCATCGGCACGTCGCTGCAGGTCGCGCCGTTCTCGAATCTCATCAACATCCTACCGGAGACCGTGCCGCGGTTGCTCATAAATAGGGAAGTCGTCGGTGTTGATCCGTTTTCGACGAGATTAGGGTTCGATTTCGTGGGCGACAGGCATCAGTATAGACGGGATGCCGTGTTTTTGGGGTCGTGCGATGATGGATGCGAGGAGTTGGCGGACCTGCTGGGCTGGGGTGAGGACTTGCGGAAGTTGATGGAGGAGAAAGCGGACCTTGTGAAAGTGGAAAAGGTTGAAGATGCGGAGCATCTCTCGAAGGACCTTGCTGGCGCGATTGCCGAAACGATGGGTGGTGGGCCTGTTGCGGCGAAAGAAGAGGACAATGTTGACGAGCTGGTGGAAGGCATGCAGAATCTTCTGAAGAAAGCGCAAATGTAGAGCGCATTTTCTTCGCCAGCATACTCGGATCAGCCGTTCCGTTTCCTTAAGGAACGTCCGTCTAGTGTAGGGAATCTTATGTTATGCACACTACGTGAGAAGGCAGAGACACCTGTACATATCCACATCTGTATAATTGATGTCCGTATTGTCGTCCCAGCTGCTTACCAGAGCAGTTCTACTGTACGTTCAGATCTTACGTACGCTTGCTCTGCGCGTCTTGATCTAGTTAACTTAAAAGGGGCGTTCCCGCCCGCACACTCGCATACGCCTCAGAACTTGAAGACCTGTCGCTGTTGATAGCCCAACTTCAGCAGTATGCCTCCCAATGGCCCTTGCTCTTCGTCGTTCTTCTTCGCCCCTGCCACATGCGCAACAAGACTAAGGGTAGACATCAAGATCAATGACCGTGCACTTCCAATATTCCGGATCAGAGGTAATAGGACTCACCCATCAGGTCCACAAATGAGAATCGCAGCCTCCGTCCCTTGACCAGGAGCAGGGAGGTATTTCTTGATCATATCCGCATTGACGAACCCAACATTTCCTGTCCACGTAGGAGTCTTTGGTTGATCGATGGTGTAAACGACTTTCAACCGATCCGGTCTCGAAGTCGCAAGAAGCTCAAGCTCCTGACGGAGAACAATGTCGTCTTCACTTCGGTTGGCGTAGATCAGTGAGATCTTTGTGTGGTCATTGGGGTCTCGCAGAATCCGTTTGATAAGTTGGTACATGGGCGTGATTCCGGTTCCACCAGCGATCTACAGAAACGGATAGCGAGATTGAGACATCGGGAATGTGCGCTCAGGCGGCTTCACCCATCATCATACCATTCCAATCTCCGAAACGAGGTTTGGCTCATATGGTAGAGTCACCATAGGCCCGCTCATCTCCACTTTGTCTCCCACAGGTGTCGCATGCAAAAACTTGCTCACGCTTCCGCCCTCGTACTTCTTCACAAGCAGATCAAAGTGTGTCCGCGTATACGTGATCGGCGTATATGACCTAGCAACCTGGCAGGTATCATCCTTCACGACCACATGCGACGGCACAGGTATTCCCGCCGGCGAATCCGCTTGCGGGTAATGGGTGGCGAACCGGAATAAGGAGGTGTCGTGGGTTAATGGGATGATTTCCTGGAGTTTGAAGGCTTGAAATTTCTCGGGTGATAAGGTGGCGGGCATCGGCTCGTGCATGTAGAGGATGTAATATATGTCGCCGGCTGTTACTGCTACTCCGATCAAAGCGACAATGATGAAAAGGCGCTCGTGGTGTGGTTCCAGGTTCGTCGGCTTTACAGAGGTATATTGGGAGCGATGGCTACTGCGAGTAGGGGCGGCCATCACGGCCGTGGTTCGCAGTGAAGTTTGTCGTGGGAATTTTGGTACTGTTGAGCACGATCTCCCAGGGATCCTCAGCAGCTGCCATAATTGAGCCGCTCTGGTCGAAAAGTCGGTCGTGCGGAGCGGAGTGGAAGCTGTCGTCCGTAATGTTTTCCCGCTGGAGAAGCCGGATGACTGGATTGCCTGGCGACACCCTGACTGTGCTAACCTCGAGAAACCCATTTTGCCGTTCAACGCTAAGCTTGTCGTCGTCGTGGTGATTGCCCAGTAATTCACAATGGTCGTAACGACTGGATGCAGAAGAAGCAACCAAAGAAGTATGGGAAAGTATTCCGTAGTTGGAGGCGGCGTCCCGGTCGGTCCTAACCCGAAGAGGACCGTATAGATATCGCTGCCTCCGAGGCGTTGTCGGTGGACGGGGATTGCAGCACTGTACTGCAATTGCAAATGCGAAAAACCTGGGCGAACGCGACGACGAGAACTCAGAAAGCCACTAGGCCACTCCTCGTCAACAATTGCAACCTGAAGTGCGACCACGACGATCTCTCACTGCCAACAGCAGCTAACCCACGCCAAGAGACTCAAATCTCCCTTACCACAAGAGGATACTTCCAGCGGAGACGGTTCAAAAACAAGTGTGTGCACCGCGAATCACCACTTTAGGGAGTTTCTGGTAAGTTCAAGTCAATCGGTGAGAACTGCTCTGGCAGGCCAGGCAACCCCTCAAGCACAGCACTGATGCCAGGTTTTCCGTTACCCGATAGCCATAAATCACACTAGGGCCTCTTGCTGTGCTTGCAACCGGTCGGAGCATATCGAATCACTATGTCGGCAGCACGGCAACTGATAAAGAAGCTGCAAGACGCTGGCCTGCAGAAACGAATCCTACCACCAAATGTAAGCAGCGGGACAACAGGTGAACATCACCTGCGAGGAGAGCGAACCGAGGCGAAGCTGAAATTGATGGGTGCCTTCGTTGCTTCTGTGTCCGCTGTCTAATGTTCTCCCTTTACTAGGACAAGAGCTCCCACGGTCACAATGGAGCTGGAGGGGTCTTTGTCCCGCAGATAAACAAGCTCACAGTCCACTACTGCCATCCTCGGGTCGGCGCAGGGGGAAACAGCGCCGGGATGGTCGACTTCATCAAAAACCGGATAGTACATATCGCAAAAGCACGGCCATATGTCGAGATATGTGTCCGGCCAGACTTATATCGAAAACCGGCGCTAGTTGCGCAATATGCCTCTGGAAAAAAAGTGGTGGTGGATTGCTCGCACGACACTCCCAGAGAGATCGAGCAGAAGCTTGGGTTTTTGTGCGACAGTAGGGATGGCCAAGAGAAGAAGCTTACTAGTGGACAGCCGGTCATACCTGCCGGACGTACTGGGGGAGAGGGTGTTGAGCCAGTGTGGGATCCGTTCACGGCGAAGAAGACCTTCAAGCCATAGACGACTATGTCGCTTCATTGGCATCCGTATTGCAGTGCCCGTTTCATCACACAACACTGCCAGTCATCGCACCTCTCGTGCGTTAACGTGCCCACCTGTACCTGTAGTATTTAATCTGAATCATATGTAGAGTCTGATTGTTTCTGGGAAGATTGAACCGCCTGTTACCTAGATTGATCCCTGAAAAGCATGGGTATGCATCAGTTGCACGACATACGGCGGGGGATGTTTACACCGGGCACTAACAGCGATGCAGCGTTCTAGCTTCTCGCCGTACAGAACTTCATATTCACAAGTGACAGCTATTCCTCAAGCACATAGTCCACCAGCGACTCCAGATTCAGGTTGTTCGTCCACGCAAACAATGGATCAAAGTCGTCGTCTTCCCAAAGATCGTCTTCATGTTTGTACATTTGCCGATCATCCCCCGCTTTTCCGAACCGTGGTTCATTCCGCCCTTTACCGCAATTTCCCGGTTTTTGTGGTCTGCGAAGGAGTCCGTTTCAGTGAGGACCTGATTTGGCGATGGATCTTGGCAAGAAGCTCACCTCCGTTTCCACGGCAAAGCTCTCCGTTCCGGCACACCTCCTCTCCTTCTAACGTCGAAAACACACTCAGATAGCCCTGCATATGCTGCAATTCATGCGGATATCCTTCAGCAACGGGGTCCAGGTCAATGCAAGGAAAGGACAGCGGGTGACTTACGCGTTACGTTCATCTCCCGCCACCCGTTGTTGCGGCCACCCATGTATGCAGGCTTTTGGTCCAGGGAGCTCATGTGCTATGGTGTCAAGACGTCCGTTATCATATACCTTTCCCGCGGTGCTTTTACAAACATACCTGTATGAACTCCAGCCGGTTCGTCACCTGATCAGAATGTGGCATCTTCAAAGCCCGATTCTGTTGCTCCGTCCGAATCAGGTTCTCTGCATACAAGCGAACACCCATGATCGTGCAGGAATCAACGGCCGCCTGTCTGGCATGGAACAAACACATATTGTAAGCGAGAAGATCACATCGCCAAGACACGCCCGGGGCGATAGTGCCGTTCGGGGCGACACATTAATGCAGGATCAATATTCACCTGCGTATGAGACTGGATCACACGATTTCCGCTGTAGTAATGCACGCTGTTGCTTTTCGTATAAATCTTATACATGATGGTCGGTGGGAAGGAAGTGCCTCCAAAGCTGTGGTGCGTCTTGGATGTGAGTTTCAGGGCATTGCGTCCAACGCCATAATGTCCAACGCACCGGAATCTGATCCTAGCCTCAAACACAGGGTCGCGCATCAGCTCGGCTTCTTTCGGTGCAAGCCTGCGTAAGATTTCCATCGTCATAGAACGCTCCTTGATACCCGGGAGGGAGGGAGGGGGGGGGGGGGGGGGGGGGAGGGGAACACCTTTCAGTGGTCAAAGTTCCCGATATGGCGCTGAAGTAACTAGGAGCACTCACCGCTCGTAATAGATTCTCCTTCAACCACCCGAAAGTCCGTCGATCGACATACGCTTTCCATCCTCTCTGAATCCTTAAAGCGGCGTCATCCTGCACCATTTGACTTTTCAAAAGGAAAAACATGAGGCCCGAGTCGGCATTCTATACATCTCTGGACTCCATAATTGACAGTACCTTGGCGGTAACGGGATGTTGAGCTCAACCGTCTCCCGCACCCGGAGAGGAGGGAGTCCCAAGAGTTCATGATATGAGTCCTCGGCCATGAGGATAAGCTGGACAGGCAAGACAAAGCAGGATAAAGAAGGTATGTATGGTCAACTGCTCCCAATACCCCCGATCATGCTCGCTACATCTGGAAAGCCGTCAAAAAGTGGTTGCGTAAGCCGTTCCCTACATTTGATTGACAGGGGCTCCTGAAAGCTTTCTTCAATAATGAAGATCAGGACACCATACGTACTGTAGTTAGCGCAACTTGACAGTGCTTGGCAACGCGGATACGCGCACAGAAACGCCCGCAGATTCACGCCTTGTCCTCACTCCGACGGGAGCCCTCGCCATTGCCAGCCATTGCCAGTGCGAGAATTGCCGAGTCCCAAACTGACTTCCCGACAGCACAGGAAGACCTCCGTAGCCATCACACACCCCTCTTGAGTGTGCCTAATGGCCTCTCCGGGCCTATAGGGACAATCTCAACCTCGTCTCTCCTGTGACCATCAACCTTCGATGTCGACGACTTGTTTACAACTGAAATTGGGACATCGACAGCCAGATTGATAGGATGGATAACGCCACGATGGCGGATCCGGGGGCCTTGCTTTACACTCAATCGAACTTGGACGAAGCTGTTAAGGAAGCGACTCAATTGGCCTTGTCCAATGTAGGTCTGACTATCTACATGTCAAACCAGATCGTTTGCTTTGCGCTACATGCGTATTTGCTTGCGATTCTCGGCGATAGGATCCTTCTCCTGAAGGACCGGGCGACATTGTATGTTTTCTTTGCCGCAGTTGCCGCGAACTTTCTGGCAGCATTTTGGCAATATATAGCAAACACTGGCACATGGCTGGACGAATACGGAGAACACGGATACGAAGCGAATGTCGTGTACTACACCGTGAGGTCTGCCCTTGCGGCGCTTAAGACACAAACGGTCTTGTACCTCAACTATCGGCGAGTCGAGCAGGCTGCTTCGTTGTTCCTGCCCCGTTGGGTTTCCCGGACATTTCGGGTCGCAGTCTTCCTACAGTTTCCCATTACTCTAGCGAACGGTGAGGGCCTCTCATATTGGAATCCCCATCCCAACTCAGCTGACTGCTATAACCCTCTCTTTTCTTGTAGAGTTGATTCCAACAATCGAATATGCGATGAGGCAGGACAACTATGATTCGTGGTATAACTTTGGTCTTGTTACGTTGGATTGGGGTAATACGACAGGGCTTTTGAGGGGCGTGGACTAGAATATGCCTAACTATTGCACCGGTTCTTCCTTTCTTCAAGCATACGGGATGGTGATTGACTGTCTCATCGGCGCATTCACTTTCCAATCGTAAGTGGACATGTGCTAGCGTCATAGCTCCGTGAACTAACTTTAAAACACCGCTTTTATCAGGCTATACCGAATCGCCTCGCGCTCTAAAAGTGGGAGACGAGAGCATATCTATTTTGTGCTCGCGCATTGCTTTCGAGTGGGGCTTTTCGTCGCATACGACATCATCTCCGCGTTCGCTTCCTTAGTGACGGATTTTGAGGATTCCTCCCTGAGAACCACTGCCTTGTGGGCCATCAGGGTAATACCTGTAAAGCCTTATCTGCTGATCACGGATATGGCACGCTGGCGAGCTATGAGTTCCACTGGGGAAGACCAAGAGGAGAACTCGGGGGGGGTACACGAAGGTCATTCGACGAAAGTGGGGCCCAAAAAGGACCATGTACCAAAAGCCAGCACGGTTGATTCAGCTGCGTTGGAGGACGGCGAGCTATCTCTTGAAGAAGATGATTGATTGACGAAAGGCCGACTCCAAAAAAACCACCTACCTAATCAAACGCCATAGGATCAGCGCACCTGGAGAACGGGAAGGATGTATATCATGGTGTGAGTACTACGCCTCCACAGTAAAGGCGTGAAACAAAGGTGGTGGCAACGGCGGCAAGCCGTCAATCACGGGCGGCTTGTCGAAATCGGGATTAGTGAGAAAGACAACTCCGAGTGACATTCTACATTATGAGCTTCCCGTCGTTCTTTTACCCAAGAGCATGAATGTGAATATGCGGACAAACGAAGACCCAAAATGTATATTACAATCGTGCGTAGAAGTCTTTCCATATACTGTCCAAAAAAATGCCCACAGAAGTCAAGCAACGACACCACCATGCAAGCATTCCGTCGGACCGCTGAAACCCGTCCAAAAAATGTCCTCGTCATGAAGTCAACGATGAGAGGAAGAGTCCCAAAATTCCTGAAGGTCCGAGAAAGCGCGGGCATGAAAGCCCACCTCAAAACGCCCTCAAAATGCCTGCGCCATGCCTACTTTTGTCCTCAAGCGAATTTCGACCATGGACCACCATAAGTGGGCTGCACCGGGCCTTCACCCGGGGTTTGAGCTTGTTGCTCTGCCTCCGCTCCAACCATAAATCGAATGACAGTCGCGATGTCACCTAGCTGGAACGGCTTGGTCATGAAGTAGTTGAACCCGATCTTGAAGCATCTCAATCGGTCCCTGTAAAGTACGGAGTGGGTGCGACAGCAAATTAGCCTTCATCTACGGGGGGGGGGGGGGGGGGGGGTAATCACACATAGGTTGCACTTACGATTCCAGAGTCTTCGCTGTCAATGCAATCACAGGCATGGTCCACCCACGGCGACGGATCTCCTCTGTAGCTTGGAAACCGTCCATTACAGGCATAAGCAAATCCTATTTGAAGAAACAAAGCAGTCAATGATTAGTGACATGTAGGTAAGAGGGACCACGCTTGTCGGTGCTCACCATCAGCACCACATCAAAGTACTTGTCGCCCAGCTCGAGGACTTTGTTTATGGCTTGTTCACCATTGACAGCCTGCTGCACCTCAAATCCGGCACGGGCGAGGGTTGTTCCAGCAATCTTGAGCAAGACTTCGTTGTCCTCCACCACAAGCACACGAATAGCCCTGTCCTTAGAAGGATGAGTCCCCAGGCGGCGGGCAGCAGTCTTCGGCTTCTTTGCGGTTTTCGAGGCGGAGGTAGACTTTCGAGCGGGCAGTTTGGATGACTCTCCCTTCGGAGCATCGTTGCCCTTTTCCTGTTCCTGAGGCTCTTCGCTCGGCTGTTTGGTCACTGCAGTTCCGATTGTCGTGTTCGATCGTAGCAATACTTCTTTCGAACTTGGTTCATCTGCACCGCTGCGGCTTCGCCGGATCGAGGTCTGGGCTCTTTGTTCCAGTCCTTTACGTGGTTGGGGTTTCGCTTCCTTATTGCCGGGAGCTGATCCACCTGTGATGCTTTCGAACTGGTTGGTAGGGCCTGTGGTCACTCCAATGCTCGGAGGTTCTGTCGTGCGAAGGACCGGACCCGGCAAGGTCTCAGCACCATCGAAGTCATCGACTGCGAGCTTTTCCTTTTCTTGTGGTATGGATATCTCCCTCCGCGCCTCGCGGATGCCCATATTCGGGTTGACGACACCAATCGGCTTCAGGGCTGAGTCTGGATCCTCCATATCCTCGTAAGAACCAGTCCTGGGTAAGGACTGTTCGGCAACGTCGAACCACAGTGAGAACCAGATCGTTGTCCCTTGTCCGACCGTTGAGAAGGCCTGAAGCTCAGCCCCCATGAGCGCAAGCATTGCATAGGCCACATTGAGGGAAATGCTTCGCGAACCCAATGTGCGATCTACGAAGTTCACAAGAATGAGCAGAGATGCATGCTGTATGACGACTTCCGAGAGACTACCTTACCGACGGAGCCATGAGCATACGACTTGAAAAGCTTAGGCATCTCGCTACGAGGCATTCCACGCCCAGTGTCTTCGACTTCGAAACGCACCAGGACTTGAGCGCGCGGTCGATTCATATCCAACCTACTCCGCGACTTCCTGGAAACGGAGGCCGGACTGCGAGGTCCTTCACCTACCTGCCGGACATTTTCGACAATAACACGGAGAGTGACGGACCCCTTTTCGGTGTGTTCGAAAGCGTTGTTGATGAGGCTAGTCAAAACCTGGGCCAGGCGCGCTGGATCTGCCTTGATGTTGGTAGGGAACCAGCCCTTCAACGAGGTAGTGTCTGTTGCGTTGTCAGTGGAGCTAAGCCCGGCAATGTTCTCCGATGACCCGATTCGCGCCTCTTCCTCGAGGCCTTTCAGCTCCAATTGTATCGAGACGTTCTTGACTGTTTCCGTTGCAGAATTTTCTGCATCCAAAGCGAATTTTTGTGCTTTGTATGTCTCACAATAGACCATCTGCGACTTGTAGATTCGCTGAAGCAAGTCTTTCAGGTCGAACGCGGTTTTCTGGAACTCTATTGTTCCGGATTCGACCTTCGACAACATGCGAGTATCGTTCAGGATAGATCGCATCACGCGAGTAGCGTCCGATATAGATGCTAGATGGTCTAAGGCCTCGCTGTGCGATGTGTTGGCACTATGCGAAGAAATACCACCAGGCTGGCCGATCAGTCCAGGTGACAAGGGCCTAGTAATGCCGGGCGAAGTCGGGGGAAGCGCGGGGGACAACGCCTGAGGTGACAGTGCTTGAGGTGAAGCAACCGATAAACTTCTGGTGAGATCTCTGGAGCTGCTATCCTTGGAACCACTTGAATCAAGGTCTAGCCCCTTGAGTGTCTGCGACAGCGACTGCATCAGAATGCCATTAAGGCCGACGATGACGTGCAAAGGATCTGCAAAATATCAGGAATGTCAGCACAACGAGCAGGCGAGAAGGAGAATGCTGCGAGTATGTCCATACTTCTCAACTCATGGGTGGCAAACGACAAGTAGTCCGTGTTTTCGTTCCGTGCTAGCTCTGCAGCTTCCTTAGCTTCCACTGCATCTCGTACTTGGTTTCTCCACGAGGTGATATCACGGAACATAATGATTTGGATCTTCTCTCGTCCGTCCTGGCAATCGATGATGGGCGAGAAGTTCGCCTCGACGTAGAGTTCCCTTCCATCTTTTGTTCGCAGAATGGCTTCGGCGACTCCAGGCGGCATCAGCTCCGCGGTTGATTTGTCGACAGCAGCCGGACGTTCACGCTCCCCCTGCGTTATACCCGGAATTTCCAGATACGTTTTGTCAATCTCAACCACCACGCTATCCGCGCTATGATTATGGGGCGGGACCCCGTGTTGCTGCATTTCAGGTGTTGATGCGCCTCCGGAGTGATGCGCCCCATTTTCCAGGGCGTAACTGCTTGCCCAAGGCCCGGGAGGATGGGACAGCTTCGGTTGTTGAGCTTTCTCCTTCTTGATCTCCTTGGCTTTGATAGCCAGGATCCCCGGAAACACCTTGGATATGTGCATGCCGAATATGAGGTCTTCAGTTCCGTACTTGGTCAAAACGTAGGCATCATCATTGGAGTCGATGATATAGCCTTCTTTGTCGATGATGAATAGTGGGTCGCGAATGGCATTCAAGATGGAGAATGCATTGGATCGCATCCAATCAATCTGCCGCTCGCTCATTCTAGGGTTCTCGATTAACATCCCATTGTCGCGCCTCATGGCACATTTCTTCATGCAACAACGCGTCAGGAGGGCTGAGGTTAAGAAGAAGAGCATTGAGAACACTGTGGAAGGAAACAAAAGTTAGTATAAGAGTCCAGTGTCTCTAGTATTTACTTGCAACTCACCAAACGCTAGATATGGGCCCGGAAGAACCGGAGCACGTCCTGAGCACTGCAGGATCCATCTTCGATCCGCAAAAGCAATGTTGTAGTACCCGACGGTGTTGTCGTTCGCTGTATTGCCGCTATGAGAAAAGGAAACGAATGTGAGTTTCCGAGTCCAGATACACTTTACTCTTGTGAGAAACCAGAACAGCTCAATGAAACGCATACCTTGGATACGTGTAGATGACATTGTTCCTGTCAGTGGCGTCCAAGATTCGGATCGCCACGCTGACATTTCTCGTCGTTGCCTCAACGACGTCGTCAATGAGCGGCTGGACAACTATAAGCTGTTCGGAAGCAAGATGTTAACTTTCCACTTCTTTGCTACCCACTTTGGCACTTCGCCGAGCGCACACTTACCCCAAAGAATACCCCTTCGATTATTTCACGGCTATTGTTTAAACCGCTGTTTAAACCGGGCCACGGAAGTGCATATTGGTATGCTTGGCTTGTTCCAGATGGTAGGTTGACAATGATCTGCAACGAGAGATTTAGTACACCGGAGTACGCCTGAGACGGACTCACAGAAGTCGACTTGCGTGTTTACCTGAGGACTGACGCTCAAGGACTTGCTGTATGTCGCTTGAAAGATTGTTTGCTGAAGTGACTGCCCACTTCCTACGTCGAGACCGATCAACGAGTCATTCCCCGTTGGCACGAATTGCACTGGGAAATAGGAATCAACGGCATCTCGGGCCCGGACAGGCATGTTCGAGTTACTGTAAATGGCCTGCGATATGTCATCGTTCGAGCGGAATTGTGAAATCGTGCTGTTATGTGCTGTCTCCCAAGCTGCTCTCTCGGGATCTTTGACGTAAAGAGCGTAGCCGACCCATGGCACCTGGAAGAAACGTATGAGTGTACTGCTCCCTTTCAGAAACTTTACGTGACAAGAAAAATAGTACCAGCGATTTGTCTTCTATTCTGGCATCGCTGAACCGCTGGTAAGATGCCTGGTCCACAAGGACACCAGAGTCGAAGTACCATCTGTAAGCGTAGCTATTGAAGGAATGATGTTAGACCTTGGGGAAGGGATTAGATGTTGCACCAGGCATTCATAGGTGGAGCTCACATTTGTGTGTTGGGTCCTATATGTGCAGCCGAGTGTCAGCTTCGGAAAACAAAGTATCTCAAGCAAGCAAACGTACTTACGTTGTAGAGCGCTCGATAAGCCGGCGGCCGTTGAGAGGCAATCGGAATGGAGCGGCTGTCTTTCAGCAGCACTTGATGCTCTCCTGGTCAGGAAGAGGATGACCAGCGATATCTACATTCGAAGCAAATCAGCAACATGGAATTAGAAGCGACACGAGCCCCGATCACTTAGACTTACCGCGATTCCTGGCAGCAGCCATAGCAACAACACGATGTTTTTCCAGGAGGGCCGGAACTCATTTTGCATCTTGTTCCAATTCCAATAGTCCCGAGCCATCAGGGCCTTACTCCGCTTGCCCGTGGCCGGCATGTGTTTCAGATTTTGAGACCTGCCCTCTGATTGTCCGGATTGCAGTGACGATGACGATGGCTGGCTGACATTAGACCTGGTGGTCAATGTTTGCGTGGAAGCCCCCTGTAGGGCTCCCTTTGAGGGATTTTTAGTCCGGCGGACGGGCATGGCTGTGTGTCCACTGGAGGTCTCCTCAGGATGCTTCATCGGATGCTCCAAGCTCCTGAGACCACGCGCGAGAGCCGCTCGCAGGCCCTGGAGTCCTCAAGAGATGTTTCGAATTTCAGTGGGAATGGCGAAAAGGACGGTGGTCGTGCTCTGAACGACGGCGTTCGCCAAACGAAGTTTTTCATACAAGATACCGAGCGGCGGCCAGATATTCCGAATGCTGCTGTGCCATTCAATATACGATGTCCATGCACGTCTAGTATCTGCGTTGGCTTCCTCTCTGGTGTGTGTGCTCAAATGTATGCATAAGGCGGCGGTTTTCCAGAAAAGACACCCCAGTTTCCAACGCGTCGCCGTCATCAGTTCAAACACGACCTCACAGTCCTCAACATCAATCAGCCAGTTTGCCTATATTCGGCGGTGGGCTCCCCCGCCTCCGCCGATGTTGTGACACTGGTGGGATTCATCGCAGGAAATTAAATCGAGAACGTTATCGGAGCAGAACGGCACCGATTCACATTGTTTGAAGATCGGAACTCATGCCAACTTCCATTTGAGTTCAGCTCATAATATGATATTGTCGGATGACTTGGATTCTAAGGGTTGACGGGGGATATCCCCTGCACTTTTTGATCGGGAGTTGAACCAGAATGTGGCTTGATTGTGCGCGAATGAACTGGACGAAGTCCTCTGTCCGATCAAACGGACTTCAAATCCAGGATTATACAAAGCGCTGTCGAATTGGTCGAGCAGTCCTTACGCGTTGTGGGATGCTGGGTGGGATGAGCTCTGCATGCATCACAGCCCACTCGGAGGTGAGCCGCGTATATAATATGCACGTGTTTTAACGTGCCATCGCTTTTTTTTTGGAGGGGGGGGGGGGGGGGGCAACTACTCCTTCTAGATAGATCTAAACTACCATAGACCCGGAGGAAACGGTGATGGGACAGTTGGTGCGCGGTTCCAAACAGGTCTATGGCCTGGATAGCGAGAGTACTGATAGATCAGAAAGCGAAAATTTGCACCGGCTTGAATGTCTCGCCCAAGGATGATGGGTGCTGTCGGAGCTCGATAGATGGGGCAGGTAGTGCAGCTGTAGAGGCGTCGTTCGTGGCACCCATTGGTCTTCATCTTCGAGGTACAGTAGTGGCGCAGCGCATGTGTTCCCGGTTCATGGTGTCGTCGGTACCAGCGCTTCTGGTGACTGCACTTGAACCACTGCATTTCAATGTGCTTGAGTTTGTGCATGTAGTCGTCAGGGAAAGCAGGACTTGGTTTGTGAGGCCAGACCTCATACCCTTGGATTGCCGGATGACAGTTGATGGAGCTGCCCCGCTCGCTCATGATAAGGGTGGTGCACCGGCAACGGCGAAGTGTATGCGAGAGCCTTGACAGGGACAGCAGGATGTGGTCGTCGCCAGCCTGGCTTCCTGCTGAAATCGCCAGAGCCAAAGGCAAACACAGGTTGACGCGCGAGAGAGATTGCTCGTTGGTCTTCAGGGTGCAAGTTTCGCTTTGCGCCCGTCTTTCGATTGAACTGGTACTGGAGCAGGCCGCGCAATCTTCCCTTCCGTCTCAGCGAACGCGTCCACTCTCCGTCGCCCCGCTTGATACCGTGAGTGTGGCCGAGTGCTCGTGTTGAAGCCCAGCGTTGGTGCGTAATCCGGCCCATTGAGTACAGGGCAGCGTCCATGAGGGCTCGTTGTGAGTGGACGAATCTGAACAGCCGCCATCTTGCAAAGGCAACACCTTGGAATGTTTTCCGCATCCCCCAGCGCCTACGATGTATGAGAAAGAATGGGTGAGACTCCAAGTCACAAAAAACGATGCAATGCAGATGTCCACGCATGTATTTACCTTCGTTTCAATCCTTTGTAGGCGACATTGTAGTAGTTCAGGGCTTCACGAAGCCCCGTGCCGTGTAAGGTTTTTTCACTTCCGCGCAACCGCCGAATCTGTTCATCAATCCGTTTGGTCGAACGAATGACGGGCCGCATCTTCTGTTGGAACCAGGTGGCCTTGCTTTTGACCCGATAACTGGCGTCCCGATACCTCAACAATTGCTTGATTTCTCGCTGGCAGATCTCGGTCTTCGAAAGCTGCCACCGCTGCCTCTTGTGCAATGTCACTCCATACAGCCGTAGCTTGAGTCTTCTGTCCAGGATCATTGCCAGCAAAACGGCGTATCTGTCCATCGGGCTGCACAAAGACTGTGTTCCAGTCAACGCGAGGGTTTTTCCATATGAGCTGGAGCTGCCCACCTCCGTCGGCTGGGAAGGGGACCCCCAAGACAGGGTCTGACACTCTGCCGGACTCTTGAAGCTGGCGTCTCGGGGGAGATATTTTCACTGGTCGGGTGGAGGGATTCTGCGTCGCTCAGTGGACTTCACTTGGAGTACACCTTTCACATTCGAGCCCACCTTTGATCTTGCCTTTGTTGACTTCACCCTGACCGACCCGCGGGACTAACTACAGTACCGTTGGAGGAGCGGTAAGTACGTTCCCCTCGTATCTGTTTTATCCAGGCTATCCATCTGGCAACTATTTATCTGGGGTGTGTTGGATATCTGGGTTGAATGGCGATCACTTTCTGCCGTTGGAAATATTTGCAGGTCGGGTCCCCCAAGTTAGCCTCAAGCATTAGGTGCCTGGGAACGGTCATGGTGTCCACCTCGGACGGTTGTAGTAGCCGTTGGCCGCGTACCGAGGGCTCCACACTCACATATCTATGCACACAGCGAAACCAACCCGCTTCCGCCCCTCCCATACTCTTGTGCACTGATGGGCCGGAATTATATATTGGGCTATGTACTGTATCTACAAGTGCAAGCCATCAGGATCAATATATTGCATATGACGTGACGCCCTTTCAGTTACTGCCTAGGTATGCGCGCGAGACAACAATTGAGTATGTGGTCAGCGAGTTTCCTCAAAGCCTTCACGGAAGAGACTAGGTTCGTTGAAACTGGGGAACTCCCTATCACCAGATGTTGCGTTGACATAGCGGATTTGGAGATATTCCAACTGACGAGGTGTTCGTGATGAAGCTGAAAGCGGTGAATGCAGCGACGTGAAGACTAGCTTGCCGATCGAAGCGTCTCTTTGTACCAGCCTTCGAGAGGACGTGCCTCCGTTAAACCAGGCTGGGTGGCGCATCTTGGCATCGGTTTCGTCGTGAACCGGGGAGGAGCCTAGCGATCGCGGGGTGATTTGCACGTATTTTGGTGTACGAGTGCACAGAGCTTGCCAATCAAGACGGGAAATCGGCGGCAGATCACCGACGCCTACTGCAGCTCAATTTGAGGAATCTATCGGCTGACAGCTGCTTCTCGATGACCATTTGCGATCGGGGCCGTTGCTATAGCGTGCCTGGCAGATCGAAGACTCTCCAGATTACCTTGAACCGCAGTGAGCATTGTCGCAGACAGGCGATCAGGTGATCCAGTATTGTATGCTTCAAGTACGGCGATGGCAAGTTCTATGAGAACGAGTCAGTATGCGCCTCGACACCTCGGCCCAATCACCAAGGGTTTCATACCTTCCACCAGATCGCTGGGACATCCACAATCTTCCAGGAAGTCCCCCTCAATCTTTGGATGTAGCCGAACGAGCCCAAGTCGAACAGAAAGGAACAGTGCGCCCATAGCAAGGATGTGTGACGGGTATCGAATGCATAAAGTACCCCGGTACATGTCCAATACGAGCCCACTGCAGAGACGGTGAAGATGCTCCTGAGGTGTGCCATCGAATGCTTCCATCGCGGAGAAAACTACGTCGTCCAATTGCTTGATGAACACCGCCAGATGGTGGAATGGGAGGATAATCTTGGTATCAAACTGAATTCCTTCAAGTATCTTTTGCTGATGCGGGGCTAACTTCTGATCCATAGTCGACTTTGCCATGTCATCCGTTACTCTGACCCCTCTGCTCTCTGACAGGACCTGTATGGATATTGGCGGCAGGCGCACTGGGGTTTCCTGGAGTTTACAAGCGAGGTCCACTATCGCCACGTTTATCTCCTCTTCCGTATAGTAAGGACTCCGTCGAGGCCAAACAGCGTAGAACCGGTGAAGCAGCAGCATAGTTGTCGCATATGTTCTTCCTGGTCTGTTGATTTTTTGACGACTCAGTCTTCAAGCTCTGGGCTCAAAACCTCGGGTCTCGGTTTCCGCCCACTTACAGTTTTAGCCTTCTCGCGACTCGATCTAGGACTGTCGTCGTTCTAGCGACAGCCTCGGCTTCTTCCTCTTTGGACAAGCCATTCCGAAAAGCGTGGCTGTCCAAATCCGCTTTGGAGTAATAGTAGGGCGTGATGAAGCGACCGCCCTGCTGCTCACCCCACGCTGGCGGTGGCGTAGGAGCTGAGGGCCTGGGTTGCGTCCGCGCAAGGTCGTAGTTGCTCGGAGAGTCGGACGAGAAGCTGTTGTAGGCTGGCGACGAAGCCATCATGGTACCGACTGGGAGCAACGTTGGGATTGACTCGGCAGCTGTGTCTTTGTACGCCCGTGCAAGAGGAGGGGAAACCTGAGAGGAAACGAGAGGAACATGGGTTGTGACAAACGAGAGACCTCGCGTCCTTAAAACTTGCAAAAGTCTTTGGAAATATTGGACCATTGCGCAGGCCCCAAACCCTGAATTTTCCCAGAGCTGACCTCATATGCGCACAGCGACAAGCCAGGCAACGGTGGGTCAGAAAACCATTCCTCCGTTTCAAGAGTATCTGGTTGTGCGGCCCGGTGGATGTGCCTGGCTTGACGCTTCTCCGAAAACCCTGGGGGTTTCCTGACGCGACGATGAGTTCCCAGGGGAGTTTCCGCAAGAAGGTCGTAACTTATAGTCGGCGTTCTGTCAAGCGAGCCTCGTCGGGGTTGTCAAACCAAGCGTGGCCGACTAGCCTATTTCCGACTGACGGAGAAAGTGTAGGAATGTCCTCAAAAAGTCCTGCGAGTCGTTCCCTGGGTCCGAGCCGTAAGGGTTCGCCCGTAAGCGACCCTTTTGCGTTCACTTTGGAAGAGCAGGATTCACCACCCAAGAGGAAGAGATCTCGATTGCTGCCAATAGGTGTCGGGCAACCGTCAAAGGAAAAGCTTGACGAACTGGTGTCCGAGGACGAAACTATCACCTTTGAGTGGGAGGAGCGAGTTAGGAGCGAGAAACGACGAAAGATACTACCGAGCACTGCAGCCTCCAAGAAGGAGGCCATACCTAGCAGATCGAATAGTCCCCGGTCTCCTCCCTCACCGCCGGTGCGAAGGTCGCCCAGGAAAGCGAAGAGTGCTTCAACCCCTGAAACGAAAACTCATTCGGATCCTCCTTCCGAGTCAACTCCTCACACATTATCAAAAGGGTCTCAATCATCATTGGCATCCGTTTATGGCACGCCTGTGGAGTCTCCCAGCACGAAAAGATCAAAAAGTTCGGCCACCCAATCTAGGAACAATGGAAGAGGTGTCGACGAGCAATACACGGAAGAGGCAACTCCGTCGAAAAGGAGACAACTTCACAAACCAACGCCGGATCCGAGATCATTCCCCAATATATCGAAGGCGCATTTTGGTACGGATTCCCCGACTGAGGCAGGTGTGGAGGATGGCGGTCTTCTCCTCGGAGGTGTCTCCAACCCGCTATCGACCATTGGGGAAGACAGCGGCCCCTTCTCATATTCCGCCCCATCACCAGCAAATAATGAACATTTACGGCGCGGAAGTGGATTGTTGCGCACAATAGGTGCCCCTTCGTTGCCGCATGCCAAATCTGACGTTTCGAGTAATCGATGTCATGCAACATCTCCTTCTCCACTGAAGAAGTCGGTGTCGGCACCGCCATTCTCCATTCTGGATGACATTTCCGCGCTGCTACCAGACATCAGCGGCCCCACGGCTATGCGCGCGCTGTCCTTCAGCGGCGACGCAAGCAACGGGCCCCTGCGGGGAGATTCACCGAGAGCGACGCGTCGCGTTGCTCGGATGAAGACCTCAGGCAAGCCTCCTGGTACGCCGACGAGAAGAACTTCTGTGGATATGGACACCGACCCTTCGGCATTCCTGTCACAATCACACATTCTCAACACCCTCAACGGGCCAGTTAACTTATTGGAAAGCAGTGTTCCTGAACTGGTTCTCCATCCGGACGATCTTAGTAATCAGCCGATCTCGTCAGTGACGGAGAAGCGGGTCCTGTACTCGTCTCTGAGCATCGAAACCAGCGTAGGGGATGAAACGTACGTTAAACGCGCCATGACCGGAATGACGTACGCCCGAACGCGGAGCTATATCGAATCCGAAGAAGACTTGTTTGCGCCAAAGTTCGTCTCCGATGCTCAGCGACGGAAAGACGAGGGATTGGAAAGCAGCGACGACGAAGAAGATCGGAGAGAAGTCAAAGGCATCCACGAACTCCGTGAGGCTGGAGAAGCCAAGAGGTTCGCCGATGAGATGGAGTACATCATGGGTGGGTTTGGCCCGGAAGAGCCTGCTGGAGTCAAACGGAGTAGCTGCCTCAGGTTGTGCACAAAAGTACTGTCGGAAAAGTTCGTGCAGAACGTCAAGGCGCATGGATTCTTTGCGCGGTTCATGGACTTCGTGCGGGCGATCGAAGATCCTATTCTCATCACCATGGTGACTTTTATTCTCTGCGCACTCGTGCAAAATCGCCGCAATGTAGACGACCTCAGTCAAGATCCAGCACTGATCCAACACTTTGCAAAAGCATTGAGGTTGAACCCCGATCCTTTGATCGGAGGAGCAAGCAAATACGAGAGAAGATTTATCGCCGATCTCAAGAAAACATTACGATGTGCACCCTTTATACCCAACATCGAGGTTGAGAGCTTGGAAAGCCTTTCTATCCGAGCGATTTCCGCTATAATTGCGGCAAAGCCGCTGAATGTGCCCCGGTTGCAATACCAATTGTGGGAGAACGGCGTCGGGCTGCTGATAAGCCAAAGGATGGCGACCTTCTTGCGCGTTGCAAACAGCGTCGCAGAGGAAGGCTCAGACGAAAGCATCATCTCGAGTTTCGAAAAACTTTGGTACTCTGAATCAAGTCTGACGGTGGCATCTTTGAGAATCCTGCAGTTTGCAACCATGAGATGCGGTGATGATGCGGTCGCGCTGCTCGAAACGGCTGGATTCCTGAACGAATTGATGGCTTCCCTGGCCTGGTTGACAGGTATGTGTACTATTCTCTGCGTTCTTGGCATTGGGATCTGACCCTCTACGTTTCTCGTAGTGTATGCCCGTGCGGATGAAACTCATGTCCAGGAAGGTATGCGAAACTATCCGTCGTATATCATAACGATGTCCGAAGCCTTAACCCGTCCCTCCTCAGCGTCAATACTTCTCCACGCCATGCTCGCATTGCTCATAAACCTCACGCATGCAAGCACAACATGCGCCGAAAGCATAGCCCGCGGTCCATGGCTAGGATCGATCTTCAAATGCGGGTTTCTGCCGAACGATTTACTTCCAACGTTGGAGAATTCCCCGGTTGGCTCGGCCATTCCAGAGTGGAATGCTGAACATGATACTCGTGGGAAAGAAACCCCTGAGGAGAAAACGGACAGCTTTGCCATTATGATGCTGGGCATCGCGTTGCTTGCCAACGTTGCGCACAAGCGTCCACAGCTTCAGAAGCACCTAAGGAGCTATGGTAAGGATCAGTGGAGGGCTTCATCCCGCGACGATACCTTTGTAATCCTGACTACCCACTGACATGGCAACCCTCTAGAATTCTCCCTCACATGTCCAAGCCGGCTTCCTTGTATGCAGCGGTGCACTTGTGCATCACGGCAAGTAGCTGTGAAGTGCATCGCCGATTTTATCAATGAGCGACTTGCAAAAGATAGCGAGGTAAAACGTTCATCAAGCTCTGGCCTGCGATGCGTCATACTCATTGTTCTCGTTTCCTAGGAGGCAAACAGCGCAATGGTGACCGGACAAGCAACCATGGTCCTTGGCCTTCTCATCCAGCACGATTCGAAAAGCTGGGCTTTAGCAAAATCATCAATGACACATCATCAGCAATCCTTCGGAGCCGTGATTGAGATGCTCGAGAACTTCCGTCGTCTTTACGATGCACTAGCTATGGCCGCGCCAGGCAACCCGAGCTGCAATCCGACGACCCCGATAACACCGATGTCAGGCGTTTCGTTCACGGGTGCCGATTCGGGGTTTATGGGGAGCGACACCTCGGGCATGGTGGCCGAGCTTATCAAGGTATTCAGGGGTGCTTAGGGTAGAACCTAGCGAACATGCACCCGAAGCTTCCGTCGTCGTAGCGTAGTCCCCCCAAATAATACGTATATATACATATGAGGTGGAAGAGTGAGCAAAAAAACTAGTAGACCTTGTGCATACGAGTACCCCTGCCTTGGGGGGTGACCCCCTCAGTGAAGGTCGAGATCCCCACCCTCGCTTACTTCCAGATTCAGCTATAGACGTTTGCCGGAGAAGCTTCAATCGACTTGGGTTATTCGACCGGCCGTCTGTGGCTTCAGACGACATTGGCCTTAAACAACGCGAAACTGACGCGTCACCTGCCGCTGTGTCCGAGAACCTTCCCAGCATCGCATCCGTCCATTCGCACACACACACGGCAACAATGCCAGCCCAAGAAAACCTCGCAACCGCCTCAAGCGGAGCCAAAGTCTCGCTCGCAACCTCATATCACCCGCAATATCCCGCTCAGAATGTCATTGACGGGTATGTCTCATATCGTTCATCGCAAAACACACATCGAAGAGACATCTAACGCGTGATTATACATCTGCAGGAATAGCAAAACATTCTGGGTGACGACGGGACTGTATCCGCAGGAATTGATTGTCTCGTTGCCTAAGACTGTTAATCTGAAGAGGGTTGCTGTTACGTGTACTAAAGGTATGGATCAAGTGGAGCATGGGAGGATTGGTGATGGGGTTGTTGATATTTTCGGTGGTTTCCAGTGGCACATGTGACGACGGAAGTTTCGACAGCGGAGAAACCGGCGGGGTTTGAGAGGTTAACTGATCAAGGTATGGTCTGTTTGCGACTCGCAATGGACATCCTCAAAGCCTGACTAACGATGAACATGCAACCAGACGTAGAAGACACAGACCAATCCTTCCAAATGATAACCCCCGCATTACCCAAAAGCCAAGTAGCAGCACGGCACATCCGTTTCATATTCACAAAAGGCCACGGCCCGTTCGTGTCGGTGCACAAGGTGGTGATTTACGGCGGGGAGATTGGAAGTCAGACTGACACTGACGAGGGTGCGCCGCTTGTGCTGGCAGCAGATTTTCTGCCATGAGGAGGTGGGAAGTGAATATGCAGAAGTGGTCTATTTCTCGCAATCTACATAGATAGGGGACTGTGATGGTGCAAAGGGATTCTGCTTCTACACCGCGGGTGTGGCAACGCTCTACATGCTACAAACGAAATGTGTACATAGACGTGTTGGATCAAAGTCTATGCGGTGGCATCGAGTTTCGGACCTAGACCCTTCGCCTTTGTCAAGAAGCGGAACAAGAGAATAGTCCAGATGGTGAACTGGTCTTTGGATACGAATAGGATCGCTTGGCACAGGACGGCCTTAATGATTTGGGGTTGAAGCCCCTGGGAGTTGCAAAGCGAGCGTTAGCCGATGTACCAGAGATAAGCCGACTTCGGGTTCTCGGGCACTCACGTTGTACCACCCAGCAAGCCCTTCCCGAACAAGAACCTTCTGCAAGATGTCGATTGAGCTCTTGTAGGTGACAGCCTCTCGCTCCTTCTCACTGAGGTTCTGCACATGCTTTGGTGGCTTCCATTGCATCTTCACCTTGGCCATAATGTATGGGTCTACAAAAATGGACGGAGTCGTTACCATTGACGTTCAAGCCGTGGAATCCACAGATTAGGCCAACAACAGCATCTCAAACTTACAAGTGACAATGGTCGCAAGAGCCTTGGACAACGCGCCGATAATGAATGTTTGACCCGCCGTCAAGCGTCCATTCGGGTTCCCTGACCTTTCCAGATAACTATTCTTCATCTTCTCAAACGACCCGTACGTAATTGCTGGGTTCACACAGAGGACGAGAGACGCCTGCAGACCCCTCCACAATCCACCCGGTCCCTCTTCACGAATGATCCTTTGCATCGTGCCAATGAAGGTGAGCTTTTCCTCCTTTGTTGCCGTCTGCTGTCTGAACATCGGCGTCAGTATAAGGTAGCGATATGTGCTCGAAACTTAAGACGATCCAACGCCTACCTTGTTGTGACCACCGATACTGGCAAAGTAGTGACCTGGCTCAAGGCGCCAGCAACGGCTCCCAATATCAGCTCCATGCCTGTCGAGATGTCTGGAGACACTCTCTTCTGGTATGCCCCTCGAACATAAGAGTAGAAATAGAAGTAGGAAAATGCACTCGCTACTGTTCCGAACAAGCCGGCACCAAGCCCAGCGTAGAGGCCGGCTGGTCCTTCTGTGTTGAGAATCTTCATGAAGGCATCAATGGCAGAATTATAGTGCTGATCCGGGTTCAAGCTTTTCAGTTCCTTGGTCTGAACCTGTAGACGAGTTTTGATCCTTAAAGTAGGAGAGAAAGCAGAAATCAGAGTCTTTCTTCCTGAGTTTCGCCCTCACGAGGCTCTCCAGCAAAGGCGGTAATAACATCCGACAGCACGGGCGTGACAGAACATGACTGGTCGCTGGATTAACCACGACGCCATCCTCCTAAAGACTCGACAGTTCTCCTCGGGTTCGTCTCTCCCCCGGTTCGCCGACAAGCACTCTCCCAACCCTTATCCCTGCACCGGTTTATTCATGTCCACCGATGAAACTCCTTTGACGCAGTGCCCTCCAAAGTTTAGAAAGGAGGCTGCGGTGTCTACACTTACACGTCGAGCGGAAAGACGGCCAAGTTTGCGGATAGAGCACCCAAGGCACCCGCTGTCGCGTTTCCGAAGGGTGTGAGCGACGCCATTTTGTGTTGCTTCTTCCCTTTGAGATTCTGAGTTCCTGGTGCTCTTATTTGGTTGTATTATCGTGGGTTCCCTTGGGATGCGACTGTGCGTAAGTGAGCTGAGCTGGGTGATGCCGTGGGAATGTTTGGCTGAGCCTGATGAGATGTTTGGGGGTTTCAAAGCGTCCTAAATTCGTAATACTAACGGAGAGGATTCTGGATTCACTTCGGATAGAATTGCATGTGCTCACGCGTCTGCTGGTGATCGCCCCCCCTTTGCCCCGGTTCGCCCCGACAAGTCCATGTGCGCGACGTTCGTTTTGGCCCAGGTTCGACAGACCCAGCCCAGGACCCAGCCTTCTTTCGCAGGCTTCCCCCAACGGTACGTAAGGTCGGGAGAGTCTGACGCCGTTGAACGGTTGACGATCTTTGGTCCTTCGCCACTCTATAATGTCGTTTGCAAAAGTCTCACCAACCTTTTCTTAACAGGTCGACCGGTCTTCATGCTCGAGTTCGGAGATATCAGGCAGGTTAGGAGTCCATTGTTGTAGCTGAGTTCGGAGGGGAAGAAGGGTGATGAAGAGAGGAATGTTCGCCTCCCGACTTGGCTTAGATAGAGAGCGAATGCCTGACCTGCTGGGTGTAAACCCGTGCATGACATGCCGTCCCGGTCCCCATCGAAACTGGTGCCCTTCGCCACCGCAAGACTCATCACGACCCGTTTGTACGGTTCTTTCGAACTATTTTGTTACGCCAATTTAGCAGTAAGCAACGATGGCTGGACTGGTGGGCGGGGAAGTAGCAGGACGAGTTAAATCTGTCGGCTCTAGCGAGAGAAGCCAGGATGCAAAGAATGGTATGTACAGTACGCGCCCTGTTCACTTCAGCACACGTAAAGACTCTTACCTCAACTGCCATCTTTGAATATAGCGGGACTGGGCCAGCGATGAATTCATTATTCACTTCGCTGCGGATCAGGATGCATTTGCCCGTATCGTTGAAGCTGGTTCTGAAACGATTCTGTCTGGCTGGCCAGAGATCCTCGAAGCTTTCGTGACGCACACGTATGACGGGGCATCCTTGGAAGTGATCAAGACTGGGAATGCAACTGATAATCCGGAGCCTTGGCCTCTCATGGAGACCTGCAAGGTGGCGAAAGTGTCAATTGATGACCCGAGAACGAAACTCCGAGGCCGAGACAAAGTCGTAGCGATAAGAGCCGTGAAGAAGAACGAAATCATCGGAGTGGTGGAGGGAAGAACACAGTTCGACAAAGAGTTTAGAGAGCTTTGTGGATGAAGCACAACGCCCGTACCGCATAGGCCACTTGAGAGTGGATACCGTCGAGGCGAAAGGGTCATTCAACTGGGTCTCCGAGCTGAATGACTACAGAAACGATGTTTCCAACGCACTGGAAGATTTGAACCCAGACAACAATGTAGCACTGGTGGAAGCGGTGATTCATGGGTGGCCGTACATATTTGTCAAAGCCACCGCGCAGATCGAGACAGGAGATGAACTACTCCTCGATTATGGCGCAGATTACTGGGAGAGTCTGTGCAAAATTAATGTTGATGATGACCAGGTGAACGGATTGGTGGATGAAGCTGTGAAACCATTCGCGGAGACTATTTTCGGCATTGCAATGGCACTGCGTCGCCTCAGCGCTCGACAGGCCGAACTCGGGGAACTTATCACGAACAAGGAGAAGGATGAGATACGGCGAGATCTGACGGGAATCCGAGAGGTTATAAGCCCGCTGATGAACGCAAGGAGTATCAGTGAGGGGCTGAAAAGCGTTGCAAATACCGCGGAAGGGCGTAGGGAGTGGATTGCGAAGATGACACAAGCGGCGGAACCTCTGGAGGATCACGCTGCTCCCGTTAATCATGTCTCAGCGCCATCGAACGCTGATGAGGTTGGCGATTCGTCTGCAGCGACGGCCCTTCAGTTGTTGGAAGCTGGTAGCTCTGCTCACAATCCCCCATCAGTAATACCACCAGCGGGGTCTGCTGATGATGCAAATTCGCTGGCGGAGACAACAGGAGGTGTGGAGAATCCGCCTGCCAAGTCGGCACCTTCGCCACTGCACAACGGTTCCGTTCTCGTCCAAAGTGTACCGTCCAAGCGATCTGCAAAACTTGTCAGCCCGCCTATAGGTCCACCGCCGCCGGAGAAACGCACCTCTCGCCTTGTAGATTGTCCCGCCTCGCCGCCATCCAGCATTGCAGAAAGTGGGCATCGGCCGCCTGCAAAGAGCGCAGCCCCGCCGTCTCAGATTGATACTGTGCAGACAATGTCGCCTACTGTGTCTATGGTCGAAGAGGGAGATGCCCTCTCAGCGTCACCACCAATCGACAGAGAGGCGGTCCCGCGACAGAACGGTGGCGTTCAAGTTATAGATCTGACAACATTACTGACAGAAGACACTGAACGTGCGAACCCGCCTGAAAACACTGCTCCGCTGCCGCCGAAAGGTAGCGCTTCCCTTGATGATGTCTCAAACTTGGGACCTGCAGGAGATCTTCAGACTGGGCTCGTCCCCTCATTACCCCATTGCCGTCAAGCACCCAATGGACTTCGGAACCATCGCGACGAAGCTGGCTGGGGATTTCTTCCGCCGTAAGCTAAGCGAGCATATCTCCTTCTGTCGATGCTGCGACGCCTTCGTTCTGGATGGCCGATGCGACAGATGCAGTGCTCAAGTGCGACGATCGCAGAGATCTACAATGAACCTGCATCAAATCATACTTCGATACACTCCACCGAAAGCAGGGGACACCGTCCTCGCATGTTGGCAGGGGAATAACGTGTTCTACGAAGCAAAAGTGATCCGCAACACACCTAAAACTTACCGCGTCAAGTTCCTCGACGTGGAAGAGCCCGCCGAAGTGTCGGTTTCAGGCCTTGTCATCTTTCCCGATCCCGTGGAATTTGTTTCCATCCCAGCACCCAATTCAAAATGCCTCGCGCGGATGCCACGGTCGATCTACGAGCACGACAACAGCGGCCAGTTCTTGCCAGCAACTATTACTGGTTCCACTGTTAGCTCCGTCGATGTGCGCTTCTCGTTTGGCGTCAACACTGGCGTACCTGTGGAGAGAAAGATTGCGCGCGAGAATGTCGTGCTAATAGATCAGGAATACCACGACAAGGTGGTTAAGAATATGCGGATCGCGCGGGAGAAGGCGAATAAGGGGATGCCGGCTAAGAAAAGCCGAAATGCACGGGAAGATGGATTGGATACAAGGGAATTGCGAAACAACCAAGAAGGAAGCGAGCGTTCGCGTTCGAAGCACCGCCCAATCGACAAAGATCCGAGACCTACCTCGTCGCATTCACAACGATCGACCCCCAGCGAGCCGAGACGGGGGCAACTAGATTCCTGGCGACCAATAGATTTAAGGAGTCCACCGCCGACATCGAGTTGGCAGCCAATTCAGCCTCGTCGAATCTCACTGGATCTGGAGTCACCGACCGTCAGAGCGCCGAGGCGACCGCAGGCGTCGGGTTCGCGACCAATTGGATCGGGGCCATCTGAAGGCGCTGTGCAGATTAAACCTAATGAAGAGCACACCGAGGGAGGGAAGGCTTCCGGTTAGGGATGCTTGGGGCCTCGAGCGCGAAAGCGAATAGCAAATGGTGGCAAACAATGGCGCAGGCCTGGCTTGTTCGATATGGGCGAGTGTATATGCAGCGTTACTCTGTGCTTGATCCATTTCCGCGTTTTTGGGTGGTTTAGCATAGCTTCGTTCGATATATTTATACCAGTACGTCTGGTCATTCTAGTCAACATTGAATTCGATCTGATGGTCCATTATTTTGGCAGTCTGTCTACGACGCCGGGGTCCTCAATGGTACGCTATAAAGATATGCAATCAAAAACAACAGGAAGTGCACCTCCAAAAAGCAACAAAGGCCAAGCGGGGGTCATACTCAAAGGCCCCTCGAAGAGACAGCCCCGCAGTTCTGCTTCACGAATTATTGGCATTCCATATACTGCTAGACTTGCTTTGCCCGGGTCCGCGGAGGCTTCGGCTTCGTTGTGGCTTCAGGCACGGATGTTGGCTCCTCTGCTTTGCCTTCCATCAAGCTTAGGACTTCTGGGTTTGCTGAGCCTTCTGCTTTGCCTGACCGGCGCGGCTGCCCGAATGGTAGCTGCTTCCTCATCTTGTGCGGGCTTAGCCCTTTTGGGTGCAACCTTCTTGGCTTTCGGGTCGGTGGATGCAATAGACTCTTCGATGTTTGCTTCGCCGTCTGCTTCCGATGCGGGCGTTTTCGCCGTGCCACGCTTCCGTTTCGCGGGACCAGTCTTGGTTTCCGGAGTCTCTGCCCCGACCGTTTTCGCCTTCGTAGCCACCTTTCTTCGCTTCGGGGCTGCTTTAGCAACTTCGGCCTGCTCCTCCTCATCCAATTCGATCTTCTCCGTGTACACCACTTTCTTTACAGTGCGTCCACCCCGAGTTTGCGTCGGTCCCTCCTCAACCTCCGTCTTCTCCTCAATCACGAGATCCTTGACTTTCTTCCGTGGGTTGCGTACAGGTTTAATTGTCCTTTCTTCCTCGTCTACATCATCCTCCTCTTCCTCCGTGACCCGAACTCTCTTCTTGATCGAGGCCTTCCGCTTCTTCGGCGGCGATTTGGGCTTCGCGATTTCGTTTCCGCCTTCATCCACCTCTACCTTCAGATCAACCTCCAACGTGATTTTCGCGTTCGCCCTTTTGGCCAGCTTCGCGAGCTCCGCTTGCCGTTCGAGAGAGATCGGGTATTCGTCAGCGACGGGTTGGAGGCCATATTGACGGAACAGCTGAAGAACCGCTTGCTCTTTGTCTTTCGCCTCGATCATTAGGTCAACGTTATCTTGACAAGGAGGCAACCGCTCGATACGAGCTGAATGTGCTCTTCTTTCCTGCATGGTCTCCGCACCTGGACGACCCTCGGAATGATGCTGCTTCGGTTTTATCCCGCGACGGTGCCATATCGCGTCGATGCGGGGGAGGTAGTGGGTGGACGGATGCTCGGATGGGTTGATGGCAGCATGGTGCCAGTCCAGCACCAGTGGGATGTCAAGGTCTTCGCAGATGGGTAGCAAATCCTCGACCGAGTAGCACATCTCGTCATTCTCGAGAACGATGCGCTTCTGGATGTCTTCTGGAACCAGCTTCCATCGTTCTCGGAACCGGAGGAGCGTTGCTGCTTTGTCCCCGTAGACGCCTCCCCCGTGTATGATCATCACGCTCTCCTTCCCTAATCCTATGATGTCCAGCATATCGCAATGATACCGCAGCTCTAGAAGGGCGTTCTCGAACACGATTTCTCGCGGAGACGCCAATTGACAATATTGCCCTGGATGACAAGTTAGACGATGGCCTTTCGCCTTCGCATATGCTCCGACCTCCTCTAACACCTCGACCAATCCTGGAACATCATAAATGCTGTATCCGACCTCCGGATGGCTTGCGAACGGCATCATCTCCGAACTCAGCCGCATAAACTTTATGCTGTTAGCGTCGTTCCATTTGAGCATCGGCAAAATGTTCTTTGCGTTGGCTAGACATAATGCGTTGAGGTAGTCTTGTCCCTTCTCTTTCGCGGTGGCTAAACGGCAGGTACGAGAGCAGAAGATGGCTGGATTCTGAGCTCGGAGAACGGTGTTCAGACAGGCGTATCCAAGTCGCCCGTGGTATGTTGTCGTCAGGTTAGACATCGACCTCTTAGGAAGCGCAACGGCGCCTTCGGCAGATAAAGTTGCCATCGCTGTTCTTCGAAGGGTTTTCTTAATGGTTTGTTGAAAGATTCGCATGAGGATGCAAAGAAGATATTTACCAAAAACGGCGGTATTTCCAAGAGACGGAAGTTCTTGATGCTTCTCCCTTTTGAAGGATTAAATCCCCAGGGGAAAAAAGTTGCTATGCGTTGCTTTCTGCGAACGGGTAAAAACTTGGATGTATGCGGAAAATGTTGGAATGGAAATTGTGTCAATTGTGTCAATTGTGATGTCAGAATTTCGGGACTAAAGTTCACTGCCGAGGCGCGTGAGGTCATGCGAACGGGAAGCAATTTAAAAGTGCGCGAATGATGCTTACATAAGCGGCGAACTGGACGAAATAGTTTGCTTGCAATTGGATTAGGACCAAGGCGAAAGGCCTCAAAGTCTCACAAACAAGAACTCCGGTGTAGACGGGTATCTCTGGGACGAATAAGAGCCTTTTCCCTGTACAGGAGCAGATACTGCGTACCTTGGAAGGGTGACTGTGTCCGCCATGGGTGACAGTACGGTGAAGGAATTGAATACGACCGAAGGGTTAAACCGTTTTCGGGTGAGTGCTAGCAATGCTACGGTGTGTCGTGCTCACTATTAACAAGCTGTATTGCATTGCTTTTTTAGTTCCAAACTTTCCGGGAGAAAGTGCAGGCTGTGAATATCGACGTAGCGCACAAAGTACTAAAATCGCATGACGTTCTCACGGTATGTTAAACCTGCCATTGTGTTCCAGCCACCAGTTACTTTAGACCATAGTCACTCACTGCAGAAGCCACCCTAGGATGAGGAAGGGTCGTACTTCATCGAAGGGATCAATAAATGGCAGGAGCTCAACTGCACTGGGCATTTTGCCCTCTTTCTGAGGGATGTGCGACCGTACGCCTTGTCGCTCGTCCAATTACTGTACCATAAAAATGCAGTTGTGAAAGTAATGCTGAAGCACTTGAAAGAGCCTGGTAGCTTGGCTTTGGAACCTTTACTTGAGTAAGTCATTTGTCCGTATCCGATTTACTACGCGCTGCAAGCTGACTAGCCCGTGCTCCACAGTCTGGTAGCCGCACTAGCACGCGACATTCAGGATGAGTTTTACGAATGCTTCCAAGATACCCTGGAGGTCCTGATTGAGCTGGCGAATCATGTCGACCTGAAAGTCTTGGAGGCTGTTTTCAGCTGCATGGCGTATCTGTTTAAGTACCTTGGAAAGCAGCTACTGGATGATATTATACTCACATTCGATCGGCTGTGTCCATTACTGGGACATGGCAAAGAGCATATCCGACGCTTTGCCGCAGAGGCATTTGGCCCGTTCTTGCGAAAGGTTCCGAGCGCTTCAAGTGAGTCGGTTCACACACACATTTTGGAGAAAGTCAACACCTCGACGAACGAGAATCTGGTGGAAGCAGTCGGAGTTGTGTACTTCCAAGCGATCCAGCAAGTGAAGGGAAACATACACTCCCGTGCTCCGCAAGTGCTGAAGTGGCTTTTGGTGCTTGGAATCGGTGGAAAGGCGGAGGCGAAGACGGGTGGAGAGAAAGTGATCGACAGTCTGGTTTTCCAGATGTGCGGACACAGCACAGCAGATAAATTGCAGCCTATGTGGGAAGTACTGATGGCGGAGATCAGCTCGGAGCTCCAAAAGGCTTCCGCGGAGCCATCAGTCGGGCGGCTGTGGAGGTTGCAGAAGCTCTTCAAGATTGCGCGCATGTGGCTGCGTTTCAGGAGGGGTGTTCGGGTGCACGATAGGCAGGCGCTCTTCACACTTTTGGAGGAAGCTGTCCCATCGCTCGCACAAGCGTCGGAGTCCTCCACGTCATTCATTGATTCCATTACCGGAGTTTATGTCGAACTGATTGCCGCCCTGTTGGTGTGCTCGCCAAGCACCGAAGTATACTTGCGAGGGAAGTCACTTCTGGACAAAGTCTGTGTCGCTGACGGCTTCGTTCTGCCTTTCCTACTCCTCTGTGAATCACTTCGGCTGCAGCGTTGGGAACACTTCCCACAACTCATGTTGCCATCCCTCATTGGGTACATGCAGAAGCACTGGTCGAGCAACCCCAATGCATTCCTGTTGTTTATGGCGCGATTTTTCGAGGAAAGCTTCGAGGAAATGCTTCTACGGATACCCCATTCGCTCAAAACGAAGGACAACCTGCTGAAGATAGCGGGACAATCGGCGAACTCGCAGGGTAGCTCGACAATGGCACGAAACTGGCTATCCACGCTTGTGCCGTGGGAAGCCCTCCTTGCTCATGACGAAACGGAAGAGATGAAGCTTGGGACGATGGGGTGCGTGTGCAGCTGTGTCTCTCGGATCGCACTGCCGTTCGACTTGGTATACCAAGCGTTGTATACCGTCATTGAGTCGTACAGCCAGGCGTTGAGTCAAAGCGGGGTGGACAGAATAGTGGGACAGCAACGACACTCTTATCTCACTTTAGTTGGATCGGCGTTGAGTGCGTTATCCAAATGCGCCACGAGGTCAAACGACGTAGGACAATTCGAGGATCTCAGCCAAATCGTCCGCAATGTTTTGATTTCGGAGTCCCATCGCAATGCGGTCCTCTTACATGGCATCGCCGAATATCTTGCCTGCCTTCGGTCGCACTGCAAAACTCACAAAGGCCTTGCCTCCGAGCATCTGGAAGGAGTGGTTGCCTTGATCGGGGACAACGTAGGAGATCTGGATGCGCAAGTCCGTCGAGAGACTTTGCGCATCATATGCTCCTTCCAGCAACACAACCTGAAACCGGTCAAAGACACGATCTTCACAGGGTCGTGTCCAGTTTACAACCTATGCTTGGATTTGGAGGATATTCCAGATTCGGTGAACACCCTGCGGCAGAAAACTGTGATATTCCGCAAGATTGACTCGCTTGTTCGGTCGCATACAATACCCGTCGGTTACCTTCCACGACTCACTCGGTACTTGATGGCGCTTCTGAGCGTGCCATTTACGCCTTTGTGGACTGAGGCCATCAAGACCCTGCAGGTCATTGCGCAAGTTGACCTGGGTGCTTTCTGGCCTGTGTTCAAGGATTACTTGTTGCGGTCGAGCAACGGGACTCTGGGTACCACTCCGGAGGTCAACCAGGGAGACGACGAGCATCCTGAAGGGGATTTGGCCCAGGCTCTTGAGGCCGAGGAGAAAATAGTTGGGTCGGAGGAGTCGGCAGCCGATGTCAAAGATATTCCTGCTGCGAGGGTTGTTTTCGGCAATGTCAACAAGGCTATTCAGGAGCGGTCAACGCAAGCGGGGGCGGCGGGTGGTTCTCAAATCGACGCCAATAGGTTCCATTCTCAGCTTCTTCGAATCCTGGGAGACCTGCCACATATCGTGGAACAGTACTCTGGCGACATCGTTCCCCTCTTCTTTGATCTGTTCCAGAACTTGGAAACTGTTGACGTGACGGCGGCAAACGTGCGTGCGGAAATCAAGGAAGGAAGAAGGTCAAAGGTGAAAGATTTCCTTTCCATATTCGCAAAGGTCCATCGACCGGAGCGCCTGCAACGATCCGCAGCTCTGCAGCAGATCTACTTGGAATTGCTATGCAATGGAGATGACAAGCTGCAGCAACTATCCCTTGACTGCCTCATCGCCTATAAGATTGCTGGCATGGACTTCGTCGCTGAGCACTTCAAAGCGCTTTGCCAGGACGACACTTTCCGCGATAGGCTTTCCACGTTAAACATCGAAGATATGCGCGCGAATGTCACGTCGAACAATATTCAGCCGCTATTGGATATCGTCGCTCGGATTCTATATGGAAAGCTCATCAGCAGACGTGGGCGGACCACTGCCGCCGGTCTGAAGGCCCGTCGAGTGGCCATTTTCGCGTTCTTCACCAGTGCAGATTCCTCCATGCTGGAGAACCTAGTGAACTTGATGATTCAGCCATTTGCGTTGATCAACGAGCAGCCGGATTTCGACGCAGATGGGAATTTCTACCTCAATGAGTCGCTCGACCCTCACTTGTCCATCAAGAGACAGCTCGGATTCTTGCACGTGCTTGAGGATGCTATCAAGCAACTCAGAACGCTGCTGCAACCCTTCTTACCGAAATTGGTCAAAGCAGTGCTGTATGTACTGCACTATGCGGAACAGAGGTTGTCAACCGCGTCGACAGCCATGGATAAGGTTGTAGACGATGGAGCATCGTTTGAGACCTTTCTGGAAAAGCAGTCGAAGGAGGCTCGAATGCTGAGCATACGACGTCTCAAGGAGATTTTCGACTTGGGCTTGGATTTCGATTTCGACGCTTACTTGCCTACCATCTTCCGGCTCAGCATTACCGATCGCTTGCCTCGATTTGCCACCGAGAACTCCCAGTCGCCGAGTTCGCTGATGGAGTTGTTCGTCACATGGTCGCAGAACCCCCGCTACGCGCCATATCTCGTGAAAGAAGCTCCCGATTTGATCCCCAAAGTTGTAGCGGTGATTTCGTCCAAGAAAGTCAGGCCACCGGTGATAGCAGCTGTGCTAACGATGACGGAAGGCTTGCTGGACCTTTGCGATGCTAGTATGCAAGAGGATGGCGAGGCCTTTTTCGAAACACTACTGCGTCCATACGTCGATTCCATACTAACGAACCTGAATGCCGTCATCTCGATTTCTGTCGAGACGAAGAAAGTGGTCTTCATTGGAAACTCGATCCCAGCTCGCGTCATTCGTATCTTGGCCAGATTGTCCGAACATGTCTCGGACGGTGAACAAGCTGAGCAGCTGTTGAGCATGCTCCTGCCGTACGCCAAACGCCCTCCGAAAGCGGTACCGGAATCGGTGAAAGTCGAGATCCTGAGAATTTTCAGCAACTTCGTTCCGATGTTGCCAGGGCTCAAAGGACAGTCGCCTGTCGACACACCGTACTTTTCGTTAGTAGCACACCTATTCGGAACTCTTGAAACGCGGGAAGCGCGGGCTGAACTGGTTAGCATAACGAAGAGACTTGCGCAACTGGACTCGTCCATCACCGTTGTGGCGGATCTCGCTGAAGCTCTGAACGCCTATTCCACTACCCGTTTGGACGAGCCGGACTTCGACAAGCGGTTCGGTGCATTCACCACACTTAACCAGGAGCTCTACCAAACGCTGACCGCAACACAATGGTTACCCGTCTTGCATAACCTACTGTTCTACGTGCAGGAGCGTGAGGACTTTGCCATCCGGACTAGTGCGTCACACAGCGTCACTGTGTTTATCCGTCGCGCCAGTGGATCCGATCTTCAAGACCGACAACAGAAGCTTCCTCTCGATGAGTTCTTGAACATGATCGTTCACGTCTTGTTCCCAGCCATCAAGCGCGGTATGAATCACACATCGATCGCCGTTCGCCAGGAGTTCATCAATATCCTCGGCCAGCTTGTTGTCACCTTTCCGGACATGTCGCTTGTTTCCGACATGACGGGTCTTCTTGCCGATGGGGACGACGAGGCGTCTTTTTTTGGGAACATCTTGCACTTGCAGATTCACAGACGTATGCGCGCTATGAAACGTCTCGCTCAAGAATGTCTGGAAGGCGAGCTGGGCGCTACTAGTACCGCCAATATCTTCATCCCGCTAGTCGCACACTTCATCTTCGAGTCAGATCGGTCACAAGATCACAATCTGATCAATGAGGCGATTGCAACCATTGCTGCCTGTTCAAGGGTGTTGAAGTGGGGACAGTACTGGGCGCTTTTGAAGCGATTTCTGAACGCCCTCCCAAGGCGCCCTGAATTGGAGAAGGCGCTGAACAGGTTGATCATTCAGTTGTTGGACGCTTTCCATTTCTCCGTTGCGGACGAAAACGATGTGCCAATGGAGATTGATGGTGAGGTGACCGCGGATGTCGTCGTTGAGCCGATGGATGTGGATATACCGCTGGACGAGTCGACTCTCCCGGAAGACGAGGCAGACGCGGCAGACGAAGCTGAGGAGCTGAACGCGGAGGACGCCCCAAGCGCTGGTGTCACATCGGCCACGAAAGTACGAGATGTTGTGCTACGAAAGGTACTTCCTACCTTGCAAGCGTACATCGAGAAGGACGACAACGATAGCCTCCCGACCCGTGTGCCCCTTGCCGTTGCGGTCGCTTCTTTATTGAAGCGTCTCTCCGAGAAGACACGTCAAGCTCCGCTAGCAAAGCTGATCACCACCTTGTGTAACTTTTTGCGACTGCGTGGACAAGAAGCTAGAGACACGACCCGAGATACTTTGGTGAAAATCACCTGCTCACTCGGCCCCGCATACCTTCCCTTTGTGCTAAAGGAGTTGGAAGGCGCCCTCACCCGTGGATACCAGTTACACGTGCTCGGATACACCATTCACTCGATCCTGTTGGAGTTCGTGAAGATCGTGCAACCGGGCGAAATCGACATTTGCGTAGAAGATCTGGTCCGTATGTGCACCGCCGATGTCTTCGGTGAGGCAGGCGCAGAAAGGGAGGTTCAGGAGCTTCGCGGGAAAATGCGAGAAATCAAGACTACGAAGTCTTTCGACTCTTTCGAACTTATCAGCAAAGTCGTCGGGTTTGACAAGACGATCAAGATGCTCACACCGTTGAAGGGCTTCATGATCGAAACCACGAACGCTCAGGTCATGAGGAAAGTCGACGACATTCTGAAGAGGATTGCGCTTGGAATCAACAACAACACCGCAGTACGACCTGATGATCTGATGATTTTCGTGCACGACCTTCTCACCGAGAACTTCCCATTGTCACAACCGGCATCTGCGCCGGCGAAAGAACGATCTGTTCAAGAGAAGAACTTCATGGTTAATCTGAAGCGGCCGAGTACTCAAGCGCAGGAGACACTGAAAACCTTCCAAGCGAACGCTTTCAGATTCATTCACTTTGGTCTATCGTTACTGCTGAATGCTTTGAAATCGGAGAGAATCAGCCTGCGCAACACCCAGCATTTGTCGATGCTTGATCCGTTAGTGCCACTCCTTGGACGCGGATTATACTCGAAGCACACGTCGGCAACCGTTGCTTCCTTGCGAATTTTCACGATGATCGGAAACTCGCCACTACCCAAGTTGAAGGAGAGCATGCCCGTTGTAGTCAGACGTCTTTTCGACATCCTCACCAAGAAGCATGCGACCAGTGAGGAGCTGACGCAAGCAACGTTCCGACTGCTCACGACGATCATCCGTGACTGCAAATATGTGACCATCAGTGAACAACAGCTCGTAGCAGCCGCCAGCATTGTTCGTCCCGATCTCGAAAACCAGGAAACCGATCGCCAAGGAACAGCCTTCTCGCTCATCCGCGCCATTCTGAGCAGGAAGATTGTCGTCAAGGAGATGTACGAAGTTATGGACGTCGTCTCGAAGACCATGATCACGAGTCAGAGCTCACAGATTCGAGAATTGTGTCGACATGCGTATATCCAGTTCTTGCTCGACTACCCGCATGGGCCTGGAAGGCTGAAGAAGCAAATCACCTACCTCGTCAAAAATCTGTCGTATGAGCATGAGACCGGTCGACAATCTGTGTTGGCGGTTTTCGACAGCCTCACGGACAAACTCAGCGATGATGCCTTGAATGAGTTTGCGGAGCTATTCTTTCTATCGTTAGTCATGTGTTTAGTCAACGACGCATCATCGAAGTGTCGTGAGCACTCCGGCACGCTCATCAAGAAGCTTCTAACACGGCTGGACTCGAATCGTGCGTCAAAGATTCTGCAGCTTGTCGACACCTGGTTCGGACAGGGACAGCAACTGCAAATGCAACGGACCGCAGCTCAAGTCGCTGGTCTTGTTCTTGAAGCTGTTGGTGAACGGGAGAAGAAGTGGATCCCGACCTTGAATCGTCAGCTCGAGTCAGTTTTGGGTGCAGTTGTTGACAGGTTTGAGGAGGCCGCCTACATCGATGAAGAGATGGAAGACGACGGTGACGCATCTTGGGAACTCGCATACTACTCCCTCAAGACATTCTCCAAAGTCGTTAGCGTTTCGAATGCATTCAAGCATTCTCCTACGACAACAGAGATCTGGAAATACGTGCGGGCACTCCTGCTGTACCCACACCAATGGGTCCGAGCTGTCTGCAGTCGGTTGCTGGGAATGCTTTTCGAGACGATCAACGCGGAGACCGGAGCTGTCGTAACGACGGAGATGGGCAAAACAGTACAGCGGCACTTTTTGCTCGCTGACACACCGACGATGGTGTCGCTTGTTAACAACGTATCGGCGCAGCTCGAGTCCGCCGTTCTGACCGCAGATGCAGCGAAGCAAGTCGTGAAAAACTTGTTCTTCATCGGCAAGTGCATGCTGCATATGGATCTTCAACGGGAGGCCAATGGAGAGCCAATCCTCAATGGGATTTCAGAGGATGCGGTAGAGGACGATGAAGACGAACCGGAGGAAGAGGTTGAGGAAGATGGCGACGACACTCCGCAGAAAGACAAGAGCAAGGCGCCAAAGTCACCATTGCTTTCCCTTTGTCGACGCCTGTCTTACCTTGCTCGAACCGACGCTGCTAAGAAGCGAGGGCCGTTGTTGGTAAGATACATCTTCACCGCTGTAATTTCATCTCAAACGAGAGTGCCTGATGTCTTGCGTCAATTTGCAGAGGCAAAGTGTTTTCCAATGGTTTGCAGCCATGATACAGTACATACCAAAAGATCACATCAGGACTTACTTACCACCAATTATGGCCGCCTTATATCATACTTCAAAAGATGACACTTCTAGAGGAGCCCAAGCAGGTGCGTTCACCCGAATGATCTGATGCATTTTTATGATGATCCGCGAAAGCTCACATTACCATCCCTTCCTTATCATTGCAGATCAGCTTCGTCTCCTCGCTTCTGAAGTTCTTGAGCTTCTCCAGAAGCACATTGGCACAGAAGCTTACGTTACGCTTTACAGTGCTACCGAGCAACGGGTGCAACGGCTCCGCCAGGAGCGTCGCGCTCAGAGGTCCATTCAGGCAGTCCTTGACCCTGAAGCAAGGGCAAAGCGACGAAATCAGAAAAATGAGATCAAGAAGAGGGGAAGGAAGAGGAAGGCTGAGGAGTTTGCGAAGGGGAAGATGAAGCAGACCGTTGCTAAGCGCATCAAGCGATAGTAGATCGGGGCCACCTAGAGAGCCGAGGCAGTATTGCACAAGTATCGATACAAGCATCATCAGTTCATTTATCATATTGCACATAAGTTATTCTGCATAGTACATGAGTTTTGTTTTCTGAATCATGCGAAGGATCATCCACTTGAGGGACGGGGTCACATGACCAGCATGAGTCATTCCCGTCAGAAATCGCAACTTCGATCGAGCGGACTTTTGTGGACTTCGCCGGTTTTATGAAGTCGACGGCTTGCGCTTTACAAGGTCGATGAGAGCACTTTTGTTCGGCGCATCTCCTGCACACCACGGAAGACCTCTTCTGAACACCTACTCACTCAGGAGGCGAGCAACTTCATTTGCGAGGGTTGCCCTTCTTCGTCCGGGTCTTAGATCTACCGACTTGAACCGACAAGCCACACCTTGGAATTCGTCTCCACTCTCAAAGAACACATATTCGACTTCGACGTCGGACAAACATAAACCGAAAATGACCGTCGATACGAAGGGTAAAGAGGAGAAGGTTGTGGGAACTGATGGGCCCGTTACTGCGAACGGAGCGTCCGCCAATGGCCCGAAGAACGATGCGAAGGCGGAGGCGAAGAAGGCAGCGAAGGCAGCGAAGGCCGCCAAACTAGAAGCGAAATTGGCTGCCCAGGCTGCTGCTCAAGCCGCCGCCGCTGCGAGCGACGCTACTGGAAAAAAGAAGAAGGCGACGAAAGTGAAAGCGGAGCCCGTTCCCGAACCCGAGTTTGTGGACAACACACCCGAAGGCGAGAAGAAGGTGTTGCAGGGCGACATTCCCACCGCGTATAACCCGATCGCTGTCGAAGCAGCATGGTACGCATGGTGGGAAAAGTCTGGATTCTTCAAACCCCAGCTTGTCGACGGGGCACCAGCCCCCGAGGGCACATTCACTATCCCAATCCCGCCACCGAACGTCACAGGCGCACTTCATTTGGGACATGCCCTGACCAACTCGATCCAGGATGCCCTTACCCGATGGCACCGAATGCAGGGTAAGACCACCCTGTTCGTACCGGGGTGCGATCACGCCGGTATCTCCACGCAGGTTGTGGTTGAGAAGCGGTTGGTCAAGGAGAGGGGAATCACCCGGCATGATTTGGGACGGGAGAAGTTCTTGGAGGAGGTTTTCAAGTGGAAGGAGGCATACGGCACCCGTATCTACAGCCAATTGAGGAAAGTTGGAAGTTCGATGGACTGGGACCGTGTCAGGTTCACTATGGACCCTAATATGGTAAAGGCTGTCAACGAGGCGTTCGTCCGGTTACATGAGGATGGTGTCATCTACCGTGACAACCGTCTTGTCAACTGGGACACGAAGCTAAAGACTGCGCTTTCGAACCTGGAAGTAGACCAGAAAGAGTTGCCTGGCCGGACGCTGATGACTGTTCCGGATCACGACCCAAAGAAGAAATACGAGTTTGGTGTCATCATCTCGTTCGCGTACCCGATCGAGAACTCGACCGAGCAGATCGTTGTCGCCACCACCCGTTTGGAAACGATGCTGGGAGACACAGCGATTGCCGTCCACCCCACCGACGAGCGCTACAAACACCTCCACGGAAAGTACGTAATCCACCCATTCCAAAACCGCCGCATCCCCATCGTCGCCGATGAATACGTTGACCCCGCATTCGGAACCGGTGCCGTCAAAATCACACCCGCCCACGACCCCAACGATTACACTGTCGGAAAGCGTCAGAAGCTCGAGTTCATCAACATCTTCACGGATGAGGGGCAGATCAACGAGGCGGGAGCGCCGTTCACCGGGCTCAAACGCTTCGACGCTAGGGTTGCGGTCTTGGAGGAGCTGAAGAAGAAAGGATTGTACATCGAGACGAAAGACAACAAGATGGTTCTGCCCATCTCCGAGCGTACGGGCAACATCGTTGAGCCGATGCTGAAACCGCAATGGTGGGTTAACTGCAAGGATATGGCGGGAGAGGCTATGAAGGTCGTGAGGACTGGAGAGCTGCAGATTCTTCCGCAAACGTCCGAGAAGGAGTGGTTCAGATGGTTGGAGAACATTGAGGACTGGTGTATCTCGCGACAACTGTGGTGGGGCCACCGTATCCCTGCATACTTCATCAAGATTCAGAACCAAGAGAACGACCGTATCGATGGGAAGTACTGGGTGTCTGGCCGCAACGAGAAAGAGGCCCGGCAGAAGGCTCTGGAGAAGTTCCCCGATGTCAAACCTGCCGATATTGTCTTGGAGCAAGACGAGGATGTCCTCGACACATGGTTCTCGTCGGGGCTTTGGCCATTTTCTATTATGGGCTGGCCGGAGAAAACACAAGATCTCAAGCTCTTTTACCCCCACAACCTGCTCGAAACTGGAAAGGATATACTGTTCTTCTGGGTTGCTAGGATGGTGATGTTGGGAATAAAGCTGACGGGCACCGTTCCGTTCAAGCAGGTTAGGACCTTTCGCGATATGTTTTTGACTTGGAGGAATCACAGCTGACACCGTTATGCTTGCAGGTCTTCTGCCATTCCATGGTCCGTGACGCACACGGTCGCAAGATGAGTAAGAGTTTAGGCAACGTCATCGACCCCATCGACGTCATCTATGGCATCTCCCTAGAAGAGCTCCACAAACGGCTCGAGGACGGAAACCTCGACCCCCGCGAAGTCGAAAAAGCCAAAGATGGCCAGTCCCGCGATTTCCCAGCCGGTATCCCCCAATGCGGAACCGACGCGATGCGGTTCGCCCTCCTCGCCTACACGTCCGGAGCATCGGACATTAACCTCGACATTAGCCGTGTTGAGGGATACCGCAAGTGGTGCAACAAGCTCTGGAACGCCACCCGGTTTGCCTTGATGAAGCTGGGTGCTGACTACAAGCCCCGCAAGGACGTTGCTCTCACGGGCAAGGAGTCTTTGGCGGACAGGTGGATCCTCGCAAAGCTCAACCAGTGCATCCGCAAGACCAACGAGAACCTTGCCCAGTACAACTTCATGCAAGCGACCAACGCGCTGTACCAGTTCTGGCTCTACGAGCTCTGCGACGTCTACCTGGAAACTACGAAACCCATCATCGACGGCGCCGACGCTGCCGCCAGCGACTCTGCGAAGGATGTGCTTTACATCTGTCTTGAGGCTGGTCTCAAGCTGCTTCACCCGTTCATGCCATTTGTCACTGAGGAGCTGTACCAGCGTTTGCCGAGACGGCCGGATGACAAGGTGCCGAGTATCATGATTACGCGATACCCTGAGGCTCTGGCTGAGTGGGACAATGCGAAGAGCGAGGCGGACTGGGATCTTGTGAATCATGTTGTGCATGCTGCTCGTAGTTTGTTGACGGACTATATCATCAAGGATGCTACTGGTATGTACAGCTGAGACTGGGCGGAAAGGTGTACAAGTGAATGGTTCTCACACGTGCTTTTCTTCCACAGTTTTGTTGACCGCATCGACATACGAGACACGCCAACTGTTAGAGTCACAAATCCCCATCGTCAAGTCCATGCTGAAGGGCTGTGGCGCGTTCAAGGTCCTGGGAGCCAACGAGACTGTGCCCGCCGGATGCGCCATCAATAACGTTTCCGAAGAAGTCAACGTCTACCTCCTCGTCAAGGTACGTTCCAGTCTTACTCCCCTCATCTTCCATATCTTCCAATAGCTGACCATCTTTCCCTTACATCAACAGGGCTTCGTGGACTTTGACGCGGAATTGCTCAAAATCGCCTCAAAAGTCGACAAAGTCCGAGACAACCTCGCCTCATGGATCAAAAAGACGACAGTGGATGGGTACGAGGAGCGCGTCAGGCAGGAGATCAAGGACTCGAATGATGCAAAGATTAAAGGGCTGCAGGCGGAGATTGCTGCGTTGGAGAAGGCGGCGGATGAGTTTAGGAGGTTAAGGGATGCTTGAGATGCTAGACCCGCTTTGGCCATATGTTGAGCGCGTCCATACTTTCTCCCTTCTCACTTCCGTTGTGTTGTCTCGCACTCTTTCTGTTAAACACTTTCTGAGCCTTTACCCGACGCTTTGTTGGGGAACCGTCGTGTGCATATATACATATTTTTCATAGAAAAACTCGTTAGAGTCTGGACATTTTCATTTGTCTGCAAGCAAGTCTTTACCAGATATTATTGACAAGATACGATGAGCATGGCTCAAGAGAAAAAGCATTATATACACGAAGAAATGGAAGTGAAAATCGGTGTGGAAACGAGGCCTCTCGTTCTGAACGAAAACGGAAACCCATTATGAAACTCCTGACATGAGAAGCACCAAAAAACTGAAAAATGAGGTCGTGCTAGTACTACGATCTGACTAAAACCCCAAAGGGAATGATCAGAAGAATGTCTCCTTCCAGAACTCTGCATTCGCTGTGTCAGGGCCCTTGATGTTCGAGCCTCCCTTTGCCATCGCAAACCTGGTGCCTTCCGTCGCAGCCATCCCAGGACCGATCACCGCAGCTGGCGCCTGGTCAACGACACCAGAGAAGCTATGCGACCGCACCTTCACATCCCCGCTCGCGCCAAGCTCGCTCCCCAGACCTACACACTGCCTACTTCCCGAGCCCAGTTCCTCCTCCTCCCTGATATCTTTCCCAGGACGAGGATTGTCTACGGTGTCTCTCCTGCCGCTACCAGGTATCCGCCCACCCCAGGCGCCCGCCGTCCCCGTGCCGCCGCCACCGCCACCGACAGGTGCGCTTTTCGCCAAGAGGGCAAGCGAGGCCAGTGGAGACGATGAGAGGAAGGAAGAGGAAGGTGGTGGCGTCGGTAAAGGCTGTCCAGACGGTACAGATCCGGAGAGTGAAGGAGGTGAGTCTGGCAGGTAGGAGTGGTTTGAGGATAACGAGGATGAGATGGACATTGACCGTGGCGGCGTCGTTGAGTGGGTCCCGAATGAGAATGGGGAGCGGGCGTTTGGTATCGGTAAGGGTTTGATGGTGGCTTTTGAGTCGGCTGGTTGTGAGGTTGAGCTTGCGTCGCTCTGAGAGGTTTGCTGTTGGCTGGAAAAACTCTGGCGTCTATGGTATACTGCAACCATTGCTGCACCGGCCGCCACTCCGGCTGAGGATAAGATGAGAGGGGTGGGCATTGCTGTTTTGCAGTTGAACGTATGTCGTCCCTCAGGAAGTGGCGAGAGGTTACTGCTACCAATCTACGTATCGTACTGCTTTCAAGATACAGAGTGTGTATGCGAGAGACGGGAAAATGGGGCTACTTCTGGACGTGGGGTTGCCTTTTCGGGGGGGGGCAAAAGGGACGGACAAGGTGAACGCGCTGATTGTGACTCAATTGATGAAGAGTGAAGCGGGTGGAATCCATTCGCGATGACGCTCCTCCCTCCCATCTCCTGTTCGGCTCCGTTATCTCCCGAGTCTGGAGTCGGTTTCTTACCATGTGCTCGCAGCTGTGGCGTAACTGTTCGGCGCAACTCTCTAGTGCTGCTCAAAAACAGTTTCCCCGCAGTATTGCAACATCATAATGCCGTGACATTGCCGTTCCTCGTCCTCCAGTCCTCCAGGCGACATCCCAGGAAAGGTAACCTTCGCTCGAAAGACTTCGACAGAGTGAGAATCTTAATAGGCTCTTCGTTCCAAGCGGCGATACCACAGTGCAGTAGAGTCGACTAACATGGAGTCATACCCGCTCGAATATGTCCTCCATCACATGCCGCTCATGGCCGTGCTGGGTCTACTGGAAGATCATCCAGCTTCCGACACTCAGACACCACAGGACCCAAGGACAGGCGGTAACCTGAAGAACTCGCTGCTATCGACCCTTATGGCGAGAAATAACACCAGCATCTGGGATGCTGCGGCAAAGAAGGATGCAGCCTTCTTCCATGTTACTGTTTTAGACAAGGTGAGGGTTGAGTACGAAGGCTTGTCGGGAATGAAGACATACGGAGACACCAATGGAGGCGAAATGGAGCGTGGGAATACGTTGGACTCGGTGTGTGGTATCTTGGGCCCTTCCATCGCGTCGAAAATCCCCCACGGTCGGGCATCATCTTGGACCGTAGGACGGCGGGCCGCCGGAACGCGAACGTTGCTCGAGGTTTGGCATAGTTGATGTGAGGTGTCAGATTGCCGGCTGATGGAGCCCTGGCGTCTATTGAGCGGACGAGTGGGAATCAGAGCGAAACCTGATAGAAACCCCTTTACTAATGGACCTTCCCCCAAAGACACATGTCTTCCCACCACGCAAGCCTGTCCGCCCGCCAGTTCCCCAGCAGCATTCTCCTTTATCACCCCTCACGCCCGACTCGCTGCTCTATCCAGAAGGGATAATGCACCCAAGTTGGGTGCAACGACATAAGGAGACTCGCCCATCCGTTGTTGTCGCGTTTTATGAGCTCTGGGAACGGCAGGGAGCGATCGACTCACAGGATCCGTTGGGAGCCCAGCAAGCACTGAGTCTCGAGAGGGAGAAGGATCTGTTGCTTTGTTCGGAGATCACGGAGAAGAAGTAGGTTTGGGCAGGATGCGGAGGGCGGTGTCCGTGGGAAGAGACGTTAAACCAGGAATGTTCAGACGGAACGCAGGAGAGAGAGGGATCCGCTTTGCCGTGACGATTATTCTCAACACCAGTGCACTTGGTGAGTAATACTTTCTTCTTATGTTGGATATGGCCACTCTTTTCGTGCCACAACCCTGACACTTCCATCAGATGACTCGCATGTGGAGGATCGTTTGTCCTTCATACGGCGGACATGCAGTCTAGACCAGCGCTCGTCTTTCTTCGTTCTACATGCCAGATCGGCAGATCCACAAGCTTTTGTCTCAACGTGAGTCAAGCTTTTCGCGTAGCCATCATATTGTCTTACAGGCATTTACTGAAGGGAGCAGTTTGCAAAAGGCTTTGACGGACCAGGCTGCGAGCTATTACCGAGATCACGACAAGAGAGTGCGGAAGAAAAAGGCAAAACTGCCTCCCATTTCGGCAAACCGGTCGAACTTTGCGTCTAGCAGCACTGGATCGCTGAGCCCGGTGGCTCAAGGGTCGCAGTCGAAACCGCTGCCACCTGCGGGATGGCACTTGCGATATGAGTTCAAGTTAGGGGTATTTGCCGAGTTCCGCCAAGATGTCGAGAATGCGTTGAAGTATGTAAACATGCATTGCAGGTCTCCATCATTGAGCGTACCATTGACGTATTATAACAGGCACTATGACACAACATACCAGCTACTGATAGAGCTTATGAATGCAAGTGTGGCATCAGGTGGGCTCGTGTTTGGGAACGAGTTCCTGCAACCTCATAGTGCACGCTGGACGGAAGCTAGGACGTTGCTCGACTGTCTGAGTCTGAAGGTGAAGGATCTTTCGGTGGCGCTAGATGAGACATGGGACTGACGTTGGCCAATGCCCGTCAGATGTGCAAGCTGCAGCTATATTCGAACAGACCTATCCCGGCTTGGAAGCAGATGGAGCGGCATATTGGAAATTGCAGAAGCTTTCCGGAGTTCATTGGCCCACCGACACTCGGTACACGGCCCATATCACCGAGCACTGCACGACTGAGGGCAATGGTGGCAGGTGGCTCACTGGAGTTTTGGACCTGGGCTGCCATTCAGTACGTATTTCCTTCCCATCTTAGGAAGCTAATGAGAAGCTCACTGCGATGCACAATTCAACAGATATCGAATCTTTGGAGAGCTTATTGAGCTTGCAACTGGCAAATCCGGACTTCGACTACCATTTCCCCCCTCTGGAGCACTCACAGTCAACGCCGCGGACTCTGCGCAAACCTACGCTCTCCTAAACTCACTGTCCGTCTCCGACAATACCCCAATACATTTCGGCCCAATGAGCGCGACAAATCCATCGATCCTTGTTCAACATGCTGGATACTACTACTTCATGGCCGCCGCCTGCGCAGAGGAGCGGTGGAATGCATTTGGGAAGTCGGAGGCGGCCACCCTGACTGCGCCGCCTCCACCTCCTTCGGCTGCTACTGCGCCGGTCCGCAGAATGTCACAGACTCGTACAGGCTCGTTTTCTGACTCGTTGACTTCACCGTTCTCTCCATCGCTTCAACCTCCCCCAAGCAACTTTTCAGACTCTTCGAATAGTCAACACGGCGTGGATCTTGCAACCCTTGTTATTGAATTGCTCACAAAGTCGTATGAGCAGTTCAAGAAGCACCGAGCAGGTCGAATGACACTGTTCCTTGCTTCCGAGATCGCTCGGGTGTATGAAATGAGCGGAAAGTACGACATGGCTCTAAAGTTCTTTGAGCGGATCGGCAAGACATACAGGAAGGACCAGTGGCCTAGCATTCTGAAGGACGTATTGAGGCGCACAGCACAGTGCGCCCGGACGCTGGGACGTTGGGAAATCGTTGCCGAGTGTCTTATCGAGCTTCTGAGCGACCGGATCTCTACACCGGGACCAGCCGGGGCATCGGAGCGAGAAGCGGTCCTTCAAGAGCTGTTCTCGGTCTTGCAGCAGGGAGAAACGCTTGGGAAGAGCAACAGGGTTGCAGTTGATATGGATCAGATTGAGTCGTTCCTTCGCTGCACTGTCCAGTTCCGGAAACACAGCACGTACGTGGGTGCACCGGCAGCGTTCCAGGTATCCCTGATTGCTGCGTCGTCGACATCGCCACCGGTCCCCGTCCGCTTTGCGCGCATTCGCGTCGCCTTCTCCGACCCACGCTTCGACCATGTGATCGTAGACTCCGGTGCCAGCGAACACCAGGCGACGGGATCCGTACTTTGGCAAGACTGTACGGACTGCCAGCTGACCGGTCTAGACAATGAGGAGGTGTGGACGAAGCAGGCGGCTCTGAATTTCCAGCCTGGAACGACCAAGGTCCTGGAGGGTGTGATTACGCCTGGCGAAGGGATGGATCTGAAGATCACGTCTGTTATCGTGACTTTGGAATCCGGGGATGGACAGCTGAATCTCGACTATAAGGTCGGCAGCCGGGCCGAGGATACGGTGACACGAAGGAGATGGTACACGGTGGACGCAAGCGTCGCCAATGGAGGCCGATGGATTATGCTAGACGGCTCGGGTGAGCAATCCGTTCTGCGGGTAACCAGGCGGCAACCAAACATTTCCGTGCAACTAAAGCACGCACCACCGGGTTTCATTGACGAGATATACCCCGTCATCGTGGAAATCGTCAACGACGAATCGGAGGACATTGAGGCCTACTTCGATGTAGAGTTCCGGAGCTCAGGCGCCGATGGGACGGATCCTACCAGCAACATCGCGCAGGATGTTCGTGACGAAAGCGAGCAAGGCGAAGCGCACCCGCTGGACGGACCAAATGCTCTCAACCTCATCTATCTGGGCATCATCCCGGCGTCCTCCCGCGTCTCACGGCACTTCAAGCTCCGTTGTTCCCACCAACCCGGCGAACGCGTCATGTACAATATCGTCAATTACCGCTCCCTCCCGTCGTTCAAGTCGCCGACAACGGCGGCGTTACCGGAGAAGCCCACACCAGCCTCCCACCCTGCGCTGTTCTTCCGGAAGAGCGAGCCGGTCAGGTTACCGTTCATTGCGCCGTTTACTGCGAAGTTTAGCCAGCAGCAAGAGTATGGCGCGCCGTTTGAGTCGGGTGAAGGCGGGTTGTTCTCGTTGACGCCTATGGATCAGGACGTGGCGTCTGTGCAAAGGCATATTGTTATGGCTAGTATATCAAGTGCTGGACCGTGGGAACTGGAAGTTGGGGAGTTGCGCTTTCCGTCGGTTGATGAGGAAGTGAGTGTGATCTTCGCCATTGCACAATTGGAGTCGTGCGCTGATGGTTCTTATTGTCGTTAGGTTGTCTCGGCTCATCCATCGCTACAGCGGCTAGATCTTCAACCTGTTGACACCTCCTCCGCTACCACGAAAGGCTCAGAAGGTATGTTGGAACATTACAGGTATTTCGTCGTTCAGCACCGGTCTCGAACAGTGCAATCTTAGTGTGGAAGCCTGGACATACGAGCGTCGTCTCGTACAGAGTAGTGATGACCATCGACCCCGTCCCGCCGGTCCAGCCAATACCTGGGGGCGAGTTCCTGATTCAATGGCGACGGTGAGCCAATGGTGCGTTTCTCAGTAGAAGGCTCTACTTCTGACCTGTTGCCACGCAGAAAATCGTCGGCGGATGGGGATAAGCCATGGGTAACGACATCTGTCAGCGCGCCAGAGCTCCGGATAGACCAAGATCCAATACGTATATGCATCGGTATGTCAAATAGCGAGCGCTCTTTCCTGGTCCGCCTATTTACACGAATACTTTCTAGATGTACCCCCGCTCATCCTGCACACCACGCCATTCACCGTGTCCTACGTAATCTACAACACCTCAATAAGCATCAGCCACGTCCTCCTCACCATGGACGTCGTCGAGGGCTTCGTCGTGAGCGGATACAAGCAGACGCAAATCCGGCTTCTACCGCTGAGTTCTATGGTCGTCACGTACAATTGCGTGGCACTAGTTTGCGGGAAGGTGTGTCTACCGAGATTGAAGGCCACGATCTTGGATGAGAGGCAGGATGATGCTGCGTCGAAAGCGGGCGCACCGCCGACGGGACAGTTCGTGAATAATCTGAGTGTGAGGGGTGGGGCGAATAGCGGGTCGTTGGCGGCGAATGATGATTTGTTCGTGTTTGTTCGGCCTAGTCATAGTGTATTGGTGGGGGGGGCTCTTGGGACGCATTTGTAAAGGCCCCCATAATAGAAAAATGCCACTCCCGGTGTAGCCCCACAATGATCTTGGCCATCAGACCGTGCTGAATATATATATAGACCCAATGCTCAACCGAACGCGGTCCTCTTCCGACCTCTCCGGCGTACTGGAAGGAGATGGTTTCAGAACCGTCTCGGCTTCGCTGAAACTCACGCTTCGTACCTTCTTCCAGCTTCTTCAAAACTGCCTGAGCACCTTTCCCATTCGTCCTATAAGCGTCTAGTATTGCTTGAAACTACGCGAAGTACGTGGAGGATGTAGGCGACATGGTTTAGACAAAGACCGATACAGCTGAAGGGAGACATCCATGCGTACCAAAGCCTCCGTATTCGGATGCGTGCTGCTCAAAGCCCTCTCCAGAACGTAAAGATCCACCGCTTTGTCCTCCACCATAGTCGATACCATGCTCAGGCCGAAATCAATGAGCACCTGCATATGGTCATCAGAGTCCACTCCACGATCTTCCTGATCTCACATGAATCGCGCAGTTCACCCACCAAGGAGCTCGTCCCAGCCCGTAGCATCATGTTCGACGTAGTCAAATCTCCGTGGATGATATCCAGCCCATGCATGATTGCGAGGCATTTACCAATCGCGCTGGCTAACTCGTTATCTGCATCCGTATAGCGTCAGAACTACCTGTTCCGTCCCTATCCTTCAAAGCAACCAAAGACTGACCAATCGAGCCATCTGACATTCGGCGCTCGGAAATGAAGTCCCTCACACTGATGCCATCGATGAACTCCATATATATCGTGCTTCTCTTGATGTCTAGCAGATACAGTATTGGTGTATCGATACCGGCGCGGCGCAGGCGCTGCAGCGAGCGGGCTTCCTAGAGACGCAATGGCTTTGGCGTGAGTCGCCGTTCCGCTGAGACGTGTTCTGATAGAACCGGCACGACCCCACCTGCACAACCCGCCTCGCCGTTAATTTCTCGTCTAACACCGGATGTCGGTAGGATTTCTTGAACCGCTCCTTTACTATGGCTGGTCGACCTGGGAGGAAGGGAATTTTGTATACCCGCTTTGGACTTTGGGAGTCAATGAACTGAATATAATCCTTTTGAGGACGAGAAGAAAGAGCTGAGATAGGACTCACAGCCTCCGCGCCTTGTTTCACCAATGTTGCTATGTTTTCGTCTGCCATTGTCCTGTGGTGGTGCCTGGGAAATTGCCTCTGACTATCGGCGTCGAAAGCAAGTGACGAGCCGTATCTGATAGCGTCTTGACCTTCGAGGGAGGACCTGCGGGTGCGTCTATATGGAAAATGAAATGTTATCTACCTCTATGGAACCGCCGTCTTCAATAGTTGTGCCAAAGAGTGCCAATGAGTCCCGCTGGAAGCCTTGGGAAAGCCAGAGGACCGGCATGCAGACCGGCATGTCCGGATGATGCTTGGGCGCGTCCGCTTTCTTTCGTCTTCCCCTCCAAGATCACCCATCATCCAGACTCCTCAAAACCACTTTCTCACACAAGAAGCACACAGGGTGGACTGGCTGGAACTCCAAACCCATTTTACTGCAAGGTTCTGGAGCATAACCCACTTTCACATAGTCCCTGCTTCATATATCAGCTGATCAGGGGTCTGACAAAGTTGCATTACGTCGCAAAGCGGACCTATGAGGAACTTGGAAGCCCAGATGCGCGGCACCACACTCAAGGAAAAGGAGAATGCAGGGTTAAGGGTAAGCTAACGTGGTCAGCCGCACGTCCTCCTCGATAGCCTTCCTGACTCCGGGCTGTGCGTGATTGCAGCAGCCACTGCGTACGCAGGCTTCCGGAGCACCAACGGCCGCGAAAGGAGTCCCCAAAGCCCCCACAGCGGGCAGCGCACTTCCCGAAAGCTCACTCCACAAATACGGGCCATCCGCTCTCAAGAAGGTGGCGAGCGCTCAACAAGGGAAACTTCCGCTGTCGCCAAAGTCAGGACATCCCAATGAAGCTCAAAGCCGCCCGGCTCCTCTGCAACAGTCACAGCTTGCGAATGGAAATAATGGAATGCATCGATCGACTGGAGGGGGTTATGGATCCCCAAAGGCGGCGAGACCAAATGAGAACGCGAGCGCGGGCGCTGTGGTAAATCAGGGACATGCGGAGCGTGAATCGTCCAGGTTCGCTAACGCCCGAATCTACTTCCTGTGTGGGATTATATGAAGTCTAATGCTAGCATCATCACCCACAGCAGCAACGGATCAGACGGAAAGAAATGGAACCTTGACGATTTCGACGTAGGGAGAGCTCTCGGCAAGGGAAAATTTGGACGCGTCTACTTGGCCCGTGAGAAGCGGAGTGGATTTGTGGTCGCTCTGAAAATCCTCTTCAAGCATGAGTTAGCGACGGCGAGAGTGGAGAAGCAGTTACGACGTGAAATTGAGATTCAGTCGCACTTAAGGTACGAGAGCGGCACATTATGTATGGCTTTCTGCGTTTTTTCGCAGCTGATGACTTGGCCTTACAATAGGCACCCCAATATCTTGCGGCTGTTTGGCTATTTCTACGATGCCAAACGAGTTTACTTGATTCTCGAGTATGCGGCAAAGGGAGAGCTCTACAAACAGTTGAGGAAATACAGCCGATTTCCAGAGAATCGAGCATCAAAGGTCGGGATCTTTGAATATATTAGCCTCATCGTAAGACTTATCTAACGTCTGAACGTGGCCTGCTTTTTACAGTATATTGGTCAGATGGCGAGCGCACTTGGGTATTTACACAAGAAAAACGTCATCCACCGTGATATCAAGCCAGGTAAGCCAGCCTGAGAGCCTTTATCATTCTATTCCACCTCACATTCGGATTGAACTTTCTAGAAAACCTGCTTCTGAGCATGAAAGGGCAGCTCAAAATCGCTGACTTTGGATGGTCCGTCCACGCTCCCAACGCCCGCCGACAGACCCTCTGTGGAACTCTCGACTACCTTCCCCCGGAGATGGTCGAAGGCCGCGAACACACCTCCGCCGTCGATTTGTGGTCTCTCGGCGTCCTCAGCTACGAGTTTCTCGTTGGCGTTCCACCGTTCGAGGACCACACGTCGTATCGAGCGACCTATAAACGTATCGCCCAGGTGGATCTGAAGTTTCCTGCGTACGTGAGTAAGGAGGCTGAGGACTTTATCAGAAAGGTGAGCTTCACGGGTTTCAATCCTGGCGCGTAAAGAGTTCTTTGATCTCACAGTTATGCCTCACCCGATGCTATAGCTGCTGCAATACGTCCCAGAGAAACGTCTTCAGCTACCCGCCGTCATCAGACATCCTTGGCTTACCCGATACAATACGGCACAAGAGTTGGGACTGGATGCCGCCGAAGGCGCTATGCTAGGATGTCCAGCCGTCCCCAATGATGATTGAAGACTCCGCGGACATTAAGAGAGTTTGGACAAAACAAAGGCTGTAGCGACGAAACGCATCTATTTGGTAGTAGGATGGCGAGGACTGGCCAGACATTTTTCAGTGGGGATACAATCGTTTTATTGAGAATTGGAAATACATAGAGAATTGACGGTCGGTAAATTTGTTGTACATAAACACTCGTGTGTAATTCGAGGTTCGAAGATTTACAAACGAAGCTTTCCTTCGGTATATAATCACTGCAATGAGCTGTCGAACACAGCTGCCCAAAAAACGTTCTTGACGCGATATATCGTTGCCGTTATGCGCCTGCGCGTGTTAAGCAAACACTGGAGAACGTCCACATGTAAACCGATCTTGTAGCCGACGAAAAGATGGCGAACCAATATCTAAAGCCTGGCGAAGTTCATGTCTCTCAAGTCAAGACGCTCGAACAGAGCCGCAAAAATTTGCGATAGGTTTCTACCAGGAACCTCAGACCGTCAATGCCGCAAAAGCAGACATGGTCTCTCTGAACAAAGCATCTTGACGAGAAGACCTGAACGAGGAAGAACCTAGAGAACACTGCGGGCCATCTGACCGCGCAGACGTTCTAAAGTGGATCTTCAAAGTTCGCCGCTTTCCCATCAAGATTCCGCCATTTTTCAGGCGTAGAGGTTTTCGGCTCAAGTCGGTTTTGTTGTTTTTCGTGCGATGGCTTTGTTTGACCATTCGCAGCCAGCGTTTCTTGAGCGTTCGTGGGGCGTTGTCCGGTAGTGTCTGACGCAATGCTGGCGAGCAACGGCGTGACGACGTGACGCGTGGGATATTGCGAAGGCGGGGCGCTTCAGTGTCGCTGAGATCCATTGTAGCCGCAATTGTTTCTAAGGCTTGAGTTACTTCCTAAGACAAGATGCAATTGGCATTGTTTGAGGCTTTCGGACAAAACGCGATCGTTTAGAAGGGTGGGGTTACCCGAGAAAAGCCAAAGACGTACCTGCTTCGGGGCGATGTTGCGCAGAGTTCGGCTTGCTAAGAGTTCTGCGAGGGGAAGGCGGGGTTGAGAAGAGGTCCAGACTCACGGATGCTACGTACGTTTGGCGACGTTCATTCAGATTGTAAAGTACGGCGGGTGTTGTTCGTTCGCACGCTTGCTGCAAAGGAAAACGATATCCGTTTCCACGAGAACGACTTGCACGCACCTGTGGGTATACGTCCCACGTAGTTAAAAGGCACTCAGCAGCACTGCTTGCTCGCTCTGAAGATTCTCTCAGCGGCAGAGTTTTGTTTGCCGAACGTGAATTCTGAGGGGTGCCAAAACTGACCTCACCCAGTCTGCCGCGGATTTTGGATTCCACGCGTTCGTCAACTCCGCTACGCTTGCTTACGGGAGAGCTACAGTACAACGCATGTTCCCCTCTCCCACCGACTGCATATCTGCCATATTGCGTATATGTCCCCACTTGACCAACGCACGGAGTCACGAAACTAGCCTTGTGTCGTAATTGGAATGGACCCATTACACGAGGTAGTCCCCAAGATGTACCGGGCTCGTTCAGAGCACATGTTTGGGAAAGCTGGTAGGCGAATGGTGTGCGGCATGGGATGGACAAGCGATGCGGTGATGTTGAGAAGACGTATGAAGGTGTCTGGAAGGATCGCTAATGTACCCTGCTGGTCAACCGCTCCTGCTCGCGCGGTGACTGCGTCCGTGTCAATAAGCATGGGTCCAACATTTTAGTTTTCGACTTCCTATTCATTTGGACTCCGAACTACTTATAACAGACGTACATATACTAGCCTTCGAATACTACGCCGCTCTCCCTCACATTCAATTGAAGTCGTACGCCTGAATGCTATGGCTGTTCCCACATTACTTTGTCTCCGGCTCAGCCGCTCGCGCGAATTGATAATTCTCCTTCACATCCTCCCAATCCGGGATTGGAGGCGGAGCCTCCGAAGGATCCAGAAACCATTGCGGGTTTGCCCATTTCCCGTCGTCACTTCCAGCTTCTTCAGCGGTCTCGAAACTTCCTTTTGCGTCGTCTCCCCATCCAGGGCCTCCTCCGCTCTCTTGCGCATGTTTGCTGGGTTCTACAACATATCGCTGGTAGTACTGCGCAACTCGTTGTTCCTCCTTGACTTTCGGCCGGCGCACTTCTGGGTCTTTGATGTCTCTCCAAGTTTTGTAAAGTGGGAGCGCTGCTTCTTTGACAGAGTAAGGACTCGCTGCCGAGACTTCAATGGCTATTGCAGCTTCGCCCACGTAACCGTTGATCTCGTTATATACTGACTTCTCCTCGGACGATCGAGAGAGCTCGTAGCTCTTGATGCACGGCATGCACTTGCGTTTGTACTTCAAGCCCAGTTGGCGGCGGGAGTACATGTTTCGGGCCTGCTTTTCTCCGCATGCGCTGCATTCAAGCACATCCTCATCCTCATCCTCTATCTCTTCTTCAAAGTAATCTTCGCAGTTGGGCAACAGCTCTTTTGGAAGTGGTACGACTACCTCTTCCTCGAGGGATGTCTTTCCGAGAGATTGAGCAGCACCCTTTATGTCTTCCGCTTGCGTTAACTTCGCGGCGATGTCCTCAGCTTCTTCGCCGACAGTGAGTATTTTCTCGTTTTGGGACAATGCCTGGAGGATGGCAATGTCCTGGCTGGGTTCTTTGACGTCAACACTGGGTACATCCTCGTGCTGAGACACTGGCTTGCGAATGCCAATGTCCTCATCTTGATGACTGGCCGTCTCGAGGTTTTCTTGACGTACGGTCTCCGTCACTGCTCGTTGGCCACGGTCTTCGTCGAGCTCCTCATCCGAGACGTTAATTTCGCGAACTCGTAGCTCGGGGTTAATATTGTGAGTCTGCTGCTGACAACCCTTCACATGCTCCCATTGACGTAGAAGGGCATTGAAGACACGTTTTGGCAGGCTGAGTAGCACTGTAACTGCATGCTTGACTTGGCGCGGCCTGAGAGCGACGTAAGTGACCGCTGCTCCGATCAAAGCTGCCGAGACAACTGGTACGAGCATACTGTCGAAACCCGATTGAGGAAACTTGGACGACGACGAGAAAATATGGGATGGCAATCTTCTCGGCGGTCTGGGCGCCGTTGTAGTATACGCTTCTCCAACGTTTCTCTAAGGTTTCATACGATTGACAGCTATCCGAAACGGTCACGGTATCAATATGATATTGGGAGGTCTTCCGAAGGGCAGTCGACCATAAGTACGCACCTGCTTTACTCCTTGCAGAGAGATTGAGAGTCCGGAACTGGCTGCTTCCCTCCAGGAACCTTTTGAGAAGAGAAGGACGTCCTCTTCGAAGTAGACAGCAGGTTTGAGAATTTCGGCGATTGGGCAGCGGCAATTTCGACAGCGCGTCCTCGCCAAAGAAACGGAAATCCCGCCCAGCTTGTCTTTTGGCGGCCGAAACTGTCCCGACCGAAAAAACATCTGCACAGAATAGGATCAAACTAGGGACCTAATCATGCCCGCACACACGACCGACCCAACCGCTATATCGTCTCTGCAAGCGCAGGAAGCTGCAGAGTACCTCAGCAAGAACAAGGTGCACCAGATCGTGCAGCAGCTGGTGTGTGCTTGCTTGTATGAGCGGCCAGGTACGATTAGATCGCGGCTGTGGCGAGCCTGCTTTGAGCCACATGCTATTATAACTGCTGACCGAAGCCTTTTCCGCTTCTGATTGATTTAAGATGACCCAAAAGAGTTCATGGTCCGGAAATTGGAGGAAATGCGGAATGCGAGGGTAAGGGTCAATCCGTCCATGGGACATAGACATAAGAAGAGGCTAACGGTACACCTGTCTTAGGCGCGAGGCCAGTCGTTAGTTCTCTTCACTCGCGAGAATCTGGTGGCCTTGTTTCGCATCTTCGACGTTACGAGCAGGGGAGCTATCACAAAGCAGCAATATGACCAAGGTGGGCTCCTTTCGAGCGGATGCTGTCTTCCGTTGAGTTCCCTGACGCTTTGGAATTCATTTGGCAGCCATGAAGAACATTGGTGCATACGACAAAGCGAACGCAAGGCCTAGCGGGATCGAGCAGGACCTCATCCGGCAGGAGACATTTGTTGAAGAGGCGTAAGTGAAATGGGGCCAAACGTGTTTCTGTCATATACGCGCTGTGCTCATGGGCATGTTCTCTGAATCCCGTAGCGCTGCCGCTTTGAGTAAGCTCAGATGAATCAAGGCGATGGAAAGAAGCACATGTACATACATTGATTCGGACATCTTGACGGCCGTGCGAAACTGGACATCGTTTCTCGGACGACGGTCGCTGCAGTGTGGGTCAAATACAGGCAATACAGGCAATGATGATATGCTGTCGAATTCTCAGTGATTCCAATTCATGTATTTACAATAAAATGGCATGCAAGGACCAAGGCCGAACTGCCTTGAAACAGGTAATGAAGGAGACGGGGTCGGACGTGCTCCTTGAAATGACTACCCTAAGACCGCATTGCAAGCATGACGGACTTCGGCTCGAGGAGTTGTGGTGTTCATGCAGCATGGTGCAGCAAGTGGCGTTTAGGACTTGACAGCTTTCTTCAGGATCTTCTCGACTTCCATGTAATTGTCAGTGGGCACTCGGATGATTTCCCTTCCAAAGTGATTTTCAATCGATTTCATCTCGGAGTAAGACCTTTCGTCGTGGACGAAGTTGATGCTGACACCAGTGCGACCGAATCGACCAGTACGACCGATACGGTGCAAGTACGTTTCGGGGTCCGGCTGGGAGGATGCGTCCAGAGGAATATCGTAGTTGATGACCAAGTTCACTTGCAGAATGTCGATACCTCGAGCGATAACGTTCGTCGTGATCAGTACTTTGCATCGACCGTCACGGAAGTCGTCAATGGCTTTGTCACGTTCCAGAGGGTCGAAACCTCCGTGAAGAACCAAGCAGACGTGTCCCTGGTCTGTCAAGGCACGACCCAGTCGTTCGGCCACATCACGTCTCTACGCGTGGAAAATCATCAGTAAGAAGCAAGACTTGAGCATTTCCTCCTCCAGCTCTTGACATACCCGACAGAAGATGATACTTTGACCAATGGTGAGAAGCCCATATATTGCGCAGAGGACTTCGACCTTATGGTTTTCGTTCTTGCAATCCATGTAAAATTGTTTGATGCCTTCTACGGAAAGCTCTTCCTGACGAAGCGAGATCATGTTCGCGTTTGGCGCAAATCTGGCTGCAAACTCTCGCACGGCCGGTGGGAAAGTTGCCGAGAACAACACGATTTGGCAGTTCTTCGGCACTTGACTGTAGTAAGGGAGGAAATATCAGATCTCGGCCGCTCCACAAAATTGCCATGTAGGACTTACTTCTTGACGCGGATACTATGGTCTCCTAGCCCTTGCTGGTCCAACATGTTATCGGCTTCATCCATGACGAAGATGCGAATATGTGTAGGGTCCAGATCTCTACGTTTGATGAGTTCAATAACGGTTCCCGGAGTTCCAACGACGATGTGGGCAGTGATCTTCTGACCCCTGGTAACCGAATCTTTGATAGCGAAAGCGGTGGTGACCGGTGTATATTTGCCCATGAGCTTCACAACGTCCATGATTTGCCTAGCAAGCTCACGCGCAGGTGCGAGACAGACGGCCTGCACGACGTTGGAGCTGAAATTGATCCGACTGAGCATCGTAAGAGCAAAGGCCGCGGTTTTGCCCGTTCCGGATTGCGATTGCCCAATCATGTTCTTCGGGGGATTGGCAACGAGGAGGGGTAAGGCCTTCTCCTGAATCTTGGACGGTCTTTCGAAACCCATGGCGTAGATTCCTTTCAGCAGATCGGGATGAAGGCCAAGGTCTTCGAAAGTGGAGACACCCGAATAAAGGGGATTATTGACATCAGCCTGTAAGTCGGCCAGCTTAACTTCGACAACTTCGCTGGATTCGATTAAATTGGATTGTTTCTTGGCATTAGGAGTATCGTCAAGGTCGTCTTCTGTCGTCAACGCATCTACTTTGTTGGTCAGATCTTTCACGCCGTTATCTTGGGTCGGAGGAGTAGGCAACGCTGCTGACGTTCCATTGGTGGGTTTCTTGGTTGGAGACGTGGGTGGGTTGCCCCAACCGGACGCTTGTGGTGGAGTTGCACCCCAGCCAGCGGAACCCGGATTCGTTGTTGGAGCTGCAGTGCCAGCAGGAGGCTTTCCCCAGTTCGAAGCGTCAGCAGGTGGCTGAGGTATGATGAGTTCAAGCGTGAACATTGCAATGGTGGGCTCAGCGACCTAGTCTGCGTACCTTGCCCCAGCCGTCTGCGATAGCAGGTTTACCGTTCGGTGCGGACATTGCGAGCGTAAATAGTTCGACTTTCGAACAGAGGTTTCAACCTTTAGAAAAAGGAAAAAGAGCGTCCAGAAGTAAGCTTGATTGTTGAAAGCTACAGTGGGAAACCAACGCCAGTAATATGGCTCGCAATCCTCGCGAAGCCACGAATCGAAACTCCTGAGCCCTGCGTTAATACCTGTTACACTACGACCGTTTTCACAGCGAAACCCTCTTTGATTCCGGAGGTGACGGTGCTTTCGTGAACTGCTTGTAATTGCGACAACGACGGTGGAACAGTGGAATCGCTGTCGTTGGCGAAGGGTAAGCAAGGGGCCCCGAAAGGCACTTGGGACCCTTAAGCGACACGTGACCTGTTGATGGCATCAAATTGCATTTTCCGACGAAACTTTTTCTCCAGCGGATCATTCCAAACGACCCCTACACATGCTTATACAGCAATGCTTCTCACTAATAGCTTTCACGAAAGCAGTAAATACATCGGGTCTGAAGCTCTGTACATTTTCCTCCCTAACAACCACCGCATATTCGTCGATGCTCTAACCAATGGAGATCAGAAAACTATCCCCATCTTTCGGCGGTACCACGGGTTGCGCCCCGGCCTCCTCGTCTTGGAATCCAGATGCCGCTTCTCCTTCCATCTCCGTCGTAGAACCTGGCTCATGTGCATCCACTTTCACCGGCACCACATCCGAGCTAGGGACTATATCTTCATAGGTCCGACCTTTAGGAACCTCCCAGGCCCCGGACATAGATCCGCGGTGAGTCGCAGACGTGGGAGTGGCAGACTTGATGCTATCCCTCCGAGCAGAGAAACTATCGGGAATGCCTGCGTGAGTTGGACTTATCAATGTTGGCACATGGTGCTGAGGGATGTTGTGATGGTGCTGTTGCTGATGGCCGTGGTGACCGGCGGACATTGCTCGCATGTTTTCTTTATCGCGCGCGTCCCAAGTGTGCACCAGCTTTCGGAAAGCCAATCTGTCGGCGTACAGCTTTTGCTTTTCGCGTTCGATTTCCTTTCGCTCCGACTCCAACACCGCCTCTAATTCGGCGAAATGCGACATTTTGGCTTCGAGTTTCTTGTATTGCGCTTGTAGAAGCGCCAATGTCAATGCATGCAGCTCGGACGTAGCATGGTTCACGCCCAGGACGTGCGCTTTGGCAGCTGCAGAGCCAATGGCGGTCGCAGCTGCCTTCTGCAGGGTAGTTGCAGACGGCGCGTTCACCTCGGTAACATCGGCTTCCGTATCTTTGCTTGCCGCTTCCGGGGCTGCAACCTTCTCGTCTACTGTGGTGGAGGCAGGTTCCCTTGGAGGATCGACATCCATGGCATCTCCGGTTTGTTTTGATTCTTGCGTCCCTTTTCCGAGTTCCGCCACCGCACTGGTTTCGTTACCGTTCTCAACGGCGTTGCCGGTTTGCTCAGACTTCACGACCGGCTGCGGTTGACGCGTTAAAGGTCCGCTGTTCCCTTTTTTCTGCACTTCCTGAACGGCAGCCTTAGCAGCTGCACTCGCAACTTGCGGGTCAACCACAGATGCCAGGAACGCCGTAAGACTGAGAACTGGGTTGTCTACCGCAGAAAGTGGAATTCGGTGGTATTGGAGAGGGCCGAGATCATTTGCAGGCACGCCCACATAGGGGTCCTCAATCGGAAGCTGCAAGAACTTCGTTATGCACTGTTCGCGGGTGCGGGTGCCGACATGATCGGAAACCTTGTTCCAATCCTCGTCAAAAAGCTCCAGCCCTTCCAAGAGCAATAAGGTCTCCTGCTCTGTCCAATCATCAGTCGAGGCATGCTTCGCAGGTCCTGTGTCGTCCATTTTCAAGAAGTCGCCCGAGTACATTGTAGACGGGAAGCGCCCTTCGATGTAGCAGTTGGGACAGATTTCCATAGACGACGTTTTCAGACTGTGATATCGGATACGGCTGCAATCTACGCCGCATGTGGAGCAATTATGCTTGGCCTTCTTCTGCGGTGGCTGCGCAACAGAATGTCCCGTTTCCTGGTCCGCGTCCAAGCTGTGTTTTCGTGAAACCTGTTTCGCGGCGTCGGAGTATATGTCTTTACTGAATCGCAAAGGCGCCACTGCTACGTTGGCAGCTGAGCTTTTGCCGTCCGCAACGTTCGCAGCGGTGTCGATCTGTGGTCGACCGTTCGCTACTTTCCCCACGGAATCTGGTGCACTTCGAATCAAAGGCACGGCTGGGTATATTGGCTGCAACCCTCGCGGGGTATCCGCGGTCACTCTGAAGTGGCCTGTGAACGCGGGCCCAACACCGGAGGGTCTAGAGTCTGGATCAACCTATAAAGCAGCTGTGAGACATTGCCTACCAAAAGCCCCCGGCGTTGATGGTGACGAGGATATTTAAGATCTACCTGATAGTTTATGAGGCCCCACTGCTCCAAAAAGGCGTGGACACGAGTGATGGCACAGACGTCACCGGCGAGATTCCGTCTGCAGGCAGTCACCGTCAGATATTCCGAAGGATTGAGTCGGTATGTGTTGATCATGAAGTCGCGATAGTCCTTGTAGATGCTAGGCGTTTTACTTTTGTTGCAATTGTTGAAAAACTCTGGTAGTGATTTCTTCTCGACATCGTTTATTTTCGCCATGTGAAACCACGCAGAGTAACTAGGAATGATGATCTCGTGCGTCTGAGGGACAAGAAGTTTGCTTGTGGAAGGCGCGCCAGGCTCGAGATCCATTATTCGGACGGTCATTCCACTTCCGTCTACGCCGAAATGTCGAATATGAGTTGCCGTCCACCTCGTTGCACAAGCCCGACCATGAAAGTGAAACTCACCAGCCCCCCCAGCTTGGTTCGCGGGATCTTCTTGACCACCCTCCAAATTCCCGTCAGCATTTGTCGGTCGTTGCGGAGGATCCTGAGCTGTGATAGCGGCCCCTGAAGCTAAAGCATCGCCTTCACCAGCAGGCGTGGTAATTCCGTGCGATGTCGTGTTGTCGATCTGTGCGGAACCGTTTTGCGTGTTGTGGTCAGCTGGTAGGCGTCCCGTTGTGCCTGCTTCCTCAGCCCCTTGCGCTTCAATCTTCAGTTCTTCCGGGGTCTCGATGTCCATAGGATCGTGGGCGGGTGGCCTCTCTATTGCTTCTCCCGGAACGTCCATCTTTGCTCGCGGTCAGAAATTGCGCGCGCAGGTTCTGGCGTAAGAATTTATGTAGCCACTGTGAGCAAACTATGCCCTAACTCGAACTGAGAGAGGCTCAAACCCGATCACGTTTGAAGGAAAGGATGCCTAGAAGGGTGGATTCCCACCTCCGTATGATCGACAACAGGGCAGCAATGTGCTGTTGGGCTGGTTGGGTGTCCGATTTTGGAGCGGCGCGGCCAATTGGTGCGCGGTCGTACAAAGAATTGACAGGTGCGTGCGAGTTCCCCCCTGTTGTCCTTCCCTTGTCTCCGCTCTTATTAGCCGCTCTTGCTTTTCGGCTGTGCGCTTTTGTCCAAGCCTCTATCACTCTGTTCAAAACAGTGTGTTAATAACGTACTCCTCGCCCTGCTCCTCGCCCCCGATATAAAAGTTTTGATGGGAATTCCGTAGACCTCTCGTAGCCGACCTCTCGGACCAGAAGTCAACAATCTTGCGATCCTGTCACTCGTCATGTCGACCACCGTTCTCTCCCGAAGACCACTCTCTGGACAACTGCCTTGTGTGCGTATGGGTGCTGTACTTCTATCTTCCATATCAAATGATACCTGGGCTCACTCTGTCTGAACGTGCCGTTGTAGCTACGCACACCTCCACGCAGAGACTTCTTGCAGTCAAGGCGCTGGTTGCGGTTGGCGCGTCCGGCAAAAGCATCACCGATACAAAGGCCGCAGTTTGAAACACCGAGCAGGCGCTCATTCTTTTCATTCCTGAGGTCCTATCTTTCTCCGGCACGACCCACCGATGATGCGACCCCAACGAATACCGCTGGCCCAGCAGCTGTCGAAACATCGGTTCAAAGTTCAACAAAACGCCACAATGTGGATGGCCTCTCCGCTCGCGCGAATGAATCGGCGACCGCCGAGCCTAGCCTCAAAAATAGCAGCGGAAATGCGGATGCGTTCATGGCAGAGAAAGATCGCGCATATTTGGAAATGTTGAAGGACATGGATGGAGGCATGGCGGGCGTCGAGTTTGAGAATGGGGAGTGTTCGGGGCTCAAAGCACAGGTCCGATCGGACATGAAGCGGGTGATTTGAATTTTCGGTACAAGTCGCATGTCAATGAGCGATTTGAAGAGCAAATCAACACTTTTTGGGGCGGGGCTAAATCGCAGGAGACGACGGGTTTGGAAATTTGGAGCCAGATACACAGAATTGAATGCTCGATGGAGGAGGGGTTATCGATATACCTCACAGGGATTTGATTTGTTGTAGATAGTAACCGATTGTAGCGTTTTAGCAACACGTACAGTATTCTGTTGGCTTTGCTCCTCACTTCCTTTAGGCAATTCGTTACCCTTGCACGTGGTTTCCCTGTATTCTGACCGTTCTGATCTTATGGAAGGGTCTTGCATACCGGACCTCAAACCGGGCAGCATTCAAGATGACATTGGTTTCTGAGAGTTGCACAACTCCTCAATTTCCGCATCAGGCCCGCATTCAGATTTTCTAGCTTAAGACCGGTGAGGGCTGTTGTTGAGATGCTATTCGTCGGAGTAGTTCTGGTTCTGCAAGGCTAAAGTCGTCGGTCGATGGACGAAAGTGCGCCTGCGCCACAACTGCGCCACACATTTGAATCAGTTTCGCAAAATTTGCCCGGTGGGTGGTCTCTTGAGGAAGAGGCCAACAGGTTTGGAATAGCCAACAGCCGACGATTCAATCTAGTCTTCAACAACAGAGGTATGTCCAGGAGAACCCGGAAGCGTTTACACAAGTGTTCCAGTATCTAAAGGATTCGAACTCGTTACTTCTTTCCTGTTTATTTAGCTAGGGTACGAGACATGAAACTACGCATGCGGGGGGAAATGGGCGGGTGACGGTACTGACTCCCTTTCCTCGTCCTGAATGGTATATCAGAATCGCACAAAATGGGCAGACTCAACGAATACCAGGTCGTTGGCCGTCGTGTGCCGACCGAGAAGGAGCCGGTGCCTAAGTTGTACCGCATGCGCCTTTTCGCCCCGAACGAGGTTGTTGCCAAGTCCCGTTTCTGGTACTTCCTCAAGCAGGTCAACAAGGTCAAGAGGGCCTCTGGCGAGATCGTCTCCGTCAACCAGGTACTTATCAAAGATTGTGGGGAGTGTTTGTGTCGGAGGGAGGGATTCACCATGGGGCCTGATGTTTGTGGAACGGCGAATGCGGATGGCGGAACCCTAAAGTGAAAGCTCAAACCTGGAACCTCGTCATAGATCTTCGAGAAAAAGCCATTGACCGTAAAGAACTTTGGTATCTGGATTCGTTACGACTCTCGGTCCGGAACTCACAACATGTACAAGGAGTACCGTGAGCTTACCCGTACTGACGCCGTGGCGTCCTGCTGTAAGTTTGTGACCCGCGTCCTTGAAGGGGTTTGGCGGCGAATCTACGAAGGAGCGGGAAGATCCTCATGCCTTTTCTGCTGCAGACCAAGACATGGCTGCTCGTCACCGTGCCCGCTTCAGCTCCATCCAGATCATCAAGGTCGCCGAGGTCAAGGCCGCTGATGTCCGCCGTGCCTACATCAAGCAGATTCTGGACCCCAAGCTTAAGTTCCCCTTGCCCCACCGTGGTATGTATCTCACCCTAAAATTGCGGTCGAAGAGCAAACGTTGCAGCTCGCACCCGATTTACTCATCTCGTGATTACCCATCACTCTAGTGACTCGCCCGGCCAGCAAGCGCTTCCGCCCTGTGTTCAGCGGTACCCGCCCCGGTACTTTCTAGATTCTTGGATGGAGTCTGCTGTAATATATCGGTCGTCAAACAACTTTTTGTCCTTTCCGCAGTTGTGATGTTCGAGGGACAGGCCAGATCTTGGGATATCAGGAAGCTTGCAACGTGGATGAACTGGGAAGGAGGCTGGCGGGAAATCGGGGAAGTCTCGACGTAGGAGAACGGCGGATGGGTCAGGGCCTTTGGATGACTACGAGACGAGCTACGGCCGGGGAAGTTGTCTTACCACTCAGACGTTGATGAATGGGGATATCAGAAGTCTTTGGCATCCTATCAAATTGGTGGCGCACAGCGTCGGCCTCCGACCTTCCCAAACCCACTCCCGTAGAGGAGCTCCTTGGTCTGAGAACCAACACATTATCCATGTTGTGATGCTCGAACCTTGGCTGATGACGTACAGTACACGTTAAACCTTCGCGTGTGCTCGCATGGTTTTGCAGCATAGCCAACGCGTAACAGTCCGTTTGAGCACCCTTAAAACTCTTCCTCGTTCCGTTCCCTTCCGTTGCCCCCAGCTCAATCTCGAAACCATGCAGAAAGAACCGTGGGACTCGCATGTTGCCGGGAAGCGGTACTCTGTGAGCGACGGCCCAGTCCGCAGATTAACCGTCAAAGGCAAGAAACTTGTACGGACAGCGTGTGTCTGCCTTCTCCACTGCATTGTGGCCCATTCTCACGCCTCCATATCCTGCTCGTAGCATATGCTTGTCCCCGACGTAGTTCAGGAAGACGTCGTGGTTCGCAGTGCAGCCGAGAAAATGACACACAACTCGGAGAAGGAGGATTATATTCAGGAATTGAAGACGTTGGCGACGGAAATCGGATTTGAGCCGGTTGTGCACCTTCTGCAGCTGGGCAACATCGAGCGTGAAATCGACTTGATCGATTTGGAGGAACTGATCATGAATGTGTGTGATGGAAGCGACATTGATGGGGTTCCTGGACCCAGCGTTGGTGGGTGCCAAGATCGCTTTTGATGGCGCGTTGTGGGGGGCTCGCGGATTTGGGGGAATCTCACATACCGCCATAATGTAGCTGCATATTTGGAAAAGAAAAACTACGCAAACGTGGTTGGCTGCGATTCCATCTTCATCAATAACACTTTGACCAAGAACGGGATGAAAGAGCTCTTCCGCGAAAACCTCGTGTCCACACCGCCAGGGTTCGCGTTGACCAAGGATTCTGATCTTCCGAAACTGATCGATGACTGGGGAATGGTGTACCCGTTGTTTGTCAAGGTTTCGGACAGTTATGGGTATGCGCTGCTCTTCATCCGGTTTCGGGATGCTGGTTGACCGCTGGGGTCTTTCTCACACAATCAGATAGATCCGTAGGGATCGATGACAGTTCGGTTTGCCATGACTTCGACCAAGTGAAAGCCAAGACGGATGAGCTCCTGAAGGAATTCGAAAACCTCACCATCGAGGAGTACATTGATGGCCAGGAATACTCTGTAAGGACTCTCGCACGACGCTCATTGCACTATGGAGTGCTCACTTCGCATTCCATATCCACAGGTTCTGGTGTCTGGGAATAGCCGTGATGAAAACTCGACGGTCATCGTATATCCTCCTGCTGGTGAGACAAACTGGGTGCCGCAGACATACTGGCCATTCTGGCATGTCTCATAAACTCACTTTCATTCCAAAAGAGCGTGCATTCAATAAGGACCTCCCTCGATTCAAGCGGTTCATATCATACGTGCGAAACTGGGACGAAGCCCAGTATGCTCATGGATATGAGCATGTCACGGATCCGAACGACCACGCTGCGTTGCAGGATCTTTCTCGACGAGCGTATGCCGCGGTGTCGGGGAACGCATATGGGCGAGTGGTAAGTCACTGCTGACTCCTGTGAGCGCCAACCTCAAACTGATAAGCATCCTGGGGTTCAAAAGGATATTCGCAAACGTGATGTGAGCGGTAAGTTCCATCGTTGACTGTCCTGGTTAGCGGCACGACCTTATAGTCACTCCGTGCCCAGGCAAATTCTACGTGCTCGAAGTGAATGCATCCTGCGGACTGGGGAAGGGGTCATCTTCGGAGTTCATCTTGAAGCTGGCGGGACAAACAACACAAGACTTCTTCCAAATCTTGCTGAGTTCAGCCTTGAAGGTGTCTCTGGATACTTCTGTTACAACCCCTGCCGCGGAGAGTACGCGGGGAAGCTTCGCGAACATCACAGCCGAACCGGTCGGAGCCGATGGGGAGGGAGAAGATACCGTTTCCCCACTGCATTCGGTCTTGCCAGCGGAGGTCGAGCAAAAACTTGCTCAGCTCATTCGCAACCCAAGTTTGGCCGTTGTGCCCAACCCCGTCGTACACGTGATTTGCGCCGCGGTTCTTCAAGATCCCGAAGCGTACATACCGGACCCGGAAGGCAAACTGAAAGTCGGCTATGGAAAGGGTATGTTCACCTTGCGGCAGAACCTCCATGTTTCGCTGCTGACTTTCCCTGATATTAGATGTCGAGTACGTGAGCGAGCTCGAGTCGATCTTCCGAAACCTCAACTTTGACCCAATTGTGCATGTGTACAATGTGGACGACGTGAAAGACAGTCTGTCGGGGTTGTCCAAAGAGGAGGATTTGATCTTCAACGCCTGCTTGGGGACGGATGGGTTGGAGGTCGCTCGTCTGCTCGAGGATATCGGCTTCATCCACACAATCGGGCTCAACGCCCGCTTCTTCGTGGAGAGTCATGACCGTCAACTCATGCGGGAAGGGCTGAGCAAAAACAGATTACGCGTGCCAAAAGCTGTAGTCGTGAAGCACGGCACTCCCATCGACGAAGTATTGTCAGCCATGTCCGACAACCAAGTCTACCTCCCTGTCTACGTGAAGCCTGCGGTGCGGAAGCAAGTCATCGAAAACTCTGGAAGCAAGGTCACAACGGAACTGGAGCTCAGAGACGCCATCGCGGCCATTCCTGCCGACCAGACATGGGTCATCGAAGAATACGTACAAGGCACGCAGTACATGGTGCTCATCGCCGGTGATGCAAGAGATCCGTTCGCGGACCTCATTTGTTTCCCACCCGTCAAGCTTATCCCCACTGCGGGATCAGCCGAGCACCACCACTCCCAGAGTGGAATCTTGGGCGTGGTCCGCAAGCTAAGCATCCTCGGCCTGGGCAACAAGCAACATCAGAAGCGTGCGTCGTCTGAGACGCTGAACAGCACTTCTGCTTCAAACTTGGGCGGCGTCGGGACTCTTCCCACCGCGTCCAAGGCGGGCTCCACCGACCCTTTCACGTATGTCGCCATGAAACACCCTGACGATCTTATGCTCCAGATGGACCTGCAAGATCTCGCCCGCCGTGCATTCGTGGCGGTCCATGGTAGTTGCTACGGGCTTGTTACGATCATTGATCGCGAGGACGGGACAGGTCTGACTGTGGTGGGCGTGAGTGGAGACGTACGGTTTGGGGAGGAGAAGTCCGGAAAGATTGTGAAGCTGGCTGGGCAGAACACTGAGGCGCTGTTTAGCTGGTTGTTGAAGCGACCTGTGAGAGCTTAGTGGTGGGATGGGCCCTATGTACTGTGTAGCGAGGGGACTTGGGCACTGCATAGTGGGTAACCCGCATTAGCTGCGAGATTGTACACTGTAGATGTTACTCGAAGACATGAGTTCGAAATAAAACCAGGAACGAATCTAGGTCTTCCAATCCTTGATGGTATATGATTGACAACATCCCTTAAGCGGCTAGCCGTAAGTTACCAAGACAATGGAGAAAGTCCTGCCACACGGAGATGTCATTACGCCGATTTCTCAAGCCCGAATATTGTCCGAGCCTCTAAGACTTCTAAGCTAAGTGCTATTCCAAGGGATTGCTCTTCAGCACTCCTTCTAAACCGGCTACGTTCGCTTCCGATGAGACGCGATAAAGTCCCTGTCCACACTCTTTCGAAAGCAGAGGACCAACAGACATTTCCGTCCAACCCTGCCATACATTCTCAACCCCTTTTCGGGCGGCGTCGGAGAGGGCTATGCAGAAAATCGCGTCGTATCCACCAGCTGGGGAAGGATAATTGCGATCAGTCAATCGTCGTGAACACACGGCTTTCGGATAAACCTCGAGAGAACAACCAACCTCCGGGCACGCCGGCCATAATCACGCCCGGCACATTCATGCACGCATCCAACAGCCGAGTTTGTTCCGCTGGTTCGATGGGGACGTCAGCTAATTTCGACATTTCGCGCATACTGGAGCGGATTCCCTAGATAGTGCCGAATACTTAATTTCAATCCGGAGCTTGTGCAACTATTCTTTGCCCATACCATAAACGTCTCATACACGCTAACGAAGAGCTCAGAAAATTTGTCGACGCCGCCTTGGCTCTGTGCCTTCACTGTGGACCACTTTGGGGAGAATCACTGATGAATGATCGCATCACAGCCTCCACTTCTCATTGCCGTACCATACCTCAGACGCCCTTATCTGACCATGATGTCGGAGCGCCGCCTGGTAACCCGTAGGAGTCTCCCTAGCCAGCTTATACAACTGTCGTAAAGTAACATCGATGTGGTTGTTCTTCTGCGCCAGTGCCGTCCAGAGGTGATGAGCTGATTGGCAAGTGTGCGTCAGTACGATAACCATATGCACGCGGTGAGTACGCGTCAGCTTACCTTGTTCCTTATGCGATTGTCTCCATGCCAGGACTTTCGATACCAGTTTCGGTGTGCTGCTTCCAGCATCAATGTCCGCTAACAGCAGTTGGAATCCCTCTGGGAGAAGGAACCCCGTCTCCACAGTGTAGTCCCATCTGAGGAGCGACGAGCAAATCGATTGTGAGACAATGTCAGATATCGTCGGATTTACAGGTACGTACTTGTGTGTCTCTGGCGGCTGGACTACGCTTAGCAACCGGTCTGAGAATGGCATGGATTCCCCAGACTCCGATGTTTTCATTACCGCATCCATGACTTTCGGCGAGAATCGCTTATACGTGTGACTGCCCCATACGGCCGCACACACATCGAAACCACTCCCGATTTTCCCTTGGGCCACACAATGAGCCAGTTGCGCCGTATTATGAATGAGCTCCAAGCTGCGTGTTTCCGCGGCGGAAAGGATGGAGCGATTCCGGCTGGATTCCGTCAGCGGGATAGAGGCGACGTTGAAGTGGCACATGACGGCGCCGACCAGCGACGTAATCATGGCTGCCGAGGAACCCAAGCCTGTTTTGTGAACTTTCGACATTTGTGACATGGTGGAACAGAAGGGCTTCAGCGACCGGAGTGACTCCGTTGTTAAGTCCAAGCCATTTTTGGAGAGCTGCACATGGAAGGCAATAAGTTTTCTGAACACTTCCGTTTTGATGACCTTCACATACCTGTTCGCGTTGCGAGTAAAAGTCATTACTGCACACGATGATGATATCCAGGCTGACACCAGCCAAAGGGTGCGTTTTCGGAGCTAACACCGCAGTCGCTCCCAAAGCGTACTCGAGTGCTGCTTCTACGTAGCTGTTTCGAGGCGACTTCTCCACACTGATATAATACGAGGTCGTCACTGACTGCAGCCGTTCGGCTCAAAGGAGACATGGCACACCCTACCTCGATAGTTTCAGCTTATGGTGCGGCGCATTCGCTGCACTATCCGGAGCCACCGCCGCATAATATTGCCACACCCCATCCAGGAGTTGCGGGGACCTCACTCGAATGTTTGTTCCATCACCGGCGTTTTTGAGGCTCCTCACGACCGTAAAGAATCTAGAGTCGGTAGTCAACACGAGTCCTTGATATGCCGGGTCCAGCACCAAGTATCCCCCAGCCACTAGGACTTTCCCAGGGGCCGAAACTATCCTGCGGTAAGGAAGCGGTATTAACTCGTGCATAGGCTTATAGAGCAGACTTGCAGGAACGTACGTGGCGGAAGTCGTCATTAGACCTAAGCGGCTGAGGCGTGGAATGTCCGCTCTGGATCGCCCTTATTGACAACTGCTTTCACTCCGACCTGCAGATGCGGCGTGCTTCTGAGTCCTGTATTCATCAAACCCGCACGTCCTTGTCTTGTCCCGCGTCGCGTAATATATTATATATATATAGTATATAGACATCAACTCCCCCCCTGAGTCCCAATTCCTCGCATTAACATCCAAGACAGCGGTTCGCTTGCTCCCGGCGGTACGTATCTCACCCAGGAGATCCAGGAGGACCAGGTTTTCCTGCACACCGGAACTTCGAAATCAGGATCCAGGCTCAATTGAAGCATCCTTTTTGTATTGTCAAGATATCAGGTGACCAAGCTACCGAACGCGTCCGCGTAAGCAGCCCAACTCCGCTCATTTTCTGTCTCAAGTTTTACTTGTGCCAATGCCACGCTCAGGCTTTCGGTCCACCTCTCCAGATCGGAAGACGCCGTCTTCAGTCGATTTCTGCATCAAGCAGCTATTCACCTTTTTCGGAAAGGTGGGAGTTCCTTCGAAATCACGGGGACACCCTCATCGTAGCATTTTCGATATCAGAGACGCCCCAACGCAGTCCAGCCGCATTACAGAGTGGGTTACATCCAAATGCACAAGAGGGCGTGAGTCAAGGCCAAGCAAGAGCGGAACGCAGCAGTTTGATTGCGGTTCCAAAGGGCCTGCCGTTGTCGAGGCGGTCGCCCATTTCGCAGGCCACTGACAACAGATATGGATCAAATGAGGGATTGATTCTGTTCGGATTCTTTTCACGTCCATTCTTCTTCATCTCTTTCCCCCAATTGACTGAAGCATCTTACCATCCCACCTCCCTGTTCGTCGTTTCAAGTTTTTGGGTTTAGCCGTTAGGTCTGCCTGCATAGATAATTCTTTAGATCCCCGGGAACGGGTGATGTTCCTTCTCCCTTCCCAGAGATAGGAGTGCTGCAGCATCGGGTTGTCTCGCACATCCGTGACATCGAAAGAGCCCTTCACCCATGTACAGTAGATCTACCCTTAATCGACAATAGGAGATCCCTAGGTACAATACAATTCCCCTAAAGGGCTGTCAGATGGCATCTTAAGGTGGCCGTGCGTAAAAATCAATTGTTCTGCAATGAGGGCAAAACCGTCATTTTGGGTTGACCGGGTCGCGCTTTACCTAATTACAGCAGTTCAATCCGCTCAATCCACTCGCTTATCTCGAACTCCTACCATTGCGTCGTTTCGGGAGACAGAGCCAGGAATTGCCTGAATACCGGACGCCTTGCATGATGGCTTTCTATAAATCTGGGCAGGCGCTCGAAGATGTCGCGAGTTGCATGAACAAACATATAAGGCAGTATCGGGAAGTATGGCATCTTTCAAAATCGGTGTCAGCCTATCACTCCAAGGAACGACAGACAGAGAATGGTCGTTGCAAATGATACAGGCGATGCAGCTGCGGCTTGCTCAGCTTCTCCAGCCAAATGCGACATATCCCGTACATCCTGCTTTGCGGGCACCTGGGGCAGTCGAGATAATAGTCGACGATTGCTCGATGGACGGCGGCACGGTTCATTTGGGAAGCGCCATAGCATCCGCGATTCGTTTGCACAAGTGGAAATACGCCAATGCACTGATCGGTGTGGGATACTCGGATTCGACAATCGGAACAGCGTCAGTGGGATCCACTTTGGGGATTGGTGTGTGTGACGGAGGCTCAACGTCTCCAGCGGTGAGTTTCTCCAAAACCTTGGTGGGCCAATCGTTGAATAAGGCTGATAGTAGACACAAACAGTTAAGTTCGAAAGAGCCGTCCTCGACGTTCTTCAGAACCATTCCCAATGATAATGTAGCTGCGGAAGCCATTGTAGCAGCTGTGGCCGCTCAAGGTGGGCGAAGCTAAGAGATGCCTCAGCTCTAGCAGATTTCCTTACGTTCACGGTTCCGAATATCACAGGATGGAAACGTTTCGTGACCATTTCTTCGACGGATTTCTACGGAAATGGTCTGTTGGAAGCGACAAGAGAATCTGCGAATACCGCCGGATTAGAAGCAATGGCCGCCATCTCGTTTCTGCCGGGCACCACAGATTTCACCTTGATCGTCGACGAGTTGATATACTCCGGCGGCAACGTGGTCGTATTCCTCAGTCTGCATGGAGATCTTATCAGCTTTCTCCGGGAACTCCACCGCCGGGGATTGATTGAAGATGGTCTTCAGGTCATCACTTCAGACGATGCCGTGTATGCAAACCGTTCGGGCATTTCATTGGAGGATCTTAGGTTGTGGCATGGACTGTGGGCTGCCTACCCGGAGGAAGGGGTGGGCGCCGAATGGGCAAGCTACAAGAAGGCATGGGAACTCAGATATAATCACACAGATCCAACGGTGTATAGCGGTTTCTATTCGTCTTGCATCGAAGGCTTCGTCTGGGGCGCCAGCCGGAAACTTAGTAACGGAATGCCTTTCGAGACATTAGCGGACAGTAACACGAGGTGGAAAATACCGGAGGATTTGCCCTTTGCCACGAGGTCAGGAGTGACGGGCAATCTCGCCTTCGACCCGCACGGCGACCGGGTTGTCCCGTACCGCATGTATTACTTCGACGCTTATAGTGGGCCCTTGGGCAGTTTCAAATCCTTTGCTGAATGGAAACCATCGCCAGCCATCAATTATACCACCGAAGCAGTCACTCTCGATAACAGCTCATTCAATACGACTAACCCAGCTCTGTACTTTTCTGGAACCTGGACGAGGCCAGCTACTGAGATTGCGGCGGTTTATCGCACCGTTGAATGGTCATCCGCTCTGGGTATTTTCTGCATCATCCTCAGCTCCCTTATGGTGCTGTTGATTGGTTCCCTCGCAACGTTGGTTTATCGGCATCGAAGTGGGGAGGTACTGAAGGTAAGTGACTGATTGTCAAGATCGGGGCCACTCGTTTCGATGCTGATGAACATTTGGCTAACGTCTCGCAGCCGGCCAGTCCGATCTTCCTTCTCACTATCCTCGTTGGAGTTCTTGGCACTGCCTTGTACCCGCTGACGCTTATCGGTAATACTCCAGCTCCATCTGGTGGATCGGCATGAACAACCTTACTAACTTGCTGGTAACTAGGTGAACCTTCGACCTTAGCATGTGGCTGGAGCCTTTGGATCATGATGTCCACGATTGGGCTCGTCTTTGGCAGCCTGATAGCGAAGATGTTCCGCGTCATCAAGATTTTCCGATTTCCGGGGAAGATGGATCCAGGGAAGATCGGGGACATTCGGCTTGTTTTTGGATTAGCAGGTTGCATTTGTATATATTGGGTACGACCTTCGCTCTTCATGGCCGGTCTATAGCAACTTACTCACCTTTCCACACATGTATCAGGTGATCGGGCTGGTGTGGACCGCAGCTGACCCTCTGAAACCGGTTTGGGAGGAGGCGCCGCAAACGGGTCGAACAACAGAAATGAACGTTATTTGCAGGTCCACCTCCGTGACGTTCGGGTGGGTAATGCGAGGTAATTTGCTGACAGACCAAAGTATTTTATGATACGCCTGATCTCGGAAATGACCATTTCTGCTTTCTCAGCAATTTCGTGGCTCTACACCGCGGTTATCATCGTCCACGCTGTAGCTCTTACCTGGCTATGCAGAGATATTCCTTCGGATTACAGGTAAGGTGACCTGTCCAGATCTTCTTCGAGATTTCCTCAACATCTTTTGAATCTCTTCGTCATTACAGTGACAGCAAGCGTGTGGGCTGGCTTTTGTCACTGTACATCACAACGGCAGTTCTGATCCTGCCACCTCTGCTGGCTCTACGATTGGAGACGTACAGTTTCGTCCTGTTCCAAGTCGTCCCAAGTTACTTCGTTGGTTTTGCTACCTTGATCATCTTGTTCGGCGGGAGGATCTACCGTGTCTTCCACGAAAGAGAATTAGGCGCTCGCGAACTGTTCCGCAGTAACTTCGGCATTAGAAGCAAATCCAAGAAAGGGCTATCCGCGGCTATGGGAATGGAGGACGCTGTTAAAACAGCGGTAAGCCATCATCTTGTGTTTTGGAACACGTTCCCTGCATTGGTCGATATGGAGTGCATCTGACACAAACTTCGTAGACAAAGCGCGGGGAAGTGTTTTTGGCAGAGAAACGCTTATTCTTCACACTATGGACGCAGAAAACGATGTATTGTTTCGCTGACAAGGGGCTTCTCTTACTTATTGGGTATCCTCCAAATCCCCCGGTAACTAATGCATCTTTGTCGACTCTTCTTTGCCTCTGGCAAGCTGACCTTTCTTCAAAGACTTGTCAGGCAATAGGTTTGAAGTCCCACGCGTTAAGAGTGAGCGTAAACATACAAAGCGACGCCTACGCACTGCGGCTCATAAATATCAAAGAGAAAAGATACGGCATTACTATTCGCGTACTTTCGAATGAAGAGTTGCGAGAGTGGGCAAGAGTCCTCACTCCCCTATGCGTCCCGCCGACGCGTGTACCAAGAACTATTACCGAGAGTCGGTCCAACAATGGACTTTACCATTCACCACCCGCAACGGCTCAGTCGTCCAATGATGAAGTGCGTGCGGCGACTGGATCGGGGGTGCAGTTCGGATCCTCGGAGGACTCGTTGGAGCGCGCAGAATCCCTTGAAAAAACCCTTGGAAGTCCACTTGGAAGATCTCACACGATGCTGCAGAGCTCCAAGTAGGATCGCAGACATATCTACTTTCGCTGGACTGTCCGGCGAGAAATTCTGTATATAGAACCCCACCCCCCTGCTAGATCCCTTCATAACCTGTATCGTTGTTCAATTTGACATTGTCAACCTCTGTATATTTGGTTTCCGCTTCACTTACATTCGCTCTCCATCTTCAAAATACCTTATGCACATTCTGGTCTACGAGCCGGAGCCGAAGGTTGTCTCACCTTTCGCAAATGGCTGGTTGAGTCTGAGGCTCTTGAGCGGAGCAACGCGTGAAAAGAAGAACGCGCGTCTGGCTTACCAGATCATTACCAGATCCGTCGAAGTGGCCGAACACAGACGTCCAAACACCCCCTTCGTAGTCCGTCTTCCCTGCATCCGCACAAAGCAAAGCGTGCAACGTTGTCGGAGCAGACCAGCTTGGGAGAAACCGAGGTCGTTTGACATCGTGCTTGACACGATAAAGCTCGAGGGATGACGGTTCCAGACACCATCGGCAAGAGAATCTTCCTGAATCCGAACTGCGGAACAGTGCGCTTTCACGGAGTCTTGCCTGGTTCTGAGCAGAGGTGGTATGGCATCGAATGGGATGACGCGACAAGAGGAAAACACTCCGGTACCCACAACGGCCTACAGTACTTCACGACGCGGGATGCGGGAAGCGGCTCCTTCATTCGCGAAGGGAAGCTTACGTCGGAATGCTTTGGCCGATCGTTCTTAGACGCTTTGGCTGAGAAATATCAAGCACAACAGCCGACAGATAGTACCGTGCTGCTCGGCGGAGACGGAGTAGCCGTTGAGACCGTGGGTTGGGAGAAGATCGCCAAGAAGGTGTCTAACCTAAAGCAGCTGCGAGAAGTGGGCTTAGCGGAGATGCGAATAGGATTCCGGGGTCAGGAGGGTTGGATTGGGCAGATGTGCCCTTCGATAGTCGATCTGGATTTGTCTCGCAATTTGCTTGCCACGTGGAACGATGTGGGGGATATCTGTATCGAACTGCCAAACCTCGCTTCGCTGCGACTATCGCACAATCGCATGAAGCCATTCGAAGGTCCAACGTCCTCGCTTCACGGGGCATTCCTGCCTTTGAAAGCCTTGACACTCTTCGGCACCCTGATGGCGTGGAGTGAGATACAACATCTGCAGGAGTGTATGCCAAACCTGGAGGAACTACATCTCGGTGAGAACAGATTCAAAGCCCTTGACGTCGAAACAGTTTCTGGGTTCCAGCGTCTCAGTGTTCTCAACCTCGAGCACAATGAACTGAGTTCCTGGAAGGAGATAAGCAAACTCGGTAGCCTGCCGGCTTTGCATACCTTAATGCTCAACAACAACAATCTCACGACCATTGACGTCCCGGTGGGGTCTGCCTTCTCCAATCTGAGCACTTTGAACATTGTCGACAATAAGATAAACTCTTGGACGACAGTGCACGTACTCAATTCCTTTCCTTCGCTCACTCACGTGCGCATACGGCGCAATCCCGTTGTCGAAACCGTGCCCGCCGGAGACATGCATGACATCTTGGTGGCGCGGTTACGCAGTCTGAAGTATGTAAACGGGTCCAACATCACGCCAAACAGCAGACGAGATGCCGAATTATTCTATCTCAACCAATGCGCAAAGGAACTGTCAGAGTCGAACGATCCGACCGCCTTCGCTGCCAATCACCCTCGCTATGAGGAGCTATCAGCTGCATATGGCGCACCGTCACTCGTCCCAGCTGCCATGACATCAGCAATATTGAAAGACCGAGTCGTAGTAGTGACCATCTCGTGCCAGGGAAGGCGAGCCAGAAAGAAGATTCCAAACACCATGAATGTGCGGGCACTACGAGCACTCATCACTCGGATGTTCAGTCTGAAGGAACGGGGAGAATTGGTTCGCAAAGATAAGGCTGGGCGCCTGGTTACGATGGAAGATGATCTGCGAGACGTGGATTTCTATGGGTTGGAAAGCGGCGATGAAGTAGTAGTAGATATGAAGTGACTTGGAGCTCTACTTCCATGTCGACGAAGCTCGCAGTGATGCAACTGATGGTTCGGCGTACGCAGACCCCGATAGAAAGGCTTCGGACACGGACTCCGCGCACCATTGTAGATATAAACGATACCCGAAACGGCTGCGGGCTCGAATCAACGTTTCCACGTCTGGCAGATTCAGTAAGAAGCACGACCTCGATGCGACAACGTCGATTTGGTAACGCAGCAAATACACAATTTGCCCAGCTGGGTTATACCATAATGGGTCATGCCAACCAATTTGCACATTCGGGTTTTTAGATTTTCTATTTCATTGCGGCCTCCCTTATGGCAGCGAGACTAGTATATACATTGGGCTCCCCTATCACAGTCCCACGAGGAGGAGGTTTAAAGTTCACAGACCGCCCCTCCTCGTAGATCTCTTCCAAAACCTCTTCAAACCGCCCTACTCGCTTTAGTTCTACATACTGTTTGTACAAAAGGAGTGCCTGCCAGATGGGACGAAAGTCAATGTCAATATATCACTATGGAAAGTCAAACGAACGCGCGCCGACGAAACTGACCGTTCTCGCATCCTCTGAACTGTCGTGGGTTTCGCTCTGGATGTCCAACCGCAGGAGACACCACGCCAGAAACCGCAAAGACAATTTTCTGTAATGGGGTGATGTTGGTGTTAATCCACTAATGGTAGGTCCACGAGAAAGTGAAGCTCGACCAACCTCTGCCGGTTTTGTATGAAGAATATGTCTACTGTATCAATGACTTGATCCGGTGGAACCAGGATATCTGCAGACCAAAATCCGGTGAGCAGAGCGGGAGATTCTCCATGACCGAACAAGCAACTCACTTATGATTCTGAAGTCCTTCTTCAAGCCATGCCCAACAAACACGCAACCGAGATCCACGAGCAGGCGCAGTTTCTTGTACGCAGACTGTGTAGTATTGACACGTTCGTCAATCGAAGTCACCAGGACAACTACGGCGGCAATTACCTTCAGAGAAACCAACGGGTGTCTCGAGAGCGCTATATCCAGATCGCCGGCTGGAAGGTACGACCAATCAATAGTGCGCCCGACTTTCAAATTGAAACTTATGGCAAATAAAGTCCGCCCCTTACATTTGATGCCCGAGAACTCAGTGAGGTAGTCGACCACTTCTTCAGTTGTCGAAATGTACTCATCGATGAAAGGAACGCCTTCATCCGACCCATCGCCGCGCAAGACGGTGACCCGGGCCAAACTCAGACGAGATGGTTTGATCACAGATCGTGTCCCATCGCTTCGGATCTCTGCCTCATCCTGCACAAGGATATCACTCGCTTACTCTTCCAAAACCTCAGTGCTTTGAATGTTCCCAGTTGATACGAACCTTACTGAGCGCCACGAACTCGGCATCTAATGCGCAGAGATATCCACGTTGATTCGGTAGTTCGGCAGGCTTCAGAAGCCTGTACGCGATCTTGAGATCCCGTTCTTTCCGTCGACTGCAAAGTGAAAGAGACGAAGAGCTGAAGTCATTAAAGGGGTTCGACACTGCGTTGCGTCGATGGCCATGAATGCATACTTCAAGAGGACCATCTCCCTCAAGCCTCTTGCATGTGGAGTTGTTGGCAGCATTCTGAAGTCTTGCACCATATCAAGGTCAATGATTTTATATTGGAGCACGCATGGATTCTGCGAATGAGGGGAAGTTAGCGGACAAGTAGCATGGTCCATGGTGAATCCCAGCATCTGCACTTGCCTTCCATTTATGGTATGTTCGTGGTTCGGTTTCTGATACAGGTTGAACCATGAAGTCGTTGAAGACAATCCACTCTTGCACACCATTATTGCCAGCTGAGATGCGACGGGAGAAAATTAGTATGTACTGGGCTGAACAGGCTTACTTCATTAAGCGCTCACTTCGAATGTGGGACACAAGATGCGGCAATTGTTTCTCTTCGCGAATCTCCACGACGCTGGCTGAGAGTTCGTACACTGCGACGAGAGCGGTGGGGCTCGACGGCAATAGCTGCTCATCATCTAGGTGAAGAATCGATAGCTCATCGTTGTCGAATACGAGGGCAAGCCTGGAATCAAAATTGCATTAGCGCCGGAATCTCCCGTCGACATTATATCGAAGTTCACGAACCTAGCGGGAACAAAGGTTGGATCTACGGACAAAGTGTCAGAAAACAGGTGAGTATTCCCCGTGCCGGGGTGATATGTACAGCTTGAAGAGCACCGACCTGCTCTAAACAGCTCCAGCTCCTCCTCAGTAGTTGCACAGGCGTTTATGCTCAGCACGTTTGGTGGTCTTTGTAGCTTCCGATACTGGCTCGTCGGCTGATACTTCTTGCAGGTTTCGCACCACGCTTTTGTGGACGACACTCGATTTATACTGCTTTGCAGTATGCCCACAAACGTAGAGTCTGCCGTTTTGCCGCCAACAACCTGCGGAAACATAACCTATCAGTTGCAGGGAAGTTTTGATTCGGCAAATGCGAGAATGATTCATACCCGCTTTGGGTACTGCAAATCCACAACAAAAGGACACGTATCTCGAGCATTCAACGCGCTACACTGACACTGGCTGATGGCCTGCAATTGCAGCCCGAATATCTGCTGCATCGTCGTTGACAACGTGCTGTATGGCCGCGGTATGACCAACATCCGGGTATCATCTCCGAGCTCAAATTGAATCCGTTCCAGGATGAATCGATTGAAGTTCTGAATGAGCGTTGCGTAGTTGGTCGCTGAGCTTGGCTGGTCCGGCTCAAACAAACCGAGAGCACTAGCTAAGGATCGCTCACGTGAGATCAACCGCCGCGAGCGCTTCATATCGGCACAGGATCTGCATACCTTGAGGGATAGTTTTGAAAGCGCGCAAGAAATTGGTGGCTTGACAATTCGCACCGAGCGAGTCCTCAAGCATTCTGAACAAGAATCCCAGCTCGCATGCCAGGCAGTACTCCTTTGCACACGACATCTTGATGTGACCCTTTACCACCTCTCTAAGTGGTCGCGTGAAGAACATCACTTGCAGTAAAGAATTGGCGTACGAATTTGTGATGTCCGTTTCAAGGCCGCCATAATGCGTCTTGTTGTAGAATCCGAAATCAAAGTCTTCCACTCCAAACTTGCTGTACTTGATCTCCACGCGCTTGTAGTACTTGGGCGTGGAGCTAGCCCGTTGGTTCTTTGACTGCTCATCATCAGTGTCCTGGTTGTCCTGAAGATTCACGAAAGGATGAATAAGATGATGTGATTGTACGCGAGGCGGGAGGGCACGCAAATCATACCTGAGCGCCTCTTTTGCCAAAGTATTTCTCTCGATCTTGCTCAGAGCGGAACTTGGGCACTTCGGAGACTTCCTTGCGAGCCTTGCGTGCGGAGGCCAGGTTTTGGTTTCTTCGCGAGGTACGAGGGTTCGAAGCATAACCAACGAAATCGATGGTCTTCACGTTGGCGAGAACCTCGGCCGGAACCTTCGGGGCTGACTGTCCGACCTCAAAAGTTAGCTTCTCGGGCCATGCTGAGAGCAATCGAGTTGAGTAGTAGGGCATCCCGATAAGAGACAGGGGACTGGTAATCAAGGATATGCTGTTAGAGCGTGGAACTTCTCAGGCAGGGATATCATTAAACCACCGCACCTATCGTCCGTGATCTTGATCTCACTTGGTGGTGGAGGTTGATCTGCAAACTCAGTCAGCCGTGAGTTGAAATTCACGCGAGCTTCGTTCTTCTCGCTCCATAGGGAGACAACTCCAGCTGAATCGGCGAAAGCCAGTAGCTCCCCTGAGCTAGAGAAGTCTAGCGCACTCAGAACACCACTGACTTGAGCCTAAGGAAGGGGCGTGAGTGAGGCGTGAGCTCGAATGCCAGACGGCTGGAGGACTGTACCTGGTAGAATGTCGCTTCGGAAGTGTTGACCGCGTTGCAAAACTGAAATTGGCCGTTGGGCGACGCTCCCACTACCGTTGATGTCAGCCGAGGGTGAAACCGGAGGAATGTGGGTCCGGACGGGAATGGGATAGGCGCCAGCGCCCTCATCGTCCGGATGTCAAACATCTTGATCATTCCATCAGGCGCTAACGCTCCTCCTCTAGGAGTAACATACGGTGTCAGTGTTTGGACTAAGGACCACCTTTCTCGAACATAGCTTACCTCGAGGAGAAACCGCAGGTTATCACAATGTTTCCAGCGATGTCCAGATCAGTGATGGTCCCGGAATGCGCCAATATATAGTTCTCAACTTTGAGCGACCTTGGATCGCGCATAACGACTCTGCCATCCGCCGTTCCACAGCATATTATTCGGGACTGCTTCATCACTGTAACGTCATCGTCCAAATCCATCTGCGGACGGATGAGTTTGGGAACCGCCATGATGCCTTTCAGCTCTTCTGCGATGTACCTGTTTGATAGCAGAGCCTCGAAATAGGTTGATGAGCATCAACTTCCTGTTTGTTGTGCTCACCAAAAGCTCCGAGGTGGTATTCGTGAACGACATGCTCAGTGGCTGGTGTCCTCCATCGATCCTGATGGCACATCATAAGAAGCATGCTCCTTAGTCCGGATGTCGTCCATTGTAATGCCCCGCGCCTTTCGAGTGTTACCCTATGCTCCACTTCATCAAGCCCCTCCGTGTCGTATGCCTCACATTTCTCCCTCCGATGGAATATAGACCGTGGTCATTCAGCAGGATGTTGCACACACGACTAGCATGGCTTGGAAAGCTCGTGTATCGCGCGACATCCTCGTTGTCTACGAACAAGGATGACACACGACCCTACGAGTAAAAAGGGACGTCGTTTTACTCAGATGCAAAATATTCGTATTGAAGAACATTGATATGTATTTACATTCGCGCCGCCAGCCCATAGTAGCTCTTCCAAAGGGTCAAAACTGATAGTAGATATTGGTTGGACCGGATTTTGAACTGTCCCTGCAAAGCCCAAAAAGAACTAAGAATGTGTAGGTGCGCTCAACGTCTAAACCACAGGTTATCAAGATGAAAACTATGAAGCCGACGAGTAGGAAGAACCCCACCCTACGGAAGCTTTCCCATTACTAACACGGCGCACACCTAAGGCAGCATTCTCACGGCCCAAGTTGCAGGAGGAGCCTTACCCAGTCCTACTCGGCGGAGTTCTCTCCAATGACTGGCCATCCGGACGCTTTTCTGCACCTTTTCTAAGTGCCCAGATGCCAGTAGTGCGTTGTGGCACAAAGTCGGCAAGTGAAGTAACGCTCCTGAAGTGCCGATCTCCAACCTCGAATGTGGCAGAATTCGGGGCAAAGCCACGATCGGAAGCTAGTCATCAAACGGGTGACGCTGTTTTCGACGCGAGCCACGTCAATTGAATACAGGTTTCCATAAGCCCTTTTCCATCCCCATAGTAATGTGCAAACATCAAGAGCATCTGCAGTGGATGCTCTACCCCTGAGCTCTGAGCTCACTCCCCACGGTGCAACACTTCCATCTTGCCGTGCATTGCTCCGGTAGTAAGGATTTGACTCTTATACTACGGGAAAGAATAGACTGGGCAACTTAGGAGATATCCGCGCACATTCTACAAACGGACTCTCTGAGGCGAAGCTCGTGCAAGGCTATGAGACCAATGCATCTCATCCACTCAAAGACTTTGATCTAGAAGCGAATCGATGCGCATATCATTCTCCTCAGCAGTGTCCGTTCGGATGGAGTGCTTTGGAAAATTGAAATCTGCATTTTAAACTTGAATCGAAGTTTGTCGGTCACGTGATGTGGTTCAACGAGAGCGACTTGATGAGACGACCGCCAAATGTTTGCAGCGTTTTCTTTTGTGAAGACTACCAGGCATATCCGCGAGGACACTCTTCGTGGCTGCAAGCTTCCCAAGACTAACTCTTCTTTTCAGACGGAGGATAAGGTACGCTCGCGGCTGGCTTGGGTGGCGAGTGGGATATCCCCCGGCGAGGGCGGCTGCAATTTTGTAGCAGTGCTGGGAAGGAGCTGATCACTGAAGGTGGAACAGCTTCGAACTATGAGAGTAGAGATAGGAGGGTGGGAGTCGAACTGGAGGAGACCGTCTCAAACGACCAACGCCCAGAAACCATCGCGAATAGCCAAATGGGATAATTCGACATTAGGGTTGGCACTGGTTGTCAACTTCCCTTTAACCTCGATTTTCGCAATTTTTCATAGCCACAATGAAGCACAACAACGTTCTGCCCAACCAGCACTTCCGCAAGGACTGGCAGCTCCACGTCCGCACGTGGTTCGATCAGCCCGGAAAGAAGAAGTCCCGCCGTGTGCAGAGGATTAAGAAGGCCGCCCTTTTGGCTCCTCGCCCCGTCGACGGTCTCCTCCGCCCCGCCGTCCGTGGCCAGACTGTCAAGTACAACATGAAGCTGAGGGCTGGCCGTGGTTTCACCCTCGAGGAGTTGAAGGTGGGCTTTGCGAAGGGGTGGTGTTCTGGGGCTGGAGTTGTCTGCGGAGAAAGGTGAAAAGGAGGAACTGTGTCAAGCGCAGAGAGAATTTATGCCCGATCCGAATCGCTTTTGTAGGCCGCCGGTGTCCGCCGAAAGGAGGCTCGCTCCATCGGCATTGCGGTCGACCATCGTCGTAAAAACCGCTCTACCGAAGGTCTCGAGGCCAACGTTCAGCGTCTGAAGGAGTACCACGCCCGCTTGATTGTGTTCCCCAAGAAAGCGAACAAGCCCAAGAAAGGTGACTCTGACGTACGTATTCCACTTAGGCCACTGAACCACAATCGGAATATGGTGTTTTGCTCACAAAACACATCGTGTATTCATAGGCCGCCGCCACCGGTGCCGCCACTCAACTTAGTGGAGCCATCCTCCCCATCGTTCAGCTCGCCAACACTGACGTTGAGCGTCCCCTCGGGGACAAGCCAAAGGTCCACGCTTACGCCGCTCTTCGCAAGGCTCGCTCTGACAAGAAGCTCAAGGGTGTCAGGGAAGCTCGTGCGAAGAAGGCTGAGGAGGAGGAGAAGGCCAAGAAATAGAGCCCGATTCGATAGGCATCTTTTCACCACTTTCGTTTCAATATATCATTTTGCAGCTTCTTGCACGGGAGATCGCCGTTGGTTCATGAGATTGCCATTGCGGACAATATTCCGCAAAGTTGGGTATGTATGTAAGAAGACGGAAGACGGGGTCGAAAGGAATATGCCAGTATCTACAACACGCCGAGCTTCGAGAGCCAATACCATACTGAGGCACCTACGGAGGAGGGGGGGGGAGAGGGGGGGGGGGGTGCAACTAAAATTGGAAACTATTTACACAGAACCCAGCAGCGGGACAGCACGGTTTCTTGCGTTCGGGTTGGGAGTAGGCGCGCAAACATGATTGAGTCGCCTCGCATGCGACTCGTTGTGACGCTGCGTTCGGCATTCGCGCCCGTACCAACAATTCGGCCTATTGCGAGCCTCAGCTGGAAGGAAGCTGTTGCTGGGGTCATTCAGACACAAGTCTTCACGGTATAGGTAGCATAGTTCTTCGAAAATGCTGGTGCAGCAGAATATGCACAATTCGGGAAGGATATTGGGATTGCTTGGCGCCTGTTGCGCATTGGGTTGAGCAGCTGCTCCAGGTTCTGGAGCGTTATGCTCGGCATCTTCGATATCGGGAAGGGGTTCCGCGCTGGCTTCTCCATCAGTTGCTTCATCGGCATTAGCAACTGGTTGCAGCCCTGCGGAGGGTTCTCTGTCAGTCGCTGCGTCAGCATCGACACCTAGCTGCGATCCTGCGGCGCCTTCTCCGTTGGTCGCCTCGTGGGCATTGCCTGTTGGTTGCGGTCCCGCGTTGGCTTGTCCGTCGGTCACTTGGGCAGCATTTGCGTCGCCTCCATTGGTGTTGACAACTGCGCGTCGTACTTTATGCTGCCCCAGAATCGTTTCCAATATGTATCTTCCATGCTGGATGTCGTCCAACCCACTGAGCCAAACGCTGTTCACGGATAAGCGCTTTTCGGTTAGGTAGTTTCGAAGCAGTGTTTGCTCGAATCGATTCTCGGAAAACGAGCCAGGCGGTATGTTATGAAACTGAAAGCCCCTGAGAGGTCCGGCCGCGGATCGGAGTGGGCACGGGCACGCATGGAGCGGAGGAAGTCCATCATCGTCATCCTCATCCTCATCGTCTTCGTATGAATCCTCACTGGCACTGAGAAATTCGTCCTGATGAGACGTATCCGCTAACCGCATAGGTTTGTCGCCTGGGCCGAACATGTTGGCTGTCTCGAGGTCCTTGATTTCCTCTTCACTTCGTGCGTTGCTCGGATTCAATGTCAGGTAGGCTTCGAGCAGTGCATTCAGATTGTGATTCCATCCCGCCATAGTGATAGTGCCTCGGCACTGCGGGCATTTTGCACTATGTCCAGATTTTATCCATCCCGTCAAACATCCTCTGCTCGAGCAACATTTTAGTTCACTTTCGACGTGTTCCGAGTGCAAGACCTTTCAATAGCATACCCGCAGAAACTAGAGAAAGACATAAAGAGATATGAGTGACGCGGAAGCATCAGCAGAGTCTGCAATGGGATGTACTTCCTACACCCACGGGCTTACCTATGAAGACAAGGCTGGCAACTGACGGCCTGGTGCAAACCCGAGAGGCAAATGGCACAGGTGAGTGTATCTTCTATCTTCTCCCGAGCAATGCCAGTCTTGGTTTTCTTCAAAGCTGGCTGTTTTGGAAGCCCCGCCTCTGCCTTGCCCTTCTCCTCAGGGCTCACCGACGGGTCGGTTGCTCCATCGTCCGCTGCTCTCTTGGGCGTCCCAATTCCGTCAACCGTACGCGAGTGGTCGACCGCTGCTCTGTTTTCAGGCTCCGGTGTTCCTCGAGTCTCCAGTTGGCCTGCCGAAGTCTGGACGGGTATATCGCTCATCGCTAGTTCCAGCAACGGGTAGTGGAATGGTGGAAAGCCGAGGGGGGCATGGAGATGCAGGAGGGACAGTCGCGTTTTATCTGGTGATCAATTCCGACCAAGTTCTGACTCCAGTTCAGCATGTCAACATCCGCAGAACCAACGCAACCAACACGTACTGCTAACTGTCCCTGTCCTTCGACTATTTGTTGGAATAACTTCGACCGAGTGTGACGGATATGGGGAGGTTCAACCACCTCGCCTTTCGTGCGTGTGCGGCAGGTATGGGTTCGTAGATTGCTGTGACATTGGACACAGTGCATCGAAGTGCAGTTGCTGACTGGGTGTCCCCCTTGTCCTCCTGGGAATAGCCAAAGTGCCGAAGCCGGGGAATGTACTACTCTTTGGGCCGTCTGGCGGCTATATTCCACTAAGCATTCTTCCAGTGTCGAGAGGCCCAAGAAGGCACCGCAATGTGTCCTCCTCATCCGCTCATACCCCAGCGCCCCAGCCATCGTCAGCAAACGGCAAAGCCGCAACATCTGACTCGAAAACTCGCCAAACTCAAACCTCCTCATCCCACACCAACAACGCGGCATGGTGGCTAGCGTTCCGTCGGAGCCGGCCAGGAACTCCTGCGGCCGTGCAATCTCCCGAGAACTCGCGAGCAATGACTTTCGGTCCGTCAACGCGGACTGCCATGTCAGAGTATATCCGCTCTGCATCTGCAATGCTTGAACCAGAGGCCCGACAGTCTTTAGGTGGCGCCGGCGCAACTAGGCCAGGGCAAAGGAGGACGATAACCTCCCGGTTCAATTTTGATACATACAAGTTAGTCAGACAATTAGAGCGTCAAGGGTTTACACGTGGACAGGCTGTTGCTATCATGAAGAGCATCAATGCCGTTCTAGTGGATAGGTTGGTTTCTGGAAAGCCTTGACAGGGTTCGTGACTTGATCATCGATACTTATCCCCGTTTCCAATCAGCACACTTTCCATAAGATCTGGCATCCTATCGAAGACCGATCTGGAGAACGTGAGTCTCGATTGGGAACCTTGCTCGGATTCTTCCAGATGACTGACCAGCATATCCGCCCCAGCAAACATACCTGTATAAAGCTCATCTGCAAGAGCTCCGCAACGAACTGCAGCTTCTTCGCCAGAACGACTCGGCGCAACTCAAATCAGACACGGAACAGATATTGAGGGACACAGAAACAATGAACGCCAAGTTTTCTGAACTTGTGGGAAATCTCAAATCGGATGTATCCATGGACCTGAACAACCACAAAACAGATGGGCGGGAGATTGGGACGGATACGGATCTGAGCATTCAAGAGATTCACCATAAGCTCATAGTCAAAATTAGTGATCTGAAAACGAAGATCGAAACTATGAAAGTGGAGACGACGCGGTTCATTGTTTGTGAGTTATCACTGTGGCACGGTCCTGTCTTATGCAACCGATGTCTGACAGGTTGTGTCTCCCAATCTGCAGGGATAGGACTATGCACATTCGCGATTCTGATGTCCGTAGATTGGATATCACCCACGATTGCTTCCGCCGCAGGAAAGTCGCCCGAGCAGCCTCCACCACAACAGCAACCTCCACCGCCGATCATCTCGGCCTTCCCACACCCTCTTAGAGCGGCCCCACAGTCGCAGCAACAGCAGCTCCCACAGCAGCCAGCACAACCCTCTCCGCAGCAGGCTGTGCCAAGTCCCCAACAGCAGCAGCAACAACCTTTGACGAGCGCGACTTCCTCGACACAAACGGGGACACAGGATCCATATGCAAATCCCCAACCACAACAGGGGAATGTAAATGAAGGGGTCATGTCTTTTTAGAACGCTGTTGAGATCAATAGAGTACTTTCCAAGTTCTGCTCTATTTTCTGGATGTATCTTGAAATTTGTTTCCACGCCCGTTACTCTCAAGAACGCACGCGATGATCGAAGTGCAACATATCTGCAGCCCAACTGAGAGGTCTCAGCCGTCGCGGCGCACATCATGAATGGCCATTACGAATGTAGAGATTAGGGCTGGATCTGGAGGTGTAATCTAGGTGCAGCCCCTTTAAGAAGTTTTGAGAGGATGGGAATATGTGATGTATCTACAGTACGGGATCTGGCTACTTGACGAGCAACCTGATTTTGGTGACATCGTCCAACCCTACATATGCATCACTAACAACAAAGAGCGAAAGCTGCACTTCGCCCACATCATCCGGGGCAATGAATCTCAACCCGGTTGTCATCCGCTGCTGTTTAGCGCCTCTCGCTCCATCGGCCGAGGCCGCCTGCCGCTTGAGCGCGAGGACATCATCCTCAGCCGCGTCGCCCAGCACGATCCACCACCCTTCATACTGCGGCTTGGGGAACTTTGGCGAGTACACGCGCAACTGACGGTCTCCACTGGGCGCGTCGCCGAACGGTCGCTTTCGGACAATCTCGACCCGGATCTCGTATTCCTGTCCCGCATCCACGCCCCAGAGGCCTGGAACTTTTTCTACGGCGTTCAGGACGCGGCACTTGACTTCAATGGAGGGGAGGTTCGAAACTACCCTTTTGATTTCCTCCCTGTCGTTGCGCGAGAACCCTGCAGCGGAAAAGACGCCATCCACTTCGGTCGAACTCATGCGCGTAAACTGGGCGAGCGTGCGGACTGGCGAGCCATTGAACTTGAGGTTGTTGACGGGCTCCGGAGACGTCCTTGGCAATGTCAAGATGGAAGACGTTGTTGGCCATGTGGCTTGCTTGATGCATTGCATCATATTCATGATTCCAAGGCAGGTTGACAAGAAGCCATGCTCTGCGGCAACGTCCACCATGGCTTGCATCACACGAATGGATTGGTCCAGCACCGACACCATGTCCGTGAAATAATCGGCGCACGGCATGTTGCGAAGGCGAGTCAAATGTGCTTGCAGAAGCAGGAACGCTTTAGCGTGTGGGTCATCGTATTCAACTATTGGTCCGTCGCTCCTAGTGAAAGAGGACTGGCTAGCATCCTCCGTGTAGTTGATAGGAATGGGCACGAGTTTTTCGAGTTCGATGTTCATCTTGTCTTCATTATGGCGCACGGGTAACTCATCGTATTCGGCTACTTGACAAAGAATCCGCAAGAGCTCGGGGAAGTCGCCGTCTGATGGACGGGATCCCAAAGTCGGGGCCTTGAAGTTCGGTCCGAGACGTTGGTTGAGGACCTTCATGCTCGTGAAGTGCAGGTAGTAGTAGGAGGCGATCCTGCCATACGTTGTTGGGGCCAGGGAGAATTCACCGTCCACCTGGACACATGTCGACTCTTCCAGATCTCGTATTGTGTCTTCCACAAGCTTTGACATGTATACGTTAACGCCTCCGGGTGTTGGATCCTCGACTCCATAGAAGGTTGGATTCTGGCAAGAGCGAGAGAGAGGTATGAGATGACGAGAATTCAACAGCGTACACATCCTGCAGGACTCACCATTTTGAGCCGCCTGTATAGGTACGTCCATGTCAGGTGATCCATAGCGTCCTGCTTGCTTGTGATTGCGCCTCCCACAATCTCAGCACAGACATGATCATGCAAGCAAGTATGCAGACTGCTCTCCACAGGGAAAGGCTCATGCAGGAACTTCTTGTAAAAATTCTTCTTGACATCATGAACCAAAATGCGCGCCACACCGGAGTCGTCGAACTGCGGTCGCCCGGCACGTCCCATCATCTGCAAGACGTCGGTGATCTGGAAGTCCACATAGCCTTTGACCTTGGCATCATAGAATTCCGTTCCTTTGATGACGACCAGATGTGCGGGGTAATTGACTCCCCAAGCCAACGTACTGGTAGCAATCAGAATCTGAATCTTGCCGTTGACGAAGAGCTCTTCAGATAGCTTCCTATCCGACTCGATCAAGCCGGCGTGGTGGAGCCCAATGCCGAATCCGAGAGAAAGCTTCAAGGATTGATCTTTGACTTGCGAGGCAAGGATCTCCAAATCTTCCTCCGCCATGTGCAGGAAGCGCTTGGGATTCTCGTCCAAGCCACATAGCGAGATCAAATCCTGTGCGGTTAGTCGCGTTTGTCGTCGGGACGAGACGAAAACGATGACGGGTTTCGTCGGCGAGTGTGTCATAATCGCTGCGTAGGTGGGTTTGTTCATCGACATCATGCGCGGACAGTAATGCTTTCCAGCGAATCCATCAATGTAGATCTCCAACGGGACGGGGCGGACAGAGTGTCGGAAGTTGAAAAGTCCTACATCCTTGATTCCGAGCCAATCGGCAAGATCGTTGGCATTCGCTAGCGCTGTACTCAATCCGACGATTCGGATGTTCTTTTGCGTTCGTGACGAGATGTAGTTCATACGCGACACGATGACTTCCAAGATCGGTCCACGATCGCCACCGAGCAAGTGAATTTCGTCGATGATGACAAGGGAAACGTCCGTCACGTATTTACGGGTTTGCCAGCTACGACTGATGCCGTCCCATTTCTCGGGCGTCGTGATGATGATGTCGGCGGACTGAATGGTGCGTAGGTCCGGTGTTACATCGCCAGTCAACTCGACTAGTGACCGGTTCATCGGTCCAGTGAGACGTGCCCTCCAGTCCGACACTCGTTCGCGTACCAAGGCTTTGAGCGGGGCGATGTAGACCACTTTCGAGTTGGGTCGCTCACGGAATGCAGCCCACATTGCAAGCTCGGCTGCGACAGTTTTGCCAGACCCCGTGGGAGCGCCGACCAGAACATTGTGTTCGCTTCTGTACAGCGTGTGGAAGATCTGCGTTTGTACCGGGTTGAAATATTGGAATCTCGATGCGCAAATGTCTTCCAGAACGGGATCTTGTAAGGCCGAGATGGGCAACGGTTGCAAAGCAAGAAGTTCAGTGACTGGTGACCGGTTCAAGCTTGGCAAGATCAGATGTTTGAACGACACGGGAATGATCACGTCGGCTCCAATCCATCGGTCTGAAACCGCTCGGATAAAGATTTGAGGCGGCAGCTGGTCGACTGTCGATGAGGTTGTCGGAATCGGAATCGTAAAGCCGATCTTCTGGGATTCATCCTGTTGTCGTTTATGCAACAGGAAGTACTCGCTGTACAGAATCTCGGTGTTCTCGTGATCCTCAACCCATATCCACCATGGTTCTACCATGCCGTGAACCCGATCGTTCCAGACAAAGTCCGGTGTGATGGTCAGCGTGACCCGAAGGACGGTGCGGGTGATCGGGGCAATTGAAGCGTCAAGAATCAATGATGGGAAGTGCTCGGCGCACTTGACGACAGTTCTTCCCATCTTCTGATGGCGGACAAGCTGGCCGACCTCTCTGCCATCCATTTCCCGGATGTCTTCGATCGTCAACTGCTTCGGAGCATTCTCCAGCTTCCTCATGATCTCCACAGGGAGATCGAATTGACTGAGTGGATGTTCAAACGACCACATGCGCTTGTCGACCGCTTTACACAGCGAGAGGATTGTGGAAGCGGTTGGACCCCAGTTTCGACCCAGTGCGATCTCGAAGAGCGCTCGTAGGATACGCGACGCGTTCTGAGCAACGTAACCCACATCAGACACTAGTGCGAAGTCCTCCACATGGGTCCGAGAAATGTAACTCTGCAGCAGGATGTTTGTTTTCCCGTAATTTGTGTCGATCCCGCCCTTCACGGCGCACATGCAACCCTCCTCCATGCCCTTCAGCTCCTGAACCTCTTCTTCTCGCACTTTGATGTTGTCGAATTCTGTGCTCATACTCAGCATGCTCAGCACGTCGGCCTCCGTCATTCGAGGCCTCATCATGCTGTTGAAAATCTCGATACTGGCAGTCTGGATGTAAAAGCTGCTTGCAGTTCTACCCAAGTCTTTGGGTGTAAGGTAGCCATTCCTTTCGTCATAGTTGATCATCTGCGTTTTGGCTAGAGTTTTGGCAGCGTTGTTGATAAGGTCCCGACGCCTTTTGCCCAGGGTGGGATCCTCTTGAACCTCGGCCCAATTCAACCCGTATTGGAAAGGGTTCTTCATCATCCGAGCGTACAGGTACGTATACGACAGCCATCGTACAGCTTCGTCCATATTCGTAACCGTCCCCAAAGAAATCTCGGCGTTGAGATTGTCGGTCAAGTTATTGGCGAATTGAGACTCGATCGGATGTTGTTGAGTCATGGAGGATACGTAGTGAGTGAGCTTATCGTGCGATGTAAGGATATAACCGACACCACGATCCTCGTACTGAGGTCGTCCAGCACGACCGAAGATTTGCAGAACATCGAGGATGGATAGATCGATGAATCCTCCTTTCTTTGCGTCATACACTTGCGTACCCTTGATGATGACCGCGTAGGCCGGTAAGTTGACGCCCCAGGCCAGGGTTGCCGTACAACATAGGACCTTGATGAGACCTTTCTCGAACAGCCGCTCCGTCAGTGAGCGGTCAGATCGTAGCATTCCCGCGTGGTGGATTCCGAACCCAGTGGCGAAGAGCTCTCTCAGCTCCTTGTTTCTCGATTTTTGCACCTCCTTCAGCACAAGTCCATATTGCGGGTTTTCTGTGGTGTCGAATATGCCGAGGGAATTCTCGTTGAGTGCCTCGTCCCTCAGCATCATCGCAGTCTTCACAGTGTCTTTCCGCGAATGCACAAATACCATGACCTGTGCACCGTTCCGCACAAGGTCGGCGACGTTGTCGTAACAAATTTCATCCATTTTCTTGCGCACCAACTGAGACCCCGCTTTCCCCTTCACTCCAATAAAATGCTGTTCCAACGGAACAGGGCGGAAGCTCGAGTCAAAGTAAAACAATCCTTGCTGCTTGTTGACCCCGAGGAAGGCGGCCACGTCCCCAAAGTTGGGAAGCGTCGCCGACAGCCCAACGATACGAATCATCGATTGACTCGACTCCACTTGTCGCAACGTCCGCGCAACGATGCTCTCAATGACAGATCCACGATCTTCATGAAGCAGATGCACTTCATCGATGATCAGCAGGCGCACCTTCTGTGCCAATTCCGTGTCTCCGACACTCTTCCGAGTGACAACGTCCCACTTTTCGGGCGTCGTCACAATGACTTGGGTAGCTGCGATTTCCGCTTTCGTCAGCTGCATATCCCCAGTCAACTCGCGCACAGCAATGCCGAGACCTCCCTCTTCCTCTCTCTTCCCCAGTCGGGAAGAAAACTTGCGAACGATTTCGGCCGCTAGCGCCTTCATCGGGGCGACGTAGATGATCTTGAAGTCGTTCTTCCTCAGGTATCCGTCCTCGCGGAACTGAGCTAGTGTCCGAAGGATGGTCAGCATGGCAATGTCCGTTTTACCAGCTCCAGTAGGTGCGCAGACAAGCATGTTCTCGTTCGTGCCGAATGCAATCGGATATACTATGGACTGGACTCGGTTCAAAGCTGTGTAGCCTTTGAACCCTCGTTGGGCCCACGGATCCAAGTCGCTGATGGGCACGCGTCTCTCCGTAGAGCGAACCGGTGCTGGTTGCGCGATAGGGATGGTCAACTCCTCGTAATCCTTGTAATCCCCCCGTTCTGTTCCAACGGGGAGGGCAAACCGGGTCCCGAACATCGATAGGGTGGAACCGCCCGATCCTGACCGATAAACATTGGGCAGCTCCTCCTCGGGAGCACGCACCAGATCAAATCCGTTGTCCGTCGTTTCCGGACCATTTCGCAGCTGCTCTTCCCTCACTTTTCGAAGATGCTGTCCTTCGAAGCCCAGGATGCTTGCTGAGGCGAGCAGGTCGTCTTCTTCTCGAGTAAGTTTGTTCCGTTTCTTCGCTTCCCTTCTCTGTTGCTTCATCTGCACCTTTTCTGTCTCGGACATGACGGTAACCTGCGCTCCATATACAGGTGCTCGCGGTTGGTAGGCTGGAGCGGACTCAATTCTGTCCGGTGCCGGGGGGCTCTCATACTGAGCCTGTTCGGTGATCGTTTCGACGATTTTCCGACGATGTCCAAGAAGTTCGTGAAGGAAGCCCAGATTAGAGTAACCCAGAAGATCGACCAAAGCGCTCTGAATGTCATCATCGCCCCGGTTCGATCGCAAGATCGCAAAGACGTCAGTGCCCAACTCCGCAGCGGTCAATGCGCCAGGCTCCTGAGTGAGATGTATCTCGCACTGCTCTAGGAGCCAACTTCTGTCGAACCGTTTCTCCGATGCGACCACCGGTGAGGGGGATGGCTCACTGCGTTTAGGAAGAGGTGGGGCTACCTGTGGTTCCTCATAAGCCACAGTCTCCACGTCACTATCCCGGGGTAGCTCTGCGACAGCCTGCAGAGACCGGAAGGGGTTCTGAAATGGGACGTTGCCCCCAAACTCTGATTCCAATAGATACTGGTTTGCCCCATCCTGCGCCCAATCTTCCTGCTTCGCGAGCGTTTCCTTGATATCTGCAACGATGGCTTCCCAGTCTTCAACGTCCCCATTCGCCTGTGTAGTGCTGAGTTCCAAGATACTTCTATCTTCGTCCTCCAAATCGTCCAAGCCTTCAGAAGCGTGGACTTTTCCCAAATAGCCCCGGAGTGTATCTGTAAACTTTGCTTGGTGGGACAACATAGTAGTTGAATGCTGCTGATGAAAGCGATATAGTGGTGAGAAGCTATGTGAAACTCCGTTATTCGTCCTTTGCCCAAGGGTATAAGCGGGAAATGTTGCTGTGGAGGGTGGAGGAATGGCTGGAGATGGGGCGTTGTGGAAAGGGCGTCCTCCCTTGCCCACCGTTCGCGTCTTGACACTCTTTACTCTCTCTTACGATCAACCACATTCGCAAGCGTCAACAGCAAAGGACGACATGCGTATCGCATTCCCCGGCGGCCGTCTGGCACGAACGGCGCTACGGACAGCAATAGCAACTCGATCGCCGTTTTCGAGACCATCGCCGCTCGTCTGCACTGAGGCTGCAAAGTTAATTTCCCCCTTCCGCACCCACTCAACATCCTCAACATCACCGTCGTCCGCAACATCTTCGTCAGTCGACGACTCCGAAATCGCCAAATTCAACCGCGCCGCCTCCGAATGGTGGAACCCGCGCGGCGAATATGAGCTCCTCCACCGCATGAACCCTGTTCGCGTGCGGTATGTCCGGGATGAAGTGTTCAGATCCAACCTTCTCAAATCACATTCCCCAAATGCACCCTTCACCGGACTCCGTATCCTCGACATTGGCTGTGGCGGCGGGCTCCTCTCCGAAGCCCTAGCACGCTTGGGTGCAACTGTAATCGGGGCCGACGCGGGGTTCGAGAATATTGCGATTGCGAAACTGCATGCTCAACAGGACCCCATGTTGCGAGATAACCCCACCTATCTGCACACGACGGCTGAGCAACTAGTTGCTGATAACGAGATCTTCGATATAGTCTGCGCTCTTGAGATCATCGAACACGTCACCAACCCACGCCAGTTCACCCACCTGTGCAGCTCGCTCACCAAACCGGGCGGTTTAGTCTTCTTCTCCACCATCAACCGCACTGCCCTATCTTACTTCTTCACAATTCTTCTCGCGGAGAATGTTTTGGGGTGGGTGCCACGAGGGACGCACGAACATGACAAATATATCACGCCGGGGGAGCTGGAGGGTTGGATGGCGGAGAGTGGGTGTGAGAGTACGGGGAGAGCGAGAGGATTGGGGTATGATGTGGTAGGGAAGAGGTGGAGGATATTGGATGGGGGAGGTTTCGGGGATCTGGAGATGAATTATATCGTAGCAGGGAGGAAGACGGTCGAGGAAGAGGCAAGTGGGGATGTGGAGGCTGACTTCAAAAGATCACACGAACCCGCCGGACCGGTGCCACAACAACGCACTATCTAAGAGCTCTGAGGGAGCACCATGTCTATGCAGGCAAGCCATATTACTCGGACGGCCAACCGAGAGCCTTTCATCAATGAAACATCCTTCGGTTTCCCTGTTTCCCTTATCCATAGTGGATGTAAATAGTTCGTGCACATTAGCTCCCAATGCACATAAGAAAGTAGCCTATTTAGACTGAGTAGCGGCAAAGAGATAATAACTTACTATACATATGTATATCACATCGGTACGTCCCTGCTGTTGCAAGCGCAACGGAGAATAGGACGCGTCTGCTAAAGTCCGGTTTTTGAACTTCTTGCGTTCGTCAGAAACTCGCAAAGAAAGGCGGACCCGTAGCACATCTGCAACAATCGAGTAAGAAAGCAGAGATGGGTGACTTCAGCACGAAGAATGAAGCCGCCGGTGCGATGATGGGGAAGTTCGTCAGCGCCTCAGAGATAGAGTCTGCGCGGAATGAGCGAGAACAGGAAGCAAAGGCTGAAGGCAGAGGTACGTACGACACTGAGCTGAAGCACTCCAATGTTAGCTTCTCAGCATCTTTGTGTGTTTAATGTAGAGGTTGACGATATTCCTTATGACCCACGGCCACTGTATGAACGCCTGGCTGGTCAGTATGGGGAGCCCTTACGGTTATCTTGGACGGGCGTGTTCCGTTGGAGAGTGCTTGGAGACTGTTCAGCTCCGGTGTCGTATGATTGACATGAATTCGTTAATAGAGAAGAAGCGTATAGAGGAAGAAGGTATTTTTGGGAGGTTGACTTGTTTCGCAGATGGTCTGGTAACCTCCATTTGATGCATGATCTTTCGAATCAATCCATAGAATTTGCGGAGAAGATGAAGTTTGGTAGGTATCCCGCATTTCTTCGATGTTTCGCTTCAAGCGATGTCTTATGTCAACCATCATTGCAGGTAACCTCGTGAGGAGACTTGATGAAGGTTCGTGATCATGACCTTCGGGCACGACAACGTGAGGCAAGGCCTCACAGAGCGTAACATCCGGCTCCAAAGACGAATACCAGTTTCTCTCAAACTACTCGGACGAGACCGCAAAGAAGGACCACGAGATTGCACAGGAAACACGGCGGGAGCTGGACGCGTTCCGGAAAGCAGTGGCAGAAGCACAACCACCGATGGATGTCAAAGCAGCCGCCGCGCGGACAACAGCAGCAGATCCCACGCAAAAGAAGCCACCTGCTGCACAGGATTTTCAGAGGAATCTGTTGAAGGGTGTGATGGTCAGAAAACGGAAGTCGGAGGATTTGGTGGTTCCATTGGGGAAGAAGGCGAGAACGGATGGGGATGCATCGAAATCACCGAAGGCGGCGACTGCGGCCACCAAAATTACCAGGGTGCCAGATACCAAACCAGCACCGGCTGCACCCGCAAACCCATTAGGGCTGTTCTCATCCTATGCCAGTGACGACGACAGTGATAGCAGTTGAGGCCCCTTTTCCCGGTGTATATGGCGGATTCGAACGAGCCATGCATAGATGCGAGATTCCATGGTGTATATGAACAGTAGATTGCATATTTATGTGCATATCCTGGTCAGATGATGCTTCCAAAAGCGGGAGAATTGGGACAATTGTCTGCATGATACAGTTTGGTCGTTCCGCGAACATCTCAAAAGACACTTCCGAGAGCCTCAAACCACGAAAGCAGATTGTTGTCCGCTTCTACCACCTTCACGAAAGCCTCAAACGACAGGCCCTGCGGATCCGTGGCCGCCAGTCCCGCCAACTCGAAAGTCTTGTCCACCATTTCCTGTATCGCATTTTGCGACATGGCTTCCATGACCGGCCACTGTTCTGAGATCGAGCTGGACGGCCCAGGACTTGGCAGCCCAAACGCTTGCGGTGACCCCGGATCCAGGCTTATCCGAAGTGGGGAAGATGTAGCAAGGTGTGGTAACGATCTTCGAAGAGTCAGTCTCCGTCCTGGTCTATGCCCCAGCGCGCCAGAAGTGCCAGGTGGGCTATACGCGCTTGTTGGAGAGTCTATACTTGACAACGTGTCAGACGCTGGGGAGACGTATGTTGGTGATTGGTCGTTGCTTGGTCGCCGAAAGCCGCGATTTTGTGATGGGGAGACATGAGACCGCCGCCGTGGGTTGTTGCTTCCTGGTGCAGCGAACCTCGCCAGAATGTCGAAAGAGTCCTCCTCAAAGTGCTTTTTCAGCTTCTGTGGTGATCTCCCCTCCCCAAGTCCATCCCCGTCCGGGTTGTCGTCCTCCACATGCCGCCCTGATGGGCCCGCGAACGCTGCTGACACTGGTTTCGTGCCTTCGTCGTCAAACGAATCCATCATCCCTTCCTCCATGGTTTTCACCACATCGCGGACGAGCTCCATGGAGAGGTTAAAATATGCTTTGAACATCTGATGAAGCTCGTCCCTCGATATGAAGCCGTCGCTGTCCAGATCATAGCCTCGGAATGCCCCTATCGCGAGATTGAGGGATCAGCTTGATTAGACCGTATCTGACGGAACACGGTCTGCTCTTACTCTTACATTTCAACCGTTCGTCAAAGCCGCCTTTGCACAGAACCGACAGTCCCAAAACCAGCTCTTCGAACCGTATTATCCCATCTTCGTCACGGTCGAAAAAATGGAAGATGCGGTCGACAATCAGATTTTTTTCTAGCCCTAGAGGTCCGAGGCACTGCTTGAATGTTGTTGCATTGATGCCTCCGTTCTCGCCGGTTGATAATGACAAGAATTCTTCATGGAGACCCTTCAGCTCCATGACATCGACTGCGTTGTCCCAGTGAATGAAGTCATTTTCGCAAGAGCAAGTGCCCATACATGAAGACTTACAATTTGACTTGATTTGGAGGTCCGAAAAATCAATCTCCGCCGGCTGATTCGTGTAATCCCGCCCTGACAAAACAAGCCAATCAGGACAATTACCAAAATGCCCTCTTACATAGTGCCTCCCTACCTGGATACATAACAGGGAACATAGCGCTCCTCGCATTCATAAGTGGCGGGATAGGAACTCTCACTTTGATAAACACATGCGTCTTGAGATGAACTTCCAGCGCCTCGCATGCTTCGCACACGTCGAAATCCACGCAGTTCGCGCATTTGAACCGGATCCCCCGGATGGGCGATGTCCCGCAGTGATTACAGGTTATGGACCGGTGGACAAAACCCTCTGGAACGACGCAGAGTCAGCCTTCCATCAAGTCCTCACGAGGGCGGAACCTGGAGCCCACCTTTACGTGCCTGGTCCTCCGCGATAGAATAGAGAAGAGTCAACAGCTTCTCGCCTTCTTCCGCGCTGTTGTCCAGATTTGCGTCATAATCCGTATCCTCTTCTACCTCTTCGCTGGTGGGCGACTGTGGTTCGAAGTCAACTGGGGTCGGTAGGGCTGCCCCACCTCTATCGCCTTCCGCGCCGATGTTTCCGGCGCCCATATCGTCGGCTCCCCCTTTTTCCTCATCATCACACTCCGTGTTTCGCCTCCGTGAGGCCGAAGACATGATTACAAGGCGTATGCTCACCGCAGACGCTTTTGCAGTGGACTGGTGAGGGCTCTTTCGGGTTTCTATTTGGCAAGCGAGAGGCTTGCAACAGCAGAATACCGGAAACAAAACTTGGCATGCTACTCAAATGCTACTCGAAATAATTCTGCGACTAGGGTCCCTCACGCGTTCGACGCCAAAGAAGCAGGAGCCCCACAGGAACCCCACGTTTGCTCAACGGCCGAGTTTTGGCGAACATAGCGTCCGATCCACCGTCGGCGTTAGAAGCTCTTCCTTGTTGCGTGAACTGCTATATCCAGAAAGCTGTCGCCGGGCCGACTAAGTGGGGGAAGGGCTATCCGTTGACAGGTAGGGAGGGCAAATTTAGTGGGCAGGAAGCCGACAACGTTCGATGGATCGCCAAAGCTTGCAATCGGAGGAATTTTATTGATGATATTACAGGGATATTACATTTGATGAGTTCCGAGTCAGCTGCTGCGGCTATCAACCCCATCCGGCACTGCCGTATCTGCATAGATACTCGTGCATCATCATTGACTTGAATAACGAATTTCTGAGGGTTGCTGCGGCTTCCGATCTCTGTTGCAACGACTCTTGAAATCAGAAAAGCGTTGAAAACGGTGTATCGATATGAGGTCAGAGGAGTTCATGAAGTGTTGGAATCCAATTATGTGACAGGAAGGACGGCACAAGTGTCGATGTCGGAGCTCAGGCGGACGAGGGGCCGCCTGGTGAACCGGGTGTGCCTGCTGAGACCGGTGCGGCGTCCAAGTGTTGCACTCGGTCGGGTGGATCTGATGAGGTATTTTCGGATTGGGAATTCGATGCTTTGCGTATGATCCCCTTCATAAACTTGAGGAACCGTTGCCCATACTCCGGGGGAGGCACTGCCGAGATCATATGCGCGTCCTGCGAAAAGGATTTCCAGAAATGCTCGATCTTCTTGACATAATCGTAGGTGGTGAAGATGTCGATGGTCCCGAGGTAGTATAGTGTATCCAGAGGCTGGTCGTTCTCGTCGGATGCTTGGAAGCCGCCATTGTCGGCGTAAAACACACAAGCAGCTCGACTGTAACATATCACGGAAAGGATCAGTCTGAGGTCATCTCTTGATCGTCAAGTAGGTGACAGCCAAAGATAGTACGTACTCGGAGGTGTTCGGGACTGATACAGAGGCAGTTTCTGCGTCAGCTCCCGTTGCTTCAGGAGGCCTGAGGGAGTCGCTCGACTTGATGGCTGGCGCCGCCGTAATTGCCGATTCCGGAGTGAGAGGTCCCAGGGATGCCGGCCCGTCCTGCTCCCCAGCGAGGAAGTCTGACGTGGCTGCTATAGCTTCCGAGGCAGTGGGAGCGCTTCTGGGGCCACTCTCTCGGCGAGACGACCTTGGAGCAGAAGCGCCTATGCTTGCTGCAGAAGTGCTGCCCGAAGCTAAGCTGGGCCCTGCTCCTGGATTTGTTGCCCCTGGGCGCGACATCATGAGTGATGCAGCGGTGAATTGCTTTGCCAAAGCCGCATCCGGATTTGGCTCATAGACCCCAAGCGTTTTGTCCTGGATAAGGGTGTGCGTGAGCCTCATCTTCCCTACGTGGAGATCCGTAGCTCATCCTACCCTGATGTTTTCGGTGTTTCCCCGCTTCATATCGTGTATTCCGACCAGAAGGGAGTAGTCCATGATATTGTGGTCTGCGAGAAACTGCATATTTTTGAGCAACAGCGAAACCAGCTCGAAAGGAAGCTTCAAAAGTCCTGAGCTCACCTTAACATCTTTTTCGAGCTGTTCCGTCAGAAGCTGAGCCTTCTTTGGTCCGAGCTCCAACTTCCTCCCTCTATTCATCCAGTTGATGTCCTTCAGGACCGCACGAGGATCATCTTTCGCAAGTTCCTCCGGAAATTCACGCCCGACTGTAGACCCCTTCAGGTCGTACATTTCATGTATATCTTTGTTGCCCGGAAATACGTTCAGCATTACGATGAAATGAAGTTTGCGATGACCCTTCAGCTTGACCCGATGGAGCCCCAGAATGCGGCAGAGTGTGGTATTTTGATTTATGCGACAGTGCTGGGGTTCCGGTAGAGAATCAAGATCTCATTGCACATGCGGATCATACAGCAGGCTCGTAGAGTGTCCTACCTCATAGTACCAGTGTATTATGCGCATGAAAGCTTTCTTCTCCGCTCTCTTAATTGTTTTGATGATGTACCGGTAGTCTGAGGAATAGTAGAAGAAGCTGCCACTTTTTCCTGGACTGCCTAGTTCCGAGAGGATGTATTTCCCTGTGACGGAGAGCTGCAGCCCCAAAGAAAATCAGTATCTTCAAGAAATCTCAAAGAGAACTCCCAGCAGCATAAATACCAAGTACTCGGCCGGATCCACATTGAAAGCATCTCGAATGCAGCGGAAAACCCAAGGAGCGTAATCTTTGAATTTGAAGTCGTATCGAGATGAAGGCGTCACTTCAGATCCCGCAACATCGAACGTCATTTTGTGTGATGCCGAAAAATCCTCCCGGAAAAGCGAGCGCGGAGGTTTCGCTTGACAGCGCGACACCGAGACCCGAATGCCCATCAGCATGTCATACATGAGTACAAAATTCGTATGCCCTTCCTTGACCGGAGTACCGACCAAAACCTCCTTCTCCGATCGCTGCCGAGTCAGTCGACGCACGAGTTTGTTCTCCTTTTCTTTGTCTGAGCTTTCGCCCTCCCCCCAGCTCGGCTTTCTGTGTGCTAGTGTCATTCGCCGCCGTGGTGAAGAAGAAGATATGTCGCTTAATGGTATCAAATGTTTCGCAGGCGAGAGCGCTTCATTTTGCCGAGGCGTTCCCAGAGAATGAGAGGTTCCTTTGAGTATGCTCTTCTTTTGAAAGCTGGTAGTAGCGCTCGGACCCGAGAAGCTGCTGGACCGTTTGAAAGGTTCGACCGGTAGGCGGGAGTGGTCTTGCGGCTGTTGCTTTAGAAGAGCCACAGCCCCTTCGGATTGGTCGGCGAAAGACTCAGCGTGCGGCGCAGGGTTCGGCGGTGTCACTTTTACCTCTTGGTTGACAGACCCGGGAGCTTCGTTTTTAGGAGCAGCCAAGGCTTCCTGCGTTTGCGGGCCGTCTGCCACATCGGTCGGGCTTACACTAGTGGGGCTGTTGGTGGTACCGTCGATCGCTGTTTTGGCTAGGTCCTTGAACGAAACTCGGAGTGCTGATGGGATCATTCCCATCGGCGTGGGAGAAGTGCCGTTAGGGGCTTGAGTCGGACCCACCATGATTGAGTGCGGACAGCATATATCTCTGGGCACAGTCCCTCTTTCCAGATGCAGTTCTCGGCTTTGCTCGGCGTTGGTGTCGCTTCAACACATCTACTACAGTGGGGCCAAAAGAGCAGTTACGCGCGCCCAAGAACAGCTCATTCAGAGCTGAGGCTCGTCGGCCCCCCTCTTTCTCCTCCTGTCAGTAGTCTGTAGTAGTTGCCAGGGAGAGGGGTCAGTGACTTTCATGGTGCCACATAACTAGCTACCCCCGCGCGTAACTGCTCTTTTGGCCACCCACTGTACCCATGTCACTCAAGAGTCAAGACCTCCTCTGATAACCCGACATACCCAAGTCCCGGATATAGGTTCCCCAGCCAAACGGCGTCTCCCACATGGGACCGCTGGTACCGTCAAAATGTCGTCAATGGGACAAGATACGTCCACCCGCCACAGCTGGCAAAACGAGAATACTTGCTACTATAGCAGAAGAATACTCGGTTTAGAGGTCTGAGCCCACTGTCAAAGGGATACTTTTATTTTTATTTAAGTACGTATGGGTAGAGCAAAAAGACAATAAGCAACTGCGTGGGAATATCTGCGATAAGATGAACGAGGGAATAAAACAAATGGATTTTACAGGGGAGATTAAAACTTTTGGGCTACTACAGTATATATGCTCCTCACAAGGTTCAGATACAACAACGCATGGGTACGGGCTGCGGATGTTGCCCGTTCCGTTTACTTTGTCGCGTTGGAGACACCACTCCTTTTGAGATTTCCGAGTACGTTGGCAGTCGCTCGGGGTTGGTGTGTGTGGGCGGTTCGACCTTGCTCGTGCTGCTTATTGAGAGCTTCGATAGGGTCTTCTTCAAAGTGGATAGCAGTCGCTTTCGCTCCGTGCGGTCGATACCATGATCGGCCGTAGTAGCGTGTGCGTGGGATGGCATTGCGAGCTTTGCGAGGGTTTTGACTAGTTTGTGAGGCGCTGCAATGTATTACGCTCGATGACAAGTCTGAGGTTGGAATGTCGCACGGATTACCGGTTAGACGTGTTATCTGACGCTGTTTAGGCTGAGATGGGCAGTTGGTAGCGAGCTCTCTTGGGCTGTGTTGGTGTGTATGGTGCGGAAATGTCTACTCTTAACAACGCTTTATATTGGCGCCGGAAGTGCTCCTCCCCAAACAGGAGACTGTAAAGCATTGAACACACGACGCTACTCGCACTATGCGCAGAAGATTCTGGGTTGACTCCGAGGATGAGCTCGGAACAACTCCATGGGCATCCATCTCTCGGCAGGCCCTGGAAGGGAGAATGTGGCCACGCAACCCTTGTCAAATCCTCGGGAGCAAGTCGCTTATGCAATTGCACACCGAGGAAGCAGGGTAGGCCTTTGTGAGGCATGGGCCCCCATGGACAGCCTGCGGACATGACGAGCGTCAATTTACAAGTTTCAACGCGCCGCGAACGCGTTTAATCGGTTCGGTCACGTGATGAGAGCGGAGTCTGTGATGGCCCACGATCTACCCCACACCACATATTTACCACTTCGGCTACTTTCAAGTCCCCTCTGGGCCATGGGTGCCATTTTGCCTTCGTTCATCGGACTGCGGATATCCGGATGGGAGCCCACCGACAGGATGCGGATCCAGACATGGTTCATCCTGAAACCGGGACAACGGGTCGGTAGATTTGAAATTCGCTGAGACCTTGTCCAATTTGTTGTTTACAATGCTGATTTAGATCAAGGTCAGCAGATCCTTGCCTGACTTGGGAACGCGTAAAGGCTTTTGGATCCAAAGAACCCGGATTTAGAAACACCCACAGCCCGCACCAGCGACCGGCCTATTGTGGAACGTCATAGGACAACCCCTTGCTCACACTGTCGGACGGCGGAGAAAGAAAGGCCGCGGTTCTCGTCTTTTTTTTTTTCCCAAGTCGGTGGCCCTGTCTAGGATGGCTTGCCTTCTTATACCAGCGTCGCTGGTAGCGCCGGCCCTGCATCCTCATCGTCCAGAGCATCCTTCCGTCTTGTCACTTTTGCAACGCACTGCACACCTCCAGCAAGCCAACTATGCTCACTGCCCAAGCCACCACTAACGGCGCGACCAACGGCGCCACCTCTGCTGCTGGAAAGTACCACGGATACGACCACCTCACCTTCTGGGTCGGCAACGCCAAGCAGGCCGCCTCGTATTACTGCACCCGTTTCGGTTTCGAGGCGGTTGGGTATAAGGGCCTTGAGACCGGCGACCGTGACGTCGCCAGCCACGCCGTTCGCCAGAACAACATTGTCTTTGTGTTCCAGTCCCCACTGAACCCAGGGAACACCGAGTTTGGTGACCACCTCCAGCTTCACGGCGATGCCGTTAAGAACGTTGCGTATGCGGTCGATGACTGCCGCCGTATTTACGAGGCTGCCGTTGCTCGTGGTGCGAGGTCCATCCGTGCTCCTTGGGTCGAGAAGGATGCCAACGGTTCTGTAGTGTTTGCCACCATCGGCACATATGGTGATGTCGAACACACGTTCGTCGAGCGTACCAACTACAAGGGCGATTTCCTCCCTGGTTACGTGCCAGCGCGAGGAGGCCAGCCCGACGCCCTCCTCTCCCTCCTTCCCCCAACATTTCTCGAATACGTCGACCACATCGTCGGAAACCAGCCCGACCTCGAGATGGTGTCGGCCTGCGAGTACTACGAGAAGACGCTTGGCTTCCACCGTTTCTGGAGTATCGACGACAAGATGATGCACACTGAGTACTCCGCTCTTCGGTCGATCGTCATGACTGATGCGGACGAAGTCATCAAGATGCCAGTGAACGAGCCAGCAGCTGGCAAGAAGAAGTCGCAGATCCAAGAATTCGTTGACTACCACGGTGGCGCTGGAGTGCAGCACATTGCTCTTCGGACGAAAGACGTCATCACCTCCGTCTCCAATCTTCGTGCCCGTGGTGTCGAGTTCCTTTCCATCCCAGAGACGTACTACGAAAACTTGAAGCTTCGTCTCCAGACATCTGCAGTGAAGGTGACGGAAGACCTTGAGATCATTAAGAAGCTCCACATCCTTGTGGACTATGATGAGAACGGTTACCTTCTCCAGGCATGTCTCTAAGAATCTGACTTCCTGTACTTGGTTCGCTTGCGCTAATCTGAGCTTTGTACAGATCTTCACGAAACCAGTCGAGGACAGGCCAACGCTCTTCATCGAGATCATTCAACGGAAAAACCACCAAGGGTTCGGTGCAGGGAACTTCAAGGCTCTGTTCGAGGCCATCGAGCACGAGCAAGACAAGCGTGGAAACCTGTAAATGCTGGGTCACCATTTTAGTTGCATTCTGTCACTCGCTTTCTTGTCACATGACGTTTCCTCAATCAATAAAAGACATACATTTAGGTGAAATACTCGCGGGCCATTGTATTTACGTGCGCGATAGATCTGTCTATCCTAAAACTTGGCTTGACGAGCATGTTACATGACTCATGCGACTTGCAACTTGTCGACGGTAGTGCAAGGAGAGTGGACTGGGTAATTCAAGATCAAAGATGATCGCGAAACATTTCTCCGCGATCGACCTTGCGATGGAAGGGAACAAGCCGCAGATTTGTGGACTTGAACATCCGAGATTTTCAATTACTGTACCTGCGACAAATGTGTGGGGCATTCCGTTCGCCAGTAGTGCGAACGTCCCTTCGAACCGCCAAGCGTCTCCACAAGGAGATGCGAACAATTAAACCTCCACTCGGGCGATGCTCTCGCTCGGGCTATTTTCCATGCTGGACTAAGAGCAACATAAAAGCAAGGGCAACGTCTTTTCGTTACGCTACCTGATCAGAGCTCAATTCCAATCTCCCGCACCGCCCGAAACGTCAACCACATATCTCGAAAATGCTTCCCCATATCGCATGTCCATCTCGCCTCGCTCAGGCCTTCGTCGTCGTCATCTTATGCGCCATCTTGGGCATGGTCTCGCCTGTTGAGGCATGCGGGAACCACCACCACTCTGTGCCGTATGAGCACCAAGACGTCTGTGAGTCTGCGACATCCCGTGCGTAAATTGACAGGTTTTTGACGTGTCTTTTTCTTGGTGACAATGACAGCGCACGGATACTGCATAGACAGTTACGAGAAGGGCATCATCACCTGCAAGAAGATGTACGGCGAGCTTGGACGTAACTACCCGACTTGCCTCAGGAATGCGAGGAGGTATGTCAATTCATGGGAGGGAAGATTAGTTGGCTTGACGATGTTTGACTGACTGTTGCTTTGCACCAGGGTTCACGACAAATGCATTTCGGTCGCGGAGGCTTCGCAGAAGCTCCGTCTTCAGCACCTTTGAAAAAGTAGATTGGGAATCGTCTGTTTTGGGGCATGAACAAATGAACTTTGTATATAGTCACCAGCTTTGCTGCGAAATAAATTGTGCAGTTCTTCATCCTCTCGGAGCTCGCGAGCGCGCAATTGATTGAACCAGCGCGCAATCAATGTGCAAAGCCACACCAAATCTCCACGACCTGCGAGTTCCAGAACATATGCTGGAAACTCGTGTGCAAACTTCCCATCATAGCAATCATAGCAATCATGTCGTCTGACAAGTTCCAGCAATATTTGAAGAAGGTAAGCGGTCGGCTGATACCTCCTCCACTATTCTCTCACGTCGAAGCTAAAACTTACACATGAATCCAGCTCGACGTTGAGCTCTCCAAAGTGCCCGTCGCCGTCGAAGTCGAGCGCCGAACCGGGCTGCCAAAAACCTACATCTTTGGCGGGATTGGCGCTTTCTTCACCGTGCTGATCTTCCTGAACATCTGGGGTGCGCTGTTGACCAACTTGCTCGGGTTCCTGTACCCGGCTTATGCGAGCTTCAAGGCGGTGCGTAGGCGGGGTTGACGCTACGCGGCATGAGCCGGTGATGTGGTCTTTGGGACATTCTGTTGATCATGGGTGGTATTTCCTTAGGTGGAGAGCCCAAGCAAGCTTGACGACACTCAATGGCTTACGGTATGGGACAAGTCGCACTTAGCTACTTTTCCATTGTGCATAGCATGGACTAACATGTACTCGGATGCGTAGTACTGGGTGGTGTACGCCTTCTTCAGCGTCGCCGAGTTCTGGACGGACACTCTTCTCTACTGGTTCCCATTCTACTACGCCTTCAAGGCAGCTCTCATCTGCTACCTTGCGCGTAAGTCTTCCGCCGCGTGCATTGCATCCATCGGGCTGAAGCTCTAAGCGTACAACATCCGTTCTCTTTTGCAGTCCCTCAATTCCGCGGTGCCCAGTTCGTCTACACCAGCTTCCTTCGCCCGTACCTCGCCTCGAACGAGCGCGTCGTTGATAGCAACTTTGCCAAGTTAAGGACCAACGCCACGTCGGCGGCTGCGGACTTCATCGCCGATGAGGTGAAGAAAGATTAGATAGCCGAACAGGAAGGAGCTGGAACGGCGGGGAAACTTTGGCCAAGTCAGGAGCATCTATGGGGACTCTCGGTGCTCTCCGCTTTGCAACTGCGCCGGATTACAGTTGGCATGTTTTGCCCTTTTTGATGTTTCTCTATTCTTCTTGGTCATGCATTTACATCAATACATCACGGTCCTGTCACGAAACCTGGCGGGAGGGGATTGTGCATCGAGAAGGAGGTCAATCTGACTGATTAGCCGTCTATGCAAAAAAAAACTAGGTGGTAAGAGAGGAAAGGATAGATTGCAACTACAAAAGAAACAGATACAGGGGGGATCTTCGGGAAAACGCGGGAGCATAACTACGTCTCATGCCATGTACTGGAATACGTCCCGTTGCTCCTCCATCCGCTCGATGTACTCCTTTTCCAGTAGCATGTCGATACATTTCTTGATTGCTGGCACGGTGGGTCGGAAACGGGCTTTGAGCTGGTCGATGGTCTCGGTGATGAGGAGCTGGTTTTGCATCACTTTCCGGGTTTTCATGATTCGGACAATCGCGGCCTGCAGATACATGAACCTGTAAGTATATTGCGAAGAATGTGGAGAAAATCGAAGCGTAGGTGCTGTCTCGTACCTGTATTACCATACTACGGTCATCCTCGATGCCCTTATGCGTCTCATCGGACTCGGCCTTCTGCTCGGCACGCATGGGGATATCGACCTTCACACGTGTTTTCTTGTTTTTGAACGATGTGTTCAGCTCATAGCGGGTGTTGGGGTCGAAGTTCTTCTTGCCGGCTTCCACGTTAAGCAGCTTGCTCTTGATCAGGCCGTATAGAGCGGACTTCAGGGTTTGCTCATCCAGACTTGTGTTTGTCTCGAGCTCCGAGAAGGTGTACGATGTCGAGGTGTTGAATTGCAAAAGGACGCCCATTTGGAATGTGGATGTCTACAGGGGACGTCGTGAGTCTATACGTCGTATGCTCGCGAGAACTTAGGGCAGATGGAAACCTACTAAGAAGGTATATGGGGTTTTATTATTTTGCTTGACGAAGTTCGCTTTCAGTTCAGCTCGCCCAAGGTGGAAGAGCCAGTTGAGTTTTCTCCCAGAGAACTTATGTTGGTAGAACTTCTGGAAGCGTTCGTAGGTTTTCAAAAGCTAAAATGAAAGGCACGAAGAGGAGTTTGTTAGCTGCTACTCCTTCATTTTCGTTAGACCAGAGAAGTGGAGTATCTCACATCATCGGGGATGTTGAATTTGGTTGTGGTCGCGTTCAGAGGCCATTGCCCGGTTCCTCCAACCAGGATCTGGAAATCAGGCAAATCGCCTTTCTCGTGACTCCGCGCCATTTGTTCCCTGCAATTAGATGAATCAGGCTACGTTCAAGCGAAAATGGAACGCGGAGTATTCATTAACTAGTACATACTTGAACTGGTCGTTCAAGTCCTTACTCAGCGCCACATCTTGGAACATCCGCTGCAGTTTGCTTGTGAATTCGAAACCGCAGGCGTCTTTCAGCTTGTTGATCATGGACTCTTCCGTATCTCCATTGGCTGAAAGCTGGTTGACCAGACGACGAGCAAGTTGTTTCTGATAGAACTTTTGAAACACATCCTTGTCCTCGACATATTTGAACAACGTCATCTATAAACAGATTTGCGATTGTAAGAACCATGCACTGATATGCGAAACACTAAAATCCCAGACTTACCACGCTGTTGAGCACCTCCTCAATCTCCAGCTCATCCGTGATCTTACTGCCTTTTTTCAGCAAAGAGTCGCAATGCTTCGCAAGAAGCTCCGGGCTTTTGCTTGAGCTCTTCTCGCAAACAACATTGCGATTGACAAATTCTCGGCATGCCCTGTCGAGCGATGCACCAAATCCGGTTTCTCCCTTGAAAGCAGTCTCCACCAGGGAGGAGTATTTCCTGTGCACGTCAAGCAGGGCATCGACATAGACCTTTGAATCCACATCTCCTGGCTTCTTAGGCCCTTGCGCTGCCTTTGCTTTTGAGTCTTTGTCCTCTTCTTCATCGTCTTCCCCTTCTGGTGGCGCAGACGCTGACTCTGCAACCTTCTCAACTGCACTCAGACCCTGCTTCCGCACATGGACTTCGAATGTGTGCCGTAATTTTTCCAGACTCTCTGGTACGCGTGATAAAAGGCCGTACATTCGGCTAAGATCTTCAATCTTGTCCTGTTCCAACAGATTCTGGAACTCCTCTTGTATCGGCCCAGTGTGGCTTTCGATCAACACGCTTTCACAACATGTGATCAACGGCTTTTGAGATGATGAATGCAAGTACATTTGCACCCGGTTTTCTTCCTCCGCCAGTCGGGCTTCAGCCTGTGATCAAGCGACGAGGGTCAGTGGAGACCGCTGATTGTGCTGAACGCAGGGAACCATTACCTTTTTCATGTAATCAACGATAGAGTTCTCACTGATGAAGCGTTCACTCTCCATCTTGTAGTAACTCTCAGTCTTAGCAATGAACGGGATTTCGAAGAACTGCTTGTAGATTTCCAGCGTGGATTTTGTTGGGTCGTTCTCATCCCAACCGAGTGAGACTGAAGGAGAGAGTCAGTACAACTCTCGGACCTGTATACGGTAAGATATACTATAGGCGTAGAAACGTACCAAAGCTTTCGACCACCCCATTGATAAGGTTGGTGTCTATGGTCTCTCCGTTTCTTTGTTTCTCAATCAACTTCAGAACGCCATCCATGACTTTCATTTGCAAGGTCGAGGTCCCAACACCGAAGAATGAATCCCGCCAGTTCACCAGGGTCAACTGATGAAACAAAATGTGTGAGCATACATTGGAGGGCATGGACTGTAGCACATGTTCGCGAGCTTACCGTGTAGACATCGTACACGGTCTTCCGTCCCTCATCGAGCTCCCTCTTCACCCAATGCCTGTTCAGATATGCGAAGATGTGATGTACGTAGGTGGTCGCGGTGGTATATCTTTTCCATTCTCGGGTATAGCAGGCAAGCAGGTCCTCGTCCATTTGTTGCTCGGTGTTTTTCCGTAACTGATCGAGGTGGTTTTGAAGATAGGTCTTCAAGTGATTGTAAAGCTCTGCTCCCATGAGATTAGCGCCTACAGTGGAGAGTGCATGTCATTACTCGGATCCGCGATTCTGACGATAGGCTCCTCAAGAGAGTAGGATAACAACGTGTACCTCGATTTGCTGTAGAACCATGTAACGGGGCCTCAGCTCCGGACGTACTGCTCATCCGACTACTTGTACAGTGATCGTAGATCATGCTATATGTAAAAGTGAAAGGTACCGAAAACTCAGTCTGACGTGTTCCACGCGACCTAAGCTGTGCCCTAGATGCCTTGCCGTCTACTTCGGCTTCCCCACCCATTCTCGTCCGGGCACCCTGTAGTCGACCGCGATCCCTCCCACTCGACAGACAGTGTAGTGCTTATCGGTTCTCCCCGAGCGTAAAAAGTCCCAGGCGTGCCTAGCCGCTGTGCGCGATGCATTCTCAATTGAGCCAACTTACGTGTACAAATCCATCCACTTCTTGTATGAGAGTCCATCGCTGAGATTGTTCATGATCGAATCTATTCCAGCCTCTAAGGTAGTCCATGTGACCGCCAGGTCGGTACTTCTCGAGTCGTACGGCATGGTTGATCAGCGTCGGACGATTAGTTACAACTTGAATTGAGGACCGTAGGAGAATGGGCCTGTCTGCTGTGCCAGTATGCGGTGTCGAGGGGCCGTTCGCAAGGATCCAAGGTCGAAGTCCCGGACAGAAAGTGAGAGGGAATCGATACGAGGACTGCTATGCCTTCGCAGGACCTCTGAAGCGCACGGTTGTTGGGAGGCAGGCCGTTCGGACGTGTGGGAATCTTAAGCGATTACCGATGTTTCTGGCAGCTTGGCTGTTTGGTATGCCAAGCAGGCCTGCGGAAGGGATCGGATAAGTGTGCACGTACTGTACTGTACTGTGCACAAAATAAATAAACCCAGTTCGCGCCGCGTTCTCTTTCAAAAGTGGGTTGTGTCCGTTCCAAGCAAGGAAAGTCTGGCGTGAGGACGCTGTGTGATAGTAAATTGCAGATCTGCGAGAGGGCCGCGGTCCGGAAGTCTTACATCATGGTAGCTTCAACCGCTCAAATACAGGGGTACATTCGCGAAATTGCGCCGAAGCTGGACACAGATCTGGTGGAATATGTGGGTGTCTGCATGCATGTCCTGTTTTTTCATAAGAAGGACTCTGCTAAACGGTTGCGTTCGTGGAATTAGGTGGCAGGTTACTTTGACGACCAGTCCAGCGATCGTTCACAAGATGGTCTCTTCGACTTCCTTCAGCCACTTCTCAACGAAGCTGGCAGCACAGATGATGAGGTCGAAGCATTATGCGAGCGATTAGCAGCCCTTAGCCCTTCCGCTCAACAATCCATAGCATCACATGGCGTCAAAGTCCTAGAAGGTCCCATTACTATGAGTCAGAACGTGGCCTCGTTGGATGTCGGGCGGAATGTGGACCTGAGGCATGTGCAGTCCTCAAGCGGACCGAAAGCCACTACTGTCGACCAGCGGAAGCTGAGGGCGGCGGAAAAGAAGTTAGCGGAGAAGAATGCGAAACGAGGACTGTACGACCCGGATGCCATCCCAGTCTGGAACCCAGACGTGAAGCCAGCGCTGATTGTGAACCAGATGAAGGCGTCGGGTGGAGCGGGCAGCTTGAGCAAGGACATTAAAATTGAGAACTTTGACATTGCATTTGCCGGAAAGAAGATCCTACAAAGTGCGACGTTGACGCTGAATCACGGGCGGCGCTACGGTTTGGTGGGCAAGAACGGTATCGGAAAGTCGACATTGCTGCGAGCTGTTGCACATAAAGAACTGCAGCTACCGGCCCATATCAGGGTGCTTCACGTTGAGCAGGAAATGGCAGGGGACGACACACCAGCATTGGATTCGGTGATGAAAGCGGACGTGGAGCGGACCTCGCTCTTGGAGGAAGAGAAGACATTGTCCGCAAAGTTATCAAAAACATCGACTACCACGGAAGACGCCGAGAAGTTCTCGAAACGTCTTAAGGAAGTGTATCAAAGAATGGAGGAGATCGAGGCAGACAAGGCAGAATCGAAAGCTTCCGCTATTCTCAACGGTCTCGGATTCACACCGGAGCAACAGAGAGCACCTACAAGGACCTTCAGTGGAGGATGGAGGATGCGTCTCGCGTTGGCGAGTGCACTATTCTGTAAACCTGACTTGCTTCTTGCCGATGAAGTAACGAATTACCTCGATTTCCCCGCCGTTGTATGGCTTGAAAGATACTTTCAAAAGTGGCCCGCGACGTTACTTGTCGTTTCCCACGACAGATCCTTCCTCGACGCCGTTTCCACAGACATCCTTCACCTGCACGATGGTGCATTGGACTACTACCGCGGAAACTTCTCCGTGTTCGTTGGGACCAAATCCGAACGACGACGAAACCAAATCCGTGAATACGAAGCACAGCTTCAATATCGTAACCACTTGCAGGCGTTCATCGATCGCTGGAGATACAACGCCAAACGTGCCGCACAAGCACAGTCAAAAATCAAAATCCTCGAAAAGCTTCCTCCACTTGAAGCGCCACCGAAGGATGACATGGAGGGCATTGCAGGAGAAGGCCAGGACATTTTCTTCCGTTTCCCAGACCCCGAAAAGCTCTCCCCGCCAATCCTCCAAGTCGACGACATTCGCTTCGGATACACCGCTCAGCGCGATATCCTCAACGGCGTTTCCTTCGATCTGCAAATGGATTCCAAGATCGCCGTCGTTGGTCCTAACGGTGCCGGTAAATCGACACTGATCAGGCTTATTACTGGCGAGGTGACCCCTCAGAGGGGTATTGTGCAACGGCATGGACGGTTGCGCATGGCGCTGTTTAGTCAGCATCACGTTGATCAGCTGGAGTTGGGTGCCAGCAGTGTGCAGTTCTTGCAGGCCAAGTTCCCTGGCATGCAGGAAGAGGAGTACAGGAGAGTGCTGGGACGGTATGGCTTAACAGGCACGACGGCGCTGCAGCCCATTGGAACGCTCAGTGGAGGACAGAAGAGTAGAGCGGTGTTTGCGTGGATGGCGATGAGCAACCCGCACGTGTTGATTCTTGATGAACCTACCAGTAAGTATCCCTATGAGGCATAACATGTTCATCCGCAAACCTTTACTTACCCCTCATCGCCTTCCAGATCACTTGGACATGGACTCCATCGATGCGCTTGCCTCAGCCCTGCGCGAGTTCCGCGGCGGTATCGCCATCGTATCCCACGACGAACGCTTCCTCGACGCCGTATGCAATGAAGTCTGGGTGTGTAATGAGGGCAAGCTCACGCGGTTCGAGGGCAAGACCGGAAACCAGGACGGCGTCGTTAAGCAGTATAAGGCTAGCTTGATGATTGACGAAGTTTAGAACTGTTTGGGTAGATCACATATATGCCTAAGCACCTTGTCTGTTCATCTCAAGGCGCAATCTCCTCGCATTCGCCTTTGTGGGGCGGCGTACATAGCATCTTATACAGCACCATTTTTTATACACTGTTTTGTGACTGAACATTGGACGGTCACAAAGACTATCCGGCATCTGAATTGTGCTGCGAATGCGAGGAAGATACTACTATGGTCTCTTCTATGTCGTGTATTGTATGTACATACATCTTTACATAAAGCGCATAAAACGTCCGAACAGTCAGCAATCACGAAGCGTGCCGAAGCTGAGCCCTCAGCCACGGCGAGTCCTGATAGTACCTGGGGAAATCATCTTTTGCCTTAGCCCGACATAACATAGTGTCTCGCAGCCCAGGCAGTGACCATGGCTTACTTTGGATTGCACAGCTGCACTGCAGCTCGCAGCATATTGAAGTAGTACAGTATCTCGGCTGGCAGGAGCTGTTGTATCAAGATCTGCATTTCGGTGCTAAGCTGTACTGAGAAAGCGGGCGACTTACCGAACCGAAACAGCGTATACACAGCGACGTAGCCGGCAGTCCAAAAATCGCAGCGTGTGTCGTTGCAGGCGGCCATGAGCGGCTACAATTCGAAGGCGAATGAATGTCAGCTTGCCGGACGCAACCTCGCACAGGAATGGGCCAAGTTGCAAGTGTATACCAGCCCAATCCCCCGACACGCAAAAAAGCACACAGCATAAAAGGCGCACGACCACAACGTCGCGCTGAACTCATTCAGCATGAGCCGGAGCATGCCGGCGCGGAACGGGTAGCTGCCGGCGAAGCGGAGGAAGAGAAGGACGAGGTTTGCTATGAAGAGGAGGAGCTGGATGCTGGAAATCATATATCAATGAGCATACATCCGGCGGAATCGTTACACGACAAATGACATGCAACCGTACAGATAGGCAATGACGACAGTGACGAAGGTATGCCGGCGTATCTCGGCGAATAGCGTGATGAAGAGGTCGGCTGTGAGGAGACATATTTGCAGGCCGGCGGTAAGGTAGAACGATCGGACGCTGAAACTAGACATTGTGTTTTGGTCTCCGATCTATATATGTAACGAATTGTATAGAGGCGAACGAGATCTGGAAACAAAGCTGTCATTATCCTGTCAATCTGGGCGCGTTATACGCGCGCGCGTTTCCATCCTCTTGTGACTCTGGCCCGTCATCTTCCCACTGAGGTTGGAAAACACCGTGCACCATCAGGACCTCGTTGTCGCAGCTCTCTCCCATCTTTCCAGTCCATAAAAAAGTCCAGCACACGTCGTCCACGCCGCCTACCCGATCTCTATCCCAACTTCCCGCCCAAAAAACAACCTAACCACAACCCAACCCAAAAATGGCAGACTACAACGACTTCGAAAGTTTCCGGTAAAACCCCATCCCCACTCTCTCCTAACCGCAAACCCCATCTCATCAAATTCTTTCTCAACCTTCACGTTAGAGCAACAATGACCCGCGAAGAAATCGGCGAGTGGTTCCAACGCCGCTTCAACCGCCCCATGGAAGCATACGACGTGTACAAGGTTGCGAAGGAGTTTTACCAGCTGGGCGCGTATTCGAGGGCGTTGGTTTGTTTGCAGATTTATGTGAGTTGGGGGATTTGGGGGAATGTATTGCCCTCTCCTTTCTTTCGAGAGGAATATTGCTGATATATGCCAAATGGTAGATTACACTCCCTGGCGCAACCACACCAGGCCGACATCTCCTTGCATACTGTCTCCTCCATCTTGGCGAGACGGAGCGATCGTTACGGGAGTTCAAGAAATGCGTTAAAGGTAAGGTTTCTTAATATCTCATCCTTGCTTTGTGATTTCAGTGCGTATCTCACGACCCATCCTTTTCTAGAGGGTTATCATGACGATTGGCAGCTCGTTGTAGAACTCACCATTGAACTCGAGCTTGCGCGCCGTGCTGCTGCGACACGGGAGCGGGAAGCTGGGTTGGGTGGTGGATTAGGAGGACCGGCTACAACTCACTTTAGTGGCGGGGCACAGGCGTTTGGGATATATGGGGCGTAGGAATTTGATGCCCGATGGACAAGTGCTGATGTACACAGTGTACATAGATCAAAGTGTGACTGATGTGTGAAATTTTTTGTTCTCATGGACGTCGAATACAAACCATCGATACCAAATGCCCAAATCACGTAATGCAGTTTGCGACAGACGGATGAGGTGCAAGCATCAGTCAGATATGTAGTGGGGTGAATATAGGAACAGGGGGTGTGAATACAAGGGGGTGGGCAATGATAAAACAAATGGCAAGCAACGAGACGGAAAAATAGTGTCCAGCACCCAACAGTGAAAGTTCCAGTTCTATACAGCATCTACATTAATACACCGTATTTCGTCCTTGTCCAAGAGCTTTGGGAAAAGGGGGGCTGGGAGCTCATTTGCTTCATATATACAACAGCCATGCGTACGCCGCAACTTAAAAGTCTTGTGGAGATGGTATAGGGGTCTCGACGGCCCCTAATATCCACCATTCTGTTGAGATCGAGAGTATTGCTGGGCACCATACTCGCCTACCACTACTGGCGGGGGTGGATAATGCGCATACTCCGATGGGGCATATCCGTTGTAGTCCGCCGGATGTCCGTATTCGCTCCTTGGGCCTCCGTATTCGCTCCGTGCGCCGCCGTAATCGGATGTAGCACTCATGGTTGGGTAGGTGGCATACATGACCGGCGCGCCATTAGGATATACTGCGCCGCCGCCGTAATCGCTTCTCGCCCCTCCGGACTCGCTCCTTGTGCCGCCGTAGTCACTTCGAGCGTAGTCGGAGGCATACATCGGGCCTGGGGAAGGCGCGCGGGAGGCGCCTTGCAAATCCATCAGGAACTTTTGCCTTCCGTCTGCAGGCACATAATTTGATTCTGTGCTGACTGAGTCGAGTCTTTGGAGTCCAGCGCCGCCGGAAACGCCAAGACCCCCGTCGGCTCCATCTCTCTTTGCCATACGGTCGCGGAAGTTCCCAGATGGACGGAGTGTCACTTTGCGGAAGATATAGATGCCCACCATTGCTGCGAGAATAGCACCGCCAGCGGCACCAAAGATGGCGCCTGTAACGTACACTGTCCTCTTCGTTGCTTCTTTTTTTTGGGCATCAGTTTGAGGAGTAGGCCCTGGTGCAGCGGAGGAGGTGACAGTCGTTGAGCGGGTTGAGTTGATGACAGTGACACTCGCCTGCGCGGACGAGCTGGTTGTGCTTCGCAGACTAGACGATGTGGAAGACGCGATACTGGAAGCTGATGTTGATATGACGGTCGCAGTAATGGAGGTAACCGTAGGCGGAGTGCTGGTGGGAGTAATGCTCGGCGGGCTGGATGGGGGTGTTGAGGTCGCTACAGGAGGGTCCGACGCAGTGTCTGTTGGGGTCGTGGTCGGACGGCCTAGAACATGCAAGGACAGTATGAGGGCAACGCCACAATGAAAGGCTATCAAGCACAAACCATTTACCTGGGAGTGTGGGGATTAGAATGGTTGGAAGTGGAAGCGAAATGGGGGGGAAGCCTTGTGCAAGTGTTTCGACACAGAGCACAAGGAGTATCATGCAAAGAAGCAGTGTTCTTGTGAAGCCTTGGTTGGCGTCCAGCCGGGCGCCATTTGGTTTTCGAGTTGCCGCCATTTTCTTTATTAGGTCCGCCGGAAATAGCTATGCGAGTTGAAGATGGTCGTTCTTTCGCCTCTTCCAAGGAAACGGCCTGCCTACGAGGGTTGCAGCTCCCCCTTACGCTCGTATACGTGACGTTTTCCCAGCGTTGGCACACGGTGCTATAACGGCACGGTAGGTTCTTTCAGTGCCGATGAGTCCACCGTCGAGTTCGTTCAGACTTTCCGAATACGGTCGTTTCCACCGATGTTGTTTGTGGGAGTAACTACCCGTTCAATGCGTTGCAGTAGAGTGAAGGATATCAATGAGCGGCAAGCGGACAGTGATGGGAGTTTGTTGGGATTGGGGGCCAGCCCTCGTTGCTTTGCGCCGTTTGTAAAAGGGAGGCTTTGAAACAACGGACGCCGTCAATTTTGAGCGGATCTTGATGATGGGCGTTGATCAGATGAACTTGAAATTGAAGCTGCCGCAACTTGTAAGAGCTCCTGGTCTCATCATGCTACCTTGGCAGAAAGTCATATGGCCTTTTGGGGTGTGCAACTTTGTGCGACATCATGGCTTTCCAGATCGTCGCAAGCCACTCCTACGCCATGGCGCAGTCGCACACTCCGACTGACAGGACAGCGACATTGACGACCTTGTCGATGAGGCATAGACTCAGTGTCGTATGGACAGCAGCAGGTGGGTTTGTCGTAACGTACTCTTACCGAAAAGCGAACAACTGTTCTTGCCGCTACGCCGGGACCTGTGCATTTGGCTCTGCAGGATTAAAGCATGGCTACATGTACAGATTCTGTGAGATCTTGGTAAAGGGCTCAAACTGAAGCATGACTTTTCGCTGTCCGATAGATTTCGAATCATTCGATACCAAGCTCGTTTGCGTTATCAAGGAATGTCAGCAGAAGCTCTTCCTCCCGCCATCGGCATCACGCCCGAAGGGGCGATCATCGAGCAACCGCAGCCAAATGCATCGTCATCCCAAGACATCCCCGCACATTCAGCACCCTCGGCAGCCCCAATAGATCCCTTGCTGAGCCATGAAGCTCTCTCACAGGGCGTCCACACCAACACGGCTCCGGAGAAAGACGTCCGATTTCTACCGCCATCAACACGCCTCAGTTTAAACAGTCTGTTACCCAAAGAGGAATCGCCCGCGGTGGCGAATGAGGAAGAGAAGTCCAAGCCTTTGGAAACGAGTGATGCGGTCGGCGGTGTCACGGGGATAGTGGGCGGGATGGTGGCCTCACGGGAGACGGTGGACGCAGGTGTTGATGCGGGCGTGGAAACAGAGTCTCCAATAAGGCCCGCGGAGTTCGAGGTGGAGGTCCCGAAAACGGGATGGGAGATGGATATGGATGTCTCCGGTTAGTTTTGCGATGAAATCGTCGACCCCCTGGCACTTGCGAGAACAGACAATGCTAACCTGACTTCGCGTCACTTCCAGCAATTCTCAACCGCAAAAACAACACCCACCCGTACATCGCCGCCTGCAAGCAAGCCAGCGTCGTGCCCGTATCCTACATCCTCGACCGCCTCGACGCCGCCGAAATCATCATGCCGCACCATGGACTCGGGCCCAAAGGAGCCGAGGCGTTTGCGAAAGTGCTTGGATCCAACCCGACTTTGAAGCATCTGGATCTGATGTACAATGGCATCGAGGCGGGTGGGGCGGAGATTGGACGGAGTTTGCAGATCAATAGGGCTCTTACGACGTTGGTTTTAACGGGGAATAGGTTGGGTAAGGTGTGCCATTTAGAACGTCTTGATTGGGCATCTTTGAACGGTGTGCTGATATATTCATCCATGCGTAGGCTTCGACGGGTCCGCAGAGATCGCGGACATGCTTCAATTCAACTCCACGTTGGCCGTACTAATCCTCAAAGGTAAATTTTTATCGAGACATCGGCCCCACGTTCATATTCACTGGAATGATACGTTCCGCAGAAAACAACATCGGCGACAAAGAAGCACAGCTCTTCGCCGAGGGTCTTCGCCACAACTCGTCTCTGCACAGTAAGCGCCTATTTCTCAAGCCGTACATGCTACCTTCCCGGGCTTAACATGTTTCACAACAGCCCTCGACCTCAGCGACAATCAAATCGGCGACATCGGCGCCATCGCCCTGGGCGTGGGGCTCTCAGGGAACGACTCGCTGAGGGATCTGAATTTGAGCTGGAACCATATTCGACAACGGGGGATAGCTGGGCTATTGAACGGGATTAAGGCACGGGATTCTATTACCTGTAGAATGGCTTCTGGCGAGAAATATGGGGACCTGATACTTGATGATTTACAGGATAACAACATGATGACGAGCTTGAATCTGGAGGTAGGTTCTAACGACAATCTAATGAAAGTGGGAAACGGCGCTCAATTCCTGGCTTAATTCCATCATCCGCAGGCGAATGGAATCGGCGACAACGGCCAAGCGGTCGCCATGTTCTTGAGCAAAAATAACATTGTGCAGGTTCTCAATCTGAGGTGAGCTCGGTTAACAATGAGAGGGAATATCAATGATGTCTAATGAATGATGCACATTTTTCGACCCCGACAGACGGACACGGCTAAGCGATGCCGCATTAGCACCCATCGCAAAAGTCCTTGAGCAAAACTGTATGTCCCGGCCCATTCATACACATTTGTCCTCCTCTGTACAACGCCTATTGATGGGCGAGGGATCTGCATCATTAGATGGAATCAAGGAACTCGATATCTCGGATAACTCCTGGTCGCACGTCGCCGCGCCTGCGCTCTTCAAAGCGTTGCTCAATTCGACAAGTATTGAGAAGCTGTATATGCGGGTAACATCGATCTTTCGCATTATACACATCTGGAAACTGGCCCCGTTGATTCATTGCACCATATCACTCTCCAGAACATAAAACTCCCCCGCGAAACCCGCCTCAAACTCGCCGAACTCATCCGCGACAAACCCGACCTCCAACTCATCGAAATCAGCGAATCCGACGCCGACATCGCTCGGAAGGAAGGCAACAACGGGATGGGGATCTCCAAGGCGTTCCTTGTCGAGCAGCGACGGAAGCAGGAGGCCGAGGAGGGGGAGAGGGAGGCGGAGAAGGAGGCGGAGAGGGTGAAGGAGGCGGAGAGGGAACTGGAGAGGGAGAGGGAAAGGGTGGAACGGGAGAGGGTGGAACGGGAGGAGAGGGACAGGGAGGAACGGGAGGCGAGGGAGGAGGAGGGAGGTTTGGATAAGACCGCTGCGTTGGGGGATGGTGGGGTGGCGGATGAGGAAGGGGTAGATGTCAATGCTAGAGAAGAATAACTGTAATGTTTCAATCAGACGAAGACATCAAACAAGGAGAGACGGCTTTTTTGAAATGTTTTTTTGGATTAAAGACGATAGTAAAACAGATGAGAGACACATTTCATTCCGAAAAGCTAAATCATTTATGCGGAAGCACGCTGTGCCGCAGCGGCAGCCATCAAGTTCAACGCGCTACCAGCCTTGAACCAACCAATCTGACCCTCGTTGAAGGTGTGCTTCAATGGAATGTCAACAGTCTTGCCACCCTGCTTGTGTACCCGAAGGGTGACCTCAGATCCCGGGGCCAGCTTCTTCAGGCCGAGGAGGTCGACCTTGTCGCGGGGGTCGATCTTCTCGTAGTCGGCGGGGTTGGCGAAAGTCAGAGGAAGCATACCTTGCTTCTTCAAGTTGGTCTCGTGGATACGGGCAAAGGACTTTACGATGACGGCGACACCACCCAAGTGACGGACCTCAAGGGCGGCGTGCTCACGGGACGAACCCTCTCCGTAGTTCTCGTCACCGATGACGACCCAGGGGAGGTTCTTCTTCTTGTAGTCACGAGCAGTTTGGGGGACAGGCTCGAACTTGTTGTTGGTCAAGTTGAAGACGGAGTTGGCCTTGTTGTTTTCCGAGTTGATGGCACCGATCAACATGTTGTTCGAAATGTTGTCCAAGTGACCACGGTACTTCAACCAGGGACCGGCCATCGAGATGTGGTCGGTTGTGCACTTGCCCTTGACCTTGATCAAAATGGGGATCTCCTTGTAGTCCTCGCCGTTCCACTTCTTGAAGGGAGTGAGGAGCTCAAGACGAGATGAGCTTGGGTCAACCTTGACGTTGACGTTGGAACGGTCAGCGGGAGGAGCCTGGTAGGTGTTCTGTCCGGGGTCGTAACCGCGAGGGGGAAGCTCAGCGCCGTGGGGTGGGGAGAACTTGAAGTCCTTTCCATCGGCGGTCTTGAGGGTGTCGGTGAGGGGGTTGAATCGGAGGTCTCCGGCAAAGACCATGGCGGTGGTAAGTTCAGGGCTGGTGACGAACGCGTGTGTGGCGGGGTTGGCATCGTTACGACCAGTGAAGTTACGGTTGTAAGATGTGACGATGGTGTTGGGCTCGCCCTTCTTCACGTCCTGACGGTCCCACTGACCGATGCAGGGACCGCAAGCGTTCGCCAGCACGATACCGTTGATTTTCTCGAAGATTTCGGTTTGACCATCACGGGTGATGGTAGCGCGAATCTGCTCCGAACCGGGTGTGATAATGAACTGAGACTTGGCTTTCACACCAGCCTCGATGGCTTGCTTCGCCAGCGACGCAGCGCGGTCCATGTCCTCGTAAGAGGAGTTGGTGCAGGATCCGATAAGACAAGCCTTGACCTCCAAAGGCCAGCCGTTCTTCTTAGCGGTCTCAGCGAACTTGCTAATGGGGGTAGCAAGATCGGGGGTGAAGGGACCGTTGATGTGGGGTTCCAGAGTGTTGAGGTCGATCTCAATCACTCGGTCGTACTTGGCGCCAGCATCAGCGGTCAAGTTGTGCCTGAACGTGGTGGCGTAGTTGGCGAGGTCACCACGGTTGGTAGCCTTGAGGTAGTCGGCCATACGGTGGTTGAAGGGGAACAGAGAGGTGGTGGCACCAATTTCGGCTCCCATGTTGCAGATGGTGGCCATACCCGTGCAGGAAATGGAGTCAACACCGTCACCGAAGTACTCAACAATGGCGCCTGTTCCGCCCTTGACGGTGAGGATACCAGCAACCTTCAAAATGACGTCTATGGAAAATTTATATGTGTGAGTGATGCACCAAGGACACAAGATCTCGTAGCATAAACAATGCATACCTTTGGGGGAAGTCCATCCGTTCATCTTTCCGGTGAGCTTAACACCAATAACCTTAGGGCACTTCAGCTCCCAAGGAATGTTGGCCATCACATCGACGGCGTCGGCACCCCCGACACCAACGGCAACCATACCAAGACCACCAGCGTTGGGGGTGTGGGAGTCCGTGCCGATCATCATACCACCGGGGAAAGCGTAATTCTCCAAAATGATCTGGTGAATGATTCCGGATCCCGGCTTCCAGAAACCAATACCGTACTTGGCAGTGCAGGTGGCAAGGAAATCGTAAACTTCCCTGTTGATGTCTTCAGCGCGAGCCAAATCCTTGACACTTCCCTTCTGTGCCTCAATCAAGTGATCGCAGTGCACAGTGGTGGGCACAGCAACCGTTGGGAGACCGGCGGACATGAACTGGAGAAGAGCCATTTGAGCGGTGGCATCTTGGCATGCAACACGGTCCGGGCGGAGCTTCAAGTACGAAGTTCCACGCTCGATGTCTTGTTCCTTAGGTTGGTCCAAGTGTCCGTATACAATCTTCTCAGCGAGGGTAAGGGGGTGTTGGAGCCTGATGAAACGGTATTTGAATTGATCCCAAAATGCTTTGAATTATACGGAAGCTTTTTTTCACCTGTCGCGAACAATCTTCAGGTTGTCCTCGATGCGCTGGTAGTTGACGTGCTGGTTCTTCTCAAATTGAGACATGGCGACTTTTGTGTCGGCAATGCTGGCGAAGGCGCATCGTTGCGACTTAACGGCCGCGCGTGTCGCCCCGCTGCGAACAGCCTATGCAGGGATGACAGAAGGAGACAACTTGTGAGCTGAGTATGTTCGAAGATCCTCGCATGGGTAACGTGGGAAAATTCCGGCGTCCGAGATTTTCTTTCCCTTTCCCACGCACTGGAGCGAATCCCAGCCAGATTCTTTTGCGTAGCAGCCCAATTCCGGCTTGCTTTTCTCCTTCCCCTTTTGAAAACCTCAGCGAGCCTTCGACAGCGATCCTCTGCGTCACGACTGGGAACCAAAAACGCGGGGGGAGATTGAATCTGGCGAGTAACTCACCTTTGCGATGGTTTGTGATACGAGCATATTTGCACTGCGTGTTCTATGCTTTGGGAGAGGCAGAGATATGAGCGAGAGTTGACAGAGTAGCTCCAAGCGAAATGCCTGCAGCTCAACGTACGTACCAAGATTGGAAGCAGGAGTGAGCGTCGAGCTTGAAAGAGAAGAGGCGTCCGCTTGTGGCCGAGGCGTTATATATACTGTATAAGCAGGCAGAAAACATGCGCGCAGGGTAAACTTGACGTACTGTAGGTTGCCGTGTCCGAGCCGTCGGTAGACAACGCAGAAACGCGCTCGTTCAACTGACCCGCCATTTCGTTGCGCGGTATCAGCGCCGTTGCTTGGAAATAAAGACTACAAATTCCCCGTGACAGCCTGAGAAAAGGGGGAGGCCGGTTTTCGCCGAGTAGAGATCCTTCATTTAGCGGTACGTGCGTCAAGGAAGACAAGGGAGTGGTCGTTCATGAAGAAGGAACAGAGAGCGTATTCAAGGTGGTGGTCCGCTCCATCGTCTGAGCTTCCTCACCAAAAAGGATCCCCGCCAAACGATAACCATTCGAGCACATTATTGTCGAGAGAACCCCTGCGTTTCTACCTTCAACTCCTCCACAGCCCAGACATGGTTGCAGCTGCCGGACCTCCCAATCATCGAAAAAAAGGATGGTCCCGTCCATCGACCGCCCCTTCCCCACAAGAGATTGCGGCAATGGATCTTTTCGTGGGTGGTAGATGGATGGACAAGACGGCGAAATCCAAGCCGAACCCACCATCGCAGCCATCGATCCTGGAGTCGTCAACTTTGCAACTTGGTATACACCCACCCTCGGTTCTGGCATTGTGGCCAATCGAGACATCGAGCGAATCTTTCGTCTGTGCATTGATCTAGACAAGCTGATCGGCAAGACGACGCGTGCGCCGGCTCTCACAGTGCACCCCCATGTACTATATAGTATACGGGGGTGCACTGTGAGACCGGCTAGGAAGGGGAACTCTCATCGGCGAGCTCAAGCCCGAGTTCTTCAACGAATCAAGAATCTGGTCGATGAAGTGCACAAGAAAACGGTCATTTGGCTGGTGCGCACCTTCGACATCATTGTCCTTCCTGAGTTCAGCGCACAACGAATGTCGATTCGACGGCCCGGTCGTCGTTTGGGCAAGAAGACTGTACGGAAAATGCTCACTTGGGCCCACGCTCGATTCCGCCAACGATTGCTGAATAAAGCGGAAGAGGTTGGAGTAACGGTGATAACATCGGTTTCCGAGGCGTATACGAGCAAAACATGCAGTGGATGCGGTCACATTCACAGAAGGTTGGGAGGATCTAGAGTATTTAGATGTGCAGGCTGTGGAATTGTGATGGATCGTGATGTGAAAGAAGCGAAGGGCATATTGTTAAGAGCTCTTGCGTCGCGCCTGAGATGTAAGTCGATGATGGCATTGGTTGATGGACCCCGTGCTTTAGGAACTGCACGTGCGCATGTGGATAGATAATCCTAGCTAGTCTTAGATTGTCTTGAAGCGATGTAATCCATCCGCAATGCAAAAAGTTGAAACCCATTCCCGCAACTCATTCAACCATTTTGACGATGACCTGTGGAAGAGGACAGGGGCGATATGAAAGATCTGAATGCCACCCTTCGCAGCATCCTCCTCCACCTTGACCACATAGATATCCTGTGGCACACGGACCGCACACCTCATCTGAGTTCATCAGGGTGTCGCTTCTTCGCCTTGCGCACTTGCTACAAACGCTCGAGATGACAGTATTCGACAGCGCGCCTGGAGTCTGACAGTGGCCATCTCCACACTGTGGGAAATAAACCGGGGGGGTAATTGAACGAATAAAAGCTCTCGAGAAACTTCGGTCCCCTGCGGAGATGCTGCTCCCAGAACAGCCTTGGAGTCCTTTGCGGACTTCCTCGGTTTCATCTGACTTATAGGCGTGCAGCTCGCTTCTCAGAAACCGTTCCCTCGACTTTCTACGGGACTTCGATGCAAGAAAAACACTTCCTGAAAGCAATTCCGTAAACTCTGCTCAACTCCGGCTCTTCATTTCTCACCACGCTGGCAAAACCCCTGAAGAGCCTACCGCATGCAGACTCGGTCTCATTCAATTGCCCGGAAGGACGAAACGGCCCCGAGCACAGCCCAAAGGAGCAGCCGAAGCAACCTAGCAAGACCGCACCCGTACAACTTGAGAAGTAATCCGACGAGACTTTCAAAGGGTCTACCACTTGCAACACGACCATCGACGGAACAACAGAAGAGTTCGAGCAGGAAGACCAAAATGGGTATTCAGAGTAGCAAGCTTCGCAAGTCTGGGTCTTCGAAGAAGTCGGTGAAGACATCGAAAGCTAGCAAGAAGAAGACTGGTAAGCTTGTGCTTAAGGAGTCAAACCTCCTTCGATGAACACTGAAACACTGCACTGCAGTGAAAATGGGTGGTGCAGAATCTACGGTCACCGCTGTCACTTCGGTCGCTACTGCCGTTGCTGGCGTTTTAGACACCGCAGTCACTGCCATCAGCGCGGACACTGCAGCCGAAGAGCTTCCGGAAGTCTTGAATGAAACGACGCAGGCTACAATCACTACGGCTAGCCAAGTGGAGTCAGTGCCTACCTCTGGGCCTCAGATGATCGAGACGGTTCGAGTTCTTTACAAGTCCGGAACAACGTTCCATGAAGGTATGTCGCACGCACCGACAACGGATTGAATTGTCGAGGTTCTAAACACTAAACCAATGACTTCCTCAGTCTCCGTGCAAGCGCATGTCACCGTGAAGGAATTGAAAAAAAATATCAAGAATCAGCTCCCGACGTTGAAGCACCAGACGCTTATTCGCCTGGTGCACAATCGCAAGGAATTGCACGACCATGAACCGTTGACTTTGCATGCTCTGCCCCACCTCGCTCGCATTGCACCGTTGCCCGATCCGACTCCGTTCCTATCTTTCTTGCCCAAAAGCCTTCTCGATCCAGCCTGGGACCGACACTGGGACGAAAGCCATCCTTTGGAACTCACCGGCACTGATTGCACACGAGGAGGGCGATCTTACGCCCGTCCGGTGGGCTGGATGAGATTTGGGCTGAAAGTGAAAGGAAAGTACGAGGACGATGATTGGCTCGGAACGCCTGGTCCGCGCAATCACTCGCACCCCAACGAGTGGTTCGTCACTTTCCACGGGTATGTGAACGAGCTTAGTCTGACGACGTCGGTGCATTTCAAACGTCCCTAATCGATCCCGCAACTTCTATCCCATCCCAGGACAGCGTTCCGGAATGCTGCCTCCATCGCCAAGAACGGGTATAACACTCCTCAAGTTTGGAGCACCACCGACATCAACGTGACCCTTGGCTACAGCCAGAAAGGGTTCTTTCAGGTGAATGGGAAACAGTATCGCGTGGTCATGCAGAACCGAGTCAGACCCGGCGCAACGGCACACTTTGGGTACCACTACGATTGCAATCAGACTCAGTTTCCCGTTTTGCCACGCGACATCCGACCATATGCCATCCTGATCTGCCCTATGGCCCCTAGCCAACAATATCCATACTGAGGATTGAAACGGAAAATGCCATCCTTAGTCAAATTCCTCGGAAAGCGCCCTGTATAACAAGAGTCTTGGGGAAGTTCAACAAATATTCAACTATGGAGTTTCGAGTCGGCAAAAGCGCTCGCGGGAGGAATATGCGTCAATACTAGGAAAGGAGTGTAATGTGATAGGCGCATCGAAAATATCATCAGGCAATGCGCAATTATCATAGTGGAGGCTGACCTTAAATATGAAGTGTGATTCATCGTTCAGCAGTGAAAGAATCTTAATTGTACATAGTGGGTTCTTTACTACTACCTATGTACATAGTTCATGTCATTTCCGAATAGGCAGTACACGTAACAACTGGGTTGAGATTTGCAGCGCAGCAGCGGCCATCAACTTAACTAAGGAATAAGGCTCAGTCAATTAATTTAATGTTTGTCGCAAATTTCTCAAGGGCTGGGCTTCGATTCCTCGAAACTCAAACAAACCATCCAGGAGTGACGGCGGATAAGCGAACCCAGTAAACAACCTTTCCCACGCCGCTTCGAATATGGAGCTGAGGGATCGTCCGCTGAGCACCAAGGAAATCACTATTTTCGGTAAACCTGGCGTTCGCTGGCAACGGCCGTCCCTTTCTAACCGCAAAGCAAGCCGCGTCTCGCAAGCCCTTATACTCGCAAAGATCGTTCTGAGCCTCCGCTCCCGAGGGATTTCGAGTGGACGATTCATCATTCTACAGGGCGCATTCTACAGAGCATTTCGGTTGTATAGCTGAGCGCGACGGACGAGGGCTGGCACGGAGCGTCAAACGCCGTTCTCGTTCACCAAACTTCTATTTCCGATAAACGCGAATGCACGATACAGCGGACAACATGGCGCTTGAATCCCGCTTCGACGATATTGAGCGGGAGTTGATTGAGGTCTGGTCAAGTCTTCCCGCGGTTACAAGCGGAAGCACCAAGTCGGAGGAACCAGCAGGGACGTTGAAGCGAACGGAGTTGTCGAAAGATGCTATTGAAGAAATGTCGAAGCGTTCGATTGAGAATATGCAGGAACTAGCAGAAAAGCAGAAGCTCCTTGAACAGCTGGAGTCGGCAATAAACAAATTCGATGATCTGGACGACGGGGATGTAGTTCAACCTGATGACGGTGGAAAGGCAGTAAGCTCCTCCGATGAACCATCCAAAGGAGAAGCCCTCCGGGACGGAAATGAATCCTCGCCTTCGCATCGCCGAACGAGGTCCACCGCTAGCGAGTCTGATCAATGGCATGCAGCGGCTCATTCTCGTGTGTATGTCGCTCCCGTGAAGCCAAGGGAACGAAAGAACTCGGCTCTCCCTCCGATGATTCTACAACGGATGGATGAAGAATACCAGTCTCTTGTCGGTTCGCCAATGCCTCCACCACGTAAGGATGTCTTGCCCCCCACGGCCGAAACTTTTGCCGAATCGACAAAAGTACCCAAAACCTTTCAATCCATTACGGTGAAGACGTTTCATCTCCCTGCAAAGCGGACAACTGACAACTCGCCGAAGCCTAGCGGTAGTCTCGTGAACAGCCCACGTTCTGATGTCTCCAGAGGGAAACCCGACGAACCAAAAACGGAAGTGCCGAAACCGCCGAAGGTGGCAAAACCAGAGGAGGCAGAAACCCCTGCGGAAGCTGCCGATGTGATAAGTGGCCTTCCCAAGCTGGCCATTCCGCCTCGTCGAAAGATTCCGACCACTCACGTGCAGGAGATCCCAGTCAGTGCATTTGGAGCACGGCGTACGCCCCCGAGCCGTACTGCGTCACTCCTTCTTTCAGCGAGTCCGATTGCCATGTCAGCTGAAGGGACCAAGTCGCCCCAGTTTAGCTCGCCCCAGTCTTCCTCGTCGTCCCAGTCCAATTCGCCCCACTCAAATCCGCCTCACTCTGCTAGTCAAATCCCCGCTCAATTGCAAGTGCAGAACCCCATACCCCCAGCACGCCGCTCTTCGATGGCTCCATCCATCAGGATTGAAAATTCCGATGTGCACGCTTCTCAAGTAGTCGCTGGACCGCGGTTCGGCACGGCATTCAACTTTCCCCCGCCACCAAACCGGCCACCACCAAGTAGACTCTCTGTCATGGGCGTCTTGAACCCCGAACCCCGCCCGACGGCGCGCCCGAGCACACTAGGTCGGCAATTCGGCGATCCAACAAACATCACTTCCTTTGTGACGCCATATCATAACCACCCATCGAAGTCTGAGGTCGCCATTGAGTCTGTTGGGGCTCCCATGCTGGTCACGAGCAGCTTCAGAGGGCGGATGATCCCATTGCAAGATGTGTGGGAAGATTTAGACCAACGAGGTTTCGAGCCGCTCCGCAACGGCCATGGGGAGAAGGAGTCAAAGAGCGGGTGGGGAACTCTCAACCGCATGATCAACAAAGCGAAAGCCATGCGACCAGGACCCGGAAACAACTCTCCCACAACGTCGGAAGACGCGAATGGCGTCCCTCTTTCGCCATCCCAGCGCACATCAACCGTTTACCCATCCCCTCCCTCCTCCCCACGTCGCCCGGGGAAGCGAGAAGCGCCTGGGAAGTTTGGGTCCCTTGGTCGCGCGATGGGAAACGTGATGCGTACATTCGATGTCAGCAGTAAATCGCCCACCATCGCGTCCCTCATCGGACAGTCTGCAGATTCTATGGGTCCCTACATGCACAATGGCCGCCTCGAAACCGCCTCCTTACCCAGATACCGCCCGCCGGTTTTCAGCCCTCCCGACGCAAACATCCGACGCTTGTCTCAAATCGAGACCCCCGTTGGCGTCGTCATGGACGCAGAACATGAGAGGAAGCTGAGCTCGGAGATGGTTGAGTTCAGGAAACACCTCTTGAACACTTACGCCAGCGGCCCTCAACAGTGAGAATGCACACGACGTATCCCCTTCTTTCTTCTAGGCGATTAGGAACTAGATGGAGTCTCCAAGAACTTGATACTCTCTTGCGTATTGCGACCGTGTGTCCGTCGACTACCCTCATTTTTTTTTGGCGTACTGCTTTTTGACTTGCAGTGTCCTCTGAGACTGGATCTGTGCCTGGTGTCGCTGCATTCTTAGATAGACTTCTTTCTTTCGCTTGTATATACTTAAGTTTTTTGATACACCTTGGATATCTTCGATGTTTTTACTCTTCCACCTTGCGGTAGTGCTCTTCGTCACGTTCGGTGTTCGAACCTTCGGACAGGAATCGCGTTCTGGTGAAGTTGCTAAGCTTTTTGTATGCAGCTTCCCTTCACCAGAAATGATTTACCAAACGGCCATCAACAAAATGACCAAGAATATGCTCATCGACGAGCTGAACACTAGCGACTTCTTCTCCGACGATACCCGAGCAGACGGGCTCTCCTCCCCTCCTCGGCCGAGCAGCGATAGTTTGGAGCAAGCCGAAGGAGAGCTACCGGCATTCTCTCCCACCAGCGCACGTATCAGAGAGCTGTTAGGAGAGGACCTTGACGGCTTTGAGGATGACGGGGAAAGGGAGGAGGATGTGATCGATGGCGCGGATGACCTTTTGGCTGAGAGGGAAGAGACACCGAGTCCTGAGGGATCATCCAGTCCGCCGGCCGAAACGGAGCACACAGAGTCGAAGGATGGACCAGGCGAGGCTGGTCAACCACAATCGCAACCAAAGGAAGGGGATCCCGCTCGGAGGGAGAAGCAGGAGTGGGTGAAGAAGATGCGACTTCAGTTCTGCGTGCGGAAAGACTTCGAGGTTACGAAGACCATTATCCATCGCGATGGAACGCTGAACCAAGAGTGAGTGCATGTCCGGATCACATCGTTGTTGAAGCAGCCTGCTGACGGTCTTTACTCTGATGCAGATACTTCCGCCCGCCGAGAGGAACCAAGTTGATGGGGGAGGAAGTCAAAAAATGGACTGAGAGCGATAGGGCATTACTCGTTAAGGGAATCGAAAAGTATGGCATAGGACATTTCCGAGAGATTTCGGAAGCATTACTACCAGCATGGGTAAGTTCCTATTTTTCCGTTCCATTGGAAACCCCGGCTAAAGTCTAATCTCACCTATGGCATTCACAAACAGCAACCAAACGACCTCCGCGTCAAATCCATGCGCCTCATGGGCCGTCAAAACCTGCAGGAGTATCGCGGCTGGAGAGGGACGGAGGAAGACATCAAGGCCGAGTTTGCACGGAATAACGAGATTGGAGTTCGGCTGGGTTGTTGGAAATCGGGAGTGCTTGTCTTTGATGATGACGGACTGGTGGACGCGGAGGTTAAGGCGAACCCGGTCAAGGTTCCCATCGTGGAGGCGGAGGATGAGGTGAGTTTGTGTGATGCATGAAGCTCATGCTCCCTGTGCCAGAACTCATCATGATTGTATGGTATGCAGAGTCTCGAAAAGGTAGCGAAAAGGCCACGGCGGGCTTGAAGACGATGCATCACATCACATCACTCCACTGCCCGCCTGCCGCCTGCCATCTCCCTTCGCAGCCATTGACATCTGGGCGACATGCGGTACCACCGCGAACGAGTGTATAGAACCTGCGAGAGACGCGCGTACTATCGCGCGTACACATTCCCGTGCCTCCCATCCCACTCCTTTGTACGGTTTCCGCACATGAGAGCAAACACACACGATTGGGCTGCGGGCATGCGAAGGGCGGGTAAAATTAGAGTCACAATTTTTTGTGCCTTTCAAATTGTTTCGTGCACCGTTGGCACACAAAAGTTTGTGGGCGTCAGCGTTCAAACTTCAGATAGACAGAGAGAGAGAGTCAGCCTTATTTCTCGACAGCCTAATTAGGACGACCTTCGAGCTAGGTCATTAGCCGATCTTTTCCACCCTCGGAGAACCAAGTTTTAAACTCCTAGACAGCCATCAAGATGGAGATCACCAAGTCTGTCGCAGAGTTCTTGACATCGCGCCCGCCGCTCACCGACCCGGCCTTCACAAAATGGGGAGTCACATTGCTCGGCATGCTGACGCTGGCCCAGTTCACCAGGAAGACCATAGAGTTCCTGACGCCTTACCTTCTCCCGTCCCGTCTCAACAAGTTCAAGCACACTCTGCAAAACCAGTCGAACAAGGAGAAGCCTTGGGCGGTCGTCACTGGCAGCACGGACGGCATCGGTAAGGGCTTCGCACTCGAGCTTGCGGCCCAGGGGTTCAACTTGATCCTCATCGGCCGCAACCCTGACAAGCTTGCAAACCTCGAAAAGGAACTGAGAGCGGTGGCTGCCGATTGCCAGACCGCCACCTACGTTTCCGATGCGTCCAAAATCCAGGAGAAAACGACCCAGGATTTTAGTCATCTGGTCAGGCTCATCGGGTCGAAGCCGGTGACGGTTCTTGTCAACAATGTCGGTCGCTCGACGGCCAAGCTTGCGAACTTGACAGAGCTCGAGGATCAAGATATCGTCGATGTTATCAACATCAACGATGTTTATCCTACGCTCCTCACCAAGCAGCTTTTGCCTACGCTTGTCAGCAACTCACCTTCTCTCATCTTGAACGTCGGCAGCATGGCTGGTGATCACGGGTTCCCCTTCATGACCGTGTATTCCGGCACGAAGGCTTACAACAAGGCCTGGTCCCGAGGGCTTTCGGTGGAAATGAAAATGTTGGAGCATAAGATTCAGGTTCAGCACCTGCTCGTTGGATCTGTCAATTCCGGCTCCAACAAAGTGAGTGTCAGCATCACGTCGCCAACGTCCAGAGTTTTCGCCAGATCAGCATTGAAAGTGACGACCACGCGAAAGATTGTTGCACCATACTTCTGGCATGCTCTTCAGATGCGCATCTTCGAAGCTCTACCGGAATGGGTGATTGATACCATGCTCATCGGAATGATTGGGCAGATCAAGGCAAACATAGGCTCGAAGGAGGAATAGGTGCCTGGCCAGGGAGCGCTGCGGGGTGGTCATTTCATGTATATTGCGGTCCACCAGGATCAGATCCTCTGTACATAGTCTGCTAGCTAGGTTGGTGCACGTCCTACGTAGGCCGTTCGCTTCCCTTGACTACAACATTCTTTCCTCATGTTTTTGTATGTAGTCCCCACAATTATCATACTCGTATGACACAAAGGTCTTTTTGAACGGCAGCTTTGGATGCCTGAGACGGCGTTATTGCCCGTTGCATCCTTGGGGTAAGGTCGTGGAACAATGGAACATGACTCGCTGAGAGTGACACTTCCGGAAAAGTCGAGAACATATGAACGCGTAGACTTTGGAAGTCTGAGACTCTGAGGAGTTGGTAGTACGGCAAGACAATGGCGACCCGACATCCTCCGCCGGTTCAAGCTGCACCTGTGCATTGGCTTAATAGTGTTCTACTCTACTATGGGTGTCCGCAGTGACGTTGTCTATGTGCGTGAAATAACCTTATTGCTTTTTCGATCGCGGCCGCGCCCAGCGTGGGCCATCTTCAAAGGCAGAGGGCGTCGGGCTCTCCGACTGGGAGCCATAGCCACGCCAATGGGTCCTTTTGTTTGCTTAAGAGAGATATACTATTCCGTACACTGCGCGGTGAATGGTCGTGAATGGTCGTGAATGAAGAATCTTGGATGATCTCGCAAATCACACCAGTTGCTTCCAGCGGCCTCAATGATCTCCCACCTCGAACCTCTCTCACCTGTGTCTCTGCCACACGGCAAGCCCAACCGCCACATGTCTACATCCCAGAAACCGCGACGGAAGCCCGTCAATTATGAGAAGCTCAGTGTCTCTACGGCCCCGTCGCCAGTTCCTTTGACGGAAGCCAACTCTTCGGCTGCTCTAGGATCCGGGTATCTGGCATCTGCTGAAGATGTGAGCGCAAAGAGGGCCGTCAGCCCGTTGATGCAAACAGCTGGCCCACGCGCTCCGACAAGGTGAGAACGGAAGCGATGTACGGTCTAGATCTTTGACGTTTAAATGCTAATGTCCATCAGTATGAATCCCGGCAGATCTGATCTTCTTTGGGTGCCGTCGGCTGTTCCCTCGTCCAACGCTCCTGTCCCGCGACCGAGCCGGAAAGACTCGCTGTCATCCACGCACTCCGCTCTGAGCCCAGCGCCGAAAGTCCTGCCGGCTCCTGTGACACGCAAGAGCGTTCCCGCCAAGTCTACTCAGCAGAATGTAACGCCCCTGGGTCCTAGGCCGCAGCCTCCGTAAGTAATGTGAGATGCTTGTTCATAAGACCTTGCGTTTCCTGCTGACATTATCTGCAGGAACCGGACTGATGTGCCGAAGACCGCGATGCCACCCGTGCCTATCAGCATGAAGCCTTCGGCATCAACTTTGGACGTGAATCCGCCAAGGGGACGATCTACCACCGTGCAGGATGTAACCAACGTGAAAGAGACCAACGATGAAGGACTCGGCACTCATAAGCGTCGAGCTCAGTTCGACAGCCGAAGGAAGAACGGTTCGCCTCATTCCAGAGCTTTTTCTGCAAAGAGTGGCAGCTCGTCTGCGTGCATTTAGTTCTTAATCTATTTCTCTTCGCTTGCAGAAACCGCGTTGGCAGCAGAGTTCAAGGAATTGACCGAGACCGTCGCTGCACGTCATAGCGAAACACAAGATATGCATGCCGCCGTCGAGCTCCTCATGCGCCGAATCCGAGCTTTGGAGAAGCAGATTGAGACTTTAGGGGCTGAGCCAGGTACTAGAGGGTGCAAAACTCACACTGCACTATGAGTTAGAGACTAATCTGGATCCATAATTTCCTTCCAGTCACCAGAACAGACGAGTCTCTGAGTCAAGACAAACTCGACGAGATTACTAGTGGTGTCTGGAAGGTACATGAAGCATGTTTTTCAAAGCAAATGCTGATTCGCGCAGCTCAACTCCCATGCAACTTAACGCAGAAATTCGAAACCATGAGCGGCAAAGCAAGTTCCACTACCTCGCAAACAACGGCGCTCATGGAAGAGATTCAGGTGGGTTGCTCGGCTTTCGTTGTCGCACGGACATAATACCACGTTGGTGCTAAACAAGCTCTATTGCATTGCAGGCGAAAACCAACCAGATTCGGCGGCATCTGAAACTACCCATCCCCGACGACCCCACCCTTGGTGCGGAAGACAAACTCCAGCCGACAATTGGAGCAGGAGGGAAGGTATCGGAGACCGCGCCTGCAGCGGAGCCAAATTATGTCCAGTGTTGCTTGTCTGTAGACGGGTCGAAGACCGTAATATCAGCTCCAGCAACGGTCAAGAACGATCCGAAGGAATCAACGAAGGTTGGGCACCCCCATGACCGAATGCCGGAGGAATCTGGTGCCTCCGTCAAGCAAGCCGGTCTTCCACCTTTGGCACCTTCAAGGGCCGCATCCGCCATGCCTCAGGTCGAAGCTGCACCGAAGGAGGATTTAGCAGCGCCCAAAGTCGGGACAACATCAGCGCCGCCGCCTTCGCCTTCTAGACGAGAATCGAGCAAGTCGGTCGAAGCAAAGGACCCGGTGGAACCCGCAACGCCAACAACGAAAACCATCCCGGAGCCCAAACATGCTGACATTTCCAAACCGAAAGAATCTAGCGAGACTGCGAACATCGCGAAGCCCGTCAGTATCAGCGTCGTCACTCCCACGAGCAACACTTCTGCGAGAGCAGATGAGCCGAGCGAAGGCGTTAGCAAGACGCTAGCGGCTGATGGATTTGCCGATGATTTGCTTGCCATTATGAATGATTTTGGTTTTTGATGTATGTACATCTGTTCCACCTTTGTTCGGCGGGACGGACCACCACACTTAAGTTATATAGAACCATCCCGATCTCGCTCTTGGAAACTACATTTTGTTGCGCCAAAGGAACATAGAGTAACACAATACATAAGCTCTCTTGCACATGTGGGCACTTCTATGTCTTAGCCAGCATAACCAGGGGACGGCGCTTTAAATCTTTGTACGTAACGAGGAGGGCATCTCATGGTTGCTGAGTTTCAATTCATCTTGAACGTTCGGACGGAAGCGACCAGTAGCCAGTTGTGCCGTCGATGAGCCAGTGCCGTGCAAACGTATTTAACGCGTTCGGCCCTTCGGAAGTTCGGACGGAGTCCTTTGGACGCTGGAGTAAGGGGACCTACGAAAGCACAAACAGCCGTTGTTGAAGAGCCGGCCACAGAAGAGCGAGCATAACCCGTTCTCACTCAGAAGCTCGGTATACATGTAGAGTTTCCATTTCGGAATTGTGGCGAGATCTCACACGTCCAATGGTCTCAAAACACGCGTCAAGTGATGGGGGAGTCGATCAGGAAGACATCTCGACGACCTCGATGTAAGTAGCAGCACGTCGGTCGAATGAATAGCGCTCACTGGAGCGACTTTCAGAGTAGCTGGCGTCTCATAGATGACGGTGGCAACGTACTAGATCATCACGATCATACTGAGTTTTGGACCGCCATCGCCGAAGCTCATTGCCATCTTGCTGCTCATAGTTTCATTGCGCATCGCGCATAGGCTGAACGCCAGCATAAGAGATGGGCGTTGATATGAGCCTGCATTGCTATCAGAGGAATAGGTGGTGAGACCATTCTAAAGGTGCTTCCGCCCATTCCATTGCATTTATCATTGTTACTTTTCATCCTTTTTTTGGTGTCTGCACACGTAGCTGCCGGGTTTCACGGCGACTTTCCCTGTCTACACATAGTAGCTGCCGGGTATAACGGCGACTTTCCCTGTCTACGTGTGCAGCTGCCGAGTAGAACGGCGACTTTCCTGAGTTGGTGAGAAAAAGTGAACGAGTCGGCGAGGTGAATGCTCCCTTTTATAGGGGCCCCTACGTCGGCTCAACGATGTGGCGCGGGCGGGGTCACGTGACGGATTGCGGGTGGCACAGTTTCCCAATTTGCGCCAATAGCTGTCGTCGCTCAAGCTATGTGATTCGAGGAATCCATCGTTATTTCCGTCATGTCGGTTTGTTTTCTGGTCGCCATCCTTCGGTTATGCGGTTGCCCCTTTCTGTGAAAGGGGGACGCGTTTTTGTTCGGGTCCCGGACTCGCCAAATTTCACCGAGAGCAACGGGACAACGGGCAGTCAAAACGCAAGTGTTAGTGTTAACCTACAGTGGGCATCGGATCGAAGTCGCGGGCGCATCATCATATCGATCGTGGGCATATGGCAGCGCATACGGAGGCACCTCACCCCGGAAATGGCATCCAGGAGCAGTCGAATCTCAACATCGGCAACGAGCGGACAACTTGCAAGATTTCGGCATGTGACTTTCATAATTCGAATTGAGAGCTTCTTGGAGTGCTTGCCTGTGTATCACGCCACAAAAACCGTGCACCCTCTGTGTTGTCGGAATGGTTGCACGAGTGCAATGCTTTGGCTGTGCATTCATGCGTCGCAAACAGTGCTGGGAGTTCGCCTAGGGAACCGTCCGAAGTGGCACGCGCTCGACCTGGGCGTCCCTCTTGTTCAGCATGTCCCACGAGCGTTGTAACATCGCGCAACAGAGCTGCCCTTTCTCCAACCAGGAGGTAGGCTCTGAGAGTCCACTGGAGGCGGGGCCCTGTGCATAAAGCAACCTGTACGGTGCCTCTAGATCGTAGCAGTATGGGGCGAGGGGCAGGAACTGGCGCGGCGACGCGCTGTCGGATTTGAACATGAAAACTGTCAATCGCAATGTTTCACGGGGATCTGAATCGTTCAGTCCGTTTTGAGGATGTCAAAGTGCCGCACATTTATCCGGTAATAGAATGATCGCCTTTTAGAACCAGCCAGCAAAGGGATGGTGGTCGACGATCCGCAAGTACTGGAAGCAAGGTGTATGTATATGGGAATTATCCGTTGCGACACTACGGTATGAGAATGAAAGTCTACTCTATCTTAAGCGAATACCTTTCAATGCAAAGGAGTAATCTAATGTAAGCTAATCGTGGAGACCAAAGACGTGCGACTCGCTGTCAGAGCGGCGAGTAAGCGCGGGCATGGGAGGAGGAGGGTAAGCAAACTTGACCTTGGACCGGTCGATACGAAGGCGCTGCTCAATGATATCGGAGATCTCAGTGTTCTCGTAGGAGCCACGAATGGAGTTGCTGGTGGCTCCGTAGGTGCCGAGAATCACGTCAACACCGGTGTGTCCGTGCGTGGTCCATCCCAGCTCAGCTCTGCTGTTCAGCATCTCGCCCAAGGCCCATTCGGTGAACTGCGCTCCGCCGGCTTCGCGACGCAGAGCAGCGATGAGGTGCGTGACTTCTTCGTCCCTGACATCGATACCGTACGACTTGATGACGAGGTTCTTGACGAATGTAAAGAGGTCGGCACCAGGGACGGCGGCCTGGGCGCGGATGAGGGAGGCGAGCTTCTCGGTGGAAGCCGAGGCTTTGAGGAGGTGCTGGGGAAACCATTCGTAAGGGAATGCGGCGGTAGTGTTGGATCCGTCTTTCTGGGTGCTGGTCATTTGACGAGCGGCGGTAAGACCTCCGGTCTCGTGGTCGGAAACGTGGATGACAAGGGTGTGGCCGTCCTCATCGGCGAACTTCTTGACGAGTTCTACAGTGTCCCAGTACGCTTTGATATCGTGAATGTGGGCAGCGGGGTCGTTGATATGACCAGCATGATCAATTCTACCGCCCTCAACTGTGGAAAGAGAGAAGAACGACGGGGTGTTTAGACGTATGGAAAGAGCAAACAAAGTCGGCTAAGGATAATGGTCAATCGGACGTTGCCGCCGCAAGGTAGTGGATCTACTTACTCATCAAGAAGAAGCCCTTGCCCTCATCCTTCAAGGCTTGCAGCGCCTTGTGAGACATCTCGGCGAGAGAAGGCTCCAGGGTAGCGTTACGGTCAATCTGGTAAGACATGTGGCTGGGGGTGAAAGTGGCGAGGAGAGGGAGAGCGGACTTGTCGTTGGGGATACTGTCGAACTGACTGCGAGTCAAAGCAACATTCTTCCAGCCGAACTTGGTTGTGGCTTCCTTGTACAGATCGCGATCATCCGTGCGTTTGGAGCCCTTTGTAGTGTTGGGAAAGAAGAAAGAGGAACCACCGCCGATGAGAACATCGAGTGTGCGGCCGCCGATGGGGTTGTCACCGATGAGTTGTTGAGCGATGAGAGCTTCCCAATCCCGCTCCGGAACGTGCGCGGCGAAACCTGCATTGCCGTTCATCAGTTTAGGTGGATTCCACACAAGGGGACTCGTTTTCCTTCAGTTCTCGCTTACCGGCAGGCGTGGCATGTGTAACACGGGTAGTCGTCACCAGGCCGGTGCTGAGACCCTTCAATTTGGCGGCCTCGACAACGGTACCACAGTTCTTGTTATCATGTGTGACTCCGATTGCAGCGTTGAACGTCTTCACACCTTCGGACGAAAGCGAGTCAGAAGAGAACGTCGATGAGCTGCCACGTCATGATGCAATCCCAATACAAGGATGCTTACCGCACGCGTAGGCGGTGGCGGCGGAAGCCGAATCAGTCACCCAGTTGTCGTAGGCTTTCGTCCGCACATTTCCGACGATGATGTCGTCGAGGGGGCTCTTGTACGTGTACTTAAGATTGTCGCGGACTTGGAAGAAAGTTCTGGCCGTGGTTTCAGATGCTGGCCCAAAGCCGTCGGAGATCATAAGCACAACATTCTTGACCCCTCGTTGCCCGTGCCCGTGATGGCATTTGGATTTTGACGCGACCTCCGCATGGGCGAGGCCAGCCGCGGCCAGAATGACAAAAGCTAACGTGGTCTTCATGATGATTTCGCGAGACAGTGGGATCTACATGTACAGATCAACGGTGAGTAAGAGACCAGGGAGATTTGCTTTTCGATTGGTGAGTACCTGTTACCCTGGTTAGCTTGCTGGTACGTTACGTTGAGCGAGGCGGGTAGAGAACTCATCCTCGCTTTTATAATGAAGCTGCTGTACCGAACCATCGCCCCCAGCTTCCTTGTCGCCACGTTTTCTGAGTGCGGGAGGGGACGCCATATACACGTGCGCCTTCAGCTCCGGGATTCGCCCAAAAATTGAAGAATGTGGCCGAGACCGACGCATTGATTGGCTGGAATTGCAAAATTACTGAATTCATGAACGCGTTGTGTCCGAAAGTCGGACAAATTTCGGACACTACGGGAACAACTGGAAGGGTTAGCGAAGAATGCAACGTCAGTGGGTTGCCCCTAGAGGATCAATCGTTCCTACAACGGTGGGGCGATACTGTCCTATGATTCTATAGAGATAAGGAGGGGCAAGCGACGGGAGGGTTGTTCGTTTCGCTCGCGATGAGGTTGGGCGACCGTAAAGATGTTGAGAACGACCGCTCGCTGTTGAGACGCGTACCCTTACCGTTGGTTGCCACGACTATAGAGTGCACGCAGGCGCCCTTGCGGAGTACGGCACTCTCTTTTTCCGCAGAATGTCGAGATTTCGTGGCCCATCTTTCACTAGAAAAGTCAGGCTAGGCCGTGGTAGTTGACTGACGGCTAAAAGTGGACGTTGAATGGAGCTCGGTTCTCACTTAAGAACCTTGGCTCCAGGTCATCCAGGTAGAGGTCCAATGGACGAAGATATAGTGAGCCCATACTGACGGGAGCTCTAGCTTGTACTCGTCTGGTATCTCAGGCAGCGCATTCTGTGGCTTGTCGCCTTTGTACAGTAATCCACCCTCCGGGTAGATTGAAGAATAGCTTGCACCATAGGAACGCGTCACTTAGTGTGCAAAGGTTCTAATTGATTTCGATTTGAGATCCTGACCGAACATACCGCACTACATACTGTACGTAGTGTTTAATGTACGGTATGTACAGTACTGTATATACATGCAAACTCCAGCAAACTCCAGCAAAAATAGGTGTTTCTACTTGTCTACCAAAAAATTTTAATTAGAACCTTTGCACGCTCAACTCTGCAAGTGCCCCCACCCTCCTCCTCTTGGGACCGGCGATGGGACAGGCGTGTTGTTGTCGTTTCCTACTGCTGCTCGTCACCTCAGCCTCCCACTCCTCTTCCACGACCTCCAACTCCGCTACCCCGACCTCCTCTACCCCAACCTCCCCAACCTGCCCCTCCCCAACCTGCCCCTCCCCGACCTGCTCATCCCCCTCCTGCCCGACCTGCCCGACCTGCTCATAACTAACCTGCCCCTCCCCAACCTGCCCGACTTGCTCATCCCCAACCTGCCCGACCTGCCTGTCTGCTCCCGTCGGTTTAGATGGACCGAGGGGCCGAGGGGGGTGCACGTCGGAGTGGGAAGATAGACAGTGCGAATCGATACGGGGGTGCTTGCGGGGATGCGAACAGGCGGGGTAGGTGGGGTAGGTTCCGGGTGATTCTTCACAAGACATTCGCGGATCTTGGCAATGTCTTTCAGCTTGATCGACCCCATCTGCATCCAAACTCGCTCGACGTCATCGATCCTTGCAGAACCTTTGAACAGAACCGAGCGCACGACCTCGAATGGCACCGCGGCGGACATAGTGCCTTGGGTGAAAAACAAGGATCCCAATCCGACGTTGTCCCATTCTTCCTTCAGCAATTTTGAGATTTCGTCGTGCGCACTCACGAAGAGCCGGCTGGATGCGTTGAATGTCCGTTCGAATCTATCCTCGTCCGTACAGAGTTTGTTTCGGGCCATCTGCCATAGGACCGTTTTGTCGTATAGCGCGACGAACTTCCAGAAAGTTTCTTCTATGCCAGATTCCCGTTTGAATACCAGCAAAAGACTACGAAGCATTCAAGCGTTTTAGGGATGTCCGCATCACCGATAAATGACACGAATAGCTGCCGTATCAACTAAATTCAACAGGGCGTCAGTACTAACAGTTTTGTTCCCACACTCAGGTCAATGTGGCGGTGGGACGTGACCAACGGTCCGACGGTCGTGGACGAGGTGGCGCCCACGACGGCGCAGGATAGCGTGCCCCCCCTGCGGCCCCTCCTTCCTCCAACGTCCATCCGCTCCACCCGCTCCGCCCATTCTCAGGCCTCGACTTCATCCCGCGCTCCGGTAGTATTTTCCCACGTCGGCCTTTTCCCATACTCCGACGTTTTCACCTTTTCGGGCACTTAGCTTACATCGAGAAATATATCTGCAACTAACAGACGCATCCCTCTGACGTCTTTGCCCGCCTTTTCCCCATCTAGTTAGTTGAGGACTGTTAGCAAGCATAGTTGTAGCGTAGTCGACTCCGTGGGAAAAAGAGTCGCTCGGTCATTTTTTTGGGCTTACGTCTAAAAGGTCTATAACGTAGTGAATTTGTATATGTATTGGGTAGTATGAAGCAGGTTGTGTGTTCCGAGTGAATCGATGCCGAAGGCTGAAGGTTCAAGGTCGGTAAGGTTTCACGGGCGAAAAAGCAAGGTCTTGCAAGACCTTGACGCTTCCTGTCAGAATCGGAGGCCTCGTCGGCCACTTTCTGCACAATCCGTATTCGAGCCGCGTTCCTTCCGGTGCCTTAGCCTTTTGGCTTTCTTGGGCTATTCTGGAGCAATGGGATGTCCATATCCAACCCCCAGACCCCCCACACCCACGCCCGATGGCGACGTGTTTGTGAACTTACATGATGCCCCTACTGTTTATCACTACTGTATGTCCGAATTTCGGACAAAGCCGGATGCATCTCACACTCGATCTTTGACCCGGCGGCAGCAGGAGCCGCTTATTATGAGCCAGGATGTCGATGCCCTCGTACGACGGGTTCTGGACAGCCCAGCATTCTGCACACACAGAAAACATTTTCGCGTGGGTAGGCGGCGTCTAGATGACATCTGAGTTTACGGCGTAGTCCGGGCTTACCATGATGGGTCGAGGTCCGGGATCACCGATCACCTCGCAAAAGTCCAAGATGCATCTTGTGTGAACCTTTATTTCTAATGTCGAGACTCGTGAGGCATCAAGTCCGTAGCTCGGATCTAATAGCCCTCCTTGGTTTGATGCAACGTTGCGGGCCCGTCATGTCTTCTCTTGCGGGAGGCGGACTATCGTACTCACAACAACGCGGACACCAGAGGTCTGGATGTTGCGATGGAAGGGTGGGTGTTCCAAGCATGAAGGTGCAGCGCTGGGCCATCCAGACCGTATAATATCGTCATGCGTGCATCTGCGCTTACATTTGTGAGGCTTCCAATCTCAAGGGTTCGGATGTGTTGCAGTGGCAGTGATGATTTTGTGGTCCAAGGTAGATGAAACGGCGCGTGACATCAAGCCCTGCATCAAGCCCGTCTCGCCTCGTCGCCCGTCATTGGCAACTTTTATTGCTTGCTGAGGACAAGGGACGAACCCAAAACTCTTAAACTCTGGGGTGCAAAACAGCAATCTCTGCAAAACGCTTTCTGCCAACGCAAACCTAACAGAATAGCCGTATACAGTTACCCAGCTTTCAAAACCCTCGTGGACGATCATCACCATGCAAACCGTGGAACAAGGGATCGTCGAGAACGGCACACTCGATGCACTGCTGAACACTGTTACGTGCGGAGAGCTATGCAAGTCCGCTGATCCTATGCTGAACAAGGCTGGGGCGAAGCCTAAGGTAGTCGCCCGCTGTTATGGTTGCCTTCCGTCCGATGGGATTCACACAACTCTCCGGCGCGCTAACTATCCTCGCGTCGCTCCCCTGTCTGTTGTAGCATCCTCTCTGTTTGGATGCTGAGCTTTCCGTTACCGAGGGTAGGTCAGCCATCGAGCTTTTCTACGGAGAGCCTCCCTTTCTTTACGCCTGCATTATTCCACAGGCTGCGAAGCTCTCGCAGCAAACAAAATCTCCAGCGCCCCAGTCTACGATGCCGAAAAAGGCGGATTCATCGGAATGTTGGATTACAGGGACCTTGTAGCGTTCGTGCTCAGCGTATTGCATAAAGTGCCTCGAGATGCACCGGCGATTGACGCGGAGATGGAGGTTACCGACATTGTGAAGAGAGCGTTGATGAACAAGACGGGTGTGCCTATCAAACTTGTGAGCAATTTGTCGAGGGAGAACCCGTTGGTCGCTTTACCGGCGTCTGCGACCGTAAGGTATAAACTAGAAGACCTCTAGTTGAACGGGATGATGACAGCGATCGTCTGACTCTCCCAAAATCTGAAACAGAACTGCGGTCGAAGAGTTCAGCAAGAATCATGTACACCGATTGATCGTATTGGAGCCTGATCAAGGAGCCTCGCATTTTGCTGGAATCCTGTCGCAAAGTACCGTTGCGGGGTTGGTAGCTTCGAGCGTGGGAAAGCTGGCGGGTTCTCTGAACCCGAAGGCGAAGTCCATATGGCCTACGGGGAACAAAACGCTAGAGGACGTGGGCCTGGTAGGGAAGGAGGTCATCTCGGTAGTCTCTGAAGACACGGTGAGTGAATGGCGATTGAGAGAGAGCACAGATGCGGTCATGCTTTGACGCTAACAGTGGCTTCGCAACGCAAAGGTTCTGGAGGCTTTGTACATGATGCACGAACACAAGATCTCATCAGTCGCCATAGTGACAAGAGAAGACGGAGAGAACGATGTATGCCATGTCTTGTTTTCATGTCTCCCACGTGTCCGCAAATTCATCCGTTATATGTATATTACAGCTCATCGGCTCGATCAGTATGACAGACATCAAAGCCATTCTAGCAGACCGGAAAGGATGGAGGCGGTTATACGAAACATGCTACGACTTCTTCGCGAGCATGCGATACGAACAGGGTCTAGAAGCCGGAGGAGACGATCGGGTTCCACTGTATGTGGTACACCCAAACACAACGCTCATCGCGACGATTGAGAAGCTGGCGGCAACGCGTGCCCACCGTGTGTGGATCGTTAGCGGAAGCAGTAACCTCGTCGGGGTTGCGTCGCTTTCAGATATCATGCCGTTGCTGTTGACATGAAGGGTCTAGTGAGGCGTGTCGGGGTTTACTTTTGGTTGCGCTGCAATGGTTCATCTGACCAGCGCATGCTTCATCGTCTTGGGAATTGATTGGGGTCGTTCCATATCGAATGGCAGCCTTTTTTTAATGTACAGTTGGCATTCTTCATGCGATGTCGTAGACACAACAGAGCGATTTACATTGGAAGAAAACTGGTCAAAAGTTGGGAATCTTCACAGAGTGGTCCTCCCTATGGACGATTCGTTGGAGTGCGTAAGTGAGGGGATGTTGCACTTGAGCACGGCCCAACCCCATCAACAACTTACTGCACAATGACACGGTCGTCGTAACGGGATGAGACAACCTCCGACGGTGCTTTGAAATGCAATGTTCTGGCAACAGAAGGCGTGAAGGGCGTATAAAATCTGCTCGGTCCTGCCGATCCACCTCCGGAGAATGGCGTTGACGGTGGTGAAGGTGTCCGACCTTGTCCCTCCTAAGGATGGCACTATATAAGGAAATCTGACCGTATCGGACTTCCCACGGACGTATGCCCAACGAGTCTCACCTCGGTTCTCCGCCTCATCAACTGATACTTCGTCTTCAACTGCCGCGGCGTCATTCCCACCCCAGCTCCAGCCACAGCTATCGCCGGCATCCTATTGCCCACCGTCCCCTGGTACACCCCGGCCGCCGTCGACACAGCGCCTCCCACTGTCAGCTGATCAACAAGGTCCGGTGTCGTCGCATAAGGGAATGGTCGATGGAACGGCTGCGACTGCTGTTGGTGCTTTCCGGTAGTCTCTGACGCGCCGTCCCGTAGGAACTCTGGTTCGACGGCGGGTGATGATCTGGTGTTCTTGAGCATGTCGTAGACCGACTGGGGGTCGATGGAGGGCATTATCGCAGTGTTGGGCCGTTTGGTCGTTATGGAAAAGGAGAAAAAGGTATACCGGGGCGCAGTGTCTCCCTTCGTGAAGTGCCCTACGTACGTAACGAAATTGCGAGCAGTGAAAGCCCAATCCAATCGAAATGCATAAAAGGCAGAGGCGCGTCGTTCCGCTAGATGCAGAGGTCGCAAATCCTTCTTCGGTATGTGAAGACCCTCGGCTAAAGAAGAAAGGAAGGCACGGGGCCCGATGATGAACATGGGATATGCCTTGTCCGAGTCTACATCTTCTAGAGATATGCACAGCAGCAGCACCTTCGGGCCTAACTCTGATTAGACCGGTGTCCGTTGGGAATGCGGTTTAATGCATCCGCCTCGTGTGTGCGTTCCTCTAGTCTATCGCATCTGTCCATCTCATACGTTCCGTGCGGTCCGCGTTCACGGACTAAACGGCGCGGTTGGGTATCGTCCAGTCACTCCAGTGTGGGGCGTGCGAGGAAGTACGGGGTGGGATTTTTCATCAGAGATGGTCAGGCTTACCCATCCCTCCAACCACTTACTCAATACAGTGTGACCTTTGCCATAAGCGCAACTAGGAAAATACATACATTCGAAAGCATCAATATTCCTTCGAACCCAAAAACCGTCCCCTGGAATCACACGTACCATGGTCGCTCCCAAAATGATCATTAGGTAACCCCGGCTCCAGTAACGCCGGCGGCGGAATCTTTTAAAAAAAAACAAAGCAACAGTCGGAATGTGGATGTCAGAGCACTGCCTCACCAACGTTTACCACCAGCCAAAACCGGCAAAACACATACCTCCAAGACACTCTCTACCTCCACCCTTGTCTCCCCTATACCCTCACCCCCGGCACCCTCCTCGGCACCTCCCCCACCCTCACCAACAAGAAAGATATAGTCCAAGGTGCCTTTCCAGGCTGCGTAGTTCGTGTAGGGTGGTTCGTCCCATTCCACCTGTGCACTCGCATGATCCGCAGTGTTTGCGGCATCTGGGGAGAGGACAGGAGAGTAGCCGGGGTGGGTGGGGTGGATGGCGCGGTAGGTTGAGTAGGCGCTGTGGAGGGTGGGGAGATGGCTTAGGTTGGTGAGGATTTGGGATGGCGTGGGATCTGATGGTGGCGATGTGGGTGAGGGCGGTGATACGGGTGCTGGATTTGCTGGTGGTGGTGATGATGTAGTCAGCGGTTCGAGGTCAGCGATCTGTTGCACCGTCAGCGGCTGTTTGGTGAGTGCGCGGTAGAGGCCATCGTTGGGGAGTGTGTTGAAATCTATCACAGTGGAAAAACGGCAATCAGTAAAACTTCCAGAACCACCCAAGTCACAAAACCCTAACCCCAAAACATACCGCCACAAACAAACCCCGGCCACTTCCCACCCGCCCCAACAAGCTCCCTCCTAAACCTCTCCACAGCATCCATCAAAACCCATCCTTGCCTCGACCGCTCATATCTAAAAAACGGCTTCCAGAACAGATGCGTGTTGCTCAGCAGGATGCCTCCTACACCACCAGCGGGCCGATGCAATTTTAAGGCGAGGAGTTGTGCGATGTTGTTGGTGAGGGGTGTGAGGGTGGTGGGGTGTGTGAGGGGAGACGTATCGTAGAAGAGGGACTGGGAGGCGTGTTTGTAGAAGCTAAGGGGAGAGTGGTGTTAAATCCGTGTGGGATGGATGATGAGTGTCCATGGATGAAGGTGAGTCGTCGATGAACGATGATGAACACAATACCCTGCGCTCGCCTCTCACGACGAGGATGTTGGGCTGCGATGGGCGGAGCGAGCTCGCTTCGCTCGAAGTCCCATCGCAAACGAAGGCCGCTCTGGCATACTCACATGCTCTTCTTCCAAATGATACACAATCCATGACCGTTCTCCTTCTCCTTGACCTTCCTCAAGTACTCCCAATCATAACCCTCCCTCTCCAACACGGGTTTAACCATCTCATCAAAATTATCGACCTCCTGCAGACAGGCGACATCCGGCTTCAAATCCTGAGTAATCTCATATAAAACTCTCGGAACCCTCGCTTTGTATTTGAGATGCTCCTTCTTGCAATAAGGAAACAATTCTCTCCTGCACAGACACTGGGCGAGGATGTTGTATGTCATTATGGTAAGTGTCCTGAGGGGTGGAGCCGTGCGGGATGGTGGTGAGATGATATGGCCTTTGACGGGTAGCATCATCCTGGCGGGGATTGTCTTTGCTGGCGCTGCAATCCCCGCAGCTCCCACTTTCGAAGCACCATTTTCAACCAAATCCTGACCTCGCGTCGCAGCGAGAGTGTCCTTTTTCTGTTGGCGAGCAGCACGGACCTGCGCGCGCCGTTCGAGTTCGTCTGGGGATGGTTCTTGAGCGTTTTTTGAGGTAGCGCGTTGTCGTTTGCGGAGCTCTGCCATTTCCTTTTTCGAGTCGTCGGCAGTGGGGAGGGTGTGGGTGAAGCTGAAGCTGTTATGGGTTTGTGCAACGGTCTAGGTTGAGGTTATTGAGGGGAGGGGAAGGCTGGGCGAGGGTGTTAAACTGCGTTTGTGTCTGATGGCCAGTGCATGGTGGAAGGTGACGACTGCGTTGCTTGACGCGGTTGTCATTCACGAGGAAGTTGTTGCCCTCGTTCGACCCGATAACACCCACACCAGCGGAGATGTCGTCAGAGGAGAAGCCAGCGACGGGGCCGGCAGAAGAAAGCCAGGACGTTCTCGGCGACATCGTAACCGCCGACGACCCAGTCTCAAAGAAAAAGCTCTCGCGGAAAGAGAGCAAGGAGCAATTCCGCGCGAAAGCCACGCAAGCAGCAGCTCTCCACAAAATCTTCGAAAAGGTTCAACAAAGCCAACGGCCTGTCGACCTCCAACGACTTCCTACGATGATAGGGGCCTTACCAACGCCGGACTTGGCAAAACCGAAAAGCCTCTCGGACCTCTTGACGAATACCATGGCGACAGTGCCACAGCAGGTCGAGAACGCTGCCGCGGCGGGGTCGGAGGCTGTTGTGAGCGGGGTGGCGGCGGGCGCTCAGCTTGTGGCGGACGGAGTGAAGCAGGTTCTGCCGTTTGATGTGGAGGTCTTTGGAGACCTTGCCGCGTTGTTGATGGGAGTCTTGTCAAGGAACGCAAGCGAGGTGCGCATATGGTGGCCATTTGGGAAGCTTGGCGAAGTTCCCGTTGCTGACGCATGTTTCCCTGGTACCACAGGTGCCGCCACTGGACATGGGAGAGCTATTGCTTTGCATCGGGATGTACTGCCATTATCATCTGCAGAAACGATTGGAAGAGTCCGAATCTAAAGATGGAGAGAACAACGATCCGTTCGCTGGTCTCCCTAGAGTAACCGACCGCGAACCCTACGAACGGTAAGTTGCCGGTTACCGCCGACATAGGATCGCGAAGCTGTCGTTGATGCATCTCGTCCTGATTCGGGCGCCTCACACGTTCTTGGGCAGAAAGATTCATGTACTGCATCAGTTTTGCGACCGCCGCATACTATATGAGTAAAGAGGAAATCATGGAGAAGTGTCCGACGATCCGCAACCCTGAATGGATCATAGATGCTGTCTTTGAATCGAGTGCCGAATGTCCCGCGTTCTTCCTTGCTGTCGACCCCGACAACTGGAAGGTATGTTGGTGCTGTGTTGCTGATGCGCCAACCATCCAATGTCCAAACTCACTGTTGTATTTTCACAGATTGTCATTGCCATCAGGGGAACAGCGAGCTTGCACGACGCAGTTATCGATTTGAAATTGGACTGCGAGCCATTCCTCGGAGGATATGCACATCAGGGCATGGCACACCTATGTCACAAGTTGATGGACCGCATTCTGATTCAAGTGACAGCACTCCAAATGAAGCATCCGAACTTCGATATCCTCATAACGGGCCACAGTCTAGGCGCCGGCATAGCATCGCTCCTGACTCTCATGTTTGCTTCACCCAAGTACCGGACGCGATTTAAGACCGTCCGTGGGATCTGCTTCGCCACCCCAGCATGCTGCACAGAAGATCTAACGACCATGGCGGAGCAAGTGGTGGATTCCCTTGTGCTGGGATACGACGTCGTGCCCACGTTGAGCGAGAAGAGCTTGATATGGCTTTTGCGAGAACTTCAGAAGTTCAGCGAGGAGAATCAACACCGCAAGCTGTTCAATGAGGCATGGGACAAGCAGATGCGGAGCGCGTATGACGCGTTGGAAGCTAACCCCAGGACCAGGATCCTATTGAATGCCTGGGATAGCACCGTCGTGACCAGCGTGCGGAATTCGGTTGTGACCGTTGCGTAAGTAACTCGATGTTTTGGTTTTGTAACCCAAAACTGAATATGTGGGGCTCAACCAAACTTTCTTTTGTTGCAGTTCGGTGGCACGGGATTCCGCTGTGGCCGTGTCAACGACCGCTCAGGCTGCTGCAGAACAAGTCGTGGAGACGGCGGGTGACGCCGTAGTGTCGTTGCAGCAGTCCGGGATCCTGCCTCCCGAGCCGACATTCATAAAGCGGCATCGAATCATTGTAACGAGATGGTTGAGCGGAGTGTATGAGGTGAGTAACGAACCTTCGCTTGACGGGGCGTTTGTAAGCGATGTTCATTGACGATCCACCACAGGACGCTCGAGAAACCTCTACCATGATCACCATAGCAGCAACATTCGCGTCGCGGCTTGTGTTCCGACGAAGAAGCTTGCGCTTCACCCTGTTCTCAATTGGTATCTCCGTTCTGGGACAGGTCGGGTACAAGCGTTGGAAGCTCCATACGGCTGAGAAGCTCGACCGAGATCTCGAAGATGCTGCATCAGCGACTGGCACCGACCCTCGCAACCTATCCCCCGACCGAAGGCTTGCCAGGTCTCCCGATCGCCGGCGACGCCGTAGTTCAACACCAATGCCGCCCGATCGCCGGCGGAGGAGCTCAACGCCACTACCGCCAGACGTTGTAGACGCCCCAGGGGAAGCCCGCGCGGGGGTGACCACGGGCGAAGACGGCGACGGTACTGCGTGGGACGACGACGAGGGAGATATGAAGGTGCTGATGACGCCCGCGACTCTGTATTACTTGCGTGAATGGGTCCCGCCTAAGGAACGGACGCTAAGCATTCGCGGGGCGATGGCGGCGTATGAGGAACACACCCATCATCGGACGGAAAAGCCGATCGTCGAGGGTGCGGATCTCGTTGCGGCGATCAACGCGTCGACGGGTGGGGCTGCGGCGCCAGCACCCGCTGGAGTCGCTGTCGAAAGCAAAGTAGCAACCGAGGAACCACAATGCGCCACGGAAACCTCGGCCGAAAGCCCTGCGGATACCTCGGATGCCCCACCCATGATGACCGAGGAGGATGCTGCGTCCGACCCACCACCTGCTCCGATTCCCAAGCACGTCCTCGTCAAAGGCATACCAAACCAGTTTACCGAAATTAACGTCAGCCTTCGCATGATCGATGATCACCTGCTATCCAGCTACCAACGCGCGCTGGAGAATATCGCCTGGGATGATTTAGAGTGACGGCGGCTCATGCCCCACATGGTTCTTCCCCCGCGCGATCTATGTAGTTCATTTGTCTTTGAGCGACCTCAATAACCCTCACCCATTAGTTACATGTGGCTTTCGTTCGCCTCATTCGCCATAATTTTCGCTCCGTAGTATTACCCATCCATTTTTCGTAAAGTACCACTTAAAGTTCACCCAATGTCATTTCAATATGTGCATATCCAGCATCTCATCTAACCTCAGAAACGCTTTCGCCTTCTTGTTGGACGTTGAAGGAGGTGTTCCTTGACCTGGGACAGCCCTCGAATTCCGTCTCAGAAAGTGCGCGTAGGTCCCCGCGTCTTTTCCCGCCGCCAAACTCGAAATCCCGACGGTCAAGATCATTACGCACAATGTCAACCCCACCATCCGACCCCCCAGCCCTCCCACCCCGCAAAGACTCCATCCCCTCCACCGTCGCCCCATCCCTCACCTCCCACGACCCGCTAACTGACCTCGCCGCCGACTTTTCCGCCGACCTCGACCTCAACGATGACTCCCAAAGCACATCCTCCATCTCATCCTTCGCAGAGAGCGGCGTGAGGAATATGCAGGTACAGACGTCGCTGGGTGTTTCGCAACAGCAGCAGCAGCAGCAACCGCCGGTGTCACCCCGATCGACATCGCTCTCCCCAACGGCGCTGACGCAGTCGCGGTTACTGAGGCTGGCGGAAGCGCAGGTGGATATTGGGATGGGGAAGGTTGCGGAGCATTTGAGGGCTGAGATTGTGGGTACGAGTGCGGGGTTGTCGATTCGTTGGTTTGAGATTGGAGGATGTGATGGGCTGATGGATATTTGGACGTCTTTCTTTTAGCGGCTGTGGATGATTTGACGGTGTTGCAGCAGATGACGGCGGCGGCGAGGGATGTGTACATTGATTATAGTGCAACGGCGCAGGAATTGGTGGCGGGAATGGGGAATGTACAGCGGACATGTGAGTGGTTCCAAAATCATTGTCACGGAGGGCATATATCTGAAACGAATCAAATCTGACAACATATTGCGTCTGCCTTTCGATGCAGATGCCGAAATGGAAACATATCTCAACCAGATCTTCGACCTGGAGCGGCAGGTGTCGAGCATGGAGGCCGTGGTTAATGAGTTGGACGACTACACGAAGCGGATAGGTACGATCGGGGTTCATAGGATGTGCAATGTGATGCGGGCATAGATTTTGCAGAAGAAGAAAGTGGGCAGGTGATGATAGGGAATCTGACGCTTTTTTCCGGGCATCTGAGCAGAAACGAGCGTCAAGAGGGGGCGGTGATGAGGTTTCTGGTATCGGGTTTGATGCCGCGGACGACGCACAAACAAGAAGTCTCTACCAACTTCGAAGGCCAAGCGCTGAGTGCGGCTACTCTTCAAGCGACATCATGGTTAGCAGCTGGACTTTCCGCTTTATGAAGTGTACCGCGGCCTTCTTGGGGATACGGAACAGCTTAGCAGCATGCCCTTATCACAGAAGAGATTCGGCTCTCACTGGGGGCCACCGTGATCTGATATTTTGGACTGCTTCAAGTCCGAGTCCCCTGATGATCCCCCTTCCCCGCTGAACGGCATCACCGCGATGTATATTATTGTACATAGCAAAGTCGACGCATAAATTTTGGAAGAAATAATGTATTTCAGCGTTGGTATATGCAGATTCCTCAGAGCTCACTTCTAATTCATATTTTGTATATGTTGGCCTATAACGTGATGATGAGAAAAGAGTGTGATGAGTAAACACCGAGCCGGGGACTTCACAGAGCAAACGTTGGAAAAGGCTTACCCTGGTGGTGATGTCGCTCTCGTCATTGGGGTCCCCACCCAGCTCGACCCTCAATCCATCATACGGGTAGTCCTTCTCCGCAAACCACAGATGCTCAGCAGGGTCCCACCAGTGCACAAGGACGCCCATCCCCGCGATCGCAGCCAGCACCTGCGCAGCGTGCTTGAACGGTTCCCACCAGTGAACTTCAGGCCCAATCGACCAAATGTCCGTGAACTGGTCGTGGTCGTAGAGAATTTCACCATAGTCGCGACGACCCTGCTGATCCCAGTAGCCGAACGGGTTCCTCAAGAGTGCGAACTGGGGCTTGACATGTGGGTAGTCGCCGATGGGCGCCGTCGCGGGGTCGTCGAAGCCGGCGTCATAATAGGTCGGGGGCGACGGGAGACCGGACGCTTGGTGGGAGGGTAGGCTCTGATCCCACTCGGGCCACTTCAAGGGAGCCTGGACTGGGCCAATACCGGTTTGGGGCCTGGCCGGTGGGGTGTAGAGAGGGTGCGAGAACAGCTCGTCGGCGTCCTGCTCTGGGATAGGGCTTGCCTCCTGGCCGGGCGCTTGCTTCTCACTCCACAATTCGACGCCGGTTTTCCTCAGCGGTTCGGGAGCTGCTTTCTGCTTCGAGTCATACCTAGATAGGTGGGCAAGCGAGACCATGAGACTCCGGGACTGACTTCTCCTTCATCCTGTGTGCCAACTGCACGTAACTGCACGTTCTGGGTAAACACAGATTTGTCCACAGGCCTTGTCGAAACCCACAGACACAACCCCGAAAGGAACACCCTTCCCAAAGGCGTTTTCCTGCCGTATGACCATCCGCCGCTCCAGCCATACCAATACTCATACATACCCATATCGCCGTGTCAGAAGCGGATGAGCGCCTAATGTCCTTGGTGCGGAAACGCCTAGCAATCCCCGCCTGGAGCCGAGAGCGGCTAAGCGAGTAACGCCGTTCATCTGGCCGTTGTTCTAGAGCCGATCCACAGAATGCTAGCCAACGGTGGCGGAATCCCTATGAGGCGAATGAGACTGTTGTTGTGAGCACCCTTGACGGCGTGGGAGATGCCTAATGTGTGTCCAAGGCCAGGTCTGCAATTCGGCGAACGAGTGAGTTGGGAAGGTTTTGTGTCCTCCTCAGTGTCGTGCATGAATAGCAATGCGTGCGATGGGCCGGCTTGTTTTGTTTGAAGATCGAGTTCGATTCTAATCACACGCAGCTTCGGAAGGCGCGTCTCAGTTTAGGTTTACATTCATTCATCAGTACATTCATCAGTACATTCATCAGTACAGTATATCCTCCCAGACCATACACTGCGAACTTCGCAAACCACACATGGGTGTGTCCACTGAACATCGCTCCATTCCGCAGTGTTCTGGTCATGTAAACGCTGCAGATTGTATGTTTGTCTATGATCCATGTTACCTATGTGACCCATTCCAATGTGGTCGCATCATCCGTTCTCGGCAAGGTCCCCATGCCGTGCCAAGTCGCTTAACCTCCGCTCCCACCCTATCTAGCCCATTCCCACCGCTTTGCTTGGGCACAGGTGCGTCCAGAGTCCGGGCTCCGTCGCCGGCGCAGATGTGCTTGTGGAGTCCCGACACGTCGGCAGTCCAAGCACGTACATCATACCCGACACTCGTTTGGCTACCTCCCGCCTATCAGCCCGCATCCTCATGAGCCCCGCTTTCTGTCACTGACCGGGTCAAAGAGCTGAAGCATGAGCCAAAAACGGAAGTCGACTTGAGCGTAACAGCCCTGGCCCGATCGCTCTAGTTTCACGATCAAGTCGTTCGTAAACCTCTCAAGGCCAAGCGACGCATAGCTGCCCGTTCCACATCCAGTTGCTTTCCTTACTGAACGAGTGGCAATTCGTGCTTTGTCCAAGTGTGTGTGCCCTGACTTCAGAATACACACACACTTGGATAAAGCAACCATATAGTGCTGACAGAAGGGAGGCATCTCGCGATTAGAGCAGTTCCACAGTCGTCATCGTGGCCATCGTCGTTTCACGTCTCGGACCTGCACCAGTACCGTCTGTGATGCTTTCCGTTGAATCGTCCTTCCATTGCCGAGCGCCTGGCAGGGTCGGAGGAGGTTATGCAAAGTAGATGAATAACTGATGCCAGAAATCCCTCAATTCTCGGCCTCACGACAATGGTTTTCGCGACGTCTCATCAGCCCTCGAGCATATGTCTTCCACCACATGTCCCCAGAGTTCCCGCAACTCTCGCTGTCTCCCCTCTCTGTTATCGGGTGCTGTAGTATGCGTTATGTACCAGAGTTCCTTGCAGGACATTCTGGGTCAATTCTGGGTAGGCCGAATTCTGGGCCGAATTTGGAAGTTAACAAACACGCGCGCGCTCTCGTTCGCCAGTCTTGTCTTTTCGCCCAGCAAGAAAGGGGCTCCAGACCTGGCTCCAGACGCCGCATTGACTTTGACTTTGACTTCATTGCACTCAACAAGTCTCCTTCAACAGACAGGTACCCAACACCACTCTGACCCTTTCTCAAAGGTTGTCTACGTCATTTCTGAGGTCTTGCAAGTTCAAGAACCTCATTCCTTCCACGTCGAAAATCGAGTCCCCTCTCAAAGGAAGTACATAACCACACCGATGTCGCGCGCTATAACCACATTCCGGGCGTTAACGGTGTGCCTGGGTCAGCATCCCTGTCGAGAGGAACATGCGCTACTTGCCGCCTACTTTGGCCTGGCGGAGCGTTTGGCCAATGTGAAGGAGCGGGTGCCCAGGACGACGGAAGCGGACGTGAACCGTCCTGCAGCCACACCACATGAGCCAAAAGAGACTGCCTTCCCTTCGACACCCGCCACCGCAACGTCACCGACCTCACCAACCCATTCCCTCCCGCTCGAACTCCTCTCCCATATCTTCGCCCGCTTCCTCCCCTCTGCAGACGTCTACACCTGCCTCCTCGTCTGCCGCCGCTGGTTTCGCGCCGCTATCCCAGTCGCCTACAGGCACCCAGAAGTGCGTTCCGTCCGTGCGCTGCGGGCCCTCATGCACACCCTTAACCACGACCCGAAAACGCTGCTTTGGCCGTATGCCGCGCATGTGAGGCGGATCTACTTCGGGGCTGACTATACCGTGTCGCTGAATAAGCAGTCCGACCCTGCGGAAGCTGGATGTGATTTCTTCAAAGGGTCGTATTCGGCCCTGTTTGCGTTGTTGGTGTTGGAGCGGAACCGCGGGCAGACGGTGTGTGCGCACCCGATCTTCTTTGATATGAGCTTGCAGTGCCCCAACTTGGCTGCTATCGAAGAGTCCGTGGACGACGACCCGCAGAAGGAGGATGTGTTGGAGACCATCGCACAGCCGAATCATTTGACCGGGACGGTGCTGCAAAGCCTGTTGGCGGCCTGCCGGAGTGTAAGCAGGACATCGGCGCGATATGCGATCCGCCCGCAGAACCTGACGCGGGTGTGCACATTATTGCTAGGGTTACTCGAAGGCGAGGAGCGCGCGATGTGGAGGGGTATCAGTAAGGAGTCCCTCCGCGTCGCTCGACTGAAGATCCTCGAGTCGTGCCGCATCACCCTGAACCAGCTAAGCACGAGCATGTTTTTGGAAGCGCAGTATCTTGCACTATCAGCTCAGCGGCTCTTGGACCTGTTTGCGATCCTCTATTATCGCGGACACCATTTGGCCAGCCGGTTAGATGTGAACTTTGCGATCAGGGCCGCGGAGAAGGAGGCGAGGGAGGAGTACAATTGGAATGCTACTCTCCGGCGTCATTCGGAAATCACAAACCAGACGCCGTCCACGGGAGGTGAAGGCTCAACTTCTGGTAGGGCAGACAATGACGAGCAACTACCCTACCACCCATTACCACCACGAGACGTATCCGCGGTAGTCCTCGAATGTCTGCGCCTCATCTTCCGCCGCCATATCCCCGCCCACACCGCGATCCCGCCAGCACCGCCAGCCGAAGCAGACATTACCCTCCCCTGGCCATCCGGGGACGGCGCCGACGATACAGAAGGGGATGCAACCGAAACCAACACCCGACCGTCTTCCCCACCACCACCCCTCGCCTTCCCCACCCGCCACTTCCTCACCACCGCCCTAAGCGTCTTCCCCCCCGCAGGCATGAACCCCGAAACCGCCGAACTCCTCTCCCAGATCCTCACCAAACACACCCTCGCTTCCGCCTCTTCCCCCACGACACCACCACCACCGCCAACGGACCCCACCCACCTCGTCCAATCCCAACACTGGCTCGCCTATTTCCGCGAGATCGTCGAGTGGCAGCGATGTGGTGTGGAGATGGAGGCCGTGAAGGATCTGTTGAGGACGAGTATGGCGAGGATGGAGATGTATCGCGGGTTGCAGGTAAATGCGGGCTCGAGGGTGTTTTGACGTGCGGGTGGTTGAAGGTTGATGGGGGTTGGTTGGATGGCGTGTATTCTGGGAAACGTCGTTCCACGGAGCCTCGATCTTGCATCTCATTCGCCATCCCTTCACATTCTTCTCCTAACGTCAACAGAGACGCTTCGGTGTAGTGTTCATGTAGACACCACCACCCTTCGTCAACCCCATAGAAACACACCTACGTGATAGACAAGAAAGCATTAGGATAGGGTTAGTGAAACTTCAGCACATGGAACAGGGGTACTTAGTACCAGGAATAGGGATAGAACATGCAAGCTGTAGCGATAGGGAGGTACTTTGATTAGGGGATTCAATTCCATAATCTTGCCTTGAAACATACGTCGCATTGCTGTGCATAGAGTGATGTCCCTTCTGCATATCTGAGCTCTCGATGGTAAAACGGGTATCGTGGATTTTGTGTATCGTACACTGAGAGGCAGCGACTAACAACATAAAGTACATGAAAGGGGTATTATGGTTTACAGAATATATATACGCAGGGGATAATGAGGAAGAAACCACTCAGTAATCCACAGAAAAAAACGCATCACTACGCCCGCGCCAAAAAAAAAAAGCCCCCGTCACACTATCGCGAAACCTCGACGGGCGCACTACTCGGCTGCTCCCCAAACCCGCCAAACCTCCTAAACCATCCCGGCGACACCGGCGAGCTGGGCGCCGCCACTTCCTCTCTCCCAACCTTCATCGCCAAACGGGGCGACCCCACCGCCGTCGACGGCCTATTGCTTTTCTCACCATTATTCGCGGCAGGCCAGAACCCGCCAAACACCCCATCAAGGGACGCGCGTTTACGCAGCGAGTCTGGGATTTGGAGACGGAGGGATTGGAGGGTTGTCAGGAGGGGGTTGGGCATTGGTGTGGGGGAGGCGTTGGGGGAGTGGGACTCGGGGTGGGAGAGGATGTGCGTGGCGAGTTTGTTGGCGTAGAGGAGGAGGGCTTCGATTTCGTCTTGGAGGTCTGGTAGGCGATGAGAAGGGGTGTGTGTTAGTTCCCGTGGGATTGAGAGGGAGGACTCGGATGCGGGGACATTTACCGGAAATGATCTGCTGGCACTCCATACGCTCCACCTTCGCATCCAACTCCTCGGACCGCCGTCTCAGCGGTGATGCGTTCAGCGACGGCGCGACGCTGTTTGCCAGCGATCCGATGCCGGAATCTGGGGTGTCGCACCCTTCAAGATCGTGTTTCTCCTCTCCCGTTTCATCATTGGGCTTGTCAGGGGAGACGTCGACGACCTTTACGTCCGCGGAGCCGCGAGCGATGATGTCGTCTGATGTGGTGCGTGAACGCGAGGGGCCATCGGAATCGAACGAGGCCGATGATGCGAGGAGGGTGCGGTTGAGGGCTCGGAGAGCCTTATTGGCGAAGCGGAGCTCGTTCACTTGGTTTGTGCGGGATTCGAGTTTTGAGAGGAGGAATTCTTGTGTTGTCTTCAACTGCCAGGCGCGTGAGGGAACATCAGCAAAATGAGCATCTCGAGGCAAAGCCTGATGAGGTGCACAGCGAGAGAACGAACCTGCTTCACCTCCCGATTAAGAATATCCATCTGCTGATCCCTCGCCTTCACCAATTCCCTCAACTCCTCTTCATCATACTCATCATCATCGCTCTCTGAGTCCCTAACCCGGGCCGCCTGGTTCATAATCAGCTCCAGATTCTGTTTAGAGCTCATTGCTGCGGAACATCTCCCAAAAGCCAGCCGCATAGCGTTTTGGGTCGTCGTGGCGCTGGTGGGCGTGGCCGTCGGGGTCGGTGTAGACTCCGAGCCAGAGGTGGTGGAGGATGTCGCGGATGACGGGCCGCGGTCGGTGGCGGCGGTGGAGATGGTGGGGCATGAGAGGGCTCGGGTAGGTCGGGTTAGGGTCGCTGAGATTTCCGACAGGAGCTGATTGGTTTCGTCTTCGAGGGCTTCGTCGTACACTTGGGCTTGCGGCATCAGCTGAGCGTCGGGAAAGGAGGACGTTTAGCGTTTTCCTACGACGCACAGTTTGCACTCGAGGGTTCACTCACCTGTGGCGAATCCATTTCCTTGGCCATCGGCTCCGGTGATTCCGCTCTTTCCTCATCCACTGTAACCATCTCAACCACAGCCTCCTCCTCTGCCACCGATGATACGTGATCGGTCATCGTATCTGCCGCAAGATTGTGCTTTGACAGGCCTCGTGGGAATCCGTTCCTTCCGCACGTTGTCGTAAGTTGCGAAGAAACGACTACAGATTCAGCCTCCAGATCCAACGTTGGGGGCACAGACGTGTTGCCGGTGGAGAGCACAGAATATGGCTTTTGGGGTGGTATGTCCGTTATCCGTGAGAGATATCGATAGGAACCCGATCCAGGTTGCCTGACCGCTCCCCCCGGAGTCTTTATACGCGGTTTTGTGCGTTGCGGTGCGGTCTGAAGGGACGTGGGAGCATACCCTTTTGCAGCCTGATGAGATTGGACGAAGCCAGAGTGTGTTGCAGGAAACTGCTTCCGCCACCAGGTGCGTTTCTTGCTCTCCTGGGAAGATAAGTTTGGAGGCGTAGGATCAATCAATCACTCAAAACATGGGATTGGGGAGGGAAGGCGGGGTTTTTTCCCACGCCTTTCTGCAGTGGTGGCTAAATCCGTAAAGAGTTGCAGGATCCACTGGGGGTGTGTGTCTGTCTGTGGAGGAAGCTGATTTGATTTCATGGGAGCTGCTGCTGCTGCTGCTGCGTGTGTCAGATACATACATGTATTATGGTGAGGTGGCCGTTCAGGGGCGACGGGGGAGAAAGGGAGGGCCGCGCTAATGATAAGGGCGTTTGACGGCGGTCCTGTCAGTGACTCACCACATTTCCCCTGTCACTTTTCTGTCAGTGCGGATCCCGCTTCTTCGCCACCTCCTGCTGGCGAAGAAAAATGGGATCCTTTGCGTTGGTGGCAGCTTTCCCGCCGAGCTCATACACAGTATGGCAGCCAGAACCAGAGCGACACTCGGCTTTGGGCGGGCATAATATAGAGAACTCAGAACTGAGGTGATATCAAATTAGCGCCACGGGGCCTTCGCTGCTACGTCGGTCGAACGCCGCCGCCGCTCGCTCCGCTCGCGCCGTCTCTGACTTCACGCCCGGCATTTCGGGCGGCTCATCAAATATAGGGAATGGCAGGAGAACAAAGTACTGTACATACTGTACAGTACGTACGTATGAGATTGCATCGACTTCTCCCACATCTATAGTCTAGCCCACACGTCATGGACATTACAGGGTGACCAAAGCGTCGAACACAACCAAAAACCATACGTCAAAACCACGCCGGAACATTTACAAGTTGTTGTCAAGAGATCGGAGTCGGATATGTTATGATTCAAAATAGAACAAAAATCGCTTCTACGCGATGGATGGGTATGTTACATCGATGCTAGGTACAGGGGGGTGAGGGATATTTTACAAGGACATGTAAGGTGGAGGTGGGGGATATATGTGTTGGGGAATCGCTTAAGCGTAGGTGAGGAACCTGTAGTGCTTCTCGAACTTCTCGTCGTCGTCAAAGGCGACAGAGCATCCATTCTCGATGCTCTCTCCGACCTTGCCGGGCGTAACGGCACCGTGGAGGTGGGCCTGACCGATGTAGATAGGGGTACCGTCGGACTCGCGTCCACCCTCGACCATCTTGTAGTCGCGCTTGTTGAGCCTGCCCTCGCCGTCGATCCAGCGGACGGCGTTCTCGAAGCCGAGGAGGATCTCGTACTTTTGCACGGCAATCTCCTTTCCGCTGTAGGAGATGTGTGCGCCGTCCTTGAGCTTGGAGGAGGCCTTGCCGATGTGGACGCCGCCGTTGTGGAAGGCGCGGGCGATGTAGAGGGTGGTGCCGTCAACGTCCTTTCCGCCGGGGATGGCTCCCTGGGGGATCGAGTTGCCCTCGGTGAGGACCCATTGAACGGGGGGGAGGGTCTTGTTGGCCTTCACGGCCTCGAGGTACTCGCCTTGGCGGCGGTGAGCGTCTTGTTCCCAGTTCTGGGCGCCCCACTCCTGCTCGGCCTTGTTCTCCTTGGAGTCCTGGTACTTGTCGAAAGCAAAGGCGCCGACACCGATGGCGGCGGCGGTACCGAGGAGACCACCACCAACGGCGAGTTGTGAGTTGGAAAGCTCGAAGTTGCCGATCTTCAGACCGCGGTCGGTAGCTTCGCCCTCAGAGAGCATCTGCTTGCGGGGATCGTCGGAGCCTTGGGGGACGACGTTGTGGGCGGGGTATCCGTAGTTCGACATGGTTGTGATTTGGTTTGGTTTGGGTGTGAGAGAGCTGTGTTGTGCTTTGATGTGTGGTTTGTAGCGTGTATGCTGAAGAAAAGGGTAGAGGGAGCCAAGAGGGGCCCCGGCTTTTATAGACTTTCCCAAGGTCCTTGGCGAAGGCCAGCCGGACATCCACCCCTTCCTTCACGTTTCCCTCCCAAACCAAACCAGCCTCACCCGCTCATGTTGACGCAGCGGTCCATGACGCAACCCAGAGTTTCATCATGCCCTCCGAGGCCAGGCTGAGCCGAACCACGGCCACAAATCCATGCCTCATCGCAGTGTTCGCACCCGATCCGACGTCAACGGGATCCCATTTTCATCAAGTTCGTACGGGCTATGCATCATCTGTTTGGTTATGAGCTCATGCAAAAAGGTGCGGACGCGCACAAAGGGGATGGGAGGTTTCGGGTGGGAGGCACCCCGCCACATCTGGCTCTGCGACTTTGACAGGCTTTTATATGATGTTATAACGACGATGAAGATGACGAACGCAAAGCCACTCCTACAGTATCAAGGTTTGGCACCTCCAGCTCCGAACGGGGTCTGGACCCTGCGTCAACGATCCTGATGCATTCCTGTCGTCGTCCACCCGATCTTCCATACCTTTCTGCTCCTTCTCCTGACCTGTCTCTCGATTTTACGTCATAAAACTCGCTTGGCGGTGCGGCTTTTGGAAGTCGACGGAATGAGTGGATGTGGCCTACGCGTCAGTACGCGTCGCGGACTCTCTCCCGCCGTTCCACAAACTGCCAAGCCCTCTCTTGAAAATTGACGTTGGAGGCTTGAGGACAACCCGAGGTCCGATCGACACTTTTTTTACACGCCTCATTCCCGGATTTTTCGGATAGGACAGGCAAAGAAGGGGTTCAGTGAGATGGACATGGATCTAGACATGGACGTCAGGAACGGAATGTGAAGCGGGAAGGAAAGGACCAGTGATGGGCAGATTCGAGGGCTTCATCAACCTTCTCTGACGTTCGTGCGGGGAAGGACGACAAACATCCAGAGACCCAGGCGAAGGCTATCGCGACTCCTGAATCTGGTCGCTTAAACCCTCGAAAATGCAAAAGACACATTACCATCGCACTACTTGCCAGAAATCAAGTACTGTAGCTTCTGTATAAGCGACTCTATGTGATAGACTAGATACAGAGCTTTACAGCTTCCACTAGCCAGAAGGGAAGCTCTCGCGATAAACTAAGAAAAATACATACATACAAAAGGAAAATGGGAGACAAAAAAAGTGTTTTAAGTTAAGGGTGTTGATGACGGATGGTGGTTTGCGCGACGGATGTTGAAGGGAACGGCTTTGATGTGAGGTGCTGTGATGCCGGATGCCTCCCGATGCGACCCCAGTTTTCCACTCTACTTCTCGTTAACAAGCACATTCTTCTTCCGCTCCGCCTGATACGGCACCGCGCCCTCCTTGGTATGCTTCCGCAGGTTCTCCTCCTTGCGTTTGATCGACTCGGTCATGACCCGCTTGGTATCCTTGGCCTTGATGATGGCCTTGGGGATGCGGCGGTGCTTATCGATGCGGCGGATCTCGGGCATGTGCTTGTAGCGCTCTTTGACGGCTTTTGTGTAGCTGACGGCGGCGCGTTCGCGGTTGGTTGTCTGGGGGAATAAGATGAGACGAGTTGGTTTTAGTATCCTGTGTGTGTGCAAATACATGTCGCTCCTTTTGAGACTGTGTAGAAATGGTACTCACCGTGCCCAACTTATCAGAAGCACCCGCCTTCCACAACCGAATGTTCCCATCATCACTCCCACTCAGCACAAACTTCGCATCCATGCTAAATTTGACACAAAAGATCCTCTGCATCCGCTTGGTATGGTACACATCTCGACTATGCCCCTCCCTGCTCTTGAATATCCTCACTGTGCGGTCATACCCGCCCGTCACAAACTCCTCTCCCGAGGGCGAGTAATCGATATCGAGCACAGCGGACACGTGGTCCTTATGCACGTTCATGGCGGACTGCATTTTGCGCATATCGAAGGTGTAGCAGTTGTGGTCTTCGTTGGCGATGGTGAAGTTGAAGGCTTCCATGGGGTTCCAAGCGATGGCGTTCGTGCGCATCGCCATGATGGTTTTGGAGAGCGGGGAGTTCGTGCGCAGGTCGTAGAGGATGATGGTGCGATCGGTGCCGCAGGTGGCGAAGATGGAGGTTTCCGTTTGGTTGAATTTGATGGAGGTGGTGGTTTCGGCGCCCCATGAAAAAGTTTGGACTGGTTCGGCTCTGCAGTCGGATTGTTAATATTGCTTCGGCCCCTCGCTGCCCAACACATTTGTCTGCCTCTCTCACCTTTGGTGATCCCAGATGTCAATCTGTGTGCTAGATGTCGCAAAGGTGTTTCTCGTCCTGTGATGATCTACACCATTGAACGCATGTCTCGACGCATATGTTTGCAGTGGCTAAAAGAGAGACCGATTTTCCCTATCAGCTACTGTCCCACACCAAATCAAAACCCGCAACAGTCCCTCCCTCCCACGCCGCGCAAGAACTACATTCTTCACAGACACCCACCTCGGTAGAATCTGCCGACCACATCTTAACCGTCTTATCCTCACCCACAGTGAAGAAATTGTCGCTGAAAGGCACGGAACATATGCCTCTCACAAATCCATGATGCGCCTTTGTCGACCATGTTGTCTTGTTGTTTGTCAGCGACCATATCCGAACCTCTGCAAATCAGCAATCGAAACCCGAAGCATGTCAGCACAGACTGCCCTGACCATCAACCATCAGCCATCAAACCATCAACGACACCAAGGATGTTGGGCAACGTGGGTGAGGGGAGGATTGCGCTTTTGCCGCAATGTGGCTCGCTCCGCTCGTTCTCCCGGAGGGAACCATCCTCAAGGATCCCTGCACCTCGCCGCAGTCGCGCCCGCTCTGGTTGACCTTCCTAACGCTCAGGCTCCCCGACCGAACCAAACCGTCGCTCCGCTCGGTCGCTTCTCCTCGCCTCACTCCTTTCGGCACCCACCTCCATCAGCACTCCCCGAGAAAACGGTCGTCAGCTTGGTTGGATGCTTTGCGACACAATAAACCCCATCGATATGCCCCGACAGAGCTCCCACAAAGGGTTTCGCAAACATGCGCTCGAGTTTCACTGCATTGAGAGCGCGGGTGTATTCACGTGCCCTCTCGAAAGGGTGGAGTTCCGGGTCAAGGTTGCGCTGGACTTTGTAAATGTCGCCCGAGCGCTCGCGGGCAAAGTCGGCGCCGCGGGATATTGTTTTCACTTTCTGGAGGTGGGGAATGGGTTTAGACATTGGGGCCAATGGAAAAAGCGTTAAACCGTTCAGCGTTGCAAGTCTCAGTTTACCATTTTTTTCGGACGCAATGAGGTTCGGGCACAGGTCTGTTTGGGAAGGGTTACGAGGACGATGGTCGTCCTTGCTGTCCTGTTGTAGCCGGGGTTTGTGTGGTAGTGGGAACAGTGAGTTTGTCAGGGCCTGCCTGGTTGCCAATTGCTGAATTTTGAGGTGGAATACCAGTTTCAACTTTGCAAAGGTGAGGATGGTGAGGCCCGTGTTTTTTTCCGTACGACGCAGTTAAACCACACTGTTGGCTGTGATGTGACTAACGAAACGGATGCTGTTGTCTATTCGTTAGAAATGCGTCCATTTCATGGCAAGTTTCTGCTTGCGACGCACGCGTTACTCGGCGGGGAATCGGGTCCGCTCGCGGAAAGTCGCGTTTGCTGGCCAGTCCCACAAAAGGACAGCCAGGCTCTACTGTAAATCAGGGTGCCATCTCGCATTCCCTTTCGAGCTTGTCTTAACCCATCGTCCAACTTCCGCAACAGCTCTCCCGTACTACGACCGCACTAGATGTAGAGATAACGCTCAAGATCTTGCGTTCGATACTGCTCTACTACCTAACGACGCACTTAAGGTCTTCAGCATTTCTCATCGGTGTCGGAGGCATCCTGCGCTTGTCGGGCAGTGTCATCGGGGGCTCGCACCCTGTTACAAGGCGCTCACTGTTTACAACGCGCTCATCGTACCGCTATCCACGCGCATTCTAGTCAAGATCCTGAGCATTGCTTTATAAGTTCGGCTCCCACACGACCAAGTTACACCCAGGTTAGGAAGGCCCACTGGTCGCGTACTTACCTGGAAGACTTAGCTGAGAAGAGCCCGGCTGGGGTACTGGCGGTATACTGCCGGGAAGATCTGCTGCAGTGCAGTCGGCAAGGACCGGTGGGAATGACCTTCGGTTCTTGCTTTCTCGTGGATGGGAAGGGCTACGGCTCGCGTACCGTTCGGGAACCCATACTGGACAGCCTTCTCGTGGCGTTTCCTGTTGTAAGTACCTCGATTTATGCTGGGGAAACCAATGGTCCAGTTTTTTTTTTCAGCTGCATTGCTTCTTTCGTATTTTTCTGTTATCTCTACATATAATATCATACAATAAGAATCATATCTATTCGGAGTCTTTGCGAACGTTGTCCTCACTGCTTCGATGTGCCCCTGGGTGTGGATGTGTTGTCGTAAATGCCTCCCGGTCAGCGCCTCAGCGCAGTTCCGAGCCGTCGCCATGATGAGATGTTCAACATGAAATGGTGTTCAGCACGATCCTCTGGTCGAAAACAGCGGCAGAGCTAGCCGATTCTGATTCACTATTCTCCTACAGGAGTGGGGACTCCAAAAAAATGACTATGTTACAAAAGTAGCCCCTCCACCAGGCGGGGAGCAAAGACAGGTATCAGAAAAGAAAGTACGAAGAGTAACGAAAGTAAAACCTTCCTGAAAGAATCACAAATACTTCGTCCCTGCTACATAACTAAAGCCTACAAAATGGTCCACCACCTCCAAACCCAGCTCCAACCCCCCCTCCCCACGTTCACGTTCTCCCCTAGGCGGCGGCGACTCCACCGGCATCGCCGTAAACACCCGATCAAAACACCTCGTATCCTCCTCCCCCTCCAACCTCGGCACGATCGGCGGCTCAACCTCCAACCTCGCCAGCCTCTCCCAGTCAATCCCCCTAAAAAACGCATGCCGCTTAACCCCCGCAACCCCGCCTAACGCGTCACACCCTAACCGCTTCGCCGGGTTCTTCTGCAACAGCCTATGGCACAGATCGCGCGCGTGGGCGGTCATATACCGCGGCCAGACAACTTTGCGGTGTAGGATGCCGTCCATTATCTTCTTGCGGTTTGCACCGGTGAAAGGTGGGGCGCCCGTGAGCATGTCGAAGAGCATCACCCCCAGGCTCCAGTAGTCCACGCCCTTTTCGTAGCCCTGCGTGCGGTGCTCGTCGAGGACCTCGGGGGCCATGAACTCGATGGTCCCGCAGACGGTTTGTGCGTCTAGGGCGACTTTGGAGAGGCCGAAATCGGTCAGGAGGATGTGGCCCTGAGCGCTTAGGAGTACGTTCTCGGGTTTGAGGTCGCGGTAGATGATGCCTAGTGAGTGCAGGTGTTCCAAGGCGAGGAGGAGTTCGGAGATGTAGAAACAGGCCACGTCTTCTGCAAACATTTTTTCCTTTGTGAGGTATGTGAACAGCTCGCCGCCGGACGCGTAGCTTAGAATCAGGTAAAGCTTGGACGGCGTCTGGAATGCATAGTGTAGCGTGACGATGAACGGGTGTTGTACTTCCTCCAAGATGCACCGCTCGTTGCGGGTGTGTTCGGCTTCTTTGCCTGACGCGTGGAGGACGATACTGGCTTTCTTGAGCACTTTCATGGCGTACAGCTCGGTTTTTGCGTTCGCTCCGGCTGTAGAAGTGGCAGGAGTGGGATTGGGCTTTTTGCGAACTAGGAACACTTTGCCGTACGCCCCTTTGCCCACCACGCTGACGAGCTGGAAATCGTCCAGGCCCACTTTTTTCACGGGCGCGGATACTGACGCTGGTAAGGGACCGTCCCCGACGGTTGTGATAGATGCGGCCTTCTGGGCATCAAAGTTGTGAATATCGACCACCTGCGATACATCCGCCGGTTCGGCAAAGGACACGCGGGGGCCGCCGACTCCATCCAAATCAGCAGTGCTGGGTTCGTCAACCCCATCATCAACCGCATCCGTTCCATCTCCAACACCACCGGCTTCCGCGCATCCACCTGCCGCGTCAAACACCTCGTCGGTGTCAAACGCAAACACAGCCCCGAGATCTTCGTCTACCTCCGCCAAACCCCTCTCCACCTGCATTCGATCAGCCATGGCCGTGCGTGTGTCCGGGTGACTCGCCGACAGCGCCGTTCCATCTAGGTAAGGCGAACGACCCATCATCGACATCTGGGCAGCTTTGTCCTTCTCCACCGCGTACGGCTGGCTGTGCCGCCATGTTGACGTGGGCATCTTGCGTGCCCGTCGTGTGCCTTTCCCGGTACGCCGTAGTCGGGCGAGGAGGATTCAAAACCAGTGACAACGCCTACAGGTGTTTATCTTTTCCTCCTGATCTAACGCCCCGGCCACTTTTGCAGCGGGATTGCGAGACGGCCGGAGAAAGCGGGACGGAGTGAGGGGAGGATCGGATGGGTGGGGCGGTTGGGGAGTGACATGAGAGTAGAGAGTAGGTCTGTGGTGAAGAGTGATGGAGAGAGTGAGGGGATGAGATATTGGGAGTAGGTGAGGTCTTTGTGGGGAAGGGAGGGAGGTTGTGGAGGTTGTGGAGGAGCACGGTTTTTTGGGCACTCGTCACCGTCAGTCGATCAAGGCCTTTGAAAGGAGGAAGTGTTGGGCGAGGGGCGCGGTTCAAAAACAGAGATGCAATAAAGTGATCAGCAACCACGTGACACCCCAGCGTCTTTATTTGATCTGCGCGGCCTCAATGCGGCGGCCGTTCAAGGTGATTGAGGAGCGAGAATTTTGGACTGGGCTGCCTGCGAGCGAGAAGGAAAGGCCAACTTTGGGCAGCTCCTTGAAGGCTTGAACGCAAGCGGAAAGGCCAGCCACCACACACCCCCATTCCCACCAAGGACAAAGCCCGATCGGGTATCGTTGCAGAGACTCTCTCACGCCGTGCAAGAAACCGTGTTATTCGCACCGTAAACTCCCCCAGAGGAAAGAGAAGAGCTGAATTTCTCACATAACCCGGAACCATGGCGCCACCACTAATGAAGAGGCCGTCCCTTATGGGCGGCTTGCCACTGTTGCTAGCTATGGCGCCCAGCGTCTTGGCTGAGGACTCGGGGAAGGTTGACTTGGGTATGTGCGGCCGCGTACCTGTCGTTTGCATCACATACAGTCGTCCATTCTTTCCCTCGGTGGCGCTGACACCTTCCCTTCTCTTTCTAGGCGGTCTCGGAGTCCTCCCCATTTGGCTGGTAGTAGTAATAGCCATCATAATCGTCGTCCTCTGCATCGCCTTCGGGTACCTGATGTGGCGCCGAGCCCACGGCGACCGCGGCGACGTCGAAGCCATGGGCGCCAACACCGTCCGCGACCGCCGCTTGCAAGAAAGCGAAAACTGGAAGAAGCGGTTCAGTACCGTCGTGCAGGGGAAGGACCAGGAGCCGTCGGGTCTTTTTGGCGCCGGCACCATCTTGGCGGATTTGGAGGAGAGCCATCAGCAGAATAGCACGCCGACGAGAAAGACGAGCGTGCGGAAGCCGGGAGAGCCGCTGATTTCGCTGGTCGCGGGTGATGCGCCTGAGTTGGGGCGGTCGGTGTCTCAGCGGTCCAGAAAGGATACTACTCAGCAACACACACCCCCTGTCAATGCGGCGTCGTCGGATGCGAGATACACCCGGAAACAGTCGATTGATGTGCAGCGTCGGCCGACCGGGGCCACGGGTCGTTCTAATCTTCGGAAGGCGCACTCGCGTGTAGACGAGGAGCCCCCTAGGATCTCCGCGTCGTCGGACGATTCTGGGGGCGACCCACATGCTGGCCTCTCGCTCTCGCCCAACGGACGTGGGGATCTTGGTTTAGGCGGAGGTTTTGCGACGATTAGCGAGCCGATCAACTCTGTTATCAATATCGAAGAAGATCTCTCGCCTTCGCCTCCCGGAGACGGTTTCTTGCCGCGCTCTGTTTCCCAGAGACATGCAGACAGTCTCCTGAGCCCTGACACGGACTCATACTATGGCGCAAACATGCAAAGGTCCGGAACTCAGATATCAACAATGTCGCAAAAGAAATCGCCCCGCCGTAGTACGTCCGTGCGTCGGTCCGATCGCGAACCCCTCGATTCCACTCCTCTCGCCTCAGACCGCTCACACCTAATCCCGCCACCTCCAAGCTACACTGCGAACCGCGCCGAAGACGACATTGAAGCGCTGTACAAGTCCGCGAGCCAGTACACCTCCGCCGCCGCCCCACTGGAACGCACACGGTCCTCCCGCAGCGCTGCTCACGCACTCGCAAGCCCGCTCTCCCCGACTGACCGCACTCCGTCATCTCGCCAGGCAAACCGCACCAACACCCGCTCGTCCCGCCATCGGTCCCACCGCCAGAAATCTGACGACGACAGCGACTCGACACCGCTGGCACGTACCATCTCGCAGCGGACGGCGGTACCACTCCAGCGGTCAGGAAGCAGCGGCAGCTCACACCGCCCCAGCGCAATTACAGCGACTGCAGCCAACGTCAAGCGCACCCCAACAAGCCGTTCCACCCGCCGCGCCCCCACCGACACCAATCAACCCCTCTCCTCCCAATCCCAACGCAAACCCGAAACCCGCACCTCCCGCCCCTCGGAAGACGACGAAACGCCACTCGCCTCCGTCGCCCTCATGGCCCTGCAAGAACAGATGAGCGCCCTCCAACAGCAGCACCAACACCAACAACAACCGGCAACACGCGCACCCTCGACGCGCCGCACGGCATCGCAACGTAGACCGGGCGATATGTCGTCGTCGCAGCAACGGCTGGTCAGCCCGAGGTTCTCGTATGAGGAGGAAGGGTATGGTGAGGGTGAGGATGATGAGGATGTGCCGCTGGGGTATGTGGAGCCGGAGAGGAGACGGGGTTAAGGATGGGGGCGTATATATGTGGACATGTGAAATATGTGCTCATGACGCTGCTATGTGGGGGCCGGATCCTTACAGCATTAACATTTGGCTCGATTTTTCATGTCGGACCAACCTTCGGCGTATCTGTGTATCTGTGCCATTCATTACACTACCTGACCGTATATTCTTTATCCCCCTCCCTACCATGTATATACTCCTATATGTATTACTTAGTCTGCTTTCTTTGATAGATCACTCTTGATTGATTCCTCTACCTCGGCCACTCGAACGGACACGCAATCTGCGGATGGTGCTTGGATATGATGTTGCTTGAACGCGGGCGCATGTGAAAGAGCGTCACGAGGGCGACCTCTCCAAATGACAGCGGGCTCTCTCTCTCTCACGCGTGCAGGCCCAGAACTCCCAGAACTCCCAGAACTCCCAGAACTCCCCAGGGCACAGCAACCCCCCACCCCCACATCCCGCCCACCTTCCACTCCACCAAAGCAAGACTGAAAACGAAGGAACCCCCGCCCTCCTCGCATAGCATCCTGAACACACACTCCATTCCACCTCACCCCCCGCAAGATGCCCGGCTCCCAAGAAAAACCTCCAAAAACCTTCAGCCTCCAGGAAACCCTCCCCCGGCTGCCCATCCCACCCCTCGAAGAAACCGCCGCTCGCTACCTCCAAACCCTCGTGCCCATCCTCACCCCCGAAGAGTACAAAAAGTCCGAAGCCATCGTCCACGACTTCATCAAACCAGGCGGACTCGGCCATGACCTCCAGACCCGCCTACGCGAGCACGACCGCCGCGAACCCAATTCGTGGCTCGAACGGTGGTGGTTGAGCTTGGCGTACCATGGCTGGAGGGAGGCGGTTATGATCAATTCGAATTGGTATATGGTTTTGAGGGATCATCCGGAGACGCCCAAGGAGCTGATGCCCAGGAAGGGCGAGGGGAAGGAGAGGGCGGTGGTTCCGTCGGCTGGGTTTACGAAGTTTCAGGTCAAGCGGGCGGCGGGGCTGGTCAACAATTTGCTGGATTACAAGGATATGATTGATACGTACGTATGCGGTGAGGGTGGGATGCAATGGGCGCTAGGCGCTAGCGAGTGCGCGTTTCGCAAAGGTCTGGGAGCCCGACCCTATCCAACCGACTTACCGCTGTGGTATTGTTCACTCTCACAGGGAAACGTTATCGATCGATACGACGCGAACAGGCCCTCTAGACATGAACCAATACCGCAACCTCTTCGGAATCACCCGAGTCCCGAAAGCTGGATGTGACTACAACGTGGGCTCCCACCCTTCCCCGAGCAAGCACATTGTGGTGCTTGCGCGGGACCAGATCTATCTCGTGGATGTGTATGACGCGACGACGGGAAACCGGGTGACCATTGAGAGCATTGAAAGGTGTTGTTTCGAGACCGCGCTTCATCAACCCGTGGAGCTTGTATCTCACCCGACCGAACACTCAGGCAGCTGGTGTCTGTTCTGGAACACGCGCAGTCAGGGAATCAGAAGCAACTGCCAATCAGTCTGTTCACTGCCCTTCACCGTGACAAGTGGGCCGAGGTGCGTTCCTACTGACCTTTTGCATATCAGCCGGGCGGATATGCAATCTTAACCATTCCTTCCCTTTCCCGCAGATCCACTCGCACCTGCAGAAGCTCGGACAAGCCAACAAAGACAACTTTGCGGGCATCGAGACTGCCCTGTTTGCCGTTTCGCTCGACGACTACATCCTGCCTGCTGACATCGAATACGTTGCAAGTGGGTTTCGTGATGCATTACTCATTTTCTACGTGTACATGCATTCATCAAAAACTGGGTCATCAGGAAATACATCCCATGGGCTTACCGGACACAATCGTTGGTTTGACAAGTCATACTCTGTCTGTGTCATGGCTGATGGAAGGACGGGTGTCAACGGCGAGGTGCGTTATGAAATCTTCACATATGCCCTTTACAAAGGGTGATACTCATGTGGTCATGTCCACCCAGCACTCCCCATGCGACGCCCTGATACCAGCCATCATCGCCGACCACGTCGTCAAACAGTGAGTCCTACACACATAAATCCAGACTACATCAGCTCTATAGTGACCAACCCCCTCTCTGAAAACCAGCGAACCCGCAACAAACCCCGCCTCCGCCAAACAAAACGCGACAATGCGACCGCCCAAGCACCTCGAATGGATCACGGACGACAAGATAGCGCAGGAGCTCACGGACGCGGAAAAGACCGTGGCCGTCGCGATTGCCGACTCGGATGTTAGCATTTTGCAGTATAACAAGTATGGGTCGGATTTCATGAAGAAGACCGGTACGTGTTGCGATGCAGGCGTCTGCTTGTAGATCCCTATGTTCTGTGTCATACTGACCTTGTTGTGCCGTACGATAGGAAAGTCGAGTCCAGACGCATACGTCCAGATGGCCCTCCAGCTCGTGTTCCACCGTATCCACAAGGAGTTTGCGGCGGTGTACGAGACGGCCAGCACGCGGCAGTTCAAGCATGGCCGGACGGAAACTTGCCGATCGTTGAGCACGGACTCGAAGGCGTTTGTCGAGGCATTCGATAAGGCTGGGCTTTCGGTACGTCCTCCCATATCTCTCACACTTCCTCACAACCCTCATCCCTCATCACCGCGCATTTATTCCTTCCGTAGCCCCAAGAAAAATACACCCTCCTCCAAAAAGCCTGCACTGCCCACGTCGCCTACCTCAACCTCGCGGGCCAAGGCCGCGGTGTCGACCGGCACCTCCTCGGTCTGCGGATGGTGATGAAGCCCGGCGAAACGGCCGAGATATACACGGACCCGGCGTATGCAAAGAGCAGCCATTGGAGGTTGAGTACCAGTGGGTTGTTTCCGGGGGAGAGGATTCTGTCGACTGGGTTTGGGACTGTGGTATGTTGGGTTCTGGCGAGGATGTGGTTTGTCTCCGATTGCCAACTCCTGATATTCGCCTTGTACAGTACCCCGACGGCTACGGCATGAACTACATGATCGGCAGCAAGCTGGTCAAGATCGGCGTCGAGAGCAAGTTCTCGTACGCGCCCACATCCTCCGTCAAATTCACGCAGACGCTTGCGAAGGTGTTTGATGATATGGCGGAGGTGTGTTTGGCGGTTAATGGCGCGGGGGAGAAGGATAAAGCGAAGTTGTAGAGTTGGGTATGAAGTGGGGGACACTCGAGTGTATGAGAGGTAGGATGAGATGGATTAGAAGAGATGTTGACGGTAGCGCTAGATTTTTCGTTAGGCGTTGTGCAATCAAAGACACTTTCTCGGCGAAAACTCCGATATGAACCATATGAGAACAGCCCAAAAAACCAGATTGTTTTTATTCGAGAGACGGGAAAATGTCCGGGGACAGGTATCAGAAATGCTTCCCAAAAAATGAGCGAAAGATCAAAAAACAACCATACTACACAAGGTATCACAGATCATCAGAAAAGAGGGTCCGGGACATCACACACTCCCAAGAAAAGGGAAAAGAACCGTCTCTCGCATATCCCCCCCCTCACCCCCCCCCCCCCCCCCCCCCCCCCCATCACAACCCAATATAAAAACACCCCATGACCGGCTCCACAAACATCCCCAACACCACATTCCCCACCTTGCGTATGTCCACCCTCCCCTCGGGCAAACACGGCCACGGCGCGACAGGCGGCACCGCCCACCACGGCTGCACGGCCCTCGGTTCCGCCTTTGGGCTGAAATGCAACGCGCCGGCTGGTGTCTGCGCCATCGTTACCAGCGCCGCATGCTCGCCCGCCGCATTGAGCTCCCCATGATGATGAATCCCCTGTCCGCCTCTCGAATCCGCCTCCATCACAAACTCGCCCGCCCCATCACCGCCAAACCCCAGCCGACACCGCGCATAGACCCTCTGCTGCGCGGCATCCACCGTCGTCACGACCCCAAAATGCGTCTCCCCGCTCGTGAACGAAATCACCTCGTCGGCGCCCTCCTGGGCCGCCCAGAAGCATTCCTCCATGACCAACGCAAACACGCCGCGGTAGTGGGCGGACGCGTTGGGGTCGTACATCCCGAGCATCACGGACCCGAAGCACTCGGCGGTGTATGTGTTGGGCACGGCGACGGTGTTGGGCGGCCCGCGGATCAGCTGGGTCTCCTTGAACGTGATCGACGTCGAGTGCGTCTCCGAGACCGTCAGCGTGCCTTTGACCTTGGTGATGGCGTCCGCGATCGTGCGCCACCGGCAGATCCCCAACAGCGTGAGCCGGTTGCGGCGATGCGCACCCCCTCGCCCCGTGGGTTCGGCCCCGCCCCGGCTACGCCCTAAGGACCCGGTGACACCCCCCTCGTCACCGGCTACGGCGACGTTTTTGACCACAAACTCCATGGGGTAGCACTCGAATGCGTTGGTGGCGCGATCGAGAGCCCACCCGACCCACCGCGTCCTCAGCACGCTCAGCCGCCAGTACATGTCGGCCCAGGTCTGTTCCTGGATGCCCTCATGGCGTAGCCTGAACGAGTGGTGCGCGCGTTGGGGTTGCAGGCGGAAGCGGGTGAGGACGCGGTGGCGGTACAGGGCTTCCGTGTTGGATTGGATGAGGACGTGCAGTTGGCGGCAGGTGAGGGAGAAGCGGTGCAGGGTGGAGGGGGGCAGGTGTTGGAGGAGGAGGAGGAGGAGGTCGGTGGGGAGGTGGGGGAAGGGGTTGGTGTTGGGCGGGTAGGAGGGATTTGACGTTGTTGATATCATGGTGGGGGTGGTGGTGGGTTGCCGCTTTGCGCTTGACGAGACGACGGGTAGGCAGGCGCCGTGAAGATACGACTGAGTTTCCCAAGATGATGAAGAAGAAAAGGAGGAGGCGGTGGCAAGACTTGCTCGTCTTAATTCGATATCGCGCGGCGAAGACGAGGAGGAGAAGGATGGTGTTTTGAGCGTCACGGTGGGCGTCGGGGTTGGATATGTGGAGAATGTTGAGGGATCGTTAGCGATGCTGGGTTCTGCTGATCGAACAAGACGGGGAAAATTAGATGTCAGTTGAGAACAGAGGGTTGTGAATCATTCGTGTGAGATGTGGTGCAGGGAGCACCCCTATGTGAACTCAGGGATTGTGGGTGTTTTCACGTGTATCCCAGGCATCGAGGTGGTACTTACGGGCGAGGTTGGAGTTGACGGTGCCCATGCTGTTGTTTTCTCGGCGGTCGGAAAACGCCGACGGACGAAAGGTGCGGCACGGAGGAACCGAACGTTGAAGCTCGGGCGGCGTGACACCGGAGATAGATAGGATTCTCCCCTCACTCTCAGATCAATAGGCGACGGTATTCGACGAGTTGCGAATGTCTCAAATGGAGCAGAAGCGTTGCCGAAGAAGGAAGCGTTTCCGAAGAAGGAACAGAAATCCGGACAGTAACGTAAGAGTAAGGGTGTCTCTGGTATGTGTTCCGAGTTTTTTCCAAGACGCGAGAAACCAGCGTTGCGAGCACAATTTTACTTGAAGCGAGCGACGAGTTGGATCAGCTTGGGCCTCGAATGGTAGCGCGGAAAGTACGGAAACAGGGTATTTGTTGGTTGTTTTTGTCGGTCAAGGGGGGTGAATGCAGGAGGGCAAGTTGACGGCGTGACGCCGACGCGTGATGCGTGACAGCATCGACAACATCGCCCTCAGAGACTCACGTCCAGCAGATCCTACGGTGGACACATCCCCACCCAGCAAACACCTTCCTGCGAGATGTCAGACCCACCACAACCCTCCCGCCCGCCAACTGACCCTAAATCCCGCCCCAGCCCCACCTCTAAAAACTCAACCAGCAACAGCGGAATTAACACCACATCCAAACCTCTCCCCTTGCCCTCCGTCACCGAACGCAGCGCCGGCTCTCCTGCCGGCGGCCCTTCCTCCTCGCAGCCGCAACCCTCCTCCCAACAACCCCAACTCCCCGGCACAAAACTAGCAACCTCCCTAACAACCCTCACAACCCAAACGCGCACCGCCCACGACGCCCTCACACGGATGATGCAGACCACCACCCTCCTCCGCGAGCAAGCCGCCGCGCACGGGACGGAGTGCGAGGCGTTGGAGGCGGAGAAGAATCGGGCCAAGGCGGAACTGGAGGCGATGGTGAGGAGGGTGGAGGGGTTGGTGGGGATGAAGGGGAAGGTGGAGGGACGGTTGAGGGAGTTGAGGGTGGAGAATGGGAGGTTGGATGCGGTTTTGATGGTAGGTCTGTGGGTTTTTGGGATGTGTATGTGGTTGAAGGCTATGTTCAGATATGCTCATTATTACTCATACCGCCGACAGGACTGGGAAGCTGGTAAAACTCCGACATAGCAGTTCTTGCTAGGCCTCGTTCGCATTTTCGTGCGTAGCATAGGCATTTTTGAATGTTTTGGGAGTTCAAGGACAAATATCCTCTAAATCCTGTGTATATACGAGTATGTGAGTATGATACTCGGTTCCAACGTTTAACATCTCCTACGCCATTGTAGAGCCATACGTATCTACGTACGAGAAAACCAAAATGCTGCATATGTGGGTGGGAGCTGACAGATGCAGCAGCGTGAGAGCGGAGTCTTTGACAGGCCATGCCGCATTGACAGGGCGCGTTAATAGGTGCTATATATATACCTTTCGCCCGTGGACATCCGAACGGCCCATTGCGAACGACCGCAGAGACCGCAGGTGGTGGTGCTGGTGGTGGGAACAGCTCCGGGGCTCCACGCACACGGCCTCATATATACATACAGTACGCTAAAGGCAACAAGTTTCGACAAAACAAGAGCCGTGAATTCCGGCTCGAAACACTCTGGCCCCGCCGCATGCCCCTCCCCCGCACCCTCCTCCACCTCTTCATCATCCTCACGCCTCTCCTGCTCCTCCTCCTTACCCCGTCCCTATCGATATCCACCGAGCACAGCGACATCCACATCCTCCACGACCTCTGGTGCACGCAAGTTGAGATGCCCGCCTGGCTTTCGTCTCTCACGGGATGTTTCGGGGTAGTGGGTGCTGAGGAGAGTCAGAAGTTGGGGGATGGCGAGGGTGGCACAGGAAGACAGTGTGTGTTTTGTGGGATCGCGAATGGGACGGATGAGCGGGCGAGGGTGGTTTTCCAGGTAGGTTTGGAGACTTGGGGTGGCTGATGGCACTGTGAGGGGATGTGCATTACCGCTACCCATTGCGTCTCCCAACAGAGAAGTCCCCCAGACGCTGACCCACATCTTATCTCCACCCCAACAGAACGAAGAATTCGTAGCCTTCCACGACATCAACCCCTCCGCCTCCACCCACCTCCTCCTCATCCCCCGCGCCCACATCCCCACCGTCAAAGACCTCCCCGCATCCTCACACCCGCTCATCTCCCGCATGTCCCAAATCGGGCACACTCTCCTCTCCGACATGGGCTATCCCCCTTCCAGGCACCGTCTCGGCTTCCACGTCCCGCCATTCACGTCCGTGCCACATCTGCATATGCATGTGCTGGGGCTGCCGTATCGGGGACGGTTACGGAGTATTAAGTATCCGGAGAGGTGGCGGTGGAGTCGGTGGTTTGTGGAGGCGGAGAGGTATGGGAGGTCGTTGAAGGAGGCGGATGAGAGAGGGTGGGAGGGGAATTGGACGTGGAGGTGGGTTAGGGATTAGATGACATATGGGGACGCTCGTGGCATTTGGACGTGGCAAGGAGGTTATACACTGCGTTGGGACATGTGACGTTTTCCGAGTTAGGACTAGGGAGTCCGTAGATTGAACAGTTATCCTACTCGAGTCACAATAATCCCTGATGTTGCACATTAAGTGCGAAGCATGCCTGCTTCACACTTAACGCTGCATATCACATTCTCCTGACGCTTGGGCACCTTGCGACAGCCTCGGGCTAGAACGAAGGCTCGCCAGTGTCCTACGTTCCAGCTGTCCCCACTCTTGGAGGGGGCAAGTTGACGGCGTGACAACATTGACACGGGTGACAGCGAGGACAACCCTAACCCTAACCCTGAGTGCAAGTCTTGTTATTCATCTGTTACGGTGGGGGTGTGAAGGGTGGCTTCCGTTTTGGTTCAACGACACGAGGAAAAGTGCATCACCCTCCATACCCTCCCTCCATACCTTCTAGTACTGGCTAACAAGATCCAGCACGCCGTGGATAAGCCGTTCTTCTCCTCTCAACCCACCCCACCAAGCGATCGACGCTCTCGGCCAAAAAAAATGAACACCGCCAGACGTTCACTCACCCACAACCTCCAACGCACCCTCGGCCTTTGCCTCCTCTACTCCTCCCTCGCCCGCTCCTGTCCTCGCCCTTCCGCTTCATCCATCCTCCTCAGCACCCTTTCCACCGCCTCGAAATGTTCACTCTCACAGCACCTCCCACCACAGTCGCCTCATCACCACGTGCAATCGCGCCCCATCTCGATTTTCACGCGTCAAGATCCCACTCCGCTGCCTGAAGAAACGAAGTTTTCGAAGGTGGCTTGTAGTTTTGCGCTGCCAAAGGAGATTGAGCGGGATTATCGTGTGGGGAGGTTTTTGGGAGCGGGTGCTTTCACGGAGGTTTTTGAGGTTGTTCAGAAGGATACGGGTGAGAAGGTGAGGGGCATGCGAGTGTGAGGCGAGCGAGCGGAGAGCGGCGATGGAAAAGGGAGAATGATGTCTTTTGTCCCGAGCCGAACCGCGAGCGTTCTCTCCCTGTTATGGATATTGTACGCTCCGGAAGGGCATATTCTGACCCCGTCCTCCGCATCATCTATCCTCGTAGTTTGCACTAAAGTTCCTCCCAAAGGACGACATCGACCCCAACCTCCAATACTCCTTCGAAGCCGAATCCGCGCCACACCTTTCCCACCCGCACCTCATCAACTACATCCAATCCTACGAAACGCCCGTTTCCCCCACCTCCCCACCCGCACTCGCCATCCTCATGGAACTCTTCGGCCACCGGCTCCGCTACTTCACCGCCCAGTTCGGTCAGCCAACCGTGTCGCAGGCAATTGAATGGGCCGCCCAGCTCGCCTCGGCGCTCGCATACCTCCACGCCGCGGGAATATGCCACGGGGACGTGCGCCCGGCCAACGTGCACGTGGACGGGCGCACGGCGAAACTGATGGATCTGGGCACCGCGCATCATGTCGGGAGTCGCGGTGAGCAGGGGGTCGAGGCGTTAGACGAGGACGTCCGCGCGCTGGCGAGGGTGGTGTTGGAGATGGTGGTGGGGAGGACGGCGGAGGATGGGAAGTTTGATGCGAGTCATGTCGAGGGGTTGAGGTTGCTGGGGGAGAGGGATGTGCCGATTTCCAGAGGTGGGTTGGTTCCCGCTTATTGCCTCCTCCCCAGAGTTTGACCCTTGACTCCCCCCCCGGTTCCCATCAACAGAACTGCGAGCGACCCTCCACTCCATTTTCGACCCCACACGCAAACCTCCTTCAGCAAAAGCCTTTGCTGACTTACTCAGCAAGTCTCAGTAACGTTCACACCTCCTCCCCACCTCGCCTCTACGAGCCCTCGTTAGCCCATCCATCTGTCCGCTATGATTGGCGGACGAAGACCATAGAATCTCTTCATTCACACACACACTCCGTGTACATATCACTCTACATTTTCCATCGGAGAAGGCACATCCCCAGAAATCATACTTCAATCCCGGAAGTCGGTCTGCAGGCCCGGATCTGGGACTTCCTGCAAGGATGCAGGCACAGGAACGGTGAGAAGGGAACTGAAAGACCCTGGTCTGGGGATCCCGCAGTCTGGGATGACTCCGGCCCCCGCTGGCCGAAATAAAGCTGCTTCCATTTTCTTCGTAAGGTAACCTATGGTGGAGATGGTGGACCGATATAGCAAGTCAAAGCACCCACATCAAAACATCTCAAGATTCGACAATTTTATTGCATCAAAAGCACGGGCGCGGCCCCTTATAACAAAAATAAAAAAAGGAAAAACACACACACAAACTCGGTTTCAAAAATCAGGCCCGCGGGGGGGGGGGGGGGGGGGGGGGGGGGAGGGGTTCGCCACCATAGCGGGGCGGGGGGGATACTAAAGGTAGCCAAAGAGCCGTTCCCCAAATACTCCAGGGCGAAAAGAAAAACCCACTGAGGGGGGGCTGATGTGAATAGAACCCAAAACTAGTGTGGGGGCGTCGGCGAGTTACCCGCGCTGGACCTCCTCCTCTGTTTGACCAGCTCCAGCTCCGCGGCCGCATCCTCGACGCGCTCATGCCCACCGACAACCAGTGATTCCTTGTGCAGCACTTTCCCAAAGGCCGCCTCGATCTTGCCGACCGCCTTCTCCATGACCGCGTGCACGCGGTGCGGGTGGTCGGGGTCAAAGTGGCGTTTGCGCGAGCCGGTCGAGGAGGAGTGGGTGGAGGCGGTCGAGTCGGTGCTGACTTTGCGGTTGCTGTTGTTTGTGGGGTGGTGCGAGGAGAGGTTCGGGTCCAGCACGGCGGCGGGGTCGTCGGACGGGGCGGGGCGGATGGTTTCCAAGCCCGCGTCCTGCGTGCTGCTGATCTTGCCGATGGACGCGTCGCGGTTGGGTGTAGGTGGGCGAGCGTCGGGGGTCAGGGAGCGGCGCTTTTGGTAGTCGGGGAGGGTGTCGTGTTGGGGGATGGGGGCGGCGAGGTCGGAGGAGATGGGGAGGGTGGGGAAACCCGGGGTGGGTGCGATGATTTGAGGGATGGTGGAGGCTTCGTAGGGGGTGGAGGGTGGGCTGCGGCTACCGTCTTTCTCCTCACCGAGCGAGGGCGCCGAGCTGGAACCCTCGCCTTCGGGCACGAGGGACTGCGTGCCGAGCACCTTGCTTGAGGGCGACCATTCCTGGATGGGGACGCTGCCGGGGGCGTCGGAGCTGAGGTTGGCCTTCTCCTGCTTGTAGACGCTGCTAGGAGCCGTCTCGGTGTCCGCATTCAGGGCCGAAGGGGTGATTCCCGTCGCATGCTTGCCCGCAAGGGAAGACTCGGCAGGGTTCTCTTCAGCAGCGGTCCTCGCAACATCCACCGCGGGGTTATGGTGGTCCCGCAACAAACCGGCACGAAGCGCGAACGCGAGACGAGTGGGGGATCCGCTAGTCCGAAGCTGGTCCTGGGATTGCACACGTTCAGCGCGCTCGTCCTCCTCCAAAGACCTCAACTGCTCACGGCCGGCAATGTTCAACGCGGGCGGAACCTCAGCGCTGCCACGGGCCTGCTCGAGTCCTTCGCGGAGGGCGTCGGCAGTCGCAGAGGCGGTGGGATGCTCGCCTTCCTTGATACGACGTTCGCGTTCAGCCTCCTCAAGTTGGTCCAGTTCGTTAAGCTTGTATCCGCCAGTAGCGTGGTGGAGCTCGATCGAGCCGGACTGCAAAGCGTCCTTGACGAGCTTCGCCTCATCGTGGGCGTGAGACTCGAGCGCTTTCTTGTCTTCGATACGCTCGTCACGTTCAACTTCCTCAGCGTCGCGGAGCTGGCCGAGCTTTGCGACCGAGGCCGCGGGGGTCTTGCTGGCGCTGTCACCGGCGATTCCAGCCTGGAAGAGACTGGCGACCTTCTCCGCGCTCTGCTGGTTGTACATTTGCGAGCCGGCGGTCTTCTCATCCCGAGCGACCTCTTCGGCCTCACGGGTCAGAGCGCGTTTGGCGAGGTTGACGGCACCGTTACCCTCCTCGTGCACCCCCTCGCGGAACGCCGAGGCGACGTTGTGCGCTCCCTCAGCATTGTCCTCACCCGTCCTCAACTCCCGCTCCTTCTCAATCTCGCTCTCCAACCGACGGCCCAAAGCAATATCAGCAGCCGACTTCAACCTGTCCGCAGACCCACTGGCGCCCGCAAGGCCCTCCGTGAAAGCGCGGGCCTGCTCAGCAGCCAAGCCCCTCTGGTACCCCTCTGCGTGCTCACGTTCCGCGCGCTCAACCTCCTCGGCCTCCCGCACAAGCTCCCTCCTGGGCACGTTCAACGCCGGGATGGTCGCGCCCTCGCCAAGATGCTCACGGATGCCCTCGGTGAACGCCCGCGCTTCCTGACGCGAGTGTTCCCAGACCTGCCGGCCGGTGGCGCCCGGGCGATCGCGGCGTTCGCGCTCGACTTCCTCGGCGTATTTGAGTTCTTCGATGGGGGTGGGTTTCTGTTCCTCGGACGCGGTCGAGTCAGCCGTGCCTTGTTTCCATTCGGGGAGGGTGCGGATGCCGGTTTCGGCGGCGACGGGGGATTGCGTTTCTTCGGTTTCGGTGGTGGGTTTCTTGGAGCCGCCGGGGAGGACCGACGCGACTGTGGAGGCGAGAGCCGAGGGGGCTGCGACGACACCGGAGGCGACGGAAGAGCCTGCGGACGCGACACCGCGGACGACGGCGCCGGGGGCGGCGACGACGGCGCTACCGGCTGAGGCGACACCGTGGACAATCGCGCCCGGTGCCGCAGCGACGCCGTGGACAACTGAAGATCCAGCCGACGCGACACCGTGGGCGAGCGCAACCGGCGCGGCGATAACTCCCTTGACGACCGAGGTTCCAGCAGACGCGACCGCCGACGCCGTGCCCGTGACAGCGTTGGCGGTCCCGTGACCGACGGCAGCAGCGGTATCGATCACCTTGTGCGTGATCGCAGCCGGGACAGCAGCGACAGCAGAGACGGCGGATCCCGCGGCGCCGGTCGCGCGCTGGGTGATAGTGGGCCCCACGGGCTGGTCGAGTGTCTGTAAAGTCTGCGCGTGGCTTGTTCCAGCGGGGAGGATGCTGGAGGCTACGGCGGAGGGAATGGCCGCAGCGCGCTGGATGAGAGAGGGGCTCGCGGGCGCTTCGGTGGGGGCGAACTCGGTGTCTACGGTCAGGTTCTCGCGGCTGGGTGCGGGGGAGATGGCGCGCTTGGCACGTTGGCCGACGGCGATGGGGACTGAAACGGCGGTGTGGGCCGCAGAGGACGCTGTAAGGAGAAATGGAGAACGGACAAGTTTATCAATACCATACATTCACAGTAACCGGAAAGTCCGCCCGACTGATGTTGCAATCAATAAGTCAAAAGGAGAAAGACTTGTGAAGACTCACCAGCACTCCCAACAGCACTAGCTCCCGCAACAACCGCATTCCCAGCCGCAGCCGCTAGATGCGTGACACCCGTAACAGCCGCCCTCGGGACCGCAATCGCCGACGTCGCAGCCTCCTTCGCAGCGGCACCAGCGCGTTCGGAGATACTAGGTCTCCTCGGCGCAAGTGTCTCACCCTGCGGCGCAAGTGTGTCCACCTCCGCAGGCACCTCGGACGTGCTCCGACTGCGCGAGCGGGTGGGGAGGAGGTTTGACGCTTTCTCGGCGACGACGTGGGGGATGTTGACAGCTGTGTTGTAAGTTGAGGACGCGACGTTGGATGTGGTTGAAGCGACGGATTGGGCGGCGCCGAGGGCGGTGTTGTACGCGCCCGTGGCGACGTTGGAAGCGGTGTTGCCCACGTTGCGACCGGTGTTGATGGTCGTGTTGTACGCTCCAGTGGCGACATTCGAAGCGGTGTTGCCCACGCTGCTGGCGACGTTCGAAGCCGTGTTACCGACGCTGCGAGACGTGTTGACCGTCGTGTCCGCAGCACGATGGAGAGCGTTCTGAGTAGCCGCGATGATCGGGGTGGTGTACTGCCCCGCCTTCTCCGACGCAAACGACGCGGTCCCGGTGACAGTATCGCGAGCAGCCACCGCGGTGTTGGACGCGACATTCGCGGCCGTGTGGGACACATCAGCGACCTTGTGGTACACCTTCTCGCCGACTTCGACGGCCTTGTGGACGGCGTCGGTGGTGAGAACTTTGGCGACGGTTTCGTACTCGACGACCTTGTCAACGACCTTTTCGAGGGCTGCGGTGGTGGCTTCCTTGGAGTGCGCGTAAGAGTGGACGGTGCTCTCGCGAGCGATGGACGCGGCGGGGGACACGATGTCCGAGGTGGTTCCGACTGCCTTGCGGGAGGTTTCGGCGGTGGCGACGTAGATCTGGCCAGCTTTCTCGGTGGCGGTGTGCGCGGTAGATTCTACTACATCTTGGGCGGTCAAGATAACGTCCCTGGCGCGGGTGGCGGCGGATGCAGCGGTACCCTTGATGACCTCAGGCTTGGTCGCGTAGGCCAGGTTTTCGCGCGCAACTTCAGCGGGCGGTGCGCCGACGACGGGAGCTACCTTGGTGTAGGCTTGCTCAACGACGTTGCCGACGGTGGCAGCGGCAGACTGAGCGGTCTGCTTGATGGTCGCCGGGAGGTTTGCAGTGCGGGCAGCAGCTTGCTCGTAGGCAGAACCGTACGATCCAACCGCGGATTCCTTGCCAGCCGCGAGGGCCTGCGGAGCGACTTCCTGGGCTTGCTTGACCGTTTCGCGAGCCGCAACGTATGAGTTACCCGCAGCTTGCTTCGCAGCGACGGCGCCTTCCTTAGCTGTCTCGGTCAGAGGAGCAGATTGAACGGGAACGTCGGACAATTCAGTAGGAGTAGCGTAAGCGGAAGATTCGATAGGGGTCACGATAACCGGCGGGAAGTCCCTAGCAGCGATAGGAGCAGCCAGGACTTCATCACCAACGTGGGGGGCGTTGAATTGCTCCGGGGTACTGAGCAATTCGGAAGTAGTAGCCGGCGTAGAGGTGGTGGCAGGCGCGACCTGCTCGACGATTCCACCTACAGCTTCACGCGCGGCGGATGCAGCGGCTACGAAGGTTCCGGCGACGGATCCGATGACATCGCCGGTTTTCTTCCCGGCGCTTTCGGCGGTAGGGTGCTCTTCGTTGGCAACCGATTCGAGTTGGGCGGACGTGTCGATTGCAGCGGGCTGGGTAGCAGGACGGATAGCGGCAGCTGCCTGGTCACGGACTTCGGAAGCGGCTCCGGCGACGGTTCCTGCGACGGTACCCATTACGTTTCCAGTGGCGATCCCAGCGTGTTCTGCCGTGGGATGGGTAGGGGTAGTAGGTTCGACAGCTGCAGCTTCTGTGGTTTCAAAGTTGCGAGATACGCGGCGGCTAACGTTACGGAAGAAGCCAGTGGCGACCGATGCGACGTTGCTCACGGTGTTTGTCAAGGCGTCACGAGTGGTTGCTGCGAGTTCAGAAAGGGTCGGCTCGTCGTCGTCGGAAGGATACTCGTCGACGGCTATTTCAAATAGGAAGTAGAGAAAGATAGAGACAGACGGTGTGAGAATTTGGGATAGCGGGAGAATTGAATAGCAAGTGGCAGAAGTATATGGCAGACACGGATGACGCTGTTGCAATAAGTGTGGAGAGAAGAGCGGGGAATTCCATATCGATCTATCACCACTCACCAACAGGAAACAAGCTCGGCATCTCCTCCGCGGGGGTATCAGGCACCTCCCTTAGCGGAACAACGGGTATCGTCGCCGGGGTCACAAAGTTCTTCTGGCTGTAGATGGGAACCGGGGGCGCAACACCAGGAGCACCCGCGAGGACGTGGGGCACACGGTGACGAAGGCCCTCAGCCTCTTCGGCGGCTTGGGCTGGCGACTCGTAGGTCGTTTCCCGTTCAACGGATACTGGATCGCTGGACATGGTGAATTTGTTTATGTAACGGGGGGTGGATTTCGGATGTGGAGCGAGCGGATGCTGGATATGTGCGGGGGTGGGTTTGATGGGGGTAGTGAAGATGTAATATTTCCAAAAACGCAACGATTATGAACAACACAGGTACGTTATGTGCAGCTCTGCCTGTTGCAGTGCGGGGGGGATGGGCAAAACAAAGGCGGGGGGGAGGGTGGCGAGGGAAGCAGGTTGGTTTTATTCGCCCGGTTGTGGAGAGAGGGGCGGGCAGGAAAGGGACGGACCGAGAAGGGAGGGGGCGCCCTCCACGCGTAAGGGTGACAGGGAAATGACGTGCGCAATCGACTCCCCGATTCGTACGAGTAAAGATATGTAAACAATAGGCGCATTCCCATCATCATGCATGATTCATGCTTGCTCGCTTGCTTGGCCATGGCATAAGAATCATATGGGAGGCGCACACGGAAAGAATAAGCTTACGTACGAGGGAAGAAGAGTGTGAGAGTAAACAAACGCTCTTGGCTGAGGCGCCCCTAATCGCTGGCTGGGAAACGAACGAGATGACGGCATGCATCGGGCGGGCGGCGGATGCATCACGCGCGCGTGCGTCGGTCGACCAGGGCTGCCAGGGAGGGAGGGAAAGGGCTTGGGCTTCTTCAAGCCTGTTTCTTTTCCATCCCCATATGCACATGCATAGACGGCGTCCTATGTCCCACATTCATCAGGGGGGGCCTTGCAAAAGCACGCTTATCGGAGCGCAATTTCGCAAAAGTCAAGCTAGCTCAGCAACAACGAAAACGCCGTGCTTGTCGGACGTGCAGAGAACGAGAGAGTCGTCATTTCTTTCCCGCGGAGAGAGTGCAGAAGCAAAGCCACGAGTGAGTGCACATCATCCCACATCAGAAACAATGACATCACTCATTAGCGCGTGATGTCATCCCCATTCCACAATGAATACAAAGGTCACGGCATCTCACGTGGCTTACATCGTTTATTATGTAAGACGTGGCGCTTGCTTGCATGTGGTTGGTGTTTCCCGTTCTCTGATAATCAGATTTTTAAGGTTCATGGGATCCTGGGGCAGATGCGAGAAAGAACCAAGCACCGGCGATCCAGTTGGGCCATCATAATATATTATACCCGACGGCCTGGGGTGGCGTTTCGCACACTCATCTCATCAGAAGTACTGTAAGATTTTGAACTCACTCCGCTCAACGTTTCATCAGGTTTTGAGGCGAAAAAAGGCAGCGAGCGAGGACAAAGGGCTTGAAGCGTGATGAGAATAGGACATGCAAGCAAGGGTGCAAGGAGTGAGCGCTGGGGCGGATGTCTAATACCCCCCCAAAAGCCTTTGAGGAACGAGAACACCCGATTGGGATGGGAGGGCAGAGGGCAGGCAGATAGTAATACGTACGTAGATATCGTTCGCAATTTTGGGTTTCAAGCCGCCACCCTCCCTCCCTCCGCGCCCGGTCGCTTAGTAGGATAGCCCCCGTCCCGTCCGCTGTGCAAGTTTCCCTTCGGCCGGCCGACCTTATCCCTTACTTCGCACGGCGGACGTCCTACTCCGCTCTCTCGATATCCCATAACAACAACGACGACGACGACAACGACTATCGTATAGCCAGCTCGCAACGTTGGAAACATACCACCTACGCTTTCGTGTTGACAGCGAAGCGACGAGCCAGACTACACTCTTTTTCACGAGGAGGCCCCGGCGGTCCCTCGACCTTGTTTGTATATACCTCTCAACCCCTCGTAGCATAGTTCCAGGATGGTCGCTGGACGACCAACAGAGGGCTGGAGTCTGTACAGTAACGATCTCCTTGACCAGCCTAAGATCCCAATATCGTCAACACCACCACCACCAAGAGGACGAGCAGGAGGGTCAGAGTCGATGGGTTCACCTCACAGCAGCGAGGAGGACGATGTGTTCTACCCGGACGGACTAGACACACTCCCTTTCGAATCGCACGACGGGAAAGGATCCAATCCACGGCGGCACCGGATGTCCGTCTCATCAACAAGCTCGGCAACCAGCCACGACGGCCTGCTCACCTCCTCCCAAACGTACGTCGCATCCAGCCCAACCGTCAAAAGCGAAGGTCGACGACCGTCCGACCGATCACACATCAAACTATCCCGACCCGGCCAGCCGCAACGAACAGTATTCGGCACAATATGCAAGTTCGCCACATTCATGTTCCCAACACCCATCCTCAAACTCATCGGTCTGACCACGTCTCAGGACCGCCAAGCATGGCGCGAAAAAATCGTCATCGCAACTCTCATCCTCCTCGCATCCGGTGTTTTCCTCTTCGTCGTCGATTACCTCCCCTGGATCACCTCCCCGCACCTGCAGGACTTTTCCGTCTCCCAACTGGCCTCAACATCCTACGTCGGCGTCGTCGGCCGCGTAATGGATTTCCCCGACGACTCCCCCTACGCACCCGCGGCAATATACAAGGGCAACGACGTGTCCTCCATGTTCCCCACCTTCAGTCTATTGGGCGTCGACGCGGACATTGCGGCGGTCGTGAACGATTCAAAGACGATTGTGAATTGGGTGAATACGAGGATATCGATGCAGACGGGGTATGTGGTGGATTTCGAGAGGGGGGTGTTGCAGGATTGTCCGACGCCGGTGAAGACTTCCGCGCCGTGTTTTACGGATTTTACGAAGTTGGATGAGTATGCTGTTGGATGTAAGTTGAATGGTTCGAACGGACGGCCGTTTGAATATAATGACGCAGAGAGATTGACAATTTCATGTTCTCGTCCCTTCGCTTTTAGACATCCTGCACGATCCAGAGACCGTCAAACTCTCCCAAACAAACCGCACAACAGCGCTGATCATAATTGACTCCTACGTCTACGACGTGACATGGTACCTGCGTATCGCAACCTCCATCCCAGCAGACGCGAGCACCGAGTCCGTCAACATCACCATCAAAGAATCCGCCGCCTTCCTCCCCCTCGACTTCACCCAAGTCCTCCTCACAAACATCGGCCGCGACGCCAGCGCAGACATGAAACTCCTCCCCGACCGCAAACGCTACATGAAAGCCCTCAACAAGCTCTTCTTCGCAGGGATCCTCACCGACGCCGTGCCCCCGACCATCTCCCGCCATAACCGCGTGCTTATCCTCGGCGGCGGCGTCATCTACGTGCTCTACATCATCAAGAATTTCATGACCCTCTCCCGCGGCTTCACCTCCATCGCCAAAGCCCAAAAGGGGCCGCTGAACATGGTCTTGATCCCCATCTACAACGAGGAATCCGTCACTATCCAACGATCCATCGAGTCGGTTGCAAACAGCGAGTACGACGAAGGGAATAAAGTCTTGTTTGTTGTGGTGGACGGATCAACAATGCAACCGGGATCCCACCGCGACACCGCCTCCGCCGTCGCGGGGATCCTCGGCTACGACGCCGCCCATTTCTCCGAATTCACATACGCGTCCACGGGGAAAGGGTCGCGGTGCTCTAACCTCGCCCGCGTGTATGGGGGCTATTTCACGCCTGCGGAGGGTGCGCAGATCCCGTATGTCGTGATTGTCAAGACCGGGTTGAAGAGCGAGACGCAGCAGCCGGGGACGAGGGGTAAAAGGGACTCGTTGTTGATTTTGATGCGGTTTTTGAGGGCGGCGCGGTTTGAGAGTGCGGTCCCTCCGACCAGTTTGGAACGGGAGATTTATCTGAAATTGGCGACGCTTTTGGAGAGGGACACACTGCCGTTTGAGTATCTTACGGTGGTCGATGGGGATACCTACGTCTCTAAACACGCGTTGAAGATACTGGCGGGTAAACTGACTCACGACCCGACACTCATGGGCGTGCATGGCGGTATCCGCCCTGCCCACACCCGCACCTCCTTCGCCACCCTCGTGCAGCAGTACCCCTGGTTCCACCTCCACCACCTCGCCCCCGCCCTCGACTCTGCAACCGGCTGCGTCGGCCGCGCGTGGTCAGGCGGGTTCGCGACTTACCGCGTTGTGTTCCCCTCGGGCAGACCCTGCCTCGTCGACGACGCCGTGATCAAACGATTTGCCCGGGTTCCGGAAACAATGCACGCCCGGAACGCCATCGCGGTGGGTGAAGACAAGGTGTTGGCAGACATCCTCCTCCGCGTGCACCCCGCCCGCAAAACCAAACTCGACTACTGCTCCACCGCCATCGCCTACTCCGAGGTGCCCGCAACCTTCCGCGCCCTCTTCGGCCAGCAACTCCGCTCGTTTGCGTGCCGGTTCCATCTGCTCTCCGGCATGGCACTAACGCACCCCCGGTGGAGTATCAGGTTACGTGCCGCGAGCGAGGTGGTGGCAATGACACTCGCGCCCGTCGCCACTGCGTTCATGTACTACATGTTCGCCCGGCTCGTGTACTACATGATCATCAAGCACTGTCCCTCGGTATCGCTCGCCTTTGCGGACGCCATCGTGCTCGCTGCGCTCGTTAAACTCTTCCTCCTGCAAGCGGTGCTGTTCATCGCCACCTTGGATTTCAAGAGTTTGGTGCCGCTGGTGGTGCACATGGCGGTCGGGATGCCGTTGTTCCAGATCGTGGTGCCCGTGTGTGCGTTGTGGAGTATGGATCGGGTGAAGTGGAGCGATACGTGTTTGGAGGGGAGCGAGAGGGTTTTCAGGGAGTGTGGGAGTGAGGAGCAGGAGGGGGGTGAGAAGAGGGAGATGATGCAGGTTGCAGAGCGTCGCACTTCAGGCCCGGCATCGGCGGGGATGTTACCTTTCTTTGAGTTCCAGCCGCCGTCCCCGGCAGCCCTCAAGGATGATTTCAACAGCAGCACCCCGGGGGGGTCACCGCTGACCGCCGAATACGATATCTGGAACGACACCACCGGCGGCTCCCCACACCCCATCCAAACCTCCCCCCGCTCCCTCGCCGCCGCCGCACAGATGATGAACAGCGCCCTACCCCCGCGCTTCCAGCCACCACCCAAACATATCTCCCACGGCCTCAACTCCGCCTCCACAGTCCGGTCAACCCTCCCCCTCCTCCCCCTCCCCACCTCCGGGACCCCCTCACAAAACCTCGACCGGCAAAACTCAACCCTCACCCGCCGCCCCTCCCTCCGCAAGATGCTCGCCCTCGCCCGATCCCACTCCGACCTCGCAAACACCACGAACACCACCTCTATCGCGGACCTCCAGAACCTCGCCCGCTCAAACACCACCCACTCCACCGCAACCACCCTCACCCACCCCTTCCCCGCCTCCCGCTCCGAGAAAACCCACTCCGGCCCCCGCATCGTCTCGGGCTCCTCCGCCCGCACCACCTCCGTCCTCGGCTCCTCCTCCACCCCCTCCCACGCCTCCACCTCCTTCCCCCCCACCACCACCAACATCTACGACGTCCGCCCGGCGATCAAGGACGAGATCCACGGCTTCCTGGCCAACAGCGACCTGCACGTCGTCACCATGGACAGCGTGCGGGAGTACATGGTCGCCCGCGTCGGCGCACGGCTCGTCAGTGATTTCTGGGACGTCGTCGAGGAGGGCGTCGAGGAGTTTATGGCCGCGTGTGAGTGGGCGTAGGATGTGGACGGGTGCACACACCACGGTGCGGTTTGGCGTTTCGTAGACGAGGTGAGCGCCGCCCGGGTGTCGTTGACTGCAGGCTGGCATACATGCAAAATGTCACATATAGATTTTGATTCCATCGTACGAAAAGAAATATAGACTTATAGTACATACATTCCCGCGGACGAAAAAGCGTACCCTCGTTTTTTTTCCGACAGGTCGTCGTTGTGCGAACGCCCCAGCGTATCCGAGTCCAAGTCCCGCCATCAGAACCGGAACATCAAAAACCTCATCTTCCCACTCTCATCAAACGGGAAGGGGAGAAGGTATATGCAAAAAACACACAGAAACAAAAAAATCTTGGGGTGAACCTCAGCGCAGCGGCTGGATCTACATACAGTATAGCGGTATCTAAAACCCACACGCCATCCGAACAAAAGTCTACATAACTAGAATATCTCTAATACAAACGCGTTTCTAAAACAACATGTAAAAAACAAGAAAGTTGTGATGTACCCCCCGGGGGTGTCTACGAGACCTCCGGGTCAGTGACATTAACCACGCTAACCCGTTTCGTAACCGTTCCGTCCGGATTCCTGATCTGGGAGCGTTTCTCGACCTTGGTGATGCGGGTGGGCAGGGCGGTCTCGGGGTCGAGGTGGCGGGTGGTAGTAGTGGTGACCGTTTCGCCGTCCGGGTGTGTTTCGCGGTGGTGGGTGATGAGCTGCGGGGGGTGGTGTTCGTCTTCGTGTTCGTCTTCGTGTTCGTGTTCGGAGGGCGGTGGGGGGGCGTGTTCCGCGGCGGAGGTGAGTGTGGGGGATCGTCGTAAGGGGAGGGAGTGGGACCTTTGCGGGGGCACGACGGATCCGCGATGTCCTTTTTTCTCGTCGGGGGAGTCGTGCTCGGGGCGTCCTAGCCACGCGCGGCCGGCGATCTTGGCGACGCGCTGGCTGGGCCCGCTCTTGATGGGGGTGAGGATGGCGAGCGGGAAGTGGGCGCGTTGCCGGCCGTGCGTGATGTTCTGCCCGCGCGCCCACCCGTCCGCGTACTCGCGCTCGATGCCAACCAGGTCGCCGACTTGCATCGCCATCTCGTCCGGGCGGACCGGGTGGTAGGGCTGGATGCAGACGTGGGAGGTCGGCGCGGGCGGGTGGTAGGCGGAGAGGTCGGGGAGGGGTTCCTCTTCCGGGATCGGGGTGGGGGTGTAGCGCGGGCGGGAGGTGCTGCGGGTTGGGCGCGCGGGGGTGGAGGGGGAGGAGGTGGTGTGGGTTGAGCGGTAGCTGTTGCGCGGGGTTTCGGGGGGTGATGGGAGGGATTGCGAGGGGTGCGATAGGGACGCGACTCCGGCGGCTGCTGTAGCGAGCTCGGCCGTAGATGATGGGCTTGCCGCTTCAAATTCAGAAGGAGACGCGGCCTTGGCTGGTTGCACATCGCTGGCATCTGGGATTGTCTGGTCCTCGACGGCTACCGGAGTCGACTGCACATCAGCGGCTTGGTTTTCCGCAACGACAGGGGTACCTTCACCCTCAGCGATGACCGGGCTCGTCTCGCTCCCTGGCTTTGTCGACTGGTTATCAGCAACGTGTGTTTCCGACGGACTATCAGCAGTAGCCACGGCCGCTGGCGGGTCAACCGCTTTTGGGCTCCCTCGACTTTCCAAAGCGGTGGCGGCAAGCGGGACCGTTGAGGCCGCTGCAGCGAATTGCTCCGTCGAAGGCGCACGGGCTACGTGTGCCTCTTGTAGTGCTGCCTCCGCAGGAAGGTATCCCGGCTCGGCGGCCGATGCGATCTGCCCTTCCCTATGCTGATCTCCAACGGGTACAGCTCCGTCCATCGGATCCACATCCCGACCCTCCAACTCCATCGGCGACCCCCTAACACCCTCCGCCAACCCCTCCCTCTCCTCCACAGGCGTACCCACCGCCGTCGGGGGTGAACTGCCCCCCGGCGTGCTCGCTTTGACACTCACAATATCCCCGTCCCGGTCCGTCACGGTCGTCACAACCTCCTGCATCTCGCCATCCCCCTCCCCTTTATTCCATTCCACAACAACCGTCTCACCCACCAGCGCAACCTCGGCGCCCGCAATCTCAATCTGCGCACTGTGTGCCTCCAGATCTTGTATATCGCCTCCGTACTCGGTGACGGTGACGGTCTTTTTGTCGAGGACTGTGCCGGTGCGTTCGTCGACGACGGTGATGATTTCGTCCATTGTTCTGAGGGTGGCGCGGCGGGTTAGGGTGGGCGGGAGGAAGCGGGAGAGGTGGGAGCGGGTGGAGGCGCGGGAGGAGATGGAGTTTGTGCGGGGCTTGCGGTCGAGGGTGCGATCGAGCATGCGATCGAGGGTGCGGTCAAGGGTGCGGTCAAGGGTTGTTGCAGGGGATGTGGGGAAAGGGATGGTGTCTTCCGAGGCGGTGTCGTGTTCCATTGCGGCGAGGGTGACGGATGCGGCGGCGCCTTTTGCGGCCAGGTCGGTGAGGTTGCTGGGTTGAGCGAGACGGCCAATGACTTCGTTCATGTCGCGGGAGAAGGTGGTAGTTGAGACGTTGGGGTTTGAGCGGCTGAGCGGCGGGACGATGTCAACGTGCGGTGGGACGGAGGATGTTGAAACACCGGTCGTGTCGCTCAAGGATGCCGTGCGCGATGATGTGCTGACAGGAGCAACATGTCCATCATGCGAAGCCCGAGAGGCAGTTGACAACGTCGCACGAGACGAGGACGAAGTACGTCCAGCTGCAAGCACAGCGGCGGCACCAACACCAGCTGCGGCACCACCGACAGTCTTGACAGGCAACAGCTCATGTCCAGCATGGGCATCCGGAGCCAAGGGCGTCGCGCTCGAGATCGGTGACATGGGCGAGTAAGGGTACTCGGGTCCGGCGGACGAAGATGGAGACATGAGTTCCGGTCGCAGCAGCAGCGGTGCAAGGCCTGCTGAGGGTGGTCCACGGGCATTGGCATCTGGCTTGGTCGCTATCATTTCGGGTACGTTTCCGTAGGGAGTTTTTGCGCCTGCCGATCGTCGCTGGTGGTGCCTGATGGCAAAGACCGCGCCAATCAGGAGGACAATTAAGGCGATGGGGACACCGGCGACGAGGCCTATGTTGACGCCGCTGGTGTTGTTGTTGATAGTTGGGACGCCGGCGGCCGGAAGTGGAGTGTATGCTAGGAGTTGAGGGGATGAAAAAAACATTCAGTAGGGAAGAAATGGTTACGCCATCCATTTTCACCCGCCTCCAACTTTGCGAATTCGTACCTGGTCTCCCGAGCGGTCCGTCGATTGGTGTAGCGCCACCCACGGCAGCGCTGAAGGTCGCAGAGCCAGGCACAGGTGCGGCTTGCGCAGGATCCTGCAGCACACCAGGAGCGGCAGCACCTGCACCATTGCCACCACCACTCTGACCGTGAGCGCTTGCAGGCAATGCAGGTGGAGCGATAGGGTCCGCTCTGAGCGGACCAGCGCTCCCTCCAGACCCCAAGTTTGGAGTGCCAGCTGGTGGTGCTGCCCCCAGTGGTAGTCCCGAGGGTTGTGCTTTCCCAGCAGTAGCAGCATCGGCAAGGCCGTTAGAAGCGGATGGCGCCGGCACCAGTCCGGACGATGCACTCGCGGGTAAACCACCACATCCAGGGGCGCCTTGGAAACAAGGCTTGCCGTCAGCGGAGCAGCCGGGTGTGTTTGGTACGCATTGACCTGTGAGAGTGAGGAGGTGGGTTAGTCCTGGAGTTTTGGGCAGCTAAGATTACGTTGGAACGCCAGATCAAAGCGGCATGGACGCCGTTTACTCCGAATCATCAACCCTCAACCGGCAACCCGCTCCGCTCGCGACGAGGATGTCGGCTTGCGGTGAGCAGGAGCGTAGCTCGCTCGCTAAGGTGCCGTGGTGAGAGGCAGCATTGCGCCTTTGGCGCAAAGTGGCTCGCTGTCGCTCGCAAAGGCGTTCGGTGAGGGGATCTGGCTCGCTCCGCTCGGTCTCCCAGAATTTCCTTACGCTCGGTCTCCGGCGCAATCCCGCAGGGTGTCCGCCCGACCTCTCTCTTTGCTGGGATAAGCACATTCCGGTATCGAAACTTACAGAAACCGGGAGAGAGTTTGCAGTCGTGAGGCGAAGGAGCGGCCTGGACGTAGGGGGTCGAAGCCAACAGAAATAGGACTGCCGCGGCGGCGGCACCACCACCACCACCACCACCTGGTCCAGGAGTTGTCGTAGACGACCTCATACGACGGGGTATTTTGGGGGGCCGTGGCCGCTCGACAGCCACGTTCTAGAGTGAGATGAGGAAACTCAGGCTGACGGAGGTAGGCTGGGAGGCAGGGCCGGGTATGGACCTCGTTGTTGGGCGGAGGGAGTGTGTCAAGGGTGGGTGGGTTGGGGGAGTGAGCCGCACGCAGACACGCACAACACGCACAACGGTTGCAAGGCATCATGGATTGGGAGGAGTTGTTGTAGCGCCTATAGTCATAGTCTCGTCTGAATGTCAGTTACCAGTTCCTAACCAGTTGACGCACTCCACTCGGGCGTGACCAGAAATGGGTAACTCGTGGGCAGCTCACCTCCAGAATAAGACTCTTTTACAGCCAAAGTGAACCATTTGATTAACAAACCTAACCCCTTTGCCTTCGGTGAGTCGGCCCTTACCCGGCCTCCTACAATCACGAGTTACCCACTTCTGGTCAATCCCTCTCCACTCCACTCCACTTACTGTATAGTCTCATAGTCTCATCGTCTCTCTCAGAGGCCAACCCTAACGGGAACCCCCCCCCCGCCCCGCGCCTCGTCTGATGTTGGAACCCTACCCTCCTGCAGACGATCACCACAAACACAACCCCCCCCCCCCCCCCCCGCCCTCTCCGCAACTCCTACCCCAGTCCCATACTATAGGGTAAGCTACTCTCTCTCGCTGTTCCCGCAAAGCTGTCGGCTGCACCCCCCCGCACCCGGGAAACCCAGACCACAGCTTCGTTTCAAACCGCCGGACTACCCCCCCACATACTCACTCACGATCTTCCAACCTTTCCCCAACCTTCGCAGAAGTCCCAAATCCCCCTCTCCTCAAATGACCGCCACCATGACGTCTTCGGCACCCGCGCCCTTGGAGAAGACTAAGGTGCGTGTGTGCCCGCAGGGAAGGGAACCTCCCTCTGTTTTGGATTCCCGTGCTGTGCCTTGGTGTACATTTTTCGTTTCTGGCAAATTTGCGATTGTGATCTCGGCATGCGGCAAGGTCGGAAGAGAGCCCGAGCGCCGTCGATTTTTTGCGGAGGGGTTTCCGAGCGGTAGCGCTCGGAATGGCGGACGTTGGCGAGCGCAAGCGCGCCTCAGTTACTCTCGCGAGTATCGAACAGATTCACCCAACCTTGTTGCGACTCCTTGTCGCGAGCGAAGCAAGCAGGATGTCGTTCCACAAACAGACTGTGCATCGCTCGTTTCTCACAAATCACTGCTCAAAGGGAAGCCGATCGTACGGATATTAAAAATATTCTCTCCCCTTTTACATGTATACAGGTCGATGCGTTCGAAGTGGGCTGGCTCTTTGTCCAGGAGTACTACACTATTCTGAACAGAGACCCCCAACGTCTTCACTGTTTCTACAACAAGAAATCGTCTTTCTTGCACGGTCACGAGGGTGAGGCCACTGTAAAAACTTTCCATGGTCAGCAGGTAGGGTAAGAAGAAGAAGGTTGTAAAATGGGGTTCAGGTGGAGGGGAGGGGAGACCGGGTGGAGTGGGTAGCAGAGGATGGGTGGAGTGCGTAGTGGAGGGTAGGTGGAGTTGACACATTGCGCCAAAGGCGCAAATACTCCCTAATCACGGCTGTTAGCGAGCTTCAGGGAGCATCACATTGCGCCAATGGCGCAAGACACACCAACCCAACGTCCTCGTCGCGAGCGAAGCGAGGAGGGTATCGTTCAACCACCCCGCCCATCGTCCAACCGTACAACCATCCAACGACGCATCGCCTCACTTGGCGGTTTTCTTATGGGATGGCTTTTCACTAAAGTGATCTCCTCCCATCCGTTTTCTTAGGAAATCCACCGCAAAATCCTGGATATGGATTTCCAGGACGCGAAAGTGTTGGTTTCCAACGTCGACAGCCAGGCTTCCTTGAACGGAGGCATTGTCGTTCAGGTTCTCGGTGAAATGTCCAACAACAGCGGCACTTCCCATAAATTCGCCCAGACTTTCTTCCTCGCCGAGCAAGTCAACGGATACTACGTCTTGAACGACATCTTCCGCTTCTTGAAGGAGGATATCGACAACGATTATGAGGACGCCGAGGACCCCACTGGCGGCCTCGAGCTCCACGACGCGTACATCCCTGAGGAGACCCACGTTGCTCCTCAATACCACGAGCCCGCTCACGTCGAGCCCGAAGTTGTAAAGTCCCCTAGCCCCAAGAAGGTTGCGGAAAAGCCTCGCACTCCCTCTCCTTACAAGGAGCACCGCACTCGCACCCCCGATGTGCGCCCTGAATCCGTGAACAAGAACACGGCCCCTGAGGTTACCCACACCGACGCTTTCGGTCTCGGTAACTGGTCCGAGCCCGCCGCCACCGCCGAAGAGCCTGCCCCCCAGGAGGCAGCCAAGCCTGCTCCTTGGGGCACTATCGCCAAGCCCAAGGCACCTGCAGCGTCCGAGGAGGAGACAAAGAACGTGGCACAGCCCGCATCCGAGAAGCCCACCGAGGCTCAGAAGCCCGCTGCTCAGCCACAACAACAACAACAACATCAACAACAACAGCAGCAGCCCGAACAAAAGCCGGAGACCACCCAAAACAAGACCTGGGCTAGCCTCGCCGCCAAAAACGCCAACGTGTGGAGCGCGGATGCCAAACCCGCCGCAGCACCTCAGCCCGCTGCCCCAAAACCCGCTGTCGCTGTCCCTGTTTCCCAGCGCACCGCCTCCCCAAAGCCGGTCGCACTCAAGGCCCAGGCTGATGACGCCCATGCCCAGGCTGCCGCACACGACGGCTCCAACGACGCCGATCAGAAGGACGGAGGTTTCCGTGAAGTCCACGGTCGTCAGCAAAAGAGGGGTCCTCCGCCTGGACAGCAATACCCCCAACACCCGTCCCAGACAGACTCCGATGGTAGGTTCAAGGGTTTGGCAGGAAAAGTTGGTACCCGCTCTGGTGTGATATACGGACTAACTCGGCGGTAGATGACAAGGAAAAGTACTCCATTTACATCCGTGGAATCACCGAAGCCATAGACCGCAAGTCTTTGACCGACACGTTCTCGAAGATTGGAACCGTTCGTCACGTTGACGTTGTGCTCACAAAGGTAATGTTTTCTCCTTGGGGAACCAGATTCATCCCAACTCCCGACATGCTCCTGACCCTACATACATCCCAACACAGAACATCGCCTTTGTCGAATTCACTACCGTGGAAGCCGCCCGCAAAGCCATCGGCAACAGCTACACGGTCAACAACGTCGTCCTCCACGCCGAAGAGCGCCGCAAGCCCCGCCCCTTCATCAACTCCAACAACCGCGGTCCATACCCCCCACGCAACTTCCTCGACGGCGGTAACCGCGGCGGCCGCGGCGACTTCCAGCGCGGCGGCATGCAGGGAAACCGTGGCGGACGCGGCGGATACAACAACAACAGCACCATGGGCCCGCCTAAACCTGCCCCTGGATCGGGAGCCCCGAACGGGAACAAGCCTGCTAACGGCAGCAAGTAAGAAACACACACGCACGGCAAAAAATGAATAATACCCACCTGATACCAACAAACGAAAAAAAAAAACCGCAACAACTAACGTCCCCTGCTGTTCCAATTCCGTTCGCGCTTGTGCCCTCCCTGATTCCAATTTCCCCCGAACTCTGTGTCTCTTCATTTAGTTCCGAGGATGATACATAGTCTCCCACCCCCCAAGAGTTGCCTCCATGCCCTTATTCACCCGCTATTGATCCCCTTCTCCTTCATCCACTACCCCATCCGCTACTTGTATAATATTCCGTTGGGCACCTCTGGGTGCTCCCTAACACCAGCGTCTTCATTTCATTCGTTGTCCCGTTCGTTCGTTCTGTATCCCATTTTTTCCCCCTTCTCGGCCAAGCAAAGGAACAGATGATGGTCCTATCATCGTCGAATTGGTGCATATCCACACCAACCTCCTGCCTCATTAAAAAAAAAAGAAAACGCGGTTGGGCGGCCCCCCTGCTTACGCATTCCGCGCGCGCCGGCGTGCGATCCCACCCGTCAATCCGGTCAGTTGCCACTGTCAGTTTTCCCCCAAAAAAAACATACCCCAGACCGCATCAGCAACACACACCGCAGAAATAGAAAACGAAAGGCCTTTGGGGTTGGAATCTGGCACGCGGGCCGGAGGTGGGTGTGGACCGCTTCGACGGTGGCATGGTATGGCATGGGACTTATCGTTTTCGATGCTGTGTTCAAGTCAGAGCAGACACGAGACAGCAACGGATCGACAGCGTGGGCATCACGGGCGGTATCTCTCCAACTAACTTGGAGCGCACCGACCCACACACGGAGACGACAAGCTTTGGGTGTCGGAGTGAGATTCCGATACGATTTTTTTCGATGGGCGGGAAGCGCGGCGGGACGGGTGAGGGGAGTGGGCGGTTTTGGGCGGGGGAGACTTGGTAGGTTTGGCTTTGGTGCGTTGGTGCGGGGGGATGGGACCAGAGAGGGGATGCTGCTGCGGAGGGTTGCGATGGAGAGTGGGGGTGGGCCTGAGGGGTGTTTGGATGGATTGCGGATGTGGTGGACGAGATGCGGAGGGGAGATCCTGGCCATCCTCACCCGGCCAGAATACCCGCAAACCAGCCCTTCACACCCTTCATTTTTCCACTTGTTGCTGCAGGGTAGACCGCATCGCCAAGGAGCTGCGCTGCCAGCGCGAATGGAGCGACAAATGGGCGTGTCTAGTCGATCCACGGCTGTACAACGATCGTGAGCCGGCTACGCGGGAGGTTCTGAAGACCGTATGTATCTCACATCCCCACTTCCGTTTCCCCATTTTCTTGGATGTCTCACACTCCTGTGTCTCTCCCCCTTAGGCCTCGGAACATAGCCAATACAACGTGATCCGCGCCCCCGGCGGCGGCGCAACCAACACCCTCGCGCCGACCCCGCACGGCCGCTCATCCACCTTCGCCCATCTCCGCCGCGACATCGATGCGCCCAGCACCGACGAAACGGCGTATAAGATCACAGGGGACCGGTCGCATTTCCTCAGCGCCGCGCGGCGGACGGCCGAGTCGACAGCGCCGACGGCGCGGAAGGGTGCGCCACAACGACCACCACAACGACCGCCGCCGCCGGGGCGGACGACGCCGGGCGCGGGTGGCGGGGGGAGTCGCTACGTTTGTCATACGCAGTTTCGCCCGAACTACATGTACGAGTCTCCGCACGCGCATCCGCGGGCCCATCCCCAACCGAAATGTCAGCAGCAGCACCATCCGTCGTTGCAGGTGCATGGCCGCGGTGCAGCAGCACCGTCGTATTCCACGGGCCCACCGACACATCCGCAACACCACCCGCACACAACCCTTTGCAAAACCAACCGCGGCACCCTCCCCCTCCCCCTGCACCGCCCGACGGCAGCCGCAGCAGAGCCCGTGCGCGTCCCCGCGACCGTGTACGCGTTTCCGCCGACGACGAGCATGGAGGTGGGGTGGGCGTGGACGGGCGGCGGGACGGGCGGGACGGATGGCGCGGGGAAGAAGGCGGAGCGGCGGGAGGTGGCGAGCGGGGGTGGGTTGGAGGTGTACGGGTCCACCAGTGCGGATTTCGTGGGGGAGGTAGGTATCTGATGCTTCTTTTCTGGTGCGGGGGCTCCGAGGGGGGGGGGGTGACTTTTGGCTTTTGCAAACGAGTTGTGGGTTCTCACGGCCCCTTTTTTCTGGCATCTCGCCCTCTCGGCTTACATCTCCCTTTTCGTTTTCTCCATCGCGTCCCCGTTCTAGGGCCTGAAGCGACTCGCAGCGGCACACGGCGCGGCATGAGAAGCGAGTAAGCCGCCCCCACATTGGGGCGTGGCATGGGAAACCCGGACTATCTCATACGGACAGAGATCGTGATCGACACATCATACACCCGACATCCCACAGAAACGAGGCGCTAGACACGAGACCATTGGATTAGGATACTACGGTGCATATGACATGGAAAGTAGGACGAATGTTCTGATCAGATCACAACGCTGGAATCCACCTTGCGCTGCTTTCATGTTGGGAGTCCCGCGGAGAGGCGGGCGTGCAGAGACCGCCCGATGCGGTTGGTCCGTTCTTGCGAGCGGGGGGTTTTCCTCGATCTTGGTGTATAGAAGATGCGTTGGAGATGATACACGTCGCGAGCTTTGTAAATCTAAATGTAACGGGTCTCGGCGAGAAATGTCCCGCCCTCTATCGGCCGTGTCTCCGGGCATTCGACAGACAGCGAGATGCAACAACAGACCCTATTGGAATGAACCGATGAAAGAGAAACAATCGCGATACCTCAACGCAAAACAGACCACATACAAAAAGACCAGCCACAAGGGATGAGAGCGGAAGGAGAAGCGTGGGGCGACTACAGAGAGCTACGAACTAATGAAGGGCTACATCCCGCCCCCCATCCCCATCTCCCACCCCATCCATCTCAATCCCATCCAAAACCTCGTATGAATGGTTTCCCGGAACCCGGCTTTTTTTCTCTGATATTTGCATATTGCTAACACATGCCTAGCATGTGAAGACTCAAGACTAACAAGCAAACGAACGACCCCTCGTAGGACTCTCCCCCTGTCTTGTGTATGATCTTGCCGTCGGACTTTCAGTTGTCGAGTGGTATGTCTAGACGGTGGGTGTGCGGTCGAAGGCTGTGCCCGGCAGTGAATAATGGTGAACGTTCATCAACACCAAGGGAAAAAAATTCAGCTTCTCAGCAAAAACCTACCCCGCTTCTCATCCCTCTCCCCCTCGACCCTCTCCCTCCCGCCCAACACCTGCCTCCCACCCGGTCCCGCCTGTGCTGCCTCCCCCGCATTCGCAGCGGTCGCGGTGATAACAACCTCGCCCTCGATAGCGCGCATGTGCTCGACCCAGACATCGTGCGGCACGCTCGCCTGCAGGACCGGGTCCCACTCGTTGACGAGACGCAGGTCGGCGAGCCCGTGGGCGGGATGCGCGGGCGTGATGTGGAGCGGGTGTTCGGGGAAGGAGGAGTAGATCGTGCGGTAAGGGGCGAGGAGGAGGGGGCGGCGGGGAAGAAGCGGGGTTGGGCGGATGTGCATTTTGGGCCCCGTTTGCGATCGGTTTAGGTTGTTGATGTAGGATTGCGGGTGATCTATAGGTGAAACACAGCAAAGCGGTGAGCATATGATCTTCAACATGACCGACGATGGGGGTGTCGATGACAACGATCTCGCGCCGTCCGTATGCTTGGCGAGACATCTCATGTGCGCCCCGTCGAGCCAAAGATCCACGGCGGTCAACACGGGCGCACCCAGAAAAACACAGCAGCATGATCGTGTTTTCCTCTTCATCATATCCTGCCGCGTATGGCCTCTGCGATAGCCCTGGCAGCTGCTTGGGGACAGTCTCCCCTTCTGCACGGCACCACCGCCATGATCTGACCGCCCTGACCCTTCCCTCCGGCAACGTCACCAAACCAAAAAACGTGTCCACAGAATTCATCTTCACCTCACCTCAAATTGGTGCTACAACAAAAATCCAAGGTATGTTCAGGTTCGGATGTGTGGATAAACTATACACTACAAGCGCTGCTGTGCTGTGCGTTATTCGTCCGTATGTGACGATCCGCTATTCTGTGGGATGGTGTTTCGCTGGTTCTCTCTTCAAGGCAGATACGAACTTTTTCTTTGCGTGCAATTGGGGGGTTGGCATTGGGGGGGGGGCTGATTCATATACGTCGGGGGGATATCTCGCATGAGCATCTGACCCCACCAAACACGAATGAGTGATGCCAGTTGACGCCAGGGAAGACTCAGCCCGTATCAATGTCCTCTGTCTCCCAAGGCTTCGTATCCGAACATCTATCCAACAACAGAACCGCCCATGTAATTAACTTTCCCCGCCCCGGACCGTCACACGACCCTTTCGCCCTCCGCAGCCCTCCCTCCCTTTTTCCCCTATCTGCTTTCATTTCCACTTGCCCGGTGTTTACACTCAATTCGGCTGTTCAGCACTGCGGATTCATGGACCAAAGGGCAGATACCCTGACATGGGCTTTCGCCTCACATTTATTAATGAGAAGTCCTGCGAGGAAACTTTGGCCTCATCCCAAACACATTGTTATGTTTATTGATCGAATGACAGCTGAAATCGACAGCGCGCGCCTGCGCCACGTCCGTTTGGGGTTCGTGTCACATGCGGCATATCGGACCTGGGAAGCGACTGGAATCTCCCACCGACTTGAGCAAACCCGCAAAAGAAGAGGCGGAAGTGGTGAATCAGAGCTAAACCCAACCCACATCACAGAAATAGCGCTTTTCATAAGGAAACGGGTATATAAATGTACAATTAACAAAAAGCCGCGGACAATTCACGCGCCTGGAATATGGGAGCCGGTGGGCGATACAAGGTTTGAGGGAGGGGGAATAGATAAGAGGATAGCGATAGAGGTAGAGCGTTACCCTAGTAAGCTAGTGGGATCGCGCAACTTGGCGAGGGTTAAAGCTCAGGCGTCTTGGCGTGTTGCGGACGTTGCGGGTTACGAGGTTTGGCGGCTCAAACCTCAAGTGGTGGACAGGATCCGGCGCGTGTCTTTTACATAGAATGAGGTTTTCGAACAACTAGTATCTTCCTTGCTTGCGGTGTTGCAAAAGCAAGAGCATCTCATGATGCCTCGACCGAAAACGGTAACTTCGGCACGGTAACCGTCAGCGTCGAATCTCTCACGGCCGCATTGATCCTCGCCAGGTTCGCATCACCGGGCATCTTGACCCTAGTCCCCATCTGCGCATCAGTGCCTCCAAACCCAATCTCCCTCGACTCGTCAAAGACGTACACCTGGAAGCTGTCCGTGGTGAGCGTGCCGACGGGGATGGAGGCTACGAGCACGTAGGTCGTTTCGACTTCCTTGATGATTGTGTAGGCGGGTGGGAGCAGCGACCAGGAGGTTTGCGGCGCTTCCGTTTGTTGGTAGACGGGGGTGGGGTCGAAGGAGGTCATTGTGTGCGCGCCGAGGGCTGCTGGTGGGGCTGAGTGGGAATGTGAGGGATGTGGGGATCGCGAGCGGCTCCCTCGGCGGCGGGAGGGGGATGGAGGGCGGAGGAGGGTTGTGGCTGAACTTGGAGATGTGTGGGATTCGTCGCGGCGCGATGAGGAGGAGTGATAGGAACGGATGGAGGATGAAGCGCTTGCGATGGAGGAGGCGAGTGAGAGGAGGGATGGACGTTGGCGCAGGCGTTGGCGTGAGTTTCCTGATGGGGATGTCGGGGTGATGTCGCTGTCTGCGTTTTCTGTTATTGTTGGGCTGATCGGGCATGTTTCAGCAAAGATCGGTTCGGGAGCGAGTATGTCGCACGGGCTCAGTGTGGCTCGGGATCGTCTGCGTTCTCCCACTGCAAACGAGCTTCGTCGGGGGGCGAGAGCAGCAGCGCCAACGTCCAGAGTGTTTCCTTCGCTGATAGCGCCACAACAGGAAGAGGAGGAAGGAGCCGCGCGCAACGATGCTGGCCCTTCGCTTCCAGCTCGATTCCGTCTCCTGAAATCCGTATCGAAGCCTGCAAAGCTCAAGAACGATCGCTGGGTCCGAATAGACCGGTTCTCCACCTCTGCTGCTGGGGAGATGCTATTGAAACTGGGCTCGTCACCTTCTGACGTTGGTGATTCGACGGTTATCCCTGTTGCGATGGAGTGCGCGTCGCTTATAGTCTCGACGGTCATCTCCCCAGCGTCGTCGTAGTAGACGATGGTCTCGCCGTCCTCCAACACCTCCAGCCCCCGTACATAAGTATCGAGTTCTCCCTTTTGTTGCAGCGCACGGATACGAGCTTCCATCTCGTCGTTGTCGTCCTCATCTCCTCGACCACCGCGTCCAGCGCGCGGAGTCGTCTTGTTGTTGCGTCGGACGAAGCGACGCAGTTGACGTCTGACAATATCCAGCATGACTGCGTGCGTGCGTTGTTCGGTTTTAGCTTGTATTTCAGTATTGTATTTCAGTGATGCGTCCGTGGGAATGCAAGATGCGTGCTCCGAAACTATATAACACTTGTAAGCAAGATAGGTCGACCTATTTCCGAGCACGGTCTTGGAGGCTCCGGCCGGGTTTGGGTCGGGCGATGGGGGGAACAAAGGGATTGTCCACCTTGGCAATTAGTAATGCGGAGGTGACTCTGGTGACTCTTGACGCGCAAGACGGAACCTAAGTACGGATAAGCTTGTTTGTAAACCTGCGATGGACAAGGGGGGGTGGACGCCGTTTAGCAGTCCCTTGTTATCACCTGTTTGCGGTTGTTGTTTGTTGGTTGTTGTGAGGGGCAAGCGATTTTCCCTTCTGCGGACTGCTCTTTTGTTCCTTTTTTCGAAGGGAGTTATGCCTCGGGAATGCATTCCATTGAAAAGCAACCATGGATTTTACCGTTCATGTCGGCGTACTACACGGTAGGATGGCCGTAATGGTGGCCGTAATGCGGGGGGGGGGGGGGGGGGCATGACACCATTCCCAGACTGACTGCATGGGGGAGACATGGGGGGAGACTGCGCGTTTGTTTGTTGTTGTTGTTGGTTGGCAATGGAAAATTCATCAGGGAGGACCCATGTGCCCCCGATCGATTCATTCGCATAATCAGTGATTTCGGCATGATGTCACTCTCGGCCGTCTCGAGGCTGTGCTATAGAGAACTTCCATATTTCGGGGTTTCGGGGTTCCACACTGCACAGTGGGGCCTCCCGGAGCACCCCCCAGCCCCTAATTTGTCATGGATCCACAAAAGTGAGCGAAACGGTGGGGTAGACGTTAGAACGAGCATCCTGCGGGCGTCACCACGCGTCGTCAGAAAATATTTTGGAATGGAGGCATAGCGTGCATGTGCATTTCTTTTCTCGCCTCTTTCGCTTGTGGCTGAATCTATTTGAAAAACGTTTTGCGGATCTTGCGAAACGGCCATCACCCATAAAAAAGGGCTGCCCTAATGAGCGCAACGCCTCGCCGATGCGAACGATGTACTGCATGTACTGTACTACGTGTACTGTATAGATGGACTGCGCATCGTCATCTTCAAAATTCACCCCAAAGGGTTCATACAAATTCGGCTTCATTTGTGCTCTTCTTGCACATCTGAGAGCAGCGCCGCACGAACAACCTTTCTCACCACCTGGATCTTGTGCAAATGCATTTCGCCCGCACACGTCGAACCCTTTAAAAAAGGTGGATATTTGAAATCAACCGTCATTCCGCTTTGGGAGCTCGATTCCATCCCGATGCAGCAGGGACCAGATATCACCATACGATACATTTGCGTTTGAGACCGTACATTCAGTGGCAATGCTTTGTCTGCATCCATCTCCGGATGTCGGATATGTTCGTCGAGGAGGTTGGATGTTTTGCTTGATAAACGAATTGTTGTCCAAGTCATGCTCATCCAGCCTTGGTGTTCCGGCCAGCTAGTGGCGAGCACTGTCGTCGATGCGTGCATACAGTACGTCGGGGAGCCCGCAAAATCTTTGTGCCGCGAAAGTCATTGCCCGCGGCGTCCTGGAGGGGATGCTGGAGTAGCGCGCCTACACATAGCGACGCCCGGTGCGAGTCCGCTCATGTCTTCGCAGCAACTGAACGGATACCCTTTCCATTTCGTGAGTTCATAACCACATATGAGCACACCTACGCGCTCTTCGGCAAAGCAGCTTATCCCGGGTGTTCTTTTGGCTTCTTCGCGCATCAACCGAAATTTTCGCTGGGCCTTGTGCTATTAGGCACATATCCTCAACATGGGATAACATCCCGCAGCCCTCGCTTCCGTGTCAAGAAGAACATGGGCGCAGGTCTGCTCTGGTGAGGTAGGTTTCTTGGACGACAGCGGGTACCGATTGCAGCTCAGCGATCTTCCGTGTGGAACGTTAGCATTTTTGGCTCATGTGGAAGCATTGCTGGAACGAAACCATGAGCATCTTGGCTCTTGACGTGCGTCGTGTTGCCAGCAGCAAGCCCCCTCGGGATTCTCCCGGATGGCTGAAGCGCAGGTAGTCGACACCCCATGATAGAGGCCGACGACGAGCACTGTCGCCATTCACCCGCCGCCGCCCTTATACGGGGTTCTCTCATGAAAAAATTAGAGTGTTGTATTTTTCATCCGCATACTCTCGAAGAGAGTTGGAAATGGTACGAATAATCATTGAGAACCCGTTCAGGTTGCGGTTGACCCATTCAAGCTGTGCGGCGGACAGCAACATGTGCTGTACCCGGAGAGGATGAGGAGAAGCTCTGAGGGAAAGGCGAGTCCCACGATGTCCTTTTGACACCGAGTGACCCCAAAACGACGCCTTGTGCGTTACATAGTGCCCACGCATGAAACCTTTGAAGAAGCGAAAGTACAGAACGAAAAATATCGCAAGATATCCCGCTCATTCAAACTTCTCAAACGGGAGCACCACAAAGGGAAGAGGGGATGTAGCTCAGAAATTGTTCACCCTGATAAATCAGCATCGTATTCGACCGAGATTATGGACGACTAAGCTGTCCCTATCATGGGTTTCATCACTGCTAACTGTCCCTGACTTGTCCTGACGGACGAGTGATGGTACTTACTTTCTTTCGGTGACGGTGAGCAATGGGTCTTGAGGCGAAGGATGGCCGTGGTCGTTGAGATGCGTGGGGACAACAACGCTGCGTGGAACTGATCAAGTATGATCGGTTGGGCCATGGAGGGTTGTTGCAACACATTTCTCAGACCGAAGCGAGCACCTTGCTGTCGCGGCAGTGTAGCGGCAGTGTAGAAGACTGATGCGGTATCGAGCAGTCCTGCCTGGGAAACCTGAACAATCGAAACGAGAAAACGATAAGCAAAAGTCCGTCAACACCAATCGCCTTCCTTCGCAGCCCAACCATATCCCGTTCTCGCCCCATCGTATAGTGTCAGAAACGAAGTAATAAGGTAGCTCAGGTTTTTACTATCATCCAGACTTCCCCAGGAAACCCGGGGGGCCCGTACAACCAAATGCCTTGGATCATCCTTCAAAGAGGGGGAGCGGGGAGCTATCGACGGGGAAGGGGTGGGGAGACTTACCATTTTCAAGAGGCGGAGCGGGTGAAGTGGTGGGTGGGGATGCGCTAGCGATATGGGGAATGTGATTGTGCCATGGTCGGCGGGGTCGTTCACAGGAAGCTGAGCGGATTCGACTTGGATTTGGAGTTGAAGGGAAGACGAGAGAGCGGGCTCTGTTTTATACTCCGGTGGCCCTGGCGAAAAAAATGTGCGGAACGCATCTGAAAGGTCACGTGCTTGGGAATGTCTAAGCCATGTGGCTTAGATCGTCAAGGGTATAAAATGGTTGTCGAGGAAGGGCAGCAACGGTATCTGCCAAACACAGAGAGCCAAACACAGGAGCATTATGGATCAGGCAACACAGCACGCCCGCTCTCCTATCGCATCAGCTCGCACATTCCTCTCCTTCACTCAGTCAATCCGCCACTGAGCACATCTTCGCTCACGAATGACCGACTGACTGACCGAAACCTGTGCGGGCTTCGCCGCTGCGTGAGAGCGTCAACCGTATATGAGACATATGTGAAACCACATCCGCAATCGCTAAAGATGAGACTCTTAGCTGGCACCAGTCAGATTACTCATGCAGTGAAGATAACCCTAATGCAGGCCTTCAATATACGCAAGAGGGCTCTGAATCGATTGTGCGGATTGTGGTTGAAGAAGAAATGTGTATTCGGTCGATTATGGTTGTTCGTATCCTCGTTGGCGGATGTGAGATGAATTGAATGCTTCCATTCGGTCTCTGTAACTTTCCTTTCCAAGACATTGCTTGAAGCCGAAAGTGCTCAATGTATGCTCACGGAATGCTCAAACTCCGTGCACTCTCAAAGACTTGTGTGATTACTGTGCCATATACATTTGCGAGAACGATTAGACTGTACATTTTTTGCCCATTTGCTGTTACTACGAATTATGCTAATGTGTTACGCTATATGATCTACGCCTGGTGAGCGACCTCCACCACGATCTTCCCGGTAGCCCTCTTGGTCTTCAACCTCTCAAACGCCTTCGGGGCGTCCTCCATCTTGAACTGACTGTCGATGACCGTCCTCACTTTACCTTCCTTCATCCAAGCGCCCATCTGCTCCAGATCCTCGCGCTTGGGTTTCAGGAAGAAGCCTCGGAACTCGCGCTTCTTTGGCATGACCCACTTCTTGAGCATGCTCCCCACGATCCCGAGGGAGGGCTCCGCACCGACTGACATGTAGAGGGCTCCCGGCTTGGTGAATTCGTGGCACTGCCAGTAGAGGTTGGAGTCCGAGCCGACGTTATCGACGAAATGGTCGTACTGCTTCCCAGTATCCTTCAACCGCTTGACCAGATCACCCTTGGTGTAGTCGATGACATGATCCGTCCCCAGCTCCTTCACAAACTCCACATTCTTCGTGGAGCAGGTGGCCGTCACCCTGCACCCCTTCGCTTTCGCGATCTGGATCCCAAACACGCCACACCCGCCAGTGCCGCCGTTGATGAGCACCTCGTCCCCTTCCTTGACGAACGGCACGATGGTGTTGTAGGCGGTCAGCCCAGCAACGCACACGGTCGCTGCGTCCTTGGGATCCACGCCCTCAGGAACCCGCGCGACACGGTCCGGATTAGCAGTGGCGTAATCCGCCAGTCCACCGGCCGCGAACGGCTTGTCGCCGACGCCGCCAAACACGAGATCCCCTTCTTTCAGATCCGACCCTTCAGCAGGCTTGACGATACGGCCCGCGAAATCGACGCCGGGGGTCGCTGGGTAGCTGACCAGCGCGCGGCCGACGAGAGGGATCTCGGCGGGCTTGTAGTCGACGGGGTTGAGGGCGCAATAGAGGACGCGGACGAGGTGTTCCGTGGGTTTGGGGACTGGTGGGGTCACTGAGGCCAGGGTCAGGTTCTTTTCGAGACCTCCGGACGTGCTGCGGTATTGCCAGGCACGGGCGGCGGCGGTGGCGGTCGTTGCGGCGGTCATGGTTCTGGATTTGGAGAAGGGGGTGTGAGTTTTGGTCTCAAGATGGAGTTCTCGGATGGTAACGGGGAGGCTGTCAGTTTCAATCATTACCTTTTTCGCAAGGTTCTTCCGGAAAATGTGAGGAGATGGACGGGCTATCCATGCTGACCAGAAGTCGACCTGCGAGGGTTCTGGTTGATGTGATCACTACTTGTACATGCCGTCTAACACCTGTTCCGAGTGTTCTTGTGGCAGCATCGGGAGGGGAGTGTCCAGGGAGTGTGCAAGGAGTGTTCATTGTGAATGCGGAGTGGGACCTCGATCGAATGACAGGCCACTATGACTCTATGAGTGGATGCACAGCCACCGCGTCATTAGCGAGTCGCGCGCGTCCGTCACTCTGCTATTGTTTGTTGTCCATGTCCGGCCGGCACCTCGTTGGCCTCTCGCAGAAACAGGAGCACGGCTTATTCAGACCACGTCGCCGTGAAGACTGTTGTATATGTAGTCCGTCGCCTCCACCAACCCCATCGCTGTCTCCGTGTACGTGTTCCTCCGTTCTTGCGGCTCGCCTAGAAAGGGTCTGCTTGTGCCTGCGTCTCTCCGCTAGGCCATGGACACCCGCGAAACGGAAGAGCCGCAGGAAACAGTGTGGGTTGAGGTATGTCCGGTTTCCTGGCGGACTCTTTTCTCTTTTTGCGCAGCTTCTAAACTTCTTCGCTGTGAACTCGTTTTCCAACCTCCCAGATCGACAGCCCCTTTCGAAACGATACTCTTCCACCAACCATGTCGCCTCCCGCCGGGTCCGCCACACCCCAAGGAAACGGGAAGAGGGACCGCGCAAGAACAACGACCCGACCAGTCGGATTTCTAGAGTCAGCTCGCAAGTTCAACGTGAACAACGATGGCCGTGTGCGTTGTGTCGTTTTACCGCCCACGGGATCTCGGGGGAGGAGCTCCGCGGCAGGTGTGAATGGAGAGAATGCACCTCCGTCGAAGCGGCGGAAAACGTCGAACGCTGGGGATGAGTCGAGTCCCGGCGCGTCTGAGAACGCCGACTCTGAAGCGAGAGCATTGAACGGAAAGTCAGGAGAAAAAGCGGGCGACAAAGCAGGAAAGACCAAAAAGGCCGTCGCCAAACGCGTGAATGGGAAAACAACTGAGAAGGCGGAGTCAACGGCAAAGAAGGACTCCAAGAAGGAAGTCAAAAAGGTTGCTGGTAGTTCTAAAGGGAAAGGTGCTGCTACGGGCAAGAGCAAGACCACCGGCAAACTTGATTCCAAACTTACGAAATCCAAGAAGCCCCCCGCCCCACGCAAAAAAAAGCCCATCCCAATAATCGCCCCACCCTCCACCTACCCCCTCGACGTCCACTTCCCACCCGCCGTCTTCCTCATGTTCCTCGAAGTCCAACAATTCCTCCACCGCTTCTCCCGGCTTCTCAAACTCTCCCAACCTGTCATCGATGCCTTGCGCGAACCCGAATGGCACGGCGCCCATTGCACGGAGATCGTCACGGCTTTACTGGATGTGTCCGGAGTCAGGGGTGGGTTGGCTGGGGTGAAGTATGACCCTAACAGTGGGACGGGAACGCGGCGGACGACGGCGAAGTGGAGCGTTGTCGCTGACCTACTTGCAAACGCGTCAAGTCCTGCCGCTGGACCCGACGCATACGCGTGCGTGAGGGAGATCGTAGCATGGGAAGACGAGCTCCAATCCCTTCGGACCCTCCGCACAGGCAACTCGGTCGAAATCGTCCCCTTCATCGTCCGTCTCACGGGTATCCACACCCTCGTCGCCCTCTTCCAAACAACATGCCTAGATCTCATCCGAGCGGCCGTCGACGACGCGAGCAAGGAACATACGGAGACCTTGCGCCGGATACGGGCCGTTCAGGCGAGCATTGAGAAGGCGCGCGCGGATAAACTCCAGGCCATGGCGCCTGGGAAGGGGATCAAACCGGTGGCGAAGAACACGGCGAGGCAGGATAAGATGATCCGGGATGCGCTGGAGAGGCTGAAGCCGTTGCTTGTTCAGTCCTACGCGGTGCTGCCCAGTGTCAGCCCGCTGGGGAGAGACGCGCAGGTGAGGGGGGGACATCTCACCCCTTCCCTTTCGTTTCTTCCTCCACCCCCACTCACAACGGAACTCTTTTTCTCATCGCGTAGGCGAACGTGTACTGGTTCTTCCCCCTCCACGAAACCCGGATCTACATCTGCGGGCCGCTCTGGCCTCCCATACCCGCCGACAGCAAACCCACCGACGCAAGCACCCCGCCGCCGCTGGAGATCGTCGAGGGACACGGTCTGCCGGATTTTCATCCGAGCTGGAATTGGATCCCGAGGGGGGAGGCTGGCGGGTTGGTCAAGTTTCTGCGGTGAGTAGGGCCACGTCGGAGGAGTGTGTGCCCGGTGGTTGGCTGTATATGTGGGTATGGGGCGAAAAACACTCACACCACATTTTCTTATTACCCTCCCCCTTTGCTATACATCTCAGGCAACAACACAAAACCCTCCTCACACAGTCCCGTGCCTCAAAATCACAACAACTGCAACTCCTCGCATCGCCCGACCAGCTCGAAACGCTGATTGCGGGTTTGGAGGAAATTGACACGTTGTACCCGGTGTGGGATTCGGGAGAAGGACGCAGGGGATCTGGTTGAAGTTTTCCGTCTTGGACTGAGGCGGTCTGGGGCGACATGCCGGGAGGGGAGTTTTGGGTTTTGCAGCGTCAGGGTCTGCACAGGGCAGCGGCGTGGGTTGGGTTGGGGGGGTTTTGCGTGACATAGAGTTACAAAGAGCCGTGCGTATGCATTCTATCACACTCAGAGTGCTCACCTCGACCGTACGACGATGTGATAGAGGCGACGGCGTTTTGGGTCCGATGAAGATATATATGTATAAGTAAGACGATTGTATTTTACAGAAATCAATGCATACCCCTCCCCTCATCGCGTTGCTCAGAGTGTGACAAAGGCGGGTGCTGAGGGCTTGGAGATTCCGCAGACTCGCCTTTCCATGCGATGGTTCCCATCCGCAAAGGACTAGCTACGTTCCGTATGAAGAGATCTCATGCAAAGATACATACTCTACATCCCGCCGTCTATCTCTCTCTACAGGAACCAGCGCGGCCAATGGTCTAACACCAAGCCACGAAGCGGAGACAGATCGCAGGGTGGCGGATTCCTTCTTGCCCCTCCCCTTCCATCCCTGCCTCCATCGCTAACTTAAGCCGTTTGCTTCACTGGTTCAGGCGACCGTATCCGATGATCTTGGTCAGGTGCTCAAACTTGATGCTCTCCTGCAACACCGCAGGCCTAACCTGGTTCTCCGCCGTAATCGGGAACGCCACCAATTTAGCATCACCATTCGCGTCCGCAGTCCAGCCCTTCTCTGCAATCCACTTGTCCAGCGCAGCACCCTGCAAGTTCAACGAGCGGCCCAACGAGGCCTTATCAATGACCTGGTACGCGATCCCGAGCGTCACCGACACATAATCCCTGATCCTCTTCTCAAAATGCTCGTACGGCGCAACCAGCTCCTTGGCGGGGGACTCGCCGCCGTTCAGGTACGTCCAGAACTCGACAAACTTGGCCTGCTCCAGCAGCCTGTGCAGCTGCACCAGCGCATCGACATCGGGTTCGTTCAGCACGCCCTCGTTGAGCATGTAGAGGCAGAGGTTGAAATCTGGGTCGGGCAGGGCACACAGGGCGAGGGCGAGGATGTTGCAGACGATGGCAGTGTTGGAGTAGGTGGGGTTGAATTGGTAGAGTTTGAGCACGGCGAGGCAGGCGTCGCGGTCGTAGGCGTCGTTTTGGAGCATGTCTTCCACGTAGGTTTCCAGGACGGGGATGTTTTGGGGGTTGTAGCGGTCGACGGTTTCGACGATGCGGTGGATCTGAAGAGAAAGCGGCAGGGTTAGATGTTGGACAGATAGAGCATGTTCCAGAACGCCAACCAGCTTTCGCAGCAGATTCAACCAGCAGATCCATGTGCGCTTCCACGAAACCGCCGCAATTCCCAGCCCGGCATTTCAACCTCCTCTCATTCCTCCAGTCGACAGTCCCTCTCTCCTGCACTCTCAAGTGAAACACACAGCCGCTGTCCCTCCAATTCCCACCCTTCAACCAGTCCTCAATACTCACATCCTCAGGCCGCTTCGGTGGGCATGGCGCGGCAGGGGAGGGCATGCCGAAAGCGGGGTTGGCCACAGGCGATAGTGGAGAGTCGGTCTGCTCGTGGTCTTCCATGACTGTGGCTGCTGGCATATTGGTGTTTTTCGACTTGCTTTGAGACTGATCCTTCTGCGAATTCGAGGCGGTCGTCGTCTGCAGAGCTGATTCCTTTGTGATAGTTGCGTGGGGTCACGTGATACTCGTTGTAGTTATTTTGTCCGTGTCTGTATACGTTGTTTTTTTTTGGGTTGGTACAGTTTTGGTTATCGCTGTTGGTTACGCTGATGGTGATCGGGCTCACTGTTGATCGAGACGAAGTTTTGGGATGTACAGTAAGTAATAGGTCGGCGTATATTTTTTGGTTTTCAGAACGTCAAAGAGAAACCGGGCGTTTATGGAATATGTGATGTCTATTCAAAGGAAACTCAGAAAGAACGAATCAAGGAAGCGGTGAAAATGCACGCTAATCCATAAAAGCAAATCTACGCAACAGAAATGAATCGGATACCCATGGCGCCGAAAGACACTCGGGAGCGAAAACAGAAGAGAAAACAAAGGAACGCCGAATAGAAAGTAGGAGAACGTAATAGGGTCCAATAGATATCCATCCAGATTACGAGAGCTTTGTGCGCTTGCGGTGGCTTCGGTGCTAGTTGTGTAGGATGGATGAGGGGGCTTTCACAACATCTCCGATGGAGGGGTTGAGCCAACTTACATCAACGCTCTCATCATCGCTCGCACTCTCCTCTGCGCTTGACGCCGCCCCGTCATCAGAAAGGACGTCAGGGGTCTCTAGGGCAGAGTCCAATAACGCCATGCTTGCAAGCTGGGGTGAAACAATGTCAATGCGATTTCGCCCATGTGGGGATGCCACAGTTTCCGCCGTTACCTGAGTCTTCTCCATCGCATTGCTGATCTTTTGAATGCCCTTCTTCAAGTCCTCGGCCGCGGCTTGGATGTATTCGTTGTGCGCTTTGACGCGTTCCTCTCTGATGGGGAGGCAAGGGTAAGATGTGCCACTATCGAAGAAATGGGAGAAGACGGGTAACTCTTACCCAGCGAACACAGCCTCGTTCACGAGCGTGATATCTTTTGTCATTCGCGAGAGCGCGCGCGCCAGCTTCTGGTCGATGTAGATGGCCTTGCTTCTCAGTTTTGCTTCGTATATCTGTGGAACGGAAATCAGACCATGCTAAGCTCCGTCCCCCTCATTCCCCTAATCTCAAAAGATACCAACCTGTCCAATCTCCCCAAAGATGTCAGAAACCCCCTTGATGTCGACATTGGTGGTATCTCCAGTAGGAATCTCCATAATCACATGTCCGGCTTCCACAGGATGAGGCACATGAGGCTGCGGGACTTGCGGGGAAATGTAAGCTCCAATCTCCTCATAGCGGGGCACTCGGCGGCTGGACACTGGGCGCGTCGACACTGCACGGGAGGGTGTCCGTGTAGGTTGTGGCTGTTCTTCATCGGATTCAAACTCTTCGTCAGATGAAGGCAGGAATTGTCGGGCGAGGGATTCGAGAGTGACGGCGCGGTCCTTTGCCTTTGTGCTCGAAGCAGGGCCGCGTTTCTTGATTGAGGAGGTAAATCTTTTGACCGATGCTGCCACGTCCTCGATGGCTTCATTGAACAACCAGTATGTTAGCAAAGTGGATTGAGTGAAGTCGAAGACAAAACGTCGGGACATTACCTAGGCGAGGTTGCTTCACAGCTGAAGAGAGCGCCTTTGTATTCTTGATAGCGAGCTTTCTACGCTTCCCAGGGTTGTACTCCTCATCGGTCTCCGTGTTTGAAGCACCTGGCATTTCCAGTTCCGATCCACATTCATCGTCGACCTCGAGGGCTGGGTAGGAAATGAATTGCTGTTGTTAGGCGAGAGCAACGAGACCCTTGTGACAGACCTTTCCGACCGCGCTTTGCGGATGACTTTCCCTTCTCCGTAAATGTCTCATCCACAGTTTGGCGCTCTGAGAGGCAATGTGTCAATGAATATCCTGTCTAATCATGCTCGGCGTGAGGGGTACACAGACCCGTTCGAACGCGTTCCAAAAGGCTCTTGCGCTCCTTGGCACCCGGAGTTATGAATGGACTCGCTGAAATCAACATAGTCTCATCAGGGTCGCGACGCCCTGTACTCCTTTCTCGGCGATCAAACAAATCGGTCATGACCATCGGCTTCGAAGGCGTCTTGATAGCGGAAGTGCCATGACTCTGATCGGACAATTTCTTCTTGGCTCGATATTGCTCCAGAGCCCATTGCAGTCCTCCCTTTTTCGCCGAGACCGCTTTATCGCTGTTCGGGGCAACCAGCGTCTCATCGTGCTCGCAAATGTCGGAACCTGGGGTTTAAGTTGACATGCGCTCGCTAGTCAAGTCTTACACTCTGGTGGCAAACATCCATGTATCGCGACGTCTCACCGGAAGAAGAGGAGTCTGACTTCAGCTGAAATGAAGAAGGTCTCAGTACATGAAGGCAGGTCGAGTACGCATGGATATACCGTCAAACGCACCGAGATCGGTTTGATGCGTCCTTCCTTCGTATTTTTTCGGATGGCCACAGCTGAATCTCGAGGCGCCGCATCGTCCGGTAACTGTACTATCTTCTTCGCGGAGACGGTTCGCATAGCCGAAACCAGTTTTGCAGGTGTCACGGGCTCCGCTGACTGTACTGGCTTCTTTGCGGAAACGAGCACCCGGCCGCTCTTCGCAACTGGCTCAATTTCAACCTCCCAATCCAGCACAACCTTCGCTTTCATAGGTTCCGGCGTTTGAGCAGAACTTGATGAACTGAAAGTGAAGGAGCTTTCAGAAACAAAACTCTTCGCAACAGCTTTCGGTGTGGATGGCGGAACTTCGTCCGCGGCGAGTTCAGCAGGAGTTTTCTCCATTGTGACATCCGCCGCAACCCTTGCTTTTTCGACGCGAAGTGGTGGTCTCTCCATTTGAGGCACGGACCATTTCACACGAGCTTCAGGCTTTCAGTATAATGCGGTGAGTTGTGCCCTGGGTAACGCAAAGAGATCGAAACATACCACGTCCCGGCCTTTCAGGATGCGTCCGACACTCTCGTCTACGGAGGCATACGTTCAGAACTCAGACACGTATGTGAATTACAATGAATCGGAGAGGGAAACCCACCGATTGCAGAGGCCGCCGGATCGTCCTCTATCAAGACTGTAAGCTTGTTTGTTGTTGGAGGATCATCCTGCTGTGATCCATCTGGACCAGCAATGATGACGGGTTCCTTCAGAGCCAAGAAGAGCTTGTAGCCCCCTGAGTCGACCGTTGCGAGACGGAAATCAGCTGTGTTTCTGACCGTCTAGAATTTGTCGCATATGTACCTGGCTCCTCTTCAATCCTCCAGTCACTCAGTTTCTCATAGCTAATATGCAACGAGATCGTCTCGCCCTCCTAGCATTAGATAATTAGCATACCGCTCTCAGGCTCGCATGCAAACACTCTCCTTACATCTGGATCGGCGACCTCCGTGGATATCCCATCGACATCGAAGTCCAGCCAAAATGTATCCAGCCCTTCGGGGATCTTCAGCTGATAGAAAGGACCAAGACAATCATAAGCTACGTTCGTCCTGATAGCCGGTCTAGCTGATGACATACCTTTGTGGGAGCCAAGTGACCGGTGATCAGACAGTGGATTTCGCGGACTTTGTAGAAAACTGGGCACTTCGAAAGGCCGTCATTGCCAGAGTTGATGAGCTTCAGAAAGGATCTCACATCCTGGTAGTTTTCCATGTTTTAATTTAGGTACATTCTCCAATATTGAACATAAGAAGCTCTCAGACGTACCTCATGAAAGTGATCTCCGCAAATCTCCGCAAGCCTCTCTGGCAAACCGAGAGCATGGGCAAAGTTGACTCGTCCGGCGCTCGACTTTGGCAACAGTCGGAAAAGAATTTGCATGATGCTGATTTGAGACTCTACATCACCAGCTTGTCGCATCAATGCAGCCAGGGCTTTCAGTCTCGGAAGGAACGCATCCGCGTTGATCAGCGCTTTGTTTTTGTTGCTTTTCGTCAGTAACTGAATCAGCGTAGACAGTATCTGTAGCCTCCTGGCAGTAGAACAGTCGCCCGTCCGCAAGATGTCAAAGAGGCAAGATATCATCTGCTCGCCCACAACATCCTTTTCCAGCCTGCCGTCTTCAACCGCTTGCGACAGACAGTTCAGACTATATTCAGTGATATAGTCATCGTAGGGCGGCTTCGCCGCGGGAGGGAAAACACTCTTGATGATCTTCAGAATGGCATCCCCGATGACTGGATTCGCTTCTGCCGTCGGCGTTTCCAGCCACCGACAAGCTGCGGAGAAGAAGGTTCGTACGACGGGGTAATCTTGTTCATGCTTCGCCTTCATGCAAACATGAGGGTTAGCTTCCGTCAAATCAGCAGGCTGACACTGCGAGCGCCCTTGTACCTCTGCCAGGCCACTTGAAACGTTCTTGACAAGGACCGTGAAACTGTGCAAGCCAAAGTTAGGACAAATTCAGGGATAACAGGACTACCACCGTTGTGCGTACTCCTTCGCGGTGAACTTCGCTGCCTCGTCTGAATTCTTCCCTTTCCCGGCTTTCTTCTTCGGGCCCTCCTTGACTTTGTGGCCAAACAGTTGTGTCTGCTTTGACAACTTCGACTCTAAACGTGCCTTTGCAGGCATTCTGCACGAATTAGCGACGGTGGCAGCCGTCAAGCGAATCGTGCTTCTCTGTTCCCTCAGGATCGCCCTTCAGTATGTAGTTATGATCTGGGAGGAGTGCTGAGCCTTCGTGGGAAAATCGGACAAGCGCAGAAGCCAGGGTGGTGTAAAAGCAAGGAAATTCAAATCGGATGTGCGTACTGAAGAACACGCTGAGGTGTAGATGACGTGAATGAGGGGATGAAGACAGGTATGACTCATACATTTATGGCGTTCCGAATCAACTACGTAATGAAATCTGAATCCTGGTTTCCGGGTTCCGTCTCCTATTCGTAAACCGAACCGCGGCTGTGGTGAGTAGAATCTTGTCTCTGAGCCAGGGTAAGCCTGACCATAGCCGGTACCAGAGTTACCAGAGGCGTTGTTCTACCGAGTTTCCGGAACAACTGGAGCAGCCAGATCGATGAGTCACGATTGGTATGACTCACAAACGACTCACAATCGACTCACGTGACATCACGTTAACTAATATCGTGACCAGGGCGTCGGGACAGTAGCCAAACACATGACTCCCCCAGGGATGAGCCCATATAATGCTTTCCAGGGCCCCGGTATTGGTAAGCTTGATGTAATGCTTATACCCGGCAACGTGGATTTCCTCAATCTTAGCTTCCACCAGAAAGCTGGTACCTATCTCGGGCAGCGTACCGGCGAACGAGGTTGCGTAATGGGGACCTACTACGTATGACGCCGGCCTCAATCAAATCGACAGTATTGACCGCAGGTGGCACAGTACCCCATTCCACGTCATCCCCCCGCAACCCTAACCCCACTAGTGCGGGGTCACGTGATATGCTGCTGAGATTCAGCAGCAGCTCGCACATTTGGCATTTTGAAATGCTTTCACACCACCCTGCGCAGAAGCGCTCAGAATCCGTTTCGCGCGTCCTCTGCCAGTGACTCGTGGAACTGACATCAAAGAGTCGCGGTCAAAAAAGGCCAAAGAAGCCTTACCGCTCTTACCGGGCGTGCGGCGGTGTCCTTTACCAACCTTCCAACGGAGACGAAACGAATCGGAACTTACCCTCACTGACATCTCCAACGGCAACCTAGTCTTGTCAATGTCGTTGGGCTTGAGGGCCAGACTCGTTGCAGCATCCACTCCAATTCGCGTTGTGCCTGTTCTTACTGCGACGCAACCGGTATCCTTCTCCTTCACGACTTCTGCCGCGGCGTTGGCTCAGAAGATCGTAATCCGATCGCAACCCGGTCTAGGTCTCTTTCCTCAAAGCGGTGGAAGTGCCTTTCGCAGGTTCAACGGGGCACCGCGCTCGTGCGTCCGGACCCTCTCCTCCTTCCGCAACATGGCGGCCAACAGTTACCCACGCCAGGACGCCCCAATGCCGGGAATACTGCCCGCCCTGCGCAGAGAGCCGTCCGAGCACCAGCAGCTTATCCACGAAGAGGATGGGACGACCTGGGAAGACGTGTCTGGTTCCGGGAATGGTTTGTCGGAAGCTGAGGCCGCACGGTTGGCACAAGCAAGTGGAAGCGACCTGATTGAAACGGTGCTGCTATTTCCGACTTATGCGCGTCTATCGCTGACGAAGAAGCAGGCTGAGAAGGCTGCAAAGATGGGTCAAGCTGCTGCTGCAGTGCCTGCGACACCGCCCGCCACCGCTGCCGGCAGGGTGACCTCATATTTCAGCCGGTGGGGTAGCGGGACCACATCGGCGTCTTCCGCTGCGCCAGCTGCGCGGGAGCCATCACCAGGCGCTGACTTGGCGGGCGGAAGTGCTGTTGCAGAGCGAGAAGCATCACCTATAGATGCATCTGAAGCTGCAACTTCACTCAAGCCACCCGGTCCAATTGAAATTGAGGGGTCTAAAGACAGGCACTGGCTGGTCAACGTCAAAGGATGGGTGTATGGAACGAGGGAGCAGAGCAAACGACGAAAGATTTTACTGAGTATCTCCCGAAGACTCTTAGCCTCTGCTACGGTTGACGCTGCTTCCGGCACGCGTTACGACGAACGAGCGGGGCTCTTCCTTGCAACATCGCTGCAAGGGGTCAAAATTCGAGTCGCTGTCTCCGGGCTAACACCCAACACGAGCCTCATTGGCATACCAGCCGAGCGGAAACCGCGTGAGCGACCGCATTCCAGAGGAGACACCCCTGAACCGGATACCAGCAGCTTCGATTATGATCAACTGGCAAAGACCGAAGCCGGGATCGACCTGGTCACCGACGCAAGTGGCTTCTTCTCGGGGACGATTCAACTCCCGAAAAGCTTTGTGGATAAGTGGCGGGAAGAAAACGCACAGCCGTGGGTAGACCATAACTCGGTGCAGATCGTTGCTTTCAAACCCGGGGAGCCTGGTGCGTGAGATATGAAACCATCTGTTCGGCGCCGTCTAAGGTCATCATACTGAAGCCTTCGATTTCCAGAAACATTAAACACCGTGGGCCAGGTGGAACTCATCTCCCCAGAAGGCGTGTCAATCATCTCCGACGTCGACGATACCATCAAAGAATCACTGGTACATGAAGGCAAGATGGCCGCCATCAACGCGGCGCTGTTTGCCGAGGCCCGTGAAGTCCCTGGGATGGCCGACGCGTACAACTACCTCCGTGCGCGCAACGTCAGCATGCATTATGTGAGCGCTGGGCCGTACCAGCTGTATCCGATGCTTTCGGCGTTCTTGAAGACGAGCAGGTTTCCGTTGGGCTCGCTGAATTTGAGGAATGTCTGGGAGAGGGAGAATATGAGCTCCAAGACGTATAAGATCAAGATCATCACTAGGATTTTTCAAGTATGTTGAAAGTGAGCCTTGTATTGTGGAATCCATCACTAAGCCCGCTGATCCCCTTGCAGGACTTCCCAGATCGAAAGTTTCTTCTGCTAGGTGATTCCGGCGAACGGGACATCGAGACCTACACCAGCCTCTTCAGCTTATTCCCTTCCCAAATCGTCAAAGTATTCATCCGGGACGTGACATCCCACAAATTCCCACCAAAACCTCCACCACGATCAGACACGCCGCCCCTGCCGCCGCCAATGGATGCAGGCAACTTTTCAGATCCAGAACCGACTCGGAGACCAGCATCTCCCGCAAAAGGTCTTCCGCCAAAAACCTCCCCAGTCTCCTCATCCCTGCCGCTAGGCTCCACCAAAAACATTATATCCGCCTCCTCCGACACCGAAACCACCGCCCCAACCCCATCCCGCTTCTCTATGCCCCGCATCCGCAGCTTCCCACTCCGCAGCCGGGAAGCCCCGCCTGAGGTTATCGACCCACTGGAAGCCGAGCTCGGGCCCGCGCCTAACCCGCTGGTGTTGCGCGCGCGCATGGCGTTTGCGGCGATGAAGAAGGACGCCTGGGCGTTGTTCACACTACCGGAGGTTATTTTCACGGACAAGGTGGTGATGGACGCGCTGAACAAGGTGGCGGAGAGAACCGAGCGGGTGGAGAATGGGATTGCCGGGTCGGACACGGATGAGGAGGAGCGGAGTGGGAGCAGCAGTCCCGTTGTGCCTAGGCCGGGCCGTGTTGCTGCTGCTGCCGGATCCCCGCTGCGGAACTCGCATGTTTACTCGGAGGAGGAGGCTGTTTTGAGCACGCAGGATGCCTCTGCTGTTGGACAACCCCAGACGAAGGACGATGCGATGCAGACGGTGGCTATCGATGACACAACCCTTTCGCACGACCAGCCTGCCCAGCCACAAATCCCGCCACGTCCCGAGGCATAGATCAGAATAGACCCCATCGCTATCTCCCGCCAAACGTTTCGTTCATTGCGAGTCATTCGCTTACACTTAGAGAGAGACACGATAGTTGTCTTGCAACATTTTACCATACTGTATATATTTTGTTCACCAATGCAACTGGCAGATTTTCCCTCTATCTACTGAAACATGGAGAATATCGACGTTTTAAAAGTGGAGGCACCGCCGCGGCGGTGGGAGTCCCGGCCCTGGGCTGTAGACCGACTTCGATTATCCTGTCCATCGTGCTCACACCGCATTCCGTCAGGTGCCTGCCAGCTTCCATGAACAGCTGACAGGCACCTACCGACGACGGCATGAGAAACCTCCAACACATAGCAGCCGTTGTTCACACGCAACGTCTGGTATTTATCTACAGTCATCTCAACCGGTATACAGCGCGATTCCACACTCCTTCTACTTCGACGCCCTCCCCGAGGACAGTTACTCAGCCGTTGCTCCCAGAGCCTCCCACACCCATCTTTGCTCCGCCAAGATTGTTTTCCACCGCCAAAACCGAGGAAGAACGGCGGACGAGAGATTGAGAATAATTAATTTCCGCCTGTTAAGTCTCCTACATCTGTTGGGGACGGTTGGCGCTGGTTGGCGCGGTACCAGCGGTCGCCACAAAGGCTTTTTTTTTCGGTGCCGGGCCCGGCGAGGAACAACTGGAACAACAACGTTGACCCACGCCACCTTCGTCTGTGCGTCGTCCCACCAATTGATTCATGTTTCGCTTCATCCGTTCATCCTCCGGAATTCTTATGTGCTTTAGTCATCGGAGTACTACCATAAAGTCGTGGTTTGGGAGCCAAATTGTATACGGTTCTGACGTCGTTGGCTTGGTGTTTCCGCGTCCCAGCCCCATACCCGATTATTAGTGGTGGAAGGCCTCATACTCCACGCAAACGTGCCCATTAATTGCGAGGTATTGGGCTAGGGGCGTTTTAAGTGCACCCCACTTATTGAAGGTTTAAGTTCCCGAACGTTTTCTGCTGCCCTCTTCCTCCACAGCAACCCCGCCCACCAACCAGGCCCACAATTCCCAATCCCCGGAGAGACGAACCCACTACTATATACCGACCGCGCCCACAACCAATCTCCGCTACTCACATCTACCCACGTCTGGTTTGTCAGATTCTGAAAGCGAAACACTTCCATATCAACTACCCCTGACGTACTGAACGAGCCATGCCCGTCTTGGTTCTTCGCGTCAAGAGCTCCGCTCACGAGAGTGAGTTCGAGCCCTTCACGAGATTGGATTCTCCGGACGATTTTGCTGCTGCATGGAGGACCTGTACTAAGGTAGGCTTCTCGCCCTACGACGTGGCGCTTGTTTCTTGGCGGTTGCAATCTTGCGCGCCCCTGTTATGTTTTTTGTTCCTACCTGGCGCCGGGGTTCAATTCACTGATTCACTGACGAAAAAAATTCTCCGCACAGGTGAAGGACACTCTCGAGAACGGGAATCGCTTGGAGAACCTGTCCTGGCGTCTTTGGCATCTGCACCAGATCCTGGTGGAGACCAAGAAGGCGAACAACACGCAGTTCAAGCGCCTGTCCTGTAAAATCACGAAAAAGTTCGGCCAGCCTGCTCAGACTGTGAGGCGGCCGGTCTCTCCTCGCAGCGAAACCATCACCGTCACCGAACAGCAGCAGAAGGAACTGCAACAACACAAGCAGCGCGAGCAGAAGCTCGAGAACACCATCCAGCAGGGCTTTGCATTGGCGCGGTCGGCGTTCCTGGAGGAGCAGATTGTAGAACAGATCGCGGAATCGGTGCAGACGGTGCAGCAGCCGTCTCGTATCGTTGAGCTCACTGAGGATGCCCAGAACTCCTTTGTCGAGTCACAACTTTTTGCGGCCCCGACGGAGCAATTCCATGTGGAGGCATTCACCATCCCTGAGCCATTGGGCATGGATGGCCTCCTACCACCTCATGCCGATGCCTTCGGAAACGCCTGCGCTCTTGCGGGTAGCTCCTCAGCGACGGAAGCCAACCTCCTGATTCACTTCACTGCGAGCCCCGCAAACGAAATGTCCTTCTTCAACCCGGATATGTGGAATCATAGCAACACTCAGCAATCTGCCGATCTCCCATCTATCGACCCCAGCATATTCAACTACTCGTACACGCCTCTTGCCATCACAGGCCCGGATATGGACGGCAAGACCATTGACCAGTCAGCGACGGTGCAAACACAAAGCCAGCAGACCTTCCCAGCCCCAGGTTTCGAGTGGGCGAGTTGCCAACGAGATATGTACACACCAGCAGAGAATCTTGCGACGCTTCCCAAGTACGGAGACACACACGGTTACTTACCGATACAAGAGACCACATTTGGATTTAACGCGCTGCCAGAACGATCGACTGCTTCGGACTATATCCCCTCGGCTTTGCCAAACTCGTCTATCATACGCCGGCCATCTACGTCGCTTTCCTCCGGTTCGCAGGTTCAGCAAAGCAGCAATTCAACATCTTGCACATATAGCCAAAGCGAGCAGCTGTACGGCATGCCCGCGAATCCATTTTCCCAGTCTCCGCTTGCGCCACAAACATACGACCAAGTCAAAGCTATCTACCCATCGGACATGACCACTGTTGCACCCCAGTCGCTGTATGATGTATCACAGCAACAGCAGACCTTCGGGCCATCCATGGCGTCTCAACATTTCGTGTTGCAGCAGCAGCCGCCATTCGTGAACGAAGATCATCGCGCTTCGTCTTGGTCATTTACCGAGTTACCACGCCCACCACTCAATGGCTTCGGAGCAGGTCCAACTCAAGATACTGGGATGAGCAACGACGGTGCCGGTTGCTCATACCAAAAGGAATTTGACGCGCTGGCGGCCCATGACGATCACAAGTGTACAATCAAGCTGGAAGAGGGAATAGTCATGCAACCCGAAGACGATGCCTCAAACTCCTCCACGACAACGTCTACCCCGCTATCTGGCCCAATCCGTCCCAAAGCAGTCCGACGAAGCACTGCGAGGGTGCAGACTGCGCCAACACCTTCGGCGCCCAAATCGAAATCTGGCGGACCGACAATAGGCGCCAATGGTACTATCAACACTTGCCAGAACTGCGAAGCGACATCGACGCCACTGTGGAGACGATCAGACCAAGACGAACTGCTATGCAATGCCTGCGGATTGTAGTAAGTATCGCGATGTTCTTTCAAGACTGACCGATGGCTCTTTGCTCACATCCTTCTTACCAACCTTTCAGCTACAAACTGCATAACCGCCACCGACCCAAGTCTTTACGTCCCCAGTCTCTTCAGTCAGGCGACGGCGATGGCGCCAATACCGCTCAACTCACCCATTGCGCAAACTGCGATACCACGTCCACACCTCTATGGCGTCGCGACGCCGAAGGCAGACCCATTTGCAACGCATGCGGGCTTTACGAGAAGCTTCATGGCGGGCAGCGTCCGGCATCCATGCGGACGGACGTGGTCAAGAAGCGGAGTCGTGTGCAAGACGGGAATGGACAACGGAAAAAGCGAGCACAGAAGGTTGAGGCGATGAGTGATGCGCAGACGGTATCTGCGCCGTCTGCACCACCGGCACCCGCATTACCTCCAACCTTCTCTGTGGGCATTTGAGAAACTACAAGCCGACCACATCCTCGCCAACTTCGATCCGATTGAACATGCTTCGGCATGCGCACTTCCTACGCTGGACCTACCTTTATCCCCCAACCCTCTCGGACTGTTATATCATCCCGTTTCACTGCTGCTGGATTACACATGACTATCAGTCCCCCTGTTTATTCCTGAGTAACCCTCATATAGCCGGCTCTCCGTTCTCATCCCCGGACATTTCTCCATCCGTTTTTCCCAGAAGTCATGACATTATCCCCCCGATGCGATCAACAATCGCCGGGATGTGGTGAGGAAGGAGCTTCTATGACGTTCCATACTTTGTACATTCTGTAGTGTTGTGCCCAAAAGAATGACTTTGTGAATCTCCCTGTATTCATTATGTGCATGTCGTCTGTTTTGGTTGAGGGAGTGCCGGCCGAGAAAAGTAACTTATTAGTTGATGTGCAGTACAGTACGTTGAGGACGAAACAAGTGATGACACACGCGTCAGAGCCCTCGTGACCCAGGTGATTCGCTCCAAACCGCAACCGGGTTTTATGTGAAGCAAGTCACAACAATCTAGGCAGCCAGTAAAAGCCTTTCCACAGTCTCATATAGCATATAGTCTCAGTGTAGAAGCTCTTTCTCGCGAACTGAAACCTTTTTGTCCCAAGATCAGCTGAGTGTCGCTCCATCAGCATCGCAACCCGATCAAGTGCAAACAGCGCGCCAGAATGTCGTACTCGGACCCCGCCCATCAGAATGCCGTGCAAGAAATCTACAGGAAGCTGGGCACCATCCCCATCGCGGCCATCCTCAAACACCGCGAGGCCACGCGAGGCAGTTCGCCTTTGATTGCGGTTCCGGAGACGGCTACCGTCGCTGAAGTGATGCTTCTTTTGAGGAATGAGGGGATCCTTGCAGTTCCTGTGTATCGAGTCACGGAGGGACAGAGTGGTGGAAGGCAGTATACGGTAGGTAGTGTGACCCGTGTGATGGAATATTGTTATGCATTTTGCTCATAGATCGTGATGGCGAATAGGGCATCATCAGCATCCACGACATTCTTGCCTACACGGTTTTTCAGAAGCTCTTTGATCGCTTGGAGTGAGTGCTTTTGCATCCATCGCGGCCCATACTTGATCGATCTATCCATAGAAGTCTGAATCGCATAGAGCTGATGCATGGCGGTCAATAGGCCTGGCAGCGGTGCTTTCGTCGGTGACAAGGCCGGAGAGCTGCGAGACTGGATTGACTCTCTTATGGAAGATCAGGAACAGTATTTTGGAACTCCTGTAAGTATCTCTTCGATGCATCCGCATGGCCCATTATCGCTTTTTGACGCGTCCCATTTCCAAATGTCAGATTGGAGAGCTGGTTGGCCTTAGCCGCGAAAGCCAGGAGTCATGGTCCTTGAACGCCTCCATGCCTGTGTCCAACCTGTTGCAGCTGCTCACGGCCGGCGCTTACCATCGTGCACTTATTGTTGATGACGAGGGAGTGCTCATTGAAAGAAGCGAAGAAACGGAGAATTTGCCTGAAGGTTCCTTCACCACTATGATTACACAGGTCGGCAGGAAATCACGATGTTAATGAGCAGAGCTAGGTTCTCTAAATCTTCCGTGGTTGTAGACGGATGTGCTGGCTTTTCTTGAAGATTGCGTCGACCTCTCGCAAGATGCAAGACAACGCATCGAACAACTCCCAGTCAAGGAAATCAACGAACTCGTCACTCGTCGTTTGGAACATCAGCAGGAGCAAGCGCAGTCAAAGGCGACGTCGACAGCGGAAAGAAGGACGGGCAAAAGCCGAGTTGTGACTGTCCTCGACACGGCAACAGCTCTTCAGGCATTCCGGTACGCATTGCGTTCCCGGACATGCTTGCTGCACATTGCTTTTGCTTTCCCTTCTGCCCGCGGAGCGCCATGTTGAAAGGGAACGAATACTTACAAGTCGCTCGCTTCCGGCCGCCTCTTATTCAGTGACCTGTACATCGGTGGCGTTAGCGCCGTGGCGGTTGTGGACAAGGAAGGTGGCTTGGCCGCCAATCTCAGCGCTTCCGATCTCCGAGGTCTGAGTTCCTCGAATCTCGAAGGTCTTTTGGACCCGGTATGTAGGCCCCAATGGATGTATACGGGCATGCACCCATAGCTGACATGGCTTTGATACTCCAACATCTAGGTTTTTACCTTCTTGGAAATCGATACTCGTCGACGTTCCGATCAAGTCAAAGCTGATCAGCTCAAGTTCGTCGAACCTGATGCCCCACTGTCCAAAGCTATTGCCATCGTAAGTCATAATGACTCGGCATTCACTCATCTTCAGTCAACATTCGGCAGCAGATTTTTGAATGAGTTGTCTAATTATCCTATTTGCCAGATTCGCGATGCGCACATCCATCGTGTCTGGATCGCCGATGAAGGGGACAAACCTGTGGGAGTCGTCACTGTGTCCGACATCCTCAGCGTGTTTGTCCCCGATGGGTTGATGGCCATCGAGCAGTAACGAGTCTCTCTCGCGCGCGTTTTTCACATTCATGTATCCTTCTCTTTTCTTTTTTTTTTTTGGCCGTACGGTCAGTATGGTTTTGATGTCCTACGAGGCTGTTTTTTGGTATGATTGCAACAGCAGTTTGGAATGCGATTTAGGTTCATTTGAATGACCGTTGAACGGAATAGGCGCATTGCTCAGGGGGTGCTCAGCCCCCATGGAAAAAAGGGCATACGCAAAATTCAGCCAGGCTCCGGGCTGCGCATTCAGGACAATGATAATCCTGTCATAGTGACTCAGCACTGTCAAATCGCCCTCCACACTGACAGTAGAAAAGATCACAAGCGAGCACCTGAAAGCCTCGTTTGCCAGAGAGACAGAGTGACCAAACTGTGCACTGCCTACCCAGCAGAAAAACCAACTCCAAACCAAGGTACGAGCGTATTGCTTGCCGAGTCTATGGCTAGATCGTGCTCTATGTAGTCTAACGGTTATTCCCGGCGCCTATCTCTCTCTCTTGACAGGCAACTTCCGATAACACCCAACACAGCAAAAACGATGTCGTCCGTCCCGACAGCCGACAACCCGACCGAAACGCAGGAAGGTCAAAGCCAGACTTTCCCCATGGCCTCTTCTTCTGAGGAGCAAAAGCAGCAGCAGCAGCAGACTCCCGAGCAGACGGCTGAAGCTCAGAAGAAACTCGAACAGCTTAGGCAGCCCGTCCATGAGGAGTTGATGGAGAAGCAGGAGCAGACGCACCAGAGGATTATTGCTGTTGCGCTTGACCAGAGTGGTGAGTTTCGGTTCGTTCCTAATGAGCGTTGCTCGTAAAATCATAACGTCGGTAACCACGAAAGATCGTATGATCCCGATCTCATCTGCGTGTCCCCACAATTTTCGCAGAACACAGCGAGTATGCCTTCAACTGGGCCCTGGAAAACCTCATCAACCCTCAGTCCGACCAAGTCGTTCTCCTCAACGTCCGCGAGGTCGTCAACGTGCCTGCCTCCTTTGGCTTGATCTACATGGATATCCGAGGTGTGAACAGTGCTTTTGGTATGATGGTCATGACGTCTGCCTTAGGGAGAGCTCACTGATGTATTTATTTGCTTTTTCGTTTTTGATGTGCCAGACTGGATCGATCGCACCGAATATGAGCAAATGATGGTTAGCCACAAGCTGCTTAAGCATTTTGGAGCTAGGATCGTGAAAGCTGGGGTAAGACATTCACGCAAAGACAAATAGGAAGTGCATTGGACATTCACCGCCTTGTTCAATCGCATCAATCGCAGGCCAAATGCCGCGCCATCGCCCTTCGTGGCGATCCGCGCGACGAACTCCTCCACAAAGTCAAAGAAGTCAACGCCGACATGCTCGTGATCGGGTCCAGGGGAATGGGCACCTTGAAGCGGTATGTCAGCGCCTTTGTATCGATCGCCTGCTCTTTCCATCATGGTGAACTCAGTCGCTTGGTTCCTCACTCAATGCCATTTTCTCGTCATGGGAAACACTCGTGACATCCAGTGCCTTTGTAGGCTCCGTCTCCGACTACTGCGTTCACAACAGCGAGTGTCCCGTCGTTGTGGTCCGCCATAAGCACGAGAAGGAGATGCACCCGAAGAAGACCCACGCCTGAGATGGACGGCGAAATACCCGAAGGTGATGGCCGCCCTTATCCGCAATACCAAAACCCATACAAAATGTCAGATATGCAAGTCGGTTTCAAATCAGGGTGAGGTGGCGTAAAACTATCGATGAAAACATGTCTGCCTAACTCGTTTTAGGCTGCTGGGTTTTGCTACTTTCACCCCTGTCTTCCTATGTTACGCATCGTTTATGGTTCGTGTACTTCTTTTGTATCGCGGTTCTATTGTTTGCTGAGGCTCCCGGGTATCGCAGATAGCCTAGGGTAGCTCATTTGTGTGATTTTACATATTTTTTGCGTCTGAAGAATATCATTTTGTCACCGCTTACTTCCCTTGCTCGTCCGATGTGGAAGAACAGTCAACGGTAGGGTCGAAATATCATTCTCCATTATTTTTGTTGCTGCCTCAAGACTAAAGATAAGGTTAAAAACAATTCATAAAAGATAGAAAGACAAGTGCTAGCCTAACGGAGTCCAGCAGTACGCGTATGGGACGATGCGCCAGCGCAAGTATGGATGGGATCTATTCGACATAGCCTACCGAGGTACACTACTGTACACCCAACAGCCAGTCAGGCGCTGTATGCATGAAAATTCCACAAGTCCGAACAAGGTCCTGTTTCTTCTTTCGTAGCGGCGCGTTCGAGACTCCGCCGTTTGATGGTTGGGGCATGGGTTCCGAGTCCCGTTGATGCAAAACTACGTGCTCTTCTCCTTCTCGGCCTTCTCCCTTGCCTCCTTCTCCGCCTTTTCCCGCTCCTCCTTCTCCTTCTTTGCCTTCTCCTGTTTCTGTTCCTCGATTTTTCGAATCTTCTCCGCCTCACGATTGGCCGTCCCGCCACCGAACAAATCAAACCACTCCGGCGTGCATGACCAGTCAGTCATGTCAAAGCTCTTGACGCCGTCACATTCGCACTTGTTCGCAAACGCCGGTTGGTAGACGGGACAGTGGTTGATGCCCGTATGGTCGTAGCCGATATTGTTGAAGAAATGTATCTGCGATGGCTTCAGCAGCAAGGTAGCGCCTATCGAGTGCACGGGCGCGTCTCCCCAGCGCTCATAAAAGAAGCCGCCTGCTTTATCGAGGGTTTCAAAAAAGGTGCTGTACGCCTTGGAGCGCCAGAGATGTAAACTTCCGATTTCAAAGTTGGACCAGAAGTGGCACATGTTGTAATCTTCGAGGTCTTTGGAAACCCAACGAACCGCATTGTCGGTACGGATGAAGGACGGGTTGTCCGTCATGAATTCGCGGGTCGTTTTCCACAACGTTGGGACCGTTTCGCGAAATTCGGTGAGAGAGACCGTGAAGCCATACAGCTTGTTATGCTCTTGCATGAAGCGGAACGGATCCTCATCGATATCGCAGAAGAAGTGAACGTCGGGTTCGACACGCCAGTAGTAATCATACTCTTCCAGCAACTCATGACGGTAGAAGAAACCGGAGTTATACCGGCACATGTGGCGGTAAGCCTCGTGGCCCCCGTAGATGATGCCCCTGTCTGCCATATCTTTGCGTGCTGCGGCAGCTCTGGTTTGATTGATCCAAGAAGGATAAGACCAATGCGCGGTCGGTATGAGCCCGAATTTCATATCCGCAGCGGGATTCACGCCCTGGAGCTTTTGCTTGAAATTGTCATCGAACGGCTTCTCGTTCAAGAAGACGTACGGGTATCTCCACTTCTTGTTAAATCGATGCTCCAGCTCGGTAAGGGATTTCACGGCGCCATCCGCGTCCGAGTTCCTTGCGAGCATCACAATAACGCCTTTGACTAGCGGCGTCGGCGGTGTAAACGATGTGTTGCGAACAGGCGCGAGCGAATCGACCGGTACTAAGGTCAGTCCAATCCTCTCTGCATAATCCACGTCCGATCGCATATACGGTGAGCCTGGTTGGTGAAGCAGGCGGTTGCGGTTCGCTTTTTGCTGAATACCCGACGTTTGATCATCCTGTTCAGCCTTTGCTGCTGAGGACGGGGAAACCTTCTTCACAGCAGCGGCCGGCTCTGCTGTCCCTTTACGCGACCACTCATCTGCGATTCTCTGCCTGGCGTTTCCTGAGCCTAGGGCGCTGTGAAGGAACAGGAATGTCACAAAGACCAGGGCGAGGCCTGTGACTAGACGGAGCGTTCGACCCCGAGGTAATGTAATCATCCTCAGGTCGGTTGCTTTGCACTCGTGCTGCGCGGCCGGTATCCTGAACGATAGATAAAAAAGGTCAGGACCAGTGCACCAGAATGAAGAGCGGCGAAGAGGTTGTTGCTTGCCTGCACGGGTTTCTGCCTGCGCTGGAATAGAGCTGAAGGGCTAGACAGACAGTTGGTGGTGGACTACTATCTGGCGGACGGTGGAAATCAGGGTGGAAATGACTTGGGGACGAGACGAACGCAAACGCGTGGTGATGTTCTCAACTCCTCGATTCTCTCTTCGTGGAAACTTCCGTTCGCTAATGGAACTTGGTCGAGCGCACTTCATGCAGAGCGAAAATGGTTCAACAATCACCACACCCAACGCAGGAGCAAGCGCCGTCGAGCTCCGCAACAACAGCCCACTCGGTGAACAATGGTGCTCCGGACTTTGACACGACTTGCAGCGTCTGGGCGGCCTTTGACAAAATGCAACTATGCTACAGTAGGTCTCCTCACTCCCAACACTTGTCGTTGGAGGACTGTCCGTTTGTCCGCCTCTTCTCTTTCTGCTACTCACGCCCCCATCATCTGAACAGCTGTCCTACCGCAAGTGAAGCATTATTACCGATATGGAACATTCCGCGATTGCACGGAGGCAAGGGCGGACTTCAACTTTTGTCTGAAGATGAAGACAAAGAACAGGGTTGACGCTGAGGTATGACGCATTCGTCTTTGCAGGAGGAAGTCGGGGATGGCGGATGGAAGAGTGGAAAAGCTTCAGCATGGATAAGAGGGGTGTCAAAAGGGGGATACTTTCCCGACGGAACGATCTAGTAGGCGGTGATTGATTCTCATCTTCCGCCTGTAGAGGATGATCCGTGAACGGGAAGAGACAAAGTACGACAAGAAGGTGAATGAGAGGGAGTCACGGACGATTTGGGAGGTGCGTTGAGAGCTTTGCCTCATAGGGACCGGGATTTATCTCCCCCCCAAAGCAACAATCTGATGAATCACGATCTTAGTTACGGACAGAGCCACCACCGAACTTCCCACCTGCCTGATCTGGCCGCTCCTGCCCACATAGAGGGTCGTCTATTCCGTCATCCTCACGACTCCATGGTGCGCACGAGGCCAGCAGCTCACTTCTCGGACTGTCATGTCCTCGATTAGGTGCATCAATTAGCGCCGTTCGCCAGATGTCAGCATCCAATCTGTAACAACACGAAAAGGCGCTACCAGACCCCACATGGTGTCAAAAGCATATACGTAGGAATATATAGAGTACAAATCCCTGTTTGCAGGTTGCAAACAGGGTCAAAATGGATGGGAAAACTAGGAAACCGTATCGAATGGGACTAATGGGATGAACGCGATGTGTGAAATGTGTGTGAGAAGAGAGGGGGCGCGAGTAGCCGCCGTATTGTAGGTAGATAGGGGATGTTGGGAAGGGGGCGGTAGAAGTTTACGCCGATCCAAATCTGCCCAAAAGAATTAGGACTGGACGCTTAGTCAGTCAGAGGTGGTGAAAGAATATATCCTTCTGCGAGGATCTTGAGCGGAAGAAGTTGCAGTAAGGCAGCCAAATTTTTCCACGTCGTGTGGGCTCGATTGCCCAGTGTCGTTGAACGAGTTCGATGCACGGAAAGTGATGCGTATGCGATATGGTTACGCCGGACGAGAAGGGCTCGAGCGTAAAGGCCGGTTTCGAAAAGTGACCAAAATGGGAAATGAAAGGGCAGCCTGAAGGACAGAATTCTGCCGACTCAGGGAGCGAAAAGACCTAGAGGTGCGCCGCGTCGATGATGTCGGTTGTGTACTCCTTGAACTGCAAGCGCAAATCATTCAAAGGTGAAGTTGCGTCAATTACCAGGAATCACCCCCAAGAGCTCATGAGACAAGGGATGCGAAATCTCACCTGAGCCCGATCACCCCGTATCCTTACGAATCTCACGCCATAAGTGGCATGAACAAGCGGTACCTTCACAATCGAGATCTCCATCCTCACCACGCCATCGGCCTCGGTCTCATACTCTCCGGCCGACCGCGATTCCGGCAGCGCCTTCGACTTGTTGGACGCCACGCTTGTGCCCGATGCAAAGGACGACAGAGATGCCAAAGACCACAGGGACGACGATCGCTTGCGGAGTTTGCGCGTCCATGACGTTTTGCCCTTCTCCTTGTTTTTGCGAGGGGCTTGTGGCAGTTGCACGGACGCCGCTGGTGCGGGGGTTGGGACCGTTGGCGAGCTCGAAGTGCCCTGCGCAGGGATCACTGGCACGGCTGGCACGGCGGGGACCATGACCCGGTTGGCGTCCATCTCATCATCGTCCTCGTCGTTATCATACCTGTTGCCCCGGCTCTCGGTGTCGGTTTCGCCACCCTCGACGTCCGTGTCCTCGTCGGCCTGGTATTGACCGTCTTCCGACGGGCGTCTGAACTCGCATGAGAAGCCAGCGTTGACTTCCAGCCACACCAGCTCGAGGCGGCTGTAAGCCTCCAGAGCCCTGATGAGTGCGTGGCGGATGTGTGCTGGCGAGTGCGTGGTGGTGGTCATGATGTGAGATGATGTGGAGAAAAGATGCTTGAGCGGGAGGGTCTCGATACGTGCATCAGCCCGGCCTGGTGTGGATTGCTCTGGAATACTTGGCACTGACGCTGTCATGTTCGTATCTGTAGTGACAGTGGAGTATTCCGATGCATTCGAGAACATGCTCGAGGTTGATGGTCGGGAATGCAGGGATGGTGTTGCAGACGCCGATGGGCGGGTGCTTCCCGAGGCAGAGGCGTTGGGTAATGGTGCGATGGAAGGTACTACCATGTTGTCGTCAAGTACATCCGGAGCGGCCGCCGCCGGAAGCGCCTGAGGGTGAGCAGGTGCGCCAGTGAAAGATGTGCTGATCTTCTTCATCAGGCGAGAAAATGATGATCCCCGTGGCCGTTTGCTCAAGTTTGACGATGTCTCCTGAGACTTGTTGGGCGGGTTGTACGGTTGGTCAGCAATAGACGGCCGTGGCGAGTCGAGCGACGGCGATGGTTGGCCGAAGTTCTTCGCCACAGAGACGCGCGGGTTTGCGATGGGATGCGTGAAGTTGGACTCCTGCACGGATGCTGATGATGAGGATGCAGAGATAATTGCCGGGTCGGAACTGTTGACCGCCAGATTGCTCATTCTCTTTGCGTTGTCCGCTTGAGAATCAGCAGCCAAACGAGCTAGTGAAGCGGCTTCCCGCCTCTCTCGTTCCATCTTTTCCTTGACGAGATGATAGACGCTGAGTCTCGGTTCAACGGGAGCCCACGATCGCCTTGCTGGATTCGAGCGGCATTCGAAGTTCGACATTGCTGTGGAACGGATGTGCTGCTCGATCTCATGGGCAACGTTGGCGTCTGGACCGAAATCGAACCCTTTGATTCGGCGCACAACCTCCATATCCAGAGGAAGCTTGACCTCCTCGCGCGTCGGCATATAGTTCTTTGGTGGCCCGTCATACCCTTCCACCACCCACGCATGGCTTTTAAGCTCCGCCATTGTCGCCCTTCGGCTCGGTTGAGTCACCAACAAACGTGACAGCAGGTGTTTGCAGCCTAGAGAGAGTATGTTAAGCGATGGTCGAACGTAAAACGGTTTTTTCGGGAAGAAACTCACTCTCTGACAGATGGCTCGGGTACTGTACTACACCAGCCTTAATCTTCGCATGCAAGACCGGCATACTGACGTCATCGAAGGGAACTTTGCCGCAAACCAGCACGTACAAGATGACACCCTGAGAGCAAGGAACCGTCAGCATATGCCGCACAATTGTGGAGAGGTCGCGAAAGAAACCTACCAAACTCCAAAGATCTACTTCAGGACCGGTATACGCTTTTGCACTCAGTAGCTCTGGAGCAGCAAAGTACAGACTTCCACAGAACGTCTGCAGTTGCTGCGTGGGCGCATACATATTCGAAAGACCGAAATCTGCCAGAATTCCCAAAGGTGAGCAAACCAGCCTGTCCTTCGTGCATGTGAACTGATCGACGTACCTATTAACTTAATTGTTCCTTCCTTATCTATCAGGATATTTTCGATCTTCAGATCTCTGTGAACGATCGAGTTTTGATGGCAATAATCTGTTGTGCGGGAAGATCTCGTTGCGTCAAAACACCGTTCCCATCAGGCCGACAAGATTGTTCTTACCTATGGCGGAAATGATTTGCCGCATGAACCGCCTTGCATGCTTCTCCTTCAACTTCCCATGTGTTATCATGTATTCCAACATCTGCCCTCCATCCACGTATTCGAGGAACATGTAATAATGATCATCTTGAAGGACCACCTCGTACAGAGACGCGATATGAGGATGCTCAAGAAGGAGCATAATGGCCACTTCCCGAACGATACGGAGCTCTTTGAACTCATCGCCTTCCCCATCTTTCTGAGCGGACGCCTGTTTGATTGCTGGCGTTATTTTTGGAACGGGTAGAAGACCGATGGTTTTCGTTGGTCCGATCGTCACTGTGCCCTGGCTAGACATCGCTGATGCCGGCCGTGGGATCATCTTGCATGCTCGCTGGAATAAGATCTGTGAGTACGCTGCTAACAGCTTCGGAAAGACGGAATGCATTCCAAGATACCTTCTCTCCAGTCAAGGCATGTGTCGCCAGCTTCACTTTCCCCATGCTTCCCTGCCCCAGTGTTTTGGAGAGGCGGTACGGCCCGACCGTAATAGTCCTCTTTGTGACCCTCGAGTTGTCCACACGCAAACTTCGACGATCAACCTCGCGAGGTTCCTGGGCTGGTTGAGGGCTGGTTTCCACGTTTGATCTTTGCGCATGTTTATGCGAAGCTGCGCCGTTCGATTCTCGGGACTCCCGCTCAGACGACGTGCTCCGTATTATCCGTGACGAGTTTGGCGAAGACGATGACGAGTTCGAGTGGTGCGAATGTGAAGAAGCGAACGAAGAAGATGAGGAAGGGGACACGGATTGGGATGGGCGGGGGTGGCTGCTGCTGCTTGGGTTCGGCCGGAGACTTTGTTGCGACGGAACCCTGGCGCTATGTGTTGAAGGCGCGGGCGAGATAGGACGAGGGGAAGATCCCGTTCTGCTACCAGGAGACATTGCCCTGTGGCTCACTCCATCCGTTGAAGGGGTTCGTCGAGGCGTTCCAACAACCGTGTTCGGTCGGTCTCGCATTGACACAACGCTCCGCTTCGTTGTCACCACAGCGGACCTCCTACCTTCCGACTCTCCCGATCGGTACTGCTGCTGCGGACGTGGTTGTGGTTGCGGTTGTGGTGGCAGAGGCTTCTGTTGTTCTGGCTGCCGCTGCTGCTGCTTCGGGCTAATTTCATGCCGTGACCGCCGACTGCTCTCCGTGAATGAAGGAGTTCGTGGACGACCCGCAACTGGACCGTCGTTGTTGTTCGGTCGGCGAGCTGCGTTATTTACCGGGGTTCCGTGCCCTGAAGGAGCCTGCTGGCTGTTCTTCCCTCTGTTGAAAGCGGCTTTGATTTTGTCCATTGCTGCTCTTCCAACTTGACACCGATATCTATACTTTTTTTCGGCAGCCCACGTCACACGACAATTCGTTTCAGAGCGCCTCTGCAATACGTCGTTGGTTGACCGGCTCTTGAGCTCCGAACCCCGTGGGTTCTGTCGTCACTGTCGGTAGACTCGGTACTAGGCTACTGTGTTCTTCCACGACCAAGTGCGCTCCTCACCACTTGTCTCTGGTGTGGAAAGCGCGTTTGGGGCTGCCCACTCACGGCCGTTTATGCGTGTCTCCCCGCGTCGTGCGCGCTGGCCAGGGTCTTCTTCAGACGAGTGCTCCGTTGCTGCCTCCGTTAAGCTCGCTGAAATAAAGCTGGTGAGGCACCTTGTGTATTATGTATAACGGGTGGTGAAGGCCTTGCAAGTGGAAGTTTGAATTGTGAATTCTGGCTCGCTGTAGTAATAACTGAGGAGTCGTACTGTACACCGTCTCGTACGCCAGTAATCTCGTAACGCCGGAGACTACCTGCAGCTCGTCATTTCATATGGTAACACTCAGAAACACGAAGAAGTCACCGGCCCCCTTCTCTCCATAATGACGACCCCAAGCCTTATTCGAACGCCGGGTGGTCCCGAACGACACGGCGTTATTGAGGATTCTTATCAGTTCATGTTAGGAAACCGCTACAAATTCTCAGCACATCCCGCAGCGGTCGCCGTCATACCGGCTTTGCACATGTTCTAAGTGTCTTTCATTAGCGACCGCATTTCTCGTTGTCCTATTTGATTGAAAGTTGGGGTTCTGCGGCTTCGATTAAATATTTAGGGAAATAAAGGGCGCGAGGATCTGCGGTTTTCAGCCAATCAGCCACGCACCTTAAATGGTAGCAGGTAAGACTATTAAGGCACAGGTACCGCCTTATTTTACACGTTGCCCAGCGTGCGTTTTCTGGGTTCTTGAACACCGAAAACACCAACCTCGGTAGGCACAACACCAGCGGAGCATTGGGACTTCGCTCGTGCGTATTCGAAAAATCTGCTCAAGCCACAAGCCTGACGTCCTTGAAATCTTCTCCAAGAGTCAAGACTCTCAACGCATTTTCTCTCTCCCACTCCGCGATCACATGCCAATAATAATGATGATGCAAATGCATTCGATAATGAAGACCATTAAAGTCTCAGAAGCAAATAAGTTAAGTTGAAAAGGATACACATGGATAGAGGGGAAGGGCTACAGAGTGAGCGGTACGAACAAAGACCGAGAATCACCCTCGGGGGGTGCGAAGGCGGACGGCGGATGTTTGCTACGCAGTACACACCCTCCGCCCTTGGGATGCGATTATAATTCTCCTTCAATGCGAGGCAAAATAGTCCAAAATTTCTTAGATATGATTTGTCGACCAAGTGTCCCCGAGGAAGACGTGACGATGATTCGTTGGAAGCGGCTTCACTGCTCTAGTTGTTTTGCAGGTACACAATGAACGCGGTGGCGTCGTCGTAGCGCATCTGGCCGGAGTAGAATAGATCCGGGAGGGCGGCGAACGACGGTGGTGGGGCCGCGGGCAAAGGGCCGGAGGGGCTAGGACTAGCGGCGCCTAGAGTCTTCGTGTCGATGGCCTTGCATTCGTAGTTCGAGTTCCATGCCTTGTTCCTGCCTCGTTCGCGCTCGACGAGCATTCGTGCGGCCCAGGCGAGGCGTTGACCATGGCTCACCTCTGCGCAGCTAAGGGAGTTGGTTGCGGGCGGCGAGCAGGTTTCAGGTGTGGGGCTCTGTGGGCCATGTGAGCCAGAAATTGGCCGAGAATTTGGCGACGGAAAAGGAAAGCTATCCATCGGCGTGAACGAGGGCTGGGGTGTATCGGCCGCGGAAGGCGTGGTGACGACCGGTAGATCAACGATTGGGAATGGGTACTCTGACGGCGTTCTGGGCGAATTGAGGGTTGTCACCGACCCGGGCGTTAGCGGTGCTGCAAATTCGAGCGCGCTTGGATCCACCATGTTTGCGACGCGCCCAAGCACGATTTGCGCTTGTAGCGCTGCGTCCTGAACCCGCATGTGATCCCACACGCCGTCCGTGGCAGCAACGAGAATGTAAGGGCGATCGCTACGCAGCTTCACAAACTCCACGTCAGGAACACACGATAGGACTGCCGGTTCAACCTTGAACAGCAAGTCTCCCATCGTCGCGCTGAGGTTCAGAGTCCGGCGATGCGACACCCCGACGGCCCGGATCTGAGCGCTTGGCGGCCTGTAGATACGCATGCCTTCTAATTGTGTGTACGGTGTAGTGGGTATCTTCGTTTCCGCAGTGATGGGCTTCCCATCGGCAGCGCAGAGTTCAATTGTGCGTAGGGTGCCGTACGGATAGATGAATTGTCCGCCGGTTCTTTGAATGTGATGAATCTTCGCCGGGTGCGTCATGTTATGATCAGAAGATTCAAACACGGGATCCCATGTGCTTCCGTGATCGGCATCCGCTTTCATTCCAACAACCGTTCGCGAGTCGCCGACGTTGATGTTGATAACCCATCCCTTCGTGATGATGTTGACGACCAGCGTGCAGCCATCATCGACGGGCTTACCAGCCTTGGAAGGCAAGTCTGCGTCATCCCCACCGTTCGTATCCTTTCGCGCATCCATCCAGCGACGGTATTCCTCCACTTTCTGCGACGCGTATGTCGCGTCAAGCACCTTGAACGCCTGGTGTACCTGGGCACGAAACTCGCCCCGCTGGTCCATGTCCTCTAAGTCCCATGACCGCTCGTTCCATATAGCACCCACACTTTCTACAGCCCCTGCGACAAAGAATCGAGGAGCCTCGACGCCTCCATGTCCATCGGCGAGGACAAACAATTGACTTCCATCGGCCAAGATCTCTCCCGCGCGTCTGGACGAAGAACGGTCCCCATTCGGCGTCGAAGGAGGCGACTGCTTTGCTGGTGGGGTCGTCCCGTGTACAGGCCAATGTACATCTTCCATTTCGGGATGAATGGACAGGCGGTTGCCCCCGAACGTGTTCCGATATCCCTTTTCCGTAGATACCGCCCATGTGATAAGGTGATGGGATGACGCCGGTGATTCGGCTGACTGGGATGCCGCGTCGTTCTCCAATGTGGGTTTCAAAGACACCTCACGGTCGATTTCAGCTGCGGGTGCCAAGGCCGAGTCATTGCTCTCGGTCAGTGGCTCCCGTGCGATGGACCGGATGACGGACGCTGGTGGGAAAACGTCGTCCACATCCCCATCCACCCTCAACTTCTTCTTCTGTGGGCTAGAACATGCTGGAGACAGGGAAGATGCCGTCTCCGATAGGTCTGCAGACAGCGGATGCGTCGCTGCTGAATGAGGGACAGGGTGTGCCCCTGAGGGAGTTCCCGTGGCGCCGGCGTTCGACGTGGAAGGCGTTGCTTGTGCAATCGAATGCTCCGAATATGTCACAGCCATTGGTGAAGTGGGTCCCATCACGGACATGTTGCGGCTATACATACGAGACCAGCTCTATGTTTCTACCGTTTCCTGACCGGTGACTCTAACGGAAGCAGCACAAAACCGGCTTACACGCTTCCTTCGCGAATATGATGCTTGATTACACCTCGTTGCAACGGCCGAACGAACAAGACCTATGCACGCTGTCGCTTTTCCACTGTCGTCCTGAGAAAGGCTCGCTCGCGCGCAATTGCAAGTGCGCTCTTTTCCCGCCCGCTTGACGAAAAGAGGTCCGCGTGGTTGGTGCAGCGTTTGTGGCCAGGAGCTGGGAAGAGTCTCAACCTGCGAGGCGCGAATGGAATGAGTGAGCTCCTGAGTTTGCTATGCGAGAAAAAGAAACAAGCTCAGAGCGTCCGGTTGCTGCGTCGTGCTGCAAGAGGAGGGAGAGGAACCACACCCTGCGAGAGGGATATGGGAGGAAATGGGAGCGTTGGGAATCAGGCGTGGATAGAGAGATCCTGAGAAAAGGCAAGACTCGACAAGCCAAATAAGACCGCAACACGGGGGGGATTTTCTTATCCGGCGCTTAACCAAAAAGGGACGGAATGACGCGGCTTCTGATTAGATGCAAATACACGGTTGAGAAAGAGCGAAGGGAGAGGCCCGTGTTTGGCTCCTCTTGGTTTTGGTCGTTTCCGCCGGTTTCATCCCGCAATGGTGAGTCACACACCCTGTTCCGACCTGCGAGACCTGGGAACATCGAACATCGACATTCCTGCAAGACTACATCCCAACGAAGCAACCGGCGAAAGACACCAGATACTCAAAGCCAACCCTCATCCGAAAGCTTACCTCGGCAACACTATCAACATGGATTTCAGCGGACTTTCAGACAAGGACCGGTCGCGGATGAATGCGTACATTGAACAAAAGCAGGTGCGTCTCCATAACTTCATTATGGCGGCGCTCAGTGGGTGCTTTTTCGTCCTTATAGTGCGGATTATGTCGAATGATGTGGATGGAAGGGGGTTGGACGGTCTCCATTATCGAAGGGTTTTGTGCTATGCACGGTGGGGAAGTTGTTGTCGGGATGAAGCGTTTGGAACGGGCTGCTGTTCGACTCTGTCAGTAACCTTCAAGCTGACGACGCTCAAACGTAAATTCCACCCCTTCCAGATGAAGGACTTCCTCCGTCTGTACGCAAGTCTTGTCGACAGGTGTTTTGCCGACTGCGTGAACGACTTCACTTCGAAATCTCTGAGCACCAAGGAGGTAAGCCTTTGCTACCAGTAATGTACCTGCCCCCCGGGCTTCTCCTCACGCCATTGGATTTCTAGGACACATGTGTCAACCGCTGTGTAGATAAGTTCATCAAGCACTCGGAACGTGTGGGTCTGCGGTTCGGGGAACAGAACGCTCTCCTGCAGCAACAGCAACAGCAGCAGGCTATGATGGGACAGGGAGCACCGCAATAGACGTAGACGAGGAATGGCTCAAGAACGCATCGCGTCAATTAGAATCAACATTTTCTTACATAGATTCACGACGCTTCAAAATTCGCCTTGAGGACCACGTAGATGCTATTTTACTAGTTTTGGCGATGATCTTTCGTCTGTGGCAACGGGAACGGAAACCCTTGCACTGGAAAGGGCGTTTACTGTAACGAGGAAGCACTTCTCGTTTGTATTTATTCAATTCACATCTCATTTGCAACTCCATTGGATAGGCGTAGATACGCAAGCTTTCGTTTGCAAACTATATTGAAGCAAACATAGCTACATCCATTGTCCAGGGACCCCTCCACACACGAAAATGTTCGAGTCCGCAGGGTGAACAGCGCCTCTAAGACTACCCATATGCACCTCCCAGTCTCAATCAAGCGTCCGAGTTTCACCACGTCCGTCCAAAGCTCTCCTGGAAAACCTGAAAGTCTTTCGCTTTACGCCTCCTGAGGGACACGTCTGTACGCCATCCCGAACCCGACAGGCCATCGAGGGACGTACACAACAGGACAGTTTGCATCGTTCACGAACCCGTGTCTGTCCAGTACTCCCAGGGAGATGTTTCTGCAGCTGTTGGCGTGGATAGAGAGCGACGTAAATACAGGAAGACCCGCACAAGCACCGGTCACAATGCAAGAACACTCACGCCTGAAGCTTGATCCATCGCAAACTCTTCAACCTTTCCGCCAAACAACGCACCCCCCCATCCGTCAACGACGCCGCATGGTGAACCAGCAGCACACGCAGGCTCGTGCAAGTCGCCGCAATGGCCTCCATCAGCAAATCGTCCCCGAATCGAAGCTGGGCAAGGCACAGGTACCGCAGATTTTTCGCGCAGGGCGAGTCGAGTAAGATGGCGAAATCGGTGACGTTGAGCAGATAGCAGGAGGAAAGCGAGAGGGATTCTAGGTTGGGACAGCCGTTGGTGAGGGATTTGAGGGCCATGGGGGTGATGAAGCCGTTGACCATGAAGTGGAGTTCTGGGTTGGAGAAGATGGCGGGATGGGATTAGATATACAAATTATTGTGCCGTGACCGAGAGAGGGCTTGATGGAACAAACCCTTCAAATTGGGAGTAGAGGTGCCGATGAAAGCGAGAAGCGACTCGACGGTGTTCGGAGTATAGCTACTGGTCCGACTGCACGGCATGGTAATATCCAATCGCGAAAGCTATATTAACCGTCAGAGAGAGGAAGTCCGATCAGATACTTTTGCAAGATCACCGCACCCCTAGCCATCCTCATACCTTTATAAACGCCCCTGCCATGCTCAACCCACCCACAGCATCCATCAACACATCCGGCTTCACATCCCTCAACGCCACCTCCGTCAGGCCCCCACACCCCTTCACCATCTGCAACAGTGACTCATGCTGCAAGTTCGAGTATCGCAACGCGCGGATTGTGCTGCCGCAGTGAGCGAGCACGCGACGTCGGAGAACGGGGTTGAGCGAATTGGATCTTTTGTCGTCGTGGTCGAAGGTCTTCCAGAGTGGCGCGGACCAAAAGAGGGTTTCGAAGTGGTGGGAGATGAGGCGGACTGTAAGTTTTGGGGAGGGAATGAACCGGATTGTCAGACTGGAACCTTGCAGAAAGCTCGATCCAGAACTTGACCCATAAACCTACGTTCAGATTTTTGCTTCCCGTTCAAGAACCTGATCGCTGCCATCAAGATCTCAGTGGGCAAGTCCAGCAACTGCAGCTCGCCATGCGTTGTCGGAGACGGCAGGACAAGACCGTCCGCTTCCGGTGGGTTGACTTCGCGGGGCATAGCAGAGAGGCAACCTGTGGTCATTCGCTTGGGAAACTGAGCAGCTCCGGCTGGGAAACAACTCTGGTGCGAGAAGTGAACAGCTTTCTGGCAAGCAGACCTGTTCTCCCTTAGCACCGTTCACCCAACACCCTCACTTTTATATGCGAACCCTGGCTGTGCGAGAACAGGGAGATCAGTCGCTGAGCCTTGGTCTCGGACCCCTCCAGATCCAGATCCAGCAAACCCCCCCGTTGTGGTCAATTGAATTGAACCCCTTGGGCCTTGTGCGAAACGCGCTGTCGAATGATGACGAAATGGCCGCGACACAGAGAAGACTACCACCGGCGCATCAACTCAGGGACCTCCGTTATCGCCCGTGCATGTGCCATCCTCGATCGAATACCTCAGATAGAAAGATCCAGAAGAATTTCGTACTCCGTCTGTTAGTATTACTGGTAAAGAATTCCCTGCCAACTCTGTCAACATCAAAACTGTCACTCCTTCGAACAGCGAGTGATCCGCGCTCGCTTCACTTACCAAGTTGGTGGATAGTGAGGATAAGGTAACTGGCGTCTTCTGTCTTCATATAACAAGGCCCAGCGTGTGAGCAAGTGATCCGCCAGAAAGAACGCTCTGCTGCATTAAACCCCAAAAAGCCCACAACAACTTGAACCATCCATCATCTGATCACAAGAGGTTTACTTTCGATATCCACATTTCGCAATCTTTCGCAAAAAAAGGAAACTCCTCATGAAATGAAGAAAATAAGCCCGAGGGTAAAGGAGGGGGGGGGGGGGGGGGGGAAGAAAGTATAGAACAATAAAAGCGTAAATGGAATATAAATGCCTCAAATTCGTTCAAGGGTTTGCAGGGGGTGGGTTGGCATGAGATACCAGGTGCGGGCTACGCGGGGAAGGTGGGTACATTGAGGGAGGCACTGAGCGGACATGCAAGAGGGTGTGTATCTAAAGGGAGGTAAGGGGTAATTCTTCATTCTCATTTCTCCGACATATGCACGTCCGATTTGTCCCCCCTATCATCATCCCGCCGTTCCGTTCGCATTGGCGGGAGGATATTTTGCGAGCCGGCCGACTGTGGCCCGCCATGGGAAGGTGGTATTTGAGGATGAGCGGCAGACGCAGCCGTGACTCTCCAGATACGAGCCCTGCAGTCCCCGCTTCCCGTCGCAAACAACCCAGCTGCGGATCCCAAGGCCACGCTGATCACGGAGTTCTTGTGGCCCTGCAGCATGAACTGGCTGACGATCCCCGTGTCGCGCGCCATGCCTGATTTGTCGTTACCGGAGATCGCCCGGCCGTCCCAGAAGGTGACCGTGCGATCTTTGCTTCCGCTGATGAGCCATTCTACCTCGGCGAGGGAATCGGTTGCTTGGTTTGCAACGTGCTTGCCTTGCGAGTCCACGCGTCCGATCATGCTCCCTCGTCCTGCGAAAGCGACGGACAGCACGTAGTCCTGGTGTCCGACAAACGTGTGACGCGGGATGGAGGTGATGTTTGTCTCGAAAGGGATGTCTTCGGATGGCGGCGTGGTGACATACGCAAGGGTGGCGGGGGACAGATCCCAAATCTTCAAGGTTTTATCCAGCGATCCAGACACGATCGAGCGACCATCGGGCGAGAATGCCACCGAGTAAACGGAATTTTTGTGTCCTTCGAAACGCTCCAACAATTTCCCAGTTCTCATGTCCCAGACACGAACCATCTCATCGAGGGATCCCTATATTCCAACAATGTCGCAGAGCATCGTTTAGTTCTCATCATCCGAATCACCGCAAATTCATATAACGTAATGTGCTACTTACCGCCGCAACGCAACGGCCGTCCAACGGGCTGAGCGCAACACTGGTCACACCAGAGTCCTTCAAGCCAGTGGATCCGTTCGCAGAAGGCGAATTCAACGCCTTCTCGTCATTATTCATCATTAATTGTAAACACTTTCCAGTTTCCGCGTCCCAGACCTGAAAATGAAATCATACACAACGTCAGCAGGGAGCAACCCTAATGAATGGGTCGGATGGGAAGCACTGCTTACCCTAACGCTCTTGTCCCCACTACCACTGACAATCACACGACCATCTCGCGACCAGTCGAGCGAATAGATATCTTGCTCGTGTCCCACAAGGCTGACAATGATTTGTCGGCGGATAATGTCCCATACACGAATGACGCGGTCTTCAGCACCGGTTGCAAGGTATTTGCCATCGGGAGAAAAGCAGACAGAGCGGATATAGAGGTCGCAGTCTTTGGGTGCGGTTTCATCGATCAAAGTGCTGGAGGGAACCAGTTAGTATCTACGAATGCCTTCGCTTCGTAGTCTACGCAGTGCACCCAAAAGTACCTCAATTTGGTGCCAGTTTGCGCGTCGTACACAAATGCGACCCGATTGCATCCCGTAGCTAAGAGTTTCCCATCCGGTGAAAACTTGACGCAGCAGACAACACTAACAAGTACGAGCGAGCATTCTTCGGTTAACCACGTGAAGTATATAGAGTCATTCTGGAAATCGTGCCTTACCTTCCGTGTTCAAGATTGTGGACCAGCTCCACATTTATGCGGCTCTTTTGAAGACTTGGACTCTTTGCATTATAAACGACAACCCAATCAACGCCCTCCTTCTTCCATCCAGCTGGTGCGGTATCTTGGTCAAGTTCACAGTGACCGGTGACTTCATGGTGAGGATAATTTTGTTGCAACTGCGAATATGTGCCCATCCCCTGATGTGATGGCTGGCAGAAAACGCTATGAGATGATGGTTGCGACATTGAGGAGGTGGCACGTTGTTAACTTACAAGATGTCCATTCCCAGATTTGGAGCCTTGTGTCGGAGTGCCGCTTCTCATTCCAGGATGCTGCGCAGAAAGAAACACACTGTCAGATACACAATTTGACAGAGCACAGCAAACTTTCGGCCTACCATTGGAGGCTGCTGCTGGATCGGCGGGAGACCCATCTGCATGGCGCCTGGGCCGTGGCTAGACATATGACCGTAAGGGCTTGGTTGACCATAAGGAGTCGGTGCCAGAGGTGGTTGCTCCTTCCCTTGACCCTGGAAGGCCAGTAGTCAGAAGAATGTAGTAACGCGCATGAGACTCGCCTCCATTGTGATCATTTCCCTTACCTGACGATAAACTTCTTCCTGGGCACTACCGCCCTTTTTTGAGCGTTTGGTAGGCTCCCGCTCTCGGTCTACGCCTTGCATGTAGGGTCCGCCTTCTCGCATCGAATCCCCACGCGGCATATAGGGGTTCGGGGGTCCAGCAGGTTGGTCGCGGGTGTTGTGGCCCAAGGAGGGATCATCCGGGCGTAATCGCTTGCCTCCAGCTTCTGGTCCGGAGCCACCGTTCATGTAAGGAGGCTGCATTCCCCTACCATCACCACCTGGAAAGGAGAAGGTGTAATTTTCGAGCCATTTGATGAATGGATATGCGTCATACGTTGAGTATAGGGTCGAGAATCATATGAAAAACAGGCTTACCTGGAACTGGAGCGGATCCTGGGCCGCCCTGGCCGGACATTAGGGCACTGAAGACGCCACCGGCACTAGCGTTGCCTTTCCCATTTCCCAACACCGGCGGAGGTACACCATCAGGGAATCCAGTCACCACGCGATGCTGGCCCCGATCATCACCGGCTGGGACACCCTGTGCAGGATGACCACGATTCTCCAGCTCTCGTCGCAGTCTGTGAATTTCATCCTCATATGTCTGTTTGATTTTTTGGTGTGCGCGCTCAAGTTCATGAAGGTTCTGTTGCAGCGCAGATAACTCTGCCACCTGTGCAGCGACTAATGATGCACAATAGATCAGTATACGGTGTGAATCTCGAAGCCATTCGGGCCAGCATTCTCATGATACTTACGGCGTTGTTCAAGATCATCTCTTTGGACCCTTATTATACCGTAATCCTGACCAACGTTGTCAAATTCCAGCTTCACGGCTTCCAGTAGATCATTCAAACGCGAATTGCCAGAGGCCGGAACAGGAATCATCACGGCGGAGGGCGGTAGTTGTTGACCGGACGGTAGTGCGGGTTGCTGCGATTGTTGTTGTTGTTGCGGCGTCATTTGACCTGGAGCAGGCATTAGGGGCCTGTGGGTGGAGTAAATTGGGGGCATTTGATCGCTTTGGGAACGTGGCAGTCTATGGTGGATTTGCTGATCGTGGGGAGAGGCGACCACGTTGGACGGACCGCCGAGATTTGAGACCGGTACGCCAGCGATACCGCCCGGAGGAACACCGGGCACCGGCCCGGCGAGCCCACCTTGCTGCTGGAGAGAACCGATACCAGACTGCTGCGGCGTCTGCTGCTGCTGCGGTTGCGGCTGAGACTGCTGCTGCTTGCGCTGGCCCTTGTATTTGCGTACGGACGACGTTTTGGCGAGTTTGATTCCCCGGGGGTGATCACCCGGAGAGACTAACGTGGAAACGGTAGGGTAAGAGACGAAGGAAGCCCGGAGCCTCACAGAGTGGAATCGTGGTGATTAGCAACCCGAGCGGCTGAGAGAAGGTGTAGCGGGTTTCTGACAGCGGCTCTTGAGAAGAAAAGGAGGAGATAGTGCTCATATGCAGCCGTTGTTGTCCAAGGCCTCCCTCTGTGGGCGATGACCGGTTGTAGCCCTTAGGGGCACATAGCGCATAAGTGCTTAAATCGACCGATCATCTTAAGCCGACCATGCGCGAACACTCAAATATTAATTATGCCGTTAATTGAATATGATTTACGACGTTCTTCCATTTCCGAGCGGCGCCCAAGCATCATCAGAAAAGATCGTCAAAAATCCATGCATTCGCAACTCACGCCGCTCAAGGCACCCCACTTCTGCACCCCACACTGCACAACGAGCAGGAACTGCCGCATGTGCCAAGGACGATGTGCATGTGCAGAACCCACGTCTATGTGTTTATCTCAGAAGGGAATCAAGGGATGGCAAAAGCCCAACTGGTTGATACAACCGCCGGCCCCCTCCGGGGTTCTCGTTTTTACGCGGTAATCAAGGTTTGGGGGAGTCGCGGTTTTCACCGGCTTCATTACATCACGATTGTGAGGGGCTAGAACCTTCTTTTCGGCCTTATTGGGACAAACAGAAACCCAAGGATCACTAGCTCGCAAAGACGGTAAATGTCTCCATGCGATGGACTTCCCCGGATAAGCCGGATAGTAAGCGTCTGCTTGTCACTTGCAGAGAACCTGAGAACCCGGTTAACGCTTTCCTGAAAACCGTTTTGACCTCAGAGAACCGGACAGTTCCAAACCCAATGTCGGTTTCCCCAACACAGCAAGGACAACGATCGCCGCTCGAAGGCGACGCACCTCTAAGCCCGTCCAGTGGCACCACAGCGTTGTTGACTGTGCCCGTCACTGCCTCCCGTCCGAAACAAGTCTGCCGACCACCACCAGAAACCACCACCACAGTTGATATTGCCCCTTGCGTTAATGACCTTGAGAAAGTTCATGGCAATCTTCCGCCATTGCCAAGTCCAACCTTCAGCGAGCTATTTTACCTGCAATCTGAAAGACCAATACCCCAGGTTTGTTTTTTCCCACGACTTTCATTCCATTAATATGCAAATCTCGAATTTACACTGCTCCTCTATCCAAGTTCACCCTCACGCCAGCCGTAGAAGAACCATCAGGAATATTTTGGGCGAATGAAACAGTGTCGCCGCCTAGCAGCCCTAACGGAGAACCCCAAAGGCAGACTCAACGCGATGAAAGTTTTTCGAATAATCTTCTGCATGCGCCAGGACACGCCGCCCGTTTTCATACGGCCGTGAAATCCTTCGAGCCTTCATTACCTGATGAATTACAAGTCGCCGTCGGCGATCGCTTGGAGGTGCAAAGACGTTTCAAAGATGGTACGTGACAATGTAATCAGAAGTAGCATCGTAATCTTGTTTACCATGATTTCTGAACATCTTAGGCTGGCTGATGGGCCGAAACTGCACCACAAACAAACGAGGCGTATACCCGGGCGACTGCATCGCCCACGACGTTGTCTCCGGTTCGCAATTTCCCCACTTCATCAGCGAGTCCTCTCGCTCAGATTCCTGCATGTCTGGAGTCTCCTTCGTGACCAACGGCAGCAAAGACCATTACGGAGATCCCCAATTAATGTCCGATTCGACGATCACCATCGAGGAGGTGGAAGCCCCCCAGACAAAGGGTCGGATGCCATTATCGACAGCACGGATCGCGGCACTGTGGCGGAAGAGCAGAAAGGCGGTCGTTGTCGTTACCTTGATGGTCGTATCTGTCACGCTGGTCTTGGGGCTTGGATTGGGATTGGGGAAAGTGTACGAACCACCAGCCCAGTCGCAAGCTGGTTTGTAGAGGGTTATCTTCAGTTCGCCGCAACTACCCGGGACGTGCTGGTCACGGTCTTCCGTTGTATCTTTTGCTTTTTGGGAAATGTTGAATCTCATTCAATCGCGTGGCCGCTTTCGGGCCAGCCCGATCCCTTCTGCACAGCAGCGAGATGCACTGAACAATACCGGAGGATAAAAGCTGGATGGCGGAGCAGTCAAAAGTGGCACAGATCGACTCAGACGGCACGCCCACGGAACACACAACTGAGTGATGATAAAAGGATTTGGTAGAGGGGATCGTACGGGTGCTTCTGGCAACGTACGATCAGACCGACGGAGGACGAGGCAGGTTTGGAGAGGGTCCGTATGGGAGGAAACCGGGCGCGGGCGCAGAAACCGTGCTGCTGTCCCCCGGGTCTTACCATGGCAGGCACTCTCTGCTGTTTGCTGCAGTCTTCCGCCGGTCGCTCCTTCTTTGACCACCGTAAATTTCTTGATCTTATCTGACAGCAACGTGTGCCGTTTACCTCAAGCTTGCACTGGATCTTTCCAACAAGAACTCCAGCTGGCACATTTGGCAAAGGATATGTGAAGGAAAAAAGTGAGCTCGAAACCTTCTCGTTCTCATCGTATCTGTTTGGACTTTCATACATATCGCTTCTCTGAACGCTGTTCGAAGGCCAAACTGGCGAAAATGCCCTGGTTCAAAAAAAATTGTTGACGCATGGGTACGCGTCAGGATTGAGTCACTGGTACAATCTTACCGTGTAAACCTGGCCGCGCGACAACCCTTTTTCTTTGCGGTGGTCCTCCACAATCTTGCGGGTTCAATTCTCGACCAAAGACTGACAACGTCGAGGCTGCAGTCAGAGCCTCAAACGCTTAGCTACAGGCGATATATATACATCTGGTGGAGTTGCTACGTATCATTCTTCAAGAAACCACATGCTGTGAACATGGAAGAATCAGGGAACGTTTTATTCTGTCCGCGACCAGTTTTTCTCGAGCACCACTCGCTACTGTCGCCTTGCGCTCTTCGGACGCTGATTCCCGTCGTATTGCTGCTCACTTGGTCGATTGCCCACTTCTTGAGGAAGCCTCGGAGTCGGTACGATGCTCGTAACAGCGCCGGAAGGTCAGGGGACCCTGATGACTATTTGCAGGGCGAAAGGCAGCCGCTGCTGAGTGAGCGTAGTAAGTTCTCGATTGTTTCTCTTCATGAGTCTGCATCTCTACAACGCTCATCATTCATCACCGTACTTGTGTAGGTCAAGCCAACAACAACTGGGGTTCGACGCGGACCCTCTTCCGTCACTCCAGCTCCAACCCAGCCGCCAGGAGCACCATGTTCGGAAGATTGCCCTCCATCCACGACAGCTTCTTGTATGCCATCATCGTGATGGTTTCCATGATCAATGCCGCGTACGTCTTCGAGTTCATCTGGGTCCTACGCGGGTACATCGACGACTCGGACTGGAACACTCCATCGCCTCTGCCGACCTACCTCCTCTGGTTGTATGCGTTGGCCCCCATACCATGGATCTTGCACTTCTGGGATCTGTGGGTGGTCTCACACGCGCATTTCACCGCCCCGTTCAACGTCGACCGAGTCGGATGGTCCTTTCGCGCGTTCTGGTTTGTCGGTCTGGCGGTGTATATTACCGAGATCGTTCACACGATAACCTACTCGCGGCATGAGAAGGAGGTTGGCAAGGAGTGCAAGTACACGTGGTCCGCGCCGCTCGTCGTCACTTTGGTCTTTAGGCTGTCTCTCGCCGCTGGACTTGTCCTCACGTCCTTTATCATCAACATCCATGCCATGATGCTCGAGAAGAGGGCTACGGTCCACATGGACGTCGAGGAAGGCGCCGAGCCCTACATTTCGCATTTGGCGAGCGTGGTTGTGGATAGTCCACCACCAGGTCCAGCCCCTGCCCAGGCGACCGCTCGAGACCTCCCACCTGTGCGGCGACAGGACGGGAACAGTCCGGTTCGCAAAGCAGGGACGTCTTCCACTAGAACCGGTAAAAGCCCCTCTGCGGTGGGAACAAAAGGACCTCCGCCGGCTGTGACCGAAGACTTCCTTGCCCAAGATGGGAAAAGACATTCACAGATTGATATGCTGCTGGAGTCCTCGTCCGCGCCCGATGCGGCAGAGCAGCCGGGTTTGGAAGCGATAGCCGGCTCCGTCTCGAACCTTGCGGAGTCGGTAGATGGACAGGGAAAGACGATTAGCATGGTTGAAGCGGGGAAGGGCAAGGAAGAGAGCAACAAAACTGTGACGATATTGGGAAGCGCGACGAGCACTTCGACTTCCAAGGGCCTGGTGAAGCCTGCGACGCAGGAAGTGGATGCGGAGAACGAAGATGCCGCGAAGCCAACGCCCCAGAAAGCTCCTGAAGAAACGGTAAAACTCGGTGCGAAGGAGGTTGTGACAGACATCCCGCGGGAACCCACCATTCAGGAAACCTCCGAATCAGACGCGAAAACGGCGGTTGCAGACTCGAAGGTCGAGCCAAGTTACGCGGCAGTAGCATCCCATGCAGAAGTACCAAGCTCCTCGTCCGGAGCTAGCAAGGCCTCGGAGCCTACTTCCAATGACGTACAGCCTTCTGGCTCGTCTTCCTTTTCCACACACCCTACCGTGACATCCGCCAGTGCATCCTTCCCAACCCCAAACACGACGCGCACCATCGAAGACTCGCCCGAACCCGAGCCCGCAAAACCGGAATCAGCACCGAGAGACCCCACGAACCCACCCACCGCCTCTCAACCGCAACCACAACCGCTGCCGGCCAAACTATTGCAAAGCGTCTCGACAGCGTCACTCCCAGGCACGGAGGGAACGTCCACGCCCGGAACCGGAACCAGCACACCCGGCGAAGGAGACGGCAACGACGAAAGCGATGATGAGGCAGGGGTGGATGCGAGCAGGGATAGTTTGGGCAATGGCACGGGGACGGTGAATTCGTCTAAGAAGAAGAACAAAAAGAAAAAGAAGAAGGGGAAGAAGGGGAAGAAGTGAGGGGCGGCGTTTATGCCGGGAGACCAGCGATGTGTAATGCTGGATAGTGAAGGGGTATGCTCGGACAGGGAGAGGACGGTCAAGGAGGGACAGGACCATGTCCTTCAATGGACCAATTGCATATTCTTCCACACTTGACTTCGCATAATAGCTGTTGCGCGCTGCTTTTTACTAATAGACATTCCTTTGTACATTGTACCTTTGGCTTCGATTTCCTCCTCCGATCCGATTCTTGTTGTCCTGTATAACAGTAGAAGTCAAATATACCATTGAGTGCGCTGAAACCGTCAAGTACAGCCGATCTCTACACGGGCGTTTGTGTGATCAAAACAGGCATGAATTTTATACGTTTTCGCTTTCAGAATCCAAAAAATGCCATTCAGAATGATATATATCGGAAACAACTGTCACCCTTCCTCGCCCAAAAACCGCCTAGCATTCCTCCCCGTCGTCTCCGCCGTCTCCTCGATCGTCCATCCCTTCGCGGCCGCCACCAACCTACAAGCGTCCTCCATCGCCGCATCCACGATCCGCGCATCATGCGTGTCGCTCTCCAGCAGCACCCTGTCGTCCGGCACGGCCCTGATCCGCTCCATCGCCTTGGGCGACCGGCCGTTCACACCCGCCGAGAAGCTGAAGTACATCCGCGACCCTGGTGTTGGCAGTGATGCCCTTTTGCGCCCGCGGTGAGGGCTACGGAGGCTGAGCAGCGCGCGGGTCGTTTCCGTGCTGCCCGAGTACGAGTGGTGTTTCAGCCGCGGTGGGAGCGGGTCATCCTCCGCTCCATCACCACCACCACTCGCGAGCATCTCCCTAAGCACATCAACCAGATGTCCATGGCACCGCACGGTATGCATGCTCACGCTCCGCCGCATCCGGGCCGCGAGCTGCAGCTGCGCTCTGAAAATAACCAGCTGGTGCTCGAATGGGTATCGCGCGTCGGTCGTGCGGTCCTTTGCGATCCCGTCGATTCCTATTTCGCCTACTAGTGCTGTTGGGTGTGATTCGAGCTGCACGGTGAGGGTTTGTAGCCACGGCGGGTGAGTGGAGCCTTCGCTCGCCGACGGCGGTGCGGGGCAGTGGTGTGCGAACCATGGATGTAGACCTGTTCTTTTTGGTCAGGTCAGACGTCCCCATCTTCTCTCGTGCCTCCATCGCAAGCTGTGTCCTATGTTCACCCACCAAAGCACGGTATGACTTTTTCTGGCCACTTCTCCGCCGCTCCGGCCACCAGCGGCCAGTCCTCCTCGCGCGTGCCCATCACTAGCAACCGCTGCGTTCGCAGGGTGGGTATCACATTCAGCGAGTCGGGGGTGTCGGTTGGGTGGCAATGTACGTCTATCGAGTCGGAGTAGGTTGCTGGGCTGAGGGATGGGACGTGATCGCAGTCAGTCGGTGATGGCGGCTTTTGGTCCATCATTCTGGGACTTCCTCTCGACGTCGTGGGTTGTGTACGACTGCAACGTTGACAAAGCCGAAGGAGGAGTTGACAGTTCGTGGCCTCCGAAAACAAGGGGAGGGGAGACGACTTTCTTGTGAATAGGAACCGTCGACTGCATATATGACTTTCTTGTCCTTGAACACCTCGGGGTACAGGGTTGGCTCGTCGACTAGGAAACCTTCCTTGCCAGCTACACATATAAAATCTGAGTGAGTAATGAAGCATACAGTACGTGATCGCTACAACCAGTACCGACAGAGTACCGAGGGGCTTGCTTAGCGGCCATGGTGTAAAAGCAACGAAATTCAAACCGGATGATGTGAGCGCGTAACCCAGAACCCTAACCCACAAACGCGCCAAACTCGCGGCCCTGCGTGATCTGCTGCTGAAATTCAGCACCAGCTTGCACATCGAGCCATTTGGAAATGTTTTACAAGACTCGTTTCTATGGGGACCCACTCTTTTTAAGAGTCCGAAGCAGTCTATGTGCAAGTTCAAAAATTATGTGCAAAGAAGAAGAGAGATGGATGCCGCTCAAAGGCTCCACGTAGCTTACAGTGCATGGGAGCGGCTTCAAGCGAAGCGAAAGGCAAACACATCCTACCCAAGTAGCAAGGCAGGTAGGATGTGCCGAGTCTAGTATAACTCGTCGGAAAAGTCTTCAACTTGATTTCGAGACGTAGCGGACCACATTTCACAGATCCGAGGGAGAGAGGCAAACTTGGGTATCGGGGTGCAGCCAGGCTGCGGATAACGGTTTCAAACTTTTGGCGTTCAGACGGGTATCGATCGCGGTAGTAGGGGGTCGGTCTCTCTCCTTTCTTCCGACTTGACGAATGTCGGTAATATGTCCTTTGCGGGCTTGTGCCTGTACAGCACGTAATGTTGGAGGACAAAGATGAAATCCTATAGGGGAAAGAATGTCAGGAGACTGGAACTGGACACCGTGATCCAAACATCAATGCTGATTGATACTTACAAAGCCTATTGAGACCAGCCCGAGGCCGAACTTCACGGGGTTGCGAGTGATGGCAGACCAGTCGCCGGTCACCGCACTGTCCGCAAATATTTGCAGCAGAGAAAGGGTCCCGCCGGTCAGGTCGAGGAGGATGTTCTAATGAGAGGAAGGCACAAGGCCGTTACAAACTCATGCTGGAATGGGTGTGACCTAAGAGTTACTTACTACGATGCTCCATCCCTCAGTCGATTGTCGGGTGCGATTCAGGAAAGCTTGTGGGATATACTTGATCAAGCTGACAGCCATCTTCACATATGACAGTAGGTATAATAGCCGCAGAATCGGAATGGCGCCAGTCGCTGCGAGGCCGCCAGCTAGCAAGACGCAGGCGGACGTGACGGTGATGAAGAGTTTCGTTGCTGAAGACACGCGTTGTCCTCGCGCTCGGGTATACAGCACAGTCTGCACTGCAGTGAGACCTAAGAAAGACGTTGCATCAATATCGGGTCTATGGACCCTCGGGCTTCCTGTAAAGACATACCAGTCAAGGTCAAGGCATGTAACGCAAAGACGACGTCGTTCAGGTGGACACTGTTTTCTATCCCCCATCCTTTACGGTTGACGTACAGTCCGATATTGTATAGCTAGGACGACAACCATCTCCGGTCAGTATTTCTGAGGGTAAGCACGCTCCATCGAAACAGGCGATCCTCACCGAATAGCACAAGAAACCCCACAGATTCAGCGAAACAAAGTCCAAAGACAGGCCTTCTACGCTTTTGCGTTTGTAGTTGAGGATAACCTAGCGGAAGATGAACGAGTCAGCCAAACATTCACGCGTGGGGCAAAATCACCCGTCTGCATACCTGAGGATAAAAGCTGACGCTCCACGCGACGAAATAGCCCCACCCGACAATGGGAGAGACTGCGAGCCAGGCGGACATTACGGGGATGGATAAAGACTCAGATGGTGGAACTGACGGTTGGTAAGGCGCAGTATGGTATGACTGAGGTACAAGTTCGAGTGCGTAACGGCGAGGCACAAGGTCGTGGGAACTTGAACAGTCTTGATGTTGGAAGCAAGAAAGAACTAATGCCCGAGCCGAAAGTGCAAGCTACGGCCTTTATATATGTCCAACTTGCGAGGAGGAAATTGCGGACGTTCACAGGTGCTCAAGTAATGCCAATGGCTCTCGCTCTATAAGTGTCCGTGGCTTTTCCGAAATTGCAACAACAGTCCGTCTGACAAACGACGTAAAATCCTTCAACAACTGCTCCGCTACTACGACGGCCTCCCCATGGCGTGGCCTTTATTTCTCTTTCTTGGCGAAAACGGACGGAACACGAACATGAACGAGGGCCAAAAGGAGGCCGGACGAGCGGGAGTGAAGGGAAAGCTCCAAAAACTGACAAAGCGAACGCGGTCGCGCGTATATTAATAATCTCATGCCCCGCTTAAGAGCCTTATTCATCAGGTCTTAAATCGCACGCAATGGCAGCTAGATTGCGCCTTCGCCAATCCACTGATGTCCCCGCCCCCGCCCGTCACACAAGGACGTGACCTTCTCGGAGTCGGTCGGAGCATTCAGATCGGACATGCCCTTTTGCAAGCCTTCGGACAACCCCCATGGGAAATTGGAAAACACCACCTCCGTCAGCAAAACGCGAACACTGTACTGTTCGGAAACCACCTACGAACCCATACCCCACACACACATACTACACATGACATACATATAGATGAGGTACTCGCGAGCCATTGAATCTATCCCATTGTATTTACATGCGTGATAGAACCATCTACCCTAAAATTTGGGCCGCACGGGGTTGCAGGTGGACTTGCGTAGTTTTCAAGACCAAAGAGAAGTTGTCTGGTAGTAGGAGTCATGTCACATCAATCAGTCCAACCCGTAGGAAATATGAGGTTAGGTCTGGGAAAATCTCACCTGTTGTCTTCGCCTGAGACGCGGGAATTCTCAGGAAGGGGACGCAGCACCTGCGTCCTTTTACTGAATGTTGGAAGGCGGCCTCTCCCTCAGGCTGGCAAGTAAAACCTTGCGTCTCCATGAACCACGAAACATTTCTCTGCGATCCGACCACATGGTGAAATTATGACACATAATTGAACATGTGGAGAGCGTTCTACACCTTCGCAATATGCTATGCCCACCAGACACACCTTTTGAACAACACATACGCCAGCAAAATGATGAAACTCATGCGGACACTTCTAATGATGGATCTCCGCTGGCCAAGTTGGCGGGCCCCGTGCTCTCCTTCGATCCCACACCTTTCGCCTCAAAGGCCAAACCGCTCACGTCGATCTTTTGAAGCTTCGCCTCCTTCGCCTTGTTCTCCACATCCCTTATCCCCTTCTTCCCCGCCCCAACACCACTACTCCCCCTCTTTAGCCCCTTTCTCCGCCCCCAACCCCTCATACTCAACGGATGCCCCTCCGTATTAAAAACAAACGCCTCCAGCGGGATTGTATCATCATCCGCAAACAGCAGGTACAGGTACTTGAGCGTCTCGGCAAGGAAGAACGATTCTTGCAGATCTCGGTGGTTAGCTGGTCCCTTGCTGCTCACGTCGAGAAGCCCGGAGAAGCCGTTGGCGAGCTTGCAGTGTTTGTTGAGGGAGGCGGCAAAGGCCCGGCCCATCTCGCGGTACGTTTCGTCGTGGGTGAAGCGCCACATGTAAAAGATGGATTCGATGGTTTCCGGTCTGATTCAACGACGCCGAGGAGGGGAGCGATAAAGGAGGGCGATTGAGCAAGTGGTTCCTTTAGAGACAACACTCATTACCGATGGTGAGTTGCAAACGTACCGCAGGAAATAGTTTGTATCCTTCGCGACCATAGTGTCCATGACCCACTCATCCGGCCCCAGCCCCGTTGGCGTCCGCTTATACGCCTCCCAGCAAGTATGCGTGATACTCCGGCCAATATCCAGGAAGGCCGTCCAGTAGCTGCGGCGCCGTGTCAGAGCACCTGTTGAGAACATTCCGCCCGCGAAACACGTCTGCCAGGAGTGAAGTTTCAATGGGTGGGTCTGCAGCAAAGGGCTCAATGGAGAAACGGCTCGCCACGTACCAAGTGGTGGATTGAGTCTACTTTATGCACGGCTTCAGTCGAAGCGTACCTTGCGTCCGGAACGAAAACACGGTCGCCCTTCCTCTCAACTAGGTGCGTTTTCAAAGCCTTTTTGTACAGTATGGCCCCTTTAGTCATGCTCAAAAGGGGCGACCACAATGGGCTATGCATGAAGCTCGGACGTACCTCGGCAGACTCGTCATACCACTCCCGGTACTTCTCCTCCCCAGTTGCCATCCATACCTTCAGCATATATTCATAGAATGAATCCGAGTTCGCCCCCAGCCCGTATCGCTGTCCAGCACCATCTAGATATGGGGGCAAAGCTTTAGAGGGCGCTGGATCTTCCCGTCGAATATAAATGAGCAGCTTACTTTTAATGCCGTCGATGTTATCAGTGGACCATTCGATAGGGTATAGACCCTTGATAGCGAATCCCGCACTGTGCATGATGTCGTAGACTTTCAAAGCTTTCTCGGCATACTTCGCGTTTCCGGTAACATCGCTGAGATACTGCAGTTCCAGCTGCAGCGTTCCCGCCTGCGACAAGGTAGTTCCATGCCCGGAGGCATTCTTATGTTTCAGATTGAAAAAATTGAGGGGTAGCCCCGTCGGCGTGTCGAACGCGCCCATCATCCGGTCTGCGAGGTCTTCAGCAAGCTTCAAATACCGTGGGTCGTCATCAAACTCCCACGCACTGAGCAAACCGCCCAGGACTCGGATGGTGGTCTCGAATAGATTGACCTCAACGTCAATATCGAAATCAAGATTTTTTAACACCAAGCCCTTTGCTTGTTCATATCGGCTATCCAGCCCCATCATCCGCAACGTGTCCATGGCGTCGATGGGCGTTGATAGGACAGATGTCTCCCCATACCAGTTGTGCTTCCCGCCCGATACCGGCTTTAGCTCGTCGGCACCCGCGGCTGTTTTGTAGTACGAGTCCCAGGCGTGGATCATCATATTCTGCACGGTCTTCATCATCTCGCGATCGGCCTGATCTCGCTCTTCTGGCATAAATGGGGGGAAGGGATAATGATGTCCAATCGTCTCCATCCCCGCCGTGCCCGGCTGCTTGCCGCCCATTGATGGTGGAGCGACTCTCCCGGGTGTGTCACTCCCAGTCCCTTGCCCGTCTTCCTCCGCTGGCCGTCCTCGCCATTGCTGCCCCAACCCCGTCTTGTCTTCAGCGCCTTTGAACACGTCTTCTGCAGGCATGGGCTCTCGAACAGGAGGAGGAGCGGCGTCCGGCTCGTCGTTGGCGTGAGGCACCCTGTCAGGCCCCAGCGGCTGTTGTGGTGCATCCCGCCACCGTAGATCATCTGCAGTTTCGTCCTCATCCCGTAGTCGAAAGTTTCTCGGAGGGGCCGTGCCAAAGGACGAGAAGTAGAGCAGTAGGATGATTGCTACGCCTACGTATATTACGATTCGAACGTTGTTTCGGCGGGGCATTCTGATAGTCCTGTTCCACTTGCGCTATGCTTCTGGGAATACGATAATCTACAGAATTGGCCTGCTGGCTTTTTCAGCCCAAACTCTACTTTATAGGAGCGCGATGCCAAGGAGCGGTTCCCCCAAACTTCACAGAGGAGAGAAGTGATGATCTGTGTTTTTCTCGGCAAGTGCGAAGCTGACTGATGACGGTGTCAGTTGGCAACTTGGCAGGTTGGTGATGGCTCGAGTCCGCGGACTGGGACAAGAAAACAGCAAACGCGCTGACTCACGCGTGCATCCCTCTGAGGAGAGTTCCCTCGCCTGTCTTTCCTACTTCCTTTCGCTTTGCACAGGCTCCAAGTCCATAACTATACAGGTGCGCAATGTCACGCCCGGATCTAGCTACCCCGCTGCTTTCAGACTCGCCACCAGTAGGCAGCACTAGACGAGCAACCCTCAAGCTATCAGAGAAACAGCGCAGCGATAGTATATCGCGTCAGGCCTCCATCGGCCAGGACATTCACACCCCGCGCCATGATAAAGCCCACTCAACCCTACACCCCCCGCTTGCCAATCTACCGGCCCTAGACGAATACATCAAGAGCGAGCCAAGCAATCTTGTTCAGGTCGTACCGGCGATAGGCCACTTCCTCGAGGAATTCTGTTTGGCCAACCCAGACTCTTGTGCTGAAGTGTGGGAGAAGCTAAGAGAACTCATTGCAGAAGTTCAAACAAAGAACGACCCAAAGGAGCCCCCACGGCCGCCGTCCCCGGTGTGTCAGCGGAAGCCAGAAAAGTCCGTCAACATTCACGGAGAGACGTGGGAAGATGACTATGGATGGCTGACTGACCGTGAGAACCCTGAGGTGCTGGACTACATCCAGAGGGAGAATGACTACGCGTCGACAGTACTTGAGCACACGAAGCCTTTGCAAAAACTCCTGTACAAGGAGTTTGTGTCGCGTATTGATGAAGAGGAGCATTCAGCTCATGTCACAATGCAAGATGGCTGGACTTACTACAGGAAGAAGGTTTGTGCGAATTGTCTGCGTTGATGTCTCCGCTGGGTCTGGCACTGATGCTCGTCGATCCGTTTCTTTAGTCAGCGGGACAAGAGTATCACATTCATTGCCGATCAAAAGAGGATGCAGGAGAGGAGGTATACCTCGACGAGAACGTACTCGCAAACTCACCGGAATTTGTTGATGCGTCATACTTCCGAGTGGGTTTCCTGAAACACTCGCCTGATGGCAAACTGATCGCGTACGGTATCGACTCCACCGGAAATGAGAGGCAGACGACGTACTTCATGGACATGGAAAGCAGGACGTTGCTTCCTGATCGAATAGAAGGAGTATACGAGGATTTGGAATTCGCGCATGACAATAGCGTATTCTACACAATTTTGGATGATACTGAACGGGCGTACAAGTTCTTGCGGCACAAGCTGGGCACGAAAGTAGAAGATGATGAGCTCTTGTACCATGAAGAGGACGAGATGTTTTTCCTTTCCATGACAAAGACCTGCAACGGTCGATTCATTCTTCTCAATACGGCCGCGCAAGTTACCTCAGAGACGCGTATCATATCTACAAGGGAACCGGATCTGAAGCCCATGTTGCTTTTCCCACGGCGGGAGAACATACAATACATGTGCGAGAACCACGGAGCATACTTTTACGTCTTGACAAACGAAGACTCAAAAAACAACTGGCTCTTCCGCATTCCGCTACCGAAAGCTGGCTCGCCAACCTCGGCCTCAATCGAGGAACTGGTCGATTCACGCGAAACCGTCATCGAGCACCGCGATTTCGTGCTCATCGAAACCTTCGAGATGCGGCGAAACCGCCTCATCGTATTCGAACGATCGAATTGTTTGCAGAATGTTCGTATTGTGGATCTCTCGAATGACGGGTTCAACTCCTACCACTACATCAGTTTCGGCGAGATGGTCTACTCCCTCTGGCCTGGGACTGTGAGAGAGGAGGAGCGCGCGATGGCAAAGGCGTCGCAGTTTGACACCAACATCTTTCGTTTCACGTACACGTCTTTCGTGCAGCCGAAGCAGGTTGTGGACTACAATATGGATGATCGGACCATGACGGTGGTGTATGAGGAACATATTGGCGGGTACGACCGATCGATGTATTCGTCCCGGCGTTTGTTTGCGACTAGCGTTGACGGGACGGCGGTTCCCATCTCTATCGTGTACCGGCGTGACTTGGTCGGACAGAACATGGATCCACCGGAACCGAACCCATGTCTCTTGCACGCGTACGGTGCATACGGGGCGTTTGTCAACCCAATCTTCTCCGCGTCTCGATTGTCACTTCTGGATCGAGGATTTATTTACGCAGCCGCGCACGTCCGCGGTGGAGCCGACATGGGCAAAGGATGGTACGAAGAAGGCAAACTGGCCAAGAAGCCCAACACCTTCCTCGACTTTTGTGCCGTTGCCGAGTACCTCTGCAAAGAAGGGTACACGAGCCCATCGAAACTAGGCATATACGGACGCTCAGCTGGCGGCCTGCTCATCGGCGCCGTCATCAACATGCGCCCGGATCTTTTCGCGGCGGCTCTCACCGAGGTGCCGTTTGTCGATGTGATCAATACCATGTTCGACAGCAGCATACCGTGGACGGCGTTCGAGTGGGAGGAGTGGGGCAATCCCACTGACAAGGACATCTATGATGTGATGAAGATGTACTGTCCTTACACCAACATCCGCGGGCAAGCGTTGGCCAACAACGCGTACCCACACCTCCTCGTCGTCGGCGGCATGAACGATCCCCGAGTAGCATTCTTCGAACCCCTTAAATTCGTCGCCAAGATGCGCGGCGAGAAACGGCGCTGGAAAAACATCCTCAAATCCAGCCAAAAGGACAAATCCCGCATCGCGACCCTAAGCGAAGGCGACGAAGAGACCAACAACGCCTCGACACCAGGCGGCACATCCCGCAAGAACCCGGCCTACCTCTCCCTCCCCGCCATGGCCGGCGGCACATCCAACGACGCTGACGTCCCCCCCAAACCCACCCACTCCAATCTCCTCCTCCGCATCGAAGACGCCGGGCACGGCGGCAGCTCCGGGCAATACTCCTTCCTCGAGAACTTAGCGTACGAGTACGCGTTCATCATCACCTCGCTCAACGCGCCGGGCACGGAAACGGCGCCCTCGTCCCTGGCGTCGTTTGGGAGTGCGGAGGAGGATGAGGCGATGTACTGGGCGGCGGATGGGGAGGCTGTGCAGAATGGGATGGAACGGAGGAGGAAGAAGATGAATAGGAGGGGGTTGGAGATGACGGATATTGATGAGAAAGAGTATCGGCGGAAAAATAAAGGGGATCGGGGGCCTAGTGATCTTTTTCAGGTGCGTTCAACTGCTTTCAGGCTGGCAGGTAACCATTTGCATCTTGCACACGCTAACGACACTGATAAATGTTTTTTCTTTCGACAACTGCAGTGGGTGACAAACTTCTTCTAGCGACGTGTAGTCGTCGACATGCGTCAAAATACCCAAGCCCGGCCATTTTGGGCATAAGAGTGTCCCGCTACCGTGAGCGCGATTAATTTTTGTAAGACGATCTTGATTCACTATGCTCATGTCCTGCTGTCGATGCACTGCTTCTTGTATTGGCAATTGAGTTCGGTAACAGGGGGTTCAAATCAACCCACATTTCGTTGACCTTGTCACATTTCATGAGTTGACAGTGGGGTAGGTGGGGAGCCTCGTGTGACGGGTTTTGGCCTGTGTCTTTTTTGAGTTGACTTTTTGGCTCATCGGCGGAGGTTTGAACGTCCGCCAGTTGTAACGCGTTACGCGTGGCTTGAGCCTTGGGTGCCGCCTTGGTGCCGAGGCTGAACTGCCTCCGCCCGTACGACGCATATGATGACTTCACCATACGGCAAGAATGGAAACGTCCAACCTCAAGGCTCATAAGAAGTCCTCCGCATGAAGTCCCCTGTTGAATTTGAAGGATAGCTCAACGTAAATCAAACCTATAACATCGAACTCATAAGCCATGTCTGACTACACTGAACGCAACAAGAACAGGCCCTTCGACATCATTGGTACGTCCAGCACGACCAATTCCTGCGAGAGAAGGTCAATTTCTCACCTTGTGCTTCAATACTTTTCTAGTCTGGGGTGCCACCGGTTTCACTGGTGCCTTGGTCGCTGAGTACCTTGCGATCAAAGCTCCCAAAGTACGTTGTGCTTTGCTTTCCCGGGCTCGAAATGGTCGGAGTACGGAACGCGATCTCTTACCACTGCAGTTGTAGGATGTGAAGTTTGCAATTGCTGGACGTAGCCAGGAAAAGCTGGAAGCTGTCGCCAAGCGCATCGCTGAGGCTGCTCCTGGGAGTAAGGTACGAAGGGAGAGGACAAATTCTGCATCAGGGGGCTTGTATGGCTGAACATCGACGCTGCGTATCATAGGACATCACTATCCTTACTGCCAAACTTGACGATGAAGCCTCCATGGACAAGCTTGTTTCACAAGCGAAGGTGGTCATCTCGACCGTGGGACCATTCGCTTTGCATGGCGAGCCTCTTGGTGAGTGAGACCGCAGAATGGACCCTACCCTACCCAGACCAGCCATCCGCTAACAATTCCATCACAGTTGCCGCGTGCGTACGAAACCGCACCGATTACATTGATAGCACGGGCGAGCCACCTTTCATCAAGAACATCATTGAGAAATACCACGACAAGGCAGTTGCTGACGGTACCCTGATTGTCCCAAGTTGTGGATTCGACTCTATCCCCTCAGATCTCGGCACATTCCTGTATGTGATCAACCATGAAATGGTCTTACTTGGACCAACTACTAAAACTGATTTTTCTGTAGTCTCGCGAATCACTTTGCAAGCAAAGGAAAGCAGCTCGGAGGAGTGAGGTGCAGCGTGGAGGACTTCAAAGGAGGCGTGTCAGGCGGAACTGTTGGCTCGATCCTCAACATTGTCAACACAACCTCATACAAGGAACTGGCCAAGATGGCCGATCCTTACTACCTTTGCCCCGCTGATGGTACGTCCACCGAAGTCTGCCGCTTGCAAATCAATATTCCACTCTCATCTCAATTGCCCATTCTCTCTCCCTCTCTCTCAATCCTAGCGGCCCGCGGTGATGAGAAGAAGGCTCCTTCCAACTTCCGGTACGACAAGGACCTCAAAACATGGCAATCGCACTTCATCATGGCGTCTGCGAACGTCAAATACGTCCACCGCTCCAACGCTCTGCTTGGCAACGCCTACGGCCCAAAGCTCAACTACACGGAAACCCAAGGACACAAGAACGCTATCGCTGCGGGTGCTACGTCCGTAGGCATGGGTATCGGAGCTGCGATGTTGATGATTCCTCCGTTCCAATGGACTGCCAACTGGGCCGCGAACAAGTTCATCCCCGCTGGATCAGGTGCGTTCATGATATTCCCTGCATAGTGCGTCTCGGGGACTTCATCTCATCAACTTCTATTCCAGGCCCTACTAAGGAGCAGAGGGATAACGGATACTTCAAGGTCAAGCTGATCGGTGACGAAGCCACTGAGGTAAGCCTCTGCTAGCATGTGGCGTGAAGTAGCAAACGCCTTAACCGTCATCTTCCGTCCATAGGGTGGCCTCAAAGCCGTCGCCAACGTCGTCGGTCACCAAGACCCCGGATACGCTGGCACAAGTTTGATGCTCGCCGAGTCAGCTCTCTGCCTCGTCCTGGACCGCGGCCATCTCGCTTCCAAGGAGCATACCGGCCAGTTTGCTGGCAAGGTGAAGGGTGGTATCGCGACTGCCGCTTCGTCCATGGGTCTGGCTCTCGTTAACCGTCTGAGGAAGGCCGGCATGGAGTTCGATGTTGCAGACTTGTAGATTGTATTGTAGCGTAGGCGGCATCTTCTTCCCCGGGCGTGCTGATTCTTCTCTCAATTTACACGGATGTTTTTGCAAACATACGTAGTAGTAATGTAGCTCCTTGCACAGTAATGTTTTCCATATAATCATATCACATCCTCATTCCCACACCGCGAACAAAATATTTGAGATTCGACAGCGCGGCCCCGTCATTTGTCACGGAAACTCCGGCCAACATGAGATATAGAGTCCATGTCAGAATCATCAAGAGTATATTTCCGTGTAGAAAGCCATAGGCAACAGAGCAAAATCAAATCTAAAACCCGCAACTCCTCGCTATGCGCAATGTAAATATCCCCTAACCAACGAGCCCAACAGCGAGCCCAACGGCTCCAGCAAGGGCCGCAGCAGCACCGGACGCCATCTGCGAAGCGTGGCTACCGACCCCCGCATCTTTAGAAACCAACGAACCAGCGGGGCAAGCGCTCAACGACTTGTTCAGTTCAGCCAAGGCATCCGAAACCGGAGTCTTCAAGCTAGCAGGCAACCCGGTCGCAGCGGTCCACGCATCCCTCTCCTTGGCGACGCAAGGCGTGCATATGAAGGCGGACGCCTGCGGGACGGTCAACGTGGCGTTGGTCGCTACCAATGGCTTGAGCTGCGTCCACTGACTAATGACACAGAAGGCTCCGGCATCTTTAACACACGCTCCCTGACGCGCGAAGTTGATGGTAGGAGCAAGGTCGCCGGCTGTGATGGCCAACGCGGGCGACAATTGAGAGGGGACGGTGCTGTTCGAGACGATCAATGGGGTCGTGCCGCAGGCAGTGGCGATGGCGCTGCCGGCTGATGTGACTGCTTTCGTGCAAGCGTCGCTGCAGAAGCCGGTGAGGACCTTGTCGCTGAGGATCTTGTCGATCACCCCAACAGCGACGGTGGTAGTGACGGTTGTATTGGCCATACCGATGGCCGCGAGCTCGCCGATGATCGGAGTCAGGCCGCATGGGTCGAGCAAGAAGGTAAGCTAGGAGTATCGCGAAATCAGATTAGTACGATAGCTAGTAATTCTGGTAGCCTTGATAAAATATATATACCTGCGGGAGGAACGAGTCCGTGCAAGCCTTGCTGAGGGCGGGATTGATAGTAGTGGCCGAGATGTTGAAACCAGCGAGCGGGTTGCTGATGGTAGAGTTGCCTGCAGTCGCAGTAGAGTTGGTTCCAGTCGAGTTCGTCCCGGTCGAATTGCTGCCGCCAGAGATGATGGCGGGGGTGCTTGTAGCCGCGGAGGTTCCGGTAGCGGTTCCAGTTGCATTGGATGCAACGCCGGTTGCCGGGCTCGTGCCAGTACTGCTGGCCGTGCTGGAGTCATCGGTGCTGCTGGGATCCTGAGCGCTCACGCGAGCGAGCACGGCCAACGCGACGGTGACAGAAGTGAAGAGCTTCATGTTGCGTTAGTTTCGTGTAGGGTTTGTGAAAGTAGGAATGTGGGATTTTCGGAGAGGGCTTCGCAAGTACGTCCGGCTTTTATTTCTGAGCGGCAATGCACACACTTTATTCAGCTCAGCAACCCCACACCTTCTCGTCGTTTCGCGCTGAGGGCATTTTTGGGAACAAACGAGCGTCCCTGCAACTGGCGTGAATGTGCCGCCTTTTAGCGTAAGGTTTTTTCCATCCACGCGGTGCACCGAAATAGACTGGATCAAGGTGCAGCCATCTATTGAGCAAAACCGTACACAGAAGCACCACCAAATTTTTGGGCAATGGGAAGTTCCCCAAATGTACAAGGAAGGCAAGGAAGACAGCTCCATAAACACATGCATGAGTAACAAGTTGAAAGTGTTGGATTCCCTATTACAGAACATTGTAGACATTTAGGACCTTAGTACATATACACTTCAGCTTCAAAACAGAATTGCTCATGATCAACCCCGCGAAGCTTTCAAAGCATAGAGCCAGCAGAGGAAAAGAAACCAATTATCAAGACCTAACCTATAACACACGAACAGTTTGCGGATGACGTTCTTTCTTTAAGAACCCGATCACATGAACCAAAGGGTGTTCTCGAGGTCAGGGTGAAGCTTCGGCAACTTTCCACCACCTTGGCCCACGCCTAGACTCTCCCTGATGTCGGTAGGACTGGGGCTCATGCCGATATCGCCGCGAGTGGCCGCAAACCAGCAACGAGCACGAGCAGCGACCGTGTGAGCATAGTACACGGGCGTGACAACGGAAACGGCCCGAGTCGCTTTGCCGTAAAGATGGCACAACTCGTACGAAAGCGCTTGGAGCTCGTCTTGGTTCAGCTTGCATTCGTTTCGGAGCACTTGGTAGTGGACAGGTCGCGAGGTACCCTTCAGTCCAGCATGAGAGACCAAAAAGCTAGCGAGAAAAAAGAAGTCAGTAACTTGCCTCATAAATGTTGATGATGTCGAAGCTCATCAACACTTACAAGTCAAACAAGGACGGGTGTGTGATTCCCGAGTCGACGACGGTTCCCGGGGGGACATTGTCGTACGGGTAGGAGATACCCCCACCACCACCACCACGGCCAGCTGCACCGCCTCCCCGGCCTCCTCCACGGCCTCCACCGAATCCTCCACGAGCTGGACCACCACCACCGCCCTGGCCAGCGGCGAAGTCCGGGAAGAATCTAGCGTTGTGCCTCTTCTGACAAGCAACGTAGGTGATTTGTGGACGCCATCCGGCCCTCATCTTCTCAGCGGCGGCTCGAATAGCATTAATTTCGGTTCTGGACACCGGCTCGAATTCACCTTCGGAGACTCCATCCCTGTAGAACAGGATGCGCGCTGGTCCTCGGCCATTCTTTTTGACGAACGCCGTGAAGATCTCAATCATTTGTTCGGTCAAGGAAGTCAAAGTCTCCATTCGGGCATCTTGAATTTTGATCGAAGACTTGAAGGCGGAGCAGGCGGCGTTCAAGGTGCCCACTACCGCAGCGATGGACGGCATTGTACGGTCGCCGAAGGTAGGATGAGTGACCTACATAGACGGATCAGTTAATAAGAGACTACGAGACTACGAGCGAGTGGTAGAAACACTTCTACTTACGTCCGCCCCAAGAATCATTGTAGGTGCGCTGGATACCCATGTCGGCTTCGCACTCAACTCCACCGTGATACCACCGAGCTTCAAGTTGAGCTTCATGCAGACATTAGCACAGTATTGCACGGCCGCCTTCTGCACATGCTTTTGAGCAATGCAAGTAGTTTGGATCCCGGTAATCGTGTCGGCGTAGAGCTTGATCGCATTGTACACGGGATCGGCTCCCACGGCGGGCAAGAGGCACATGATGATCTGTGGCTTGATTTTGCTGTTCTTGATGGCGTTTCCGATAGCAATGCCCACTTCTTCCGGGTCACGGGCTGCGCCAGGCTCCCAGATGACGAGTGGGTCCCTCATGGCAACGTTCATGCCGGTCGCTTGGCAGGTTTTACCCATCTCCGCAACGAAGCGGTCAACGTTTTGTGGGGGGTACGTTCGCTGTTTGTCGCCGAAGCAGATGACGGCCCACGATTTGAGCTCCGTACCGAGGAACATTTTCTTGTCACGCAGGTTCCAAGCGCCTTCTCCTGGGACCACTTCAGGTTGCTTCGAGGTCGACCCGTACTTGAGCTTCGGAGGCTGGAGCATGCGAGCGTCGACCTTCATCATGTCTCCATTGACGTTGATAGAGAACTCGTTGAGAATGCTGTCCGGAGATCGGATCCTCTCAAACGCATCCATAATCTTCTGCGCTCGTTTCGCTGGAGGTTGGCAAGTGATATCAATCATTTCCCTTGACTGGGGCCCTTCAAGAGTCTAGTTGCCATGAGAGTCAGTGGACTTTGGCCTTCGCTTCCCCGCATACTACTACTCTTTGTTTCAGATCTCACCTTCCTGAAGAGTTGCTTCTCATCGACGATAGCGAACTCGAGGGGAATGTATTTGGGCTCCGCCTTGTTCTTGTCGGCGTTGAAACACGGCAAGTTGGGATATCGGATCTTCACTCCATACTTCTGCTCAAAGTAGCTGGCGACGGTGACTTCCTTGCCATCTTGGAGCTTGAAGGTGGTCTTCGAAACCGGATCCTTGGAGATGCCGAAGATCTTCCAGCTCCAAAGCTTGGCCTCGCCGTTCTCCTTGAGCGTTGGAACATCGGGATGGCCGTTGGAAGAGCTAACCTTGAGGCCGATGATCGCCGAAGTGATTCGAGACCTTGCAACGGGCGACAACACGGTGTTGGGCTCAATCCTGGTCTGTGCGGCTCGGGCACAGAAGTCGATCAACGGTCCTTGATACAGCAAGCGAGATTAGTGTGGGTTACTTGTCAAAAACGGAAGCGGAGTTACGCTTACCTGGCTTGTAGGTAAGCGTGTTTGCCACGTCCAAATTCAACATGACACGTCCTGCGGACGTTCGGACGGACGTCCTGTATCCCACGTGAAGTTCGACATGGGAACGAGCCAAGGTGAAGGTCGACTCCGGATCCCTCAGCGGGTAAAAAGCCTTGCCGACGGTGAAGTGCGAGGCAGAAGGGTGGTGGGCTAGGATAATGTTCAAGGTCTGGATGCAGTTCTGAGGAATCTCCAGACTCTTGCCATTGATGGCCTTAGCAAGTTCACGAAAGTCGACGTCGGCAACGTATTGAAGCTCGACGAAGAGATTTCTAGGGAAGACGGCGTGAGTACGCAGCACAGCACGACAGTTGCGGTCTAGCGTGAGTGTCGTTCACCTTTTGCCGTTCTTCGCACGAGAAGAGTTCTCCGCCCATTCAACCTCAGCCGAGTATCGTTGTTGTGGGAAGTTTTTCGCCGTGTACAGGATATGCATGCCATCTAAGAGCAAATAGAAGGTCAGTTCTATCTCCCTCCCAGTACTCGCCCGTTGTTCGAAGTCCAAAAACTTACCGAAAACATAAGTTTTCTTGGAAAGGGGGCTGCTCGGTTGCTCGGAGTAGACCTGAAGAGCCTTGCGGCAGGTCGACTGATCCTTGACTTCAAGCCCGGCAGGAGTGGTGACCCCGACTTCCCAATGATAAATGATTCCGGTAGGAACATTATTCATATGAAAGAAGTTTGTCTTGACCTATGGAGCCCGCGCCAAACAGGTCGTGTCAGAAGATGGCCGATGACGAGATTGACATTGCGATCATCACTAACTCTGAAAGGGATTCCCTTGGTGCCGAAGGCGGGCCTTTTGACGAGCACACCGCCGTTATCTTCGCCGTTACCGGAAGACGTCGTCACCGGCTGTGCTTGCCCCGCCGGACGGGCAGCCGAAACTGGCCTTGAAGCCATATTCTTGGATTTTCAGTATGTGCAGGTGGGAGAGTCCTGCGAGAGTGAGGGAGGTGAGAGGCAACGAGTCAGTTGGGTTTGAAATATCCAAAGCGGTGGCAGGCCCCAGACGAAGTTTGCAGCTCGGCTCAGCACGGCGGTGAGCTGTCGAATTTTCTTGACGTGCTTTGAGCCTCACCTCTTCAGCAACTTCCGTACTGCGTTGAACGTGCGAACGAGTGAAAGCGAAGCGAGTTGAGAGGTCTCTGCCGTGGGTCTGGTGTGTCTCTCACGGCTCAACTCTGGTTCAAGGTGGGGTGGGGAAAAACGGGGAAGAGAGGAGAGTGTGCGAGGGGACGCGAAAGCAACGTGTCTCGTTTTATGTGGGTTTTCCCAGAGATGGATGCGACTGACTGCCCAGCCCAGCCCGTGGCATAGCCGCTGGCTGTGCACGTACCAGTTGCACGTCGTTCTTTGCGCTTATCAATTTGCTCATTTTCCTTTTTATTATCATTAGCTGCACCACAATGTTACGCCTATTCAGTCATGGCGCGGTCACCATAGCACTTGGGACGGGGGAAATGGGGTACGATTGATTCAGCTGCGTGCTCGTGACTCACGGCACACTCGCCCTAACCACCAAAACGGACTTGTGCATGGATGGATCTTCGGCATCCATTCGTGAATTGGATGGCTCTCCACAAAGGTGTGTGAGACGGCGAAAAGTGGAGGAGCCAAATCGGCTTTACGATGGCATATAACTGGCTTGTTCCATAAGGCACTTTGTGTGGTACGTCTCGGCGAAGTTAACAGATCCTCAGAGATATCTCCCCAAGTGAGCAGAGCTGAGGTTTCCCCCTCTGCACTTGAGCGTGGATTTCCCGTAAACCCCTTACATACGCGAGGAATGAGCATGGGCGACTGACAGCTGCCGAGATTCAGAATTCGCTCGCTGCCATGTGCCGTTACGAAGCCCCACATATCAAATAGAAGCATGCCGATCTTTTCTGTGCCTCTTATGCCCTTCACCTAGCCGAACCAACCCTCTTTCGCAATCCTGAAATGCATGTCGCATAATACATTCTGACGGCGGTCCCTTGCAATAACGCGCTGTCGAAAACCATCCATCCATCTTTATCTGCGAAACTTGCCTTCGCTCAGCGGGCAAAGCAACAGATGGGAGACTGCTAAACAGCCGGAGCACTGGGTAGAAGTAGAAGGAGGAGAGATGCCTGGGTAAAATGCATCTGCACTGGTTCTGTTTATCCATAAGTCGAGGCCCCCACAAAGCAAGAAATCGCGAACGAACCAATAATGTTTTCGAATCGTTTCGATGTGCGAGCATTCCGATATCACATCCAGATCTAGAGCTTGGGAGAGTTCCGTGGCTCATGAATTCAGAAAGGGTCCTCATAAAAATGTTTGTTGAAGGAGGGGCAGGTCTCGGCGTCGCTGGCAGCGGCATGTCCGCCTCAGGAGCTGTCCGAAATTGATGCGATGTACTGAGTTGCTCTCGATGTGGAGACGTGAGCAGCTGCACTTCCACATGAAACTGTTACAGAAAGCAGTTCATAGATATATGATAGTCGCTAGCCGCTGAATTCCATCTACCAGCATCTAATACATTGGATTGAAATCCGAAACTAGTACATGCGAATGAAACTTCGGAACTTGAACTATGCGAAATACTGGCCGGAATCCCCCATCCATCTGCCATCAAGGGGTCCGCATGTGACTACCGTGCGCCGAAGAGCTGTGACGTTTGCTTTGAGCAAATCGGGGATCCTCCTCCCCCACCTCGCAAACATGTCACTTTGCCGTGCGCAAGGATATGAGCCTCACAGCGATGCATTGCTTGTTGGACCTGTCTGCATCATGCACGGGGGAAAGTTGAGTCACTGCCGGTTGGTTTTCCTCAAAGGCATGCCGTTCTTTTCCAGTTACACTTAGTTTTAGTTTCCCGAAGACTAATGCCGAAACCTGACCCATTGAGGGCGAGCTTGGATAACAGCAGGGTTTGGCTGGACCAAGTATTTACATGTGTCGTGCTACAACCAATTAGCAACTCGAAGCAACTCGGAGGAGGCCAGATATTTCTGCTTACAGTGCACCAGCGTACGATTTTCATTATATCATCCGTATCTACGCGTGAAGGAGCCATCAAAATCACAATCGGATCGAAAAGGTGTGGGTGAACGAGTGAAAAACAGTGAGGGGAATAAGGGGAAAAAGAAACTATTATCAAGCGAAAAAATGAACAATAAAGCGATGTAAGGCCCTCCCTTATACAATTGCGAGGTAAGGTAGGTGGGTCGGGTAGAGTGGGAATCGGGACGTGGGGAGCACCGCACGTTCTCAACGCGATCCCAAAACGTTTCGGTAGTGCAACGTTGAGTATGAGTACTAGTCTATGCTTCCACCACAACTCCTTCCAGAGATGCAGTTTTTAACGAATCGCGATCCCCTGCTCGCCTCGACTTCAGAATGGTGTTTTCCCATAAGCCTTGGTCGTTGAGCGATTCGCTCTTCATGTCCCGCAGATCGCCCAGCATGACGTCGAGGAGCTTGTAATCCGTTGCGCCCGGGTAGTTCCCGGCTGCCCGTACGAGGTAGCGCCTCGCGACCATGTACGTTACGCTTGAGTAGAAACCGCCGACGAACAGGTCGACCATGTAATGATGGCGCAGGTACATGGTTGCCCACCATTGCCAGCACACGTAGATCATGAGTACAGATCCTTGTCGTCTTGACATGTGCATGGCGAAGAGCATAATGAGCACGGCGAAGCCGGAGTGTAGTGATGGCATAGCACCAAACACTAGTGGGGAGTTGTTGAATGCGCTTGTGTACATATGCGTGCCCAGGATCTTGTCAACCCGGGCAAGACCACCCGGACTCCCTGGCATGGAGTAGTCGGCCGGTGCAAAGCCGTACATGTCATTATACCCTGAAAGAAATGAACGTTTTAGACGAATGATCTGGATTTCCAATGAAAGTATGAAATCGAAATACTTACATGGTGCCGCAGTTGGAAATAACAATTGTGTGAGAACCCCAAGAAGATTTTGCGTTCCGATCGCTTGTGTGAAGATGATAGCAATTTTTGCCCCTGCACTCCACCAGAGGTATAAGGCGAAGAGGAAGGGGGAAATGTAGTGCAAGACGCCGTATGGGATGAAGGCAAGAATGTCTCCCGCTGTGGAAGGAACAGCGGCGAGATCCCTGAGCCCTCTTAGCACGAGGGGAACAAACACCAATAGCGTCGATAGGTGGGATCGGGTAGCGAGCCATCCACTCGCCACTAGTACTGCAGCGAAGCAGACGAGTCCAAGGGAGTTATCGAAGAGAAGTTCGTCAAGGGCGGGTAGAACGTCGACGGAAATGCCTGGCCGCCAGGCTGAGGGTACGAATTGTGCGCAGGAGAAGGCAATCAGCCAGAGCCCTAGTGGCAGTATTGCCAGGAATGCTTGTTTTGCGAATCCACACACTGGGAAACATGAGCCGTCGCTGTGGCGGAAGCACTGTCGAGGGTTGCACAGGCACATTCGCCGTAATGACGCTCGTATCGACATTGTTATCGCAGGAGGTTGTGGGGGTATGGGGGGAGGAAAGGCGGAAGACTGAGAAGCAGCAGCTGATTTACTGCCAATCACCAGTGCGGGTTGGGCTCTGAATCACCAGCGGCGGCACTGGCTGTTCACGTCCGGACGGCTATGTGAAGTGACGGTCGAAGTGAATGTTTGACCGTGGGAACGGAGATCTCCTCTGTCTGTTGTGGGGCGGGAAAGCAGCCGGTGGCTTGTGGAGAGGGCGGGAACGGCGAACGTTTGTTTGTTTGTTTGTTTCCTCCTAAGCGAGTGGGGGCTGGCGAATGGGGATAGCCGTCGAAATGGTGCTTTGTAGAAAAGTGATTGCGACAAGCGGCGGGCGAGGACGCAAGGGGCTGATAAAAGAAGGAAGCAAAAGGAGAGTAAGCGCTCCGAAACTCAGACCAGCAGAAGCTCTTTTTTTCCACTAGCAAGTGCGGTGGGAAAGTCGGGCCGAGGCACCTTGCTCTGTCTCTACGCACTTTCGTAAGGTGGGCGTTGTCAGCGTTTGGATGACTGCCAGCAAGGAGGGGTTTCCAGCTTGACTCCGGAGAGTTTTTCCTTCTCCCTTCCTTTGTCTGCCCTCATCAGATTCCCTGCCGCTAGATCGGTTTTCCGAGCCTCAATTTGCATGCAAGAGCCACCGTAAAACGCCGTGAGCCGCGGCGGTTCCCATGCGCAAGCAGGTCGCTTGGCAAACGCCAAATGTGGCAGTTCCACAACTCGTCATGATTATGTGTTCCCCACGGATAATCCATATCTACGTAGCGGTGCCGGAGTCCGATTTCACATACGCGAAGTGCGCGACGTGGCCATGGTCGTTTCACTCCGCTGCGTATGTCCACAACGGTCACAAAACAGCCCTGAGTTCTCCCTCATGTCGAATATATCCCTCCGACCCCCGCTCCCGTCGCCAATGTCCTCAAAAGCACTCACCAGGAGACAACTCGCAGAGATAACTTGGGATCGGATAGTGAAAACTTCACACCAGCTTGGATGTGCGGGCAGTCGGCGGGGTGTGGTATGTTGGCCGATATCCGAGTTTTGCCGTACATATATACGGTCGCGCGAAAAAGTTGGGATTGACGGGGATGAGATGTTGTCCGGAAAAGAAAGGGCTTGTCGCTGACAAATTCTGTCGCGCGTTTTACTCGGGGTTTCGACGGCAGTGCATGCAGCGTAAGACAAGTTACACGGCACAGGAAAGAAGGCCCTGATCTGAGTGATCTCATATAGCCGATCTCTTGAAGTCGCCCCACCATTCGATGTCTACACGACTTCTGAAGACGATGGGGTAAAAATAGGTTGGCCCGGGATCCATCATTGCAAAGCAGTCGGTCTATTATGCATGAATGTCGCGTGTGGACCTCACATTCTCCGGCAGCTCCGACTCGGGACCCGAACTGCTTGTGGCAATTACTCTGTTGGTTGCCTGTTCATCAGAATACAAGGGCCAGGTCAAATCGTCATCGGGATTCCGAAGTTGAGCCGAATCCTTGGGATTTCCCCTTGGGTTGAGGTCGATTCGGCCCGATCCAGCCTTGAAAGCTTGAGCTCAACTAAGCCCGATAACCGTCGGGGAACACTGGCAAGCGGCAAGCGCCGTTTGCACCCTTTTCCGTGAGTTTCAAGACGAAAGCGGAACGGGGTTAAGTCACGTGAACGCAATAAACGCTGTGTTTTTTGAGTGTCCCCCAAGTGTCCACAAACAATGCGAGCAGCTTGCGAGGCGTTTACCTTCATTACACCAGCAAAATCCTTTCATCCAACACCAGATACGCCCAAGGCAGTCGACGTTGCAGTTTGACGAGATACACTTGGAGACCGTGCCCCGGCCAACAATAAGGCGCGCGTGGTCCTCCTTGGAAAGAAAGGAACAGCGCCGTTCAAGCTACAGCGGCACACCGCCTCGCAATCACATCTTGAATATATTGTGGAAGTTTTAGAGGGGTCCGATGGAGTCTAGGAAACGAGCGCTATCTCCTGACGGAGATGCCGCCGCGGCGGAGACGCGACGGTACTCTCATGACGCAGAGCAGGCGCTTCCACAATTTGCACCAGCTCCGCCGTCCACTCAGCACCAGTTGCCGCCCCTCTCGTCATTGACCACTACGCTTGGGTCCGGGGGCGATGCTCTACCTCAGCTGCCGCGGAATGGGTCTATTAACGGGCAAGGGAATAAGCGACCGCGTCTTGACGACTCTTATACGGGCTCCGACAGACGTGCGTCTTTACACACGATGCATGGACTATCAGGTTGGTTCAGGGATTTGATAAGTCCGTCCCTATGACCGTCAATATCAATAACAAAGCGGTGTACCAGGCTCCGGTGGTCTTGGACCTGCGGCGCCATATTCGCCATATAACGCGGGGTCCGCCAGAACGGCCTCGTCCCTGTCCGCTCCAGTGGACATGGATCCGTTGGCTCGGCGGCACTCATCAGCGACCGAGCATACACAAAGTTACAGCCGTTTACCGTTCGTGTTCCCGGCAAATTCCGACAGTCCAGCAGGGCGATTTTCCCCGGGAGATGCGTCCCGGTTTTCCACACTCGCGGTCCCACACTCGCAGATCGGATTGCCTGGCACCCCTTCAGCGATATCACCCTCTGCATCTGCAAATCTGGCGAACCGCGTTGCATTGTTTAGTGCTAATTCACCTGTGAGCAAAGTGCCAAAGCCACCAGCCACATATCTCTTCAACAGAGATCAAAAGATCTCAGAATTGGAGTCGAATACAAGTGGGTCCTTACCGCATAGCGCGAACGACCATTATATCCATCTTTGCTAACTGAATCGGGTCGCTATTTAGGCACGCATCCATCTCCACCCTCGAATACAGCACTCAACACGACGAGCTTGTCATCGCTTTCACCATTTTCCAGTGGGGCGTTTGGGATTCCTCCTTATGGAGCAAACTTCCATGCGCCCTCCCTGAAGCGGCTGGACTCGAACGGTCGAGATTCTCATGCCGTTCTGTCGAAACTGCCGTCAATGTCGGAGGAGCATTTGAGGCGTCCCAGTGATACCGATGAGGGAAGCCAACGGTCCCGGGGTGAGGGACACTCGAACAATAAGGGTCGGACGTATGCGGAATATGCCGAGAATGATGTTGACGCTGAAGAGGCAGAGCTGGAGGGGAAGGTTCTGCCACTGCTCAGTGCGAAACGGAAGGGTGGCGCTGGCGGAACGCCAGGCAAATCGCGAAAGACCGAGATTGGACGCATCAATGAGGAATTCAAACGTCGAAAGAAGGCAGTAAATGTGGCAGTCGTAAACGACGAAAGGCTTACTCGTATTCCGCGCAACGTGGAGGAGCGCTATCTTGGTATGCATGTGGTTCGTAAGTCTACAATGGCAGTTGCAGAGGTTTTGAACAGATGTATCGCCGCAGGTCATGTCAATTATACCGGACCACGCTTAAGGCGACCGGGATCCGAGGACGTGCATGATATCGAGCTATTCCTCCTTCCCAAGTTCACCATCGATCATCATTACGCTACCATCGAGGTTCGAGTTCCCGCATTCTTCCTTTCGTGTAAACGAAATGTGGCCGCTCGGTTGTCTGCAGTTTGGGGCACCGACATTTACGCAGATGACTCGGACATGGTCGCAAGTACGCTTCTTCCGATGTTACCTTCCTTTAGTCCGGAATTTTGTGCTCATCCGTCTTCCTGCTGTTCTGCAGTGTTAATCCACTCCGGCTGGTACCGTCCGTTCGATTCCACTGGTGTCAACTATACAGGCGCAGCGTTTCCAAATGCTGTGGACATTGTACCTCCCAAAGTAGAGCCTGGAAAAACCGAAGGTGAACTCGTTGAGGCACAACTTTCGCCGTCTACCGCAACAAAGATACCGGATCAACTCAAGGACGGTGCAAAAGCTGCCGACGTCCGCCTAATTCCTCCAGCCGTGGTGACGCCTATTGTCGGGAAAGCCGATCCAAAGGACGGTCTGGCCGATCATGACATTTTCGTGACACTTCGCGTTCTCCCGCGACTCGTCAAGTACGCCGGATCCCTCAGAAACGGTGTCGAATCACGCGGTTGGGGTTCAGCGCACGATGGGGAAAGCGTTCGGATTGAGAAGGTGGTTGCAGTTGAGAAAGGAATGGTGTCAAAACATGGGAGGAAGAGCGCGGCGAAGCAATGGAGCGCGATGGCAAAGGTGATTGGAAAGACGAAGCCAGGCTCAAAGGAGGCAGATGGATCCGCATTGCACGCTGGCTGGGGCGAGGCGGAACCCGCCAAAGGTGCTGGGCCGGTCACGGTGGTGTTCTCTGATGATGGAGAAGCATGGTGAGTACATAAACCTTCGGCAATATCTGCATTTTCGATCCGTCTCACCATCGTCTCTCGGTCCGGAACGTAGCATCAAGTACGGACAGAGGTTCCTCCTCGACTGGCCACCCTACCTTCGAGCCAAGTGCGAGAAAGCTGCGGTCAAGAAGGTGATTGGCAAGGAAACTCCGGCCGAGCCCACCAAACCCAGTGACCCAGCCGTTATCACTTACATCGACACATTCGAGGATTCGGAACTTCTGAATGCCCAAAAATGGCCTTACTGGAGATTGGGACTCTCCAAAGGCTCGTTGATAATGGAGGACGGCAAGAGGCACCGGTATGTCCAGTGTTTCTTAGACCTTGACTTACTTTCAGCAGGTATTCATCCACGCTCCACTTGATCTCATAGGTACGAGCTTGCACTGGCGGAGGTACATTCAAGCAACCCGCCACCCACAGAGAAGGCCTTCAGTGAAACATCAACCCGATCTGAGCCGCGCTACCGCCTAGCCCGCCGTAACAGCAGACTCAACCCACTCCGGCGATCGTCACTCGAGCGCAAACAAGCGCGAGAACCGCGCGCAGTTGACGCACCGGACATTATAGCATCCGCGCTCAAGGCGGAGGATATCGACTGGACGGATAAGGGCCTTGCTTTGGCGTCAGGCGAGACGGTGAATGTTGCGAGATTCTTCTGGATGACGAACAGCAAGCCAGCTACTAAATCCGCGCAAGACGCGGATGTCAAGGGGCTAGGGATTAAACCTGCAGAGGAGAAGCAGCCATCGTAAAGATTTTGTGCAGGCATGAAGGCTTCGAATTTCGAAGCCTCGGAAACAACAAAAAGGTGTCTCTAGACACCGCCGTCGCGGTGCAGACACTATGGCACTGAGGCATTCACACTTGCATAAATTTTGGCATAATCTTATGATTTTCACATTGTCTTCAAAGTTCGTCCCCAAGTTCATGCAGCTGTAAACGCAAACCATCGACGAGCCCATACGTGTCTATCCTATTGTGTATACATGCGTAAGAGATCCATAGGAGCTCCAAAAAACTTGACGCTCCACAAAGATACTTGGAATCTTTTGCTCTGTCCGCCCATGCTCCTATGGATATTAGCAATACCCCGCCATAGGTATTGGCCCCATAGGGATCAACCTGTCCCTTGATGCATACAACCATCGACGTGCCCATACGCCCATCGACGAGTCCATACGCCACACATACATACAAGACATTTACACATGGGCCATTGTGTCTATCCTATTGTGTTTACATGCGTGAGAAATTTCTGCATTGCTGCTGGCAAGTTCTGCCTCTCCTGATTATTTGCACGTACACGTTCCCGCGATCAGAAACCCCATTCTCCCGCTCCTCCCCTGGCGCCGCCTGCGCCCGTTCCATATTGTTTATCCCAATCTCTGAGAGCCTTGACAAGCTCCGCGCGGTCATTCAGCGACGGGCGGACGTCGCCAGCGTCCAACGCTTCTTTGAAGTGAGCAAGTGAGATCGGAGGTTTAACGTCTGGGCCAACCCGTTCTGTCGGTATCGAAGTAGACGCGTTCGATCTGGAGGCAAAGTCGGTACGAAGAGAAATAAGAGCTGCGCGGGAACGTGTACGTTAGATCCCCCCCTCTCATATGCAAATAATCAGGAGAGGCAGAACTTGCCAGCAGCAATGCAGAAATTCCTGATATCACTTCCACTCCATCCTTCTGTCCATTCGGCAACCTGGACGATCAGATTGTCTCGATCCAGCACCTCATCATCCTTCAAGCATAACCTGACAATGTCGGCTCTCGCATCCCGATCAGGTAAGCTCACAAGGATTCTCCGAGGCAATCTCCGAAGCACCGCCTCGTCGAGGTCGAACGGACGATTGGTCGCTCCGACAACAATAATGCCACCCGTATTGCCGGTTCCGTCTGCGTCAGGGCCATCGTTGTTTGAATTCAGGCCGTCCCATTCTTGCATGAACTCGTTGATCTATGTCCGAACAAACGCGAAAGTCAGCGCAAACCGCCAAGAGAAGGTTGAGAGCACATGCGACATACCGTATTCGTGTGATGCGCCATGTTCCGTTGCCGAGCGCGGAGCAGGGCATCAATTTCATCAATAAAGATAACACAGGGTCTCAACTTCCGCGCTAATGTGAAAAGAGACTTCACATTCTGAAGAGCAGAACGATTCAGTGGAGTTGTTCAGATGACATCACCATGTAGGAAGAACGGCTTACCTTTTCGTTCTCGCCGACCCACATTGACTGGATATCCGACATCTGGACATTAAGGAAGTTGGCTCCAGACTCCGCGGCTACTGCTCGGGCGAGCAGTGTCTTTCCTGTGCCGGGGGGACCAAACAGAAGAATGCCAGTCGTTGATTGACTATGATAGAGCATAAGATGAGACCACGTCGCAACACAGCACTTTCCATGCGAAGCAAACGCGTCACTAACCTCAGAATACCACTGGAAAAAAGCTCCGGCCTCATCAACGGAAAGCTGATCAACTCATGGATCGTGCGCTTCGTCCTCCCGAGCCCACCGATCTTCTTGAACGACGCAGACGCGGGGTTCGGCTTCACCAAACACTGTTTCAACAATTTCTGTTCCCGATTCGTGAGTCGGGTCGTCTTCTTCGAGTCTCCCATACGAGGATGCCTGAACACGCCTGCCAACGCAGACCCATGGGCGGCTTCTCGTAACGCCAACTGCTCCATCTCGAAAAGATGGCAGGCGCTTCGGAGGTCGGAAGCTGTGAGGACAATTGTGGAAGTTGCTGAACTTTTCTGCCGCTTTTGCGGGGTTTGACGTTGTCTGAAGGCAGCGATGCTGTGGAAAATGATTCCTTCTATTTCTAAGGGGTTCAGGAAGCGTGTAGTGAGCGCATGAAGTGCGTCGTTTGGGCCGGGGGTTGTTGCCAGGGTCCGGGGCGTTTGGTTTGCCTCGTTTGCTTCCGGTGCGGTGGGGTTTGCAGGGTCGGCCGGTAGTTGCACACGGGCGTTGTGGGCAACCCGCCATAGCTCCAAGAAGTTTTCATTGTATTTTATCGTTCGTGAATCCCGCTCCAACAGTTTCTGTAGGCGGCCGAACTCGACCCCCGCGGGTGCATAGACATTGACAGTCTGAATTCCGAGATACCTCGACAAAGGGGTATCGTAGGAGGGTCCTTTTGGAGAAGAATTCCGTCGGCCAAACATGCCGGCTGGATGTCCCCCTCCGCCCGACGATTCGCCACCGCTACCGCCACCGTCACCTCCCTCACCATCGTCTTCGGCAAAATCATCATCTTCTTGTTGACTTAAGGCGCGTAGAATGCCCTTGATTCCACCTCCACGCTGCTCGACGCCAGATCTCGACCGATGAGACATTGACGTGTATGGTGTGTATGGCGCCACCAAGAGAATGTTGAAGCCATCGGTCCTCAAGCTGTCGACCTCCTTACAGAGCAGACTGACTATATCAGCAGCTCTGAAAACGTCGTCTTCCTCGCTTCCGGCTTCCAGAAGGCTTAGCAGATCCTTGTAAAATATGATAGTCGGTGGCGAATCTTTGGTCAAGCTTCCCCGCAGCTCCTTGAAGAAACTCTGAAAGGCTCCTTCCACCAACTTTTGTGCTTCATTATTCAATTCTGTCACCGCTTGTCGCCCACGAGCCAACCGTATCTCCTGACCGTGCGCCCCCTGGTACGCTTTGAACCAAGGGTATGGCAGAACTGGCTCATCCTCGATAGTATCATTCTCCTCATCTCGCACTGTTTGCACCTGGATTCCCCCTAGATTCTGTATCGGAAGAATCATGGCGTTTCCTGGCCACCGTTTCCTCCCTGCACCCCTGCCAAAGCTCTGGGACCCATTCTGCCGCGCAGGTCGTAAGGGAGGGGCCCGAACGACCTCGTTACCGGTGAAACGGTCAAACAAGTCGTCATTCCGAATAGAAAGAACTGCACATTCATTTTCAGAAGCCACCGCCCGCACCAACCGCTCGATATAGATGTCCGACCCCTTCATTGGACAATTGACTACCAAAAGCCCATCTCGGTACGCCGGCAGGTTTTCGGCAGGGTTGTTCCGTTTGGGCGCCAGGGAAAGATTTATGCTGTCCCTTAGGTGCCTCGCTGTGCTGGGATGAATCGGGTATTCGAATTCCTTCGAATGCAGCCCCGGGTATACCCTTATTCGGCTCGGCGGTATCGGTCCCTCTTTGGGTATCTTCACCTCGATGCGTTCAGCAACTGAGCCCAATATCGGACTGGGTCGATCCGATACGAGTTCTGCCAACGTCGCCGGTTTTTGCACTTGTTGCTGTTTCCCTCGTCGAACGGATGCGGTCTGCTTAACTAAAGCCTGTGGGAGGGCCGCAAACTGGGCAGCCAAGCTGGCTCGCGCCGTCGCCTCCTTTTCAGCCAAACGAGCTGCAGCAAGCTCATCAGCAGTCGGGGGCTCCTTGGCGTTTCCTTTGTGATTAACTTTCTTCGCAGCCGCCTCGGAAAATGAACTCTTCTTCGGCTCGGCGGTGTCGGCCCCTCTTTGGGCATCTTCACCTTTCGCGAGCTCTGTGGGGGTGGGCAGATCTTTGTCAGCCTCTTCGTCGGGTTGCTGTGACGGATTGCTTCGAAAGAATGCTACACACGGGATCTGCTGCTGGTGCCTAGCTAGCCACCTCAGCCTACTACGTGGGACCCTCAATCCGCTCGCAAACATCTTTTGATTTATGTCAAGTTCTCGGAGGAGGAAGCTGGCAAAATGGGGGTACTGCCTTCTGAGGAATATGAAGGTTTATCGCCATTCGAAGTAGATCTCGGACGCTCTCTAATGCATATTTGTTGCACAGCCACAAGTCTTGACTTGCGTTCTTGTACCTCATTGCCAGAGCGGTTCTTGACCTTTTCCCCACTCAACTGCCTGGAGATTCGAGACCGAGCGTACAAATACAATGTGTTACGCATATTCCATTTCATGCTACGTACACCAAGATGTGATACTATGCTGATGCTCGAAGACCCTTTCTGATTCCGCTACGGAACGCTATCTAAACAACCACAGAGACCTCTTGGGGGCAGTTATTCCTTGTTGCCCGGCTGTACGGGCAAGTCTGATGGGCGGCATCCACAACTTCTTGCGCGGCCTTTTTGTCCAAGCCAGGAGTTTTCAATACAATCTTGACCTTCAGATCGAAATTGTCCCCCTTCAAAAGATCCACGGTCACATCGACGGATGTGTCTTGAGGCAGCTTAATCTTCTTGGCACCAGCGACGGCATGGACGGCGCCGAGGAAACAAGAAGCATATCCCGAAGCAAACAAGATCTGCAATAAGATTGACCCAACTTAATCCGGAAATCCAAAGACACAATTATCAACTCCCTCTCTCTCACCTCTGGGTTCACACTCTCTTTGGTGTTACCAGGTCCACCCATCGATTTGGGCAGAGCGAGTTGCGAGCTAAACCCCGAATCGTGGTTTTGCACCTTGCCTTGGCGGCCCTTGCCACTTGCCGAGGACGTCGTTTGGTAGATGGAGTTTCCGAGGGAAGCAGTCGAGATGCGGCGGGCAGCGGGGATGGCGGACAGACCAACGCGATGGCGCGCGGCAAGACCGATGGTACGAGTGAGAGTGATAGCCGACATGTTTAGAAAGCGTTGATCTGTTACGAGAGCTGTGATTGAGGAAGTGGAGATGCAGGGGATGATGTCGAAGTTTGGAACAGGGAAACGTCATGCTGTTGACCTATGCCACAGAATATAAACTTGTACTTCGTGCACGTGGAGTTAGTTAAATTTGAAAGTTCACCCGGTTCCCCGCTTCGGTTTTCGCTCCACCGATTGTGAGAAGTAGCACTTCCAGCTTGAGCAGCGCGATGACAGAAACCGGTTTACTCACAATCTCTGACACCTGGACCCCCGCCGCCGAAAGGGCTCTCCGGGAGATCTTTGCTCGTTTCGACGTGGATAAAGACGGAGCTTTGTCACCGGCGGAGGTTGATGACTTTGCGGTAGCGACAAACGGAGAGAAGGTATAAGCCTGGGCTGTTGTAATTCTATCATTGTATAGCCGGCCTATCAATTGACATTTTTTCGGCAGTTTTCCGAAGATACCCACTCCGAGTTAACGACATACTTCGAGTGCACTGACGATGGAAAATTGACGTTAGAGGGTTTTATGGACATGTATCACTTGCAAACACTCTCTGACGAGGCCGAGACTTGGAAAGATTTGAGGAAATTGGGATATGACGATCAACTCATTCGAGCAGAGCAGTGAGGGCGTTGAGCCGGACGCAAGCCGAAGTCAATTTTCGGAGGCGACGTCTGCGAACGCAATTACGCATAAAGCAACGGACTATATCAGGTCACACGGGTGGGCCCAGTCATATCAGCGCCGTACGCAGACGAACACTGCTCCCTTCTTACATTTCATGCTGCATCGGGAGACGAGTGAGAGGCTGGTTCCTGAGGGATGGATGCGGATCGGATATTGTTGGGCGGAGGCCAGTGCGTGCGCCTCGCAATGTTCCGGAAGGGCGTAGGCAATTTCTGGAGCTTGGCTAGATACTATGTAGACTAGACGATAGGCGAGGGGGCTCGTGAAAGTAAACGATGGCGTACTAGGTTAAATGTCGGACTCCGAAGGCGTCGACGATCTTAAATGTGTTTGCGAACATGATCCTCATTAACGACGGTTGGCTGAGGTCCAAAATCCCATTCTCGTCGTCGGATTCTCGCCACCGGATTTCCCTCAGTCTACTGTAGTCTTGATCTATACTCTGCCAGCATCCGCCAGGTTCCGCGGGGTGTCCCGCTGACAGATACTGTATATATATCATATATACTGTGGCTAACCTGCCAACCGTGCCGCGGAAATTGAAGATGCGCTTCCACCTGCGGGAGGTTCTTTCCTCAGGAGCTCATCAATCTCAATCTCAATAGCATTGGCCATGCATGATAGGAAGTCCGCTCTTATCGTACGAAAAACGGACTCCGGACTTGACTGATTTTTCGGAAAAAACAGTCGATTGCATAAGCGAGAAGTTTGATGATGACTTCACGCGATTGGTGTAACCCTTCCCACATGGGCCATTTTGCCGTGCCACATGACCCTTCCAGGCGAGACACTGTCAAAATTGGATCCCCTTGTGACCCTTGGCCGCGGGCGACCCCTCACTGTAGCAATTAATGGAGAGCGCCAAGTCCATCCAACACTCTCGTCGCACCAGCAATTTCGAGCCGGCTTGTCCCGGACTTTACCCACTTGAGGTCCATTTCCGCGGTGAGAGGGAGGCTTCCACATCATCCATCCACATGTCCCGTGGCCCCTTGGAAATTTCGCTGGCAAAGGGACATCAAACTCAAGCAGGAAATCCCTCAGCCGCATCAGCCAGCTCGTCACAAAGGCCTGTGCCCCGTCACGCCTTGTCAGGCACACGTCGGCACCCGTTTCCTCCCGAAAACAAGGGATTCTGGGAAACTGCCTGTCAGGCCGACGGGGCATGCCATCGACCCCTCGATTTCCCTGCCCGCATAAAAGCAGAGCGCATGTATGCACGTAGCCTCGAAAAATCCGTTAACGCTGAAGGCATCTGCTGCATCCGCTGCATCCGCCTCCGCCATCGCAACTCCTCAACTTCTATCTTGCAACCGCCTCGCGACTGTGCACGTCTCTTACCTGCTTGCAATCGCGACGCGTTCGTTGGACAGCTTACTGAGCGCGACTTTGGCATTTTTTGGTTCAACGAGCCCCGTCGTCGCATCATAGAAGGCTCACCTTCCTTCTTCTCTTCATCAGTCTGAACGGCAGGGATACCCCAGCACGCCAGCGGAACTTCGCCAACGGGTCATCGTCGACCTGTCCCTACCGGCTTTAGAAAATAGAAAACCAAACTCGCCGCCAGGAATGGACCTGGACTCGGCCACGGCAAGAAGATACCGAGACAGCTCTCGAGAAATCCCATGAACTTCGGCGATATGAGCAAGACGATGCAAAGGCGCACACAAAGAGCACGCACGCCAGCGTTGAGCAGAACAGCAAGAAGACCAAGAGACGAAGAGACGCAGCGGACCAGCGAACAACACGAATCAAGCGAAGGACAGACACGGTAGAGGCATAAAGATCAAGCGAGGACAGAGGCACGGATATTTCCAGGTTCGTTCGCACAGCGAGACGATCAAAACTTCTTATTTGGAGAAGAGGAAACTAGAGGGTAACAACACTAACAACTGTACAAGGGGGTACGCAACTGCAGCACAATGGCTTTCTATGTGGGGAGAGCGAATGTAAATGATGAGGTAGCGAATCGCTTACGCCTTGGCCTTGGTGGCCTCAACTTCAGCCTCCTCGAGCTCCTTCTGGGCAGCGTGGTGGGTGGTTGGGGTGGCACCGAAGACGACGTCCATGTCCTCGAGGGACTTGCCCATGGTCTCGGGGATGAAGAAGTAGACGTAGACACCGGCCGTGAGGGCAATGATACCAAACACGAGGTACGTGTAGAACTCGATGTTGGCAGTCATGATGGGTCCGACCTTTCCGATGATGGCGTTGTTACCCCAGTTGGACATGGTGGCGAAACCAGTACCCTTGGAGCGGACACGGAGGGGGAAGATTTCGGACTGGTAGACCCAGACGACGGGTCCCCAGGTGGCGGCGAAGTTCAGGACGAAACCGTAGACGGCGAAGATGGCAGCCCAGGAGAAACCCTTGCCGTGGTTTGTTGACAGGTTGGCGAACAGGCAGGTGAGGAGCTGGGAAATACCCATACCGAGGGCACCCCACAGGAAAAGCTTTCTGCGACCGGAGCGCTCGATCAGGTACATACCGGGGAAGGTACCGATCAAGTTGATGAAGTTGTTGGCGATGGTGAAGGGAATGTCGGCATCGTCCTTGTTGAAACCCATACGCTCAATGAGCTTGGGAGCATAGTACATGTTGTAGTTGATACCGGTCCATTGCTGGAACATCTGGTTGAGGAAACCGTAGACGGTACGGTTGAGGATTCCGGGCTTGAGGAGCTCAGACCAGTTGGCAGTACCGATTTGACGTTCCATCTCGATGGACTCCTTGATTTCACGGTGCTCGGCAATGACAGCGGGGTCGTCTTGGGAAACGGAGCGGAGCTTGGCAAGAGTGCGGAGGGCCTCAGCGTCTTGGTCACGGTTGGCCAACCAACGGGGAGACTCGGGCATGATGAAGGTGAGGAAGAAGAGGACAACACCGGGAACCATCTGCATACCGAGGGCAAGACGCCACTTGGTGTCGCCGTCGACGGTCTTGATGATGATGGCGTTGATGCAGGAGGCGACGAAGATACCGATGGTGATCATGAGCTGCTGAACGGTAACCATCCGACCACGGAGGTGGGCGGGGGCGGTCTCGGCGATGTAAAGAGGGGCGACCATAGAGAGGATACCGATACCGGCACCACCGATGATACGACCAGCGATCAACATGCCGAAGCCGTTGGAAAAGGTTTGGAGAACGGCGCCAGCGGTGAACAGAACACCACCGACGAGGATAGACTTCTTGCGTCCGATGACATCGGCCATCCAGGAGACCGCGAGGGCACCGACCAAACAACCGACCAAGAACAGAGATGTGATATCACCAGTCCTGGATGTGTTCGCGTCGGTGGCAACGTACTTGCCGTCGACGAGGCTTGTGAGGCCGTAGTAGACACCGAAAGTCGAGTCCATGGCCAGGACCTGCCCGATCACACCGATTTCGTAACCGAAAAGAAGACCACCCATGGCCGCCGAGAAGGCCATGAGGAAGTTGTAAACGTTACCCATGGCGGAAGGGTCGTTTGCCGTAAAGATTTAGTTGAGTGTAGGAGGATGCTGTTGCAGTTTGCAGAGGCTGGATGAGACAGGGAAGGCGAGTGCCACCCGCTGCCTTTTATAAGGTTGGGACCGGGCGGGGCGACGGCCTGGCTTTTTCCATGGCGAGCAACGCGGGCCCCTCGCCTCAGCGGCATTAGCGCGAGTGAGAGAAAGAGAAGCTTGGCCGCTGAAATTTTGGTATTACGTCTGTCAGTTTCGTGTGTGGTCCGTGCAATTTCGAGACACCCATACAACGGAGGACTTCGCTTTGAAAGGGAAAGAGTAGGCGCCTAACCATTGGATGAGGTGTTCTTTTTTCCGGTCCCTGTGTGTTGCGCTCCGGTTGTTGTTGCCGAGCACAAATGGGCCCAGGGGGTAGCCCTGCCGCCCGCATATCCATCACTCCTGCGGCAACAACTCATGTGATGGTTTAAAGCTCCAGGGGCGCGCCCCGAGCGCGTTGGGTGGGCGTCGCCTATATTCGAATTATGTTACCGATGCCTCGGCCGTGCATTTGGGGGGTGACGTGAACATGTTTGCACCGCCGGCCTGTGTAGGAACAACATATATTACCGAGTGCCGAGGTGCGGCAAAGCCAGGATCCCGAACGACTGGTTCGCCGTTACATAAGCAATTCCAAAAATAGCGCCCTGCTGACCTGCCGATGTGCGACATTTGAGGCATCACGAGGCCAGGAGAACGGCCAGATGACCGGAAAAATTTGTAAGAGCAATTCCCGACTCTGACCTTGAGCCTCATCTCTTCGCTGAGTCTTGCTCGTGAGAGGCCGCGAAAACGGGACGAGTCTCGCTCGTGGCGGGAAATGGAGATGGGAGTGGAGAGGAATCGATGCGCACATCATGGAGTGGATCTGGAGTGGCATGGATGAGAGACGGTTCTGCGGAAAAGTCTGTTGAAAACCGCCCCCGTTGGTGGCTGCTTTGGTGGCCAATGTGGGTTTATATTTACGTCCCTGAGTGAGATAGATATCATAGTAATAATTGTTGGAATTTTTCACAAATTGCTCCCTTTTATTATCATTTGGCAACGCTGCGCTCAGGAAAATATCAGTCGTCCCTGCCGTTGAAACTCATTTTGGTATCTATGCAACTTTGATATGCAGACGGATTGTCCTTTTTTTTGTCGGACGGCGTCGAAGCAATGGTTGTACAGTACAGGACAGAGCCGCAAGTGACAATGGGAGATCGGATGCATCTCCCACGCCGGTCTCCCATGCCCTGTGGCCGCTGAACTACGTTAAGTCACCCCAAAAGGTTATAACAAAAAGGCCGTGTTTGCTATCCACGCTACCTTTTAAGCACACATACTCTAATTTTTAAGTGGATGGAAACTATAACTTGCAGCCCCAGTTACAGGCCTAGGTTTAGGGTTAGGGTTAGCAACACCCAGCCCTATACCGGCCGAAGGCCGTCCTGTCGTTATGGTAGGTTAGTTACCCAAAAAGTCTTATTATACTACGTAGTGTAGCGCGATTAGCAAATTGGGGTAGCGTCGTTAGCAATTCCCGTAGTACTGTAAAATGCAGATGTATGTGTACAGGAAACGGTTTTGTCTGTTTCTGAACAAGTCCCATTTATATGTGCGGGTCACGTGTCTCCGATCGCAACGAACGTCTCCCGTCGAAAGTCGAGAACAAGTCCGAGAGGGTCCTCCGCTCCGTCTCTCTTGGCCGAACGACACGAGCGAACGAACATCGAACGGGATGCCAACCCAGGAGTCAAAAGCGCACCTGCTCATTCATGTGCGTCGGTTGTCGGATTCCTGCGAACCGCCCCATTAAATTTGTCCACCCTACCTCCGGCGGCATTGAGTTCGTCACGACGGACCGCCCTTCCCCCACTTAGTTGTCCCGGCGGCGGCTTTGTCGGTATAGCAGTTCACGCAACAAGGAAGAGCATCTAACGCCGACGGTGGATCGGACGCTATGTTCGCCAAAAGCAGGCCGTTGAGGAACGTGGGGCTCCTGGAGTACTTCGATTTGCTAGCCCAGCCGGCACTCCTGTTGACGGTTGGAGAGACGCATGCTATCGCTTACGTCAATCCTGCTCTCCACGGTATCATCCACTCAACCGCAGAATATCTATCCCTCGAAAACTCGCCACTTGCCGACCTTTTATTAGTAGATGATCCGATCCAATTTGAGGACTGGATAGACTTCGTCCGAGCAAATGGATCCTCGCCACATCCCTTCACAGCGTATGCAAAGATCAAATCATCCCAAAGGTCAGTACAGATTGAATGGGACGCCGTTTGGATGAAGCCGCACTTTCTTGCGCTCACCGGCAAACCGGTGAATTTGATTCCGGCGCGGCCAGATAATGATGGCGCCCCAGTGGAGCGCCTTGTGGCCGGAGGTGGAATCATGGGCGACCTTCTACGAGAGCTTGACTGGACAAATAGCCCGCTGGGTCCGATCGCCTTGTGGCCACAATCTTTGAGGACTGCTGTCTCGCTTGTATTAGCGTCTCCCTTGCCAATGTCTATCTGGTGGGGCCCGGAATTTGTCCTCCTCTATAACGATGCCTATATCCCGATTGCGGCTGCGAAACATCCGTGGCTGTTTGGGAAGCCGGGTGCCGTGGGGTGGAGCGATGTGAGTAGTGCTGCGAATTCCCTGAATAGGTCGCATCCCCCACCATTTTCGAAACTGATGGCTCTCCTAGATATGGGATAAAATCAAAGTGGCGGCAGAGCAAGCAATGGCCGGAAAGGGAAAACACGTGGAGGACGATCTCTTCTTCATGTCGCGAAACGGGTTCACTGAGGAAACATACTTCAACTGGGCGTACGTGCCAATTCGGCAAGAAGACGGATCCATTGGAGGCCTTCTAAACCCTGCTATCGAGACAACGCGTCAAGCAATCTCGGAGCGCCGAATGAGAGCTCTTAGAGATTTCAGCGTCAACGCGGGACAAGCGAAGACAGTATCGGAACTCCTATCGACGACGACGAGCATCCTCACGTCCTGCGATAAAGAGGTTTCATTTGCTCTCTTGTACACTGGTACATCCGAGACGAGCGGAATCAGTCAAATCTCCCTGGATAGTGGTCAGCCGTTTTTATTACAACTTGCTGCCACGGTCGGAATTCATCGCGGGCATCCCGCGGCTGTAGACCACGTCGTCCTGGATCTTGCGCAGAATTTTGAGCTGCCCCAAGTATGGCCCTTCCATGAAGCTTGTACGAAACGCAGCGTGGTTGTAATGCGGAATCAAACTTATGTTGCTGGCATTCCTGGGAGATGCTTTGGCGATCCGTCGAACGTTGTGGTCGTATGTCCCATTGCGGGGAGTGAGGCGGAAGACATCCAAGGAGTGCTGGTTCTAGGGCTGAGCAGCAGATTGGCATACAACGACGACTATGCGTAAGTAGCGGGGGGAGTGTACAACGGAGAACCGGGCGACAGTTCGCTAAATCATCTCCTTAGAACATTCATCACCTTGCTACACCGCCAGTTCGCTGGATCTATGTCCAGCATAATAGCCTTTGAAGAGGAGGTTCGCAGAGCAGATGCACTGGCGGCGATAGATAGAGCAAAAACCGCGTTTTTCAAGTTAGTTGAAGTTCCTGTTCACCAACTTGTTCCGCTTGACCACTTATCTCCTTTCACTTACAGCTCTGTTTCGCATGAACTGCGGACACCCCTGACACTGATGTTGGGTCCCCTGGAGGACTTGCGTTCTTCGAAGAAGGAACCTCCTTCGAAATTTCAAATGGAACATTTGACACTGGTCAGCCGCAACGCCAAGCGCTTACTAAAGCTGGTGAACAGCATATTGGACTTCAGTCGCCTCGAAGCTGGGAGGATGCAAGCCTCTTTCAAAAGAACTGATATCGCCGCCTTCACGCGGGATCTCGCTAGCAACTTCCGAAGTGCGATTACAAAAGGCGGTGTGCGATTCGATGTGCAGTGCAACGAAAAATCCAAGAAAGTTTACGTCGATCATGACATGTGGGAGAAAATCGTGTTCAATCTCATCGGAAACGCCTTCAAATTCACCACGGCGGGTTCTATAACGGTTCGGGTGGAAAATAATAACGATCGCTCGGCGGTTATCTTCTCCGTTACCGACACCGGAGTCGGTATTCCAGGGGAGCACCTCGACCGAGTCTTCGAGCGATTCCACCGTGTTGAAGGGAGAGGAGGCAGATCTCATGAAGGCACGGGGATTGGGCTGGCATTGACTCAGGAGCTCATTAAACTCCATGGTGGCGCATTATGGGTGGAGAGCACGGTGGGGAAAGGCAGCACGTTCTTCGCAAAGATTCCGGTAGGCAATGCCCATTTACCGCCTGAAATGATCTTTGAAGAACCGGTGAACCCGGATTCCACTTTGACTCCATTACGTTATGGTCAAGCTGTGGTGGACGACGCAAATCTTTGGATACCAGATCGAGATGAGGAGACCATGGACTCGTCGCTTTCAGACTCCTCGCTTTCAGTAAGTTCCGGAAGCGGAGCGCTCCCCGTCATGACGCGCGGGTGCCGTGTGCTTCTCGCTGATGACAACGCAGACATGCGATGGTACGTCCGCTCGATATTGAAGAACATTTGGACTGTTACGGAGGTCGCGGACGGAATGGAAGCTCTTGAATCCATCAGAGCTGATCCGCCGGATATCATCGTATCCGACGTGATGATGCCTCGCTTGGATGGCATTGCACTTGTGAAGTTGCTCAAGTCAAACCCAGAATTCAAGCGAATCCCGATCATTCTGTTATCCGCAAGAGCGGGGGAAGAAGCGCGCGTCGATGGCTTGGAGCTCGGAGCGGATGATTACCTGGTAAGGTTCCGAATGTCCAATATTTTTGAGGTAATTCCTAACTTCCTGTTGTCGTAGGTGAAGCCATTCTCTGCCAAGGAACTGAGAGCCAGAGTACATGCGCATCTGGAAGTATCTCGTCTACGGATGGAGCTCGAGAAGCGCGTACAGGAGCGGACGAAGGAACTGGCGGAGAGCGAATGGAGGTACAAGACTATATCTCGGCTCAACCCCGTCGGCATTTTCAAGACCACCAATGTTGGGCATTTGATCTATACAAATGAGATGTGGTGGCACATCACCATGCACGACCGCGTCTCTGATCCCAGTGGGCGCAAGTTTTTGGACTCGATTCACCCCGACGATCGAGAAATTGCTACGAATGAATGGCAAAGTGCACTCACTTTACCCCGGCATACGTTTGAAGTGCGCTTTTACAACGCAACGCTCAACAAAGAAACCTGCGTTTTAGCAGAAACAAACTTGGAGTATGACGACCACGGAAACAGCGTCGGAATGATTGGATCGTTCACGGACCTCACGGAGCGAAAACGCCTAGAAAAGGAACGACTTGCAGCGCTGGAAATTGCGGAGACTTATCAAAGGCGACGGGCGGAGGAGGCCGAGAGGATGAAGCGGCACCAGGAGCTTTTCATCGATATGACGTGCCATGAACTGAGGAACCCCCTCAACGGGATATATCACAACGCCGATTTACTGTCGGAGTTGTTACAGAAAGTAGATGGTCATGCCTCTGTCTTGCAGAAAGCTTGGACGAGCCCGGGGACCACACCGCTGAGTCTCGGAGACATAAGGACAGAGGTTGCAGAAGGATTAGAAGCCGTGGAGACGATTTTACAGTGCGCCCGACATCAAAATAACATCGCCGATGATGTCTTGCAAGTCTCCAAAATTTCGATGAATCTTGTGCAATTGTCAGCCGTCGATTATCAGCCACATGTTGAGATTCAGAAAGCCATTCGGATGTACGAGACGGAAGCTAGGCTGAAAGAGATCGACTTGGCTCTTGTCGTCAAACCCGAATACACAAGGCTTGGCGTCGACTGGGTCCGAGGGGATCCGAAGCGTTTGATGCAAATCCTGATAAACCTCATTTCGAATGCCATACGATTCACCCAACGGGCGAACGAGCGAAGGATTACTCTGCGACTTGATGCCTCATCGGCCCCTCCGTTTCTGGTCGAGAAGGAGGCCGAAAGTCCTATGAAGAAGACCGTGAGTTCCGACGAGTTGGATTCGAGTACCATTGTCGGTAGGCTGGAGAAGGACGTTCGAAATGCGCTACATGGTCGACCACCGAAGCCGACAGTATACATATGCGTCGATGTCTGCGATTCGGGGTTGGGGATGACTGCTGAGGAACAGACACTGCTGTTCGGCCGCTTCTCTCTCCCATCATTGAAGACGTACGGAGAGTACGGGGGAACTGGGCTCGGCTTGTTTATATCCAAGAAACTTGTCGAGCTCCAAGGGGGACATATACAGGTTGACAGCGCCAAGGACGTCGGAACGACGTTCAAGTTCTACATCAAAGCCGAGTTACGGGCAGCAGCCGAGGGACCAATAACGCCGCCCCAGATCACCTTAGCAAGGGCAAAATCGTCGTCCGCTATTAGCTCACCTTCGGCAACGCCGTCCAAGGGCAACGTCTTCCCTCCGCCAAAAGCGCCTCTGGTGAAGGGAAACTCAGGATCGGTTATGGTGGTCGAAGACAACGTTGTAAGTTCATCCCTCATGAGCGGTTTGGATTTTCTTTCCCAATCAACGGGTTTCTCATCCAGATTTGTTTTACCAGGTAAATCAAAAAGTTTTGAAAAAACAACTGGAAACCGCTGGGTATGCTGTACAGATTGCCAACCATGGCGCAGAGGCCCTGGAATTGTTTGGTCAACACATATCCTCCCCTTTCGACATCATCTTAATGGTGGGTGACATTTTTTCGCACAACAACAAAGTCCCTCCTACTTATCAGTCGCTGTACACAGGACATTGAGATGCCTATCATGGACGGCCTGCAGGCGGTAGGTTAATTACACACAAACACACTTCCTGGTAGCTTACTAAAATGTTACTTCTTATAGACAACGGCTATAAGAAAGAGTGAAAGCTCTCAGTCTGTGTCGTCATTGGATCATACCCCATCACGCGTTCCGATAGTCGCTATCAGCGGGAATGCGCGCACCGAATACCAGCAAAAAGCCCTCGCAGTCGGCATGGACGACTTCGTTGTCAAGCCCTACATCAAAAAGGATCTTTTGGCGAAAATCGAACAGCTGATCCAGAGTCGGAAGTAAGCGCCAGAAGTCATGTCACGACATGCCTTCGAAAGCGAACGCTTTAAAACCCTGACGGTTCTTTTGAGACCTACTTCGCATACAATTTTGGCTTTATTTCTGTTTATACTTTTTGCCTTTCGTAATAGTAGCGACCTTAGCGAACTCTAGGAAGATACTTGCAAAAACTGTGTGAATAGGACGCCCGTAGGACACAGCACATATGTGATTGTTTTCACATCCCCTCAACCCTCTCGCCCGTATCCGCCGCCACATTTCCCGTAGAACCACCTTTTACAATGCGCACACTTTCTTTGCTTCGCCGCAAAGAGGATCTAGACTTGTTCAAGTGCCCGTTCTCCGACTCTGTTTCTTTGACAGCCGTTTCTTTGCCATCTGTCTCATCCGTCTCCTGCTTTTTGCCGTGAAGTATAGAAGAAGCTTCGGCTTCTGACAGTTGTCTCAATTGCGATGCGTTCAATGTAGCCGAGCACATCACACATGATGGCGTTTTGTCGAGGAAATCTCGAAACTCAGTGTACAAAGCGGGAAAGGCGCACGAAGGACAGACGGTCCAGTTGGATAGGACCATGTGCTGACCCTGATTGTCAATAGAACATGTTGAGCGTGATTCGGATGGTTGGCACATCTATCGGGTGAGGGGTACTTACCGTCGCGATGCAATATGGAATGTGGTTTTTGCACTCCGTACAATCCAATGTTGTGTTTGCGACGGGTGCATTGCAGAAAGGACATGGAGACATCGGCTCCTCAGTTTCGTCCTTCTCCGGCCGTCTGGGAGCGCAATCGGTCGTCAATCAGGTACGGGCGTGGAGCGGAGGCGAATTAGTGCTTGCTTACCTGACAATCTTCTCAATCCGTGCCTTGTACTTTGCATCCACCTTATTGCGGTTTTCTGGCCGCATCAGGATCGCACCGTATTCGAACGCGGCTCGCTTGAACCCTACTCGGTAGCATTCCACTACCGTCGAGGTGAGGATTGGCACGACGTGGGCCGGGAACTTACTGATGTTATTTGCCACGCGGATGAGCATCCGTGCGCCTTTTTCATGGTCATTGTGTTTGATGAGAGCCTGCGTCCACCAAGTTCGATATCATTTAAGGTGCATAATAGAAACAAATGTTCATTTTTACTGACCTTGACGAGCATGTAGCTATGTACCAGCATCAGCATGCGTTCAATCTCTGCCGGGACATGGTTTCTCGTCGCGCGTAGCTGCTTGTAATTGTCAAAGAGCAAGTCGTGCGCGGCGCGATAGTTCCCTGTGGGGAAACGTCAGCACTTTTGCCCGAGAATGCTCCATGTGGCAGTACATACCTAATGCTTGCTCTTCCCGTGCAATAATGATAGCAGTCCTGGCAGCTTCCCGATATTGTCCTAACGACATGTACAATTTGAAGATGTACTTCGCGTCCTGTGCGATCCAACGTGAGGGTTAGTTTCGACGATCTCATCACACATTGCTAGGGAGTCCCTTCACTTACCTTCGGCACGCCGTCCGTTTCGCCCATAAGGAAATCGATGAGCTGATGCGTCAGAGTATCGCTCTTGGCCACCCCTACTGTTTCGATGGCGAGCTCGATGCCCTCCGGCGCACTCTGTAGGAACATCCTCAATGCGCGAGGGTACTCTGCCGCCTGCAGCAGATACTTCCCAGCAAGCAAAAAGTTTCCTTTGTTCTCCAGGAAGGTCGCAATGTTTGCCAGTTCTTCCGACGAAGCATCTTCCTTCACCATCTCCGCAAAGTGCTCCATCACATCCTTTTGCTGAGCGAGCTCGAATGCCTCCTGTCGCATCCCAGCCATCAAATAGAACTCGACCACTGCTCGGTAGTCCCGCATGGACTGGAATACTTTTGCCACAAGCCTTGCAGACTCTCTCGATCGTGTCCTCCGAACAATCGCAACGGCTCCTTCGACGTTCTGTAAGTGGTCGATGAAGAGTCTGACCACATTGTCGTAGTCCTTTGCCTTCTCGTACGCTCTCGCCGCTTCGGTATAGTCTCGCACATCTTCCCGAGCTCTGGCATATTGCACGAAGATCTGGCGGCTGCTGACCCGGTCCAGGATGTTTCCGAGCTTTGACCAAGTTTTTGCTTAAGCCAGAACGCATTAGCAAATTAAGCAGATATATCGCGGAGATGCACAAAAAGGTACCTTTGATCCAAACTTCGGCAGCCTTCTCCCAATACCCCCCCTTCTCAAAGCACAATCCCGCCTCGTTATACTGCCTGAGCGAATCCAAGATCATGCCACAATCGAAGAGGAGCTGTTTATCCGTTGTGTCGGACAACATCTTCATTCCTCGCGATACATCGCCCATCCGGAGCGTCATCTTTGCCAAACCGCCGCTGCAGAAGATCTGGTGCTCGTCCCTTGCTTGTTCTTTGCCTGGGTGGTGTTCGGATGTGGAGAGGGCGCGCTCATACATCGCTAGCGCTTCTGCATACTGGCCGTTCATCTCGAGCTGTTTGGCATACTCCTTTGCGATGACGGTAATCTGCTCCGGAGCAAGTGTGTTTGCAAGCCCCAATGCCTGCTCCCAATGCATCAGATTACGGCGTAGATCAAGCGCGGCTTTGGGGTACGAGCTCTTGAGGAAAAAGTCCTGCATCACAAAGATGATGATCAGACACGAGCCGTGCGTTGCGTCAAAACCAGACCAATATTGCATGTACCTGAGCGACTGTCGCATCCCCAAGTATAGCAGAAACATGTCCAGCCAAAAGATTCTTCTCTTCAACGCTCGCCAGCTGGTCCAGGGTCCAAACCATGCTGGCATCCTGAAGTGCTTGTCTGTATATGCGATTTGCCGTGGCGATGTCCATCATCCGCAGCGCGGTTTCCGCTAGTGTGATCCACGGCCTGCGGGCTTTGATTAGCCCGATGAGGGCCCATAGGTCTGCGCATACGGGAAGGGGTAAATTTGGTCAGGTCAGGAGGGATGATGTCCCTCGCATTGAACTGTCTTACTTTTGAGCATGCCGAGCATATAGAATAGCTGCAGGATCTTTCCTTGCTCTGGTTCATCCGCTTTCATCACGTCCGACGGCTCTAATGAAGCATGGGTAGCCAAATTGACCGTGGCGACTCGACCCGTCAGCGTCTATGTCAAAAAATGGAAGGATCAGTATCGAGTGACTTCCTGGAATGCCATGATATCAACGTGTACCTGGCAGGTGACGGTGCCGTTGAACAACAGAACGGGCTTTTGGCCGGCAGGCAGCCGGGTACTGCCCAAGCTCGTGCACGTCGGCCCCTTCACGGTGGAGGCCTGGTACACGTAGGTGTTGATGGTGGTGTCATCCCATGCCACGAAGATCGCCCTTCCTGCGGGTGGCTCCGAATCCCAGACAACCCCTTTAGCATTTGCTGTTGGTATCAACAAATGTTTAGCATTCCGATAGCAGTTGGGAAGACATGAGATTTGCTCTTACCTGACCACCTTGGTATTGGCATCACGTTGTTGGATGCAGGGTCCGCCAAGAACCCATCTTTCGCCTTATCAACGAATACGAGCTTGGTCCCTCCCCGAGGTTGTGGGTAGACTGCTCGTATTGCTTGCTAAAAGGGAACTCAGTATCGCCCCCAACTCTTAGTGAGCAACTGCATCACCCACCATATGCGTAAACTCCGACGCCAATGTCCAACTATCCAACAAATAATGCTTCACACTCTTCGTAGCCGTTCCAAACACCAAGCACTCCGGAGTCAGCGCCACACACGTGATGGCCGATTTTCCCGATTTCGACTTGTCGCTATCACTATCCGGATAGAACCGTTCGGAGATCTCGCCGGGTGGCGGGGCGACACCGCGGGTGAAACTCGTGATGTCGTGGAGGGGACTCTGGGGCGGGCGTTTGTCGGAGCGGGTGTCGTCTTGGATGGAGTGGACGTACAGCTGGCCGTCTTCGAGTAGGACGGCAGCGTAGTGGCCGTTCATACATATTCGCTTTACGGGTTGCTCATAGTCCTTTGGTAGAAACCGCATGTTAATACGGCATTTTCTCGGTGAATGAGATGAGGAAGGCCCGTCAACCTTTAGCATGACCAGAGAGTCGGCAAGTGTGGGGCCATTGGTGGCTGCGTCTGTTGGAGTATCCACAAATCTGAAAAATCCGGCGCTATTTCTGGAGACGACACCTAGCTGGGATACCCAATGATGAAACACTGATCCCAGATTGAATCTCCTCATCGTTGGCGACTTACATAAGAACCTCCAAGGGCAATGTGTGTCGGCTCCATCTCCAGTTCTTTCCGAAATGGTGGGAGCGTTGCAGTGAGGTCCAATACGCTGATTTCACGCAGGCCGGACAAATATGCCTGTAGAGCTTGGATCAGTAACGGGGTCGGGCCTGATTTACCCGAATAGAACCTACCACAGCTGTTCCGGAAGCACTTCCAAGCATAGGCATCTGCGCGACGTAGGTATATATCGACCCGCTTCGAGAACGGAAGAAGGTTTGTTTAGAGAACGTTGACTATTCTCCCCGATCTCAGCAAATTACATACTCTTTCGTGCTCGTGCTGAGAAACTGGCCATCCTCAGACCATTGCACCTTATCCAACGGGCTGACATCATCAATGTTTTCGACGGCATATACATCCTATGCGCCAGAACGTCAGATCCAGAACATTCAGAAGCACATGTCTCCTGCACCCGACCAGAGGCTAACCCGCAGATCAGCCAGCTCGTGGACTTTCACGGTGTTGTCACCACAAGACGCTGCCTTTCCTAGCACCAGCGACACTGCTACACTGCTCAACGCGGTCTTATGATTCTTAGTGGCGAAAATCTCGTGCCCCAGATTTGCTGGACCTGGAAGAGGGCGCATCTTGAGTCCCACAAAGCCGGCGAGTGTGCATAAGATGGTTCGTGTCTTACTCGTGGAAATGACGATCAGATAGCCTGTCTCAAATCCGACCAGAACAAATCCATCGGCGAACCATTGATATGATGCGACCCGACCATATTTTGCTTGGAAGGCGAGTTCTACCGGTTTGTCGGGTTGGTTGATGTTGTGTACGAGGAGGGATTTATGACCCACAATCATCGACAGCACCGGGTCATCGGTGCCATTTGCATTTTTCATGTTCGCCCACTAAGTGACTGCGGTTCAGTGATGTTCCATGAGGTAAAGAATAATGACGAACGATCGCTCACTTCCATCAAGGACGGCTCGCCGGATATCCCCATCGAAAACACCGTGTCCCCAGCTGAGTTCGACAAAGAGAACTAAGACGGCACAAGGTTGAGTACGCTGGCCTGCGTCATGCGGGACCCACATCTCATCATCCCACCGTATTGTCTTCTGACCCACAGGCTAGAATGTTGTCCCAGCTCCAGCAGCCAGCACATATTGACCTGTTGTGTTTGCCGAGAATTGGGACCTTCTCGGACCCCGTCTTGTCGCAGATGAACAGATTTCCTTTCGCGGTACCTGCCGCAAGCTGGGACGATAAAATATGGTTAGAGATCCGGTTCCAACCGACTTCAGACGGAAACCTTCACTTACGTAGTCCCCTTTAGGCGACCACTTGAGGAAATGTAGATGCTTCATTCCGGTGTCGAAAGGATTAGCTGATGCCTTGCGAGAATCGGCATCCCACAGGAAGATATATGAAGACTTTGCTTGTATGACGGCCAGGACGCTGCCGTCGGGAGACCATTCCATTCCACGGCATTCTCTTTCCGCGAGAAGAAGAGGGTCTCAGATATGGCGTAGTGGAGTAGGTGTATTCTTCGCGAAGTGACCTACCCAGCCAACGGAAAGGTATCCACAACCTGTGCGCTTCGGTCGAAGATGTACACTACATGCGATCCCCTGTTGTGATAATATCAGGTTCATACGTTCGATATGGGTGATGGAAACGTAGAATGTGGCCCTACCCAACGGCCGCCAAGAACATGGAGGACTTTTTCTGCCATTCCAGATGAAGGGACCCATGTCCCAGCTGTTGCGCTGATAAAGAAAAGGCCAACTGAAAACCACGGGAACGGAACAAGGTAAGTAAATGAGGGATCAGCAAACATTGAAATTGCGAGCCATACCTTCATAATTGATCAATGGGGACTCGACTGGGGTTGAGGCCGCCGGACGACGAAAGTGGGATTTGAGATGTGGGGAAAACCGAGGCTCACGCGTTGGCGTTGGGGGACGCGTTTTCTGGCAGCACGGCCCACCCGATTCCCGGTTTGAACCAGGGTTTGAACTCGGAACGGGGACGCGTCAGAGAGACCCAGAGAGAGACCCAACTGGCGAGTCGTGCACGACGCAGGAGACGCAGGTTGGGGGCGGAGTGAGAACTTCCTTCAGGAAAGAGGACCTGAACACGGCTTGAAGCATCGGCTTTCCTTTTGCGCTCAACTATCCAGTGGGTCAACGGGCAGTCAACTCATATGCAGAAGTTGAGGCCTTTGTTACACAAGTAAACATCGTCCCTTCGTTACCTTCCCACTACCATAATGGCGGCCACGGCGATCGCAGGGAAGACGGATATCCCTATCCTCAAGTTTGAGGGAACAGAGCACGCAGCTCCAAAGGTGTCGGAGAACTGGCCAAGAGTGGGGTACACGGAGGAGCAGCTTTCACAACTGGAGGCAGTAAAGAAGGCCATCCCTGATATCCTGAGCAAAACACCAGAGATCAGGGCAGAGGAGGAACAGTGGTGCGACGATGCCTGCGTACTGCGTTACCTGAGGGCAACAAAATGGCACACCGACGCTACAGGTGTGTATTACAGCTTGTGAATCACCCTTTCGATGGCACCTACCCCATCTGATCGATTGTCCCTTCCGTTAGTCAAAAGAATCGAAAAGACCCTCACTTGGCGGCGAGAATACCAGCCCCATAAGATCGATCCGGCCGAAGTAGAGCCGGAGGCCATTCATGGGAAGGAATATGTCTGCGGTTTTGATCTCCAAGGCCGGCCATTACGTGAGTTACCGCTGCACACTTGTGACAGAAGCTCATGTGCCTAACCGACAGATTACCGAAATGACCCAGTTTACCTCATTCCGAGGAAAGAGCATACTAAAACATATGAGAGGCAATTGAAATACGTTGTCTTCAACCTGGAGAAGGCCATCAAGTAAGACGGCGAAAGCACATTCAAGTTTCCGCCTCAGTTGGTTTACTGACGTCTTAACAGAGCAATGCCGGCCGGCGTCGAGTCGCTGAACATCCTGATTGACTACGAGGGCATCTCAGTATTCACAGCACCACCAGCATCCCAGGCAAAGAAGGTGCTGCAGATCCTGGGTGAACATTACCCCGAGGTATGAGATCATTCAGGCATTTCTCCTTGCACATAGTGCATACTGACGCATGACCCACTTTCTAGCGATTGGGCATGGGATTCTTGTTTAATCCATCGTGGTACCTATGGGTATTCTTCAAGGTCGTCGGGCCTTTCATCGACCCTGTCACTCGTTCAAAGATCCATTTTGTGAACCTCAAGAAGCTCGAGGTAGCGCGCCCTAAATCCGCTTCCAATTCCACCCGCTCCCTCAATGGAACCCCATCGTCCGTCACAGCAGCGGCCCCGACTGCTGAAGCACCGAAAGAGAAGGAAGCGGAGGGCATGGGAGGATGGACCAATCCACACTTCTACATCCACCCGGACATGCTCGTCAAGGATTACGGAGGACATTTTGACTTTCAGTACCGCCACGAAACCTATTGGAAGGTTTTGAACGAAACCCTTCCATGAACTCGGAGTTTAGTGACTCAATAGAGGAACAGTAGACGTAAAACACTTGTACATAATCGATCAGATGGGATGGCTTCCACTGTAATGTAGCGTACTCGCCATAAATTCGATATTTTTGAACTCATTTACGCTTGACCGACACATGTCGCTCGCTCCTCACTCTGTTCTGCTTCCCCGGTACACCAAGCGGAGGCAGGGGCTTGGTCCCATCTATCTCGCTTGCTCTAGCACTACGGCTGCTATGATGAAAACTGCCGCGCGTGCGACGCCTCCCTCTCACAGGCGTAGAAGCAAAACTTTCCTGTGATCCCCGCACGTCGTTGCTGCTTCGTCTGGAAGAGTAATCGTCTTCGTAGTTCTCGTCGAATTCGTCTTCGTCATCGGAATCAAGCTCGGATTCTTGATTGTTCTTCGCCAAGGACGAATCTTTATGCAGGGACTCCGATCCCGACGCTACGCGATACCGTGCCCTCCTCGACCGTGATCTCTCCTCACTCCCTTCCCTATCTTGCACCCGAGGAGGCGGGGTCGGTGCATGCAGCCTCGCCCCTTCCACATTCGAGTCCAGCTTCTCAACCGAGCCCCCATGCGACAACAGCCCATTCCCAATCGGCGGCAAAACCGGCGTCTGTTTCGGCTGAATCGCAGTTCCAGGCGACGTGAAACTCCTTCCATACCCAGCGGGCACCGAGCGGTCAGACCCAACGACCCGATGATTTATCGTCACAGTAGCCGACCCCGGCGCCCGCGCACTCCCGCTCATGTTGATGACGATCCCATTTGCAGCCAACGCGGACAGGATGATTTCTCGTTCGGCGTGGAGGAGGTTGATTTCTGACTCTTTTTGGTAGTTGGCGTCGCGGAGGGCGTCTAGGTCGGTTTTTAGGGCGGAGAGGAGATGCTCGTCTTGTGAGCGGGAATGGGCGCGCTGGCTGGGTTTGCGTTCGCGGGGCTTTGATGCGGGTACATCTGCTGGTTTCGGGGGGATGGGAAGTGCTCCGGAATTTTTCTCACTTTCGGTGTTTCGGCCTACCAGGAAATAACAGCAAAGATGCAGTTAGTTTCGTCATCATGCTGGAACTCGCTTATTCTGTGCCTTTGATGTCAGCCATCCTTTTGCTCACCTTCTGAATCCACAGGAAGTTTCAGAGACTTCATAGCCAGCTCTGGAGACAAAAAAGGCCTTAATCAAGAGGCAGTCGTCTAATGTTTTTTTTTCCAAAACTCGTGCGAGACCGATCCTATATCCCCCACTGAGACTGTAACGCTAAACTAACCTGAACACGCATTCTGCAACCTCTCCACCTCCCCATGCAGCCCAGCCAGCACACCCGCATGCTGTGTCTGCAGAAATTCTATCGTCTTCTCCAACGCCGCAATCTTCGCCAACGCCCGGGAATGCGCATGCACCGACACCGGCCGGTTCAGGTCGTCCGCCCCCGCCGTATGTGTGCCGGAACCATGATGCCCTGCCCTATGAGAATCCAACGTCTGATATTCCGCGTTCGGAAATTGCGCCTGCTCGTCATTGGGATTCGACGCTACGGGATTTTGTTGTTGCTGAGAAGACGACCCACGCGTCCCATTCCCACTTCCTCGTCCCGTCCCGCTCGAAGTCGCCGTGCTCCGCCCGCTGGTGATTGTTTGGCTGTGGTGGATGGAATACTCGGATGCTCCGCCGTGGTATGGAGGTACCTGCAGGATGTTACTTGCTACTGCTGCTGGCATGATTCTTTGTTCTTTATTGGGCGTTTATGTGGCGACGACGGGTGATGAGGTGGACGCTTCCCTGCAAAGGGCGGACTTAAGCGCTCGGAAGGTGCAACGCGGCAGAAACGTCGCCAGACACTTTGCAGAATACCAGCGCTGTCTCCAAAGCTTGCGGATGAATAGGGATGGCAAGGTGCCAGCTCTAGTCAACACCCTTTTGCGCTGCTTTCCTGCTCTGTTGCCAAATGGAAGACTTGCCAAGCGAGAGCTATCAGATATTCCTTTTGCTCATCTCGCTGGAATCTGGGGATTGGCCGGCGCTTTCTTAGCGATTGGGATACACTTAGGGAAACTTTAACGCAAGTTGAGTTGTCCTTGTTCCTTGTCCTTCCGGATCGGATCGCAGAAAGCTGTGTCTCTCCGAAATGGACTTCAGGAATGTTCGGGAGGCCGGTTTGACAGGTGACGCGCTGTCAATGCTTAGTCACGGAGGATATTCTGAGCGGAAGGCGCAGGATTTCACGTAGGGGGCCATTGTTTTTGTGCATCAGATCCCACTCCCATCGCGAGCTCTCATTCACGAATTCTGTTTTATACACTTACACTAGATACACTTACTCGGATGACAAGATGGGGAGGGGGATGTTTTGCCCAACATATTCGCTTTTTGCATGGATGTAATTTTGGAGACGGGACTCGAGAGAACAACGCGGACATTGATCAACGATTGACATCGCACACAGAGGACCGTATCTTCGCTTCCACCATGGACTTGCATGCTGCGGCATAGGATCACTACAATCGGTGGAGCCAAGTGCTTCGCAGCATCATCAAGCGGCAACTGGATCGTCGTAATGATTCACCTGAGGATGCCCATCATGTGCATAAACATCCTGATCAGCCGCCGGCGACACTCCCGGAGCCTCCAACGGTGGGGTAGGCAGATCATACAGCCGCTGCTGCTGCTGCCGGTGCTTTTCGACATCCATTGATTTTCGTGCCACGGGCGACATTGAGAGGATGGGTGGGGGTGTAGACTCCGTTCCGTTTTCGCGATTATTCGACTCTGCAGGGATCGAAGGCAATTCGTGGCGATGCACACTTGCATGTCGAGGCGGGGTCTCGGATTCCGCGTTGGTCAGCGATTTTGCGGAAGCCGTTGATGCGACGGATGACCGACTAGCCAGCCTCGAGATCGATTGATGGGCCGGCTGCTCGGGGAATTGAACCGGTGCTCCAGTGACCGAAGCCGGGGCATCTGGTGCAAGCGGCGCGGGGCGAAGCGGGAAACCCGCGACGGACGTTCTGTGGGAGTTCGGCTGGGACCTCATCGCGACAAAGGGCGCGATGGCAGTTGCCCAGGAGGTTGAATCCGACAGCGAGTTGGTCGAGAATTGGTACGTTCGGGGTTTGCGCCGGAGACCGAGGGCTCTGGGTTTCGTGTGCGTGAGGTGAAACTCTGTAGCGGCCTGGTCCGCCATCACATACTCTTTCAGCCACCAGCTCATCACGGGCGGGGGCTGCACGCTGTTCTTGACGCTGGGTTGGTGAGTGGTGAGGCTGGCTGCCGATGCTGTGATGTTGTCTAATTTGGGACGCTCGTCAAACTGATGCAGCCACCCTGCGGCCGTGAGACAGTACCAGTGCGCGTGCCACTGTTTACGGATCTTTGATTTCCGTAACATGGGTCCCTCTTTGACCATCGCCACGAACGGGTCAGTGGCGCCGGGGTAGTCGTCCTTCCTCGTTTGGTTTTCATCCGAGTCCCTCATGATAGGCACCAAATGAGCAGTGCGGTACGCTTGCCATTCCTTCTCTGCGTCGATGTTTGAAACTGCGGTATGCAGACCGGAGATCGACGAGGGCGAAGCGTGTTCGCCAGTAGAGCTACTTCCACTGGAGCTCGGGTGCAATGAGGTGTACGCCAATAGAGCCCATTTGAGGCTGTGGATGAGGTTCTTCTCCCATGTTCCGAACGTTTCTTCAATCCCTTCAAGTGTGGACAGATGGCCAATGTCTCTCGAATGCGATTCGCTTAGATGTCGCTTAATTCCTGCGAAAGCTATGCCGTCAATCCAACTGCTCACCAGATCCGCATAGGGATTCTAACGCACCTATGTTTATCAACCAAGGATCTTTCGCGTAGGGAGCGGGCACATCACCCGTTCCTTGCGCTGCATCCAGAGCGGTCTGCAGCTTCTCGATCAAAGACTTCAACTTCCTTTCATCCTTGTCTCTTTGCCTCCTTCGCTCCTTTTCTTCGGAAAGCATCGCGGACATCCGTTGATGCACGTCCTTCTCCAAAGACCGCAAAGCTGGGAGCGTTTGATTTGCCAGAACCTGATATAGCGCATCGTGATTTGAGGCCAACTGGCTGTTCGCATCGCGGATGTGCTTTGTGAGATCGTGGATTGAGGATGTAGGGGTGGTGTTTTCAGCGGAAGCAGAATCCGATGCATTGCGAGAAGCGTGAGCATCGAAAGCGGATTCAATCTCCTTCAACGGGTGGCTAGTCCAAGACTTTACAGCTCTTGCATGACCCTGCGCAAGCGTTCTTTCAAGCGAACTCTGCTCGTCGAACTGAACGATGAGCAACCTTAAGAACGAGAGCCATCCGGCGTAGCGAACAAGCAGCATGTCAGTTGGAGAAGGGGGTAGGCTCCTGGGTCGGCCATTCTTGATTACAGCAGAAGATTCTCTTTGGTGCTCCAGAAATTGGGTTGGCGTACGGGCCAGCGTCGAGAGGTTGGCTGTGGCTTCACCGTTCTCACTGCTCCCCTGAGGGCCGACTGTATCCACAGCTCCTTCGCCGTTGCCGTCGTTCATACTCTAATATGCCGCTTTTCAGCTTTCGGATATTCAAAACGTTTTGTCGCTGTTGGTCCAGATTCAGTACGAACGTTTTTGCGATGGCCTGTGTTGACACTGGGTGACGCGTGGGCTTTCCCCATCACGTCAACCCGGCTCCAAGTTCCCCACGCGAACGCGTCAAGCAATTGACGTGACACATGGGATTTTCACACCCACCTCGAGCGGCGCCAGGCCAAATTTGACCACAAGCGTCGCCTTTTCTTACACATTTGCGTTTTCGATACATTACCTTAAAACAAAACATGCAGACATCCAAACGTGATGGAACGGAAGTTGTGCGTGGGGGTAAAACGTGATGGAACGGAAGTTGTGCGTGGGAGTATGTTGCAGGTAAGCCAGTGACCACTGGTCAGATATACCGGAACATACAGCAAACCCAGCCTGGCAAGGAGCTAAGTCTCTCAACGGGCCAGCGACCGCTTCGCCGTTGAGCCAGACCACACACACCTTCGACGACTAGAACCCTATTGAGTTTCTTGTTTGCATGCAGAGTAGAACCGGCTTGTGGGGTCACTGCGGAAGGACGGGCCCTTGCCTTGCCTTCTTCCTGGCGCCGCGCGCTTACTCTTGCCCATGGCGACATTGCGACGACCTAGTCGATGGCGATGACGGTGGCTGCTGGGTGGTACTGGGAGCATACATCCAAGTGCGCCGTGTCGGAGGAGATGAGATACGGAATCAAAACGGTCCTATGGCCCAGTGGTCAAGGGCGGAGTGTCGGAGGAGATGAGATAAGGAATCAAGAGGGTCCTATGGCCCAATGGTCAAGGCGCCTGTCTACGGAACAGGAGATTCCAGGTTCGAATCCTGGTAGGATCGTTTTTTGGTTTTTCCAGTTTTTGAAGTTGCTACAAACTTTCAATTGTGGAGAAGGTTGAAACTTGACATGAACGCTTTCCACCTTCGAGCAGGGTCTCGAGACTTAAAATGCGTCAGGTGACCAACATGAAGAATTGAATTGCGTGTCTTGCTCTTATCTTTTTTTTCCCGTTCCATCAGAGAAGGCAAGAGAAGATTTCCCTTCGGACTTGCTGATCCGTGCCCAAGATGACTTCTCCCACACTTGCGATTAGGATTTGCAGCCGATTCTAATGATTGAGGACCAACATGAGATCAGCGCCTGATCTGCGCTGCCGCGCGAGAAAGCGAGAACGGGTTGCGTTTATCGCTGCTGGCGGTGACTGGCTAACGGGTGGTCTTTCTCCGCCGGCCGAAAGTGCCCCATATCGCAACGCTTCAACAAAACCCTCCACAGGCGGCAACGGACTGGAGAACTCCACTCTCGCTTGCTCATATAGAGACACACATACAGTATTGACTTCCGCAGGCTGGTCCTGCCCTGGCACAGCACATACACAGCTACTTCCTCCTTCGCTACAACACACCCACCTTATTTGCCACTCGCAGTTCTCCGCCGCTGCACCATAGTCACAATGACAGCCGATATGATGGAAGAAGTGATTGACTTGACGGGGTGAGTTGTTGTCTCTGACCACCGCGGCGTATTGCGAGAGCATATGCGGACGAACGTCTTGTGTATATGCTGCAAGTGTAACTGACCTCCCGCTGCTTCAATAGCGAGGAAACGGACTATGAACGAATTCAGCGGGCGGAGGCCGTGAAGGCACGAGCCAACGAGCTATACAAAAAGGGCGACTATAGAGAGGCTGTAAACCTCTACTCGGAAGCTGTCGGTAGGTTACATATGCCGTCGGGCGACGCACTCGCTTCGAGTCTCGTCTCACATTCCTTTTCTTGGCAGACATTGCTCCCACGTCAGGCGTATACTACGCCAACAGAGCCGCGGCTTTGATGAACATGAGGCGATATCGCGATGCCTCTAATGACTGTAAGCGTGCGCTCGAGTTGGACGGCCCAAGCGTGAAGGTCGTTCTGCGGGCGTCAAAGTGCCTGATGCACTTGGGACAGTTGGATGAGGCGACTACTCTCCTGAAACATGCACAAGCGCAGGCATTGGGGAATACGATTACTGTGAGCCAGCTTGACCGTGAGGTAGGTATTCATAGCTATCATCGAATCCGATGTACTTTTGCGCGTTTCTAACCGTACTATATGTTATAGCTTGGAAGCGTAGCGAAAGCCGAATCCTTCATAACGCAAGCCACAAGGCTGATGAAACGCAGTCAGTACAAAGAGGCTCTGATTCAGCTGGAAATGGCCATGATTACAGTAGATCCATCCCTCCGAAGCTCCTCCTCAGCCGCCAGCTCATCTCGTTTGGTGGGGTTATCTTTGGATACTATTGCTGTACGATGGAGGCTGCTGCGCGCGGAGTGCCTTGTGGAAGTTCGCGAACTGGATGAAGCAGCCAGTGTCACAACGTGAGTGACACATTCTTCTTCCCATTATTGAAGGCTGGCATGCTAACGTTTTTTTTGTGAAAATGTTAGGTCTATTCTGACTGCCGACAACACAAATGCGGATGCCATAGCGATCCGGGCTCGTGTGATGTACTTGCAAGATTCCAAGCCGGAAAACATTCCCAAACTCTTGGCTCAGGCATTGTCGTTTGACCCTGACAACACCAAGGCACGCGACTTTTTGAGGAAGGTCAAGCGGATGGAAGCTGTGAAAGCCGAGGGTAACGAGGCGTTCAAGACCGGGCGCTACACAGAGGCGGTGGAAGCCTACACCAGATACTTAGCTGACGACGATGAGTCGGGAGTGGGGCGGGCGAAGGTCCTTAGCAATCGTGCCACGGCAAGGAGCAAGGTGCGATCTTTGCAATGATGATTGTTTTTTCAAGGAGCCAATCTCAGATAATCTTTCCCAGCTTTCGCAATTCGAACTTGCTGCCGCAGATGCAACAATCGCATTGGACCTTTTGGAGAACCTCACATTCCCTGGAAATGAGCACCCTACACCAGCAGACATGAGGAGTTCGCCGAACTCCTCGCTGTTCAGCAAACTGTATCTGCGACGCGCCGATTGTTACATGAAGGTTGAGAAATACGAAGAAGCTGTCCGGGATTACACAGCGGCCGAGCAATTGGATCCACAAAACGGAGGTAAGTTACGCGGACCTCTCCTCAGATCTCTGCCGAAAGCTTGTATGCTGATGGTGGGACTTCATCAGAAATTTCAAGAGCGTTGCGCAACGCTCAAAACCTGCATCGACAGTCCAAACGGAAAGATTACTACAAAATCATGGGGATAGAGAGGGGAGCGTCGGAATCCGAGATTAAGAAGGCGTACCGGAAAGCCGCACTGCAGTACCACCCCGACAAAAGCGCCGGTCTCAGCGAAGAGGAGAAGCTGGTCGCAGAAGGGAAATTCAAGGAGATTGGAGAGGCGTACACAGTTCTCTCGGATCCACGCAAGAAGGAGATGTTCGACAATGGAATGGACATTGACGGGTCGTCGGCGTCCGACGGCATGTCATCGGGTTTCGGTGGACATGGAGGCCACCCTGGCCAGATGGACGACATTCTGAGAATGTTCTTCCAGCAAGGCGGAGGCGGCATGGGTGGCGGTATGGGCGGTGGCATGGGCGGTGGCATGCCACATGGGTTCGGGTACGGAGGAGGTCAACCTGAGTTTCATCAGCACAGTCAACCAGGATTTGGCCATTCACACAGTTTCCGCGGCGGCGCCGGTGGGAGGCGGCCTGGTCAACAGCGTCCACCACCAGGTTACACCTACTCTCAGTTTTAGAGCTTTTGGAGACGGCGTCGGGCTTGGGATTGGGATCGTTTTGTGTCCCTCCCTCCCATATATAGAATATTCGCTCCCTATTTTGTGTCTAATATTTAACCAACTCTGCCACCCAGGTCTCGAAGCTGCCCGAAAGTGTACATTAGAGTTTGAAGGAAACATAGGATGGCTGCTGATTCGGATTGAAGAAATTGCTTTCGAATGGATGATACTAAGCTACTCCAGAGCTACCTCAAGAAACCAAAACCAAAAACTCGTGCCTATGAAACTTCGATACGATGATATTAAGCTACGTACTCCAGAGCTAACCCAAGAAACTAAAACCAAAATCTCGTGCCTATGCACTTCGATCCGCCGCTATGGCTTCCCGGAATGCTTGATCAGTGATGATACCGCCAACACTCCACACCCTCGGAATCTTCGGGAATCTCATCCCGCCCATCCCCATCTTGGAAACCCAAACCCTGCCTGCGGATACGTCCAAATCTGCGGTTGGCTGCATCCCTGTTCCTGGTGCTGGCGCTGTTGCGGCATATTCTGCTGCTGCGACATGTACTCATACTGCTGCTGCGTCGCGCCCATCGGTGTACCCATCGGTGGCTGCATAGGCTGCTGGTTCCCCATTTGCGGCGACGACATGATCTGCTGCGCTTGCATAGGATGAAACAGTTCGCCGGCTTGTGGATTGAACGGAATGCCGAACGACATCTCGGGGTCCCACCATCCCGTCGCAGCTGCCGCACCGCCTCGTCCGTCGTCCCATTCTCGGTTGGGCCACCACATGGCCGCGGGAGGGCCGGAGGGTACGCGATGCCGTCCGGGCATTTGTTGTTGTTGCTGCTGCTGCTGCTGCTGCTGTTGCTGCTGTTGTGGGAACGAGAACGGCATGGACTGCTGTATCGGAGCCCGCATGAATGGCGAAAGCCTCGGAGTATGCGGCATACCCATCATAGGCTGCTGCTGGAAAGCCAGGCCAGCAGGTATAGGGGGATTATTACCACTCGACTGTCCCGCAGGGCCGATTTCGCCAAATTGATCCACATGCACGCTAGGAGGTCGACTGACATTGATCTTCCGCTTCATCAGATGCGTGGTGCGGAATTCATCTTTCATGTATTGCCGGTACGCCACCATCATCGGCATCCCTGGGACGGTTAGATCGCCCGGTGCAAGTCCAGGGCCTTGTCCTTGCCCTTGCTGTAGCTGCCGTGGGAGCGGTGCACCTGGAGTGTCCTGGCCGGCAAGATCGTCCCGGAGTTCGTCGGGTCGGAGAATATCTTCCTCGAATGCCCGCGCGGCGGCCATCGCAGCTTCCAAGCTGATGTTCCCATTCTCATCCATGGCGCCTTGTCGAACAAAGTCGAATGAAGTTAGAATGCTCGCCGTCAGGCTCGCAGGCGGGGTGCCCAGCCGCATTGAAACCGCTTGATTAGTTGACAGCACTCCTGTGGGTTGTGGGAAAGACTTATAGGGTAGAATCGCGTGCAAGAGACATCGCACGGTTGCTCAACACTCCTCACCTTCTGCCCCACCGAGATCCTGCCCAACTCCTTCCCCACCTGGCCTCATCACGAGTGCGTGCTCAAGAATCGTCTGGTCCACCCCTGGCATACGATCCACCAGCATCTGCAGGATCACGGGCACACCCATTTCATTCCCCACATCCAGCGCGAGTATACCGCAGAGACGTCGGAGGTAGCGAGCGGTTTCCGGGTTGTCTACGGCCGCACTGTCCACCTCGCACACCATCCTCGCAAATGATGTGCCAGCAGTCTTCGAGGAAAACTTGACATTGCCAAGGCCGCGCAACAAGTGAAGGGTCACGTCCGGTGAATCGGCCACTTCCAGTAAAGGGATTAGCGCTTGTTGCCATATACTGACCGATTCTCGTACATCCTGCTTTGAGTAGACAACCGGTACCGATGTCGTAATATGGTAGATTTCCTTGCAGAGAGCGAGCCGGATGAAAGCGGAAGTAGATGTAGTATGGATGCGAAGGAGTTCATTGACCATTCGTCGAGCTTTCGCAGGTCCTATCTTTGCATTCGGATGCCGCCCCGTCGCCGCAGTTTCGTCGGACGAAGGTTCGCAAAGGGCGTCGATCGTCCGTCGCAAGCAACGTAGAGCGGCGCGTATGACGGTCTCGTCGCTTCCAAAGCCTACGAGTGTATCGAGGATCGTGTCGAGGACAGTTCCTTGTTCTTTCTCGATCCGTTGGAAAGTCTGCCTTCCTGGTAGCGACACACCAACCGTTTGCAGCAGCGTCAGCCACTGCGCACATTTCCTGCCTTGTGAAGGGTGGCTCTCTGGTCCAGATGCAGATCCCATTCCTGCGTCGGCAGGCGATGATGTTCCCTTGGTTGCATTGATGATTTCTTCTAACAGCAGCTGCACAGCACCATTTCCCAAATCTGCATCATCTGGATCAGCAGTGACACTGATGTCGACCACCCCGTTGAGGAATAGCATTGCTTGCTCGAAGAGTGGCTTGGATGCCGTGGACCCACACAGCCGTATGAGGCTCATCACCTCCGCTCGAAGAAAACGAAGTGCCGAGGCCCAGTACTGTTTCGCCAAATCGAGAGTGGCATCATCTGGCTTGGCACGCGTGAAGGATGGGCCTTTTACGTCGCCGAATTCCTTGTACGCATCGGGACTCGTGGTTGAAGCCGGTAGCAACGAAACGACCACCTTCATTCCCGTCAGAAGCTGTTGTGGCTGGGCGTGGAGTATCTGATCAAAAATGCTTCTCAGCGTTGCGCTCAGTGGTAACATGAATCTCGGAAGCATAGCGGATCTGGCGGAGTGTGTGCCATCCCGCACCACTACTCGCCCGGGGAAGTTGGATTCCTTGCCGCTATCAACGACAATTGCCGCAGTCAAGTCTTGCATAATGCGTTGAATACTGCGTCTTATATCGGCAGTGTAGAGTTCCTGCAATGATGTCGAGCGGACGGACTGCGTCGTTGAGTTTGACGAATCATGAACTGTTTCGATGTCCGGGGGCTCGTGGATTGCATGCAGCAAACGCAGCATCACGGAAGGAACGTTGAAAAAAGGTGCTGCGGGCCGGTTGGCACCCTCATGCGAACGAGATCCCTTAGAGCTGAGCGCCTGCTCGGCATCCATCAATCTCAGAGTACCACCACTACTGTCGACCTGAATCACAGGGGGAGACCGTGTATGTGTGGCTCGAACTGATGGAATCGCGAAATCGTAGGCCGATATAATGCGATGAAGCAGACGCAACGCCAGATGATTCAGACGCAAGGCAGCTTGTCGAAGCCTGTGATTTTGAGCGAATGTCGATCCGCTGTTCGGCGAGACTTCCTCCACGACTTTGGGGGAGCCCAGTGATGCGTTCAAGCTGACGTCTTGGAACGAATTCCGAGAGAAGTCGAGCTTGCAAATGGCTTCAACGCAGTCGTCCAACAATTCGATGACAGATTGCAAAATTCCCGCTTCGGCTAACGTCCCTCGAGTTGTTACAAGCTCTTGTTCATCCACGTAAGCGATAATCTCGCGGAATGTATCCCGATTTCTTGATTCGCTCAAAAGAATTTGAATTACTGTGTAAAGGCGGCCAAAAACCTCCTCATTGTTCAGCTCGCCCCTCCGACATAGAATGCGGAGTACGCCACCCAGCCCATGACTTTTGTACACCTCTGAGGATTCGAGGTACGATCGCAGGTATGCTGGAGCGCTAGTTGTGTTGCGCAATGTATCTTCGTTTCCACTGAGCAATGCCAACAAATCAACCTCCGCCTTCTCCACACACACCGACAAAATCTCAAGCGCCAGCTCGGTATCGAGCGCTTCTTGTCCCAGTTTTGTCGGTCCACTAAGCCCAGCGGCATATCGCACAAGAGCGGCAAAGCCATCAGTCAATGTGAGAGCGGAGACTACGGCCTGCTGACCGATATTCGGCCCAAGCATGCCGACCACCGATCGCAACAGCTGCTTCTGTACGAGAACGATGGTTGGGCTGGCCGCTGCCGTGCGGAGCGATGTTGTAAGTTTACGGACGATCGACAGTGCTTTGTAATGTTGCTCCATCATCGAGAAGATTGCACGCCCGTCAATTTCAAAGGCCGGCGAGATGTTGGATTCCATTGCCAAAACATCGTAGAGACCCATGCTCTCCATTCGTCCATCATCCATTGGGTCTTCGTTAGGTTGATCCGACTTCAGCTCAACATCTAATCGGCGACCCCAGGATTGGAGCCACTGAGGGGCGTACGTTCGGCCAAGAGGCACTGTCGCACTAGGCACAATTGGCGGGAACAGGAACAGCACCGAGTCCGCCTTACTCAGCAGAGTGCAGCAGAAGCGCATGATAGAAGCGAGCAGCTTCGGGGCTTTCGAATGATTTCCCTTCCCAGTGGCTTCCAGTATGATTCCTATTGATTCCATGATTGAATACTTCGTGAGGTATCTGTAGCATATGACACCGCAATCTTCGTGGGGATGCGGAGTGTTCCTATCCGAGGGCCTAGCCTGAATGCCGTCCATCGCGGTGCATATAGCTTTGAAAGCTCTGCTACATTGGTCTAAATGCAGTATTCCGTCGGTCAGGTCTATCATTCGAGCAGAGTGGATTCAAAAATAAACCCACCGATAGCATTGGCCAAATCCACGTCCGATTTCGGCGTGCTCGCCTCCATATCCTGTTGCAGGCTGTCAGCGAATTGCCTTATTGTAGAACAAGCCTCGTACGCGGCTATTTTCGCTGCCAGGACTTCGAGCATCCTCAAAACCCTCATGTCCCGCTCATGGAACATCCACGGCACTATCCGACCAGCGACGTATGAGGTCTGAACGCTCGACGCTTCTCCATCATGTCTATCCGATTTAACTGGATGATGGAGGAACCAGTCCATAACTTTCGGTTCCATCAGACTATTGTTGAGCGCCTCCAACATCAGCAGTTTACAGGTTTTCGATAAATCGTGGGCACAGAGCAGGTCGACAAACACTCCCAATGTTCCACGTTCCAGTAGTGAGTTCAAAGCCTTGTCGCCATACAGGCAGAAGTGCTGTATGCAAGCCGCAGACTGCCGCAGCCCCATTGGCACCGACCCTTTGTCAGTATCCGGCAGCTTTAAAGTATTGTCTCCCGAAGCCTGGGTTTGTAACTGGGCGATTGTGTCCGGAAACGTTTGACGTAGTTCGGAGATGTGAGAGGAGAGTACCTCGAAGGTATCAAGAGCATTCGGGAGGCCATGCGATTCCTCTGACTTGAACGTGCGCTCGTGTTGACAAGCTGTTGCAGGGAGGCTCGCCGAGGCGCTCTTCAGTACGGCCGGCATTTTGACCTTTGCTATTATTGCGGACTAAGGCCAGGTCCGTCAATTCTCACGAGTCGTGCTACTGTAGTGATCGTGCGGAAGGGCGCCGTCGTAGGTTTGAGGAGTGCTGTGAGCACCATTCGATATCCAGGACTTCAAGTTGGGGGCTTGGATCTGGGGCGAACAATCCATGGAGAGTACTGTTTTTTCTGGGTGGGGGGGCTTTGAAATCTGGAGCTTTGGGCAAGTGTGACACTTCGGACGTAGACCCCCGCCAATTTCCGGACAAGTATCAGCAGATTTCGACAGCGCGTCCCTGGAGTTCTGTAACAGAGTAGACTCTATTGTTGATAAAGTACAAGAAGAACGACTTCAGAGGAAGTGCGTTTTTAAGGAAGGAAGAAAAGATGAAGTTCGCAGTCACGTGCAGCGTCCGTGACCTGGATCCTTCACACCCCCCCCAAAATCACAGCCGGCTTGATTTTCACAAGACGAGAGCCAGAGGAAGTGCGTTTTTAAGGAAGGAAGAAAAGATGAAGTTCGCAGTCACGTGCAGCGTCCCGTGACCTGGATCCTTCACACCCCCCCCAAAATCACAGCCGGCTTGATTTTCACAAGACGAGAGCATGGGGTTGTGTTAGGGAGGGAGGAAGAGGGTTGTGGAAGGGAAGAGGGAGGCGTGGGGTTGCGGGGATGGAGGTGGTCCGGTGGTCCGGTGGGGTCTATCTAAGGTGCTGTGTAGGACCGGGGCCCAAGTGTCATTGTTGGTCTCTTACGGGGATGGGGGTGCGGTGGATGGTCCGTAACCCGATAGCGTTCTTGTAGGCGAGAAAGGCGATGGAATCGACGATGGCATCTTCCTCCACCCAATCCGCAGTGTGGGGGGATTCTCCAGAGCGGCGCGCTAGATATAGTCGTCGACGGCCGATGTTTCGGTGTCGTAGGATTTCTGCGAAGGGGTGATCATCGATGCTCTGTGTGTATTTTGGGATCCGGGCGGTGTACAGGCGTAGGACGTCCACATGGAATACGGGGTGCTGGCGCATCGTCGGGGGAAGTTGGAGTTTGAAGGTGAGGGGCTGTTCGCCGGGGTGGAGCACGGGGAAAGGACCAAGCCATGCAGGAAGGATCTTGAGGGCCGCGGATGGCAGGTCCTTGTATTCGGGGATGTTGATCGCGCTGCGGTGAACGAGAACGTGGGCGCCTTGTCGGATGCGAGGGTCGGCCGGGGCTCGTTTCATGTCGGCGTAGCGGGCAAAGCGGTCCTGGGCGTTCTGGATGCGGATCTTGGCCAATCGTGCGACGTCCGCAAGGCGGTTCGCCCAAGCGGGACCGGGGTGTTCTTGTGGCGTCTGGGCCTGGAGCGTGTGCGGCTTCAGGGGGCTGTACCCCAGATCGGCCTCAAATGGGGTCATCCCGGTAGATTGGTTCTTTGCGTTGTTGTAGGCGAATTCGATGGCCGAGAGGTAGCGCGACCAGTTGCGTCCGGAGAGATCGGGGATGCAAGCGAGCATTTGTTTGATGGTTCCGATGGCTCGTTCCGTCTGTCCATCCGTTTGTTGGTGAGCGGTGGTGGCGATCGCGGTGCGGAAGCCCAAGTAGTCCGAAACGTTGAGCCAGAATTCCGAAGTGAAGCGGGAATCGCGGTCCGTGACGAGAGTCCTGGGGATGCCATGCAATCGGATGATGTTGTCGACGAAGAGTTGCGCAGTTTGGGCGGCTGTGATGTCGCGACGGCACGGGGCTATGTGTACGCGTTTCGTGAGACGGTCGACCACAACCATGACCGCATCGTTGCCGTTGGCGTCGACGGGCATATAGGCGAAGTCTAGGGTGACATCGGACCAACGCATTGTGGGGATCGGTAGCGGCTGCGTCATTCCGGGCTTTTGTCGTCTTGTTTTCGCCCGGAGACAGGAGTCGCAAGTGCTGGTGTATCTCTTCACATCGCGCTCGAGGTTCCGCCAGTAGAACTGTCCACGGAGGCGCTCGTAAGTGTTGAACCACCCGGGGTGGCCGGCGGCTTCTGCAGTGTGCGAGTCGTGGAGTAGTTGGGTGCGTAGGGGGGAGTCGGGGATGTACAGGCGGTTGTCGTAGAAGAGGAGCCCGTTGGAGTAGCGGTGGCGGCGGGTGTGGAGGGTCTGTGCTTGCGTGGGCTTGTCCAGTGCCTTCACGATTTCGATTGCGTAGCTGTCGCTCGTCGTCTGCGCTCGTACGACGTCCTCTAGTTCGTTTGTGTTTGCGAGGGCGACATTCACGTACACAACTCCTCTGCATTTGTGACATCGGGGCGCGTAGTCCGGCCGTCGTGAGAGGATGTCGGCTATGGTGTTGTGGTCGCCGTTGACGTAGCCGATGGTAATCTGATGCTCTTGTAGAAGTTCGACCCATGATGCCTGACGCCGGGACAGGTGCGGTTGGGAGCGAAGCCATGTGAGCGACTTATGGTCGGTGAGGGCTGTGAACTGCCGCCCCCGTACGTATGGGGAGAAACTTTTGACGGCTTCGACCAGCGCGAGGAGTTCGCGCTCGTGTACTCCATAGCGTGTTTGGTATGAAACGAGCTTGCGGGACCAGAAGGCTACGGGGCGGAGGGTCGGCAGAACATCCTCCCATTTCGCCTTTGGGGAGATCGTGGGACTCCCGGGTTTGGGCTGGAGGAGGCAGGCGCCCATTGCGTACCCGGATGCGTCAATGGTGATGAAGAGTTGTGCGGAGGGGTCGTACCACTGGAGGGTGGGGGCGGATGTGACGGCGTCGCGTAGGGTGTCCCATGCCGTTTGTTCCGCGGTCCCCCAGGTGAACGGTCTGTTTTTCGCAAGGAGGTTGGATAGGGGGAGTGCGATCTCGGCGTACTTGGCGATGGATCCCGAGAGGTAGTTCGTGAAACCGAGGAAAGAGCGTACTTCGCCGCGGTCTGTGGGCTGGGGCCAGTCGGTGACAGTGGCGATCTTCGCAGGGTCGAGCTTCAATCCGTCGTCCGATACGACAAAACCGCAGAAAAGGACCGATGCCGTGTAGAATGCGCACTTTTTGAGGTTAATGTGCAACCCGTGAGCCCGGAGCCGGCGAAGAACTTCCTTGAGGATGCGTCGGTGCGTTTCGAGGTCGGAAGCGTAGATGAGGAGATCATCCATGTAGACGATCAACCCTTGGTCGAGCATGTCGGCGAAGATGTGATTCATGAGCTTGTTCCACGTCGCAGGCGCCGAGGTGAGGCCAAATGGCATGACCTTCCACTGGAAATGACCGAACCGGGTTCGGAATGCCGTCTTATGGATGTCCTGCGGTGCAATGGGAATGCCGTAGTATGCGTCCGTGATGTCGAGTGTGGTAAAGTATTTCGCTCCTTGGAGGCGGTCGCGCATCTCTACGAGGTGTGGCACCGGTGTGCGGTCGGGGATCGTCAGTTGGTTGATGGCGCGGTAGTCAATGCAAAATCGGAGGCCGCCGTCTTTCTTCTTAGCGAAAAGCACTGGCGCTCCCCATGGGGAGGAGGACGGCTCGATGTACCCTTTCTTCAGTAGGGTTTGAAGGCGCTCCCGGAGCACGTCGAGTTCCGCGGCCGACATGTGGTATAGCCGCTGGTAGACTGGTTTAGCGCCGTCGCGCAACGGGATAGTGTGCTCGATTACCGGTTTCGGTTTGTCTGGGGGATCCTTCACGGCCGCGATGTGCTCCTGGACGAGGTCGCGGACTTCATTGGGGATGTAGGTGAGGTCCGTTGGTGTGGGCTCCGTGGGTCGTGGGTTTGCGTGGGTTATATGGACTTGGGCAACGTTGTCGGGGTCGAGGGTGGCTGAGCCGGCCGCCACGATTGCTCTGCCTTTCTTGACCAACCGGCGGAGTTGATGGCGGGAAATGGGTGTATCGGAGTCGTAGCCGGAGTCGTGTCCGTCGTCGGCGGGGTGTGCTTTGGGCTTGGTGTGCGGTTTCTTCGGGATGGGGACGCCGGCGACGGCCGCGGTGGGGATAAGATGTTCGTTGCCGCGGATGTCTCTGAGTGCCAGTGAAATCGTTGGGCCGGCGGTGACGAAGGAGGGGCAGTTGGCGACGAACCAGGGCAGGCCGACAATGGCATCGTAGCGTATTGGGGCCACAATCCATGGTAATCTTTCGTCGTAGTCGTTGAGTCGCAGGTCCGCCACAGTGTACTTGGATGATGTGCCCGAAGAGTCGCGGTCGGCGTATTCTAGGGTGATCTTTGTGGGGCGTAGGGTAAAGCCGTGCTTCCGGGCAAACTGGTGTTGAGCACGTAGGTAGTGCAGCCGGTGTCTAGCAGGATTGTGGCGAGGACGCCATTGATAAAGCCGGTGACCGTGAGAGCCGCTTCAGCTATGGCCGGGCCCGTCGTTCGTTGGTGAGCGCGAAGCTCGGCAAGGAAGGTGCGGGGTTTCGGAGGTTCAGGGGTAGGGTCCGTGGGCGGTGGATGTCGTGCCATTAGGTCGGCCACAATGGTTTCAAGTATGTCGGAGGCTTCTGTTTGAAGACATCGTGGGGCGGCACGGGTTGGGTATGCGTTCATGTCTGGGTAGTGCCGTCGGTTGGGGGACCGCGGGCGGATCGTAGGGGGTACAGGGTCTGGGGGTTTCGCTGGTTTGTCCGGTTCTTTCGGGGGTGCCGCAGGTGGGCTCAGAGGGGTTCGGTGGGTACCATCAGGAGGTCGACTTCGGTGGGAGAAGCCTGCAGAGTTCGTCGCACTCGCAGGCCTCACTGAAAATCCCCCTGGGTGGGCTGGGGATCCTCGTCCTGGGGTTCGGTGGCGATAGCGTGGACACGGGCCTTGGGGTACTTAGGGCAGTCGCTTTGCATGTGGCCGGGTTGTCGACAACGGAAGCATGCGCCTTGGTCGCGGAGCCGCTGACGCTCGTCGTTCGTCAGCTTTTTCAGGCGTTTAGTCGCGGGGCCGGTGCCCACAACGTCGACGGCTGCACGCTTGTTCGATGGGGGCCATTGTTTCGCGGGAGGTCTCTTGTCTCGGTTGGTTTCGTCCCGTCGTGCGCTGTCGACTGAGTATACGCTATCGGCCAGCGTGACGAGTTCCGCCAGGGACATCGTGAGGCTAGAGGGGTTGGCGGCGAGCAACCGTTGGATGCCGGGACGGAGGCCCTTGCGGAAGGCGCAGCAGGCCTGCTTATCCGTCATCTCCGGGATTTCGAGGAGGAGTGCCGAGAACCTTTGGTAGTATTCGTCGACCGAGCCGGTCTGGGTGAGGCGTTCGAGGGCCAGGAGCGCGTGTTCTTCCGCGTTGGGTGGGATGAAGCGGTTGCGGAGCCCGTCTTTGAACGCTTCCCACGTAAGGATGGTGGATTCTGCTTGTTCGTACCATCGCTCGGCGGTATCCTTGAGTTTAGAGGCGGCCAGCGAGATCTTCATGATATCCGGGACTGCCGGGGTGGCGGCGAAGTATCGGTCGAGGCGGGTCAGGAACTCGTTTGCGGATTTGGTCGACCGAGACATGCCGTCGAACGTAGCGAGGCCTTCGCGGAGAGACTTGGCGATTGGGCCCTCGGCGACGAAGCTGGTTGTATCACTGCGTTCTTGTAGCTCCGGCGGGGTTACCGGGGAGGGGAGATGGGATTGGGCGGGCGAGGCCAATGTGCGGTTTACGGGGCGGACGTTGCTGAAGGTGAAGGGAGGGCGGGGTGTGGGTTTCTGTTGGCCCTGTTCGATCTGCTGAGTAAGGAGACGTTCAAGGCGCTTGGTGTTGTCGTGAGATTCTTTCAGGAGGCGGTGAAGGCTGGCCTGACGGGCGAGGAGCTCGGCTTTGTCTGCAGCGGCCTGCTCGCGGGTTTCGTTAACGACCTCGGCGAAGCTTGACTCCATCTTGGCCATGAGTTGGAGGAGGCCTTGGGGGCTAAGCTCGTCGTCGTCGCCGCTGTCGTCTCCCTGCTCGTCTTGGTCCTGGTCTAGTTCGTCGGCGTGGGTCAGGGCGTGGGAACCTTGGCCGGCGTAGTGGTCGTCTGGGCCTTCTCCCTCGTCGTTGTCGCGGTTGTCCTCGTCGTTGTCACGGTTGTCGGCCCGAGCGCTGACTGGGGAGGCGGGAGGCTCGTCCTCGTTGTGGACAGGGCGGGTGTCGTCGGCGGAGCTCGGATTTTCAGACTCCGCTTGTTGCTGCGCTTTGGTCTTGGTCATCTTCGTGCGTTTGGTCATGGTGTTGGGCGGGAACTTTCCGATGGGCTCTCAACAGTCAAGGGAGGCTGCGTTGGCGGGGTCGTCGTCGTCGTTCTGTTTTCGAAGAAGGGTGGTGCTACCATGTAACAGAGTAGACTCTATTGTTGATAAAGTACAAGAAGAACGACTTCAGAGGAAGTGCGTTTTTAAGGAAGGAAGAAAAGATGAAGTTCGCAGTCACGTGCAGCGTCCCGTGACCTGGATCCTTCACAAGTTCCCTGACAGTTCCCTGACAGCTTCCCGCCGGGCCCCCACTCACACCGGGTCCCTTCGATGCTTTGCGGGCTGTCGTGCACCCCGAGGCTACGACGGGAAACGCTGGCATTGTCATGCGACTCGGTGAGTAGGGCTATGACAGAGCAAGACATTACCCGGACGTTCATCCTCTTCGTCTGCAACAGTTGAAAATCACTGGAACAAATACCGTCGTATAACAAAAATGGCGTTGCTCCCACCCAAGATTATTCATGGCTTCATCAGTGATATTAATGCACATACTGACGAGATGGTACAACATGTGCACGCTTAGGCAATCCTCCAATCTATCGAAGGCTTGCCGCCCGCTTATGACACCCTGAACATTCAGAGCGGACCCGTAAATGTTACGGTTCCCCTCAATGACTATACCTTTGGCGGAATCCTCCAAGTTGCCTTCAGAAACGAAGCGCAACAGCACCGAGAGGTCCGGGATGCCATTCGCAGCATCGTTCCTTCGGGCTCAAGCCACTTCACGCTACCCAACTCGAAAGTAGACTTTGAGGACGAGCTCGTTTTGATCAAACAGTCGCAGTCCATGAAGACAATCAGGAGTTTGTTAAAAATCTTCTCGAGGAGGGAAAGCAGATTCTGAGAAAGGGCCGCAGGATGAACGTCGAGGTGCGAGTAGAGGTAAGATAGTGTAATATATTGATACACTCCGCAGAGGCTTCGCGACGGCACTGTGCAAAAAGACGGGCGAAATTCTCGGCGAGAGTAACATAATGACAAGTCTGTGACCTCGTCTTAACCAAGGGAAAGCCGGGTGCCCTACTGATTTAGTGTATTTCACACTCACAGGCTCCTTGGGGATCATTCGCGCAGGAACAGATACCACTGCCTCTCTTCTGATGTTCGCTTTGCATGGGCTCGGTAAAGAAGAAAACTCCCATGCTCTCCGAAAGCTGGTGAATGAGATTGAAAGCGTTTGCCAGGAAGGCAATGTGACGCCTGAGCAATTGTCTCAGATGGACTGACTACCTTCAAGCTGTGATCAAAGCAGATTGCCAAATCGATGCGATCTCTAGTTCCCCGAACTCTAAACCGAACTTTTAATGTCGAAGCTACTCAGCCTAATCTGAAGACATCTCTGGGGATCACGTTGAACGCGGATCTGGTCTACATCAAATTTACCCCGCGCGGTCGAGGCTGATTGAAGAGCGAGAGGATCGAGCCTTGAAGGAAGAGGGTTCCGGCGTTAATTGCAATGGCGTACAGAGCGAAGTGAGGTTCCTATTGTACAAACTATGTGTAGATGTCCGAGATCACCATTACTACCAAATCAGCCCAAAGAACCAACGCAAGGAATCTATCGTAACCAACGGGGAGTGCTCGCTTCGCTCGCTGTCAGATCTCGTTTTCTCAACTGAAGGATCTCAGAAGAGGCCCTTGTCAGTCAAAATCTTCTCCGAGAGGTTCCAGAGGTTATCGGCCCTCTCCTGGTCCTTTGCAAGCGCTGTCGGCTCCCCAATCTTCGCGATAGGCCACAAGTATTGCGCACTATAGGACGGGAAAGTCAGTACGATGCTTGGGAGGGTCGCTTGTCGGTGATTTCTGATCAACCAATGAATGTTGGACTTACCGAACATTATTTGTCTCGATCTCGGTGCTGCCAGCCGCATAGATCTGCGTCAGGGCGCCCTTGTACGGAGTCAGCAGGAACAGTGCTCCGATGCCATCGAAAAGAGTTCCGACAAGCTTGCCGTAGGACGCCGCAGGTCCACGCGATAGCTCAGTTGCGATGACTCCTGGATGAACGGCGTTCACGAATATTTTTTCGCCCTCGAGCTTCTGCGCTAACTTCCTGGTAAACAAAACATTTGCGAGCTTCGATTGCGCTATTAAAAGGATTTGAAGATATTAGCCATGCGCCCGTTCAGCTCTTTCCCCTGCCCAAGGGCTCTCTCCCACCATAGCGAGCCCAGGTGCTTCCCCAGTCCTTGTTCACTTGCTCCAGACTTTCGTAGCGCATATCCTTAGAGGCCATCTCATGGGCACGGGAAGCAACGTTCACAATGCGCACCGAGGAGCCAGGTTGTTTCGACGTGGCGAGGAGCGTAGGCAGGAGGGCGTGAGTGAAAAGGAAATGAGCGAGGTGGTTCGTCTGAAACTGAATCTCGACCCCATCAGCCGAAAGCTCAAAGGGCGGCGCCATAATGCCCGCATTGTTGACAAGGATATCCAGACGGGATTCCTTCCTGAGATAGTCCTCCGCTGCTTGCTTCACGGACTTCAGGTGCAGCAGGTCGAGTGGGAGCCACTCGACCTGCGCTTTGGGATGCGCGTGTTTGATCTTCTCGATAGCTGCTTTCGCACGACTTTCGGTACGTGCGGCTATGTAAACTTTCGCATTGTGTCCAGCTAAATGCAGGGCCGTTTCGTAACCGATACCAGTGTCTGCGTGAATGTATGGGTATCAGCTTAAACTTGAAAGAAACCGTTGATAACGACGAACCACTTACTTCCGCCAGTGACAATAGCGACCTTGCCCGACAGGTCGGGGAGTTGAGTTGCGTCCCACTGCTTTTCGAAGAAACCGAAGACCATGTTGAAGAATGAAAGTGAGTTTTTTTTCCACCACCAGTGTCGCTGGCTCCTTTATGTTCAAAGTCCCCAGGGAATTTTATGGCGCAAGTCGGGGCGCAAGTCTCGATTCCCGGGGGTTACGCGCCATGTGAGAACGCCAATCCAGCCAGTGTCGCACACAACGTACAGTAGTAACTTGAAATGACAGATACGTGTTACGTATTACGTGGCAGCCGCGGAGGCGGACGTCAAGTCGCGGACGGAAGCGGGGGCAGTGGCATTTTCTGAAATCTCGGTACGACATTATTTGCTCACGGTAAAAACGACGCCATTGCCGCAGATCAGCACATGTTTCAGAGGTTTCAAACCTTCAGTGAAGATGTGGAACAACTCCCAGTGGTGGCAACCATTGAAGGGATTGCGTCTTTGTAAATGCTATACGACACCTTTTGCAAGTGAAGGGCACTTGGTAGATTCTCTCAAACCTGCATCTGGTGGCACCGGCACTCCTTGACATGGACACTTTATCATCATACATTTACATCGTCATCTGAAGCCCTAGTCTATACCACCATAGCAACAGTCATAGCCCCTCTCAACCGGCTCCACAAACGCAAGTTCTGGATTTATAAAGGAGTGAAGGGAGAATAATGGGAAGGAGTCGGACACTGATGGGACGCTAGGGCTGGGGGACTGACAATAGCATGTGGGAGGTAGCGTGTTTAAACCTCAATTCATCTCAGGCACTTGACTCCCTCCGCAACATATCCGTTTTTCAAATGCCCAGCGTTGCAGTGCGTAATTGAGTGCTCCAAGAAGAACGTATATACGAACAGAAAATGTCCATGGCTTTGGAGCCCCAGCCTGGGATGCCAAAACCTGACCGGAATCAAAGAGAAGCAGGAGGGGGCACGCTGTCTGTCGAGTCTTGGAGAAACGATCGAAAGGTTTCGAAATCTATGGGTCTCAGAAGCCCATCCTGCTTCTCCCGTTGCACGGTGGTTTGTTCCCCGCCATAATCATGGCCCGGGAAGATGACAACCTATGGGGAGATGTGATGAGATGGACGAGCACAATTTCTATGTTGGTAATTGCCCTTATTACCTCGTCCGGGAGAGCTGCGAGTTTCACTTGTAAGGAGTCGTAGAGATCCTGCATGACAGCATAACAGAAGTGGGTTAAACCCTACGCTTTGCCCGCACATTCTGGGGATGAGATTCTCACCTTTACGCTCGAATCTGGGAAATCCACTCGGCCACAAGATCCTATGAAAAGGGTGTCCCCGGACAACAACCGCACGCCGTTGATCAAGATACATTGAGAGCCCTAGGAGGAGGTAGGAAGGATTGTCATGTCAGCGAGCGACCACTTTGTCGCGGCGCGAAAGACTCCTTCTTCGTACCGGTGAATGTCCTGGCGTGTGTATGAATTGCAGGATAGTGCTCCTCCCCACTGTCGTACTCCCGCCAGTATTACTTTCTCCGTTCAACGACATCGGTAGCACCAATGTCTCGTTATCCGCGGTCGTCCTTAGCCGATCCATTTTCGAAGCCATATCCGGGTTCGCTTTTATGATGCCTGGAACGTCCCCAGGGCTCACGAAGGCCTGGATGTTCGGAAGCTTCTTCAAAAGCTTCTGCAAGCCATCAACCCGGATGCCTGGAAGGTCGAATGGCGGCGGTGGTATCCCGCCTACATGGTCGACATGATAATGCGTTGCGATCGCGCCGACGATCTTCATCTTATGCTTCTCCGCGTAGCTAATAACGCCGTTGATATCCCAACATGCGTCCACGACTAAACATTCCCCGGAGGCGATGTTCTCAATGAAGTAGATGAAGTTCCGCATCTGCTTCGCGTACGCAAAGATGACATTTTGGATCGGCGCCATGAACTGTTTGCCACAAATGTCCCCTCTACTCGGCGATATTTGATGTAGACGGAATCCTAGAAGCAAGGAATGTTTAGGGCGGAGGTCCGCAGAAACAACTGAACTGCTCCGTTGATCCGAACCTAGCTCTTCGTCCTCCATTAGCCTACGCGTGCGCTTGATCCTCCGCACAATCTGCTCGATGCGAGCTCGAAGAAGCCGGCTTTTATCTTTATCTTGATCTTCTTTCCCTGCCCCCAACTGCCCTTCAGAACGTGTTGATTGAGTGACAGATCACAGAGATGTATCACACAAACGACAAACAGCACCCACGTATTCGATCGCTCGCTCGTAAGCCACTAATGCTTGTTCGTATCTCCTGAGGCCCGTTAAAGCTTCCCCTTGTCTGAAGAAAGGCTTGTACCAGCCAGCCATGTCGGCCGCCAATGCATCTTTCAGGCTCTCCTCATACTTCTGCAGTCCCAGATAAGCAGCCGATCGATTACAGTGCAAGGTGCACTTTAGCTGTGCAGGGTTTTGCCAACTCCCGGCGCCAGACCCTGGCGGCGGACTTGGAGGTTTGGAGGACGTTGAGAAATATCCAATTGCCTTAGTATACTCTTGAACCGCCGTTCCGTATTCCTGCTTCCCATGTGCCTCGTTTCCTTTTGCTTTCGCTTTCTCGATATTCGGAAGGTCCTTTGGATTGTAGGAAACTTGAGACATGACGGCGATATGCCTCTTACGCACAGAAGTTCGAACTGCTCGTTTGGGGCCGGAGCCGATGACCGTATGGGGCACACAAAGATATTGTCTGCAGTTGCACGTTCGGTTCAATTCCTGTGGGAGATCAAGGGGGACACTTGAAGTTGGCAGCTCTGGCAGGCTCTGGCCTCTCTGGGAGTCTCTGGCCTTCTCAACGGAAACCACCGACGAGCCCATACCCCCCACATTCATGGCCTACAGTCAGGTAGGAGAAAACTGATTGAACTCAAGGACCGTTTCACAAGGCAGAGGCGTGTGTCACTGCCAGCTATTAGCTCGCTGCGAGATGGCTGCGAGAGCTGGCGGCGACGGTGAGATGGTGAGTTTGGAATGCCAAGAAACCTTGACAACAACAACAGCTATGGGCAGATCTCTCACTCCACAGACGAGGGCTGCCATAGTGGCGCTGCACAGGGCAGGCAAAGAGGGAGATTGCCACTCAAGAGCAAGCTCATTTCAGCACAGTGAGAAACACATCAACTGGGTCAGCCACACCGAAAACTATCAATCCAAGAAGCCAACGGGAAGGAAGACCTGCTAAGTATCGCCCTTCTGAACCTTGGAGGACTCTCAGATTACGGTCAACCTGTCATATCCCCAAGCTTTCAGCCTTCCACCGCTCTTTCTTTGATTACCACGGACAAACAGTATTAAGCTACAAGACGACACCAGGGGGCCTTATAGATGTGTGCGACTGACATGGCGTGGCATCTGCAGAAGACAGTGCGTGGCCTCTGCGGCAATGGCGTGGTTCTTTCCGTTGCCTACTGCTGCCCTTTTCCATCATGGGAGCAGAAGGACTGAGTTTTTTGCAGTGTTGCAGAACCCAAGAGCCTGGATTCCTGATATGCAGGTCGTCCCTGATCTTCTGCGTTGCCCGTGTCCCCCGTATTTGTCAACTTGAGACAAGCAATGTGAGGGGTACCAGTGCCCATCTTTTGTTGTGTGATCCTGCACTCCAAACAATATGCCTTGGTGAAAGATTCCATGTTGATTGCTAGGTTGGACCCCAGCAGGCAAGACGCAAGAGGCACGATCCATCCTGGTGCACAGGCCGGAGCAAGCCACAAAGTATCTGTGAGCGTCCTCCATTATGTGAGAGCAGGTGGATGCTGCATTGACAACTTCCGCTTGTGTGAGATGTGCACACCGCCTTGAACGGAGAGTTGAGATTGCCACAGTCCGTGCTCCCATGTGCCGATTGTTGACACCGCATTTCGACCAGGCGCTGTCAATTTGAACTCGAGGTCTGCCATGTTCTCCAAACGGCGTTCCTTTGTGCGTGAGTGGAAATCCAAAAGAATAGTGTGACCGTCGCACTCCAGCATTCATCTCGCAGGATCTCCGTTGAAGGTAGGTACTATGTATTTTCCTTTCGATTCCGGCCGGGGAGTGTTGGGGAGGCGTTTCGAGAGGACATGTTGAAATCCCGAGGAATATGTTCTGTCGGAGTGCTCGACGATGCGCTGAGATCTGTTCGACCGACAGAGAAGATCGCCGGACGAGAGAGAAGGGGCAGGGAGTGGGGAGCCGATCCCGGCGTAAGCGTGGGAAAATCCCGTGGAATCGGCGTGGGAAAAGGTGTGATATCCCTGCTTTGTGAGGACGGAGACTCGGGAGACTCGCGGAGACTCGCTGTGCGGACGCGTTCGATAGGTTCGATTTGTACTGTATATGTAAGTTGGTTCCTTCTGTGAGTTGCCCCGTCCACAAACGTCGTGTGGGAACTTGCTCAGTAAAACGCAAATTAATGCCCAATGCAAGCAGACCAAGAGGTGAGTAGAATCTCCTGACACAGGGCTCCTGCGAAGGAGGTTACTGTGTGTTTGCTATATTTCTCGCGATCTCTTCTATGCCCGTGTAATGTGTAGCTCACCGTACTGTGTCAGCAACGAACCAAGCCTTCCGGGCAAGAGGACGGCGAAACAGTGCACTTGGAACATAGAAGAGAGCTTAGGAAGGCGAACCTGGAAGCTTATGTTCAGCGTCCAGGTATGGCCGCCAATCTCGAAACGCTGAAGAGCCGGGAAACCCGGGCTCAAGTAACTCCATTACAGACCTTTCAACGAAGCCAAACCTTGATGGCTCCATCAAGAAGAATACTTCCTTTGTTCGCAAACTGAAGACGCTCACCCACGATCAAGTCGCCTCTCTATCCAAGGAGCTTGTTTCTTTGAAACTAGAAAAATATGTGTCAGAGATAGTGGCGGCCATATCGGAAGCAAAGTTCAAAACATCTAGCGACATATGGGCAGCAGTGGAGATATGCTCGCTTCTTCATCAACGATTTGCGAATTTCGGAGGGGAGCTTGTGCAGGCACTGTGTAAGCAGCTTGGTCCCCCGCCATTGACTCATGGCATGAGTCCGGAGCAAAAGGAGAAGGAAGAAGTGGCCAGGATCGGGAGGCAGAAAAGTAGCTTGAGATTGTTGGCGGATCTGTATACCGTGGGCATCATCAGAGATGGCAAAGGCTGCCCATTCCCGCAAGTCCTGAAAGACATGGTAAGCACGTCACCCTTGAGGATCATCCAGTCCGGTGGTGCTGATGGCATGTTCGTCCATAGTTTCTTGCGGACAAAGATCAGCATGTCAATTTGCCGATCGCGGTTGTCTTCGCAAAGTACCATGGCCAAAACATTCTCGGTACAGAAGGCTCCCCAACCGGGCTCGATGCAGTATCTGATGCTAACGGCACTGAAGAAGTGAAAGACATTGCCGTGACCTGCCAGGTGCGTACAAGGTGAGACGGGCGAACTACTGAGCCGGCGCTGACGTATCACCTTCCAGGAACCTTTAGTTCCGGCTGAAGTCCAATCAGCATGCCGAGAGGTCTTCATCGAGTACTACAACAGTCTTGTTAGGCATCTCGTACATGAACATAAGGTCTGTCACCTGCTTCTGTGCACATGTGAGTCTAAATTCTAACAGCGATCATACGTTTACAGCGCGTCCGTAACATCGAGAAATCGAATCACGAGCATTACATTGCGAGAGGCGAGATTAACGAAGACCGACAGGAACGCTATCAGAAGAACCTTCGCGCATACGAGAAACTCCTCGGCGGGACAAAGGTTCTCTCAGAGACATTGGGGCAGGCCATGCCACCACTTCCGGAGGATGAAAGCATCACGCGAATGGGCATCGGCATTACGGACAGCACAGGGGAAAAAGACGACCAGGATACACTGAGCGGGCCCTGGGAAGATGACGACTCGAAAGCATTCTACGAGAACCTGATTGATCTGCGGAACCATGTTCCCGCCATATTTTTGGGAGAAAAAAAGCCGGCGATTCGGAGTGAGCCTTCTCTGAATGAAGAAGCCCAAGACACAGCAGATCCTATCGGAAGCCCGGATGATGCACATCAAAGCCAGGCAGACGATGGTCAGACAGCGGATATCAGTTCCGAGGATGAGGACGGCAAAGCCACATCTCCGATTTCGCCAGAGGAGGACGACGACGCGAAAGTAGATGAAGAAGAAGCAGACCTTGATGGCGACGATGAGACGAAAGAAAAGGATGCCAAACCTGTGTCCGGTGCTAGCAACGCAGCTTTGGAATCTGTCATCAATCGTCTACCGACAGCTCTGAATCGGGACACGATCGATCAGATTGCTATCGATTTTGCATTCCTCAACTCCAAGGGTGCCAGGAAGAAGCTGACCAGGGTCCTGTTGACCGTTCCGCGGCAACGCATGGAGCTTTTACCGTACTATTCTAGACTCATCGCCACAGTGTCAGCGTACATTCCGGAGATTGGCGCTGCAGTCGTTGAGCAGTTGGAAAAAACGTTCCATGGCCAACAGAAAAGAAAGGAGCAAGTCTTCATCGAAGAGAAGACTAAAATCATTCGATATCTCGCCGAGTTGACCAAGTTTCGGGTCACACCACAGCATGTCATCTTCCACTGCATCAAAGTGCTGCTGGACAACTTCAAACACCACAACATCGAGCTCCTCTGTGTTCTATTAGAGTCATGTGGACGCTTTCTCTTCAAGTCACCGGAGACACACCTTCGAACGTCGAACTACTTGGACATCTTGATGCGCAAGAAAAACGTGGAGCATGTTGATAGTCGACAAACCTTCATGATCGAGAACGCTTATTATCAGTGCAATCCTCCCGACAAGCCGGCAACAGAGGCCAAAGCTCGTCCACCGATGGAGCTCTATGTTCGCAAGCTGATCTATTCGGATATGTCGAAGAAAACCGTCGACAAAGTGCTGAAGCAATTGCGAAAACTGAATTGGGCTGATCCGATCATCTCGAAGATGCTCACCAACATCTTCTGCAAGATCTGGAAAGTCAAGTACTCGCAATTGCATATGATGGCATACATGGCGTCAGAGCTCTCACGATACTATCCGGATTTCGGTGTGAGCATCGTGGATAGTACCTTGGAGGAAATCCGGGTGGGACTGGAGCAAAACATCTTCAAGCATAATCAGCGGCGCATATCAATTGCGAAATACTTGGGCGAGTTATACAACTACCGAATGATCGACAGCGCTTTGGTCTTCCAGACCCTGTTCCACATAGTGTCGTATGGCCATGGTGAGTGTAGACCTTCGTAGATAACATTAAGCGCATGGCAGATGCGCTGACAACATTCGGCCTTCCAGAGAATAACATGCCACAGTACGGCGTAGGTAACGTTCTGGATGCACCGCATGATTTCTTCCGGGTGCGCTTAAGTTGCATCATTCTGGATGCCTGTGGTCAATGCTTCGATCGCGGAATGTCTGCAAAGCGGTTGGATTTATTCTTGGTGTACTTGCAGGTTGGTGTAGCTGTGCAATCGAAGGGCCTACTGGTACTTGGGCACCGACATTGACTGGTCAATTCTGTAGATGTACATCCACACCAAGCTGGCGCTGCCGATGGACATCGAGTTCGTCATTTCCGAGACATATGAACTCCTACGCCCAAAAATGAGAATCCCGCAGACATACGAAGAAGCGGTTGCCGAATACAGCAAATTGGCGACAGAGCAAATGCAAGCCATAAATAATGGTGCGAACGGGGGTGCTGCGGGTGATGAATCCGACGACGACGATGAAGATGACGGCGGGAAGGAACAAGGGTCAACGCGTCGAGGCGGTCGGGACAGTGACGAAGAGCAGGAAGACGTTGATAAGGCCGTGGATGATGTCGTTATTGAAGAAATTGGAGAAACTGAGGAGGAGGAGGCTTTCGGGAATGAACAGAATCTGGTAGATCAGGAGTTTGAGCAGGAGTTTGAGCGCGAATTCAGCAGAATGATGCAGGAAAGCATGGAAACACGACGGCGCGATGGCAAATCGGCGTTCGATGCGCCTGTGCCTGTGCGCATGAAGACCGCGGCGAATGCTTCTGAGAGCAATGAGGCCATTGGGGGAGATCAAGTGGCTTTCACTCTTCTGACTAGGCGTGGGAATAAACAACAGGTTTGTGAAACATACCCCTCACATCCGTTCTGGGTTAGGGTTAAGTGTTAACTGACTTTCTTTCCAGGCGAAGACAATGGCACTGCCCGCGGACAGCTCGTTTGTGATCAGCACCCGTAACAAACAAGAAGCGGAGCAAGAAGAAAAGCAACACTTGAAGCGCCTGGTTCTGAACTACGAGGAACGCGAGCGTGAAGCTGCTCGTAAAGGTGAGGACCCGTTGTTCGTTCCTGTGGGTTCCCCATCGCAACTCCAATCTAAAACGAGCGCGTCCCCCGCAGCTGCGATGTTGGAAGAAAGCGCCGTGTGGAACGGGTCAAGGCCAACAGTCATCCTTAGTACCAGCTCGCACACCGGAGGCATATACGGTCGGGGCGGTGTCAGAGGCCGCGGCTACCAAGCCGCTCGTGCAACCCGACCAGCTCGAACAACCGGCCCAGCTCGAACAATTGGCCCAGCTCGAACAACAGGACCAACTCGAACAACAGGGGATGGTCGTGGACGGGGCCCAGACGCCGGCGCGTCCGGAACAAGCAGCAGATTTGCCAAATGACCAGATGTGAGGACGCACGCTTTTTTCTCTCGTGTCGGAAGCACGCCCTCATAGGATATTACTCTTCGAAGCGAGGCACAGTGGTCTCCACTATAGCACATCATGACGCGAGACACGCCGTTCAAACGGTAGCAACGAAGACCGGGCGACTGTCCCTCATGTGGCCAAGGGAGCTTTGCTGCAACGACCGGATATGCGTGAGATGGAGAGCACACATTCTCTCTGTCGACATCCTGGCGCCACGACCATTTACTGGGGACTCCTGGTCGGTCTCCCCAAGGAGAACACGTATGGTTGGATGAAGTTCGTGCCCACCAATTGCTACGGCGGCAATGTAGAGGCTTCACAATCTGCAAGATGGAAACGAGCGGAACCTCGCCAACACATCAATTTGGGCCATAAACCGAGCGCGATCGCCACAACCCTTCTGCGATAATGGAAAAAGCAACTTTCACTATCGAACCCCATAAGTCTCGAGTGTCAATCTCGAGAAGCGCATGTGCTGATTATGATTTAGAGAGTAAAACAGGGTCTATGTGCAATTCTACATACATACATGTTCACTCAATACACCCGCATCCATTCACTTTTCTGAAGGTAGATAAATCTACGACAAATCATCTTCAAGATTGGCCATCAGTCGGCGTATTCGCTAAGGCGGGATCGGGAATTCCTTGGTGGCGGCCATATGGGGGATGTTCTGTTAGGGGAGAGGACAGCTCGCTGTGTACTGGTGGAGGCATGTAGGGCATGTATGGCCTTTGCCCTCTGTTGCCCGCGGTCGGAGCCATCGGTGTGGGTTGAGACCCGCGTCGGTCATAGGTGGCGTATTCGGGTGGGTGGTCCAGGCCATCCGCGGGAGACACGGCAGCGTATGCAGCCTGTGCGTGTTCCCACTGTGGGTCCGGTGTAGGAGATGGAGGTCCGGCGGGTTGAGCGTTTGACTCCGGTGCGACTGGATGGGGATGGTCCATAGGTATGGATCCGTCGTCCATGCCAAAGGCGCCACCCGTCACCTCGTCCAATCTAGCTTCTAGGAACGCGATACGCTGGCGTTCAGCTTCGACAATGCCGACCATCGATTGGTAAACCTTTTCGGCCTCCGACGCGTGTGATTCGTAGCGGCCCTGGAAAGATTGCCGGTGTTGGTTTCTCGCAATCATTTGTCTGTCAAGCTTGGTCGAGAATAACATACCTTCAGCTTGAGTAAACGTGCAGCCTCCGTCTGGGAACCGGCGAGCTCTCTCCTCAAGTTATTGACTTGCTCCTCCAGTTCGGCCAGTCTGGACTGAGCTTCCGATCCAGCAGAGAGCTCTCTGTCCTTCAACTGCATCGCCGCCATCTGCGCCTGTGACAATTGCACTTCGAGATCCGCCATCCGGTGACGCATATTCTCCATCGTTTGCAGAGCAGACTTGTTTTCCTCATTGACAGAAAGAGCCATCCCATGCTCCAGTTTGATGCGGTCAACCTCCCCTTCCAGTTCGGTAACTCGTGCCCGCAAACCAAGTGCGTCGCCAGCTTCGGCACGCGCGATTTCCAGTAGCTCTGTCAGCTGCTTCACTTCGCTTTTCGCACTGTCCCGCTCCGCTTCTGACGTTCGTCGAGCACTCTCCGCCTGAGACTTCTGCGCAACAAGGTCATCGTTGAGGAGACTCAGTCTGGAGATCTCAGCTATTGCCTTATTGAGTTCTTCCTGGAGCATGACACGCAGTTGCCCCGGACCCGCCGCATTTTCGTCGTAGGAAGTGCCTTCGTGATGTTCCTGCCGTCGTCCCGACCTGTCACTTCTTATTGACGGGGTATGATGCAACAGTTCTCCCTGCGTCACCTCCGATGCAGGCGTCCCAGCTGGCGGTATAGAGCCATAGTCAGATGCCGATTGTGGTGTTTGTGGCGGAACGGGCTGAGATCTGGAAGAGAGGTTAGACGAGGCGTTCGAGACGACGGAGTCTCGCTTAACCATAGGGTATGGAGGTGGTCCTGCAAGAAGCAAGCTGCGTAAACCTCCGATCTCAAATGATTCACAGTTGCCACAAATAAGGTCCTACCATGTTCTGGCATCCAGGCGCCTTGTCTGGGATATACAGATTGCTGTGATGGAGGCATCATTGAATAGCGATTAGGAGCGAAGGCGGGAGGTCTGGGAGATTGCATCTGCAGTGCCGGCGATGAACGACCATCGAGGGGTGAGGGAGATGAGATTTGTTGCTGAGATTGAAGCGGCTGTGGGGGTTGGACGTTTGGATCATGCTGCTGCTGCTGCTGAGGTATTTGGTCGCCGTCTGGCTGCTGAGGATATATAGGTTGGCCGTGCGGAGGTGGCATTACAGAATATCGGTTTGACGCAGGTCCTGCGGGATGTGGAGGAGCAGCACCGCCGGGATAACCCTGTGGGGGACGAGCTTGGACAGGATACGGGCGCGGATGTAGAGGAGAATGCTGGTATGGTACCCTGCCGTAAGGTGCGTTGTAACCTGGATAATAGGGCGCTTGCTGCGGTGCTTGAGAATAAGGATGGGGGACACTATACGCACGTTGAGCCGGAGGCGCACCTGCCGGGATTAAGGACGGGCTGCCGCCCGACGCTGGTGCAGGATAGTATTGTGGGGCGTACATTGGTCTAGGTGCCCCCGCCTGCGGTCCGTACATGCCGGGTTGGTGGTGTTGGCTCACAGACGCCGTCCGCTGAGGAAGGTGAGCTCTCGGGTCCACATATGACGCGCGATAGTCGGCATAAGGATAGGCGGAGTTCTGTGGCACCGCCTGTCCTGCCTGCCCTTGCGGCGGGGGTAGATATGGTTGTGGTGGGAGTCCGGATGCCGTGCCCATAGGCCCTTGCGGCGGTGGTAGGGGAGCGTTTGGGTCCATGATTATGAGTGGCGGGCCACCTTCCCCCCCAGTCACCCCCAAGCAAGAGCAACGCTCGTCCTTGATCTAATGTAAGCTAGTGGACCTGGTGCGGCCCGGAGACAGCGGTTTGCGAAGCTGCAAGTGCCGAGTGCCGATGCCCTTCCGCCTCACCTCAACATGGGGCCATATCGACCAGCCGTTTGGGCGTCATGACGGGCCAACAGCAACGCAATTTGGAGGCGCTCGGCAGTCACGTGGCATCACACGACCGGAGCGCGAATTCTTTTTGGAGAGGCCTTCCAGTACCAATGTTGAAGGCTCCTCAGGCTGCAACAAGCTCCAACAAGTCACTAAAGTCATAACGTGCAGGAGACGAGCCTATATATATACCTGTCCTTTCCCGACCTATGGCTGTCACTTCGTTCGTAGGACTTGTGCCGTTCTAGCGACTCAACAAAATGCCGCGTCAGCAAGCCTCTATTTGTTTGTTCTGCCTAACGTCACTGAAAGGCCGAAGTAGTCCATTCACGGGAGCTTTATCAGTGTCGCAACTGCTGCCATCTACGCAAGGGCCACAGCGTCTCCTGAATCGCTCGAACGTCTTGCATACCCGGAAGTATTCCGTGCCGCACCCACAGCAGTCGAATGCTGGACGCAACCATGAAACGACCAATGTCCCTGAAGACTTTGGGATCAACTCACTCCAAGAGGCAATCGATCAGCCCAGCAGTGGATCCCAGCTCTCGGAAGCGCTATCAGTTGTGGCCCCGACCTATGCAGAAGAAATGACGGATACGGCTGCCTTGGACGTGGAAAAAAATCTTGACATACCTGTGGAGGAAGCGGATTTGGAAGATTTATATAGCGCCTTGACGGCGCCCGTTGAAAACGCAATCCCGGAAGGACCAGGCGCTGCGATTCGCACAAAGCTGGACCCCGAATACCTTCATAAGCTTCGTATGTCTTTTCTGGATGCTACCGCAAAGAAGCAACGAGATCTACAGGAAATGGAGAGCACCGCGGCAGAGCGATTAGAGAATGAGAGCGGAGTCGTGCTGCATACCATTTCGCAGATTATTCATGTGAACGCCGTGTCAGAACGACCTGAAGAAGCTCAGGTCGCATTCGATCTGATTACCCAAAATGGATTAAAACCTGACCTGGTCGCGTACAATCACCTGATGGATGCATATTGTAGAGTCGGAAACTTGAAGAAGGTTGTCGAGGTTTTCAAGTCCATAGAGGCCGCGAAACTGGTTCCGGACGTTGTCTCGCACGGAATCCTCATCCACGCATGTGTCCTCAGGAAGGACGTCGATGGAGCTTTCCGAATGTACGGACGTATGAAAGCGAAGGGTGTGCAACCGACACAGCACATTTACACATCATTAATCAAGGGTTGCCTGCGCGGAAACGATGTTAGCAGGGCATGGAAAACATTCGACCACATGCGCTCAACGGCTTTTGTGCCAGACAACGTCACATATTCTCTGATGATCCACGCTTGTTCCAAAACGAAAGACGCGGAACGGGCCTTGGGGCTTTTCGAAGAAATGGCGCAAAAGAACCTTGCGCCAACGAATGTGACGTTCACAGCTCTGATTCAGGCTTGCGCGTCCCGGAGCGATTACTACAACGACGCCTTCGCTCTTCTGGGCCAAATGGCTGCCGAGGGGTTCTTGCCAAATCTTCACACGTACAACGTGCTGTTGCAGGCAGCGGCTCTGCAGGGAGACATCGTTCGTGCGCGGATGATTTGGAACGATTTGAGGGACAGGGTGGAAGCGGCTGGGAGTCAGGGGTCAGATCTTACGCCGACGGCGTCGACATTCTATCATATGTTCGAGGCGTATGCTCACGCGATTCGATTGGCACGAAGGACGAAGAGGAGTCCTGGGCCTAAGGCACCGAAGTCTGACGATTCATCACCGAGTCCCTCTACAACGTCCTTTCTGCCAAACGAGAGCGATACTTCCGTAGCTGCCGAAAGCGCGCAACCGGAGGTTCGAACAGACCCCCCCAGCGCCACCAACGGACAGCCAGCAGCAGATGGTGGGAAAGGGACCGACCTCGTCATAACGGATGAGGAGGGGAACGCCATGCCGAAATTGAGTTCTACTGAAACTGGCCCAGCAGTTCTGTTAGCAGAGGCAGAGACGCTCTGGACGTATTTGACGAAACTTCAGGCGAGTGTCGAACCGCAAACTGCCGCTCCTAGCGTGGAACCTGTAGCGACACCATCAACAGAGGCGCAGACGGAGTCGAGCTCTGCAGAGCGGGCGGCGGATACCGAAGCCCATGCGGAGTTGAGCTCGGCAGAGCCAGCCGCAGATACGGAAGCCCAGGTGGAATTGAGTTCGGCAGAGCCAGCGGCGGATACGGAAGCCCAGACGGATTTGGACTCTGCAGAAACAGCGGCGGATACGGAAGCCGATACGGTGATTGACTCCGTCAATAGCGAAGATGAACTGGGGGAGTCTGCCACACAATCGCCAACCGTCGTCAAAGTAGACGCTCGGCTAGTGAATGCGTATCTCGAAATAGCTTGCAGTAACCCCACCAGCACAAAAAGCATCGACCGGGCCCTCGCCATCTACAAATCCGCATATAAAGAGTTTGCAATCGGCGAGCCGAACGGGTATGCGCGAGGAATTATACTGAAGGCCATCACGCGCAACAAGGAATCTATGCGCAGTTACGGTCTGGAAACGTGGAACGAGCTGCGGGAGTGGGACACGAAGCGGGAAGTGGAAATGACCCGCGGGGCTGAAGAGCGAGGGGAGGGGCGGTTACGGGAAGCGGAGAAGGAGAGGATCAGGATGGTGGAGGGAAGGGGGAGAAAACATATGCTTGCGAATTTCATTCGGGTGGTCAATGGCCTTACAAGGTACGTTTCTTGCCGCGCTCTTGTCGGAAGATTTTTAGCATGGACTGATCAAAGATAAATCCACCACGTCCATCTAATAGAATCAACGACATCCCCGCCGCCCTCGACACTCTTAAAGAGGCCCAAACCTACCGCTACCTCGGCTACCTCCCCGCCATCCACTTTTCCGACGTATGGTCCCTCTTCGAGAACGTCCGCTCACAAGCCGAGGACGGTAAACTCGCCCCCGCCAAACAGATGCTTTCCCTCTGCCCTCCCCCACACGCCAGCACATCCTCCTCATCCCCAAGCCACGTCTCCGCCGCGATGGAAGAAGTCCGCCGCATGCTCGGGATGAAACATGTCGGAGGCGGATGGTGGGGCTGGGAAGCGATTGGGATCGAGGCGGATGTGAAGCATCAGAAACGCGCGGGAGCGAGCTCGAGAAATAGGGAGAAATTGCAGGGTACGAGAAAGGCTGTGAGGAGGGAGTTGAAGGGAGGGCCGGTGCCGAGGGCGGGTAATTGGAAGGGTAGGGATGGGTCGGCTGGGTCTGGATCGTCGACTCCTTCGGATTCCAGTCGATGATTTGGGATAACAGGACAGCTCTGCTTGTCTGTGATTTTGCGGCGTCATCTCGGTTCTCCTATTAGGTTTAGATGCGACCATTCCCTGACGAGGTCCCTAGTCATTGGAACACTCGCGGAACTCGTTTGATCACCTCGATCTCGGCGACCTGGCGTTTTGGGACTTGGGTGCAGCTAGCACGCGGTCGGATAGATAAATTCAGATAGAGCATTTGATTAGACAAGTCCACGACGTCCCAGCACAATGGTTTCTGTGAATGTTGGAGGTCGTTGAGGAATCTTTGTATACTTTCATCAACCCTGCAAGTCTTCTGTTTGGTCAATCTCTACATGTACAGCGCCGGCAGTTCATCCCTTCCTGCCTTCCCTCGCCTATGCGGTCAACATCGATGACGCCGCCTCAGAATGACTTCATGATGCGTAGGTCTTTCACATGTATAGATCCAAAAAGCGAATCTTGGATAGGCGAAAACGCCTGAAGCTGTCAGTGATGATTCGCGCTGTCGAATACCCACGTTTGAGGCTTACGTATCACTCTCCGACCCATTCACAACGCCCGCCTCACATCCAGTCGCCTCGGTTTGCAGCGAACGAACAATGACTTCGGACACCATAGATGATGCGGACAAGCAGAAACTCTTCGGTATCAGGAATATTCAAGTTTGGAGACACCACGTGTGAGTGAATCGAATTGGCCCGATGCAAAGCTCGATACTACGCTTAACCTTCTCCAGTTCCAAGACATATGCGTTGAGATCCCGAGCCAAATTTCATATGTGACCTCATCGTGATGCGTCGTATACGGTTGTCCCATTTTTTTCGTTTTCTCTCAATATCTGCGACTGCCAAGAAACAAACGAGAAAATGTTGCGTCCGGCGAAGGCCAAGACGGACGGGTATAAAAGCAAGATGGAACGCCAGAAGTTCTCCGCCCAATCGCTCAGATCACTTCCTGAAAATCGCTGCAAAGATACATCATCGCTCCTTCCTACTCTATAAGTTTCGGCAACTCTCCAGCGATCAACATGCGCTTCCTCTCTGTCCTCCTCGCAGCGTTTGTCGGATCCGCCGTCGCTTTGCCATGGGGTCCGTTGACCTCTGCTGAAGACATGGCGTACTTCAAGGGCTTGCCAACTGTAAGAATCTGGAATGGGTCGTTTGAGGGAGTTATGTGAAGAAGTGTTGGTCTCATCCTTCGTCGGGTGTCTCATAGGAAAAATGCCAATGGATTGCTGGCCAGACGGTCACCTTCCAGTTCAAGTGGCGTCGCACACCTTTGCTGCAATGGTGGTCGGCGGTGTCCTGGTAGGCACCTGCATTCTTGATGTGATCTATCCGATTGAGCTTTCTGACCGCTTACGATTATCTCAATGCATCACTACAGGGAATTGGACGGCCATCTCCTCTCAGCGATTGGCAACCCCGACCTCGACGATGTAAAGGTTAGCGAGGCCGGACCCGATGGCTTCCACACCGTCACAGCTACCCTTCCGGAGCACCGTATATTGCGCTCTAGCGACGGCTACACTCTGCGTGCCGAATACAAAGTGACTGGTATCAATATCATCGAGTCACCAAAGATGTAAGTTTTGTGTATTTTTCAGATAGGTAATTGGCAGCTTCACCGAGCCCACTCTAACTACCTCCTCGGCCAATTTCATCAGCTACGTGACGGATACCGACGAGGCCTGCCCCACCAAGGTTGCAATCCCCACCTCCACTCCGGTCCCTGCTATCAATGAAGCCAGCGATTCAGAGTTGAACGGTACCGGCGCTTAAATCAAACTGCGACGAGTGATCTGAATATTGGTTCGTACTTCATATGAAGATCTGTATTCACTCCGGACTGCATTCATTTCTTGTACACGGCCTTTCATTGTTCATCATATGCTTGTAAAAGACAATCTCTTGGCATAAACACACACTTCCGAGTAATTTGTAGAAGACAATCTGTCGGTATTCATCCATGAGCCTGCCATGAGCGGAAATGCCTACGTGATGCGACGCCGAAAACTCGTTGGGCTTCCCGAGGCTTGCGGTTGCTCCCCCTGACAATTGAAGTTTCGGCTTGCGTTTGCACGACCTCTGTATAATGTCTTCCGACCACTCATACGACACTTTGGAGACCCAGCAACGGAGGCCGACCGTTTGCCGAGGACTTGCTACTGTCTTCTTTGGAACCTAGGAATTTGCACGTCGTCCGTGGCGATATTCGGCTGCTGAGCCCGTCGTTATATCACGTGCATAAGCCATCTACTTCTTTCGCTCAGTATCGTCAAAAGGCTTGCTGGCCAACATTTCCAGTGACTTATACCTTTGGTTCTGAAGCCCGCAGTTATGGACCTCCGCAACATCATCACGCTTTCCTTCCCTCTCAGGACTGCAACATAGCCCATGCGCTCATCAAGAATAGGACCGTCAACTCTGGAGGGGATCGACTTTGAGTGGGATATCCGGAGAATGCTCGGACCGACAATCACATTGCAGTCATGCAGATAGCTGTTCCTCACACGGACGGCAGTTTCCCTGCCATCATTGTGTCCATCGATCCCGACGAAACTCACAATTTGTATGGGACCCCCTCGATGACGATAACATCACGAAAGCCGTTCATGGCGGCAAGATACATCAGAATAGTAATAACATCCGGAAACCCTGGTACACGTTCCATGAAGAAATATCAGGAAAAAACAGCTCGATCGTTCCCATGGGGCCAATGGCGAGGGAAAGAGGTTTTTGAAAGGTACAATGCGATGCAGAATGCTTTATTCGGCCGCGCAGCATCTCCGCAACATATTAAACAACCCCACCATGTCGATTCAAACCGGATTTGATTTTCGATCTTTAGGATCGGTCTGAGAGTTTTGGCTACCCACTACGGGGTAGCCCCACGGATTCATTCATTGTGCACTGTCGCGGTGGAGCGGTGGGTCTGACTACTGGAGCAGGGAGCAGGTCGAGTATGCCGCATGGGATCCGACCGCCACCCATATGATCTACCGGGAGCTTCGAAAAGACCCATGCAATAATGCAGCAACTGCATCCTAACTTGTAAGATGACGAAGGTGACTCTCATGGAGCGAGGCGTGAGCTCCTGCGGTATTACCTTTCTTCGTAGAGAACCCAAGCCGCTTCCGGACGGGCCAATTGCCCAACTTCGATTTAGCAAGCAGAACGCTCCCACTGACAGGTTGACCGCAGGAGGTGAGGTGACGTTGAACTTTCGCTTTTTCTTCATCCCGCAGCGTACATACAGTATGTGCATATGATATCATTCCCAACTCCCCCCCCCCCCCCCCCCCCCCGGTTCTCCATGGTGCAGCGGCGGAACTCGTGGAAAACACTGGACGACGTGTCGATACAGTGAGGATATCCACTATATTCCCCCAAAGTGCGGTTATTAGGTCATGCCAAATTGGTCATGCCGCACCTCACATGCGATGACGCCTCGCTCGAACTCTCGTGTATGACCTGGAGTGTTGTGGAGGCGCGCTCAAATGACAGTACTGTACTTTGACGGTTTTCCGAGATCAACAGAACGTTTCTCGAAATTTCCAGAGAAAGGACGCGTCCGTAGGACAGGATTGAACGGAAACCTACCCTGCATCCGCACCATGCCCCCGCACTCTCGTCGTCTATAAAAGGCGGGCGGGCGACCGCCTGCCCTGCCGTCTCAATTCACCATCCAGTTCAAATCCAACACATCGACAAATTCTTATGCTCGCATCTGTCTTTCGACCAACCTCGATTCTCAAGCAAGCAAGAAGCACAATGTCTGGAATGTGGGGTTCCCTTCTCAACGACCCGTTTTTCAACGTCGGATTCCCAGAGTTCTTCCGTGACCCGCTACTGAGCAACCGCGGTTTGCTCACGTCTGGAAATGAAGGCGGTGACACCGGGACTGGTGGTGCTCTGGCCACTAGGGGCGGAGATCAAGCCGCCTGGAATGTCTTCCGCGGCCCACGTATCGACGTCTCCGAGAACGAGAAGGAGTACGTGATCAAAGGTAGGTCCATGTGTACTGCTGGGTGAGAGACGGATGGTTGGAGCGGATGACTAACGACTTCCATTTGTGCATTGCAGCTGATTTGCCTGGCCTCAAGAAAGAAGACATTAACATCCACGTCGAAGACAACATGTTAACACTGGAGGGCGAGAGAAAGTCCGAACACGAAGAGAAAAGCGATCGCCGCCACATCGTTGAGCGCTCCTTCGGCCGATTCCGTCGCTCGCTGCGCGTCCCTCCTGACGCCCAAGTCGAAAATTCCTCCGCCCGTATGGAAAACGGCGTCTTGGAGCTAACGCTCCCCAAGAATCCCGCTGCCGAGCAACGCAAGAGGATTGACGTCCAGTAATTGGGCGGCCGGCAATTGCTAATGGTCCCTCCCCGCATATGCCGCCAATGTGATTAGTGTAATTAGCCTTTTGGAAAGCATCATCTATCATTGTCTATAGTAAATCATATTCATCTTTTTGGCGGTATCTTCCGATGTTTGTACGAGTTGCGTGAGTCGATTGCGCTTAGCGTCCCGAAACGCTCCTGAGTGTACCTTGTTACCAATGAAATTTTGGACATTCAACTTGGTGCTTCTTTGATCTACTTCCTTCTCTGCTGCACATGCAGAGCTGGCAAATACTGTACATACAGTGGCCAAGCAAACTTTATGAGGTTCAGCTTATTGACGCTTCCTTCTACTTCCCGTTCTGGAGTGGCAATCACGGTGTTTCGGTGTTCCTGTGGAATGACTGTGGCCCGCAATTACCGTGTTCGGTGTTCCTGTAGAATGACTCTGTAGCCCGTCCCCTGGATAGCCCGGCTCTATACTCAGCAGTACTAGTGGCGCACGCAATCTGTCAAGTGGGGACTTACAACGCAATGCGGTGGTGAGCACTCACTTTACTCACTTTACTTACTTTACCGGTTTGCTGCGCGACGCCTTACGTCCGCGGCGGAGTTTGAAAGAGGGGGCCGATCTAGACATCACGCTTGCGCTTACCCCTGGCCCCTGGCTAGTAATCTGCGGCTTAGCATACCTACAGCAGCAAAAATGGGGTCTCGTCAGACCGTCAGGACAGAGCTACGGACCCTGGAACGATGAGTGTCTTTGCTGGGGCAATGTCATGAATGATATTCTGACCGCGAGGGGTTCACTGACGGAGGTATACCGCCCAAAAGTAGAAGCTTCTCTGTAGGGTCCAGCGTATTTGGTAATTAATGGCAAAAGTCCCTTCAGCGCTGGTTCGCAAGATATCTTGCCAAACGACCATAGAGTTGCCAAAATAATGAATAACAGACTGTTGAAATTCCGGGTTCGTACTCGGCTGTAAATCAGCCAGATATCTCTCGTCCCGCAACCGACTTTGAGCCCAATTCTTTCACCGCAATTACAGATTTATCGGCGGAGCGGTGCGGCCCCAGCGCATAAAGTCAAGCTTAAATCCTGATAGCCCTGCACGGGCCATCCTATTAGTGCTCCATCGTCCGCGAAGCGCCCGTATATCAGCGCTAGCTCGTTCTCCCTCACCCTCGGTAGCGCTCTCAAGCTCACAACAATCACGAGTAGTCTAGTCCGTTTGCGATTCAAATCCTGCATTGATTATCAACTCGCCAGACCTTCCTTGACACCACATCCGTGTCAATTTCACCTGTCGGAGCAAGCACTCACATCTCCGCAACGTACTCCGCAACATATACCGGAGCGCCCGCAAAACTCAGTGCTCAGTTCTCCTGAACAGTACACGCTCCCCTTCACGGCATATATCTCCTGAACATGCTCGCCGGAACAGAATTTGAGCGACAGTTGGCAGCCCAGATGGGCATGGTCGAACAGGTAAGCGATTTTGATCTCCGACCTCCGCATTGGCCTGGAATTCTTTGCTGATAGGGATTCATTTGCTCAGTACTGGGATCCGTTTCCATCGCCGCCGCCCAACACGAAGACAAACCTCAAGCGGAACCGATCGGTTGAGGATGTCCCTGGTAAGATTGAGTAGCATGCGCCGCTGTGGTATCCTCACAGGGACGTTCCCTGACATTCATCTTCACTAGCAGCGCCAGTTGCCGAGAAGCAACCCAACGAGTACCGGAAGCGCAAACATCAATCATCCAACACGCCGACCGTTCCGACCCTGGGCCGGTTGAAGATGGTAAGACCCACACACCCTCAACGATGTATTCGTCATCCCCTTTATCCTTACCGGGCCCTACCTGCCTCACATAGCAAGAGCTACTCCAACGCGAGCAAGAAAAAATAAAAGCCAAAGATGAAACCCCATACCCAACTCCGATCGAGGAGACGGCGCAAAGTTTGCTGCTAAAGACCTTCCAGCGACAACAGCAATTCCACATGAAAATGCAGCGACCTCGGACCGTACCTTCGCTGGCCGCCGACTTCCTGCATTCGCGGACGGAAGTCGAGAACATGGTCATGAACTACTTTTATCTGTATTTGGATCTGATGGAGGGGCATGAGGAGCTGGAGGTGAGGCGATGCCACCTACCGTTCCGCCTATAAGACATCGATTGCTCAACGATCCTGTCGGTTCTCGTCTAGCTTGACCGCCATCAATTGGCACGCCTCACGAAACTTGACACAGAAGGCGGAGAGGTCGTCGACGCTTCTGCCCTCTGCCGCGATCGATTTCCACGGCTTCAGGAGATGTGCGATCGCGGCATCCCGACCAACTCGTTTATGTGGGTCAAGGTATGCTCTTCACATTAAGGATTCATCGTTCCTTAGTCCACATCGAGAATGATACTCAACGTCTTGCTTTCATCAGGTACCGCTCGACCTAAACCTCCTCCTTCCCGGCGAATTCCACAACGTCAGCGTCCTGGAAACTAACCGGCCACGTACCATCGAATGCACAACCACCGTATACCATTTCGGCCAACGTATCCTCGAAACCAAAGAAATCCAATGCCCGACCGCCCACGGCCCCCCATCGTCGCATCACATAAAAGATAGCTTCAACGATGCCCATACACAACCGTACCACCACGCGTACGCCACACGCAGCTCGTCACGCCGGGGCAGCTATCAAAGTGCTTGCCTGTCGGGTGCGGGCAGCGAAGACCGGACCAACAACATCGGGACGTTACCGCTCAACAAACGCAACTTATATCATTTTGATTTCGTCAAACGCTTTTTTTCGACGTTTTTGGCCGGCTTGCATTGCTTCGAAATGGAGGTGGAGAAGCGTATTGCGGTCGATAATTTGAGCGTTATGCAGGTGTGTATAACGGCGTCTTTGCTGAATCTATTCATCTCGTCCCAGTTGACTGACCATCCATCCGTTTCTCTTCTATTTCAGGTCTTCGAAGATATTTCCCCAGCCTTCGATCTCCCTCACTCGCAGAACCCACCTCTCCTCTGCGTCTGCTACCAGTTCGAATGTGGAAAAGGCGACGCCAAATCCCACTTTATCAAAAACCGTTGAAAGACAACCCTACGCCCCGACTCGGGCCACGACATATATTATATCACCCGACCCCCCCACTGCACAAACCGCCGTGTATTTTGGACAGCCTTCCCCATCATTTTTGTTGAAGCAAAGTCAAGTGTAGAAATTGTTTGAACCGAGGGACTATATGCCCTTCAGACCTTGTGAATTTTTTTGGGACTCTTGTTTCATCCTGCCGGAAACAAGTATCACCTTATTTATTGTTCTTCACCCTGTTAGATTTTGTAAAGTTGTTTTTTTTTGGATATAACTAACTTAATCATTATAAAGAGTATTACATATTCTATGAGGTTCTATACATTAGTTCTAGCAGACTACGCCGTGTCAGATATCTAGCCTCGCATATGTTTTGCGAGAAGAGTTCTCAGATTGTTCATGGCCGCAGGAAGAGTACGCATGGCCACAAAGTCAACCGTCGTCGAGCTCCCCTCAAAGTCATCGCCGTTGATGAGGTGGGTGAGGATGCACTTTGTCGCGTCACGGGGATGGGCTTCGCAGAAGAACGCCGAGAGACTGCCACCGCCGGCCTTTTTGAAGGTCCAGTATACAGCAACGAACCGGTTCGGGTCAAGCATGCGGTGATGGGCGAGGACCATGCTGTCAGAGGAGCCTTCGCGGTCTTGCTTTGTCCTCAGGCGGTATATGCAGGAGTTGGCGTCGAGCTCTTCGATCACTTTCGCGCTATCGCAATGCGGGTCCCAGATGGGTTTGTCTTTCAGGGATACGAGGGTTTTGAACTGCAAGAACGAAGCTTCGTCAGGGCTGTGCTCAGGTATATAACATTCATAGCTTTGACAATGCCCTACCACAGTGCGAGCCGTGCCTTGCAAATCAGCTGTGACCCTGAACCGGAACTGTCCTTCAGCACTTTGGAAAACCGTCGTCCCAGCACGAGAAACCTTCTGGGTCCATATCTCGGTAGTCCGGTTCCTCAGCACATCTTGCACCATCTGTTCGACGTCCTCAGCGTAACGATTGTCCGTTGCCGCCTGCGATATCCCCAGCTGCGAGGCAAATGAGTCTCGGTAGTTCGCCTTGACGTTGGCCGGGGTACGCTCCGCCGCCACCGCTAACGGCTCCGGTGACAACTGTCGGCTGTTGCGCGGATCGCTATCACTGTAGGAGTCGAAGATGGTCTCCAACTCTTCGTAGCCCTCGTCTTGTGTTGCTGACTCCTGCGAGTCTCGGTGCTGAATCAGGGTCTCAGCAAGTCGTCGAATGGCTTGGGGAGCGACAACTGTTGTCATGAACTGAGAGATGGGAGTGTGGATAGCCAATCGGTAGTCGATATCATGAATATGGGTAATTCGGCAGGAAGAGGGTCCGGTTTGCTCTGGAGAGAACTATTGAGTACTAGATGGGCCGCATTTTGATTTCGAAAATTTGAAACTCACCGATCAATGTGCCGCAGATGTTAGTCTCCACTTTGATACCATCTACATCCGGAACATCGTCGGCCCACGGAACACTCCTCTGAATCAGCACCGCTCGGTCGCCCGTCAGTTTCTGCGCGTGGAAGAGAACAACCGTTTCGCGCGGTATTGTGGGGAAAACCCCCTTCAGAACATGATGCTGCACTCGCGTAGACCCGTTCTGTGGCGCAACATAATTGCGCAAAACGCTCAGATTCTCTGTGAGCGGATCCCAGTTTGAACGAGTCTACGGATAGGACGACGAATATGAGATCGATAGAAAATTATTGCAGACTTGCTTATGCGGCACTTACCGATGAATTCGACAGAAATGCGAAAGCATCATCCGAACTGACATCCACGTCCAGAGTGAACTAAACATAGGAAAACAGGGCATTTAGCACGATGTCATAGTTTAAGAACATACACGCTCGATGGACGTACCTTCCACGCCTCTGCGATCGTCTTGTGCACGCTCAAAGTGCATGGCACAGGTTGCTGGTGCGTCTGCTTGGAATCCGTCCATTGGATCTCATCATTCACCAGATGAAGTAAAGTTTGAATCATCATGACAATCTCGTCTTTGAATGCTGGAGGAAGCGGGGAGCGATTGTCGATAACCGGCTTTCTTTGGACGTGGTCGGAACGGGCCTCTGGAATCTCCTTCTCTGTGATGATCGCAGCTTCGGGTATAGGTTCGCGGATAGGAGCATCCGCAGTTCGAGGTGGTTCTGCGAATGCGATTGGCTCCACCACTGGAGCGACGGGACTCTGCTCCGTGGAAGCCTTTGCAGGACTCCGTTCAGCAACATATATGGCTTCTACGGGCGTTGGCAATGGAATCGAAGGTGGCCCACGCGAAATTGGAGCCGGGATATATGAGGACTTAGCCGACAGGGGCTTTTCAGACACCCGAGGAGGAAAAATCATCGGCACATCGGTTGTGCTACGCTCACGTTCGACTGGGGAGCTGGTTTGTGGGATGCTGTATTCGGCTGGTTGATAGGGCTCCGTAGGCTCTTCGCTCCTTCGGAGACTCTCCACAGGCTCTGCAATACGTCCACGGTCGGCGATGGCTCTCTCAGGCGGGGAGACGAGAGGGGCTCGGTTCCTGGGATCAGCTGACGGACCACGGACGCGAATCGTCTTTGCCCCAGGACGTCTTCTCCATTTCCTCCATTCTTCAAACAATGCCCCGTCGCCCAACGAAACATAGAGCAGAACAAGACAGAAAAGTTGGTATAAGGTTCGAGCGAAGCCAGAAACTTCTCCATATGCAAGGGCTGTGGTGGGGCAAAAAGGAAACGTCAGTTTCAAGAAATAGACGGTGCAGCGCCATCCTATATAAAGTACCTTGGTCGACGAACACCAGCAATGGCGATACAATGGCAAAGCGCAGGACGGCCGGCAAGCTGTCGTTATCTGTCGTTGTCTTCACAGAAGTTTTAGCCGCCGCCGCTCCTCGCTTGGCGGCCTTTCTACCGTCGGCGGCGGTGGTATTTGACCTTCCCCAACGCATCGAATGAAAGCAGAGCGAATGCCTATGGACTGGGAACTGACTGTATTATCTCTGACACTAGTTGCAAATGCGTTCAACCGGATACGTTGCCAGGCCAAGACGGAACAGCGACCGGCCCAAACAAAAGAAGGCAAACTGGGTTGGAGCAGCGGCAACGAAACGCCGGCGCATGCGGCAGAGAATTGACCTTTCAGCGGCGCTGTGTGAAGAGCGCACATGGGTGTTGTAGCCGATACGTAGTGAGCACTTTCATCCCCACGCGACCGTTCAGAAAATCGCAATTGACTCCGATTGAGGCTGCAATTCAGGTCAAAGATTCCGCGCGCCGCCAGGACAGGGAACCGACAGAGAGACCGCCATTTCCCAGTCACGTGAGATCTCGAGATACGGTCAGAACGCGTGAGCACCAACAGCGCCCCGAACTCCGACTTGCGCATGCAGCCATCGTTGATGGGGCCCCATCTGGTATCGTCCCTTCATACAGCGTAAACCCTGGGACCTTTCTACAGCAGCATAGGCGCCACGGAAGCTTCAGTAACAACCTCCTCCTATACTATGCATCGCAGAAACGAGATAAAAGGCGGGACTGCACTTGAAGACCCACCGTATCCCCTAAACAGCTTCTGCAACAGAGATCTATCTAACAAACCAACAACAAGACCCAAATGAAGTCCTTCACTATCGCAACCGCTCTCGCCGCAACTGCCACCCTTGCGGCGGCCAAGCCCCTCGAGTCTCGCGCAACTTGGGGATTCGATCCCAAATTGGTGAGCATCATTCTCTTTCCCAGTTCACCCTCCTGCCCCAATATTTACTTTTCCTCGTCGCACAGCAACGCCCGCTACACGTGCTGCCTAGCGCCGAGGTCTCAAAGCACTTATAACAACTGGAAGACTGGTGTGAATCACCTCCACCGCATGGGCTGTAAGACGGTCAATACTGGCCCGCACCGCGTTATTTATGGGAAAAATTGTGGAGGCTGTAACCACGGCGGCCTCCAGGGAAAGTGGAATCTCCAGGACGACTTTCAGTACCCCCCATGCCTCCCTGGTAACAAGTGCTCTCGTTAAACAAGCCAGGTGCCGAGCACAATGGCGTTCTGGTACTGAGCTCATGCATCTCCTCCTGTTACCATCGCGTTTTGAACGTCCTGTCATTCAAAATGCATGGATGCTTAGCACGACTAAAAGAGAAGCCATTCAATTACTTAGCTACCTCGACAACAATCATAAAGTACGCGAAGGATGGAGCGTATATAAAAACGTGACGTATCCAAGATCCTGGCGACGAGGGGCCATACGATCCCAGTGACGTTCCCTCTGGTACGATCCCAGCGACGTTCCCAGTGACGTTCTCCTCCCTTCCTGTACATTTACTTCATATGTTATATATACGTAGACTCCCCCTTTTAGACGGAACCTCTTCCACATTCTGGAAGCGCTGGGTCATTTCTGTATATCTGCCAATATTGATAGAGTGAACCGAACTCTAAACTTGTTGCGCGTAGTCTAAGACCGTGGAATGGCTGTGAAAGGTATACTTTAACGGTCACAAAGGGTAGGGCTTAGGCATCCGCATCAACTACCCGCTCCTCAAATCGGCTTGACCAAGACACCTCCCTCGAAATTCCTCTGTTCCATGTCAGCGTATAACAAAACGGCACTTACGCAGATTGTGGACGACAAGCCACCAGCCAAAAAGAAAAAGATGGGCGGAAGTGATCGGGATGACTACGAAAAGGGGTTGCGCATGTCTCATTTCGAGAAGGTATGCGTTCTGCGATTATTTCGTCATCACCGGTTTGTTTATTGGCCGAGACACTTACTCACGGCGGATGCGCAGACAATATTCACGTTTTTATATACGATGTGCAAAGATGCCGAACATTCATCCATCTTCGCATACTTTATGATTGTTGTCGAGGTAGCTAAGTAATTGAATGGCTTCTCTTTGCGAATGCAGTCGTGCTAAGCATCCATGCATTTTGAATGACAGGACGTTCAAATGATTTCGTTCTCCTGGGATCCCGAGGCGGTGTGGGGTCTGCCCAATGTGGTTCGCGGCATCATGTACCCGCTGAATTTTGTTGAGCATAACTACAAGGTTCTGCAAGTCCTCTTCGGACTATCGATGTGTGTCATCGCTCTTACGGTATGATCACGACAGTTTTTCGGATTCTTGACGAGGCCGCCGGATGTATGACAAACAAGCTGCAGATCTCTCTGGGTGTTTTCGCTGCCTATTCACAGCATCGGGGAGGATTCCAGGTATTTCCTATTGCGAACTTGGATTGATGCACTCAAAGCACCTGACATCAATTGGACTATTAGTGGATCTGGCCCTTGATCCTCCTCCGTGCACTGTCTACAGTCGTCGCCACTGCACTCTTCATGCCGTTCATGGAAATCTTTGTCCTGACGACAGTGTGCGAGTCTAACATCGATGGTGGCGGCCACCACCTCAAATACTTCCCCGACAACCGCTGCTTCACGCCGGAACATCTCCCGATTTTCATCCTCTCGGTCGTCGGCCTTGCGTTTACCCTGCCGTTTGGATTGTTCATCAACTACATCTATGTGATACCCAGACCTGATAGCAAGTGAGTGAAGGATGGTGCGGTGCGCGACCCTTGTGATGAGGTTCATCTGACGTTCTCCTTTCCTTTGAGGAATCCGGCGGCGAAGGCTCACGGAATGCTTGACGTCCTTTACTTCGTTTTGAAGGTTATCCCTTTCGCGTTATGAAAGGGACGAGCAGCATACTTACTTTTGAATGTTCATTCAAGGTCGTCATTGTGTTTGTGGACGTTCTTATCGGCACACCCGGCAAGTTGGTCGTTCTGGTACTGGCCAACCTGACCCTCATTATGGCCTACTTGCAATATATGCCCCACTTCAACAAGCACGTCAACAACATGCGGGTCGCCCTCTTCAGCGTGTCCTTCCTGTCGTCCATCGTTGCTCTAGCCGCAGCAGTCCAAGCGCAAGAAAACCACGCCGGACTCGCATTTATTTTCATCTGCGTCCCGTTTGGACTAGCCGGGGGCTGGTATGCTACAGAGTACACCCTGAAGATGAAAACGGCTCGCACGATGGCCAGATTACAGAGGAAACTGCAAATGAACGAAGCCGAGGAGAACAAGATCGCTCTGGGTGCTCCAAGGATCCGAGCAACCCGCCAAAACTCCATCACCCAAAGCCTCCATAGGGCTGAGAGCAGGGGTATGATGCGAACGGCCGGAGCTAATATTGACAATCTGGAGAAAGGTAGTGGCAAACTGCGCCATTCTGCCACCGCGCCGAATATATCGGATTACGACAAGATCAAACAATTCCGTCAGGGAGCGGAATCAATCGAGCAGCCTTATGCGCCGAAAGACCCGAGTGACGTACTGTCGTTGGGTGGTAAGAAAGATCCCATCACCGACGCTGCTACTATTTTACAATACCATGCCGCTGCGTCCCGTAAAGCCGAATTGCCCCCGGTGGTGTTCAACGCGGCAACGGACGCCGATATCGTGTGCAGGTTCTTGCGTGATTGCGAGATCACGGACACCAGTCGCAAGATTATGGTCTTGGTGTTCGAAGAAGCCCTTTCCCAGTTTCCAACCAACGCCCAACTGTCGTTGATGTACACCTATTATCTGGCGTGCTGGGGAGACGACGACGACGCATGTCTCCTGCAATTTGCTGCAACGAATCGATGCAAGCCTTCCCTCGCGGTCCGGTTCCGCATCTTTATGGAGAAGCAAGATTTCGAGCAGCATCGTGATTCGGCTGACTTGTTGGCGTCGCAGATGGATGTTGCGTCCTATGTAGAGTTCCAATCCTTGGAGCGCCAAGCCATGTCATCCCATCTGGCCTCGCTGACATCGATGAAATCGTTCTGGGCAGCCTTGCGGGCGGATGCAAAGCAGGTCCGCAATCTAGGACGGATTCTCAGCTTGATGCACAAGTCGCAAAGTGAAGCGTCATACGCGTACGAGAAGCTCATAAAGCGATACCCGAAATCGAAGCAGATTTTGCGTTTGTACGCAAAGTATCTGATCACAATCGGAAACAGCTCCGAGCGCGGCGCACAGCTCTTGGATATGGCCGAGGAAATCGAATCGCGTGAAGCGCAGGATTCCGAGAAGCCGTTTAGGAACCGGAGCCCCGAACCCGAGCCGGAACCGTCGTCGTTCACACGAGGAGATGATTTGGCAAGTTTGGAATCCGGGACCGTCCCGAGGAAAAAGATGGTATCCGCTCTGCGAATGGAATCGATAATGTCGGAAGCGAGCTCGACTGGCTTTGGCACTACCGGGGACGACAAGCCGCCGGAGGAGAAGCGCAAATCCACCGTGTTGGCAACGACACTGTTCCGCATGCCTTCCGAGACTGCGAAAGACGTCGCGGCCTCCACCCGCAAATCCCAGGCGTCGTCTATGGATTCAGGCAAAGCCATGAGAAAGCAGCGGAGCATGCAGGGGCGCTTGACGGATACGCTCATCACGAGAGTGCTGCAGGTTTCCGTGTATGTGCGGGCCTGCTGCCTTGTGCTGCTTGGACTTTTAATTGCAAATCACACGGTGTCTACCACGCTTTTCAAAGCTCCGGAATCGTTTTTGAATACATTGGAGGTGGGCACTCTTTTTGCAAACATTTATGAAACTCGTGCTGACCTCGCGCTCACATGACAGGATGCCACCAGGGCACGAAGGGGTGCAATGCTTGCTGCTCAGGAGGTAAGAATCTCGTGACAACTAAGTTTCTTCTGGCTCTAGTCATAATGTGTTTATTGCATGGCGGCAGATTCGTTTGATGACATATTACGGCCACAAAGCCCCCGACGCCGCCGTTTGGCAGTTCCATCATGACAAACTCTCCGGGGAAGCCGGGCGCTTTAAGACTCTGATTCTGCCCATCCTCTTCGCCACCGCAAAAGAGGAACCCACGTACCCAATCATCCGAGCGAAGAGCGGGGGTTTCAACGCACCAAAGGACGTGTTGATGCACAATGTTTATACTTTGGGGACTTTGATGGCGGAGAGTATGGGACGATTGCTTTCGTTACCGAATTCATGGTGGACGACTGCGTCTTCCATTGAGGATGTTGATGTGAGGATGTGGTTGGATAATGCTTTGAAGGTAGGGAGTTGCCACTTACCATTTGATGGTGAGAGAGAGGTACGCAATAACACCCTTGATTGCACTTGCAGATCGGAGACGCATTCGACTCGGCAGCCCGCGCCGGCCTCACCTCCTACCTGGAACAATCGTCCGGCCGGAATATCCTCATCATCGCCTTGATGGTGGTCGCAATAGCAGTTATCGCAGTGACTGCCGCGCTGATCCATCTCACTCTCCGCCAAGCAGGGTTGAAACAAATTATCGTTCTCAAGGCGTTGGCGCGGTTACCTGCAAAAGACCAGCGCCGGATCTCAGATATGCTGGATGAAGAAGTAGAGGACCTGTCAGAGTACATTGCTGATGGCACGGTAAAGGATGTTAACCTTGGAAAGGGCAAGGATGATAAGCGTGTGAGCGATATTCTACAAACGAGGGTGAGTGTCCTACTATGGTCTCCGAAGGCGGTCGCTGTGGCGTATGTATTGATATCTTTCCCATGCAGCTCATCTACAGCGGGTCGCTGCTCCTGCTGGCTACATTTGCTATGATGCTCTTCGTTCCACCATTGATCTTCCTGCATTCGTCTGACACGGTATGAGAATTCAGTCCGCAGAGCTCCATTCTCGGGGGGCTGGAATCCTCATGCATCTCTCGTTGGCTGTTTCTCAGACTGCAAAGCTTATCATGTACTCCAACAACAGACGGTATACATACCAGGTATGACATATCCCGCTCGATTCTATGAGATCTCAGGTTTCGACACCCCTTCTTTCATCATCAGGTCATCGGATACTTGTCCAACGAGTTGCCAGCATACGACAACATCACTTGGGCGCCGTATGGTGTGCAGCATGAGCTAACTTGGAGGATATTCCAGCTTCAGCGGCAACACGACGTCCTCATGCATGGGAATGCAGAAGTGCCTTCCACCAATGATATCCCTGAGCTGGCAACGGTGTGCAGAACGGGTCCCATTTGCCTGGTAAATTCAGGTTGTGACGGTCGACAATACAACGAAACGATCGGATTCAACGAAGAACTGGTGTTTTCTGGGATCGACAACATCTTAGATGTTTATGTTGACCACGTAAGTCACGGATATTTTATGGAAGTCCAAGAGGGGGATCATTCTCACAATTCCCGCCATCATCAGGCCAAGCAATTCACGTCGGCGTCGTACTTCTCATATGACAATCCAGATCTCTTCTTTTTAAATCATCTGGTAAGAGGCAGTATTCCAGTAAGCGAAGGGACTAGGAATCCCTGACTTACCGCTCGTTTCCTTTCCAACCTCCAGGAAGATGACCTGGCAGACGGGCTAAGTAAGGTCGATGCGGTCCTTCTAGAGACCGCCCAAACTGAAAGTCACCAGCTCGTGACTGTTGAGAACATTCTTCTCTCTGTCGCGTTGGTCTACTTCATCGGGTTCTACTACATTACGTTCAAGTGGATCATTCATACGGCGAAGATTCAGCTAAGCCAGCTAGCAACGCTGATTTTCTGGATTCCGCCCGAGATAGGAGCGGCTTCGCCCGAGATTTCAAAGATGCTTCTAACAGGGACGGTAGAGGCATCTGAGGATTGAGCCGGACAGCCCTCCCTTCTTCCCCATGGACTTGATGCACAGGACCTCAAAACTGTGAATGGAATCTTTCGGATAGCAGTTGCGTAGGATCAATCCGACACTGGCATGCATAGTCGCTCAAGGCCTGTTTCTCTTACTTCTCCCTCGCGATTATTTCGTCATCACCGGTGTACAGTACATGACTAAACCCATGCCCCTCGGCACTGTATGGGGTTAACTACGCCATCCTATAGTTGTACGTGCAGGATGCTGTGCACAGGGTGGTTTCCACAGCCAACGCACAGAACATCTCAATAATGAGCGATATTTCTGGCTCACACTCGTCGTGACCAATTGACCTTGACCTTTCTTGACCTTGGCAATCGAGACCGAGTGCGAAAATCCTAATCCCAGACCAGAGTAGTGTCTATTAGCAATTGTTTCAAGACAACCACTCTGCGGCACTCAAATGTCATACATACCCACAAGTTAGGTCCTTACGCCACGTACTCGGTGCACAAGAGATTGCGAGGGAACGCTCGCCCGCGCTGATCCCACCCTGTTCGTGATACGATTTGGAAGGTGTATTTGCGGAGGAGAGTGGAAGGTGTATTTGCGAAGAAGTGGGGAACGCTGTACGTTCTCCCATGGCGTAGCCGTGGCAGCGTCCCTCGGGCAACGACCGCCGGCGCTCGTGTGAGGAGGCGTGGTGTGCAGAGTGGATAGCTGGCCGATGGTACACCGAGTGCGGCGGCCAGCCGGAAGTAAAGGATGGAGGCCACGGCCGAAAGGCCGCGCCGATTGACAGCAGATGGGTCGGGTAGGAGAAATGTATTGACCGTAGATGACAAAAGGAAAACGAAAAGAAAGGAAGAAATGGGGAAGGTAAATACAATAGAATGAATCCAAACTCCTGACTAGCTACCCGCGCAGACCCATAGTCCCTAGCTGAGCCAATCCGCAGTGCTCAGAACATTCCCCGTAATCCAAACCTGTAACCGTTATCCAGCCAGAGCAAACGCTGAAGTGTTATTCGGTGATCTCGTTGTCCGCGGTCGGCCTCCGCCGTCTTGTCAATTCCCACTAGTGCTCCTGCCAAAGACGAACATGTGTGCACAATCTCTGTATCACAATCCCTGTATCATCGCAATCTCTGAATCAATTGATACGCCGATTATCGTCCCATCCGTCTCTATTTGCACGGGTTGTCTCACAGGCAGAAGGCCAAAGCGCGAACTGGTAGTTTCCGTCAGCGTCGATACATATGACAGCGAGGTGGGGGCGCATGTTAGCCAGCGTTGTCTTCCAAGTTCTGGCTGGAACTGAGCACCGGAAAAGGATGTAGTACGCTTGAATACAGCGAGCAGGCAAGGCGCCGTCACTGCGCTGGTTGGGGAGCAGTCGACAACCGCACAACACCTTGCAATAGACTCGCGGTTCACTGGGAATACCCGCGCACCGCATAGCATAAAGGAACCAGATACATACTTACCAAGTAAAACGGATATAGCTGCTGTGTCGTGCCCTTAAGTTTGGGAACGAGAAGTGTGTTGACAGGCGATTACGGGTGAAAACGGAAATTTTTCCAGTGAAATTCGACAACTTTCCAACGGAACCCGTTGCTTACGTACTGCCCTCGTGTGGATAAGAAAGCCCGCCCGGATCCGGGGATCCCGTCGAACCGATACCGCGGGACTGTACAAGAGCAGCGGGGCGGAGATGGAGAGGGATCCAGACCCAAAAAATCGCGAGTGAGTCAGAATAACGAACGCGGTGAGTAATAAGCAATTGCGATTCTAAATCAGCCGGCCAGCCTGATAAATACTATTCATGATTAATCGTGCCTAATCTGGTGTGTAATGTCTGTCTGTGAGAGAGCAACAAGTCATCGGAACAGTGAGAGACAGACACGAACGCGTGGGAAAACTCGTCCTTGCTTGGCTGTTCGTCCACCTTGGCACTTCCAGGCTTTCCCACCACCACTGCCCCCCTCCGCCAACTCCAATGCTTAAAAGGAAGTCTCCTTCAGCCGCAGGACCACGATCGGAGGAAGGTCACTCAACTCGACCTCGAACCGCCCCACCATGTTCCGGTTCACCTCTGTCTCCTTCTGAGCGGAAGAGCTCTTATACCCTTCCGCTCACCGTCGCCATTTCTCCGTTCTTTCTGTCGTCTTTTCGAACTTCGCTCTGCTTTTCTGTCGGACATTCTACGAATAATATCAGCTGAAAATGGCTGTGCAAGTCCTTCAACCAGAATCAGTCTATCGGAAGCAGCAACTATGCTCTCGCCAATACTCAAAACGGCCGCCGCCGAAAGGTATGTTTACCGACTTACAAGCATTCCGTGGACCTCAACATCTCTAGTTTAACATTGGCACTTTTCTTGTCAGACCTTTACAAGAAGCACAGTGACTTGGCAAGGGCTTTTGTAGCAATTGCGTCCACCATTATTGAGCTTTTCGAAAAACCTTCTAAGGCAGCGCCGCTTGCTATCAGCTATCAATTAAACCCACCAGACATCACAAAACCTTCAGAAACCAAAGCCAATTGTGCCATTCGCCCGAAGACCGTCGCTCCGCTCATCAATGTCGTCGAACAACTCCTCCATCGCAGCAGGACCTCCTGCTCCGCTTTCCAAACCGCGTTGCTGTACCTCCTCAAACTGCGAACTTGCGTTCTGAGAAAGGAAGCGCTCGGAGGGTCTGCCTCCGCCACCGCCACTGAGTTTCCCCTGCGCTGTGGAAGACGAATGTTCCTGTCTGCACTGATCCTCGCAAACAAATACGTGCACGATTCGAGCATTTCCATGAAGGCTTGGGCCAGCATCTCTGGCTTGAGCGTGCAAGAGCTTTGCGCCAACGAGCGAGCCTTCCTTCATGCCGTAGATCACGACCTGCATGTTCCGGCACACAGATGGAACAAATGGAATCTGGCACTGAGGAGAAACGCGGCCCTGATGACGATGGCCCGCTCGAGGAACTGTCGGATGGCAGCCGCTCCCTGACACTTTCGGTTCAGGTGTATATTCTGGTGGAGTGTTTTCCTTCTGTAATGTAGATACCTCTGGCTCGGTAATGGTAATGACGCATATACTGGTTTCGGTCCGTTGAATTTGATATCCATTTTTGGCATGGAAGTGATAATACCGTAGATAGAACGTTTATGGAATAGATGTGCTCCTAATAAACAGATTCGCAGCTGCGCTCCTAAGAAACAAAGCAAAACAACAGTCCATTGGCCTTGAGCTGAGCTTGTGTGGGCAGCGGGATTGGGGGAAGTTGGGTTGTGGCTTTCCATGTTCGCACATAACGTAAGCACTAACTCCGCACATTGACAGCTATTGCATAGATCGACAGTTTTTCATGAGATGCAAGATTTTTGCTTTCGGATCTGCGTACCTACTACTCCTCATACTACTCCGCACTCATATCTGCAACTAACAGAACATTGTATGTACCAAAATGACATCAATACCTGCCTCAGCGCCAACATTCGGTCACACGGCCTTCCAACTCCGCAATTCGTATGTGAAAGGGCATTCAATAGGTACTTGCATTCGCGCAACATCATGCCAATAATTTATATCTCACCAGCTCTCTCCCACCCTAACAGGACCAAAATCACACGCAATAAACGCCTTGCGACGCCGCACAGCCGATCCAACTCAACATGCGGACAAGGGGAAACCACGGCCGGCGTCGGCCCTTGGCGTGTCTTCGCCGGCAGCGGCTGGGAAAACGGAGGAGGAGTATGTCAAAAACTTGCAGCAGCAGCTGTTTTTGCTGGAGATGGAGACGCGGTATTTGCGGGCTCGGTCAGGTACGAGTGCTATTGAGGTGTGCGTAGTTGTTGCAATGGACCCTCATGATCTAAACTCGTCACAGATGATACCGGACTATACCAGCAAACAGGGGAGCTGCCAGAGGGGCGAGGGGATACTGGGGCTGGAGCGGACAAGCGGCGAGTGCCGCTTGGGGAGGTCATCAAAGATCTGAAGCAAAAGTACGCCGACCTCCAGGATGAGTACAAAGAGGAAGTTCAGGTTGGGCAACATGAAGCTTTGATCCAACCCATACATGCCTTTTCCCTGATATTCCTCAAACCTCACCCAACCAGACCCTGAAAACCAACCTCTTCTCCGTTCAATCCCAATACCGCACCTCCCAAGAGAAGCTCTCCGAAGCCACAAAGCAGCATACCACCCTCACCGACCAATTCACCACCTTCCAAAAAGAGTCCAACACCGAAAAGCAGGGCCTGCTCCGAGAACTCAGCCGGTTGAAGCAGCAGGTTGCGAATGCGGACGGCGAGGCGAAGCGGTGGGAAGGGATGTATGAGCGCGCTATACAGGAGGTTGAAGCTATTAGGGCGGACAAGAGGAGGTTGGAGAGTGTGGTGGATTCGTCGAAGCGGAGGGTAAGATTGGCAAATTTCTGGTTATGCCGGTGAACGTGGAAAGGGACTAAGAACTTTTTTGATGGCTGCAGATAGAGGAGGTGGAGGCTGCCGGCACACACTATGAGAAGCGGATTGAGGAGCTTTGCCACGAGATTGCGTCCGTCAAGGTAAGCGCCTTCCGCAGAATCCGGTCATATCTCGACGAAGTTCACGGCTAATCACTCTGTGGAACCCACTTCCGTTACCCAGCACTCACCACCACCAGAGCCCTCAGAAGCCCTCACCACGCACATCGCCAGCCTCCAACAAACCCTCAACGCTGTACAATCCACCCTCAGCACGATGCAATCCACCAGCACGACGCAATCCAAACACATCTCCGACCTAACAACCCAACTGAAAGTCGCCGAATCCATCAACAAACGCCTCCTCACCGACGTCGAAACCCAAACGGCGCGCGCAACCGCCCTCGACACCCGCTGCAAATCCTACCAAGCCCGCCTAGACGAGCTCGACCGCACGCTGGATACCACCACCGCGGAACTGCACCGCGCGTCTTCGGCGCGCAACTCGCTGACGGATCGCTTGACGACTATGAGCAGCAGCTTGCAGATCCAGACGGAGCAAATTGCGGAGCTGGAGACAGCGAATAAGCTGCTGATCAAGGAGTTGGGAGAGACGAAAGCGGGGTTGGAGGCGCAGGGGGGGCGGTTGAAGGTTGCGACGGAGGAGAGGGGCGCGTTGGCGGCGGAGGTGGATGAGATGAGGGAGAAGATTGCGCATATTAAGCGGTTGGAGAATTTAGTGAGGGAGTGTGAGGAGCGAGGGGAGAATTACCTCGATTCATTGCATAAGTTTGCAGGCGGGCTGAAGGATCAGGGATTTGTGTGGAAGGAGGAGTTGAAGGGTCCGAAACGATGACGAGGGCGCCGAATTCTATTTGGTTCCATCGGGATTCTGGCAACCCGCGATGTAATTCCCCATTTTGTACATGTAGTTTCCTGTCCCATACCCGCCATGATTCTCAGACGGAATGTAAGTCGATTGTCAATGCCAAATAGCGCCGGAAGGACACGTGCAAGTGATTGCGTTGGGGCAACATCCCGTCGAGCGTCGAGGCAAATAATATTTACATAAAAAGAAAAATGCCTATCGGATAGGTGCACGGCCTAATCTGACTTCTTTGTCGCTTCTGAGGAATTATGCCCTTCGCGGGCTACTGGTACCTCCGTTTGCTCGTTCTGCTCAATGTCTATAGCTTGTGGCCCTCTCCGCCCTCCCTCTCCCTCTTCTGGTAAATCTAAGACTACGTCCTCCACCTCCTCATCCTGCTCCGAAAGCCTGGTCGCCTCCCACTCCGTCAGTGGCACAGGTGTGTACTCGCCATGTGACTGCAGCTCCTGGGCTTGAGAGGTCCATGAAGAGTAGTCATCCTCCGGCAAGATGGGCGTCGTCGCTCGCGCAGACTCCGAGTCCTCGTTCTGCAGGCCGAAGTCAAACCCAACCGCAGAGGGACGGAAACTCGTTGCCTCCGAATGCAACGGAGATCCGACAGGAGAATGAGGCGCGCTAGATACGCCGTGATTCAGTAGCGCCTTGATGTCCTCAGTGGCCTTCCGGTCCCCGTTTTCCGCATCAAGGTCGGTAATCGACCCATCTGGAGATGCGGCTCGCGAGTTGTTGCGCGAATTGTTGTGTGTCGTGTCCGCTGAGGTCGTATTCGGAGAAACCAAACCCAGTCCATACGGACTTGACGATCGGATGGTTGGCGACGCACGCAGCGGAGCGGAAGGCTTGGCTAAAAAATAACCGGACGTTTTGATCGCTTTGGCGGCGGCGGATGCGGCCTGCTCTGCCTCAAGCTTTGCTTGGTATTCGTCGAGGATTGGAGTCAAATCTGTTTTGGGCCCTTTTCGTCGTCTTTGGTAGAAGAGCATGTATGCCGCAGACGTCTGGAAGTGGAATGTAAGAAACCCATCGCCCAGGAAATAGACCTGCAAACGCTGTTTTTACCATGATTTGAGATTCGTCCGTCTTGGTTACTTGACTGTCATCGAAGTTATACCATTGATCGTCCAGGCAGTTCTTGGCGTATGCCGTATCTGCAAAAAGGACGTGTAAGCTCCCTGAAACCATTGACCCAAGAATACAACTGAACCTACAATGACCACCTCCCAAACCACCAAAATGGTTCGAAACAGCGAACAAATCGTATACTAGTTGGTTATCGTCGTCATCAGCCGCAGAGTCCATTGGCTCGCTGGTATCTGCATCAGTTGCGGATGCGCTTAGAAGGTGCCCGTTCCCAACGACAGTATGCGTGCCATTAGGTTGCGGTGTCGCTGCCATGCGATCGTCACCCACACCTGCGGTGAGCGGCTCTTCTTCGTCGGCAACATCCGTCATCTCATCGGAGCTGATTGTTGTTTTGTCTTTCAACTCCTCGGACAATCCCATACTCTCGGATTCGAACGATTCAGTTCTACGGATTGATTCGTTGCTATGCCATTTGCGGGCGGGATGCTTTCCAAGCACCACGTCTGTCAGATCTAGGCCTTGAATTGGGGCATCGACGAGACAATCAATCTTATCGCCCATTATGCTCCGGTACCCGCGTCCTGTGTTGGAGAAGCGCTTCAAATGGAACACAAGAATCTGAAAGTGCCGAGTCCATTAGCCTTGTGAATAGAGCGACCCATTGGAAGGATTGTGATGCCCACCTCGGGTACGGTCCAAATGTCCAGTTTCTTTTTCGTTGGCCGATGTTCTTTACACCGGGGACAATACCAGCTATTGTCTTCGCCGAGCATCTCTTCCTTGCGGTATTCGTTCAAACAGTCTTGTAAACTTAAGGACTTTTTCTCTAACTTCTGTCGAGCTTCATACTCGGATTTCAACCTCTCGTTTTGCGAATCTTCCAATGTCTATAATCAGGGAATCGAAGAATGAAACGGTAAGCTGACGCGGCACTATGCTACGGCATGCTGGGCCCAGCAGAAGGTGAAACCTACCCGATTGTCGACCACATATTGGTAACAATCATTCGTCCATTCCATGTATATATTGATGTCAGCTTCGGACAAGGGCACAATTTCGGCATGCCTATGCCGATCCGAGTATATTGAGCTTTCGGTCAAACTCGGGCGGCGAAACTCGCTCTTCGAGAAACCCCGCGGTCTCCGGAACGGTGTGTCGACAGTCATAGGCTCAGGATCGGATCCTTCATCGTCGGCATCTGTTGATGTTTCCTCTTTTTCCGCCTGGTCTCTTAATCGATACTGATACTCCGAAGGACCCTCATAAAGGATATCTACCCAATTAGGGCCGCCATTGTAACTCTCGGAAGACCACTTGAGTCGGAAGAGATCGATGATTGGTTCGCAGTCTTCGCCAATGTCATCCCAGGACACCGGGAGTTGGGGGGCGGGTCGATCTTCGTCGATAGGAAGGTCTGACTTATTCTGACTTGCCGGATAGCTTTCAAGCATTTGATACACTTCTTGAATGCGCGTGAAGCCATTCAGTGTGTAGAGAGGAATTTTGGCATACTTTCGTAACGCGCGCACGACTTCGCGATAAATTCGCCGAAAAATCTCTCTAAGCAATGCGGTTCTCTGCTCTTGGGTTGATCGCCGCTTCGCGCCTACTCTCGATACCGGTGCATATGCAACGAGCTTCGCGGGTATGGTGATCATTATTGGCGGGCCATACACCTGATTCAACCGATCGCGGCTATCGTGCATACTAGTGGTCCATACCGCGCAACGCTTGATATTGGTCTCCACACGATCCGCATACGGAACTTCCCACATATCCCAATCGGGTTCCTCGTGCTCCACAACCCAGATGTCATCATACGAATGTATGGCATTCACCATCTCGCTATTCTCCAACACCCGGAGGACCCTGTTGCGTCCAACATTGACGACGATGGCGTGCTCAGCCTCCGAAGCTTTCCACCTCATCCTTTTTGCGACCATGCTTTTCAGGACCGCGATGCTGGTGTCCCTTGGCATGCTCAGAAAGAGACGAACGGGAGTTTCAAGCTCGCGAGGGCCGCTTGGCGCAACTTTCGGCATGGCTGTGAGTGAGACTTCAACCTCGCGATGATCGGGTATGGGAACAGAAAGAAACATGTAGGGGTCGAACGTAATCGATAGCTTTCCACATTTCGTGCATTCCACCCGACTCTTGTACTGCCCTTGGAAGAGATCCACTATAACCGAGTCATTCCGCATGCAGTAGATCTCCCAAGTCTTCGCAGCGATCGTCTCGTCGGATTCCCCATCCATGTCCGGAACTTCGATGTAGGGCTTTTTCTTGATTCGGTTCAGATCTTCATGCAGGCCGTCGATCAGAAACCCGAGAAGCTCTTGCGAGTCTTGTTGTGAGTAGCCGGCAAACATCGGGTTGAACCGGCCTATTGTTAATTTGAAACCCCGAGGAGAATAACTGGTGCCTCGCTGACCGTCAGGTCGCCATAGTTGCGATATCAGCTCCGCATACGCCTCAGCAACCTGTCCCTTCATGCCAAGAGGATTATCTGGGTTCAACTCTGATTGCCAACTCCCCTTCAGAAAGTATTTAGTCAGCGGCGCAGTATTGCTAAGGCACTGCAACGCAGAGTTCATAAAGCACGTGTTCCCCAGATTCGACAGTCCCATTGCACCAGTTGTGACAGTTGAGGTAGGACGTGAGTAAGTTGGGGCGGGCAAGAAGTTGAAACTGTTCGAGTTGGCGAAGGGCGCCGTTGTTACATCCTCCGGGGGGGCAGGGCCATATTCGAGCATCAAAGGGGGTCCTTCTGTCGGCTGCTCTCCTTCATCTCCACCATTCAGCTTCCTCAGCACTCTTTCCCGTTTGGTCAGGATTTTCGGCGATGTTTTCGGCGAAGCGGTAGTTGGTTCAGCCGTCGCCACCGATAAGAATGGCTTCACGGCATCTGAGGTGTCTTCGATTTCTGCGGTACTATATGGAACAAAGCCAATGAGGTGCTAAATCCTCTTTCTATCAACATGATATGAACTTTACCGCACGACATCTTCCATATGGAAAACGCTGTCCGGCGTTTCATCACTTGGTGATGGCAAGTTATGCTCCACTTGTGGAATTATTTCGATCCAAGACGCTGTTCCTAGGTCACTTTGCGTCAATGGCTGACCCTCTTTTATTGAGATCTTTTCACCGTTAGAGCGTATCAAGCTCATGCCGAAGGTGGACGGATTCAGGTTGAGCTTTTCAGATAGCAGCGTTCTTATCTGTTTTGGAGACGTTTGTCGAAACAGCATTATCGAAGCCACCGGTTCCGTGTCCGCCTGCATATGACTGTACCGGACATCAAAAGATGCTGGATACAGATCGACATGCCATCGCCCATCCGCACCCATATATGTTTGACGACTGACCGCCGAGGTGTCATTTACCAAGCCATGTCTATACTCCACGGTCAGAATGGTCGGAATGCGTAGTCTCAGTACGTTTGCGATGAAACTCACCGATTTGCTATCGCTTCCCACGCCTCCGCTGACACAGAGATATAGTCGAACCCTTCTTTCAGATCCGGCCGTAACTCGCTTGCGCCAGGCTCCAGCAGAGACGAGTTATCCACTGGTGTAGGAGATTGCGTTTGTGATTGCGCTAACCTGCAGATTCGCAGCGGACTGTGAGTGTGAGAACAACGATTGACCGACAGCCGTACCCAAAATCTCCCTACCAGGACTGGGCTACCAGGTAGTATGTGCCGTCTTCCTTTGGTTGACCAACCCACTTCAAGAGATCTGGGTTCTGCGCTAAATTTCGATCCGGGAGTTGAGTGACAGAAGGGGAGTTCCGCACTTCATCTGCTGTTGCTGTGCCGTGTTCCCGCATCTCACTTTGGGTAGCGTGGCGGATAGGTGGCATTTCGCGACAGTAGAGCTGAGAGAGCTTGTCGCCGCTTTCGTCTGGAAAAACGAGCGTCTTTGAACGGAAACTATCGTCTTCATCGAATCCATTCGAGTCAAACTCCATATTGTCCACGTCCCGCCCGTCCCGCCCGTGATGATCGCCGCCCGAAACCCTCTCCTGTTCCCTCTTGACAAACCCTGAGTACCCTCTAGCCGTTGGAGTGCGTGGAATGTGGGGACTCTGCTTCGGTGCGTCAGGAGACAGGGCTGCGTCGGTAGCCGGGCGCTTCAAACTGCCTTTTGGAATAGGAATACTTGCGCTCGAAAAGGAGGACGTCGGAGAGGAAGTTTTCCCCATGAGGAGCCTATGAAGGTACAGTTGTAAACCCCCAAGCCGACACGAGCGCGGGTACGCCGACCCTGTTACGACGTTTTCAGAAAAGCCAACGGTAACTGTCTAGGCCAAAAAGTCTGGGATCCCAGGGCCGCTCAAGAAACCGTAAACTTGCCCCGCGTAAAGGCACTCGCGACCGGCAAGTGGACCGAGGACGGAGCAGTTACTACACACTTCCTGAGTTAAGGCAGCCGGTGGAAAAGCTGGCGGAGGAGGAACCGCGGCGGTTGGGAATGGGAAAGAAACGTCGGGCTCTGGCCAGTTTTTTGGAGACCCGAGATGAATTCCCAGAGAGAGGGAGCAGACAACACTCAATAAGACTTAATTATTTCAACGAATCTAAGTCCCTCACTTATGCTCCTTCGTGTTATGTCCACACCGCGCTGTCGATATTGCGTTCGGACATCTCCGCCCACGTTCCGTTGGCCCCCCGCACCTCTCAAAAGGGCCCTTCATGCTTCGCACGTCCCAGCCGGTGTCACACATCTTCACCGGTTATTGTGGCTATGCAGGTTCAGGCTGTTTGGAGATTAGTTTCGTGAGAGTTGCGATGGGTGGAGTCTGGGCAAGTGCCGATTATTCATCTACCCGCCTACGTGTGCTGTTAGGGGAACAGAGCGCCGAAACCAGTCTTCCACCACTCCATTCTGCCAGCCCAAGAGCTCAGAGTTTCAATCATTCCCACACCATTGCTTTTATTTCCACGACCCATACACCTTCGCTTCAACGTCTGCGCCTCGCCTCTCTCTAGCCCCTCTATCCACATCAATTTTCGACAGCTCCACCCCATCCCACCTGTCGCTTGCGATGGCGCCCGCCCATCAGCCCATTACCATTGAGCACCGCCGCCCCTCAAGCTCAGCCGCTCTCAATTCCGTTCATCTCTTCACGCACTGGCACTCTCTCTCGTTTCGTTTGCCTTTCTAAGTAATGGTCGGATATTCCATAATGTGACCTGTGGGTTGGTTGAAAAACTTCATTCGACTCCCCGATTGGGACGGCACCATCAAGACCATAGTTCTTGTCAGACACGGTTTTCTGTGTCTGGCATTGACTCGCCATCTATCCGAGAAGCGAGACCCGGGAACTCTCTGAACTCTCAGAACAGGCAACCCTTTAGTCATGCCACCAAATGCAGATCACTTATATCAGAAGTCGCTTTCATTATGTGCCTTGACGCCTGTCGCATCCTTGCAACGGATGGCAACAGGATCTTCAGAAATTTTTTGGAACACCTACATCCAAAAGCTCAAGCCCACCATGATCAGCGGGAACCAATTCCCTGAACACCCTGGTACCAAATGCACCCGCCTCTGGTGCCACCTTCATCTTCCGCAACAACGTCTTCCGTTTTAGCGGAGCCGAGGTTGGGGATGGCTGGACAGATTATCTGTCTGCTCAGACTCTGGCAGCGAATTTCAAGTATCATGTCAGTGTGCTGAGGGTATTTGAGGGGCAAATCACTCTTGTGAACGTCATAGAACTGCTATCAGAACAGGAAAAGAAGTGTAACGTCAGAGGGAACGTGGGTCAATAATGGGCCCTGTTTTTTGTGTATTACGGTTGGACCAAAAATCTCCAAGTCCCGTTCGCCAGAGGCTGCCCCCACTGAGCGCTTATAGTACGGAGCGTCAATGGCACGGTGTGGCATCTATCGGGCGCAGGATGCTTACGTGGCCAGCGCAAGTCCCTTGCCGTCGCGATTAAGTCACACCCGGAGATGACCCGGCCCTTATGAAAAGCACCCTAAGGAAAGGTTTTGGCAGCGTACTGTAAGGATGGTGGCCAACACAGCTTACGCAAATATTGCTATCTTAACAAGTAAAACAATACATCCACACTTCATTGTGTCCAGAAAGGAAGCGAATGGCGTCTTTGCACCTGCCCCGACCACAGCTGTCCAACAATCTACAGTATACCACCTATGCTGGTCAACGGCCAATCGTCAACGGAGACATCCAAGTGGGCGCTGATGTTCGCTTCCTTCAGCATCAATATTCCCACTGTCGCTTTCTGTCAGTTCCAAACGCACATGGGAGCAACTCTGGAAAGTGTCCGAAGCATACTGTACTGTACCTCCGTTTGGCGGCCTCAGCCCTCACGCGTCTCGCCGTGAGCTACAGGTTAGCTCGTCGGGAACGCCTCGTTTCTCGTTCGGCCCCAATAAAAGAACGCTGGGAAAGCCTCGACCCGATGGCCCGGCTGTCCGAGTCCACCACGAAGTCTACCGTTAGAGAGGTAGATATCACACTCAGGCAACCTTTACGGAGTTCCTGCTACGTCAGTGATAAAAGCGATGCGCCGCAGCGACCGATTGAAACCTGCGACCCGGGTTCCCTTGGTCCCTGTTCAACATGCACCGGCTGCCAACGTGCAGCAACCTGCCGAACCTCGCAAGGGCCTGACAAGGGTGCAAGGTCAGGCAATTCACTACGAAAAGCCCGAGAAGAACGTCAGGTCGCCTAAAGCACGGAAGGCCGCAGCCGAGGCACCTGCCCCTAGCGGACTCCCAGGCACTACGCAACGCCCCCCGACCTCCAACAAAGCGGGAGCCGACGAAATCAAAGCCTTCATTCAGGAAAAGGCTGAAGAACGCAAGGAGCTGCGAAAAAAGCAAATCGCTGTCGCTACAGCTCAAGCGAAAGAGGTCGCGGCTCGTCTGCAGGCCTTGAACGAGTTTCGCCGAATGCAGCGTCGGACGGGTGGTGTTGACTCGGGCAGATCGCGCTCTCGGAGCCATAGCCCGAAGAAAGGAAGACAGCGGAGGATCGAGTCGTCAGCGGCTCAGGACGGTGATGGGATCACGAGGACGGTCGAGAAGGAGGTTCCTCCCCATCCACCGACTCTCCGAACGCCACCCACCCCGATTGGGAACCAAAGCATCTTCGCTCTGGCTTGTGAGGGAGAGGAAGCATACCGCGTATCGGCTGAGGACGTTCGTCCGGTGGATTTAGATGCGGTCATTGCATCCGCGCGATCCCTCCAAGGCCGCCTCTCGAAAGATGCCGCTCCCTCTACGGAAGACGAACTTACATCGTCGGATACGTCTTTTGAGGCAGACGTGTTACAGCTTTCGGACGCACTGCCTGTAACTACGCCAGTGGTCCCTCAAACACGATTGCCGGTCCTTATCCATCTAAAGGACCCGCAGCACATACCGGACTCCCTGAGTACCGTCAACATTTACACCCGGACCGCAGCTCAGACGGACGGCGACGTGAAGAAAAGTTGGTCGAATGCCGTATGTCAGACCGACCTACCGGTGACGATCGAAGCCGAAACTTCACCGTTGTCAATCATCGAATGGTCAAACGCGGTTTGCCAGACGGACATACCACAAACGATGGAAGTCAGCACCTCACCATTGGCGATTGCCGAATACCCTTACTCACCTCCACCGGTGCCGCAAGGTGCGGTGGGCTACAGGGATACTTGCGATGAGCCAGAGCAAGAGCCTCCGCACGCTTGCAGCCCCTTCCCCGATTGGGGCGGGCGCCTGTCCCCGCAGGCTTTAGCGAGAAAGTTGACTGCAGAGCTGAACGCCCTGGAGGCTGTGCAGCTGGCAGAGCTCCATGTCGTAGAGCTAAACAGAATCCGAATGTCCGCTCGGGAACCGGCAGTTCTACCGCAAGCGCCGGAACAGGAGTCTCCCTACATTGCCTCGGCAAGCGGCCTGGCTTCGGTCTCTGCTCTTTTCGTTTCGGCACCATCCGCCGCAGACGCGCCTTCGATTGTCCCTTCGGTCGTTCCTTCGGCCGTCTCTTTGGCCGTCCCTTCGGTCGTCCCCTCGGCCGACCCTCCGTTCGTCCCTCCGGTCGCTCCTCTGGTCGCTCCTTCGATCGTTCCTCCGATCGTTCCTTCGGCCGTCTCTTCGGCCGTCCCTTTGGTTGTCCCCTCGGCCGTGCCTTCGGTCGTCCCTTCGGTCGTCCCCTCGGCCGACCCTCCGTTCGTCCCTCCGGTCGCTCCTTTGGTCACTCCTTCGGTCGCTCCTTCGGTCGCTCCTTCGGTCGCTCCTCCGGTCGTGCCTGCGGTCGTGCCTTCGGCCGTTCTTTCAACCGCTCCTTCGGAAGCTCCTTCGGTCGTTCCTTCGGTCGTTCCTTCGGTCGTTCCTTCGGTGGTGACGGTGGAACTGGAGGCTCCTGATAACGTTCCTGTTCCCCGAGCAGATCTGGCGGCCATGCCTTTAGTTGCCATCGAAAAATGGCTAGATGAGGTAGGGGTTTTAGCAAACAACCACGGTAGGGAGCAGACAAACTCAAACTTTCCATTTCTTTCAAATGCAGATACGACAGGCTTTCGAAGAAGAACTCGTACACCTCTGCGGCGAAGAGGCAACTCTCGAGAAAACACTCCGAGAGAAACTCCTGGACCTCAGAGGTCGCCTTTCTCGTCGTGCCTTTGAACGGATTGTAAGCTTTCCGCAAATGCCCTTTGATCCCCACGGTCGCCTCATAACCGACCTGATTGTTTGTAGGAACGCAACGAGGTGACACTTTATGAGGAGAGAAAAGCGCTCCTTCAAAAGATGAAAAGGGCAGTTCATTCCGAGTATTTTGAAGACATAGCTGTAAGCATTTCAGTGACAGTCATCGCGCCACATTATATTCTGATCGTCGCGTTACGAACCCCGCAGGCGGCCAAAGAAGCGTTGGCGCAGAGAAGATCAGCTGCTTCTCGGGTTGAGGCGACATCGGTGTACAATGAAGCATTAGCCGCGCCTAACAACGAGATAATCGCTGTGGGAGAGGTCGCATGTACATCGGTGTGCAATGGGGAATCCGCCGTGCCGTTGACCGAATTTACAATGGAAGACGTTGTATCTCCATCGGTGGGCGGTGACGCGTCTGCCGCGCCGTCTCATGAAAGACTCGCAGAGGAGGACGTCTCATCTACATCAGTGTGCGAGGAGGAATCCGCCGCTCCGTTCGACGAACAAATGACAATGGAAGACATCGCAAGCGACAGCATTGCTGGGCAGGAGGATGCCCGGAACGTGGTAAGTACGATGTTGCCGTATCCCGCCAGATCACCCTTGCTAAACATTTTGCCAACGTCGTAGGCATTGGTAGAAACGCACCTCACAAGTACATTGGCCGCGGCAGGCAACGAAGATGCAGAGGCCAACACGGGTTTCATGGATAAAGTTCACGACAGGGATGCGGTAAGTGTGCTATAGGCATATTTGCGCTAGTTTACATTGTACTCATCTCTCGACAACGTCGCAGGCTTCAGAGGAAGCGCAACCTCTCGCTACTTTTGCTCCGTTAGTCGAAGCCGACAATGAAGTTGGACTTGTCACTGAGCACCATGAGGGGGACCACTCTCACCCGGGAACTCAGGGCAACCTGGACGCGCTTTACACACCCCACGACAAAGCGAAGGGATCATCGGATCCCTTCAAATCTACCAATGACGAGGCATCACACGATGTCGCACCGGGTCAACCGAAAACCTTGACCCCCCTGTATGTCCCGGAGCTTGGGGATTGGGCAGATGAGGAACCCGATGACTTCGAAGATGTTCCGATTGAGGCGCCTAGCGCACCCGACTTACCCGAAGAGGCCACGCGGCAAAAGAGCGCGCGCGCGTTTATTGGAATTATCTTTGCCAGTCTCTTGCATGACGCATTGGTCAACATCTGCGTTGAGGAACGGAACATTCCCAACCGGGAAGAAATTTTATCGTGGTACAACAACACGGTCAACGGACCGGAGGACGTCGACGTGTCAACCGCGCTGACACACCTGATATCAAACGATCTTATGAGGGACTCCGTGCGCCAGATGTGCCATTTATATCTGCGCTGCCGGCACGCGTCCGACGGACCAGACGTGGAAGTTCAATACCAGGACATGTCGTCCGTCGCCTCGGACTACACTCGAGCGGTTCTAGAGGCATCCCTACCACATCTGGACACGTTCACATCAATGGGAAGTCTCCCCAAAGTCATGCCCTCGGAGACATGCGAACAATGGACGTCTAAGATCAGTGATGATCGACGAACCATCCTTTTGGACGCCATCAACGAGGCCCTTCCCCTCGCATACGACGACCTGCAGACCAGCTTAACCAGTCGGCGTGGGAGTGGCCCGGGAAGGCACCAACTCATCACAGAGACTTGCCGGAAAGTGGCGCAATGGGCGGAATATTCCGAAAGGTTTGGAGAGAACCTGGACGCGCTTCTTATCACAAGTATCAAAAACGCCGATGGCGACTGGGAAGAAGAGCGGTGGCAGCTACAAGTGTGGGAGGAGCTGATCGATGACTTGTGGGACGACGTCATCGCAGATACCGCCCGGGCCACGATTTGCAAGTTCCCCTGAGCCCTTGGCATGGATTCCCTCACAATTTTGGATAAAGTTTTGGACAGAAATAGGATACTCCATAGCATTTGTAGCAAAATAAAAATATTCCTGGCGTGTGGGTCACGATTTGCTGCATGATGCTGATTTCAGTGTTCTATTTGATCCGAGCGCCGCCTTTGAGGTCGAAGGAAAGTCCAGCGGCGGCAAATCGGAGGTGCACTGGTAACATCGTGTCGCTAGAAGTGGCACCTTTTTTAAACAGTAAGGACAAAGCCTTTCGAGATCCTTTTTGGACTTATGATCGGTAAACTGTTTACTGGCCGCCGAATAGACCTTGACCATAAAAAACAGTATCCACGCCGTAAGCAAGAAGTTGAAAAGCGTTTGGAAAAAGTTTCCGTAGTTCCAAGTAACACCGCCGGCTGCGAAACTATCATCAGTCACAGAAAATCGAGGGAGATGGACCATTCTACATACCGGCATAGACTTGAGATGGTGTTTTCAGCGACGAGCAGTCGGTTCCATTCTGCCCGGCGCAGTCGGGATATCTTAGCATCACAAACGCATTCTGCAGGTTTGAACCTAACGCAAGGCCAACAACGGGGCCAATAATGTCTTGCGTGAAGCTAGTCATGATAGTTGTAAACCTGTTCTCGATGAGCTTCCTTAATACACGTACGTGATCTTTTAACAGATGTGCCGCCCCAGTCAAACTCACGCGCCGCCTATTATGAAGCCGATGCACACATCGATCACTCCGCCTCTAAGAATGAAATGTCGAAAATCTTGAAGAATGCTCCCAGCCGCTCTCACTCCCCTCTTGCTCGACTCGGCACTGATTTTGACGACCTTCTTCCTGAACTTCTGTGCAGCTACAACCGGTCGACCTCGGCGTTTTGGGGACCGAGAGTCACCGGATCCAATGGGCGAGAACGCAGTCGACGAAGGAGTCCCCATTGAAATCCGCCTTCGGAGGCCATCCGGCCGGGTATCATGTGTGATATTGTTGTCGGAGGCTACCCACTCCTCCGATGACGAAATAATCGAGACTCCAGCTTCCAGGTCCAGCTCTTGAGTTTCCTCGTCCTCTACGGACCGACTTGCGGTCGCTCGGTTTTCGAACGAAGACGGGGCAAGCACGAAACTCTCAAGCACCGAGGAAACTCCCGATCCGAACGTGGCCTTGTTGAAGGAATCGGGTGGAGTCGTGTCACCTGGATGATGAGCCTCATTGCTTGGATCAGACTTTCTGCGCTGCATTTTGCCGTGGTGCCTGTGCGCACAAACAGGCCCGCCGAGCGAGCCCGAGGGGAAAGATTAGCATATACCTTCGAATTTGCAGAAGTAAGCTTAACTTTGTTCTATGGCTGCAAAGCAGACAGAGCTCTACGCGCGTTGCATGGCGTCCCGCTCCGGGGAAACGGGCAGGGCTCAGCGGCCGCCACGCGCGCCCCATCTGACTGACGGTGACTCTTCTTCACTGGGATTCCGTTCTTACTTCCTAAAAAAAAAGAAGATCAGGACACCATAGTTAACGCAACGTATGCGCGCACAGAAACGCCCGCAGGTTCACGCGACAAATACACCTGTTCCTCACTCCGACGCCATTGCTATTGCGCCATTGCCATTGCGCCATTGCGAGTCCCAAACTGACTCCCCACAGCACACTGAGACCTCCTGGCCCATCACAGGCCCCTCCTGAGTGTGCCAATGGCCTCCCCGCGCTGGACTAGATGTGGTGCACCACCCTCAACACCTACAAACAAGTCTGCACCGGCCACCCAGTCAACACCGGCCACCCAGTTAACTCCGCTGCGCTGCTCACCTAGATTCAGCAACACCGCCAACCCAACCACAGACCTGTTCCCTCCTGTTCCCTCTCGCTCTCGTGGGAAGCCCTTGACCATAGAGGAAAAATATATGGTTGTCAGAATGGCGAGATTCCTTTACCTTCACGCAGACAACTATCCCGGCAACCCAGCTGCACTTGACGCACGTGGCAGAACGGCAGAGGCCTGTGGAGTTGGCAACAAGACCGTCACAGCGCTTTGCAAGGAGTACCGTCAAACCCAAACCTTTGAGAAGTCCGTTGACAAGAGGGGAAAGTACGAACGTCTCCGACTGAACCACCGTGCCATGAAAATTGATATCCGAGAGCTGGTTCATACTCTCAACGCTGGAGGCTCCCCAGTCTCGTTAAACATTGTGCGCCAGCGTATGGTTGAGCTGTGGAAGGTCAACATATCAAGAAAGTCTATCAACCGTATCCTTAAAGGGCTTGGCTTTAGCTGGGCCAACGCTTCAGCCGGTCAGTCATACACCAAAACCCTCGAGATTCACCGTAAGCGCTCAGAGTATTTGCGAGCGAGGATGGAGATGCGTACCAATCCAACTGGCAAGATGGGGGTGTGGCTAGATGAAACATACTGCAATCAGCACCATGTCCAGCGGAAGACGTGGTTGGTGGACGCAACTACAATAGTGAAGAGAGGGAACAAAGGACCAAGACTCATCATTGTGCATGCGGGAGGCCCTGATGGGTGGGTTGGAGAACCCGTCGTCTTTGCCGCCACTCAGTCAGAAGGAGATTACAATGACAACATGAACTGTGAGAATTTTGAAAGGTATGACATGATACACACATACACAATGCAATTATTGACTCTTCTCATCTACAGATATTTTGAGGCGCTATGTGATCATTGCACCAACAAACTTTTGCGCAAAGCAGTTTTTATGATGGACAACGCTTCCTACCACCGCGGTTTGGATGAGCCCCGCCTTAACAGCATGAAGGCAGAAGAACTGATGACCATGTTGAAGGAGAAGTATGGCGTGGATGAAAAAGAGCTGCAGGTCCCGTTGAAGCGGATCAGTAAAAAGACAGGTCTTGGATGGAAATGGGCAACAGTGGCATCGATGCAGGCTATGGCAACCAAGAGAGGCTACAATCCCCGCATCAAGTGTGAACTCATCGCTGCGAGATACGGACACCGCATTCTTTGGCTTCCCCCTTATCACTGTGAGCTGAACCCGATTGAGCTTGCATTGGGACATGTGAAGAATTGGGTGGCGCAGAACAACGACGGGAGCAACTTCAAGAAGGTTAGGGAACTGGTGCTTCGAGGATTTGACCAGGTTTCCGTGGAGTCATGGAAACGGAAGGTTGCAAAGGCCGTGAGATGGGAAGACTGGTATATCCAGAAGAAGCATGTTGTTTTGAATGATCAACTGGCCGCTTCTACGCCAACATCACTGGTTATTGACTGAGAGGATGGTGACAGTGATGTGGAGGTCTCGGCGGATGCTGAGATTGAGGCGTGGATTGAGGAAGAAGGCATGATGGGGGATGAATAGGCAACATTTTGCATTGATTTTTTTTCTACTGAATAGACAGATTGTCGGAACCGGACTTGACACTCTTACTTTGTTATGATAGTCTGTGTGTTTGACAAAGGAAACTTGTGGAAAAAAGAAACCGGCAATTCCGCTGGAAAATATTGTCAACCAGTTTCTTGGCTCTATGGGGCGACGCGGGTGCACGCCCGTCAATTCGCGTTAACTATGGTGTCCTGATCTATAAGTAGTTCCTCCACCATTTCAAAGTCCATTTCACAGACAATTTTACAAGATCACGTACGTACTGTATGTGAGCGCTGAGTCATGAGGGCCTTTCGGACAGATTCGGACGCGTTCTAAGAAGCACAGAGACCAAGCAGACCATCGTTGTGCTCTCTTGTCGACGTCAAGACGTCCGCTTCAGGACTTCTGGCCTCTTTATCCGGAAAAGGGGTCCGATGGACGTGGGGTTGTTGAATCTTAGTCCCCATATCCTCAATTCAGCGAGAGCAGGTGAGGCCTAATGAATTCTTTCCTGAGCCTGTCTTTGTGCTCGGTGTAATCCTCTCCAACCATTTCAACACAGCACAAATCGACATTGTAGAAGATGTCGTGCTCTCGTCTATTCCCGAGCTAGCTACTCGTTTGAAGCTCTCCGCGAAAGATGCGAAGATATTGCTCGAAGAGGCCTCCAAGACAATTTGTTCTCTAGATGGATTGTGCCGGACAATGCTGGATGTGGATTCACTCCGGCTCCCTTTGTTGTCCACACATGATGCTGTGCTGGACGACTTGCTGCACGGAGGCTTTCATCCTGGGTTAACGGAAATATACGGCAAGAGCGGCTCAGGCAAATCGCAGCTGGCTTTACAACTTAGTGCCGTGGCGGCTGCACCAGTAGAACATGGAGGTCTTGGAACTGGTATGTCTGGAATTGGAACAAGACGGCACCCCTTCCAGACTCATCTTCTTACTATTTCCCAAACCCTGCTTAGGATGTCTGTACATCGCGACCGAGCAGCCGTTTCCCATCGGGCGTTTCCACGAGATCATTGCCTCGCGCTTTCCCGACTTGGACTCCTCGATAGTGCTTGATCGCACGCATATTATACATATCCGCGATCACGAAACCCAACATCACATTCTCTGCCACCTCCTCGAGCCCTCTGTCAAACGACTGGGCGTACGACTTGTCGTTATTGACTCTATCGCGGCAAACATTCGCGGCGACGAGGCCACGGCGGAATGGACGGCGATTGAGCGCAGCCGGACGCTCTATGAGATGGGCGCCGCGCTAAAGAAGGTAGCGCACGAGCATCAGTGCGTCATTCTCTGCCTCAACCAAGTTGTCGATGTGTTTGATAATGTGCGCCAGGGAGCAAAGTTGGGCGGGGGAAAAGGGGCGGACTCCTTTCTCACCGTCTCGGGCGCTGTGGGCGCAGGCAACGCCAGTGATGTTCGCCCAAGCCTGGGGCTCGCATGGTCAAACATGGTCAATGCCCGTGTCAAATTGTCGCGGATAAACAGGTTCCCGGCCCATGCTGAGGAATGTAATGCGGTGCTGGATGCAGACACTACCCGCGCATGCGTGACCCGTACCTTTGAGATCTGCTTTGCGCCAAACCTGCCGTCGAGAAAGTGCATATATGAGGTTTCGGAGCGAGGAATCGTTGGTCTATAGATCTAGGCCAGTGTTATACATAGCATGGTTTTTTTTTCGTTTCGAGCAAATCCTCTCTATGCTATGCATATGCAGCAAATGTGGCTTCAAACGCGCGCGACTCCAATTGTCGCTGCCGCATTCTGGCACTGATCTCGAACAACATTTCCCAGGCCATTCAGTTAGATACAGCTGAACACCTGCGTCTCTCCCGCAATACTCATATGAGAGCTTACATGGATGTCTGAGTTTCCCGAGTTTCCTTTGCCTTTCGGAAACTTCAATCAGCAAGACCCCAACGGTGAGAGCAAAAAGGGACAGGGTTGAAGCACCCTTGCGAACGTTCAACTCACCTGTGCGACTGCTCTAGTCAAATTCTGGACCTTCGTTGTCTACACATGGGTCGTTGCGATCATCTCGCTCTTCTACTTCTTCTATTTGAGCCGTGCCGTCGGGCAAATAGCGGGGAAGCTTCTCTGTATATATACATGGCGGAAATATAAAGCCTATGTGGAGATAGGTATGGCAGCTTGGGATTACAAAAGGCGGCTGTACAATGATTGATCGATGCGCAGAGTCATTGCAGTTTTCGCCACTTAGCGGGAAGCTGCTATTCAGGAATCTACGCTATTATTCTCGCAACCAATCCATACATATTCTGCGCGGATATGTGACGTTCCGATGGTGGCTGGCTCGAGTGCGCAGAGAAGGGGACGCGGCAGAGTTTTCCACCCATGGTAGTCTGGGCCTTCTCCGTTTTTCGTCCGGCCGCGCTCCTAATCCATGTTGCCAGAGCTCCCCTCAAGGTTCATGGTCCGCTTGGATGGTCTGGAGTGGTTCATCTACAATCGTACCCCTGCCTATCAACATCTTCAGACTGTTTTGGAAAGGACGGCGGGGGTATCTGGAAATGGAAGCCCGCCAGCCCATTCCCCGGAGAATGTCACAGGTAAGCCCACGTTACGTGCTCTTCAGCTTACGACAGTAACCAACTGCCTGTAACCAACAGTTCGTATGTCGGACGAGCTACCATGTGCGCAAGAAAAGGACATGGGATTTCGATGGTTCTTCCCTATTGACATCGTTTCGTCCACGGGGGCGATCACCATGGGCTTACCGGATCTTCCGACGATCCTTGTCATGCACTACAAAGAAGCGTCCGGAAACTATGAAATTGTGAAAGTGCGTCACCTTCAATGTTATTCCACATCGCTTCCGAGGCTAATCGCACAATATAGTCTCGCTCTGTGTATGACTATTACAGGACGGATCTCAATCTGTCGCTCAAGAAAGTTAAGCTCACAATGGGGCCAAATGTGGATTATCGGGAACCGGTATTAAACCATGCGGCCCGGACGCGTGCCCGAAAGTAAGCGTCACGGGTGGACCATACGTAGCATGGACTACCTCTTCAATATGCTCATCCCGTTCCAACAGCGTAAGGAAGCCGTGGTATCGCAAACTCTCAGCTTTCCTCAGAGGAGGCATCATTTTTGGAGACGTACAAGAGGCAGACATCCCATTGCAAGAAGCTGAGCAGCACTGGGCGGGACTCTCTCGATATAAGATTGTCAATGTCCCGTTGCTCAAACGAAGGCGGTTTGAAGAGTACGCGCAGGTGAACAAGGTTCTCGAATGCGGGAGGCTTGACATCCGTTACTATGCGGACGTGGCAGGTAGGGAGAATTTCATGAGGTATACTGTGACCTGAGGGCGGGACCGTTGATGTCTGAGACTCCATTTAGGCCCGGCGCCATCGATCGCTGTACCCAAGGTGCAGACAAGCATGGATGCCCTGAATGCGAGCGAAGACTTCGATGTGGGAAATGGGGATTTACCACCAGAATGGGGGGCAGGTATGCTCTTAATTGAATGTATGGAGCAGCTGCGTCAACTGAACGTGTGATTGATCTGCTCTCGAATAGATGTGACTATCTTAGATGGGACTATTCATTATGGTCCGTGGGCAGACCGGCAGAGGTGAGGTGAGATGCAAACCCACGCTGACGGCAAGCGAAGACGCTGATATGTCGCTCGCGCACAGAGGGATGATACAATCGTTCTTCTTCCCTACGGCGTATCGAAACGCAATCAAGACCGAAAGCCTACGACCTGGCGAAACTCGTCTGTTCGTAGCGCTGAAGATCCTTCTCAAGTTTGCTGGCAAGACGACTTTGCGGATACCGTTCCGGGAAGCATCCAAGGTAGGCCTTCACCACCCCTTTTGGATTGCGCACCTGCCATTCTGACGCGTCTTGTCTTCCCTAGGATTGGAAATTTTACGACGACGCGCTCGCCGACGACGAGAACACAAACATGAAAAGAGGGACGGCTGGCCGCCCCTATGCATGGATAGATCTGAAGCTGGCAAGCAGATCAACCGTTGATGTAGTGGTACCGTTCGTGCAGAGCGAGAAAGGATACGCGATGTCGGTGACAGCCGTGTTGAGCGAGCTTACGATCACTTCGAGCCTGAACTATAGTCCTCTCCTGGTTGCAAATCATTTGAAGGTAAGTTATTGGTCGCCGCTATCTTCCCGTTTGGCTATAGACATGGGCCGTCCTGCGGCGAAGGGTCCCGTACTGATTGGCGGCACTCCACCCAGTTGGAAATCCATATGCACAACCCCCTTCAATGGAATGCCCCGCGACCATGGAACGTTGGAATCACCGTGAATTCGTCGCGTGTGTTTCTACTACGGGATCACGTCACGCTCCTCATGGATCTCAGCAAGGATTGGTCGTCCGGCCCTCCCACTCCGCAGACGTATTTTGTACCGATTGAGTACAAGATCAAGACAGTATTCAATGATTTCGAGTTGCTTCTCTGTACCAATCAGCACAATATCATCAATCAGCCGAACGATCTCAATGATAATAGTAGGTTCTTCTGTCTTTTGATTGATTCATGATGCTCGTCTGATTACCTTTCAGCGTATATCATTATCAACGGATCTCGAATGAGGCTGGATGTCACTATGCCCTTTTTACAATTTGAAGCTGAGAGCACTGCGGTGGATTTTCAAATCGAGGTACATTCAACCGCATATCCCACATAATTTCGCAGCTACTCAAAAGTGCCGATTTCCTGCAGGCACGGAAGCTTCGCCTCCGGATGAGCTTCCCGCAGTCGCACACGATCGGCGCATTTTTGGCCGAGAAAGATCGCGAGATTGGGGTGGTTGGCCAATTCGGGATCGATGGAAATTACCTTTACCATCGAGCCTTCGACCCACGTAGCGTCGACAGCTTGATCATGAACATTGAGGTTGGTCATTCCCGCTAGAGTCGGCTGGGGGCACCATCTAACTCATTGGTTATGCAGACGTCCGGCGTTCAGGCCACGATGTTCGGGTTTTTGATATCTCATGTTCTCTTCTTGAAGGAAAACTACATGGGGGATCACAATAGCTTCATCACTTCGGATGAATATCGAAGCCGACTTGCAGATCCCATCAAAACTGAGACGAACTCCCTGAAACAGGAGGCTGCACGGGTAGGTCTATTGCATGAGGGCCTTTCCTGATCTAGGTGTGCTTACATGTAGCTGCAGGAGAAATCGAATCTTTTTGAAGCACACATCGTGGGTCGTTTCCGTGAGCTTGTTGCGATATTGCCAGCAAATCTGTACTGCATCGACAATGTCACGATAATGAAGATCGCTGAAATTCAGGTCGAAAACCGGAATACCACCCACTACAATGGTTCGCTGGCGGCCGTCCTCTTTCGTTTATACTCATATGTGGCAGAATATTCTGATAGGCTGTTTAGATCTCCAAGTTACGTTTCGCCCGGTCCAAGTGCTACGCGGAGTTGCTAAGGACGGTGACTATCATCCCTACCCGGACAGCACGCGCAACGCCCTTCATATCCAAGGTAGGCATAAGTTCGAGTCGCGGTATGCGCGCATTTGCCCATACACTGAACGATGAATGACCAGACATAACCATCCGAGGGCATCGCCTGTTCGGCCTTCCTCCAAAGGCGCTGGTTTATGCTGTCGACTGGCGGATCAGTTGCGGAGATATCGCAGGAGATTTGCAACCCACGGCTCTGAGCGCTCTGCAATCGTCTCTGAAGTCGTTTGTGTTCCATTATGCGGATGTGGATAACAGTCTCGCAGGATCGGTCGCTTTACCTGACGTAACCACAATACTTGTGACGGTAGGCAGCGTCCAAGTTTCTGTGATCGGTCCAGGCTCAGTCTCCACTCTTGCGCTGCCGAAGGGTTTGCGATTGCAATACGACAACTACGCCTGCCAAACCTGGGTCGGCCGCACGTTCATAGAAGTCCCGGCTATCGCGTTACGGTGCTTGGCCAATACGAGTGATCAGGATAGTCTAGGCACTGCAGCGGACGGAGGCGTGTGGGTGGAAGTGTTCAAGCTGACAACGGCAATGTCCATGTGCAACTACGATCAGATTCCTGACTGGGAGGATCTACAGAAGTTGCAAATGGCATTTGTCAAGAGTCAGGATGAGCCGACAAAACGTTGCACATTTTTATACGAGAACCCTGAGGTACACCAACGAGGGGCAACGAGGCGACAAGCGAATCGGACCAATGAGCCGGACAAATGGCTGCCATTCCTTCCCAAGTTCAACCCCCCATTTCAACTGTCACACCGTCATAAACCTCGTGATGAAACACATTTTCGCTTTCCAGCGGACGGACATTTGCAGGAGGAAGTGAGCTCGTACATCAACCAGGATGCGTGAGTAGAGTCGTGTCTGAACACGATCATCAAATTCACAAGCTAACGATGCCGGTGTAGTGAATCCACGTCATCGGAGAGTTCAGGGAGTGATGAAGACCCTGATGAATGGGAATCCTTAGGAAACGAATCAATTGCTGCGGAGCAGGGCGGTTCATTCGCTGACTTACCGCCGCCGAGGTCAATCCCGTATCGAACGTACCTCAAGCAGTTCAGGATTGACAGAGGCAACAAGCGCAGCCCTATGTCCTTTTCTGGGACTGAGCGGCCTGCATTTACTGGGTTCACGCAGATCGGCATATCGGAAACCAGAGAAGACGAGCATGGAAATGTATTTGAAGAAAAAGCATTCCACCGGTCATTGAGAAAGTATCGGGATGATTCAACGGATATCCCTCGTCATCAAGGAACCGACGGAAAAAGAAGCGACATGACCGTTGACTTGTGCGAGGCCGTGCGAATCACTGTCACTCCAATAGCGCTTCGAATTGTTCAAGAAGCATTGGAAGCCGTCAAAGATCAGGTACGCACAAAGCAGGTCCTTTGTCCGCCTAAATCCCTTCGTGACGATTATCGTTGCAGACCGTCACTTCGGAGACGGTACTGGACAGGATAACCTTGGAGCATACAAGCTATTTGATGCGGCAGTTCCCGTATCTGCTCGCCTCCACTGCGGTGTTCGTGTCAACTCCAAGTGTGCACATACATTGTGTGCAGGACATGTTACTACCGGATGCCACCTCTTTCGTGGCTCAGAGTCACACTGCACGCTACGAACTGTCGGATGAGTTGCTTTGCTCATTTGACTTCGTCGTGTCTGGCCTCACCGCAACCATGGCACAAACGGTGGACTATTCGCCGCCTCAAAGTCATGATGGGCGGCTTGCTCGATTCAAGTTTGCGGTCAACGTAGATCGGTGCACTACCCGGCTCTACTTCGTAGGAAATATGAATGTGAATGGTGTCGTTGGCATCCCCAAGCAGAAGCAACTCAACAAAAGCCTTCCGAACGATTCTCTGGAAGGCGTGCCGGTCGCCCTGGACCTTCTGGCTGAAAAGATACAGTGGAGTGGACGAATGGAGCGCGGACGTACGGGCGCGACATTTGACGACGGAATGTCGTTGGAACTCAACACCAAGGAGTTGTCGGTCGTCTCGATCAACGAGACAATCGAGATCATGTTCGGAGTCTTGTACAAGTGGGTGACATTTGGGATAGACATCGGCAAAATCCATGGTGCCTTCTCGTTGCGTAGGCGAAGAGATCTGCAGAATCTGCTGGTCCAGATCGCTGGGAAGGCTCACAGTCACGCCGTGGATGAAGACCCGCTATTCCTCACCCAACCGTCGTCAATTTGGGTGCTTGGTAGCCGAAAGCATCAGGAAGATAGAGGTTGGAAGCTATTATGTCACATGCGATACTCTCTGCGGTCCCTGCCGCCCCAAATACGGGCTGGAGTGGAGTCTATACTCAACGCCAGGAACGATCAAACTATGGATTCCAAGTTACTGTTCGTCACCGTTTCGAAGCATCTTACCTCCTGGAGGCGGTGGGAGGGGACTGATGTATCCTCTGTCCCCCTGCTGCGAAAGCTTTACGGAATGAAACCAATGCCATCGCTCCAAGCTCAGAACCTCGCAGAGGTTACTCTATCGAGGCTCATTTGGAATGTCAAGGGAATTGTTGACGTATCTAGACTCAACGTGACCATCTTTGAATATCAAATGGAGGACACATCCATCGTCGTGGGACCCATTCTGATCTCGGCGCAGACGCTGGAAGGTAGCAACCCGCAGGAAATGACAGCGATCACACCAGGACAACCTGCCCCTTCGAGCGCTATTCTGGACATCCGCTATAGGGCAAAAATTGGCCGACTGGATTGCATCGTCAATCCAAATCTATTTGGTTTTGTCCGACACTTTCTCAGGGTTCACCGGTGGTTTCAGTCCCGACTGGAATCGCTCGTTCCGCCAATAAAGCCGAATTTTGGAAGTTCCAGTGAATCACTTCCATCCGGGGACTCTTTGTTCTCACATGTGCAGCAGTTTGTGATTTTCGGTACCCTTCTGATCAACAAGATTTCTCTCACCGCCGCGGCACATAATCTTGTGGCAAAAGCTTCACTGCGTAGCTTTCAATTATCTACCCTTCACATCACCCCGGGATCCGGACAGAACGCTGTCACAGAAATGAGGGCATTCCCCTTGCCACGACATGGTACAGGAAGCCTTCCGGATGGACCTCTGGAGGTTACACATAGCTCTCTGGGAAGCATTTCAACGGTAGACATCACGATGTCCGAGAAACAGAGTCGTGGCGCATCCGCTGCGAATGCAAGCACTTTGATTTCGATCGGATCAGAAGATATCGGAGGCATGTTCACAAGGAATTCTTCGAACAAGGACATCCTCATGAGCAACACAGGCGAGGAACCCGACCAGACATCTGCAACAATCAACATTCGTCATATCCGCGTTGATCTCCCTCGAAGCTTATTGAAACTGCACGCGTTCATCGAGAAATGGAGTGATGAAGATTTGCCTCGTTACGATTTCTTATTCAACAGCCTAATAAAGGAACGAGTGACGGCATCCGATTCTCGCATAGGGCAACTCCCAAAAGCGCCTTCCACGTCAGTTATCCCCGATAAACATGGTTCTCCGAAACCCTCCGTCATGAGGATCAGTTTCCTATTGCAGCACCTTTCCGTACAGTCGGACCTTCTTGCGTCTCTCAATTTCATTTACGAGGGGCACCGCTTGTTCGTCAGCGTTGCCCAAAGCTCACGCCTCAGCATGATCGATCCCCGTTTAGCATTCTCCGCAAGACCTTGGATGGACTGGGAGGCTGGCATCGGTGCGCACACGGCCAATTTCGTAAGTAAGCCGCTAGATGGGCTGGATGATACAGGAGGCGCATCCAACAGCCCCCAACAGGCCACAGCTTTTGCTCTACCGGCATTGAGATCGGTTGGTCTCATAAGACACATGGCACTCACAAGTGGAATCAGCATGCCAAGGGAACAGCAGAGTCGCAACAGTATTGCCATCATCGGAGATTCGATGCAGATAGAGGCATCCGTAGAACTGGATTGCATACAGGCGTCTGTCAACGTCAATCTTATCGATCAGCTGATCACTACTCAGAGCGTCCTCGGTGGAGAGCTGAATGACATCCTCGATATTATCGCATTCTATGCAAGGAAGCGGAAGCGGAAGCGGAAGCAGCACTCGTTGAAGAAAAACGTTTCCGAAACGAGCATCGGAAGGACCAAGTATTACTATGCATTGAGGTTCCGAATACAAGGGTTGCGGGTCTCGGCTCATAGTCCGAATTCCGTTGTGATGTTGGAATCGGATGATATTAGTGGGTTCGCGATGAACTTCGCCCAGAAGGAGTTGTCGAAAGAGATCCCGGAGACTGTGTCATTCACTAACCCCGACAAAGTCTTCTGGAGATTGTCCTTGCGAGGTTTCTCGTTTGCCCTGCTGCGAAACGGATCGGAATGGCAGACCTGGACGTCGGGCGGCAGCCGAATCAAGTTCCAACCGCAAGTCTACATAGTAACAAGTGTGACAACCCAGAACTTCATTCCGAAAGACTCAATCCCCTCGGAAATCGTCGAACTGGAATCCGAGGCGAAGATACTTTGTGTGCGGGTGCAACATCTTCACGCTGTCTTTCAAACCACAGCCGTGACTGCAGTCACCGATGTCGTTCAATACTACAGACGGGAACTAGAGAAAGGAAGCCATCGAAACGCAAAAGAACTCGCCAAAGCGAAAGAGAACACTGAGAGGCTCATCAAAGGGATGAAGATGCCGTTACCTCAGAAGCATAAAAAGGAATCATTCCTGAAGGAAAGGGTAATCCAAATACAAGTGCGCAATGTAGGGGCTGCGCTTCCACTACGACCAAGTGGCCAGTCGCCTGGAGGCAATCAATCGACTGCTGCGCGCGTCCTCAGCACTCGCCGAAGTACGGTCTCAAGTGGAAGCACCGACGGCTCCCCTGCCCTTCTAGTTTCGGCGAGCATGATCCATCTCGATTCGAAGCAATTGAGATCGGCATCGGGAAAAATCAGCGATCTTTGCTTCCAGTTCGTACCGGTTCTCGATGTCAGCAACGAGCGACATTTCTCACCCGCCGCCCATCCCACCGCCAATCGAATACTTCTCAAGCAGACCAGTGCCGAGATAATTCGTCGGAAGGAAAATGGCAAGAGCCATATTCAGATTATTTCGGGGATTAAAGGGTTCGAGTTGGAAGTGGATTCCGGCATCACCGAGTACGCAAATCAGCTAAACGTCGTATACATGAGTGAACGAGGAAAAGTAGTGTCGTTCATGCCAGATGCTTCAACTTCGGCACAACAGAACGTATCTGGAAACGGAGAAATGAATTCTGAACCGGGTCTTTCTACGCCCAATGCCACAACTGATCTTCCAGTAAATTCCGACGCCGAGCTCGAGGACGGTGTATTCAGCGACATTGCCACCGTTGTGGACTTTGATGCCCGGTTTGACTTCGAAACTGGGACGTGCAAGATTTGGTCTGCGAGGCACCGTGGGAAAACGTCCTCAACCGCATCGCCACCAGTATCCACTAGTCACCTATCATCTGGCGGAGGAAGCCAACGGACAGGAGAAGCAGGATCGGCCGAAGACCCGTGCATTCATCTCCTCGCCTTGCCGGGAATTACACTGTCTACAATTGGGAACACCATCAAGCGCGATTTTGATCCGCAGGACGAGATGGCTAGTCCATCGAAAAAAATCCACATCGAGTTGATCATCCACGCGAGCAAAAATGTTCTGCATCCGGAGATCCTTCAGTTCATCCGAGAGATAACAACGAATCTCAAGGTTGGCCGGATGTTGAAGCACGAAGAGCGAATAGCAACTGGCATGGAAAGCAGTACCTCCATTGTCGCTGGTCCGACGAATATGGAAGCACAGCCGAATGCAATGCTGGCCTCGTATCAACGACACTCGGTCACCTTCAACCTTTGCCTTTCGCATACGAGAATCAGCTTGACGTGTCAGCCGACGTCAAAGGTGAGCTTCAACTTCAACCTGGATGAAGCCGACTTCATATTCTCGTTCATACCCAAGGCCGAACGTCCCGACAAAACGCAGTACCTGAGCTGCACCGGAAATGTTTTGGGGGCATCTGGCGCACTACGGCACGTCTTCTCACCCGAGGACTGCTTGAATGCAGAGATCGCTCGCGTGACGTTCAACATTACAACAATGGAGCGCAAGCTGAATCGCATCTACACACTCGAAATCGGAGTTCCTTCCCTGATGGGCAGCCTAAACGCCAGACATCTGCAGGACTTTTTCCTGTTCAAGCGAATGTGGGTAGATTCGTGGAATTTCTTCCCTCGGTCGGCTTCTACCGTTAGGAAGTCCTTCGGTGGCTTGAACAATGTCGAACGAAGAACGTACGGATCCTCCCTCCTCTCCCTCGTCGGCGAGAATGGCGCGTCACTTTTCGATACGATCAACGTAGCGGCGAGGCTCAATCAGATCGAGTTTGCCATGGATTTTGGACAAGCTATTGGCAAAGGGAGCCTCACTCTAGATAATCTGGTCGTCATGGGAAGCGGGATGCGTTCGGCTCTGGGATTCGAAGAGAAGGAAGTCTGCATCAATTTCGAGACCCTCAGTTTGAAGACGGAGGGCAAGTTTAGCGGAGCAACAACAGTGGCAGGCGCTCAAGCGTATCTCGATGCGCGAAAGCCTCCAGCGCCGAAGCGAGGTCAAGCCAATTCGGTTACGGGTACTGATATGGTATTGCACATCGAGCACGTGTCGTCACATCTTCACTATCAGTACGAGAGGATCCTCATTTTATACATCGCACCCATCCACGGAGGTTTCACGGACAAATGGGTTGTGACCACAGACGATCTGCAGCTTCACGTGAATGCAGATTTCGACGTTGCTGTCTTCAAATGCATCATGTCGCGACGGACCATTCCGACGATCATACAGCTAATGTCTCGCATCAGGACCTTAATTGAAGAAAAGAGAGGTCCCGACCCAAGCGGCGTTTCATCCGCATCGCATAGTAAGAAGGAAGCGTCCGCTTCCGGTCTTTCTGTGATGCCTTCATCCGGAACCCTCCTCTCCAAAGTCAAACAACCAGTGCCGGCATCCAACCCAGACTTGCGCAGCTCGGGCGCTAAAGATACGGCCGTACCCGGAAGAGACTTCCTCAACCGATTCTGGATGGGCGCGAGCACCCTCGGCCACATCAACATCGTCCTGGGCGAGGCTTTTATCGTTCTCGCGCGATACAACTTCCGCGACCCCGATTTCGCCCAAATCACATCTAAGCGCTTCGAGATCATCTACGATGGGTCTCGGGGCCCTTCCGGGCAGGCCGTGGAACGCACGGTCGTCCACACGGGCGGTATCGCCGTGAAGAAAGGAACCGCCAAGTCGATATCGCAGGCCGAGGAGAGCATGTGGACGACATCGCAGTGGTTCGCTTTCATGACATCCGCCGCCGCCAAGAATGTCTTTGGCGTGCGCGACACGGTCATGACGTTAAAGAGCGAAAGCTTCTTCCAGCAGCCAAAAGTCGAGTACGGGTTCCGCACCGATTTCAGTGGGCCGATTGATATCGCGCTCAATTTCGGGCTGTACAAGTACCTGCAGGAGTTGGTGCAGCTGTATCAGAAGGCTGTGGCCGCGAGTTCCGACACGGGGATCGAGGAGCCTACGAAAGGCGCGAAGGGTCGGCCCGGAAGCCCGTCGCCAACAAATACCGTCAGTCCTGCTTCGCCAAGTCCGACACATAACAATGCCGACAAAGCTGCGAACACTCGTGATGCGGGTTTGAGTCCGTTGAAACCCGATGGTTCACCGGCCACCGCTGGAGCGGCTGAAGACACTGCTCGTCGAGCGGCAGATATAGCCTTTATCTGCACGGGCGAAAGGGTCTTTGAGCCACAGCTCAAAGTCACGGGGGACGCGACGCCGTGGGAGTGGGTCGAATGGCTCGGGGTGCAGAAGGAGCGAGTGCCACGGCTGGTATATGACCATGTGACGGTGAACACGGCCAAAGCGGTCAATGCTCTGGCGGACCTCCACTCGAAGCTTGCTATGCCTATTCAAGACCCGTCGGAATCTGCTGATATTGGGGATGAAGGAAGTGGATCTGGAGGTGCCATCTCGACGCAGCTCATGCCATCTGCCGATTTGGAAGATTAACAGATGTATACTTTGTTCGGAATGTACATAATATACACATTACAATCACTAGGTGGCGAAGCTGAAGCTACATCGAGATGCCAAATTGACGAGGCTATAGATATGCTCGTGTTCCGCTATGACCCCATGCCCGCCAACCTCGCACGGACGTATTCATCATCTTCTGCTTGATGCCCCGGCTGCTGGTGTGACGCATCCAACCTACTCTGATATTGCCTCTCGGGATCATACTCATCATACTGCCTCATCGTCGGACCCGCGGGACCAGACGTGAGCTCTACCAGGTACATTGAGCACTTGGTATCGAGATGCTCGTTGATTTTATTCCCAACTACCGGCCGGGCGCAGGACGGACAGACGACAGTGCCTTTGGATGGTTCGGGGCTACTCCCCATGTACGGGGCCGGCGGAAGTGATGGTAAGGAGGAGAATCCGTTCCGTGGCATTGATGTTGACATTGTCGGGTATGCACCTGGCGGCTGCGGTAAGGTGTCCCTTGGGAGGCTCTGAGCGTATTGATAGTGCGACGTCTGATATGATGGTAGATGGCCTGCCTCCGCTTGCGGTTCTGCGGTGAGAGGCCGTTGGTAGAATCTTGACGTTGTCCCAAAGTTTGAATTACTCCCGCCTAGATCTTGCAGGGTGGGCGATGTTGGGTAGCCAGGGTCATGCGCTGCGGAGGGTTGTGTGAAAACTGGGTGGTTCAGAGAGTCGCGTGAGGTGGCTATCGGAGGATGCGGTTGAACGTGTGGCACGTTCAGGGAGTCTCGCGAATGGCTAGTGCTGAGTCTGAGGTCTTCCAGATGCAGTGACGACGTGGTTTCGTTCCGTCGGCCTCGTTGGTGTTGTGCCTCTTCAGGGGCCCCGGTATGGGCAGCTTTCGCCTCGGCCTCATAAGCACGCAATGCCTTTGTGAAGTCGACGGTGATCCGCGCAGTGACTCCTGACCCTTCGTACGGCGGCAGCTCCTGCCCAGGCGCCAGCGATCCTTGCGGGATCTGATCAGCAAGGTGTTTGCCGTACGTCGCAAAGATTGCCATCTTGTTGCCCAGATCCATCCACGCGTCCATCTGCGTATGCAACGCCTCTTTGAGGGTGGCTCGCTTGTATCCCTCACACTCTGCCTCCTGCTCCGCCAGATCTTTCTCGACAACGCCTAGCTCGATCTTCAGGGTTTCGTGAGGTTTCTGCTTTTTGACTGCATCTTTGTACTTGTCCTGTAGTTCCTTGTGGCGTTTTCTCAGGGCATACAAGGTCTCCTCGCGCTGGCGCATGTCTTTCAGGCGACTCCGGTACGATTCGTATTTTTCTATCGTGGTGGAGTGAAAGTCGACGAACTTCTCGATGAGAGTCAAGTATTTTTCGGATATATCCTCGATGTCTTTGTGTTGCGTCTTTCCGTACGTATGTAGATATTTTCCGGCTGGAACGAGGAATGAAGGAAATTAGACCAACATGCTGAGTGGCACTTTGCAGCAATTGGTCATGTTCCTCACCTTCAAGCTTTTCTTTCGCAAATTTGTGAAGCTCGGTGGCGACATCCTAGGGGAGAGTTGTAAGAATGTCGGCAACCTGCCTCATCACACGCAAAACGGCGACTGGCACAAAGCCCTAACTGTACCTTCTCTTCTTTGATGAGGATGGATAATTCAGCGTGATCGTGCGAGTTAAGACTCACGACCGATCGCCGAAGGCCTTGAAAAGCCGCCATTGCTGTCTAACGCGTGGCAACAAGATGAAGTCGGCAGACTGTTTCGTGTCGTAGGGTGGGGAACCGAGCTGTGACGTGGGAAGTGACTCTGCTTGCGAAGGTAGAGGTTGTTTTCGCCCCGTGGATATATATATATAGTACGTATAATAAGTTGCTGACGGGGGAGCTCGCTCAGTTCTTCGCAACTCTTGGCGGCAACCGAGGCGGTGTTCAAAGTCCAAACCTTTCGAACGCCAGAGGCCGACTCATGAGCGGGAATGGGAATGATGAGGGCGGAGGGCGCGTGTTTGTTTCCCTTGATATCTAATGACAACAACAAGAACTGAGCGGCCGCCGGCCTTCGCAGTCCCCCACGCGCTCGCTGGCTCCCTTCTCCCATTCCCCTCAGCTCGTCCAAGATTGCGCTGCATCAGGACGGTAGATTCTTCCACCACGTTCCACATACGCAGACGAATTCCTCACGACCTCCCTTCCTGCATCGCGCTCACATCCCACCTTTCAAGATGACTATGTCAATAGCAACCCGCCTTCCTTACGCTGCCAACAACGTTGTCCGGTCTTCGTATCGGTTCAGCCTGTCCGCCGCTCAGACTCGATACCTCTCGGCGACGGCCTTTGTGGGAAAACCTTACGTTGTGGTCGCGCACGATGCAACGGACTCGGGAGCCCTACAGCGGAGGTTGGATGTGAGGCCCGCTCACTTCGAAAAGGTAGCCGCTGCAAAAGCGGAAGGCAAGATCGTGCTCGGGGGTGCTATTCTCGACAGCCCAAATGAGGAGAAAATGGTCGGCAGCGTGCTGGTGGTCGATATGGAGTCGAAGGAGGCCGTCGAGGAATTCGTACGCGCAGACGTCTACGTGAAGAATAACGTGTGGAAATCGTGGGAGATCTTTCCCTTTAAGCCCGCCAAGCTTTGATCTCCTGATTTGTCGGGCAAGGAGGTGCATAGGCAGGGAGAGGTTTAGAGATGTCCCGTTGTATATGCAATAGCCATCATATACTCCCGTCAACCAATTCCACGACATCGCATTTTTTTGTCAGATAGCGCGGTGTAATATATAGCCAAAAAGAAAGAACCAGGGATATCCTTAACCGCGCTGCCCGCGCGATCGTTGTCTACGGGGACTGTGAAAAGAAAAGAGCATATCAAAGCGCCTAAAACTACCTAAAACTACCTGCCTACCCCATCATCATCCGCATCCCTCTTGCGTTTCCCCAACCATCCCACATCGCCAAACGGGTTAATCTGCCCGACATCCGACAAGGGTATATAGCTGTCCGGGTCGAATGCCAAGAGCGGAGGTAAGTTTCGTCGGGATGCCAGGGATCGAGATGGGAGCGATGTAGGATGGGGTGTGCTCGTTTCGCCTGATGGCTCGTTAGGATCCATGAAGCCCTCGGTGCCGAGGGAAGGGCAGAGGGCAACAAGACGCTCGAGGTCGGGCAAATCGTCACCGAAGGCGGCGTGGAAATCGGCCAAGACGCGCTGGAAGGGCGGTGTGATTGCGCGTGTGTTGTCCGTTCCTAGGAAGGATGGCGTGGGGATGGTAATTGTCGTCGAAGTTTCTGCGTCGTGCCTAGGTGGACCGCCAGTTCTCCTCGCCCACATCCCACTCCTGGGCGTTTCAGTCGTAGGCGGTGCTGCGTTATCTTCCAAAGCCGGGACTAGGGGCGGTGGTGTTGAACGTGTACTGACCGGCGAATCCGTTGCTCGGCGCTGAGCGAAGTACGGGGTCCAGGATCGGAAGATGGCTGGTACTGTTGGGACGATTTGTGATGTTGAGGAAGTTTGCCTGGTGGCGCCGAACGTAAACGGAAGCCTCGAGGCCGCTCCCAGAGGGCGGTGCAGCTGATGAGGATCGATCGCAAACATGTTGTCGTCCTCGGGTTCTCTATCACCACGTTCGTGAGTTTGTTCGGCCTCAGGTGCCGAGTCGGCTTCGTCTGGTTGTCGACCGACCTCGTTATCTGCTTCCAACCCTTCGTCCGTCTCGGGCAATTCAAACGTTTCCTCCAGCAGAGCCTCGAGTTCATGATCCTCACTCCCAGCTTCATGCTCCCCACCGCCCCTACTCTCGTCGTCATAGGAAAGGTACGGTAAAATAGGCACTCCTTCGATATGCAGATGGACAAACTCGTCTGCAGCCGAGTCAGACTGGCCGGGTGAGTCGAGCCATCGGTCGGTCCAGTTCAAAGGCGGAACGTCCTGGAAAGGTAAGAAGTCCCACTGAGGACTTGAAGCCGAAATGCTAAAGGCTTCTGTTATGGTGCTCCTGACGTCGTTCTGCCCTTGCAGAAAAATAACCGGTGTCTGTGAGTGTCGCTCGCGGTAGCCGAAGGACTGAGGAGGGTTCAGATAGGTCAACTCCGAATAGGGCATGGGAATGACCATTGCGTGGAAGGGAGCTAAGAGGACCCTCAGCCCGTATGACGGTTGACGACGATGAGGGAGTCGAAAAAAAGGTTAGTATACCTCACGCACAGCGTGGGATGGGAAGCGAGAAACGTGGGGTGCGCGCAAGCCACCGATGACACACGCGCCATGCCCTCGGAGTCGCAACCTTGTCCAGCAGAAATGACAGTCGCATGTACAGATCTCACATATTGAATGGTAAGGAATGTTGGGGTACATTTCGACGCATATTGCGTATGTGTCCATGTACAGTACTGCATTCCTTCCCAGTTCCTTCTGCTGTGGCTTGCAGAAATTCGACAGCACGCAGCTGCACGATTGAGTTTTACTATACAAGTTCAGCCTTTAAGAATCGATGAAGTTCGATGGACGGTTCACTCCAGATGAGTTGTTCAGCGTGCGGGAGAACTCGGAGCTTCTGCACATGGAGCTACGGTTGGAAATCGGGCAGCGGTACCTTGCGCCGCAAGCCTCGGACGGAAAGATGAGGAGAACCTGACAGGAAACCTGAGACAGAACCTGACAGGAGAAAGATGAGGAGAACCTACAGTATCTGGAGTTGATACACAGCAGATTTGATTGCATGCACGTCTTCCATGATTTTTCGACATGTCACATCACTGATCGCGGCAACCAGAAATATCGATGGGCTGTGACGGGCGGGAGATGAGGTGCTGGGAAAGCCTCGAAGGGTAACCCTTGCGCAGGATTACAAGGTTGTATTCAAGGTTATCTTGTTCCAAGTTCCACTACATCCCCGGATTCCCGTTTCCATTGGTGCGATTTGAGGGAATTGGGGCTTCTAATAACGACGCGTCACTTGGGAAAGGTGGAAAAGTCCGGAAACCTGGGACGGCGAGAAGCTTTCGTGTGTGGCTTGCCACACCGACGGTGCACGCGAGATCCACCGAAGGCCGGGGCCGACCGAAAGCGAAGGCTGAGGAAAGGCGAAATGAGAATCCAAGATGACGAGGACGAGAAAAAAAGATTAAGGATGGGTTAGCCATTATCGCACCTGATCTTGAAGGAAATCTAAATACGTACGGAGGACAGAGAAGGGATCAGAAGGGACTCAATTTCAAGTCACTCAACTCGCAACCCGTACACCAAAACGGAGGTGTGACCTGCGCACACGAACATCACAACCACAACACCACAAACATAAAAAAAAAGAGAACCCCGGAGAAAACACCGACGAACTGACCGTCAGCAGACTGGCAGAGGAGGCTGGTATAAAGAGTTGGAACACCTCTGCTCCATCCCTTTCTGCCTGAAAGGCTCTTGTGTTTACTGCGTCGGACTACCGCATTGTGGCTTATCGCGAGAAACTGTTCCAAATGCCGCCTGTCGCGACAGCACCCTATTTGACGACAGCATCGCCCAGAAAGTCGGCGCGCAAACAAGCGTCGTCGGACTTACTGCCTGGCTTTGAACAGAAGTTTGGCGGACCGGCTGTCAACGGAGGAAAAGCGCCAAGCTTCGCGCTTCAGGATGGGTTGGCCTTCATGAGCTATGCTGGGCAGGCCATCGCTCAGGTACGCTCACATCTCCAACACTGTCGCACTTCCGTCGGACCTGACGTACAAGTATCTAACACTCAGCTGTGCATTCCTGTAGGACGAGTTTTCGAAATGCTTCAAACAAGGACCACGTCGAAGCTTCTCCCCAAAGACGATCCTCCTTGGTCCCCTCTATTGGCTTGGTTGGGTCCTTCGCTACTTCGTCCTGTTCCCATACCGCCTCGGATTATTGCTAGTCGCCACGGTCCTCTTCTTCATTGCACTACCGGTGGTCTTACGGCTGAAGAGCGAGGAATGGCAGCGGTGGCTGTTTCGCTCATACTGCAAGGCATTCCTCATGTCTTGGGGAAGTCGAGTTCGATATCATGGAAAGAAGCCAAAGCTGTCGCAACCTCACATCTTCGTCTCCAATCATACGTCTGTCATCGACTACCTGGTGCTTTCTGCCAACGATTTCCCGCATGCGACGGTGGCTCAGACTCATGGCGGCATCATTGGATACTTCGAACATAGCGTATTGACATTGAACGGCTCGCTCATGTTCAATCGGAATGAAAAGAATGATCGAACGGTATTGGCGCAAAAGTGAGTACATCTCTTTGGTTGGGACCGAATGGCTCAAAGCTCATAGGCTGACCGTGCTTTCCCCTTGATAGAATGCGATTGCACGTTTCAAACCCGAACAACGTTCCGCTCCTGATCTTCCCGGAAGGCACTTGTGTCAATAACGAATACACCGTACTGTTCCACAAAGGCGCTTTCGATCTCGACGCTGTTGTTGCGCCGGTTGCGATCAAGTACAATAAACGATGGGCAGATGCCTACTGGCATAGCAAGACACAGACATTCACCAAGCACTTGCTCTACCTAATGACGCGGTGGGCTCTGGTCGCGGACGTGCACTACCTCCCACCAAGGTCGCGGAAACCTGGTCAATCGGCAGTTGAGTTTGCAAATGAAGTCAAGGCAGACATTTCGACGGTAGCAAAGCTGAAGAACCTGAGCTGGGACGGATATTTCAAAAACTTCGCGCCCGCAAAGGATAAGCAAGTTCGCTTGCAAGAACGTAGGTGTAGGCTTCTGATGGAATGAATTCTATCCCTTGATCCTCACCATATGAACTTTCTTGCAGACCCTCAAACTCGATATGGTGCCGTCCTCTTGAACCGGATGCGAAACCGGCCTGCCCGCGACCGCTTAGGTGGGCTGCGGCGATCGGCTTCCGTATCGTTGGATTCTCAAGAAGCCCAACGCATAGCTCGCGATGCGATGTCGTCGCAACAGCCCGAATGGGAGACGAAAGACGCCTCCACCACTGCCCGGAACGAGATCCTTGTAGCCCTCGAACAGGACGAGAGGCCATCGGACATGATCCAAGAGATCTGCCACAAGAAGAACGATGTCGTTTCGACCTGGAAGTACTACAGCAAGATGCGCTCATCGGATTTCATCCAGCGACGAGTGGAGAACTCGTCCTGGCGGTTATGGTTCAAGCACAGAATCCAACAGGAACAGCAACGTGCTGCCGAGAGGGAAGCCGCGATAAGCGCATACGAAGACGAATACGTGGAGACACCGCCGCCGCGTGTTCGGAGTGCATACAACCTCGCCTCCCTTCTCCGACCGGCTCTCTATTCCCCGGCCATCACCGAGGCCACACAGCGCCCACGGAGCCGAAGTCTTGGCACCAAGCCCTTCAAGAAACCCGTCAGGCGCACCGTTCCGGGCCCGGAACGGCTAGCACAGGAGGCTGGCGCCGAATGGGGCATAGGGAACTACATCCCCATGGTGCCAGCACGCTAAGTGTCGCACACTCAGGACGATAATCGAGCTTTTGTTACATATACCCCCTTGCTATAGCAATTTTGAAAACCACCTTTCTTGTACAGTATTTCGTTTTCTATTCATTCGCAAAAACTTTTGCGTTTCTGTAACTCACATGTATGCAGCTGTCACAGAAAAATGTCCAGTCAATGTCCAGTCAGGTTGCAAAAAGCTATCTCTCCTCGAGTTTAAGTCAGTGTCCTCCCGACGCACCTCTCTGCCACGTGAAACAGTCATTGAATTCAATCAGAAGGAGAGACAGCTTTTGCAACCTGGCTGTCCATCAACGCCGCGAAGAAGTCTGGAAGTTCGCTATGAAATGTTTCCTGACGGCTTCCAAGAGAGCAGAAGTCACCGGCCATCACCTCCGCGCAAGTGGTTGACGGGGGGCCGGCGGGGTGACTCGAACTCCACATTGTACAGTATCTGGAATCCCTATCGACACACGAGTTCACCTTGTGGGGGGTGCTACAGATGCACGTTTTCCATGATTTTTCGACATGCCACATCACTGATCGCGGAAGGACTGAGGAGAGTATAATAAGTGCTGACGGGGGCGAGGCAGTCGCGAGGCGCGATAAAAGGGCGCCCTCTGTCCTCTGGCCAGAAACTACAGCAAATACAAAGTCCACTCGCAAGACCGACACGCACTTCACCAAACTGCACGGAGACGTGTCCTCGACTCCTCGATCGACATGGAGACCAACACACAGATGTCCAATATGGAAGTGGGAGAGCACGCGAGCGGTGAACTTTCAGCAACCCGCTCACAACGACGCAAACGACGCCAACGAGAAGCTCCTCATGCCATTGTTCACAGCGTCACTCTCCAAATTCAGCGTACTCACGCCACCACGTTGCCAAGCCAGAGCAGTACACTGAACACCTACGAACAACTTACGGCAGAGGAGTTTTCTGCAGCAGCCAACGTCAGTGCAGAGCTGATTGCTCAGGCCAACTCCCACTTTGTTGCATTGACATACATCCTCGAACGGTTGACGAGAACCTATCCCCTTCTCACATCAGGAGAATGTGGGTCCGTAACGCCCCAGATTGCCTCTCTACTTTACGAGTCAAACACGGCACAAACCTCTTCCAGCGATATTGGCAACGGGGACATTGAAGGCAACCCGTGGACGGGTTGGGAACCTCTAGTCCTGCTGCTGCAGACCCAACCATCCGCGTCCAATTCAGAGGGGGAAACCCAGGTCTTCAGGAAGATCATGGAGATTCATGCACTTGGGTTCTGCGATATGGTCAGCGACAGAATTCTTATCGGGCCACTATGGAAGCGAAACCAGGTCTTGGGAACTCTGCAGCCGACGCATTTAGAAACGTCGAATGCCATCCAGCACCTTCTTTCAGCCAAGCGTCGAATCTACGCACTCTCCCTACGCCACCGCAAGTTTGGTGTCCTCTGTTTTGACAATGATGATGAAGAGAACACAACCTGGACGGCAATGTGTGAGCAGCTAGGAGATCTGCCCACTAAACGGAGCATCCGATCCACATCTACGTCAATCATACCTATCTTTTCAAAGGCGAAGCAAAACCTCTACCGCATGCACGTGGATTGGGCATGGGTTTAGTCTTGTATACCGGTGATGACGAAATAATCGACGCCAGACGCCCAGCGCTGTCAATTTCTGAAGCGCGTTGAACGTACAATTTCTGTAACTTTTGGCCGCTACCTGTGTTTCGAGCACGTCCGTCATACCCGGCTCCACAGTGACCTGCAGGACAGCATTGCAAGCATGGCCAAACGAAAGCCGTCGTGCGTAAAGAAGCTCCTCCGTCTGGCTATCCTCGGCACCACCTCATATATCGTAAGTCGGCCACTCCGGAGATATTGACCGATCCTGGACCGCCGATCTTACGCCTTTCTTGACCGATCCTGCCTCCTCTCTATTCAGGCAATTTTGTCGGCTCTCATCTACTTCCCAGAACTGCAGCCGGCACTCACGTACCTGCATTGGGTTCGCATACCTTTCGGAGTTGACTGGAACGACGGAGCTGTGGGCTATGGTTTCCGCGGTGGGTTGATCTTCGCGAGGGTTGTTCCCAGCAATATGCCAAGGGGACGTTCTCACAATTTCCGAAGGAGTATCGTACTCATTTTCGCAAAATATTTCTTAGCATCGACCGTGCGGAATGTGAAGATTCACACCTCTGACAATGTAACTCTGGGAGCATGGCACGTCCTCCCCCGCACGTCCTCGCCATCTATCTTCGCCGACACGCGGATCGCTGGGTCCAGCGAGGACCGGTTCGATGCGGCGCTGGAGAGCGCTGACAGGGTGTTCTTATACTTTCATGGGAACTCGGGCAACCGCGCTACGGGACATCGAACGAAATTGTACAAGGCACGAGTATTTATCAGGATGTGTGACGACGATGTAACGCATGGCTGATGTTTGCTATTCCCTTTAGATGATTCAGCAGCTTGGCAGCTCCCATATCATAGCCGTCGACTATCGCGGGTTCGCCGACTCGGATCCCGTCTACCCGACCGAAGCCGGTGTGCAACGAGACGCCGAGGCAACATTCCAATGGGTGCTCTCCAAAGGGATTCCCCAACACAAGATCTTCCTCATCGGGCACTCGTTGGGCACCGGTGTGGCCTCCTACCTCGCTCACCGCGTCAGTAACAACTACAGGATCGGCGGTGTAATCCTTCTAGCACCATACGCATCTATGTCTGACGCTGCGATAGGATATCCGATCGTCCCGCTGCTCTGGCCCTTCAAACACCACCCAGCCACCACGGAGAGAGTTAAGGGATTCGTTTCTGAGCGCTGGAATTCTACCCACTACCTCCGCGAAACCCCTGGTGTGCCGCTGCTCCTTGTGACGGGGTCTCGCGACTTCGAGATCTTGCCTTGGCAGGCGCGCTCGTTGTTTACATCCTCCGTGTCTGCACGACTCTCCAAGGACATTACTGTCCCCAAGGAGAATGTGGGCACGGCTTTGGCCAAGGACCACCCCAAGGAAGTGACAAGACATGATGGATATGTAGTGCGGCCTCTGGTGCGCGATGAAGGCTGGTTGTGGGTCGCAGATCGGGGCGAGAATGGAGACAGGGATGACGTGTGGTATCTAGAGGTGAAGCATGGAGGGCACAATTCTGTAGCAAGTTTCCAAGTGGTTGAAGATACGCTCAAAGCCTTTGTTGAGCGCAAGTAGATGTAGACAAAGCGTGCCATGCAAACTCAAAAAAAAAAGCTTCTCACACCTTTTTTTTGATTCTATGCTACAGACGTCAAAAAACAGAACACTGCGCACTATATACAATCTAATGTATCAAGAAATTCCGTGATGCGAAGAAGCGAAGGCTTGCAACGCTCTTGGATACGAACGAGTTAGTCCTTGCGAGGACCATCCGCGGTGCGTTAACGGATTCTGTTCACAAGAATCACCTCATCCCCTTCTTTTCTGATTGATGAATGCAAGTGAGACACTCTATTCGGACAGCGAATCATCTAACCGACTGCAAATGTGTCTACGACGATAACCCTAGCCTGCACTGAGAGTGGGAAGGCCAACGTGCGACGCATTCTACGCGCTATTGGCCTCCCTCACCCTACTGTACGGTACGATACACCGCTGGAGACTCCCAGGCCGTAGCTTTGTGCCTCTTTACTTTCGGAAGGTCGCAAGGCGCTCGCAAATCACTGGAACAGCTCCTTCGTGAAGCGCTGGGAGCCATAGAGGAACGACCATGAGGCAGGCACCTTCCATTCCTCGACCGGCGGCGTATCTGCACAATCCAGATAAAGTTGATCAGCGGGCCGGGCCTCTTTGAGCAATGACAGTACATACACCTCCTACCTTTCGAAGATATGATTCGAAACACTGCAGATGCCAGTTGCAATGCTTGCGTTGGGTCTACAGAGCGCAGCGCCTGTTAGCTTGGCGTTCTCCTTCTGGATTGTGAGTATAGTCCCCAATCTCTCACCTCCATCGTTCGCAAACCAAAGGGCGATAAGCAGTGGTATCTCATTCCCGGACTCCTGCGTGCTGAACTCATCGAAAACGAATCGTGATACTCCCGCCCCTGGAGGAACAGGGCTGGGTTTCGTCACCCACGCCCTCTTCATTTCGTCGGTACCCAGCACCGTGATTCCCAACTCCGTAGCCCGGTCTAGCAGGCGACTTGGAGAGGAGGCGGTAGGAAGGACTCTCAGTGGTTCACTACACATGCAGTAGATCAGCAATACATCGCCTTGCGTTCAGTGAATGCCTATCAGTCTCTTACGTTGCCATTTGACTGTCGTCTCTACGCCCTGCATCAGCGCCAGTCACAAGCACAACATCTGAGAAACCGACTTCCGTGATCCATGTCTTCAGATGTTTCGCAAACGCCACCGCCTTTCTCTACGAGCGCCATAATTATAGATATGAGATACCAGTGCTCTCAGAATGACGATATCAAGGTTCAAGAGACATACCGGCTGCACAGGAGATCTTATTTGCACAACGGTCAAGTGAAGCTCCGAATCACTCGCCGGCGCGTAGACTACAAGGAGTAGGTAGCTTTTTTAGTTTAGCGGGGCCTTCTGCCCCTCACCTGACACTCCGCAAGTACCTTCAACGGTTGTATGCAGTACGCCTTCCCCCTCATGCTCCCCATATGAGTCTATTCCACATACAGGCGCGATGAAAGGTGTATCGATAAAGCCGATTCTTTGCAATTTGAGTGTCGAGATAAGTGCATCCACAGCCAGTTGTCCTAGGTTTCCGAGTGCATTTGGCGCGGGGATTACAAGCATCGTGCCCCTTAAGGATCGCTCGGCAAAAGACGGTACAGGTTGGAACTCGATCAGGGCGGGGGCTGTCATGTCGGGCAATGATGTCGAGGTGAGAGGGAAGTCAGGAGGGAAGTACAGTATGTAAGGTTGGCGAGGAGGAGAATCAGACGCGTCAATTGGAAGCAGCAAGCAGCTCAGCGTTCGAAAGGTTCGAAAGAACGACCCATGATAAGGCTTAGAGCGCCTATATATATGTATGTACACTATTCTCCATGGTCATCTCAGCAAGGTGAAGGGGAAGCTGAACGATAGAGCAGAACTTTCAAGTGCGGTGCAAGTACTCCTCCATGACTTGGAGTGAGAATGAGGAAGGAAACTCGTGCATTCGTGATGTGTTTCTGGACTTAACATCCCACCTGGACTTGCCTGTGATTCCACATCCGCACCCTTGAAATTGAGAATATCAAATCTTCTTGTCCTAACAAACTCCCCATTAAGCGGATGTGCCGGTGTGAACTTGAAAGGCCTGATATGTACAGTACTGTAGAGAAGGGAGAAGTGGGAAAATGGGAATGACGAACATTTCCCATGGCAAAAACTGCTTCGTTCTCTTGGGGTTTGGTGGCAGCTTTCATTTACTTTACTGCCGCCCAGACTGCCGCCTGCCAATACCCCATACCAAAAATGAGTGCCCTCAAAACAGCCGTCGTTAATGCGCCGAAAACACATACGGCGACTATCGTGTTCCTTCACGGGCTCGGGTACAGTTGTTGAAAAGGCTCGACTGTCCGCGGACTTCTGACATTCGTCGCTGACCTAACTTATGTTCCCAGGGACTCAGGCCATGGGTGGGTCCCAGTCGCAAAGATGTTGTCGCCGATACTGCCCCACGTGAAGTGGGTGCTGCCGCATGCCCCAAGCCGTCCTATCACAGTCAATTTTGGGATGGCCATGCCCGGATGGTACGTTGGTGATCTACAACCTACTTGCGCTCAAGGACCACTCTTCCTAACAATCTCAATACAGGTATGACATCCACAAGTTGGGGCCTGGAGGGAAAGAGGATGCAGAAGGGGTCATGAGCTCGATCGCACAAGGTAGGCGCATATGTCCTTCTCGCCCGGCAGTATGACACAAGGCTCGCCTGCACTATCGCCGGGCAGGAATGTTCAAGGTAGACACGGGCCTTACCTCGTTTCTCGGCGGGCAGTATCGAAGATTGTGGATGATGAGATCAAAGCTGGCATAGCCCCGGAGCGGATTGTTGTCGGTGGTTTTTCGCAGGGTGGCGCTCTCAGCATCGTCTACAGTTTGGCAAGTGGCATCAAACTCGGCGGCTTCCTCTCGTTGAGTGGTTATCTTCCATTGACGGACGCAAATTTGGATAAGGTGAGTTCTCGGCGAACCAAGATCAGAGTATGCGGGCTGTAATGTTGAGGTTGAAATCATGTCTAGGTGAAGAAAAACACAAATAATGAGACACCCATGTTGATGTGTCATGGAGATCAGGACGAGACGGTTCCATACAAATGGGGCAAGCTCTCTTACGAGAAGATCGTAGAGCTAGGAAAGAAGGTTGAAGCGTTCAAGACATACAAGGGAATGGGTCACTCCAGCTCATCGGAAGAGGTCTCGGATGTTGCAGAGTTTTTGACTAAAGTTTTACCGTAGAGTAATTTACAGATAGTGAACTCTATAACAATGCATGTTGTTTGTACAAGAGATCTCGGACCCTGTAATATAACTCCCCTATGCTACCTTCCAACGCCAGCCGCCCAGCCATTGCTCTGCTGACAATGACCGGATCTGCATCTTTCTCCTTGCCCGCACTGCGCACCATCAGAACACCAGAAACGAACTCGGTGGATAGTCCTTCGTTCTGAAGTAAGCGACGAAACTCGGAGAGCTTCACATCCCCAACGATGACTGGCCGATGGTGTTGTTGCATGTCTGCTGGCATCACGTCAAGGACCGGAATCCCCAGCGACGCCGGTCGAGCGTTTGATGGGATGTCGATTTCCATTGCCTCTGATCCTGAGCTTCCAACGCCGACTTCGGTTTCTGGGAAGCGTACGAGGCCGCTGACGTACGCCAGCTGGTAATCCGCCAACTGCGTAGACAAAGCAAGGTTACGGGGCGACCTCGACAGTTCGCTTGCAGGTGCAATTCGGAACGTTACCTCAGTCATCTTCAAAGAGCTGACGAGGGAATCCGTCAACCTCACTTGATAGATATTGGTGGCAGCCGAAACGTTGATGCACTCCCCAACATGCGGTGAGTAGACGTCGTTTGTTAGGTTCTCTGCTTCCAGACAATACGATTCGAGATTCTGCGTTGATTCTTCCGACCCGCGGACAAGAATCTGAAAAAAAAAGTCATATCGTTGGTATGCCGAGTCGTAAAAGGAGGTCGGCATTGCAGCACTGCCCGCCCATACCAGCTTCCTGGGAGCGACTTGCGGCAGAATGTTCTTGATAGACCTTCCGTCCGACCGGCCCTCAAAGTCGATGTACACTACTCTGCATCGCACATCTATAGCGGACTCGAACGCGATGAACTTGAACGGAATGGGATCTTCTTCTTGTCGCAGTTTTTCCAGTTCCATGGGCTCCTGTACCCGAGACTACGGGTTGACGCGGCGGCTGATTAGTCGTCTGTCCTTTCGGTCTGCAACCAAGCAAAATCTAAAGCTCACTGCCTCCGTCTCCTCCGCCTGCTGCATAGCATATTGGTACTCGCCCCTCATATACACAGCAGGGTCAATCTGCTCCCCATAGTCATCCACGCGTTTCCGTGGTTCTGAAATCGGAAACATACGATACGACTGACTCTGCTTGAAGAACCCGCCAGCCTTCGTCTGATCCTTCACATAGATATCATACCCCGACGCAAGGATGTTTGCCACCTCAGCAACCTCCCCTTCGTCGTCATCGATATCGCTCTCATCGTCCTCCATCAAGTCGCGCTGTTTCGCTAAACTCTCGGCCTCATGCTCCCGCCGTTGCTGCTCTCTTGATAGGAACTCGGTCAACTCTTCCCCTTCCAGGGGTATCTTCTCTTTTGCAATAATCGGTATCGTCAGTTCCAGATTGACTGCGCTCCTGGTGTTCTCTTCGGTCTTTGGCGGTGCGTGCAGGCTCCATTCCGTGTAGAGTTTTCGAGCCATTGACCCTGGTAAGCCTCGATCAGGCAAGAGTACCAAAGCTTTTTCGGAACTGCCCCATTCCCGTAGAATGTCGTGGGACCATCCGGTGTCCACTCCTCCAAGGGAGGCCAAGACAACCTTGGGCCCTCTTAGCTTATCGAGTTCGGCCTTCCTATACACTGTTCGTAAAAACCTGCGCGTAAGAGAGTAGTCAGGGTCAGAATGCCGACCAAGATGATGAAGCGAACTTTTGCGAATTGGACTGACTTGAAGTCGAATGGTGCCTCACGTCTTTGCGAAAACGCATTTGCTACACCGTCACCCATCCATTCCAGCATGGTTTTCGCCATCGACATTGTTCGGTAACTCTGGTGCGTTAGAAACAGTAAAGGTGTCTGCAGCCGCTGGAAAGCCCAATGCTGCTCCAATAGGTACGCGATCTCCAGCACTCGGGTAGACGAATCGACGGGTATAAGCACATTAGCGTCGTTGTTGAGGGCGGATGTGATTTCGTCTGTTGGATCGCTATGGTCAGTTTAGCTTTTACGGGACATCTTGGCAAACCACACACACCAATGAGCGACGAATCGCGAACTTTCCGAAGTGGTTGCTCGTTCTTCGCATTGTAGGCATCCGCGATCAAAATAGACGGCCGAGCTAATGCTTCCGTTGTCATCATGACTGTGCCATTCAGATGTCTGCGAGGTGAAGAATCTCAGGAAAGGTCAGCGATCGCGGAAAGTTTACCATGCCTTACCTGTCCTTTTTATGGTTGTAATCAACGGCATACACGATATCGTCGGTGTCCTTCTTGATCTTCCATATCGTTCCGCCGACCGTGTGCCCAGCCAAGTATGCGGTGACAGTGATGCCGTTGCATTTTCCTTCAAAGTCCCAAGCGAACATCAGTAATCATTGATCAAAGATCTCATTTCTTCAGGAATGAAACTTACCGGAAAGAGAAAATGGTTGAGAGTACCGCAGGGTGACCATCTTATCGAACGCTGCGTCGACATGGTCTAATGTGAAGGTACTGAACTCCTCCGCGGATGCTCTAGACTGAAACGCATCGTACATGGTAATCTGTCCCATATCATGCACCGGAAATGTGGCATATGCAGGGCAATTCAACCCTAGGTGACCGAATGCATATGGGTATGCCCCAAGATGCTCGATGTCGCCGTGACTGAATAACACAGCGTCCACTTGCTTAGCCACCCTGTTGAGTAGAAGTGTAGGAAAGTATCATCGGAAGGCAGAAAAGAAGCAATAATGACTTCAGAAGGTATTCGAAACAAGGCACAGAAGGTGACAAGGAGCCGTTGATATGCATGATAGTTTATTATGTATGAAAGTTTGATGTACACGCGGTGATAGTGCAGGTCACCCCCTGCCATTCCTGTCTACAGTGCTGAAAGACGTGGAAACCTCCCATATCTCCAGTCTCTCCCGTCGATCCCAAACTGCCATAAACGAAACCCTCCATCCGGTAGCTAGGCCCCACCGCCCACTATATCCCAAGACTCACCTCCGCAGCTCGACCAAGTCTTCGGGATCGAAGCGCTCTGACCATCCGCAGTCCAGAAGAATCTTGGCTTCGTCGACTTCCAGCAGGTAGCACAGAGGATCTTCGTTGCGGGCCCCCGAGAGGGGCGTAAACTTCACATAGGCCGTCATCCGGATTGAGCTCAAGAATTCGAATACACGGTCAATAAGCACAATCTCCCCCAGTCTTCAAGATTTTGATGAGGTCCTATGAGTTCCCGACGCCACACGATTTCATGTGACCGCATGTGACCTGTTTATATATACATATGTACATACATACTGTATGTACATCTCATGACATAAGCCGACTGCGACGCGTTTTGAACATCCATCGCGAACACCGCCATCACAATCCTGGTGGAAGATCGCGGTGGAAGATCGCGCTCTGCAATCTCAAGCTTCATCTATTAGCTGGCCTCGCAATTGGGAGGCTGTCCCGCGATCAACCAAACTCGTCTCCCATCCCTCCGTCCCGCTGGCGCCGTTTGTTGCAATGAGCGATAAAAAACGCGAGGAATCCGCCAACTTGGAGGACGACTTCGACACCAGCATTGCAGTGAAGGAAGCCGGCGAAGATGATATCAGATCATCCGAGGACATTGAACTACCTTCGCCACTGAAACCTATGTCGGGAATGAGCTCCCGAATTTCACTTCAGGGCTTGAATATAAGTAAAGCTCACATCAAACGAATCAAAGAGATCTCGGAAAGACGCGGACTCCCGAAATACTTCGGATGCCCCAAACCCGAAGAGTTTTACAAATGGGTCGCAAAAATCTTGACGTTCTTGAATGACTTACCGGATGCCTACATGGTTGCTTTTGAGCAGTCAGAACCGTGCTCGGAGGAGTCTGATGCGCATTACTATAACGAACAGCGGGCGTACCTCTGCATCATCGCAAGCTCTCTCGATGGGGACGCAGGAGCGTGGTTCGACAAAATCGAAGATAGAATCCAGCGCCTACAAGAAGCTTTTGAGCTCGTGGAAATGATTTCTGCCGAGTTTGTGATGTCAAAACCGATGAACAACGTCACCGACAAAACGAACTTCAGCAACTTTGCCCGACTGATGAAAATAACCGCAATATCCGCTCTGGACACATTACTGTGGGGAATCCTGAATTGTGCAGTCTTTTTCCTTTTCACCATTGCATGCTGCGGGTGGTGGCTTCCCCCGATATGGCCAGGCTGGTGGATCTTCCAAAAAGCATGTGATGGGATGCAATGGGTTACATTGAACTTTGGAGGAGGGTTTCTGCCGGTATGCGCTGGTTCGTGATGCGAAAGCCAAATCGTCTACAAGAAGTTAACACTTGGACGGGCAGTCATCAGTCACAAAAGAAAAGCTTGCGCTCTCAATGGTTTCCTCCACGACGCCGCGCCTCCATGACGACTATGCTTTGAAGCTGACCTCAGACGGAAGAGCGCACATGAGGAAAGTGATCAAGAGGTTACAAACTTCTGAAAAGGTCGGACTGCCTTTCTAGTATGTATCCTCAAGTGAAGAAGACGGCATTCATACCCTCTCTTGCAGTTTAGTTTCACCCTTGCTGAGTTTTTCGCTCAAATGTGTGCCCTCGTCTACGAGAGTAACAAGGTCCTTGAGGAGATTCTACGCAGGTGGGGCCGGGACTTCGAGTTCACACGATTCGGACGCGATGGTGAGTGCCCACACAGTACTGCTACGGCATTGACCAGTAAGCACATTGTTGGCCATCTCCAGGTTGCTGTATAATGGCTATATGGAGCGTGGAACACAAGTTCGTTGTCCTGATCTTCAAAGGGACCGGCCTACTGGATCTCTCAGAATGGTTGACCGATTTTTCGCTGCGAAAAACGTCACCCAAAAACGGAGTTCTCCCGGTACTGCCTACGATGTCTTCTGCTTCTTCAAGTCCCAAATAACCGATGGATATTTTGCAATCGTGTTGTTCAATCTTTAGGGACTCGTTCACTCTGGGTTCTTTTCTGGCTTCGGCTTCCCGAACGTGGACATGGTGCGAAGAAAAAGGAAGACTCCGACAACATTTGACCTGGACAAGATGCTAGAAGCCACTTGGCTCAACTCTTGCGGTAGCATGAAGGACGATGATTTCTGGGGCACAAGCTTGCTGCCTCATCTATGGCAGATCGTTAAGAAGTTTGACGGAACACCGAAGCCACATTTGTGGATTACCGGCCACTCTCTCGGAGCTGCTACGGCCAGCATTTTCACTGCAATGATATTGTGGAGAAGGAGTAAGGTTGGAGCCAACTCGCCGGTCGAGAATATCGAATGGGACGAGACATTTATACTGAGAGGAACCTACACCTACGGAACACCGAGAACTGGCGACACGGAGTGAGTTGATTCGCGCGGTTCCCCGAGACGCTGTTGTTCCATCCATGCTGATGCCCATGATCCGTAGCTACCGAGCTGCTATCCAAACTGTGTTGAGAGATCGGTACGGAAGATTCAAGATGAGGGACCAGCCTCAGTATCAGTTCCACCGGTAGGCAGTGGCTGATTGGACACGTCACCACCCCTGAATGCTAAAGCAATTGCCTCCAGCATAATCAACGCCAACGACATCGTTGCGACACTACCCGGAGGACCGGGAATCTCAGAGCTGGGAACGTTCTTCCGTAAAACAAAGGCCACGACCCACTTCAATCGCCACTCCGGACGTTATGAGAGGGGAAACGGCAAGCCAGCTAGTTTGACCCTAATCGATTTCCAACATATCGGGACGCCACATTTGATAGAGTATCGAACTGGGGGTCGCCATGTGCGCGAGCGGCACCTTGGATTCGTGCTGTTCAATGCCATGCAGGAGTTTGTGCGAGGCATTCCAGAAGCATTTAAGCAGCCAACGATCGCGGGCAAGGCATTTGCTTTGGCAGCCACTTTCGTGCCAGGCGTGATGTTTTTCCGTGATCACATGCTCAGGTACTTACAGCGATGGTCGAATAATGGGCGGCATCTTTGTCCATCAAACTCTCGCTCTCGGCTAACGAATGTTGTCACTCGAACTTTTTTCTCTGCAGCGAGTATGTTTTGAACCTTGAAGAATGTCGGAAACGCAACGCTCAATGCAGTAAGTTCTTAAGCATTCCACTCCTTGCATTATTACTCATGACGATCTGTGCTGGTGTTTATACATACATATTTAAAATCTCTAGAGCCTCCTCCCCAAATTTAAGACGGACACACCAAGAGGAGCCCCTTGCTTCAACACGCCTCTAACGCTTTCCTTTTAGACGTTTGCCACCTTAGACATACCCAATAATCTTCTGGACACTTTTCGCACTCATTATGGAGTATTGATACCTCCGATTAAGCATCGATCATACCGTCGGACTTTCGCATTGACAGGATGACAGTCGCGGACTTGGCTTGCAGCCTCCAAGGGATTTAATACATGAAGCTTCGGCTCACAGGCTCACTTGGTTCATGGTCCATCCAGTTGTTGGGCTCACAGCACCACTGCCTGCCCTTGGCCATATATATATATGGACCACAGCGTTGGTTTCGTGAGAAGAAAAACCCCGCAAAGTCAGCCCATGGCCGCCTTTACTGTTATGAGTGGGTCGTCAAGGAATTGAGCGGTATTCTGTATTCTGAGCTGATGCGCACAGTAGATGGATTTCTGCAGTGTGTGTGATGAAAGGCTCTATCTAGATAATAACGCTGGACGTCAGCAGCCGGTCGCAGACGACCATATAAGGCATCAACCAGCTGCTATGGAAGGACTGGCGCTCCTATGGATTCCCTAGACTATCTGTACTCGCCCTTGGTACACACAGGCATGGACAGGACTTCGACGCATGCCGTCGTCTGATGTGCAGCTGTTCTTCAATTTGACGTCTATGCTTCCATACTCTTTACGATCCTGGGGCCACGTCGGATGGAAGTCCGCCCTTTTCGTAAGAAAGAATGTCGACGACTGCAGTATGTCCAAGAAATAAAGAACTCAGTTCCTTCCAGCCTATGTCGGATAACCTCAGAAACATATCAGCGGGGCACAATCCTCAGACATACCAATTCCGCCGGCCACCGTGACTGTGCCCGATCTCAACAGAAATCGTCCGAGCTCCTTCGAGGCAGAGAACTTTTCCAGACAAACTGGCCGACTCGTTTTGATTTCCACAATCGCAGCAACGTTGCGCGGAAGAGCTCGTGGGTTCTTCTTCGTTACTTCATTGGTGGCTTTGTTGATTAGGGATTCTAACCGCGTTATTGTGGCTTGCTCCGTGAGCGATTGGTGGTGTAAGACGACCTGCGAAGTTTGGTGGACGTAAGTCGCAGAATCTGAAACGTCAAAGCTGGGAAGATCAAAGGAGCTTACCGGAACACCAATTGTGAGAGGGATGTCAATGTCGAACGTGACAATCTGGGCACGGAAATGGCTTGTGATGGGCACAGGAGCTGATGGATCGCAAAGTAAGCTTCCGATGCTGGATGATATGCAGGCGTTAGTGAATACGAAGAGTAACAACCAGTCGAGCTTTCAGCCATACTTGATGTGCGTCATGTCGACTCCCGTCAGGCTCATCAAAGCGTTGTCCCCAGCTACGGCCCATTTAACGGACTCCTCGGCCACTTCAATGGCTTGAAAATAACTATGAATCAGAGCTAGAACTGAAGAAACACAAGAGGCTGCCTTCATACCTCGGACCACCCCGACCTCATTGATAGGAAGGACGGTCACGGAATCTCCAACTTGAACATTACCGCCCTCGATGCGTCCGCTCACGGAAACCGCTCCCCCGCCCCCTCCTGCGCCTATTCCTCCTTTGAAATAGTCGGTGACAGATAATCGGAAAGGCTTATCTATCGGGCGTACTGGTGGTTCGAAGGCGTCTGGAAGAAGGTAAAACCATTGAGAACGAGTTTCCCGCAAGCAGCTGCACTGCACAAGAAAACCTAGCCGCATGTTTCCCGCAGCGCGTTGATGACACCGTACCAATCTGCTCTACAAGCGTGTTTCCGGAATACCACGACAAAAGGGCTTCGCTGGTGCATTTTGCGAGATTCTGTCCAGTAAATCCACTGGTGGGGATGAAGGTAACATTTTGTTTCCGGAATCCGACTGACTGTGACAAGAACGTGGAGAGCTTCGCGCAAATCTCATCAAATCGTGATTTCGCCCAGTTGACCTAATGCCAAACAGGATTGTCGTTGCGTCAAAAGAGTACTCGTGTAGGCGTGTCCAGACGGAAGGCGAGAGGAGGTGGTGTTGTCTACTAACCACATCCATCTTATTCACGGCGACAATCAACTGGCTTACACCCAGACTGCGAATCAGGACAGCGTGCTCTCTGGTTTGCCCCCCGGAATCGAAGCCCGTCTCGAACTCGCCAGGAGTCGCATCTACAACCAAAATTGCGACATCTGCCTGTTTCGGGAATAGTTTGTGATAAACTTGCTGACTGTGAAGTCGTTGCAAACGACATGACTTACCTGTGCGGCACCGCTCATCATATTGGGCACGAAGTCACGGTGACCCGGTGCGTCCAGAAGCGTAAACTTTTTGTGTGCGGTTTGAAACTTGGTGATGGCCACATCAATTGTGACTCCTCTGTGCCACATAAGTCAACCTCACTAAGGCTCCCTGCTTTCTAGTTTTGACCGTAGGAGAAGACGTACCGATTCCTCTCCTCATCCGTCTCATCAAGAACCCAAGCGAATGCAAAACTCCCTTTCTTGAGCTTTTCGGCATCACGCTCAAATTTCTTCATAGATCGTTCGGACACCTCTCCGAGAAGATACAGCAAGTGACCCATTAGCGTGCTCTTCCCCGCGTCGACGTGCCCTAAGTCCCATGATGAGTTCTCTTTCTTGAAATTTTGATGAATCGTCCTCTCACTGACCTACGACCACGAGATTCAGAGTCTCTTTCTCGGCATTTCTTTTCTTGTACTCTTCCAAGACATCGACTCTCTTCATCTTCGGGCTGCCTTTGCCAATACTTCCGGTACTCGCTGTCTTTGCCATAGGTGGCGGAACTGTCAATGACGACGTGGACGATGTTGCTGATTTCTTGCTGTCCTGGACAATCGTGCTGGCTCTCGGGATACTTGCTTGGACAGCGATGCCAAGTCCATCCATATCCATTTGCAATTGATCCATGTATTTCGGTTCTTCTTGTGATGCTTTCTTTTTTGATGCCGTCGGTTTGACTTCAGCCACTTTGCTATGTTTCGCGACATTGTGCTTTGCTAGAACGGAGGTCTCAGTAATTCAAAACAGCAGAGAGCGGAAACAAACATCGCTCCCACCTTGACTGCTCTTGTTTCTGGCCATTCCGACTATGTCATCAGGACTTGGAGTGTCGAACGAGAACGGAACGACGCTCCCACCCTTGGCTTTTGTGGAAGTAGCGGCCAATGACGGAGCCCCTGACGAGACAGGAAAATTAGCGTTGTTTGCATCCTCATTTTTGGACACCGCCGTCGAGCACGTGAGGACATCGGCGAAGACCGAAGGGGTCGCTACAAGAGACACGGTCTTCAATGTCTGGTTATCGAGCTGTTCAGCTGGTCCCTGTGAATGTGAAGGCAGAAGGATCTTTGCGGATGAGGCCGCGCGAGAAGATGGTCGTGGAGCTGATGTTGGAACGCGTGAAGGTGCTCCAGCCGGTTGTGACATCCCGCTTATCGATATAGAGGTATGAGCTGAAGAGAGTCGGGGATAATTGGCGGAAAGCGACGACCTCGAGTCGTGTACGTTGGCCAGACCAGTTGTCACAGCTGCCGGTGAATTCGTATCCGTTCTTCCGCCCAAAGCGGCCAATGCGCTTTTGATCGCATCTTTCCCGCTCATTGATGCCGCTGTGCTGCTTAGTTGTCCGAGGCCTGTGCCGGCGGATGGAGCTAAGGGCTGTCCAGGAACAAAGCTCAGCCCCATTGTCAACATTGAAGAAGGCCCATCCAGACTCGCTACAGATCCTGGTGCTGGCCCGCTTCTTGTCGTCAAGCCTCCTGCTTTTGACAAGCTAGATGGGGTATAGAGCGCGCTTAAACCACCAGCCTGACTGCCTAATGTAGAAGGCGGCCCCGCCAGACTCGCCAAAGATATTGATGCTGGTCCGCTTGGTGTTGACATCCCTCCGATCATGGGTAGGCTCGATGGAGTGTAGAGTGCACTCAGACTACCGGGCCCACTCCCACCTAGAGACTTCGTCGAGCTGAGACTGGCTAAAGATAAGCCCCCTTGAAGAGATGACGGGGAAAAGCTTCCCGAAGCAGGTATGGCGCTCTGCAACGTGGTAAGAGTTCCGCCGTTCGAAGGAAACGGAGGGAAAACTGATTGACCAGGCGTTTTCCGGGTTTCGCCGGCCGGATTTCCCGGAGCCAAACTCGCGAGACTGACTCCTGGGGTTTGAGGATTCAGAGTTCCAATCACTGAGACACCAGAAAGGGTCGTCCGATCCGCCCCACCGGTCGATAACGTATGACCGCTGGAAGCCGGCAATAGGTTGCTGAGGCCGGAGTTGCTGGAAAGCGGCCCTGAACCGGCAAGCGTTCCAGCCAAAGCTGTCCCATCGCCGTCGGTCTGCGTGGTTGAGACCGGAGGTATCAGAGTTGGCTGTCCTAGTTCGACCGGATTCCTCGTGATGTGAGGTAGTTGGAGGTTGGAATTTGACTCGCTTCCTAACGTCGTTGTGTTTGCAGCTGCTGGGGTACTATGACCTCGCGATGACTTTTCCGTAGAGCTAAGCGGGCCGGTTTTTGCAGCGGCTGTGTCCTTGCCAATCTCATCCGGAAGATCGCTCGTCGGCAAACAACGCAACACATTATCGCCTCCCGGTGGACTTGCACGCGTTTTTTCCTCAGATTCAACTTGCCGTGGCGTCGCAGTGATGATTGGGATGTTCAGCGGATACACCGTTCGGAACTCTAACCCATCATCTTCGCATTGCACAATCGTGTACATGGTCCCGGATCCCAGAACACCTGAACACACCGGACATTGGTGAATCCAAGATAGCACAATCCTCAAGGACAAGCCGAATCATTCCGCATGACCGATTTCCAGACCCAAGCCGAAATAGTCCTCCGAGTCCTCACGCTGCTCGACGAGGCTAATGTACGCTGCTTACCTTCTGCTCTCTGAGATCCTGATTTGCCAGATGATTGCGCCGCCGGTTGAGCGAAGCCTGGTGGCGGCGCAAGTCCGGGTGGAGGATTGCTACGCGAACCCTGATCTTTCACAGCCGACGTCAATCAGTCTCCAACACATCGGCGACCCTTTCTACACTCATTTCTCACCAAGAAGGAAGTTCACAGCGCGCTCGCTGTCGTTCTGATTTTGACGCAACGCAGCCTGTATTTGCTCTTTCGGGAACTCCTTTCCTACTATTCCAGCGACTTCATCAACGAGTTTGGCCGATGCTTCGGTATTCTCGCCTCCTGTTAAGTCACCCCCGTGTTCGTCGTTATCGTAGCCTAAGAGAAAGGAAGTGATCTACAGCTTCATCCTTCGGTTCACTATCGTACGGAACGGCAGTACCATGTTCCTCATATTCATCCTCGTCATAGTAGTCGTCGTCGTCGTCGTAGTCGTCATCCAACTCGTCTAAGGTTAAGTTCTGTAAGTGCTCGCTCGAGCCACTAACCCACCAGTCACCGAGCCAACCTACCGTCGAGATCAAGGTTCCGGATGTTTCTATGTCTCGACATGATTGATGTACATACAGCGAACGGCAATACTGTTTTCCGGATATGAGGTTGGCTTTGCTGGAGGCTTCTAAGCTCTCCTGCGTGTGTATGGGCGATGCTTGGAACTCTTGGAAGGTCCAGGCCAGAGTCCAGGCCGAGAACAAATGACGTCTGGGAACTCTGGGAATCACCAACGCGCTCCTCGCGCTCTCCTGCCTGCTTTGAGCTCTCCCTTCTCTCCCACGTCTCTCCCGTTTCCATTTCCAACGCAAAACACTTCGGCAATACATCATATCGGTCAAGTAGCCGGGCGGAAGAACGACATGGCCGGAGACACGAGGACACTGGCCGAGCCGGAGCCCGAGTTGGAGAAGGTTGACACCGCTGCAGAGACGAACACCGCAGCGGAAGCAGCAAGTACTGGCGATCCTGCGAAACCACCAAAGAAGAAGCGTCCACGAATCACGGCTCCACCCACCAGCCATCTCTCAATCAACCCTTACGACTGGAAGTATGACCCTTCCATTGCCTTCGACGCCAACTACATTGACCTGGCCTGCCTGGTGGCTCGGAATAGCGTCTCCTTGAAGGGCCACATGGGCGCCGTGCTGCTCTCCCCTCCAAATTCCATTCAGCCTCAAGGCGAAATCCTGCACTTGTCCACCAATGTTCCCGTCTTTCCAGTATCGACCAACAAAACGATGAAGTCATCTGCAGAGATCCACGCCGAAGCGAATGCAATAGTCAGTTGTGCGCGGCAGGGTGTGTCTACGCAAGGGAAGTGGATTTATGTGACCTTCCCACCTTGCAAAGACTGCTTTATGTTGATTGTGTATGCGGGGATCAAGAGGATTTGCCATCGGCGAAGGTGCATTCTCCCGGAGATGAAGGAGATTGCACAAACATGGGGAATCGAGCTTGTGGAGTGGACGAGTGCGGAAGAGGACGACCTGTGCAAGGCGAGATGTGATGGACTCGTGAAGAGGTGGACGGAGGTCAACGAGCCAGACGAGCCACTGATACCGGTACAATAGTAGGGATCTAGAGGCAGGTACCTCTAAGGACGCTGGCCGTAACGCAGCAACGCAGCCATTGGGAGGTTCGATCGGATTGCACGCTCTTACACTGTGTAGCGTAAACTAGATGTCTACTTCCGCTACGCATTGGATGCTTCCGTCCGTGAAAGACATCGCAGTCCCGCGTTCGGAAGGCATTTTCGCACGATCCTTTATATATTTGTAAGATTGCCCTTGTCACAGCACGCTACATACTATGTTACTTTGGAGGCTATGCGCATATACAAGAAATAGACGATTGGAACGAATTCTTCCTAGACCCATAGGACGCGGCGTAGAAGCTGGGTGAATGCTTATCCGCGATGTCCACCGAACTTTGAGAAATCGGGCTTGCTGCTGCGAGATGGTATTTAAAATCAAGGACTGGGCAAATGTCGGATATCGGGAGTCACAATATTGCATACCTCGTACTGCCGAACATGCCTCCCGTGTTGGGCGCGGGTGCTTGTCCAAATATAGAGCTCTGGGGGTTTGTCGCTGCCACTTGTCCAAATGGCGACATTGCTGGTGCGCCTCCAAACACAGTACCGGCTTGCGGTTGCTGCGTAGCTCCGCCGAAAGCGCTTCCTCCGAATCCTCCAAAGCCCGAGCTTGGCTGCTGCGGCTGACTAGCTCCGAATCCACCGAAAGCTGGGGCTTGCTGAGAAGCCGGTTGACCAAAGCCGGAACTACCGAATGCCGTTGGTTGGGCGCCGAATGCTTGAGCAGCAGGCTGAGGTGCTTGCTGGCTACCGAAGGCCCCAAATCCACTCGGTTGCGCTGGTTGGGCGCTGCCAAATCCTCCAAAGCCCGTTGGTGTCCCACCGCTTGCAAAGCCAGCAAATCCAGTCGACTTTGATGCATACGATCCGAAGCCTCCTCTGCATGAAAATGAAATCAGTCAATACCGAATCGAAACATGTAGAAACCGGAAAATGGCATTACCCAGATGAGCCAGCTTGCTTGATGCTCTCAGCTGTTGAGCTGAGCGAGCCCAAATTGGCGCTCATCCTGTTGATCGTTTCATTACAAGGCATCAATAAAGCGATTTCAGCAAGCAGGGGTTTCAGTCAACGCAACAATCCACTTACGCAGCGATTGGGGAACCGAACGCAATAGCTGTCGGTCCGGAAGCAGCGGCTGAGCCGAAAGCGGAATTTCCAAAGCTCGATGGGCCTCCAGGTGTCAAACTGGACCCGAACGAAACACCCACAGCGCTAGCCATAGACGACACGCGACTGCCGAATGGTGTTGCGGGGGCTGCCACGCCAAAGGGAGACTGACCGAAACCCGGGGTTGGTCCACCCGCACCAGCGGGTGCACCGGCTCCAGTAAATGGTCGGCTTACTGGAGTCCCAAACGAAGGCGGGGCCGCTGGAGTCGAAAATGACAAGGCCGATGCAGGTGCGGGTGTTGGAGTTGAGGGATTACCGAATGGTGATGCGGACGAAGAAACCTGGCCGAACGGACTCGCCGCGAAAGCTGAGAGGGATGAATGTCATGACAGCAGATGAGCACCTGTTTGCATCCTACCCGAGCAATAACCTGCCATTACTATATACATACCGCTCGCTCCAGGGCCACCCAAGGATCCAAACGCGGATCCAAACGTATTGGAAAGATCCATTGTGCCGGTGTTATCCCCCGTATCGGCATCCATCGTGTCTGCCTGCTCCTCCGGTGGAGCAATGTCCTCTTGATCCGACTTCAGAACCTCTTCAGCGTTGCCACCCTGGTCGGTCGAAGTTCCCTCAGTCGGTGGCGAATTAGCTCCGTCTTTTGGCACGTCGCTTGTGACGCCCTCCGCTGGAACGCTGTTCGATTCGCGGCTATCAACCTGCTCCTCAATGCGTTGTTCGCTCGCAGCTTCCTGTGCTTGAGTCACCGGTTTTTCTACGGGGTCATTGGCGACTGCTGGCTCTGTGGGCGTAGGTGGGGTAGGAGGACTAACAGGCGACTTGACAGGTGCTCCAGGGAAGGCGTTCTCATCATCGCTGGGTGTAGGTGGTTGTTGTCCATGCACACTAGCCTCATCAGTGGTGTGATCCGCTATTCCATCAGAGGCAGTGGTCTCAACTGGTTCCTCCTTTGCATTGCTGGTTTCCGAATGATCCTCGCTAACACTTGCCGCTTGCACTTCGGGTGTGGAGGGCTCGCTGCCGTTTTCCTCATTGTTGTCTTCCAGCGTGTATGGCGGAGCGGGTTCCCGTCCGGACTCGTCAGCTTGCGACAATGACGTCGCTGGTTCGGCCGAATATTCGATTTCTTCGATCTCCTCATTCCTGGACTCATTGAATTGCGACGAGGGAGCAGCCGGCTCGGGCGAGAACTCGCCCTCTTCGCGCTCCTCGCCGTCCGACTCCCTTCCGCTCAATCCTTCATCGCTCCCTTGGGGCCGGCCCGTATCTTCTTCCCGAATGTCCGTCTTAATGAACGACCCATCGCCGGCATCGGTCTCATCTTCGCTTTCCGACAGCTCCGAGACGCACTCCGGCGCGTTCTGAGTACTTTGCGCTGTCCCCTGCTCAGGGCTTTCCGAACCAACACTGCCAACAATCACATCGTCCTCGTCCTTCTTTACATGTTCCCATCCAGATTCCGAGCTCGCCACTGACGAAGAGCGTTGCGCACGTGTCGTAGCTCCAGGCGTCGAGCTGAAAGAAAGTTTCCTTGCAGTAGGTTTAGCAGAAGATTCAACAGTCCCTGGGACTCCAAAGGCGGAACTAGCCCCGATAGGCTTCGATGGAGGCGTGAAACCGGCGAAGCCAGAAAATGGCGTACTCATGACAAAGCTCGCTTGCTTTGGCTTCTCCTCAACTGTAGAGGGTGCCGCCGAGAACGGTGGGCCAGCGCGATTGGCTGCTGGGACTGCGGGATTCGCCGTGGCGCCAAACATCGACTGGCCAGCGCCGAAGCCTGGGCTTGAGAAGGAAAACGGTTTCGGCTTGGGAGGTTCCGCAGCTACAACAGGGACTGCGGAACTCGCAGGATCGGTTGCCCGGCTTTCACCCAACTTCGGCACGGCAGGCGAAACAGGCGCCGGTTCAGTAGAGAGATTGAACTCCTTGTTGATAACAGAAACGGCCTCCTGTGCGCTGCTTGGAGGTGCCCACTTACTTTTCGACGGCGTTGCCGGTTTCCCAGGAGGTAAAATCATGGCCTGCCTAGCTTTAGCGAATGCTTCAGGATCCTTGAACTGCATGTCGTCCCGACCTTGTGCAGCTTTGTTGATCTTCAGATCACCTTTACTAGCCAGTGCTGCGGACTTGAGCCACCGTCGTACGTTCGACAACGAAGCCGATGTATTCGAAGGCCCCGAATTCTGCTCCGTGCAGCCCTCATCGTCCTCATCTCCGTCGTCCAAGCCAAAGCCTGATCGCTTCGTACGGCTGGTTGTCGAAGAAGTGCTCTGCCCGGGTGTAAGGAATGACGTGACTGGCTTCGGCTGCAATGGTTGAAGCTGCTCCATCAACGAGCTGAGAACTCGTAGGTGGGTCTCGGTACCGCGCGTGACGGTGTTCGCTACACTACAGATGCTCGTCCAATCCGCCTGTTTCAGTGACTTCCTCTGTTCAGTCTCCACCGCTGTGAGCTGTAAGCGGCGAAGGTGTTCAGATATGGAGTTCAGACTCATCTCTACTACCCGAGCGCGATTGAGAATGCTCAATCTCATTTCTCCATCCTCAGGCCCGAGAGGTACATCCTGGGTGCTGTCGTCCGAGTCGGTCTTTCCCAGTTTGCTGATACGCCGGCTGCAATCCTCCAATAACGAATCCATTTGTGGCAGACTATCCAAGAACCCCTGGGTTCTGTGGTTGAGGTCAGTTAATTGAGCCTGATAATGCTGCGCTTTGTTCGCCAATTGTTCCGTTTTCTCCACGAGAGAAGGGAGGTCAACCATAGTCCAGCTGTCAGGGTCCGACTCGTCGAAGGTGCGCTCTCGAGTTTTGGCCTTGGCAACCACCTCTGCACTGCCATCAACCCGGGCCTTGAACCTGTCCATCTCTGCCGAAAAGGAGATATAGAGCTCACCAAATTTGCTTTGTATGATCTCCGGGGTGTCATCGTTCCTGGGTTCTGCGGTGCTTATAGTCGCGGTTGACGGTGGCAATGCTGACATCCCCGGCTGTTTGCTTTGCAAGACCCCTTGTAACGATGGAACAGGCGATACTGAAGCGGTTGGAAGAGATCTTGGCGGCGGTGGCGTGGCAACGGAAGGCTTTGGCGCTGCAGATGTGGACGTTCCAAAAGTTGGAGTAGACGCTGCGAACGGAGCAGGACGTGCCGCAATGGGCGCAACTGGTGCGGCAAAGGATGCTGCGGGTGCTGTAAAGGGAGCAGCTGCCTTTGGAGGGGCACTTTTCTGCACGGGGGCAGGCGCTGACGGTATCGACTGAGGTGCTGGGAGAGGAGTTGCGCCGCCTGGAAGTGGTTGTGCTGCCTTCATCAAGGGACAAACATATTTGGTTTTCACCGCCTGAGCATCCACACAATGATAGGCAAGTAGATGCCCCTGGCTTGTGTAAACGAGCAGAATAGGCACAGGGTTGATCGGCGGTTCGTCAGGCGTAGGCGGTAGTAAACTTTCCTGGCTCGTGAAATCGATCGCCATGCCGACGACAAATGTATTCTGTTCATTTTCATCCAAAGGCATCGAGACTCCCATCCCGTCTTCCAACATCCAGTTCGCCCATTTCCCCGTGTCGTCGCAACCAAGGAAAGCGAGATCCGTAGTGTGAGCGTTTCCGCATATTATTAGGTGGCGGATCTGTTCAGACCTGTGAAGCCGACAGTTGAGTAAGAAATGCACCACATGAAAGCCTCAAGAAGTACCTACAAGGGGCTGATACACTCATTGTAATAGAAGCTTTTGCGATCGGGTTCGGGGAAAAATGGATCGCCTAATTGAGTGTACGTGAGGTTTTTCTACAGTGGGGCTTTAGTTTATGTTTGCTTCGCGATGAAACAACAGCAATGCTTACCGAAGGTCCTTCATGTGTGATTGTGTACAGCGGTGATATTGAGGAGTCGTCCGGATTGCTCGGTGAATAGGCAAGCACGAACGTTGTGGTGTCGATCCATAGAATGGAAGAGACTGCATTGCAAGGTCAGGTAATGATCAATACAGAGACTTTTGAACTTGCTCACTGGGCCAGCCCAAACGTACCTGAGGCGCTAAAGTCTAGGTTCGGCGGGACACCAATACGCTTCTTCTCCGATCCTTCCGGCGTGACTTGGACGATTGTGCCATCCTGCAGTCCGCATGCAAGCTGCTTTCCCTTCTTGCTCCAGCACACTAGATCAGATCAGCGATCAGGAAATTGGCTTGGAACAGCCTTTCACAGCGGGCGAAGGATCGGACGTACTGCTTGTGATGCGATAGGCGGAAAGTTCCCCGGGCTTTGCCGACCCTTTGATATCGACAATCTGCCCCTGGCCGTCAGAACACAATACAGCCACGAGGTGTGGTAGCTCTCTTGGGTTCGGCAGGATATTGAGCACATTGCGCAGAGAGATGGTTTTCGAGCTTTGGGTTTTGTTCTGCATGTGGGAATGGTCAATTGGCGAACGCGCCCACTTTCCCGCGTGCGCATCACACTGACGCACCTGAGCTACGTGACGAGGATCATAGACGTGAAGCTTCCCACTTGCAGTGCAGATCAGGATAGATAGCTCGTCCGCAGAAAGCTTAACGTTGACAACAACTTCGTCAAGCGGCACGTGCACCACATTTGCTAGCGGGACGACTGTGCCCTTCTTTGAGCTCGTCAGCGTCTGTCGCACACCGCTCAGTGTGGTATATGCGAAACCTAGGAAAGGCATTTATGAGTGGCTGATCATCTTCCTCCGAGGGCAAAACAACTCCAACCTTTGGTAGTCCCGAGTATTGCGAACCCGTATTGCGTGGAAACTGCAAGTAAGGAGACTTCGGACAGGACTTTGAGCTTGTCAGACACGGAAAGCTTCGCTTCTACTTGCAGTGGCTTCAATTGCAAGGACTACAATGGAGACTTTATGAGCGTCGAGCGTCCTTACGCCTCCACCTCACCAGAAGCACCACCAGAATACATCAAGTCCCTTTTATACTCCACGCACCTCCCAATCCACTGGATCTTGGTCGGACGACTTCACATTATCGCTGGCCATTTTTGCGGACGAGCAGCGCTGGAGGATGGGAAACAAGCGGAGAGAGAGCACGCGTAAAACCTCCTGATACGAGTTAGGACTCGGGTTGCTGTTTGCTGCTTTGTATGTGTTTGCGGGATGGTTCTAGCTGATGCCCATAGGTCCTATGTACTGTACAGTACTGAGCAGTAGTGCACTTTCCCACGCACTCGAAAATCGGGACGCGGCAGACGCGCATGAGGCATAATATGGGCTTCTGGACCTGCTTCTGGCCTTCCTCGCACCTGTTTCTCTCTCTTGTCGGATAGTCGTCAGTCCCGTGTACTGTACATATATATCTATACTATATACTAGTTTGGCTGTAGTTCACCGCTCACGGACCGCTGTGCAAGAATGGCCTCCCAACTGTGTCCGTGGGATACCCTGCCCTTCGAAATATGGAGTCGCATCTTCTGTACTCTCGAAGATCCTCTGAACTTCAGCCTCACCTGCCGACGATTCTATCGCATTGCTGAAGACCCAATGTCCATGGCCATGTGGCTCATCCATACTTACGGTCGACCATTGGTCTTTTACAAAGCATTCCAATTCCACCGACAACTTCTAAGCCGGAAAGTTGCGGTACAGCTACGTCATCTCGGTGCAAAGTTGCAACGCTTTCTGCTGCAATACATTGTGCGGCACCACGGCAAGCTTGTCCTTGCCGATGACGCTGAAAAGGGGACACGTCGAAACGACCTCAGCGTTGGAGCATATGCGTTTTTTGTCGCGGAGGCATATCGACAATATGGCGAGGAGGTATGGTGTCGCTTGCTTTCACACTTGCGCTGCCAAGAACCCACTAGCTAATCCCATCTTGCTTAGGCCGCCTTTGGAGAGGACGACGCGAGGATCATGGTATCTGCACTTTTCGAGAAGAATGACACCGTTGAAGCGCAAAAATTGGTCGTCGATTACTGCTTTGTGCCACTGCGGGCTTTCACCTCTCAATGCGAGGAAATCGTATATCGCACATCCCGGCTGGACGTCACGCTTCTGGACCACATGCTGGCAAACGGCCTGGATCCAGCCGATGTGAATGATGGAGTCTTACGACGGGCGATATCAGAACCGGAGGTGTCAGCTGGTAGCCTGAAGGCGTACCTGGATCGCGGGTTCTTCCTCACGGATAGCCTGATAAACGCCGCGATCCGCAAATGTGATCGGAAGACTCTGGACGCCTTACGACAACATATCCCAGCCACCAAATTAATGGACATTGTGAGCAAGATCTTCATCGACAATTTGGCCCCCGATTTCAACTTCTCCATCACCCTCGTCACGTTCCTTCAAGAACACTTTAAGATCTCAGAGGCCGTCGCTGAATGCGCGATCCTGGAACCCTATGCGCGGCAGTCCCGACAAGCTGTCAAACGACTCGATGGCCCGCAACCAAATGGAGACAGCGTTGCATACTCCACGACGCGTACTACGTCCCTCTTCCCCACCCCACTCATTGCACCTCTGCGAATGACGCGATGCTACCGACAGCAGAAACCTGCCATCGCCTGGCGTTGGGTTCTGCGCACATACGGACCATCGCACCGATTTTGTGAATTCTGCTTCAGCGACGCATTGCTGCGCATGACACATAGTGATGGCGGACCACCACCTGCATATGAGTTCCTGGCCGCCGGCGTTCGTTTCCGGCCATATCACGCTCGGTATCTGTCAGCCATCGCTGCCGTATCCAGCGGTTTCGCCAAGTTGGCTGCTCACGATCTTCTGCAACGGTTGCGATCACATATGTTTGATGATATTACCGACTGCAAGCAAGTTGATGAGAATTCAATGTCAGAGGACCCGTCATCCGACAGTCTACGTAAAGCTTGGATCGACGCTTTACGCGCCGAAGTCGATCTGCTACGAAGTCTGCCATCTACCACACCCCCTCCCGAAACGGAGAATAAATTCGAGCGAGACTCTCCAGTCTGGGCTGTTCGGAAACCTTCAGATCCCGCGTTCCCCGCTGGGTGGTTCCTGCGCGAAGTCGAAGGCATCTTGGCGGAGTTGGTCACCCTCGACATCGTTTGAGTATCTCGTTTGTGGTCTACTCGTGGTGGTCAACATATTCGGGGGACAAAACGGACTTCCCATCGTCGACAAGGGTTTCAAGAACACCCGCAACACGATCCACCTCCACTTGACCGTACGTCGCTCATAGTGCCCATTGGACGCCCTCTCGGAGACGATCCTGATGATGGCGGTCGGGAGGATCCAGAGCGACCCGGTGGTGGCCGGCGAATTGTACCTTTACGCAGAGCGGCAAAATAATTTAGAAACAGACCTCAGGCGTATGTGTAAGATGGCGCAAAAAAAAGCCACGTACCATCAGATAGGATTTTTGTATTATCCTTTTGCTGATACCGATAAAACATCAATGATGCAAGAAGGATTGCTAGCAATCGCATCAGATCTTCTCCCACAACCCCAAATGCGTACAGCGAGCCAACTGTTCCGATAAGAGCGACGTCTCGAGCCTCCACCCAGTGCGGCAGCAGGTTTATCAGCGGGGCCCGGCGATTGGGCGCGTTCGTACCACGAGGCTGGGTCTGGCCGTTTGTTGAGTCTACGGGTTCCGTCGCCGTTTGTTCAGTAGGAGCACCCGTCTTAGCAGCTCCCCCGTCTACCCCAGAAGGCTGTACTTCAGTGACGGTGGAAGACGCAGTGGGTGACGGCTTGCCTTCGCTCATGAGCTGCTGCCGCTCTTTGGCTAGCTCTCGAAGGGTTGTTTGGAGGTCCATGTTAAGGCTGTGTTGAGTCTTCGGGTTCTGCGTAAGTGTCAGGTGCAAACAATATGTATATGTATGCGTCCGGACAACGATGCATGCGGGAAACAACGAGAGAGGCGAAAAGAAGGCGACGTGGCCAGGACGTGGCCGATGTCGGTTATGGCTTCGGACGCGCTGTCGATTTCAATTTGACGGACGACTCCGCTCTAGTCAAACAAATCCGCTAGCCGTGCCCACCACATCCGCCCGACCCATTGCCCAAAAAGAGAAGGAAAGAGATCCGCCAATGGAGCTCCACATCCGGCTCACCAACGCAACCTTCGAACAACCAGGCGCATATTTCATCAAACTATGGCTCGATCCACCACCTACGGAAGGCGAACTGCATCATGAGACGGACCTCAGCCGGCCATCGCAGAACCCGGTGTTTGAGCATGACACTTTTGTGTTCCATTTACCTGATGGGCATAGGAAGCGGGGTGGGTTTAAGTGGAGGAAGGGGGCGCATGATCTGTTGGAGTTGGTTTGTCTGGCACATTCGGTTGGCAGTGATTCTGCTGTGGTACGCTCGTAAAGAAGATCGTTTGTCCTTCTGACGCGAATGAAACACTCATCACCGATGTTATTTTTTGGTTTATGTAGACGGTTGTGGGAGAATCAGTATATCCGCTTCACTCTATCCTAGATAAACTGGTCCCTGGGAAAACCCTGGTGACCACCGTGGGATTTATCTCCCGACGAGCGGACACCTATCCCAAAACAGCACACGCACATGATACGAAGATCGTTGGTAATGTTGACCTGGAGCTCTCTGTAGGGTCGGACGAGCATCTTGTGAAAGAGGAGCGTTTCAAACCGCGTCCAGACCCATTACCGCCTGCCAAAAACGATCCACCCCCGCTGAAGACTCAGAATCTAGACGTCGAAACTGCCAGAAATCTGAGAGAACAAGATCCTGCCGGTATTCACCGGAACGAACCGTTTAGGGTACCGATACGGAAAGCACAGAATCTAGATGACATTGTGGAAACGGCCAGGAATCGAAGGGAACAACTAGATGGTACCGGGATTCACCGGAACGAACCATTCAGGATACCGACACCGACAGCACGCAACAAGCCGGTCTCTGAGGCAATGCCAATGCAACATCTCGGCGATCAGCAGCACCAGCAGTTGACGTTGCGGCTGATCAAAGAGCTTGACGATCGAATGATAGCTATACAAAAGCTGGGACGCGAGCTTGTTCGACTACGGGATGTGAATGCAGTACTGGAGGTTGTACGAGCCGTTTCAACTGTTCCCTCCCTGCTCGCAAATAGCTACCGGAAACTGACATGAAGTGGTGGACAGTAGGACCAAACAAAACAACTCCAAAGCCGTCTAGCCGAATCCGACATCCGCACCAACACCTACATCAAAGCCGTCGACCTCGACGTCCTCTCCGAACACGAACTCCGGCGCCGGTACGCCGTCATGGTGCAGAAGCTGGAAAACGAGACGGGGCGGAATAAGAGACTGCAGGAAGAGTTGGCGGCTTCACAGCATGTGGGCATTGAGAGGAATGACTTTGAGCGACAGGTTTTGGAGCTGAGGACTGCGCATACGGCGCAGCAGATGTATTTGCAGCGGTTGCAGGTTCGACCAAACTCCTCCGAATAATGTGTCGCGACGGGCGTCAGCGCTGATATGCTTCCCCCTTTTAGGAGAAACTGCAAAGGAATGTGAAGTACCCATCTATCGTCAAGAAACAGGAGGCGGTCATTGCCCGATTGGAGGACTTGCTGGCCAAGTCGAAGGAGCCGGCCGTGGTGGAGAGCGTCAAAGTGCCAGGTTGGATAGATCTTCATGTTCACGGCTGTGTGACTGCCGTTAAACCAGAGGAATTGAGCAGAGGGAGAAGGAAGACGAGCGACGCCACCGAGGGTCAGCAAAGAGCGGACGATGCCAGAACTGATACCAAAGGCATTCGCGTCGACGCAGACGGAAGAGCGCATAGATGAAACCCCTAAGGTGCGTTCATGTGCATAATGGCGGCAATCTGAGCATATTTAGGCTTTCACTCACGGAGAGGTGCAGGGGCCACCATTACCGGACGCTGCCGAGCATGCGGCGGCCTTACTTCGAGCCGATAGGGCAGAACAACGTGCCACGGCTTTGGAGCAGGAAGTAAGCGACACACGCACAAGTGGAGCATTGGCACTCTAACATATAATTTACGGCCCAAGTTTTGATTTACAGCTAATACGAAACGCGAGGAACTTCGCCCAGCAGCTTGCAGCGATGAGGATCGAAGTAGAAAAATCGCGGCGATGAACGATATATTTCACAGGTTTTATATGACAGATACAAAATTGCAAAAAATGCAGTGCGACAGATACTGTAGAAAGGTGTACCTCATTGTGAGAGAAACGATTTTCGAATAGATCTAGACGACCATCTTGTTGGCGAGGGGCTCCCGATCCCAAGCTTTGTGGTGTGCGATACCCGTGGTGAACTTGACGATCCAGTCGGGCAATCCAGCAGTCACATCAGCCAATTTTGCTGCAGCACCTCCAGCGGCACCGACGGCGGAACCGATGGCCTTTCCTACTTTCCCAGAAACGCCAGAGCCAACGCCAAGTGCGGTCGTGACGCCGTATTCAGAGACGACATCTTTCTCGTTTACTGCCAGCGGTGCTTGAATGCCGAGCTTGCGCAATACTTCAATACCTTCGTTGACTGCCAAGATGGCTTTGAGATGCTTGTAACCTTCACCGATTTGCGCGAGGGCGGTGGCATTCTGGAGCAATGCATCCACAGCCTTGCGGCCACCAGGGATGAAGAAGGCATCGAACTGTGTGGAAGACGACGCGAAGAATGTGAAAAGTGGCGTGGTGGTGGCATTTCCGGATGCGTCAGGAACGGGAGCCGGGGTCTCCGAGACGATCTGGGGTAAGGCGCCAGCACCTGTCAATGCGCCGATCAACTCCGCCGCTGACGAATCATAGCCGGGCATGAGGAAGATGGCGACCCTCCGTCCCTTGATGGTGTCGTATGCGTTGTTGTTGATGATCGACAGGAATTTGGAGGATGGGATGGGGGCGGCGGCGCCGGCAGGGGCAGGAGCAGCTGCAGGTTCCTTCGCGCCAATCCTGTACGCGATAGAGGTGGCGAGCTTGTTGTCGACGTTGTTGAGCAGGTCCACGACACGCTGCTGCACACCTTGAGTGGTCACTTTGCTCAGTTCGAAGGTGAAGGCATCCTGCATATGGCCCTTCTCGGTCTCGGTCATCGAGTTATAGAACATGCGAGCCTGACTGAAGTGGTCGGAGAAGCTGCCTGATCGCCTGGCGACCTTGACTCCAGAAACCTTGGCCGGGTGGTGTACATATCCGTTGGGGTTCATCACGGGGCATCCACCGCCCAATGAGTTGGGGTGGTAATTGGCCTGGCCCTTGGTAATGTTCAAGCGCATAGCGCCATCACGCTGGTGGTTGCGTGCAGGACACACAGGCCTGTTGATGGGCAACTGCTGGTAGTTGGTACCAACACGATAGAACTGTGTGTCGCTGTAGGAAAACAGGCGGCCTTGCAGAAGAGGGTCGTCGGAGAATCCGATACCGGGAATCACGACACCGGGGTGGAAAGCCGCTTGCTCAGTCTCGGCGAAGAACTCGTCGACGTTTCGGTTGAGTACCATCTTGCCAACGTAACGGACCGGGAAAAGTTCCTCAGGGATGATCTTGGTGGCATCCAAGATGTCGAAGGGCAGCTTATCTGCCTCCTCCTCCGTAAGGATCTGGAAACCCAGTTCCCATTCGGGGTAGTCGCCAAACTGAATGGCTTCGTAGAGGTCGCGGCGGTGGAAGTCGGGGTCGCGACCGTTGGTCTTCAGAGCTTCGTCCCACACCAAGGAATGAACTCCGGGCTTTGGTCGCCAGTGGAACTTGACGAATCGGCTAACGCCTGCCTTGTTGATGAGACGGAAGGTGTGAACTCCGAACCCCTGAATCATGCGCAACGAGCGTGGGATGGTCCGGTCGCTCATAATCCAGGTCAACATGTGTGTGGATTCTGGGGTGAGGGAGACAAAGTCCCAGAAATTGTCGTGGGCAGTCTGACCTGAGGGGATCTCGGTGTGTGGCTCAGGCTTGAGAGCGTGCACCAAGTCGGGGAACTTGATCGCGTCTTGAATGAAAAAGACCGGAATGTTGTTTCCGACAAAGTCCCTAATGTCAATATTGTTCGGTTAGCCAAGGTCCTTTCATCAGTAAATCAGCTCGGAAGCTAGTCTCGCAATGTACCAGTTGCCTTCTTCGGTGTAGAACTTTACGGAGAATCCTCTGACATCGCGGACGGTATCGGCAGAGCCTTTGGATCCCTGAACGGTTGAGATACGCATAAACACTGGGGTCGTCTTGCCCTTCTTCTGGAAAGGCGCCGCCATGGTGATGTCCGACAGATCTTCGTAAGCCTCAAAGTAACCGTGAGCGCCGATTCCTCTGGCGTGCACCACTCGCTCGGGGATGCGTTCGCGATCAAAATGGGCCATGCGGTCCCGGAACACAAAGTCATCGAGGAGAGTAGGACCGCGCTCTCCGGCTTTCAGAGAGTCATCGACCGTGGCAACCGGCACGCCGAAGGCTGTGGTAAATGATGTGTTGTCGTTTGCTACAATCGCTTCCTTTTCCAATTGCTGAACGGAGAGAGATGGACGACGTCAGATGCAATTCCTCGCCGTAGCACTAATGCAGACAGATTGCTTACTTGGATCTTTGGAGTCGATCCAAGCCCGAGAGTGCTGGTGACAGAATGGGCCGCCTGGGCTGCAGCGTTCGCGACCGTCCGCAGCGTTCCTTGCGTCGAGTGGTCAGCCATGGTGTATGAAGAATGTGGATCAAATGAGTTCAAAATGTGGTGATTGAGAGAGTTGGTGGATTTTCCAGTATGTACGGGTTGCAGGTACTCCAACAAGCCCTTCCTTCCTTTTATACGAATCGAATCCATTTACTCATCGCATTGCGCCATACAATCATGGACCACCGCCCCTTTTCCTCTGGATGATCTGGCCCTTTTTTTTCCATTCCCTCGCCATCCATGATCCAACTCGTTTTCGAGGTACGACGGTGAGACGGGGCGCGGACATGGAGAATCTGTCGGATGACATATCGAACCCATATATGCAGGGCTTGCAGTGACGAGCTGTGACGGCAATCGCCGACCAAGTCAGAAGCAGGGGCTCCGGTCATCACTAATCAGTGACTGAATTAGGGATTTTGTGTGTGCTGTGTGGAGTGACTTCCTGTTTCCCCGCTCATGACATCATTCCAAAGACACTTTTCAGCGAGTCCTTTGACGCGCGTCCGTCTTCCCGTTTTTGCTTTGACTGGACTTGACAGCAGTGGATACGAGTTTGCCACATGACCCTTAACTTTCAAGTTATAGTACAGTAGTACAATATATCTCCAATGGTGCCCAATGATGACCATGGCGATATCGAGGCCATAATGGAGCGCCGGACGGGCGGGTCTTTGGTTGAACACCCGAGTTCCGAGCGTTAGCCAGGATGACTGCTCGCCGAATGAGCCGTGCCACCAAAGTGATTGAAAAAAACAAAACAATGAGAAGCAAGCAACACGACACAGAGGATTTAGAGCCTGCAGAGCTTCGAGGCGAACAACAAAAGAAAAGAAAAGACGCGACACTGAGAGGATTCGAACCTCTGCAGGCAGAGCCTATTTGCTTTCCAGACACGACTTCGAGTCGCACTATTCGAGGCAAACTCCTTAACCACTCGGACACAGTGTCGTATGAGATTACAAAGAAACACAAATGTGTTGTTTCTATGTATAAGTAAACGTCATGGACTTTGTTTTTGTCGCATTGCATCCTCCCGCGCGTTTCTCTATGATCTTCTTGTTTTCGGGAGGCCTGTTCTCACATTGGTGATAGTATGCATATGTTGTGTCTTCAGTTCCAAAAGATATGTCGCCGCCGTACAGTACAATGGGGTGCGAAAGGACGGGTGGATCTGTGCGCCGACCGCCTTGAACGATTGTCAAGAAAGCCGTTGTTCGACTTTCTGAGTTCCTCGAAGCGGTCTCGCAACTTCTAAAAAACCTCATCAACTGAAGAATGTATGCGCCTTACGGGTCCTCAGGCGAACAGGGCTCTCGCGGTGGACGCGGCCGAGGGCGAGGCAGAGGACAGTATTACCGTGAGAAATACGGCGGCAGAGGCGGCGGTCCTTCGAACGCCAGAGGGGGGCCACAAGATGACAGGCCGGAAAGCTCAGTATCGGCGGCGGTGAACAATAGCAATAATGGGCAGGCTTTGGCACAGCACTTGCGCTCCTTGGACCGAGCGCCGTATGGGGCATACAAGGACGTGCGAGGCTCTTATTTGTTCGAGAGCGGGTTGACGCTCTTTGTAGACCATGTCCAATCGGACCCCTTCGCCCCTCCGTCAAAAATCAGAGTCCGGCTTCCTCAACAAGTGGCTCGCTTTCCTCCGGAACTCTTTGGAACCCGGATCCGCCGTGTAGCGTTGGAGGACTACATCACTCGCAGGACTACATCTCTTATACGGCAACAGGAGCTGAGCACCCCAAACGCAAGTGGTGGAAACTGGCATGGAACCAGGGCAGACATTCGGATCGATATACCCGGTCAGCAGGTCATCGAACGTTCTTCTTGCACTGTCACTGCCGAGTATGTAGAAGTGCGGATCACCGTAGGACTCCCCGCTCAGGGCAGGTCCATTATGGGACATCAGGCTGCGGAACTGCTGACAGTGACGATCCCCAACCTTGCGGATCGGAGCGTGCGCTTCACGGCATTGGACGCGAACGATATTAGCAATTTTGTGGGATGCGTCGAGGACCAGGGAAACCTAAGGCGGCAGATTGTGGCGGCAGGGCTCATCGCCTTTGTGGTCGATGGAGCGGTTTTGCCGCGCGAGAGCGGCGCCTCAGATCTACCTATGCGATCGCAGAACGTCGTGGCTTTCCGATCTCCTCCGTCTTTGATCCGATCGTTCACGCTACCAAACAGAGGAGTTGTCAAGGGGATGGGTATGCATCACCGAACTCGCCGCTGCTCATCACATCCTTGAATGACATTTGCATTGCAGGTATCCCGAAGGGGATAACACTTATCGTTGGGGGCGGCTTCCATGGAAAATCCACATTGCTCGATGCGCTACAGAATGGTGTTTACAACCACATCCCTGGGGACGGGCGGGAATTCGTGGTGACAGATGACACTGTGAGCAAGATCAAAGCGGAGGATGGGAGGTGGGGGCTACGACGTCAATAAAAATCCGATTTTTACAAGCTCAAGTATAATCTCTTCTCCATCAGGAGCGTGACATCCGTAGATATCTCACCATTCATCAACAATTTGCCATTTGAATCCGACACGAGTTGCTGGAGTAGCGAGGCTGCATCGGGCTCGACTAGCATGGCCGCCAATTTGCAAGAGGCTTTGGAGGTACACGGGATAGTCAATACTGGACTTCAAGGCGACGCAACGTTCTGACTTTCCGTGATGCCATAATCAGACAGGGTCCCGCGGCGTTTTGCTGGACGAGGATTCATGCGCCACGAACTTCCTCATCCGAGATCAGCGCATGTCTCGCTTGGTGACGAGGGAGAAAGAGCCCATCACCCCTTTCATCAGCAAGGTACGCTTCCATTGCTTTCGTATGACGGATGAAGCTCTCTAGAGACTCCTTGCTCTTATAGATTCGATCGCTGTACCTGGAGAAACACTGTTCCTCCATACTCGTCATCGGAGGTTGTGGGAGCTATATAGATGTCGCCGACCTGGTCATTTCGCTGGACAGCTACGTGCCCAAGGATGTCACCAGTGAAGCGCGGCATATTGCGGCTAGCTTACCGGACGACTCCTTCCACTATTCAGGTGAGCATTGGCACTTCGTGAACATACGAAGCTCACATGACTGAGTTGCGGTCTACAGGCTTACCGTACGGCGATATCGTGCATCGAGTGCCAACGATACCCGGCAATCTCGAACAACTCTCCAGCAACAGCAGCACTCCGCGCCCGCGCAAATCCAAAGCACTGAACACATTCCTCATCAGCATCGACGGCGTAGATGTGGATCTCTCGGCCCTTGAGCAGCTTGTTCACCCATCGCAGTCCAGGGCGATTGTAACGGCGATGTTGCATATTCGTAGCAAGCCGTCCTCGAAGCTTACCTTAAACGAGTGGATGGATGCGATCGAGGCTGAGTGGGACGCGAATGGCTTGCCTTGCTTATCGGACTGGATCACCGGCGATTTGGCGAGACCGAGGCGATTCGAGTTGGCTGGCGCTATCAACCGCTTGCGAGGGGTCGCGATTCAGCAGACACGCTGAAATCGAGTTTAGGGGTTGTCTTGGACGGCCCCGATGGGTAAGTATCTTTCAGTGGAGGGGCCTGCAGTAGGCAATACCACGTGGGTCTCTTATTATGTGCCACAAGCTGGCTCCTGAGTATGGCACGGCGTAGAGCAGTCTTCATGATTTCTTACTACTCCCACACATCTGTACAGCACAGTGCACAGTTCAATGCACGCTTATGAGAAATGATACGCTAGTACATAATGACATTAGAATACGGTCATGAACTCCCCTAGGCCTACGACTTCCTGGGCCGAAGCATATACAACGTAAAACGTCTCTTCATCGAACTAGCCAACTTGGGGTCTGATCCCGAAGATGATGTTGGTTTGGCGGCCGGTAGAGGTTTCGACAAGGGTACATCAATAACGTTCCTGCCGCCCTTGAACGGATTCGGCGACTCTTCCCCGGACGATTTCGGTGACCGCCCCCACGACCTACTCCTTCCTCGCGTCTGCTGCTGCTGCTTTTCATTCGAGCTATGGATAGGTATCAACGTCCGCTCGACCTTCTTCTTTCCTGCGTTCTCAGCTGCGCGTATGATGCTCGCGATCCACAGCACCATGTCCAGCCGTGTTTCGGCGGCAAAGAGGTATGGCGAGCGAGGCTGTTGCGGCGCGACGACTTTGAAAGCGAAGATGGAGCCGCGGGGACTCGTTGGGCTGTGCGAGGCTGATGAGGTTGGGGTACCTGGTGTGTCTTCGGGGATGACAGAGAGGCCAGGGATGAGACGAATGCTTGCTATTGGAGATGTGCCCTTCTGCAGAGTTTGAATCGTCAGCTAGGACTCTTCAGTCTTCAAAAGTAACATAGGCCCACTCACTTCGTCTGACGTGCAAACATGCATATGATTATCTTCAATAGTGCACCACCTTCGCTTCCAAGTCGTGGAAGCATCTTCTCTATACAGCATATATCCGGACCTGTCCGTGTCCGCTGTCGGTGGTGGAGACATGTAATGGATCGCGTCCATCATGTCCGGGCTGAAGCCATTTTGCTGAGCGTTGCGATGCGAGTTGCGCGATGGTGAGGGTGATCGCTCGCAACGGGTGCTGCTGCGAGACCGTAGGTGGATCTGGAGCTTTGGAAGCTTGGGCAGTTGGCGGACGCTCCTGATGATGAAGATTGTTAACACACCCGTCCAGAACCCCCGAATTTGCACGTCTATCATATTAACCTTGATCGTTTGATGTCACGACTTTTTGGGGATCCGACTTCGGTCGATTCAGCGCCGTGGCTATGTATGAGGCCTTCACCACCGCATGTGTCCTCTTGACCCAGTAATGGCCGCGTTTCCTCGTCCATATTCTTGGGAAACCTCCTAGCCCAATCATACATATCGACTACTTCAGACAGCCGTGGCGAGAGCGGCAGCGATACGGGAGCAGGCGCCCCAACTGCGCCCTCCTCATTCTGCTCAGATCCATGGAACATTTGATAGATCGAGTCCACATTCGTATATGAATCATTCACTATCGCGCGCGGCAAGAAGTTGGTCGCTGGCGCCGATGGTTCCTCCTCATCGGATGAGCAGAACCCGGAGAAGTCGATTGAATACTGTGGTGACAAAGCGTCCGAACCCGCTGAATAGAAGTGTGCCAAGGACGCCTTACGCGGCGGATAGGCATGACGCTGGTCTCTTTCATCTCTGCTTTCCTTTGGAGAGCGCTGGCGGGACGGCAATCGGTGCCGCTCGGTCTCAGGGGTCATCGGGAGATGCAGATTGGCTTGGTGAGTGTAGTCGACAAAGTGGGTGTCGTTCCATGAGTAGAGCTCATTGCGCAAATATCCACTGGGAGTATTGATGGGTTCGGCAAGCATGTTTCGGCGCTTTTACCCTATCGGTATGTGGAGTTTTTGATCGTGGTCAGACTGGGGAGATCGGCGGAGCTCGTCGAATGAGGGCAGTAATTCAGTCTACGATTGAATTACAACTTACAAAGTACAAGCAGATCCACGAAGCGCTCAACTACAACGACGGCGATCTGGGGAATGCAAGAATACAGGAATGCAGCAAGAGGAAAGAAAGCAAGAGCCGCTTGACAACAGCGGTCTCCACCGCCCTTGGCATATTCTCAACATGATTTTCCGTTGGCAATCGCGACAAACCACCAGTGCTGATTGTACTTTCCGAAAAGGGGGATGGAAGAAGCTTTGCCGACGCGACGCGTCAAATGGACAGAGACGCGTTGGGGGACTTAGACTCTATTAAGAAACCGGGACGAAGACAATAATTAATATTGCATATAGGTCCACAACTGCAATGAAATGAAATCATTGGGCTGCGCAATTCGGTCGATCCCTCATGTCGTGAGTAGTTTTTGTGTGACATTCCGCGTGGCGCAGGTTGCCGCCGGCAAACGCGGTCGCCCCTTGTTTTGTGAACAAACAGCGATGCCCAATGCTGCTTCCTGAAGTGGACCGGTGCGTGGAACCACGCGAATGATTAGGATTCATGGAGATCACTTTAGACCTTAGATACCACAATGCGGCCGAACGGTTAAACCAGATAACACACATTCCCCGGGAAGCCGCTCTGCACAGGCCCTATACAGTACAGTAACCCTCACGTCGTGCTGGGCAAGGGGACCCGCAATAGCTGTCCCATTTGAGAATTCTTTTGTCAAGTCCCGATTTGCTTGCTTGAGTGGTTTGCTTTCCACGGTCGGAACAGGCCTATCCTCCACAGAGCTGTATAACATAGGAGGGGATTCCGCGACATTCGCCAGCAACTGCGAAGAGACTCTGGAGACTGGAAGGTCCGGCTTTTGACACCGTTGCGTCGGAAAGGGATTCAGAAACAAGCCGCGGCCAAGGACAGCGTCTTCAGAACGTTGCTGGCCCGTACCCATCGGCGCCACTCTGAACTTCGATAAAAGGAGATTTCGACGCCGGTGGCCTGCGCGAACTTTACAACTTGCACGGTTCTAAAGCGAAATGGGAGGGAGTCTGAGCAAACAGCAAGCGGCCCTTCCGTTGGCTTATCAGGTTGTGAGCAGCCCGACGCCCGCCAGCGAACCTCAGAACAGTGCTTCCAGGCGTGCCCCCAAGAATCGAAGATGGACGCTAGCAAATTCACACCGCCTGCCGACGCCACCACAAGATGACCCCTCACTAGGAGTTTCTTCAATTGAAATAGTCGGTTCCGAAGAACAGGCGAACGGAGCTACAAGAACGCCTGCTGTCTTGCGACGTATGTCTGAACGGAATTTGCGCCCGCAACTGCAATCGCTGCACCACGAAGGAGCTGGCTCCTTGGCAGTTCGCACGGATACGGTTCGCTCTTCACAAACTTCATCGAGTTCCTCATCGCAAATTTCCCACACTTTTTCGCTGAACGATCTGCATGATCAGTCTTTCGCGGATGACGAGGAGGAGGAAGCAGATCGATACGAGCGCTTGTTCTACCAATACAAGGGGAACTTGCGGACGATCACTTTTGGGCAGCTTTCATCTCTTGCCACCATTGGCCTTTGCAAGCAAAATATTGTCGCCATGTCACCAAATATCGGCCTTCTCGCAACCACCACCACCCTTCATTTGTAAGTTTCCGTCCATTCGGAAGCCGCTTTTGACTTCATGCTAACCCGATTACATTTCTAGATGCTGCAATAGCCTGACTGAGATACCCCTCGAGATTGGTTACCTTCGAAATTTGACGCATTTACATATTTCCAACAACAAGTTGACGACATTGCCAGATACACTTGGATACCTCACTAAGCTCGTAGAGTTACATGCATCTGACAACAGGATTACCACCTTACCCTCGTCGATCGCCTCCTTGAAGAAACTTACTGTACTCGATTTGAAACGCAACGAGATTTCGGCGCTGCCGTCAGAGATGGGAGAGCTGAAGTCTCTTGTCACTTTGGAGCTGGCGGACAATCCTATCAACCAGCTTCCGGCAGAAATCACGCGGTTAAAATTCTTGCGCAAGATTGGATTGGACAACTGTCCTTTGGATCTGGATGTCCTTGAAGACCACGCCGACGAGCTTGCAACCCCCCCAACCCTCAGAGAGCTCGCCGCACGAGTCATCGTCCGTCAGCAGCTTCCCATCCTCGAGATCACTCACGATCACCTGAAGCACTACCTCGCGTCGGCGCAGTCTTGCACCTCCTGTGCAGGTCCTTATTTTGAATCAACGATCATCCGACGCCGGGTAGTGACGCGGAACGAAGTGCAAATCCCTCTGGAGTACAAGCTGTGCACGCGGCACTGGGAGTCTGATCATGGGAGGGTGGCAGCGATGTTTTGTCCGCCACCAGAAACTGCGCCAACACCCCCGACTTCACTACCGTCCTCTCCGTTCTCATCCCCTCCGGGCTCACCGCTGTTGGAGCGGAGAAGGAAGTCCTCAATGCGAGCAGGGTCGTTGTCGTCGTCGACATTGCCGCTGAGTTCGCTCGCGAAAACCCCTATCCTTCCTTCTCTGCCACCGGAAGCATCAGCGGTCGAAGCGAGAGGATTGAAGACAACCCTACTTCTGAAACGAGGCGCCCTCAGGTCAAGCCGATCTCTGAGCTTCATCTCTCTCCCCGCCGGCAGGTCCCAGTGAGAACTGGGATTTGGAAATACCAAGCTTGCGTTATCGGGCGGCGGACGTGGTAGCGACAACGGGGTGAGGCCCGCAACTGTACGGGCATTTTTCATCCCTTTCCTTTGTATACATATATCTGGAAGTGTCCCTTTTTACATAAATTCACTCTCGTCGGTTTTTACTCGCGATTCCCCTTTCTCGGCGCTTGTATGCATCTTCCTATCTTTTACGGTGTTTCCGTACTTTTGTAACGTCTTATATACCCATTTTTCTTCGACCTCCTTGCGAAAAGCAGGGAACGCTTTCATCGAAACAAACATTAAGCTTTTTCAATATCAAAGTGGACTCCCATCGAAAACCCTCCTACTATCTGCGCCGTGCTGGACCCGCAGCCTTTCCCCAGATCAATCGCACTTGACCTTTAACGACGAGAGCTACGCCCAAACACCAAGTACATGTTTTCTCCCACGCTTCGGATTCTTGTTTGTTTTCGGCACATTTTCATCTATAAAATGCCATATGCTCTGGACCGAGCGGGAGTTGTCGAACTCCCGCGACGCTCCTCGTAGCTCCTCGTGACGTAAAAGCTGCAAGGGGAAGCCGAAGTGCAATCTTGATTATCAAGCAGTGCCCATTCACACATTCACACAAGACAAGTCTTGAAAACAGCTCCCAAAGATGTCCGCAAAGATGGATCCCCAAGATCCCGCTAGCTTCACGCACAAGTTCTCTAGGGTGAACGGAATCAGATATCGTACGTTTTCTTGCACATTACTCTAACTAGTCATGTGGGCGAACACTGATACGGTGACCTTTTCGTTCTCAGACTATGTCGACGAGGGCACGGGCCCCGTGCTGTTCCTATGCCATGGTTTCCCGGATGTATGTTCAGTTGTGGTATTTCCCCAGCGAGAAGTGATTTCTGACGCGATGTTCTTCCTTTCAAGTTATGGTTTGGTTAGTGGGAATGTGCGTTGGAGTTCACTCGGCAGGGTACTGAAGCTCCGCCACAGGATGGAGATACCAGATCCCGTACTTGGTGAAGAAAGGTTATCGCGTCATCGTGCCGGATTTGCGGGGCTTCGGGGACACGGACTCGCCAAAGGCTGCTCCAGGGGACGACGAAGCTTTGAAGCAATATGGGTATGAGGATAGCACCGCCTTTCAGCACTCTATGGGGAGACGCAGGAGGGCTGGACATGTTGCGCGAAAATAGGTTCAAAAATCTGTGCAAAGATATGGCGGAGCTCTTGGACCATGTAGCTGGGAAAGGTTCGAAGGCTACGTTCATCGGGCATGACTGGTGAGTAGGGTGTCGTATCCCTGGCGTGGAAGCCTAACGGTTGACCGAGCCTTCTTACCGTATTCAGGGGCGCAGCGCTTGTGAGTGTGAATCTGGAATCCGCTTCCGGCGTCTACGGTTCGGCACTAACATCCACGGCAGGTTTGGAGGATGTGCCTGTGGTACCCCGAACGGGTTCTCAACGTTGCGGCCATCTGCGTGCCATACGCCCCACCAAACGATGAGTTTGTGAGCATTGAGCAGCTCGTCAAATTGCGACCACAGTTCAAATATCAGGTGAGTATCCCTTCGCTTGCCTGAATCGCACCATCGTCTTTAACGATCGGCCACCCGTCCTCTCACCAGATCTGGTTCAAGCAGCCCAGCACTGACGCGGTACTGGACGCTCATACCTCATTGATCCTGCGATCAGTCTATCGAGGCGCTGGAGAAATGAGTTTGATCGTCATGCCGTCGATCGACAAACTTCCCAAAGACATCCGGCTGAGTCCAAAGCTCAAGATGTCACCCAAAGATATGGAGTACTACGTGCAGCAGTACAAGAAGTCCGGATTCCATGGGCCGTTGAACTTTTACCGGACGCGCAAGATCAATTTCGAGGATGAGAAGGGGTTGCCGAAGGATTTGAAGCTCAACGCGATGCTGGTGAGTGCATCGGGCCTGGCTGATCAGTACGTGGACCAGGTCTTCAACTGAGCATGCCTTCGATCGTGCTAGGTGTATGCCTCGGACGACCCAGCGTTCCCAGAGAAGCAAATCAAGACGACCTCTCCCAACATCAAAAACTTTGAAACACACGTAAGACCCGGACCGCCGGTGCCGTGAGTGATTGAGACTGACCATGATACTTTTCTCACAGCGAGTCGAAGCCGGACATTTCGTTCAAGTGGAAGGGACAGATCATTTGAACGCCATTCTCGGCGATTGGCTAGACCGAGCCTATAGTAGCAAGCAGAGTAAACTGTAGATCTAGAGTTAGAAGTGGGATAGAGCCGGCGACTGCGAGTTACCGTATGGTCTTGGCGTAAACACAAGTGCGTAATCAGGACAAGAATTGTGTAAAGGACTTTTAAATGGATACCAAGAATTCTGTTTGTGATACGAAAAGCGGATTATATACAAATTACGCAGCGGGGTGCCTGAGCAGAGCTTCGTTTGTAACGGTCAGCTCGTCCAACTCGGGGGCAACCTCCGAAAGAGCCTCAGCGGCCTCCTACAAGTGTTGAGGACAAAAGCCGCAATGAGCCACTGAATCCACCCCGACAGCCTGCATAACGTCGTGACTTAAAAACCAACCTTGAAGTACTTCAGTTGTGCCGAGACAAGATCGGCCAAGTTCTTGAAAGTTTCCGTTGTCTCGACAACAGCCTTCATCTTGCCCATAGCATCGTCGACGGCAGCAACGAACTCATCTTCTGCTGCCTCCATCTCCTGGCGCACCGCCTCAACGTGCTCAGGCCTGGCAGCCTTCAGACGAGCGCGGCAAGCGTCGTATGTCAACCGTACGGACTGGACACTCTTGCGCGCCTTCTACAGGGGTGATCAGCACGTGTCAGGACTCTTTAGATTGAGACGGCAGCGAATAGCACGTCATTTTACCATCGCAGCAGCGATATTTTGCACAACCATGCGGTTGATTGGCTGATGGAATTTGCTAGTGGCCTCGGCATCCTAAGATGGGTCGTCAATGATTGTCCATGGTGCAAATCCGCCTCACGCCGAGACATCACTCACAAACTTCAATCGTGCGTTTCCAACCCTCTCTTCAGCAGTAGCAAACTTCTTGAGGGCAACACCTGAAAGCAGCAAAACGGGACTCATCAGCGTTTCGTACGTTTGGCCGCAGAGCACATTTCCCCTACCGATAGGCTCTTGTGTTCCAAGCTCTTCAGCCGAGTGGATGGCAGCACGGGCGAAGGCATGGGCCAAGCTAGGAGGAATCTCCTCCTTAGTCTTAGGCCCACCGCCAATGTTGGCATTGACACCGGCAGCACGGGCACCAGCAGCCGTGAAAGAGATGGCGCGGTCACTGACGGTGGATGCAAAGTTCAAGGCAGTCTCCGCCAACGGAGGCTCGTAGTCATAGTGCGGGAGGGTGAAGTTACGCGAGATTTTCGAGAGGTTGTCGTGGAGAGTCTTGATACGGTCCACTTTCTGATAGTACCGCGTTGGTTGTTAGTTCAAGGAGCTTTTCGATCAAAGCATCCGCAAGTGCCTTTGGGCCTGGGATGATACTTGCCAACTCGAGATCCCTGTATTCGGCAGGCAGCTCCGTCACGTCACTTGCGCTTCCCATCCGTTCCTTGGCATACTGCGAGCGGAGGAATTCCCAGGTGAGTCGAGACATACAACGTAAGGCGCGAACTGCACTCCACTCGGTAACGTACTTGCTGCATTTGCGAGAACTGCTTGACGGCTTGAGAGCCGAAAGGCTTCAACTGTGCTCCAAAGTTGGAGAAGACATTTGCGATCTGCGCCGCGGGGTTTCCGTTGGTGTTCATGACTTGCGGAATCGAGGTAGGAGGAGATGTAGGATGTGGGTTCCCTAGTCAAGTTTGGGGGTATCGGTGGTGGTGAAGGGGGTTGTGTGTGTATGATTAGGTCTGCGTGAGAATAATGTCCGTCAGATGGTGAGGGTAATGCGGCAAGGTTGCAAGTCTCAAGGCGTTGGTCTCGTTGGGCCGTTGGCTTCACGGGCTTAGCAGGCTTTAGCACGCCTGATCGTGATGTCACCGCCGGAATCCCAAACGGCGTGCTGTCAATTCATCGCCCACAGGTCTCCCCGCAACCAGAATCGAAGACAAAAGGTATCTAAATCAGCTACATATTCACATTATATGTGCAGGGCAAGAAGCGAGGTGGCGATAGTCTTGCTCCATACGCTAATCCTGATGCAAACTGATGAGGACGACATCTCAAGAAATGGCTGGGACTGGAAGATTGATCTGCACGGTGGGAGAATGGATGAGTGTAGGCAGGAATGGTATCTGCAGATAGTCTCAAACCAAGCTCAGACATACAACGTTGTCTTGTACGAATTTCTCCATTGCGGAGAGCCTTTCCAAAATATCTTGAACGGTATCGGCATTATCTGTGTTGATTATGACTCGCTAAAAACGGCATCCTTTAGCGCGAACGCAAATTCTACGTTCTATGATTCTGGAACAAGCATACCTTATCAAAGTACTGATATGCGAGGCAGGCTTGAGTGGCCTCTGCAATCTGCCAGGAGTGCAACATTAGTTTGAGACCGTCCCACTATGCGATGTACATTCCTTACCTGCTGGATCTGCACCAGCATCCTCTGCTCCTCGCGCAGCGTGATTCTCTCAAGCAACTCAGACTTGAAATCCCAAGTCCCAACGATGGGTTGAGGATGGAGCACAAAGCTGCAACACTGAGAGCAATGCATGGCGAATGTAGCATCACGGCTTTGACTCTGAATAGATGTGATATAGTGCACATAGCAATATTCCTCACGGTCCAACGCTCTGCGAGGTAAGATTGCATCGTTGATCAGCATGGTCGGAACACCGCCTGCGCGTGCAAGTCTGTCGAGATCCTTTTGTTCTGTGATGTCCCCATCTTTGAGAAACCTGTGTAAGGCCAGGGTGGGATGCTCTTCGTCTTCCTCAGAATCTGGGTGGATTTTCCGCTTTCGCTCTAGGACGCGTGGCTCCCCCCAACGACCATTCCTATCAGGTTTGTCAATGAGTCCCCTTCTGGGAGGAGCCTGGAGCGCATACGGGAGGAGAATCTTTCGGAGCTCGTCAAAGCTGTCGAAAACCGGATGAGCCAGTGGAGTCCGGGAGCAGGATGAAGATTTCTGGAACGTACGCATTGTGGACGTCATGGACCTGGTCGCCGCTGACCGTAACCGCATTTTTCTCCTACGCATGATTAAAGGTAAACTTGTTTGGCAACAGTATTTCATCCCAGCAACTATCATTTGAGGATTGTACTGTACCTCATCGTACTGTAGGAGTGTATGCGTGCGCTGCGCAATGACTCTATGGATGAGGTGAGGGAAAAAGTGAGTTGATATGTTGGAGAGTCCAGTGCATTAATTGACTGGCTCTACCTTATGATCGCTTCATGCTTGAGTAGATCTTGAAAGTCGTACGCCGGTCCGAGATACAGGTTGGACTGCATGGTGCTGGTAGTATCAAGCTAAATGTATCCGGAGAAGGAAGAGTGGCGAATCGGTTTCCCAGTGGCCAATGGGATAAGGGAAAGGAGTGCGGATCTCCAAACTGTCGGTCCGAAGGTTTGCTGTTTCGCGGTTGAAGGTTGGGGAAGCAGGAAGTGCTCTGAAACCATCACTGACACTTTGACAGCTCGTGGGAATCATCATGGGGACGCCGTCAAAATAGCGGTCGCCCAAACTGGCCGCACCGGTTGGTGAACATGGACATCGACGGAATCCTCACTTCGAGATCTCCTTAATAAGAAGAAAGACGGCGAGCACGACTCTCACCAGCAGGAAACCGCCAATAACCTCACGATGGCCTCAGCAAACCCCTTCGCCTTGCCCGACGAGGGCGACATCAATGATAACCCCTTCGCCGACTCATCCGCAACACAAGCGTCCCCATACGCATTCAACTCCTACAGCGCCTCAACATCGGAACCAGCGTATGCCTCGGCAGCCTACGCACAGCCAGCCCAGGCGACGTCCGCCTCTTTTGCGGCAAAGGAAGAGGAGCTACGCCGGAGGGAGGAGGATCTCAATGCGCGGGAAGCTGCGTTGAAGAGGGACCAGGAAGCGATGCGGGCAGCCGGGTTCCAACCGCCTAACTGGCCTAAGTTTTACCCGTTGTTCCACCACGATATCGAGGGCGATATTCCTGAACCGAGTAGGCGGCTTGTGAGGAATATCTACCGGCTGTGGTTCAGTACGATCGGCGTACTAGTGCTGAACATGGCGGCGTGTCTTGCTCTCTTGATCTCGCACCCTGATTCATTACCAAACGTTGCGTCTGATTTTGGCGTCAGTCTATTCTCCAGTAAGCATAACTATTGCTGGTCCTTTCTTTGCTCTGGAATGTGTCTCACATGCTGTTATAGTCCCATTCATAGGCGCCGGATCCCTGTACTTATGGTACCGGCCAGTATATATGGCGTTCCAGAAAAACGCGGGAATCTACTTCTACACCTTCCTACTCTTCAACGGCATCCACATTCTCTACGCATCTTATATGGCTATTGGCATCCCAGCGTCTGGAGGCGCTGGTGTCATCAACTTGCTCGCGGCATTGGCGAACGGAAAGCTGGTCGCGGGAATCTTCTGCATCGCAGCTACGGCTGGGTGGGTATTGAACGCTCTGTACTCCGTGTGGCTATGGAAGGATGTCCATGCGTCGAACCGGGCTGCGGGTCACACGCTGCAGAGCGCGCGAAATGAGGCCGCGGTCATTGGCGTGCAATCTGGAGCCGCTCAGGTGCGTTCACAATCGTGCCGCTGTTGATGTCAGCACCGGAACTCATCTCTTGTTCTTGGCAGACGGCCGCAAACGCCTACATGCGTTCAGATACCGGACACTTTGGAGCGTAACGTTTTCAACAGGGACTCGGTGTCTGTACAAAATCGATTACAAACCCCCCGAGTCAGGTCTATCGACATGGAGGTCGGGATGTTTTTCGGGTCTCGTGCTGCTGGGCAGCAAAGTTTGTACCAAGATACAGCGTATCACATCTCACAGACAAGCCGCGGCAACCTAAACACTATATCCTATGGGCTTCCATAATCTTCGCTTAAAAGTTTTGAACATGAACATGATGCGTATCACCAAATATGATGCGAATCTCGCGTTGAGCAGATTCAAGGCTATCCGACCCATGCACAGCGTTTTTGGAGCTGTCGGTTCCATACAAAGCTCGGATGCTGGAAAACGAATGAGTTCTCACCCCTTCCACGCTCATCCTACAGAACCGTCGTTCGATTACCTCTGTGGGGCGACCTTCCTGGCATTCGCGGAGTTGGTGGGTCCGGCGAGCTCCCGCCAAGCCTTCACAGCGTTCTCCCTTTCCAGCACCATCGCGTGAATCGGTTGATCTGGCCTATCTCCCATGGCGTGTCAATGGCGCATCATAGTCTCGCTTGACCCTACAAACGCAATGGAACTGACGTGCTCATCCATTCCACCAGCTCTCGGTAAAAGCTCCTCGCCTGATGTTCCTCATAAAACTCCTCTGCCTGTTTCGTCGTTAACATAAGGTCCTTGCTGTTCACGATCTTGAAGCCTTCTGCCAATATCCGCTCCACTATTGCATCCTTATACCCGGCCGCAAACGCATCAGGTTTGATAAGCGCGCAAGTGCGTTCCGCCTTCGATCCTGTCTTTGCCGTTGTCGGTTCAAGGCACCACTCTGATAGCTTTGACAGTCCCAGCGATGGGGCTGCGGCGTCGATGGTGGTGAGGAGAGCGCTGGCGGTCGAGACTGCTGGACAGACCAAGCGTGGGTTCAGGGATACGCTCAAGCCACACAGGCTGAAGAAGGCAAAGAGCCATGCGGAGGATAGCGAGCCTGGAAACATCCTGATGCCCTGCTGAACGTCTGATGATTCTCAGGATGTTAACGACTTGGATAGCAAGTCTCTAGATCGAAGGTTCCCCTGCCAAGCAGGAGAAGACGCGTGAGATGCATGATGTAATGACCATGATGTAAACTCCGCTTCAGATCTCGAGATTGCTCCACCCTTCAAATGTAACAACGGAATTGCATTATAAGCTACCGAGTCTACAAGATGTCTGATAAAGCAACGTCGTATGCAGAAAACCACTGAAAGACCGCCTCATTCCTTCGGCCGCTCCTCGGCCGCTCCTATCCGCCTACGTCTAGGCCCGCATGCATAGCCATATGATGCATTGCGTAGAGGTTGCTTCTCGCAGTGTTGGCGCTCGTTCACCGCATTTCATTGGGCCGGTCGACGAAGAGTGGCAATTGATGGACAAGCGTGGGAACCAGGATGAGGACAACGCCTCCGAAGCTACGGGCGGATTCCATGTCAGTTGCAGCAAAGATGACTGCGATATTTCGAGAGCTCTTGAAGCTTCGCAGGTTTGCAGGCCCATGGCAAGATCACATTGCGCTTCAAAATTTTCTCATTGGGGAGGTGCCAATGAGAACTACATGTCAATGGTGCGCGTGGCCTACGTACGGATACCCCTTATAACGACTTCTTCTCTTCTCTGACTCTTCATAACCACTACTACTTCCGTTCAATAACCCATCGCTTGTTTTCCCGCTTCACAGGGAAGGAGCGCTTGCGGTTTCGTGCTTTTCCAATACGATCTTGTAGAAGGAGTCAAAAAGCTCTCCAAAAAATACCGGGAGTTGCCCGCACGCCTCAGCGCACGTCGTGGTATACGTCACACAACGGCGCTGGTGTTCGGGCAGGCTATCGATGATAGCTTTGACTCGTTCGGCGCTATCTACTTCCAAAGCGACAGCCAGACATGCACCGCGTTGCATCTGATAAGGTGAATAGACGCAGAAGGGAGATTAGGGCCGACACCGAACGTCATGCCGTGACAATGGTGTGAAAGCAAACTTACGAGGTCCCATGGTGGTGCATTCTCATCATCGGATATATCTGTAGTCCCGACGTCGCTCTCCAATCGCGAAGACCATGATACAACCGGTGATTGTTGCTCGCCGTCCGGGCGGTATGATTCGGGAAGCCACCGTTTCCATTCCTTCACCGCTGACTCGCCGCACACAACGTACTTGGTAGCCACGATGCGGGGTGGCACAGTGACGGGAGTCTCCGTGTGTGCATCTGACGGAGGAGCCAGCACTACCGGAGGTAAAGGGTCCGCCTTTCCCACCGCTGCCCGTTTCTGTTGCGAACGATTTTTACGCTTATTCCGCGATCGCCCAGCAGACGGACAACGTAGTGGGAGGGCGACCTCCACTTCCGAAACGTCCGCTTTGACTGCCGGTGGGGTTTCCGGGGCAAATAGGCGTTTTAGTACCATTCCCCATAGCTCGTAAGTATCTCCAGTGGTAAGGGTTGTTGGGAGAAGTGTAACGCACGCAAGTTCCGGTTGCGGAAGGAGTGGCGGCTCGGGCTGCGCTCCGTATTCACGTTGAGATCTGACGTAGTTAAAAAATCCTTTTCGCTGTCGGTTGCAAATCAATGTGCGCGGGTAACGAGGCGCCTCGGTCACGAATTCAGTGGGGTTGAGGGTCTGCGTAAACTAGAAGTGGTCCAAATTAGTTGCCGTCCAAAGTGGCCTCCATTCACGCTTACTTACTTCGCCATTTTCGCGGTCGTGCCTTAATCGACACGTAGGCCCTTCGGAGAAGAGGGTCATACGATGCGTCCGACCTTGCTGCCAAGACATGGAACAGTAGAGGCCGTGACGAAAGAAAGGAGCTGGTTTTGATTCGGGCTTGGAATGAGCGGACAGATCGGCTGCAAAAGATCAGGCGTCAGTCCCGTTACCTCAATCATACCATAACCCTTCTCACACAGGCAAAGGGAAGCTTACCAAGCAACTCTTGCATCTTCTTGATGCCATTCGTTCTCTCCAGGAGCATGACGATTACAGGCCCGGCCGTCAATTCTTGGATAAATGACTGCCTAGAGTCTTCCGTGACTCTTCCATGAAAGTCGGCGGGGTTGAACATTCTACTGGCCGAGTTGAAACTGATGCGCATTTCCTTAAGTCCGGCAATATCAAAACGCTCTGCCTTGAGTCGCATGAGGATGTTGCCTAACTCACTGAACTGAGATTGGGTAGGTGTCAGAGTCAACAAATGTCAAACACAGACGAAGATCATCGGCACATACCTTCTCTTGCTTGACGATGCAGACCGTTGACAAAAACGGAGGATGTGCGGTCATCGTTTTCGCGACCTGGGGGTCTAGCATGTACCATGGTGGATGGCAGTGCCTATCCGGCCAGTTCGTAGTGTCGCTGGGTACCAGCTCCGAGTCGTGAAAAAATATCGTTATCTGCCCATAAGCAGTTTTCGCATCGGGGGAAACAAGCACCTTCAGCTTTAGAGACTCCAACGTCTCCGCCGGGGCTGTTGATCCGTTCATGGCACCCTTCTCCCTACGCCGGCGACGCCCTAATGCCGGAGCCGAGGTGGTCTCGGATATGCTGAGAAAAGATTGCATGTATTTTTCTGCAGTCATTCGGAGGACCTTTAGCTACCATGAATGGAACTTGAGAGAACGCCCATATCTGAACGTACCAACGATCGTATGCGCCTCACGATACCCGTCCACCTTCCAAAGAACCAGAAACATCCACCCTTGTGTCCCCGCACAGGTTAACTCTTCCATGGCAAACTTGTATTCGTGACTATCCTGGTCAGAACACAAGAGATGGGCGGCGTCGCTGGTGCGTAGCTCTTTGACGTATTTGAGGCCGACGCATTGGAAGCCCGATTCCGGGTTGCAGAGCCGTTTCATCAGCGGCAGCGCGAAATCAAGACGAGCAGCGAGGAAGACCAGCTGCGTAGAATCACCAAGTGGTTAGCCTTTTCTGAGGTCACGCAGTTGGTAATTTCGTGTATGCCAGTGCATACCTGGGGAAGCTCCGGGTCCAAACTGAGAACGTCCGCTCTCGCGACCCTTGCTTCAGCCTTTTCGCGAGGAGGAAACAACCGGTCCGGGTTCTCCACATATGGCAATGTGCCTTTCGTTCGTACATCCCGAGACACCCTGAAGATTTCGCTGGCTGGTGTCGCCCGCAACGCCTGGCTGTCGGCCTCGGTGGCCTGCGAGGTTTGTAATGCTCGTGTCATGGCCAGATGGAGGGCTTCTACCGACAACGGCCGGCCCCCATCTCGCATGGTTAGCTGAATGCGACATTGGGCGTGGGTTGTCTGAGGTGGGTCGGATCGCCAGTCGGGGGATGCCGGCCAGACGCCATTGGCGCAGTTCTTCTCCGCCGAACCAAGGTACTCGGATTTACTAGAATGTGAAGCCTTGCGTAAACGTCCGATGCATTACATTAGATCGCCACTACGTCAATGCACACTCACCGAGAAACGTTCTCCAAGTTGTATCCTAGAGATAGTACCTCTTCCAGTAAAGCACTGTAAAGTGCCACAGGGACCAACTGCGAAATGGACAGGTGGTGAATATCCGAAGACAATTCTCTCTGCCTCGGCAGGTGTACCGAAGGGACAGGAGAAAGGATTGGGGGTGTAAGGCCCCTTCCCTTGACCGATTTGCGGCCCTTGTGATGAGGAGGGGAAATCGAGGAAAGCCGCGTCTTTCGGTTCGGTGGCGAGTGGCCGCTGGGCTCCGCCGCAATCGCGACCGTTGTCGGTGAGCCCTGGTCTTCCCGCTCGATGGAGCTGATGACTGGGGCTGGAGTCAGAGTCGTGCCTTCGCCTTCCTTCAAATCGGCGCGGCTCTTGGACTTCCTCTTATTTTTTCGTTTCTTGGAACCTTCGCCCTCTTCCGGCTTCTCGCAGACCGAGTCGAGACCCTGTGTCTGAATTCTTTCAATGAGAGAATCAATGCCATCTTCGTTCTCGTATATGAGGGTGGGCGTAGTGGTGGGTAGATATTCTGCAAAACCGTTTGCGGCGTCGCGACTCCCATATACGCTTCTCCTTCGAAACGAGCCAGCGTCAGCGTTCGAACTTCGTCTCTGACTTCTGGCCTTCGACGCCATGGCCAGCTCTTTCTCCACTTTCACCGAGTTGCGCGCAAGTTCTTCCTGGAACTGCCTTGCGATGTCCACCTCGTTGTCGTCTTTCGCAGTAAGTCGGTGTGTCTCTTGGCCTTCCTCCAGTGTTCCGGAGTCCACTGGTGAAGTGGTGGTGGTGGCCGTCATTGGCTTGCCGTTGCCGTTCGAGCCGTTTCCGCCTCGATGGCCGCGACGAGCATAGGACCGCATCTTAAATATGTCAAACGTCGAGTATTTAGACAGGGTTCGGTAGGAGAGACCCTTGAAGGAGAACTCGCAATCTTGAACCTCTTTCGGCTTAGACGAAACGGTACGAATAGGCGCTTTGAAAGCGAACGAACGCTTGGGTGGTATTCGACGAAAGAGGGTACTTCTGTAAGCGTTGGTCTCGAAAGAGGGGGGGGGGCCTGAGGGGTTTGAGAGAAACGACGTTGTAATGGTAGTGTGGGTGCGTGGAAAGAGACCCGAAAAAGGGGGTTCTTGGGGAAAGCGCAGGCGAGATGGAAGAAGCGCAGGCGGGGGAGCACGGACGCGTGAGGCGGCTTTCGGACAGGGACCCGTCACTGTTGGTCGGACGCCTGCGCAAACAGCTGTACTACTCGTGGTGGTTCTCGTATTCAAGGAATACTATTGCGCACACACCGAGAAAATGGGAGCGGGGAACAGACGGAAGGGCGAGAGGGAAACCCATGGGTTTGCCCCCAATAAATATTGGCGGACGCTGGAATGCGGGGGCGGGGGGGCGTCAATAGCGAAATGGCTGAGCAAAATCTCTATTGCTGTTGTTTACAAATCGCACGATTGTGGGCTGAGGAGTTAAGCCATTTTTCACCTTGCATTGCGTCTTCTGAAATTACACTTTTGAGGACAATCTTACTGCATCTTACTACTGAGAACATCTTACTATTGTCGTCAATTGAGGACAATCTTCTCGATGAGGAAGCTTGTCATCAACAAACTTTTTGCGACGATGACGGGACTGACACTTTTCGACTGTTTTTTTTCCTATCGGACATCTACTACCCACTCAGAAGACACCCACTCAGCAAAATGCATCGGGGCGGGAAAGCTCTAAATGCGCGTGGCATGCTTAACCTTGACAGAGCTGCGTCTTCGTCGTCTTCAGAGGCCCATGCGACCGCTGGGCAGACCGATGTATGACGGTAACTCGATTTTTTCCAGTGGGATTTCAAATTGATCTGTTTATGCTGTGGCTGATGCCAGTGTCTTCCACTTTTCTAGATGTCCACAGCTTTGCTACATTTTCTCGGCTTCTGGAATGCCATGAACGCTTGATTGACATGTGAAGCTCGGCGTACGTCATTGAATCATCTCGCTGAGACTTGGGACGCACATCTCTGAGACATGATAAGCTACGACGGTAAACAAGGAGGCGCTCGATGTAAGAATGTGCTCCGCCGTGTAGCGCAGCCTGCAGTGTCTTGCGAAGGCGGAGTAGATGTGCTGTCAGTTTTTCTGTCAGTTCTATCCCCTCGTTCTGGAAGCTGGTGGTTGTAGGATTCAAGCGATTAGCACGACCACATGTCGTCACTGGTTCGCTGAGCGATGGGCTGATCCAAACTCTATGAAGGAATGGAACAAGTCTGTTATAAATTCAACAACGGTCGCATTGTAGATATGTGGCTTGCGCCGCGCACTTGATTCTCGCACGCGCAAAGACATTCCACCAGCCCGTTGTCTTAGGCGATTTCCATTGCGCGTTGGCTCGAGGTGGACCGCATGGTGCGATCTTGGAGGAGGTCACGACAGACGACGATGCTCCTTGCGAAGCGCAAATCATCCATGTTTCGGTCTAAGTAGGTCGCCCTGACTGGCGTCTTGTTTAGCAGCCTTGGATTGCGTGGCTTTCTTGGTTGTCTTTAACCCTGTTTGATGAGCCTCTTGAGGAGACCGACACTCCGTGTGCATCAGTGGATATCATTCCGTCCCTATGATGAGGCAAGTGATGAGTGCCTGAGACCCGAAGACCCCGAGACACCCCGAGACACTAAGACTCAAGAAGAGTAGGATAGCCGAAGAGTAGGAAAGAGACTTACCATTTCATGGCGACCACGCCACGCACCCGGCGGGGTTTAAATGCCCGACCGTTCGTGAGATCAAACACTGTGCCCCAGTCTTGTCTCTTGAAATCTTCTTTGTACGCGCCCAGTTCTCCGGGTAATTGTAGCACGCTTCTGAGGAGGTAGGCTGTGTCCATGGTTGCATAGGACGGAATGTGAGACAGCCTGGTTCGCAGCGGGTTTGAAGGCCTTTGTTGCACGTGGGAGACGCTCTTCGAACAAGCGCTTCAGCAAGCAGTACGACGGTAAGAACTCGAACGGATTCACGATGACCTGGTATGCCATGCTACCACCATCGTCGTCGTCGTCTGGCGACATTGGGGCACGATGCAGAAGAGCTCGCTGAGAACGTCTTGTTCCAGCCGGGTGAGGTTCTTGAAGGCTTCCACAGTAGGGCTTTTGTCGCACGATGCGTAGCGCTTGAGCTTGCGATTTCTTGCGGAGTACTGCCTCAGGCGTGCCTTTGGCATATGAAGTATCTTCTACGAGATTGAAGATACTTCGTATCCGAAGCAACGCCTGAGGCAGTCCTACGCAAATCCAACGCAAAGCCCGCGGGCCTAGCACACAATCCCAGAAGGGATAGAGAAGCGAATGTAAGGCCGAATGTGGAAGACATGCGGCGAAAAGGAAACAAAGACATACCCTGGACGAAAAACCCGTCCCAGTCGAAGTGGATGGTCTTGATCACGGATAGCTTTGAAGAGGATAGGCACGCCGTGCCTTCAGATTGTTGACGTCCAGGAACTGAGGGCAGCGAGAGGGTAGCGGGTGAATTCCGCTCAGTTCAGACTGGAAGAACCGGAGTTGGCATGGGCTTTTGCCCACGCGATGAATACCGTGAGGATGCGTTCTCTTGCAGAGCGTGTTGCCGGCGCCGTGTCATCATCCTTGGCTCTTCCAGCAAGTCTGTCCGTCGGGACCAGACCTGTCGGTCAATGGTTCGTTCTGTGCCACTGAGGGTTGCCGCGACTCCCGCTTAGCGGTTCATTAAACTGCTCAATGGAAAGACAGTTTAGATGCGTGGCGCCAAAGCTGACATTTCGGTAAGGACGTACCACATCCTTAGGGCATTCAGTGCGTTAAACACAAACTCCTCGCTCACTCCCACGGGCATCTTCAACGCCGCTGCCACATCTATCACTCCGGCTTTTAAGCCTGGCGAGGGACTCCCTTACGTCCTCGTGTGGCTTCGGAGGGTGAGAACCGAGGGAAGAAACGGCGAGTGATTTTGTTGGTAACTTCCTTGGGTAGGTGCCTTGCAACCATGCTTCTACTTCCCTTTCGTGCGTTCAGATGCACTAACCACCCATCATCTCCCTCTCCCCCGCGCAGTCCTTCATCCACAGCAAGAAGGCGTACGTGTGGTCTCCGGTGGTATTGACTGGGGCACAGTGGCTTTTGCTTCGCATTCTGTTAAAGCGACACTGGGGTGTCAGATATGGCATACTCCAGGACTTCTACAGCTCACCGGTGCATACCACAGCGATGTCACCGTTGTAAGTCTTGGTCTCCCTCACCACCCTCGTTGCCCTCACGACCCTCGTCGCCCTCATGTGATTCCTGTTCTTCCTCAAAGCTGTCGTCGTTGTCGCTGCGTTGTCGCTGGAACATTTCCCCATCGTCGCTCATGCTGTCATCATTCTCATCTGCACAGATATCGGGATGGTCGCCGTAATCTAGCTCTGGGGCAAACTCAGGGTCAAAGTCATCCGGGGTTGCGTCATCGGTGGGGTGGGTATCCAAATCCTTGTTGTCGATCGCCGGTTCCAGAGGTGCTTTCTGTTCCTGACGTTCCTTTTCCATCGTGCGGATTGTTTCTGGCGCTACGGACATAGTTGAGGGATTGGACAGAAGTTGCTGGGGAGCAGGTCTCGGGTAAATTCCGGATTAGGGATTTAGAGTGATCTGTTTTAGGTAGTGTGAGGGATTGCCGCGGGGTGAGGGATTGCTGTTGTTACCTGGAGGTGGTCGGCGGGATGTGTACTGTACAGAGGTGCTCGCAATTGCGTTGGTTCCTTGCGCGGAGTGCTAACCCTACCTCCGAGTTTCTTCGCGAGGAAGGCCGGTTACCTTGCGCGGAGTGCTAACCCTAACGCTAAGGCCCACAATTTACTGGGATCGAGTTTGCGAAAGAGTGTGGTTTTTTTGTGGCCGAGATAAGCTATCTCTAAGCAAAAACTGCGAAAAAACCTTGCGATACCGGCGTGTAGGGTTGCATTCCGCTGTCTTGGTCCTTCCCAGTGCCAGGGATAGATTCTGGCGGGAACTGTCTCCACCGTAGCGCAAAGTGCCAATCAGCTTACGTTTGATGAGCTCAGCATCCTTAAGGCAGAGCTTTTTCTGCCAGGTTTGCAAGAGCTGCCCTCGATCCCAAACGACCTCCTGAGCAGGTTTGAGGTCAAAACGCTTGTCCACGGCCGTCTCCGGCTGTCTCCGGCCGTCTCGGGTGTGTCCGGCTGTCTGCGCACTTCCAGAGCTGTCTCCACTGCTGCGTGTCTATTGGCCTGCAATCCAAAGCTGTCTCCGTCTCCAGAGCTGTCTCCATCCGTCTCCAGCGCTGTCTCCACTGCTGCGTGTCTATTGGCCTGCAGTCCAAGTCTGTCTCCGTCTCCAGAGCTGTCTCCATCCGTCTCCAGAGCTGTCTCCATCCGTCTCCAGAGCTGTCTCCACTGCTGCGTGTCTATTGGCCTGCAGTACACCACCAAAAGGACCTTCCCACACCCCCTTTACCTCGCTCTGCGCAAGATGAGCCAGTCTCCAGCTGTCTCCGGAGAATCTACTCCGGTCGCCACGGAATCCACCACAGTCTCGACACTTTCAGCCATATCGACGGCCGTCTCCATCAATGAGGCACTTATCCAAGACGACACCACCGTTCCAGCATGGTCTCCAGACACAGAGCCAGATTGCTCCAACCCTGGAAAGCGGAAAAGGGCTCCTTGTCACACCCCGGAGGAGATGGAGGCGGAGAGAAACCGTCTCTCGGCGTTGAACGCCCAGCGACTGCGAGAGAAGGAAATAGCGACGATAAGGGCTGTGGCGGAGAAAGCTCGAAGGAAGGACGAAAAGGCATTAGCCGCCAGAGAGCTGGCCAGCCGAAAGGCAGAGGCAACAGCCCGCATGAAAGAGAAGCGAGTGGCAGACGCTGCTGCTCAGGCAGCCGCTAGGGAAGCTGGGGAAGCCGCTAGGGAAGAGGCCATGACTCGACGTCAGACTACCTGGACCACGGAGGAGACTATGGCGCTCTGCGAGCTCTACCAGTCTGCAAAGGCGCATGCTGTCTCGCGTATCTCGGGCTCTTCGTTCAACTCTGCTTACACCCAGCAGATCATACGGGAGTACATTGAAGGCCGATGGGAAGATCATGAACTCTCGCAGCGCTGGACTTACCCGCAAGCGGAGACACGATGGAAAAACATTCAAATGTTGTACAAGAAGGCCAGGGATAAGCTGGCGCAGACTGGCGGAGGGGGGTTAGGCGCATACAAAGAAAGGTACCCATGGCGGGATGTCGTTGAGGAAGAGGGTCACGGGAATGCGGCTGTGGCTCCCTCGTACATCACGCAGTCGCTTGCTGACACCCAGGATGATGGGGATGAAGGAGGGGACGTGGTGGAGGACGAGGATGGCGTTGAGGATGAGGAAGATCCATTCGGAGACAGTTGTCATATGGGGGGTATAGTGGCGCCTCTTCTCTTGTGGCGTTTGGTACGCCCCGAAGAGGCAGTCATCAGTCTTATTACCGCGGAGGCTCTCCTGTCTCAGAGACAGCTATGCGGATGCCTCTAACTGTGCCGCAGACCACGTCTCGAGCAAAAAGTGCCCCGTCGGCATCTTCCGCACCTCCTAAGTCGTTGCGGAGTGCGTCTCGAGGGCGTCTGGCCCAGAAGCAAGGCAAGGGAATGATACGCGAGTTTCTCCTTGCTGCCACAACTCTTCAGCAGCAGAATATGGCAAAGATGGAGGAGAGAGATGCAGAGAGAGAAGCAGCTCACGCAGAGAGAGAAGCAGCTCGGATCGCAAGACAGGAGGAGCGCGACGATGAGCGCCGGCGGGATGACATACGTCGGCAGGAGCAGGCCCAGCAGCGCTTGCACCAGCTTCTGCTCGCAATAAGTGGCCACAGGCAGACTTAGGCATAGAAGAGAGACTGTCTCCAGTGTCTCCAATGTCTATAAGGGTCATTATATGTAAATTTAGACGTCATTATTATATGCCTACACTGTCAAAATACTGTCAAACCTACCTACTTTTGCGGTCCCTGTCTCTGAGACCTCCTCCTCGCGCTCTCTTCTTCCAACCCCAGCACACGCCGAGTTCCACACCCCGACACAGCAACAACAACAACGACAACACAACAACATCGACAACAACGACAACAACCATGCCCAAAGCGCCCCCACGCCGAACTCAATCTGGTGCTGGAGCAGGGAGGGGTAGGGACGACCGAAACTACTCCTGCTTTGCTCCTGGAGGAGTCTGCGTTGTTTGCGGGGCTCGGACGTCCGCCGCGTGGCGAACGGGCATTGTGAACAACGTCAAGACAGCCAGGGCGGCCTGCAATAAGTGTGGGCGCGCAGGCATATGTGGATGCCATCGCTGCCCCTCCGGGCAAACCCGTCGTCCCCACAACCACCCTCCCCGCCCCAGCCACCACGCACCTCACCCTCCACCTCCCGCCCCGCCCGCCCACCATCCCAACCCCGGTCTCCACCATCCCAACCCCCGTCTCCACCGCCCAGCCCCCCGTCTCTGGCGCCGCTCCCCCTGTCTCCGCCCCCCTGCCCCCCGTCTCTGCCCCCCAGCCCCCCGTCTCCGCCCCCCAGCCTCCCGTCGCCGCTGCCGCTCCCACCGCCCCTATCCCTAACCCCCTCGCGATCACCAGCCTCCTCAACCCCGCCCCAATCCCCAACCCCATCGCCATCTCCGCCCTTCTCAACCCTGCCCCCATCCCCACCCGCCCCACCCGCGCTGCCGCCATCGCAGGGGTCGCAGCCGCCGCAGCAGCAGCAGCAGCGCCCACCCCGACCACCGGCGATGAGGAGGAGGGGTATGACGCGGCCGAGATGGCGCAGGAGGAGCTGGCCGCGCTTGAAGAAGAGGAGGGACACTGGCGGGCGTTGGGGAAGCTAGTGAGGGAGACGTGCGGATCAGCAACACGCCAGGCGATGAAGGCCCACACCACACCCCTCTTCGACGCCCACAGAGCGCGCCTGGCCGCTGCAAAGCAGAAGGCAGATGAAGTGCGGGCTTTCGCCCCGGCCTCCGACGACGCCGAGGATGACGACAAGGAGTATACGTCGGTGGAGAGCAGCCTCCCACACTCGGAGTCCGTGTCGTCATACGGATCTACATCTGGTGGCGACGAGACAGCGGGCTCCGAGTTGTGGGAGGAGGAGGATTATGCATTTGCGTGAGGGTGAGCTCATCATTGTCTCCGAGAAAACTGTCTCCGCCATCTCCACTGCTCCTGACACACGCTCTCTCATCATAGAGCGAATCGCGAGGCTGCCCCTATTCCGGGCTGTCTCCATCGATCGCGGGAGTTGAGAGCGGAACGTTCCATGAGATCAGAATGCAGAGCGACTACGACGGCAACGGCAACTGAATTCGATCTGCAGTCTGAGAGGGAGTGTTATAAACAACCCGTTTCAGGCACAGCTGCCTTTTATAGTTACCGTACCCCCCCTTTTTCTTTTCTGTGTGTGTGTGTGTGTGTGTGCGCACACCGTCCGATTGAATGTCTATAAAACGAGTGGTGTGTGCGAAGGGGAAGAAAGTAACAAGTTCCACAACACGTTGTTTTAACAAAGATGTGGGGAATGAACTCCTCAAGCCAAGATACATGCACTATTGAGACCCCCCAGATACGAGCTGTCTCCCTGTCCCCGTATAACCCGTCCAAAGTTCATCCGCAATTTGATTGCGCAATTGAGCTGCAGACACCTCAGCATCATCGGTCTCCATGGATGTTGATAAGCTACCCGCCGTCTCCACGCCTGTCTCCTGAGGGATGGAGCCCCATTTGTCCAAGTAGACGCTATTGGCGTCATTAGCCGCAAGGTTGTGAAGCACCATACAGGCATGGGCGCCATTTGCAACGAGCTCCGGCAGCTCCTGCTGCTACTTCAGCAGTATGCGCCAGCGATTTTTCAACCGTCCAAATGCCTGCTTGTAACGTCAGAGGAAACGTAGACAATATTGGGCCCTTCTGAGAGGGCTGATAGCAGTGTATTGTAGTGAAGAAAAAAGTAAGAAGCTCTTCGCAGCGGCCACTCGACTGACAGCTTTATATATGGGCTGCCAGTGGGGCTTGCATGGCTTCAATGAGGCTTGGCGCCTTATGTAATGTATCACCGAGAGCTCGGGTGGCCAGCCCGGGTCTCGGATCAAGTATGTAACGGGAAAATACACATTTTGGCTTAGTGGTTAAGACACCTGGCTCTCACCCAGGTGGCGTGGGTTCGATTCCTACCTTCCCCAAACATTTTTCTCTTCTTTCTGTGACTGTACCACCTCTCCAGGGCGTTCCAAGCGATCGGGACGATTCCCTTGACAAAGTAGAAGTAAAGAGATATGATATGAAATACAAGTGAAGATGAGATATCCCCGACACCTCCCTCAGATCCTGAGGAGGGCGCCGAATAAATAAGAGGTGAACTACGAGGGATATGTGAAGAAAGGGAGAGCTCATGTTCATTTTAAAGTGTTGACGCACTTGTTCATTTTTTATAGTGTTGAGGCACTGTGTGATGTGTGTGTTTGAGGCAAAGGCGTCCCTAAGCCGACGTCGTGTGTGATGTGTGTGTGTAAGGTCGGTTCTTGCGTCGCCG